TTTCCGTAAGTGAGAAACCAATAGATGACATAAAAACACACAGTCTGCTCCCAAGTCGGAAACGGCGAAGTATGCCAAGCGAGGATCTTCAGCATCGAGCAAAGCAGCAACATCAACATCTATAATCTCAACACTGTCGGAGCCACATGCATGCTGTCCCGAGACGGTCTAAGTATGGTGCACTATGCGCCGAATGTAAATGTCTTCCCGGATACAGTTGCGCTGTTTAAGAGTGATTAGGAGTCTAGGAGAGCAGACTCGTATGGCGTGTTGTATGTATGTATTGTATGTCTAGGAACCTTTTATAATGGAGTAAAGCTTTTTTTTGCTTGAGAGTGAAGTGTGTTGATTAAATGCTGTTGCCCTTTTGTAATATCGCATCCTAGACTTTTGATAAGCCACTACCTTATTATATATACAGCGTATAAGGTAGCTAAGGTAAGGAAGCTTTAGCTCAAGGTATACCAGATAAATCTAGGAGGATTTGCCCAGGAAAACATTAATGATTAGACGTGGCAGCTTCCAATGTTAGCGGATGATAATCATAAAGTTTACGTTTGTTTGTTAATAATATGCTTTCTTTTTTTGGAGGGGGGTAAGTGACTGTCCTAATACCGTTATTGGCAATTTTTCGCTTCGATTGAGGAGAATTCAGGGGGAAGGGTCGAGAAGTGATACAGCTGTTAATCATCATCATCCAGGATTTAGAACTTCCTTCGCGAAGAAAAACCCGAGGACTTGCAAGGAGGAATAGAAAGAAAAATTTCAAGCACATCGTTACTTAGGTACTGCTCCAGATATAGGAGAAGAGCGATCTAATATACACCTCCCATGATTCATTCATACAGGCACACCCGGCATAACGATAACACTCTGCTCGCTGATCGAGACTCCTCCGTAGACCTCTTCCCCGACCAACCCCCCACTGATGCCATCCACGAAGCGTGAGTAGGCAGCATACGTACCATGCTCGGTTTCAAACGCGATATTGGTATGCTGTGCGGAAAACCTCCAATGCGTACCTCCGCCAGCTTCGACCATGTTGATCGTCATCCCCGTAGAAGTATCCGCGAACGTGCCGTGGACTTTGCCTCCATAGGATAAAGCAAGTGTCGCATACGCCGCTGTATCAGACGCCTGAGAATTCCTCGTGGCGAAGATCTCGGTCCCATTTTCCGAGACAAAGGCAGAGGTATAGGTCGTGTTGTCGACGGCAGAGGTGAAGCTCCAGAAGACGAAGGAGTAGGGCCCGGCGATCCCGCGGAGCCAGTACCAGGATTTGGCGATGGAGTCCCAGTTGAAGGGCGCCCAGTTGCGATCATGTCCGCCGTAGCCCGTGAACGTGAGCGATGTGCCGGCGATGACCAGGTCTGCAGTCACCTTGCCCAGGGGAATGGCTTCGTTCCAGTAGAGCAAGGGCGCGAATTGCACATCGGCGTGGGGAGAGGGATAGATACTCCCATCTGGAGTCCTGGGAGGGGTCAGGGAGCGGATGTCCCACGTTCCTTGGACGTTTGGGCCGGTGAGGGAGAGCGAGGCAGTCGTCAGATTCTGGGAGATGTTGAACTGGAAGGCGATTCCTTGCCATGCAGTGGCCCAGAGCCCGGTCGTTGCGAGCGCGCAGGTCGTCACGCAGGACTCGTTCACGAAGATATTAGTCGTCCACTTCGTCCCATTGGGCCACACAGCATCGACTCGGACGCGCAGGACGCCGCGGGCGAGAGAAGCGAGTGAGGCGTCACGGATGAAGTTGATGGCAATGCCGGCGCTGCCATCGGCAGAAACGCTGTCGAAGTAGTATTGCTCCCAAGCTGTGCGGTTGACGGCCGAGAGCTTGATGTTCTGGTAGGGGTCCAGAGGGGAGGTGTTGATAGCCACGGGACTGGTTACCGTCTGCGTTGCCGTCATGAGGTTGGTGCTGCAGCTGGACGCTGAGAGTGCGCTGCAGATGAGGAGCGGGAGCAGCAGGAGACTGCTGAAGAGGAGTTTCATTTTGAGGGATGAAGGTGAAGAAGTTGGATGGAGAAGAAATGAAGAGAAGTGTCTCTTATATAAGGTGCTACTTACCTTATGGTGAATCCCTTGCAGAAGGAGCGCTGGTGACACTTTCCCACATCCATCAATCACAAGAACGCAAAGATGAACATGACATGCTAATCATGAATGATCATCCGATACAACAAAAAAGTTCATGAAAGATCAAGATAGGAGCAGAGAGAATATTTTCAACACCTTTTTATTTAGTTATTTATCAACGACTTCCAAACAATATGCACCTTTTTTCCGTCTCCCCGCTGGGCTGCCACCCACTAGAACTCCTCACAAAAAGCAAGGGTGTCGCGAAACAAAGGAAAAAAGGAGGATGCATCCAAGTTGTCAAGCCGTTCAGCGGCGAGTATACAACGGGAGGACTGGCACCAGCCATGTCCACGCTTTCCACAAACAACAACCCCTGCACTACCGACAAGAAGTAAGCCGACTGCTCAAGTATCGACAGCATCGACAAACACCAGGCGATCTCCTCATACCAAGCCAAAACAGCATACAACAAGTTGTACGCAGAAAAACACCAAACACAGGAGATCGTCGTATTATCCGGATGCCACGTCCCCGACCCCAGGGCACCAGGCAAGCAGGTACAGAGAATGAAACAAAATGGGTATAGGCGAATCGAAAAAAAAGGCGAGGATGACGAGCATCCCAAGAAATTAAGATAACTGGTAAAGTAGGCATGTCGTGTGGATCGCGTATGCATTGGAAGTACGTGTCAAATTCGTCAAGCCGTAAATGTCGACCTCCCAAGAGGATGAGAGGTGACCCGTAAAGAAGTTGGGGAGATGTTCGCATCGGAGAGTTCGGAAGAAAAAAGGGAGAGTTGATGTCGCATCCAAGGATTCGTCAAGATGGAATGCTGGGGTAGAAGTTGTCGTTGCACCCAGCATCCGTCAGCGCTGGTCCGTCACAAATGGCATGAAATGGGACGCAAACACCGGCACCAGACGCTTCTTCATCGAATTATAGGAGCGCGGCCGCAGCCATGATCAACATCCCCGCGCTTCCCACATACATCGGGTTGAGCGATGAGGCAGCTCCCGAGAAGGTCGGAGTCTGGGTGGAGGGAGACGGCGAGGGGGAAGGCGACGAGCCGCTGCCGCTCCCAATGGTGACCGGGCTGGGGGTGGTGATGGCTCCGGATCCGGTGCCCGTCCCCAGGATGGCGGTAGGCCCGGCACTCGCAGTGGTGCCGTTGCCGCTGTATGCGTGGTAGGTGGCAGTGACGGAGAAGACTTGCGAGACGGTGATAGTCTTGGTCATGAGAGCGGTGGATGTGACTGACGCAGCTGCGAGCAGCGGGAGGAGCAAGAGAGTGATGATGGATGGAAGATGCATCTTGGACGTGGTTCTGTTGGGAGTTTCAAGGAGTGTGATGAGTATACGAGCTGGCGTATATTCGAGATTCGAGATTCGATATTGGATATTCGAGAGACGAGCGATGAAGCTGGTGAGAGCGAGACTTTGCCAACGAAGTCTGGTGGGGATGGATGGATGTGAAGGAGTGAATTGGAGGAAGAAACAAGAAGAGGCGCAGGAGGATTGATGAGCTGGAAATTAGCGTCGCCCGGATGAGTACGTAAGGTCAGGTCCCGCTAGTACATATAGGACAAAGGAATGAAAGAGAAGAATAGAGAATAAAATTGAAATAAATGGCTTAAATAATAAAGATAATACTAATAATAATAGAATAGATTACTGCATCCATCCCAAGGGTCAACGGAAACAATCAGCCCCTGAGTTTTGAGTTCTGAGTCTTGAGTTCTGAGTTGAATTCTTTGTTCTTTGGGCCCCGACGACTGCCGTGGTGCCTGAATTGACTTTATGCCTGAACAACCAGGCTGCATAACTTCCCGCATTTGATAGGTGGAGCCGCGTAGGGCTCGATTTAGCTGCCGCGGTTCCTGATTTTTATACTTCACGCCTTACCTGATACAGATGCCAGCCCCTACTCTAAAAGTACTAGCACCCAATAGGATCCTCCCATTTCAGCCGACGCATACAACTACGGTAAGGGGATCAAAACACTATTTGCACACTAGGCTCTCCCGGGCATGGCGCGGAAAATTTGAGATGAGATTTTCCTCTGGTGCCGGACGCATCTCGGGCCCCCAGATTTTACTCCAGATGGCGATCTCGTGGAACCGTGATTCGGATGAGGATTCTGGAATGCGGAGCGGGTTACCATTGATCCATTATCGATAAGACGGTTGGATATGGTCATTGGGGGTCCATCGCCAGCTACTGTAGAACAGTAGAAGTATGGCCATCCCAGATATGAGACGCCACGTACGGGCCATCGTGTCGTGGTCATGAACCATCGGCGGTGTGAGCAGGCGCGCAGACATGGGATGAGATAGAAGGCATTAAGACGTAGATCCTCAGGAGAGATGAGACGGTTCAGGGCAGAACAAGAATCGCAATAATAGCATCAGAAAGAGTGATTTCTTTTCCCTAGTCCTCGCCATCCGTCCTTCTAATTATAATCCCGCTCAGCCTCGCACTCGCCGCAGACCAATCCCGCGCCCTCCTCCGCCATCTTTCGAAATCCATCTCTTCTATTCTCGACTTCTCATCAGTTGCAGAACACTCCCGTCTGATTTTCCTTCTCCCCGGCCAGCCCGCTACGTAGCCGCACGCTCAAACGCGCTCTGCTTCAAGACCGCCGCATCTCTGCCTGTCCGCGCGACCCTGCCTCGTCTCTCATGCCGCGGATAAATACCCTCGCTCCTTCGATATCACTCACGGCCAAGGTAAAGATACTTGCCGTCCAAGTTCCTAATGCGCGAGAGGAGGCGCTTCTAGTTCACCAAGGTGGGAGAAATGGGTGGCATTATCACGTGATGCTAATCTCATTGCCATCAAAGCAGACGTCCAGAGGACGAGCGCTGATGCGATATGCAACAAAACATCCCCTCTAGCAACACGTGATGCTAATCTCAACGCCATCAAAGCCAACATTGATGCTTCCGAGATTGCCACGGATGCGATGTGCAACAAAACTTCTCTCCTTCCCACATCACGAGCCGAATGCCACGTGACTATCCCTCGCAGACCAGCCTTTCAGGTGGATGCATGGCTGGGAGTAAGGGAGATCACCTACCCAGAGATCTACGTGCAATGAGACAAACACGTGTGCTCGCATCTACGATCCTCAAGCCCCCCATCCATCCATCATCCATCCCTTCCAAACCCCGAAGCCCCCTAACTCCGACCACGATCACGATGCCATCAATTAGGTATCGCCCTCCCAGCCCCCGCGTGACCTGTGCAAGATGAAAAAATGAACACCAAGTTTTGTTGCACATCGCAACTTCAATCACCTGCAGATGATGCACGAGATCCCCGTCGGGTGGCGCCCGCTTAGGCGAGGGGCCAGAGGAATCCGCGAGGTTTTGTTGCACGTCGCAGCTGCAGGTCACTGAGAGTCGCGGGGGGTGCGCCTGGTAGCGGTACGGCTGGCTGTGGTTGGGCGGGCGGGGGCGGGTTGATTGGTGTATGCGCGGTCTATTTGTAGGATGAAAAGGGAGATTATTGTTAGGTAAGGTCCGTACATATGTACTTACTGTGCGACGAGGTTTTGTTGCACATCGCAGAGTTGCACCCCGTGCATATCCAGATGTTGGTGAGGGTTGTCTGATTATATAATCCCTTACTGAGTGGCTGAAATCGTTCCCAAAATAAGTTTTGTTGCACGTCGCAAATATGCAGCTCACGAAATGTCAAGAAACCACTTGGATATATGCACAGGGGTGTCAAGGTTTCTGAGAGGGTGTCTGATTACCTGATTGGCCCCATAGGCGGCTGAACTGCGATTCCTGAGTTTTGTTGCACATCGCGAATCTGCAGCTCACGAAATGTCAAGAAAAAGGGCTCGGGTGGGCTGTCTGATTACATAACCACCTTACTTGATAGGCGACAGAAATATAGTTTTGTTGCACATCGCAAATCTGCAGGTCAGGGAGTGCTAAAAGGAGACTTGGATGCGACGTGCTCGGGGCCTTGGAGGGCGGAGGTTGTCGAGGTGCTGATTACATAATACACCCGGACAACCACCTTAACACGGATACACAGGTACCTTATGGGGGCGGTAAGTAACAGGTTAATCAACTGACATGTGATGGTCTCAGGTCCTGTTGCACGTCGGAGCTCATACAATCTACCTATGTGATACAGTTATATGCTCCCAGATTTTGTTGCACGTCGCAAAACCAGAAAAAGAAAACATCGGTAGTAATGCAAGCCTCAGGCGAGAAGAAGCAACAAGTCCTGTTGCTGAGTCAGCAAGGAAACGTCAAGTGCGGGATGACGCGAGAGAGCCTTTGCATGGAGCACCCCTCCTCCACAAGGCTGCATACCTTATACAAGTACTCCTCCCCAGCCAACAACTTCATTTCTTGACTTCCCTCTTTCTCCTTCACTCTCCTTTATCGAGCTCCTCCTTCACTACAAGTCTCCCCCCTTACCACCACTGCCCACCATAGGTCGGCGACACAGACCTCGCCACTCCAAAGGCCAAGGCCGCAGTAAACGGGACAAGATGGGCCAAGAGAACTCTCACCAACAGATCGATCCCCATGCCCCGCCCCACACGCTCTCGGCACGAAGCCTTGATGCCGTTGCCGATTTCATCAAGCAGGAGAGCGCCCCTCCAAAACGAATCGTGGTCATGACAGGCGCCGGTATCTCCACCAGCGCAGGCATCCCGGACTTCAGATCCCCAGAGACCGGCCTCTACGCCAACCTTGCGCGTCTGGATCTCCCCTATGCAGAAGCCGTGTTTGACATCTCCTATTTCCGCCAGAATCCCAATCCCTTCTACATGCTGGCAAAGGAGTTGTACCCCGGGAAGTTCTACCCAACCATCTCGCACGCTTTTATCGCCTTGCTGCATAAAAAGCACATGCTCCAGATGCTGTTCACGCAGAACATCGACTGTCTGGAGCGACGAGCTGGTGTACCGGCCGAGAAGATCGTGGAAGCACACGGCAGTTTCGCAACTCAGCGATGTATTGATTGCAAGACCGAGTATCCGGCTGATCTGATGAAGGAGGCCGTGGATGCCGGGGAGGTCCCCAATTGTCTTGACCCGCAGTGTAATGGTCTGGTTAAGCCGGATATTGTGTTCTTCGGAGAGGCCCTCCCAGCGTCGTTTTTCGATAACCGGCACGTGCCTGAGACGGCGGATCTGGTTATTGTTATGGGCACAAGCTTGACCGTGCAACCGTTCGCCAGTCTACCTTCGTTTGCAAGGGAAGGAACCCCTAGAGTACTATTCAATCTGGAGAAGGTGGGAGATTTTGGAAGTCGTCCGGATGATGTGGTGATTCTGGGCGATTGTGATACCGGTGTTCGGCGGCTTGCGGAAGCCCTAGGTTGGCTGGATGAACTGGAAGCGTTATGGCGACAAGTTGGTGGGGATACCAGAGAGAAGGAAGCAGCCCTGTTACAGGACGAGCGGAAAGGAATGTCGAAGGATGAGATCCTAGAAGCCGAGATCACTAAACTGACTGATGAGGTTGATTCTGCGTTGAAGATGTCGCAGGAACACCATCGACGAGTCAACAATCATCTCGACAAGGATTCAAATAGGGCTCAGATATCCTCGACGCCTTCGATCAACGGAAGCGAAATCGATCTGAAATCCACTCTCTCCACACCCGCCATTGTCGGGAGCGAAGGCGGCTTGAAAGAACCTCAACCTTCACCCGCACCAGTACCAACTCCAGCGGTTGAAGAAGAGAAACTCGACATTACACTACCGCAAAACAAACCAAATGCCGCCCCTGCAGATTCGGCGAAATCAAATTCTCTGTATTTACATTATGAGCTGGATAGATCATAGGCGAAACCCGTGGCTCGATGTCAGGTCAGCTGAGGAAGGAAACTTGGTAGCGATAGACTCGCAATCCATGCCTCCATTACGGAGCAGGTGGAATTCACGATCAGGAAATGAAAATCAAATAAATGTAATATATTTTCCCAACTTCGCTATCCACAACCGTAATGCCATTTTTGCTTTCTGTGTATTTGTATCCGTTTCGAGAAGAAACCTGTAAGCTAAGCCTTACCCATAGAGACTCGTGCACTATTCTCCCGTCCTGTCCATCTGTATCTCTCCCCGTGGCGTAGTTTGATGTTCTATAGGTAAGAAATGCAGCTTTGTGGGCAGGATACGGATAAGTTGTAGTGGCACATTTATGCAGGGCGTAGGTAATCGGTGATCGGCGATAACGAATCCGCGCACTAGACTGCTGACGGCGGGCTGATCGCCGTGAGCTTCCATCCACTCCACATCCTCCACAACACCACGTCTCAACATCCATCATCACCTTAAAATGTCTCCTACAATCAACGTCTCTTCATCTGTGGAGTTTAGCAGGCTCCTCAGCTCCTCCACTATCGTGGTGACTGATTGTTTGTTCTCCCTCAGCTCTTTTCCGCCCTGTCAGCAATGCTAATCCAGAGAACAGTCTACGCCGACTGGTGCGGACCCTGCAAAGTCATCTCTCCCACCTTCGAGTCTCTCTCCGCGAAACACTCCAAGCCCAATAAAATCACCTTCACCAAAGTAAACGTCGATAACCAGCAAGCCATCGCCCAGAAATATGGCATCCGAGCGTACGCTCCCCGGGTCCACGGAAATCAAGAAACCAGACCTAGCTAACCCATCCCGCAGAATGCCCACCTTCCTCATCTTCCGCTCCGGCTCCGTAATCGAAACCATCAAGGGCGCCGACTCACACAAACTCACCTCCGCTGTTGAAAACGCCGTCAAGCTCGCCGGCGCTGCCGCCACGCCCCTCTACTCGACACCCGGCCGCACGCTCGGCGGCGCTCCGTCCGTCAGCCAACCGCTCGATATCCACACAGTCTTCGATGCGATCATAACGTTCTTCGGCTTGTACTTCACGTCGTTGTTTAGTCTGGATGCGTACGCCGCGGCGGAGAACTCGCCGTTTAATAAGAATCGACCCGATCAGTCGGCTGGAAGTGCCCCGACGTCAGCGGGCAAGACGGCAGCGGGAAAGACGGCGCCGCAGTCGGGGAGGAGGTTAGGTACGATTGCGGATATTGCGGGGGATAATTAGACACTGTGTGCTGGGGTTCGGCGTCAATGTTTTCTTTTTATATTGGATGAATGAAGATTTATGATCCTTCTCGAGTCAGCCTATTTATTGATTGAGGCGTGTCTAACAGTGTTAGAGTTCGCGCTGCTACTAATGCGAGATACCGAATGGAGCACCCGGAAAAGAGTGGTCTGTAAGGAGATCAAGTGCTTTACCTACCTACCTATCTATCCAACGATCTCCGCCATTGGGATCTCGCAGTACCTTAGGTAGTACTGTAGCTTTTATTATCACGTGAGAGATACGAACTTCCCGTCTGCCTGGGCCACTCTCTCTCCTAGGTTTTCACGAGTGAGTTTCAAGCACCATACATTGACCGATTAGAAACTCCACCATAGCACTTCATCTTCTCTATCGAGTCCTCATTAGGTAGAGCGTATCTAGCACACCAAGGCCTTGCAAACCTCTTCCGAGATCATTTTATTTTGTACGAACTTGGCCTGCCCGCACCAAGGACATCTACTTGCTTGTCTCTCCCACCGTCTAGCGCTGCGCATCCACCTATAAGCATATTATCCCGTACCGGAACCATCCCATCATCCTCGAATTTTTCGGATATCGAGCCCCATCCACGCTGAAAAAGAGTACTGTGAGTTTGTTTATATAAAAAAAAAAGGAAGACTGAGCCAACGATTACTCGCTCGCTAGAATAAGGAGATGGGGACTGAACAAGTAGTGGTAGTGATCAAACAATGCTCCGGCACTTTGATTGATGTCTCAGCCGAAAAAGGTCAGCAAGTCATTATATATATATACATATATATATATATCTCACGAGTATAATAAAATCCTCTCTCAAGGCAAACTCAAAAACATCTCCAACATCCGCGGGAAATTCGGGGTCCCCAATCCCGTCACCGGATCCCACCCCGGAACAGCGCTGAATCCGTCACTGTGACAGTTCGGATTACTCCCGTTCGTGATATCCGTCATTACCCAGGGATTACTGTACAGCGCCGGGTTGATAAAGCCGACTGGGGATTTGCCGAGCGCGAGGCGCTCTTCGTTGATCTTGGTTTTAGGGGTTAGTATTTTTGGGTTCTTGTTTTTTGTTTTTATTGGTCAACGGGGGAAAGGGGAGGAAGGGCAAGAGAAGAAAGGAGGCGCATACCAAAGTAATAATGGAAGCAAAAATCGGCGTCGCCGCGCTCGTCCCCCCATTAATCGTAAAATTCCCATTCAGAAAAACCGCGATATTATCCCCATTGGCCGAAACGTCCGGGATGCCTCTCCCGAGCCGGTTATACACGCCACCGTTAGCCCCGAAACTCGCATTCCCCTCGTAGTAGGGATACGGCGGGTTGTGCTCTGCGAAATAGGTCGAGAGGGCGGCCTGTTGGTAGGAGGGTGCGGCGTAGACGTTGCTGAATCCTCCGGCGGTGGAGTAGGCGCGGGCCCAGGGAGCGCCGGCGAGGTCGTTGGCGGCGCTTTCGGGCTCGAAGACGCTGTGTCCGGGATACACTTTCGTGGCGCCGACGGCGGTCACGTAGGGGCAGCTGCTGGAGGTTAGTGGGAGGACGTGGGGCGGGGAGGGGGGGAAACAAAGGCTTACTTGACGGGGAACTGGGGGTCGAAGATGGTCCCGTCGGGACCGAGACAGCCGCTGCTGGTGGCGTCGCCGGGGTAGCCACCGACGCCGAAATCACCGGAGGAGTATAAGAAGGTGTGGCCTTGGAGACCGAGCTTCAGGAACCTAGAATTGCCATATTGTCAGCTACGTTCTGGGGTGCCGTGGGATGTGGCAGAGAGAGCATACTCGTTGCATTGCCGTCTCTGGTAGTTTTCCGGAAGGTCAATCTCAGCTTCCCCGTAAGAGATCGAGATAACGTTCGTGGGCTTGTAGACACCGCACATCAGCTGTCCCTGGTAGCCTCCCGGGTGCGGGTCCGGGTAGACGGGGTCGAGTTTGGGATCATCGCCCGTCTCATTGTATGCCGAATACGTGCAATACGACTAGATCACAGAAACCGTCAGCCGGCTTTCCCACAAGCATATGATAAAAGTAAGGCCCGACTTACACCATCCAGCGCATCCAGGAACTCGTTCCCGAACCCTTCGACAGGGTACTCTACGGCATAGTCGTAGTCGTCCGTCTGATACAGCACGAGCGACTGCGGGAAGATGATCGGGTACGCGAGCTCCATGTCCAGAGTTGATTCGCCGCCACCGTCCGCGACGGCGACTGGCGCCTCGGCCCCGTCGATGAAGTTCGGGGTCGGGTGCGTGCCTTGCGGGATGTAAGGGGTGTATTTCTGGAAGAAGAGGTCGAGGTCTTCTTGGTCGTAGTAGTCACCCTCCTCGTAGACGCCCATCTCATTCCCTGGGGTCGCTTTCGTGTTAGTTGGGATATCGTATAGGGCCTTGACACATGCGGGGGTGATCAGGACATCGCAAGTCTCGAGCGAGTTGATGTCGTTGAAGGGGAAGCCAGTTGGCCATTTTGTAGAGGGCGCGCCGAGGGGTGTCACGCCCTTGGACTTTCCCGGGATAGAGCTACGCTTGGTACTGCGCTTCCTAGAGGTTGTGATCATCTTGACGCCAGGAGTAATGTAGTCAATGTGCTCTTGGATATGAGTTGGGAGGTGATATCTGGAGAGTCAGCAGAGCGTCACGTGTCGAAGGAAGGTGATGACTTACTCGTCGCAAGCTGCAGCGACTCTGTCACCGTCCAAGTGCTCGTACTCATGATACTCCGCATGGAGCAGCTGTTCAACCTCCTCAGCAAAGGCGTCAAATGCGAACCAAGCCTTGTTGTCCGAGTGGACAATCCGGCCTGGCGAGATACCTGATGCAACCAGCCAGTCTCGCACTGCATCCACCGTCTCTTCTGCAGGGGCAAACGCTTCAATCACCTGCTCAGAGGTCCAGTGTTTACCATAGTTCGGCGAGTCCGGGTGCGAGCTACAGAGATATGTATGTCAGTCAATGGATAGTGTATTTAAACATCAAAAGCGATTCCGAGAAGCGCAAAGCTGTCGTGACACGGATTGAGCAATCCAACTTACACATCCATGAGATAATCGTGACCCTTCTCGAGATTCCTCTGCTTCAGACCAATGCGCACCGGAAGCTTCGTCTTGGAAGGGATCCTAGAGCGTTTGATCCATTCCCGGTGAGGAACGCTGCGTCTCTCGTGCACGGCCAGATGTGCTCCATGACTAGGAACAGCAGCGCCTTGCACGGAGAGAGCCACGGATGCGGCGACGGCAGCAATGGTGAAGAAGCGCATCGTGACTGAGGGGAGACTTCTCAAAGCTCAACTCGCGTGCGTGCCAGAGCCAAGGGACCATGGGACGAGGGGAAAGCCATCCTCTTTAAGCCGTGCCCTCATAGTCACATTGCGTTGTAGCTCCCCAGAGTACCGGTAACTACTCCCTGCCAACAGTTGAAGTAATATGTAAGCTTGATGCTCCTTAGCATAGCGCGACGAATGACTTCCCAGATTGAGTCTAAATTGAAGGAAACATCCCGCACACCAGCGCTCTTCGAGTAACTCCGCAACACAGCGGTTCAAGACGGACCAATTGGAACGCTATCACAACCGTAGCCGGGTCCTGAACCCCGTTGATGTACCCCAGCTTCCTAAAGCGATACGATCGAATCAGACGGAGAGATAAGTGCTAAGCTTCTCCCGGGCCGCGAGTGGCACAGAAAGTGGGATTTCATCGCCAGGAACCCGCAATACGAAGGACCGGCTCTTTGCCAGAAAACAGGATAATGGCATAATCCAGGGGTAGGATGGTATTGAGTAGATGAGAGCTGAATTTCTTGAATCCGAGAATCCGCGATATGACACTGTCATATTGACAAGCATATAAAGAACTTTCTTTTGCCTGCAGGTCGAGCTAGCCGAAGCATGCAGGAGGCTTCTCCGTGGATCATGAACCATGGACCATGGACCATGGGTGAACTTGTGAAGTATCTTTTGGAGTACTCGGTACTCGGTGTTCTTGTCCTTGTTCAAGCCAAGATCGCACTACTGCGGATCAGTCCTAACAATAGCGATGGTGTTGCAAGGGCTGATACCGGAGTTGCCTTGTAGAAGTGTAGAGTGTCTCTGTAGCCATTCTTTTACACTAACCCCCTTGCCATGTCTCAACCATATGGCGCTATACAGGGACAGAACGCAGAACATATAGCATACGGAGTACCAATACCAGGTAAAAGAATGAGAATCCATAATTACCTTCCCGTATGGAGGTCGGTTATCTTATAGTCACGTGACAGAGGTCCACGTGAAAGTGCACGCGACACCGTACCTCGAACTTCAGATCTTCAACCTCAGCAATATCCAACATACCTACATCCTTCGTAACCTCACCTCCCTTTCCAGCCATGCTGGTCAGTGGTCTATTATCCTTCTCCTTTGTCCTGTGTGTCCCGTACGCGCCCCCATGCGTCTCAGCATAAGACCGCTCTTCCGTCGAGCACGCCGTCTTGGCTTGACTGCTCCCCTTTCACTCCTCCACCACTATCTCATCCAGCCCAGACCGCAACCAAAGCATATAAAGATTTCAGACGACGAGGAACAGCAATTAGATGACTACGTGCTGTCATCACCTAGAAACCCTCCAACGCCTCTTCGCCGCGTCATGAGGCTTCTCCTCCTCAACCTCCTGATCATCATCTTTCTGGCCCTCCTCATCGGCTACATTATCTACAAACCGCCAACTTTTGTCATTCGATTTCTGCAATGGAAATATCCAACTGTCTTGTTCCACGTTCCCCTCCCTCCATCACAGCGTGTCGTCGCCCTCACCCTCGACGACGCTCCGTCACGTGAGACGGACAAGATCCTGGATCTACTCAAGACCTACGGCGCAAAAGCCACCTTCTTTGTTATTGGGAGTCACGTCGCCGAGTACCCGGGGCTTCTACAGCGTATGCACGATGAAGGCCACGAGATCGGGAATCACATGTGGGCCGATGAGCCCACCATCAATATCCCGCTGGAGGAGTTGAGGCCGCAGATCGCAAGGGTAGAGAGCCTGTTGCCGCCAAATAAGGGTGGAGCCAAGTATTTCCGACCTGGCTCAGGGATCTTCAGCGCGAAAATGGTGGGCATCGTCAGGAGTGTCGGGTACAAGGTCGTGTTGGGGAGCATCTTTCCGTTTGATCCGCAGGTCCCTCATCCGAGGGTTAATGCGGCGCATGTTCTGAGTATGGTGAAGCCGGGTGGCATTATTATTCTGCACGAGAACAGACCTTGGTCAGTAGAGCAGTTGGAGATAGTTCTCAAAGGCTTGACTGCTGGAGGGTGGAAAGTAGAAACTGTTGGTGGGTTGCTGCAGGTTGCCAAGGAGCTTTGATTAAGACGTTAGCTAAGGCCCTGTGAGCTATACATTTGTTTTGCTAGCCAAGGAAGAGCTACCACAAGTGATGCGGACATTTTAGAACCCCGCTGAGCTGTCTGGTTCATGCATTCCCTAATCTTACTTTCTAGAGCCTGATACCCATTTGCATTTTCTGGGCCTGGATTCGCTCCTATTGTTCATTAAGATATTCAATCATTGTCTCCTCCTTGTGACTTATGGCTTGCGCTATTGTTGAGGATCCTGTATTCCTGTTTGTCCGTGATGCCCAAACGTGGACTTCGAAGTTCGACTATACCTCCTGTTGATTTATACCGGTGATATTTTGCGATGTTGCCTTTAATTGTAGGGTAGGAACCTCATATGTTGTACAGATATCTAAGTAGTATCTCTACTACTCTTATGCATTGCTGTCTCATACTTCTTGATAAAGCTTGAGTTTACTTTCACTACCTCAAATCAATGAGAAAGGGTCTCCTATTTAACAACCTGACTACACAACCTGACTACTAGTGGTCAATAAGGACGTCATTTCAGCAGTTATTCAAGCTTAAAAGTAAGGTTGTGAATCATTCAGTTGTTCCTATTTAGGGACTGTAATATCACGTCCCTGGATACATCACCTTCTCTATCCAGTCCAAAACCAGCCATCGATATTCATCAGTTACTTCCAACAAAGAATAGAGCATCAAGGATATCCTCTCAGACCTCATTACACACTCAAAACAACAACAAAATGCATCTCCTCTCCCTCCTCCCCGTCATTCTCCTCCTCCACACCATCCAAGCCAAGATCCCCACCCCAGCCTGCACCCCACACAGCGATCACGAGACCTGCCTCCTCTACTGGCTAACCAACACCGGCACCAATACGCACCTCTACAACCCCTCCTCCTTCGAAGCCTGGGCCCACGCCACCATCTACTCTCCCGACTGCACGCCCTGGGGCGCCACCACCGACGGACTCGGCACCGACGTCCGCGTGCTCGCCTGGGGTCTCAGCCTCACCCAACCGCTGATCCTGAACTCGGCCGCTGTCCCAGGCCTCGGCTACGATACCCCGGTGTTCTCGTATGATGGCCAGACGTGGGGATATGAGGATTGCGAGTGTGCGGTCGCGCAGCTGGATCTGGGTACGCATATCTGCAGATGTCCGTTTAAGTGCGAGGATAGCGCGGTGATTGGGTAGAGGATTGTGAGAGCTGGGGTTAGGGGGGTGATGGCTTGGTATCGAAGGGAGAGTCAGCCAGTAGGGCGGGTTTTGGTTCTAGTTCTCTGAGGGATAGGGGCGTTGGGTTTGAGTGCTCGATTTGCTGATGTGCTGGAGATGGCTTGCTGGTATGCAGGAATCGGGACTGGCTTGGGTAGGCTTTGGATTTTGGACAAGTCATGCGTGGATTTCAAACTTGCTTGGTGCTTTCGTGTTTCTTGGGGTTGACTGCTCAGCTGAGTGACTGACTGACTGACTGACCTGTGACGACAGCATTTCCGCAATACAACATTGACGGTCCCCCTTTTCTCCGAAGCTCCGCATCCAGCATCTCGCAGTCCCCGATGCGAATCATAATGGTTATCCCACCCTCCCATATTCAATCCATTATAATACATCCCCACCACCTCTTGGCGAGGGACTTTCCGGAACTTTGTTGAAGCTTGGGTATAGGATGGAAAAGAAGTAGGGTTTGGTAGAATGAAGTGAGCGGATCTTGACGATGGAAGGTTTGCAAAATAACAACTGCTCTTCTCTTTTATTATTATCGGACACATCAGATTTGGTTTCCAGTTGGAAGAAAAGGCCTGTTCACGTTTCAAAGAAACCCTTTCCCCAGCAAAAATCAGCTCTGTCATTTCCAACCAGACGTCTATGATGTGCTAGAAGAAATTCCTACTTAATAATAGGGCATCAATATGTTCCTTTTAGTGGCCAGCGCGAGGATCATCACCAACCCCAAAATCCATCTCCAAATGACTCTGAAATTCCCGGTTCTTGCCAATATATCTCTCGCCACTCATTACCCAGCGACGATATATCTGTTGGAGGGAGAAAGTCCTCCGAAAGGTAATCATTTGACGGGAACAAGCCTGGTAAGAGACTCGCGTCTCCTTGCGTATCCTGGGTCGCCGCTCCACCTAGGTCAGAAGATGCGTGTGCTGCTTCGGCGAGGATATCGAGGTCGGATTTCTCTTGGTTGCGCTCTGCTCCTAAGCTTGCTGAAGCCTGCTCTTCCCCGACTGTGGAGGCGTTTGTTTCTTTAGTGCCCTCCATGTGTGGTGACAGTTCTGGATTCCGGATCTCTTTGCCAAGACGAATCCCGTGTTGGATATGAGAACTCTCTTCGAAGATGCGAAGGATTGAGTCGGCATTGACCCAGTACTCGGCGAGCTCTCGCAAGGAAAGGAGAGTTGAATCGAAGCGGCGAAGGGCGTTAATAGCCAAGATAGGATTCGAGAATCGCAGCTCCACACTAACTTGAAGCATAGCCGTAAACAGGGCGTTGATGTCTGATATCCAGAGATATTTGATACGGTCTTTCGTTCGCAAATCCTCGAATATATTTGCGATTGTGATGGCTGACACACTGCAGATATCAGAATCATTTGGGCCGTAGTCTTGCGGTTGCCTATAGGACTTTGGGTGTGGCCGATGGAGAAGTATCAAGAAGTTGTTGTATGTTAAATGCAAAGAAGCAGACCATAATGTCATTTCTGACGAGGCCATTTGGAGGGGCTGTGGCAGCGTGAGGCACCAATTTGCTAGTGACTCGTCGGCATTCATGAGGGCTGCCATGCGATCTTCTTGGCTCACTCGAAGACCAAAGCGTTCTCGTAGGACCTTAGAAATAAGGATGCAGAGCTCAGTTCGCTTGATGACATAGTCGATCTGAACATTGGGCCCGCAGCCTTCAAAATCTGATGCTTTCAGAGCTTGGACGTCGCATTCATCTAGGTTTCTTTGCAGAAAAGTCAGTCTATATTCAAGAATCACATGAAGGCTGCAACCTACATAGCTTGGGGACGTCCATAAGAAAGGGAGACCGTCACGTCAAATTGAACCAATATCCACCAGATCCTCCGCCATGTGCGCATATCACGGTATACCAACTTACTAGATCCCCCATCTCGGTGCATTCCCAGCCCAGTAGCAGTCCTTGCTGCAATCCCAACCCAGAACCATGCGTTGGCCCCAATATCTTCAATACCATCAGAATGCCAAGTTAGCAAGAGCGCGGCCTGCACAACAATATCCCGGTTCTTCTCCAGTCGTGCATCGAAAAGCATCTTCGCCCTCCGGAAGAATGCAGCTTTAAGCTTATCTCGATCGGGCCGCTCACAAGACACGTGTGCTCCGACAAGAAGAATGGCTTGCAGGACTAGAAGCGAAGGGGGATCAGACGGATTTTGACTTCGATACTGTGCCATAAATACTTCCTCGTCCACAATTGGGCATCCAGGGTTCACATGTTTAAAGTAGGCTTCTACCAACTCATCAGCGAGGGATTGCTCTGGAAGCATAAATGCTTCCCTAGGCATTCTCTCTGGTTCATGATGGATGAACTGCCGTGCAATCTCATCAGTAGGGACATGGTGAATAGTCTCATCACCACCATCTCGTTGACGGACAAGGAAGTTGATGTTCGAGACGTCCTTCCCTACATAAGTAATTCTGACTCCTCTTTGAATGGAATGTCGTCGAATATCATTTTGATCCATGAATTCAACCAAATTTTGATGAGCAAGAGACTCATACTCGGTTGTAAGTGGCCTATCATTGGTCCTTATCCCTGGGAATACAGGAGGGCCCGGACGACTTCCGTCTGAGGAAGCAGCTTGGACTGAAGCAGTATGATCTGGCGATCGCCGGCGAATTGGAACAAAACCATTGGATGGGCGGACGAAAGAGCGCTTCTTCTTTTCATGTTTACGACAGTTTTGCCGTTTGAAGACTATACAATTGGAGCAGGGAAACCCTCTCTTATGAGCGTCACATTTGACCTTTCGGTCGTGGCAGTTGACGCACGCAGCACGAACTAAATCATGATATCAGCCACAAGTTCTACAGAAAGAGATTCGCCGTACTTGTCTTCTTCTCGATTCCATTGCTCTGATTAGGATCGGGCATACTGTTGAGAGATAAGATTCCAGGCACACTCCAGCGTTCTTGGGAACCAGAAGATCATGGCGGAGAATATATGATATATCCCACTCTTGGCTGTGCAGTCTGTACTGCCAGAAGGAATTATCCTACAGCGCCACAATCCTCGTACAACATTCAAGTAAACATGTGAGGGCAAGAATTATAGGATATCAATGAAATCAAAGTAATGGGTTACTTGTCGAGGAGTTGAAGAGTAATAAAATGGGAAGACGTTGGAAAGGGGGTCGCGCTAACTGATTGATGGGAACACCCCGTTCCCCTGATTTAAAAGAGTCCACTCGCTAGGAGCAAACCTCCCACAACAACAACAGAAATGTCGAGTGACAAACACATTAGATCCGAGTCTAAGTTTACTCGATCTTTCTTATTTTCTCTGAGTTTTCTATAATTATAACCAGACTTGGCATTCTGGAGACTGCTGCAGAGACGGTGATACGTATCTTCTGCCGGCGAGTTTGACCAATCATCGAGACAGTTCTCAGCGAATCGCCGAACCGTGCCGACTGCATCGCCGGAAGGATTCTCTCGGGCCGTGAGACATGTATAGGTATATATAAAGGATCTGGTTTTCAAACGTGCTTTTGATTTCTTTCATCTTCACTCTCAAATACTCCTCACTGTTAATTTCGTTCCTTGATCCAAAATGCCAAAAGCCAACTCACCCCCACTTTCCCCAGAGCCAGAGCTCGACTTGAGCACAAAGGGACAAGTCAAGGACCCCTCAGCCCTGAGCAGCGCAGTAGAAGCTGCCAAGGCACGATTCCTTGAGAGGAACCCGATATCTGGCAAGTTGTTCGAGGAAGCCTCTCAATATCTACCTGGCGGGAACACAAGGACGCTCCTCTACACAGCCCCTTACCCAATATGCATGAAGAAAGGAGAAGCATATAAAGTATATGATGAAGACGGACACGAGTAAACGAACCCCGCCTCGTTTTCTTAAAGCAGATACTGAGAGAGTTCCAGATATACCGATTTCGTAGGAGAGCTCACTGCGGGACTGTATGGGCATTCGCACCCAGTGATCCAGAAGTGCCTCATCGACACGATAACCAACGTAGGTCTGAACCTCGGATCGACTATCGCGCAGGAAGCCGCGCACGCGAAGCTGATGTGCTCGCGTTTCCACCTCGACAAGGTGCGCTTCTGCAACTCGGGGACGGAAGCCAATATGCATGCCCTGGCCGGGGCACGCTACTTCACTGGGAAGCGGAAGGTGGTCGTCTTCTCAGGCGGCTATCACGGGGCTGTCTTCGGTTTCTGGGATGGCGTCCAGGAGAATGGTGTCGATAAGCATGAGTGGGTGATTGGGAGGTATAACGATGTCGAAGGCGCGAAGAAGCTCATCGAGCAGGACGACATCGCTGCTGTCCTAGTAGAAGGTATGCAAGGTGCAGGCGGCTGCATTCCAGGGACGCGAGAGTTCCTGCATCAGGTTCAAGAGAGCGCCAAAAAGGTACTGTAGAAGCCATTTCCCCCGTCCCCTTAGAACACCGTTCTTACGATTTGCAGGTCGGCGCATGTTTCATCCTCGACGAAGTGATGACCTCCCGTCTCAGCCCCTCCGGTCTACAGGCCATCCTTGGCCTCTCCCCCGATCTGACCACCTTCGGGAAATGGCTAGGCGGCGGCCTCGCATTTGGTGCTTTCGGCGGCCGGGAAGACATCATGGCCGTCTACGACCCGCGCTCTCCCTCCTCGCTCGCGCATTCAGGGACCTTCAACAACAACACGCTCGCCATGCACGCCGGCTTCACGGGACTCTCGGAGATCTGGAAACCCGAAGTGGCCATCGAGTTCAACGAGCTGGGAGACTCGTTCCGCGCGGATCTGCAGGCCGTGGCCAGAGGGACCAAGATGAGCGTCACGGGGAGAGGGACGCTGGTCGGGATCCATTTCTCGCAGGAGGGGACGACGGAGATTCCGTGCAGGGAGGCGATTGTCGAGGATTGGGACCTCAAGGATTTGTTCTTTATGGAGATGATGGAAGATGGATTTTGGCTCACGAGACGAGGTAGCATTGCGCTAATTCTGGGGACGCCGAAGAGTGAGCTGGATAGATTCGTTAAGAGTGTCGGGCAATTCTTGGAGAGGCACCAGAACCTGGTGACATTGGCAAAGTGAGTTGTAGTCATCTGCTTCATACAGATGTTTCATGAACAGGTCCAGAATAATATACTTATTGCTAAAACAATGATGATGTTTGAAATTACAGCGAATTCCTTGCTCTACTTCCGGACCAGAGTGAGCCTGAGGGTAGCCAGTAAGAACTCCATCTCTTTAGCTCCTTGATCCCATCTCTCAAAAGGCTTTACCCAGTTAATGGTACTTTTCCTTCATTTCTTTGACGCAACCTTTCTAAGATGACCCAAGACCCCTTTGCCAAGAGTCCTCTGCCACCGGAAGACGTCCGCGAGAATTATGAGATCTGCCTGCCAGCACTCTTGGCCCCTTTAAGCTCTCTCTTCTAACCTCCGATCCCTCCCCACTCTAGAAATCTGTCAGAGAGACCCTAATTTTTATCGTCCCCCGAATCCTAAGTTGCCAATTCGGTCAAATCCCCTCAAAGGCCCATCGTACCCCTATTAATCTCGTCCTAGCTTTCGTGGCACCTTTTAACAAATGTGGCTGTTCCCATTCGTCTCCCACATACTGTAAAGCTATCCTGCAGCAATCCAAACGTGAAAATCTGGTAATTGACTGTCACGAAAAGCTGCAAATGTCCAAAACTTCTTCAATCAACGCGATGAGGAATGAAAAGATCGCATCGGCCATCAACAAGAGCCAAGTGTTATGCTCTGAAATCCTCTTAGGAGTTACCGAGAAAAGCAGCAAAGCTAGCATAGCTGCAGGCCAAGTATGTTACACCATCGCCAATTGAATCTCGCAGCTTCATCGATCGCGTCTGCGTTCAACATACCAACCTGAAGCTCCTCAAGTTGTCGCCAAATTGTCATCATTCGCACCACAGGCCACCCTGGAATATCCCAATACCGGCTCACCAGTCCCAATTCGCTTGCTCGCGTAGTCTGCGTCTTCAGGGTCGCCAACTGCGTTTGCGTCAAGCCCGAAAGCGGAAACTTATGTGGACCACCGAAAAGCGCCGTGATTGAGGTGCTCGCATAATAAGAGTTGGAAATATTGTAGGCAGAGGAGAGATTGTTTAATGGTGCATCGAAGAAGATGCTACGGTAGGTAGAATTTGTGGACGTGGAGTTGAGAACGGAGCTGAAGGGGGTGTTTCCGGTTCCAACAACTGTTATAGGACCGGGAATGATGGATGTGCCGTTCCAAACAGTGAGCCATCCCTTCTCGCGAAGGGGGGTAAGCTGTTCCTGCACAGCATCGAAAGTGGCGGTGCCTTCAGTTTTCATGTCTATCATCATCACCAAAGTTCGGGATGGGTCAACGTCCCATACCCCCTTGATTGATGTGCTATTATTGGTTCCATTATCGGAGTTCTGATTATTCAGAATGGAAGTGAGAGGGTCGAGATAAAGGGAACGTAGGGTGCGGTTCGTACGGATTGAAGAATTGCTGTGTGCGACATATAGTTCTCCATTGATCAAGTGAACATCGGCTTCCACGCCAGTGACCCCATCAGATAGGGCTTCAAATAATGGCACTTGTCGCCAATAATCGTTGTGTGAATGTATTGCCTTTGGGATAATATCTCGACTGAAGTCCGGATACCATGAAGGTGGGGCTGGCGTAGCCGTACCGGGCTCTACCCAGGAAGATACTATCTTGCTGAGACCGGTGGTTGGCGGCTTCAGTGGATGAAAGCGTGCAATAAGAGCCAACAAGAGGCAGTAATATATTCTACAGTTTCTTGGTCAGAAAGGTTAACAGAATGGGACAGAGCTTGGTGTACATCACTGCGATAGTTGCAATTCCAATGACCGCTGAAAGCAGATAAGTCGTTCTCCTTCCAGGGGCCGATCTGATCCATGGCTTAGATACTTCCTCACTCCCCAAAGAAGATTTTCGGTAAGAAGGTAATCTCCAGCGGGAGGTTGACTTTTCAGATTGAGAGAATTGGCCGAGCCCTTCCTCCATCACCACTTCTGATACTTCAACTTCAGGGCCTGTTTTCGCTTTCATATGTGCCATAGCTCGCTGGGCCCGGACTCTTCTCATCCACTCCATGTCTCGAGATGATACAACCCGACTCTAGTTATTGCAGTCGTCCATCAAGGCCTCAGCAGGTCAAAAAATGCTAATAAAGAGGTATTGCTTAAAGGAACGAAGTATAAATTTGTAACGAATGAGACTTTTGCAAAGAGGAGTTGAAGTTCTCACCTAGAGATATTGCAGACGCCGCAAGAAATATGTTATTTCTTACCTAAGGTTTCTGGCCTACCTGGCTATATATACATCTATAAATATTCTCATCGGCGTTGAACGCACCTGCCCTGTGAATGTGGCCGGGCCGGCCATTGCATGTTGCGGTGTTTGTTGATGGTGTTGGTAGTGTTGGCGATGTTGGCGATGTTGGACTGGGGGCGAGAGGATTTGGAGTGGGACATCCTGAAGGATCCCAAGACAGGGCTGTGCATTGGGCTTGATCGCCTCAGGTGCAAGGTGGAACCAAGAACGAAACGAGCGATCTTTTGGTGTTTCGGTTTTGATCTTCGAATCGGATTTGATTCGTACCTCTGAACTGAACAAGCTTTGCTCTAGCAAGGGGCTGAGCCCGATACAATCCAGGGAGCCGGTAGGAAAGATACAAGCTTTTTTTAGACCCATTCAAAGCATCCAGGCCGCGCCATTATTCCACCAACATACTAACATTTCGCCTCGAGGACCCTTGATTGTTGGGCTGTTATGTTGCAATCGTATCTAATTCCTTCTATGCGATTTCTCACCTGAGAAGGGGAATCACTCCGCTCTACTCTGACTTACTACGTGGGGAAGGACGCATAGCCTTCCGAGCATTCCATAATGGATGAGCGCCTTGTTTTCCCACTCCAGCCGTATCTAATATTCATCCACTCATGATCATTCAGCTGCAATTCCCAAGCTTGGGCGTAGTAACTCGTTGGGGGATAGAAGCATGACCTTTTCCGCCCACGGCCTCTTGAACAAACGACTATAATTTGTGCTGTTTGGCGATATATCTGATAATACGATTCGATAACTGCCACTAATATCCAACGACATATCTCGGGGAAGTACGTTCGGCGGTTAGGGTCCGTCCAACCGCTCTTCTTGCGACAGTCGGGAGGCAAGTCTCCTGCGTCTATTCAGAGCCCTGATTGTGTAGTGCCAGCGGACGATTCGACCTCTGAGGGGGGTGTCGAGGAAGGGGTCGTAGGAAAATCGTTCGAGATCGTCGAAGCCCGAGCTTGGCTCAGTGCGAAACTGGGTTAGAAGACGTGTTGCAGACCGTGTAGCTTTGATTTAGAGGACTCGCAGGTCAGCACAGATAGATACACAAATACAAATTAGATTCCGCGAATACTCATGCTTGTTTATCGTATTCTAACTGGCCGGATGGAGCGTCAATGTGGAAGCATCAACCTATACAGTGTCTCCTCTGCCATTGTAACTGCGAATTGAGGGGGCTGGCTCGAAATAGTGAAGGAAGCGCGACGCCTGGAATTCTTGTCACGGGTGCGTCGCATCTTCTGTGATTCAGGTAGCGGATGCTGTAAGTCAAGATGTTCTGTCCAAATCCATCCGGGCGTTCTCATCATGGCGATGTATCGTTGCTGTTGTCAAGGAGGTGGATGTAAAATGTATGCCTCAGGACAACTAGACCGACATCCTCGCTGCCCAGGGCTTCCTCACGTCCTCCTTGTCCACATATCTTTTCCAAATATCGAGCAAGGTAAGTAGGTAAGTTGTATCCTCATAAACCCAATTGTTTCCCTTTGTCTCTCTTTGCGTACCTGTATATGCATACAGCTCCAGCTCCATCTCCTCTCTCCTTTATTTCTCATCCATAATCCATCATCCATCCACAAAGCTGCTGCCTGATTTCCGTTGGACATGCTATACGTCAGCCTGAGGTCTCGATGCTTGCAAGTTGCAACTTCTTATGATACTTATATCTGTGTATTGTCTTCATCTTCTTTCGCTCCTTCATACCCTCAAACGTGTTTTGGTGCTGTCCGCGACACTTCGCACAAGAGAACGCACTGTTGGTGGTGATCGTGTAGACAAGGCGACCATGAATGACCTCCACCCGCCCCCTCCCTACTCTGTGGAGGACCCCAATCGATCAAATACTGCTTTGCATGCTTTAACCTCGCAACACATCTTGGCTTCTACTTCCCTTATCAGCTCCAATGGGCATACGTGTACCAGCGGAAGACCCCCGGTTGCAACAACTTCTCCAGAGCTCAATAGCATGGCCTCGCCGGGAACGCACAGATTTGAAAGTGGTGATAACTGCGATCTGGAGAAGGCCGGATTTATCTCTGCATTCCCATACTTTGAGCTACGTTCCCACAGCAATCCAAGGCCTGCGAATACGCTCTACCATCGCGCTGTCATCGGCCCCGAGACCCGTCCTGCCGATCTGCCATATCCCGAACCAAGTGGCAACTGGTTACAGAGGAGTGTGGATGTCTTAGATTGGAAGACGTTTCTGAACCATCTGTTCCCTGAGCACAGTATCGAAAATCATGCTTCTAGTAGCGAGAAAGTGCTGAAGAGTAGGGTCGGTCTATCTTTCCCTGGACGTAACCTTGAAAGCAATAGCTCACGATCCCAGGGGGTCACACCTCTGCTGGGGACCTATTCTACGGGAGAGCAGAGCAAGCTGATGGATCCTTACGGCGATAATGGAGAGACAGATAGATTACGCCAGTTGAGACTTAATGCTGTGGCTATGGAATGGAATACCGGCTTCTTTGAACCTCGCGGTCTCAAAGTAGTTATCGATCTCAACAGCTCCAGTTTCTCCACTAGATCCCCAAACTCTCCTAGCTCAACCGGAGCAAGGCAACGCTACACAAGTGACTATCCTCAAAGGTCACCCCTTCCTGCTCGACCTAAGGACACCTTGCTTCATCAAGCAGTCGCTAAAGGAAGCAAATCGAAAGTCAAGGAAGCTCTAGAAAAAGAACTAGGAGATCTCGAGACGCCAAATCTGAAAGGAGAGACGGCTCTCTATCGGGCAGTGGTCCAAGGCGATAAAGCGATTGTTCGGATTTTGTTGGACAAGGGAGCAAACCCAGCTGCACGGCCTCCTCAATGTAGTAGCCCCCTTTATATTACTGTGAGCCGTGACAGGAAATCTATCCTCGAGATGCTGCTGGCACGGAGTACTAGGGAAGAAATCGAGGAGACCACTCCTACGGGTGAAACCGCCCTGTATCTCGCGGTAAAAAAGCGGCACAAATCATGTGTGGAATTACTTCTTGTCCATGGGGCGAATCCGAACTCCTGCCCTGCGGGTCAAGAGAGTATGTTAAACTTGGCAGTTTTAGCCAGTGAGACATCGATTGTCAAATTGCTTCTAGGGCATGGAGCGAATGTTGAAGAGAGAAACAAAGACGGCGACACTCCTTTATGTTGCTCCGTCAAGAAAGGCGAAAGTAGAATGGTAGCGGCTCTACTGAAATATGGAGCAACAGTAGCAGCTGGAAATCTCAAGGGTGAAGCACCTTTATCTATCGCCGTTTCTCGCGGAGAGACGTCCATAGTTACGTTGTTGCTAGCCCACAAGGAAATCGATGTCGAGGTTGAGAACGCGAAAGGGGAGACCCCGCTTTATACAGCAGTCACAAGAGGCGAAGTTTCAATGACTGTACTGCTTCTCAGCAAGGGGGCGAGTCCTACACATAGCCCTCCACATGCAGAGACAATGTTAAATTTGGCGGTTTCGAGGGGGAATCCCTCACTCACCCGCCTACTCTTGAATCATGTTGTCGATGTGGACGTGCCGAACAAAGCTGGAGAGACCCCGTTATTCAAGGCTGTGTCCAACGGTGATACCTCCACCGCGGCGCTGCTGGTGGGGAAAGGAGCTTCCGTCAACATCATGAGCCCTTCCGGCGAGACGGCTCTATACAAAGCTATATATAGGGGCGACACATCGATAACCTCACTACTATTATGCAACGGCGCCAACCCTGAAATACCCAGTCCGAGTGGAGAAACTCCTCTCTATCGAGCTGTACACAAAGGTGATATCTCGATGGTGTCATTGCTTCTCTGCCATGGCGCCAGCCCAGACACTCCCGCTCCTAGCGGAGAAACACCACTCTATCGTGCGGTTTGCCGGAATGAAAGTTCGTTAGTGCTGCTGTTACTGGCGAAAGGTGCGAATCCAGATACCGTCGGTGGAAATGCAGAGACAGCCTTACAGTATGCGGCGAGTAAGGGGAACAAGACCATGATACAAATATTATCGAGCCACACTCGGCAGAAACCGAGCTGAAGCTTTGAAGCTCGCAAACTCTCGATGTGTGTGTGTATGATTATGAACTATTTGTTCATACGGTTGTTTGCTCGATTCTTCTGTATAGTTCTGAGCGGGAGTTTAATCGGAATGATTTTGGGAATGAATTTGACTGTCCTGCAGGAGCGGTCCGACGGATGATTCCAGTGCGGAAAGTTTTAGCAGAGAAAGAGGGAAGTAGGAATCTGTGATGTATTACATGTAGGCACACTCATTCAATTATTTTAGTAAACCTACCGCCCCCGAACAGTACTTGAAATAGAAACTTGAATATGCAATACGCCTCAGAAATAAATAATGGAAGTACCTCTTCCAATGTCCAATCCCATCGTCTTGGAGGTTCAGGAATGTCAAACTGACTGCGCATGAAGGTCTCGTTCTTTTATTGACTATCTGATTGCATCCTCCTAAGTTCTTGAACATAAGGTACTTTTTCGAATATACTAACTTCCCTCCCCCCCACTGCTTTCCAGTGTCTCTTGACTAAACTATAGGAAGTGGTACGAACTAAGATATATATAGCTGATTCAATACTTGAACCCTGATATTTTCCCCGACATTTATACTGATACTGAATACTGGCTCAAAACCCTGCTCAAAATTGACTTTCATGGATAATTTCTAAGAAGCGGTAGTTACCCCAGTTTTGTCATTGTACGAGGTCAGCTTTTCGCTGTCATACGCAGATATGAAACATCCCGTTCGTAAATAAGGCCCGAGATTGACCCACAGCTGATCGTTTCCGCCGCTTCCTTACCCCATAATTTGTCTTTTCTATATTCTTCAGTATTTTCTCTATCCAAAGACCGTACTGTGATGAGTATAACTGCTATTTTCCCTCTGTATTTACTGCATATGGAGATAATAAACCTAGGAAGCTACTTTTTGTTCACATGGCATGCAAGCTCAGTACTATGACGATACGAACCTACCTGGCAGGAACTTTGTGTGGTAGCACCGAGTACATGTGTTCCATATCCTCGCATTTTAGCTGGAGAAGATCGCTCGGTGTCGCCGCCACGAACGAAGTTTCGTCTGACAGGCATAACGAGCAGAATGATGCGTCCAATAATCGATGATGAGGTTACAACATCGAAGATCCTTTTTCTGAAAAGCAAGTCTGCATCATAATCTTAAAGGTGAGGAGGGCTGTTCATTTAAGCGGCTTTGTTCCCTCCTCCCCCGGATTCCAAGCTCTGCAGATATTGTTCGTTTCATGCACACTCGCTCTATTGCAAGAAGTCAATCAATGCACATTCGTTTTCGAAGAACCTAGCAGCTATGAAGTACCTCGGTGTCATCTTGGCCACTGGCATGGCTACTGCCGTCTCAGCTCAATCCCAATGTGCTACTGTAGCTTCCTCAGTTCCAGCCTGCGGTGTGAGTATTACTTTGCCATCCGTCTGAGGCCCGCTGACTCTATTCCCAAGGCATCTTGTATCACATCTGCGGGATCCGCCGTCGGTTGCGCTGCCACCGACTACGCCTGCCAATGCAGCTCGTCAGCTTCGAGCGCTATCATGTCCAGAGCGGAAGCCTGCGTCCTTTCTGCCTGCGGAATCATTACAGGTCTTCAGGTCCAGAGCTCTGCTAATGCCGTCTGCTCTTGCGTAGCGACTGCGGTCGTTGCGAGCAGAACATCAGACTCAACATCAGATTCAACATCGACTTCAGCCCCTCATTCCTCCTCGTCCACTCCGGAATCATCAACTGCTTTGCCTGCCTCTACTAAATCGTCCTCGTCTGCTTCAGTCACCTCAGCAGTATCCACGACTGCGTCGGCTACTACCGATTCGAAGCCATCTTCATCTGTCAACCCTGGAGGACCAGTGATCAACACCACTGCCCCCATCCCATTCACTGGCGGGCAGAACATGCTCCAGCCAGCAATGGGCGTGGGAATCGCGGTTCTGACCATCTTTGGGGGACTTATCGCCTTGTTGTGAGACTGCGGTGACGATTTAAAAGCAGAAAATCATGGGCCGTTGGACAATGGGGAATGATTCGCGATGTGGGTGGTAATTGAAGCACACTGGTGGATCTGTGGGGTCTTGCTCGCCCTGGGGACGTCTGGAATCTTCATTTGTGTTTAATGCATTGAACTAGGACCACTGGTCTCTTACTATCATTCTGAACGGCAACTCAACTCGAAGATTTAATTGAATGCAGAGCGGAGGAAGATGTGCTGTAAGTCTGTAATAGTCGTTCTCGATCAATGCGAAAAGCATGGTTGTAGGCATAAGCAGACTAACTCGCCGAAGCTTGAACTCTCAAGACCAGTCAAGTTCTCCTGCAAAGCTCAACTGTAGCTGCTCGCTGTAAAGCTGCTCGCTGTAAAGCTGCTCGAGAATCACCGTGGCTTTGACAGTGAAATTGAGAAGACCAAGTTATTGGGATCGTAGTCACGGGACATCCGTGTGCTTACCTAAGCCTTAGGTAACCTAAGGTACCTAGGTACATATGGAATGTGAACCGGCATATCTAATCTCACGTGATAGCGCGCGACGCGTTTTAATTGCAAACCGAAATATCTTGTTGATCGACGTCTACAAACGCCATGATTCTCTCACCTCTTTCCAACTCCCAGCCCTATTCAATTTCTAATTCATTAGGGGATTCAATGAAGTCACTCACAGATCTCCAGGTTGCTCATGGTTAGTATTGATTGCGGGCTCTATATCTCATCCGCTTCATGCGCCCACCCGTCGTGGATAAGTGCAAACTTCAGTGTTTCCACTACAACCTCTTCTCTTTGTCCTCATCCCGTCTTGACCTTCTCCTAGCTACTCAGTCAACTGTTTAACTTTACTATTCTTTCTCTCCAGTCTAGTTGAGTGAGTATTTAACTTCCCTTTTGTCCCCCACTTATATATCTTTATACAATCGACTTCTATCCTTCTATCCTTCTATATCAATTATCCGCTTCACTTTCAGAACATCTTGCTAACAGAAACATATTGAATAGCAGGTTCGCTAAAGAAGAGTACAAAAGACTATAAGAGGAGACTTCAAGCTTGTGAAAGAGTGTGACCTACTTCTGTTTCTTCCAACCTCTGCCAACCTACATCCTCATCCCACATGCCACATACCTTTTTACCTGCCGCATTCTTCATCCTATCGAATACCTCTACCACGCCAGCGCATAACGCATCATTTCCTGCGTACTCCTACCAATCGTTCGATCTTAGTTGGCCTTTTGTCAAGACCTTTGCAGCTGGGTCGCGCAGCATATAACGGTGTTTTCGCCTGTCTATCTTTCGCATTACTCAACTCTATAGACTAGTTAGCAAAGGCTCTTCCAGCTTTGATTGAAGGATACTGATACTTCTTTAGCTCACGATGCTGCCCATTGCAGTGCGGACCGATAGTGCAGCTTTGGACTGGCGTACTACTCATCGTGCGAGGGAGCATGCCCTTCAGCGACCTTCGTCACGGAGATCGGGGTTTCAGCCATCCGTTGTAGGCGGCAATGCGTTGCAACAATCCCCATTACCTATGATCAAGCAGGAATACGAATGGAGCAAGGTCCCCGAGCTCGTAATTAGACTGCGGAAGTTGCCTCCTACCACTACTACTTACGACATTTATCGGAATTTTAAGAAGTATGGCACGATCGCCTTCATTGAATTATTTGAAGGCCGAAGTGGTACTCGCGATGGTTCTGGCAAGATCAGATTTTCTCCGCCTCCGAAGCACCCCTTTTGGACACAACTAGGGCCCGGGAATCTTCACGAGCTCATAGCTGAAGATGGCCACTCTAAGCATTTCTGTGTCGTGGAATTTGACGACAGGAACAAAAAACGGCTTTTCAAAATACAGAGTCCAATCAACAAGAGCGTCTTTTACGATGAGAAGATGAGACTCATCCCTGCGTCCCTGCACTTTGGCCTTATGCTAGGGCCAGAATCCTTGATGACCATGGAATCGATAAATGGTTCACCTGGAGATGAGTTGTCTTTCGTTGTTGACTTACTCCGAAACAGAATCATTGCTACCTTCCTAGTTGACTTCAAGGATCCCAGAAGCAAAGGAGATAGGCAATACGTCAGCAGATCTAAGATCTCAGAATATGACAGAAAAAACAAATACATGTTCCAGATCCCTTTTTCTCAGTTAAAGACGATTTATCGCGTGGATCTCAGCGATTCTAAAATTGCACTGGTCATATCCTTGGACAGCCCACCCTCATTCTTCCGCAAGAGGGAGGACGAGAAATCATGCCATTCAAATGAGAATCTGTTGTGGTCAGAATTTGATACCTGGTACAGACAGACAGATGTCGTCTATGATCCTTATCGCCTCACGAATGCCACCGTGACACTCCATAAAGAACGTCCAGTGATCGATATAGGTACGTCTTCTATCTTCTTGAAATAAGTTCTCTCTCACAAACATAGGTCGGTGGACAACGTACAAGTTTGTTTTCGACACAAGACAAAATGATTCAAGTGGCTACTTGAGAATTAAACAGGCTCTGCAAGATTTTAATATCGAAATTGTTACCCTGAATAGCCTTCATGAGATTCCTGCGCGGCCAGCCGAACTTTGGTCTTGGATCGACGACCCTTCGACGCCGCAGCATGCAGCTGCAGATCTCCGGTACCTAGAGACAGGAGATGGCCCAATATTTTTGCCGTTTGAAGTGCGTTATCAGCTGGAAGTGTGTATTTCAAGGGATATATTGAACGAACACAACATCACCAAAGCGTTCGTGAAAACCTTGTCAGAAATGGCATCCAAGGATCCTGCAAAGGCACGAAATATCCTTGAGTACGTTGCTGAGCAAGAAAAGCGCATTCACAATCCGATGTCTATCTTCGAAGACAAGGAAGCCCTTGCATTTTCCCCCAAAACCAAGATTCCTCACTATTGTGCTTATGTGCGGAAGGCTACGATCACACCAACCACGATCTATTTCAGCTCTCCTACTGTCGAGACCACAAATAGAGTTCTTAGGCATTATGCTCGAGAGAATGAGGATGGTCGCTTCCTTCGTGTACAATTCACAGATGAGATGGCCGAGGTTCGTCAATCCCTTTCTCATTTTTCCGCACTAGCTAACAGTCGCAGGGCCGAATTAATTCTTGTGCTGATAAACAAAGAAATGATGAACTCTTTACGAGAGTCTACAGGACTCTCTACAATGGCATCCGCATTGGAGACCGTCATTATCAGTTCTTAGCATTTGGTAACTCGCAGTTCCGAGAAAACGGGGCTTACTTCTTCTGTCCTACCGAGTATTTGTCTTGCGATGATATACGTCAATGGATGGGCAACTTTTCCCATATCAGAGTTGTCGCCAAATATGCTGCCCGGCTAGGTCAATGCTTCTCAACGACTCGAGCTATCCATGGACTGTCGGCGCCAGACATTGTGAAGATTCCAGACATTGAGAGAAATGGATACTGCTTCACAGACGGGGTTGGCAAGATTTCCTCCTTCCTCGCACAGATGATCACGGCTGAGCTTGGACTGCGTGTCAATACCGCCCCTTCCGCTTTTCAGTTCCGCCTTGGTGGATGCAAAGGCATTCTTGTCGTATCCCCTGATGCTAAGGATAAGGAAGTCCACATTCGAAAATCTCAACAGAAGTTCGTTGCAACATACAATGGCTTAGAAATTATTAGGTGGTCTCGCTTCTCTTGTGCGACACTCAATCGTCAGACAATTACCATATTGTCTTCCCTTGGCGTCCCTGACAGTGTCTTTATGAAGATGATGGTAGAGCAGCTTTCGAACTACCAGTCTGCCATGAGCGACCACGCTCTTGCACAAAGCCTATTATCCAAATATGTCGATGACAATCATATGACGATCAATATTGCGAGCATGATCAATAATGGATTTATGACACAGCGAGAGCCGTTCGTCCTATCTCTTCTTCATCTTTGGAGATCCTGGTCGATCAAGCTCCTTAAGGAGAAGGCCAAAATCATCGTTGAGAATGGAGCTTTTGTCTTGGGATGCGTCGACGAGACGGCGACCCTTAGAGGACATTCAAAGTCAACCGTTGCCCGTGGGGAGACTTATACTCAAGAATCCTTGCCACAGATTTTCATTCAAGTGCCATCTAAGGACGATCCAAACCACTACAACGTCATAGAGGGTATCTGCCTCGTTGGTCGAAATCCTTCGCTTCACCCTGGTGACCTACGAGTCGTTCAGGCCGTCAACGTCCCTGCTTTACACCATCTCCGTGATGTTGTTGTTTTCCCACAGACTGGCGATAGAGACGTGCCGAGTATGTGCTCGGGTGGCGATTTGGATGGAGATGATTACTTTGTTATCTGGGATAAGGAACTACAGCCCCCGGAGTGGAACTGTGACCCCATGAACTACTCGGCTCCTACTCCGAAAATGCAGAGCCAGCCGGTCAAGGTTACCGACTTGATGAAGTTCTTTGTCCGGTTCATGAAGAACGATGCTCTGCCCACTATTGCCCATGCCCATCTAGCTCAAGCGGACTACCTGACTAATAGTGTGAAGGATCCGAAATGTAAGATCTATCTTAACAGTAAACGATGAATTAGCTGACATATTCTAGGTCTTGAGCTAGCAGCTCTACATTCCAAGGCCGTTGATTACGTCAAGACCGGACAACCAGCAGAGATGCCAAAGCGGCTCAGACCTCGTAAGTGGCCTCACTTTATGGAGAAACGCTATAAGCCCAAAGACGCTACCTATCATTCCGAAAGCGTTCTGGGTCAACTCTACGACAGAGTCGAAACTGTAGACTTTGTTCCACAGTACGAAGAGCCTTTCGACAAGCGGATCTTGCGAGCGTACAAGTTGGACAATTCTCTTTTGAAATCTGCTCGTCAAATCAAATCGCAGTATGACACGGCCATGCGAAGAATTATGGCTCAGCAGGAGATCAAGACCGAATTCGAAGTCTGGTCAACCTTCGTACTCTCACGGCCACGAGTTGGTAGCGACTACAAAGTCCAGGAGGAAATGGCTAGAATCTCTGACGATCTGAAAAATCGATTCCGAGAAGTGTGCATCGACAGAGCTGGCGGCAAAGATTTCTCCGTGCTTGGACCCTTTGTTGCTGCTATGTATCGTGTCACAAAGGAAGAACTGGATATTGCACTTGCCGAATGCCGCACGACAAAGATAGTCGGAGGCCGTGAAGTTCCAAAACGCAAGATGGAGCCAAAATACATGCCGCTGATTTCTTTTCCATGGCTGTTTGAGAAGGATCTCGCTCGCATTGCCACTGGTATCGAGACAAGCGATGAATTGGACGTTCCAGGACTTCAACCACTGGTTCTTAAGGACAACACTCGACCCCGAAAGCGCGAGGCTAGCGGCCAAGCTGACTTTAACGATTTCATCCAGCAAGAAGATGGTTCTATAATCCATCGAGGAGAAGTTCTAGAACTATTTCGCCCAGACGTTGATTCGGAGGATGCTTCCGGTGGGAGTGACTTGGATGAAATGCGCAGCGAACCTTCAATGGGCATGGGTGATTCGGGCGAGGTTGTCCTAGCTCCTAGCTTTCAGCCACAAGCTGTCCCGGATCACCTCCTGAGTGGAACAGGAGTAGAAGATGTTGTCCCTCGGGTCAAATTAGATGGCCTTGTTGACCCGCGTGAGAATGCTCGGCTTGCTCATGAGTCAAGTATGACTAGCAACCCACCAATTCTGCAAAAACCGTCTCGTAGAGCATCTCCAATTGAGGACAAAGCCACAGCATCGGCAACGGCTGACGCGGCGGGCAATTCAATTGCTATCTCAGACGCGTTCCGAAACACAGACCATTCCGAGAACAACGGGTCTGAGCAGGAAGAAGAGATCGAAGAGGAAGTGGTGGACTTAGACGTACAGGAGACCGCGCTTGAGAAGCTTGCTCGAATGATGGCTTCTTAATCCACCACGCGGGGGTCCTGTCACTGCAAGGGAGGGCTTTTAGACTTTTCTTTTTCTTTGCATTATTCCGGAGTTACTAGTTGGGCATCGGGGGGTATGAACAAAAAAACTTTGGCTCGCATTGACTGGCATGGATCACATGGATGATTATTTCTAGATACCCAAAAGCGTTATTCACATAGATGATAGCACTGGATGGTCCCACAATTCGACAAATGCTCTTGCTTCCCACGTTCCTCGCAGTATGATGATAGTAGCCGCCTCTGGCAGGACTCCGCAAGATATCCAGTGACCTCACGAGCAGCAACTCCTAAGGATATTTTGAGAACTGTCATGAAAAAAGAGAAGGGGGGGCTGTTATTTACCAGATGACCTGATTAGCTTGCTCCATTGCTTGTACACACTTCAGAACATGTTAGGTATATATAAGCTATCTACTTATGGGCTGGCTGTACCTCTATAGGTAAAGGAGGGTCCTGGCTTTATTCAAGTCCTATTGAAAGGTGTAGGTAGGGATGTACAATACGCACATTACTTCTCATCACACCTTGATATTACGGAGTAGCAGGATAAAAACCATGCCGATACAGATACAGAAACGAGGATAGTCGGCTCAATCAGGTTATTAAAGAGGTGAAAGGTTTTTGTATCCATCTTGATACGAGGCTTGACATAAACCTCCCAGAAGCCATACATTTCACCAAGGTAGCATGTATCTCAATCGCAACCTCCTTGAAACTGCGGGATTACTTTGTAGGCATTTTAGCTTTCGATGGAAGACTACCTAGGACTCAGCTACTGTAGGTAAATCCATTATTCGCCGCGCTCCTGGCGCTGAGTGGAGATGGTGAACGTTTTCGTTCTCGAGATGCGCTCGTGGATATTCGAGCGACCATGACATGATGCACAGCAACGAAGCATAAGCATCGGGGCGCTTGAAATATCCCCAATCGCCCGCTTCTTCACATCTGTCATTTCCCCTCCTACTCTGAGGAATTCTTCAATCCGTTCCAAGTAAAAGGATGGACCAGCAACACCGCTCCCATTACTTCTTCTCCTCTGTATCCTCAGCCTGCTTGGCCGTTTTGATCTCCTTCCCATCCTTATCGAACTTCCGGCCTGTCTTCTCTAGGATATCCACGAAAAACTTCTCGATCTCTTTCTCCTCCTCCTCATTCACCTGTGCTCCGTCCCCATTACCCATCTTCGACCGCACGTTCCGGCGCATGTCGTCGAGGCTCGAGATATCAAAGGCGTAGAGCACGCCCCCGGTCAGCATCATGGCGTAGCTCAGCACGTTCACCGTCGCTAGGTTCAGAGCCTCCAGCGCTTCCATGTAGCCATTGGTGATCTTGTTGGGCTGGTTGCTCTGCTGGTAGAATTTGGGGACCGTGGCGCGGTAGCGGCGGAGGAGCGCTCGCCGGGTGACGATGGTGGAGAGGGCGACGAAGCCGGCGCCGGCGAAGAAGAGACCTAGTTGTCGCCGTGCGCGTTGCGAGAAGAAGGAGGAGAAGCGCGGCTCGTCGCTGGTGGCCGTGGCGGGGGATCGTTCCATAGGAGCCATTATGCCTCGTTGCAGGAAGGCCATCGAGCTTGGAGGGATGCAAAATGTGAGTATGAGACCTTGGCCCGCCTCTGCCTGGTTCTTGTTTTGACAGTCGAGGAGTTCCCTGGAGATGCCCCTCGTGGTGTTGTTAGAAAGGGTTACGAAGATCACCCATAGAACCTCTTCCCTTTCTACAGCGTCGAGGCAGCGATATACACGTAAATATTTCACAGCTATTCGGTTCCGGCTTAGTTGATTATTTGCCTCAATTCTGAGGCATCAATATGCCAATCTTGCGGGGGAGAAGCGCACAAGGGATCTCCTGCACATCAATCATGACATAAAAGAAAAGGAGTGTAAGGTACCTCAAGAAAAGCATCGCCCTATAGACGAGCAAAAAGGGAATGAATACCAAAAAGAAAAAATTGAAGAAGAGGAATACATCCCACTCCAAGTGGGACTCGAACCCACAGCCTCAAGATTAGAAGTCTTGCGCGCTACCATTGCGCCATTGGAGCAACTGATTTGCCGAAAAATCGCTATCTTACCACATAGCAGCACAACACTAATCTCGGACACAACCACCGTTCCACCATCTCGAGCAGACAAAAACCACACAGGGGATTGTGGAATAGCAAGTCGACCAAAGTATGATGATTCTTCTCTAAATCAGAAATGATGATTTAGTCATAATATCCGTATCTCTCAAGGCAGCTTTCGCTTTTAACGTAAGGTAATGCGTCTGACACACCAAGGTCCTTACCGTAGTTCTGGAATCAGTGGATGCTTTCTGCTTTTGATAGGGTTGGCTTTTACACATCGGTTTTTTGAAGCGATGTGTGTGTATATCTTTTGTATGTGCACAATGGCTTTGTAGACACTACCATTTGCTGTGCAGGCATGTATCTCAAGTCTTGTTTTCGTTTGCAGAGTTGAGGGGAAAGGGGGGGGGGGGGGGTGGTTGAAATCAGGGGAATAATCGCCATTCAGACTTGTTACTAACTGAAATTGAAGGGCGATCAGATTGCTGTAATCATCATGACCAAGTTGAATGGCAGTAAATGGGAGTTAACCTTAGTATATGCGTATTTGGCCTTGTAATAATAACCTCTCCACCCTCTTCCAAGCTAGATAACTCGATTAGTGTTTTGTCTACTGCCCCAATAGTTCAGCGGTTAGAAAGTTGCAACAAGCAGCAGCAGGGCGAATCATAGGTAAGCCATCACGCGGAGTATCCATTGCTGAATATTGTGAGGGAAAAAAATCCTTGATTTCGTTACAGAGACTATATGCCACACGGATTTATCCACTCGAGAGGATCACCCATCAGACCGAACGCTGTCCCATCTCATGAATCTCATCATCGTCACCATTGAGGAAAAAGTAATGACAAAGAGAACTAGAAAGGCCTAGTGGGCATGTAATATGATAACCCCCAAACCCGGCCGGTACGCGCACCTATGCCCACGAAACGCCCCCCCCCATACGCACGATGGAAAAACAAAAGGAAAAGTACATGCTTGGTCTGTTTGACCCTGTGTATGCCTTTTAACAAAAAGGGATATATGATGAGGCCAGCGCCTTAAGGTATTCACCGGTCGATTTTAGGTGATTGCCATCCATTCAAATAAGCCATGAGTCCCATCCCAATAAGAACAACTCCTAACATTGAAGCATATGGTGTCGTGTGATAAAGTATTGGATCGTGTCCGCCGGGAGGTCGTGAGAGAGTTCCTGAGGCTATCCTCCCTGGCTCAACCTCCTTTGCAGAACTAATATTTCCATTTATAAAAGCAGCTTTCTGTAGCGATTGACTTAATGTGTCGGTAAAACTCCTGGGGCTGCTGGATGGGTCTTTGGCCAGACCATCAGCGGGCGACCGCCCTCGTTCTGTAGAAGATGATCCTCTAGCCGACTCCTCTAACCTAATCTTCTCCACCATTTCGGCTAGGGTCTTTCGATCTGTATCTCTCTCGGCCTCCGCTATCTCTGCGCGTTTCTTGAACGACTCCATGTTCTCCCTCAACTGCTGCATTTCAACCAACATCGTCTCCAGGCGCTTCTCGAGTAGCGAGGTAGAATCAGTGATGGGTTTTGTGTCAACAACTTCGTTCTCCGGTGAACTCTCCTGAACCGCTTCGTCCTTCTCTAGAGATTTGGAATCGGGCGATTCAGCCTCTGTTTCTTGATACTCCTGGGCGGCTGGGTTCGTCTCAGTGCTCTCAAGAGGTGACTGAAGAGCTTCTTCAGAGACCGGTGCTTCAGAACTGCCGACAGAATTGCCGTTCACCTTTGCCTCAGAGGATTGCTGCTCCAGCCGTTTCGCTAATTCCTCAGCTAATTCACGTGCCTGTCTTTCCTTTTGAAGCATCTCCTCCAGGTTTCGCATTCGAGCACTCTGTGAGTCAAGCTCTTTCTTTGCAGATGCAAGTGCCTCTACTAGAGACATGATCTGACTTGATGATTCTTGGCGGGTGGGCGAGCCGCTTAGTATAGCCGGAGGACGCTCGGTATTCGTGCGTTTAAGGGACGGGACCGGGGAAGAAGGGTCAAAAAAATGGGGGCGGCCAACGTCGGGTTTCTCTGGCAGAGGTTGTTGAGGCGGGGGCGCTGGAGGATCAGAAAATCGGGTCTTGGAGGAGTCTCCTCGTAAAGCCAGAGATCCACCATTGACTTGAGGAGCCTTGGTTATCTCGGCGGCGGGTACTCGCTCAACTTCCTTGACACTCTCCTTTGATAATAGTGCGCCAACGAAATGATCCGCCCTTCCAAGATCATTTGTCTGTAATCTTGCTGCCCTCATTTCATGCTGGTAAGGATGTCAGCTTTACTTCTGGTAGAGTATTCTCAAAGAAACTTACCGTGAGCCTTTTGACGATTTGCTCGGTTGTGACTGGCGTTAACCAGAAGTTCATCGGCCGTTGTTGTCCCATAATACCACTCATTTGACCGCCAGCTACACTGGCCGGTGGACCCAAACGGCCGTTACTCACCACTGACCCTTGACTGCCTGACCTGCCTCTCATTGCCCCCTGAGATGGCACCATCATCGCTCCATTTGCCGGATCCAGATCACCAAAATTCATGTCCAGAACATTATTCGTTGCCCCAAGGTAGCCCGCATGCTCAACCTTAGCCTCCACTTTGTGATGCACAACTGTCTTCTGATCCTCGCTAACGATGTCAATTCCGAGTTCAAGATGATCTTGACTTTGTAACTCGTGTGGTTCGGAATCTCGATTCTCCGGTGACAGCCGAGTCCCGTTCACAAACGTCCCGTTGGAAGATTTCACGTCGCGGATCCAGATTTTACCATTCCGGTCGGCCCAGATCTCTGCATGCTGCCTTGACAATACCTTCGAGTCGAAGAACCCATTAGAAGGTGTAGGTACAGTCTTGGCGTTGGTCTGCCGTCCAATCCTTAGGCTGTCAGGATAGAATGGGACAGATATTGTTTTCCGCTCGAAAGTTCCATTCATAGACAGCAGATAGAGAACTGGGTTACTATCCCCTACTACTGGTGCACCAGTTCTGCTCCCATTTGATTGCTGTGAAGGGTTCTGCAGGATATGCTGCGACTGAATAGCGGACGAGGGTTGGTGGACGGAGGTCATCGATGACGCAGCAGGAGTGCCATTTGTTGTCAATATCGATTGCGGCCTTGCTGTAGATATACCAGATATTGCATCTGACTTGCTTGTTGGCCAGGGTCCTGCTCTTTGCGTCTTCTTTCGGGCAGCAGCTGTTCCCGTCCCCCAACTAAGGTCCCCTGCTGCTGCCGACGTCAGAGTGCCATTTACTTGTTGCGAGGTTGCAGGTATGGTAGTCGTGGATGCGGTGGAGGAGGCCGAAGAGATCGAAGAGGAGGAGTTGGCGCGTTGAGCGCTCTTGCGCGGCATAAACATTCGGGCGACTTCGTCGGCGTTCATGGCATTAAGTCCTCCTTGGCCAACACTAGAACCCCATGCTGACGGGTTACTCTGTTGGAAACTCGGTGGACTCGCGACAGCCGTCATCTGTGAGGTTGGATATGGGTGTTGCTATGTTGTATGAGGGTATCGAACAGCGACGTTGGCGAATGAATTTTGGAAATGGTGTACGTCGTGATTCTCCCCCTAATCCTTCGACTGTTATGACAACACGACAATACGCCCCTGGCGCTTCGCGACGACCCTCGTCCTGTATGGACTGCGACTTGCAAGAAATCGTTCCCGTTACTTATGATGGAGAGGGCGGTCGCTACACCGTGTTGTCCTGCTTTGTTAAAAGCTTGTCAGCTGTTATGTTATCCTCAATTGTTTGGCGCCACGACGTGAGAGCCGGATGGTGGCGCAGCACCGTTGAATCCTCTGTGAACTGGCCGTGGGAGTGAAAATACCATCAAGAAGACTTACATGCGAAAGACACTGGATGTGAAAAGGAATTGTCCGTGGTGAACGGGCAGACGGGATGTCTGTCGTTTCGACTTTGGAGCTGCTAAGCTGGAAAGTTTGGAGATCCGTATAGATCATTTGAGGCGGTCGCGAAGAGCCTATCAGAGCAAGCGACAGCGACAGGAGCACGCGCGCACCTTCACGTGCATTTACCATTCACTTTGCGGCCAATTTCAGCAAATTAGACCGATACAAATATAGGGAGGATGAAGATCTAAATACAAAGGATTTAATGCTACAGTGATCCACGGATTTCTCCTTCTATCTTTGTCGCCCTTTGATATGTAATCACGTGATAACATCAACATGGAAAAAGTGGCCCGTGCATACATCAGGTAGAGTTGACGGAGAAAGCCGTCGAGAATTTGAGGAAGCTCCGAGAACCAGCAGTCTCGACATCCATCCACAGACAACAAATCTGCTCTCAAGATGCCCGTACCGGTGGGACCAAACATGGGGCAACCCTCTACCTTTGACAAGAGTAAGCTCAGTTGCCGTCAGCGGAATAATGCTGCAAAATATACTGACCAAACTACCAGTGAAGATGGGCGCGATGATGGGAGGAAGTAAGCCGGCAAGCTCCACCTGTATTGGCCTCAATGATGCTAATATCTATGTCAAGCTGTTGGAGTGATCATTGGGTTTATCTTTGGTATGCTGACACTTCATTGGCTGGCAGTCTTGGCCTTCTGACATTCCAAAGGTTCAGTCAACATCATGAGATACGGCGCGGGGCCTAATGGGGTGATGAGAAGCCTTGGGCAATATATGCTTGGTTCTGGAGCAACTTTCGGGTAAGATATTGTTTCTTTGTAGCAATGGTCAGGTCTCGACTGATAGACCCTCTGCAGGTTCTTCATGTCAATAGGAAGCACCATCCGGTCGGACACGATATCCCAAGAAGCAGTGGAAGCCTTCGCTCGCGCACGACGACGGCCTATAATTATGCCACGCCAACCATACCAGCCATCTCCGAGCACTGAGCGCAAGGCTTAGAGTACCGAAATGCCATAATTAGGGATAATGGGTAAGGATGAAATGAAATAACTGGCCTGATTTGAACAATGTTATTCATTCAGCACAGCACAACTCACGGTGATAATTCTCTGGCAATGAGACTGTATGTTATGGGCAGGACACGTTGGGCGGCATTTTCTCTCTGAGCTTCGAGAAGGGCAATTCCGAGAAGTTCGACATTGTATCAACACAACTCAAGAATTCAAAAGTCAAAACGTATACGCAGAAGTATTCCAGTTGGACTGCCCGGCGGTGCTTTAACAGTGCTTTCACCCCTCCGCCGCGGAGGGATTATTCTGACAATGCTCATATCTAACCCAAATATTTTCATTTATTCTGCAGGGTGCTCCGTTCCTGGGGAACTGCTGTAGTGGCGACCATGAACCTGGAGCCCGGTCATTAGCCTGGCATCAGTCAGCCCAGATATGTTCTAACCTAATGATTCAGAAGTTTGTCGACCTTTCATCTCGTTTTCCGAACACCGAAACCCTGTTGCGAGTTCTGTTGGTGCCCAGCCTCCGAGCGTCTTTCTCACCGCAATAGTCTCACACAGAAGCTTCTGTTGGACGTTCCATGCAAGATCCAAGGCTTTGAGTTGAAGTTTCCTTCATGCTGGCCTCGTGGTGCTGTCATAAAACTAATATCTTCAAACACTGGTCCTGCAGAATATTTCTCGTTTGCTAGCTCTGTCAAGCTTCTGAACTCACTCGAGTAAAGTCGGGCGTAGAATACAGTTGAACAGAATTGCAAGGCAGTAGAGTCTAGGGCATTTATCTGAGAATAATACTCTGGCGATTCCCAGGCTTCGACTCTGATCTCCCGTCCTGAAGTTCAAAGGCCAATGTGCCTGTGTGTAGGCTGCAGTCAGACCTGCCACCGCTGCAAGCGGTCAACAGATCTCTTAGTCCAGCTCGCTGCGTTCTAGACTTCGCTATTCATCCTTTGTTTCCGCCGTTAATCCCGCACTATGTTAATCCTTGTTGAAGCGAGAAGTGCTGCAGCAAGAAAATACCGTTCCCTTGTAGCCGGGTTGCGTGGTCGTCGCATTGCCAGCTGCAATCCCAGCAGGGTGTGCATGCAGGTCATCAATAACTCGATGCACTTAACATGCATAACAGGTCAAAGAGTACCCGAGACCTCCAAAATTGGCGGGCCAACCTCACCACGAGAGTTATTATCGCAAGACAAGCCACATGAGGGACTACAGCCGCTCGCAGTCGTCGAACCCTAGCTCCAGCGCACCATGTCGCATCGCGCACTCCGCATCTTTGGGTACGATTATTGTAGCTACCCTACATCACCCAGCCTCGTGGAGGCCACACGAGCTTTTCTTCACGATGGAATGATTGGTCGCCAGAGGCGCAGCTCCCAGCAACGAAGTTTTCATGAGAATCAAGAAAGGCAGCTCACGCTTCCGCGATACGCCGACGGACGTCACACGATAGCACCGAGTCATTCGCAAGGCTTACGGACCAGCTGGTTGGGGTTGCTCAGCTGTCCAGCCTCGATTTTTCAGTAGCAACTTTGATATGACATCTCTCGGCAGGGACTGCTTGATGCGCGAGAAGGGACGAACTAAACGCCCCTTAGGATGATATCAGGAAGAAAAGAAGCTTTTCTTTTTTCTTTTTTCTTTATGCAGGTCCTGAAGCGGGAGATTGTGCCACTGCAGCTTCATCGTGGGCGCGGGTTAGAGGCACAGAACGGAAAGCCCGAGGCGAGTGCCAGAGCATCCCCATCAGCAAGGCGATGATGGACTCTAGGATAACGAGCAGAGTTGGCTTCGTTAGGTGCATTTGACAGGCGCAGAAGTAAGAAATCGAAACCAAGAATCAGATAAGGTACCGTTCAGAAGCATGGATTTGTGAAGATAAATGAAAAGTCATCTCTCCCCAAGCCCTCAACTATTTGCAGATTTCAACTGACAGAAGTACAGAAACACGAATGGCTGAAAATAGGAACTCACCTGACTGACACCCAGGCCTATGCCCATAATACGATTCCTCCGTCCCGCTTCCAGCAGCCTGGGCGGGGTAACGGATTGCTACTTTAGCAACACCATGCTATACATGTGGTGGGAGTACAGAGCGTAGGGACGAGGTCCTATATAAGATACGAGGTACGGAGGACTGCCCAATTCTGGCAAACTGTCTGATTCTCCGGATAGTTCAGTCGCCGACTCGCCGTCGAGACAAGCCGACATGCCGACGCGCCGGGTCGCCGACGTAGATAGAGGTCGACGAGTGGGATGTCGAGTGTATGTAGGTGCCTCGCAGATCCCGTACCCTGAGGAAATGACGCGCGTTGCGGGATTGAGTATGTTGCTCACTGTTGAGGCCTCGTCAATGATAGAACAATGCGTGTATGGCTTTTTTTTTTCTTTTTTCTTTTTTTTTTTTTCTTTCTTTTGTTGTTATCCATTTATTCCCTTTATTCATTCTTTTTGTCCCCTTATCTCTCCCTATGATTCGGTTAGGGTAATCTTCCCGAATCCTCTTGCGGTCTCCCTTGGAGACGTCCGCAATGCTACAGGATGCGGTGTAAATTTCGACCGGGACCTTGCTGATCGTGACCACCACAGCGATGCTTGGGACTTGGAAGGCACGGATTTCTGCCACACGGAGGGACTGGTTGGGAAAAATAGCGGGAGAGATGCATGTACGAATATGTAACGCGACGCGTACCACACATTCTCCCGATCCGTCGAATTCGACCAATAATTCGCCAATCGGTGAAGGATGAGGCGCTCGAAATTTTCCGAACGATAAAAAATCAAAGTATAATGTTCATGGACCGCTTGTTGCGTGGACGGGACTCATCACATACACCTTGCCTCATCTGGAAAGCAATATCGACGATGGCCCAGGGTCCACGATCCGCCTGGCGGACGTCCGATGCTGCAGCACGCGCGTTCGAATAAGCAATACTTGAACAGTGATGAACTCCGTCCGAACTGGGCGGGTTTGCAGGTTAGAAGGCAGTTTGAAAATGGTCAAGGGCATAAACCTGGATAATGGATCGAGCCCTGACTTCCTGGGGAAAGGGTCAGGGAGGCAGGGAGCCCAGGAGTTCATTTGAAACGTGGCGTTGGCGTACAATACGGTCCATTGGTACCAAGAGACTCAGAGAGGTATGTCAGGAGTTCAGGACTATGTAGTCATGTACGCCACATGCTCGTACCTGATCGAATGTGGCTCCACGGCGCAAGTTGGTGACGAGGTGGCCGCGGCCACGGTACGAACGATGTATGGACGCACGCTCCACGAACTGCAGTGGGATCATCGTATATGCCATAGAAGGGGACGAATGAATGGCTCCTTTGATCTCCCCATCTGGGCATGGCGGTGAGCACGATGCGGGATGTCGTCTTCAGCTCCTCTACCTCAGTCGTTGGTTGTGGTTGGTGTTGATGGTGGGGATTGGGGATTGGGGATTGGGAGTCCGGAGTGCCAGTACCTAGGTAGCTAGCTAACGATTTCCAGCCTAGGGCAGCGGCCCCATCCCGTGCAGATCTCCCTCCTCAGCCGCACCTTTCCCCAACGAACGATGGCGCCACGTTGGACGTCTCTCGCTTCTTTGCCCTCTTTCGGCCCTCGGAGTCCCGACTCGGATATCAGGTGATCCAGCTCGCATCCCTTTCAGCCGCTAGTCCTACTTTGGCCGTCGGGTCACTGGACATCAGAGTAATCATTGTCGGACATCAGGTACGCGGATACTACGTACGACATGTTCATGTAGCTACAAATACTACCAACAGAGTGCATACATACATACATACATACATCCACGTATACGCGTACAGGGTCCTGCACGTATGGTCTGTACACCGCTTTCCAAACACTATTCCTTTTGATGCCTGATGAGGTCCAGCCCCGCGGTGTGCTCGCACCCAAGTCCACGGTCCGCACGGCAGATGGCAGATGGCTTGCTCACAGAGAGGAATCAGGGGCCTCTCATGCCGCTCTCTCTATCTGCAGGCTGGTCGTCGATCCCATCTTGACCCTTGCCATACCCAAAGCAGCTCGGCCAGGGGCTTGAGACCAAGTTGAGAAGCACAAAGACCCATGCGTGAGGGACAAAGAAGGGTCGCCAGCCTTCAGCTCCACCAAGAGCCCTGAACCCTGAACCCATAGCTGCGTTTGATAGTCGACCGGGATACACCCACGAGCCTTACAGATGGCTCACGGATGGAGCCAGCCCCAGAGCTTGCCCATGCACGCAGGTCTGATGAGAGGAAGTCCGGCCGCGTGTATGCGGACAGAGATGCCTCTATATATGCCTCCCTATCTGCTCAATTCTTCTCAATCATTCTCAGCAGAGATATCACTTCCTCTTTCCCATATCCGCTCATAGCCTTGCTTTGCAATGGCTCTCTTATTGGGCGTCGTCGGTGATATTCTCTCGGGAGTCCTTGGCATTATCCCTGCCTTGACCCAGCAGCAGACTAACGGGTAGGTCTCTGCGAAGCCCCAGTCCAAGTCCCTTATCCCTACTTGTTTTCTTGACTCTGTTTGGAGATGCACATTATCGATCAGCACTAATCAATGTTGGTGATAGCAACTCGGTGTGGGGGACCTTGCCCGTACCCAACTTCCCTCCCTTCCTCACCAACAACCCACTCCCCAATGGCTACCCATGGGGTCTTCGAAACGCTTCAGGAAGCAATCCATACACTGATGCCCCTTACACTGGAGTCATCCGGAGCTATGATTTCACGGTCAAAAGGGGGCTGATAGCTCCGGACGGATACCAGAAGAATGTACTCCTAATCAATGACCAGTTTCCCGGTCCAGCAATTGAGGCAAACTGGGGCGATACCATCCAAGTCACTGTTCATAATCAGATTACCGGACCAGAGGAGGGGACGTCGTTTCACTGGCATGGACTTCTTCAGAAACAGACCCCATGGATGGATGGTGTACCTGGCGTGGAACAGTGTCCCATCGCTCCTGGCGAATCTTTCACCTACCAGTTCCAGGCTGATCTCTACGGTACTTCTTGGTATCATTCACACTACTCGGCACAGTATTCAGGCTAGTTACACGCATCCTCCAACCTTTTCGGGAACTAACATCGCCGCAGATGGCCTCCTGGGGCCCATGATCATCCACGGCCCAGAGAATGCAGATTACGACATTGATCTCGGACCAGTCCTCTTGACTGATACTTATCACAAACCGTATTATGAGACGGTCAAAGTAGTCATGGCGCCACTGGACCAGGGTGGTAACCCGCGTCCCGCCTCCGACAACAATCTCATTAACGGCAAGATGGACTTTGATTGTTCTACTGTGGCGGAGGGTGATACCACGCCCTGCAACAGCAATGCTGGCATCTCTAAGTTTACCTTCACCACTGGCAAAACTCACCGGCTCAGGTTGATCAACGCCGGAGCTGAGGGTCTGCAACGATTCAGTATCGACGGTCATAAAATGACGGTGATTGCCAACGATTTCGTTCCTATTGTGAGCTTCTTCTGTGCAAACATTGTGGGCTATATCTAACCGCTATCTAGCAACCTTACGAGACTACGGTGGTAACTCTCGGCGCAGGCCAGCGAAGTGATGTGCTAGTCACAGCGAATCAAGGATCTGCGCAGTCAGCATTCTGGATGCGCTCCAATATTTCCACTATCTGCTCCTCCAGCAATCAACCCAATGCTCTGGCAGCAATCTACTACGATAAAGCCGACACAAACAAAGCACCTACCAGTACCGCCTGGGATGTGCCCGACCCCGGAACCTGCGCAAACGATGATCTCTCCCTCACTGTTCCATATTATCCCCTCACACCGACTGACCACCCAGCAACGACACGCCACCTAGACATTAACTCCGAGGTCAATGCCACCAACCATTTCCTTTGGACTGTTGACGGGGGGACTTTCCGCTCCGATTACAACAGTCCCACCCTTCTCTTGGCCAACGAAGGAAACTTCACCTATCCACCTGAATGGAACGTGAAGAATTTCGGCAGCAACAGCACTATTCGTGTGATTGTCAACAACCCTACTAGCTCCTCTCACCCTATGCACCTCCACGGGCACAACATGTTCATCCTACACGAAGGTCCCGGAGCCTGGGACGGAACCTCCATCACCAACCCCAACAACCCCCAGCGGCGCGATGTACAGATGTTACGACCAGGCGGGCACATAGTCTGGCAGATCAACGCCGATAACCCAGGAGTATGGCCTTTCCACTGCCATATCGTGTGGCATCTGAGCGCTGGCTTCTACGCGACTATCCTCGAAAGGCCAGCGGACATCGAGAAATATAGCCAGATCCCCATGATTATGCCGCAGACTTGTACCGACTGGGCGGCCTGGACAAAGAACAATGTCCCCGACGAGATTGACAGCGGCGTATGAGATATGGGTGCATGACGTTATTGATTTCTTTTGTACAGAAAAAGCTATAAAAGAGCAATTTTGATGCCTCGACGTAATGCAGTTCATGACGACGAGCACGGAAAGAAAAATTACGATGGCAGGGCCCATGTCTCTCATGTTTCGATTAGTCTAGTGGTGTTTGATATAGATTGAAATAACTAGCGACTCTCCTAATCTCTATTACCTATCTACCTACTACCTAATATGAATAATTTATTATCCATCTAAATTCCAACAGCCCCCCATCTCACTTCCTCGCTTAATCTTCTAACAGGTAAGGTACCTTACTATAGCCACAAGCGCAAAGTGTCACCAACTGCAGTATCCAACTAACAGTCTCTATCCATTCCCCTATTGACTTTCTCATAAATAATCCCAGTTTCATAGCTAATTCAATTAGCTCTTCATAACTAAGCAAGATCTCAACCAAACATAACCGAATCTATACCGATTTCGGAATCGCAGGGACTGTCGGGGTGGTATGCATAATGATAGCAAAAAGATAGGAACTTAGGAGGTTAGTTGAACTGCGTATACCTTAGAGAAGGTGAAGTTTACGTTTAGGGGGTTCGGCTGGCTCGCATCTGTTCAGGAGCTAGATAGGGGGTAAGCGAGCACGTAGTCGAATACAGTAATCACTGACACTACTAAAGTATGTTCTGTCTAAAAAGGGGGAGGGAAGTAGAGATTCCTACCTACCTTTATTCACATATCATGCTTCATAATTGCCTTCTTTAACTCACTCCTATGAGAAATTTAAAAGGGGGGAGAAAAAAAAAAAACCAAGGAATTCGTGAAAAACGCATGATTGCGTAGGAAATCATACTGCTTATGCCTTCGCCTCTTTTCACCCCCTTTGTCCCCTTGTTCCACTCACCCAGTATCCCTTATCCCTAATCACACGGCATGCTTTAAAGAATCCCATTTCCCATCTCCTAAGCCATGAGCTTGCGAATCCTACTCCCAAATTCCTATCTAATCACGCTCTCTTTCCACCCCCTCCAAAACCATCCTCATCCTCTAGGCATCATATCAATAAACCCTATCTATCTATCTATCTATCTGTGATTCAAGACTCAGAGTCAGTAAAAATATTAAATGATTATCAAACGTTCTCTTCATCTTTTGATTCATGACCTTCTACCCGAGTTTCTCGACTATATAAGGATGGGGTTTATGCTCTCTGGTGCCAGTTTATTTTTCTCTTTCTCTCTTTGTCTTCCTCAATATCAGATCTTCTGAAACCTAAAAAAGCAAGAGAGAAATTTATCTATTTATCAAACGCATAATTACAGCCTCCTCTCACTCTCTTCAAGAAATCCAAACATACAAAGACAAAAAAAGCAATACCATCTCAAACCAAACATCATGGCGCCTATCGCCGCATGGGAATGCCACATGGTACTTCTTCTCCGTCTCCCCCCTTTCCCCTATATCTCCCTATCCAACACACACACCCCACTAACAGCAGGATCTACACATAGTGCACAGCAACCGCCAATCCCATAACCGATCTTAATTACAAATGGATGCATTTCATCCCCGAGTACTGCGTCAACGATACCTGTCGTCACCGTCGCTGCCCGCACTGCTGGGATATTGATTATGAAGGGAATAGACTGCAGCGCTGTGATGGGCGGCAGTTGAGGGGTTGAATGTTGGGTTGGATGGGGATTTTTTTTGGGGGATTTGAACTGAGATGCCGTCCATTTAACCGATTTTAGAATCTTAGAATTAATATCATACATCGTTGCCTTTTAAAAATGGTTTGTGCATTTATGCATACCTATACGCAATATAGATCCTTATACGAATCTTGAAATTGAAAAGTGACTACTTTACCCATGAGCCCGATGGGATGGATAGGGGCTCGGTTGCGGATGCCGAGAGGATGGCTTGCTAAAACGAAGTAACCCTAGAGTCCTACTATGGTAACCCTACATTGAATACTCTAGTATTAATTTTTGGAACTTAGAAAACATCCTTTTGATGCTGGTGAAAGCATCCTGTCAGGTGCTCTGATACGTGAGATTATATTACGGCTTCTCGTTTTCATTTCGTCTTGGGTCCCTACGTGGGCGGGGTTGACGCTGATCTTGCGGAGAAAGGGATTCGATGCTACATCGGGTCATGCGATATACTACTGTACTTGGCATCAATGTCCCGGGATCCTCAACTAGACGACCTTGCGAGATCCCTGTCGTTACCCGATATATCACTAAGACAAAGCTTGCCATTGTGATGGATTAATTAAATTATCGTATCTCTAGGGTTTCATGCTCGTGATTGTTCATTTCCTTCTACTACCTCTGCATTCTCGTTCAACCGTCAAGAGATCCAGCTCACAATTAACATGATGTCAGAGTATATGTCCCTCAACGCGCCTTCATCCCTCAGGCAGCGGTCTGGGTGGTCGCAGGGGCGGACGATGTGCTCGAGGAGATCGGTGGGATCGAAGGAAGACAGCTCGCCTGGTACTATATCAGATGTTAGCAGATGCACTGTGGAGTGCGGAGAGAGGAATCATACGCAAGGCTCGGTGGCAGGGCTGGGTGGGAGAGGACCGGTGGCCCACTGGACGGGGTTGGGGCCGAGGACGAACTCCATGGTGCCGCCGTGGGCAAAGACATCGTCATAGGTGAGCCAGTTCTGCTTCCAGGGCCGGCCATTGACCTTCAGGCTCTGCACATAGATGTTGGAGTCACCATTGCCGTCACCGCCGGTGCTGGTGATGACCAGCTTCTTATTTCCGCCGAGGTTGATGGTTAGGGACTCGTACCAAGGGGAGTGGATCAGGAAGGTGGTCTGGCCGGTGACGGGGTACAGACCGATCATGTTCCACAGGAGCCAGGTCTGCATTGCTCCGGCATCACTGTTGCCGGGAAGGCCATTAACACGGGTGTTGTAGTATTGCTTCGCGACCTTGCGAGATTGTAAGACGGAGCGGTCCTGTCGGTTGATGAAGTTGTAGAGGTAAGGAACATTGAAAGTTCTGTATCATTAGCATAGCCTGGAGGAAGATAGAAATATAGACTCACGGCTCGTTTGTGGAATCAAAGATGATGCCATTCGGATTGCCTGGGTTTGCACCAACTGTGAACATGGTGTCCAATCTTGACAAGAAGGTCTCCGGGCCACCCATCCATTGAACAAGCGTCCCCATGTCATGGATATCACCCCAGGAGTAGTCCCATGAACTGGCCTCGTAGTATGGGTCACCCCAGTAGCCGGAATCGTTCAGTGGATCAGTGTTGATGAATCCAGATACATCCCTGGGGACAATAAAGCCCTTGTAGCCGATTGACTCGAGATCCGGGTTCCAGTGGTTGCGCCAATTTCGCGAACGGTTAAGGTACTTGCTAGCATCGTCCCATCTCCCGAGCCCTTTTGCGACCTGGTACAGACCGAAATCGTTGTAGGCATAATCAACGGCACGTGACGCTGCGCGGCTGTATTTTGGGGTAATGAATCCGTACTGAAGCCAGTCTGGAAGAGCTCCTCGGCCCTCCTTCGTCGACGAGTCTGGTGCCATTGGGTCCGGAGGGACGGTGTTGTTGGGAGGGACCTCTGCATCCTTGACCATCGCAGCGTACCCATCATTCCAGTTAATGCGACCCCGGACACCTTTGACAAAGGCATCAGCTAAGACGTTGTCGGCATTCGATCCCCCTTGCGTTCTGCCGTTGTAGTTAGAAGACCGCGCGTCCGGGAGGTAACCTTCAAACCGCCAGATGTCGATCATGGACCGGATGTGTTCCTCGTACACGGTTGGTTGCAAAACGTGCAGGAGAGCGGTCGAGCAGCGGAAGAGATCCCACAAGGTGAAGATATCGGAGTAGTATGGTTCGGTGGAGTTCCAGCCTGGGTTCTCACCAGTCTGATTGGTGGGCAGCAGATTCATGAAGTACAATGAACTGTAGAGCAATTCGAGGTTCGTTGCGTTGGTCGTGGTGGTTTGAATGGTGGAAAGTACTTGCGAGTTCCACGCCTCCTTGGTGCCTTCAACCACTGTGGAAAACTCGGTTCCTTCTGGAATCTCATTGTTGAGATTTTGACAAGCTTTCTCGTATGAGATCCACGAAATACCAACTCGGGAAGAAACGATGTTCTCGCTGAAGGTAAAAAGACCGCCTACATAAGTATTTGAGCTATTTGAGCTGGCCGATCCGCTTGGTTGGACTACGCTTCCTCCGGAAGAGGTTCCAGTGTACGCATTGGCCGTTTCAGCTGTAACGTTGAAGTATCCACCTACAAAATGTTAGAATTGGCAAAAACAGGCGGAATATGCACTTACAGGAGTATATGGTCCAGTCTGGCGATCTGTTCCACCCGTTGTTATAGATCCCTGAAGCTTCGTAGTGACCGTCAGGATAGATGGTGAATTCTCCTCCAGCATACCCTTGACCAAGCCCCTGCCCTCTGAAAGAAGGTAGCACGTGGCTCATATCAACCAGAATGTTGTTTTCAGTGCTCCCTGCCGGAAAAGTGTATTGGTACATTCCGGCACGTGAAGCAGCAGCCAACTCCACAATGACATTCTGACCGGTTTGGGCTCTGTAGTAACCGACGGAGCCTTGATCAGGGGCCCCTCTTGGAACTGTTATGCTGGAGAGAGGGTTGGTGATGTTTCCAACCAGGGGCAATTGAGGAACTGTTCCGTATTTGGGAGCACCACCAGTTCCTTGCTCATGCATCATGGTGAATCCAGAGAAGGCGCCGTTGGAGAGATATCCCGAGTAGGAATCAGTGCCGGAGTTTAGGAGGTCGGGTCCCAACTTCACCATTCCGAATGGCCGAGCAACACCTGGGAAGTCATTTCCACCACCCTCTGTTCCCAAGCTACTTTGATCAGCTGAGTTTTGAGAATAGCACGTGAGGAGACTCACAAGACATTAACATATTGGGTATAATCAACGGCCTGTGGAGTAGACCTCTCCGCAGCTGCTGCGAGCGCTAGAACCGGTATGAGCTTTGCACTTCCCAACATGTTGGCGGTTTTCAAGACGAGAAACCCTTCACAGTGCGGTGGTTGAGCAACTACCAAATCTCTTGGCTCTTCCCCAGCTATATATACTCAGAGCCATTTGCAGGGCCCAGCCTGGCTAAAGCCTCCGCAATCGTTGGCCTTGGGTGTAGCAACGTGGGGGACGATAGAAGGGAAGGTACGAACTGACAAATTACCGAAGAAACATGCCCTGGGTGTGACATATGATAGGAAGGGCTTCCCAGCCGTGTCTGCCCCATGTAAGAGTCTAGAAAGAACATCTTTGGTGGGGAATTAAGAAGGGTACAGCGGGTACTGTACATCTCGATGCATGCACCGAGCGAAATCGCCGTGCCAAGACTTTTGGAGGTGCACCCATCAACCTTGACCTTGCAGGAGTCAGGCCTGGTGCTTGACTCTCGATCGACAGAGTCGTGTGTTGCCCCCTGTGCGATCCCTGCCAAATGCGACGGTTTCGCTTGATCTCGGGGTCTTATTTACCTTCTATCGAAAGCATGTCTCACTTTGATCTGATAGACACTTGAACACTTCAATCGCGGTCAACACATTGCGATATCAGGTAAACTACCTTGACTGCTTCTAGAGGCGCAAGTCTACAGAATTCAAGAATAAACTAAAAGCATCGTGATTCAAATGCAAGAGTTGGGAATAGCAATGCTTGAACGCGACTTGCGCTCCCCTATAATTCCCGCAGAACGACTTTAGCACCGTCGCGCGAGATTGATAAGCATACACCCCAAAAAGGTCTTGGTACGGCGGTTTAGTTCAGGGCGTGCAACGATGTAGCTCTGCTAAAGGAGCATTAAGAATGATGCTAATCGTCGGCCGGGGCACGATCCACGGTTGTTGCATCGCTCTCTGCCGTCCATCCCCGCATTTGACGAATAGGAGGCCAGAACCGAGGGGTGTGCACCTGTCCAGCCGAGTGAAACATCACCTCACGTGACTTCGAAGATATTTTCCCCTGTTAGACCTGGCTGCCGTCTGTGTAGTTGTAGTTCGTCCAGCGCCGCTATGGGGCGCAAGACCTGATCCCGAGGAGAACGGCTGAGTCCAGTTACACTCGGGGGTGACTGAGTGGATGGTTGCATCTGAGGATATACTGTATAGCCTGTACCCCTGGCCGGGCCTCATCGCTGGGAAAGTGGGGTATGCGCAATTGACATCTGATCTTTTGCATGGTAAGACTTGGCAAGCACGGCGGGGTCGCTCGGCCAGAGAGATCTACGAAGAGTGTCGCTTGACAGGCTTCAAAAACGTGGTTATCTCTGATGGGGAAAGAACCGGTGAAAATCAGATATTGGGAAGCGAGCAACGTACATGTAGGTACAGTACGTTGTAGCTATGACAACGGGATAACAGACTCGGCAGAGATCAGCACTGTACTGATCTCCATATCTTCTGGAGGCTGTGCGTTCCTCTATGAGGTTGACGCCCTCAAACCACCCACCTTACCAAGACAGACCATTTTTCCAGATGACTTCTTCGTGGACGGCAGAAGGTCTCTCGACTTTCTGTGCCACTGGTATGGTTGGATCATTCTCACCGTGACCCTACCTCACTTTCTCCTCGAGCCATGTAATGACACGTGCGCCTGTATAGATTCTCACACTCAGTGATGGAGCACGGGAGTGATCGATATCGCCATCTCTTCGACCCTTGCTGGTGATGTTTCTAGAACATGACGGGCTGCACTATTGCAGGTGTCATCTGTCTTCGGTCGCTTGCTCTGGCGGAATCGCCTCAAGAACAGATGGCGAACCGTTGTGACAGGAGACTAAGGATGCCGTAAGTAATTTCCGTATCCAGCGGACCCAAGTTCTCAACGGCACACATAGCATGCAAGTCACAACACGTGCGCAGATGCGGTCTTGGATTGCTCGATCGGATCATTCGGCCCTTTAATGCTGGTCGGAGCTATCTGAGCTTTGATCTGTGTGCATCGCGCCTTGTCATGGGGCCTCGAGTGACGTTCCCGGAAGCTGGTTGTCTTGAATGCTCGAAGATAAGACAAGGCATGGCAGATCACACCGCGTTCGTTTTGGTTCCTATGGAGAGAAAACGTGGGACGTGTTGTCTTAGAAAGGTTGCCGAAGTCGAGGCCGGAGTTCAAAGCGGGAACGTCGGTAGGAATGTTCCGTTCCGTCTTTAACGAGGTCATCGGCTGCTTCCGCCTGTTATAATGACGGTGGCCGAGATGTTCTTCCAATTGTTCCCCAAGTCCCAATCCACAGCGTAGATTCTGTCAGTCAACCTCATCCGAGCAGCAAAGATAGAACCATATAGGTAGAAAGATCCTGGAGAAACGTCGGCCCGGATGGCATTCATATGGTTGCGCGACCAGCCTACCTGACGGTCTTGAGCTTCCTGAGGCCCAAAAGCCCTTCCCTCATCCGAGTGGCTCCATCATCGACGTCTTCGGGCTCCAAACCACTTGAAAATGCAGAGGCAAATATTGCAATTCTATTTCTGTCTGTCCAGGACGGCTGAGTGGTAAGGTATACTAGATAAAGTTCAGCTCTGGACCCTGGAAGGAATTCGGTAAACTGACCCTTCTTAAGATTGAAAGGTTCACACTGTAAGAAGCCAATACTGGACTTCTAGACTTCTAGCTGGATCCATCTGATCCTGTTCGACAGAAACATAACCTTCATGTTGCAAAGAAAAAAGAAAACTATGCGGAGTATGAGAAGAGAAGAATGATTTGCTTCGACGATATTCATGGCTGGCAGGCACGGACCATGCCCAATCCAGGTATCCTCCTCCAGTTACGTCTTCCCTGAATGTCATTTGAACCACGTTACTGCGGTCACGTGTGGGGTTCGAACAATCGGATAGGTAAGGTACCTAGGTACGTAAGAGAAGTCCTAACTGTATACCTATATACAAATCAGCTTGGCTCTTGAGCTTTTCAGCCCCACGGCCTCCTGGATACTATGGTTTGTGAGCTACCTACCTACCTTATCAGCCTTGCAAATTTCAAAGCGAAGGTACGTGTCACATGGACATTTATATTCGTACCTTCTTTCAGATGTACCTACCAGGTACCGTAGAAACCTTGTGAGCTGATGCATGGAAAAGACAGGATCGATCAGAGAGTAAGAGTGAGTATACAAAAAGAATCGTTCTGTATAGGGGCTCTATCGACTTTTCCCGGAGTGTTACGTAAACCCATGTCTACGCAGCGTCGAGTCTTGACTCACGTGTAACTACCTATCAATGATCCCGTATAGCTTGGAGCTTTGATAGTATCCTGCAGATTCTCTCCTGCTACTGGGAGCGACATTTGAAGAATGTTGGATTTTGATATATGGTGATTATTGCGTCTGAAGATGAAAGAAAGAAGGTACCTATTCTGAACTGTGTACAAGAAATAGAGTTCTAACCGAGGTCATGTGATACACACCAGTTTCCCCCTTTTCCTCCAACAATCAACCGAGTCAACATGATGTCTTCGACGCTTTGTCTCTTTTTCTATGTTACCTTTGATTTAGGCATGAGGTCCCCGACTGAAGTGCGATCTCTGGCTCTTATCTTATTATGGAAATTATCTAGGGTACATAGTCCTATTTCTCGAATTATTCAATTCGTTCTGGACATCAACAGACTCCAAAGTAAAGAGCAGTCCAGGGCCACTCTGATCCCATCTGCAACAGATAGAGAAACTAGTCTCGGTATATACAGCGTTTGATTATTTGGTTCCTTATAAACATTAAGTATTCGAAAGCTAGCGAGTGCACCCGTCTCTCGTACTCCAACATGTATACACGTTTCAATTCTTCTCGCATAATTCTTCTCACATATCCCTGGTCTTCGTCTCATCTCAAGATATTTCGTGCGGCCGTCGACGTAGTTGGATAGCCGCGGGTATTTGCGTATTCGGTTCGTTCATTATATCTCGTTCTCCTTCTTCTCTGCAAGCCCTATGGTGCCTTCCTCCGATTCTCGCCTGCATCTTCACATCAGTCTCCTTGTAACTTAGATAACAAGTGGTTTGATCTAAGCGTACTCATCCTTGACTCGATGCTGGCTCTCGGTGTCGGGGAAGGCAGAGGGCCCAGTCCTGCGGCGTTGTCGGCGCCAGAATCCAAGGCTGCTACCAGCGGTTGTGGTTCTAATGCCTCGCGGGGGGCTGCGGGTGGTTTGGGTGGGGGTGCTCCTATCGATACGGGAAGCTCGCGAGCTAGCGCCACTGGAACGACCGCCAAGACCACAGCCTAGGAAGAGCATGATTGTTGCGAGCACCATACAAGCCCATGCGGCCCAGGTGAACCCGAAAGCAGCAGAGCCAATACTGGCAGAAAGGCCTGCGTCATGGAACCGGTTGCGCGCCTCGACGAAGATAGCTCTGTAACGAAGTTAGAGATGCTAGAAGGTATGTCATGGGGACTCACGTCATCATTGAAGCCGCCATAGTCATAAAGAAGAGAGCTGAGCCGATGATCAGCCCCGACAAGCCAGACGCAAGACGACTGCAGGGAGCAAGGAGAGCGGTGAAGAGTCCAAAGACGTCCAAAACAAATGCCATGAGGTAGAAGACCCAGCCGAAGCGCCACGTGTAGTAGTAGTGGTAGCTAGTCGTGTGTTTTGCATGTCCACTACATACATTTTGGTCAGCCTCAAGGTTAATTGTATGTTAGGAATAAACCCACCCAACGAGAGCTTCGGGAGCTCCAGCGCTACCATCGACCCAAGCATAACCAATTGGTAACGCGGGAACGGGCGCGCCGCAGTCCCTGTTATTGGCTCCGCAGACGAACCAGAATGTCCATTGAGAGGTCGAACGATGTGCACCGGGGATAGTTGAAGTATCTGCTTGCAAGAACCAAGTGTTGCTAAGAGGAACACTGTTTGTAACACCACTGAGAACGACGAAGAACATAAACATAATTGAAGCAGCGATCAGGATGAGGGATCCCACGCCCATTCCACCTCCTAGAGGACCCATTAGCTATCGCCGCAGAGCTGCATTGTACCTTTGTGATACTCACGAATTCCCGCCGCCATTATGTATTAATATTCGTAGGTATTACTATGCAAAGATGGCGGAGGCACTGATGCGGCGTGCCAGATGAAAGAAGCCCTGGTTCAGGGGATGTACGTCAGAACCACAGAATCTCGAGGCACAATGCTGCAGCACACCAAACACCTTGAGCTGCGTGGTTTGAGCGAATGTTGTTCCTTGTCGGAGTACCGATGTGTTTGCGGGTTGCTGGGGCGTAGGAGAGATAGTGATGAGGAGCAGAGGAGAAGCAGGAGGAACAAGAGAAGGAGGGGCAGTTGGAGGAGGGTCCAGATAATAAAGGGATTACGATTGAATGTAAACAGCCCTAGAGACAAGGTGGGAGAGGAAATCTGTGATGCCAACGATGACGCTGGTCGGCCACGGTTGGTATGTTCCATACCTTGTTTGCTCCGGAAAAGCATCGCGGGGGAAAGGGAGCTCCCTGCTGGTCTCGACTATTGCCCAGCTAACAGGTTGGGCAGAGGACGACGAGACATCTGTGCCAGTACAGCCAGTCATAATGCTCACACACGCTGCGATGGGGCTTAAGGGTAGGCCCAGCATGGATTAAGGTTTCCTGGTTTGCGGTGTAGACCGCGTAGGCCTTCGCGGCCAAGAGGTGTTGCGCGGGCTTTTGCCTCGTGAGAGGCCAGACAGACAACACCACCTCGGAGGTGGGGAGGTCCTAAGGTAGGGACAAGAGACGCGATGGCCTCAATCCGGCGTTGCCGGTTGGCTGTGCATCTATCTGAACCTTGGAAGTTGGAAGTTGGAAGTGAAGCTGAAGAGGCCAGGCACTGAGGTAGAGTCGAATCATCGAATCATAAACGTCGTGTCCCTTGACGTCATATCAGATAGATCGCCAGCAGGGTTATTGTTATATCGACGACCATCATAGCTATGCGACTGCTCTGGACTCTCGAGTCTTTCGACTTTCTTGACCCTCTCGCTCTCTTGAGCTCTCTCTGCCTCTGCCTGTCCCTCTCTATATATATATCAGTAGCGGCAGAACGGTGACAGAGGACATATCAAATGCACTCGTCTTCCAAAGCAGGAGATGATGCTTGAATCATGAATCTGTGAGAGTTATTCCGGTCCAGTTGCCAACGAGGTAACGTGCAAGGCCGCGGGCAGCCAATCAATGCATTTCAGAGCGTGGGCCCGACCGCGATGAAGAAATCGACTATTGGAGGGCGGTCGCTGATGCTTTCACTCTTTCACTCGACTTTTCACTCGAGCGCTCGGTAGTGGTTTTCCTTGTTTATTCTGTCACGTCACGACGAGGCTCAAAGGGCCTCTACGGCAACCGTCTCAGTTCGAAGTCACGGGGTCCACAGGGTTATGTAATTGGGATGCAGGTATCCTGCTCGGGGTCCAGCTGGTTGTTCTCAAAGGAGGATAAGGTAGGGAACAGACGGGAGGGATCACTCATTGTTTCAAGATTCCAGGGTGCAACATAACGTGGGAATTCTCGAACCATGCCAGTAGTTAAAATCAAACCCGCTCTGGCTCCCTCATCTCAGTGGTTTACCCTTCCGTAGCCTCGCATCGCTCCCTTAATCGTAGAACGCAGATACATATGAGAGACGCAAGTTGAAACGCTTTTGCACTTTTAGAAGTGTTGCATCCAAGCAAGAACATCAAGGCTCCATATCTCCCGGAAAAACTTTTTGTTTCGAAATGCATAGCCAATGCCAAATCCCTTCCCGCAATTTCCCAGTTGCACCACCACAATCAGATAGCCAGATTGAAAATCATGCCCCGCCCACACCATTAACTAACGGCTCTCCATTCTCAGCACCACCTCTATCCACTCCCTCCCCAACCAGACTCCAATCCCTCACGCCACCCTTCCAATCCGCCACCCTGCCATCTTTGATCTTTACCACCACAACCCTAACCTCCTCGCCCTCGATGAAGATTCCTCTCCCACCATCTGGCTCCTCCCCCCTCTCATCCCACGCCCGGCGCCTCTCCCCCTCTCCCTCGACAAACGTATTATTATCCAGATGCATCTCCTTATAATACTGCTCCTCTTCTGTGCCCGCCTCCACTAACCGTGCGTCCCCGTTGATCGTCGCAGATATGCTGCTCAGTGCGCTCGTATTCAGGTTCAGCAGCAGCGTGGCGAGCGACGAGCGCGAGGCTTCTGGAGGCGGCGAGCCGGTCCGGCCGCTCGAGGAGCCGCGGCGGTTGGTGGTCGGTGGTCGGTGCGAGACCCAGTCGTGGACGAGGAGGGAGACGTGCGGGTTGGAGACCAGGTTGAGCGTCTTCTTCGAGGAGGGGTTGGTGGTCATGATTATGGCTGGGGAGGAGGAGTAGGGCGACGACGGGAGGTACGTATAATTCATGAGCGAGACGTGTGGGTACAGGTTCGTGCATGTCGCAAGATGTAGCTGTGAAATCGGGCAGGTCAGTCTGGGCTTCTAAGATGTGGGCGTGGTGTTGGAGCTGGGCAACCTACAAATCGTGCGTTCTGTAAACACTGCACCACTTCTGGGGGCAGGGTATTGGAGACTTGGAGATGCGTCGTGCCCGCCGACGCCTCGTAATTAAGTGGTGCTTCGGCCGCCGCCATGTTTGCGATTCTCGATGTTGGTCTGTTCAAGGTGGTAGAGAAATGGGGGTTCCGAGATTCAACGTGTGGTTCAACGTGCTGATGATAATCGCTAGATATTTGCCAGCGGAGCGGGAGTGATGACGTTGGGTCAGGCGCTCACGTGAGCACTGTTACCGCAACGCTTTTAGAATACAAGACTCGTTTGGCACAAGCAACACAAACAGTAACACTCCAGCTGCAAAAGCTTCATGTGTTTTGCATGTCTTCTTCATCCCACCATAGTGTGGGTAAAATCATACAGTGCACCGAGGATCTACCGATTCGTATACCTCGTACCTACCTACCTATATACCCCGACATCCAGAGCCACTGGTTGAATTTACCGAAGGTAAAAAAAATCAGGCTTGTATCTTTACTATCCGTGAGATTCTTAAGGCCTTTGACTCTGCTGAATTCCATAGTCTTCCTATCCGCCATATAGCTAAGGTTCTCACTCAGCATAAATCTGCAAGAGGATACGATAAGCAGCAAAAAATTCGGTCATGGATGGACATGCTGGGAATCGAACCCAGGACCACCTCTAGGTTGGTACAGATGTACAGAGACAAGTGTATGCTTGCTAAAGAGGTATTATACCACTAAACCACATGCCCAGACTGTTTGTTGAAGGTTGTGTGATTAAGAGGGTAGATGTGGGGAGATTTAGTAAGAGCCTGAGAATATCCAGCATCCAGGGTACCTGTTATCCAAAATAGGATTAGTCGTGCAGTATTCATGGAATCCCACCAATGCGGTCTGGGGACAAGTAGAAGGGACTAAAGGTACCATAGATACAGTATAGTAGGTACTAGGTAGATAGGCAGATCAAGATGAATACTAGATTAAAGGTCAATCATGTGGAATTAACCTCAAATTGCAGAGTTGTTATATCAGCTGATAGCTGCTGTAGACATGGAAAGGCTGCCGTAAAGTAGCTAGCTGGCTACCTTGCTTTCCAGGGCTCTGTAATCGTCCAATACTGATGAAATATGAAGATGAACTTGAATCCTTGGCTAAAGATAGACCCTAGATTAAGAGAATCATAATGACTACTCAAGTATTGATTGAACTCTTTGAGAGGTGGTGTTCGTAGAGAAGTATTACAATACAGAGCAAGGTATCAAATCGCACAGACCAGAAGGACTGCTAGGGGGAGGGGGGATACACCCGACCTGCGATGTGCAACAAAACACTGAAAAAATCTGGTCTACTCTTACTACGTAATAACCTAGAGAACAGTTCCACTTCTAAAAGGACTCTTACGTTTTTGTGATGTGCGACAAACAATCCTATCATACCTAAAAGCCCAAGGTACTAGGTAGTGAGCAGTACTATATCGCATTCAGAAGAATCTGTAGAAAGCTTGTAATGCAGAAAGCCATGCACATATCACATGATAACCCATGGGTAAGGGTTGGATAGCTAGCCTTGCCTAAGAATAAGGTACGAAGATTTTACGATGTGCGACAAAAGGACGTCGCGCACGTGATAAGACAGGGGGGCGAACAGAACCAGTACATTTAGAACCCCAACATTCCTCTCCAAGACTCCTTCAAGAGTTACGGCGAGTGACAACAAAGACCAGACACATGATGATCCAGAAGTCTTTCTACAGAATGTACAAAAAAGGTACAAAGACGTGCGATGTGCGACAAAACTGCACTGGGTGGTGATCCAGGGGTCGGGTGACACGACAGCTGAAGCTTTACTCTTTTCAAAGATTGTACAACAATACAAGGATTTTGCGATGTGCGACAAAAAAGCTAAACCGCACGTGATGATACATTAGGCTAAGTACCTATAGGTACCTGAATTCCTTTTATTTGCTTTTTGCTTCTGCGATACGCAACAAAAACTGGCGCAACAAAAGTTCATCATCTTGTCATGTCTTTCACGTGATCATATACTAGGATAACAACCTAGAAGAACAGAGTTAAGCATGCCAGCATGGCTCTAAGGGAAAGTGAAAAGAGATAAACATTGACGTTGTAGGTGCAACAAAAGAGAAAAGATGGTCATCCTATCTGGAACAAGTGGCATTTCAGGTGTACATCAAATGTGAGCCATGATGATCCAAAAGGAGAGCGCTGACAGGGACCTAACTTGCAGACAGAGAATAGTAGTGGTTTTATATATACCCAGAAGAAAACACTATGCTGTCGGATCAAGCCGGAGCAAGGAAAGAGGGTTCTGATATATACCAATATTACTTACACCTCTTGACGCCGCGCGATTAAGCATTTTCCGTTTTCGGAAACACAGGACCTACAGGTAATCTGCCACTAGGAGGAATCTCTTGCGGGTGTTCTCTCCAAGAGCAAGTCAAATGTTTCAGCTGCCAAATCAAAATACCGAGGGAGGACAACACACAGTTTTCTAGGCCACTAGTATTCGGAATCGGGAATGTATTTCAAGCGCGATGCAATAGCAAACAGCACTTTCGATGACCGATGATCAACCGCCCTCCAAAATCGGCTTTGACAAATGGTTGCCTGAGTCAAAGCCGAACGGGCGGCCCTCCAGTTCTCATGCATCAACATCCATACCCTCTCCCTCCAGAGCCACATTCCTCGGAACGCAAAGCCAGCTACACCCTCTCCTGATCAAGGGAACCATACTCTCTATGACATCCCTCTCATTCTCCACGGGTTTCCGCGGGCTGGCCGCACTAACAGCGCCTTCGTTCTCCGGCGCCTTGGTTATCTCCCACCATTCGATCCACTCCGTTCTCGGGATTATGAAATTCCGTTTACAGATTGTGCATTTGCTGCCTCCGGATTCCTTCTTTTCGGCTACTAGGGCTAGAAGGCCGGAGAATGATTCAGGACAATCCTCGGGTAGCTCGGAGGCGAGATACGGGAGGTGAGGGGTTCGTGAACACGCGTTGAGCGCGACTTCAAGTAGAGAGGGCACGCGGGATATGTCATTGCCTCGAGGAGTAGGAGGTGTGGGAATGTCATTGGCGCCGACAATAGGTATTCCGCTAGGAAATTTTCGTGGTCCGAAAAGTGTGTGGTTCGAGAGCGTTGGTCCCTTTATATGGGCACCATTGATATCTAGATATCGAACCTCTGTCCGACATCTGTAAGAGACCCTCCATTGGGGGTGCCAAGTTCTTTGTCTCTCGTCTGGCGAAACACCGTAGGTTGCTCTATGGCGGGGAGTTGTACTATTTCCAGAAACAGTTTCCTCGGCGACTTCCCCTTCCTCTGGATGAGTCCCACTGTTTTCAACAGCGGGATATTGCGGCTCGTGGAAAAGATTCGGGTGGATTTGGAAACTCTGCAGGTGACTAGTGTCGGAGAACAGGTCCAGAATCTCAAATGGGAGATACTGCAGGCGATTTTGAGATATGTTAAGCTCTGTCAGGTTATGCAGCCTGCCTATAGCGGGAGGCAGTTCATATATACGATTGCTGCGTAGACTCAGGACAGTCAGATGCTCCAAATTGAAGAGCTCTTCAGGGAGCTTAGATAGGCGGTTCGAAGCTAGGAAGATTTTCAGCATGGGCTCAATCCGAGCAAACACCCCTTCGGTGACGGGAGGAACGCGCGTAAACGCAGCTAAAGGTCGGATGGTAGCATTTGAGAGAGATGTCAGCTCTCGAGATCTAGGTATATGTCAGCGTTGAGGATCGAGCATGCGTGCGTGAGATACATGAGATACATACGAAAGATCAATCGTTTCATTTCCATCATCCAGACATAGCTCGATCTCCCTCTGCGCGAGTTCTTCTTCTGCTGACAGTGTGAAGTTCTGCGGGGTCCTAAATGCCCGAATTGCGCGGGACTGCCTCATGGGCAGAGCCGTGGTCGCCCCGCTGAACGTTCCCAAGCCTTCAGTAGTTTCATCGACATCTGTGCCATCGGTAACATCGGTGCCATCGCTCCCGAGCCAGACACCACTATCGAAGCGCCTCTCGAACGTCCTCTTGCTTTTCTTAGAGCCGGGCTTTTGCGAGTCATGATTCGAGTCAGGATGCAAAGACCCTGATTCGGAAGCTGGTTGTAGCCGATACCACGGTCCTCGATATATTTTCTTGTGGCGGTCTTGCGTGTAGTTGTCTGCAGAAGGGTCATCGTCGCTGGAGAAGACTGGCGGATCGCTTGATGGTAGGGGACTGAGACGCGCTCGTTTTCGTGGTCTGTTGTTTAAAATCGACCCAGTGGAAGGGTCCCAAGCTAACCTTGGGAGAGTGAGGTCTTCTGCCATCGGTAGCAAAGGTCTTCACTCTTCTACAATAATAGAAGATGCTTTCAATTGAGCGGAATCTTCGGATTCGAGGGGAGTCGATGGGTGTAGATAAAGGCGCGGTGCCAACGCACGGGCCACCGCGTTTTGCCAGATCCCGCGCCTTATCTAAGGGGCTGGCATTACATATCTGAAGTATTCAGGCAAGTATGTGATATGCCGAATAACCAAATTTTGATGTTCAAGATAATGATATTGTTAATTCCATATTTACTAAATCAAAAGCAGGTAGAGTATGAAGTTATCCTAAAATAATAGAAGTGATGGCGCTGATGGTGGCTGACAGAAGCTCTTATAGCCACATGACGAGAAGGTGTATCAGGGACTAAGTCCTGTAAATAGTATCACGGCATGAATCTTAAGCAGTGTGAATAAGAGGCGAAGGATGAGACAGAGACAGGGTTAAATTACAAGCTCATATAAATACAAAGTGCGGGTGTCCGTCATTGCCGGCCTGATTCGATTCGAACCAGAAAACAACCCTCAAAACTGATACTCTGTCCAAAAACCATGAAAGCAGTCGTCGACATACTGCCAACTTGTCCTGGATTCGACTGATACATCAATTTTTGTGTAACCAGATCCAATATTTGCCAGGCTCATGCTAATGCTGTGGTCCTCAAGCGTTGCCAGGACAAGCCATTCAGACAACCTGGCTATCGGGCGATGTTCCTGATGAGAGACCGAAGTGCAGGGCATTGCATGATTCACATGTGCGCCGCAATACCACTCCTCTTCAGGTATTGCCGGCTCACATGGATTCCCCGGAGGCTATTAGATTTCCGACCCTCAGTCTTGCATTTCCTCATGGAACTGCTGCTGTAGGTTATCGGCCACCTACTAATTGTTGCCTATCCAAGACTCTCATACCTCTCCTTTGCCTTATCCTTCGCCTTGCTCAAAAAGTCCGCGTAGCTACCTTTAGTCTGTCGATGAGCTTCTTCTGCCGCATCACCCAATTTTCCACCCTGTGCACCCAACCCCACTCCTTGACTGTACAATTCAGTAATGATTGCATCAGTCCTTCCAGTTCCCTGGGCGCCGAGTCCTTCTCCAGCCGTCCAGCCCATCTTGCCCAACAGAGCAGCTCCTTTTGATGGTGCCGGTGGAGATTCCTCTTCTTCCTTCTTGGACGAGTTACCCGCACCAGAAACTTTCGGCGCCCGATTGTGCTGTGCAGCGGGCTGCTTTGGCTGATTGAAAGCTTGTCGACGTTCCTTAGCCCTGTCTCGGTAAGCAGAAGTTTCCGTGCTTGGATTCCCGGCTTTGTTGAGCTTCGCCAATGCTTTGGTAACGAGACTCTCGTTCTTCAGGTTATCTCGATGTAGTTGGCTCATTCGCTCATGTTTATTCACTTCTGCTTCCGTCTTAAATTGACGTGAACAGAGGAGGCAGCACTTCCGTTCTAAATCTGCAAAGCTCTGACTTGGCGGTGCATCCGACGGCGCATCTGGGCTTTTCTTTTCAGTCTCGGGCAACGAATCTCCTGAACTACCCTCATTATCTTTTGGCGGGAGACCATGAAGCTCCGCGTGTCTGTTGGTCCAAAATTGGAGGTGAGGTGCCACAACCTTTTTGTTGCTGGTTGAAGCCTCCTTATCGGCCTTTCTTTTCTTCGGTTTCGGCTCCCCTTCCTTTCCAACAGCGACAAGACCTTCGTTCGCGGCAGCAGCAGCAAGTTTCGCATGTTCGCTTTCCTTACCCGCAAGAGAAGAGGTTTGGTCGGCAACTTCCATGACCAATTCGCTTGCATATGCCGCTTCATCCCAATACATTAATTTGACCGCAGCATTGGACAAGGGACTAAAGGTGAAACCCTCGAATTCGGGGCCTAATGGATGAAGAACCGGGACGAAGACCCCAGCATGAATGTAGGAAACGAGAACTGGCTTAGAGGAGATGGTGAATTTTTCGGACGCTTTGTACTTGGCCATGGCGGCCTGCGCATCGTCAACACTGCTGAATTCGGCAAACCCGTATCTCCAGCTCTCCTTGGTTTTCCTATCTCGGATCAATAAGACTCGTCGAAGCGATCCGTCTTTTGCACCTAGACTCGCATCGTTCGACGTGGAAGCAATCTTTAACTTTTTGTTCGCCTGAGAATCCGCCGGAGGTGTACTGCTCTTCGTCTTGTAGAGTTTGCTGACACCCTTCGCTAAAAGTTCCTCGTTTACTCCAGGTTCCAGGCCACGGAGAAGAAGAAATTGGGAAGCGGTACTATCAGGAGATACATCGCTGTCGCCAGTAGTCGCAAATCCAGAAAAGGCTGACATATTACCCTGGGCAACAACTACGCCGTGGGCGGTGGCACCTTTGATTGTCAGTATACTTCAAGACGTGAGAGTGAATGGACTTACGAGTCCTTGGAGCATTGCATCGGAAACATAGTGTTCGATGAGAGTAGTTGGCCAAGTAGCACTGCAACCTGTTAGAAATGTTCCAGCAATCATTTTCTGAAACTTACCACTTCGCATTTCCAGTCATCTTCACCTTTGCCCGGCTTATCACGATCGTCCTTTTCGCGGCTATATGCTATCCGGACTTTTGTAGGCTCGGCAGGGGGAGCTTGACTCGAATCATACGCGCCATATAACGATATGGAGGGGTAGTATCGGTCGAGGAAGGCTCTTGCTTCGGGCACACCGGCAAACTGAGCAAAGGCAAACTGGCGTGATAGGCCTAGCACATTTCAATGAGTATCGCGCAAAGAATCGTCGATGGTCATAGGGTTCGTACCCGTCCTCTTGTCCTTGATCAATCTGACTTCCTCTAAGCCTTCAACCCGAAGACTGTGTTGTAGTTCATTCAAAATCTGTAAAGGCGAAAGAACGGCCAAGATGGCCAATCCCTACACTTAGCCAGAGTTCCAAGATCATGCGATGAGCACTTAGGGTAAAAGCGGATGAGACTCGTATGTCAAGATGCGCAACAGGGTAGAAATGGGGCGGCCAACGTGTTCCTGTGTCATGTCTATTGGTAGGCCCTCGAGTATAACGTTGCGATTCGGAGGGCCCCCAAAGTATGGTGAACGGCTTCGGCTTCTGTCGCGTGGAGAGCGATATCCTTCTCGGTCCCGATCGGTGTATCGACCTCTTCCCTCCCTTCGCGGTGATCTCGACCGCTCATATCGACGCTCGCGGCTCTCCACGTATCGGTCATCCCGCTCTAGATGCGCCGCGTTGTACATCCTCTCGCTGGTAGGCCCCTTGGGGGGGATTCTTTGAGTATCTTAGATATCCAATATCAGCACAGATTCAAGGAAGCCTCCCTATCCAAACTATCGATTACCCTTCCGCGAATTCTGGTACTCGTAGCCTTGTGAATGCGAGCCGCGATGGTAATCATCTGCGTAAGCCTGATCGTCGTACATGTTGGACCCGTAGCCGGAAGAAGGCTTTACCGGGCGCGCCCGATCCATCGCTCGGGAGTTCGTTCGGAATGTGAGGTGTCAAAGAAAGGCACTTTTCGTATGGGGTGATGATCGATGGTTGTATGTTTATAGACGAAGACGGTGGCTCTCATGGCCTCGCAAATTCCAATGGTTCTAGGAAATCTGCACGTGATCATGATGCTATTAATAGGCTGATCAAGATGTCCTACGTAAAGTACCCCGCCTGAGGCACGCTCGTTCGTTCAACGTTCTACACCATCAACCAACCTCGGGGTCTGGTCGTACTCTGTAACCATGGCTAACGAATTGGAAATGCACGAGGAGGAATGCTATGTTGCATTGTCCTACGAGCCTCTTGATGCAAAAGCAGCGATGGATCGAGTACGGAGCCCAAAGGCTGGAGCCATAGTCCTCTTTGCAGGTGATTGCCACTGCCAGATCCCTCCCGCTGCGCAGGGTTGGTTAACACCTCTCTCTCAGGAACTACTCGTGATAATTTCAGGGGAAGGCCTGTGAAAGAGCTTCAGTATACCTCCTACGAGCCACGTGCCCTCCAAACCATGCTTGCGATATGCAAGAGCATCCATAAAAAGCACTCCTTGACCTCAATTGTCATGATACACCGACTGGGCATCGTGCCGATAGGTGAAGAGAGCATCCTAATTGCTGTATCATGCCCCCATCGTGAGGCGGCTTGGAGGGCCGGTGAAGAAGCACTTGAAGAGTGCAAGCGGAAGGTCGAGGTATGGAAAAGGGAGGAGTTTGGTGGTGCCGCAGGGGGCGTATGGAGAGCAAATCGAGATGGCGCTGCTGGTGTAGAGATCGATCCGGTTGAAAATGAAAAGGAGAATGCTCCTGCACAGGGGCCTCATGGACCAATTCTCCGACCGGCAAGACCAGGTGAGCATGGTCATGGACCAGTTGTCATGTGAAAGGTCTGTGAGACGGTGGCCTACATTCGAATCCCACCGGATAGCCATGGACACAGGGCCAAGTACTTGACGAGTACTTGTCTTATCAAAGCGTTCTGTTGGACGGAGGCTAGGAGATCAACAAGGCTAGAAAGAATTGGCGTCGTCGTGTACTGCTTTTGGCTCGAGAGGTCTTTCTACTTATCTCAGGTCGCGATTTTACAGTACGGCTTATAGGTACATGCGGAAATTGTTCTGGGTAATTTCGATACCTCCATGCGAATCTCTAGAGACTTATATTGATAACAGCCAGCAGCCCCGATCAGTGTCAACCTTTCTTCCGTGCCTATCTTTGCACATCTCTTTCACATTTTCATGGTAATCTGAACCGTAGCCTACGCCTCGGTTCAGGAGAAGCCGGCAGCCGTCCGATGATACAAAAACTTTACGTTCACGGAGGGCGTTTATCCAAATAGAATATTTGGTATTGTCATTGGTCTGCGAAGGAATGCCTTTTTCTATCTCGGTACGGTAAATGGTCCGCTCTCTAATAAACTGCAACTCATACCATTTAGTGTTCCACTGACACCATTTCCCATTTCCCATTCAGACCCTTTAAAGCTCAAACCAAACACCAATACCACACTTCTCTCCGTAATCCACACCCTAACACCCCTTAAGCTTTAACCAGAACACAATCAAGGGATATCAATCAATCATCTCATCATAAGCCCAACGCCATTTCAAACCCACCACGCCAAACCAACCTCCTCAACTCTCTCCACGGAAAACCCCTTTCAAAACCTCCCTAGCGGTAGTCAGAGACTTCCGCAAACCGCCTCCATTCTTCTTTTCCTTGTTGCTCTTCTTCTCCCCGTCTTTCCCCGCCGCCGCATTCTCGCCATTCAAGCGTCGTTTCCGCTTGTGGTTTCGCTGCAGCCAGCGGCCGGCTTTCGGCTCATCCCAGTCTTCGAAGACGGATTTCTCTTCCCTGAGGTTCGTAGGTAGCGCCACGAATGATTGCTGCCGCTCGCATTGTGGCAAGGAAAGAGTAGAGAGCGAGTATGAGGCGGGACTGTTGCGTGAGCAGGTGCGGAGTGGATGTGGTTCGAAAGCTGTGCGTATACTGAGGTTGCTTGTCGACCTGAATCCTGATTCTAATGATGTGGTGTGGGAACGTGGACGGAAAGGGATCGATTCATTGCGCAGAGGCCATGTTTCTCGAGTGTCACGTGGCGGTGGGTTGGGTGGCAGGAGTGGAGGCGGAGTAGAGTATATGTGCTGTTTTGCTGGAGGACGAACGGCGGGGTGGGGTGGGCGAACGACATATGATCGGTGGAGATCACCAGAAGAGTAAATGGGTTTGAGGTTTGGTGTTGCGAAGTTGATGCTGCACGACGAGAGGTTTGGGTATTGAGTCCGTAGTGGTGATCGAATCGCCGGATCAGTATGAAACGAGGCGCTGCTCCCAGAATCCTTTGCCAGCCAGGAGTCCCATATGGCAGCACCGGAAGTGTGATACTCGTAGTCATCATCATCGTACGAAGTATCCGAACCGTATGTTCCTATAATATCTTCTACCAGATCTGGTGCAGAGCTTTCTGACGAGATAGAGAGCTGACGTCGAGCCCGATGTGGTGATAACTGACATGCCACTGGCACTCGTGATACCATTCTTGTGTTGACTGCATCAAGGTAATAGGACTCCGGTAAATGCTGGCGAAGGTCCATGTTTGAACTGAATGTAGTAGACGGGGATGATAGTAACCAGCCCTTCCTCGAGTCTTGATCGTGCGGGGACGCGGCCATCATATCTTTTTATCGATAGAAGACGCCTCTCTGAAGAAGCCGTCATGTAACGGAGAGATTATGATGGCGGAGTATGTATCAATACCAAAGCAAGGGAGATTTTGATACAGACGAGGGATGTCCACATATCTCGACCAGATGCTGGAGATAAGAATATATGCCCAGCAACGGGACGTGTAAGCCCAAAATCCACAATTGTGAACATTAAGGACCTCCTGAATAGGCAGCCGTTGTTTATCATGTAGCTGCATTCCATTTAGAAATCGCGCCAGCACGCAGGGTTAAAAACGTGTGAACCCGTGAGAATGCAGAGATCGGCGCTGCCAATCAGAGCCGCCCTGCAACGATCTGCGCAGGGCTGAAGTATCAACGCCACTAGAAGATTCTTTAGGTTGCATCAGGCATACTTAATTATTCTAAGAATAAAGTGCCGACGCTTCATTCTGTCGTAACCCTTTACACGAGGGTGGGTTAGTGCCGTCTGCTAAGAGGGGAACACTTGTCGAAGAAATTGGAATATAGAATACCAACTATGGAAGTTTCTGTATACCGGCAGCGCTGGAGCCTGGGGTAAATGTTCAAACACCTAACACTTGAGAGGTCCAGCTGTCGGAAGAAAATTAAAAATCGAAGTCAATTCTTCGTTGGCAGGAAGCTCGAATCATCGAAAAGTCTGCGGTCGTCGATTTTGTTTTCCAACCCGCGTGCCATAAATCCTCGTGTTTACATGGCATCTAAAGTCTGGCTCTATCGGCCTGGGGTTTCCAACTCACAAGTGTTCTATTGAAGGGGACGAGACGCGCCGCTCAATGCGTGACCACGTTTCAGATGTCGTTCATTCTTGGTATCAATCTCAGGCTTTTGCGGTGGTGAGGCGGGGTAATAACATCAAGGGCGTAAAAATCCCTTTCTTGAGAAAGCTAACCGGCGGAGCTTTTCGACGCGTCTAACGTCCATGCAGGAAAGTCGTCATTCTCGCTCCTTGCTGCAGAAGTCCTTGAGACACCCGCAGTTTACAAAGGCTTTGTGACTTTGTTTAGATCAGCAGATTGAAGGGAGTGTTGTCGAGTCAAGGGGGTCTTGAAGAGTTAGGCGAGTATCCCTGCTGCGCCCAGCATCGGGGGATTTTCTTTTGTTGCTTTTGATCTTCAAGATTGGAGCACAACCAATACATATACCTTCGGCCGGAAAGGAACCATAGTCAAATAAATCCTTAAGAAACCGTACTAGCCCGATGAAAAACAGGCCGGAGGAAATGGCATGAAAACAAACTCTGAGGAGAAAAGGATGAAAAAGGCTTCTGCAGTCGGCTGACCCCTCTATTGTCGCACTCGCTAATAATAAGATAAAACGGTAAACTCAGGATAAGTTGCAATGTGGCTGACATTGTTCCATTGTTTCGGCACTTGGAAGATCGGAAGATCGGGCCGCTAAGTAAGGGGTTCTGATCTGGTGCTTCTGACCTCCTTCGATGCTATGTTCTTTTGTCTCAAGCCTCAGGCATACGGGGAAGGGATACTGGACTGCGCAGCAGACCCTAAAGTAGAGATGTTTGCGGCGAGGCTTGAGTAATCGCGGGAAGGGAAGAGTCGAAGATGACGAGATAACCAATCCCGTGATGTATCCCACCTTTCCCGTTACCTTCTTTCTTCCTGCTTTTCCCCCTTCGCTGCCAACATTCACCCAAATAAAGTATGAGGTACAGTGCTCATGGTTCAAGAATCCCCTATAAGTTACCTAAGTCCTCTATTGATATATGCCAGATCTGCTTTTCTCAGAAGCTCACACTCTACTAAAATAGTAACCATAGATAGTATAGTTAATGCAAGTCGCACCGATGTAAACACAATATAAACACAATAAATTTAGTTGACCAAGAGCCAAAACCCACGATAGGTTTACCAGCTTGCAATCGATCGCCTAGGCAGACGTAGTTGCAGAGTTTCTGCTGCAATGTCGACCAGAAGATATGGACCACTGCATCCACGCCCGAAGGTCAGGATGCCGCGGTGAGTAATCGGACGGGATATCGATCTCCTTGCTCCAAAAATAGGCCTATACCACAGATTGAACCGATCCGCGAGGGAAAGGAGGTAAGGGCCAGAGTGATTGGCAAGTACTGGCTTCTAGATGGATGTACAGTGTACAGCCACCTTTCAGGCAGAGATGAGTTTGATGTGGAAGGAAAATGGCCGGGTTGGAACCGAGCAAGACGAGAACCGATTGTCATTAGATCGTACAGTAATATACCTATGTTACAGTCTATCGTGAAATTCATCAAACCATACGTCGCTCATATCCCGGAACACCTAAACTCAGTATCGCTAAACCCGCAGCAGTCATTAATATCAAAATCATTAATCGTGTCTCACCTCCCGCTCAGGACCAACACTTGCTGTGCGCCTCTTCGGCCAATCCTCTCGATCCCGAGTGACTCCTTTCCGTTTCGCCCTCTATAGATTCCGAATGCATATCTGGATTCATAACCAGTTGCACTCAAGGCCATCAATCTCGTAATTAAGTCTGACTTGGTTGGTGGCGAATTGAACGCTGCGTCAGTCAAGATTCCGCTGTTATAGACAAAGCTGAAAATCTCTGCAAGGCAGTCGACAGAGTGAGGAAGACGCATTTGGTGACGGTTTGGGATCAAGATGAGGAGGCCGATGAGGTAGAGAATCAGGACCGCGAGAAGTATGTAGAATGATGGCAGGTTGGGCATCATACGGACGTCGTTGGATATCGTGAGAGGGAAGAATAATCCACCTGCGAGCAGGGGAAGGAGTATAAACAGGAATGACAAGAGCGATACGATAGCCACTCGGTAGTGACCTCTCCGTAAGGCCTTCAGGGTGCACTCGATCGGAAGGTCGGCAGTGTAGTCGAGAAGGAGCGATCTTTTTGCCGTAGTGCCGTCCGTATTCCCAAGCTCTGCCCAAGGTTGAAGTTTGCGTAGACCCATATCCAAAGGTTGGAAGAGAAGGTAGAGGAGCATACCAATAACCGAAGGTACAAAGCTGTACAGGAAGTTGGCTGGCGAGAACCCCTGAGAATCTGGCGCTGCAGGCACTAGTGGCAAAAATCCATGGCGAATGGCAGTGGAAGGCAGAAATGATATGATAATCAAGGCGAGAAGGAGGATGAATGCCGTGATAGACCAGAAAATAATGGTTGCATCGCGCAGTTGCCGGGGGATATATCGGAAGCGTGTAGCCCTGCTGTACAAGTCTGCAGCTATTTCGACGTCTGATGACTGGTAGGGTTCAAACCCATCATCGTTGGAAGGTTTCTCGTGAATCTTGCCAGCTGCCAAAGTATACCGCCGTGTGGATGTCCCTTCTTCACCAACACAATAGAATATTCCTTGTGCTGGATCTTGTGTCTTCCAATAGCCCAGTCGATCACTCCTCATGGCCAACCTCTCCTCAATCTGTTTTCTGTTTCTCATAACCTCCGTCCCAGGGTAGTCCTTTAGACTATTGCTTCCAGGCAAAAGCACAACCAAGTCTGCCAATGATCGAGGATCCCACAATAACCCAGTAGTGCGCCGAAAGAAAAACACACCCGATATAACCGTTGCAACCAAAACAAGCACATATATGGCAACAAGCGTCCAGGCGACACCTTGAACAGCTGCCCAACGCCATCCCCCTCCTACAGGAATGACCGCGAACAAACAGCCCTGTAGTGGTATCGTGAAAATCGTGAGCCAGAAGAACACATTGGCAACACCAATACTCCCCGGGCCATCCAATCTCGGCCATAAAAAACATTTCGGATATATTCCCAGAAACAGAGCCTTTGTTCTGCTATCCGCATCATTCATGGCCATTAGGGCGTAAGGCATAATTCTCGTAATAGCGGACACAACACCTTGGACATATAGCAGTATGACCGCAGCCAGGACTTGCGGCAGAAACCCGAAGATAAAATACAAACCGCCCCATATACCATCAGACCAGCCAACAAGGCCTTGATGGTGGGACGAATAGATAGCGCAGAACATAAGTGCAGCTATCATCATGAGACATAATAATGATAAAGTAATCATCGAAGTCGCTCGTAAAATTGTTGGTACAAACATAAGCGGCGGGTATCGTGAAGAACGCATTGGAGGCTGGACAGGAATGAACATCTCCGGGCCAGGAGATCTGTCCGAGGCGGGTGAGAGCGGTCTCGTCGCATTGAATCGGAATAATGGCTCTGGATCTGACGAGGAAGAGGAGCGGTGTTTCCTGATAGATTCCCTCGCGAGTCGTTTGTCGTTGTAATAATCAAGACCTTGATCTCGCACCGGCGGCTCGACTGGATAGGCATATGTGCTTGGCCCAGTTATCAAGCGGCCTGGAGAGATGCCGACCTCTTCATCTCGAGTCAATTGATCGAGAGCAAATCGTATATACGGCGTATCGTCTACGCTTGGCGTTGGAGGGCTTGAATCCACGTCGATTTCAGCCCTCTCCATCGTTGCAACTTCCACCTCGCCGCTCCTGACCGGCTCCTCCTCGGACTGCATAACCAACGGTTCATCAGAAGCATGTGCAGATTCATTGATGCCAATCGAAAAATGTTCGCTGTGGCGTTTGAAATTTTCCTGGCCGAGATCTTCCTGGCTGCTTTCGGGTGTCCTAATTCGTGAGGGAGGAGTTTCCCACCGGACCACCGTCACAGGGGTGTTGGAGACGGTCGAGGAAAACGAAGGAGTGCGAAAGTCAAGAAGTCGGGCATCAAGAGGAGTGACAGGAAGATCAGCCGTTTGGGGATGATTCCCTTGAGGTCGAGGTCAGCCAGATTCCAGACAGACAACGGCATCAACAGCAAGACTCACGATGAACGTCCCGTTCCTCTAGATCTCCAAAGTTCATCGTGTGTGCGGCTCCACCCGTAAAACGTGGAGTATGCTAAGAAAGCCATCTTGACGGCGCTTTCAGACTATATTAGGCTGATGAATGGTTGTCAATTGCCGTGAGGCTGGGAATGGAGAAGCAGGGGAGAAAAAAAGAGGCGGCGAAGAAAAGCAAGAAAAGTTCCCAGCCTCCGCACATGACACATGATAGACACACGGGACTTGGCTGATCGCACGCGAGAAACCCTGAACTCACCCTGAAAACACCCGCGACTGTCTTGAAAATGATAGACCGGGCAGAAATCAATAAACTACTGCATCTCACTTGTCGCGATTACCGATTTTATGACTATGCAAAGATCCTTCTCTCGGGGTCAGTCATGGTTGAATATCTGAAGAGGTAGTAGGCAGTTGTGAGGTAAACGCCATAGTCACGTGATATGAATTCTCATCACAATGGGAGTAATACCTGGGTACTCTTATACCTACCTATAGAGTAACACATTGTAGGTAAAGTAGTAGTTGGATGTTCATGCTGGCACTACCTTTTCTAAGAACTCAGACATATCCCTAAACTCAGGACCGCTTGCTACATGACCCATCCCCTCGTACTCATGTGTTTCCAGCATCTCCTCTCCAACAGTCTGGGCAACCCTAGCCTTCGTGTCCCGATAGACTCTCATAGGAACCAGCATATCCTTGGTGCCATGAGCCAGGAAGACCTTCATTCCTCCCTCTCCGCCCTTCTCGTAGCGTTTCCGCCCTTCCGCGATCTTCTCTCCCGTCGGTAGATACCCTGATAGCCCCACCACCGCGCCCAGCCGGCCCTGATACCTGCTCGCCAGCCCGGCAACCAAGCTGACGGCGCAGCCCTGGCTGAAGCCTCCGACCACGATCCGCCTCAGCGGGACGCCGCGCGCGACCTCGTCGTCAACAAGCCCACACACGTACTCCACACTACTAAGGATCTCGTGCTCGGCCTCATCCGCCTCTTCCGTCGCGGCAGGGCCCGCACCGCCCGAGGAACGCCCCACCGGGATGGGCGAGAAGGACGTCGGTGTGTACCAGGCGGCCGTCATCGCCTCGTGGTTGTGCGGCGCGTTGGGGAAGACCCAACTCAGGTGCGGCAACTTGTTGGCTGCGTGGAACTGCTGCGCGATATCTGGGCGGGCGTTAGTCAAGCATTCCCCGATTCATACGCGCGCGGCAATGTGGAAATGTGCGTGCGGACTCCGTGGGTTGGTAACAGTTGGAGGGGCTGGATATATGGAAATAGAATGAGGTCTCACTTGTCCAGCCATCGGCATCGTCTCCAAACCCATGTAAGAAAATGAACGTTGCCGGGTTCGCCCCTGGTGCCGGCGCGTCAATTCGCTGTGGAGGCTTCTGCGCCATGCTAAGGTAAGGTGTATATAGAGATACCAAACTGGGAGGGAGTTCCCAATATCCAAATACATTTTTTTGTTCGTGTTCTGTGTCCAGCAGTTTGCCTGCTTTTTGAGCTCTGGCAACCCCGCATTGTCCCGGAAGTTCCCCACAGCCGCAACCGACCCCGAGAGAATGTAACATCTTCGTTGAACCTTGTGATTGATATAAAGCTTCTGAAATCCTGCATTTACGTCCAAGGTTATGGAGCGCGTACGAGAATCGTCTTTTACGAGGAATTATTTTACCTTGATGAATGATAAATCAAAAGCTTGAAAGAAAGCACCATAATCCGAAAGCGAATTCGAATTCGAATTGTGGCGTGGAATCAAAAGTGTGAATCTTATTATTCAGGAGAGGATTTATGCTCCATTTCCTTTCCATACCAAATCATTTCAACCCCAGGGGTATCCTCATGTCGCGAATCAGAGAACGCTTGTACGGTGAGCTTCAGGTGTTTCTTCGCCATTATCTAGATTTGGCTCATGTACATTACAGATACAGACCATTGAGGCTCACGACATCTTACCCATCATAGGCTCATCAACCACGATACCCTCTCCCGGAACCTGTCCGTCATTAGCTAAAGCTTTCAGATCATCCTCACCCATCTCTCCATCCCACCCATTCTCCACAAGAAAAGCCCTAAACCTCTTGTCCCTTTCCGCTAGATCTTCTCCAGTCAGGTCTTCTACAAATAAGTAAGTTACAGCAATGCCGACAACCCCACAGATAGCTGCGATAATGAAGGTCCATCTCTTTCCCAGATTGTTCTGGATCGGTGTGAACGCCTGAGTTCCGATTGCAGCCCCTGCCTTCCCAACTGCGGCAGAGAATCCATAGCACGTGCCTCGGACGGAGGTTGCATAGGTTTCTGAGGAGATAAGTCCGAGCATGTCGCCCGGTCCTAGATTTCCAGAGCTTTGCATGAGCCCGTAAAAGACGACGAAGAGTGGAACTATTTTGGTGATTTTGTCATAGGAACATCCAATTATGAGACCGAAAATCAAGTATCCGGAAAAGCCCAGCATCATGGTGTTCTTCCGGCCTAGTCGATCGCAGAGCAAGGCGCCAACAATAACACCTGGGAGAGCGATGGTGCCAAGTAGCAAGGTCCATTCGGCAGTCTTCAGGACGACGTCTTTGGAAGTAGATGGTACGACAGAGGAGATAATCGTGCCGGAAAAAACTCCGTTAGGAAATGTCTGCCTATCTTCAGTACTTACATCAATAGCAGTCAGGGGGGTTCAGGGACAGATATAACACCCCAGGAAGTAATGATGTCTCGCAACTCCCAAGCCTTTGGAAAAGATTGAAGATTTACTCTGGAAATGCACATACCACAAAATCATAAAGGAACCATGCTCCACAAGTTCCAACCAAAGAGCGCCAGTAGTAGCGTAACACTAGGCGGTAAGGAACGCTACGTTTGATAGCACCTCGGCGATAGAGCACACTAGAAACCATCCTAATACGGAAGTAAAAGACAGAGAGGGGCAGAAGGCAGCCGATACCAAAACAGACACGCTACTCGTATCGTTAGCGGTATGGTTTCTTCACTTAATCAAGAAGAATGATCTGGACAAGGAAGCTTACCCAAACAGTACTATAATGAGCCTGCTTGCAGGCAGAGAAGACGATGAGGAATATGGAAACAGCTAAGGGTGTGCCGAAGGACAGGGGAAGATTTGTGACCAGGATAAAGATCGGGCCTCGTGACCTGAGCGCATGTTCATTTGCAGCTTCTGATGCTGAGGCAGAAGAAGCTGGGTATTCGCCTTGTAGTATCTATCAGTCACTGTAATTCCATTTTCGGATAAACAACTGACCTCCTACTCCGAATCCAACCATTCCTCGAGCAACCGTCATCATCCAGAACATGCTAGTGGGTATATTAGCGTCTTAGAAACATAGACGGAAATGGAGAGAGCAAATACCCATCGGGAGTAACTCCATGGGCAGCAGTAGCTAGAATACCTCCAATTACAATCATCACGGTCGTCATGATGATTGCAAACTTGCGTCCAAGATAATCGCAGGCCAAGCCTACGGTCACCTGACCAAATATCTCGCCCACGAGCAGTGAGTTCGATACACGAGTGCTGACAGTAGAGGTGTATTGTTTTGGGTATTCCTTCTTGAGCAAGACATTGACCATAGTCATGATGTTATTAAAGTAGCCATCTGATACGAGGGCAGCACCTGCGGCGAACTAGTAACGATTAGCATGATTTGAGGGGTAATATAGGGTAAGCTCACTATAGTGAAGATATCCGAGAGTGATTGTTTTTTCGTTGATAACCCTTCGGAAGGACGCTTTGGATCACTGGTCACGTCTTGGGATTGGGCTGTTTGCAGCGTCGCGTCCACCTCACCCGACGGCTTCTCGCCCATGGTGGTGCGAGATGTGTATCAACAAATCTCGACTTGCCGACGGGGTACGGTGAAGCAAATGGTGACTAGATATCAGGACCCAAATTCAATGGGGAGACAGGGGATGGCTTTTGAAGAGAAAGAAAGAATACCGTAGCCAGTTCCCTTTGGAGACTGCCCTCGGTACCACAGAAAGTCGAATGCAGTGCTCGATCAACGCGGGGTCTGTCTAGTGGTACCGAGTTTTGGACCCTGAATTTCCGAAATGTACATGGCCAGCGCCAATAGAAACCGGAGAATGCCACGTTGTAGGATCTGACTAGCAAGGACTTAGAGAGTCCGGAATCCTGAGATATGGGGAGAGGCTGGGGTTGCAGCTGAGCCGCTTGAACTCTCCAAGAAAGGAAGCTGGGTAATTTTGGCGGTAAAAGACTGGGTAATCTGGTGATGATGAATTCCTCTACTGGGGGTCTCAACTCAATCCCTTGCGCGCTCTCCTGCAATCTCTCTTTGTTTTGACACATGATTCTGCCAAAGGGGACGAGGAGCACAGATTGCGATACCGATATCACCTACTACCTTGCTGTATGAAGAATCCAGTAGGTAGGATTGGAAACTCGGGATTGGTCACGTGGATGAACGGACTGAGGAGGGCAAAGCTAAAGAGCGTACCAGGTAGGGCTGGTCCGTGCCATGGTCGATCGCATTGTCCCTCGGGGAACAGAGATAGCGCAAACGGAATCTCAACGACCCCGACTCTTGCGAAGAGCCTCGCCTCACAATGCAGTAGAGATTCAGCTTTTCGCTTTTGCGACTTCGACTTTCGAGCCCTTTTCTTCTTCGATGCCAATTTCATCGCTATCCAACCAGGGACGTTCGAGAAGCTGCGCAGCCGTCCTCCTTTCCTCGGGCACCGTAAAGGAAGTGGCTGAATGACTCTGTCATATTTATTCCCTACCAATTACGGCGAGGCCAAAGTTGTGTCGTATCATCGATGGGAAAGCCCAAGAGTTGGGAGGTATAGATGACACGACGCTCATCTACAACTTAGCGAGCACCCGGCGTCTCTCGTTCGGCCCTGGAGAAATTAGAAAGAAGGGTTTCATTAGCTGGTGATATAAGGGCGTTTATTCCTAATATTTCTGACCGACATATCATTCTCTCGAGTCTGTGGTGGGAAAGGAGGCCAAAAGCTCGTACCTTTGTGTATCAGCTCAGCCTCTGTATGCAGAAAATCAAGAGGCTGAAGAAAGCAAATCAGGAGCCTTTTTGTCAAATTCCCTGGCAGCCTTCGGTCGGAGGGAATGCTCCCTGGAATCCCGACAGATTCATTCCCGGTGGTGTGTGAACGAGGCAAGGACCCATCCGGTCCTTTTGTCTCGAAAGCTTCCTGAAGTGTTCTTATATAGTTTCTGCCAGACCTGAATCAGATCGAGCACATCGGGAATCACTTGAAAACCCTGGTTCTGCAACAGTACCCGGAACTTGCGGGTATAGCAAAGGAGAAATCTCTATCAGAGTTACAGAGCCTTCAAGAATGCTCGAAGTAATGTTTAGAACGATTCACCTAACGATTTACCTGACAGCCGACGGTCTGTTCAGCGTTGCCTACGAAAGCTTGTGTAACAGGAGGGATGCGATAATTACACAAGAGTAGTCAACGAGGTAATGAAAAGTTGGTGCTTTTGTAATGGACTTATTCTCAGGGAAGAAGAAACGATTAGAGATTAAATTTGAGTGTTTGATGTTGGCTAGTCTCCTATGAGGTGCTGTGTTGTTTGTTTCGTTCGGGCTGTTCGGCTAGTACTACACCATTGTTGGTGCTGAAATATGCGCGGGAGGGTGTGTTGGTTTCAGCACACTTAACCGACGACATTGCTTCCAGCCTCGAGTTACCTTATTCTGGAAGATCGCCGAACAACATTTTGTCTATATACTCGGAAACATTCAAATTGCTCTCCTCTTATTCAAATTGCCCCCCTCCTCTTATCTGTATATGCATATCTCGATCCTACTCTACACATCCGAATCATCGACCTACTCCGCGCTGGACTGAAAATGATATCCGAATCCCTTTTGCGCAACAGACGAGTTGATTCTAGATGTGGCATTGAACAAACGTGGAAAACCCAGTGTTGGTTTTGCTTTAAATAGAGGTCAATCTACATAGTCGCTGCTTGACTTTGTCGATGATAGGTATCTCTCAACTAGGGGGGCGTTGAAGGTAGGATTGCCTGATGTAGTGACCCGCCAACCGTCTTTGATTGTTGCAGGGACCTTAGCTTTTCTTTATTTTCTTAGAATGAGTCTCTTATGCGGCCATATATGTGTCAACCTGGCTGGCAAGCTGCTAGACATATCACCAAAATGATTTAGCATGCACGACTATTCAATGACTGATTAAAGAATGCAAGATGAAAAGAAGTGTGCTTTCCATCATGTTGCTGTCATAGTTCACGGTTTCTGGATCTCCTAGACAGGTCTTCTTCTTACGCCCAGCTTCTGGCGTCTATTGGCGGTGGATCTGATATCATCTACTCCAGAATACTGTGTGATTATCCGTTTCAACTTGACGCTGCAGGCGGCATAATATAGGCACAAGAGCATATCAAAAAGTTCCAGAGCATCCCAAATCGAGATCTATACCAAACAGATTCCTAGTTCTCTCCATAATGTTCTAAGTCGATTGTTGAACTCGCCGAATACTCCAGAGAACAACATCCGAGAACTTTGGAATCATCCGGCCACCTCTGGACGTCGCTCGGGCAGCAAATTCAGCTGAAGGATCCCTGGTCCATGTGGTGTTATACAGAGTATGGTTGTGCCTTGCGTGACTTTCAGCCCATAACCGCCGATGGGCTGGTGGGCTTGAAGTAGGCTATATACCATTACCTGCTCCTGGTAGGACAGACATTGGCATTGGAAATCGCTTCTGGGATGCTATATATTGGGACTGTGATGTCTATGAGGTTGGCTCCATTTGTGTCACTGGGATATTGCATTTCTATAGCGTATTGCTGAACTAAAAGGTGATATTACTTCTTTTTGTATGCAAGGTCAGCTTCCCTAAATGTTATTTTCAACACAATTGCGTAAATAGCGGCCTCAGCCACGGCTTAAAGTGAATATTTTCTGTGGCTTGATATCAACGCGCTTCTTTCTCAATCATATTCTCGCGTATCTTAACTTCGACAACTTGGGAATTATGCCATAACAGTCCGTTGGTTCTTTGTTTGCTGGCCTCACACTACAAGTAGCCAGTATTCGATCCCAGATTTTGGTGGTCGCGTCGACAGTCTCTACTTGTCTTTAGTTTCCATCAAGGATCAAGACGTACGCAGGTTAACTCACGAAACGATATTACCGTCATTCCTTTTCGATCTACTCTATCCGTTCTCTGTCATAATCTTCTTTTCCTCGTGTGAAAATGGTTTCTAGTCGTCACCGAGTTTCACGGCCAGGTAAGCACACCCCGCGCCGAGCTGACTTCGATCTATTATCGCGTCGTAACTTCCTCCTCTCCCCTATCCGTTGTTATTTCGTTCGTCCAACTTGCTAAAACGGACACAATGAGACAGGTCCTCATTCTCACAAGGTCTCTACGCGGCGCCATAGGACGCAGCAGCTCAGGCCACAAGGGATTTATCACCATATCAACATTCAGCGAGCACCCGACGAGGAGGAGGTCGTGGACCCTAATACCGAGACTGTGGAAGACTTTGTCCTCAAGGACTCCATACAAACAGAGATCGAAGATCAATTGCTATACGCGATAAAGCCACCTTCCGCTACAGAAGCCCCGACTCGACCTCACTCATTTGCTGAAGCAGTCATGTCGACGCGCCGTGGTCGATCTAATCGCGTCGACGATGGTTCTGATGCTACTCTTGCCGGACCCGTAAGCCTCGAGTCTCTTGGGCCTTTCAAGTATACATTCAAGAAGAAAAAGGTTTCCAAGTGGGCGCCGTTCGATCTGGGGGCCACTGACAGTGCGAGCGAGGAGGGAAGCGTTGCGGAGGCGGGACCGGTCTCGAGGGCAGCTTCGCCAAGCTCACAGATTCCTGGAGCCGCATCTACGTTTACATCGACATCTTCCTTCATAACACGACTACCTCCCCATCCAGCTCCAACTTCACCAATTCCATCTCTCGAACAGAGCAATTCGGCCACTTCATTCACTACTCCGGACAAAGTCACGCGTTACATTGGTGCACCGCATACCCCAACCGACCCAGATCCGACTCCAACGCAAGCACGCTTCGATTTGGCTGCACTGAGTCTTCGTGACCTGGGTGGTGATGCTGTAAATCGAGCGTCTCCAGATTACACTGACTCCGGCGTCTCCGATACTGAATCTACAAGGCTCCGGACTGAAGAAGCCATGGCGAGTTTGACTCAGTCCTTCGGTTCCAACAAGGCTACAAAAGCTGGCGGCGACGATTTCGACGCTCTCGAGTGGGATAACGACCCGGCCGCTCCAGACCAGTCGCCAGAGCCAGTCGCAGCCAACCCACAGCCTCTTGCTTACACCACCGTTGGATCCATTGTCAACCCAAATACCGTTCCTCAATTCACTGCTCCGAACCGGGTCCAGCGTGAGGGTTCTGGCCGGAGATCTTTGTTGCCAATGATGCAGGGTCGTCACCACGATTCCTTCTTCCAGCATCGCGCTCCACCGCCACCATTGAATATGCAGAACTCGATGCAATACACCCAGCAGCTCGCCCATACCCCCAGTCGTTTTAACCTCAATCAAACCCCAACACCAAACCCGTCTCGCTCTTCTCGGCCTATACGTTCACTTCGTCAAACCTCCTCGTTAACCGAACAAGAGAAGAGCGTCCTGACGAAGGTGCAAGGCCCAATGGCTCCGCACATGTTCTCGGGAAATCGCGCAGGCCCCCAAGTTAGATCAGCTCCCTCCGATAAGCTCTTCTCGACGGCTACGGATGCGACATATCTGGTGGATGAGGTGGAATTAGGACGCTCCAACAATCTACAAGGTCAAGCTTCTGTTCAAGGCCTTGAGAAGATGCAGACATTACAGAGACTCGCCAAATTTGATAACCCTATGCGAAATATTGCTCAGAGCCGCCTTTCTGAATTCTCGGTTTCTAAATCGACTGGTCAGACCACAACTCGCAATAACGCAGTATTGACGATCGAAGCATTGCTTCGTGACAAAACCGCGACTCCTACGACCACTTTGGCTAAGGCGGGTACGAATGCCAGCGGGCACGGAGAACTTGATCGTAACTATCAATTTCCCCCTCCAGGATTTACCGGCCCATCAAAAGCTCAAATCAATCCGCTGTTTGGTGCGTACAGTCGATCGACTGCAGAACCCTTGAGAGGTCCCGCCAACCGTCCGGGCTACCCGGCTCCTCTCACTGCTGGACCCCCAGGTCAACGACAATATCAGGGAGCGGCGAACAAGTCAAATACGGTCCACACTGATAACCCATGGGCGTCTGACACGCGAACTTCAGCCTTCAATTCATATGCCGATAATAATGCTCTAACTACTTCGTCATGGGTCGACTCGCACAATATGATGCCCGCGCAACCATTTATAGCCCAGTCTATTGTTCCTCCTCACAATGGTGGAGGTTGCAACTCGAACCTTGTGGATACACTTCCTGTACCTGTCGCTTCTAAGTACTATCCACGAGGCATTCCAACCGACATGACCGGAGCGACTACCCCTCTTCCATACCTCACACAGAGGAAGATGGGCCAGATACCTAATGACCCGGAACCACAAACGATGCAAGAGAAGAAAGCCAAGAAAATGGAAGAACTTGATAACTGGTTCTATGATGGACAAAGACGCTTTGCCACCATGTCAGCAGATGATCATATCAAAGATCTCGAAGAACGTAAACGAGCATGTGCCAACAAGTTTGGACCTATTGGACCACCGGCCAAGAAGAATCTTCCAACTACTAAAAAAGAGCCTTTTACCGCTGAAGATATGAGTAGAATGACCGTCGCTGATGCTGCGGCCCCTCTCCTTGATGCCGCTTTCGGGACACTACTAAGTTATGGAACTAAGATCAAGGCCTCGGATACAGCAAAGGTCCTCAGCAAGTTTGAACCTAGCCCGGCTTGGCAGATTGATGATACCGACAAAGGCAACACTTCATTCTTTGGAGAAGATTGGGGACCGCCACCGAAGAGAGCCGGCAGGGATCCTAGATATCAGTCAACCTTCCACAACCCGCAATCAACCAACTGGGAGAAATAGGTGGTAGATCGGATGCAAGGCGAATTCTCAGATATGCACATGAGAAGATAACAGCTAACTGCTGAATTTTCGTCTCTCCTCATCACCACATACGTGGAATCGATCCGTCCCGAGCTTTGTTGTCGGCAACGAAGATCTTCGTGCTTTTGATTTCTTTCACCTTCCATGGCTGCAGCCCATCCAGCAACTCACCTTTACTGACTTTCATGCCATTAGCTGCTTATTGTAGGAATAGTTACGACGTTTGGTTTTCATCTGCATTGTCTGTATTAGCTTTCAGTTTCTTGCCCCACGCTCAGTTGTTGCTTGCGGAATTACTACTGCTCTTTCAAGTTGCATACCTGATGAGCCGGAGATGCGTATGGGTGATGGATTATGGATTATGATGCATGCATGATAATGATCAGCTAGCTGCCTCCTCGCTTGTGGTGACGTGTGGTGGAGCCTGGAGGCGGTAGCTAGCTAGCTCTTGATACAGAATGGAATTGATTCATTAAATCCGACCAAGCAATTGGAGATATAAATGTGTTCTAGGATCTCACAGCCTCGTTCATCTAATTTTCTAGCCCAATGAGCACTGACTTTGGTTTCCTTTGGTTTCCACCATGCGAGGTTCATTATCTAGATACAGGATCCTTTCAACCGTGGATTTCGATGAAAGTGAATTGCCACCTCTGAAATGTATGTGATGAACCCGAGAGATTTAAATATTGTTGAACATTCCAATTCGCAAATTCGCAAGTCCTCTTCACACGTCATGATCAGTCGTTTGATTGGCCATAGTCAACCTCGCCTTCAAATACAACCACCAAGACCAACCGAGTAAACAATCGAAACACAAAAGCATCAATCGTCTGTCGGGAATTCAAAGCTTGAGCGTCTTGCTTTAGTAGTGCCATGTGTGATAGTCTTGCAGTCAATGAAGTAACCAAACATATAATCCTCGGATTTAATTCGTGTCATATGACCCAAGTGATATCATAGTATGATGTGAGTATATAATTAAGCATTTGCATGGGAGAGATATAGCTCTTTATCCTCCTACCTATTCTTATATTCTGCCCTCTTTAAGAACTAAGCCCATTACTTGAATTGACGACCAGGCTATTTATTACTATCATAATATCAACATGGCCTCGGAATCTGGCCTAATAAGTTCTAATGCATATCTTGAAGATGTGCCAGAAGTGGAAGCTACGTTTCGCTTTACAGACTCTGATAGCCTGAGAAGAACCCTTCGCGAGTTCTCTTACACCACAAGGGATCGTGACGAACTTAGTGACAAGACTGTTCTCGTTACAGAATTCCCGCCCGAGAGCTTCATTATCGACAGTGACGAAGAGTACGAAGAGTCTCCTATCCCAAAATCCTATAAGGCCCTATATCTCGAAGATGTAAGAATCCTCGTCCTCGTCATGCGGGGGCTCCCTCGCGAAGTAGCCAGTCAGCATTTTGGAGTGAAACTCGGTATAAAACTAAATGGCATGAACTGCTTGGAGGAAATTATTCTGACCGGAGGAGCGACACGTGCACTACGTGGTGTTAGAAAAGAGCCAGATGGATCGTGGGGCCCGAGAGGCAAAGAGTACAGCACTTGTGTACTAGAATCAGGGGTTTCGGAGAGCAACCGCGCACTGCAGCGCGATGCCAGGATATGGTTGGAGCACGAAGAATCTCATGTATCGCAAGTGGTCACAATAAAGATTCACCGCGTACGACCAGAGATTGTTTTTAGCGTGTGGAAGGCAACAGAGGAAGAGATATCAACTCAACGTCGCTCATTTTCAGAACAAGAGGTTCTTGTGACACTAACACATGGGCGACTAACGGCAGATGGAAGACTTTGTCTCTCGTTTGAGGAGCTTTTTGAGCGGCCACCACGGCCTGGGACACGAGAGTGCGATATCGTCTTTTCTCCTGGTGAGCTAGGGGGGATAGCTAGGGTAGTGTGGGAAGAAATGGATTTGTACAGTGATGATAATCATAGAATATTATAAACGGCCCAGATACCTTTCTTCCGTCACTCGCCTTGTCTAAGGTTTAAGATATTGCAGTTGTATAATACCTAGCTTTCCATGCTGCTCATGTGTTAAGATTCGCATCTAGTGAAGAAGATAGGAGCGGTGAGAAACTGAGATCGGGAAAATAGAGCCTAGGAACCGAGAATCTACTGCTAACATAACCGCGAGCGGCACAGAAACAAGGGGGTAAGTGTTAGGTCCTGGGAAAGAAAATATCTGATTCTGATTTCCAAGACCTTCGAGCAGAGGCGGTGTTGGATTTATACCTCGAGGTTGGGGAAGCTGCATCAAGTCTTCGGTGCTGCTGCAGCGCACCGGAGAATAGAGGGTATATATTTCGATTTAAACACAACTCTAGCACATACGACCACAGACTGAGGAGAATTGGGCATCCCGTCCGCTCTGCCATACACAAGCCTCAGATCGGCAGATTAGTAGTTGGGTGGGTGACCACCAGCGAATACCTGCTGTTGTATGTTTTTGGGTTTTCTTTTTTTTCCTATTTGTTTCTTTTTACTCCGTACTGTAATGGGTGGTGGGAGCTCTTTTATTGGTGGGTTGTATTTCTAAGATTGAAAGTGCCACCACTGTGGGCATATAGCTAGCTAAGCGAACCCCCATTAATAATAGTGATGTCATGTGACCATTTCCCATCGCTACAGTACTCGTTAGCTTCGCTTAGGTGTTGTTGTCGCGTAGTTGGCCGCTTTTCCTTTTCGCGTTTTCTCGTCCTCCCGTTTAGATATTCTCACCTGGAAAGTGTATATGTATCCAGATGGTGAAATAGCTGTCACATACGACCACAGACTGAGGAGAACTGGGCATCCCGTCCGCTCTGCCATACATAAGCCTCAGATCGGTAGATTAGTAGTTGGGTGGGTGACCACCAGCGAATACCTACTGTTGTATGTTTTTTGTTCTTTTTGGCGCTTCCTTTTTTATTTTTGTCTTCCGGTCTTATGCACCTTGAGATTTTGCTCTCTACTTTTGATGCAGGCTTTTGTTGATCAACTTTCGATTCCTTCTGGCTACGATACCTTTTCAAGCATACTTCGTAACTGAGATGGTTCGGAGATAGCTATCCTGGTTGTCTTTTTTCTTTCTACGGAAGAATTCAGGACACAGTAGTAGCCTGTCCTTGGTCAAAGCGGGAAAATAATGCCGTCAAGATGCTGTAGTCAAGTTTGACCCTTTATCAGTTCTTGTGCTTATATGCTTGATAGGGGAATTCGTATGCTTATGTATAATTACAAAATGATGGAAGGTAAAAGAACTTTTGAACCATCCTGAAACGAAACCAGAGACCAGAAGTCAAAAGATAAAGCCCGCAACCATTACTTTTTGCCAGAGAATATCAATCGCACCATTTCATATTCTTTCCTTCGCTTTATAAAGAATCATCGTCGTCGTCGTCATCATCATCGTCATCATTATGTACCTGCGAGTTTCCACCGCTCTTCACCCAGATTTCGAACGTCTCCTTAGCTGGCCTATCTCCCTTTGCGAGCTCGAATAGTCCATTGATTTTTCTTTTGGCATCTTGCCATATCTGCTCGCTATCGGATCTGTTGAGTACAATCTTATTGTTCCCCCTCCAATTACATGGCAAGATGATGTAGGGAGCGGAGCCATACACGGTACACCTGCGGATGCTTTCTAGAAAGCAGTTCGAAGAATCCGGGCAACGTCAAGCCTTTCAATGTTTTCCGAGGGAGGGCGTTGGAAACGTCGTCGGGAACATTTGCTTGCTTGAAAAGCAAGTAGACAAGACGTGGTTTGCGGAGAGTCGGAGTGTGGTTTGTAGTGCTGGTAGAAGGGGCAGTGACAGGAGGTGCGGCTAGGATTGGTGGAGAATTGAGGTCAGGTTGGTTCTCGAGTGCCGAAGGAGCAGGCCTATTTGTTTCTTGAATTGATGCAATAGAAGGTCCGTGCGGTTCGATAACTACGATTGTCTCTTCGTTTTCCCCATTGCGAGGAAGACCATCATGAGAAAGCTTTGGCAGGCTCTCTGCCTGCGGAGATAGTTGAGACAACAGTGGAGGAGACTGTGCGATTGAATCTGCCGCAGGAGGGCCCATCGCTTGCGAATTCGAGGTGCGATGAGTCTGCCCGTCATTGAGGTTTAAAGGGTTGTATGCATTGACGGTTATTGAGTCTGCGGGTTCGTTTCGAGTTCTAGAAATCATGCTCGCAACTGGCGCACGAAATCTTTCTTTGCCAGTTGTATCGACGATGGTGTTACTCATGGAAGCAGCCTCAGCAGGTGCCTATGATAAAGTTAGAAGGATCTGGGTGTGTCTCTCTTTCTCGTACCTCCATCCAAGTTTCCTCTGGAAAGTAGTCATCGTCATTAAGATCATTGCTCGAGTGAGGTTGATGGTTTGACCGTTGATCCGACGAAAAGGCTGTCTTAGGTCTCTTGGAACGTCTGGTAGCATCATGTGACATGAAATGCTTTGAAGTCTTAGCTTGGAGTCTATTTGTATATGTTGTTCCATCGTCGAGCTTGCCAAACTAGCTGGGCAGCCTGGGCTAGCGGGTGTATCCCAAAAGTCATCGCCGGCTTTACAAGCTTCATGGTGAACATCTGCTCTATCAGAAGAATTTTCATTCTCGTCAGTACCCCTTTGTTCTGCCACCTCCATATTGGCCTTATTCAAGTCAACATAATCCCGAGATAAGAACAGAAGGCCGGAACATACCTTACTGATAGCATTCCTTACGGCCATATACTCTTGCATGCACATCAATTTTGCTAGTGTTTCCCTTATTCTACTTGGCGTCAGTGGATGTTATCTAAATAGTTTTACATAAGACTTACTTGACATCGTCGCGCGGGTATACTGGCCATTCGAACTTGACTGTCTCTGGTGTTTCCAAGAACAACTTGACATTCTGTGTCAAGAAGCTCGAGGCACATTCTAGGACTTGTGGATGGTTATACTCTAATGGGAATTCCGCAGATCCCAAAAGATATTGTCTTTTGAACTCTTCCCGATGTTTCCTCGTTGGGTAACTGAGGCTAGAATGATATCGGGCGTTTTTTTTTTTGTGATCTGAGCCGTATCCCAAGGCTTGGCAGAGCTGACGGACTGTGCCGTAGTTGGGATCTGATACTCCCATATTGTCGAATCTGTTCATCAAGATTTAAAAAATAGAATGAGAGGCAAGTAGTGGAAGAACTATGCGTTATAGCTTTGATGAGATTGATGAGATTGATGAGATTGATGAGATTGATGAGATTGATGAGATTGATGAGATTGATGAGATTGATGAGATTGATGAGATTGATGAGATTGATGAGATTGATGAGATTGATGAGATTGATGAGATTGATGAGATTGATGAGATTGATGAGATTGATGAGATTGATGAGATTGATGAGATAGAAAAGCTCCTCTAGATCATCTACATCTTTATATCTACTGCTTTCACAATCGGGGCATAAATGCTAGTACGACTTGCCAAGGTGCGAGGCACGATGCATCTACTCCAAAAGTTGTTACACCAATACGACTTGCCAAGGTGCGAGGCATAATGCATCTGCTCCGATTAGCCTCCGAATGTTATTGCACCAATAGCGAGAGTGCTGTCTTGGTTTTTTGTCAGCTTGTCAGCCCAGATAATGCAGGAATCGACCAGACTGTCAATCCTAACAAAAGGAAAACTGTCTCCTTTATTTCAGCTGGTCATGAGTCCAACCAATCAATCCAGCAGCAAGACATTCTAGATCTCAAGAAAAAGGAGCCAGAAAAAGCAAAGCCCTCAAAAACCTTGCGGCCCGGGGCTGATCTCTCCGAATATGTCTCGGAGCGCTAATATATTTGAGTTTCAAGGGGACTCGTAAGGGTATGATTTCAAAAGTCCCGCGCAGATGTGGAGGCTGTGTAACATACACGCATGCAGGTGTTTTTCAGCTGTTACAACTTACAACCTAGTCGATGGCTCCATTTTCCTTTTTTAACAGAGGCGGACGCATGCTACCATCCAAAAAGAAAAGGGGTTAGTTTGAAATTAAAAATAAAAAATTTTAAGAAGCTTGCATGACACGTAATAAGAGGACTTCCAGGAATAACGATTACCATTTGTACCTCTGTAAATTATCTCTTGGTTAGCGATTACGACCCTTTCTTTTATTCTGTAAGCGCCTTGCCTCTGCTTTCTGCTCCTACTATTGTGTAGGCGAATTCGAGTTATCCATTTCTCTGCGACGAAAAAGCTACTGCATAGCAAAGAATCAAAAATCAAAGCTTCCTCTTATCTGCTCTTGTCATCTTTAAAACTTAACCGCGGTCTGCGAATACGATGCACACCGCCCCTTATTAGTAGAACACCTTGGATGTACAAGCTTATTATCTCTCTAATCTGGAACCTGGAGGGTAAGGTAAATCACTCTTTGATTGGTCACTTATCGTTGGATCAACACAGTTATTATCGCTTAATTCTATTCCCATGTTCGACAATATACCGTATTCAAGGTAGAAAAGAGACTGTGGCGGGAAGAACAGAAAACAAATAGAACCGATTTTGTCAGCCATCGGGCCTACACAACCCGCTAGTAGGATACCGACTACAGCTCACGGTTGGGTTACCAATCCCATTCTCGTTCCTCTTATTCCGTGTCATCGCCTACCTTCGAAGCTCGCAGTCAAGCAGTGGCACTGAACATTGACCCAAATACTACCTCTCTACAAAGTGAGAGGTTCGGACTGTGGGGGACAACCTTTGCCCGACTCCTATTCTAGCATGGAGTATTTGGAGCGATGCTGCCTGTGGTCCGAGCCGCGCATCACAACAAGATCTATTTGATGAAACAAGAGTCATTGTCTGCATAACAGTCATTTGCACTTCAGCTTAGTGGTCAGTACTAACTGGCCAGCTGCTGATGTCTAATTGTTTCAAAACGTTGAGATGACCAAGTATACAAGAATTACAAGGAAGATTTTCTAGGAAACTAAGCGTCGCAGAAGAGACAGTCAAGATAGCAAAAGAAGGCGACAGAATATATGGTAATGCAATTTTTATTTCCATTGCATAGCCAATGCCACTTCCAGAGCAATAAAGCAGATATTGTCGCCCGACTCGCCTAGGTGTGGGACCTAATCTTGCGATATAAAGTAAGATCCGCTTATCCAACTTGTCTGTATAATTTCGAGAGGTATATCGAAGGCCCTGTTGTGTATGCCAATAACGATTGCCGACAGAAACTAGTAGACGGACGGCCAATGCAACAACCTCCGCAGTGGTCAACCAGAGATCCAAAGTAGAATGGAGAACATTGCCGACAGATCTAGGTTGCTATTTTCGAATAAGTAAGCGACGACAACTGTCGAGAAAAGAGAAGCATTCGCATGCAGATAGTCGTCGAATTCTGCGAGGAGGCGTTAACGGTCTTAGGCACCACTATCGCAGCAGCTTTCCATGACAAATAAAAGCGCCACGCAGCATACAGTAGAATAGCGCAATTGTTGTCATATAGTGGAGTGTAGTAGAGTGATAATGAATGTACGATGCACTGATGCAGTAAGAAAAGAAAGAAAGGAGCACGCGAAAGTTCGACCCTTATTAGATACCTTACGTAAGCAGTAGCGATGCGCTACCTGCTTAGGCCCTCCACTAGTCTCCCGCCAGCCAGGCCTTAGGCAAACTCAGGCTCCAATCTTCAATTTTAGCGTGAAATCCACCAAGCTTCAACTCTCCGATTCGAGTAAAAAATTGAGGAAACTGTAGTCACAGGTCTGGGTAGCTGTGCGTGCTATTTGGCTTTTCAATCGGGGCATTGTGGTGTGAGATATTGTGCGTTGAAGATAGTGTTAAGCGTTCTGTTGCATATCGCAAACCTCGAAATCGGAGCAAGTGGTCTAGCGTGTGGAGTAGCGCCGATACCCCAGAAATTTACTAGGCTATAAAGGGCCTAGGTCCCGCGCGCTGCGTAATCCAGGGCTGGCCAATATTTGAGAATTAAGGATCTGTGCGATGTGCAACAAAACTTGGATTTCATCCGTGACCAACACTACTAAAGCCTAGAACTCTCACATGTCGACATTACGAGCCAATAATAACAACTATAAGAAGTCGAGTGATCTCCAGAGTGAGGGCGAGAGCCAAATTCCCCAAAGTCAGTGCGGGGCGCCGGGAACGCAGAGCCATGGACAGACGATTTATGGTGTCTTATTTAGCAGAATCGGAGGCTCTGCCTTCTTCGGGGATACGTCATGATGTCAGATACTCCACGCATCGACACAGCGATACACGAGCGAGACGTATACACCTGGAATGATGTGCCGCACAGGGGTTTTGAACTTATGAAAGAGGCTAGGGGATATTTAAACATCTTTTACAATTTTTCGAGAAACAAGACTTAGAACGAGAACTAGAGATATTGCTATGTAGCAGCTCTTCCCAGTTCCGGAATCTTGGGTATTAATGTCGCATAAGATCCGAAAGTCAGAAAATATGGTACGCCAAACAAAGCTAGTAGAAGAGACTTCCAACTGGCAGTCTCTCGATGATTACCCACAAGAGATGCTATCACCAACCATGGTAGAGGTACCCCACTTTTCCAAGATATCTTCAAAGCAGGTATAAGGCAAATCATGTTTACAGCGCCAAGAATCGTGTTCAAAGAGTGGAACGGTCCTCAAGACTGATAATCGTAGCGCTCCATAAAGACAAAGTGAGTTCTCCAGATCCAAGTACTCCTATAAGCAAGTACTGTCAAAAACATACGCTATTAAAAGTACTGTGCTAGCATCCAATCAACCATGTCAAAACATAACCTGGAGGCAGCCTTCTTACTGCTTTTGCCAATCCAAACTACACCAGATAGAGTTCAAATCCATCTGACAGCCACAGGAGAAGATACTGGTACACATATGCAAAAGGGCAGTTTGCTCTGATTAACCGGTACTCAAGCAAAAGCGGACAGTAGTGGAGACAAAAGTCGCGTTGATAATGAGCCAGTGTATTATGCTCACCATCCATATCGTATGAGGGACTCGAGAGAGACACAAAATGCTGGTCCTTACAAGAGACAAATCAATGATCTTCCGGATCAATATCAAAGATATTCTCCTACGAGACGACTGCCGAAAAGCAATCTCGTCAAGGTATCAGGCTCACTAAATTTGGTGTCTGATGGCCACCTCAACATTCCTTGATCTCAAAACACCTCGACCATATGAAAATCTGACGCTGTCATCGACAGTAGTTCCAGCGCCATAGGACCACACTAGTTACTGTTACTCAACTTAGCAACTATTCTCCCGACGTCTCGTAATAGCGCCATAACCTTGCCATTCGGTCCTTCAAGATACAGTACCAGTGAATGTCAGACATGTCTCCACGATCTTGGATCTAATGGGCTCCCATAACTGAGGTGCTAGCCAGATTCTTATCCTTTGCTGCAGAGGCAATGGCATTGTACATTCGTGAGCAAAGCAGCCAAGCTTTTGTTATGAAGCCCAGATCTAGAGCACTAGAAGCACATACCGAGTTATCATATCAGGCAAGCTCTACGGCCTGCATTTGAAAAGCCATGTGGTATGATTTTGGCAACCTGTAGGCAACAGCTTCATTGTAAATATTGGTCTCTCAACGCTGCTCGATCAAAGTTAAAAATTGTATAAAACACACCTAGTGTGCATGGTCTTTTGCCAAAAACAAAGCGACTTCTATTCCCCAAGCAAAAGTAACTTGCCACAAATAGTGGAGGTTTGGCCGAGGAGTCTCCAATGGCTTATCCTACTGCAGGAGTTTGGATACTGCAGCACCTGTCATCAGCTGCTCTCCTCCCGCCCTAAAAGTGTGACGAGTCTATTGACTGATGTTAATATGATAGAATCCTGGCAGGATTAAGCCAAGAGGATATTCTTTGGAACTTGAAAGTAAGTGTCCAGGAGATCAAGTCTCGGTTATTTACCGAAATGACCCCTTTTTTCACGAAACGTGACTCCCACCCGGAAGCCTTAATTCCACATCTGAAGAGCTTGGAGACTTGATAGAAACTACAGTAGGAGTATCAATTCAGAATCAGGGATAGAGGATGACCAAAAGCCCTTCACATCGTGGTTCAGATACTGTCCTATAACACATGTGTTATACTAGTCCAGACGTACCGTGCTACTCGAGGATACTCTCCAGTCTGTCCTACCTCAAACACCCAGATTCCCCACGATATGGTATAACACGAAAGTAGGGATGAGTTCGTAACTGGTAGTAGATTGCGTAGCACTGTTGGACTTTTAGTCTCAAGGAAATCTGTTTGTCCACGTAGACATGTATCCCGCATAGATCTCTTCGAGTTTTGTTTTGTTCACCTACCACCTTTTTCTGAGATCCCTCACCTCCACCCTTCCTCCTACCTACCAACAAACAACAACTGAACCCCCCACCACATACACCACAGACAACAGTCACAGCACTGGTAGTTGACTTACAACCTCCAGACGTGTACGCCATCATCTATCACGTTCTAGTACCTGTCTCACTGGGTGCTTCCCTCCTTGAGTGCCTATTTCACTCAAAACAACCAAATTTCCATCAGATCTACTAGATCAGACACCCCAAGCTTCCAAAGGTACAGATCCTGAGATAACGTGTCAATACTTGACTATAGTAAAGGCTAACGACATCACGTTCTAGTACCTGTCTCACTGGGTGCCTCCCTCCTTGAGTGCCTATCTCACTCGAAACGACCAATTTCCATCAGATCTACCAGATCAGACACCCCAATCCTCCAAAGGTACAGATCCTGAGATAACGTGTCAATCCTTGACTATAGTAGAGGCTAACAACATAAAAGGTCTTTCCATCGAGCAAGATGTCAGACAAGATGACAGATGCCGAGGCTCGTGCAAAGGCCGAGAGAGACCGTCCCATTATAGCGAAGCTCACACTTGCTCTGACCGACCGTACAACCATTGAGCAACTCTCTGCCTCCGGTGAAGGAGCCAGAAGAGTTCGACTTCCGGGTATGCTAGCTCGCCAGGCTCGAGCGGCAAAGGAGGAGCGAGAGGCACGCGAGCTTGCTGAGCAGATGGAGAAGGAAGCAAACACCAAGGGAGAGGACGGTAAAGAAGTCAAGGGTGATGACGGAGACGAAACAAAGGAAGAGAAGAAAGGAGATGAGGGAAAGGCAGAGGAGCAGCAGACTTCCGGATGAGGTTTCAGATCCAGCAGACAGATATCCAGCTTGTCACTGTCCAGGACATGGATAGGCTGTTCCGGGGTCTCTTGACCGGCTTGCTTTCAATATAAGCTGCACAGAACTCTATGCATGAAAGAAGGTCTTTGTTCATATTAGCACAACAGCAGAAATAGCCTGGCAATACACAAATCTGCTCCCCCAATCTTGTCACTTGTCTATAACTTATCCGCTGATTGTCTAGATACCGTGTCGAGGTCTCATCATACTGGCCCTTATCTGCAAGCTTCCTACCTATTGGTTTGATGGAATCTCGAGTCGAGACTCTCCTCCATCTACTGCCGTATGACAGGTACACTCAAGGAGAACATTCAGTAAGGCATCATAACAAGAAATAACTTGATCCTTGGACTAACAGAAGATCCTAGCCTTCCAGTCCTTACTCATTGCCTGCAAAGTGTGCAATTACTGCTCTCTGAAATTGCATGTGCACACAAGAGGTCCTACTCGAAGGGAAAAAAAGGCATAGTTCCTACAAGTGCTTTGATGTATGCGCCGTCCCTTACGTCTCTCCGACAGATTCATAATCAGATGCCCATTCAAAAGACAATAACATCTGTCGACTGATACAGCTTCCTGGAATAGGACGACAATAGCGAAGATACACTTGGCACAGCTATAACCGTATAAGCCAAGCAAGTGAACTATAGAAACAGAGAGGATCAGTATCCAGCACAACTTAACAGTGGACTGATATACCAGGCTTGACTGAGAAGAAATATACATACGCATATACTATCAGAGAGCATAAAAGCCAACAGGTGAGTCTTCAGAGTCTGCGTGCAATGCTGTAACTACTAACCAGAGTTAAGCAGTGGCCTCGCAGCAAAGGATACTCATCCATAGTCGCCAGCTTTGGCTCTTCTCGGCTCCCTATTGCAAAGGAACCATTATGATAGCACTTCTAGCTTGTCCTCAATGACCCATAATGCAACATGATGTGCGTGGCATGGGCTAGAATGCAGATAGGCTCCGCAGCCTGGCATGTTTTGGTAGGTACTGACTCCTGAGCCTAGACAACAGATGACAATTGCTTTGAAGCTTGTTTAACATGGTGATATAGTCAGGCATTTTCAAACGGTGGCTCAGTTTGTGAAGGGCGTCATCATCTTGTGCCAAGGCAGCGTGTAAGGTGATGTCGCGGACAAGCAGAAAAGTCGCGGACAAGCAGAAGCGTCGTACTTGGAGTGGCAATCCGTTCTGGTTCTGTCAATCGCACGGATAGAGGAAGCATCACACCAATTGCTGTCAGGAGACTTGATATGTTGAGGTTTGATACATGGACGTTTGGCACAAAGATGTGTTTTGATTCTAAGGCTCTCGATTGAGAGAAATTGAACAGATACGCGAAGGTTAGTTAAAGCCACCTGCCTACGCTAAGGAGAATTAAAGTATCGCTTAAAGGACGCTAAAGTAACCTTAAGCTGTGACACCTTGCACCGCATGCACTTGCCCGACACCAAAAGCTGGCATGTGAATTTGCAGAGCAAGGATATCGCATCTTGACTCTATACTCATTCTCTGGGCTTTGGATTGAGCTTTGCCATATCTTCCGGACTGTCATGCATCTGGGCTGCATGAGTTGAAACTTGACGGTTGACCTGTGTCAATTTAGAGAATTCCCAGTCTAGACTGTCTAGCCACAGCAGTCATTCTTTTTGGGTCTTATTGATAAATACATTGCGGGTCTGATTATTAAGTCAAATGACTTGCAAGTTTGTGTTGTGTCTAATTAGAAAGAAAGTGCTTTAAGTGTGGCTTTACAGCTTTGTTGATTGGGATTGGCTTAAAAGTTGGCCTTGCCTGCCAATTTCGCACCAATTTTTGTCTATCTCTTTTGCCTTAGAGAACAATCGACTAGATCCATAGCTTGGCCTGGTCATCTTCCATCTGATTTTACTTCTGGTTCACCAATTACCCAGACCTCGTTTACTCGGATGTTTCTGGTCTTGATGCAGTAGACTGTAGTTGACAAAATCCTGCTGCATACCGAAGAAATCGCGGATGTAGCCTATCCCTGTAATCTGCACATTACAGTCGTATAGCGGCGCAATAACCACTATTTTCCATTCATGTCAAATGCAACCTAAAGCAGTAATTATAATAATATTTTTTTTCCAACTTTTGCACCAATGGGCAAGGTTCTTTATTACGAAACATTAACTAGGTATCTGGGCAGCGGAAACTATAACAAAGTCTAGAGTACTCTCCTTGACAGCGCCTTTGGGTTTTGAGCACCTGGAGTATAACTCAGAGAAGGCATGTAAACAGTGGCGTCAAAAAGGAAAGAAGGCAAGAAGAACTGGAAGAGAAAAGAAGATAATAATAAACTTCTTTCTCTACTAAATACCTTAAACAGGTACTGTGTGGGAAAAGAAGATGGGAATTCATCTTTAGAAAAAAGATCAAAGAATATGTAGCCCAATGATCAATCACCTTTCGGGGCCGCTTTTCCCTGCTTTCATACTGACCTTTCGTCATTGCTTGAAATGTGCATAGTACGACGACTCGACGAGAGGAGAGGTACACAGCTTTCAAGCATTCCTCCCACTTGTAATACCTCCCAGGGTCCCCACCTATAGAATATCAAGTTCATCACCCACGCTTGTAATAATCCGCGCTTTGCTTATCGACTGATAGGGATGACACATTGACACTTACAGGAACCCGCTGTTCAAGGCAATGTGACAGGAATCCCGTATACACGAAGCAAAGAACACAGGAATATAAGTAGTGTCGTATTCTCGTAGATATTGCCTTGACAGTGCAGTCGTGAGGAGCGTAGGAATCTATCTATGTAAGAGTATCCATGACAATGCAATTATGTAGCGTTCCATTCTACCACTGCTCCTCCTATCCGCTTTCATGTGCACCGAGTAGAAGGACATGCAAACGCAGAACTGACGAGAAACAAACAAATATGCATAACCGCGCACCGAGATTTGACCAATATGCAGAAATTAACAATAACCCAAAGTAGTGTCCAAGTCTACTTTGTCCTGAGTTGAACACCCCGAAGAACGTCAACCGCTATGAAGGAATATCGATTATTTTCCCAGGATTCATAATCCAATATGGATCCAAAGCCTGTTTAATGGATTTCATTACACCAAGGGTGTCATTTCCAAGCTCCATCAGCAATGCCTCCTTCTTCCCGATCCCGATGCCATGCTCACCCTGACTCCCGCATCAGCTCAATTTAAATATGCGTACAAGGGGATGGACTCACAGTGCAGGTTCCTTCCATTTGGAGAGCCCTATTTACCATATTCTTCACACATTTTTCCACCTTCTCCTTCTCCCCCTCAACCGTCGAGTCGTACATAATACTCTCGTGGAAATTCCCATCTCCAATGTGCCCTAAGATGCTCGCAAATAATCCTAGATCGTCCATCTCCTTCTTGCTGACCTCGATGATATCAGCCAACCTTGAGAACGGTACTGCAACATCCGTGCTCCAGACCTCACTACCCTCCTTCCTCAAGGCCAGCATCGACCAGAGACTCTCTTTTCGCGCAGACCAGAGAAGCTTTTGCTCCTTTGCATCCTTGGCAAATTCAAAGTCTCCACCTTTGTGGGCCTTTGCAATTGCTGACACCATAGCTATATTCTCCTTAACAGAAGCTTTCGTTCCACTAAACTTGAAGAAGAGAGTCGGCAACTCTTTCCATTTTCTTGGCGCCGTTGACCCTGACAAGTTGACAACTTTCATCTGGACCTCATCCATAATCTCCATAGCTGCAACCTGTATACCAGCCCTCATAACCCCGGCGGCAGCTGACGCCGCATCTCGGATTGTAGGGAACGTGACGACAGCAACCGAGTATTCTTGTGGCACTACCGCGAGCTTCAGAGTGATCTCGGTCACCAAACCGAGTGTACCTTCTGACCCTACAAAGAGACTATTGAGATTATATCCAGCTGAGCTTTTTCTCGGACGACGCTTGGTCTTGATGATAGTACCATCTGCAAGAACAACAGTGAGATTGATTACCCAGTCCTTCATGGTACCATAGCGAACAGCATTAGTCCCAGAGCAGTTCGTTCCCACCATTCCCCCTATTCTTGCACTGGGACCGGGGTCGACAGGGAAAAAGAGTCCGGACTGGCGTTTGGCCAACTCCTCATTCAATTCCATCCAAGAAACAGAGGGCTGGACGACAATATCCATATCCTCCTGATTGAATTGCAGAATCTGGTCCATGAATGCGAAATCGACGGAAATGCCCCCATAAGGGGCTGAGAAGTTGCCTTCGAGACTGGATCCTCCGGAGAAAGGGATGATGGGTACTCGATATTTGTAGCAGATTTTGGCAATTTGAGATACTTCCTCCGTAGACCTTGGATACGCTACTGCGACGGGGAGACTATCGACGTTGGTTGAGGACCATTCTGAATAACCGTGAGCTTTCAGGTCTTCAGGATCGGTCGAGATGGTATCCTCATTCCCTATCGCTTGACGGATTTCCTTGATGGCCTAGTACAATTCAGTAAATGATTGGATAACATGTTCTCGGTGACCGCTTACAGCTTCCATGTCGTTGAGATTGGCATATTTTGGCTGGCCGCCAAACTTGGCGGGATTTGAATAATCCTTCTCTTTCACCCTCCCCAACTGCGACTGCACTGTAGCAATATAGTAAGTCAGACATCCCGCCGCTGCAACCAGACTCAGGACTTGAAATGTAGTCCATCTGCTCGCTGCCGCTCTCACGGCAGGTTTGCCTTTGCCCTGCCCACGCGAGACGGCTGATGCGTCTGAGCTGCTCCATCGACACCTCGATATCGAGTTGCTCGTCCACGGCGGGGTAATACGACACGGGCTCGGCTGAAGAGACCTGGAAGCGAGGAACCTGGCCGCCCTCGGGACCTTCTGGGCCGACATGCAGAGGGACATGTTCCGTGGCAGGGATTGCAAGGGTTCCTGTAATGCTACTCGACTTTCCGTAGATCTAGATCGACTCTGCGCATATACTGTCTCTCCGGGAAGTCCTGACGGGTTTCTCTGAATGGCCTCAGCTACAGAGGCCGCGGCTCGCTCTTGGAGAGGCAAAGGGATGGCGGTGTTATATCAAGACAAGAGAGAGGGGAAGCACAAGGCTATAACAACAAAGAAGCGGGGCAAGAAGAGCAGAAGGGCAGATCTTATTAGAGCAGCGGAGGGAGGCAGAGTGGAGTAGCGGAGTTGCAGCATAATAGGTACAGCACGAAGTAGCGGCAATGACAACAAAACCACCACCGCCGCCCGCTCTGAGACAGACTATCCTGGGAGGGATCGTATTGTGTACAGCAAGGCACGACTCTCGTCTTAAGTATGTGTTTTTGATGGATCCAGCATGGCACAGATGGATACGCATTGTGCCCATACTGCGTACATGGTACATGGTACATGGTACATGTGAAGTACACACGAAGCACGGCGGCGATGGCGAAAGCCTTTCTGCCAGAGGCGCCTCCATTCATTCGTCACTGGACGAAGGAGATGGATGGTTCATCCCACTTTCTTCTCTTCAACAACTGACAATCGATTGACACCCGAGTCAAGCCGTTTAAAGGCCGTGACACCCCACGCGACGCCGCATGTAAAAGGTTCCTCGGGCCTGTCACTGCTAGATTCTCCGTACAGATTATCTATGCGCAGTTCGATTGACGGCGACCTCCACTTTTTCACCGAACTCGTCACGAACGCAGTGTATGGCCCAGACCATGTCTTCTTATTGATTAAACGCATTTTTTTTTATGTCGGATTCGCATTGGTGTTTTGGGGGCCGTGAAATCAATTAATTCATCTGTGAAGTTTCTCCTTTTTCTTTTTCCAAAGCCATCGCATCATCTCTACCCGGCAAAATTCTGAAGAGCACGAGGCCTCTCCCCATGATCTGCGTGTACCTGCTGAAGAGAGGGGTGATCCTCGTGACGGCAAAAGACAAGGATAATAGGATGGGGGTTGTTGTATTGTGTATGGGCAGTGTTGGTTGTATTGGTTTGTATGCCAGATTCATTGCTTGGCCTCATTAATAATCATTCCCGTGTGGGTGGAAGGCGGGCATAAGAGATCCCCTCACTTCGCTCTACCTTCCGCCGAGTGGGATGGAAGGTATGGTTATCTTCAAGGTATTGTATGTTCATCACGCATACAGGCAGAGGGCTCAGGCTCAGGCTCAGTGTCTTGGATTTGGAATCATTGCTTTGCTTTACATTTCATGGTATTGGTTCATTTTCCTATCTGCATTCCCCTTGTGAATGTTCCAGCAAAGAAAGCCCAAATACTCCATACCGGAATCATCTCAAAACCCAGAGCAAAGAAATTACACACTTAGTGGCCTGCAAGGGCGTGTGCACGTCTGCGATCTCTCTCCTCGGCGATAGAGAGCTTGACACCCTTGCCCTTGGGGAGGGAGATCCAGGGCTTCTCTGACCCAATGACGAAGACGTTGCTCTCACGGGTAGCGAAGGAGTTGTCAATGGCATCCTTGATGTGAACAATGGCGAAGCCTCCATCGTGACGCTCACGGTGGGTAATGACACCAACACGGCCCATGTTACGACCACCAGTGGCCATAGCAATAACACCGGTATCGAACTTGATGAAGTCGGTGATCTTGCCAGTAGCAAGGTCAATCTTGACGGTGTCGTTGACCTTGATGGCAGGGTCTGGGTAACGGATACTGTAGGCACAATTTTGTCAGCATTTCGCCAGGTTGATACACCAACCGTTGATCTAGCTCCAGTCTCTGGGGGTGGATCGACCAAAGCTTGGACCAACGGCTGAATGATGTCTGACAGAACTTACGTTCTAGCATCGTGCGTGACCAAGAATGGGATTCCGCCCTTGCCCAATTGCACCCGCTTGACCTTTCCAAGCTTGTATTCCGCCTCCTCAGCCTGGATTCTGTGGACGGTGAAACGACCCTTGGTGTCGTAGACCAAACGGAAGTGCTCGCCAGTCTTCTCGATGCTGATGACGTCCATGAAGCCGGCTGGGTAGGTGGCATCGGTGCGGACCTTGCCATCGACCTTGATCAGGCGTTGCATAACAATCGCCTTCGTCTCACGAGAGTTGAGAGCATACTTGAGACGGTTTCGGATGAAGACAATCAAGGGCATGCAGTCGCGGAGCTTGTGAGGACCAGGGGAAGGGCGGGGAGCGTAGGTACCAGAAAGCTTGTCGAGGAGCCAATGTGATGGCGCGCTCAAGCGCTTTTGGTGCTTCTTTCTGCAAGAAAATTGATATTAGCAGACGTTCGGTATCTCTCATGGCAAGCAGGAACAAGGACGAGACCCCGAGTAAAGTCAAAGGGACTCGTATCAACGTCTTGGGGTGGGACGGAGTCTCTGTTGGAAATTGAAGAATTCGAAGAGGTATCTTTTGCGGGTTTGATTCTTGTCCAAGAAAAAGAATTGCCAGGTCTACTCACGGTCCACGAGCCATAGTTTCGCCTCAATCCGCGGATATGGTGGAGGTGAAGGTGGTGAGGTGATGTTGATGTTGAGAGGTCCTGAGGGATCGAATTCGCGAAAGTTTGGGAAATTTCTAGCTGTGCGATTTCTCTGCACTAGCGCCACGATAAGCGAATGGAAACTGTCCCATCACGTGATAGAACACTGTCTGGAAGGGAAATGCGACGATGCCAGGATCTGTGACAATTGTCAACCCACTTCGATTTTCGAGAGTATTAATACCAAGTTGTGCTTTTATATGACTTAAGTATAGGCCTGGGTCCAATTATGTGTTTATATTTATACCTAGGTTTGTGCAATCGTGTCTTTAAGTTTGGCAGAATCTTCACCACATTACCTACCTTATCCATGAAGACATGTGTAGGCACTGTCAGCCTATGTATTATGCGATCATCAGATTGGTTCAGTTCTCGCTCTTTGGGCACTTTATTTCGAATCGCTTCATATTCGTTTCGTCAATTTACATACCACGGTCAAATCCATAGTCAACTCATCCCATCAAGGTTTAAGTACGAAAAGGACTTCTTGCATCTGTCAATTCCTCAAAAGGCTTGGTACAACGAGCCCCAGGTTACGACAAAAAAGGAAGGGGGCTTTAATTAAGATAGCGCTTTACTAGTTTTCATGGATAACTTCCAGGCCCAGTCTCAACATTGTGGACTGAGACCGGGGAAGAGAGACACTAGGGTATCCAATAAAGCCGTAGGAGTTGATATCAACGATGGTAGACTTGTGATGGAGAAGGTCTTGATATCAAATTCACTGAGCACAATACTTGCGCCTTGCATAGAGTGGAGGAGGAGGGGGGGTCTGATACCATTGGTCAAGATTGAATAACCCCCCCCTTCCTTCACTGCTGCTTAAGCCCCAAGCCTCCACGGCCTCCACGGCATAGAGTCATATTTTATCAAGGGCCTGCGTGACATAGTTTATGACTGCCCTTATAGAACAGGAAGAGAGGCCACCAGCGGCGCAGCCTGTGAGAAATATGGTCAAAGGGGACTATGACTGGCTGCCTTTGCCTTGGGATTCCATCCGGTGCTCCGAGGCATACAACTTTGATGTCTTGAGCGAAGTATGAGAAGACGATAAGAAGATCAGATTGAAAAGGATTGAAAAGTGGTCGCAAATCGCCTCGAGAAACAAATGGACAAAAATGAATAGAGTGATCAACCGCTGAGTTGGTCTTCTCATCCACCGATTCCGGGCCGCTCTAATTCTCGTAGTTTGAACCCGATGTCACAAGAGCAAAACGACCCTAGCCACCGTAGTGTTGCATATACAGCAGTCCAATAAAGAGAGAGTAGCGAGAATATTCCTTTGTATTATTGTAACAGAGTGGCGCTAGATCTTGGATGATCTGACTACTGTACAGTTCTTTCTGCCACACACGATGCGCCATCCAATGCCATAGTATGCTGTTTCACGTTGTTTCCAGTTGACCTAATGTCCTCTTCAACTTCTAGTACTGGCTAGCAGCCTGCTGGCACGCCTTCTGTAAACACGATTAAAGTTAGTACAGTTCTCGTACAGTTCTCGACGATGTCTCTGGGAATCACGTACCAGCTGCTCCAGATACCAACCGCAGATCTGCATATTGCCCTGGTTGTCATCCATGCACTTTGTGAACTGCTTCGCATCTGCATCACAGCTTCGTGCGCCCCAGTTGTTCTCAGCACTCTGTCCCTGGGTAGCAACGGCGTTGTTGGCTTGTGGTTGCTCTACTGGTGCGCTAGAACCGCCTGAAAAGAGGCCACCGATGGCATGGCCGATTGATGATCCTACTGCAACACCTCTATATCCAACCCGTTAGTACTCATTCCCCGAAGCGGCACCCGTGCAGACACATGGAAGGCAAAACTTACGCAGCTGTGCTGGCCATTTGTCCGAAAAGACCTGGACCGGCTGACGCTTGTGGCTGCGCTTGCACAGGAGCAGGAGCAGCAGCAGGAGGGGCAGCTGGCGCTGGGGCGGCTCTTGCGGGAGGGTATGCCGCAGTGGTAGCAGGACGGGTTTGTTGAGGAGCAGGTCTTGAAGGGGCAACAGTTGGACGAGAGGGTCGGCTTCCGCCACCGGATCTTGATTGACGAGGCATATTGCTTTCGTTTGAGACGGGAAAGTCTATCGGCGTTTGGGAGTTGAAATTCGAGGGTTGAATTTGAAGATTGAAGATCGAAGAGTGAGTTTGGAGTTTGGAGTTTGGAGAGTTGTTTGTTGGAAGATTCAAGAAGTTCAGCCTGGACCCGGGACTCTCCTCGGTTCCTATGTTCCCGGCTATTTATATGTAGAATTTTAGCGCATGACAAGCACAGCACCCTGATTGGCCAGAACGTGATACTGTACCGCAAGTACCTACATATTGCGTACAATTACTACATATATATAACCAGGTACAGACCAGACCATCTTAAGGAAGAAGTTCCTGAAAGCCTACTCAATGCACTTAAGTAAGTATAGGACGAGTTGAAGTGCGAAGGTAATATAAAAGGCAGATAAATAGATATATTTCAGTATACCTCGCGTTACTACAGCTCCAAACAAGCATGGTTGGGGCATGTAGAGTATGATCTATAAGCCATAAGCTTCCTTCTCTAAGAGCAAGTCATCTGCGATTTTGACCAGTATCCTGGGTATCTCCATCAAACGCCATTGTTCGCAAGAAACAAATTCTACCTTGGTACTTTTGATTCCTCCCATGATCCCTTTCAAAACGCCATGCCATGACAGACCAATCCACATATCCGTCATCACAACCGCCATTCATTATGATGCTAGTTTCCGGCATTTTCATTGAGATTTCGAGCCCTTTTTCTAGCGCTTATTCTTTCCCCCCTTCTTTTTGCCTCTTTTCCTCGTTTTAGTGCCTGATTGCTCTAGAGCACTAGGAGCCCTTGGGCTCGGTGCCGGCTCGTTTTGACTCGAGGATGCTTCTACCTTGCGCTTCTTGTTTATGGTTGCAGGAGCGGCCGGTGGCTCACTCGTTCCTTCTGCGGACGAGGTTGAATCAGAAGCAGAATCTGAGTCCGATTCGGAGTCTGATGTGGAGGAAACCGTATTATTGTCGGCCTTTCGTTTCTTTGAAATTTCCTCCTGCTTCATTCTCTCTGAGAGTTGCTCGAACTTGATGTGTGCTCTCGCCCGCTCCTTCGCTTGTCTCTCTGCTTTTTCTAAATCATATTTATCATTACCAGACTATTATCGAATCAGTAAGAGTAGAAAGAACCAAATCATGAAAGGTTGTACAGGGGTATGTACTTACCAACCCGGCTTTGATGATTCTTGAAGCGGCCCCCTTGTCCACGCTGAGGTTTTCTCTCTTGCCCACTGGGTTCTCCACGAGCTTGATCTTTTCAAAATACTGCTTCACCCGGGTGAGCTCCGTGAAAACAGGATGCGCGCGCGCTTGGACGCCATTGAGTCGCAGATACGCTGGAAGCATTGTTAGACAAATCCACAAAATGCACTACGGGGAGCCCACAAAACAAGATAGATTCTATGGCATAGGTAACAAGAACATAGAGCTTGGCTTTGTCGAGTAATGGCAGTTTCGAGGCTGTTTCAGACAATGCGGTCTTGACGAGCGGAGCCAGCGATTCTTCCAGATTATCAATCTCGTCGTCAAGCTGCTCAATGAGAGACAGCACGTTGGTTTTATCCATCTCCTCTCTGGCTGTGCTGCGTTGTATTGTGCGGTAGGATCGCAGCAGCGTCTCAAAGAATTTGTGCTATAAAAGTTGCGACGGCAATGCGGCCGCTTTCCTCCTCGCTACCTTAGGTACCTCAGGTACCAACTACAGTAAGGTAAGGTAGAACTATTTACCGACAGTAAATAATCTGCAGGGGTTTCGATTTTTTTCGGATTCGTAGACGGCGACAACATCATCTTCAACTCTGCTCCTGTCCTCCTTATTCTCCTCCTAACGTCTTGCATTTCTCCTCCACTTCTTCCTCCCGTGAAGTCCTTCGTCATTGAACTATCGATTGAAATTTCCTCGGATACATCGTCCAATCCGGCTCCCAATACCTATTCCATACGGCCGACGACGACCAATAATTAACTCATCTGGTCTCCTATAGCCATCATTTATCGATCATTCATAACAGACTCTCTTGTCTCGTCCGCCATCCCTCATCGTTTATGTATGTTTAGGATTTAGGAGCTTCTTTCCTCGGAAGGGCGCGGATCAGACACCAGCGCCTCACCTATACTCTACGTCTGCCATGAGTCGACTTCAATAGCCCTTGAGAACCGTTCAACCTGTCTTTTCCAATTTGCGGCCGTCCGCTGTTGCGGGTGTTTACTCGAATACCTCGTAACTCTCCATGGCATTACGATAACACGTATGAGGGCCGGGTGGCCAGGCGCTGTTTGTCGATGCAGTACGGCACCTACTGGTGGCCGCGGCGGAAATGGAAGACGAATACAGACAACGGAAATTGGTTGCATATGAACCCAAAGCTTTTGACACGCCAATACAATGGTCAAACTGCCCAAAAAAGGGCCGTGGATACTCCACAAGATATCTCGCTCACAGACATTCTTCCGCCGATTCCACGGACACGGAGATCTACCAGTGCAGTAATACCAGTCAAGAGAGTGTCAACTAAAGAAAGTAGGACGGAAGAGACGGAAGGTGGCATTTCGGAAGCGCAGAGTGTTGAAGGCCTCCGGAAGCATTCCAAAGACAGCGTCGTCAATGCAAATGCTTCGACTAGACGGACGCCAGGGCATGATATGGACAAAAAGGCACACGGCACAATTTCAAAGAGGGAGGACCTCGAGAATTTCGAGTATGATCTTCGGGAAAATATTGTCGGCGATGGCGCGCCGGAACGCATGTCAAATGCGGCGACTAGAAGTATCGAAGCCCCTCAAGTTCCTCGCATTGAAGAACTCGATGAGCCTCCCACTGAATCGGAACAGCTCGATCGCGATTTTCCAGTAACCAGGCAGCGAACTCAAGAATCATGGAGATCCGAAGATGAGACAAACTCGATAGATCATCTGGAGAACGACGTCCAGCCCGCGATGAATTTTCAGGAGAGAATAATTGCGCCGAATCCCGCATTGGACGTGCCTATATCCAACACAATACACATACTAGGGACCGGCCCCGTTGGAAAATTCATTGCACATTCCTTGGCTGGAATCCCTGAAGCGCCGCCCGTTACTCTTTTGATGCACCGTCCCTCGTTGATGCAACAATGGCACGAGGAAGGTGGAACTATCAAACTCCTAAGGAATGGCGAGATAAACACAAAGTCCGGATTCAATATTGAATCATCAGCAGGCTTCCATCCAACGCCTCCAGGCCGGAAATTTTCTGGAGTTGGTAGGAATCTCTCTTCTGGACCACAGGATACCATTATCGAAAATTTGATTGTTACTACTGAAGGTTATACAACCGTCTCTGCCCTCACTGCAATCAAGCATCGTCTACGATATAACTCCACAATCTGTTTCATCCAGGACGGCTTAGGTATTGTCGACCATGTCAACTCCTCCGTATTTCCCGATCCAATGACCAGGCCAAACTATATGTTAGGGAATATCTCCCACGATTTGCAATCAACAGAAAACAAATATACCGTTGTCGAGAAGCGTTCCGGCACAATCCCTCTGACAATAATCCCGCGGGCGAATCAGGGAGCACAGATCAAAAAGGAGGGACTCTCAATTCGAAGGATAGACCTTGGCTGGCCAGCGAGATCCAAATATCTCATGCGCACACTCAGTCGAACCCCTGAGCTCGGCGCTGTGGGCTTCAGACCTCAAGAGTTTTACAGGATGCAACTGGAAAAGCTGGCTATCAATTCCGTCATCGGGCCTGTCTCCGTGGTTTATGAATGCTTCAATGACCAGCTTCTTTACAATTACCAGGTCTCCCGGACGATCAAATTACTTTTAAAGGAGATCTCCTTAATCCTACGATCATTACCGGAAGTTTCACGCATTTCCTCGGTCGATAAGCAATTCAGTGCTGAGAGACTGGAGAGATTGGTCGTGTCAGTTATCAATAAAACTGGCAAGAATCGTACATCCATGCTGCAAGCTGTACTGGATGGGAACAAGACGAATATCGATTTCTACAATGGTTATTTGCTCAGACGGGCGGCAGAATTGGGAATAGACTGTCCTCGTCTCGAGTTGATCGTTTCCATGGTTAAGGGGAAGCAAAACATGAAGAGCCGGGAGAAGAACTCGTATATACCCTTCGCAAATGGGTTCTAAGGGCGCGTGCCAATTTGTGTTGATATGCTAGATATAGATTTAGGGGAGGGAGGCTGCACAAATAATGGGTTGTGTATGTATATGTATTTGTAGATCCAAGCAGACGAAGGGCGATGGGCGTTTTGTCATTTGTTTTGTCTCTTGCGTTGGGCAATGGACGATATTGTACTACCTTTTATTGTTGATATAGAACTCCTCAAGTAGATAGGTAGGTATAGATGCACGAAGAATGGATGTTTGGGATACGTTCAGAGTTCGCGGTGACCAGGAGCTAACCACGTGACGAGGCTGCCCCTCCATCCCCCGGTTGCTCATTTTTTGTACCTTAGGGTAATGTACCTCGTAACCTGGTATGATAAGCCGTGGTCGCAACAACAACGCTCAACATGGAAGACGATGATCTAGCACAAGTAACTCGGATCCTCCCTGTCTCAGGTGTTTCCCGCTAATCTCACCTGCGCAGATCAGAAAAGCCAGGCTCGAGCAGCTCAAGGCTCAAGGCGGAGGTGGAGGAGGCGGGGGTAGAAGCGGCGGCGGGCAAGGCGAAGACAGACAGTGCGCACACCCTCCGAGATGACTGCTCCTACTAACACGATAGCAGACAACAAGAAGGTTAACCCCCTTTGCCCTCCGTCTTCTGACAAAAGTCTAATCCCTCTCAGCGGAAGCGCGCCAATCCATCCTCAACCAGATCCTCGAGCCCGAAGCGGCAGACAGACTCGGAAGAATACGTCTGGTCAAAGAATCGCGCGCGGTGGACGTGGAGAATAGACTGATCATGCTGGCGAGGTCGGGACAGCTAAGGCAGAAGGTGACAGAGGAGCAATTAAAGGAGCTGCTGAATGCGGTGGCCGAGAAGAAAGAGGAAGAGAAGATTGTGGTTAGTAGAAGGAAGGGAGGCTGGGACGACGAGGATGACGATCTGTTTGACTTGTGACATGGCATGAGCAGGGCGTTAGGGGAGGGACCCAACTATCACAGTATTCGGCGTGCTGAAATTAACAACGGAGTATCATTCTATACTGGACCAGAAACCTTCATGTTCCCTGAATTTAGTTCACACCCAGACTGTCACCAGACCTTTCCTTTGCCTCTTTTTCCGCCTTTTTCCTTGCTCTTTCTCTCTTCCTGATATCCCTCAAATCCACAGGCTTCTCAATACCCAGCTCCGCTCTAAGATCTTCCACATCCCTCTCCAGCTGTTCCTCCCAATATACGTTGATTACCTCTTGTGCCCCCAGTCCGTTCCTTATTGCCCACGGCCCATAGATGGTGAAGAACCTCTTCCTCTCGGCCGGCTTCAACCTCGTCACTGCAAACATACTCAATCCCGTCATGGGAAGCAAAGTATTTGCGAATTCAAAAGCCTTGAGCGCAACCTCCCCCTCCACCATTACAGGCAGGCCAGTCAAAGCATGAAAGAAGTCGTGGCACTCGCGATATCGCTGCATTACATATGCGCACTCCTCGTCGTCGATGTACTTGACCGATTCCCGCGTGTCAGGCGATACCCCTTCGCGGTCCAGCCAGTCTGCATACACCCGTCCAACTGTATTTGGGGGGAGGGATCGGAGGTATGTCATAGACAGCGTCTGTGAAGTTATGCGCGGCCGGTCTCGAAGGATCCGTCGGCCTGTGGGGGAGGCCAGCATCGCATCTCGCAGGCGGTAGATGAAGTAGGGCGTCGCGGTTGCTTCTCCTAGAGCCGCTATTAAATCTGGCAATTGCTATCAGCAAGGGTTTGTTATTTGAAGATCATTCAGGAGATATATACTTACCACCCCGGTATGGATTGGCCAGAGAGATGACGGCAGACCCAACTGCCAGGCCTGCCCGCTCAATGAAGGTAAGAGGGACATGGCCAGGATAGTTTGGCGGCGGGCGATTGAGCACACTGAAGTGGCGTGAATTGAGAGATATAGTACAGGCGGCGATCAAGTCTCGAGGGAGACTTGACCGCAAGGCAGACGGGCGCACAAACAGAGCCATTGATGTGTGGTTTTGTTGTGTTGCCGTTCTGCTGTGTCTGTCGCATTTCTGTCGTCACATCAGGTCGCGGATAGCTCAGATCACGGACCGGTTCCGCAGTCCTCGCCAGGCACGACAATTTTATATCAGAGATATGAATGATATTTACACCCGCCTGATCTGGGTTTATTGGATCAATTGATCTTCACATATAAAATATAAATATATTCGCCGGCTCTGAGCCTCTATGGAGATGGAGAAACACAAGGACTTCACGGATTGGGCTATCAGTGTTGGAGTGAAGATCAATGGAGTTGCTCCACATCATTTTCCAGGGAGAGGACTGGGTATCATTGCGGAGAAGGAACTCAAGGTGAGCATAAGAGGAAAGGGACAATTGTGATGTTGTATTACAGGATTTCTGTGTATTTTTCTGTCCTATTCCCGCGATTCCCAGCCCGCAATCCTTTCACATGATATTAATCTTCAAACCATCCAGGGTCCAGTGACCCAAGTGAAGCTGGACTCCATCGAACCCCCCTCACTACTTGTCTGCTCTATCTGCTTTGTATCTAGAGTTCCCTATGCTAACACCCTACCAGGCCGGCTCCACGATCGTTAGTGTTCCTCTCACAGCCCTGCGGACAGCTAAGACGGTCCCAAAACGCATCTCCGACCCCATCGGGCCCATAACAGTTCATGGCCTGCTCGCCGCTGACCTAGCGATGGATGAATCCAATCGTTTATGGAAAGCCGTCCTTCCCTCGCCACAGGACTTCCAAGAATCCATGCCTCTGATGTGGGACCCGCAACTTCAGGACCTTCTCCCAGAGGCCGCGAGGACTCTTTTAGAGAACCAGAAGAGGAAGCTCTCGAAAGACTGGGCGGCCGTGTCTAAAGCCTTCCCTCTCCTAACCTATGACGAGTACCTTTATACCTGGCTCATCACGAACACGCGAACGTTCTACTTCCTTTCCCCCTCCCGGAAAGCCAAACATCCGTCAAATCGAGACGATTGCATGGCACTCAATCCCTTCGCTGATTACTTCAATCACACTGACGATCAAGGCTGCGAGGTTACATTTGGCCCCAATGGCTATGCAATAACCACCGACAAGCCTATCAAGAAAGGGGAAGAAATATATATATCATACGGAAATCATAGTAACGATTTTCTTCTCGCTGAATACGGATTCATTCTCGAGCAGAACAAATGGGACGAGATATGTCTAGATTCTTATATACTTCCTTTATTATCTGAGACACAGAAGAAAACCTTGAAAGACGCTGGGTTCTTGGGAAAATATGTTTTGGATAAGGAGACCGTATGTTATCGTACCCAAGTTGCTTTGCGGTTATTATGTCTACCGTTGAAGGATTGGCGTCGGTTTCTTAATGGGCATGATGACGGGAAGGATCAGTCGGCTGTCGATCAATTGTTGTTGAAGATTCTCCAACCATATTCAAAAACTGTGGAGGAAACGATCAAAAGTCTAGCAGTACTTGATTGTGGGCTGGCTAGTCAAAGAGAGACATTGAGTAGGCGTTGGAGACAGATACATCTCATCCTACGCAGTGCAATAGCCCGAATATAAAGGTCAAAAGCTCATTCCGTCCCACCGAAACGAAAGTAAAGTAATAACAGAATCCCCCTTATGGGACTGCTCCTCCCTAATGAATACTTTTCTTTCCTCATAAAACCCTGCTAGTCAGATGAAACACCATGTGTGGCATCCAAGGTAGCTGCCTAGACTCTGTTTAGCTTGAGCTTTCGAGGTAGAAGTTCACACTTCTAATTTCTCCGACAACCCCAAATCATTTATATGAAAACGATCAGTGCAAGCCACTTAGAACCATAAACTGGAGCTTCTCGGGCCACTCATATTCATACTTGCGCTAGTATTGATAACCCTCCGCTGGCTCGGCAGCATTGCTCTGTCGTCATGGAAACTCTCTTCTCTGACTGGGCCCACACAATCATGCCTATCGACGAGGGAATCGACATCTGCTCTTAGACCTATCATGCGAGGAAGGGTGCTGGCAACAGCTTTGGAGGTCCGATTCTCCTTGCCCGTATTAGAAACGTCAAGGAGTTCCGGGGGAAAGCCACCGTATGGCTCTGGGGCAATATTATCTGTATCTTGCTGGACCTCGCATTCTGGGGTAGAAACATGGTTTTCTACCATTAGAGTGGCTGAAGAGTCGACGGCAGAAGAATCGTATATTCCCTCATTCCATTTATCAACATCAACCAAGCCATTTGGGCACCAAGAGACCAAAGAAAGCGCCACACCACTGCTCTCACCAGAACTCTTACCGGCATTATCAAGGCTCCTGGAGGGTTCTACGCTTGAGTCGGTATCGACTTTGGGGTGATTGATATCCGTTGAGGGGTCGGATTGACGAGCTGGAACTGCTGCAGGTGACATCGGAGCCACTGAAGATATCGATTCTTGTTTTTCTGTCTGCTCCATTCTTTCGTAACTCGAGTAGTGCTGCCGGGAAAATGGTGTGACTCTCCTGATACGTGGAAGCCTAACCCCTGAACTTACTTGTCTCAAGCCAGGCGTCAATCGTTCTGGGAGAGCTATAGCAACTGCTCTTTTCGATGGCAGACTCACCGTTCTGGCTGAAGCTTTGATTGGGGTCTTGATTGGAGTTTTGAGTGGAGTTCTGATTGGAGTTTTGACCGAGGTTCTGACTGGAGAATCCAGAACTATACAGGGAGAAGAGCTGGCCAATTCTTCTGCTTTCGGCAGCGAAATAACTGTTGATCTGGACTCGCCGGAGCAGTGGAAGCCACCTTGACTGTTTTCTGTATAGGAGCTGTCTTCGTAGCTGCTGCGTGATCTGCGAAGTATGATAGCTAGAGCACCAGCGCTATCAATGCTCAGCTCATCAGCTCCATCCATGGCACCTGTTGCTGGCAGCACCTTGGTAGAAACATTTCGTCTTCTGAGAGTTCTAGGTAATGATCGTTGAAAGGAGACTTGAGCTTTACGCGCATAAACAGGAACGCCGTCTTCTTTCTGACCATTATCATGTTGCGGATTGATGTAGTCACCAGTTTTCTTGCTCTTGGTGGGAGGGGGGATGTTTTCACGATCAAAAAAGTCTCTCTCATCACGGCTCGTCTTCTGGAGAATCGCGTCAATGACGTCTTCGAAGGTGACAATCCCAACGGGCTTTGGGCATCTGATTCCAACCACATCCTTCTTGGGGCAGACGGGATTTTCGATATTAGATTTTGCAGCCCCCATAAAGTCGGTGGGCCAGTCAGTAGACCCGTCCAATCCCAATCCCTTCAAACGAGACAATATATGAGCATTCATCTTCTCCGTGGCTGTCCATCGCGGTGCCTGGAACTCGTTGAAACTACCTTTTGGCGATGTCTGAATGTTCGCTTGTAGAGAGTTGAATGGTTTCGGAACCACAATTGCCATTCTAGTAACCGTCAGTGTGAAAAGACCGGAAGAATGCTGTCGTGTATTTGATTTACCGTGACATCCCCAGTTGGAATATGTTCAGGAGGTCATATACTGGCATATCCTCGTGGACAATAGGCAGCGGATACAAAGGTAGATCTCTAACGAAGACTTTATTCTTCGAGATGTCCAGACCAAGAAGATTCTACATAGGCAATCAGCAACACTGGACGCAAGATCGAAAGCATAGTCATGGGTCATGCTGTACTTACCTTTACATGGAGAAAGCCGAAGACCTGTTTCCCCTTCCAGCTGGACTCGGTGGTAGACTTGCCGTCTTGAACTTCAGGAGATTGAGTACTACCAATCACCGGAATACGGCTATATGACCAACGCTTGATCCTCGAGATGAAAGCCTTGTCGACCGGATCATCAATGCTGATAGTTTTGACAGCAGACCAATGCACAATCATTCCCTGAAGGATGACAAGATCCGCCTTCTCCACATCCTTCTCATCCTTGACATGCTTCTCTGGAATCAGGGTAATGTCGCCTCCAATCTTTCGTGAATCCAGGCTCAGAGCTCCAAGCATAATCCGGGTAGCATCTGGACCAATCATACCACCGTGTCGTTCGGATTGCTCATGGTACTTGATAATGGCAGCCATCTCGTCGTTTGTGAATAGACTATGTTCATCTTTGCGCCGAGAAACAGTATCCAGAAACCGAGCAAGAGGGTAACTGAGGATGGATGTGAGCCACATGGAGGCCCATATCAGCGGCCAGCAATAATAGCCCCAGGCAATAGTGTGACGGGGGATCAGATATTGAGGAAGGATTTCGGCAAATAACGCAATGGAGAATGTCGAGAAAAGAATAGGGGCCCATTTTTGGTTTCCATGCCAGAGGCTTTGGATAATGAAAGGCAGTGATTCGCCACAAGCAACGGAGCAAAGGATAAAAGAACCTAAGGGTTATCAGCTACCTTCTATTTCTTTGAACCATGTGAATCGTTACTTACAAAGCATCCAAGTCGAGTGCCGTTTGATCCTGGCGACCACAAGAGCTTGCTGCCTTTGCTATGTTAGAAACAAGATCTAGGAATGATCAAGTAAGTTCATACCGTTGTTTGGGTGTTCCAGTGACGCTCCGCAGCTGTAACCAGGTCATATCAAGTCCACCGAGGGCCAAAGTCAGGCCCGCTAGTAGGGAGCAAAGTGTCAACAAGACGACTCCGAGAGTAGCCATCCCATACCAAGCCATTCCATGGTACACCGTGTATGTGTACAGTCGTGGTTCGGCCATTGTTGCCATTTTTGATGGCTGAACGCCCGCGTGTGGTAAAATGGATGGAGCGGCTATGCAATAACGAGCAGACATATAACTAAAGCCAATGTGTTTATGTGATGAGCATGCTTCCAAAGTTCGATAAATGTGCAAAGCGGTTGGGAAGGAGTGTCGCTCACCCATCAAGCAAGGTAAGTAACGTATTGGATTCGCCCCAGCCAAGAGCAAGAGCACATGGGACAGAAGCTCTTGCCGCCAATTCCCTGGAATCGCCACGATTTGATACTCAAACTTTAAATTGCACAAGGACAGGAAACGGGAAGGTAAGAAAATCGTGTTCAGAATCAAGAAAGCTTGATTTCAACGCAAATAACACCGTCTATTTGTACAGCGTTTTGATAGGAGTTACAGGTAAGAAAAAATGGCCCTTGATCCATAGACCTGAATTAGCCCCGGCTTTCCTGACCTAACGCCAAAGATCCCACCCAATGCATTAATATCCGTGATTCGATGAACGCTCATAAATTCTTGCAACTTCGGCATATATCGGTCTCAACGAGTCGTTCACTCTGGCCGCGGTCGTTTAGCTCCGTGTGGGTTTTGCCAATCACCCCCAGCAGCTTGGTTCTGTTGGAAGAAAGCTGGATTGAAGTGTGGTTGAAGTCCTTGAAAGCCGCCGCCACCTACAGAATTTGATTAGTTTTTAGCTCCTCTTCCTGCATAACGTCGGAAAAGAAGGCCAGAAGTATGAGAAATTGAGTGACCGTCAACATAGTAACGGGGCCCGGAAATACAGATGTGACTTTGATAGTCAAGAGCCAGGAGCAATTGCGAAAGATGCCATCAACACGCCAACGGCTGGAAAACTGCATGCATGGTCCTTGCCATGTTGCAGAGCGTCGGGCCATTCCTTGTGGAAACGAACAGCAGATTGGGATTGATCATACCTGGCATAGGTCCTCCCATCTGGCCCATGTTCATGGGCATCCCTCCCATTGGGCCACCCATTCCACCCATTGGCATACCACCCATAGGCATACCACCCATCATTCCATTACCCATACCACCTCTGCCGCCTCTCATCGCGGCAGGGCCGCCTCGCATACCACCCATCATGCCGCCACGATTGAATCCACCACCAAACTGGCCACCCATTGGATTTCCCGGGAAACCGCCCATGGGTGCGTTGAATCCGCCCATGTTTCCCATAGGCGGACCAGAGAAGTTCCGGTTGAAGTTGTTGACATTCATATGGTTATTCATGCCGCCGCGGGTGGCATTGTAGCCAGGGGTGCGCCCTCGGAAATTCCCACCGAAGTTCTGATTATTGCGATCATTGTTAAAGCCACCTGCAGTTGCACGATTATTCTGGTTGTCTTTCCCGGCTCGCATTGGAGCATCTTTAGGCAGTGTTCGGAAGGGGTTCACGTTCGGATTCGAGTATGTGACTGTGTGCTTCTTGACGTATTGCTGTCCCTCGCCAAAGGCATCAATCTTGTGCTTCGCAGCAGTGGCAGCTTGTTGCGATGTAAACTCAACGTATGCTTGTCTTTTTAATAGTGTCAGAACAGCTGCGATTTCAGAGGGGATCGGACAAGGGATTCATCATACCCTTTGCTCTTTCCGTTGACCTTGTGCTCAGAGAACGTGATCTCCCGCAGTTCATCTTCTACCTGGGCCTGATTAATCCAGCCTCGAATATCATCGTCGGTGTTCCACCAGTGCAAGTCTGATATCAAGAGAGCCGTTGTTGCTCCAGGATCTATGGGACGGTCATCGGAGCCTTCCTTTCTCTTTACTCCTTGTTGCTGGGGGGCTTGCTTTGGGATACTCAGGAGGTCTTGGCCTGAGCCTGATTCATCAGTGCTTTTGATCTGCTGCTGATCGTCTGGCTTCTCTTGATCCTCACTACCAACTTTGATATCTACGTAATCATCATCTGGTTCCTCTTCGTGCTGTGCGCCGTTGGCTCCATTAGTTCCTGCTTCTGCGGGTTCTCCATTGGCGGGTTCAACCCCGTCAATCTTCACATCGCCCTCTTCGTCCTTCTTGAAGGGACCATCTTGGTCGGTATTGGTATCGCCGTAGATATCGATGTCGAATTCGTCGTCAGCCATCTTGCCAGTACTCAGAAACTCAGTATCTGCGTTTTAATTTGAGAGATTGCCTGTATTGTCTTTTAACTTCAGTTGATACTATCCAAAGAGTAGATGTTTTCTGTGAGGTAGCGATAATTTGATCAGCTCGTGAAAAGAAGATAAGAGGGAAAATGCTAGGTAGATCTCGACGCGGGCTGGGCGTCGAAGAAATCTGAGATACTTGGGTAGAATACAAATACGTACACTCCTGGAACCATCAAAACACTGCTTTCAGAACTAAGCTCAAAGTCTGCTGGTATTCCTCAACCAAGACAGACAAAAGGGAGATGAAGACGAAGCTCTGTGCTTGCAATCTTGGACACCGTGATCGGTACAGGCAAAGTCAAACGTGCGTGCCGAGGTGAGTAATTCCACAAGCTCCAAAGCTTCAGAACTGCCAATTGGAAAGCAACAAATTCCTCCTTTAACAGTGAAATGTCAGTTGTAGAAGACCGCCTTCCCTATGTCCCCCTTTCGCGACGCCAGCAACACAGCCTTGTCTCCTAGGTACCAAATCGCGTCGTCGAAGCTATCAGTCGATCGGTCGTCGAAGGAACTCGTCCGTCGACGGAATATAACGACTATTAGAATAATCGCTCGCGCCGGCAATCGTCGAAGTCGATGTCGATGCGCGAAGGAAGCCGGTGTTTGTTGGCCGTGTTGGTTGTACTTCGCTGGAAGCTTTCAAGATCGAATGTGAGGTTAGCTCGCTTACCTAGCCGCGTCGAGGTTCATATTAGGCCGCCTGGTCACGTGGCTCAATCTGGCCTCATCCAGACTGTTCGCGCGACGGGGGGTCCTGATAAATGCGACCAGCGCCATCCACCACAACCACCACGATGGAAGACCACACGATACTCTCTCCCTAATCAGCACCTGTCCCGAAGTTGTATACCGAAGCGCTATCACATTTCCGTAATCATGGCGGACCAAATTCAAGAGTTCATGGAAATCCCACGGGATTTCATCAAAGATGGCACCCAGTTCATTCACAGATGCACCAAGCGTAAGAGCCCCTTTCATACCGGCCTTCTGGCTTTGCTGTAGTCTGGGCTGTCAAAGCTGCCATAAAGACGTTTGGCGCAGTTTCTTTGGTCTCGAGGACATGGATCGCCGTCAATGATACGTACTGACTATCTTCACAGCTGATCGCCGCGAATTCATTAAGATCTCACAAGCTGTTGGTGTTGGATTCCTCGTTATGGGAGCAGTTGGTTACCTTGTCAAATTAAGTAGGTCGCCCTGGAACTCTTGGTCTCTGCGTTGTTACGTTGCTTCTGCGACGACTTTCCGTCTTTCCCAACGATTCCCTTGCTAATTTTATTCAACTTCAAGTACATATCCCAGTGAACAATATCCTGGTTGCCGGTGCATAAGGTGCGAAAGATGTTGGGAAGGGCAAGGGGTTCGATCTTGGAAGGATGGGTAGATCGCTGGAAGCATAGGAAGATTGCCAGAAGTATGGGGACAATAGCTGAAAACTGCAGCGGCGATTAAAGCCGGAGGCGAGTCGTGTTTTATGGACTCAGAAGCCAGGGAATGTATTATTATATATACCTTAGTATTGGGAGGTTCAGCTCGTCGTGTATAGAGTCTAGTCGGAAAAGTCAGGAGTCATACTTCTTCATACATGAGTTACATGGCTATCATGCTTCGCTCAGTTGCGTTAATTATCCTAGGTGCATTTTCTGAATTCACGGATCTACTATCCTTTTCTAGGTTTTCTATACCTTCAAAGTCAATTCAAGCTTTGTGTTTGTGATTCTAATTTAATCCGCCCCCCCCCCTTTTCCCAGAAAAAAACCAGAACCCCCTTTTTTTTACCAACACTCCGTTGTTACACATTATTTTTCAAGCAGCGTCCGGATCACAAAAGTTATGCTTGAGTGGCAGGTCAGGGAGTTCTGAAGTTAGCATATGATTAGTATATTTAACGATACAACAGCCGTCTCAATGATTGGCTCAGTTGATGTTGTGAAGGGTTTAGTAGAAGGGACACTCGAGATATTGGAAATACATGGAGCACGACTGATATCTGCTTGGTCGTACCAGAACTACGGGGTTCACGAATCTTATGAGTGGACACATGCGAGTTCATCCATTTATACATCGTAGATTCATCCTACCTACCTGTCTTCCACTATCAATGCCGCCAAACTGATATACAGCAACTTAACCACCACTCAAGCCAGGGTATGTACATAATTATGTACCTGCTTTACATACAACCTATAAAGAAGGACCACCCCTAGCCCTCGTTGTTTATCTGATGGGCTATTTAATCGTCGTCGTCGTCATCATCATCATCCATATCCCGGTAATACGCTCTTAGACCCCGTCGCCGCATGCCAGAAGACCGTGGCTCCGGCCCGGCTCCGTACAATGAACTATCAACTTCCAATTTCTGGTCTACTCTGAGACCCATTCTTGGCTCGGCCTCGTCTTCTTCCGCCCCGTCATTCCACGAATGTACAGTGCAGGTTCCAGTAGACATGCCATAGCCGTTCCACGCCGATGCTGTAGACAGATTAGTCGAGCACAACGCGGTCGACTGGTTAAATACGTACCAACGATCATAGGCGCATTGGGATGCCAGCTCGCATCTCTAACGCACGTCTTCCATGTTAGATTAGCACCCATCATTTCGTGCCCTCTATGAGGTGGTCGAGAATTCTTCGTCGCCCCATAGACATCTACTTTGCCCGCAAGGGTAGCATCCATGTTCCAGATATAGACTTGGCCATCCTCGCTGCCTGAATAGACGTATCTTGAATTCGTACTTCCCGGGGGAGAGAAATGACATCTGATCAGAGTCCTCAACACGCGATGACCCCTGAAAGTTACGAGAGAGTTGTCATTAGGATCGCGGTACCAGTCATCCTCGTCGTACGCTCCCCAACGATAGTCGAAATTTCGTTCCATTGCTCTCCGCCGACTAGGTCTGAGAGCACCGAAATCTCTTGGGGACATCACCATGCGGAGATCCCAAAGCTTCATGCTTTGTTCCTTACCGTTACTGAGGATATATCCTAACCAAATTAGCTGATTTTTTCAAGCACTGGAGGCCGTTACTCACGCCCATCTCCTTTGCTATCAATGTATGTTAGACCCTCGATGTGACCGACGAAAGCTCCAGCCTCACGGCTGTCACCCATACTGCGGGTATCCCATACTTTGATGGTCGTATCGTCAGATCCCGAGTACAGGATGTGTGGCGAGGAAGAGTCAGCGAAGCAGACCGCATTGACATCCTCATCGTGGCCGAAGATTCGATGAAGAGTGCGGCGTGACTCAATATCATAGACAATTATACAGCCACTTTCAGCTCCAGCAACCAATTCTCGTCCGTCACCTGAAAACCGGATAGACCATATACCGAACGAGCCATCATATCTTGCGCGCTGTGACATATTACGACCATTTCCCGTATCTGAAAGATCAAGACTATATGGGTCTCCGAGGTCATTTGGGTCGGTTGGTGCAAGGCAGACAGTGCTCCGAATGGACGTATATGCAAGGTACTTATTGTCCGGACTCAGAGAGGCATCTGTGAGTGTCCACTGTCCAAAGGGGTATTCGACAGTTTTATAGTAACGCCATTTGTAAGGATTTGACGTGTCGTACATTCGGACACGATAATCTTTGTTGACCGAGAAGAAGAAGTTTCCGTCATCTGAAAATTGTCCAGAGTAGACCGGTTGATTGTAATGGATAATTATATCTGCATTAGAGGAGGGTATCATTCCCTTATGATCCGCATCAGTCTAAGAGAGCGTTATCACTGCTAGGAAGGCGACTATCTTACCTGGGCCATAAGCCTTTGGTTGATTCTTTGCTGAGCATAGTCTTCCGTCGCCAACTCTCTGTCCAATATCCTCCTCGCCAGCTTTTTCTTCTTCGTCGTATTGACAGTGTTAACAGTCTGTGCTTCGTTGAAGCCAAAGGTGCCGGAATTCATCAGCTCTGCCCCCTCCTCGCTGGGCACTTTCGGGAATCGATTGGGGTCGAGCTGCGCTCTTCTCCTCTGTCTGAATTGCTGAATATTGAACGCTCCATTCTCATCGTCGTCATCGTTACCGAGAATAAAGTCATTTGCAGCAAAGCGGAAGAGTCTCCTTATCTCGGAATTTGCTAGCAAGCGTATAACCTGTCTCCTCTGCCGTTCGGCTTCGAACCGCAATATGAGTAATAAAGTCTGGATGATTGTGAAGATGTAGTAGGGCTCACTTCGCTCTGTTTCTTCTTCTCCTTCCTCGTCGTCGTCGTCGGCCTCCTCGATCTCGACCTCGATCTCGTCGAATTGCACATCGTCTAGGTGAGCGGTTAGCAAGGGGATCTGAACCCGAGGATAGACTATGCCGTTCACCTTCACCACCGCCTTCTTCTTCGTCCATGTTCCCTGCGTGCGCTTCTAGAATGCTCTGGATAAAAGCCTGTTCGTGTACTTGGTCACTCTCCTCGTGGGTGGGAGGCTCGTAGTCCATGTCGTCGCTCTCCGAGGTGCTCCCTGCGTCTTCGGCTTCGGATGTCTCATTCGGCGTCATATTCGATGCGGCACCGAGGAAGTCTTGCAGTTGCCTGTCATTGGAACCGGCCATGATAAGGTATATACAAAAGATACGGTAAATGCGGAAACAAGTTGATTGATCGCTCAGAGCGAGGGCAAGCTTTTCGCCATCACTGTATGTACATCGTCGGTCTGGATAAGCATGACGCTTGTTAAGTTGTTAAACGTCCCTCGGGATGCTTATCAGAGTCGGAGTTAAGATGCCGCCTACGGGTTTACGACGTACTACTGAGAACTGTTGTAATACAGGTACAGTGCGATCCCAAGCCATCTGACAGGTCCGGAAATAAAATATAGCACGGAGAATTGGCTTTTAAGTGCTGGGCATCTTTATCAAGGAATCCCGCCTTTCTCCAGGATTTAATTCTTGAACTTTACAGGCGTTGTTTAGCTGCCGCTGTCTTACGCGAGAACAAGGCATTCTGTTCCCCTATTTATCTATTGATGACAATGGCCTTGTTACCTTGGACTCTGGCATGGTTCAGGTGATTGAAGCACATCTGGTCCTTCTGCTATCTTGAAGATGAAGAACCTTTAGGAATTGGAAAGGCTAGTAACAGTAGAAGAGTCTGTCCCCCGACAATGACGAGTTCGCGGGCGCGGGCTGCTATCATTGTGAAACAGAAATATTCTAGATGCGAAGGAAACTGTCCAGGGCAGTACCAAGTACTACTCCGTGCTTTCTTAGTCGTCCTTTGTTACTCCAATCTTCTCAACCGTCACAGAGGCCGTAGATAATGCAAGTAACTCGTACAGGATGCCGGCACCACATATAACCGGGGTGCTCTGCTCAAGTTCCAATCCACTACTTGCAGCCTGCCTTCTTCATAGCTACCTTAGCTAAGGTTACCTAGGTAAGGTACCTAAGGTACCTTATGTGAGAAGGGCCTCAAGGCACGTGATCATATTGTCGTACCCCCGTTGAATCTATGACCCCTTTACCGATGGGCAGAACCTAAGGTATTATATTATATTTCCGCACCCCGCTTGGTAGTGCCAAACGAGGAAGAAACAGCTTCGGATCCCAAGGTCGTCGATTTTGATAGACGACTGAAACAACGGCGAACATGGATCCCAAGGCTCTGGTCCAAGAAGGCTATGATAATATAGCCCCACGATATCTGGAGTGGACCTCGGGTAGCTCGTCTCCTAGGATGCCGTATCTCCAGAAACTACTGAAATGCCTCCCCGCCCGGTCCAAGGTTTTGGAGCTGGGCTGCGGGGCAGGCAAACAAACGCGAGTGCTTTCGGAACACTGCGAGGTCACCGCAAACGATGTTTCCGCAGCGCAAATCCAGCTTGCCCGACAGCACGCGCCGGATGCAGTTTTGATCCAGGGCGACATGATGGAGTTGACATTTCCTCCGGACACATTTCATGCCGTCGTGGCCCTGTATTCGATCATCCACCTGCCGCGAAGCGAGCAAGCTCTCCTGCTGAAACGAACTGCAGAGTGGTTAGAGGAGGGTGGGTATCTCCTGATGAACCTGGGTACCCGGGACGATCCTGGCACGGTGGCATCATGGCTGGATGGATGTCGCATGTACTGGAGCGGCTTTGATGCGGCGACGAACCGCGAGATGGTGCGCCTTGCGGGGTTCGAGCTCGTTGAAGAGGAAATCACACAGGAAGTGGAGGATGGAGTCGTGGTGCCTTTTCTGTGGATGCTCGCAAAGAAGAAAGGGAGAAGGGAGAAAAGGGCCGGGTAAGGATTGACGAGCGAGAGACGGTGTGGCAGGAGGTACAAATAAGCTTCCACGCAAGGAAGAAGGCAAAAAAAATAAGGAAAATAAGATAAGATACATAGATCAACGGATGAATGGATGAAGAATAAGAATCGACCACTGCGGAGAGCCTTGCACTTCTTGATGATGCGACCAAGACTCGAGACGGGAGAGACCGCAATAGCGAATTCAGATATAAATAATATAAATACCTATCTCTAATAGAGACTCGGCAGAGATACTGCACCGTCGCATCGCATCGCGAATCACCTCACGCATCTGGAGGCTGGAAACTGGACGCCTGGATACCGCAATGTGATACGGCCGCCGCACACCGTGGTTTCCGGAGCACGACCCCCTTTTCTGCCAATGATCAGCGCGAGAAGCAAGGCGCTGAAAGCACAGTTTCCAATACGAAAGCACCTCTTCAGGCAAAAAGCGTTGGGGGAATCTCGTGGGAGAAGAGGTTCATTGTCGAGGAAGGAAATGCAGAGAGCGAAGAGGAGGAAGAAGACCAAACGAAACGAAACAAAACGAAAACCGCACCGCTCGATAATCTATAGGTATAAGGTATATCGGAGACAGGACTGGAGAGAGAGGATCAGGAAAAGGACAGACTGTACACACCTTCGTTCGTATCTTACGAAGATAGCTCCAGAGTACAGTACATTGTATGTACATTGTATTCGTACCTGTCCCCAGCGGCGCATTATTGTTCCCACTCCCTATCGCCCCGATCCCCATCTCCATCTCCATCTCCATCCCCATTCCCCCCCATCTCCATCCCCCATCTCCGTCCCCATTCTCCCCCCCCAATCCACCTTCTAATACATCCACCATCGTTACGCTGCTCTTTGTCCAATTGACCTCGTCTTCCTGTGCATCTCCCCTTTACTCGGCATTTTCCCTCCTGTACAGCTCGTCCATACCGTGCAGCAGCCGCCGACCATCCCGCCCACCATCGTTTCCTGCCACCAACCAAACCGCCGCGCACAAAGCTTCGACTTGAACCCCCTAATCCTCGACCCTCACCCTCGCCCTCACCCTCCTCCTCCTCCTCCTCCTCCTCCTCCCTCTCCTCCTCCACGCCCATCCGCCATCCTCCTCTCCTCCGTCCTCCATCCTCCAGCACGATCGAGAAAATTAAGATACCCAGACACGCACCTCGAAATCCCGGTACCGGTTACCCACATTCCCCCCCAAAACCCTCCCAGACGAAGGACTTCATCTATCGAATCACGTCCCGTCGAGAAACGCCTCATCTGTCCCCCCCGTCACCCCTGTCCGCTCGCCCAAGCTTCTGCGGGTGTTCCATAATCCAGGTCTTCTTGTTACACATCTGCATCAAGTGCCCGCATCGATTTCGACTCTTTTCTGTACTCACGCGTCGTCCATCAGCTGTCTTTCTGCCGCTTCTTGCTTATCTCTCCGAGCTCTCGATCAACGACCCCCTCAAGAGCCCACCGCCCCGATACAGTAAACAATCGCATAATCAATAAATCTTGTCGCAGCTCCCTGACCATCATCCACTCCTGGTACGGTACATACCCTTCTTCTCCCGGATATGCAGAGATTGGCCTTCCCCAATTGCTATTCTGGCGGCATTTCTTCCTTCCGTTGTCTCAGGGGGTCTAACCCATCATGCAGATATTGTCTTCTTCGATCTGATAAACGAACCACCCGAAGTGAACCAACCTCAAATACAATCTCCCTTTTACTATCCAAAGCTTTCCCCATATCAGATATGGCGGCTCCAGGCACCCAGTCGCTCAAGGTTAGATAACCGCACGCGCCGCGATCTTGTTTATATTGGTGGAGCTTGATGCTGACCTCCTTTTCTCTGAACAGTGTGTTGTGACCGGTGATGGTGCTGTTGGCAAGGTATTCCCAATCCCCTTAGCCATTCCGCGCGGGTTGATAGCTGACCCTGGGCCCAGACATGTCTCCTCATATCCTACACAACCAACGCCTTTCCCGGCGAATATATCCCCACAGTGTGAGTCTCGGTGGATCTCCTACAAGACCAGTACTGATAGTCCCAGATTCGATAATTACTCTGCCAGCGTGATGGTGGATGGCAAGCCCATTAGCTTAGGACTGTGGGATACTGCTGGACAAGAAGATTATGATCGACTTCGACCTCTCTCGTATCCCCAGACGGATGTGTTTTTGATCTGCTTCTCCATTGTCAGCCCACCATCGTTTGACAACGTCCGAGCTAAGGTATGCCACTCTCTTGGAGACTCAACTTTGAGAGGATCACTGACTGAGTGGATCTCAAGTGGTTCCCCGAGATTGACCACCACGCGCCGTCGGTACCTATCATTCTTGTTGGCACCAAGCTTGACTTGAGAGAAGACCCAGCAACACTGGAGAGCCTGAGATCAAAGAGGATGGAGCCTGTATCGTATGACCAGGCGTTGGTTGTCGCGAAGGAGATCAGAGCCCACAAGTATTTGGAGTGTTCAGCTCTCACCCAGCGAAATCTGAAGAGTGTGTTCGACGAGGCTATCAGGTTAGTTCTCCGATTACCTACTCCCATTTACGAGGACGTGCAATAACAATAACGTAGAGCTGTCCTGAGTCCTAGACCGCAGGTGAGCAAGCAAAAGAAAGGCAAATGTACGATCCTGTAGGGAGAGCACGGTCGTTGGACAGAAGACGGTATTATAGTACCATGCGAGTTCAGTTCGACAGAGGGATTTGGTTGAGATTACAGCGTTCATTTTCTCTTCGTTGTCTAGAGATGGAAGCGCGAGCGCTCTCACGAACCAGAAGGTCTCTAGGCTTCTACGACCCTTGCAGCAGCGTCGTTGCTTTTCGTCGAGACCCTTTCGCTGAAACTTCTTACGAATCCTCAATCATACAGTGAGGGTGGCATGCACTTCACATCCTGGGGATATCCTGTTTCCTGTAGATAATGCACGGGGAGTAATGATCAATGACATTGAGTCTGGATGGTATTTTCTTTGGACAGTACCGCCCCCTTTATTCATGGAAGAGACGTTAGTTTTTTTTTCCTTTCGATATTAGTACATAGTCTAGTTTGCGCAAATAACAAGACACATCACGCCCCTGGGACTCTGGCCCTTCTACTAGGATGTATGGCACTCTCATCGATTTGAGCTGCCCCCTTTGCGGATTTTGCCTTCTCCTCCTCCTGAATCCTGTGCACCCGCTCCTCATTCAACTTCTGGTTCTTGGCCTTGATCTTCTCCTTGCGGTCTTTGGTATTACCCCCACCACCAGCACTGCGAACCGTTAGCATCCGGCAGAGAAGAGGGAGGATAGGAAGGGGCTCGGAAACTTACGTGAGCTCAACGCTGATTTTCCGGGCTGGGGAAACGCCATCGTCAAATGTAGAGTGGTGGAAGAGCTTCAGGCAGGTCTTCATGTGATCGTAGCCCTCGAATTCTAGGAAAGCGTAGCCCTTTGACTTGGTAGGGTCCTCTTTCTCGGTGATGTGCCGAACTGAGATTGGTTTCACGGCTGCGAAATGCTTTTGGATAGACTGGGTCGTTGCACTATATGGCAGATTGCCTGGAGAAGATAGTCAGCGACGGGTCTTCTTTTGCGTGACAACACTGAATATATCTTACCAATGAACACAATGAACCTAGCAGGCTTCCCATCCTTCTTCTCTTCGCTGCCACCCGTAGCATCCTTTTCCCCAGCAGCGCTCTGTCGCTTCTTCTCCCGATTGCGGTTGTTCTTTCTCGATTTCTTCTCCTCTGTAGTTTGCTCCGCAGCAGCTTCCTTGGATTCAGACGCCTGGTTTGAATTTGCAGCAGGAGTAGAGCTCTGCTTGGTGGCAGCCGCTTCTGCAGCCTCACGAGCCCTGCGCTCAGCCTTGCGTTCTTTCTTCGATTTCCGTGGTGCCTCGCTGCTCTCTGCTTTGTCTGCCTCCTCAGTTGTTTGTTCTGCGACTTCCGATTTCTGCTTCTCCTTCTTCTCCTTCTTCTTCATTTCCTTCTCTGCATCGTCTCCGCCGGGAATGGCGCTATCTTCTTCGTCTCTCTTCCGCTTCTTCTCCTCCTTCTTTTCCTTCTTTTCCTTCTTCTCTTTCTTTTCTTTCTTCTCCTTTTTCTCCTTCTTCACATCATCTCCTTGCTCCTCCTTCTTAGATCCACTCTCCTCCACCCCAGCATCATCATTATCTCTCTTCCTCTTCTTATGCGGCTTCTCCGTCTTGCTGGGCGGGTTTTCAAGCTCCTCCGATACGTCATTATCGCCGGGCACGTCTGGGATCGCATCTTCGAGCTTGCGCTTCTTCGCCTTCCTCTCCGCGCGAGACAGGTCTGTGGCCTTCTTCGAGGACCCCATGATGTTTATGTGCGGTGGTGATATTCTGATGTGTATCTCCTCCGCATGAAAGATCTCTGCTGGGGGATTTTTTTTTGGCGATAAAATAAAGTCGGCAGAATTTTAGCGCAGGGCCTGGATTGGGTAGCCCGACTTGGGACGTGTGGATTTCAGGATAATCGTGTTACAACCCAAAGATAACTCCGGGAGGAATCCTTGAACCCTTTTCAAGGGCAATCTACTATACATCATCTCAGTAGCCCAGGGCGGCCATCTTTTAACAGTTGAGGAAATCATTTTTATCACGTGAGCTGAAGCATAAAGAGCGGATTCGCCTTCAAAGCTTTCAATACGAGATTTGGTTTGAAGATATTGTGAGTGTTCTTTTATTTCAATAAACCTATATCACGAAGCCTTTCATAGAACCGACCACTCGAGGTATTACTCCACCAATTTAAGCTGAGTGTTGAAGTCCTCAACCTGATGGATGAGCTTCAAAGCGGCCTTTCGAATGTTCCAAAGCTTTCTTGTAGCCATTTGAAATGGAGCTCGTCCTCTGTCCTCTATCATAGAAAAGACAATGGTAAGGTGAGTTCGGTCCGATCGTGGGTGCTGAAATGCCGATTTACAATCCGCTGGTGGAAAGCAGCCGAGATGTAAGCAGGCTCCGTAGGAGCCGGAGAGATATCTGAGGTGCAGTATGGAGAGGAAAGTAAACACGCTATCGTCGGTGATGCAGTGGGAGAATATGGACCATCGATATTCGTCCTGTATGTAATAGTTGAAGCACTGGGCCGAGAATGGAAGTTCCGCGTGAAAAGTTTGACTCAGCCTGCATAGCTTAGTGCCTGCCAAAGACCGTGCTCTTCAGCGTAGGAGATAATCGTGATTGAGAAATGGAGGTATCGTGAAGGTCAAAGTGTTGAAAGCCTGGATCTGGTTCAACTTTCAGTAGAAAAGTAGGTCTATGCTTCCAGAGTCAGAGTTGTATCTCTCTCTGAGCTGCTTTTCCCCTAGAAGTTGTATCAAAGCGATCTGTGTTTCTTTCGTTTCCAAAATGCCCTTCTTCTTCTGATCAATATACGAACAGTCAATGACTATTCTTTCTAATCTGTCTGTAGCAAGTGCGCCTGTGGGGAAGTCAGCAATGTTCTCCGCCATGACAGCATTGGGGCTCGAACCATCATCTAGTAGGTCTTTTATCCTGGCTGGTGTGCCCACAGCAATTCCCGTTCTCGTCGATTTCAAGAATTTAATGGCATCCTGCATTTTGATGTGTTTTCCGAAAAGTTTGGCCACTTTGGCATCCTTCGTATGGAATTTTCGAACAACCCTGGAGCAGGTCAGCTGAAAGTCTTCAAATGCCCGAACGTGTTTCATATACCTCGCCAGATCCGCTGCCCTTATCCCAGCCATTGCTACGATGATAGTGTGAGGCGCCCCATTCTTCTTGGATGCTGACCACAGCTTTGTCGTATTGCCGGAGAATTTCTCGAGAAAGGCTGGCAAATTGTCTAAAGTACGAGGTTTGTCAAACGAAGTAGTGTCTCGAATCGCAGTAGCTAGACAAAAAGGTTATTATTTTAGTTCTCACCTCGTGAATTGGCAGTGTGTGAATACCTGAGATATATTTATCTTCTAATTCAACCAGACTTAAATCACTCTCATATTTCCTCGTCCGCTGAGCAACATAGTCGGCCAAAAGTTGGTTGTCCATGTGCGAAAATGCGGTATTGATACCCAATTCAATATCCAATTCATCCTCATCTACTGCATTGGCCTTCTTTGTCTTCGATTTCTTTGCAGTTTTCCTAGAACTCTGATCTTGTTCCGGTCCGCGCTTCCTCTTCTTTGCGGAGCTCTGGGTCTTGATAGGATCCTCTGGTTCGGGGGAGGCACTTAAGCGCTCTAGAAGAGGCTCCTGCAGATTATCTTCAATTGACATGGTGGTAGTGAAAGCGGTTCAAGTGCGTAGAAATTCAGATGCTTTTCGAATCTTCAGCAGCATTTCAAAATTTGTTTTTGTCGTCGGAGCGCAAGGATTATATCTCTCACCGCCCCCCACAATGGGTTAGCTCCAGCTGATAAAGTAGCGCGACCCGCTAAGGAATCCAGAAGTCAGGGGCCCGGGGGAACAGTACGCGAGATCCAGAAAGACGCGTTTCGCGACCTACGACGGTCGACAGGACGAACCTAGGTAATCATTCAACTCCACGTATTACGGATATATGAATATGCTCCTCTGATTCCGAACCACGGCCTCTGGGAACATCTCTCTCAACCATTCATACTTTAATTGTGGAAAGACAATCAACTCTTCCCCATCCAGCCATGTCGACGCATGGGGATTCGCACGGGCTAGACCCCGCTTCCAATGCAAACACAGATAGCACTTTGTCTCAGCAACCTCGAATAACCCCTCGGAATTCAGACGCAGATGGAGCCATTACATCTGAAGCTGCAAAAGACACACCTTATGGCACTCTGCGCCAGCTCGCAAACCTGCCAAAGCCGGCAACACCTTTGCGCCGAGCTGCCAGCGCTGGCCCTCCTTCTCATCGATCCATACGACGAACACCTGTGACCCAGGCCAGGACACCTGGTGCAACACAAAGGCTTGGTGGCTCGGGAAGGAGAGCGAATGTTCTCACACCTCATGGAAGGGCCGCAATGCGAGAATTGGAGGCACGCAGAGCTGTACTCACTCCTGGCAAGGACAGGAGACGAAGCGGACGGCAGCAGAGGGAGACACCCCGGGATGATTTGAGGGCACTTAGTAGGCTTCTAGCTCCAAAATCTCAGCCAGTCGTGCCAACACCACCGGGTCACAATGCATCCACCGGAAAGTTTGCCATTCCTGGGAACGATGACTTTGATGATGGGCCCGACCTAGAAAGGCCGCGCCTGTCATTACCAATTGGAGACGATGACGAGGATGATGATAGCTTGCTGTTGCCGCCTCGTTCAGCAGGTCTGGAAGACGAGAACATTACAGTGCGATCCATTGAGCTTCCTCGAAGGGCTATTAGCGAGCAACCCCCTGGACGACTGTCTAGGGGAAGTTTTGGAAGTATCAGGATGAGCGACCAATTTGCGGATCTGAACGAGATAGGTTTAGATGGCATAGGGGGTGTATTTGATTCCAGTTTTGCTATGGGAGGCCAATTGAGTGATGATGATGTCCCAGATATGTATGATGACTTCCCAAGGTATGTTTTGTAGCAGTATTGATGCAATTTTGAGTGCACGATGGCTTATTATGATTAGGGAAAATACAGCGACTTTAAGAGACATTGGCCTTGGGCGAGGTCGCGTTTCCCTGGCATCTGGTCGGGATAGCGATATTCGCCCAGCCGAATTTCCAGGGGACGATACTGAGAATACTTTTGTATTTACAGTTCCGCCTCGAGATGCAACAGATCCACAGCAATCTGATGACGCTGCGGAGACTCCTAGTGGAGAGATCGGAAATAATTATTCGGACCAGGAGGTCGAGGTGGAAGGCGAGGACCCAGAAGCGTCCGACAATCCTATGGAAGGGGAAGCCGACACCAGTATCCAGGAAACCACGCTTCTGGATATTGATACTTCTGTGGCCGATACGCACAAGGTTACCAGGAAGAAAAGGATCAAGATCTCAAAGCATGGTATTCAATATCCTTCTCTTCCACCAGGCGTGGTCAAAAAGCTCGCCACTACGTATGCTCGAACAAGTGGCAATAGCAAAGCCAAAATAAGCAAAGACACTTTAGATGCCATAATACAAGCATCTGACTGGTTTTTTGAACAAATCAGTGATGACTTGGGCGCATACGCTGAGCATGCCGGCCGGAAGACCATTGAGGAGAGTGATGTTCTTACACTCATGAAACGGTACGTCTTACCTCACCCAAGGAGATTAGCTATATCTAATAGTACATATTTACAGACAACGCCAGACAAACACTACGACGACGCCTTTTTCATTAGCTCAGAAGTATCTTCCTCGAGAGCTTCTACAAGAATTGCGAATGGTTCCTCCTTCAAAAACCAAAAGGGGACGTCAGCTCGAGAGCGTCGACGAGGTGGACGAGGACGTGGACGTAGACGAATGATTGAATGACGATTTGATGACTTATGACCAATCTTTATTTTGGCGTACACGGCGGGCTACATCAGCCGGTGGTTTTCTAACTAGTATCCACAGCATGACTGATGTGGCTACTCCGAGGGCATACCTAGATGGGCGGTATTAGAAGGATGAACTGATATTGTGGCATGGATATTGTGAATCTTACCATGTGAAGATATATTGTGTGTGGTTATTTCTGAGGTCTACTTCCGGAGCTCTGCCGATTGGTATTCCTCTAGCCTCTCGATCCCACGATGTCAGAAGATCCGGCTCTATAACCATGCGTCAGTAATTGCTTGGGTGATGAAACCTTCCATGGCATACCCATTGTTTCCTCAACCCAGACGGGTTGACTACCCGTTAACTTGGCCATCTGTTCCACATCCGGGAAATAAAACTCCTTTTTCTCCGGGCTATTATCTGGTGTGAACATGTTCTTTTTGAATGGTTCCCTCAACAACCCCTCCACGGTAACTTCTCCAGTAGGCAGGCCATCCGGCCTATCCTTCTGTTCCTTAAACTTCTTGGCAATCCAGCCCCTATTTATGAGTACCGTAGTCCCGTCCCCTTCCCTCTCTAGGGGTGTTATAACTAAATATCCTTCATGGCCATCGTGTATCCGTGGACCTATCAGCATCTCTTGGTCATGTCTGAAATGGCCTGTAGCGTATATCCGCCTATAGTCGAACTCGTGGATAGCAGAGGGGTCAACATGAGGCGGCAATGGCAGAGGATCGCGAATTAGACGGTCTTCGAATTTGGCTATAAGATTCGTTTTCCAATCGAGACGCTTGACTTGCCAAGTCCCGAGCGCAAAGGCCGTGATGGGGATCAGAGCTGTTTCTTGCGTTAGCAAGCAATGGACCTGGGGGGTTTCTGGGCTACAAACCTAGAATGATGAGACCCGGCCCATGCTTCCTACCTGTCCGGACCAAATTGGGGGGGTTGTCCACTATGGACATGAAGTTGGGGTCATCTCCAGCTTGCTTCTCACACCGGGGTCTGGATTGAGAAATATGCCTGGAAGATTGCCATCTTGAGATGAGGTTATCTCGAGAATCTCTCGCAATATTCCGCACAGTTCCTGTGCTGCGGAACCGACACAGGATAAACCTTGAGGAATTCATAAGTGCTGGGCCAGGAAGTTGTGCTGGCGGTACAACCAGTGCGGCAGAAACGGAGTGTATTTCTTTGCGCGGTCGCGATCGTTCGTTTGCTTGCAGAGCAAACATCTCGGCCGTCAACCGTCTCTCCACCACAACCCCAAGGGACAACACGACCTAGAGCTGCCTTTATATAATAAAGTCTTCACTCCCAAAATGTTTTACGAAGGAGATTTACAGAGCGGTATAGATAAAGCGCTGCAAGAGTCAAAGCTAGTAGCGTGCTTTGTTACAGGTATTTCCTCCACGTACCGGCAAAGTGACGGCCGCGCTGACTAGGTGTCTTCAGATGAGGGAGAAGAGAGCCAGCTATGGGAGAATGACTTCCTAGAAGAGCCATCTGTAAGCCCCGGGACTTTTGTGGCTTAAAGTCTCCAGAAACTAATATGATTATTCAGTTGAAAGCCTCTTTATCACAAGAGACTGTTCTCCTCCGTCTCAAAGCCGGCTCCGTCGAGGCTGGATATCTAGCTGCTATATTCCCTTTACCTAAGACACCTACACTCGTGATCATACAGTAAGTAATACTGCAGTTACGGTTGTTGCCTTTGCAAACTACTGTTTCTTTATTTTGATTTATTTTGTTCTACCCGCGTTGTCCAGTTATTTTTCTCCATTATTGAAGTACAGATTCTTCTCTGGCGGAGTGCTAGATCGAAAACGTAAGGCAAAGGTTAACAGCTTATTCTAGGAGTGGAGAGTTGAAGGAATACATAACTGCAGGGGTCTCGAAGGATGACTTCTTGAGACGTATCAGAGTTCTGCTGGAATCACGTGGAACTTCAAGCCAAACAACGCCTGCACCTGAACCATCACAGACACAAGCTTCTAGCTCGACAGCTGCAAGCAATGCCACATCATTACCTGCCGAAGAGGCGTTACAACCTGGGACCAACCAGGCCGCTGGACGCACAGCAATCGGTAGAGAATCTTCACCGCGTCTTGCACAGGATCAGCCAGGAGAGGCCAGCGCTAGTTCAGACTCAGAGAGGAAAGATCAAAATCGACCAGAGGAATCAGGGCGTAAATCCGAGGCCCAAGGTCGAAAGCCCACTCCTGAAGATACACCCAGTGTATCTCAAAGACTGGATAGTAGTGACATGAGTTATGCGGCCATGCAGAGAAAGCGATTGCAAGAGGCTAAAGAGGAGCGGGCACGTATCCTTAAGCGCGTGGAGGATGACAAAATTGAGAGGAGGAAACGGGAAGCTGAACGGAAAGCTGAATTAAAGGCCAAAGAGGCAGGCGAACATTTAGGAGGCCAAGCGGAGTCGAGTAGAACAGAAGCGCCAAAACCAAGTCGATCCAAAGAATGCGCAATACAAATACGGCTATTCGATGGATCCACGATCCGTTCGCGATTTCCTTCTTCGTCTACCCTTCGGGCAGATGTGAGGCCATGGGTTGACGAGCATCAGGCAGGCAACGCACCCTACACTTTCAAGCATGTCTTGACTCCTCTCCCAAACAAGAATATTTCCATTTCAGACGAAGAACAGACCCTCGAAGCTCAAGGACTTACGCCCAGTGCTACTCTAATTCTCGTCCCAGTTCAAGGTTATGTCTCAGCATACGAAGGTGGCGGTAATAGTGGCTTGGTGTCCAAGACTATTTCTACGGGGTATGGCTTGGTCTCTTCTGGGGTGGGTATGGTCAGCGGCCTTCTGGGGAGCTTCTTAGGAGGAGGCTCTTCCTCTTCGGCGCAGCATGAACCGGCTAGTACTACACCTGCGCCGCCATCAGCCCCAAATATCAATATCAGAACCTTGAGAGACCAAAATCGACTCGATGAGAATCAGTTCTATAACGGTAATTCTGTAAGTAAAGGCGCCCCCGCATACAAGTATATCACTAATTGTACAGCTTAACTTCGAACCAAGAAATGATGATGAAGATAAGAAGGATGAATAGGGATAGCTGAGTTCAACGGTGGACGCAGATAATAAAGGCAAAGTACAGAGTAGAGCGCGGACCACGGGAGGAATTGGGCTTGGGTTCAATTTGTCCTGCAGGAGACGCATTATTCCGCCCCCGGTGACGGCCTTTCGGACCCGAAAATGTACGTATACTCAAAGTTCAATACTGAGCTCTCGGTTCTGAAAATAGATATAAAGATACCTAAGATTTGGAGACTGCTATTGTTCGGTGGGGTGCATTCTTACTGTCTAATTGATTGTTTGATTGGTTGGTTGGTTGATCTAGTCTCAGAATTGACCGAACCCAAAAAAAAAGTTCAAAAAATTATTTCAAAGCAAGCCAGTGGGAATTGAGCCCACGGCGGGGGTCGAACCCGCAGCCTTCAGATTTATCTCTGAAGAGAATCTTATCTTAAGAGTCTGACGCTCTACCGATTGAGCTACGCGGGCTTTGAGTTTGTTTGCTTGTTTGTTGAAAGCTTCTGACTGTTAGAGATGAAGTGGTCACTTTCTTAATGAGAGAAACCTGAGTAAATATATTTTATAGAGAAAATCTGATGGAGTGGGCTCAGGTCTCAGTAGTAGGTACAACTATACGTATCAAAAAGTCTAGATGTTCAAATACCAATCGGATCTCAAATACAGAAGAATATTCAGCGACTTTGAGATTTCTGGTAGGGGATCGGTATGCCAACCAGTTCTTCTCATTTTGTGACATTTCAAAACCTCAGGAGCACTCCTTTTATACAATCAGATATTCATTGTTCATTCTAGGTCACATCTGTAAGATATATTCCTTACTTATCAAAGAGCCAAAGTCTATTTGAACTAAAATCTATTCGAGCAACGTTATTATTGGGAGTGAGATATCCCGAGATATCCCCTATCCCCCCAGTTTCCTACAGAAACATTTCCCAGAGAATAATGTTATATTAACCCCCCCCCCAAAATCCCCCCAATTCTTCGGATTTGCTTAGCATTTAGAACTTTTCTCTCTGGATATCCCCACATGATACCTTGACTCCTGTAGCCTATTTCCACCCTATCCGCATTTCTTATGAACCCAATTACATCCAACTACTTAAGCACTGAAGGGCTTTTCCCACGCCTGAGTATGCCCGATACTCGAACACTCATCCGAAAGATGACTCATGGTCTAATGTTACAGAAGAAGACATGTTGATTTGCTCATCGCCGACGAGCATATTATAAAAGGAGGGAACCGGGGTGAGGCCGTCCGTGCCTGAAGTGATGATACTATTAATGTCCGTGAAGCTCTGCTTTTCCTTACCACTAGGGGGATCGATCCACGACTCGTCAAGCAGCAATCGGGAAATATCCATCTCGCCCATACTTCCTGTGAACGACGTATTTCCGTTCCAATCGAACGGAGGGAGGCCATCGGCGGATTCTGATGGCTGCTCCGAGAAGGAATCATTATCTTTAAACCCGAAATTTGAAGTTTGAGACGATAGCGGTAGTGTTTTAGAGATAGTCCCTTCGTTATCTGAAATAATCTCATGAATTCTGAGGCCTTCTCGACTTGAGGATTGCTGGAGTGTGGAAGGAGGTTGCGTTGCGATTGTATTCTCCAATTCCCGCGCATCAGCATTACTAGCACCTTTGGACGTAGCATCGTCAGAGCGGAACTTCTCGGGATATTTGTTTCGGAATCTGTCTCTGAGATCCGTGGGTTGTCTGCTCTGCAGATGGAACCTTGGATCTCTCTGTATTCGAGTCCAGGCAGGTCCATATATTTGGTAGCCCAGCAGGATCTCGCGATCGTCTTCGTCAGAAAACGGCCGCCTTTCCCGACGTTGGGATTTTCGGAATGGTCCTTCAATCCCCAGCTGAGCAAGATCCTCCAACCTTTTCCGGTGAGTACGGCTTTTGCGAGATTTATTTGTCCCCGGCATGTCAGCATCGTTATCATTTCCCCCAATTTCATTTTCTTCGATCAGAATGTTCTCAGACATAAGACTAGACTTATAATTCCTTTGATTTGCACCCTTATTCGCGTTTTCCTGGGCCTTCGTTGACTTCCTCGGTTTCGGTATCTTTTCCCGCAATTCGTTAGGACAGCAAGTCCGGAAACGATCTTTGAGATCAACTCCAGATCTGTTATTGAACCAGAAGCTCGGGTCTTCTAGTATATCCGTCCACCTCCCAACGCCGTGCTTATACACACCTAATAATAGGTTATTCGTCTCCTCCTCCGTCCACTTCTTCCTTGTCTTGCCAGCCTTCTTGTGATTCTGCCCCTCTGTTGATTTCCTGCCGTCCACAGTGTTTGGAGAGTCCTCTGACTTCGTATTATCATCCAGCTCTTTGGCCATCGCAGGCGTTGCATTGAGACTGTTTCGACCATGACGATCGTGAAAGGAGCTGGAGGCTATCGGAGGAAACAGGGCGGCTTGCGGTGGCGGTTCAAAGAGACCAATAATTATTGGAGGGACAACTTGTTTGGTAGCCTTCTGCTTCTTGGGAGGTTGCGGTAGCTGGACAAAATCGTCCTTACTGCTCTCAACAAGGTTCCGCTTCTTCGCACATGGCGTCGATTCAGTCCTAGTGTCATCGTCCAGTATCTTTCTCAATGACTGAGGCGAAGAGCTGCCAAGGGCCCGATCTGTAATACCAGGGGCTTTCTTCTTCGCTTCCGTGCCTCTGTGAAGATTATCGTCGCCGTCGATGGATGACATCAGCCCCGAGTGTTTCGGCGTCAGCGGGGTATTTGGTGTCGGCTTGCCATTGCGTTTGCTGGCGTCTGGCTCCAACAACAAAGGACGTCCAGAGGGCTTCAGAATATTCGGATTGTGTAGAGGCGGCAGCTCTAAGGAAGGAGATGTAGTGTATGACTCGGCGGGGGCGTCGTTATTGAGCAGAGCTATCAGCCTCGGCTCGATGGTCGACGGATACATTTCGGTACGTTCATGGTTAGAGATGCGTCTATGTCAAGACAAGCTCTTCTGGCTTTATGTGTATGGGTGGCTATCTGGTGTGGTGGCGGTGGGTAGCATGTCCTTGTGATTGGGTTTGGAGGGTTTGGAGGTGTTGGTGTTGTTTGGTGTGAAAGTGAAGTGGGATGTCGGAGACTTGGGTCACTTTTTGCCGACTTTTCGTCGGTTCGCCTCATCATCCATCACAGCTACCACTATCTACATCTCCCCCTTTCCTCCTCACCTCAGGACTCCTTCAATCCTCGCCTTCCCCGTCATCTCAGGCAGAATAGCAGTGAGGCATTGGAAGCCTCACCTCCAGCGCAATCATGGCCTCGATACTTCCCCCAATTCCCCGGGTCGTCTTTACCGTTCTCGAGCCCCTGACACTGTGAGTCTCGAATTCCGGGAATGAGCTCTGATACACCTCTAATCAGTGCTCAGTGTGGCCGGCTTCTTTGCGCCTTTTATATCGCCTGAGTGGTTCGTTGCCGAGCAGATTGCCTCCTCGCCGCTCGTAGATATTACCCAGAACACAAAAATGGTTGCATACCAATTGGGCAATATATATATCCTGTTGGCCATGATTGGGGTTGCTGTCCTATACACTACTACTGAAGCCAGAGTCGTCCGCAACTATCTAATCGCTCTGGCCATCGCGGACGTGAGCCATGTCGGGGTCACGTGGTACGCCATGGGCCATGAAAGAGCTGTCGACGTTGCGAGCTGGAACTCGATGACCTGGGGGAATATCGGGGTCACGGTAAGTAGTAGCATTGGCCCCATGACAGAATCGAGTTGTAATCTGACTTCCACATTTCAGACTCTTCTCTTCGTCGTTCGTTTGGCATATTTGGCAGGCCTGTTTGGCCCGGATCAACAATCTCCTATTGCGAAAAAAGGGGGGAAGTTGCACTAATCGTATGTCAATAATGTCTAGCGGTCATAAATTAGACAATTCTATTCTTAGGCTTCGGTTCCATAACTAGATACCTCTTCATTGTATGTTAGCAAGCCAAGATGTGGTGGTGAAGCTCAATGTATCGTTTCATTCTTACTTGACTTTAAGAGATCACCAAACAAACATGTCAAACTCCAGTGACGCAGTGGTTAGCGTGTCGTTCTTATATTCCTCGGGCAACCGATTAATATGATCTTTCCAAAGAAATGCGAAAGTCGTGGGTTCGACACCCACCTGGAGTATAATCCAACCTTTTTCTTTTTCTTTTTAGACACGTAAAGAACACTAGCAGAGGCCCCTAACTTATTAGACAAGGGAAACAAAAACAACGACATTGCTGCTATAAGGAATCATTGTTTGTAGAACTACCTACTCCAGCGTATTGAGCATCTTCTGCTAGTATCCCCTATATAATCCAATAAAAATTAATACTATGTCCTCCTTGAACTAAAATCACATATAGTAGTTATGTGAAGTAATCGCTTGAAGCTTATCCCTACGTATAGATTTCAACATAACCAACGCTCGTGACCGTGCTCTTCTTACACCTTGATTGAATGATAATCACAATAATACCAACAAATAATCTCCAAGATACTTGACGAGCGCCCGGGAAGAAGTCCCAGTCCGCTCATTATTATCCATGGCGCCCTCCAAAAAAGCGTCTAGCAGCCTCGCCCGACCATCTCAGAAGAGCAAGCCACAAGCGGCGCCTCCCCCGAACTGGCCCGCCTTCAAACCTCTAGTCCCAACATGCGACCTCTCCCTCTCCCCAGTCGTGCCGTCGCAGATCGTGGTGGTGCGGAAGTTCTGGACGGCTGCGCTGTGTCGGGATTACGTCGCGTTCCTGAAGGGCTTGCCGCTGACGACGACGCCTGGGAAGCCGAAGAAGGGCGAGGCCTTGAGGGTTAATGATCGCTTTCAGGTGCTGGATGAGGCGTTTGCTAATAGGTTGTGGATTGAGACTGGGCTGAGGGAGTTGATTTGTGGAAGGGATGGAGAGGAGGGGGAGGAGGAGGATGAGGGGGAGATGAGTAAAGAACAGAGGAGGGAGTTATGGTACTTTCCTCCTGATTGCTAATAGCAGGTAAAATTAACACGGTTCTGATGCGCTCATAGGGGAGGGGATGTGGTCGGTTTGAACCCTTCAATACGGATCTATCGATACACGCAAGGCCAATTCTTTGACTGTCATTGTAAGTAATATCATTCTTCCTTTCCTCGTACCTAGAAGCTTATGTATGATCTGGAGATGACGAGTCCAACGTTTTGACTCTTGCTACAAAACCCACCCCAACGCCAGCGAAGACAACCTGGACTCTCCTCCTGTATCTTACTTCGCCAGCCACGGGATGCCAGGGCGGAGAGACAGTGTTCTACCCCGATGATCTCCCAGGCAAGAAATCTGTAGTCGATAAGGAGATTGTGGTCAGCCTCGAGACTGGAATGCTACTTCTACATAAGCATGGTAATGACTGCATGTTGGTAAGTCTTCAGTACAACCAAACCCTTGGCCGTCTTACTGATAACTTGATAGCATGAAGGGAGGGAAGTTTTATCAGGAGAGAAATGGGTCATCAGAACAGATCTCTGTGTAAGAAGATGAAGATTAACTTATAACACTAAACGTCCTGGACAGAAAGCATGGAAAATGACGTTTATAAAAGTTTCAATTTCAAAAGGTAGTCGCTTATCATGGTTCGAATCTTACGATATTTTACAGTAAACATAGGCCCCTATGGAACTGATTACCACCCCGCCCCCCTCCCTACCCGTTCATCTCGTTCGAAGAATTAAGAATCTGCTCGCCAACATCGCACGCTTATGGTTCCCTCAGTCATCATCAAATATCTGGTAGGTGTTATTCAGGATGGTCTCAATAACCCGAACCTGCCACCCCGCATCTTGGATATTAGGACCGGTGCTCGCGCCCATCAGCGTTGGTCCAAAGACTATGGCCAGGTTAGCTGCATTCATTCGGTTTGCGGCCGAGTTCTCCTGGACACGGTTTAGGTGGAGTGTGAGGGCACGCAACGTCGCATAGTTTGGATCGGGAAGACTGTTAATGATTGCGTGGAGGGAATCACGTCGGACTATGTCATCTTCATTTTCTAGAAAGCGAAGGTTAGGGTGGGATCTCCAAATGGGAAGTTGGTGAGACGAACTTGCAGCTTCAATGAAACCAGCGTAGTGCTCCCTGGTCATGAGGGGATCAGGGAGCTCGCGGAAGAACTGCTTGAGAAGTCCAGCAACGCTATTCACGTCGTGAAAGAAATTCTCCGGGTTGCGAAAATCTACTTGTGATGCATCTGAGGATGATTAGCGTGCAGTACTAGAGGATGGTACTCGTGCAACTTACCGTTGTCGAACATGGCCCTGATCTTAGTGATGTGGGATGCAGTACCGGACAAGCGGTAGATGCCTTCAACTTCTAATCCGAATAGGTCTACAGCTTGGATACATTGGTAAACGACCATGGGAACTGCGGAGCTATCCCTTTCGAACAGTTGATCTAGGCTAATCCCAAATACAGGCTTCAAAGGAGGAGGCAGATAGCCTACTCCATTTGATGTCGCAGGAGGTTGCGAATGTGTCGGGGGCGCAACCTGTTGCTGAGGGAAAGATGGCTGAAGGGTCGGGGAGGTCTGGAAGGGGAGCGATGAGATCTGTGGTGGACTGCTGGAAGTAATGGAACCGGTATTATACGAGCCATGTGAAGGAGGTTCTTTCGCCGTTGATCCCATCGACCCCATCGATCCACTGTTATATTGTTGCAACGGCTGGCCTTGACTACTGAAGCTTCTTTCGTGATGTTGCGAAGCGGGTGGAGGACCCTGGCTATTGAACGACTGACTCGCGTGCGTCTGCTGTGGAGACGGTGTAGTCCCAAAAGATGGCGGGGGACCCTGACGAGACGAAAATGACGCCGGAGGATCTGATTGCCGTTGGGGCGGGGCAGCGGAAATGGGTGGCTGCGTGGGGTTCAGCACCTGAACTCGATGTCAGCCATATTTACCATACTCCACGGGATTGTTCACGCAGCTTACCGGATTGCGCTCATATCTGATCTCTGAAGCTCGGGGAGGTACCCTCTTCTCATAACTGACAATATAGTTGCTGAGATCTTTCGGATTATCTATTGAATGTACGGCCTCTCGAAGACTTCGAGTCTGGTTTCCCTGCGCGTTCCCTTTCAGAGGGCTGATATTCAGACCGTTGCTCAACAAGAGCTTTTCATTAAATGATGCTAGAAATTGAATTAGTAGTAATAATTGACCCGTGCTGTACAGAGCTTACCAAACTTCTGCATCTGCAGCGTCAATGCAGAATCACACTCTTTGATCAGGTCTTGTAATGCGCTTACAGTCTCGGGCCTCAGCTTCGACCACAGCTCTGCGCGCTGGTTTTGTGCGGTCTGAACCTTCGAGGCATAGTCCGCATCTGCAGCCTGGACCTTCTTCAGAAGATCCTCCTCATGCTGTGCGGCGAATTTCGGGCCCTTGATCCCAAAGATCTTGCCGGACTGACGGTCTCCCGTCCTGGCTCTGTCGTAGTCCTCCGCAAGCGCATCGTATTTGGCTTTCGACTTCTTCATGGCGGCTTCTGTGTCGGCCACGCGCTGCTCAGCCGCCAATCCCGTAGCCTTCCAATGTTTCCGACTCCGTTCTATGTTCCCTACCATCTCGAGGAGATCTTCTTGCATCTTCTGTAGAGACATGGCGAATTGCGCCCCATTATCTGCCATCCGCTCGTGTATCATCGTTACTTCTTCGTATGCGTGTAGGAGCGAGCCATGCCGATGCTCTGGCTTTCGAATGCTCTCGGCTGTCACTCTGCAGAGCTTCTTGAGCCCATTGGAATGCTCCTCCTCCAACGTGGATCGTCTCTTGAGAAACAGCGCAAATTCCTATGGGCGCAGTCAGTTGCCGGTCGCTAGAGAGAGGGAATTGTCTGCCAACCTTCGCCGATGCTATGCTCTGCTTGAGACGAGTAAGAAGGGTCGTGACTCCGATCTAGAATTGCCAGATACCAATTAGCTTCGAATTGAAGTCGTATGCCTCGAGGTTGCCCTCACTTCTGAATTGACAACATCATGTACGATCTTGGCATTCGGGTCTACCTGAGCAGGCGGGGGCGCTGCTGGGGCAGAGGGAGCAGCGTCGCCATTGGTGACAGATGCGTCGTCGCCGGGAGCTCCTGAAGACATGTTGCCAGTTCCGTCATGCGGTTGAGTTGGAAAGTCCGACGGCTCGGACAGCAATCGATCGGGGTTGCTGTTGTCTTCATCCATCTTGAGCTCTTGAGCGCAAGAAGCTGTGCCCTTCTGCTGGTCTGGTGGGTGGCGACTGTGGTTGATCGTCACCACTTCACAGAGGAGGAGGTATTAATGTCTCCTGGAGCTGCGATGCCTATGCGATGCGATGCGGTCGGTTGTCGGGCCCAAACCACCGGCGTTGGCGTTGGCGTTGGCGTTAGGCGTCGCAGCTGGGAATTCCTGAGCAAGGTAAGGTAAGCATCCATTATAAGGTACCGCCTCGAAATGTGTAAATACGAATTTTTATTTTTATTTTTATTTCTTATATATATGGACCTTTGAAGAACTAGAAGCACTTATACTCCCAGATCAACTTATATTGCATAGCCAATGTGTGCTGAATATCCATTACCATCTCAACAGAGCCAAGCTTCGCTGTTCACTTATCATTAGAACGCAGCAAAGCATACCAGCCTGTGAAGCAAAGGGAATGTCACCGGCCAGACGCTGCTGGTCTTACAGTGGTTACAAAGTAACCCTCTGTGCTGACAGCCCAAGACATCTCACACAAATTCAACTTTTCAATTCTCAAGACACTGTACGAGTACTCCGTACGGTGCTCACACGTGCCTGCGCCGCGGCGCCCCCCCACTTCTGACACTTTCATACCAGTGCATGAAAGATCCGATGAACTCGAAACACTCTAATCTTCAAGAAGCTCTGCATGATCCCTTCAAGGATCCCTCCCTACAGCATCAGCGATGATCTGGTAGCACTCCTCCGGCTTTTCAAAAACATGCCAGACGTCTGACGGGACTCCTTCGAAAGCCTTTTCAAAGCGCGCAGGCTCGTTCTTCTCTTCAATGCCAATCGCTGCGATATCCGTTACTTTCCGGATGAAGATCAACCGTACCCAGCCTGGGTATTTCCGATAGATCTCGCCGTATGCCTCCGGGTCCGACTGGGTTGAGTCGCCAACGCAGATCATCTTGCGATGCGGTAGCCAGGAGTTTATTTTATTCATCCGATCGACTTTGTACGCCTGGGTCCCGAGAGTGAGATTCGACAAGAGGCCAGAGAGATTCATCCAGCTTGCATCCCGTAGAATCACCGTGCCATGGGGGTAGAACTGCTTCAGGAAGCGCCGTAAGAAGGGGTACAGGTTATAAGGGGAGGCGGAGAGGTAGAAGAATGGTGCGGATGGAGTTATGACTTTCTGGATGTAGGCGTAGAGCTCAGGCATCCCCGTAATGGGCGTAGGTGGTGATACAAATGTCGAACGCAGGATCCCAATAGGATCGCTGGTCTGGGTGATTTTGATTGAATCATCAATGTCTGTAGTAATGTAATGTCAGGATGCGGAAATCTACTAGGAGGGGCTCGAAACTCATACCGGATATGACCCCCCAGCCATAAGGCTCAGAGTATACAGTCTGCATGTTCAACTCTCCATTTGTCCCGGAAGGTACCTGGGCGACACTGGACACAATATCCCCATCACGGTATTGTGGGAGTACTCTGGTATCACTCGAGATAGCATTTCTGCCACCCGGACCGAGATCAATCTCTTCCTTCTGCGCAAAATTGACCTTGACTTTACGTCCCGGCAAGATGGCTTGCACGAAAGGGATCAACCTCTCTTGGATTGTAGCTTCTGCAGCATCACCTTTGCCGATACCAACCTTCTCAGCTATATCAGCTACCACCTTGCTGACTTCAACGCCACTATTCTGGTCAAAGACAGCCGCAATGAACTCGGCCTGCCACTGGTCCGTACTACCAGATCTGTACGCGGTGTTATCAAGTAGCCATACTGTGTCGTCCCCAGTAACCTCCTTAGGTAGGGGATTGTGGCTTCCCAAGTAGGAAAGGAGATCTGTAACCTTGGATGAACGATGGTCGGGAGCTATGTTCAATTTAATATCCGGGAGCTTGGCTTCGATATCGAGGAAATTCCCCTTTTCTCGTGTTCTGGTTTCCATTTCGGTCCCCTGGTATTCTTGAGTCTTAGACCCTACCATGTCAACCATTGACCTAGCCGCGTGCCCAAGGTTGAGCTGTGCTATGATCCTGTCTAGGTAGCGCGAAAGAGCGGGTAATTTGAGGTCGGGGCAATTGTCGTGGCTGTCTTCAGAAGATGAACCGCTAGATGGATTGGAGAACAAAACAAACCCTGAATCTTATATACATAAAAGAGAGGCTGGCGATGTGAGCTGAGGTGCCGATGTTGGAAGCTCCAGGCCAATGATAGGAAGCACTCGAGGACGATAGCGGGGTCACGAGTCCGTCAGCACGAGCTGAAAGAAAGCCACTTTACAAATACAGTAATTGATTGACCAGATCTTGCACAGCTATTTGAGAAGGGTACATACTGCGTCAAGATGCATAACTGAATTAAGATTCGTTCTTAGATCATATCTTCGTAATAGATACAGTGGGATCTTATCCATAGACTCATAGCCCCGTCGACCATAACTGCCGCGCTATCCAGTAGGCAGCACCTCAAATACAGACACCATCGTCGTCTATTTGGTATAATCAAGACTTGAACATGAGCAAGGTCAATACCTTCTCGCGTCAAATAGTGTCAGGCTCAAGCTCGTGTCATTCTCTCCCACGTTTGGCGTTGGCTCGCCCAACATTTCCCACCTCCTTAATGGGAAAGGAGCCAGTTTCTCCTTCTCTATATCGATCCCTCTGCCCTCGGCTCCTCCGCTACCACCGATTCTTTCCTTCTGGCTCAAAACCAACCACCCGGAAGGATCTGTCGGAATACTGAAAAGGTATGAGACTTGACGATTAGATATCGTATCTCGCAGACTACGAATACACTGCTGTCGCATATCGTCCGGCAATGCATCAACCAAATGGAGCGCAATGTCAAAAGTATCCTGTGTAGTCGTGTTTATGATTCCCGTACTGTTGTCCAGAGCCTGCAATTCGAGCATGATGGCGGCGAGGGCAAGTAAAGCTTTGGATCTGTCTTCATGCCCAGCCTTAGTCTCCTCAAAAGCCGAAGTGTGAATGGTGGTGAAGGATAAGAGGAGGGGAAGCCATTCCGTGATCATGAGTTCTTTCATTTCAGGGACTTGGATCTGCGTGCCGCACAGGAGAAGCCACATGTTGTTTAGTACTGTGACGATCTCAGGAGCCAGAGAGGTGGCGGACGTGGGAACAGAAAGGCTGGATGTTGTCGCATCCACTATATATAGAAGATTGTTTGCCTGTTGTATACGGCTGCGCATTGTTGGAATATCCTCGGTAGAGGCCGTTTTCAAAGATGGACAGATCGAGATGAATTCCGTTTCGGCTCGTTTTCGAAGGTGCCGGACAATTGATATGTCAAGTGATGGTATAAGATAAGCCCATGCCGTATTTCCTGCCGTGACGGCGGATCCAATCGCATTATCAAATGCCTGAAGACATTCCGAGTCGCTCTCATCCACAGTCGTAGGACTAGATTTATCTTGGATAAATATCGATGCAAGTTTCACTTGGCAGAAGGGCAGTGTGAGGCAATCCGCCAAGCTAACGACTACATCGATGGGAATAGGGGTATCCGCATTGCGCTTCCCATCTGTTAAGAGCCCATCCACGATTGCAGATACTGTAGCTGCGGCTCCCATACTAGCACTTGAAAGTAGCGGGACTATCAACCTCTGGATTATCGAATCAGTGTCAACGAGGACAAGTCTCTGAAGGAACCCATATATCCGGCCGAGCAGAGTTTCAACCTGGGCAGGAGCGGCCCCAGGTTGAACCTGGTTGGAATCCAGCGCATCTAGAAAAGACCGGCGGATAACGGATAAGATGTCAAGAGAATGGTCCCTTTGCATATTAGCCTGCTTGACACGCAGACGATATGCCTCCTCGTCGGACATTGTCTCAGGAATAGATGAAGGAGCGATAAGTAGAGCCAGCACTTCCTCAGCGACTTTCGAGGGTATTGAATTATGTAGTGCCATCTCATTTTCAATCACAGATACGCAGTTACTAACGACATCTTGAAGAGCGAGACACCCAAAGCTGATTAGCGGCCCGAAGACTTGAATCATGCTCGGACGGGATTCCATCTGGAGGACGCGGTTCACCCAAGCAGCCATAAGGACATCGAAGCGTTGTGCGTCGAAAGTTCTGAGTCTCGTGAATAGCAATCCGCAGCTTCGATATTGTTCCTGTGATTTCTCCCATGATCCTTCCAAACGGATTGCAATCCGCTGGAAGAGTCGCTCTAGGGTTGCTTGGTCCATGTTATTCCCACTGCCTAGCACTTTCTCCATTTCATCGGTGAAGTCGGATTCGGCACTTTGCGTGACACCTGCCATGTGATCGGAGACTGGCGAGCAGGCATCGGCGGCAGTCTTTCGATCACTGCGGGAAAGCTCCTGAGCAAGCTGCCGCGCAACATCATTCTGTTCGGGAATTCTAGCAGCAAGTTCTGATAAAGATACCAAGAGCACCCTCGGAAATGAATCATCCTCTGTCAAAGATCGTAGACGACCTGTGAGGATTTCAAAAAGACTCTTCAGAGCACCAATGGCCGCGAAGGAGTCGAGGTGCAAGTTGATTGTGTCGGCGCAAGACGCCAGGACTTCCGCGTCATTGGAGCTTGATACCATCTTCAACACATCGGCAAGGATGGAAAAATCCTCCATATGCTCGAGTGACTGCCGCACAATGTTAAAATCCGATAAGGTGATTGCAGATGTTCCCCCCTTCATTGGCGAATCGTCCCAGTCGTCCAATGGAGGGATGGTGGGTTGAAGCATTTGTAGTCTGACTTTTTGCCTGAGCCACAGCCCAACCTCCGACTTGCTCCCACGACTCAGCTCTGGCGAAAACCCGATCTTATCATCGGCAATGGCGACGTCCGGATCGGATTCGAGATCCACATTTGCCTGCATACCTGGGAGACATTTGGCCAAAAATGCCATATATGCTCTGATTTGTTCCTCTTCATCATCAACCGAAAAGTCTGCACGACTAAGTAAAGTCCTCCGGAGGGTGTCCATGCTTTCTGTGAAATTATGGACAGGCAGCTCGGCCAGAAGGCGTGTTGCACAGGGACCGCCCCGAGCGACGTCTGCTGCATCATAAAGACCACCTCGGGCTATCACCCACTGAAGGTACATAGGGGTCGAAAAATGCTCTGAGCGTGCTAGTTCGCAGACCAGATGGTAGAGTGCAGGTTTGTTGCGTCCTCTTTCACATGCTTTAGAGTCAAGGAAGCTAAGAATGCCTTGGGTGACATCAACGCCAGACCTAGTCCAATGTCTAAGTAGACGTACAGCGACATAAATCTTGGCAGTTCCTGGTCGATAGAACGATGTGGCCCATTCTAAAACAGCCTGGACAAGTATGTCTTTGTCGTCATCTACCTGCCAACATTGCTCGAGTAGCTCACTCGTGAACGGCTTCTCGAGAGTCGTATCAAGAAGCTGAATTAGACACTTTCGAGGGCTAGGCTCCTTTTTAGCAGTCGGAGCAGCAAGACGACTATTTCGTCGATCAATCGAAGCAAATAATGCTGCGAAGCGCGCATCATCCGGTGCCAGACTAGTCTGGATGAGAGTCCTGTGTTTTGTCCAGCCTATCGAGGAAACAAAGCTCTCCGGATGCGATTCCATGAGTTCCTTCAATGCCAGTTCTAGCCGGTCAGAAAGGGGAACCAATATATCACGGTCAGGATGGACCATAGTCTTCAAAAACTTATTAGCACAAGTCTTGATACGGAAAAAAGGGAAGATCGAGGCAAGGTGAAATGGGGAGAGACGTACGGCTGCCCAGTGATTTAACAAAGCCGTTGATAGACGACGACCGAATTTGCGATAATGTAAGATATCCTTCCAGTAGATCTGAGTTATCAATAGCCACATAGGCAGTTTCGCTTGTTGACTGTTCTCCAAGGATGATACCAGCCAATCCAAATAATGGTCGCGATCTAGTAAGTGCTCTGCGTGAAAATGGGCAGATAAACGGATACTGCAAGACTGATCAGTTACGTACGCTGGAAGGGGTTCCCCCGAATAACCTACACATAGTTTACCCGGCTTCTAAAATCTTTCTCCCCACAGGATCCTACAGCACTCTCGACAAACTGCTCTACACAAACCGTGAAATCTCGGATCCACTTTCCTTCCCCGCCCATGGGAAGGCCATTGGCGCCCTTCCTCCTGAAAGACCTCAACTCATTCGCGCCGACACATTTAGCTAACCAAACAGCCCTTTCGAGCGGTATATTTTTGCTGAGCGACTGGTCCAGCAATACCTTTCCTCGAATACCGTGAGGAATTGACCGGCTGAGGCGCCGTAACGAGATTGCTGGGTTTGCCAGGTCCTTCAACCACATCTCCCGCTTTGTATCCGTCACCGTAACCCGCGGGGGCGGCTTGAACGTCGAGCTCGAGGTGATCTGGCCATGAGCTCTCCGTTGGGCAAGGACGCTGGTGAACAGGGATGACAAGGTTTGGAGCCCGCTCTTATGTTTGAGAGGGGGCAGGATGGACGCTTTAGCAGAGCCTGTCTCATTCTGCGTCATCTGTGCCTTGTCGAAGAAGCCCTGCCGGATTGTAGCCTCGGTGAAACGGTCTTCAGGGTGCTTCCCCGTCCAGGGAAAGAAGTCGGCGTGGCCTTCCGGAGTCAGTAAGTTGTGATTCGAGCAGCAGATGGCTTAACATACCATTGGGGGGATAGTGAGGCGCGGCGGTTGGAACCTCCAGCGTGTAGGGTTTCGGCCGAGCATCTTTCTTCGGAGGGGTTCTGGAGGCAATGCGCGCCTTGTCGAAAGAAGACGGGGCGTTCCGTCCCGGTCGCACAGGAAGAGGCATCGGTTTGATTGTGACGCCTGGCTGGGCCCCGTCTTCCGCCGCGCGCGAGTTTGGGCTGTTCGTGCTCGGGAGATCAAAGTGCAGTAGCGGTCGGCCACGCGGAGGGAGGGAGGGTCGCCAGGAAGGAGTGGCCTCGGCCGCTGGCTTCAGAGGGTCGACCGCAGTCGACGCCTTCGCATCCTTTGTCATGTCCACTTTGAGGGGCGAGCCGCCATTCTTCGGGGCAATGGCAGGTCGCCCCAGCGCAGCGTCAGCCGCATCGAAAGTCAAGTCCACGACGGCCTGCTCAACCCTCCTGGCCGAGGACGAAGGCGCGAACTGCTGGGACAGCGCCCTGCCCGGCTGCGGAGGTCTCTGAGCGATGCTGGCACTCGACGATCTCTGGGGCTGCCGTGGGCCCAAATCGGGTCTTGCGGTCATGATCGAGCCATTCTCCCGAGGGCCGGCACAGGCGAAGGAAAGATATGAATGTCAAAGATGGCGATACGGGTGCAGAGACAGAAAAGAGATAAGGAGACAGGAGATGGGAGATGTAGTTAGTGAAGATGTTGAAGACGGAAGCCGAGTAGTAGAGTGGGTGGTGTCGGACGTGTCGAGGAGCTAAAAGCGGGCAGGCAGAGAGAGCCAGAGCAGCGCCGGAGCCAGAAGCCAGGAGCGAGAGCCAGACAAGATCCACCCCCAGTCGATTGTGTAGAAGCGGGCGAAAGGGGAAAGGCGCGCAGAGGCTGGATTAACCCGATGCGGTATCATGCTGGATACGGCAGTAGTAATGCATGCCTGCGGTCTTCATAATTTGTTGATAAACGAAGAATTGTGCATTTGTGCGGGTCTTGAAGCGTGTGCAGAACAATGGATTATGAAAGCTCGGTGTCTGATCTGTTTCCTCTGATTCCTCGGTGCGTGTCTCGGGTGGTGGGCCCCCGGTAGGTGCCGCTGTAGCATCCCGGACAGCGTCGAGGTATCGTGCATGAGGTATTAGGTACCTGCTCGTCCCGTAGGTGTTGCTAGGAATCGTAAGTACCCAGTACTTCCCGCCCGTCGCTCTCGACGAACTATTCCGATGATTCGTCGTCACCACTGGCGGTACTCTGATAGACAGATAGACAGATAGACAGATACTACGTAAACGACAGACCACGCAGGGCACGCTGCGCAGTCACACGTATCCCATTCCATCCTGTGCATAAGGTAATGTACCTTGGGTATACTCTGCCGACAGCAGGACAAGTCGAATCGATAGATCTGATCCCCCCCCGATCGAGCAACTGATTGTCCCCTCCCCGATCCTAAGGTACATAGGTACATAGGTACTTCCCGCGACTCTCTCTACGCGCCTGCTGACTAATCCCAGCTCAGCCCGGCCGAAAGCAGCTTCCTCCCGCCTCGCTCAGCCCTGCCCTGTTGGAACAACAATTCTCCCTACCCTCCCTCCGTTCACTGCTTTCAGCGCAGCAGCAACCATGGCGACAAAGAAGGATATGCGCAGGCCTGACCTCAGTAAGTACATTGTCGGCCAGATGAATGTGTTCTTGCGACCCCGCAATGTGCTAACCATTCCTGCAAGTCATCCCCTACCAGATGCCCGTTGCGAAGGAGGACACGAGCGACATGAGCGGCACGATGATCAGCACTTTACCAATGGCCGCCATGTTTACGCGGAACAAGTACGTTGGCTGGTATGTTGAAGCGCCGCAGCTGGAACGCTGGAGATTCTGATTACTGGCAGGGCGTCCGTCGTATTTGCAATCCAGAAGTGGCTGGGTGAGAGTGCCGAGACAAGGAAGGTTACAAGCCAACCAGCTTATTTATCTGTCGGAATGTCCTGTGAGTGCTACGCCTGTCCGATTGGCATCTATCTATCTCTACTCTCTACTTTGATCTGGATGCTGACCTGAGAATTTGCAGTCATGGCACTCGTCATTGTAAGTTGCGCCCGCTTGCTGATCTCACATAACCTTCCCCGGCTGATTACACCCGGCAGACATATCTTTCCGTCTTCCTCCCACCTCCTCCAGTTCCCGGCCAGGGCACAGGCACCGGAGCACCGGCGGCGGCACCATCCTCTGCGTAGGGCGTTTTGTATTGATAGCGTTTGGATTGACCGGTCAATGTATAGTAATAATAAGGAGGGAGAGATACCCAGAGAAGAATCTACACGTACCTACTATGGACAGGATTTGATAATTGATACCACGCTGTATTGTACTGTATATTTGGGCCCCAGCGGCAGACCCTTTTCCCGCCACAAATGTGACCAACCGTGGTTCCTGCCATCAGTCGCGTGCCCAATCAGGTCGGAGATTTCTATGCCCCCTCCGCCTGATAGGTTCGCCACCTATCTTTGTTTCAAGGCACCAAGGCACCAAGGCAATCAGGCACCAAGGCACTAAGGCCCTAGCTCGCTTACATAACTAGCCCTCCCCACCTCGCCCTTCGAATCCTTCCCCTCCATCGACATCAACGACCCCTTCAAGTCACCAACAACTCTACAACTCATTGTCTACCCACCGCAAAACCACCAACACTCTCAACCTCTTCGGTTTACGTTTTGCAACCAGATCCACTCCACTCCACTCTACACCAACTCACCTCCTCTTGACACAAAAGCCCACAAAGTTCCCCCGCGCCACCTACGCACCTGACATCCCTCAATACCAACACCACCAGCCAGAAGATCCACGAATACCGTTAATGTCAATCGAGGTATGCACTGTCTTCCTGCCACATGAGAGTGCGGTCGTGATATGATGGAACATGATGGACCTGGAGCCTCGTCCCATCTCTAGTCATGCAAAGCCTCCTTCCCTTAGCACCTCATCCAAGTCATATCATCGCAGCGCCACTGCTAACATCTCTTTGACAACAGAACTTAAAAACCTTTGGTTCGTAACCCTTTGTTATCGCGGAGAACCGACGCATATCGCGGGCTTTGTAGCCTCGGCTCTGAGCACAGGGCTTCATCGATTCGCTCCGCCCTTTCGTGTCACATACCTGGCTAACATTCCTCCGTATTGCAGACCCCTTCGCCGAAGCCGACGAGGATACAGGAGAGACCAAGCAGTCGCAGAATTACATACACATCCGTATTCAGCGTAAGTTGTTACCCCTCCTGTTGGCGATCCTTCTCGAAGGTTCTACTAGGCGTTTGTATGACGCCACGACTGATAAGGAGAATACTGACATCAAAACAATAGAACGCAATGGTCGTAAGACCCTAACTACTGTTCAAGGTCTTCCTAAGAAGTTTGACCAAAAGAAAATCCTCAAGGTCATCAAGAAGAAATTCGGTACTGTCCCCCTTCCGTTAGCCCGGTAATTTTATCAACCACTAACTGAATTCCTAGCTTGCAATGGCACCATCGTCGTCGATACTGAGATGGGGGAGGTGATTCAGCTTCAGGGAGATCAGCGCAAGGATGTTCAGGAGTTCCTCACCGATAAGAAGGAGGGTTTGGAACTTGATGCCAAGACCATCAAGGTAAGAATCAACCATGTCTTCAATACAAGCGTGCAACGACTAATCCTTTACTTCCGCACAGGTCCATGGTTTCTAAACCCATCGAGTCCCGCCCCACCAGTCACCATCCCGAGTGAGGTTCGACAGAAGTATGTTTGCATACCACAAATTCTCTCTTTCAGCTTCTTGCTCACCTCGCCTCCTCGTCTGGTGGCTGGGTCGATGTGATCGTTATTACGGCACGGTTCGATATGGGGCGTTCTCCGATGATACCCGCATTCTTTCATAGAACGCAACGATGGCATGGGATGGTCTTCAAGGAATGGTTGTTTTTGCTTTGCTATTACATTCGTATTTGCTCTTTATTTGTTCCCTGCAGAAAACATGTGTATCAGCAGAGGGCACTGCTCGCCCGGGCACTCCTTGAAGGACTGGAGGCGTAGCACAATTCCGGCAATTGATATATCATTACACAGCTAATCCATGCATCTCCATAATGATTATCCGTTCTGTTCGAAGCAGCTTGGCATCGTTGACGGTTACTACAATTCCCTCCCAACTCGCCCAATCATCCTGACCCCAATCTTGAACCAAGCCCAGCTCTGTTTAGCAATCGAAAAGAAGGGTACAGCGGGATCATCTTCCCTCGTCAGATGCAACTGTAAAAGCAAACTAAACATGCTGATGAAACTGGCAATAGAGAAGATGGAAATCGACAAGGAGGTTTCCTTGCGAATAGCAAGGCGTGGGTGCGTTACGTGGTACAGGAAGGTGAGGGTCTGTCTCGTATCTCAGTAAGAATAGGGAAGGTAAGACAAAGCATATGATAAAGAATAGGAGGAAGGGAAAGGCGGTACGCACACTAGCAATACTGATCCAGGCGGGCAGCAGAAGACGAGGATCTTCAGAGCCGCCAGAGAGATATAGGACCCATGACGTTATATAGGCATTTATAGCGTTGATAGTGAGGAGACGGACCAGAGTTGCTTTTCGATCGAAAGGTTAGAAGAGCTGCCTGTACAGCACAGGATATTTGGAGGGCTTACCCTGAGGAGTATAATTTAAAAGCCTGCAGAGTCAATTAGCAGGAATGTCTCTTGGCAGCTTCTATATGACTGCGAGGGGTGGTAAATGGGTAGCTCACCAACGAGACATTAGGCAGTCCGTGAAGAAGAAAGATAGATAGGCGCTTGCACAACACTTTCCCAGAATTAGCACACATCCAAAAGAGTAAAAGGTCAACCCTCAAGATTCTCAGAGGGAGGGTTGGCAGGTAAAGGGGCAGCCGTCCAGCGGCTTTCCAAGGAGACAAGTTCCATACCCAGAGCACAGCCAGAAACACCTCGGTGACGCGAAAGCGCCGCTCCACACCCCACGGCGTCGCAGCCATAACAGGATTCTCCCCCATGAGCAGCTCATCCAGGAACGTGAGCACACAGCGGAGACCCCACCACGCAGCGGGGGCGGTACTCAGGGCGCGGCAGAAGAGGAGGGGGATGTGCCAGCGCTTCTCGACGCCGAGCAGCACGGCCACGCGCGGGTGCAGCACTGAGGTCCTGGCATCGGAGGCTGCGGGGGGGTTGTCTGGAGGAGAGGAGGCGGCGAGAGTCGTCGTGTAGGACGGTGGAGGAGGGGCGGTGGTGGAGGACGAGGTGGGCGTATTTCGAAGCAGTTGGCGTTGGGAAGCCAGGGGGGAGCACGGTTACGGCATATGCTGCCGCATTGCACTCTGGGGATTTGAAGAGTGGGAAGATGGAGAGAGAGTTGGAGAGGAGAGGAGGCAGCGGTCATATATATGTACACATATATAAGAAGATGGGCGGTGGAAGGTGGGAGGGAGGTCGACGGTCGAAGTTAGAACGAATGTCGAACAGGTACAGTACCCCGGATTCCGATTAATGGCCAGGCGCAACCCCCGACAACCAGGGTAAACCAGACAGGTTTTAGCACCGCATTCGAAGAGAGAGAGAGCAGGAAACTATGATTGGAATATTATTTGAAGTTTAAATTGATAAAGGCTAATCGCGTTACTACCCGTGGGTTGAAGCCTCGTCCGTCCAGATCGTGGCCGGAGCTGGCAGGCCTCGGAACAACCGAGCATCGCCAAAAAAAGAAAAAAGCTTCAGAGATCCCATCTTCATCCCCTCGAAAATGCCGCCCATTGTCAACGGCCCCATGGCTCAATCTCTGCGTCGGCCCCTCCTGTCAGCCGTGGGGCTCTCCTCACCCCTCGAACGGCGCTGCTTCTCCCACGTTGCGCCGCGATGGGACCTCAATCGCCCTCCCGCCTATGCTCGACCCGCGCAGCCTCCAGAACGCAGCATGCGGATTGCCTCTAGAGAGATGATGGCTATTCCTTCAGATATCGGTATCTTGGAAGGTATGTATGTCGCAGCATCTCGCCCTGCAGAGCACCTTCCGGGCGGTAGCTGACAGACAACCCGGCAGCGACCTTCGTGCCTCCCACCGGCAGCAATCGCCCTTCACTCTTCCACTCGCCCCGTCCGTTCCTATCATTACAATGGTCGCGCGTGAAGTTCCACCTACGAGATGCTCTTTCCATCCTGATCTTGAAGTGGACGTCACCGAAGGAGGCCCGTTGGTTTAACCGCTTGGTCAAGATCCACCGGAGTCAGATCGCCCCTACGGCCATCGCCCTGCATAGAGAGATGTATACCGCCTTTGCGGAAGGAGACGTCAAGACGCTGCGGAAGATATGTACGGACGGCGTATACGATTCCTTCAGGGCACGGATCGGGAACCGGGCTAGGGGTGAGAAGGTGGTCTGGGAGTTGGTCAAATATAACAAGAGGGCACAGGTGGTTAGCCACAGAGCTGCGAGATTACCTATTGAGGGTGCTGCCATCAGACAGGCTGTGGTACGGATATCTAGTCGGCAGAAATTGACTAGATACGGGCCAAGCGGGGCCCCTGTGAAAGGAACGGGGAAGGAGAAGGATGTGGTGGAGTATGTGGTGGTGCAGAAGAAGTACTGGAAATGGAAGGCGGATGACTGGCAAGTCTGGGGAACGACGGAGGAGACAAAATTTGAGGATATCGTGCAATGGCAGAAGAATGCTCTGGAGGCTTAAGCTTGATGCAACAGGATTTGTTGGTCAAATTGTATCCTGACGAAGCTGTATACCTAGATATACTGCGAAAAGGAAGTAATCTGTATATTATATGTAGGAAATATACCGCACAAAAAGCAACCTAAACAATTGGATTGCCTCCACAAAGTCGTCGTCCTATCCCTTAGCCAAACTGTCGACGATACTTGGCAGTCCCCTGACTTTAGACTTTGCTTGAAATGGCATCCTCCTGATTAGATATTACGGACCAGGTCAGAAAAACTTCCCCGTTCCCGTGTGAACAACAGTAACGACACCACCCTCTTGACGATCATCATCGTTGCGAATGTCATCGATCCCATCATATTCTGCTGCACCCTCGACTTGAGTGTCGAGATACACCGGACGGTCCAGAGCATCGAATCGCTTACCCTTGACTTTCGCCTCGATATACTGGTACGAAAGCCTTACAGCGAGTGCCCCAAAGCCCCAAAGTATACCTCCTACGGGTGCGGAAACAAAAGCCCCAAATGCGCTCCAGTCATTTCCGTAGAGACCCTGCTCCAACAAGATAAGCTGAGCGCCTTCAAGAGCGTTGCCGTAGTAAATCGTGCCAAAGATAAAGACCGTGAGGACTCCGCCCAATCCACCTACAACGACTTCAAAACCTCGCCAGAAGTAGAAATAGTCACTGAGACCAAGCACCAGGACGGGGATAACGGAAGCGGATACCAGGTCAGATATCAAGTAGATTTGGAGAATCGAAGGGGCCTTGAGGGCTAGGACCACAACTGGGAAGATGATTAACACAACGCCCCCACGTACCCACCAGATGTTGAGCTTGTTGCGGAAGATATCGTTGGATGCGGTCGAGACCATTGCAGATTGGAAACTGTCGAAAGCAGCAGTGCTGAGAGAGACCACCATGACGAGCACAATGCCTATGGTCCACGTGGGTAATTGTTCGAGAAGGTAGAAGAAGGCAACGCTACCGTCCTGGTCAGGATTGTTGGGGTCAAAGGCCCCTGACCAGGTAGCGATCAAACCAGTCGATCCCACAAGGGTCAGGATGATGAGTGTTACGAGCGCAGCAATTGATACGCCAATCCACAGATCTCTGTCGGTTTTCGAGGCGAAGGTTCGAATCCAGAAATTGGACAAGAAGAAATCGTTGGTCAGAACCGAAACAGGAAGGATATAGAGGAGTTGCCATCCTAAGAGACTGGCCTTTGTCAGGCCGGACGAATCAATCAAGCTTCTGTCAATCTTTGTCTCTACGCCTACAGTGATAGTGGCAATAATGACTGTTGGAAGTTAGCAATCGAACCACATAAGGAGCCTGTTCCTAGGATACTCACTAAGTGCAATGACCATAGCACCCTGTATGTTATCCGTAATAAACGAAATCTTGAATCCTCCCAGAGCTTTCAATATATTAGTTAAAATACCGCCTGATCATTTCCATGGACACTTACACGTATATATAGTTGTAACAACGCATTCCACTATGACCATTGGGAGGCCGTCCATCCCGGTCAGGGTGTTCATAATCTGCTGCAAAGCAGAGAGCTCAGCCACCATGTATAAGAACATAGTGACCAGTGTCAAAAAGCTGAGAAAGAGCGCAGCAATTAAGCCATATCGCTGTCTAGTCCATTCGGTCAGAACAAAGCCTTCTGGACACTTGGCTCTGATGATAGGTCCAAGGTAGGCGAAGATCATGAGAGGGGCGGCTGAGGTGATGGCATAGATAACCACCCCTTGAACACCCGTGATGGTAGCGAGTTCGGGGTATGAGAACAGTATACCAGATCCAAGGGCTGTGACATAGCAAAACATCCAAGGTTAGCCATCACATCCTGGATGAGGGAAGGGGGGAATCGTTCAAAGCGGCAACACTTTCCCACGCAAGCATTAACTTGATCGAGTATTTACGGTGCAGTCTCAGCTTCATCTAAGCAGGATTCAAAGATCTCTCCCGAGGCAATCTCAGGAGTTGGATCCTCAAAGACTGCTTTGATTCAGCGCCCGTAGTGAAGCCGCGTTGGTCTTCCTCGGCCTCTTTCTGTCTCAATAGTCACACAAAGAAGTGAAGACTACCTTGAGTAGAAAGAATTCGAGGAAGAGCCAACCGTGTCTCTCTTAATACAAACCTCTTCATAACTCATCCTATTTCAAGTAACATCCATCCTGCTAAGCGTTGCTGGGTCCGCGATTGCTATGTTGCCGCATCTTTGATTCGTAAGATGCTATTCTTTTGATGTACTAACCGGACGCGATGAAGTTTAGAGCCAGAGGAATTGCTATTACTTGTTAGCACGAGCATTATTTTAAAGGCCCACCTGCATCGCCGGGGGTCTGATGAAACCCCCCGAACATTGATCAGAGCAGGAAAACCCCGGGGTAAAAGACAATAGCAAGCTGCTTGAATAGCCGCTTGACGGCCGAAGGCAGACAGCACGCGGGAGGGTTTCTAACCAGTCTGAGTCCTGTTGCTGGCCAAGTATTCTCCCTGGTACACCATCAGCATCCGTCTAAACCTCGAAAGTCACGCGTGGAAGCGTACCTTTGTCGACTTTCTCAATCTCCACGCAATGTAGCAACCAAACACGCTATGGGAGGGTCAGCGCAGATCGCAGCTGCTTGCCGATCTGGAGGGATCGGAGGCGCTTAAACATACAGGAATGCACCGTAGGTGAGGTAGATAATGGCATTGCTAGCCTGGGTGGAGGGGACGCCCATGATGCCGTCTTCGAGGATGCGCCTCTGGAGCTATGCGACACACACAACACACCGAGTCACTTTGAAGCCGACGATAGATAAGAAGAACAGAGACGGAGAGGAGGTTGGCTCTGCGCAACATTTTATAACCTGGCTACCTACCTCTTGCGTGGTGGTGCGGGTGCGCCATCCAGGGTTTCCCGTGTGCCCCGCCTCATGCCGCTATGCCACTTGCCGCCATAGAAGAATCCTTTTCCGACCCCAGACCCCTCGTCTTGACTTGTAAAGCTGGACGCCGTAGCGACGGACTCCGTTGTGCTATTCGATAGACCGGCCTTTGGTTGGCTCGACATTGTTTCTGCCAGGGTTTGGCCGAGACGCAGAACTTTCTACGTGGGGTCGATTTTTTCTTCTGCCCCGCCGACGAATTATCGATAGAGTCACAGTGCGCGCAGTACTTGTCCTTGTACTTGAATTCGAGAATCGCACTTGATCGTCCAAGCAGCGATCCTACCCTTGCAATTGAGCAATGGCAGACAACACGCAGACCGTGCTCACCTCGAGCTCTCTCACGACGCTTCGCAAGATCGCCGAGGGCAAGGTTCGGGATCTGTACGAGGTTGACGACAAAACCCTGCTGTTTGTGGCTTCGGATCGCATCTCAGCCTACGATGTGATCATGGATAATGTAATTGCTGGCTTCTTTGGACATTGACCTCATCTAACCTGCCACAGGGTGTTCCCTCCAAGGGCGTCCTCCTGACCCTCCTCTCCGCCCACTGGTTCTCCGTCCTCTCGGCCCAGATCCCCAACCTGAAAACCCACTTCCTCACCCTCTCTCTGCCGCCCTCGATACCATCCTCCCAGGTGCCCCTGCTCAAGAACCGCTCCATGCAAGTTAGAAAGCTCAAGATCTTCCCCATTGAAGCTATCGTCCGCGGCTACATCACCGGCTCCGCATGGAAAGAATACCAACGCACCTCGACCGTGCATGGAATCCCCATGAAGGCCGGCCTGCGGGAATCCGAAGCCTTTCCCCAAGGCGCAATCTATACCCCATCGACGAAGGCGGAGGCGGGACAGAACGATCAGAATATCCACCCTGATGAAGCTGCTGTCATTGTGGGTCCGAAATACGCACAGCGCATTCAAGACCTTGCTATTCAGCTGTATACCACGGCGAGGGATTATGCCGCCCAGAGGGGTTTGATTATTGCGGATACGAAATTTGAGTTTGGCTTGGACGAGGAGACTGACGAGGTGGTGCTTGTGGATGAGGTCTTGACCCCCGACTCTAGTCGGTTTTGGCCTGCGGATAAATACGAAGTGGGACGGGAGCAGCAGAGTTATGACAAGCAATTCTTACGTGACTGGTTGACTAAGGAGGGTCTGAAGGGGAAGCAAGGGGTGAGGATGCCGGATGAAGTGGTGAGAGAAACCGCGGGGAAATACAGAGAGGCATTCGAGAAGTTGACGGGAAGAAAATGGACAGATGTTGTAGACGAATAGTCATATGGAGGTGCTGCATATGCGAAACTCTGATTTCTCCCCGAGAGATTCGCAAGTCTTAGAAGCTATCAACATATTTTGAGGATGCTCCAAAAGTGCTCAATTTCAGGTTCCACCTCTTCAACGATAGCGTTTCGAGAGTGGATGTTCAGTTTTCTTCTAGCATTTCCAGGGGATTTTTAGTAAAGTGACATTCTACATAAAAGAGCTAGAGAGAACTCTCAATGATGTATATTACCAATACCGTCAATAATTTCATCGAACGTCACATGTCTATGAAGTTAAGCATTTCATTGAATGCATTTGTTCAGACTACACTTCAGCTATTGTACATCGAGATGACGGTGAAGCGATCATGAAAAAGAAAGAAAAAGAAAAAATAGATCAGTAAAGTATCCTATCCATGTCTACTTGTCCAAGTGGAGCAAGAAGAGAGATGAGTTGTCTTCGGATACTGATCGTGTAGTAAATGCCGGGCAGGGAGTAATTAGGCCATCGACATGAATATGAAAAGAAGCATTAGTGCAGTGAGAACATGAAGCAACATCTTTGCAAGTATGAGGAATCTCACTGCCCTGTTGACACAGGCGTTCAGAAACAGGCGGTAGAAACAGTTGATATCGTCAATGAAGGTGGTTTCCCACAGAGTCGGCGAACAGAGATGCTGATGCAATGAACGTGCCTTTGGAAAAGGAGCAAGTAAATGCGCGATGTCCATGAGCAGGTGTTGAAGCTGTCTTGCATTTACACAGACTGAGTCTCAAGCAATTCCTCGGCGATAGAAACATGGCCAGAAGGGGTTGGAGTGGTTGAGCGATCCTCCGATTCATCATTGCTCACCAAAGCCGCAGTGTATGAACTGGAATAGTCAGCAGTTGGTGAAGAGGCTTGCTGCTCCACGCTTGTGTTTGGAAAACCCCAGAATGGCGCAGGAGCGTAGTTATATGGCGAGTACGAATAGTGAGGGCTCGCACCGCCAGTGACTTCAGGAGCACTTGAGCTGCGAGGGTCGTAGCTTGGACTACCGGGATACCCGTAGTAAGGTTGGTATGGTGTCGGAGGATAGAAGTTTTGCCCATCTGCAATGAAGGGAGGGGGAGGGGGACCGTAACTGTAATTATAGTACGGGCTATATGGGTAGCTGAATGGAGAACCATAACCCGGTGGCGATATCTGCGACATGGGAGAGACTTGCTGCTCGTTGAGGCGAGGCGCAGGTGATTGGTAAGGCGCCGAATGCTTGTATGGAGCTGGAGACTGGCAGTGACCGGTAGGAACAGTTGACCCGTAGGCGTTGTTCACTCGGGCTCTGTTTTGGGAATCCTTGTGTGCAACGCGGAGTCTCTTGCCACGAAGGACAAAGCCGTTCTAGAATAATGTAAGATTCTGAGCCTATCAAGGGGGGATGGGGGTGGGGGATCTCTTACCACATCGTCGATAACCTTGTCAGCTTCGACCGTAGATTTGAATTGAATAAATCCAAAATGGATCTTCTCTTGAGCTTTGACAATATCAGATCGTGACCACAGCAAAGAAATAGATAACTTACATGCGAAGCGCGAGGGGCTCTCTCTCAACATGATGTCCCGAATAGGGCCATACTGATTGAAGACCTGCTTGATCTCATCCTCAGTGACACCAGCAGGAAGATTCCCAACAAAAATTGAACGTCTGTCAACATCATAGCGGGCAAGGTATGCTCTAGCATTGACAGAAGAAGGGCTGCGGTCTTGGTAGATGGTTCGAGGTGGCGAGCCATAGCCTGCGATGTTTTGCATCTTGTACAGATGATGGTTGCGGAAATACTTCAGCAAGTTAGCTTTGATTACGAGATTATGAGTGAGAGACTTACAAGTAGGGCCTCCTTTCCCAGGTCATACAGCTCAAAATTAACCATGACACCCTCGTTGAGGTTAAGGGATGAGCGTTCAACTTCGGTCACCGTGTAGCAAAGCGTAAGCTTGCCAAAGGGCTCAAGAAGCTCTCGGGCTTCTGCTGGAGTGATAACAGGTCCAAACTTACGCTCAATAAAGAAAGAGCCTGCCTTGGTATCAGCATCGGGTTGGGGATCCGGAGGACTGCTGTCGGGCTCACGGTGGGCCTTGGCCTTCTCAACGCGGCATGCACGGCCATTGATTAAGCGTCCTGGAGCCTCTCTAAGGGCAGTCTGGGCATGGGCCATCTTCTGTGTCCCAAGTTAGTAGCTGCTCTCAGAAGGGACGGCCCTCGAAAGACTTACGGTAAATTGGCAAAATCCGAAGGGCATCTGCTTTCCATCACGTCGAATCTTCACAAAAACCTTACCGTAATCACGGAAGGCTGCAGTGACGGATGCTGCAAGAGATTCATCACTCTCGGACTGGAGAAGGCTTTTTGAAATATCAGCAAGTCCGCATGAATATTCCAGGTAGTATAATGAACTTACTTGGCGACGAAGAGACAGTATGCAGGTGGGTAGACAGCTTGCGCATCCTCAGGATCGACGTCAACATAGGCAGTCAGCTGGCTATCAGCTCCCTCCCCAGCGTACTCTTGGACATGGAACGAGAGTCTACGAGCAGTGGGTTGAGAGTGATGGTTCAATGGGGAGCTGGAGGCAGACGCATCCTCATCGCTGCCAGAGCCCGAGCGCCAGCTTTTCTTGCTCATGATACGAGCCGACTTTGGGGTACCAGGAACTTGAAGAGAGCGAGGACGAGGAGTGGGCTGGAAGGGGTCATCGCTCTGGCTACGAGCACCATTGCGAACGAAGGGGGGAGAGTAGCTGTAGTCACCTCAGCACGTGCTCTGAAGCATGAGTATCATTCATAAGACATACCGCTCAGTACTAGGAGAATAACCGTCTCCGCGGTTGGCGGTCTGGTTCATGGTGTAAGAGCCAGAACTGGTAGATGTAACCTCAACAGGCTTCTCGTCGCCGAGGGTGAGCTGGACCATGTCGGTAAGGGGAGCGCCTTCTGGGGCAATTGAGTATCAGCATGGCTGGTCAAGAGTAAAAGGACCAGAAAAGAAGCAGGGAACGCGACAACCGCGTCAAACATCAGATTGACGGGGGTATGGGTGCGGAAACGCCACGGAAGGACTTGGAAACGCGATAGAAGCGCGTCCCGGAAACCAAAAGCCGGGCAGGAATGGAAAGTATTAACACGGAATGTGATGTGCTGTGACTGAGTTTACAAGAATGGAGAAATGAAGCATGATGTGGCATCGCGTATGGATGATATAGGGGCAGAAAATGGAGGTGGAGGTGGAGGTGGAGGTGGAGGTGGAGGTAGAGGTGAAGATAGGTAGAATCGAAGGGGAGGTGATGGTGACAGAGTGAAGGAGATAATGATATGAGCAAAGGAGAGAGAGATGTACTTGCCGTTGATCTCAGGAGCCGCGATGGGAGGAGGGCTGCCAGGGCCGGCGCCACCGCCAGTGAAAGTAGGATACGACATGGGTACCTAGCTGCGTGTATTTAACTGTGCGTGCAGAGATGGGAGAGTTTGGGGGCAGTGGTGAAGGGGGAAGGGAAAGGGGAAGTAGAAGAGAAGAAGAAGTAAGAAGTAAGAAGAAGGAGGGTGATGAGAAGGAGAGAAGGAGAGATGGGGAAGAAGATGTGGGGAGGAAGTGTCTTTTGTCCTGATGGACGGCGCGCTACCGAGACAGAAGACAGAAGGGGCTTAGGCTTCGGGTAACCAGGAAAGGACCTGCGGGGAGAAGAGGAGAACGTTTGGTGGGAAAAGAAGGAAGGAAGGAAGGAGCGATGGGGGAGGGAGACAGGAGGAACCCTTTATACGGCGCCGAATAAATAACCGATGCGAGCGTCGCTTCCTCGAACAGTCCCGACAGCGCGGGTTCCGGGCTTAGCGTCGAGTAGCGGCTGCTCCTTCCTTACTTGACCAGATGGACGGAAGCAGCAGGAGCCATACGGGGCCATATGGGCATGGCAGAGGGGCCCTTCCGCAGTTGGCAGCCCCTTCCTCGTCCTTTCCCCATTGGGAGAGAGACACCGCAGCCCTCGCATCGAACCTCAAGACCGGAGAGAGTGTGTGAAAGAGATTGTATGAAAAACCAGACAGGGTATCATGATACCTGATGATACTTATGATACTTGATAACACTTGATGATACTTGATAACACTTGATGATACTTGGGCCCCTAACTGATCTCCATATGGCCTCTCACCCATCATCGACCTCCCTGAAACCCTTCATCCCTCTTTGGCCGTCATTCTCTCTACCAGGGCCTCTCGCCACGCAAACACAGCCCGCCATGCAGACCTCTGCCCGGCTTCATTCTCAAGGAAATATCCAGCAACATGGGGAAGCAACCACCGGCAACACATAGAGCAACACCAAAGACGAGAACAACAACCAACAAACTTGAAAATAACACCGTCTAAAAGCCATCGCCGCTACGATCAATTTCATCTTGCTGGACAAAGAATTGGATGCCATTCAGGCCTGCTGCTGAGCTACGAAGGCGCTGCAGGAACATCCCCATGACCCCCGCCAGACCCGCATAATCAGAGTTGCAACTAGTAGCCGATGACGGAAGGGGAAAGGTGCGGGTGGACTTCCATTTCCCAAAATACACTGCTCCCTACTTTCAAACTTTTGAAGTGGGCTCTCATTTTGCTTTGTCCTGGTCCCTAACATGGCCAGTATGGTTGAGTGGAGGATGGATTTAGACATTAGACTTAAAGATGGGAAAGCTTTAGGCAATTATCACTGGTAGCAACATATTAGGCGAGGTGCTAACGCTATCTGATATAGCTCCTTCATTCTTCTTTCAGAGCCCCTTTGTGATTCATGGTGAGCGGCCTTGCGGATGAATATTTGTCCGTTCCGGTGAAACCTTATACCAACCTCACCTGATGCCCTGGGTAGAACAGCAATCACTGTTATATCATATTGCCATTGAATCTCAAAGATATTGGCTGGTAATTGCGTGATAAATATCAGCCCCAATTCATCTGTAGCTCCAGAATGGAGAATATGCAGCCACTGTGGCCGTCTCTGGCAGGCCGGGTGCACAGCCAGCAAGGACTGCTATAATTGTACTGGCAGAGCATCATCATACTAGTACAATGGCCCCAGGAGGATGATATGAAGGTTTCAGATAGTATAAAGTAGATAGTGGGTAGGGAATAGCCCTGCAGAGACCAATATCACCCCGATTGTGTTGAACATCGATGTCAAAAGCGCTACCGGCTCGTGCCGAGTGGCGTGGTCATTCTGTGATCCATGCGTTGGTACAGTTGACCTTGCAGCTCTAATCAAGGACTGAGAAACAGGATCATCGTGGCGTGCCGACAGTGATAGCGATAGCGTCAAGCTCTTGCAAGCACCACAACCTCTCTGTTGAAAGTCACGATGAGGGCCACCCCGAATCTATTGGCTAAAGGCTTCATGGGCCGAAGCCTCGACGAATTCAAAAGATTGTCCGCGATTGGTATTCCTATCCACCTCCCAAGATCAGGCTCGTTGCTAATGGTCCATCGCAGCGTTCAAGGCAGAAGCAATCAAAAGACCAACCCAACCCTACGTCCTCACCTCCTTCCACGACCCCGAATCGATTCAGGACTGCAAATTGATATGTGATTCCGACGTAGGAGGCTTCTCCCGGGCGAACCTAGACTGGATCCCTCCCTCATCAGACCCCAACCCGCCTCCGTCAGAGAACAAGAACGGGTACGCCAAATTTCACGGCAGCATATCCATCGAGCTGCCGGTGAACAAACCACACATCCAGCGGACCGGCTACGCAGCCTGGCGGACGAAAGACCGACCTTTCACCATCTTCGGGAAGTCTCTGTGGGATATCGACCCCTACGCTTACCTAGCATTGCGGATAAAGAGCGATGGCCGGAAATACTTTGTGAATCTACAGACCGAGAGCATTGTCCCGACGGATTTACATCAGCACAGACTATACGCGCGAAGGCCCGGAGAGTGGGAGACGGTGTTGATCAAGTGGAATGAGTTTGTGAGGACGAATCATGGCATTGTGGTGGAGCCGCAGACCGAGCTGTTGAGGCAGAAGGTCAGAACTGTAGGGATTGGGTTGATTGATCGAGTGCCGGGCAATTATGAGCTTTGTATTGAGAGGATCTGGGCTACGAATCGCTTGAGCGAGGAGGATGTAGAGGAGGATGGGAGAGCGGAAGAGGGTCAGTTGAAGAGCAAGCACGGCGAGAAGATTAGATGGAATGAAGATAAGGGCGAGAAGCAATCGTCATAGGTGTATTATTGTATGTATAAAAGCTAAATTCGAACCCGTTCCAATCCAACATGTGTTAAATATCGCTAGTAGAGGGGTCTTCAAAGAAGCACCGTCGTCCAGCCGGGCATACGTGCCATAGGAAGAGAATCACTACAGCAGTTTTCAAATTCGGAAAATGCCAACTCCACCCGTTCCTGCCCGGGTACGCGTACATCGCCCCTCCAATTCGCTGTCAAGAGCTTCAGCCTATGGAATGCCAACATGCCGATACCTACCTTACTTAGTTGTGGGACTGGGTCATATTTCATGGGCGGGTTTCTTAGTAAATAGCCACAAAGATCTCAAAATGACGTTGGAATTCCTTTAAGGGTATTCTACAAGCTCGAGTACATGCCGTCCACGAGCTAATACCCACTGTTTTCTTCTTGACTTATACTATTCGGACTTTAATGGGCTTGCTTTCGCCCGCGGCATTTTGCTTTGGGGAATAGGAGTGTAAATGGACGTCTGGTGAGTAATATTGAAGGAAGACATATACTAGAGTAATCATGGGCTGTGATTTGGTGCTAGGAAATTTCTGGGTGCAGAGGAATAAGACGCGGTAGTTGAGGATTGAAAGTAATATCACAGGGAAGTGGAAATCTTCAATGGAAGTAAAGGAATAAAGGAACGAGATGAAGAAGGGCTTCCATTCCCTGTTACCAGTTCAATCAGTCCTATGTTACCATCACATGAACAGTTGGGAGGCTTGTTGAAGCTTTCTGTGTGAGGAAGGGGACGCGCGTCGAGGGGAAGGGGAGTTAGTAATAGCTAGAAAATGTCTATGATTACTTATATCTTTAACAAGGAAAGGCTCCATAAGAGGGAAGTAGTAAAGCCTGATAGACCTAGCCGGAGAAAGGTTATTAGAAGCATCCTCCTTGTTGAGAACATAGGTAAACCATAACCAAATAATGGTTCGGATGGTGGAAGGGTGGTGCCGTTTGGGAAGCTGGTCTAGCTAACAAGGCTATCTGAACGAAGGAAAGGAGTTGAGATCATTTGATTACTCATGACGAACTAGATTATGTTTTCTCTGGTCTTAACTCATAATGTTGTCCGCGACGAAATCCAGAATCCAGAAAAGGTCGTTTTAATGAGAACCGCAACATAGCAACTACCAAAGCACCGAAACTCCGAAGAATCCAACCGTAGCAGCGATCGAGGAGACATACAGATTCTCGAGTATGTGCATCATGCATCAAATTGTCTACAATTGCAAACACACCAAGATACACGAGGAACAGTTGTGTCTGTTTGCGGATGAGCTCAATCCACCTTGTATTAAAGGCTGGACCTGGCGATTCCACCAAGCGGACGCGTTGTGCAAACGGTGTGCGAGGATCAGGCAGGAGAAGAAGAGACATCAGGATCGGAAGGGCCATTTATACTGTTGTGGGCATGCTTAGCTGAGAACTGAAGGGTCGTGTGAGGAGTTAAAGAGAAAAGCTCAATTTGAACCATCTACGGAAACTGACTTCGCCTCCCCAGAATACATAATCCCAGCCGGTCACTGATGTCCAACCTTCACAATATCAGCAATCCACTGGCCGAATTGCCCCGCAAACCAACCCCGCATCGCCTCGCCTCGCGCTTCTCCAGACTCCAGGCTCTAAGGCTTGCTAAAGCTCGACCCTTGAACTGGTTAGAAAAGGTCTCCACTTCGTCACAGTTATTCTTCATATGACAGCAGAATAAAAGGTAGGTAACTGAGAATGTCTAATTTTCTTGCAATACCTGAAGCTATTGGATGATTGGTGCTCGAGGCTCCTGTCTTTGGCCATCACTGAGCTGACAGATATTTCTAGGATTACCAGTATGCACTTGGCGGTACAGAATCCCCATATATATAACGAGGAAACCGCGCAATATCCGCATAGTCTCCGAAAAGACAGATGTTGTTATGGCTGACTATAAGCTCAAGCTCGACTGATTTGAGTATCATTGGCGGCGCTGCTCTCCGAGACACAACAGGCCTCTTGCATGAGATTCAACTTTGAACCAGGCTTGAGGCTGATAGCGCTCAGATTGTGCCAACAGAGTCCCAGTGCAAAAGAATTGAAAGTGGTTTCTGAGGAAGGTCGAAACAAGGAAATTCAACCCTGCTATCTTTCTTTGCCCTCGCTTCAAGCTAGATGGGTTCGGAGAATTACGAAGCGTTTGATAAGGATATTGACCCAGATTATCATCTCCTCGATCTCCAGGTATTCCCGAGCCTACCAGCTTCAAGGCTGGCGGGGGCAAGCCTTCTGCTGTTCTCCAGATTCGAAGACTATTATCAACGATATGAACATATTCGTTGAACCCACCATGGGAAAATGACAGCGAAGATACGATGAGCCATGAGACCTCTAGAAAAGCATCGAAATTAAGATACAATCCATCCGAGGCTCGTAGCTCTCATTTCGCCTAACACCACGACTCCAGTATACCATGCAATCATCGTGCCTAATCCCAATCATCGTCGTCTTCCACATGTGCTTGTTTTGAATTCCTTATGCCACCCTTATTTTGTCGTGCTTCCTCCTCAGCATCTTCTGCATCAGTTCTCCTCTTCATAACTCGCATATCATTATCCTTAATTGCCCCCACCTCAATCAACAACTTGTCAATTTCTGGCATGCCTATTCTGACCCCTCCAAGGGTCATCAGCGTTACGACTTGCTTGACAATATCCCCTTTGTGATAAACCAAGATTGTTGGACAATTCCGATCCGGATAACCCTCAATGGCCATATCTGCTCTGATCTCACAAAATTTGACCTCCCCATATTCGGCTGCTGCTTTCCTCCACAGCTCGCTCAATACCCTACTCTCAACATTCGTTCCCAGCCCGCTGGTCATGTTGACCAATACAGGTCCATTTGCGCTTGCATCCGTCACCTCCCGGGAGTAATCTGGTTTCGAAATAGGATACACTGTCCCGTGCACGGCCTTCTTTGTGAGGGAAGCAAGTTCCTGAACCCGTTGCTGCCTGTACTTCTCGAGGAATTCTTCGTCTTCGAGATCTTCTAATTCGTCGAGTTCATCAAGATCTTTGCCTTCTAATCGGTTCTCGTGTGCGAGGCGGCGGCCTTCGAGAATGGCTTCTTCAATTAGAGGGGTAGGAGAGGGGGGCTTTTCGGGGATAACGCCGTGTTTTCGCAGGATGTCATTCCTGGGATTGTCAGTTTTGGGCTCTACTTCCTGTGAAAGAGGAGCATACCATTCTGTATCTGCATTTGGGTCATCTATAGGCACGCTTATGCGCTGATCCAGAGGAGCAGCCATGTTTGAAGAATGATCGTGAAAGGCGCATGTTCGTCGCAAAGTCGGCTGCGCGTACCTAATGCAAACCAAGCAAACACCACATCACCACCACATGCATCCTTCGTTGCACGTGACGCACATCGCTTATGCTAATTTTTTTGATTTTCGCATTTCGCTAGGGTTTGCACCATCTTGCCGAAAGCTTCGATCTCCTCTACTTTCAACCCCTCAACCATCGACAAACGACTGACCTCTGCTCTCTACGTCCCAAGTTTCTGCAAATCGACGAAAGACCCGTCAGTCCCCTCGAATCGATAGACAAGCTTATCGCAGACCGCCAAGATGGTAAGGAATCAATCCATCCTTCTTGTTCGCCTTCGAAATTGCCACATTTGTCGGTGAAGGCAATCCCTCACGAGACCTTCACACGACAAGTCCAATGATGAGGATATGGCGGAGGACTTCATCAGCTATGGAATGAGGAGGAACCTGGTGGTGGAGATGGATTGGATATTGATATGGGCTTGATTGATGGATGGATTTTGGACATCGAAAGCTAACGCGCTGCCTGTATAGGTTCTCGCAGTTGATCTCCTCAACCCAACCCCAGCCGCTGAGGCTCGCAAGCACAAGCTCAAGGTATGCTCCGATTGCCTTCTCTGGATCTTTGTATATTGGAGACGTTGTAAATCTGACGTTACCCCTCATAGACCCTTGTCCCTGCTCCCCGCTCCTTCTTCATGGACGTCAAGTGCCCCGGCTGCTTCACCATCACCACCGTCTTCTCCCACGCACAAACCGTTGTCATCTGCGCTGGCTGCTCGACTGTGCTCTGCCAACCAACCGGTGGAAAGGCCCGCTTGACTGAAGGCTGCTCCTTCCGAAGAAAGTAGATGTGCCACCAGCACTCCTCTGCTTTCTCTGTCGCGTCTCTCCGTTAATGCATGTCACCTCCGTTACGATCAATCACGAGAGTTAGATATGCTATTGTTCTCCCCTGCATACATTTGAACGGATAGAAGATGGAGATGGATGGCCAAAAATCGTTCTTCTCATACAAGCAGCAAAATAAGGGCGTTTGGGATCACACAACTTCCGGATATCTTGTCCAAAGCTTTTCCTTTTTCGTCGTGTATTCAGATGTGGATAGTTGATGCGTGTCTCGATATGCTCGTTACTATGCATGGAACGCAAGCTTGCATGGGATGGGGATGTGATGGCTGGAAATGGCGAGTTTCACATCAGCGTTTGTCGATAGATTTGGGTTCCACCTATACTAGGTGTGCTCTCGATTCTGAGATGATGCGAGGACGTGGAGGAGCTTATTGAGGATTGCTACATTCCCATGTTGCGCAGGTGGTGGATCTGGGCTTTGTGCATTACGAAAATAAGTATCTCCACAGAATCAGCTGCCCGATGATTGTGATGTGATCGCCATTTACATGCTTCCCCTGAACTGCCCAAAAGAGAGACGGAACCAGTGTTTTGTTCAAGTTCTGTTCCACCAATTCTAACTGTTTGATACCCGCTGCTTGTTATATATACCGATACCACTATACATGAATACGATATGGCAGTCAAGTCATAGCAGGCATGGCTATTATATATGTACCTTCGCTTTAGCGGTCTCTAAACGGTTCGTCAAGACTTCGAGTAGCACAACACGAGCTGGAGCTCCGAGGATCAACAGTCTTCTGATGTCTCAAACTTTGGATGAGTCCACTTTTCGGGTATCCAACAGGCTTTTGCCAAGTAGCTCCCATCCATTCGCGCGAAGTAAGCAGTGTACTCAATGATTCCAATTATGGCACAGCTTTACCCAGCAAATGACAATACCCGCGAACCAAGATACCAATTCTCGTGCCCGGTATTGGTCCTCTATGCCGCCCGGAAGCTATTGCCTCATATGAACCGTTCTATTCTCTTGCAGAACTGTGTCGGCAGCTGGACAGCTAGACATGGAAATGTCGAAGACGGCAAAGCAAAGCCTGCCAACTTCTGAAAGCTTCGTTGATATAGGGCAAGTTGCGAACTTCTTACTTCGTTAGTGAAATTGGTCTTGGTAAGTTCTTTGCGTAAGGCGTCCTGGATTATGGACCGAGATATTTCGGCCTTCCGGTTCTTATGCATTGAGGGCTACAGCTCGGAGCCTAGAAGAAGTCGACTAAGCAACTCGAGGCTTCTACGGCCAGTCGCTCGGTCCGCATTGGACGAGTGGTGTTTGATTCAGCGAGAGGTTTTCTTTCCAACTAGAACCGATTCTCTAGGGGCCCAGAAAAGGATTCCCCGTAGGCTTCTTTTTGGCTGACTTTAGTGGTACCTCAACGTCGCGGGTAGACTCCCTATCTACTGGTTTTGTCTCTGACATTATCGCTACGGCAACACCGAATGCTGGGGTGCATTACATAGGTACCTTACAGCGGAATATGCAGGGCTCAATTTGGCAATTTCGGACTTCGAGTTACGGGTGTACTCCATGATAGCTATTCCGTACACACAAAGAGCCAAACCACAAGCAAAAGCCGGTTCTTATTTGAGGGCTTCGTTGTACGAGTTGTATTTGACTGTATGTGTCTCCCCACCTAGCATACTTCTGATTATGTCGTGGATTCGAACAATAGCAGTAGATCTTCACCTCGTCATACAAACCACTGGTGTATAAGAATGGCGTTATGCTATCTACCTACCTAAGATTTACAGATTTTGTTGAAACGGACCCGTTGAAATCGGCCTTGTACGGACCGAGATTACCTTCTTCCAAAATCATGGAGCCCTTCCGAAGATATTATGTCCTGCTGTCTATACTGAGCAGCTATCCTGTCAGCAAGGAACCAATCGTATGCTCAGTCGCTACCATTTTAGACCTAAGAATATCAATCATCTCCCACCCACCGAGGTTGGTGTCTTGCGATGGGACATTCGGGGAGGCTGAGTTTATCGCGCTGTGATTGGAGAATAAATTCCAACGCGGAGTAAATGGTCCCCTAAAACGTGCCCTGCGCCACGATCGCCACGATCGGCACCAGCCATTCCCCGACCCTTCAGGTCCAGCGCATTATGATTGGCTGTCGCACCCGGCCCAGAAATATCCCGCTTCCCTGCCTCCTGTACGTACATTGTACGTACAAACAGAGTCACGATGTTTGTGGAGTGCTCATCTTTTCTGCACATAAGGCAGAGCTCTGCCTACCTTTCGTCTCTCTCTTTTTCTTCTTTTTTTAAGGACCTCTTGGTCGATCTTCATTCTCTACCGTCCATCTCGTCGTTCTTACTGATGTCCTGAGCCCCACGCTCTGCTCTGCGACATAGCTCTCTCGACGTCTGCCTCCCATTTTGAAGTCTGCGCAGAACATATCCGATCACTCTCTTTCCACCTCCAGTCATAGTCGCAGTCATGAAGGCCTCTACCAGGTCTGCGATGCTCTCAATCGCGGCCCTGGGCACTTGCTCACTCGCAGCAATTACCATGGACATCGCCAGAAGCCCAGCCCAAGACGTGAAGCCCCGCAGGCGAGACCTTTTGCCTCGAGGAGCGCCCCTCTCAGCATCTCTGGCCAACAATTTGACAGGTGGGAACTACGTGATAAATGTCCAGGTTGGAACTCCTCCACAGCAGATCGCCTTGGCGATTGATACGGGAAGCAGCGACGTCTGGGTGTTGGATGTTACTACAGATCTTTGTAGTGACCTTTCAATGCATGCGGAAGTCGGTACTGGATGCCAAACGCCTTGTAAGCTCTATTTCCTTCTGCCACTATCTATAATTCATCTCACTGACTTTCTTGCAGTCGATCATACGAAATCTTCCTCCTTTAACGTTGTCGACCCCAACGGATTCGACATACAGTATGGAGATGGGTCATCTGCGACAGGAGATTACTTCACCGATGTTTTGACCGTAGGTGGAGCTTCAGTCAAGGCTCAACAGATGGGCATTGCATCCAATGCCACCCTCACTCCAGGACTGCTGGGAATTGGGTACGATCTCAACGAAGCCTCCAACAACGCGGCATCGTCCGACTCTTCTCCATCTGTCTATTCGAGCATCATTGATAGTATGGTCACGCAAGGCCTTATCAGTACCAAAGCCTACAGCTTGTACCTAAATGACCTGCAGGCTTCAACCGGCTCTATAATATTTGGTGGGCTCGATTCGGACAAGTATCACGGAGATCTCTGGCAAATGCCCATAATTCCCTATACTCTTGAGGACGGCAGCTCGATATACTCCCAATTCACAGTTGCATTAACATCATATGCCATCACTACACCAGGAAACACCACCACTCTCACCAACCAGACCTACACCGCGCCCGTTATACTCGACTCTGGGACCTCACTTACTCTGCTCCCAGAGGAACTTGCCTACCAGATCTTTCACAAATTTGACGCCGTTGTGGACGAAGCGAGTAGTATAACCTTCGTTGATTGTGCTGTGCTCAGAAAGCATCCCCAGCTGACCTTCGACTTTGGGTTTGGTGGACCAAGCGGTTTCGCAATCCGAGTCCCTATCAACGAGATAATATTTGAGACTACTGGACCCTTCTCCCTGGACGGCTTCCAACCAGATGTCCCCTTCACTGACATCTGTGTCATGGGGATATCACCCCAATCACAAGAGCCATACATCCTTGGAGACACCTTCCTCCGATCCGCTTACGTCGTGTACGATCTCAAAAACAACCTTATCGCAATGGCGCAAACGAATTTCAATTCGACTACTAGCAGCATCGTAGAATTTGCCGCCGATGCAACAGCTATTCCCAGTGTGAGCGGCGTTGCAAGCGCTGTTTCTGCGACCGAGACTGCGACTGGTATACTGCCAGTAGGAGGCGGGAAGACCAGCACCGCCAACCCTACCGCCACCAACACAGGTGGTTCGGGAAGAACCACAGCCACCGGAAGCTCGGGAAGCAGCTCCACTGCATCTTCGACGAGTGCGCCAGACAAGAACAATGCCGGTGTGGCATCAGTGCCTGCGTTCGATATGCGCGGCCTGATGGTCATGGGCATGTCGGCCGCGTTCGCGGTCTTTGGTGCTGGTTTCACCCTCGCCTAAACCAATCACCCTGGGAATTTGTATTTTTGTACTGCATAGGAGAGATACCCAAAGCCGCGATGTATTTTGAAGAGGTTGTTTAGAATGAAGGCTTTAATGTATGAACAGTTGAGCATGTGTGGTGGAGACTAGACATAGATTATGATGATACCATTGCTGTTACCCAAATTAGACTTCTAATAGAATGAGAGATATAGACGTATATGTAAAATTCATTTTTGAAGTGTTGGAGTTGCGAAACCCTTCTATCCTGGAAGAATAACTTTTGTACACGGTATACATGTATTGATACACTCCCCATCTCTTGGCCAAGCCTTCCACAAATCATTCATTGAACATTCCCCTCCCTTAAGCATCCATTATATACCTTAGTTCCTCAGCGGTCGGCTTATTTCCCCTTCCAATCGCCCATATGCGACTTGATGATGCTCGCCGCCTGCTCAGGGCTATGCTGTCTCCCAATGGCCTCGACGAAATCGCCCTCAGGATCCATCAGGTAGAAGTAGATGCTGTGGTCGACGAGGTAATCCTGGCCTGGCTTGACACCCTCCGGGGTGGAGAAGTACACGCGGTACTTCTTGCACACCTGCTTGATCTGCTCCCAGGTGCCCGTCAGGCCGATGATGTCCGGGTGGAACTCGGACAGGTAGGTAGCCAGGACGGCCGGGGTGTCGCGGGCCGGGTCGCAGGTTATGAAGATGGGAAGGAGGGGAGGGGCTGAGGACGGGGCCGAGGCGCGCACCAGGTCGATCATGCGGGCCATCTTGTCCAGCTCTTCGGGGCAGATGTCGGGGCAGTGAGAGAAGCCGAAGTAGACCTATTTTGCGCTTTGGCATTAGCACGTTCCCCTCTCAGACACTGCAAATTATCTCTCTCTCTCTCTCTCTCTCTCTCTATCTATCCCCCTCCAGACTACAGAAGTCCCAAATGCGTGAGCAAGAGACCCACCAAAGAATATTTGCCCTTCATATCCCCATCCGTAAACGGCTTCCCATTCTGGTCCACGAGCTCGAAGGGCCCGCCGACCTTGGGCCGCCCGACGCCCTTCGTAGCCTCCGCCACGCGCTTGCGCTCCATCCGCGCCTTCTCATAGCGGAAGTAGAAGATCAGGCCCGCGCCCGAGATGAGGAAGAGGAGACCTGCTTTCCAGGAGAAGGGCTATTTGTTGCATGTCAATTTCTTACGTCCTTGAGAGGAGAAAGGGAGGGTCGTACCCCGGAACGGTACCGAGAGCGCTGCTCTTGAACCGTCTTGTATTTCCGCTGTGGAGAGGTGCTGAACGTGCGTACTCCTGTCTTAGGGGTCGAGTGTAGACATGACGGCTGTGGTGCTGTTCTGGGCAGACCAGGTGTGGTGATGGTTGATAATCGCTGGCATTGGGCGGAGATGGGCTGAGGGTTACCGTGTCTTAGAGCTCGCGAGAAGGTCGCCAGAAGGTTCTTACTGGGGACAAAGACTTTCGACATGATTGCTGTGCTGGTGACGGCAATGCCGGAAACCTTGAGTTGTCTATCGGGAATATTCGAGGTTGAAGGCTTGAAGCTCTATCAGAACCACGGACGTAGTAGTGCCTCGCCTCTTTACGAGCCTCACCTGTCATGGCCCACGGGGGTCTAGAACTCTAAAAGCAGCAAGCAAGCAACTGCAGACCAAGACATTCTTTCCTCGGGCTTCAGAGTGATGATCCATTGATACGCATTTCAGAAATTTAACCTCTCCTCATGAATTAAGTATCTAAACAGCTATGTCACTATGCTAGCCAGTTCCTGAAAGCTAGTCCTAGTCCTACAGACGCGCGCCTCATGCTCACACATACTTGCAGAATCTTCCCCAGATCTCCACGCTTCAACACCGCAGACGCCAAACTGATGCTGCCCCAATCATCGCAAAATGACGCGCAGTCACTCTCTTCGCTCAAGATGAAAATCTAAAGAAGACAAAGGAAAAGTAATTTTGTGTCCGCTCTACTCCCGTCGACTGACTTGGCTTGCGCTTGTCCTACTGAATTCATCCTCCTCTAACACATCACTCAGTCTGGTTGGGTGGTGATGTCGAGGAACTGCCTCCCATCCGGGCCCCGAGCCATATCCTTCACCTGAATAATCGACTGGGCCTTCCAGCGCTGCCGGGCGGCTGGTAGGGGGCCTGGGTTGTTCTGTAGCCGGCACACTTGAACCATATTCTACTCCCGAGACCGGTTGTCGCCCGTACTCCTGAAGGTAAGCTAGCTCACGCTCCCGGGCTGCAGTCACGTCGTATTCGTCTGTATCATCGTCAGAAACTGGCTGCTGGTACCGGATTTTGTCGCCCTTGACATCTCGGACGAACTGACCTTCAGCGTTGATCTCATATTCCTCCTCGCTTGAAGCGCCTTCCGAGCGGCCGGAAGGGCCGTAAGATGGATCATGCTCAGATCGGCCGGTAGGGTCAATGGGATGGAGAGACGTGCCTTGGTGTTGTTGATAGAAGGCCTGGGTCGATGCTGGCTGAACTGCCGGAGCTTGAGAGTATTTTTGCGCGTAGGGCGAAGGTTCGGACGTTGGTGCTCGAACTCCTCTACCAGTAGGGGTCGTTTCCTCTTCTACAAAGGGATCCGTAGGATCAGGCGGTTGGGCTTGGGAGTAAGGCTGATATGCGACATCGGTAGTAATTGGACCTTCGGGTTCCTTGGCAGCTTGTCCGCCGGGATATGGCCCCTCACGGGTGCTCCCATGTCTGCTTGGCATACCTTGCATCATCGGAACAACTTGAACGCCGCCAACAATGGTAGGTTGGCCTTCTCGTAACGAAGCTGTTCTCTCGCGCTCTTCCTGCTCCCTCCGTCCAAGCTCTTCCCAGGCCCGTCTCGCCTCCTCCTTGGCTATTTGGAGCTCACGCCTCATTTCTGCAAGCTTCTTGTCCGCATTCGACCTTCTCCTCTCGTTCTCAACGGCCTCTTGAATCGCCGCAGCTCGTATTTGGCGCTCTTGCTCGAGGCTTGCCTGGGTCAGTGCTTGGATCTCTTGGGCACGTTCTTGTTCCGCCCTTGTCTCGAAGAACCAGCGCTGAAATTTTCTTTCGGACGAAGCTCGTAAACGCTGCAGCTCTACAACCGCATGGAAAAGATTGGCTCCAGCGGCCGAAAGATCTGTCACCTGCCTCGAAAGTTGCTGAGATATAGGTTCCCTGTTGATCTCATTGCTGTTTTCTTCGAGCCTCCGGATCCAGAACGAGGTGAGTCCTTCCCAATGCGCTGAGAGTGTCTCCCAACGTTCGAAAGCATGAGGAAAAGATGATCGCGTAGCGCTGCCACCGGTGCTTCCTTGCGGTGGTGCTGGACCTGAAGGACCAGCAGCAGAAGGGCCCGGCTGAGCTGGCCGGGGTCCCGATGTTTCTGGCTGAACAGGCCTAGGCTGTTGCTGGGGCTGAGCGATAGGTCGTGGTCTACTTGAAGGTGGCGCTTCATCACCACCTCCGAGTGCACGACCTCCTCTTCCTACTCCCTGTAGAGGTTGGTCTTGAGGTCTCTCGCCACCCGCTGCTAGCTGGTCACCAGATCTGTGTTCTGACCTTTGTGAATTATCGGAAATTCTTTGACCGGCCGTCCCTCCAGATCCGCGCTGGCCTCCCTCTCCGCTTCCTCTCTGCGGTGCTGCAGCGCCAGCAGCTACCCTTCTCTCCTCAGTCCTGCGTCTGGACTCCTCTATTAATTGGGCCTCGTCTTCAGCATGCCTCCTTTCCATTTCTTCCCTCGCGGCATCCTCTGCTCTGCGCCGTTCTCGAGCTGCGCGCTCGCGCATGATATCCCTCGGGCCCCTTATGCTCGGCGACCCAGTCGTCCCTGGAGCAGTTTGGGTCCTGCCATTTCCAGTTCGTCCATTATCAACGGAGGCAGACGGCCCTCCGCTGATAAGATCTGACATCGAGGCGTTCTCCTCGACCAAATCGGGGGTAAAGGGATTGGGGCGTCGCAGGGCCTCTTCGAGAGCGTATAGGATGGCACTCCCAGTATTCTTCGAGATCCGTAGAGCTCGATGGGGTCTTCTGCCGGCTTCTTCTGGAGAGTAATGTGGAAGGCTTGGGGCTAAAGGAGTTGAAGTAGCGAGATCCTCTTCGAAATCATGCGTAAGCTGTGCGTTCCGTCGCGATTCAGCAAACCTAACTCGAGGGGGCGAGGGGGAAATTCCAGCAGAAGCTGCTTCAATGTGGGTTCGTCGCTGCTGGCGCTGCTCTGGGGTGGGCGTTAACGGGTCGTTGACGTCGTAAGGGTCGTTAGATCGTGGAGGAATTGGGTCCGTCAGCGCTGCTGCGAGCCGAGGTGACCGTCCTGAGGTCGACAAGATGATTGCGCCTTGGGGGAGTTCACCCAAGAAGGGCCAGTGAATTGGCTGGGGGGGTGCGTGTGGAAAGACGCGCTGGGATTTGGCGATGTCTCTCCCGAGATGCGATTGAGGAATGTATCTACCACCTTGGGAGGCAGGAAATGAGAGAGGTGTGAGGGTGAAGAATTAGCGGAAGGACTGGGGCCCTCGAGAAGGGGATACTGTCGGGGGGGCGACTGAATTGGAGGAGGTTGGGGTTTGGCCGTGTCGCCTTCAAAAAAAGATGATGGCTGGGAGCGAGGCGAAGGTCGCGAAGGGGCCAGCGCAGAACAATGGAACATGGACATGCAGCCGCCCCAAACAAAGTTTAGATCAATAAATAGAAAAGGGGACCTGCGCGATCGCGCAGATCGTGGGGCCCAGCTGATGCGTATCGGAGAATAAAATTTAGAAAAAAAGGGAGAGGTTATAATAGTGAGTCCTGTATGATGTATGTGTATGTATGGTTGACGGGCGGGTGGTGGATGCTGGTATCTGTGGGTGTCGGGCGAGTCACGACGGCGCCAGGTATCTCCTCCCCTCCTCCCACATCAAAGAAGACGGCGATGACCTGGGCATGAATGGAAGACTCGACGGCTGAGGAAGAGAGCATGCTCGAGAGCAGCGGGCGGGCGATTCGATCAATGCGCCAGAACGAAAGTCGCGGGAGGTTGGGACATGGGCGACGAACGACGACGAATGACGGACGAACGAAGCTCCCCGTCTGTCTCTGAGCAGAAACGAGAAAAAGGAAAGAAAAGGGAAAAGGGTCCGTAAGTGTGTCTTACTCGTAGGGCACAGTCAGGTTAAGTGTCGATGTGTGCATGCGCGAAGAATAGATCGCGCGGGTCAGGGACGGGGGGCGGTTCGACGGGACACCACTGCGGGACGACCAGGGCAATTGGAGATCGAGGGTCGTAGTCCGTTTGTCCTCTCTCTTTCAGAGGGAGATTGGAGAGAGTGTGTAAGACAGATGAAGGACTCTTCTTCGTCCTGGATCTGATGCCTCGAGACCCGATTCTTCATTATCTCAATCATCGATTGGGGGGGGATGTTTGATGTTTGATGTTGAATTATGGATGTTGATTGGGCGAGGAAGGACGGGGGGACGGATCGGACCTCTTTCGCCCCCAGATCCCGTCTTTTGGACAACGCACGATGCTTCTCGCTTAATTTCTGTGGTCACGTCGTCGTATTTATTCTCCAATATATCGATTTCTCTTTTGGGAATATCCCCGTACGTATAAATAGTCGTATATTACCTCCTCCCGTTTCCATTTCCGCCTCAACCCAATCCTGTTTGTATATTACGCATCACATCATCATATGTAATCCTTTGCTCTCTCCCCTTCCCTCCCCTCCCCTCCCCTCACCTCATCTGCAAATCCACCGTTGCGCTGGAGGCAGCGGAAACCCACATATGTACATACGAAATGCGTCTTCAACGTCCAGCGCCCTCTCGAGGAACGTGTCCGGCTACCTACCTGCCTGGCCAGGGCCCGTCCATCCCATCGCGCTGGCGCATCGAATCGGGGTGCGCAACGCGCCCGCGGAGACAATATGGGGTGCGCGGGCCCTTGCGTCGGGTGGCTGGGGAGGGGGGTCTTGATGTACGGGGTCCTTATATGGAGAGCGTCCTTGCTACTTATCCCATTTCTACAATAATGATAGATTGCCACCTTGAAGATCAGGTCCATCTGGGGAGATGGCATACATCTAGCTCAGCAGAATAAGCTCTTTACCAGAATTGACAGGCAACCCGCTCTTTGTCTCCCATCGTGAAAGTCATTCATCATTACATATTTCAAGCTATATCTCGTCGTCCCAAAGATGCAAATTTACGTAGAATCAGAAATCGCCAACAATTTGGTATAATTTGGTGTGCCGAGACCAGTGGCTGGATCCCATCCCTATTGAACACAATAGTCAGTCAAAGATTTCCTATAACCCGATGCCGTAAGACTTACTGTAACAGCCTCAAATCCAGCATTAGAGATCACCCCACTGCATCCAGTGTTGGAGCCGGTGGTGATATCCGTCAAGGCGGAGGTCGCGTTGCTATACAACCAGGGGTTCAAGAACCCGAGTCCCGGTTTCCCTGCCGCCACCCGGCCGCTGTTCAGAAGCTGTATGATGCTGGCAAAGGTAGGGGTGGCGCAACTCGTCCCGTCGACGCCTTCAGCCTCTCCACTAGCGACGATGGTGAAATCCGTAGCTTGGGCGGCAACGTCTGGGTATGCGCGTCCGGAGCTGTTGAAGTACTTTGAGACTCCTGAGTGGGTATTGTCGTTTGTCAACCAGGAGGTAACGGCAGAATCTTGATAGCTGGGACGGCCAAAGACACTGGAGAAACCACCGCCACCATCCGTCCAGGCTGCTTCGGGGCTGTTTCCAGAGGTGCCCCCAACGGTTGTAACCCAAGGGCAGGAGGCAGGGAAGGATGTTGTAAAGGTTTTTGTACCGTTAATTGAGCAAGTAGTTCCCACTCCGGAATCTCCAGACGCAACAAGGACGGAGACTCCGCGAGCACCGAGTTGAGAGAAGAGGTTGCAGGTGGTGTCGGCATAGTCAAGAGGGACGGTTTCCTCGTCGTCGCCGTATGAGATGGAGATCGTTTGAGGGAGATCAGAATCATTGAGTGCGAGCAAGTAGTCGAGGAATTCGAGATACGGCTCATTCTGGTTCGTGCCGCCACCCACAATCGGCGGGCTCCCGCCCGTGCTATAGTAGACGTTAGGGATGGACTCAGTGATGGCCCTCGCATACTGGGTGTCCAAGTTTGCTTCGATTCCGGGGTAGCCACTACCAGAGGAGGGGCACGTGCCACCGTTAATCAGGGTGCAGGTATACGTCTCACCCGAGTTGCCTTCAGTGGCATAGTTTTCCATGAAAGTCGAGAGATCTGATTTGCTGGGCCATTGTTCGAGAAATCCGGCAATTCCCATTTTGCCTGCAGACAGAGCAGTTGCTGAAGAGAAGCTGTAAAGGTTGGCAAGGCACTTTGGGGTGACCGCTCCACCGCTACAGCCCTTGACAGCTCCAGCTTCCGTGACCAGGTTGGTTTTGTCAATAGGCCTAACCTTCGAGATTGTTGATCTCATTGCCCTGAGGCCGAAGAACGTTGTTGGCTGAACCATCTTGACGTGACCTTGGAGAGCATCTGGTAGGCTGTACTCTAATGTTCTCAACAGGACTTCTCCCGTTGATGAGTGTACTACAGAATATCAGGCTCGTCCAGAGAATTCATGAGAAAAGTCATGTGAGAGCCGGAGACTTACCAAAAGGAGCGTATTCGGCGTTCAAGAGCTTTTCAATCTGACTGACACTGGCCTCAACAATAACAGAATCAGATCGTGGTGAGATGCTTGCATGATCACCCAGACCCTCTGTCTCTAACCACTGCATGACCAGATCGCTGGATTCGTCCCGAGGGGCAACAATTGCATCAATCACGTGCTGTGAGAGGTGTTTTCCGTACAATGCATGCCCTGGGGTTGCAATCTGATGAGATAGCTGCATTAGTAGATATTCTGGAAGGGCTAAGAAACAGGAATGAGAAAAAGAGTTGGACTTTGCACTCCAAGCTGGAGGCACTCTGGGCATCACCCTTAAAGGTCAAGGCTTTGGAAATAAAGGTCAGGCATACGTTCATGGCCAATTCATGGAACTTGTTCATGTTCTGTTCCATCAGTTGGATCCTCAACTTCACTGTAGAGATATCCTTATTGATCGTAGTGCTGTCATCCCGAACCCAGCCCGCAGGAGGACCACTCAGCTTCTCATAGATACTGCTCTTGGAGGTTGCATCATTGGTCGAGTGCTCTGCAACTGTGGGAATGCTGAGGGCAACTGCGGAAGACGAGATGGCCAGAGCAGCGGAAAGAGTATTGAGGAGAAACATCGTGCCAGATGTGCGGCGGGGTCACTGTGGCCAGAGAACAACGACGACGATAGAGAGAGAAGGGGAACCAGGAGAACGAGAGGGAAGATGTCTATATAAATAAACAGCAAAGGAGATCCATGCGGGTACCTGCCCAGTTAGGTCCGGCACTTTGGCATCGGTCAGAGGACAAAGTACCACTTCGCAAGTCGCAAGTCGCACGCCGTATCTGATGATGCAACAAATAAGGTGGCAGGGAACTTTCCCCATACACGAAGGTACCGTAGGGAACAGCACCCGCTATGGATGGAGCCAAGGCCCCAGGAGATTGTAAACTGCCTTTCGTGGCATCCTGCCCGCTTCCACGGGGGGATGGCCATAATGCACTTGCACACATATCCTTGGAGCAATTGATGGCTCTTATCGCTCTTGGCCGAAGGATTGGCTGGTGTCGAAAGATCTGCGCTGGAAGTGCCGGCGTCGAAGAGAGAGCTTAGACCGGAAGAGGCAACTCGGTAAACTGCAAGAAGTCAACTTCAACAATGCGTACGAAATGCGTCCTTCCGTCTTGCAATCCTTGTCGCAGTCAAGGGACGGAGTCACGGAGCAGACCATACATAAGAACAGTACCAGTGCCACTGGAAGGTTAATAACTGTCCGAATGACCTCATACCGGGATCTTTGACTCCTGCTACATTGGTCTGTCGCCGATGCCCGTCCACAGCCCATGGATGATGAGAGCCAGAGTCCAGGCGCGGAGGTCTTCACTCTGTACTGATGTACGAAATACTACCAAGACGCTGAGAGGAAAAGTACGAGAAAAATTAGGCCAAGGGAGCCGGAACGAGCCGCCCTTATGACATACAGGAGAGCGCCAGCGATAAGACCAGGAACTGCCGAAGGCGCGCCAAATTCTTCATATACTCATCATTCGTCCAAGGATCAGTGGAAATGTCTCTGAGGCTCTGATATTCGAATAAGCTTTACATTGGTCCGGTCGGTCCCCAGCTAATATCCCGTCCCGAACCTCTTCGGATATGTACCCATCCTGTGAACAACACTAATAGTACCATTTGAAGGCCAGATTGGATGGCCTTTCCCTCGAGCCCTGTTCTGTGCCTACTGCTGTTGCATGTCCAGTTCTCGCCAAGTTCGGCAGAGGAGCACCGGACCTTTGGAGACCCCGCTTGGAGAAATCGTCCTCTCTCTGTCGTGAAACATGATGCTGGGGAGCTTCTCCGCGAGATTTCGCAAGGTGTCTTTGTTAGCGATGAACAGCTTTGGCACGGTGAAGGACATGTCAGTCCAAGAAACTGAGGCCTTGTGACATCAGTGTGGGAAGATCGCCAGGAAAAAGTAGCTGCGACCCTCGAGCAGAACTCTGTGCTGGTCAAAGGGTTTGAGCTAGAGGGTAGGTTCAGACGAAATAGAAGAATTCGACTCGGCCCACATGGGGGAGTACGAGGAAACGGATCATGAGAGCGCATCCACCGAAGGCACACAACTACGGCAGAAGTCCGTTGTGCCTTACACCGTTGAAGTTGAAACGACGTTGTTCCTCCTTATGACGCTTTTGTATTACCGCTGCGATCTGTCGCGGATTCAATGATATTGATGTCCGGATGAAGTTGCTGCTCAACTTTGCTGGTGTGAGTACTTCGAGAGGAGTAGTTGGTACGAAACCGGTTCGAGAAATAGGCCACAGTACTCGCTACCAAATGGGGATACCCTTGACAACTTAGCAGATATCCAGCTGGCCAGAGACATATTGGAACTCGGATGGACAGCTCCTGGGCAAGAATTTCGGCTGAATATCCTTCTCGTGGCTACCATGACTGAAGATGATGGGCTGCAACGATTCCGAAGATTAAAGATCTTGTCCCATTTACCCACCCCGACTATTCTGATGCATCTGGGAAGATCAGTTCGAATCGGTATGAGTTTTCGACATTATCTGGCACGAGCTTTGATATTTGAGGCGTCCAATATATAGCAACACAGCTTCATACAGGCAAATCTTAAATATACCCGCACTTTGCCGCCTTCTAGTCATGGACTACCTTTGACGATCAGCATTTTCAAAAGAAGAGCAAGAGGTTGAGCTCGGATCTCTGTTGGCTTTCGCCACCTCATGGAGCAACTAGGGTCAACCATACCTGTCTGACGCCACGGAGGGGTCGCCAAATTACTATACGAAGCCATTCACCACTAGGCACTAATATGACCCAGCGAAAGGTTTGAGGAGGAACAAGACAATCATAGCGATAATAATAACGCGCAGATCCGGGAAAGATGTTGTTTCCCTCTCTGTGGGGGTAGAGAACCGAGCCCGCACCTCTTCGATAATGAAATATCCCTGACATCCTGGGAAAAGAAAATGATGCACTAGTCGGAAACGATCATTGGTCGCACGCCTTTGATTGTTGCATAGGGGGCAACACTTTGAAACTGACTGAGAGATTCCAGCGATCTTTTGAAAAAGGGGGGCCTCACTGTTATCTCCTAGTCAGACCGGGTCTCTCGGTTTTGCAGACCTCTCCGGTTTCTCCTGAGTGACATAACGCCTTGTTATGGCCATGATTGGGGGAGGAGACGTTCTATTTAAATCCAGCAACGTCTTTGGAAGCTGCGAAATTTGAAGACGGAATCACTTCCCCTGAGGTAGGCAGTCATAGAATTTGGTGATAAGTTGTCACACGACGGTCAGTGCGGTCTCAAAGTTCGCCATTCAATCCTTTCTGATCTCGGCTCATCCACATCTGACCCGGAGAGCTTGTTGGAAGAGATGTAGCTATGTGGTAGCGGAAAATCCACCGTCAGAGCCATTTCAATCATGATGGAACGTCCCTGGACAGCGGAGACGAACACGACTCCGAGCCAACCTACAATTCTGATGGCAGCTACTTCCAATAATAACCTGCCATGCTCAGTTCCTACGAGGAAGCAAAGCTAATCTTTGAAAGCCTCGTCACGCGTTCGCACCGACCTGGAATTAGGTGTGACAAGTCGAGGCGTGACCCCGCACTGCTCACCGAGTATGGGCGGGCAGAAAAGCAGCAACTCGAAATCCCCAAAACGGCACCCCTCCTGTGATTTCAAAAGTACTGGGGCAGAGTCTCTCCGAGTCTCCGTTGACTGATATGCGCGCACCGCGTGCCCATCAGCCACGATATCTCGTTTGATGCCCTCCACCTCGTTCCGAACAACACCAAGCAACAAGGCCATGCAATACCAAGGTGCAGGACTGACGAATATTCTTTGACTCTTTCCTTCGGCGAGGTATCTGATGGGTAGCACAACACTACTCAAACCAGCATCAACCATTCCAAGAACTATATCGGTCAGGAAAGAGTGGCATTGTGATGATCTCTCGTTTTGGTAGGCTGTCTCTAGCTGAAGACTGGCAGTATTTGGTGTTGTCCATCAATTCGATTTCCCCCCCCCCAGTCCAACCCTTTGCTCGCCTTTTCCCTGGACGTGTATGGAAGGGTCACCCAGGCGAAAGAAGGCGTTCGGAGGGGAGATTTGGCTGAGGTAGGATGATCTTGAGGATACTCAAGCGTCAGGGCAGCTTTCCTCAGTCCCTCCTTCTGCAGCGCCCGCATCCTATATTGGGCTTTGTACTCGACTTTGCATCACAGAGCACATCGACCGAGGTATAGGTCTCGTGGGATGGGATCTGTAGCGTACGGCGCGTCTGATTTAGAAACCTATATGCGACGGGAGGTCCTAGATACGAGAGGCCCTAGATACAGGAGGTCCTAGATACAGGGTGAGCTCGCTGTGGTCATGTGATTCCGTAACAACTCGAGGGTATGTAGGTAGGTTGCCCATTTGAATTCGTAACCTGCCCGAGTGTTTCTGAGTTGTACATATCGTCCCAAGTCCCGTTTCCCAGACACCAGCCGCCGTTCCATTAATTCCAACGCGTAACTAGCCAGATGGCCTCCAGATCCCAAGACGGCAGACATCCAATCCTCCCGATTTATTAAACTGTAAAGAAATTCGTTGATCAGACATAGCAAAAGTTCATTGGCGTCGGACGTCTTCCCTTTATGACCCTTTGCCTAATCCTCTGCCACATTAATCTAACGATTGATAATCATAAGATGCCTTGGGACAAGAACACTTACATGATTGAGGGCGGGTGTAATGGGGTTCCTACGACTTTCCAACGTGGGACATTGAAACGAAGCGTTTGGTTCCCCTATTACAGTCGCCTACTTCATTATTTCGTAAGTTGCGGTCAGAATAGGTGGTTGCAAGCTCACTCACCGCATCTTCTTTCCAGAATGAAAGTTCTACAGAGAGATCACGGGTTAATAGACAGCTTCAACATCGTGACTTGGAGAACTTGGAACTTACATCCCCACAACATCTCTATAATATGCGAAACGGCAACGGTGAGTTCTTTTCCACTTCTCACACCACTCCCTGACAACAAATCGACGATGGCCACAACGAAATTCAACTTCGGTATAATCGCACATAGTGTATATGGCGGGGTGTGAACAGTAGGTTCAAGCAAGTGAGGCAGGGCTGGCAAGCTTTGCGAATTACAATCCCAGGATGAGCAAACAAACTTAAGTAACTGCCCGTGAGGCGCCTCTCTATCCTAGCCAGAGAAGCGAATGGAAAATCGGGAACCGGATATCCACGCCGCCTACTCCTGCTCCAGCTGAACATGGAACGCATCTACTGCACCATGCAGGAGTTTCTGATCTGGAATCGCCACTGGCGACGGGGGGGGGAAGGGGGGGCCCTGGGCCTGACTCGCGCGAGCCCGTCTAAGTTCTAACGCATGGTCTAGTGAACTCTGTCATAAACTCTATTTCAGCCTCCGGCCAACCAGAGGGATGCTTGGTATCAATCTCACATTCGAGAAGTGAGAGAGGCTTTTGGAGGGGCCTTCGTTGTCGACCGGCAAAGTTGCAATTAATACGCTCAGACGCGCTTTAGCAGACCATATATTGAGGGGGCCTTGTTGAATGTCGCTCGTGCATTGCCGTGTAACTCGGCCTGCGCTAAAGGTGTCGCTTATCGGGGCGTCTCCTCCGGAGGTATGTATGTAGGAAATATGTATGTAGGAGGTATGTATGTAGAGGTATGTATGTAGGAGATATGTGGGAGGTATGAGAGGCTTGCAGAGAACTTGGGGTTTGGACTTGGAAATGAGCACTGCAGGAAACTCGTCACCAAGCCCTGCCAGTTTGTGCTGTTTCCCATTGGCCGAGGGACCAGAAGGGCACAGAGGGATATCAATATCTGACAACCGTGACCCTCATGCATTGCTGTGTGACATGTATGTAAGACAACTAGCGGGTGAGAGGGGGGGCAATAAGGATCATCTCCCTACATCTCTCTGCTGTACAAAAGCAAAACGATATACTGCGGCCAGATCATGACAGGTTGCTGCACCAAACAATAAAAACAAAACAAACAAAACAAGATCATCAGAAAGACAAGAAGCGGGGAGAAAACTCAAAACAACGCACTGGAGCAGGAGCATGAATCTTTCGCCGGTCAAGATGGCGGTCAGTATCCTGCCTCGAGATTCGTGAGACAAGCTAACGGGCCAATGGATACAGAACTCCAACCAAGCATCATTGCAGATTCCTGGGTTTTTCCTCCTGCTACACGCAACGCTGGCTCTCGAAGAGCTCTTGACGCCGGTTCTCTTGCCAAGTGTGTTGAGTGCTTCGTCAATCACGATGCCTGACACCATCCAGCCATATTTCCGCGAGATCGCTGAGAGGCTCACACGCAGACAGCTCCTTTTCTTATGCTATGTAAGATGGGAGTTCAATGCGAATGACAATATCGACATTGGTTGGAACTTTTACAGATGTGTATCTGATGTGGAGAATCTACCTGGGAGTTTGGACGAGGCCCTACCGAAATACAACCTGGAGACTGGTGAAAATATAGCTCCAGAAGAAGCGATGGCATTATTCTCGGACATCATGGCATGTAACAGGCTTCTCAGCACCCAACAATCTACTAACAAGAAATACAGAGGATGTTCCACAATCTCAAGAACGGGGTGATAGCCAGAACACCCGAGCGTCGACGGAGACGGCCAAGCTTCTTTGAAGAACCCCGCAGAGAACGAGGAGAAATATTCGAGACAGACGAGATGCCAGCGAGCAATTGCCACAGCCAGAACTCTGAACTCTGGGTAAGCTCAGAGTGTTCAGAGTCTGCCCTTGTGGCATCTTCATGTGGAAAAGGGCAGACGAACGAAAGATGCAAGACCTCGGAGGGCCATGCCGGCTTTGAGGATAATGGTAAGCTATCATGTGGAACTGGTCACAATGTTGAGCTAAGTATGTCTAGGACCGGAAGCGGCGACTGAAGTAGTAAGATTGCCTCTGGCTGAGATCGACAACGAGACGAAGAACACGGCGATCAGGAAGATCTGGAAAATCACCAAGAGCTTAGAGAGCGCGGCATCCAGGGGGCGCAGGGAGCGCAGGGAGCGCCAGAGAATCAGGAAGAGCCAGATGTTGTCCAAGCGGGAGGCCACCATTCATGGATAGACACGATTCACGGGATCGGGATGAGATGGATAGATTGGGGGGGGGGACCAAGATCAAGGGTCGAGGAAGTGGACAATAGGAAGCTGGGAGGGCGTAAGTGCTGGGAACTGGGAACTGGGAGCTCTGCAGTCAGACAGATAGCCCGAGTAGGCCAAAATAGGTAACCTACTCCGCACGCGACGATGTACAATTGCGGGTGCTAGAGGCGTATACGGTGTGGGAGACTGGGAGTAACTGATAAAGGGACTCGCAGCCGCGGCTCTGGCGATCATCGAAGCTTCCCAGCGGTGCGGCCCCGGTCTTCTTGGCGCCGGACATATTTCCAGGTTCTGGGGTAACTACCACGTACTAAAATAGACGCACTATTCTTCTTTCAGTATAATATAGCCACCGTCGTGACAATACTTACCGTTGTAGAGCAAGTCCCAAAATAATGCTACCGCACTAGGGCCGAAGCTAGTTAGTAGATACCTAAGGGACGGACCTTATTTATCCTCCGCGGCGCTCACGTCCGCGGACACGCCGTGGTATTGTTTATGTAAGGCATGTAGGACGCAGAGCAGTCAGTCGTCGTCGGCTTCCTCTCGAGCGGCAAAATCCGCTCAGCGAGAAGTCCGGACAGCAGGACGACGACAGAGCAGTCGACGTGGTTGACGCATAGTGATCCTGCGATGCGCATCCTCGAGGCTCATCTCATTTCCATCCCACGTTTGGCAGGTCCCACGTTCCCAGCCCCACGCGTGGTTGGCACCGGGGCAATCGGGTAACCAGGGGGAGGCCGCGGGAACCGGGAAGCCGGGAAAAGGGAATACCCGTACCGTGGTTTGACTGGCTCTCCTGGATTCTGGGAACGATCCTGACGAGCTAGAGAAGCACACTTCGTCATCTGCTGTTATCATCGCCCCTGCATGTTGATCCTTCGCCCCCCGGCTTTGCTCGGCACCCATTTTTTGGGATTCTCAGACTCCAGGGTGGCTGCTTGTCTGCTTGTCACGCATGATCTTCTTGCTGGACCCGGCTGGAACACGGTGTGCGCCACCACAATGCGCGCCTGGGGGGCAATAGATGCACGCACAAAGGAGAATCAGGGTCCCAAAACCAACACCGAAGAAGCAAGAAACTGCGTATGTAGTTAGCTGCCTCGACAGTAGCTTCGGAACCTTGGGTGATACGAGGTGGGAATGCGTGGGATGGTTACCGTGGTCTGGGCGTCCCTCCGAGATCCCAGCCCAGCCACTCGCTCTCGGCCAGTCCTGCGGATCCAAAGCATCGAAATGCAAGGACAATACATCATGTGGTTGAGCGGATGGGCAACAGTTGAAGATATTTTTGTGCTTCTGATATCGGCCAGATTCAGCATTCCCGGATAGAACTCTCCCCATTCCCCGACGAAGGATGAGTCGCTGTATCCTACCGTCTCGAGTACTCAGGCAGAAATATCAGTCTCCATCCCGATGCCAGCTACCGGACAAGGATACGCCTCGCGATGTGGGAGGCTGGGTGTGACGGGCCGAAAAGTATCTTTGTCCGTCTCCATTCTCCGCTGTTTGGGTTTTGCGGGTCATCATTGTATGCGTGTCTATGATGAATGATATTGTTCCTCAGAAAACACAAGGACATGGTGATGTACATGTCTCCTTTTTACCGTGGTTTCGTAGCAGTCTGCGTCTGGGATTGCGGGGTATCTCATGCAGGATTGTCCCTTTCGAGATGTCTGAACACTCAGAATCAATAAGCACCCGTCTTTCAGTCTTCAAGGAAGCGAAGCAATCCATCCACCTCATGTCTCGAAGTGATACATGCTGTTAAGATCCTCTGTTCTCTTGCGATTGTGTCTCCCATGAGTCCTATAGTAGCTCTATCAGGTCAGAGATAAAAATCACCCTCTAACAAGAACCGTGCCCAAGACATGAGCAGCATAGGTACGCACGACGTGGACTCTAAGTTCTAGATAGTACGGCTCACTTAAATTAAAGGCCACCCAGAAAGACTGTAATGCAGCTTCCCTAGAGAGGTTTCGAGTGCTTGAGCCTCGTCGTCCGACTGAGGCATGAATCGCTCCACCCTCCCTATCGCCGCAAAGGTATATTCATGAAATAACAGGGCCTCAAAACACTGTGAGTACCGTGCTTACCAAGTTATTGATGGCTGTATATATGTTCCTCTTAAGTTGCTGATGCATGTACTGCCAGTGCTGGAGGAATCCCTGCTGGCCGAAAGCATATTGATCGCTTCTTCGAGAGGTACGAGGCATAGTAACGTTTGAACTTTGGGCACTCTTCGTGCAGGGAACTCCTATAAAAGCACATAAAAAGCAACGATGCATGCAATGAATGGTCTTTGTTGCCTTAGTCATTCCCGGTCTTCGCGTCCTTTGTCCCCCAGTGTTGGAGCGAAGCTGGTCTTGGACGACTGCAAATCCGAAACAGAGAACGAATGAGATGACAATGTGTATCAGCAGTGGAACTGGAGTATCCTGGGCTTTTGACAGTTGCGATTTGTAAGGCCTCCGACGAGAATCTGGGATCTGGAAATGTTGCTTCACATCGCAGCGCCAATATTGACAGATGCGGAGAATCAGGTGTGTAGGATCTTTGATTGTGTCGCGCGAACCTCTATAGATTCGGAGCTGACTTAACAGACTTAGGATGACTATCAGAACTTTTCGTCCGACAACTCCTTTCTTTCGACAATACAAGGGCCAAGATGTATGATTCTGGTGTCGGGAATTCGTACGGTCGAGACACACTCAACACTTGGCATGAGGCAGTTCAGGATGGGCGTCATGGCGAAAGTCCAGATTGGCGGGCGCTGTGGCGCCACCTACTACCTCCAAACAATGTTGCCCTTGCTGGGAAATGAGAGATGACTGCTGAGAAATCCGACGAGCCACTCATCGCATCGTCTTCGTTCTTCGCCGAGGGAAAGTCCTTACATGCAGTTTCAGATGATCTTGAGAACGAGAGTAGCGGATTTGATCTTTCCGCCGACCGTTTCTTCCTATCCAACCCTCGTTGCGTCTTAGCTCGGTTGTCTAAGCATATGCCATGATCGATTATATTCTCTTGAAGCGCACGATCGTACGGTGGGGCACAGATTTCCCGGATTCTGCTAGTCGCAGAACTTGGACCTGCTGGCCCCCGCCATTTCAACTGAAAGACTCAATCCCATGATCCCCATCATACGCTTGGGCTCCTTGAACCCGGGTGGTTGGCTTTAGCCAGTGGCACAATTCGGCAGCAAGAGCTGAATCACTGATGCATGCCCTTCTAAGGCCAGTCAAATCAGGGTTTCCTGGTGTGCGAAAGCTTTTGGGGGACTAATTTCCAGCTAGAAAGCTTTCGGCATATAGTCTTGCGCTGGCACAGGTGCCTTTCGCCTATATATACCTACTCGGTAACAAGTTAACAACTCTCGAGCCTGTGGCTTCCTGGCCTTGGGTAGTTTGCGGTGAGCAGTAGATGATCCAGTAAGTCTCTGTTCCAGTTCAGTCAGACCTATCGGTATCAACCGGATCTTCGATAGACCGCCCCAGAAAGCTATGATTGGAAATCTTGAAGGTTCTGTGGCTATCTCACCCCGCTTGGAGGTGTGAATTTGAATCGAAATCTGGCATATGGGTATAGACAGGTTATCTATTTTTTCGAATTGAACCGTTTTACTCTCAGCCTCGAAGCCATCATTGATGTGTGGGCTTCTTTGAGTTCTTCGAAGGAAGTTTGACCAAGAGTTGGCGTCAGTCTGGCGAGTGCCAGATCTGCAGATCTAGTTGTGACGATTGGCGGGCCGCAGCGCTAAAATTAAGCGCCTATACACGCGCTAATGTGAAGATGATCTGATCAACGTGGTGCGTGGGTGGCACGGACAGCTTGGTCGTGGAATTTTCTCAAGAACTCAGGCACTACTCGAGCCCATTTTCGTGCGAGACACCGAGGGATCAGGATTACTATGGCGCTGCGTATTCGACATACTGGCAGCTCGTAAACGAGGCTCTAGGGCTTAGCGCACGGAAAGGGTTTTCTCCGCATGTTGGAGGGTTCAAAGGGATTTTCAGAGATTCAAAGGGATTCAATGGGGTCCAAGAGGAAAGGTGGAAGTTGCCAAGAGTTGGTCTATCTTGGAATGAAGTGTTTATAAACAGTGCTGCCATTACTACGACTGTGACTATTCCTCTCCATATCACCAAAGGCTCGGAGGCGCGGGCGCTGTGTTTCGGCGCGGCGTGTGCTCAAGTACCGTAGCGAGTAGAAACATCTTGTTTGCCTCGTTTACAAGGCATACACTATAATCTCCAGAATGCTTCCTGGAACATTTATCAAAATTTCAACACACCCCTGAGCGACCTCAACCGCATCTGACAGCGGCCTTGCCTTGCATGACATGATATCGACTTTCGAAGTACAACTTTACCTGGCTTCTTCTATTTCTTTCACCTGTTGGAGAACGACAAGTTCTCCCAAGTCCCCTTCATGAATACCACCGCTGCACCTCCTTCACCAGCAGATCATCAAACACATCGAATACACTCCACACAACTCCTCCAGTCGCGTGAAACCGGCGAACTAGGTCCTCCACAATCCAATTATGCTACTTCGATAGCACCAAGGCCTTCGCCCGTGGCCAAGTCATGGGCACATTTTGTAGCTGGAGGGTGAGCTCCCTTTCGAGCCTCTTAAGCGCAAGATCATTATCTAACACTCTATCTGCAGAATAGGGGGAATGGCAGCAGCAACTTTGACTGCTCCTCTCGATGTTCTCAAGACCCGCCTCCAGTCTGATTTCTACCAAGCACAGTTAGCACAAAGCCGTCTCGCGAAAGGCATCTCTCCACATGCACATCTCTCCCCTGTCCGCAGCGCCATACTGCATTTCCGCGAGACCTTCCAGATCCTAGGTTCGGTGCACAGAGTTGAAGGCTGGCGAGCCCTCTTCAAGGGGTTGGGCCCAAATCTAATCGGCGTGGTGCCGGCGCGGTCAATCAACTTCTTCGTGGTGGGAAATGGGAAGCGGCTCATTGCTGAATATGGAAACCACGGAGAGGAATCTGCTTGGGTTGTTCTGTGTGCTGCCGCTCTAGCAGGCATTGTGACATCTACAGCCACGAATCCGATCTGGTTGATCAAGACGAGGCTACAATTGGATAAGAACATTGTGGAGAAGACCGGAGGCACAGCAACGCGGAGATATAAGAACTCGTGGGATTGCATCAAACAAGTTGTGAAACAGGAGGGCTTCAGGGGCTTATACAAGGGGATGAGCGCGAGTTACTTGGGGGTCACGGAAAGTACTCTGCAGTGGGTGCTCTACGAGCAAATGAAGAAGTCCTTGGAGAGGCGCGAGCAACATATCCTGTCCAGTGGGCGGCCGAAGAATGCGTGGGACAATATTGTGGAGTGGACTGGAAATATAGTAGCTGCTGGGAGTGCAAAACTCGTTGCCGCTCTAGGGACTTATCCCCACGAGGTCAGTCGGGACATACGGGACATCTATACTTAACCACTGAGCTAACTCATCTATAGGTCGTCCGCACTCGACTTCGTCAAGCACCCACCGAAAGCGGCCATCCCAAATATACCGGCCTTGTCCAGTGTTTCAGGCTGGTCTGGAAAGAGGAAGGCATGGCCGCCTTGTACGGAGGTCTCACGCCTCACCTTTTGAGGACAGTTCCCAGCGCCGCAATCATGTTCGGAATGTATGAGGGGATCTTAAAGTTGCTACATGCGCCATCATAGAAGGGGAAATGTAAGAATAACGGCGGCCTTGTACAGTAAGGTGTCACGGAGGAAAGGGATGGGCGGTGTACAAAATTCTCATGCAACTTGACGTGTATAATGGCTCATACCCCTCTTCACCTACTTAGATAATTGTATATTAGATTAGATGTCACTGCATTGTGCGAGGAGTTTGGGGCGCCGGTCTCAACTTGCATACATGAGTTGGCTCTCAAGTCGATTCTCACTCCTATAGATAATAAAAAGCAACCACATGATAATCGTTCTCTGTCATATGCGAACCATGGTTCTGATAGTAACACGTACTGGAAGCCACTGCCCTTCCCTCTAGTGCAGAGTGCATGAAAATGAAGAGCAAACGCTTAATCGATCAGTAAACGCCTGTGAAAATCAAGTCCCTAATGCCACCCTAACATAAAGAAATCGTTCTCGTTCCACTACTCCCCTGCCATGTCCTACACCTATACGGTATAGAACCTGTGCAATAGCAGAATATGCTGATTCATGTTGATCGCCATCAGTCGACGGGTTCGAAGCTTTCGGTGTCGGCTTCACCAAGCGTTACGGTCCCAGTTAGGATCTGGCAAGGCCCTTGTTAGAATCATACTAATTGCATAACCTTCCTCGATCTGGTCCATGCGCTCCTAGTTTTATGGAACTATGTCTCCACAGACTGCCACGTATCAAAGCTCGGAATGCGGGGTGCTCAACTCACCTTGTACAAACCCAGCCAACACCTTGCTCCCTGTCTGCAAAAGCGGATGTCCGACTACGATCTGCAGGAACCTCTGTAAACCCTCTCTTCTATGCTCGATCACATCATCACTAAAGCGGTTTGTAAAGACCTTGCCGGGCAAAGGTGGGATCGTAACTCGCGCCGACTCGCGCTCCAGGATGTCGCGGAAGTACTCGAAGTCCGAATAGCGTCTGCGCACGCTGCTGTGGCGGAGTTTGAAGGCGGGGATGTTGGTGCGGCAAACGATCTCGTAGTCTGTGTACATGTTGCGGCCCACGCCATGAGTGCGGGGGTTCTTGACCTAGGAAGAGAGTCAGGAGGGGTTGGCGGAAGGAGACGCGGGACACAGAAAAAGGCCAGAGAACAAGAACGTAGAACCAGTAGCTCAGATCAGGAGGACCGGCTTACCTCGATCTCTAAGAAATTCTCGGGAGGGCCATAGATCTCCTCGAAGCTCTGCTGTCGCGAATCTGGCATCGCCTGCATGGCTGCAGCTGTGGTCGGCGCAACGCCTTGCTCGTCTGGGGAATAATCGGGGCTATCTTTGTAATCGGATCTACCTTCTCACGCGGGAGGAGGAGTTCAGCTGTCTTCTTCTCTTCAGAAAGAGGTCTTATGATTATGTGCCGTTGGAGTCGGAGTCGTTCGAAGAGGTGGAATTAGGAAGATCAGGATGGCGGCGGGGCTGGTCCGTGCCACCCATGTCTGTATATGATGGATGTTTCGTGAATCCTGCGACAGTCCTGCACGTGATGACATGCATTGCAATCCTCCGTAGCGCGACAACCGGCTCGGATATAGTTTCCGCCTGTATTATAGGAATGTGATTCTGCATCAGGCTTGTTACGCATCGTGTTATTTTACTTTGTTATTATTATGCAAGTGAGAATAGGAAGGGAATGCAGCACGCCACAGTGGGCGGGGAACACATCACATGATTCGCGAGATGGGGCTTTGGCTCTCCCAGCGTCTAAGGTGATAATGGGCATGAACTTTGAAGTTGTATAGGTACGGTCTCTCCTAAAATTGGGTAAGAGCTTGGTACTCAACTCGAATGCAATATCCGACCTATTCTTGGTAGAACAATTGTCGTTGCGTAAGGTAGTTTTGACCTCCTACCGATCCTCACATATCGACTCCTAAGTCTACTTTTCCCCTTACAAGAGATGAAAGGGGGAACCTAGATTCCAAATTATGTATTTAGAAATCCGGAGATCATTTGGGGATTCTAAGTATATCCAATGTACAGCACTCGAACCCACGCAATATGATATAATTCTGGTCAAAAAAGAGTATATATCCGTACAAACCCCCCCCCCCCGCCTTAAAAAACACAAAAAAAGGACGAGCTGCTCTCTGATCGTGATTTGAGAATTTCTGTAGGATGGCACTTATTTCCAAAGTCGGGAGAATTCTAAAATATAGGAATTGATAGTCAATATCGTAAAAGCAATGAATGAGCAATTTGAGGGAATGGTGTGAGTTGGCCATTTGAAAGATTGAGATTCTGGGTACCTTAGATAGCATTGGGCACAGAGCAACAAAAACATCGGGTAGGTAGACAGTTAATATAAACATAGGCAATTATTAGAAATACTTCTCGGTGACTTGAGATCACTTTCTGACGACAGATGCCTTGACAGATCTGATATCGTTGCCAACGGAAGAAACCTTCGAGTTCTGCACTATTCCAAATCGGCGTCGTGCGGGCCGAGCCGGCCAATATACTCCGTGCAGTGGAGTCGAGCAGAGGGGTATGCGTAGACCTGAACTCTTTCTTGTAAGGTTCTGTCTTGATCAAAAAATCGGAATGTCGAAAAAAGCAAGAGTATTCTCACATTCATTGCTCGAGGTCCCGGAGCGAGTGCCTCAGACACAAAAGGGAGCGACCCTCTGTGCAGCTCCCCGCACCTCCTACGTAGCACAAGGCTCGCTCCGCTGTTCTGCAAACACACCCAGACAAACATCTCCTTGAAAACTGTCTCTTCCTTCTGATAGCTCAGACGTCCTAGCAATAAGAAAGAATCACAATATATCTCTTTCAACTCTTTCATCTCTCTCCCGTTGAAAAGTTATATCCCGCCCGCCCTCTCTCCTCTTTCTGTGCTCATCACTAGGCCGGTCTGCCGTGCATCATGTCTCGTCTTTCAAAGCTTGTCGCCTTCGGCGGCCCCCTCGTGAGCATTTTCATCTGATCTATCTACGCAGATTGCTAATGTGGCATATTATCCAGTTATTGGTCTTGCTCACAGTCATCGCGGGGTAAGTAACCCCACCTCCGCCCCTCCACCTCTTGTCGTCATCAGTCAACTCGTCTTTGCTATCCGAGCTCTTACTGATTACTGCCCATGATCTATCTAGCTACGCCTATTCCCAGAACCGCTTCCTCTCGCTGCCGATCCCCGAAGCCCTGGGTCTGTTCACCATCGTGTTGCCCCTCATCACCGGCCTCTCGATACAAGGTGCCCACAGCGTGATACGACGTTCGTCGAAGCGCCACCCACCGCGGCTCACGCTCCCCCTTCTCGCTATCATTGGTTTCCAGTTGATATACGACACTGTCATTGCGACCCTTGCATTGACGCACATCCTCCCCCCATCGGCCCTGCAGTGCGATCTGAATACACAGTGGCAGAAACTTTACACCGGCAAGGACGAGAAGGCGATCCGAGCCGTTCAGGACAGCTTCCAGTGCTGTGGTCTTAATAGCGTCAAGGATCGGGCATGGCCGTTCGTGGAGCAGAAGCCATCGCCCTGCGCCGCCGTATTCGGGAGGGATAAAAGCTGTTTAGGGGATTGGAGGAAGGCAGAGCAGGTTGGTGCGGGGCTGTTCCTGCTCGTCGCGATCGTTGTGTTCGTCATGAAGGTACGAGGCAGCTCCCTTCTTTTGTTCTGGGGATTGCTTTCCATGGGCGGCGGGTTTAGACTAACATGAACTGAAAGGTCCTGTCGATGATTTCTCTCCTGACCGGCTCTCCTTGGAATCGGGCAACATGGACTTCTCCGTTCCATCGTACAGCGATTGGGGATGATGCGGATATACAACAGGACGACAGAGCGACTACGAGGAGGTTAATCGAGGAAGGAGATGGTGGGGAAGAGTATCACGATGAGCCTACAGGTTTGGCAATTGAAGGGCCGAATGGCGATGCGCAGAATCAGAGCCCAAGGGTTGAGCCGTCCCCGCTGATCAATACCAATAATGAATGGCGGGATGATTGAGAACGCTATGAGGTATGGATTGTGTGACGGGGCAAGCCAGGATGTTATTATCCTAGTCATAGGAAGTGATAATGGGAGTCGGAAAGGGGGCGCTATGGAGGTTTTGCTTCTATCATGCGGAGCATACTACGAACGCTCACTGCGAACAAACTGTATTTGAGGCCCGTCAAATTATTGGAATCGGCTCAGAAATTAAAGTTTTAGCTGAGGTTGTGGTGTTCCCCCTCCCCCCCTTTCCCCCTTTCCCCCCGGCCTGGAGGGTGGAGCATGTGACTGGTCCAGTGTCCACAAGGCGGGGTAGTTGGACTTGACTGCCGCTGGTTCAATAGCAATCATTCTCGACTCTGCCCAGATTCAAACCCAGCGCTGTCTTGATTTAGTTTCCTTCTTATCACCAGTTCTAAACACTTGCTATAATGGGACGACAGAAGGAGAAGAAAAGACCGGAACGGCACCTAGCCCTACGCAGAAGGAAAAGCGGAAGGAGAAGCAAAACAACCCCTCTACTACGTGCTAAGTATACATCAAACTGTCTAGAACTAGTCTTGCTGTCAAGCTGACGCTTAAGTAGTAATGACATGTCCTCGGACGAGTCTACGTCTAAGGAGAAGATAAGACCGAAACGGAGCCCGGCTGTACGTAGAAGGAGAAGCAAACCGACCCCTCTACTACGTGCCAAGTATACACCAAACTGTCTAGAATCAGTCTTGCTGCCAAGCTAACGCTTAAGTAGTAATGACATGTCCTCGGACGAGTCCATGTCTAAGGAGGAGACAAAGCTCCTAGCTGAAGCCATCGTCACGACAGCCTCCGAAATCAGCAAAACCATCGATACGGATATTGTGAATGGCTTCATCCGTGGGGACAATGCCACTATTATAGCAGCATCCATCGCGTCTATGAACAACATTGCTGCGGCAGAGCGCATGACTACGAGCGACACTGCCTCGATAGAAGAGATGTTGGCTGAGATAGCAGAGCTGGATCCTGTCAAGTTGAACGAGGATTTTGAGAAGGAGAATCCGGATAAAATTAAGGATGTCACGGTATCGGCATCATATCCGGCGGACTCCGACGACGTATCCAAAACTCCCGCTCCTTCTGCAGTCAACGCTCAGATAGAGGTACGGATATGGACGAAGAGACTTCGCAGATACGGAAAAGGGATCTCAATTGTTTGCTCAATGCTTGACCGCCAAAGCACTCAATACCGACACTGGGCAATTGAATACAGAGGAGTGTTCCTTGATCTGCACAAAGATCCTCGCGACGGGTCTATTTCTCTCCGAGTTGTTGACGACGACATGAAGAAGGAATTCGATAAAGCCAAAACAATTGCCCGTTCCGAAAAAGATACTGTAGCATTAAGGAAAGCAGGTTAGTGATCACGGCTCAACCATTTTTGCATCTCGGTGGGACTAATCCCTCGAAGCTAGCAGAGTTATGAGATCCATGCAAAAGAAGAAATATGATTTTCTTTCAAACAATTGCCAGCATTTTGCTGAGGGAACTGCTGCCTGTTTCCTGTTTGGTGATAAAGATTCGAAGGACGCCCAGAAGTTCAAGGTCTCGATGAGAAATTTCAGGGACAGGGCAACCCGGGAAATTCGATCCTCAAAGAGAGGCAAAGCAGGCGGTTCTACAAGTTGAAGTACAAGGTAGGGAGACGGACTAATTGGGCGACCTAATCTAAGACTACCTTAACTCAACTTCATGCTTCTCCGAGATGGCAGCTGCACTTCAGTGTACGCCAACCACAGGTCATCGCGCGAGGGACATTTTCATGCCTATGCTATGATCAGACTGCTATGTTGGAAACCACATCCACACTCCTGAATCTGTCCTCCGCGCCTCCGCCGAGACACTTTGAATTCCCTGCCGAAGCAGTTGGAACTTCCTGTTGCTCACTACCTGGTATAACTTGCTCCCCCGGGAGTTTATATACCCCCTGGATCATGCTCAGTAGCATGCAGAACAGCCCAAAGATTCCTGCGAGGCCAGAAACAATCGCAATCTGCACACTAACTGGTTAAAACCTAGTATCGCTCTCCTAGGGCTACTCGAACACGAACCTTCGCCTCTCGACCAAATGTCGGCTCTTCTACGACCCGCGCCCAGACGATTATCAAGATAGAAATGATCAAGAGGAGAATGCTGATGTTAAGAAGTATCAGCGGCACCGACCAGACGATACCTTGTAATGAATGGCTGCGGAGGAATTGACGCATGCGTTCCCTGCCATTGTCATTCTTGCCATATCGTAAAACCGCAATGTGCTGCTGGCACCCCGTGTAGACTGAGACGAGGGAAAGTATCAATGATGAATAGACTGTTGCAGTGACGGTCCATGGCCAAGTTGGGGCCGTATCCCAGGAGAGCGCTGCGCTCGCGACAGCGGCTATGATGGCGCCCTATATTGCATCAGCAATACGATCCCCAAACGAACGCATGCATCTTGAGTTAATTTTCACATGCCGTAACAATTACCACGTTAGTCTCTTCTAACTTTTCGTCAACCCAAGTTGTCGCGCCCTGGACGGAAGCCTGGGCATTTTTGAGTGGCCTTTGCCCGAGATGCCAAGGGGCAGTTAAGGGCATCTTAAGTATGATGAATTCAGATGGCAGGCGAATGGAGGGTAGACGGAGGGACCTCACTACGTTTTGATATGGCATCGTATGTTCGAGGCTCTCCTGGCAGAGAGGCCTCTGCGAGGGCTTCACTAGCACGGTCGCCCATAACTTACTGCGGTGATGGAGATGGGGCTCTGAAGCATTCTATAGCTGCTGGGATAAAAATGGATAAATCTTGAAGATCTTTTTACTCAGCTCTAGGTAGAAGTTTGTCAAGCGGTCATCCATGGACCCTGCTTGATTTCGACGTTTCTATGTGCTCTACTGTAATGTTTCTGCCGCGATCATGGTATCTTGTTTTCAACCGTGTCTTCTCAATTACCTAGGTAGATAGGTAGCTGTGGTACCCTTACAGTAAAATGCGAATTGGGTTACGCCTCACGCTCAAGTATACAAGTACTGTACCTATTTTTCGCCTTTATATCTTTGTATTTTACATGTTCACAGCCGACGGGAGAGATCTAGGTCCATCTCAGTAATCTATCTTACTACTCGGCAAACGCAAACGGCAGCGGGCCGCAGATCGGGGGTAGACTCCGAGAGTTGCATGTGGGGTGGGTGCTATAAGCCTATAAGCCTATCGTGCATAGCGCTGCGCAGTCGTTGATTTGCCGAACTTCTTCCATCGTGCAACACGACCACAACTCCTATTGGGTAACTGCGCCATCCCGTTTCTCTCCCTGCGACACTTTGTACTCGGTGTCGCCATGCGTCCAATCGTTAGCCATCGGCCACCCGAACAACCCCTCTTTCGTGCGGCTCCCGTCTGCAGTGCCAGCAATCACGATGTGTTTGACAGAGTGAGTGAGGTGGGCCGCCCCAGAATCTGCGCTCGAGGGGGAAATAGATGATAAAGGGCGAAGTCTTCGCGAATCGCGCGTGGGCGATCGTAAAAAGAATGATCGAAAGAAAGGAAGAAAGAAAGAAAGAAAGACTTCCGTAAACAGGACGGACGCCTCTCTCTTGATTAGGCCTCGCCATCGTCAAATCGTCAATCAATGGTGTCATAGGAGACAGGATGGTCAAGAATTCGGTCAAGCAGGGCAGGGTCGAGTCGGTACGGAAGAGGAGGGAATCGAAACTCATTGCCCGGCATAGCAGCCCACGATATGGCCATTCCAAGATTCGTACTTCCCCGCCGCCGCCGACCTCTCCAATCGATATTCCATCTGCAGCACGGCTTCAGGTTCAGATCCAACAGCAACAGCTGCCGTTAGGACCACCGCCCATTTTGGATATGAATATGGATCCGGAGTTCTTGCAGTTCCTCGAGTGCAATCTTCCAGACTTCGCGCTTCCTGCTGATCAGGGTCCGGGAGCAGAGAGATCATGCAGTTCATCGTCTATAATCCCGCAGCATACGTTAACAACGAGTCCTCCCAACTCTCCCAACTCTCCTGAGTCTTTGGGGTCTTGGGGGTCTTTATTCAATAGAACCTTTCCATACGACGGACTATCATCGCAGGTCCTCGACAATGGGTGCCAGTCTGCGATCACCAACACGACCAGCTTCACTCCAGATACAGGCGCTATGTCCATGTCAAGTGGCCTGTTTGGGAGTGAGGTAAGCTTTAATCTCATGGCATTCCCCATGCCACCCAGAGCTACTTTCTCAAACTCCAATGGCTATATATACTCTGGAACAGATTCGGCATTCGGGTCACTGAATGGCTCGAATAACTCGAATCAATTCCAAGGCAATCCAATGCCAGGTGCGTACACTAGCCAATTCAGCGATCGTTTATGCCTCACAGTTTTCCACGTGTAGGCCAATTTGGTCAAGTATCATTGTGGAGAGCTAAATAGTATCACCGTCAATTTATTTATATTGCTTGAAGTTGCTCTTCTTCGCTCCCGTTGTTAACTTTGGCTCCCCTTATAGAGTTTGATCTGGGCCTCACAGAGTTTGATTCCCAAACAGGACAAGATTCTGATCCTTCACGCTCCCCTTCGTGGCAGTCAGGCTCTCCCCAGTGTTCCGACCTTTTCCATTTTGAAAGTGATTTCATGCAACCAGAAAGCTATGCTGGGGACACATATCCAATAGAGAACACTCAGTTGTCCTTATCAGTCCCGAGACACTCGCAGCCAATGCAGGACACTTATCCAAGTAATCCGGATACGATATCACCCGGTCCCTGGAACTCAGAGCGTGCATTAAACAACCAGGGGATGGGTTTTGACTATACCGCCTTGGGCCCAACTGGCGGGATTTCATACAATGCTCTCGGATTACCAGAAAATAACCTAGACCTCGGCCAGGAAGTTCCTGGAGCCCGAGTTCCTGGAGCCTTTGAACCTGTACCAGCCAGTCAAGATACGGAGGGAGAGGATAAAGACTGGCAAAGTGTCCCATCAAACGCTAGTAGCCCCTGGGCATCGCAGAATTCCTCTCAATCGGGAAGTCCCGCATGGTGCAAGATCAAGCCCTTTCCTCCAAGCTCCTCACCAAAAGGATCCTATGATGGGACCAACTCACATGCCTCTAGTGCTTCTACCGCATTGTCGAATCCGAAACGACGTGGTGCCCGCAATCGCACGTTAACTCCTCAGGAAAAGCAAGAGGCTATGGATGTAAGGAAAGCGAAGGCATGCTGGGCATGCCATCTATCTAAGATAAAGGTGCCGCTTATCCAAATTGCAGAGTCTGCGGATGAATTGCTAACTGGCGCAGTGTTCCCCATGTTCCTCCGGTTCTCCTTGCCAGCAGTGCGACAGGTTGAGTGGCAAGAGAAGATTTTGCCTTCTGCCTTGCTTCAACGACCCACTCGAATCGCTCCAGACATTCCTGGCACCCGGTATGAAATGATTCGACTCTGTTTGAATTAGAAATGGCTAATAGTGGTAGAATATCTCCTGGGCCATTTGAAAGAGGCCAAAGGGGCAGAGTTCCTAAGCAAGAACGCAACGGGCTGGGGGACACAGCAGATACATGTGCGAATGACCTGGGGGTACTGGAGACCTCTGGAAGCTACGGTGGTAACTCTTGCTGTGCCCAGCAACTCTCGGCTTGGATATCATCACCAAACGCAGGCAAGTGGAACCCGTCAACCGACGCTGGTGCGGAAGAAGAGCCCGCCCCTGGGAATCCCGCCCGCATCTATGGGAGGGATGCCGGAGGAATACCGCCGCATTGTCAATGAAATCGTGACAACTGATCTGGATATGTATGTCCCGATCGTATACGACGATCAAGACTCAAAGCTTCCCGAGCGTCTCCTCAAAGCCATCTGCTCCTTTTACAGCGCCGGGCTGGCAGCCGGTCAGGAGGTGATTTGAAGACCCCGTGCTCCCAATGTGCCACAGATGCTAATACATCCAGTGTGAAACTCTGCGCGAAGCCCTCGAAGTACACGTCACCTGCACGATGCTCGAGCGAAGCCTTATCCTCGACGAGAAATCCATGTGGCAAGTGGAAGAACTTCTCGGGGAGCAATACCCACCTCGATCAGCCGCGAATTGCGTGCAGAGACAGATCAAATATGCATTGTTTGCATCCCAGCAGCAGCGGATATTCGACGTGCTCCGTAATTGGGGAAATATGGGGTGGGTCAGCAACCCGAGGGTGAGCATTGAGGAGAAGTGGGCAACGAGCTTTAGTGTGCTGCTCACCTTGATCCTCATCATGGACAAGACGCTGGAAACGGCGTATTACTTCTGTGAGGGAAGGATCAAACACCATGGGTACGAAGCGACGGCCGAGAGACGTCAATTCCACGAGCTTGTGCGGTTGATGCAGACCGAGCTATTGGACAAACTGAAGGAGATATTCCACTCGAGCTTCAAAACGAGGAAGGGCGGAAGGGAGGCGTGCAATCCCATTCGAGATGGAGCCGGGACCGCGTTTCAGAGGAGGTCGGTCGATGACGCGAGCACGGTCGATGAGAGCATTCTGCGACTGGTCGAGGATCTGCAGACGGTGGTTGAAGACTTTGGTAAGCAGGAACGGGTGAGGCTGCGATCTTGCGCTAACTTTGATATTCCGATAGGCGCGGAGGTGAGGCAACACAGGCGGGCTAGCCCTGCAGGGGGGTGCTATTCCCCATACACGAATGCTGGGCGCTTGGCCGCGATCTTCCTGGCGGATTTCCTGGCCTACAAGTCGTGAGCCGGATCGGGCATCCGAGGGAGTTCCGCTGGCATCTGGTAAAAGACGTCGGCTGCTGGCAGAGACAGAGGAGTCATGATGACGGCGGTGGTGTCGGAGCCAGAAGTGAAGGACTGCGCCCCGATGTGGACCAGGGCGGATGGTTTCAAGGAAAAGGGGAAGGGGATGGGAAAAGAAAAGAAAGAAGTGAAGGTGATGAAGTGTAAGGTCATGAGGTGAGGCAGCCAGGTATGATCCGTTACGGCAGTCAGGACAGCTGGCAGCATCGTCTCGGTGAGAGGAGGCACGTGCCGGACGTGTGCGTGCGATGTGTTCGCTGTCGACGGGCGTTGAGCGTTTGAGCGTTGGGCGTTTAGCTGAAGGCGGAAGGCGGTGGACTCGCCCGGTGTGGCGGTGTGGCGGTGCAGACATCCCCGGTTCCTGAGTTTCACCGTTCCAGGTTGCAGTCCCAGGCTGCAAGGCATCCACGGCCACGACCATCCAGCGTCCAGCGTCCAGCGGCCCCGTGCTGCGGCCTGCCGTGGTCATCGCACCGGCGCTGACAATCGCAATATCAGCCGTTTGTCGAGACCGCGATCGAATATGAACGACACTCCTCGAATAACCACCCTCGACCGGGATGAGGGTCCGCCACTCCAGAGTCCAGACAAACGCACCAACGGGGAACGATTGGCTCTCGACCCCTGTAGCAGCCTCAGCCTTATTTCATGGAGGGTGGGTCCTCTCGCTGACCGGTTCGGGGAAGGTTCGAAAGCTTCCAGAAGGCCAACGGCGAGACGTGACTGGACAATGCCGAGGGACGACGTTGAAACGGGGCGACATTCAGCCAGTCACGCTTCTCGCCCGGCAAACGAGCGACGGGGGCAACCGGGGGAAGGAGTTATGTCCGGTGACGTCCGGATGGCCCAGGGCGGAGGATTGGGACTGAGCGACTGGCGTTTTGTGCTCTCCGTGTCACTTTCACTTTCCTCGACCTGCCCGGTCTTTTCTTCCGTACGGGGGGGACTGGGGTTCTGTGGATCTACGGATATCTCCCCCGGGGGGTGTCATTATCGACCCCTCGGGCTGTGTCTTCCATTGTTTGCCTTGCCTTTGCCTTAGTTGTTTATGATATTGCCTAGCTATAATAATACTTGCTGTCTGTATCTGGTCTATTTAAGAACGTCTCTCTCTCCCCTCGTTGCACTTGTCCATCACCTTCATCTGTATTCATCTGAACACTGAACATCCATCCAAAGCCACTCTGCCATCACCAAGATCACATACCTCGCCTTCCTCTCCAACAATGTACTCACGTACTTCCCTCGCCGCAGCCATGGCCTCTCCAGCGTCCTCGCCCCTCCTCGCAAGGGAGCAGGGCCCCCGAGACACAAGTATGTTGGCCCCCCCCTCATGGCCCTCCCTCCTCATTCCCCCAGAAACATTCATTCAAACGCCCCAGCTTGTTCCATGCTAACCTGCGTGCCTCAGTCTTCGGCAGCAACATCAACCCCAAGGACGACCCAGCCGAGCGGGATACCGGTATGGAGCGCCCTCCCGAATAGCCCCCATCCCCCCCCCAAGTATCTTTGGCTGACCTTCTGCGCAGGAGTTGGGGGCGACTGAGCCTCTTCATCTCTACACACCCCTCCCAGGCACCCATGGAGTGAGTCATGCTCTCTTCCTTTCTCACTTCATTATTCCATCCCATTCCATTTCATTCATTTCTCTGTCTCTGGTTTCGTGCCGGGGATGCCCTTGAAATGGCGGATGCTGCAGCCCGAGACACAGACCAGTCTTCGCCGTGTGTGTGGCTGAGACGTGTCTGCCCAAGGACTCCCAGGCTTCCGTTGTTCATCTCTTTTTTCCCTCTTTGCGTTTGGCCCCCTCGTTCGACGGTTGCAGCTGCGAGGTGCCTGGTCTACTGTGCGTCATTGCTACGCCGATCGACAGGGGTTCCTCGCTGCCCACTCGCTCCAGCCACAGCCCCCTGAGGCTGGTGTCCCTTGGGTTCCCTTTCGCCTTGGGCTGTTTTCCTTCAATCCACCAATCCACACACACATTGCTGACCTCAGTCTCGTCGTCGCCTAGATACTCTATGTCGTGTTCTGGTCTTGTCATGAATATTGCCCGAGATCATGTACGACGGCGATCGACGAATCCTCTCCTCCTCTCCTCACGCCCTCGTCCTTGTTCCGACCGATGCTCAGGACTGCTGCTGTTCCCCTGCTGCGCTGTCTCCGTTTGTCCTGCACTTGCTGCGCATCGCCTGCTTGCTAGGTAGTCGTCATATCATCCCTTGTCACTGTCGTTGCTCGAACTGCGTCGAAACCACGAACCAACGCCCTACGCTGTGTTTGCTTCCCCATCCCATCGGCTATCAACTCTCCGATCGCCAAACCGCCGCAACCCTCCTCGAGCAAGGAATCCGCGGGAAGCAGCATAGGCGGAGAATCAAGGATTTCTTTCCTCGAGAGGACCTTTCAAATCTACTTTTCTTTAGACTGATATTCCTACGCTGGAAGATATATATATGTATTTATTTATTTTCTTGTTCAGATTGTTGTATTTGCCTGTTTTATTTTCCATCCTTCTGTAACCCCATCAGAAATTCGACGCAAGTCAGGAATCGCAATTTAGGTCTCTTCTCTTCTCTTACTTTCTTCACTGTCGTACCAATTGCATGTACCCATATAACTCTTCAATCAATCCCTGCTTTTACCCTCCTCCTTGCATCCAACTAGGCAGTATCCGAGTATTTGCGAATGATACGAGCTGATCCCCCTCCCCCCCTCCTCTTTTTCAACGCCACCAACTCCGCATAGCCTTACCTTATCGCACTCTAACATGCCATATGCCCACATGATCGCGACGGTGTTACAGAAATTCCAAAATCGCCCTCGGTGTGCAAGGGGAGAGGCCAGTGCAATGTGCGCCACAGAAAATGTTTTCCTGGTACTGTATTACAGCCTCTTCCCCATTATAAAGAACCGGGCGTCAAAAAACCACGCACGAAGGGCGGTCAGTGGGTTGGGAAGGACGAACTAGTGGATTTATGTGAGATGTGAGAGTAGGAGAGGCGATCGATCGATGGTGAGTTGTCATGTTTGAGCGTGCTTAGATGTGGGTGTGATGAGATGGATGGAGGGGATGGATTGGGTTTGGGTTTGGGATCAGGGAAGGGGAAGCGGGGAGGAGAGCCCAAGGGGAGAAAGCTCCGGGGGGTGAGGAACGGTAACCTGCATCATTTTAACACTATCAGAGTGTGATATGTGAGAGGGGTTGATCCGACCGTTGGGTTCGGTTCGATCGTTGGGTTTTTTTTTTGATCGAGAATGAGTTGTGATATTCATGGGTAGCTTAGCTTTTTGGGGGGGAGGGGGGTGGGGGAAAGAGGGGGGACGGTATTGTGCAGCTAGCTAGGTATTCATTTACAGAACAATACTGGGATCAAAACAATAACAATACCGAGTGTGATAGGTACGCAACAGGTCATTTCAATATCGGCTTTGATCGGTGACGAGGATCATCGTTGGAGAGTTGAGTTGTGATATTCAAACATGACTTATAGATCGAATAGCTAGATTGGCAGTTATTTTGAGATGGAGAAAGGGGGGAGGGGGAGGGGAGGCGGTATCGCGCATGTAAGGTCAAGGTAAAGCAGGTAAGGTAAGGTACCTATCTATCTATCACATAACCTTACTCACCTACCTTACCTACCTTACCTACCAAAGATTCACATTCAAATTCAACATCCAAGAGAGCCGGAATCTCTCAGAAGCAGCCGCGCTGCAAAAACCCGTCTGCAATGCACATGGCTCGATTCTGAAAAGTAGATCGGAAAAGAGACAAAAGGGCTCTGAAGGCAAGGCAAGGCGGTTTGTTTTGGTGAAACATGCTGCTTGCTGCTTACTGCTTGCTGCTTATTGTCGCTGGTGGTAATACAAGAAAGTTACAAGGGATGGCTGGCATATCATAATCCATCATCTATCAATCCATCCATCCATCCATACATCGCCGCGCCGCAACGCCCTCCGTCCCCCATGCTCCATGGCAAACGGAAAAGAAAAAGGAAATGCAAGGATTAATTTTACTTTTTCTCCGCAGCGAACTTCTGGTGGATGGCCCGGATCTGCTCCTCCACATTAACGTTCTGCATCATCTCTAGCCGGGCCCGATCGCCCTTCTCCAGCGGCGCCCCGTCGTACCCCGTCGCCGCCTTCTTCCGGCGCGCCGCCTCCTCCTCCGAGATGGGCTGCCCCGTCACCGTGTCGAAGAGATCGCTGCGCTGGCTCGCCAGCCGCTTCAGGTTGTTTGCCACGTCCGCCGTCGAGAGGTTCGTCGATGCGTACCGGCTCTCGGCCTTGGCCTTCTGCTCCTTCCACCGAGGATCGAGCAGCTCGACTGTGAGGGTTTGGAGGTTAGCCGCATACTCCATATCATTCGGGCCACTGGGGCGGGGGCACATGGGCACTTACTTCGCATATGCTCGTCGAGCTCGTTGGCCGGCATCTGCTGCTTGCAGTTCGGACATATCACTATGTTGGCTTTGGCGGCCGCTCTGGCAGCGGCTCTCGGCACATAGTTCTCCTTGATCTTCATCGGAGCGGCGACGCCCTTTGCTTCGGCCTGTGCTTGCTGAGCACGTTGTCTCGCTTCGTTCCTCTCTCTGATCCGTTGCTCCTCCTCGTTCTCTTCCTCCGTGTTCTTCACGCGCGTATCTTGATACTGCGGTTGGTACACTGGCTGTGGGGAGGGTGACGGGGCCGGCTGCTGCGCTGGTTGAGGATATGAGTTGTAGTAATCGGTATCTTCTGGCATAGCTTCTTCGATCCGCATGTTGTGTGAGTTGATAGACATCATCGCCTTCTGATCCAACGACGCGAATTGGAGGTCCGATTTCGACGTTGGCGGAGGTAGATTCACCTGCTCATCAGCCTCCGTAAAGAGGACCGTCTCTACAACCACAAAGTCGTGCCAGTCAATCTGAGCATACGATAAGCGCTCCTTCTCAGCATCCTCCTCTTTCTTTTGCTTCTGCGCATCTTGGAACTTGAACCATTCGGCCCTCTGCTTCGCTCTACCAAGAACGTGAAACTTATCATCAACATTGGCCTGTAGCTCTTTGATCCTCTCTTGCTGGAGCTTTCCACCCTCCCCATCCATACCACCGGCGCGTAACAGTGTGGTGTATTGGTCGATGAGCCGCTGAAAGAAATTATGTAAACTGTGGTTCGGGCGTAGAAAGTCGAACTGGTAATTCCCCGTCTCCCTCTGCGACAAGGCTGTCATGAACTGCCTGCCATTCTTCGCCACGAACAATGCCGTCAGGCGCACGACTTCTAGATCTTGAGCGCTGATGTTTGGCATTCGTGCGGAGAAGTGAAACTCGGGGGGCTCAGGCGGGCCTTGAGGCTTCTCAGCCTCTGCTGGTGTCTCGCCAGCTCTGCCAGCTGCAATCGCGGTGCCTCGCCCTTCCTTGATCTCGTTGAGTCGCCATAGGTAGTACGCGTTATATGCGTCGTTTGGGCTAAGGAAAGAGAATTTCGGGTTGTGCTTTTCCTTCTCTCGAATCCGGTCTACGCTTGTCAGTGGAAAATCCGTGGGAGAGTCACGGCGCAAAAGGAATACAGACCTTCAAACACCAGCCCGTTCCGAGCGACGTAGCCTGCTGTCTTTTCCAGAATAGCTGCGATCGATGTTAGCTGACAAGGCAATGTAGGCGGATGGCGACGAACCTTTGATCTCCTTGGGAGGCAGGACGACACCAGGTGGTGGCTTGATCTCCTCAAGCGCCGCTATGGAATCGCCATTCATAGCTGACGGGGCCATGTTCGTCGATGCTGCCAGGCCTTTGATCAAGTCGTTGTTGAAGTCTGGCGGGGGCGCAACTGGATGTACCTACTAGGTGATATCCTCACAATACAGAACGCGCTAGTAATTTTGTAGCCTCGTCCAACGCCGCTCATGAATACCTAAGGTACCCACCCACCTTACCTAGGTAGTTGAGGTGGTCCTCGAATTTCCACGAGGTATTCGATGTTTGACTACCTTAGGTAGGCTCAAGATCATACAATGTTGTTCTATATTATTTATTTATTATTCCCTTCTCGCAGCAGCATCGATGTGACGTTCATATCTAATAACCTCCCCTATTCTCATTTCTACATAGGTACCTTATCATAGGCGACACTTCAAGAAAGCTTCTTTGTGATAGCCGGCCTAAAGTTGATCAGGAAGAGCTTGGAAAAGCGACGTTTCCTTGAGGCTTGGTTCTCTAAATTAGGTACGTATAATCTATGTCCTCATCCGCACGAGTAAGCCTTGCGCCGAAATTCGCAGCGAGATAATTATGTCTGGTAGTGTCAGACTCTGTATTCTCCACGCCATCAACACCCCAACCGTACCATCCATGCCCTGTACATATCAGTCGTATCATAAAAGGGAAGACGGAAAAAAGCAGAACTCCGTCTTTTGCAAAAAACTCCTTCCTCCAGCCCACCTTAAATGCAACAGTTCCGCCCGAAATTCATTCAAATGTCCCCGGAATAGTAATAGAAAGGCTCTTCACCCCATCCCTCTCTCCCTCCCCGGGTGGAACGACCTTCAATGAGGACGTGGATTGAGTAGACGTTCTATCTGCATTATGCCTCTCTGCACTCGCCTCGCCCGCCCTTTCATCTTTTGCCTCAGCGAGGACTGCAGCATCCTCTTGTGCAGCCTGCAATAGGCCCTCGGCTGTGCCATCTCTGGTCGAGACTTTGTGGGTCTCTCTTAAGGTCTTTGCAGTCGGAGTAGCAGGCGATTCCAACACGGGAGTGACGTCCCTTGGCTTGATCTCTCCTGTCTTCTCGAACTCCTCGCTGAGCTTCTCCTCCTGCTCTCTTCGCTCGTTCTGACCCACACGGGGACTCCGCGAGGGATCTGTATGGCTCTGAGATAATACAGGTACTACCCCACCGCCAACCCTACTCCAAAACATCTGCTCCCTTAGTCTAACGCTCTCTTCCCAAGCCGCCCTCTCAGCCTCCTGGTCCTCTGCTCTCCAGTGTCCATCCTTTAACACTCGTAGAAATCCGAGGAAATCACACGTCGAACGCACTCGGCCAAGGCAGTACTTGCATAAAGGATATCTTTGTGCATTGTCATTCTCGCTAGTTCTGAACCGATGGCTCCTTACATGAGCCGGGCCCTTGCGCGATTCTCCGCAAAGAGAGCAAGCAAAGAGATACGACTTTGTGGAGGCGGGTATTGGTTCCACAATAAGCGTGCCTTCGCATACCGCATTGAGCACATTTCTTCGAGCCAGCCACGAGAGGCCGGGCGCAGCATCGAGTCGTAAGGTCGGCTCAATATCTTCAGCTAATGCTCTCTTGTAGAATTTTGTTTCTTTAAGAGGAGTGAGGGAGTTCGGCCCATTTGCCGAACCAGTACTGACAGATGATACTGGTGTCGTAGGGGTTGCAGGTGAGGATGCAACAGCGCCCGCTGTCGATAGTGAGGAGGTGGATCCATTGGCAGGGAGTTGCTGCGTTGTTGTCCCTGAGCTATAGCCACCAAGGCCTAATCCAAGCCCAATCGACCCATATGAGCCGCTAGATGCTCTGCTGCCGGCAACATTTTTTGACATCCTCAGCAGAGAAGTGAAATCATCGTATGCCGATAAATCAGTTCGCAGAACCATGTGTAGGAGATGGGTAAAGCTAGTCGGGTAGGTTGGTGTTGCTGGTTCTGGAATAGATATCGCGTGAACTACGTCTCCATCTTGAATACTTTCGTCCCTTGCATCGAACTTGCTGAGCCCTGGAGTAGAAGGCGCTGTTGGATTGGTTTGATCGTCGCGTACTTCGCTCATTTGCTCCATGACTCGTTTCAATTCTGCGAGCTGTTCTTGATGTGATTTCAGCAAACTCTCCATATCGGCAAGTTGTGCTTTCAGTTGCTCATTCTTTCGTTGGACAATGTCATGTTCCTTCTGCGCTTCTTCTCGAGCCGTGATGACCATCTACCAAATCAGTAATTGGCCAGTGGGGGCTGTTTAGATATCTACCTTATTTGCTTCCTCGAACAAAGCTGTGGTCAGATTCTCAAGCTCTTGCTCAATATTCTTCTTTTCCTTTTCGATTTCTCCTCTTTGTCTCCTCTCGTCTGCAAGACTTGAAACAAGTTCGCTCTTTTCCGCATCAGCAATTGACTTTTTGACCAGAATTCCTCGAGCTAGTAAGTCGGCATGCTCCTGATTCTCTTGTTCAAGTTGTCTGATGCGTTCCCGCGAAGCCTCCAGTTCGTGACGCGTCGCCGAGAGGGTGTCGTCTAGGCTTGTTTGGTGGTTGATTGCATTTATGAGTTTATTGCTAAGGGTAGCCACTTCGTTGCTCAGATCGGGATGTTGTGAAGGGCTAGATGGAGCATGATCACTAGCAGGGGAGAGTGCTCGGCTTCGCGGGTCAGGCAATGTGCTCATGGTCTCATCTTCATCGTTGAAAGGAGCTCGATTCCTTGGGGATGGGACCCGATGCGCGTTCGAAATTGTAGCCATTGTATGTAGGGCAGTGAAGGATGATATCGATTTCGAAACCGGTTTCGGGGAATTTTGTGTAGATTTGTTAGTAGAATGAGCGAAGGAGTGTAGATGTTGTAAGGGCTGTTGGGAGGTTGGATGGTTCTGCTGACTCCAACCGGCGACATGGATAAAGCTGGGGTCCGAAGGGTTAGCAGCTGTCAAGTATCATTCTGAGAACAAAACGGAGATTGTACTCTGCCATAGTCGAAGTTTCCCAGTCCCGGCCTGCGAGAGCAAAACGAGGGGGAGATCAAAGAAGGCGGCGCCGAAGCAAAAATGACGCGGTTGTAAAGATGGTTATTAATACGGGATGTCAAATGCAGAGGCACAACATTGGTATCAGGACGAGATATGGTGGCTAACTCGTCAAGGTGCAAGTGACAGCGCACAAGAGGATGTTGAAGCTTTTGAGGGAGTATAGTCTGCTATACGGAGTAGGACGATACTAGGTACCTATGCTGTGGTACCTAAGGTATTGTCCTGTCGCCAGGCAGATTGGCGAAAGGATCGATCCCGACGCGAAGCGATTTCTCTGCCAATCGTTAAGGACATCTACGGAGTACACAGGACCTATGATGTACCTGACAGGTACCCGGGGGAACAGAGAGTGTACGGAGTAAGTATTGTGCAGTAATGACTATCCCTGGGGAAGGGAATAGATTCAATAGAGGTCATCTACTTGTGTAGGTGTCTACCTACTTAGGCGCCTTAGGTACCTACCTAGGTACGGAGGTAAGAGGTTTATCTAAGCTACCTACCTTACCTATCTATACCTCACTTACGTGCTGTACCTAGATCCAGTACCTTACCTTAGGTATTCTAAGTGTTACCTGATCTTGTTACAGAAAGGGCTCAAGATGATCATTCTACCCTTCTAGTCCAATTATGTATATACCTTGTACGATGCAACTTACAGACCTCAGGTAGGGATGTGCTCAGAAAGTATGAAGTCGGGACAGTGGTGAACAAGTCCATGGTGTGTTAGGAGATATAAAGAAGACAATATAATCGTATGGACACTATTCAACCTAACAGGCAAGGCAAGGTACCTAAGGTACCTACCTGATGTTTGTTCCATACAATGACCAAATAACGCATATGTCTATCTAGATAGCTAGGGACCTAACGAACACACGTAACTGTAAATTCTAGGCTCATATCTGACCTTTTTGTACGCTTAAAGAACCTCGTTTGTTACGACTAGATCACCAGTTTGCTGGGCACCATACCTCCGGCCAAGTATTGCCAGACATATATAATCGACGGCTCGTTTGATGCGGTCTCCTGCTGCTATAAAGGGCGGAGGGAGGCCAACAAACGAGCCGACAACTATTGCTTCGCGCGCAAAGCTCTTTATCATACATCAATCCGATTCAGTGAATCAGAGCCCACAATTTGGCACTCCACATGATCATCTGATATCAACTCGTGTCCCCCAAGCTGTACCTTGGGTGAGCAGCAGATCGATCTGAATTTAAAAATACTTAGGTTGAAGGCAGTACAGAGTTGGTACCTACTAGGTAGGGAATCAAATGTCCTTGAGCCATCTATCAGGGTGTAAGCTATTATTTTACCCTAATTTTATCAATCACACACTCGTGAGACTGAATAGAGCGTATCTTCTATAAGGCTACAGTGGCGACTCTGGTAGCTATCGAGGCTATTCCGAAGTAGATTTCCGAAGAGCAGCCCCTGCGCAAGAACACCCAAGGATACAACGATATACTTTCATCAAATCACCGATATGAAATCCATTGACGAGTTTAGCTCTCATTCCTAGAGTTATTGCACAAAAATGTATGTGTCATGCAACGCTGAACTCTGAGATCCACCGTGACCATCCTAACCACAAAGCAAACGAAGCAAATTCCACGCGCCCTGAAAGCCTAGATAGTGGTCTCGTATGCGATAGGTACAACAGTTTCTGGCACGTTGTCCTTCATCGAAATTGTCCTCGCCTCCCGTGGCATCAATGGTTGTCTCTTCAAGTGAACATGTGTGCCTTCGGCCTTTGACTTCTTCTTCAGCTCGGCGTTGGTCTTAACTCGGCGAACAAACTCTTCTCTTGATCTTGACAGCGAAACATGCTCGATTCGGAGGTTGACGCGCTTCTCGATGTACCGGTGCTTGACCTTCTTGTATACGATAACACCAACTGCGCTCTTTGTAACATTGTAGACGACTCCAGTTTTGCCATGGTAGACCTTGTGTGGCATACTGTAAATAGAATCAGTATTTGTCTTCTTACATCCATTTGTCCCAATGCCTTGAGACGCTTTGTTCAAGGTCAAGGATAAACATACCCCTTCTGAACAGCACCATTTGCCTTGATATCAACGATGTCTCCGACTCTGTTGATTGTTAGAAACCGCCCCCCTCCTCGAAGCCAACTCCGGACCAACTCACTTGTATTGGCGCAAGTACGTCGACAACTTGATCATTCCCTTCTCCTTAAAACCCCTGCATTGGATTAGAATACTTCAAAACTGCCATGGGGCGGCGACCTACCTGCTAAATGCATAGCGCGTTCCCGCACGAAGACCTGCTGGGTGACCCATCTTGACGGTGTGCGATGGAGGTTGAGGGGGGTTATCGCTGTTGTTGTCGAAATGTCGTCGTTGAGCCTCTTTTCCAAAATCCTAAAATCTCGTTTACTAGACGGGGGTTTGAAATCGAGGGCAAAAACCTATCCTACTGTGCACGTGATGTAACGCTAGTGACTAGCCGGAGATCTTCCTCTAAACTCAGATCTCAAGCGAATATCTCCAAAAATTTACAGCACGACAGCACGACAACCTCTCCGCCAGCAACGATTCGACAACCTTTCGAATCGCAATCGCAATCATGGCGCCCAGATCCTACTCCAAGACTGTGAGTCAATTCCATCCCCCGTCTCCAGAACATTGAAATACACTCCCCCGTCTTATACCGTATCGACGTATCAATCACAGTGCCGAAATTCATTGCACCTAAAATCCTGATACAGTTATGCTGACTTGAGACCTTCTAGTACAAAGTTCCTCGCAGACGTTCGTATACCCAATCCCCAGTTTCTCATCAATCAGTTCCCCAAGAGTTCTTGGGCTGTCTGGACCCTTCAAACTGTTCACTTTTGCTAACTTTTCTATAGCCTTCGAGAGTGCCCGTCTGTAAGTGGACCACTGTATCAGAGCTTGTCTCTGTTCATGTCACTGATTATGTCCTAGGGACTCCGAACTCAAGCTCGTTGGCGAGTATGGTCTCCGCAACAAGCGCGAGGTCTGGCGTGTCCAGCTCACCCTGTCTAAGATTCGTCGTGCTGCCCGGTACGAGACTTCTTGTTGCAGCTACTGCACTCACAGCGCTAACTTTCTTTCAGTCAATTGCTCACCCTCGACGAGAAGGACCCCAAGAGACTTTTCGAAGGAAACGCCCTCATTCGCCGTCTCGTGCGCGTAGGTGTCTTGGACGAGTCTCGCATGAAGCTCGATTACGTGTTGGCCTTGAAGATTGAAGATTTCTTGGAGCGCCGTCTGCAAACCTGTGTCTACAAGCTTGGTCTCGCCAAATCTATCCACCACGCCCGTGTCCTTATCCGTCAGAGACATATTCGTGTTGGCAAGCAGATTGTCAATGTTCCCTCCTTCGTCGTTCGTCTCGATTCACAAAAGCATATCGACTTTGCGCTTAGCTCGCCATTTGGTGGTGGACGTCCGGGTCGTGTCCGAAGAAAGAAGGCCAAGGCAGCCGAGAAGAAGGATGGTGGTGAAGATGGTGAGGAGGATGACGAGGAATGAGCAAGAGAATGATGAATCAGATAGCTATGGTGTACAAACATTTCTGTTCTTGATGGCTAGAAATCAGTTTCGAAGCATTGCAGAACTGCATCACAAGCTATGCTGAACGCAAAACAAAGCAATTTCCATACATGCATCAAGCCCCGATGCTATACAAAAGCCTTGATTATGTAAACTCCATAACACCTTATCGTGCAAACTTTCTTGAGTTCGCGCAAATATCATAAAAGTTTGTCCTTTCCCAAGAATGCAGCCATGGGATCATTTGTGGCCGTCCTTTTCCTTCTATATGCATCCATCTCCTCCTCCGACACTCCTGTCATCTCCTGCATAGTACGCTTCTTGGATGTCGACAAACCGTCAGCTTCATCTTTCGTTGTCTCAGCCGACGGACCTGAGGGCCACTCGATTTCCTTGACAGATTCCCCAAATACAAAAGCCCCACCAGTTCGAAGACGATCGGCTTCCTCAAAGGCTCTCTTGCCTTCCTCGCCAGTACAATAACTGTTCTTGACTATTGAGTGACAGCACGCATAACCCCATTTGAAGTTTTCCCACCAGCTGCCCCATACAGATGTGTGGTTGTTGATGAGCACATCCTCCGGATACTTCGACTTTGCGTTAGTCTTCGGAGTCCCTTTGACTGCCCCAGATTCCTCGTACTCGATGTACTTCTCAGATTCAATAACGCCAGCATTATGAAGCTTGGCTGCTACAGGATTGAGCTCGCCGCCATACTTCTCCAGGAGCATCTTCTTATGTGCTTGCCGTTTTGCCTCTGCCTCTTCCTTTTCTTTCCGACGGTAGTACTCTCCAGATGTAGGATTTGCTTGTAGATGCTGTTTCGTATCTCCAGCCTTTTCTTGTGACTCCCAGGCATACCTCTGTGCCTTCTCGAACTCAGCTGCATCTCCTGAAGCCCGCATGAACCCTTCTTCGGCAACCAAAGCAGCAGCTGTATCTGCTGTAGCCCCACTGTCCACCATAGATCTCGTCTTGGGATCATACTTTGCTGAATCCAAATCGAGGTTGAGCAAATACTTTGCAGTATCCTCTCGAATTCGTAGTTGTCTGGTGGCTGTACTTTGGTGTCTACCCATATCTGACTCCTCTGCATACTTCGCACCATCCCCGCCATCATCATCCTCACCGTCTCTCTCCGTGACCTGAGCTGCCTTCTTTAACTCCTCGAGCTGCGCGTATTCGTCCATCACAGCTTTATATTCCTTCGCGTCATATCCATTCCACCTATCCCTCTTAGCATCCCAGCCCAAACTCACTCCCTGAATTACTTCATCTGCTTGTATATCTTTGCCAGTCCACCTTGCCCCCTTCGCTCTCGGCCTACTCAGACATTCCTTAGTTTTATGCGTCATAGCACCACAGTTTTCACATGCACCCTTGCGGAACTTGGTCGCAGCAGGGCCAAGCTTCTTCCCTCGATCATACCATTTGGATTGATCTGATTGGGCCTTCTGCAACCGTTGATGTTCGAGGTAGTCGTTCTGGTCCTCATCTTCGATGTAGAAAGGCTTTTTGGAAATAAATTCCGGAATATATGAGTTTGTCTCCTTGGCTGCTGTTGATGGAGCATTCGGTTTGCGAGGTTGTGTGCCCGCTGGAGGCATGTTGAAGATCCTGATAAGAAGCCAGCCGGTAACAGGTGAAGGTGAGTGGCTCGGTGAGTGTAGGAGGCAAATGAACGGTAACCTACCTATTTTTATTTACGCCGATTGCAATCGATATCGTCCCGTGACTCCGCGATTCCGCGATTCCTCAGTCGCGCTTCACTGAAACAGCCACAGCCCACTACTTAGGTAGTTTCCGACCCTATGTGTACAGACTTCATTGTCAAATCATGTCACAGACAGTCGCATATACCTTTCAACCACCAGAATGAGATCAGTTCGTCGATATGGACCTTTTTCGCGTCCGTTTGAACTGTATAGACAGTTACCAAGCCTCGCCCACCAAATTCGATCCCGTGCTTCGAAACAATGTCAAACCCTCACAAGCGCACAAGGAGCCCAAGGTTCCTATCATCAGAGTGTTTGGTGCTACTGAAACAGGCCAGAAAGTTTGTGCTCATATTCACGGCGCGTTCCCATATCTATACATCGAGTATACGGGGAGCCTAGTTCCCGATGAAGGTATGTTAACGTCGAATGGTGTATTTAATTGCCACTGACCATGAAACAGTGGGTGCCTATATTCATCGACTCCATCTTTCAATCGATCATGCACTTGCCGTTAGTTATAGGCGCAATATACACGACGTAAATGCCAAGTTCGTTGCGCGCATCACTCTTGTCAAAGGAATTCCATTTTATGGTTTTCATGTCGGATATAGATATTACTTGAAGATATACATGCTGGACCCAATGGTAATGACTCGACTGGCAGATCTCTTACGACAGGGTGTTGTCATGAAGAAAGTCTTCCAGCCATTCGAAGCTCATCTTCAATACCTCCTACAATGGATGGCAGATTACAATCTATACGGGTGCGGATACATCGATTGCAGCGTAGTCACGTTCCGTTCTCCAGTACCAAAGTATGAGGAACTAGTTAACATGTCCCATCTTTGGCATGACAGATCAATTCCCGGCGAGCTAGTGACTGAGGATGCTGAACTTCCAAGAGTCAGTCACTGCTCCATTGAGGTAGATATATGTGTGCAGGATATCATAAATCGACATGACATCAAACCTCGGCCACTTCACCACGATTTTATTGAACGCCTGAATCCACTAGGTCCAGATGAGAAGTTAGTGCACAGCATGGCAGGTCTATGGAGAGATGAAGCGCGCCGTCGTAGGTCGAGGGTGTCAGATCCTGAACCTGGTAGCAGCCTGTTTCCTGCTGAAGCCATGATCTCAATGTCCGCCGATTCTCGAAGCTCGCGGTCTGATGGATGGGTTCATGAAGAAGAGTACAGAGAAAAAGTCATGGATTTGATTGCAGATGAAAAGGGCAAGAGTGATGGCGCAAAGATTTCTTTCACTACGTTCGTCCAGCATAGCCCGTTTGAAGCGACAGTCAGAACGAGTCTGGAATCCGTCGAAGATCTTTTCCCGGAAAACCTACGGCAAGCGCTTGAGTTGGTACCAAAAACTAGTATAAGAAGTATCCATTACGATTTAAATGACCAAGAAATTGGGGATGTCGACGAGAAAGGAATTTTGGCCTTCGATCTTAGTGGCCATGATGGGGGTGCTTACGATTCTGACGACGAAAGTATGCGGGGGATGGAGTTCTCTCAAAGAAAGCAAGGAGATCATGTTGAAGAGACGCATCTGGACCCGGCCGACATCATTCAAGAAGAACATGAGGTTGATAATGAATCACATCGAGATGGCGCCCAATTCGAGGAGCAATCCCTCAATTTGTCTGATCCTGATACCCTAAACAGCCTCACAAAATCTTCAGCCATGGACCTAACAACTGAGGATGCCGCAATCGAACCCTCACCGTCCAATTCACTGGATTCTAGTTACGTTTCGGTTTGTTCGGGACCTCAAGAAAACCCTCCCGATCATCTTTCCGTTCAAGCCCATCGCAAGTCTCCTGAAAAGAACCTGAAACGGCCAGAATCTCCAGTCAAGCAATCAAATTCTGTTAACAAACGACAAAGAGTATCTCTTGGCCAGACCCGCCGTCCCGATATTTCACTCGTCGACCCTGAACGAACTGTCGATTCAGATTATGTGAATCACCGAAACATGAGGAAAGTCTCGCTGGCAGAGACAGCATCACTTCATGAAGATTCTAAGCTTGGGCAGATGATGAGAAGTAGGCCCAATACGGACAACGTTTCGCTCTTGGCAACAGGTCCCCGAAGGGAAAGTTCATCTCAGGATCGACTGTACGAAAGACCTCAGATGCAGCCTCTCAGGTTTCCAGTCGTTAAAGATCCTCATGATCCCAATACAATTCTAAGAATAAGTCAGAAAAGTGCTTCCCAGCTCAGCTCTCCTGAAAGGAAATATTCAGTCACATATAATCCTTCGAAGGCTAGTGAATTTCCGAGTTCGGATATTTCGCTCCGTTCTGTTGGAATATGTACTCCGAGATCAAACATCCTTGTGCATATGAGGAATAGGATTGAAAAACAGGACAATAGTGTGATATTATTGGCTTTGGATGAGTTGCCGCCATCTTCCGTTTCAGTAATATCCACTATGCAGAATTTCAGTCTCCCAGAAGTAATCTATCAGGACGCTTTCTACAGCAATGAAAGAGATGTCCCTGAGCGTGCCCGTGAATGGGCGGGAAGAGAGTTCAAACTTGAGAGTTTGACCGTCCCTTTCCTTCCCGAATTCGATCCTACTGGTAGTTCCGAAGCAACCTTTGGTGACAAGACAGCTATCGTACTGGATAAGCCGAAGGTAGAGAAAGTCCACGAATCTCGACGACGTGCCTGCGGTCTTCGAAGTTGGGAGATGGCAAATTCCCCACCTGCATACGCTGAAGTGCATAGTTGGTTTCGTAGTGAAGAGGCGGCGAGGTTAGCAAATGCAACTACGTCTCACGTTCCGTTACGAGTAGTTGCTGGCTCGCAAGGAAAAGGCAAGCTTTCTCAGGTTGAGGGTCCTACCCAGAAGAATAAGCATGGATTCAAATATACACAGAACCAGGCAACCTGCAGCGTTCAGCATGAAGCGCAGTACATGAGCACGATGAGCTTAGAGATCCATATAAACACAAGAGGTGACTTTGTCCCCAATCCAGAGCACGACGAAGTCCAGTGTCTGTTTTGGGGTTTGCACTCGGATCAGGCAGAACATGAGAGCAATAGTAACACAGAAGGCATTCGCGTTGGAGTTGTCGTCCTTTCGGGAAATAACACGATGGCTCAAAATATTGCCAAGCAAGTTGGCTTTGAAATTGAAGAAGAGAGCTCAGAACTTGATCTCATGATCCACATGGTCGATATCGTGCGAAGCTATGATCCTGATATCCTGACGGGCTATGAAGTTCACGGTAGTTCTTGGGGATACCTTATCGAGCGCGCGCGCCTGAAATATGACTACGATCTGTGCGATGAATTTTCTCGAGTGAAGGTCCAGTCCCATGGACGGTTCGGCAAGGATAACGACAAGTGGGGGTTCAACAATACTTCATCAATCAGAGTGACTGGCAGACACCTAATTAACATCTGGCGGGCTATGCGTAGCGAACTGAACCTTCTCCAATACACAATGGAAAATGTCGTTTTCCACTTGCTTCATCGTCGAATACCTCACTTTACTTGGGCGGACCTAACCAGATGGTATACCAATGGCAGACCTCGAGATCTTGCCAAAGTCATCAAGCACTACATTTCCCGGGTCCAGCTTGACTTGCAAATACTCGAGCAGAATGAGCTCATTGCCAGAACGAGCGAGCAGGCTCGTCTACTTGGCGTGGACTTTTTCTCTGTGTTTTCTCGTGGCTCGCAGTTTAAGGTTGAATCATTGATGTTCCGGATTGCGAAGCCAGAGAATTTTCTTCTAGTATCCCCCAGTAGAAAGCAAGTTGGTGGGCAGAATGCACTTGAATGCTTGCCACTCGTTATGGAGCCGCAGAGCGCATTCTATACCAGCCCCGTGCTCGTCTTGGATTTCCAAAGTTTGTATCCAAGTGTAATGATCGCCTATAATTACTGCTATTCCACGTTTCTCGGCCGTGTCGTAGACTGGCGAGGCACGAACAAGATGGGCTTCACAGAGTTCAAAAGGCAGCAACGACTTCTTGAGCTTCTCCAGGATCACATCAACATTGCGCCGAATGGCATCATGTATACGAAGCCCGAGATACGAAAATCCCTCCTGGCCAAGATGCTGAGCGAAATCCTCGAGACTCGTGTAATGGTGAAGAGCGGTATGAAACTCGACAAAGATGATAAGACACTGCAACGTCTGCTTAATAACAGACAGCTTGCACTGAAGCTCATCGCCAATGTTACCTATGGTTATACCTCTGCGTCCTTCTCAGGTCGTATGCCATGCTCTGAAATCGCAGATAGCATTGTGCAGACTGGTCGGGAAACGCTTGAAAAGGCCATTGCTTTTATCCACTCTGTTGAACGCTGGGGTGCGGAGGTAGTGTATGGCGACACCGACAGTTTATTTGTTCATTTGAAAGGTCGTACCAAGGACCAGGCATTCGATATTGGCGAAGAAATTGCAAAAGCCGTTACAAATATGAATCCACGCCCAGTCAAGCTCAAATTCGAAAAGGTCTACTTCCCATGTGTTCTTCTAGCAAAGAAGCGCTATGTAGGGTTTAAATACGAAAGCAGGGACCAAACCAAACCAGACTTTGATGCAAAGGGCACCGAGACCGTGCGCAGAGATGGCATACCTGCTGAGCAAATGATCGAAGAAAAGGCGCTCAAGATCCTATTCCGGACCTCTGATCTAAGCCAAGTCAAGAGCTACTTCCAAAACGAATGCGAAAAGATCATGAAAGGCTCCGTCTCTATCCAAGACTTTTGCTTTGCCAGAGAGGTCAAACTTGGAACGTATAGCAATAAAGGCCCACCGCCACCTGGTGCCCTTATCAGCACAAAGCGCATGCTGGAAGATTCCCGGGCGGAGCCACAATATGGTGAACGTGTCCCATATGTTGTTATCACAGGTGCACCAGGAGCTCGATTAATTGATCGGTGTGTAGCACCTGAGAAACTCCTCGAGGACGACCATTGTGAACTGGACGCCGAGTATTACATCTCCAAAAGACTAATACCACCTTTGGAACGGATCTTCAATCTTGTCGGGGCCAATATTCGAAGCTGGTATGACGAGATGCCCAAAGTCCAACGTATTCGCAGGATTGACACCAATATCCAGCTACAAGGACAATCGAAAGAGCTTGGTATCAATAAGAAAACACTGGAATCGTATTTGAAATCCTCGTCGTGCGTTGTCTGTAAGGAGAAGGTTGAGACTGATGGCCCGGTCTGTCCCGGGTGCGTGGCAAATAGGCCTTGGTCCATATTCTCTTTGCGGACGAGATTGAGCCATGCAGAGAGGAAGTTCATGGACCTTCAGAAAATATGTCAAAGCTGCTCAGGCATCTCGCCGTTGGATGAGGTAAAGTGTGACAGCAAGGACTGCCCGGTATTTTATAGTAGAACGAGACAAAAGGCCCGCTTAAAGACAGAGCGAGCTATTATTGAGCCTGTGATGACAGAGTTAACTGGAAGTTGTGTTGATTTGGAAAGCCTGGAGTGGTAGCCATCAAGGCCTTTTTGTCTTATAGATACAGTATTTGAGGCGCATGGAAGGACTGGCTCCTATAAATAATGAGATGCGGATATTTCAATTCATCGTAGAGATTGGCCCTTACTGTATAGTAGCGGGAAGGCTCATGTTCATGGTGATTCTGGGTCTAGGAACGTAATAGCTGTTGATTAGACCATATCGCGAAACTTGGAACCGAAATCGAAGACAGACCGTAAGTATTCTATCTTTGCGCGCCACGGAATGACCACAATCATAGACCCTCACATCACAAGATATCCGTGCTCTAATACTGTACTGTATATCTAGTTTATCTAGTCTATGTGTACAGCCTCCGTCAGGGAGACGTTGACGAGGCGATAGCGCCGCCGCTTCGGTCAATCAGCCTGGCTATCGTATTAACTAAACCCTTAACGGAGTACATAGGTACCTCCAGTAAGGTATGTACATATATATGTACACTGCCGGTAGCTCGAAGCTGCCTCGTCTTTCCACATTTACATACGAAGTATTGTGCCGAGGGCTACTCAACAATCTCTCTTTCACATAGTTGCCGATGTAACGATGGGCGGTCTGGCGGGCTTCCTCGTCGTCTATCTTCTCGGTGGCCTCACGTTCATTCCCTTGCTCATCGTCGCTGTTCTCCTCCACGCCTACTTTACACTTCCCATCCACGAAGACAATACATACGGGGAACGCGAAATCGATCCGATCATTCAACCAGGAGACGATATCGATGCCATTAAACGCGCACAGAAGACGCTTGGCGATCGGTTTCAGCCTCGCAATAACAATGAATCCGACGTAGCTGCTGGCTACTTTGCTATTTACAGAGAGTATGTGCCTGCAGCAGCTACGACTGCCCCGTCAGCCAACCAGAGTGTCTATCAGAGCATGTATAGGAGCATCTTCGACCGGAAACAAAGCTCCAGCCCGCTGGATAATAAAGGCGTGGGTAGGCCGCAAAGGAAAGGCGGCAATGTTTTCTATGTGGTCCTGAGGTATGGCACTGTTCTGTATGGATACCAGTTGCAAAGTACTTACCGCTTTTTGGTGCAGGCATGGCCACTTAATGCTCTTTGACGATGACGATCAGCTCGAGGTTCGGCACGTAGTATCCCTGGCCCATCATAATGTTAGTATCTATTCGGGCGGAGACGAAACGCCGGAAGGAGAGCTATTCATAAAGAGAAATGCCATATGTCTCTCGAGAAAGACAGATGTTGGGGGGTTGACGCCGGATGGCGGGGCGTCGAAACCCTTCTTCCTGTTCTCTGAGAACTGCTCTGATAAGGAAGACTTCTACTTCGCACTCCTGCGGAACCAGGAGAGAAGGCTGAATGCAAAGGATAACCCGCCAGTGCCTCTCAAATACGATGTCAATGATATTATTACGCTAGTCCAGAGGTTGCATTCCTCAGAAGAGCATCTGCAGACAAGATGGATCAATGCCGTCATAGGGAGGGTATTCCTAGCCCTGTATAAGACCCCAGAGGTAGAAAATTTTGTCAGGGCGAAAATCAACAAGAAGATCTCCAGGGTGAAGACCCCGTCATTCTTGTCGAAAATAGCTTTACGAAATATTGATATGGGCGAGGCTGCGCCCGTGATCACCAATCCTCGACTGAAAGACTTGACAGTGGACGGAGAACTCATCGTGGAGGCCGATGTTCGTTATACAGGAAATTTCCGAATTGAAGTGGCGGCTACGGCTCGCATTGATCTTGGCACAAGGATCAAGGCAAGGGAGGTCAATTTACTCCTGGCGGTAGTCTTAAAGAAGATCGAAGGCCATGTAATGGTTAGAGTTAAGCCACCTCCCTCAAACCGGCTTTGGTTTACTTTTCAGTCTATGCCAAAGATCGACATGGCTATAGAACCGATCGTCAGTTCAAGGCAGATTACATACACCTTAATTCTTCGCCAAATCGAAAACCGAATCAAGGAAGTTGTCGCTGAGAGCCTGGTGTTCCCGAACTGGGATGACTCTCCTTTTTATCATACGGAGAACAGGTTATGGAGAGGGGGTATCTGGGCTGATGATGGGATTTCAGAGCATACCCAAGGTCCTGAGACTGCTGCGACTCAGGACGGGGACGTAAACCAGGTTCATCATCCGGAGGCCGAGCAGGATGAAGCGATATCGACCTTATCACAAGTGGAAAAGAGCATAAGCATGCCTTTGGTTGATACCTCATCCTCTGGAACTGCATTCCCACGCAAAGCTGCAAGGTCTGCTATGCATCTGGGAGGTTTAAGAGCGATGGCTTCATCCACAAGTGTCGAGACTCAGCCTTGTGATAAACCGAAAGCTCTCCGATCCGGCTCATTTGCTAGTGCCTCATCACCGAGTGTTAGCACAGATGTTTCACACGCCGATACTTTCAAGAATTCTACTCCTCCCGAACACAGCCATGCCGCGACTGCCATGGCCGCTATCTCAGCTCTCTCCCAGACAAATTTGCCGGCCCAAACTCCTGTCAGATACCCGTCACGACCATCAAGAACGGAGAAAGCTGGTAGTGAGTCTTCAGTATCCTCGCGAGACTCGATGCAGTCCGAGGACGAATTCGAAAATGACCTGACTCCGCAGCCTTCTCTTAGCCTTCCGGATCCTACAAACAACCTAAACGCAGGATCTTATCCACCCAGTCCAGTCAGTATGAGCAATACGTCGTTCAGCTCTCAAGCATTATCAGCAAAATCTTTGGCCTCCTTTGGGAATGACCCACGATGTGAGAACCCTTCTCCTTCATCAGGGAAATCTTCGGCTGCCGACACCAAGCGCCTGTCTCTCACAGCGGTAACCAATGCTGCAGCGACAGCCAAGAAGTGGGGATGGAATGCCATACAACGGCACGGCGAACCGAGAACTGATAGCTCTTCAAGGGTGGCAAATTCTCCCTCCCAGCCACTGGTCATGGGACGCGGGCGTCCTCTTCCTCCTCCAGGGACGCCACTTCCGCCTCCTGATAGGAAATCAAAAACTGCGCCGGTTCCTGTCCCAAAGCGTAAACCTATACCCCCATCAGCCTTGCCTCTAAAGCAGAAAGACCCTGAGCTCGAGTCAAATGGGGTTGAAAAGCAACATACAGTTTCAACCCCTCCTTTACCTAAGCGACCAAGTCGAGAAGACGCTGATGCCGACGGTACTGATGACGGACTACTTGTTGTTGCTGCGCCTACTGGCGACTCCGAACCAACAACACCAATAAGTGAAGATGCGCCAATATGCATGCCGCCTTGGGTTGGCAACGCTGAAGAAACTGGGCCGGTTCAACAAACCGTCACTGCAGATGGGAAAGATGTCCCAGTTCCTACCCTATCTAAGAGGCGACCGCCACATAGAGTCTTGTCTAGCAGTCCTGAGGAGGATGGTCCCGAGTTGCCCTCTTGGATGGCTGCACAAGAAGAAGAAGCAAGAGCAAAGAGCACATTTGTTGACGAAGATACAGGATTGTGAGCATAATCGTTTAATCAGAATAACTGTTAGTTGGACCCGGACTCGAATGCAGAACCGGATGGGTCAACCCAGCTTGGGTAGTTCTGTACAATTGATATGAGTTGGAGGGCGAAGGAACCTGATTGAAGGGGCGTATATGGCGTTATACAGAACTGGTGATTACCTAGAATTTTCGGTGTAAGGGCAGGGCATCCTCTGGAGTTAAACCAGAGCACATGGCGAAGCTTTGCGTAGCAATAAATACAGTGCGGTGATATATTAGTTCTTTCTTGACTGTCTTAGAACGAATGCATCCATGGGATCATTTAATATGTTAACTACGAGCCATCTACACTCAGTCCCGACCAGTTGCATATTGACTACCACCCCCTCAATATACTAGCACACTATCGGCCCCATCATCTCGATTGGAGTATGAAGGATAACATAAGGATGGCGCTCGTCCGAGCCGACCAACATTCTTTCTGTTCTCTCGCCCTCTACCTAACAAAAATGACGTTGAAATAAAGCGAAGCCTGGGTAGTTATGGTTGTCTGATAGCACCTATGTACCTAGGTAAGGTGAGGTAGGTAAGGTAAGGTCCCTAGTAAGGTGAGGTTGGTTACCCTCCCTTATACTCGCCACATAATCGCATTACGCAGCCCGCTCGTTTGCCGAACAGGCGCTAGAACCTCGTCAACTTGCGATAGCCCATTCGAGCTACAACTTTGTCTTTAATCTCTCTTCCTCCTCCTCTATGCTCCTCACCCTTACACTCCTTTCGCTCATTCTTTACCCCGTTGTTCATAGTAAGCCTCGTTCTGTGCGCTGAGCGCTTATCAACATGTCTTTGGCCTACGCCCCAACCACTCGTAACATAGATCACACAAAGTTCGTTGCCTGATAGCTTTCAGCCCTATTAGTTCTCGATCTTTTATTTCCGCCCTCTTCAACGCGCTGACATGGTTACAATGCAGGTCCGAAGCTGAGCTTGCGATCAACATCAGAAAGGCGACGAGTATCGAAGAGACAGCGCCCAAACGCAAACATGTTCGGAGCTGTATTGTGTACACATGGGATCACAAATCATCCACGGCATTCTGGGCAGGCATGAAAGTGTTAGTTGTCGCAATCTCTCTGTTGATGCCCTGATTGAAACCCGATGAGAGGCATTGATCTGCGAGGATATGGATATCCGAGGCTACCGAATACCTCATATTGTATATTAACGTCTGGATTAAGAGGCTGACTGATGGATCTTTCCTCCTAGGCAGCCCATCCTTGCCGACGAAGTACAGACTTTCAAGGCACTGATTACTGTGCATAAGGTGCTCCAGGAAGGCCATCCGACGACACTACGAGATGCAATGGCAAATCGAAGCTGGATCGACAGCCTCAACAGAGGAATGTCTGGGGAGGGTCTGCGAGGTTATGGCCCCTTGATCAAAGAATACGTCAATTTTCTCCTTGCGAAGTTGGCCTTCCATCAACAACATCCGGATTTCAATGGCACATTTGAATATGAGGAATACATAAGCTTGAAGGGCATCAACGACCCAAACGAGGGTTATGAAACCATCTCAGACCTCATGATGCTTCAAGACAGGATAGAACAGTTCCAAAAACTGATCTTCTCCCACTTTCGAAGTGGTGGCAACAACGAATGTAGGATATCGGCACTGGTGCCTTTGGTCCAAGAGAGTTATGGAATCTACAAATTCATTACAAGCATGCTGCGTGCTATGCATACAAGTGAGCCATAAAATTTCCTATTTACTGCAAGCTGCTAATTCTCTATAGCGACCGGCGACGACGACGCCTTGGAACCCCTGAGAGAACGTTACGATGCGCAGCATTACCGCCTAGTCAAATTCTATTACGAATGCTCCAATCTGCGTTATCTTACTAGCTTGATAACTGTACCCAAGCTCCCACAAGAGCCTCCCAATCTCCTTTCTGAAGATGAATCTGCCCCACGATTACCCCAGCGACCGAAGCAAGAGATCGAAAGACAAATTACGCCTCCTCCAGCACCCAAGGTGGAAGAACCAGACGAGATTGGAGAGTTCTGGAAGAACGAACAAGCCCGGCAGAATAGAGAGTATGAGGAGCAGCAAAGGGTACTAGAAGAGCGGCAGGCGCAACAGCTTTATGCCCAACAGCAAGCTGCGCTTCAGGCACAGCGTGATTTTGAAGAGCAACAACGACAGTTAGCTGAACAGCAAAGGCGAGACCAGGAAGCATTGTTGGCGCAGCAATTCCAACAGCAAACGCAGGGCCGTATGGCGCAGTTGGAGCAGGAAAATCTCGATGCGCGCGCTCAGTATGCACGGGATCAACTTATGTTACAGCAATATGATCAGAAAATCAAGGCCCTAGAAAATGAGCTCACACAATTACAGAGTAGTTACGGCCAACAGATCGGTAGCAAGGACGATCAAATCCGTGCTCTACAGGAGCAGGTAAACACCTGGCGAACGAAATACGAGGCCCTTGCAAAATTGTATTCACAGTTGCGTCATGAGCATCTTGATTTGTTGCAGAAATTTAAGGGCGTGCAACTCAAGGCAGCTTCAGCACAGGAAGCCATCGATAAAAGAGAGAAGCTTGAACGGGAAATAAAGACGAAAAATCTTGAGCTTGCTGATATGATCCGAGAGAGAGACAGAGCTCTGCATGAAAAAGATCGCCTCTCCGGCGGCAATCGTGAGGAGCTAGAGAAGCTTAAGCGGGAACTTCGCATGGCTCTGGACCGGGCCGATAACCTGGAGCGAAGCAAGGGCAACGAACTCTCCTCCATGCTTTCCAAATACAATCGTGAGATGGCAGATCTTGAAGAAGCCCTCCGAAAGAAGACTCGGGCTCTTGAAGAAGTTCATGCAAAATATAGCGAAGGCGGTTCTGATGCTGAGCGCTTGTTGCGGGAGAAGGAGGATGAGTTAGAGGTTTACAAACAAAGCTTGGACGATACCCTAATCAAGCTCAATGAGTTAGAGATGTCCCGCGGCGCAACGGACCAGGCTCTAGATGGAGAGATAGATGCTATGCTTCTCTCCAATATTAGCAAGATCAACGATATCATTGACTCGGTACTTCAGAGTGGAGTCCAACGTGTTGATGATGCTTTATATGAACTCGATTCATCTATGCAAGCTGGAAACCAAAATGCAACACCTTCCTATGTCCTTTCGCAAATCGAGAAGGCCTCTTCTAGTGCCACCGAATTCGCAACAGCTTTCAATAACTTCATCGCCGATGGTCCCAATAGCAGTCATGCTGAGATCATCCGGACGATCAACGTCTTCTCGAGCTCTATTGCAGATGTTCTCAGCAATACCAAGGGTCTGACAAGACTTGCTACAGATGACAAGAAGGCAGATCAGCTTATCAGTGGTGCACGACATTCAGCACAATCGACTGTCAAGTTCTTCCGTGGCTTACAAAGCTTCCGCCTCGATGGGATGGATCCGATGCAGAAGACAGATGTCGTTATCAACAGCATGAATGAAGTACAGATGAACCTTCAGAAGCTCAACAAACTTGTAGATTCTTTCGCGCCAAACAGTGGCAAATTGGTCAACAACAAGGGTGATTTGGGAGACCTTGTGGACAGTGAGTTGAACAAGGCTGCCGACGCAATCAGTGCTGCTGCCGCACGACTTGCAAAGCTGAAGTCGAAACCAAAGGATGGATATTCAACCTATGAACTGCGCATACACGACTCAATCCTCGATGCTGCTGTGGCTGTAACAAATGCTATTGCTAAGCTGATTAAAGCGGCAACAGTGACCCAGCAGGAGATCGTCCAGGCTGGTCGTGGCTCTTTTTCCAAAACTGATTTCTACAAAAAGAATAACCGGTGGACCGAAGGGCTAATCTCAGCCGCCAAGGCGGTGGCTTCCTCCACAAATACCCTGATTGAGACTGCAGATGGTGTTCTCTCTGGTCGCAACAGCCCAGAGCAACTTATTGTTGCGTCCAACGATGTTGCGGCGTCCACAGCACAGCTTGTCGCGGCCAGCAGAGTTAAGGCAGGCTTCATGAGTAAGAGCCAGGAGTCATTGGAACAGGCCAGCAAGGCAGTGGGCGCAGCATGCAGAGCGCTTGTCAGACAGGTTCAGAGTATGATCAAGGATCGCGATCAGGAGGAAGAAAAAGTAGACTATGCCAAATTGGGTGCACATGAGTTCAAAGTCAGGGAGATGGAGCAACAGGTTCGTAACATTCTTTTGGGCAGATAAGGAATGATTGCTAACGTTGTTATAAACAGGTCGAGATACTGCAATTGGAAAATAGTCTGGCGGCTGCGAGACAGAGGTTGGGAGAAATGAGAAAAGTGTCATACCAGGAATAGTCGTCGCGCGTGAAGAAGTAGGGGGACGTGCTCGTAGCTCAGGTAGTTTTACGAATGGAGAGTAAAGATTGTCATTACTCCTTTGGTCTTATCATTTCCTGAAGCTGGAATGTTGAGTATTGCTCTGGTAATTTTCTCTGGCCAATCAAAGGATCTCCTTAAAATCAGGGAGGTTGGGATTTTTTGGACCAATCAGAGAGCCTGCTAAGAATGGGAGGGGTTTGATTCTCTAGACCAATCAGAGCCTTTGCTCGGAATTGAGGGGGGCAGAATGCCTTTAGCCAATCAACACCGATTGTAATGCGCGGGTGACGAAATGGTGAAGGTGAATGTCCTATCCCCGCGTCCTCCACAATAATAATGCTCCGTCGTTGCCATATTGGTAGTAGTACCTGGTAGTTATCTAAAATAGTCATCCTCGGGTACAACCCTGGTTGGCATTAGCTTGTCAAGCGGCGCAAGCTTTATTCTCACGACTACCCCTTACATGAACAAAGGAAGAAACTCTTCACGATCATCACATTCCCATCATTGTGGACCCCCCTTCGGCCAATCATTGAATTCTGCTATTCTGTCAATTTGTCCCTTATCTACGTGGGAATGTGATCATGCGGTGCCGATCCTGTAAATCCATCGCGATGATGAATGATGCGATGGCCCAAGAGCAACAGTCCGATTATGTGCGAAACACGATGAAATACCCCTCCCTTTTCCCTCATTGCGCCATTCAACAGTCGGAAATATTGGTTGGCAAAAGGAGATATTCTCGTGAGGTGCTGACTTCATGTCAAACATGCCTCGGCTCCAATAGCTCGAAATTCATGCAGAGAAACATCCAGATACAGTGAAGGAAATGTCTCTGTGTCTTTAACATCTCTTGCTAAAATAGCATCACATAATAGGGGCACTACTGACATAAAGCTGCAAGGATAGGTTAATTCACATTACCAAATCATTATGCAAGGGGGACAATGCACTATAGGATTGTGCCGTTTCTTGTGGTGTCCATGTCCAGATTTGACGAATGGATTACCTGTGCCCGCTTCTATCTCGAATTCTTATTTGACACCAGGGACAAGAAGGGCAGGGAACTGGTTTTGCTTACTGGCCCTCTCAAACATGCATATCCATTCCACTACATCGAGGCAGCAGTGCCGTTTGCCAGTCTGCATAAATATTGAGAGCGAGTTGCATTCTCATCTCCGTCCGCTGGCCCCACTCCATCGAGCTCGCAATATCATCTTCTGAATCAGAGACCTTCAGATTGGGTTCTCTCATTCTTCTCCAGGTCCCCTGCACCATCTGATTGTGTTTCGTCCTTCATCTGTATTTTTAACCCCGGAGCACGTATGATCAGCTGCGCCATTATCCATTCAATCATAAGAAAAAACATTCTCTCTTTCTTGCGTTTCATGACTGCAAGACCATTAACATAGCTCTTAGTCTTGGAAGTGTTTAGTTGAGACTTACGGCGTATCATCAAATGCATTGGCAATTGTCGTCGAGGAGGCACGATTCCACGTCTGCGATTTGAAATCATCTTGCACATGAGGTAAATCTCCGCGGCATTTGGGAGCTTAACAAATTGCTCCTTATAACGCACGAGGTAATCAACCCTACTCCATTCCACTCCGCTCTTCAATGCAAGTCTATTTTCTTCGATGCATTTGCTAGTCGTCCTGGGCAAAGGATTAGTTAGGGAAGTTTCCACGTCATGCATGATTTGAAAGCTTACTCTCGGATTTCTGTACGGATGCGGATTCGAAGAGCAGCGGGAAGCCATTTTAGTGGATCTTCCTCACCCCAGCCCATAGAAACAATTTTTGAATCGAGTTTGATCAGCTCATCCCCGGCGAACTGTTCTTGTCTGATGGCGTCGTCGAGGTTTCTGATCTCCTCTTCTCTAATGCCCTGGCCAGGAAGGAACTTAATATCGTATTTGACAGGACCTATGCCATAGTCGGCCTCGGGAGTTGATATCTCTGTTTTGTCATCGAATTCTTTGAACTCTTCTATGAATCTGCTCAACTTATCCACTAGATTTGAAATAGTGGGATTCGTTGGGACGGGAATGCAGTCGTCCGGGGATTCAGGATTGAGCTCTCCTTGAAGCTGCTGCGAATCTGGAGTGCGTTGCATTGCGCTGACTATGACAGGTCACTTTGTTGTTCGAAATTCGAAATTTGAAGATCAAGATATTCGAGGTTGTGGTTGTGTTGTAGGCGGCAGAGTGAATTTTATCTATTGATGCGAACTCTTGCTGCTTTTCAAAATATGTTGGCACTTTAAGCTTTTAAGGAACAAAGAAGTTCGCCAACTTCTCATTTTCGAAAGCATTAGCGCGGCTGAGCTCTTCCACCCACAACAACAAACTCCAAAACACAAATTCTCCCTTCCTTTCTCCATCCTAATCAAAACCGGCAACCACATATCCACCACTTCAAGTCCTTCGGGGCTCTGAAGTATCATCACCTCAACTTCAATTGCAGCGTAAAGCTTCTTAGAAGTTCTTCACTTCTCATTTGTCTTGCCGGTCTTCACAGACATCCTCAAGTACTCAAACAAAGACTGCAAGAATGGCAGCCCAAGCTGTCATTGCGCGACAGGCGGCTTTGACCCCCGAACTCAACCTTATCTGGCAGGCAGTGTTGCGCCAGCACCCTCGTGCCGACCGTGTTCTTACGTTGGATGTCAACCTCGTCAACGCCTTGACCGCTGCGCAAGTCGTCGCTGTGGTAAACGTGTACTCGTGAGTCTTTGGATCCCTTGACCCCGCTCTCTTAGCTTACACAATATTACAGATACATTGTCAAGGAATATTGCATGTTTGCAGTGGATCATGGCACTTCCATGGTTTATCTTGGGGCATCGAGTTATCTGCAGACTTTCGACCTCAAATTTGATCGTGGCTATGCACTGCCAGTGTTGACTCGCCCATTTGTGGCACCACCCGCACAAGCTGAGGCAGCCGCTGAAATCATAGAGCCCCGCGCCCTAGCAGCTGTCGACTCCAATGGATACGCTCAGGAACCTAGCCCATACCGTACCCAGGGTAGTAATCATGCTAAAACCGGCAATGGCGGCAAGATCCCAAGACCACCCAACGCATTTATCATCTACCGCAATATGAAGCGCGGTGATGTTCTCACCAACAACCCCGGTCTTCATAACAATCAGATATGTAAGTGAACATGCTTATAAATTGTAACCTTCTATTCTGACATGTTCTAGCTGTCATCATTGGAAAAATGTGGCAGGCTGAGCCGAACAGTGTTAGAGATGAATTCAAAAAGCTCGCCGAGAACGAGAAAGTGAGACACAGACAAATGAACCCTGGTTATCATTACCAGCCTCGTAGACCTGGACAGAAGAAGCGTCGCATGAGCAAGAAGAGGATCGCTGAAGCCGCCATCAATGACCCGATTCCTCCAACAGACAACTACGAACTGGTCACCAACCCCCAAAACAGGAACATAGAGACGGGACGACTTAGTGGTGATTTCTCCGAAATCCGGACCCTCACTCTTCCCATGTCATCTCAAGCTGAGTATCGTATTACCATGGATAACGAGGCTACAAATCCTGCAGGAGTGATTAACCAAATGCGCATTGGGGTTGGCTTCACTCCCTCGGAACAATATAGTGATACCCACGAAGCCGATCTCGAGGAACTTGGGGAATACCTGAACCAGGATGCCTTTACTTTGACTGGTTTCGACCTCGACGAAGAGCAAGCACTCGAAAGTTTTGGACGCCAGTGGCTCGGTGCTTGATGAAGGTATCCGGCGTGCATAGTCCCAGGACACCACGAATCAGAATGCTAATTAGGAATTGTAGTGCTCAACACCCTCGATATCAATATTCCGTTGGTATTGGCCCTATCGTCTTCCAGCCTTTTCCTCAACATGGAGCTCGATGTGTACCGGCCGTTTTTCCTTCTGGCGCCTTTTTCCATTGGCCTTCGGCGACTCTTCTGCATGAGCAAGTTACACAATTCTGTCCTACTGCTCTTGTTATTCTATTTCCTCTTTCGGATGGCCGAGATCGCATGTGATACTGGCTTGCGCACACGATGACAAATAACGTATCTGCTGCTGTCGTACCTTGCGATCTTAGGATCTATCGACATTGGCGTGGACGTGTTTGGCATTGGTTTACTTCCTCAAATGAGAGGCACTATCCTGGAAATTTTTCATTTGTACACACTCTGTGCGGCCCTTCTGATGTTCTTCTGTTTTCAAGACCTTCGAGGCGACAATCACCAAAACCACCAAGAACGGCCTTGAGCATTGGCAGCACATATCAGCGTTTTGATTTTTATTGGCAGGAAAAAGGGAGCGCGAGGTCTCAGAACATTCCTACGGGTCTTCATGTACACAATAGACAGCAGAGCATAGAGAGAAAAAACAATAAAGACTTTTGTCACCAATCCCGTTCTCCTGCTGTGATTCTAAACGTTGCAAAATCCCCTGCGGTAAATAAGCTATCAACGACCCTGGTTGCCATAGCAATGACCTGCATCAACCCCGAACCAAACTACTCCGTATGATCACCTCAGACCATGGATCATCAAGACCGTCTTCCCCGGATTTTCATACCATAGCGCCCCATCTTGCATACAGGTGGGTTCCTAGGGTAAATCCACGAAAAGGAGGAGGTTGGATTTCTTTGGGCGAATGAGAGTGCGCGCTAAAGAAACGGAGGGGGTTGGATTTTTTCCAGCCAATGAGAGTTTGGGCTAAGCGGATCAGAGAAATGGAGGGGGTTGGATTTTTTTCAGCCAATGAGAGTTTGGACTAAGCGCGCTAAATAAAAAGAGGAGGTTGGATTTTTTTCAGCCAATTGGAATTGAGGTGTATATTTTATGCATTTATGCATCGAGCAAAACATACACCTAGTGCACGTGTATGCATACCTACCTACCTAGTACCTACCTAGGTAGGTAATGAAAAGGGCATCACTGCAAATGGCTCTCTGTATCCGCTCCTCTGAATAAATCTTGGATTAGAGACGCATGCGAGGCTGTTTTGTTTATGCCCTATAAGGTCTTGAATTTTCCTCGTAGCCCTACTTTGACAGCAAGCAGTACACCAAAACTTTCGCCCGTAGCTCAATTCTGCTGGATGCGGCGTAAAATTTACAAGGTGCCACGGTGCTCCTGTCGAAATCCACAAGATGTTTTGGCTAAAGCGTCATAAGCATCGGCAAAGCTTGCGAAACCCAAAGAACCGCTTTCCTTGAGTAACCTAGGCAGGAAATTTCGAGCAGGAACGAGGGGGGAAGGAATCCTACAGCCCTCTTGTTGAGCACCCTGTAGCAGAAATCCTAATGCAATGAGTTTGTGTCCTCTCCCGGTCTTTCTATGGCAGCTTCATACTTCTTGCTTCACCCTCCATCTCCAACCCAATCACTACTCCATATGAAAGTTCCGCAGCGCCATTGTGTGTTCTTCTCCTTCTGCCCAGATGGTCCAAGTGGTCGAGGGCATATGTAGAATGATCTACCGCAGTTAACACCTGGCTTCTTTGTAACAAGACTGATGCATGGCTCATCGTGTTCGCATCGAGGAGCGATCCGCTTTCCTAAGATCTTTGACCAACTCTCCTTAGAACTTTCCTTGGAAACTATGGGATCTATGATGCCCTTCTGCTCAGCGGCGTCGAGGGAGCTGCTCTGTGATGTGCACCCGGGGGATTGTCCGCCGTGGGAAGGCGTCGATGAGGTGGCTGAGAGTACTGAGGTTGGAGGATCGCAAGCTGCAAAACTTGCAGAGTCAGACTCGGCATCCAAGCCTGCGGGTGATCGGCCCTCTTCTTCCCCATTGGATTGGGATGCTTTAGGTTTGAAGAAACCTATGAGACTGCTCTGGCCTCTATCAGGTCGGCCCTTAAGAGCCGCAGTTGCTGGTTTTGAGGCTGAGCTAGATTTGTTGCGTTTCACCGGTCGCGTTATAGAAGTTAAGGCTTCCCCTTGCCGCTTCACAATTGACGCGGCAGGACTTGCGATGGATAAACCAGCTGCCTCCGGTTTGCTCGGGGCGTTTTTCGTTTGTGGAGGATCTCCAGAACCCAACGATTTCTCTTCCTGGCCGTCTTCACCTACTGATTTAGAGGAGCTTTCTCTTGTGGGCAAAGAGGGCTTCTTAAAGAACATATCGCGGATGTTACGACGACGATCGAATTCTGGTATTAGCTTCGCAGACATCGGCAGCAAATCTTTGGTCGACCACTCTCGCTGACGCACACCGCCCTTGAACATTCCATTACTCATAATATCCCTAATATGGACTTCCTTGGCATCGATCTCAACCTGCTCCTTTAGCACGGCGTACACAGGACAGTGGTCTGAACCCATGAGACCCTCCTGTATGTTTGATTCGCAGAACCAATCCTTCCAGTCCTTGCTGCAAAGCACATAGTCTATTCGAGACCCAAAGTTGCCAGGACGTGCATTGAGCTTCTGATCCCAGCATGTGAACATGCCCTTCCGATCCGGATGGAATGACCGGCAAATGTCCCACATGACTGGTTCCTCCCGGCCCTCGTCCCTTTCCCCTACAACCTTGCCGCCAACTAGTAACTGATTTAGTATCCGCCTGGCTGGAGTGGATACATATTCTTCCGCTGTTATACCTTGCTTCCTCAATTGCTCTTCCGCATTCGCCGTGTCAATCTCCTCCCGAACGATGTTTAAGTCACCGGTCAAAAACACTCTCTTGCCAGCCGACACAAGGTTGCGTACTCGGGCATCGAGGGCGTTCAGAAAACCAATACGAAATTCGTCTCTCGTTTCATCTCGATTAGCAGGACAATACACGCCGATGAGTACAAAGGCAGGAAATTCCAGTATGACACAGCGACCTTCCGAATCTAGAGTGGCAGCGTCGAGCGCGCAGTCGGAAAGTTGACTGGTGCTAGGATAGCCTCCGATTTGCTGGTCTTTGGGGAGGTTCGAGAAGCTTGTGGAGGAGTTTGGAGGAGTGAGGATGCCTGTGATGCCTTCTTCGGCTCGAATGGGAGCGCAGACAGCGTTGCGAGTGTAGATGGCGACGCCAGAGTATCCTAAGCATAGTTCGTCAGAACACTTATCCGAAGTCCTGAAGGAGTAAACCTCATACGTACCCTTTTTGTGTTTTGGCAGACTGAAATAGACATCCCATCCGGGCACAAGTACCATATCATCCCGAAGATCCTTCCTCTGTATCTTCGTCTCTTGCATGACAACAATATCGGCCTCGAGAATATCAAACATCGCCTACAGTTCAATCAGAAGTAGCCCTACAAAACGAGCCGCACAGGTTTGACATACAGCGAAAGTCCTCTCTTGACGCCATGGCTGATATCCGAACGGATTCCTGACCGTGTCAATGTTCATGTTCGCAGAGTTTGTGGATGCAAGGCCGGCAGGTGGGATGCGGCACGTTCAACTAACCTGATACCGTTCACTGCCATCAGTTAGCTCCAGCTCATGGGTCTCGACTGCGCGGACTTACCATTCCACGTAGTGATGCGCAAGCCCCGCCGCTCCTCCTCCTCCATCTTGATCAGGCGGCTGTTGAGAGTATAAGAAACCCCTGAGGCATCTCCCTCTCCTCGCTCGACGCCTCTTGTAGAGACACTGCGTTCGTCCAAGGTTCGAGACACCGGTCGTTCGCTCTGGCTTGGAATCCCCGTAAGCCCGCGTTATCTTACTCAACCGCGTTACTCGTCGCGAAAGTGGCTCGTCGTCATCGGTGTGCACGTGACCAGAAAGGACGCTAAGGCGGATGATCAGACGATCCTGTACCGTACGTCCTGTCAACGTCAAAACCTCTGAAATCCCGAGAGCAATTGAACCACCACAACACAACTACACAATGTTCCCTCAACGAACCATGCTACGTGCCTCGCAACGCTTTGCGTCTCAGGTCCGCTCGCCGGCTGTCCGCAAGCCCTTCCAGCGCCGATTCCAGAGCTCCGAGAGCTCTCCCTTCCACGGTGCCGAGGACAATGCTTTCAACCGCGAGAGGAAGGCCGTGAAGGATCACGCCGCTGGCACAAGTGGTTCGTACTTTACTGGATGCTTGCGGTGATATGGAAGCTGACCTTTCGTGACCTAGAACTCTGGCGTAAGCTGTCGCTCTAGTAAGACTGCCCCCGGACCTCGGGACCGAGAGACGTGAATTGCACAGGAGATACAGAGATGCTGACCTCGACAGCGTGGCCCTCCCTGGCCTGATCATTACTGGCTTGAACGCCTATGTCCTGTGGAACAAGCATTGGGAGCACTGGTCGCACCTGCCGCCTTTGGAGGAGCGAACTGAGTATCCTTACCAGAACATCCGCACCAAGAACTTCTTCTGGGGCGACGGAGACAAGGTGAGTTTGTCCTTGACCTTTCAATGATGCTGAGCCGTAGCTAACCTCCTGTCGTAGACTTTGTTGTAAGTATCCATAATCCAATTCGAAGAAAAAATGATATATTCCGTGGGAACAATTGGGAGAGTAAGACGAACAGACGCTGACCACTTATCCCCTCCCGCAGCTGGAATGACAAAGTCAACTACCACCACAGAGAATAAGCCACCAACCTAGAATACCTTTAGGAGCTGGTGCACGAGTTGGGGTTGGAGATGTTTAAGGAAGTGAACAGTGATGTGTGGAGGGATAGACAGGATGTATATTTCGCCTTGAGTTTTAGAAGTTACAGAAGTGAGGATATTAAAAAAAATTCTGCTTCGTGAACGTGATATGACTGGGTTAAGTGCATTAGAAGGCAGTACAGAGAAGGAAGAGACGAAGCGGACCATTGACTCATCCAGTTCTTGGATTTGGAGAAAGTCAATTGATTAGGTGATGGTGGTATTGCTCTTGAAGAAAGAAACCTCACCTTTAAAAGCACCTTCGACTACTGTCTCCGGCGAGTTAGCCTGAGTGATGTACTCAAGAAACCCGTTAGCCCGTAGCCAACCTTGAGCGTAGAGTCTTACTTCAGAGATGATTGCTATACCCCGTTGTTTCTGCTGTTGTTTCGTGCCATGTGAGGTTCTGATCTCTTTGATATGCGTGTCCTTGAGGAAGCTGGTGTCGGCAACTGTGAGGGATTTGCTCACCCTGGCATTGAGCTTGGTAGGATGATGTGAGAGGATGAGTGAGTTATATATTGAGTTTGGTTGGGCGTCGAAGTGTTAACGAGGGTCAGATATGGGAGCAGAGTGGAGTCAATAGGGTGCTTAGCATGTTTCAATAATCCTGGAAGACGTTCTTTGTAAAAGGTAGGGACACTTTGAAGATGAACAAATAGTCATGTCGAGCCGAGTATTCTATATATTGGGTATCATTATTCAATCAAGCCACTGCTAATGCTGCTTCTTTCTTCAAGTCCAAGTATGCGCTTGCATAGTCATTTGCTTGCACTTTGTCCCCCAATATTCTCATTATCGTGGCCTTCTTGGCCATCATCTCACATTGACCCTTGATGTCCTCCATTGCGGAGTATTCACTAAAAGCCCTGTCAATGAATTCCAAGCATTTAGTTAGGTTCTGCGTCCTCTTCAGACTCCCTGCATCAGCAAGCCCCGCTATGCCCATATAGGCGTCGACGAGGAACGAATAAAGCTGAGCATTCAGTGGGCAGTTTTCGCACTCTAGAGCACGAGGAATGACCGAGATAAGGATTTGAGATGAAGCATGAAATTCGCCGAGCGAAGTAAGGATGTTGGCTACTGCACCCATCGCTGCCCAGAGAGCAGGAATCAGCCGTGCCCGCCAAGCGATGCTGGCTGCGCGAACAGCCACAGAGAACCCTTTCTGGGGGCGACCGGCTTTGTCTTGAAGTAAGGCCTTCATGGTAAGGAGTTTAACTCGCAAATGTATATCATCCCCCGACTCTTTCATCGCCAACGACAATTGTTCGATTTTGGCAAGTGCGCGACTGAAATCCGTGCGCCGTATGAGATAGTCAATGTGGAGGATATTTATCTCAAAGGCAAGTTCCGGGTCCGCGTCGGGTCCGTTGGACTGGAGAAGCTGCGAAAGGAGTTGGTCGGCTCCGTCCAGATTGTTGCGGTGCAGGTCCCGCTTCAGGCGAAGAATGCCTCGATATTTCAACCAGTATTGATTTGCTTTCCACGACCGAAGAGAATTCTCATCCAAACTTTCCAGTCTCTCCATGGCTTCGTCAAAGTGGCCTCTTTCCATCAGGAGATGGGCAATCCGGCATGTGAATCTCAAAGTATCATCGAAGAGAGCGTGGCGGGCATGTGAGCTGAGAAAGACCTCGCAATATTGCCTTGACAAACAGACCACTCCTAGACGTCCCCATAATGAAGAGTACATCGCCATCTGCGCTCCCATCATACTCTTCATATTCTTTTCCACAATGAGCTGAGAGCTCTTCAAGATATTTTCGAAAGCTGTTGCAATACTCTCGCCGTTTGACATACCGAGTTTCGCTTCACTGAGTAGCGATGAGCTCCACAAAGTCCACATGCCAGTTTCCTTAGCCTTAAGGCGAAGAAATACAAGCCCTTCTCTCTCCACGCCAAGCATGTTCGTTGACTCGGCCGCGTCAATGATATCCGGGTGTGCTTTACCGAAATGATACAACCAATTCAGAGCAAAATTAAGACAGGCCATATCTTTGTTTTCCCGTGCGGTCGATACCGTCTCGAGCATAGCAGCTACCGCTTCGTCGAAGCATCCAAAATCGGCCTGTAGAACGGCAAGATTCATAAGAGCATATTGATAGAATAGACGGTCGCGGTTTTCCATGGTATAATCGAAATACCGATGTAGATTGTCAAATGATGTAGGATAGTCACCAGCCCGCCAGGCATCCAGGAAGCTGGTCATAAATTAGAGGAATTCCCTTAGCTTAAAGAAAGGCTTACCTCAAGTAATGTGACAAGCTTGGGATCACAATGCTCTCGTCCAAGACGCTCCTGAATTTGTCTTTGACTTCGACCGGTATTCTAATGCCAATCTCTGAAATCATTAGCACGGTCCGCAGGACTGGCCAGAATGTCGATACCCACTCTGCATCTGTTCCACTTGAAATTCCAACAGCTTCTCAACATCGTCGGTGCTCACACAGCCCTTCTCCCCCTCATCAGTATGCAAGCCGCCATATGCCACAATTTCGAGCATTTCTGCCGCTTCTATTCCCCATTCTCTTTCCCCGTCACTCAACGCCTTGTCCCCAGCCCACCTGTGTAAACCCCCATTCTTCCTCGCCCAATATTTCGCGGACCCCTGTCTCCACCTCACAAAGGCCTCCCACAAGGATAGAGTATTGCTGAATTTCAGCCGGTCAAACTCAACCTTCGCTCTCCGAACAAAACTCCCAAGTGGGGACGTGCGGGACAGCACGATCATGTCGGGGGAGGGGGGAGGGATGCCCAGTTCGCTGTCTTTCTTTAAGTCCTCTCGAGACTTTGCCAAAAGGTTCACAGATTCTGCGAAGAAATTATGTAGAGCATCCAAGCTGTCGATCTCCCATAGTTTTCTGAGGAAATAGTCCCATAGTGTTCGCCCCGGCACGCCAGACGCCGACGGATGGGCTATGAGGAGCTCTTCGAAGGATTTGAGGTCGAGGATGAAAGGGAGGGGTTGCGACGGGGTAGCGGTCTTCGAGGGATACCTGGGGACAGAGGAAGGCAGTAGTTGGTTGATGATGAACGACAGAACAGGAATTGTAGCAGAGGTTGAGACGACACCATATGTGTAAAGCTCAACCAGAGTGAGGAGCCCAATCTTTGAGGGCGTGAGAAACCGGGCCATGGCGAAGACTGAACACGGTTCAATAGATGGAGTTCTACCTCTGTGTGTCCATGCTCCGTCGCGTCGACGGCAATTGCTAAAACTTGGAAGATGCCGCTGGACCTTGCACCCTAAACACCTACAAGTCACTGGTCAGCACGAGAGAAAGAACAAAAAGGCATCGCAGACGCCTTTGGGTCGCTGTGATATGGCATGCCAGACTGTATGAGGTTCTATCCAACCCGCAGTTATGTCCCTCCATCTGCACCTAGACGCGTCGACTCGGCGACGTTGATGATTGGTCGGATTTCCAATCTTTATGGGCCTCGGCTCACAAAAACCTCCCTTACCTCTTCTCTACGTTCATCTCTTGCTCACCAATGACCAACTTGCTCTCCCCATCTCCTTGCTTCCCAGGCATGTTTCTTGCTAGCTGATGGATGAATCTGCTTCAGTAGCGGGAAGTAGTATGGATAGTTGGAAATAAGATAGTAATCATTCGTCGAGGTTGGGCACGAACCCCTCGACGTTTAACAGGAGGTACAGTAGTCCTAAGTCCCACGACCAAACCCGCGGATAAGCTTCCTTGAGCTGGTTTTGGGTTGAACTTGACCTTCTCGTGTCAACAGTGGCTTTTTCCTCTCCATCTCATACTCTTGAGACCACATCGACTCCGCCCGCTCTTAAGCAGCATACATCAATGTCCGCCAGATTGTTTTCTCACCCACTTTCTCCCTTCATTACGGAACCCCTCGTACCTTATGTCAGATGGTACCTAGTCCAGCCAATTCTGTGTCCTGCGACATCCATTTTTGCTGTTGGTTTGGCGATATATGGTGTCTTTTGTTTGTCCTTCAAATAATCAAGAATCGGGCAACAGTTCCATGTCCTATAGGCTCTCTTAACATATCTTCCGGTATAGTCCACGGTTGTGTCTCCCCTGCATATCTTCTTTCAATGCTGTTCTCGACGATTTTGGCCTTCATGAAAGAAATGGCGGGAATGTATTTCACGAGCCCATTGTTTTTCTATTCCGTTTCCTGGGTTATCATCAATTTCTTCAAAACCTCACTTGATGCTCTATTGTGAAATATCACTCTCCAGTCGGTGTTCTCAATAGTGCTGATATGGGGATTATTGGGCTGTTGAGGGCAGAATCCGCAGTAACTCTGGCAGACGTCTTTGTGACTGCCGTATAATCTAGATTTCTGTCAGTACACAACATCCAGATCCAAGTGGCGGATGCTCCTGGTTGAATCTAGGCCGGCATCTGCATTACTGCTTCCCGGCCTCATTTGATAGAACGGCTTCGCAGGGGAGAGGACCTCGACACGGGCAAATCGTAGACTCGAGAAGATTTGACCGCTTTGATCTCTGCCTGCGGAACATCAACGTCAAATACTATCCCTCCGGTCAGCTTGTCGTACATACAGTAACGTGCACTCTGCCTTATACGCTGGTCTAACAAATATAAGGGCCAAACATCGAGGAGAAAGTTCTTATAGGCAATGGCCGGTGCTCCCTTATATTCCTCTGGCATTGTACAGCCACTGTCCCAAGACTATGTGCCAACAAGATTCTGTTCTCCAATACCTCCTCGCTACTCACTTGGCCTAGTACCTGATGCAGATGTTAGTCGCTAGGCTCAGAAACTTACTGTACGTCTTATCTGGGCTTAATAGAAGACGATGTTTGAAGGAAAGGAGGGTAGTCTGTTTCTATTCTTGCTTACCGGAGCGGTCATCGTGGTTCATTCGCCCTGGGTCGCTGATTAGTCCAAGAGACTTGTGTACTTAAGGTATATGGAGTACGAGGAAGTCCGAGGCGATGTTTGTTATATAAGTGAATGGTTTAACAGCAAGGACTTCATGTTGTATAAGTTTGGTAAGAGGTGGGGTATTTGAGAGGGTGGTTTGGAGTCCTAGAGATTTGTCAATGAAGGCTTCAAGCTTGTCATCCGTATGAGGTTCATGCATAAGATTCATTCCCTTCTCGTCGTAGGTCACTTTCAGTACCCAATGTGCTCAGTTGAGAAGCTACCCAGGCGACCTCCCCATACAGGAGCAAGCATCCTATGAATTTCTCCTACCTCGTGTCTTAGTGTTAGTGCCAGAGATCATGTGAAATATCTAAGGAATGGGCTCTGGCTCTGCAAGTTATTTGGAAGTCAGTAAAGTGAGGGGACAGGTAGCCAACCCTGCCACCCTTCACTATTATAGCTGTAGGCTGGCTCTAGCACGCACTGCCGCATTGGCGTAACATGAAAGCGCTTGTTAGCTGACAGCAGACGTTCTTCTCACAAAGATGAATGTGAAAAGTATGTGAAAAGACTATGACCTTAAGGGAAGGGAAGCATTAGAGTGCAATATGGATAAGGAGACAAGGAGGATGAGGGTTGAGAAGGTAGGATTGTAAAGATATCAAAAGCAAAGAAATTCATACCTTTATACATCTCAAATAAGATGTTCATTATCTTTATGTATATAAAAGTGACAAATCGGCATTACTTATATAGATTGTCCTTACCCTTAAATATTTGATCAGATCTCCTGGATTCAGCACCGCCAGACTAGATTGCCCACTGCTGTACTTGAGAAACCGAAGCTGAGAAGTACTATACTTTCTGCCTCTCAATACTGCCTTGGGTCAAACTTCACGTACTTCCAAATCATCAACCTAAATTGTAGGTCAGGATAGTGTGGCACTCGAACGACCTGTGATACTCGACATTTCTTTCATTGTGGTGCTGAGCGAACATTTCTTACCAAGTTCTATCAAGAAGATTCGCAGATCTGCAAGTCTTCTTTCGATTTATTCATTATCCATATCAGAACTCTCAGTCACCTTCCCATCCCGCAGTTGGAAATCGATGGTTCCGAGCAAAGCAGGATCAAACATCCATGACATCCCAACTTCGTCATAAAGCTGGCGACCTACAGCTACTCCCTCACGATACTCAAATTATGTTCTTGCGTTGAGAGAGGAGTAAGGCAGTCAGTCGGTGGGGACGACACATTGCGTACCGGGCTTCAATGCCTTGAAGGTGAGTACTCAGTTGCATCTCCCGGGAAGATCTGTAGAGTCTTCTTGGACTGCATGAAAGACGTCTATTAAATGGAGCAGTCGTGAATAAAGCCATCTTCATTGCAATAAAATTGACCTGAAAAACAATACGCCATGCCCATAGCCCATCCATGGTATTAACTAGATAATTATACATAGGGACTTCCAATGAAAACGGTGTGGTGCCAAACAAAAGATGAATAGTACTGAAGGATCTGGCCCTGAGTTCATCCGTTCAACTCGCCACTTGATATGCCAGAACAGCATTTCCGTCTAATCCTCATTACCAGTGACTACCCTGATCGTGCCCCCGCCGGTGGCTTTTGGCGCGGTGCGCGCTCTGCCTCCACGCATACTTTTAGCCACATTTTTTGCCATACTCTTTCTCCCTGAACGGGCTCCATTTCGAGGGCTCTTATCCCCTTCCACAAGGGTCAAGCTTGAATTTCTAGACGACAACTTGGTCTGACGCTTGCCGTAAGTCTTCACGATCCTCGGTTTTGTCGTCTTTGACGTCTTTGTCACCTTTTTGGCCACTCGCCTTGAGGTGGCAGCCTGGCGTGCGTTGAGGACTCGAGCTGAGACGCTTTTCTTGATGGCCTTGGCTGCATCTTTAGCTACTTTCATGTTAACGGATGATGTAGATCTCTTGATGCCCTTCGCGTCCTTCGTCTTCCTCTTTTTCGGGCTCGGGGTCTTTTCATCACTGTCCTCATTTTCTCCACCCAACAGTTCCTTCAGCTTCCTCTTTCCGGCTTTGACCCCTGCTTTGACAGCCTCTTTGATACTCTCTTTCACCACTTTCTGATCTTTCGGTCTTGGCCCAAGTACACCGCGACAATTGTCGCTCCCACATCGGCACTCCTGGACGTTCTTAGCAGAGAAAGGATCGAAGTTATAGTCGTATGTCAACTCATCCCCAGTCATAATCGGTTTATCACCAGCGAACAGAGCCATGCGTGGTTTTCCACCGACAATCCATTTCACCATTCTGCAATTGGGGTTGCAGGAGTGATTGACGAAGCGAGCAATGCTACCTTTCGTAGCATCGATGATCATATTTTGGTCAAAAGACATCAGGTAATAACACTTAAGGGCAGATTGGTTAGCGAATAGTAAAGTTAGAACAATACTATAAGACTTACGTCGTTGTCCTTATAATCTTCATTCATACGTCGATCACACTCCTCCTCCGTGATAATCTCTCCGGTATACTCAACAATGATCTGATGGGGCTCAAAGCACCGATTACTTCGAACGCCATAGCCACGATCAGCAGTCTTGATTACTTCGACTCCAATTCTGTACTTGCCGCCACCTCTTCGACGTTCTTGCAAGTCGGCGAAAGCTCGATTGGAGCAATGTTCACGACCAGCTGCGCAATTCGTATCATCGCATTCGTAAAGCATGATTCGGTTTTGGCAATTATCATCACATCCAACTTCTGGTGTGCAGACACATTTTGAAGAGAAACTGTCGAAGAGGGAAGATTTTTTCCACATCGCAGCAGCCTCACCAACGAATCGATCTTGATAGTAAAATTAGTAGCGATCATTAAATACATTATGATGATAGAATGGAACTCACTGCTTGATGTTTTCCGCCACTCATCTGGTTTGGGCTGTCCTGGTGGTAAGGGTGAGCAGACATCGAAAGGCAACTTAAAATCTCTTCCAATCTGCAACAGTCGTTGGCCATGCCACATTGGCATTGGAAGAATACCATTGGGCCGGTATGGTGCAATGTCTTGCAGCCGCTCTCTCTCTTTCCCTTTATTAGAGGACCAGTAATCAAAGTTTGTCCCCTCTTGCCCAGCATATAATCCCTTGGTCAGCCAGACCTTCTCTTTTCTCCCGCCAGCCTTCTTCTTATCCACTTGCTTCGTCTCTTCTACCTTCGGGGCCGTCACTTCTTCTTCTTCTTTCTTCTTCTTCTTCTTCGGCGGCTCTTGCGTGACCAATTTGCCTCTACTCCAGACTTCAAGCACAACAGGTTTCAAGTCGATCTTAGCGTATTCGTTTGTGTCTGCCAAGTTTCTGAGTTCCCTCTTTGCCTTTGCCAACCCGCTTTCAAAATTCTCCCGTCCTCTCTTCCCTAGAACACTAAGCTTCTTGGTGAAGTTCTCCACCTTATCGCCCGCTGAACGCGTCGATTTCCGCCGAGCCAGATCCTTCTGTTTGGTAGTCCTCTTCGGGCTGCTGCCTAAACTGATTTGGCTTCTCGACTTTGGTAGTTTCTTTACAGACCACTCCAGGTCCAGTGCATCGATTCCGTCATGGACTAGCTGGTTCGCGTTCTTCTGGAACGTCTCAGTTGAGGAATTGGACAATTCCAGCGCCCCGACTAATGTATCCCCTGAGATTGTCCTACGACGCGTCTGTGTATCTGCCTCTCCGTTGTTCCTGCTGTATTTCTTAGGGGCGTGTATGGCCGTGCCGCTCAAGACCTTAACATTATATGTGCCGACACTGGCGCGCGCCCGACGGCTGCGTCCACCAGACGGTTGCGCTTGAGTTGTCAGGGCGTCTTCAAGCTTCACCACGGTAGACGATTCACTGACACTATCACCGATGCTTGTTGGAGGCGTCGAAGATGAAGATTGCGTGTTTGGGGAGGCGTCGACGGTGATGACACTATTCGTTGAATCCGAAGAAGAGGCACGCGTCGCCTCAGGATGAAGTGAAGTTGCCATCCTATCGAAAAGGGTTGAGAACACCCCCTTAGGTGGTATGTCGCGTCAACGGGTGGTGTTGATAGTCTGGGAACGAAAGTGACGCGAGGAGCCTAGGTGATAAGGGATCGGTTGTCTGTAGGGAGGGGGGAGATCGAACTCCTCTACCCAACAATACTCAAGCTTTTTGCAAACGATTAGGAAGAAGAGAAACTCGGGATTTGTGTACTTGTAGATATCGACGGTGCAGTGTTCGTTGCGGGGTGTGGTGCACAAGGTAATGTTTGTTTGTACTGCGTATGTTAGGTAAGGTGGGTGGTATGCTAGGTACCTACGGTAGGTATACATAAAAGGGAGGCTGGAGGCACCCAATTACGGGAGTACGGCGTAGAAGAGCACGACCACGCTGATTGGCGAGGAGCAATTGGGTTTACCATGAAGAGAGGAAACATCCCTCAATCTTCCTGCATTTGTTCAATTGCGTGCATTTTCATGGGACTTCGATGTTCTTTTACGGGGGAGCACGGAGAGGGTAAAGCACTCTCATTTCCTATTCCAGCCTTCCGGATCCATCTCCTTCGAGTCCAGATCTCGAAAGGAAACTTCTCGGTAGCTGGAGTTGATCTTAGCTGCGAGACTGATTACAATTAATATACAGCTCCCTCTTGCTCCTCTCTTCTTGGTATTCCCGCCTCGTCCTACCCATGTATGATACAAAAGAAGCCAGGCAGTCATGCCAGTCGCTCGGAATGGTATAAAACACATTGACCAAGATAGAAAAGAGATATCCAAGTACGACCTTCCGGTTGGTCGTACCAAAGCACACTAAAAGAAACGCTAAAATGCAAGCACGTAGTAGTAATGCGATGGAAAAGAGCGATGAAACAGACCCCCGTGTTTGATCATGATCCAGTGCTCTTTCCACGCAATGTTGTTGGTCCCTGAAAGCCCCCCTGACCCCAATGAACACTCTGCATTTCCATCGTTGCCCCAGCACCGTCTTCGACTTCTTTCGTTAGCGGAGCGGCACGCTTGTCTCGTCTCTGTCCGAAGCGTTGGTCGCCTTCTTCATATTGCTGCTTGAAGTCTAAGTAGGTTGGAGGCCTTGGTCGGCAGAGGACCACAAGCCAATTCTTGATTACGCTGTCCTGGGTGAAAGGCCGATGACGATCCTTCTTGAGGAATTTGTGGGAATTGAGATATTCCCTCGTTGTTTCTCCCCGGCCCATGAGGAAAAGATGATAGACCATCAGAGCAGCAGGGTAAGGGGTCGCGAGGATGCCGTAGATGAACATTGCGAATGGGACACGAAGGTGACTTATCGATGCACCGAAGGAGATATGATGACGGTTCATATAGACGAGAACGTGTGCCAAACTTGCAGCGAGAAGGAAAAGTCCAAGGATCGTACAACTGGCAACGAAAGTAAAGAAGTAGCGGTAGTTGCGACGGCCAACACAGTTGTTGAGCCAGACACAGTGGTGATCTTGAGTCTCGATACAGTTATCACAGACTCGACAATGATGGCCACGAGGTGGGCGCCAAATGTTGCAGGTTTTGCAATACTTAGTTGGCACTTCCATCGCAGCAGTAGACGATTGAGCGGACTTGATCATAGTCCAGTCATTCATAGGTGGTGCCAATCTAAGAGGATCCTCGTTCTCAGCAGCGGGAGGCATTGGATGAAGGTTACGAGGAAGAATCTGGGACAGGTCAGCTGAGATAAAACAGAACAGATCTTGGGTACCTACTCCAGGGTCAGAAACGGAAGCGTGGATGAAGGAAGACATGCAAAGATAAAATATATAGGCAAATAGAATGGGTATCGCAGGAGAAACGTGGTGCCACAACCAGGACGCTGAAAATACAAAGAAAAGAATCGATGGAACAAGAACAAATAGCCCGGTGGCAATGTTGATTGGTCTGTGTCGAGTATTCTGCAATCGACCTCCCCAGAAGAAAACGGTGTTGCCCTCGAAATACTGATAATTACGTCCAAGGTTCTGCTTGGGCATATCCTTGGCATCATCGAATGTTGTCAGACCGGGAGACGAAGCAGCGGAAGGTAGCTTCTCTCGGCCGTGGCTACTTCGATTTGGACTATTTGGGGCGGCATCTCCTCTCGGGGTTAACAGGAAATTTGAATGCAAAGAGTTGGGCGACTTCGCAGACATAGGTAGGCCTCCACCAGTGTTGTAACTTTTATCTATATTCAGACTCAATCCCTTCCTGTTCGCAGGGTTCTGTTGCAGTGGTCGCACGCTGTCCGTGAGGCTCCTAGTTGCATGACGATCATTCGCTGGACTTGGATTGGCCGTCGTTCTCTCCGTAGTTTCTTGCTCTGTCATCTCCGTTCCGCGCGAAGGGGGTGAACGCCCATATACATCATCATGCGTGCCGGGTCCCTGCATTGCCGTTGAGTTGGAGTAAAAGCTGTTCCTCGTAGTATGTCCACCATCCTCCACTGGTCCATCCTCACCCATGCCCTGCTGTCCCATTGTAGGCGGTCGAGAGCCTCCCCGCTGTGCTTGCAGTCGCTGCGAACTCATGGGACGGAAAAAGGCATGAGAGGTGAGGGAGGGTACATGCGATTTGCTAGTAGCGCTTTGTGGTCGGCCAACAGAGGAGCTGGATACACTCCCTGGTATGCTTGCCCGTTTGCCATTAGCTCCAGAAAGGGTTCTCCGTGATCGGGTTGCTTGGGACCATCCGCCTCGTTGCGAAGAGACGCCAGTCACGCCGGTATTGGGCCTCGAGGTGGCATCGCCCGTCGCTGTCTGCACGCTACGTCTTCGACTCGTTGATTGTGCCACCGAGGACGTCGTCGGGTCTACCGCATATTCTCCTCCATCATCTGATGCTATATCGGTCATCCGCGATGACAGTGTACTTGCAGCGTCGCCCGTCTCGGATTGCGCGACCTGGGCATTGGGGAATGTTTCGCCGGCGGGAGAGTTTGGCATGGTACTTGGAGTATCGCGAGGAGCCATCCTGGCGGGGCTTTCTTCCTTCTCTTCTAGATGATTTTGTAGTCTCACGACATGCCTTCAAACCATATACAGCGGAATCGCGTGGAGGTCAGACGTGTGGTTCCTGGACTGTCTAATGTTGTTGGTTGCCGGGGAATCGAGCTGGACGTGTGAAAGGGAAGAGCGCAGAGACGGCTCATGGGGATGGAAGAATCGAAGAAAGAGAATTGATAGAATGATTAATTAGTAGAGTGCTGTATGTCGCGGTAAGGAGTGCATGATCAAAGGAAGATTCGTACGGGGAGGGAAAATCGTGCAGGAGAGGACAATATACACAGCTATAAACCTTGTACCCAGTACCCTGCGTCACAAAAGGGGAAGAGATTATGTTTCTGTCCAAGCGCCGCCAATAGCAGTTGCCCGACGCCCATCCACCCAACGCTTTGGGACCATGGGCAAGGGTTCGCGCGCCATGTGTGGTCGCGAGTCTGCGCGATCGAGGGCCTCATTACAACCCATCACTTTGCCAATAATCATGCAGAGCAGGCTGCAGCGGAGGAAATGCTACAGAGCACGGGATAGAAGAGGACAACCATGTGGGCGCGAGCCTTGACTCCTGTGGGAGGTCGCGAGAAGGGTCCAATTATTACTCCGAAGGTACATTCGAAGAATCGAAGTGCATTATGATAGAGAACCTCAGGCAGCCACCTTCTCAAGCCTCTGGATTCTTCCACCGACATCGAGACCTCAGGCATTCATGATTTCGGGCTCTGACAATCACCTGACTTCGAAGTGACGCCTTTTGCCGAGCCAACCTCAATTTACCTACGGATACATCGTACCACTCTTTCTCGAGCTTCTACCACCACCATCACTGCACTTTCAACTACTCCGCATCATGTCAGCACAAGCCGCAAGTAAGATCGCCTCGCAAGCCAGCAAGGCTGCCTTCAAGGCCGACGGCCACCTCTTGAACAAGGGGGCAAAGAGAGATCCGGAACTCTACGTAAGCTCCATTCCGCCATTGCGCTCTTGTTCCGGCTACAATTGGCTTCTCACCGTTAATTTTACCTTTCCATGCTGACCTATTTGCAGATCCTCATGGGAATCATGTCCGGAGCCTTTGGTCTGGCCGGATACTATCTCGGTAAGATGCCCTACGACCGGCGGCGACACACGAACATCAATTGACCTCTCATTGCAGGCTCAAAGCCCACCTCCGCAACATCTGAGACCAAGGTCAATGTTGCCGCTGGCGGCATGCCATGGCAGGGCGAGGGCTCTAAGGCCAACGCCGGGGAGGACTTCAGTAAATACAAGTATCACCCCCAGGGTGATTCCAAGAACCCACCTAGGGAGGCTCCAAGCGCACTTCACAGCGTGATTATACCTAACGTCAACTTACCCAAGGTAAGATACATTTCACAGTTGATAAGAGTCTGGACAGATGAGGTGTAGTGTGAAATTTTCTCTGTGTTGTCTTACACGACGACATCTATTCGAGCTTGGACAGGACATTGCTCTTAGTTCTATCTACTACGAATGGGCTGACACATAATGTCTAGGAGTTGCACGAGAAATACAACAAGTGGGGCAAGGAGGGATACTAGGTTAGGAAGGAGAATAGTGATACCGGGAGTATAGAAGGGGAAGAAGCGATTGTACTTTGTGTATATGATAGACGGGGGATACTTCCAAGCGGTTCAACCATCAAATGTAGATACGATCTCTGATTGAATAAATAGATCCCCCAAGATCTATCTGCTGATCAGTTATCGTGAGCACCAAATTTTGCCCTTGAATGAAAATGCGGAAGGGTGTCCCTCACCTGAAGAGCCATATTCGCACTGAATGTCACGTTTCCAGCTCTTGTCTACCTTATCTGGTCAACGTATAGAAATTGGTTTGATGGTCCGCTCAAATTCGGATCCAAGAATAAAGGTGACGAGGTGGCTCAGGTCGATGTGATCAAAGACAGTATACATATCTCTTCGTGTTTGCGTCGAGTTTCTGGAAATCACCGGGCAGACACCCTTACCATTTCTTCTACGGATCGTTGGTTTTGTTCGATTTGCTAAGTTCAAATCTTATCAAAGCCTTGTCATCCGGGTACAGTACCTTATCTACCTAGATATATGCGTCAACAGTCAGGTTACAGACCCCGCCTCGCCGCCCCCCCCCCCCCTCCCCAAAAAAGAACCCAAAAAGCACTAGCCAAATTAAATGCAGAATATTGTAAAAGTGAAGCATGTCTTCTCTCTCTACTTCATGTCTCTATATATTTTGTGTGGTCACCAGAATTGTTGAACCATGGCCCGACTTTAAACGTCGGGAGATTGTCTGGGAAGAAGCAAAAGAGGCTCAGGCTGTCAGTCATGGATACCGTGATGCCACTGAAGATTTCACTTAAAGGGGGGGATAGGTCGTGGGGGGCGGTTGACGGATGTAGGATTATTATTAAAACATGGAGGATAGCTTTGAGAAGATAGGACCATTGATGAAGAAATAATAGAGCAAATGGGCGACAGAAGTCAGAGTTGTAAATTGCGAAAGCTAATATAGATAGAGGTTTACAGGGATGCCGAGTACTCTTCCTTGGGAAAATCATGTAACTCTGCTCAAAACCAAAAGGATCTCAAAGTGCCAGTCTCCTTATCTGGCGAAACACCATGATATTCGCATCAGCCATCTGCAGAGCCTCTTCAGCCCTACCTATCTACCTACCTAGGTAGGTGGGTAGAAGATTTCTGCACGTGATATAAAACACGGGGTAACGTGAAGGACCGTCCGGAGGTTGACGAGATCTAAAAATAACAGAAAAAAGTAAGGTAGCTTCTAGGCCCTACTTGTCATGAAGTGTACGTGCGGCGATAGAAGAGCACATGAATGTAGAGCAACAACACCTAGAAGGCAAGATCAAGTTTTAATCATGGCCTAATTACCCAATTGTCCAGCTATTCAGTCTTGAAGGTTACCTAGTATAGTACCTAGGTATGTAGCAGAATAAGTCGTAGAGAACCAACGCCCGCGCATCCGTCGCTACGAAAGGTGAAGGTGTCGTGTCATTAACTCGGGAAAACTAACACCTAGCAAGGGGCATCGCGCAAACTGTACCTCACCCTACCTTCTCCCTCTGAGAAGCTGCTCGACAACTTCAATGCACCACTTTTAATAATCTTTGCGGCTCCTTCTTTACTTTCTTTAACGCATCGTGACGACTTCGTGGGTAATTGGCGCATCTTCAGGAGTTTGACGCGTGGGGCTGCAAAAGCTCCTCAGTCCTGAGCCTCAAACCCTCTCTTCCTTTGGACCCTTCCTTAACCATCAACCATGGGCCGATCTGCAAAATCATCGTCCCCGAAGACGTCTGTCCGCTCGTCGCCAGCGGCCCCCAGCAAGAAACATGACGATTATACTTCGGAGGGTGTGGAGGACAGAGATGTGTTTCTACTCCCAGGATCAGACTATCGGGTTATGATAGGCGTAACAATCGTGGCAGCCATTGTGAGACTCTTCAGAATATACCAGCCTAGCAGTGTGGTCTTTGATGAAGTCCAGTACGCATTACATGCCCATCATTTCATTGCCCAAAAGCTGACCTGCGCCCTTGAACAGCTTCGGTGGTTTCGCATCAAAGTACATCAAAGGGAAATTCTTCATGGACGTCCATCCTCCCCTTGCAAAACTGCTTCTCACACTTGCTGGTTGGCTAGCTGGATTCGATGGAGAGTTTGATTTCAAGGATATTGGCAAGGACTACCTTGAGCCAGGAGTACCATACGTTGCCATGAGGATGCTGCCAGCCATCTGTGGTATCCTTTTGGTCCCGACGATGTTCTTGACTCTGAAGGCTGCTGGATGCAGAACCATGACAGCTGCCATGGGAGCTGGTTTGATCATTTTTGGTAGAAGCTATCTCCTGGTCTGAAATTGGGAATTGCTAACAGTTTTCAGAAAACGGTCTCCTCACTCAAGCTCGATTGATCCTCCTCGACTCCCCTCTCATGATAATGACCGCGTTCACCGGATTGGCATTCACGTCATTCACGAATCAGCATGAACAGGGACCATCCAAGGCCTTTCAGCCAACTTGGTGGTTCTGGCTTGCTATGACTGGCCTTGGTCTCGGTGCGACGGTAAGCGTGAAATGGGTAGGCCTCTTTACGATTGCCTGGGTTGGAAGCTTGACTGTCATACAATTGTGGGTATTGCTTGGAGACACGAAGACTGTGACACCGGTAAGAATCCCTCTCTACAAGCGTGGATTTTTGCTGATCTGAATAGCGTATCTTTGCCAAACATCTGGTTGCTCGTATCTTCTGCCTGATTGTCATACCTGTGACGTTTTACTTGGCTATGTTCGCCATTCATTTCATCTGCCTGGTAAACCCTGGGGATGGAGACGGATTCATGAGTTCAGAATTCCAAGCCACTCTTAATTCAAAAGCTATGCAAGATGTCCCTGCCGACGTTGCATTAGGTAGCCGGGTCACTATCAGGCATTATAATACGCAGGGAGGTTATCTGCACTCCCACAACCTTATGTACCCAACGGGAAGCAAGCAGCAGCAAATCACCCTCTACCCGCATAAGGATGAGAACAATCTTTGGCTTCTCGAGAATATGACTCAACCTCTAGGTGTCAATGGAGAGGCGATAAACGGTTCGCTTGCGTGGGATGCACTTAGTCCACCAAACTTCATTAAGGACGGGGATACTATCAAGCTGCTCCATATGGCCACTAGCCGCCGACTCCATTCTCACGATGTTCGACCGCCTGTCACCGAGGCTGACTGGCAAAATGAGGTTTCTGCATATGGATATGAAGGCTTCGAGGGCGATGCAAATGACTATTTCCGGGTTGAAATTGTCAAGAAGATGTCAGACGGGGAAGAAGCTAAGAAGCGCCTACGAACTATCGAAACGAAGTTCAAGCTTGTCCACGTTATGACCGGTTGCGTTCTATTCTCGCACAAGGTCAAGCTCCCTGAGTGGGCTTCAGAACAACAAGAAGTCACCTGTGCCAAGGGCGGAACTCTACCAAATTCCATATGGTACATCGAACAGAACGATCACCCTCAATTGGGTGAAGCCGCAGAGAAAGTAAATTACCGGAACCCTGGATTCTTTGGAAAGTTCTGGGAGTTGCAAAAGGTCATGTGGCAAACCAATGCCGGTCTTGTTGAGTCTCATACGTGGGACTCTCGACCTCCCTCCTGGCCCATTCTCAGACGTGGCATCAACTTCTGGGGCAAGAACAATCGTCAGATCTACCTCATTGGCAACCCTATTATCTGGTGGAGCTCGAGCTTAGCTGTTGCGATTTTCGTAATCTTCAAAGGTCTTGCTATTCTAAGATGGCAGAGAGGATTCAAGGACTACGACAATACGGTCTTCAAACGGTTTGACTATGAAGTTGGTACCTCGGTCCTTGGGTGGGCGTTCCACTACTTCCCGTTCTACCTCATGCAACGTCAACTATTCTTGCATCACTATTTCCCAGCCCTCTACTTTTCCGTCATCGCTCTCTGCCAGATCTACGACTATGTCACTGCCCGCATCCCTGGCATTGGCCTCCGGGAACGCCCTTTCATCAGCCGTACCGGAGCCGTTATTTTCTTGACTCTTAGCATTGTTGCCTTCGGACTATACTCCCCTCTCGCATATGGCAATCCATGGACACAGTCCGCGTGCAAGAAGGTTAAGCTATTCGAAACTTGGGATTGGGATTGCAACAATTTCCTGACCGAGGTAATACCGTCCCGAAAACTTCCAAGCCGTGGGAACCGGGGTTAGCTATTGCTTCAATACTGACCTACCTAGTATTCCCAGTATTCGACTCAATCTATTATCCAAAACGCAGTACACAAGACAGACACACCTTCAGTGGCAACCGATATTGCTGTGCCACCACCACAGGGTGAGCAGAAGCCCCTCGTGCAACAGGACCAGCACATATCAGAAGCTCCTGCCTTAGTGTCTCCGCCTCCCAATGTGCTAGGTCACAGTATAGTTTCTCGTGAAGAAAAGGTTGAATACAGAGATCAGGATGGTAATCTTCTCGATCCCGAGCAAGTTAAGGCTCTGGAAGGAAAAGTCAGTTTCAAGACCCGATACGAAACCAGAACTCGGATGGTTGACGCCCAAGGCAACGAGATCCACGTCCCTGAGGAGGCGGGTGTCGCGCCACCTCATCCAGATGTGGAGGGTGTTGACCGCGAGACTGTTGGCGTTCCAGAGCCTGATGTTCAAGACAAGCCTGCCGCTCAACGTGAAGTCAAGGCTGATGAGAGCAAGGAGGAGAGTATCGTAAAATCGGATGCCGGTGCTGCAAAGCCTGCAAGTGAAGGCAATGAGGCTACTGCTGCGTAGACTCTTTCCTGTGTATGGTAAGGGAAAATGTAGCATTGGAATTTCATTTTGGCCGCGCACCTCTGTAAAATAGGAAATGAATCTTGTTAGCGTCACATCCGGAAAACCGTGCAGCTTGAATATCAATATTCTTGTATTAACAGGTCCTCCCATGATTCCTTAGCTTTTACTGTTGCGTTTTCAGGTGAAGACCCGAAGAACGCACGCCTACAAATACTTGGCAAAGAAGCCCAGGAATATACCATACCCGCGTTCATATTCCTTCTTGACCTTCTCATCCTTCAAGTCGCTTCTCGCGCTCATCCACCCATGAATCTGATCGCCAAACACTTCCACGTGCTTCTCAACCTTCAGGGCCTTCTCCCATGCCTCGACCTCACTTAGAGATTCATCCTTAGAAGCTAGCATGCACACAGGAATAGTGATCTTCTCGGCATCAGCAGGGTCGATCATTCCTGGGTGCGCCTGGACGGTTGCTTTGAACGGCGTATCGGGGCCGGAAGCCAGGGAGATTACTTTGCCTCCCCAGCAAAACTATCGACTCTGTTGTTAATGGCAGTACTTCGTTGTAAGGGGAAAGGGGGGGGGGGGAAGAATAAGATAGGAATAGTATTATTACCCCAACGGCACCCCAGGTCTTCTTCCCGTATACATCCTCGATATCCTTCAAGATCTTGGGGATCTTGGGTACGGCAGTTTGGGGCGTGCGAGAGGGAAACCATGAATAGAGCGCTGTTTTCTGTTCCTCTGTCTCGGGGGGATACCTTTTGGGGTATTCAGTTACTTGGATATCCATGGATATCGGTAAATGCAAAGAGAGGGGCTATGTAGGTACTTACCAGGCGATATCGGCAGGCTCCCCTTCGAAGAAGTCGGGCATGAACACCTGGTAGGAATGTTCCTTGTCCGATGTGGCTAGGATATCAGCGCCTTGGAGCGTCTGGGGGAAGAAACCAAAGATGTCGTAGATGATGAGGATGGCAGTCTTGGCATCGGCTGGACCCGTGACATCTGGATATTCTTAGGAGATGGGGTATAAAAAGGGGGTTTCTCCCCATCGCGTCGGATTGGGCCATGTTGAGATGATATTGTATGGGGACATACATGTCTTCAGACCGCCGCCAATGGTCTCATACTTTCCCTTGTGCTGGTACCCTTTCGAAATAATCGGAGGGATGTTGCAGCAGGCTTCGCTGTGGCCATCAATGGATTCCATTTTCTGTTTAATTGACAGACTCTCTCTACGATTCTTCTTCTTGAAGTGAGGAAAAAGATGGGATGTTGAGATACGGTATTGTTGTTGCGCGGGTGCACATGTGAGGCGCAGCAACCTTGCCCATCCGCGAGGAACTGACGACCCCGCTGCGCATCTTCTGCGTATCACATACCAGACAACTCCAAAGGGACGTTCGAAGTTGAAAAATGGGAGTAATTTGGCACTTTGGTCAAAATACGCATGAAGCACGAAGCACTAACCACTGCTGAAATCTAGCTTCTGATTGTAACGGAATGATCTATAAACTCAATAACATCGCTGTCAACTTCCCTCAAATATCAGAACTTTACCAGCCAGACCTCATGTATCCAAGATCTACTTGGATACGTCTTTTCCCTTTTAACCGTTGAATTTTCATGTTGTTTTCATCTCTTACTCTTCAGCTCCTCCCCATCAGATGTCTAAGAACCGAAATGCAAATATAAATGCATCCGGCTCATGTAGCGATGTCTAAGTTTGTCATAAAAATGTATCCCAAATCATGCGAGTTCTTGGCATTTGATCATAGACGGTCCAACAAACCCTGGCTCTCAAGCATCAACACGATTTGGTGAACAGCGCTTCTGACACTCGTCTTCTCGATATCAACAGTGAGATCTGCCTTCACAGGAACCTCATATGGGTCATCCACACCAGTGAAACCCTTGATTTCACCCCTTCTTGCCTTCGCGTAGATACCTCTCTTATCTGTCTTCTCAGCATACTCCAAGCTGGTGGCAACATGGACGAGGTAGAAATCTCCATATTTCTCGACCAATTCCCGAGCATGCTGTCTTGCATCCTCGAACGGAGCAATTGGCGCAGCAATCACTGCAGCTCCAGAACGGGTCAATTCCGATGCAACAAATGCGATGCGTCCGATGTTGCGCGTTCTGTCGGCACGGCTGAATCCCAGCTCTGAGGAGAGCTCTGAACGAACAGTCTCACCCAAGAGGAGAGACACAGATCGGCCTCCTTGTTGGTTGAGGGTAACGTGAAGGGCTCGAGCGATTGCATCCTTTCCGCTGTTCTGGTAGCCGGTGAGGAAGACGGTGAAACCTTGTGCGGAGCGTGGAGGGTGCGATTCTCTCAAGACGCGGACAACTTCGGGGTAGGAGAACCATTCAGGAATTTCACGTCCAGTGCGCAGTCTGTTACGAAGCTCTGTGCCCGAGATATCAAGAGTGCGAACGCCTGCTGGGACCTCATCCTTAGGTCGGTATTCATCGCTGTCTGGGAGGTATGTCATCATCTGGAAAGGAACGACTTCAATTCCGAGCTCGTCTTTGTATTTCTCAACGGCATGTTGCGCATCGTACGGACCATAGAACTCTTCGCCCTTGCTGTTCTTGCCAGGCCCAGCGTGGTCCCGGCCCACGATGAAGTGAGTGGCTCCATAGTTCTTTCGGATGATGGCGTGCCAGATAGCTTCACGGGGTCCACCCATTCGCATAGCTAGGGGTAGAAGACCGAGGACGGCCATTCCATTGGGGTATCTTGGGAGCAGTGCTTGGTAGACACGAACACGAGTAAAGTGATCAATGTCTCCTGGCTTCGTAAGTCCGACGACAGGGTGAATCAGAACGTTGGCTTGACGGGCTCTTGCGGCTCGGACCGTTAATTCTCGGTGCGCACGGTGCATAGGGTTTCGGGTTTGGAACGCAACAACTCTCGACCAACCGAGCTTATCAAAGTGCAGACGAAGTTCTGCTGGGGTGTCTTTGGGCTGTCAAAATCTGTAGAAGGAAGGTTGGAGTAGGGAATCTTACATCTTAGAGCAACATAGTCGTAATGCTCCAGACGGTTGATAGCATCAAGCTTTCCTCCAACATAGTACTCGCCAGCTGTGTTGTACAAATATTTAACTGCAGGGTGGTCTGGGTCTCCACCAAAGACCTCCTTTGCCTCCTTTTCCCTGTTGATTGTTAGAACTAGCTCACGCATTAGAGGACTGCGCGAACTTACTTATCCGGCTTGTAAACATCGTCGATCGTAATGATCGCGAGGTTGTTGTCGTCACGGAAGTCTCGAAGAGTGACTCGTGCTCCTGGCTTCAAGCCTAGCTCTTCGACCTGTTTCTTCGATACATCAAGAGGGATTGGCATGCTGAAGAGTTTGCCATCTGCCAATCTGTTCTTCTCGACCACGCTGTGAACTGTGAGTCGGTGCTTCATTCATGGCATTAATAGTGACCATACCCATTGTAGTCCTTTTCGTTCATGAAACCTATTGTGAAGACCGAGAAGTCAGTGTTGCTTTCTTCCGAGAATAGCGAAACGGTTGCTTTGCCCTGGCGGCGGGGTCGATCATGCAGTTTGGTTACCCCACTATAGAAAAGAGGAACACACCTTCCAGAGGAGAGAAACCCCCACTCAGGATCAATTCTAAATCGCAAAGCTGTCTCTCCGTCAAGACGATTGCAGGCAGCTTCTCGGCCTCTGCGGCAAGCTGGTCATGCTTGTGCGCATCTCGTGCGAGGAGGTCTCTGGTGAACAGTCAGCACAAAGCGCAGTCGGGAATGGGTCTTGATGTCGGTTACTGACTTCAATTGTCCACCGTGGGGAGAATTGGCCATGTTTGCTGAGACTGAAAAGGACTGAACGGGCTGAGGACGGGCTGGATAAGGCTCAAGAAGAAGGAGTTTGGAGGTGGAAACGGAATGGAGGGGAGAATGGCGCAACAGGTCTCGAAGCCAAGGAGAATAATTTTTCTTTATACCGACGGCAGTTCTATCTACACAGACACCTCCGCCGCCGATACAGGAGTAGGTAAGCCGGAGCAGATTAATAAACTCCGCGGAGGTCACGTGAAATAGATCTAAAAGATCTTATCTTATCTATGTTCCTTGTAGAGACCGGATATACACTATCTCCGTAAGCCGAGGATGACTAAAAGCCGCCTTCTCCGCGTATCTTGTAGCTTCATATTTTTTGGGGCTTAAGTGAACCTCGATTGACAACGATCCCTCTACCAGATCTATCTAAGATGTCAGTCGTGCAAGGTGTCAAGGGCGAAACGTCGCAGCAGGCAAGATCTCTGGTATGTGTGCCACAACCTCGTTTTCATTCTTGCCACTGAGGGCAACATAAGAGTGCCTCTGACCGAGGCTACGCCAACAACGATATGGACCTATGAAGTCTCGCTGACAATCACAACAGTACCGTCAGTTATTACGGCAGGGCGATCAGTTCGCGGCATACAACTTCAGAGAATACGCGAAAAGGAGGACGCGCGATGCGTTCAGAGAGCATAAGGACGTTCAAGATCCGAGAGAGATTCAGCAATTGATACAGAAGGGGTTGAAGGAGCTCCAAAGCATGAAGGTGCGTAGAAGAGTTAGGATGGGTCCTTTATACTCTCTCCAAGCAGCCGGATCCTCTTGGATATGGCCATACAGTGGAAGGAGGCCTGCTAATATTTTCGGCACAGAGACAAACGGTTATCAGCCAATTCTTCCAGCTGGACCGATTAGTGGTGGAAGGTGGCAAGTCGGTATGTCTCTCCTCGATTGCTCAGAAGACATTAACTGATATCCTGTACAGGGCAAGCAAGGAGGGCGGAGGAATGATATAGTTCGGCAGAAGGATACTGGGTAAGCAGGAGTTCCTTCCGTCTTGAGAACGCAGGGAACTAACTCTTGACAGATGGGACTGAGGAGGGAAAGGATTTCCTGAGCACGAATTCCATATGTGTAAGCGCGTGAAGTTATGCTAAGAGAATGGGGATCCTGAGCACTGAGCATTAATTGTACACCACCTGTAGATATGGAGTTCGATGGGTCTCTTGCGAGGCAAGCAAGTATATTTTATGAACAGCAGCATCGAAATGGAAATGCGCCTACAGCGCCTCTCTCGGAGCACAAGTTATAGGTTGCAGTTTGATGATCTGGTGGTTTCTTTTCCCCAGCTTCTTCAATTACCTCTGCTTTGGCTGCCTTGTTGACGCCCGCTCAACCAGCCTTTGAGTATACAGCATCCGCACACCCGGGTTACTTTGACGGAGGTAGCCAGGCAAACGTTTTCAATCCGTGTTATTAAAAGAATAAATGTCATTTTTAGATCATTGTGTACGACCACCGACCGCTACCTTATTTCCTTCCACCCCTGAGACCGCTGTCACGTGGATGCACTACAAGCGCGCTCGGCCACCGTAGCATCAACAGCTTCGCCATCAGGATTCAGGGAAGCTCGGTTTGCTATCTCATCGCGCCTCCCCTTGACCTGGCGCGCGCGCGTTCTGTTCTGAAAATACTCATCTTCACGCCCGAACTGAGGGGAAGATGGCACCACCTGCGCCTGTAAGTTCAATGCGTGATGCGCCTGAATTATTCACCAGACTGAGTTGCGCGACAAACAGTATAGGCCTCAAAATAATAGACGGCAAAATCGCACGGGGTATGTCGACCACGATGTTTTCGAAGGCCTACCAGTTCGACATTGGCGTCGCGACTATGTGACGGTGGCACCGGCCCCGCCTCCAGATAGCACCCCCGCGGAGGACGATACTTGGGCGGTTGAACTTCCCCATGGAATGCCCAAGGATTCTCACCTCTTACCCCAGCACAGTCAAGATCTCTTACGCGCTGCGCGGTCTGGCCGAATATTCAAGCGCCCGGCACCAGCTGAGGAGGAAGAAGTTGACACCGAGGCTATATCTGGAGATAAAGTGGAGAAGAAGGATGACGATCCAAAGAATAGAGGCTTTATGGCCAGGGCATGGAAGCAGGTACCGCGTCACCTGGAAGGACCCGATGTCGAGTATTTAGCCAAACGGAGGAAAGGCCTTATCACAGTGGCATCGCAATCCTCCGATACGGTAACAACATATTCCAAGGCGACGGTGAAACGCATCGATGCAGCAGGCAATGAGTACATACAGGACGTTGTGGTTCCGCAGGGTCAGCAAGTCGAAGGGGAAATAATCTCGCAAACAATCATCCAAAATCCGAACACTAGGGCATTAGGTGATGGACCACTTGCGCCCCCAGCCCCATCGAGACGGAAAGGCCCGCCGCCGAAAAAGAAGCCAAAAAGCACAGGGAAAGGGAAGAAGAAGAAGGCAATGGCTCCTACTAGCGCCCCTCAGATACCAAACGCTGAAGTCGTTGCTCAAAGTTCGGATGGAGCTGGTGGAGCTGCTGCCCTTTCTGTGAGTATCGAAATTAAGATCCGTCTTAGGTGCACCAACTAACTCCGTATAAGGATGTCAAAACCGAGAATGAGAATGGCGCTGCAACTATAAAGGATGAAGATGTAGAGAAGGCTGATGACCAAATGGTAGTATCTGATGACGATGAAGGCGAGGAAGGAGAAGAGGGCGAAGAAGGAGATGACGACGAGGAGACCCCCGACAATCACGACTCACCTTCTAAACAACCACCTTCACCTGTATCTGGTAGCGCCACAGCGACAGATGAGATTTCGAGTGTTAATCCTCTAGATACCGAGATGACTGGCGTTGCGTCTACCAATCCTCCGATGCTTAATATTGATCGGGAAAGAATGGGGACTAAAGCCGGAAGTCCATTGAAGAATGTGGCTTTAACAACTTCTACCCTCGCATCCCCTCTCGAATCACCAACCGGCGCCTCTCCAGCCCAACTACAAGAACCCGGCCAGAAAACGGAGCCTGCTGCTATTGATGAAGCTGTGCAGCGAGAGGTTGTGGAAACCGCACCTACTATCCACCAATCAACCCCACCCGAACCTGCGATGACTGAGGTGGATGCAACCATGGAAACCGGACAAGAAGAGGATGAGATGTTACTTGACACCGTTGATAATACCAACAGTTCTGATAATTATGGGAACAAAATAGCCCCCATCACTGCTCCTAAAATTGACGCTCCTATAGAGAAGTCGGAGGTTGCTGGAGCTACCCCTTCTGAGCCAGTGGAAAGCCAGAAAGGACAAGAGACCGAGCCCCGACCACTGGAACCGCAGACTGTAGAGAAAGAAAACGTTGAGTCTGCTCCGCCAGCAGACAACGCCCAGGCTGTCGAGGATGATGCCGGCGACTTCCCGGATCTTTTAGGAGGTTTAGAGAAGAAGTTAAATGAACCTGTGGCTGAAACTCATACTGCTGAGCCCGTCTCGGATGCAGTTGAGAAGCAAGATACCTGAGAAATCTATCAAGGTGGGGCTGAGGAAGTCAGATATACACGGTAACGTGGCGGAGACCGCGGAAAGCGAGGAGGAAGATGCTTGATGGTTTGAACAACGGTAGCATTGCAATCTTACCGAGCGTGTATTTGTAGGACTTGGATGCAGAAAGCACTTTTTATGGATCATTTATGAGCAACTGATATAACGGTTAGGATCTGCTTAAAGTTGGATGGTCGGCGAAATATATTTTATGGAAGTCAATGATGATACCTTTATGACAACAACCTCTCTCCTTAGACTTGCAGGAGCAGTAAGCAGAGAGTCTTCGTTATTTCAGTACTATTCGAATGCCATGCTTTGGAATTATACTAACGTATGAACAAGATATATCTGGTTGAACTTCCCACCGCAGTTTTGCAATGCCTGGGTTTTACTTGTTGGTATATGAGACCAAATGAAAGAATAGTAGTCACATACGACCACAGACTGAGGAGAACTGGGCATCCCGTCCGCTCTGCCATACATAAGCCTCAGATCGGTAGATTAGTAGTTGGGTGGGTGACCACCAGCGAATACCTACTGTTGTATGTTCGTTTCTTTTTTGTAATTTTTTCGCTGTGCCAGATATTGATGATTAGTCTATGTGGTAAAATAAGATAGAAGCGGATACATACGACCATAGACTAAGGAGAATTGGGCATCCCGTCCGCTCTGCCATACACAAGCCTTAGATCGGCAGATTAGTAGTTGGGTGGGTGACCACCAGCGAATACCTGCTGTTGTATGTTTCTCTTTTTTCTTTTTTTGGACTACTGGACGTACCTCGGGATCTTGAGACTCTGGTTCTGTCTGATCTTCTTTGACTTCTTGTCTTTTCTTTGAGTCTCGAAAACATCGCACGCTGGTCGGACTATGTACCAGGACCCTTTCTTTCATTTTGCTTCTGCCGTGGTTATTGACGAGGGGCGCTGGAAACGTATCGACTGCAGTCTTGCTGGAACTGGCAATGCCGCGAAGTAGCAGAAAGAATGCCAGCGTTCCCCGACATTTTTATAAAATGAATCACTATGAGGCTTTTCATCTGCAAGAACTTACCTCATGGGCCAACTTCGAACTTATCATGCATTATCCTGCAGGACGCACATCCATGCATCAGAAATATAAATCGCTGGAAGGGTTTCCTCTGGATAGTTCAAAGGCATTCGGGAATTGGCAAATCACTACCCGCTACTCTTAGGAATCAAGTATAAAATGCCCTTGGCTAACTAAGCTTTGCTTATCTTCGTTTTGTGCATCGTTCACACAGGAAAATGTGCTGGTTTTGAATGCCGGCGATGGCTTACCTGGTCATGATCGTCAAAGGAGTTGATACATCTTCGCGGAGTTTGAATATTTACCCGTACTTGAAGCTTTTGGATGAAGGCAATATAAAAACCTAGTAAATTCTATGGGCAACTGCAGGATTGTATGTGATTTCCGTATTATGGTGCACAGTATCGCTCTCGAAAACATACCTGATCTTGGGAAAGGGGGCTCGTTGCGATTCGCTTAATTCCTCCAATGAGGATGCGGAGCTCGACATCTGGTATTTACAGGAGAATACCTAGGTAGCCAGCAGTTTCTGGACCATACCTAGAGCTAGTCTGAAGGCGATGTGTAGATTGGGTATAACACGGCTCTGAATTGCAACTGTTTCTCGGGTACTATCCGCTAGATCAAGAGACTCTGTGTCGGTGACATCATGCGCATGTCAACTTTGCGTAGCGAACTGTCAGTGTCAATATCATAAGGCTTTGGATCGAGTTTGACAACACCGGCATTAGAAGTAAGGTATCCAGGGACACACTTGCAAACGGACGGCCGAGCTCCTCCTTTTAACGATGTCCTTGATCTTGACCGGCTCCTCTGAACTCTCCGCCTCGCTCTTCACAGTAACTCAACGGCTCCCAGGAAGCGAGCGACGCCCTGACGGTAACCGGAATACTTGACTTGGGCACATTCAGATGTTAAGGCCTTCCCAAATCTAGAAGACGTCGTCCCTGTACGGTATATACCTTACATGCCTGTAACACACGGATCGAGGGGAGTTGTTCAGTTGAAACGTGAGCCTTACAATACCGACAAGACCACGCAAGAGCCATGTCCAGAAATCGGAGGATAAAGACACCCGCCGATTCAATCCGACGACTTCCTGATGATTTCAGCCGGCTCCAGCACCTGACAGACATCACGTGTAATGGCGTGCTTCATTGCCCCTGCGGCACGTCCCCCGAAAATGTGGGGGCGAGATCGATTATTAATGGTCTGGGAGAGAGCCTTACCGCAAAGCGCCCCGAGTGCCGTGCTCCTGGTCGGCACAGCCAATGGCAGACGCTCGCTTCCGGGTTTCAGCGGGGTCCCAGGCTTTCCACCTAAGGCTGCCAGGCAGCCCACCGGCGGCCGGCGTTACCGTTTTCCCTGAAAACGTACTAGCGGCGAGCACGCAATTTGGAGGGGCCTGCAAAGCAGCAAAAGAGTATCAATGTCATGGCCGTGATGGCGACGTCGGCCGGGCAAATTTCTCATGGCCAGGCCAGCAGGGGAAACGGCCATGGCTCGTAAACGCTTTGATCGGGCAAAAGGTAAGGTAAGGGAGGGTCACTACTAAGCAGGAACCTACCGTACGCATCTGCCTTTGATGGAGCCTGTCACTGGCCTCCCCATTCTTCCTTGTTGATCTCATATGTGTGTGCCCTCCTCCCACATTTTCCCTTTTCCCTTTTCCCTTTTCCCTTTTGCCTTCTGCTTTCTGCTCTCTCCCCTCCTCTTGTCTGCCTTTGAATCCGCGTGAGACATTGCTTGTGTCATCATCTTACCTTGCCTTCTTGTGCTCAATTCTCTGCTGCATCATATCCTCAAGCACATCATCCCTCCTCGAGATCACATCATTGGCCCCTCTCGCCCCTGATATACCCGATTTGTCTTCCTGCCAAAGAGCAAGAAGCATTCTCTACCCCTTGCCTCTTTCCAAATCCATACTTTCAACACCAGCCACGTCAAAATGGGCGCCCACCGCGAATCGTCCAGCTCGAACCTCGAGTCTGGCTATGCCTCAGGGGCTTCATCCGCCAGCAGCCTTCCTCAGATTGTTCTCACTAAAGAACACCTCAAGTTCCTCAACAGCACCCTCAACAACCTCGAGCCCATGGATATCCTCCGCTGGTGCAAGATCGCTTTCCCAAATCTCTACCAAACGACGGCCTTCGGTGTCTCTGGTCTCGTCACCCTAGACATGCTCTCTAAACTTCAGACCGAAACTCCATCAGCACCCTCAATCGACGCAATTTTCCTCGATACCCTGTACCATTTCCAGGAAACCCTGGACCTCGTCGAGAAGACCAAGGTCAGGTACCCCAATGTCAACCTTCACGTCTACAAACCCGAGGGTTGTTCCACTGCGGCCGAATTCGAAGCAAAACACGGAAAGGAACTCTGGAAGACAAACCCCGATCTGTACGATTGGGTTGCCAAGGTTGAGCCCGCACAACGAGCCTACTCGGATCTATCCGTCGCGGCTGTTTTGACTGGTCGTCGTCGGTCTCAGGGAGCGAAGCGCGAGAGTCTGGAAATCATCGAAGTCGACGAGGCGGGGCTGATCAAGATCAACCCGTTGGCAAGCTGGAGCTTCAAGCAAGTGGAGGACTACATCAGGGAGAACAACGTTCCATACAACGAGTTGTTGGACCGGGGTTACAAGAGTGTTGGCGATTGGCACTCTACCGAACCCGTCAAGGAGGGAGAAGATGAGAGAGCCGGGCGATGGAAGGGCCAGGCGAAGACGGAGTGTGGTATCCACAACAAGAGAAGCAAGTATGCTCAATTCCTCTACGAGGCGGAGCAGAAGCGCCAACAAGAAGAGCTTGCTGCTGCATTAAAGAAGGTTGAGCTCAAGGAGGGCAACGCTGAGGAGATCGCGGCATGATAGCAAGAGCTATGTTTTGATCTCGAGATTTTCCTGACTTGCATTTCTCGGAGTTGGTGGAGGCATACGCCATGGCGTTGTGGGAAGATATAAAGGCGTTAATAAGGGTATAGCGAGCGAGAACAGATTTTGCTGCGTTTCATGAAGGGATGTCGCTTTTGCAGTTGCATCATGAAATAGTTTAAGGCACAGAGCCATGATCAAGATAGAAACGAGGAAATGTCAAGACCACATGACTAGAATCATCGTCTTTGTGCTGAATGCAGAATGTGGAGTATTCCATGTGAAGTCCTGACGTTGATTTTGAAGAGGTCAGGGGCCGTTGGATTAATTACCCCGCGGGGTGGTGCCGTACGACTTCGCGAGAGCTCAGGGGTATTCGTGCCTTGGAGATCGACAACGGCCAGATGAGGTACTCGACCGTACTACCTGCAATCACCAGGTAGCCCTGTGGAACCTATCATCAAGATTAGCAGCGGATAGATTGCCAGAGATCCATATCTGAGTCAGGACACAACCTGAGATGTCCAGGACAAGCTGCAGGTATGCATGTTTGCCACCTAGAAAGGAACATCAAAGATATCATCAGCGACAGCTAGACGGGCCGGGCGATGAGAGTTCTTCAATCGAAGCTGTCTATGTTGTCGTTGCTGTTGTCGAACATGCAGCCACAAGCTGACTAAGCATGGGGGGTGCAAACCCCTGGATGGAGGAGCTTGTGGCGAGGGCGCCAATGACGACACTGCTTTTGGGATGAAGATGAACAGGATATTGTTGGTTAACCAGAGCTCTTCATGAAGAATTCACAAAAAAAGCTATTGCGCATTTCCAAAGGAATCCTTGCGAGATTTTACAACGATCCCGAAGAGAGAACTCAAAAATGTCAAGCGTGCTCGATAATGCCAAAGCGAAGGCGAAGGAGGTTGCGTGAGTTCGTCCCCGGGAATGCACGAGATCAAAAGCGCTAACAATTATAGAATTGAGGATTTTAACAAAGCAAAAGATCTGGCACAATCAGCTGCTAAATCTGGAGCCTACTTATATCCTATCAAGGTCAGTTGGTCGTGGCGGCTGTGGATTGATCTTCTGAACCGAGCACCCTCTGACGCTCCACAGGGTATCTTCTACTTCCTCAGCCATCGGACATTATGGAAACCCCTCCTCTCCAAGCTCGCCCCAACTATGACGCTCTCGGTTGGGGTGGTGAGTTTTATGTTTGTCTTCGCATACGTCCCGCAACTGGCCGTTCTGGTCTTCGTCAATGGGCCACTTGCGGCATTCTCTACGGCTCTTTTGACCCTTAGCGAGAGTTCTGCTATCATAACCTTCCTTTCCAGGAGATTCCTAATCCAGGATACTTTAGTCGATACATTCGATGGGGTTCTCCTCGCCAGAAACCAAACAGCTGTGGTGGCTGAAGGCCGTCAGCTGAAAGCGGGGAATTTCGGTGACCCGATTGGCAAGTTAGGGAAGTTGCTCAAGTCGCCGTTCGACAACTTTTCGACAAAGTCACTAGTGAGATATGTCCTGTATCTACCCTTGAATTTTATTCCTGTGGTTGGAACGGCCATGTTTGTGCTCCTACAGGGTCGCACCCGGGGCTACTCAGTTCACAACCGTGTAAGTCACGAGTACGATCGTATTTGCTGGCAACAAAACTGATGGCATTGCTTCAGTACTTCCAACTCAAAAAATGGCCGCAATCAGAAAGAGAGGCTTGGCTTAAGGAGAACACCGCTCCGTATACAGCGTAAGTCTGAGTGAAACCCAATAGCAGACGGGGCATCACCTCGCGCAGGTGATAAGCGCTCTGATTTCAAGCTTCCTGTCTGATATCACTCTCTCTTGTAATGTCCACTGGTACTGGTCTTGAGCCACGCAGGATGGGAGTGGAGGAAATTTACAGATGCTAAGTTCTTGCTAGGTTTGGCACTGTTGCCACATTCCTGGAACTTGTTCCAGTCGCATCCATTTTCTTCTCGTTCACCAACACAGGTCACATGCGCCTCCCCATCCAGTTTTAGCACAAGCTGATTATTCCTAGTTGGCGCTGCATTATGGGCAGCAGATATAGAGGCTAACAATACTTCTATGACTGAGATGACGACCCAGAAATCTCGAGGAGGAGGCAAAAAGACCGAGTAGGGAGAGCAGAGATGCAGCCACCCGAAATTAGAATTGGATTCGTGCAACCATTTTCTCGTTGAGATGCTGCCGACCACTCGCTTCAGGTAACAGTGCTGTCTTCGCACCAAGCCACGACTTTGATGATCTTCTTTTCTTCAAGTCTTGTTTTCACCCCTGCATTATTCGTTTGTTCCTTATGGCTGGGTATTTTATTTCAGGGTAAATTACGCGGGGAGTGGAGACGCAGAGCTGAGCAGGAAGCAGGAAAGGGGGCTTGTCGGGTTGACACTCCATCTCATAGCTATAGGTCACCGCATCTGCATATATTGCATGTAAGGTTTCCCAAAGTTTCTCGGGTCCCAGAATATGAGTGACCGCTGTGCATTTCTTCCTGTGACTTTTGGTCAATCCTTTTCTTAGATGGGCCAACCGGGTTGCTCAAGTCCTACTTCAAACAAACCCACATCGGCATCTGAAGCCAGTATCCGAAGTCGACGGTAGATCTGCAGGTTTACAGATCGGCAGCTACTATAGTGGAAGACGGAGCCCCGGTTGACGTCCCACCAGATCAGGTGATGGATGACAGGATTCTGTTCTCGTACGCCGCGGAAGGCGGAAGGCTGCTGTCTCGTCAGGTACAACTATTGCCTAGATACATTGATGCTCTACAGACATCCCGCTGTTCCTAGCAGCTCAGCGCATCTCAAGCAGAGAGTCCAGAGACACATGAGGCTTCTCACAGAATTCCTAAGGACACGACGGCGAGGCCTTGAGTTAGTCTCACGAGTAGTAGATACGGTGCGGGTACTTGCCCCGTACCCCGCCGATGAAACGGGGGGAGGAGAAAGTGAAAGGGCTGTGAATATGTGGAATCCGGTGTAAACAGAGAAGATGTGGATGGTGCACTTTCTATTTTTCGAATTGGAGCGGGAGGCTCCGGGCTACTATCCCCTCCCAAGCGATGCCCATATATATTGTCTCCTCGACGTCCTCTGCAATCTCCTTTTCCTTCCTCTTCATCTGCCTTCAGCCCTGTCAAAGCTGACAGCCCTTCGAATCGACGTCCTGGTCTTCGAAGAGACTTTGTCCTTCATACTAGATACAATACACCTATCTCTCCTGTCACCCATCATCAGCTTTGGAAGCACCACACTCGTTTGTTCACGTCTCCATCCGGCCTTCTCGCTGCAAAGGGTAGCCTTAAGTAAGTACGTGCCTGGTTTTCATTAAGAAGTCCATTCCTACAATCAGACTAGACATACTCGTGGAGAGGGTAGCACTATCATCCACTCGAAGGAACACCGCCCGAAGAGAATGATGGCTGACGCGTTGTTTCATTAGGACAAGATGAAGAACCAAATTCTTGAAGCCAGCCTTCTGTCAACGGCTGTGCTTCTCATCTTGGTTCCAGTAACCCAGGCAGTGCCCCACTGGATGAAGCCACACCGTCGTGAGTATGAACCGCGTCAGTACTCGGTTTATGAGCCTCCTCCGTACGGTGGGTACTCCTATGGAGGCTATGGCCCTCTTCCCACTATCCAGAGCAGTTCAAGCTCCGGCGTCTCAAGAACTTCCGAAGACTCTGGAGAAGCTACTTCCTCCAGTCCTGAAAGCTCCAGTAAGTCATCCCCGAATCCAGGAGCGACTTGAAGCTCACACTATTGGTTCTTTCAGTCTTCAGTTCGTCCACGGCCTTTGAGTCAACCGAAACTTCTGTCATTGAACCCAGCACAGCCACTGGTTCATCTTCTGGCTTGCCTACCTCCTCCATTTCCAGCATCCCTCACAGCTCACCAACAACGTCGGCTGCTCCTACATCAACTGCTCCACCACTGGACTGCCATCATAACAACTGTCTACGTGAATTCATTCGTTCACCGACCATTGTAGCGGGGTTTTGTGCGACATATACCAGCACAATAAACACTGCATCAGCCGGACTTCCACTTTTTGTATCCCAATGCCACGGTTCATCTTCTCAAATCTCGTCTGCCTGCTCGTGTCTCTTCCCTAGCACTGCTACAAGTTCCCTTCTATCTTCAACATCGCTTCATCCGAGCACGTCTTCAATAGTTGAAGAAACCTCATCTTGGGCGAGCAGTAACTTTCCGTCCGAAAGTTGGAGTACGAGCTTTCCGTCCGAAAGTTGGAGTACGAGCTTTCCGTCCGAAAGTTGGAGTACGATTCCTTCATTAACTATACCAGGAGTTGTGACATCACCGTCCTTCTCAACTATAAATACTCACGAATCTACCCGGTCAGCTTCGAGTTTTCCAGGTTCCGAGACAACACCTTCATCACCTGGGTATACGATTCCCTCCTCCCTACCAACTTCCGCTCCCACAGTTTTATCAAGCACCAGCGTCAGCGAGAGTATCACTCTATCGACTAGTCAAATTACCGAGACAATCACAGAAACATCTTCTATCAATTTGTCTACATCAACATCGGGGACGGGATCCAGCCTCCTTCAATCATCATCCACCTCTTCAGTTCTATATCCGAGCTCGACTGTTTCAAGTGACACATCAAGTACAATATCCACCGTGGGTGGCACGACGACAATTCCGTCATCTCTTCTGAGTACGGTAACAGCGCCCTCCTCCACTGGGTACTCGTCCTCAGTTGTTAGTGGCATCACGGGTGTATCACCCACCTCGACATCTAACTTGACCTCGTCCATCACCATCACAGTGCCAACATCTTCAAGCTTGGCACCTTACCAGAACAGCAGCTCGTCTTCGATTGTTGGCCAAAGCAGCTACTCTTCTTCGTCAATTCTGTTATCCACTGGTAGTACACCTACGACATCGATTCCTGTCCCACTTAGTACCTCGCCGCAATCTAGTAGTTCGTTAACATCAGGTATCCCAAGCTCCAGCGCTCCCCCTTTCCCTGCAAATTCGACTTCTTCTGCAAGTGGGACGGGAATCTCAACATCAACGGGTTTCGTTGCATCTAGCGGGGTTTTGCCTTCTTCAGGACTATCTTATACCTCATATCCCACGTCCAACTCAACTTCAAGACCCATAGGCACCAGCAGTTCAATATATACTGGTGTCTCCATCGGTACGAGCTCATCAAGTGCAGGCGGAAGTATCACAAGTTCTACTCCACTTTATCCAAATTCAACTTCTAGTCTGTCAACTGTCAGGCCATCAGGCTCCGCTCCTTTCACTTTGTCATCCAGTGTTTCTGGATCTTCGACGGCACCATATCCGATACCTTCGAACTCCAGTTCTCTTGTTGGGCCCACTGGAACCGTAGGATTTTCGACGGCGCCTTATCCTACGTCCTCCAATTCAAGCTCTCTTGTTGGTCCTACCGGAACCGGGAGCTCCCCTTCGACCACAAGTCTGGGAGGAGGCGTTGGAACGTCATCGTGGCCATCATCCGTTCCATATCCGACAGGCTTTAATTCAACTTCTCTAGTAGGACCAACTGCTTCTGGTAGCGTTCCATCATCAACGAGCCTCGCAAGCGGAGTCACTACTTCCATATCTTTTTGGTCTACAACTTACACCGCACCTTCATGGTCTTTCAATTTCACCTCTCTTGTTTGGCCGACAGGTACAGGAAGTAGTATGTCGATCGGACCGATTGTGACGAGCAGCTCACCAAGCACCTCGAGCATTTACTCATCAGCTGTCTCATCCAACAGCGGAGTAACATCGTCCGTAGTTGGTGGTAAGACAAAGCTCTAAGGATCGATATTCTTTGTTGAACTTTGCTAACCCCTCTCCGTAGGAGTCTCCACCAGTTCTGTGATTGCATCCACTGTTCAAATATCAACCTCACAGGTCATTTCCACTTTTGTCACCTCAACTGGCACGGCACCAGTTAGCAGTTCAAGTGTAATCGTCGATTCTTCAGCGAGCTCGTTATGGTCAATCCCAAGCAGCCCAGGCTACTACGCCCCATCTTCCACAGTAGCCCCAACCGATCCCACCAGCCAGAGTTCCTTCATTGTCCCTCCATTTTCTACGCCGATCGGGCCCGGATACTATCCACCACCTCCGATCGGGCCAGGCTACTATCCCCCACCTCCGATCCCAACCCCTTCTCATCGCCGTGGGGGTCACCATCACCGCGAAGGGGATCACCACCGTGAAGGCGACCATCACCGCGAAGGGGACCGCCACCACGAAGGTGACCACTGGGGCCATCATTGGCCCTGGTGATTACTGACTTAGTGAATTTATCCACGCATCTCTGCTTCTCAGGCCGATGTGACATTTGCTGTAGGATATACGCAAATTGTCTTATCTTTGCTATCCATATTTTGTAATGTTCGGGTTGGGAATGCTTCCTGTTCAATAGGTCGCAACGTCATGCTGTGTTTGGCGTAAAAAACATTGCTCCCAACGAATCAAATAGACGTGTTGTATTGCTGCAATCTGACGAAATGAAAGAACTCATGTCTAAAGAGAGCATGCCTTGAGATTCTTCGTGATGATTGATCCCTGCTGTACCCCTTTTACTGACCGTCCGAAGCCCCTTATATAGCCGAGTCGGGTTCTAATATCAGGTGGCTTTAGCATGAGCCAGCCCCGCCAAAAATGCCTTTCTTTCATGGAGAAAATACCACAAGAGCTGCGGCAATGATTTGGAAGAGAGCGCGCCTTGATTCAAAATACTCTATCTAGGCTGTTAACCTTGCATACCGGCACTTGTACTCGACCTAACCGTCCCTCTCGACCGGTAAGGAAGGAGCACGGGACTTCTTGCCTCTTGCATCTATCTAGGTATAGCTGTATTGGAGGCTTTAGCCACCTTTTCGCAATACTCGTTGACCAAAGCAACCCGGCCATGACAGTGATCTAACGCCATCAAAGGGTAATGCCAGCACACACCCCATAGCCGTTCAGTAATGCTCAACGAGTTGTCCAAATCCATGCAACGCTAACTAGATGTCTAAGCTAACCATATGCTATAGTTCCTGGCCTGTGCCTCCCATCATCCGCTTGAATAATTGAGCCAGGGAGGTCTGCACAGCCATAATGGCTTCCTTGAACGATGCTTTGGGTCCTCCCTTGACCTGAAAGTCTTGTCGGGGATAGACCCTCCGTCCCCCCATCCACGTCTCCCGAACCGTCAAATCTTTCAAACTCCTCCCCGATACATCTTCCCATATATTTCTGTCTACAACAATGAAGTCGGCCCACCGGCCAACTTCAATGGCTCCTGCCCTGTCCTCCTGAAACCAACCATAAGCTGCGTTCTTTGTGAATCCAAGAAGAGCTTGTTCGACGGTCAATGCTTCCTGAGGATACCAGCCACCTTCACCAGACGGGCTTGTGCCTGTTGCTGGGTTGAGGCGTGTTACAGCAGCGTACATGCCGTGGAATGGGTTTGGAGGTTCAACTGGGAAGTCGGATCCTAAGACGGGACCAGGGTATCCGCTGTCAACAACTTTCTGAGAGGGAAACAAGCTCGCCATTCGATATGCTGAGTGTGAAAGCCGTTCGGGACCTAATCGGGACAGCGCATATGCCATGTCCGAAGTTGCATGCGTGGGCTGTGCCGTTAGTTCTTGCCGGAAATCGGGGGGAACGTGGAAATACCAACTAACCTGTATGCTGGGGATGATGCCCATTTTTGAAATCCTTAGCTGATCTTCAGGATCCTATCATCCGATCAGCATTTAACGAAGAAGAAAGAAGAATGAAATTACGCGGGTTACGAACAATAATCTGAGCATGCTCAATCCTCAGGCGTCTTCCTTCGTTACATGCTTCGCAGTTGGGACCGAGAGCGGATTCGAAGGCATCAACTGCCGCTCGGTTTGCTCGATCTCCGATTGCATGTACGTTAACTTGAAAGCCAGCATCAAACCACTACCAATATCAGCAGGTATTTGAGACGGCACCGAACATCCAGACTTACCTGATTTACCACTGTAGTCAGCTCTGTTTCATTTATCAGCATAGTACCGCTTGTTTCTGGTTTGTCAGTGTATGGTTTCAACAACGCAGCGCCCCAAGACCCTAATGCTCCATCTGCAAAAATCTTTACTCCACCCAGCATCAATGTATGGTCTCCAAGCCCGCTTGGAGAATCGAGCAGTTTCAATCCACGAACTTCATCTGGACAAAAGGTGTTTCGCTCTACGCATTCCAACATCACATTGATTCTAATACTGAGCTCCTGATTCTCGGCCATCGACTCGAGAATCGAAACGTCCTTTGCCCGCATGCCAGCATCCCCTACCCCAACTATACCTACCTTGTTCAACTCAGCCATTGCGGTTTGGAACCAGCGAGTCTTTTGAGCGGTGTTTGGCTTTGGTGCAAGGGGAAGTATGATCGCATCCATGGCATTATCACAGAAAACACCCAATCCGGGATCCTTTACAATCACACCACCAGGCGGTGCATCAGGTAACGGTTTTGGTAGAAGATCCAGAACCTTGTTTGACGTCCAAACGCAGTGCACATCCACACGATCAAGCATAATGTAGAGGTCTGCCAAGGTTGGTTCAGCGCCAAGCTCTTCCTACTTAATCATCAGTGCCAGCCCTTCAAGAATAAAGGTGAGACATAGGTCTCTGAAACTAAAGAGTGGAAGAAACCATACCGCAGTTGGCATTACTCCTCCAAAATAGGCCTGATCCCACCCAACCCCCCGGATCCATTTCTCGCGCGTGCCATATCCCCCACCATCGTGGGCTTTCAAGAAGTCCTTGATCCTTGCCCTTACTTCACCGACACTCTGGGCGCCGTACAAAGAAACAGATTCGAGCATCTCGCCATACTGCAGGATGTGACCATGCGACTCAATGATGCCAGGAAGAACGTAGCCATTTAGAACCGTGATTTCCTCGTCAATGGAGGTTGGTTCTTCTGTGAGAACCTCTGTGAAGATTCCTTGTTGAATGCGAAAGCAACTCGCTTGGGGTACAGAAGGATTCAAGGTGGTGACGAAGAATGGGGAGTCCCTAGATACACAATATAGACTCGATTCTGAGACATCTTTGAGAATGGAGCTGGCAACGAGGGCAAGAAGAGCTGTGCTCAGGACACCCAGGACGGTGATCCCTCTAGCTCGGGACTCCATTGTATTGTCAGCTCTCTACTTAGGTACCTTATCTAGGGACCTCGCCTTCAATACGAGCAACAATCCATGCCGGTTGTCGTGGAAATGTGGCACGTGCGGCGTCACGTGATGACCAGCGCCGTTGAGATATCGTCGTGCACCTTCTGTCCCCCCATCAACTAGATTGATATGCAGCGCATGTCTCAAAGAATCGTCATGATCAAAACATAAATCTACGAAGCGCACGGCCTTGCACCATTCGATGTGTTTTTTCTTTTTTCACAAGGCTGGCGTCTCACTCTGACGGTTCAGAGCCGAGCAAACTGGTAGTAAAGCCGAGTGGCTTGCCAGCCACCCGCCCTCACGACTCAGCACGTGGAATTGGCATTGGCTGGAAATCAGATTCCCCTTTTCATTCTGCTCTTCTCGTACAAAGCTCACAGCAAGGGCCTCCTGTCAATGGGCCATAATGCCCGGATCAGGAAAGGCGCCCTTGGTGGCAGACGCAGGACTTCAGATCGGGTCTCACGGAGCCGTGTCAGCAGGTAACAATATCCCATTATCCCGTATAGCTCCCCCCTGCCTCCAGCAAGGCTGGGACTCCAGAGCAATGTCATATATATCAGTTTCCCGCACTCTGCTTGTTACACAGAGCATCAGAGGCACATCTCATCTCTTCATCTCTTCGTTTTTTTGGTGATCCCATCTTCGAACAGCCAAGATGGTTTCCCCCATCTTTCTGTCTCTTGTTCTGCCCGTTGCTGTCAACGCATTGTCGCCTTATGTTCCAGTACCGGCGGCTTGTCCGTCGGGACCCCTCGTTCGACCTGCAAATGGTTTGTCCGACGATGAAGAGACGTACAGAGTGGCCAGAAAGGCGGTTGCCGATGAGGGCCTGAAGGCTTGGTTATTGAAGACGAACCCGCAATTTCATACTGATAATTTGCCAACAGTACGTATCACGTGGCAGCCATCGTTCACAGAATATTGACATATGCTAGGTTGCCTTGACTACCAGCGGTGGTGGGTATAGATCGCTTCTCAGCGGCGCCGGCGTAATTCAGGGTCTTGATGGCCGGGACAGTAATGTCAGCACAAGCGGCTTGTTCCAGGGCTTAACTTACCAAGCCGGTCTCTCCGGTGGATCTTGGCTTCTATCCTCGTTTTCTGGGAACAACTACCCAACCATCAGCTACTTGAAAGAAAACTTGTGGAAGCAGGCTTTTCAAGACAGTCTTTTTGATCCCGATTATCTCTTGGCAGCAGTTGCCTACGCTGATATCATCACGGACATTGCCGAAAAAGACCTCTCAGGTTTCCATACGACCCTTACGGATCCATGGGGAAGACTCCTATCCTACCAACTCCTCGGAGGTTCCGATGGGGGTGCAGCGGTCACCCTTTCATCAGTCGCTGAACTTTCAAACTTCACATCCCATGCGGTCCCTTATCCGATTATCACGAGTCAGGGTGTGAAGACGTGGCTCGGAGAGTGTGTTCCAGGACCGAATTCGACGGTTTGGGAGTTTTCACCCTATGAATTCGGCAGCTGGGCTAGCGATGTCAGCGCCTTCACTCAAACACGGTATCTTGGCACTGAGATGCAGAATGGAGCGCCCGTCGGGAACTGCACTTCGAATTACGATAATCTTGGTTATGTACTCGGAACGTCCAGTAACCTCTTCAACGAGGTGTGCATCAGCGCGCCTGATGGAAATGGTGGCTCCAACATCACGGATGACCTTGTCAAGATCCTTGATGTAGTACACCAAGTTGGCACAGAAGACCAATACGCCACCTATCGGAACCCATTCTTCGAGTATAACTCGTCAACAGGGACTACCAATTCAGCCAACAACGTTTCTGCACAGGAGAACTTAAGCCTAGCTGACGGCGGCGAGGCGGGGCAGAACGTTCCCCTCTTCCCACTCCTCCAACCAGCAAGGAACATTTCGGCCATCATTGTCAATGACAACTCGGCCGACACCAACAACTACCCCAATGGATCTTCGCTTCTCACAACATATGTTCAATCACTCAACAGTGGTCTGAAGCGCATGCCCTTCATCCCTTCCGTTGAGACGTTCCTCTCCAAGGGTCTCAATAAGAGAGCCACCTTCTTTGGGTGTGCGGAACCGAGTAAGATCACCATCGTGTACCTCCCGAACGCCAACTTCACATTCGCGAGCAATGTGTCCACCTTCCAACTCCAATATGAGAAATCGGAGACGGACGCCATGATCGCTAACGGCGTGGAGGTTGCGAGTCAGGGGGGCAAGGAAGGGTGGGGCACGTGCTTGGGATGTGCACTGATGATGAAGACTGGTCAGATATTACCAGATGATTGCCAGGATTGTTTTAACGAATATTGCTATTATAACTCATGATTTCGGGGGACTTGGATACCAGGCGTCACATGGCTGTATATATGGGTTGATGATGTACATAACGATTCATGAAATATCCTTACGTTGAGCGGTAGAATAGGTAGCTAGATTATGGATAATGAATATTTCAAAATTTATGATTATCGCAAATCTCTCTTGAACACATTAAAGGATTTGATGGATAAGGTAAGCAGACGGGGGGGCTCATCCATATTTCGTCATTTGCTGCCTCTGATTCTCTAGACAGAGTAAGGAACCCCTTTATAAACTTACTTTGGCAAAGAATGTTTCGACTCCATCAATTCTCAGCCATGAGGAATCATCCTCTCACGCAGAGTAGCTTTATGAAGTGGTTATCGAGGCTGAATACTGAGATAACGTACCTGACCAATGGAGAGACGTTCCTACATGTCAGTATCTGGGGGTGACTCACTTATTCAAATTCCCCTCCATCATAGCTACCTTATTCTCCTCCTTTCTGCCTCTCAATCGTTTATGTCTAGTCGTCCAAGATGTCGAGAGAGAGCAAGGAGGATACCGACTTGCTCCCATCGCCTTCTTCGCCCGGCCTCTCCAAGTACTTCTCGCATCGATGGACAATAAGCGTACCTTCCCACCCATCTCTGCGCTTCTTCCGCGCAACGCCGTCCCACTTCGACGTCTGGATCCCAATCGTCACAAACCCCGAGAACAGGAAGATGTTGCCGGACACGCGAGACAAAGTATGGGACGAGGCCGCGGTAGCAGAATGGAAAGCAGCGGCCGAGGCGCGCTACACCGAGGCCAACACCAAGTTCAACAAGCTGGAAGTGCTGATCGAGCTCGATGGCCGCGTTGCTGGGTACGGCAACATCGTCACGATCAGGGAGGACGCGGCGAGCGTCGGGCTGGTGCTAGAGAGGACGGCGCGCGGCCGGGGCGTGGGCAAGTTGGCCATGGCGGTGCTGATCCAGCTCGGGTTTGCTTTTGGCTTGCAGTTGGAGCCAGGCACGATGAAGGCGAATGGGCCGATGCGTGGGGTTATGGCTAGTCTGGGAGTCGCGGAGGAGGAGGAGCTCGTGGTGATTCCTGGGCGCGGAGTCGTCGCGGAGGTTGTATATCGGGTGCGGAGGGAGAGGTGGAGGGAGGTCGAGATGAGGGTCGTCTTTGACGAGGAGGGGGGGTTCGTCGAGGCGAAGAGATAGACGTGGTCCTCATGTCATGTCATGATGTGTACAGACAGTGCTGCAAACACGTTGTTCCATACAAAGGACATGGGATTGTGGATTTCTCTCTTGATTTCTCTGCGCTCATGGATGGGGAACGGCCCACGCCAATTGCCAATTGGGTGCTACGGTAAGGGCCCTGCCGTTGGTTCCCGCGGGCCGCGTCGTAGCAGAGGAGCCGACCGGACTCCATATTTTGACAGAAAAGAACCCCTCGATGACCTAGAAGATTTCCGAACATCTAAAAAAAAATCAAATCTCTATCTCTCTATCTCTGCATTTCCTCACCTCTTCACTTCTTCTGCTCTCAATTCCATTTCCCCTCTTGCTCTCACCGTTTCCCGCCTCCCCGCCGTGGCGCTGAGACGAGCTGGTGGAGGCCCTCCCCGTCAACCTCACCAATAGCTGTGCTCCACACAACTTGTTCACGTTTACCGCCCCATCGTCCATCAACTCTTTCTCTATCCACCACCACCTTGCTGCTTCACACTGCTTTCGTTTCCTTGCCCGATGTCCCTCATATCGATTTCTACTTGCTGAGCCAGCACACCAACTTGTGATCTCATCGCTGCAGAGATCGTTTGCTTGCTCCACATGTGCCGTTGACCAGCCAGAGAACTCCCCTAAGCGCCTGCGCCATCCCTCCTCGCACTATGCCAACCATGCCTCACAGGGAGCGCGAAAGTGTTCTTGACGATAGATCGAGCGAGCGACGCCATCGCACCTCGTCCGAGAAGAGCACCAGCCGACCGCACAAGTCGTCGAGAACCTCGAAGACGAAGACAGTCGACCCCGAAACTGGTGAAGCCGTTAAGGTACATCGTCGCCGCAAGGATAAGGACAAGGAGAGGGAAGAGGATTCACAACCTGCTCTTTCAATGGCTGATCTAGTCCCTGAGCTGGCGCGGACAGCGTCTTCCAGCGCGGCAGCTTCCAGGACCAGTCTTCCTTATCCTAGCTTCAACAAGGCATACAGCAAGGAAGCAGTGAATAGCAAGGAGGATTTCATAACTCCCGTGAAGGAGAAGACAAATATTTACACACCGGAATCAACAGACGTTGGCTCGGATGACAAAGCTAAATCGAAGTCTACAGACCAGTTCAATCCGCGTGGAGCCAACGGCACGAAGGATGAGCGACCGCCCAGTCCACCCGAGACGGAGTTCTCTCAACAGAGGAAGTCTACGTCCTCTCGAATGTCGAAACTTCAGGAGGATGAAGAAATAGAACAGAGGCCCAGCTCCAGGAATTCCTGGTTCGGAAGAACGAAGAAGGAGAAAGACGAGCGGAAAGAGGAGCGGAAAGACGATCGGAAAGACGACCGGTCGAGGGTGTCATCAAGGTCGAAGTCTTCAAAGACTTCGAAAGCCAGCACTGCTGTGAAGACATCGAAGACGAAGACTACGGATTCTGTGGCGGACGAGAAACATAAGAGTGCAAGCCAAATCAACGGCGAGTATGCTGAATCGAGAGGCTCGAATCTTACCTCTTCGCCCAAGAAGTCACGACCGGACCTGTCTGGGCAGGCGCCTCCAGCCTTGGATACATACTCCTCTCCTGGCTCCGCTCAAGATTCGTCACCGCAGACCCCAACCCAAACTCCGCAGTTCCCTCCACCATCTGCAGCAGAACTCAAGCCGACACCTTCGCCATTCATCCATTTTGAAATCCCCAAACCAGAATCGAACGCATACGACTCACCACAGCCTCCGCCGCCGCCACCCCCTCCGACTGTCCCGGTTAATATCCCTCGTGTCGACTACCTATTGCAGAATGGAGGATTGCCCCGGCTTGCGCCCAGAACGCTGCTTTCCGCGACCCCTAATTTTTCCTCCCAGAACAATACATCAAGGGGTTCAACTCCAATGCCTTCCGAAATCGAACGGATCTTTGGACCGTACTTCACTGTGCTGGACCAGTACGAGACCGTTCTTAATAAGAACGGATCACTTGCTGTTGCTACAGGATACAGATCTGTGGCGAGAAGGCTACTTGATAGACTAGAGAATGTCTTCAACAGAGATCTTTCATCGGAAGGATGCTTTTGTGTCATGTGCCAAGATCCAGACAATGCCTCACATGAAGGTAGCAGGGGCCTGGGATGGGGAGAAGTTTTGGAATGGGTTAGCGGCAGACGCGAGCTTCCTGTGTGGCCAGCCTTTGACTTTACGATGCTTGGTGCCAAAACAGGAGAAGAGCTCACCGGACTTGGGATATCAGATCCGAGGCCTGGATCGCCCGTGAAGATAGATCCTGACGTGGCCGACGAGTTTCGAGACTACTACGTTCAACAATCGAAGAAGACCAAATCTGCGGTGAACAGGTGGCTTTCAACCTGTCCGGAGACCGCTGCTACACCTCCACAGGAGGTCGACGATGAGACGTTGTCTTTTGCTATTGTCACGCACCTTGAACAACACGACCGACCTGTCTTCAATGCATTACTTTCTGGCTCAACCGTTTTGCAACCGGCCTCACGATCGCCCACTCCGCTCCGCAAACCTCGGTGTGATTTCATAATTAAAACAGCGCTTTCATTGCAACGGCTTTATCGACTGCCAACACCACCCCGAGATCCGGAGGCTGCTATCTACCTCTTGAAAAACCCTCACATTCACAATCTCATCGCCACTCTATCAGGCATCAGTACTTCCGAGTGGGAGATCCTCATTTCTGGTCGGTTTGATGGATTCTTGTGGTCAGGGGCTGAGTCCGAACCAGCATCGCCGGCTGTCTCGCGTGGCCCTACCCCGGTATCTTCTAGTATGCGTCAAGGCAGCTCCTCACGTACAAATACACCGTTTTCTCCCATGCGTTCTCAGACCTTCTCGCCCCCCTTTGCGTCCAGTGGCGTCCCATCACGGGGACCGACGCCTTCCTCAGGAGCCCGGCACCCCGTATCCAACGATGAGGAAACAGAGATTGCCGTGCTAGCTGAAGTAGAACGAGAGATTTATCTAGGCATGGAAATGCTGGAGGACGCCTTCGAAGGTCTACACCGAAAGGCAGAACTTGTTCGGCGGGCGCTCCGAGAACGTGGTGCGGGACTTTCAATGTCTGTGCAGTCACGGCGGAGCAGCCACCCTGATGTCATCTCTGCGGGCACTCCCCGGCTTTCGTCAACTGGGCTGGGTCCTGGGTATGAGAGACCGCACTGGGGAGAGGGTGGCAGTGAGATGGCGAGCGACAGTGAGTGGGATCAAGGCGATGAGATGCAAAGCGAGATAGCACCAGATGACTCCGCCAGCAACATCAGCAGTTCGCGGCACCGCAGACCGAAGAGGAGGAATGAGAGGCGGACGCCGGCACTGGTGGAGGAGGAGGACGAGGACTGAAGGGAAATTGAACGACTACTTGTTGGACGGTATCACGACCTCCAGGAGTGAGTACTATATTGTTCTTGCTCCTACGACACGATTCTTGACGGCGTTACCGGATACGTATCCCCATGGGGCATGAACGGACGGAGTATGACGGGGCGAGTTTGTATCAATTTGAGCGCGCAACATACCTGGGTGGGATACTGGACGTTGAAGTCAGGTTGTTTGTGTAACTAGCACGGGAATTGGTTGGTGTATTTGCATTGTGTGGTGTTCAGCATGGCGATGGGGGCCGCCGGGTCTTGCCAGATGGTGGCGGGCATGGCAGAGGTTGGTCCTGTAGCTCGTAAAGAAGAATGCCAATGTCCACCTTTCTCAGGTATTGAGCATTTGAGGAAGGCTACCCAGTGAAGGCTCCCGTGTTGTCCCAGCCAACCTCGGCATACGACCGCTCAGCTTCCCTGGGAGCTCAGCTCGGACCTGGGACAGAGCTGTGTCCAACGTCCGAGTACTACTTATTACCACATAGGAAGGGATCACGGGGGTGGATTGAATGAGAAGAATAAGAAATAAATGCGAGGGAAATGATTACCAGGGACCAGCTGCAGGGAATGAGTGCTCTGTGCAAGCCACTGCAGTGTACATCTGTAGACTGTACGGTTTATATACCCTTGACTTGATGTCACTGATCCCCTGAGTCCTGACTCCTGAGCCCTGGGAGTCTGGGACCTCTTTTCAGCTCCACCGTCTGCAGCATGCACTGTGTAAGGTACCTTACCTAGGTACCTTACCTTTACTGTACGGTGTGCCTTTACCGCGGAACTCGGGCAGGCCGGAAGCGGGTTAGGGTGATGCCTCGATGATAAGGCATCCACATCTGCATCCTTGGGGGTTCCTTGGATTCCTTGGTTCCTAACTTCCTAGTCTCTCCGACGCACTGGTGCTGATCGACCGGCCGCCGTGTTTCAGTCTTTCGCGCTGACGACTGCGGAAGCTTTTGGGGAAACGATCGCTGGCCCTCACAGCTATTCCCACTGGGCGTGTCTGATGTGATGGCATCGCTATAGAACACTTATGCGTGCATCATTATTGGCATGATGGGCTGGATAACTGCCATTACTATCCCGACCCCGACGGGTATTATCGCCGCCCGTCAATACGATGTCCCTGTCCCCCCCCCGCTTGGCTGTCACAGACGGTTCTCTCGTGCGTGTCCCGCTTCCAGAGAACCAGGAACGCAGAAGGGCGGTAGCGAGGGCGCTATCCCCGAACAGGGCAAAGGACGAAATACTCCCGGCCTGACGCTGCTATAAATATCCACAGACATATTGGTCGGACTACCCTGCATCCGGGATAGCAATTCCCCCCCCCCCACAAAAGCCACAACTTGCAAACTTACAAGGCTGTTTCCGTCCTTTTCCCTTTCTGCATCTCAACCTTTCCTTTCTTTCTTGGCTCTCCTCCGTCATCGTTGTCTCTTTTTCCAACATAACTATTCGTGTCTTTCCTTTCTCCTTCATTCACTTCCTTGTGCTTGTCTTCCCACTATCATTCATGTAGGATCAATCATCTTCAGCTTCACCCGCAGCTTCGTCTTCACTCTCCATCTTCGTTATCACCGTCATCGTCGTCGTCGTCGTCGTCATTGTCCAGATCCGACCCCTTCTTTCCTTGACCCGGGATCCTCTTCGCTGCTTGCTTCCCCGCCCTTCTTGGAGCGATGCCGAAAGACGCCTTCTCGCAAGCATTCCTTCCCCCTCTCGAAGCCGATCCTGGTCGACCCCGAGACGGCTCCATTCCCTACCCCTCCGGCATGAGGATCCTCCAGAAGCTGGCCTTTGGCCTTGTACCGAGCTTCCTCCAGCCAAGGCTGCGTCCCACGCCCCCCAAACCCCACCTCCATCCGACCTCGTACCTCGATGGCCTGCGTGGGATCGCCTCGTTCATTGTGATGATGGGACACTATACAGAGGAGAATCTGGGCTGGTACACTGAGCCTTATGGTTTGTACGAGAACGGGGCCCCGTCGTCCCCTCTCCAGCTGCCCTTCGTTCGGGTCATCTACTCGGCTCGTCCCATGGTCCACATCTTCTTCATCATCTCGGGCTACGTTCTGTCCTACAAGCCTCTCAAGCAGATTCACTCGCAGCAATATGCCGCCCTCGCGACCACCCTCTCGTCGTCCGTCTTCCGGCGCGGTATCCGCTTATTCCTACCCTCGATTGTCACACTGTTCATTATGGCTCTCGCCGTCTACTATGGCCTGTCCGATCCCCGATATGCCTCTCCGTTCTTGAGCCTCTCCCTTCAACTATCACACTGGTGGAGCACCTGCTGGGAGCTGCTGTGGGCGTCATGGGCCATCAACGATCTCTCATACCCACAGCCGGTGTATAATCCAGCTCTCTGGACTATTCCAGTCGAATTTGCACAATCGCTACTCCTCTTCATAGTGATCCTGGGCTTGTCGCGCTGTCTCACGAACATCCGCCTGCTCATCCTATCCTGCGTGATAGCATTTTGCTTCCACACCGGGGAACTCTACGCCGTAGAATTTCTCGGCGGCATGTTTATTGCTGAGGTTACTCTCCTCCAAAACCGCTCCCTCCTCTCCCCAACATCGAGTCCAACCGTCCTGCCAAAATACGTACTGGATGAGAAACCCGAGAAGCCAAAATGTGTCCCCACAATCAAGCAGAAACTGATTGAAGCATTCTGGATAGCAAACGTGATCTGTGGTCTCTTCATCGCGTCATGGACCAACAACCATGTCGAGGAGGTCTGGGGCTTACGCTTCTTGAACGCCCACACGCCCGAGCCGTACAGTGGCCAGAGAGTGTGGTTCTGTCTCGGAGCCTTCCAGATCGTGGTCGCCTGCACTCAGGTCCGGTGCCTCCAGAACATCTTCAACACCCACATCGCCCAATATCTGGGCAATATCTCATACGCTTTGTATCTCACACACAATCTTTGTCTTACCATTCTGGAACCGCGCATGCTTCCGCTTCTCGACTCCTATTTCGCGAAGGACACCTTCTGGGGAAGGCAGATCAATTGGTTAGCCGGGCTGGTCCTATACCTGCCAATCATTATCTGCGTAGCGGACCTATTCTGGAGGGCGGTGGATATGCCGACGGTCAAGTTCGCCAGGTGGGTAGAAGCGAAGTGCATCGTGACGCCGAAGAAAACGTGATTTAAGCGCCCGGGCGTGGGAATGGAGGTGGGCAGGCGTTGGTTCTTCTGGCTTGGGGGTTACGGCGTTTGGATGAATTTGGGGATGCTTATGGAGGCTATCTCAAGCCGAGCGTTCATCCGGGATGAAGCGCTCAGGCCCAAGCCGTTCAGAATAGACAGACAGTCAGTCGCTAGTACACTAGAATACTTCGTTCTCATACAAATAGAGAGACGAGATCAACTATCCGTGCCGTCTAGCAGATCCAACCGTAGAATCCAGTGCTCGGACCTTATTGCGTGTTGCTAACGCACTGCATCCCCCTTAAGGGCGCCTACAACTAACTACACACTAGCGAGAAGCAAGAAGTGGCTGCTGCATTAAGGGAATGTAATGCAAGCAGGCAAGCAGGCAAGCAAACAACCAGAAGAAGATCATCCACGCGAGTTGAGTTACCTACGTACGGTAGAGAGCCATATGGTTTCGGTATTACGAGATACCTAATAGTATTAATCAAGGTATTAATTAAACAATCCATCCACCCCACGCTACGAGACTCGACAACGAGAGGTAACAATTCGAAGAATAGCAACCTGATACACATCTTCGATTGAGAGACAAAAGAAATTCGTCCCCTCCCTTTTTTCTTCGGAAGCCTGACATAGCCGCCGACAGTCACTAACTAGTAGCTCGCTGGGGTATCTATCGCTAGGTAAGGTACTGTCCTGCACTGTAGGTACCTAGCCAACTATTATTCCTCCGTAGAATGAAATAATTCATACAGTAGTGCTGTGGCTACTGTACCTTACTTATCATTCTGCTTTTAACTACGGAGTAATAATAATAACCGCTTGGTCGTAGATGTGGAGCCTCGGTCGTCGCATCGGCTGGATAGTCCCGAAGCCGAATGAATCAAACAGAGGGATGGCCCGCTCGCTGCCCGCTCGGCTATAAATTCTCCCTTTTCGCCGCCGCCGCCTGAGCAAGGGCTAGACCCTTCCAATGATCGCGGTCGCGCCTCATCTCCTCGAGCTCGACCTCCAACTCCTCCAGCCGTTGCTGTTTCCGCTCTCTCGATTTGCGGGCCGCCATGGCGTTGCGAACACGCCGAACAGCCGCTCTGTCGCGGGGGTCTCCGCTGCTGGAACTGCGCCCGTTGCTTTCGCCGTCCGAGCATGCCGTTGTTGACTCGACCGTCAATGCGCGTCGCGGACCGGGATTCAATGGTGCCAGAGTCGCGGTAGATGCGGTCCTGTCGTCCTCGGTGCAGAGACGCTTGGCTGCACGCGTTGGGTATGCGTCCTGCCTGCTCTCCGCTCTCTCCTTCTCTGGCTCATCCTGTCCTCGCGGTGCATTGCGGAGTTGTCTCTCAAGCATCGACATGTAGGCCTGGAGCCGGGGGTTCTCCTCCTTCCGAGTCTCGTGGACCTGCTTAGGCACATCAACTTCAGCAGCGCGGGGTGGCGACGGCGCGGCTGCGCGTTTCTGCGATGGTGAGATGCTCGCATCGCGGATTCGAACCTCGTGGCTCGTAAACACCTCGCGCGGTGGTGGTGGAGCAGCTGGAACGTAGGTCACAGCTGAGGCCGAGACCCGTGACGTCTCTGTCGGATTTGGCCTGTCAAGCAGAGGACTGGGTGATTTGAGGACCCGTGGTGGTTGGGGCACTGTCGGTCTTGCATTTGATGCTGCGGATATCAGAGAAGCTCCTTTGCCTCTCTTGGTCACTTTAGAGCGCTTGTATTCCCAATTATGGATCTTCTCCATGTGCAGGTCGCGGTTCGACGCTCGTTTTGAGATATACGGACACGGAGCATAGAGACACCGGTGCATGATAGGAGCAGGCGCGTGCTTGTCACTGAAATGGCGGTCCATCTCCTTCTTGGAGGGCCACCCGAGGACGTGGTACTTGCAATCCGCCTCAGAACACTTCCAGGGCCGGGAATGCGTCTTCTCGTGCTTGTTCAGGTCACAGGCCCGCACGAAGGTCTTGCCGCAGCCAGGTTCAAGACAGCGATTCAGGGACGTCCCATCGCTATCGTTTCTGAAAGACATCGTGAGCCACAGCGGCGGTGCTGCCGCCCATTTGTCGAGCGTTGAGGCTCTGTCGGTGGCATTCATGATCATGGATTGTATTTGAGTGCAGAGTGTGCTCCCGTGCCGGGATTGATTTATCTTATATATTTGGACCGTAAGTAGGTAAGGCAAACAGGTAAAGGCAAACAGGCAAGTCTTTGTTTGTATTTGCAGGACTCGATGATATATTGAGAGAGTGGCCAGGACTGTGAGGGCGGGGTATCTATGCCTCATATACATATATACGGTGCAACTTGTAAGGTGCGCATTGGTGGGCGCTTATCGTGTGATCCTGGCGAGTCGCTATGTACTTTGGATATTCACAGTCAACCAGTCGCTGCGTATTGCCTAAATGGGGAACTTGACATATATCGTGGGAGAATAAGATGCCTGCAGAAAAGAAATGCGAAATAGAACAGCAGGAAAAAGCAAGTTCTTTTTAGCTTTCAGGGCTTCTACTATGTCTCAGTCCCTGCTGCTTCCCGAGTCCCTGACGCTTCATAGGGCTGATGTTTCACGCGTGCAGATAGGACAAGTGGTCTTGGCCAAGTATCCAGAAACTGTTTCTTTTCTATTATAATAGAATAACATCGTCAGGCTTTTCTCGCGTACAGTCAACACCGAGAGGTGGTATCTAGTGATGCATCAGACTCTTGCTCGGATATCTGTGTGTGCCCAGTTGCGCTTCCTCGTTGTTCTACACCAACATCTCTGAACTTTCTTCACTTCGATCCTTCCCTATTTGTTAGTGAGCTCGCAAGTCCTCCTCCTTTATTTACGTCTCTTCTCTTGCCGTTGCCCTCTGCTCCTTTCCCCTCCGTCCAACAACATCGACAGCATCAACAATTCTTCTTTTGTTATTCGAGAACATCTGCTTCTTTGTGCATCTCATCACTCTGCTAGAATACCCAATTTATCGTCCTGTATTCTTTGGCCAACGAATGAACATGGCCGACATTATCAGAAGGCAGAACGAGCCGTTGATGGCAGACCCCTCCATTTTCCACCACCCGGATGCTACCAGGGTCAATACCTCTGTTACAGGATCCGACTGGTATTGGGTCATCACAATTATCATGACCTTATTTACTTATATCGTCCTCATTTTGGCCTCCCGAGTCACTCGAGGCAACCGCATTTTCCACCACATGACCGTAGGTATCACTCTGGTACCCTCGATCACCTATTTTATGATGGCATCAAACTTGGGTTGGGCAGATGTCCATGTCGAGTTCATCCGGTCCAAGGATCTCGCTGTTGGCATATACCGTCAGGTTTTCTATGTTCGACACCTCGATGGGTTCGTTACTACTCCAGTACGTCTACAATGGTCACCGTTATATTTAAACAAGTTCTGACGCTCTCCACAGCTTATACTCCTAAACTTACTCTTGACTGCTCGTCTACCATTGGAGACTATTTTCCACACACTCCTTTGGGCCGAGATCATGGTTGCCACTACTCTGGCGGGCTCCCTTGTCGCTTCATCATACAAGTGGAGTTTCTTCGCTATAGCAGTTTTCGCCCGCTCCTTGATCGCATGGACCATCGCATGGGATGGGATCCGGAACTCTTTGGTCACCAACAAAGCTGCTACCAAAACTTTCATCATTTGTGGTAGCTTGACTCTCCTCGTTTGGTTCACCTACCCAATTGCTTGGGCTCTTGGTGAGGGAAGTAATGTCATCTCCCCCGACGCCGAGGCAATCTTCTATGGACTTCTCGATATCATTTCCAAGCCAGTATTTGGTGGTCTCCTTCTCTGGGGCCACCGTGACATCGACCCAGCCAGCCTTGGTCTCAGCGTCCACAATTATGAGGGGTCGATCTACAGCGACAAGAGTAGTGTCACCATTCCTGAACCGGTTATGCTAGGTGACATGGCCCCTCGAGGGAGTACTGGTGCCATCCAAACTAATGCCAACGAATCTGCTGTCTAAGCAGCTAGCTTTGTTTCCCCCTTTGGCTTCGTCCTCGCAAAGATGCAGCCTCCTACATTCTCATGCCTTGGCTATGAGTCCTTGCATCTCGTGGCCACGGTCATGTTCTCAGTGTTTGCGGTTGTTTCACTCTTATTCCCCAGCTTAGGTTCGTTTGTAGGGCGCTGGCATAAATGTGCGGCGCCTCTGTTCGATGCATATGTTTATTGTCCTTAAGGACGCTTGGTAATGGTTTGCGAATAGACAATAATCTTGTACATAATTACTTGGAGGGTTAAACATGGGCTTGTAACGAATCATGACACATAGTTTATCAATGGAATCATACCCATATGTCCAAATTGAGTCGGTAACTATTGATGCTGTTGATGCTTGTGAGTACTTGTCGTCTTTTTGGGTAAAACGGCGAGGGCTTGGAGTGTATGAGCAAGCAAGGGCAATGTCTCGTCGATATTCATAGCTACTGAACTGGTTTGATTTTACGTGGTCACATACTGGGAACCCAAGATCTTGCAATAGCCATCTGATTAACTACGGCAAGCTATTTAATTCCACCTCTCATTTCGTCCCCAAGAATAATCGTCCGCAACAGCCATGGTTTCCTTGTCCACACTGCAAGGCCTGTACATGGGATCCATTGTTGGGAGATCAAAAAAAATGCAAAAGAGCCCGCAAGTCCCGAAAGGCCAATTGCCCAGCACAATCCTAGACGCATTCACAATCTCTGAGGAACGGGGTATAACAAAACGTTGGTGGTCTGTCAAGCCGTATCCGAGACAGGCAGTTTACCAGCCAGAACCGGCAGTACCCCATTCGCCAGCGGTCGGAGGCTCCCAAACAGAACCGTTCGATGGTGCAGCAGGCTGAGAAGGAGCCGGAGAAGGAACTCCCCAGCTAGAGACTGAAGCGGCGAATTGCGAGGATGCGAGTCCAGCCGGCGCGGTAGGCGTAACTGGAGCGGCAGGCGTAACTGGAGCGACAGGCGCAACTGGAGCAAGCCCTTGAGTAGCGGAAGCACCCTGAGGGGGCATGGTAAAAGGGACAGATGACACGCCGACAAATTGCTGAGATGGGACAACCGGAGCCGTAGTAGCAGCATTGACGGGAACACCACCAGCGGCCGGAACGAAAGCCTGAGTTGCACCCCATCTATTGCCAGATGGTGCCTGAACGGGGACCGATGGAGCAGCACCCCACTGGGCGTCACCTTCAACTGGAGCAGCTGGAGCAGCTGGAGCCTCAGTCGGCGCAACTCCCCAACCAGAAGCAGCAGGAGTATCTGAGGTACCCCAGCCACCCGCGTCAGCATCATCATCAAGAGCAGCACCTCCATTGTCATCACCATTGCCATCGCCATCGCCGTAGTCAGAATCAGCCTCAAACTTGAGGGTCTTGATGTCACCCTTACCGTCGGCAGTGAAACCATCAGGAACATATTGCTGAAGGAAATCAGGAACAACCTGATGCGTCTCCAAAAGAGTCTTGGTGAGGTTCTCGGCGAGGTCAACGTCACGATCGTTGTAAAAGGAAGTCGCAAGACCCATGTTACCAATACGACCAGTACGACCTGATGGAAAGTTAGAGGATTAAAAGCTACGTAGGTGAATGAACTTACCAATACGATGAGTGTATTCCTCGATGCCACCAAAGCGTGCAGATGGTAGGTCATAGTTGATGACGTGCATTACATTATTGATATCCAGACCACGAGCTGAAACTCCAGTTGCAATCAAGATAGGGTTCTTGCCGAGACGGAAAGATCGAATGCAGTCCTCGCGCTCACGCTGGGTGCGATCACTATGAATAGAAACGCAAGGGAAGCTCTTATTGAACAAGCGGTCATCAAGCTCATCAGCCGCACGCTTGCTGTTGACGAAAATGATGGTACGGGTGGGCGGAGTCGATAAGAGCAGATCCTCCACAGCTTGTAACTTCATGGACGGATCAACATAGACGATCTCCTGCTTGATGTTCAAGTGAGAGCTGCCAGCACGGCCAACCCGAACGCGAACATGGTCATGAGCAAGATGTTCCTTGGCAAGATCACGAGCTCCCTTGGGGAAAGTGGCGGAGAAAAACATATAGTTAAGGCTTCCCTCTTCCTGGTCTGCATTTACGATCAGTATAGTCCAGTTTGGGAGAGACTAGAGACTTACCACCGCCGGACATAATCTGCTTAAGTTCAGCCTCCCAGTCGCTGTTGAGCATCTCGTCGGCCTCGTCAATCACCATGTACTTGAGACGCTTGAGAGTCAAAACTGCAGGACGATTGATAAAGTCAACAAGACGACCCGGTGTACCGATGATAATATCACAGCCCTTCTGAAGCTGCTTGACCTGCTCGGCAATTGGGCCACCTCCATACACGACGCAGGGGCGAAACATCATGCGATAGCAGAAGCGGCGAGCCTCATCAAATATTTGGGTGGCAAGCTCGCGGCTAGGGCAGACAATGAGCACAAGAGGCTCGGCGCGAACAGGTGGAGTGATGCCTTCCTGGTAGGTTACAGGATTGGGGCGAGGAGCGGTCAACTTCTTAGCCTTGCCCATGAGCTTGGACAGGATTGGCACCAAGAAGGCTGCAGTCTTACCAGAGCCTATACATGAACGCAAGTTAGCAACTCCAGAATATCCTTGGGCAATAGATTGGGGAGATTGAGATTGAGAATCAGTTACCTGTCTGAGCACAAGCAACAATATCATGACCAAGCTTGATTGCTGGCATGCAATACTGCTGGATGGGGGTGGGAACTTCGTAACCGGCAAGCTTGATATTCTCCAACATGACCGGATGAAGACCAGCATGCTCGAACTTGCGAATAGGATCAATACGGATATTACCCTCCTGGTGAACTTCAATGGAGGTAATGCTAAAAGATGTTAGTCACTGTATAGGCGTCATGAATTTCTTGGAAGCCTACTTCTCGAACTTGATGCCACTCTTCACGTGGTTGTCCTGACCAAACAATTGCTTCTCCAACTCGGGGTGGCGTGGTCCGACGTCTCCAAACTCATCGTTCCACTCATAGACGGCGGCATTGGAGGCCCAGTCGCCACCGGTCTCAACTCTCAATCCCAAACCTGCATCTTCAGCAGCAGCAGCAGCACGAGATTCAGCAAGCTCCTTGGAGGTCATCATGTATGCAGAGTAGTCATAACTGTTCTGAGCAACCCAGCCGTGCTCCTGAGGGTTTCGTCCCTGAGCGGGAGCCTCAGTGGGAGTCGGAGCCTCCGATGCGACGACCGCTTCGTTGGCGATCTCTGGCAAGGCCGCGGCCACCTCGGGCATACCCCAACCAGACATGGTGAACGATCGGGTAACTTGATAGATAGTCAGCCAACTATTAGACTTGCATGAAGAGGAAGATGAGAATGAATCGGGTAAGCTGCAAAATCTGTCAAGAGGCGGCGGAACTACGTCCAAACACGATGACTTTGTCAGGGCATTGGCAGATAGGTATGGGTAGATCAAGAAAGCAACAAGCATAGTATATAAAGCAAATAGAAAAGATTATGCCAACGAGTCGAGGGCCAAGAAGGAACGCGAAGGAGAAAAGGGTGGAGACAAGATTGTCAATAACCAATGTCCAAGCTCGAGTCCAGCTAGATCGAATACGTACCTTCACAAAGGATGAGTATCAGAAGTGTCTGTAGTGGGAGAACAATGTCAGTAAGGACAGGCTTTAAATGGAGATGGAGATGTGGTGGTGGTTGTGGGAAGTGCGAGTTGGATGGATTGTAGGAACGACCGCGTGGATGTAAAGGTAGAGCTCGCTCGTCCTCGAGAATGGATGTTCCCTTGTCAGAAACGAGGAATATCAAGTCATCTCAGTTCTGACGCGATAGATCCGCACAGCGAGCGCGAGCTGGGAGGATGTAATGGGACTGTGGCTGCTTACCCTTAGGGGACTGGTCTTCGCGCTCTGAAAGATGTCGCAGTGAGACTGTTGAAGAGGCAGAGTCAGCAACAGCCGCAGGTGATGATGCAGTATGGCAGAGGAGGCACAGTGTGTATCCAGTTGGATAATACTGATGGTGTTATGGTGGAGATTAAATGGCTGTGATAGTAAACAAACAGATGTCCAGAGGAGGGTACTTACATCACCCGACAACAGGCAGAGAGATGGACAGAGGTCCAGAGTAGATCAATATCCGAAGATAAGGACCTGATGGTGAGAGTAGTTGATGACCTTGGAAGTCAAGGCGATCAACGGAGGTTGTGGTGGAGGTAGAGAAGGGAAGAGGAAAAGGAAAGTTTGAAGTTGTGTGGGAGGTATTTATACCTACCTTACTTCCCGAAAAGAAGATCCCACTAGAGGGGGGACCCACGTTCTCGATCAGCCAGTTCGAGAGTATGACAAGTCTGGTGAGTGGGAGAATGGAAGCATCTGCAGACATTAAGATAATGAACTTGATCTTGATTTAAACATAAAAGGTCTTGGGATCCCTCTTCTCCTGCTGCCTGCCACAGATAGGAGAGCGTCAACTGTGGTGATGGTGTGGAGAGGTCAAAGTTACAACTTTGACATCAGCGATACTCTTTCATAACAACAGAAAACTTATTTGTGGTCCCTAGACCAGCCATAGCTCCAACCAGCGACAGGACATGATTGATACCCCCTTTGAGACTGTGCCCTTCTCTACAGACGAGGCCTTTAACCTGGGCACGCCGAGTTCCCTGAATTGAGCATATAGAGCCGCTTAATTCTCCTTGGGCATACTATCCACCGGGAGACACTTCATTACGCAGAATAAAGACCCTCAACAAATACCTTGCGCGAAGACACTGTCCTCATACCTCTCCTGCGGGCTCCACGGCGGGCTTGGTTGAAACATGACTGACAAAGACATAGATAGAGCTTTGCCTTTCTGCAATACTCAGCAAGCAGACGACATCCTTCTACCATCGAATGAAATATGCTACAGATATACATATCGCCCATCCCGAGCAGTACAACGTACAAGGTACAACAGCATTTAGAAGGCTTGCTGGAAAATGCCAGACTGGCAATCTCAAAAAGGTGGAAATACGACGAAAGATTTAAGAGTTGGAGCAATGGAGTTCAGAGACATATTAGCCTCTCGCACTACATGATATCAGGCCGATAAATTTATACGCCGGCCAGCTTGTGGATATCCGCATCGAAAACATCAAGACATGAAGTGCATGAGAGGAAGGATTCCGGCAGTTGTCGTCAAAGCCAAAAGCCCCTGGCAGAAACGTCACTTCTAGCGCAGTGCACGGACCATGAACCTTATATCAGTCCCCCAGTCACGGGATCCAGGCAGAGGGAGAACTTCCTCTCTTGATACTGTATCTTCCTGTGAGAAATCCTACCGGCCAACTTGGTCTGCATCTGGTCCACATCTTGAGGGCCCGTGAATATCAGTCTACTCCGCTGACCTACTTAACCAGGAGCCTCTTTCCGATGCAGCTTCCCGCCATTCTCAGAAAGCCGCCTGGCAGTGACCAACCACTCATAGAGATGGGCAGAGAAGAGTGTATAGAGTGTATATGGACCGAGACTCCAGCTGAGAACTAAGAACAGAAAGAGAAGGTGAAAAAGAGAGATTGGCTCTGGGATATATGGAACACTGGTTCCGCTCCGGACGTCTTCTCCATGAAGGCAGCAAATGGCGGTGCAACTTCCACGAGCTCGAAGAATAGCCCCATCAGATGGTGGTACGTCAAATATGCCATCAAGGGGAGCCCAATGTCCAAAACCAGGCGTTCCGTCACTTGAGATATGGAAGGTCCCGAGAACACACAACAGAGTCCAGGCAGAGCAAGATGCTCGGAGCTTGACCGTTCGCTCCTGCTTTCATATGCCAGTTTCGTATATAATGCCCGACGATTATATGCAATCCGGGAATACTTCTCTTGCTCATTTGGAATCCACCGACCTATTGGCCTGCCTTGGACTGCTGACTGCAGGTGATCTATGGATCAATGGCCCATCATTCCGCCATTCCATATCCTGGAAAGGCATCCACCTGTTACGGTCCTTGGGCCGCTTTTCTCCTTGAAGTTCGCATGAGATACCTTCTGTTGCATATAAATGGGATCTGTCTTGATACCAGCGTAATACCGCGGGCTACCAGGACTACTATGATGGAGTATCCCGGAGTCTTGGAACTGTTTCTGAATCGAAGGCACAGGCCATGCAAGTATTGGGTTTCTACAAGGTAGAACTTACCTCCTGAAGATATATCCATCCAGTTATATTTGCGAGTTGCTCGTTACTGAAGAAACAGACCTGGCTTCATGGCGACCAAAGAGCGATCCATACTGCTCTCGAGGAAGAATCGGCAAGTTACGAATGGTGGAAGGAATCGATTTTCAGGCCTGGACCGAGCCCTACTTCCCTGTTAGAAAAGATGACATGAGAGTTACGGTATTCCTACCTGTCAAAGATGAGGGATCTTGCCGCGAACGAGCTTCTCTGCTTTTGTCGACAGGAATCTCGACACAGGTATGTAGAAAATGCATTCCTCAAGAATCGATATCCTGTCTGCCGACGACGACTATCCGTCATCAACCATCGTTGCAAGGATATACTCGGCCATGAAAGATTGCCGTCAACGGAAATTAAAGCTGGGGTGCTTTGGTACGAGGCGTTGCTCCTATCGACTGCTCTTTTCCAGCCAGACTGTCGGTGAAGATCACTGATGCTGTGTGCTGCAAAGTCGATGAAAAAGATATCGTGTGGCTGAGTCTATTCAATGGTGCGAAGGACCATCGAAGCATCTCCATCGAAGCATCTCCATCGAAGCATCTCCATCGAAGCATCTCCATCGAAGCATATCCGAACTATAGTAGCAACTGAGCCCAAGAGCTATGCCTGATGGAAGGTCAAGGTTGGTCGGTAAAGAAGATAGAATATGTTGTAAGTATTCGTCTGGATTCATATGGAAAGCAAGGTAGGTACCTAGACAGGGATGTTTACCAAGCGGGGAGAATACATCTGGCAGGTAAAAAGAGCCATATCTACCAAAATCCCTAGGATATTTCACGCATAGCCTCTCCCAGCCTGCCAACTCTCGAGTCTTCTCCACGAGTTCTATATAATTGGATTTGCTTTCTGCAGCCCTTTACGCCTGAAGTCTATAGTTCGTTCCCTGTTCAAGTGTCTGGGGCTACTTGATTCTATCTTTCTTTAGTCTTTGTGGATAGGACTCGTCCAGACACAATGCGAGATCTGGTTCGGATTACGTATCGAAGATTGATCTGTATGTATGTATGGATGTATGCGGCTTTGCTCAATGAGTGTGGATGAAGACAGGAGAGAGCGGGAGGCAAATGTAAATATAGGTAGTATAAAATAAATACATCTCTTGATATCAAGAGTTAGATACAAACAATGAAGTGGATTTTCTAACCCTACGACGCCTCCCTTCTTCCCACTTCCCATGTACCGTGAGCCGAGCCATAAAGCCACCATCCATCATGGCTGAGCAAAGTAGTAAGTAATTCTACAAAGGTCTAACCCTCAAACACCGAGTGCTGCAACTCAAACCCAAACTGATCCTTCGCAATGAACCGCATCTGCCTCTCGATATCATCCTCCATGCCGCCGCCAAAGCCAAACCACTGGCGGATCTTGCTGGTCCAGAAGACCAGATCGCTGCCGAGCAGTACGAACTTGAAGAGCAGGTGGCGCCAGCCATTCACGAGTCGCTCGACGGGGCTCAGATCCGTGCTGTCGACCAGGCTGCGGCTCGCCCAGCTCCCCGTCATCTTGATGCGGTTCACGGGGCTTCCGAGGAACTGGTTGTTCCCCTGGACGATGCGCATGTTGCGACCGATGAAGAGGAGCTCGCGGGGGAAGTTCTCCTCCTCCGACAGGATGTCCCGGATGCCCTGGCGCATACGCTCCTGCATCTCGAAATGTCGCTCGGCGGCCGTCTTCCCTTTCAGTTCGTTGGTGATCATGTTCTTCGTGCTGCTGTCGCCGCCGTCATACGGTCTCATCAATGTAGCACTTGCAAACAGGTCTGGGGCCTTGACTCCCCACTCACTAGTGATCTTGCTCACAGTATCATTATCAAAGGTCATCATCGCTTTCCAGAATTGGCAGTATTGATGTCTGAATTTCGGTGTCATCGAGATGTACAGGCCGTGATCGATCAGGACCAGTTCCGCATGGCCGTTAGGTTGTCGCCTGATGAAGATATTGCCTGGGTGCGGATCGCAGTGTACGAGCCCCCAGAGGAACATCTGGGCTGAGAAGAGGTCGATCATGGTCGTCATTACTTCCTTCAATGAGAGGCCAAGCCCACCTCTACCCCTTCGGCCACGCCACTCATTGCGTTCAGGCTTGAGGAAGCCTGTGCCATTGTTGTCTCGGGTAGACTTAGGTGGGGGAAGTGGTGCACCTTTCGCACCTGGTGAGCCTTTCCCTCGACCGCCAAGCCACGGCGCGCTGAGGGCTTCTTTGTCCCAGAGGCGGACCCCTTCAATCCATTCTGTGGTCATGATGCGCTTGGAAGAAAGATCGCGATATACAGTAGGAATATAGACTCTGCCACGAAGACGAGGTTCTCCAGCTACAAGTTTGGCCATCTTCTCTGAATTGTTCGCTTCGTTGACGAAGTCTGTTTCCAACATGAGACGCTCGCTGATGTACGGTACCAGGCTGTAAAGAGGGAGGTCGAACCAGGCGGTATAGATTTTCATAACCACCCTGATATGCTGTTAGAAGACTATATGGAGCCTGAAGCATAAGCCAACTTACTTAAATGCCCAAAGATCCCACCCCACTTGGCGGGCGATCTCCCGCTTCTGGACCTTTATGGCAACCTCTCTTCCGTCGGCCAGCCTTGCCCAGTGAACCTGTGCAACAGAAGCCGAAGCTCTGGCCCTCTTCTCCATGATTCCCTTTCCGGGTTCATTACTGAAGCTGACGCCAAACACCTCCTCCGGACTCCGGCCCCCAAAGTCTTCCCGGATCACCTTCTCAACGTCACTCCACTCGTTCTGTGGAGCATCATCAAACATTCTGGCGAACATCTTCTGAAATTCCGGAGGGAGCACCGCACTCTGCATCGCTATTGCCTGCCCAATCTTCAAGTATAACCCTCCATTCTGATGCAAGAGATTGAACAGCCTCTCTGCATTCCGTCTGTGTAGATCCGCTATGTCGCCACCGAGGAGCGGCTGAGGCCTGAAATTGAGCTTATAGTCCAGGGCGACAACAAGGCCCAAGCCAAATGTCCGTAAGGATCGAGTTATCGAGGACGCGTAGAACTGGGTATCGACCAGATAGAAAGCTCCCGTGACTGCAGAGACATATAGCAGCCTCCGACCCCATTTGATCGAACGTCGATACTGCTTCGCCGGCGCTGCTTTGCCCAGCGACTCTGGTGAAGGGGGCACGAAGGACTGGTATCTCTGCGTTTGTATGGACCGGCGCGTAGTTCTAGGCAGACGATTTCTGCTCGAGGACTTCGGGGTGGATGAATACAGGAACCGAGATGGCAGCGCACTGGCGGGAAGCTTGGCTGGAGGATTCCATGTGGCTCTGATGCAGCGCGAACATAGTCCCGCTGTGTGCAGGGACATTTCGCTCTGCAAAGAAAGGGGCGCAGAGGTTATCGACAATGAAGCTCACGACATCGAGGCGTTGCAAAGCAAGAAAAGTTGTCGCTTACGGACTTGCAGCGCTCCGTAGTGGGCCAACCCCTGTCCTCCAGACTCCGGGGCGAATTTATCTTCTCTCTTATCTCCATTCTTCGCTTCGCAATGGCCAATGTTTGGGGGCATTCGACTCAAGAACCTACCTTATATCTGTGTACCGGCCCAGGTCAAACATGCTGTGTAGGGAGATTGGGGTTGCAAGACATGGATTCCTTTCGCGGAGCCTCGTCCGATGAAGCACGGCGCGGGCTCGCCTGGGGGGAGTTGAAACACGTTTCATGAGCGCATTGTGGAAGGGGGAGATACAGTGATACACAGGGAAAAAAACAAGGATTGCAGAGACTACTGTGATGGAATCATGGAAGGGAAGTAATTATTGTTGTTGACGCTGTTGATCGGGTCCGAGGCAGATGGGTTGCAGCACGAATCGTGCAATCACAGTATGTCACACCTGAGTGAGGTACAAGTGATTTACATTTACTCTGGACCAGCAACAAGGATGATATCAAACCCTGGAAAAGGACAAGCAACGGTGTTGTAGGATGTCCGATGGCAGAAGTCACGACTCGGGCATTTACAGAATAATCAATTAAATCATTGAAGATGGTCTTTATCGCTGCACGACGACGCATGAGAGATTGACCGCCTGTTGTTTATTTTGAGTTTAAAAGAACAGTAGTAAGATATATTATTACCGTAAATGTACGTAGTCGTGGGTAAATACCTGCCGTAAATAGGACGGCTGTGTAATATTACGTTAGCCCAAGGTACCCGGTCCATGTAATAACGCACCTTGCCCGATTCATCCAATTCGATGAGAAGAGACATCCATTTCTGCATCTGCACAACATCGACAGTCCAATTGTCTTCCTTTCTTTTTCTTGTTTCTTTTTCTCTTTTCTTCTTTTCTATCTCTATCTCTCTTTTTTTCTCTTCCTCTCTCTTCTTCTTCTCTTCCACCCCACCGCTCGTCCAATCCCAGCGTGTGGATATCCCTTGCGGCTGTGTCAAGCCACGACGAGCCCCCCCCGGACACGATATGGATGATCCCCGACTCCAGAACAGACAGATTACTCCACTCCGGACGGGCCTCTGCTAAAGTACTCGCTCCTCCGCCCGCCCACCCCCCATCTCCTGTCCCAGCAGCCTTCCCAGGCCTTCGCAGTTCTGTCCTTCAGAGCCCTGTCTGCCCGCCCGCGATCCCTATCTCTCTCTCCTCCTTCCCTCCCTCCCTCCCTCTCCCTCTCTCTCTCTCTCCTGTCGTTGCGCTGTGGTAGGACCCGCCGTCCCTTGCCATCCTCCCCCCTCTCGTCGGCGTAGAGTCGTATATACAATTCTATTCTTCTATTCTATCCCATACCGTCCCCCCCCCGCCATTCAATGCAACTGCGACAAGGCGCCCTGCTTGACCAATTCTCACCAATGCAGTCGGTCCTCGCCTTGAGTCCACGCCTCGAACCCTCCGTCCGAGTACAGATCGTTCCCTCGCATCGCGACCTTCGCAACACTCCTCCAACCGCCGCGTCTTGAGGACGCCGGCATACACAATCATTTCCAGATTCGCGCGCTTTTTTTATTCTTTTCACCATGTTGAGACCGGCGACCCCTTTGACGATCCTGCTGTTCGCAGCATTCGTCCTGCTGCTTATATCCGTCATCTCGACCCCAATCGTCAAGCAGATCCCCCTGGCTTCATATGGCGGCTATGATTTTGGCGTTTTCGGATACTGCAAAGGGGATACGTGCAGTAATGTCGAGGTTGGATACAATACTGGTCAGTGCAAGACCGAGGAATGCCTCATTCCTTGAAGTTTATCTTCTCCCCTATGCGCCCGGAATGCGACCATCGCTGATTCGATGATTTAGCCAAACTCTTCAGCGATTCCCAAACCAAGAGCTTCGATATTCCAACCGACACAAGAACAACCCTCTCGGCGATTCTTATCGTGCACCCCATTGCGGCCCTCTTTACCCTTATCATGCTCGTTCTCGCAGCCGCTGCCCATTTTCGTTCACCTTCACACTCTCCTAGATACCTTCTGGGAGTCTTCATCCTAAGCATCTTGACATTGCTCCTTTCCCTACTCTCTTTTCTTATTGATGTCCTGCTGTTTATACCCCATATGGCATGGGGATCCTATATTGTCTTAGCAGCTACCATTCTCATCGCTGTGAGCGGCGTTGTCTCCTGTGCAATGCGACGGACCTTGGTCAGTCGAAAGGCCCGCAAACGTCGTATCGCGGAGAATGCAGAAATGAACGGGGAAAACTACTATAATCGCCAAGGGACGTCTGCTCCTATCACTCCTATGGTCAGCAATTACGTGGACAAGGGAGATTCAGGCGTTGACAAGTTGCCGTCTTTTGCTACTTTTGAGATGAAGAAGCCTGAGGAAGACAGGACTAGTGATGAACGCATCCCCTTAACGACGAAAACTTCCGAAACCTCCCCGAATTCCACGCCAGGAGGTCCCTCAATGGCACCGCGCGATCCAACTCTACCCACGGATCAATATGGCAATGCTCTGCCCATGCCTCCTCTAGGCTCACGTGAAATTCCAAGTCGAGACCCGTCAGCCGACCCATCATTAAGTCGTCAGTACTCTGATACATCCATCAATTCAAGAGGAAGAGGAATGCCTTATAGGGGGAGGGGCGGCTTCCCTCCTGGCCGAGGTGGGTATGGCCCGCCCCCTAGAGGGGGTTATGGCCCACCCCCGAATGGTAGAGGGGGGTATGGTCCACCTCCAAATGGTAGAGGGGGATATGGCCCACCCCCGAATGGCAGAGGGGGGTATGGTCCACCCCCAAATGGTAGAGGGGGATACAGGGGAGGCTATGGATTTCCAAATGGCCGCGGTGGATATGGACCGCCCGGACCCTATCGAGGACCGCCCATGGGTGTGCAGATGGGTCCGCCCATAAATGGTGAGATTATGGCAGGTCCAATGCCTATGATGAGAGGCAGAGGAGGCAGAGGGCCACCGCCGGGATATGGACGTGGCGGTTATGACAGAGCAATGTCCCCACCAGGCCGCCCCTATAGTCAATACGGACAGGGACCTCCGCAACCTGAGGGTGATGTGTACGGTAGGAATGCTTCCCCTCGGCCGCCTCCTCCAGCTGGCGAATACCGAGCATATAATCCTCCGGAGGCTCGCGATTCCCTTCCAAGAGCCGAAACACCCCCACCGCTACCAGAAATTGAGCAGGAGGGGCCCGTAGGTCAAGCTATTGAGATGGATGCAACAACAGGCAGCCCTTCCCACGCACCAGATGGATTCGGCACCCAATTTGGACAATTGAGGGACAGTGATGGAGATGTTGCCGGCATGGTTGGACTTCAACAACAGCGTCAACATCTGCAGGTCCGTCCAGATACTGCTATGACGGATGGAAGTAGATACAGTACGGACGAGTAAGTCACATATGCCGGATCGCATTGAATCACTCTGACCTTGTTAGACCTTCCGGACCATCACGTCAGCCATCCGCAGAAGGGGAGCGGCGTGCTCCTCTGAACCAAACTTCCGAAGCAACCGAACTCGCAACCGCAGGGCCTTCAGATCAAAGGCGAGTCAGTTCAGGAGGTGACAATTATTACGAAGATGTCGCTCCTCAGTTTGCGGAAGAGCCACCCGCGGCCTCGTCCCCTGTTCCGACTCCCTTGGGACAACCATATCGCTCGAATCGTCGCTCGAATAATAATCTTCAACCCCTTGCGCTTGGTGGACCTGGTGGTAGTCAGTCTTATGAAGATATTTACTCTGGCTCTCGCAGCCCGGCGGAGTCAGACCTGTCAAATTTTACTTCTGTATCTCAACGTGGGATCAATCCTAGATGGAATGCTGGTCAACCTGGATATGATCAGCCGATGACGAGCCGACGTCCCCCGCAAAGGACCGACATTCTTCTGAACTCAAACCCAGACTTTGAAGTACCAGGTAGCCGCAGCAAGCCTGGTCCGGGAAGGGGACGCGCACCTGGTCAATTCCAAGGCACGGGGATGGTTCCCGGCAGTGCTTATCCTGGTGGCGCTCTTTAAATGCTTCTTGGAGGTAGAAACTCCTTCACCGAAAGCTATGAATCTTTTGAGCGTCATTCTTTCTTCCTACGTCTTCCGTCCGAACCTCCATTTTAAGGACGGCCTATACCACGAATCATCAATAATGATCCATCCACCTTGTTCTCTTTGTCGACTTGGCTTCCTGACGTACGAGGAATTCGTCACCAACACTCCACAAAACATCAGATATGATGTACCGCGCTTCGCGAAACTTTGTCTGAACTCTCTCCTTTTGTTTATCAACTGTACATAACCGACAAGGTTGATACGACGACCTGTCCAGCGGCTGGCCTATTTTCGGGCCCCATCTCTTCCTTCGTTTTTTTTTCTTGTTTCTTTTTCTGTACATTGCACGTTCTGCAGATTTCTAGCCCGAAAATGCCAAATGGCAGAAGGCCCTTCTTGCTTTGGAAAATAAATGATACTCCATTCAGTACCTATGTTATGAAGGCCCAGCCAGGGCAGGGATGGATGCCAGGGACCATTCATTGTCTTTCGGGGTTGGCCTAGAGGAAGGAGTACTTTTGATTGATTGATTGATACGAGAGGTGCATTCTGCATAGTATATGGATAGACTAGCTGGCTCTTGCCTACCTACCTTATCGAGGAGAGGGCACAACACACAGCTCTAGTTGTATATGGTAATCTATGAATAGAAGAAGCACATTGAACAGTGTATCATTTTGGATTTTACAACTGCTTTTTGAGAATGTGATGATAATGATATGTGCCTCCTCGCATTGTGATTACAGAAATAAGGCGAGCTGAACAGGAGAGAGAGCAAGTGATGTGATGTATGTAATCAAGTCAAGAAAACCTCTAGGCAACCTTCTTTCTTATTGCATCCCTCTTGCGAGTCGAATCCCCATCAAGTTCTGAAATAATAAACAAGCATCTCTTATCATCTTCCAGCCGGTATTTGTTACTTTCGTTGTGACGAGGATCCTGTTACTCCTTCACGTCTGATATTCGACATCCGAACACGGAAATGCGGAATTTCGGCGGAGAGAGAGATGCTTTGGAGCCTATATAGATACATGGAGTATATGGAGATGGGGATTCAAAGATTCTTGGGGAGTGGGGGATTCGAAAGATGAGGAAGATGAAATGAAGGGTTTCTGACTGGTTAGATGAATCATCGGGAATAAAAGATATATAGCGTGGAATAGGAACAATAAATAATGAACAGGGACGTTGATAAGACATACCTTCACAAAACACCCATCCTTAATAATCCTGGACCGTCATCAGCATTGCAGGAGGTCTCAAGTGGTGGGTTAATAAACTCAGGACTCAGAAACTCTGGATCGTTGGGTATCTCTAGAGAGATTGATGATTAGTTTCAGAGATAACTATACCGCAGCTCGTAGAAACAAGCAGGTCATTCATTATACATACCTTCACAACCGCCCATCCCTCCACAATATCCTTCATCATCCCAAGACCAATATCAGCATTACAAGCAGTGTCAAGTGGTGGGCAACAAACTCAGGATCTAGAAACTGCACTCCTTGGGGGGGCTCCCTCTGACCCCCAGAAAGATCTCGACATTTTCCCTCCCCACATCTCCTCCCCCTATCACTACCGGACGCCACCAACTAAGTCTGTGCCGGGTACGCTTTAGACCCCCGCATGGGGGAGAGAACGTTGCGTCCTCTTCTTCGGTCTGGGCCTTTCTTCGGCATCACCTCAGATGGAGCATCCGCGTTTGAAGGTGGGAGGGTCATTTTCTAACAATGCAGAACATGTTCCTCCTCGGAGTCATCGCAGGCCTAGGCGTTTGGAGATCAGACGGTCTTCGACCAATCATGCGGGGTACTCTCTTCCTCTGTGTCCCCTCAAAATCTAGCTGCATCTCAAGATAGGAAGGTCGTTGACCAATAATGCGGGGGTATCCTCTTCCTCGGCCCTTGCAAATCTAGCTGCACTTGCAGAGAGGAAATTGTTTGACAAATGATACGGGACATCCTCCCTCTCGGCATCTTCGTAAGTCTAGTTGAGTTTGAAGAGCGCGAGAGGCATTGCATTTGGAATTCGAGGCTTTTTTGGCGACGAAAAGACGGTCGTTGGTGGATCTGAAGCTGGTGGCGTGGTCGTGTGTAGGACAGATATGGCTCTGGATCGGTAAAAAGAGGTCCAGGAGGGATTCCAACACTCAGTGATGCCTCGTTTTCGAGGAAGTTGCGTGGAGCCGGGTCATAGATGCTGTCCAGTCTTTAATTGTGCGACTGGATGAAAAGTTGGCTTCATATCAGGGATGAAATCGTAACCAGCCAGGAGAACAGTTCTATCGGCAGGTCTCCCTCGTCCTTGAGGAGGTTCGATTAGGTAATCGAGAAATCTTGATACCGTTCTAGACTTCAGTTGTGCGACTGTCGGTCGAGTAAGATTCAAATTCTGGGACTGGCTTCATAATAAAATCGGAATCCTAGGGGGCCAGGTCGGGAGAAAGAACTGCGTCGGCAGGATTCCAGCACTCGGTGTTCGTCGTGAGCAAATTTCATAGAGCCAGGTCATGACGAGTTCATGATGCCCCCTGGCTTCCACTGTGCGACTGATGATCGATGATAAACTCTGGGACCGGCTTCATATATGGGATGCGATTCGTATCATATAGTGCTGTGTATCCGTGACGAGCTGTGACGAGCTGTGACGGCCGCTGGCGACCTATGATAACGCGCGGTGGGGCGGGGCGGGGCGGGGTAGACAGGGTAGGAGCGGGACAGATCGCGCTAGCCTTAGCAGCCGTGGGGCAGCGCAGCGCCTACAGGTCGGTCTCAGTCGGTCTCAGTCTCTCTCCCTTGCCAGACCTGCCCAGGTCTACCCTTGCCGTGGATAGAATTGGTAGACGTTGGTAGACGTTGGTAGAGAGCGCCCGGCGTCTGCAACCCGGCTTGCCTGTGAAAAGAGGCTTTTGGGTCCCACAACAATGTCTTTGTGGTTTGGGCCAGTTCCTCCTGTCCCAGCTTTCCACCCTTCAACCTCCGGCTCGAAGCGGACCCAGTCCTAACATGTGTACGCAGTGGTGAAATCCATAGTTGCCATATGTAGTGTCACCAACCTACGTACAGCATCGTTGCTGGGCCCCGCGTACGATTCGATTCTCGGCGAACGCAGGATTTCCCTCCTTGCTTTTTCTTGCCGCGTCGTGGGACGGTTGGATGGGCTGGAAGCGAGACAGCCTCGATTCTTGTTTGCCCGTTGGGTGCTCGAAAGGTTCATAAAAGCTCATATTTCCCCCTCAGATATTTTGCCCATGCAAGAGAGTCCTCTGGGACAGAAAAGCAATATCAAGCTTCAAGCCCCATCATCATACCGAGCGATCTCCCGCACGTATTAATCCATCCGTCCATTCGTTTCCCCTTTGCAAAATGGCAACCCTCCTGCCATACCGCGGCGACACTTCCATCTTCTATCGACAAAAGCCGGGTCTCGGTATCGTCCTTAAATCGCCTATGTATGTCGGTGAGGATGTCGCCAATAGAACGGACTTGATCCACGACATTGCAGGCTGCTTCTGGGTGGAGCGGCGCATATATGAAAGGCTGGGACATCACCCCAGAATCGTCAGGTCCGTCCATCCGTGGTACGACGACGGGTTCAGCGTTGCTAACTACCCCCCATAGATATATCGGGTACCAAAGTAGGCCGGGCGACCCTGAAGGCTTAATCCTCGCTGAAGCCAACCTCGGAAATCTGCAGGCATTCATTGACCAAAGGAACGGATCCATCAAACTTTCTCTACGCCTGAAGTGGTGCCTCCAAACGGCTGAGGCCGTCACGTACATTCATGAGCGCGGCGTGATACACTCAGATCTACGCCTCGAAAACATCCTCGTGCATGCAAGCGCAACCGTAACCGGCGCATCGCTTGATCTCTTGCTCTGCGACTTTGGTGGCTCCACTTGTGAAGAGCTGAATTTGGATGGCGGGCGTCTCCCTGAAGATCCCTTCTATGACCCCAACAGACCACGTGTGTCTACGATAGCCACAGATATCTTCAGTCTTGGATCGATTTTCTACACGATTCTGACAGGGAGATGGCCCCTTCAGCAGTCTGACTCGATGTCGACGGCAGAAGATAAGTTCAGTTATCAGAGAAGAGTGAACTTCTGTTTTCGAAGGGGGCAGTTCCCAGACGTGTCTGGGATGATGCTTGGGGAGGTTGTCATGGGCTGTTGGACACATAAGTATCTGACGGCGGGGGCTGTGCTGCGCGCTCTCTATGCAGAACTATGATGGATGCTAACATGCGAGGTATAAGCAGGAAGCATGATGCAGAGACCTGTACCATAGCGAACTATACCATGCATACTCGTCAGGAGTCAGTGATGATATACGCTCTGAAGGTTTTCCCCTATTTTTTTTTTTTCCTTGTCCTTTTGTATTCGTCGGGAGGTAGTGATGGACCTTTGAAGCTTTATTCCCTATTGTTCTTTTCCCCTATCCTTTTGCCTGGGCTGGAATAGCTTATATCCCTTGCCGGAGACGGCCGTTGTTAGCAAAATTAAAGTTATTAGAATTGCACTGATCCTGCTGAGACATAAGCTGCTGGTCATACACAGATAAGTATAACCAGCCAATCATCAGAAGTGCCAGGCTAGCTGCTTTGGCTTCAAACATCTCTGGAGTAGACCACCTAGGCCTAAAAAGGATTGGTCATCCTTTTGATAATAGATGCAGGCTCTGTGCACTGATACTCACCGAATTCGAAGAGAGGATGGGCAACGCTCAGGGGAAATTCTCAGGGAGGAGGATACGCCTGTCTCCTACGGTTACAGGCAGGACCACGTCCTGCACAACCGTGGGGACCTCAACAATATCAACTGTGTTGGTTTTATGTTCAGTCACAAGCGCGATGACTTCCCAATAGTCCTCAGCCGCATGCAATTGGGATTGCGGTCTCGGTACAATAGGTGGAGCGCGGCATTGTCAGATTCCCGGCTCCGGGGGATAATCGATCGGATATATTTTATAGCATAATATATCCATCGATCATCTTGATCTGTTAACTCCATAGATGAGAGACAGTGGCTGCCATGTATGATCTGCGGCCAAACTGTTGGCTTCAAGGAAGATGCTATGAGCATATCCTATATTGACATAACACTTGTCGATGTAGGAGTAGTTAAATCAGCAGGTAATGCTGAACATCACCTTGGGACCCTATATGCACTTATGTCGTATTCCCTTGTATCTCCACAAAACCGTCATCGGTATCTGTTTGGCAAATGCGCCAGTAGACTGGAGCGTAACAGCTTCGTCGCGCAATATTCGCCTTCTCTTTGCCGTACTTGTATCGTGGTATGAGCCATACCTCTGCCATGCCGTCTTCTGCCAATTAACCTTCGAGAAAATGAGGTTTAGCCGTCTCATGGCAGTCGCCCAGTAGGTTGAGAGCCAACTCCAGTGTCGACTGAGGCCCGCATCTCCTTCAATGGATTGGCGAGAAGTGTCATGGCATCGCAAAGCCCTTTCCTTCGCTATGCCAGTATACCCGGTGTATGCCGACGACATCTGCGAGAGCTTCCGGAGAAATCAGCGGCGAGCAGCGGGTATCGTTGAAGGAATCCTGGAGCTGTGGAAGGAAGAAGCATGGGAAAGTGACATGGTGACGCTTGTCCTGAATGCCATTTACGCGACCGTTAGGGCCGGGGCAACGTACTAATTTAAGGCGCCGTAAATTGCATGGGTAAAAAGGTATGATTATCGGACGATACCCCTGAATTATCTCGGGGCCTTCTAGTGGCATGTTTTAAGCTGCTTCAGCATTAGTTGGAACATTAGCCGGAAGCATTAGGGGCAATTAGCATTATCAGACAATCGGACGCTGCGAGTAGGTAGATATGTACCTATGCACCTAGGGTCTGCGATCCGATCTCAACCAGGCGGGTTTCAAAGGAACGAGTATGCTTCTGTCTGTTGGATGTAAGGTAGAGACAAAGCACCGGGAGATATTATACATAGGTAACATAACACAGAGTCGACTTCCTGTTAAATCTCTGCCATCGGTGCTCTGATTACTCCGTATATCGTGCCAGCCGGGGTGATTGGCCGGGCCGCCCTGGGATGAGTGATGCCCCTGAACGCGGAGCAGAAGCTCTTTACCTCATTTCCTCTCTCTCTCCCTCTGTCTCGCGGCTTTCTCGCCTCAACTCGCAAGGTTCTTCTGAGCATCCAGAGTTGTTCGATTCTTCGTCCCTTCACTTGCATTTCGCCTTCATCCCCATTTCCATTTCCACTACCCCGCCGGCGCGGACCCTTCCTTGGCTTTATCCATCCCTCTACCCATCTATCAACCTTCCATTCTCCATTTGCGCAGGACATCGGGCAGCCTCTGCGTGCAGACGACCCGGCCAGGCTCAAGCCTTCGCAAGTCTTACGGCGACGGTCCATCCGACTTCACATCCGTTCACTACTGCTCTTCATCTTCATCGTCGCCCGTGGCACTGAGAATAGATAAGAGAACCAACCCCTCTGCTCTACAAGATCCGCCTCCCAACAACCTCCGTCGGAAAGCGACGAGCAGCTTCTTTGGTTAGAAACCGGAGAAACGTCAAAAGTAGACCCTGATCGACCATCACCTTGCAATCGAACCCTGGAAATACACCCGCATAAAGTTTGTCCCCTTCCTTCGAATTCACTCTTCAAAGTTCACCTTCACTTCAAATCCACTCTTCGGGCAATTCGACGCCGCGCAATTCGCATACTCCCTACCCTGCCGTTTCTGCGACAAGCTCGTATCCAATCAATCCCCGTCAGCTCCCGTCAGCCATGGTCTCGACAAGCAGACCTCGAACACCCAGCGCGGGTACACTTTCGCCAACAGACAAGCTGGCGGTAATCCCTGAGTCTGGGAAAAACCAAGCTCGTCGTTCAAGTCTCGGTATTCTACTCCGTCGCACGAAATCCGGCGATCTGGGCAAGGGAAACAAGAAGTCGCAAGCCATGGCGAGAGAGCAAGAGCTCGAGCGACAGCGACGCTCAGCTGCTATTCCAAGATCGCCTCCAAAACTCCCCGACCTATACAACGGCCTTGCGCCTCCAAAACTGCCATACTCCGAAGATCGACCTGACTCTGTCGCCATCATATCTGGCCGAGTGGGCGCAAACCATGGCTCTACAGAGACAGGTCGCGCGTCTTCAGCCATGAGCAGTGTGCAAGCTCCTCCCATCCCATCAAGTGGTGGCCGCAATGGGGACTGGGTCGACCCTTATGCTCGAACCGAAAGCATGACCCACCGTGGGCGTTATAGCTATGCGAGTAGCGCAGTGAGCACCATCAACAGCCCTCGCAGAGTCCGCCGACGGAAGGACCCGACGCCATTTAAGTACGTTCCGCACTCACCGGAGAGATGCTTTGACTGACCATATTGATAGTATTCTCATCATCGGCGCCCGTTCTTCTGGCAAAACCTCCTTTCTCAACTTCCTCAAGACCTCTCTAGCCCTCCCCCAGAAGAAGAGGGGTCCCCAACCAACCGACCTCGTCGATGACATCTTTGCGCCACAAGCTTCGAAGTCCGGCAACTTCGAATCGCATTACCTCGAGACCGAGATCGATGGAGAGCGAATTGGTCTGACCCTATGGGATTCGGAGGGTTTGGAGAAGAATGTAGTCGATCTCCAGCTTCGCGAGATGTCCTCGTTCCTCGAAAGCAAATTCGAAGAGACATTCACAGAGGAGATGAAGGTTGTTCGAGCCCCAGGTGTTCAAGATACCCATATCCATTGCGCCTTCCTGATCCTCGACCCTGTACGTCTCGATCGCAACATTGCGGCAGGCAAGGCCGCGGCAGCAAATGGCAACGCATCGAGTGGGAAATATAACCCCGCGCCTCGTGTGATCGGCGGTCTGGATGAGGATCTTGATCTGCAGGTCCTCCGCACGCTGCAAGGAAAGACAACCGTCGTCCCTGTCATTTCAAAGGCTGACACCATTACCACCGCGCATATGGCGTATCTTAAGAAGACGGTATCGGACAGTCTGCGTAAAGCCAACCTTGATCCACTAGAGGCATTCGGATTTGAAGAGTCCGAAGTCGACAGTCTGCCAAATTCTAGCCGCATCGATGAGGAGGATGAGGGAGATGAGGACGAGAGCGAGGGCAAGGGCAAGAACAAGGACAGTGCTGACGGCCATAACTCAGCCGGCGACCTGCCAATTCAAGGAACCCCGGACCTCAACTCTTCCCCTAAGTCTTCTCGGCTGTCTTCAGGGTCAATCCGCCGTCACTCTCGTTCGAATTCCAGTGAGAATGATGCATCAACGGATATCCCATATCTACCCCTGTCCATTATCAGCCCCGACATCTACGAACCCGGAGTCATTGGAAGAAAATTTCCCTGGGGCTTCGCGGATCCGATGAACCAGGAGCACTGCGATTTCGTGAAGCTCAAGGAGGCTGTATTCAGCGAATGGAGAGGTGAGCTCAGAGAAGCAAGCAGGGAGCTCTGGTATGAAGGATGGAGAACGAGCCGGCTCAAGCATCGGGAGGCGAAGCCAGGTCGAGACGTAAAGTCGGGGCGTGAGGTGAAACCAGGTCCTCGACGATGATCTGTCCTCGCGTACGTCTTGCGTCTTGCGAACAAAAGCAATGCGAACCGACGCAACAACTAACTTATTTGGAGGCCACCGTCCGCAAGCCGGGAGTTCCTGGGGACACAAAATGGCGGTTAATTTCGGATCGTGTTATTTTACTCTCTCAGGATTTTCTTTTGTTCAGTTACATACCCCCTTCCTTCGACTCGCGCACAGCACACCTGCTTGTTACTTTTCTTCCACTGCTCATGCATCAAAAAGCGAACTGGTCCTAGATTTGAGAATCGATAGGCGTCTAATTCCTCTTGCGCTGGTCGCCCTCTACCCTGTGCTTCTAACTGCTCTTTTGAAAACGGCTCTTTCCAAATCAACAGGGAGAGAAAAAAGAGGGGTTCAGCAAACCAACAAGTCATGGGGGACGCCGATGCACAAATTCTCTTGCGATAGGATCATCGGGATTCTTCTACATGACGATGGATGTGTTTTGTCAGTGGTGTAAAATCCTTTTCTCTATCATTGCGATTGATTTTCTACCTCGAGCAGCATGTTTGATAGCTGATTATTTGGCCAAATTTTATAATGTTGTCTCAAATTTCCACTCACTCGCTGCATATTGATTGATTGACGGTGCGCAAGAAAGCTATCCAGAATGATCATGATGATACATGTTCATTTAAATAAATCTGGTATTCCCTAACTATATGCCATAGATGTGAACAATTTGCGGCGCTACAAACTATGCACGACATACTTGCATCGCATGGGATTTCAGTCATGTTACCTTCATTTCCCAGTTCGGAAGAGGGAGAGGGAGCCGAGCCGGCCCGATAGCTCAGTATATTCCTTAACGAAAAGTAGGGGAGGTCCTCAACCAATCCCATCTCAGGAATTCTCTTCGAGGTGCTCTTAAGAGTTGATCTGTTTACGATGCTTGCTTGTGTGATGGTGATTAAGTTAACGTAGGCAAGGACATCATGTTGTATGCAGTTAAATTTTGTGGCTGTTGGTCTTTTCTCGCCAGAGATAGAAATTAGCTGAGGGCATGGATGCCTTCTCTACCTACGCACTGGTCATAGGTAATAGGAATGAAATGTCTCGGGGCGATCCTTGGGTTCGAGGTCTCGATTCCTAGTCGCGTGTATATATGCTTGATTTCTAAATCATCATGAGATCACTTCGCTCAAATGGTTCAGCACAAGGTTTGAGCACGTTTGAGTTTGGTTGGACTTTTGGAATTGCTACCGTTAATCAGAGGCTACTCGTACCTACGACAGTTCTAGCTGTCGAGAACGCCGGAGTTGATTCATGAGTGAAGAGGGGAGGGTACCAGAGGAACCTTATTGTACAAAGAACACAATGCATGACGATACATCGGATTGCATTCGACACATCATGGAGACCCATGATTCTAGATGCTTTTCAGCCGCCGCCTACCTTACCTACTCTTTTCTCTCACCAAGCATGAACTTCATCCCAGCATTGATAATCTTCTCTATAACCACCGTTTCTGCTTCTTCGTTCTCGCCAGACTTAGGCGCATAAACCATGATATAGGTCGCAGGGAGAAGCGTCCCACCGAGTCCGAATCGCTCGCCCCACCCCCTCTCAATCACAAGCTTAGCATCCAGCGGCGCGAGGCTCACATGCATGGAGCCATCCCCTGGATGAAGGTGTGCAATCTCATTCTTAGTCCATCGAGCACTTGGGTGCTTCTCGACATCAAGGTTAACAAAAAGCGCTAATCCCCCACGCTCTAGAGCTGAGGTGTTGACTGAGAGTCTAGTGGGATCAGCTTCGGCAAGACTGCGCATGAAACTCTCACGTCTCTGCATCCATTGTGTCAGTCTCTTGTGTGGAGGGTCTGAGGATTTCTGGCAGCGAAGAGACGTACCGTCTTGGATTCTTCAGAAGAGCGGCTGTCCAGCTGCCGCTGAGGAAGGAGCCAATGACATATTGATGGTCGTGGGCCTTGACGTTCTGGGACATCTTCCTCTTCCAGATAGGATACCAATGCTTGGGGGCCTGCTTTCGCTACAGCCTTTGGATTATCGTAGCAGCCCGTGTCCAGGCGAGGGCCTCTCAGTGGCGTCAGAAGTAGTTGTATGAGCCATCCAAACGCATTGTATGGCAGGCCGCCCCGTCCGACGCGGAGCCAGGCGCGGTAGTCGGCGTGGGAAATGTAAATCAGTCTAAGCAGAGGGCCGGAGAGTGCAGCAAGGGTAACAAGGGCGGTAGAATGGTTTTGAATTAGAGGGTGAGTGGAGATGCTTTGAGGCCAGCCTTGAAGGCGCGCGAAAAGAGAGGAGGCCATCTGGGCAAGACGAATAACGATGCAAGTGGTGTTCTGATACCTAGGAAGTCAGACGTGTCTCTCGAGTAAGATCAAAGAGGCAGAAATCCAAACACATGTAACAGGCAGTGGAAGGTCTCGAGAGAAGTAAGATATACGGTGTAGGTATGCACCTAGGTAGGCTGACGCTGCCCAAGGTGCGTACTGAGTAAAGGACTGTTAGCTTATAGGTAGTCCGCATAGGGAAACGAATGCGAAAGCGGGTTTTGGGGCCGTGGAGGATGCGGAGGTGGAGCCTTGGAGGGCCTGCACGGGCCTCCACCTTTCCCTAACTAGGTAAGGCAGGGTGGGTGAGCGACCAGGTTACCCCTGGTGACCGGTGGAAGATTATTCCGTCCCGGCAGATCACAGGCAGAGGTCCTGTGTCCCTCGTCAGCATGGAACCACATTTTTCATCCCCATGGCTTAGTCAACCAACTGTTGCAAATTGTTGTTTATATCTGAGTTGGAATCAGCATTCCATCTGAGAATCTGAGAATATAGACTGGTGCTTACCTTATGGGAATGATAATGGACCGAGGATCTCTGCCTCATTTCTGGAACCGTCGTCAGCAAGGCCAAAATCGTCCAGGGATCTTGCATGTCTGGGAGAAGAACTCGAGAAGGCTCTATCAAGCAATCAGATTGTTACAGGGATAGCAGGATAGAAACCGTTAGGTATCTTACGAATGAGATCGAATGGTACATTAACAGTGTCATCGGCAAAGACTTCCGGTGAGGGTATACATCCTTCTTTTCTCTTCATTGGTCGGCAGTGGCTTGAAGTCTTAGAATATGTGACGAGAGCTACATGCCCGCATCACCCCGCATGCCCCCAAGGACTTACAACACGTCTTCCATGACACGATATCAGAAGATGTAGATAAGGCTGGGATAACAGGGAGGTGGTATGCCCAGCACAAGCGTGCGGAGAGCTAGTGAATCAGTGCTTCAGATTCTGCGATTTTGGGTATATCAACACTATAACCACACGGCAAAGCCAACTCCATTGACCGTCGATACCATTATTATTTCCCTCCAACGTCCATTTGGTGGACAAATTTTAGCACCCAGAGCCAGCGCCTAGTCCTCGCGTTCCATGATACGTCCCGAGGTGCCCCTATAATACCCCTATAATCAAACGAAGCTTGGATTGATTTCCACGAGAGAGATAGCTTCAAAAAAAATCAAGAATCGCGCAATGTGAATAGCTGGACTTGCTAGTTCCGAAGTGAAAACCCCCAAAAACGTGAACGTTGCTGATGGCGTCGATGAAAGGCTGGATCTTCCGAGCCAGAGGCCAGCGAAGTAAGAAAGGTACGGGCCTCGTTGAGTGAGTTAACTTGCCGCGGTCTCCATATAGGTGGCCAACGGCGAGTATCCCGCGTCTCACGGGGCCAAATGACACCTCCCTCATTCTCGAAACTCCACCAGCCTCTTCCCCTAGCCTTAAATATCTCTGACCTTCGATCAAAGGATGCTTGCATTTTAGCGACGTGTTCTCTTTCTGCATCTGCACGAGCCGATGTGTCCGGTGCCTCCCAAGGCATTTCGAAGATACCCCAGTTGTCTAGTCGAGCGTGGTCCCACATGACATATCCCCACTCGCGCAGTAGTTGTCGCGAGTCAGAATTGACAAAATTTGAGCAAGTCTCGCCTTTGTGTGCCCAGCGCCATGCATCGGACGGGCCTGTGTCAGAGTCTTGGGCAAATGGGTCTTTGATGTGGGCAAGCTCTTCGTCCTGGGTGTAGTCGGAGAGAAAAGCCCCATCGTCAGGTTCGTTGGCCATCTTCAGCCCCGTGTAAAGAAATTGGGCGTTACGCGGTGGATACCTGTAATAAATGAGCTCGCGTCGTTCTTCGTAGTCTTCAGCTAAGGCGATTTGGTGGAGATCTTCTAAACCAAGGGACAAAAGGTGCTGAATAAACCTAGAGTCTATTTTGTCTCCGTATTCAACAGAAAACTTGCCCCATGCAACGTCATGTTCGGCAATATCATTAAAGGCTAGGATTGTTAGAAGCAGCCTTACGATAGTGACAGCACATATTCACATACCTGGAGATACAACTCTGACGAGATAATCGTGAATGCATGCTAGCTGTTCGTTCTCCCAGAGTGAGAAATTGGAGAAAAAGATGCTCCGCTGCTGTTCGACGCTAAAGAGAGTACGGTGTGGATTGCGGAATATGTTACAGTATATCTCAAATCGATAGAAGGCGCGTATAATGCGAGCCATCTCGTTTTGCGATAGTTCTGGCTGGTCGGGCTCAAGGTCAGTCGGGCAAGGGGACTTGCCCAGTGCCTTGGAGACAAAATCCATCGTGAAGCAATAGACATGATCATGGAGGTTGCTGAGGAGGAGAGCGTCCGGGAGTGTCCACTTCTGCGGGGGTATTCTTCGACTATGGAGATGCTGGGAGACGAACTCTTGTATTTGTTGCTGGGTCCACGGCGATATACGAGAGGAGTCTAACGCTGCAGTGGCTTCAGGGAGGACGTCAAAGTCCACTTCATCTTCCAGGATCTGGCTCGTGATTAACAGCTCGGAATTGGCGAACGCGCGGTACCACGAGGGGCTGGCCAAGGCTATCGATCTTATAGACTCAAGATCAGGGAGCATAGACGTTATGGTCTGCTGCACCTTAATAGGAAGCTCTTCCAGCCGAGACTGGGCCATGATATGATAGAAAAAGCGCGATGGAATCGTGGATGCGTTACTTTGGAGTCAAAGAAGTAAACAACAATAGTAACTACAGTACCTAGGTACTGTAGATGGCGGGGGTGGGGTTTGGAACGAGCGGGTTTGGGTGGGTTCGCGGATAAGATAAGAGAGGACGCTTGCCGTTATCTGGTTTTAGTTCAAGGTACGTACTGTTATTCACTTCTTGATTCCTCAGGCACTAACACTTCAGCTAGCCCTACAGAGGAAACGGCTAAATCCACGCCCCTACCTACCTAGAAACTTGAAACCTCCTCACCCAAGGACCACTTGAATTTTACCTGACTGTGGGTTTGGCTGGATCCTTGGTTTAAACACACATATACAAGAGCCAACTGAGTGGTTTGGTATCTACTCTCAAGATTGGATGTTTGTCATCTGGACTAAATGACTTGCATAATCAAGAGCGAACGAAAGCACAGTCCAGCCAGGGCCCAGCAGCCATGATGTCCAAGAACTTGGAAACCAGCCAAACCATCAGGGAACCACGAGAAACAAGGGTCATCTATGAACAGGTATGCATGGGGCGTGGTAAAGAAAACGACTTGCCAGAATTAAGCATGGAATCCGGAGGAAGTGGTGGGTTCTGAAAGGCATAACTATCCCTTTCAGCTGTGGCCTGACTGAACATTTCTGCTCCACGAGACCCAGAACTTGCTGCAATCATTGATTGAGAGAGGAGAGTTGGAAAACATCGGGTTCAATCGCAGAGCGCCGACCCCTACTACTTTATACAACGTACGCGTCTGGCAGCGAAGACCCACAGGATCCAATTTTACTCCGTGCTAGAAAAGCTTCTTCTCAGCCACGCAGGGCCTATCGACACGATGCCGACCAGTTGAAATCGCCCGTGCAATCAGCCCTGGCAAAAGCAATACCGAGGAACGATTCCTGCGCCTGGCGATCCACTCAGGTCTGGAAATCCCCTGCCAGTCTGCGGCATAGTACGTACTTACAACGTACTCTGTATGTGTCTTCTTGCAATAGTGCTTATTGCTATTGTTTCCTCGAAGCAGCAATGATGCTGACTTCCAGCGCGCTCTCTTCGTCGTCAGCTTCTCCCCTTTCCTCTTCTTGTTGTTCTCCTCCCTTGCAGCCGTTTATTCTTCGAGAACAATGCTGGCCGCAGTGATGGGGAATGGGTCTACTATGACAAAACAGTTTGCTGTCAAGGGAACAGGCTTAATATTCATCTTGGCCCTCATTTTATACCTCACGCAAGTACTCCCAGGACATCACCACCGCTATTCCGACCTACCGAAGCAATTGCTTACAATTACACCCTCTCCAGCTTCTACAGTTCTTTGTTGGCTCTCCACCCTTCACAGTTTCCCCAGACAATCCAGTTTACGAGTGCAATTCCCCCTTCACCTACTCCAGCGGCTTCTGCTGAGCCTCCTCCGCCCTCAGAATGTTCGCCTCCGCCCTCTCCATACGACCGAACCAAAGTTGCTTTCCTCGTTGAAACGCGACCCCTCCCGCACCTCCCCGCACTCTTCGCGCATATGACCAGCCTCATCCCACCCGAATGGACCTTCAGATTCATGGGGTCTCCCACTTCAATCGCTTTCATGAGGTCCTCACCGATCATCTCGCGTCTGGAAGCTTCCGGAAAGCTTACCATCATCCCGCTCCCTTCTACATACTCTGTGTCAAGTCGCGAATATATAAGCCGGATGTTCACGGACCCCCACCTCTACAGAGATATTCTGGCGCCAGCCGAACATCTGTTGGTCTTCCAACCTGACAGTATCTTTTGTGCCAACGCACCTGTCACATTGAACGACTTCTTGGAATGGGATTGGATCGGTGCACCATGGTCGAAGACGGCTAAATATGGCGGGAATGGGGGGTTGAGTTTGCGGAAAGTGAGTAGGATATTGGAAGTGCTAGAGAGGGAAAGGAGGCCTGAGTGGGATGGCGCATTGGAGGATTTGTGGCTCACTGATAGACTGCATGGGTTACCGGGGGCCAGAATACCTAACGCGGCTGTCAGTAAGAAATTCAGTGTGGAGAGTGTATGGGATGAGACGCCGTTGGGTTATCATATTGGGTGGTTGGGCGTTCATCATGAGCAGGTGAAGCCCCCGTTTGAGTTTCGCACCTCTGCGAGATATGCTGACCCCTTCGGACAGATCTGGGATGATCAAGGCCAGGTAGATCATATCATGGAATATTGTCCAGAGGTGAAAATGATTCTCGGAATGAAGCTAGCGGGCGATAAGCCTAACGGCGTTGCACGTTGAGCACTTTCTCCTGGTTTGTCTCTGGCTCATCACCTTGTCCCAGTGCAGACCATTGTTCCCTCCCAGTTCCTACTCTCCGGTGGTTCTGCCGAGTATCCGTATCCCACTTACATCTCTACCAACGATAGCTCAATTGGTTCATACGGTCGTATCGCGAGATTTCTGACATCAGCTTCTTGAGCTATTGTCAATCTCGCCCCTCTTCCTCTTTCTGATGTATGTTCGTGATCCAGTCAGGAAGCTGGACAGGACGTATGGCGGATTGACTGGGGGTCAACTATGATAATTTGGGGCCGAGGCATTGTAATATGCTTACTATCACCCGTCATGAAGACCGGAAACTAGTTATGCTGCTTCGATAGAGCTGGGGGAGTGGAAATTCGAGGGTAGTAAAGCTGTAGCTTGGAGATTGTACGGAACTGCCAGATGATCTGGCAGCGCACAGGAGAACGGGGTCGGCCCGTGAGAAATTTTGTATGGTCGCATACTGCTCACCACTATTGTATATCTTGATGTGCAGATTGAAGGATCAATCAGGTTGTTTATTATTACCTTGATACCTTATTGGTACCTGCTTCCTCAGCATTTCCGCGCGGCTAAATGGGACAGCTCCGCTCCGGGTCACGTGGACAAGACGTTGAAGGTTGAGGCGATTGAGGCGTCACCTGTTGCCGTTGCGTGAGGCCTGTAGAGGTAATCATAGAGATGAATTAATTGCGCTCACATGTCGCATTGTCAGATTCTCCATTTATCTAACTTTGGCCTACGCAAGGTACACGGGCACCGGCACAGATTTACCTCCAAGAGCACACGTCCAGTACAGTCCGTCTGATACTGAAGCTCCTTGAAACGTTGCGTCACACAGCCCCTCGTGTCTTGTGTCGTCAGTTGTCAACTCGCCTCGGCTACCCCTGATTGTGATCATCACCTTATCCGTCCCGCTCCACTCCACTCCACTCCACCTCCAACTCCACTGACCTCAGCTACCGACCTCCTTTCATCCTCCCATCCTCCTCCTCCTCCTCTTCTTCTCCCTCTCTCCTCTACGAAGATATCCAGCTTAGAGCGATCCTTTACCTTTACCTTCTTCCACGACGCTTTGCTACAGACTCGTCGACCTCGGATGCGATTCATTCTTCGCCTGCTGCAGCTGTAGAGCTGATCGGTCTTGCGACAGTTGAGAGCCTGCCATCGTACTCATCATGCGATCTCCGCGAGCCGTCATAATCGTTGCTTTCTTCATAACAGTTCTATTCCTGACATTCCTTTCTCTGCGATCTTCCCATCCGCCGAAGAAAGCAACAGTCGCATCGCCAGCACACAAGACCCGTCTACAGTCATTCTTCTCCTTTCGAGCGCCCTTCTCTCTCTTTCCACCGAATGCCATCATCACCCTCACACACGAAAACTCGACCGCTTTCTTAGCACGACCTGCAGCGTTTGGCCCATCGTTACCCCAGGAGGGTTTGAGTGGGCAGCTATGGATTGGAAGTGGCTTCGGCGATGATAGCATACGGGAAGGGACTGCTGCTGCTGGCGCTGTGGGCGAGCTAGGCTGTAGTGACGTACCTGGGTGGGTTGATGATTATGCGAAGAAGCCAGGTACTGCAAAATCTGATGGAGTGAAATCTGGAGTGGATAAGTCTGCGACGACTGCAGCTAAATCCCGCAAGAGAGGCAGTGATGGAGATGGTCCGTTCGATGACCGGACGGCTACATCAGAGGACTCCCCGCGCAAGAAGAAGGATGGCTCAGAGCCTTCTATTGACGATGGCACTGACGATTACCTCCATCATCCTTTACCAGGTTCCCGTGTATCCAAACCTACCGACCCGCAACCGGCTGATGCTAATGGAAACCATGCCGATATTCAGTCAATACAAGAGGGCGCGGAGATTGCTGGGAAGATTGTTCTTTTGAGCCGTGGTGGATGCGGCTTCTTGGAAAAGGTCAAATGGGCCCAGCGTAGAGGCGCAATTTCCCTGATCGTTGGTGATGATACCAAGGGAGGACCTCTGATACAAATGTACGCCCGGGGGGATACCTCAAATGTCACCATCCCATCCATCTTTACCTCACGGACTACTGCCCATCTTCTATCGTCTCTAGTGGGATCTGGAAATTTCATCGAGGATTCAGTTGATGAGAAGGGTAACCCGACCTTGAAGGTCCTGCACACCGACAAGCCGAAAAAGGCTGGGAAGAACCCGAATTTAAAACCTACTTTTACACAGACAACGACAACGACCAAAGCAACTTCGACATCGCGGCCGGCTTCAAAGGCCCCCAAAAAGGGTTCTACGCCGACCAAAAAAGAATCTACCGTTATGACCACGGAGCGACCTGGCTGGTTCAAGTCTCTATTTTTCGGGTCTAAAAAGGGCAATTCTGAAGCCGATAGCAGTCGTCCTCCAAGCAGTGGTCAGCTGGACTGGGTTCTCGTGGACGATTGGAAGGACGATGATAGTACTAATACGGAGAAGGTCTCTTCGGCAAAGTCCAAACAGAATACTGATACTGGAGCCAAAAATACCAAAACTGGTGATGATTTTGTTATTGGTGTTCAAGACTGGCGCGACCCCGACTTGGTTGGTTCATCAAGCTCAAAGGATTCCGAGAAAGGCAATGCTGCCGAGAAGTCGGATACCACGAAGATGAGGAATACCAATTCCCACCCTGCAAAATCCGGGAAGAAACACATCGGCGGAGCTCTTCAAGATATACCCGAGTATATTCCAAAGCTTAGAGGCGGAAGCACTACACCTGGGAGTGGTGAATATAGTGCAGAGATCGAATCTGAATCAGAGAAGCCTAACACACAAGGGGAACAGAAAGATTCGGCGAATGAAGGAAAATCGAAGGGGCTGTTAACAGCTATTTTTGGAGATGACGAAGAGGATATCGAATTCATACCCACTGGATCAAGCAGCACTACACATAATGTCGCTGAAGCGGCTAGTGAGGACAATGACAACGACGGAGAATACGATGGCCTATGGGTCACGTTAACACCAACCAATGGAGCCAGCCCCTTCCTGGACACGCTCTTGGTCCTGGTCGTCAGTCCTCTAGTCACTCTAACTGTGGTATATGCACTTCTTCTCGTGAGATCTAGAATACGGAGACGTCGCTGGCGAGCACCAAAGTCTGTCGTCGACAGACTACCAGTGCGAACCTACCAGACTATCACCACGCCTGGTCACCAGTCTCCAAGATTACCAAGTCCTACGAGTACTTCTGCAACCACCCCTCTCCTTCAGCAATCGCCATCAGCTAGGCCTCGACCACGGTCGAGGACAACGACTGGTATCCCAGAACACGGAGGCCCCGTTCAAGTCAACTCTAGTCCGCTGCAAATGCCCTCATCTCCAGCGCGCTCTCAGGAACATGAGAAATCTTCCAATGTTTCCCCTGAATGGAAAAGGTACATGGGCAAACAAGTGGAGTGCGTCGTGTGCCTAGAAGAGTATATCGATGGTGTTAGTCAAGTCATGAGTTTACCTTGTGGCCATGAATTCCATGTGAACTGCATGTAAGTAATCAAGCCAGCCACCCAGGATCTTGCTAACCTCGTCACAGAACACCATGGTTAACAACGCGTCGACGAACATGTCCGATTTGCAAAGGCGATGTTGTCCGTTCTCTAGCTCGCGGTTCCTCTTCCAGTCCTCGTTACGAGCCGTATATTGACGACAGTGATGATGATGGCCAAGCCCAAGCCTCCGAAACAGCCAATGAGTCCTCCTCATCTGGAATTCTAGGCGACGTATCTGATGAAAATAATGGTGATCTTGAGCAAGGCACCGCCTCATCTGATTCAAGTCGCCGTGGTGGAGCAGACCCTTCCGTGAGCTGGAGAAGCCTGTTAACCAGCAGTCTCGGATCTACTTCTAGACGGCCACATTCGTCCCAGGAAGAACGAAGTCGATGAAGGGTCTTGTACATTTTCCTTTGTTCTCTACAATACAGTGTTTGGAGCTTCTTTGGTATGGTGTATAGGGATATGATGGGTTTGGGAGGAACGGACTGAATGGAGCACAGCGAAGGCGCAATAACACTCGTTACAACATTTTCCCTGTTAGTTTTCTGTTCGCAAAGCCCACTTGCAGTTGTTGTAGCATAGACCTGAGGATACCATGTCCGTCTCATAGATAAGTTAACGTTTTTGAATCACCCAGCTTATAAGTACACGATCCTTGTTCCTTGCCAAGAATTGGGAGGCGGGGAGCGGGGTAAACCTGGGATACTTATGTACCTTACATAGGTACCTTAGGTAGGTACCTGTGAAGAGGCCCAGGGCACCAGCATGTTAGGTGGACTGAATACAATGCCCTTTTCGCTTTTGAGTGAAATTATATTATTCCACTTCTTACTACAGATACCTAATCTAATCCAACCAGGCCCCTAATTACAAATCCCAGATTAATCTTCACAGGGACCTCATTATATAGAACCCAAAACCGCTACCCAAACCCACATCCAGTAAACTCCAATATCAGCCAACCCATCTTTCTGTCTAGTAAGAGTGTATCACGGGCTCAAAGAATCCCTCACGATACACAGTATACCATTATCAGGACACACTTTCGTCCTGTTCAGCTGTTTATCCCAAGGGCCCGTAGGCCCACTGACAAATTTATAGAAACCAAAGAATTTCTTCTGTCTAGGATCCTTATCCGGGTACTGCTCATCGCCCCACTGGCCCCTGAAACGCATAGCTCCCGTAGGACTAATCCCATCGGCACTGGTGAAGGACGCGCTGGCGGCGTCGTAGGAGTAGAAATAGGCGCTCTGGGCAGGGTCCCAGATCATGCCCTGCGAGGTGTAATCTTGGATCAGACCCGCTGGCAGATTCAGGTCCGGAATCGTATGGTCGTGCGTCCCGGCGATGGCATAGTTCGCGTGGCTGCCCCGCGCGGAATAGGCGACGGGCCGCACGCCTTGCTTCTCAACGGTGGCATAGGTGAAGGCTTCGCCGTTGCCGTGCTGGCTGTACCAGATCTCCTGGGGAGCGCCGTCTTGGAACCGGATCATGTTGTGCTCCCAATCTCCAATGTGATCGCCGAGTTCTTGGAAGAGCACCGTGTTCCCGAGGTTGTAGGCATAGAAGTACATGTAGAAGACGTCCACCAGTCCGGCTCCATGGTCGTTGACAATTATGGCGGCGCTCGTTGCGCCGTTGGTCTTCCCGGAAGAGTCTGGAACAACCCCGTCTAGCCATTTGGGCGCCGTGGTCACGTCGATGTTGGAGGTGAGGTAGACATACTTCCCATCGTCGCCGTAGGAATTGAGGACGTCGAGGTTGTCGAGTGTGAGAGATGGAAGGTCGCCAATTGTCGTGTAGTTGATGCCCGGATGTGTGTTTTCAACCTGCGCAGCTATGTCGGACGGGAAGTATTGCTCCTGAACATCGAGCCAGACCAACGGAGCTGAGAATTGCTACTATCAGCTCTTTGGTAACTTCAGCTATGGGGGAAATTAAGTTTGTACCATATTCGAGGGCGTAGGAGGGAACACCAGCTACTTGTCGTGCTCTTGGAGGCGGTCGCGCGCAGGTAAGGAGACCATGGTACTGGAGTATGAGGAAAAGTACAGCAAGGCAAGTCATGATCTGCGTATTTCATGTCAGTTCCCGCTTTGCAGGTGAGGTATGTGAAGCATATACTGGAGCGGACAGACCTGGTAATATATCGCCCTCTCCGCAGCCCTCCACCTTGGCAATGGCTCCTGGTCCGGAGGGACAGGGCCTAAATCCCCCTTTTCCAACAAGCTGTCGTCCATTGTCTGCGACAGAGGCCCAGCCAAGCCAATTAGTTGTGCCGATTGAAACTCGGCTGGAGTAGTAGAGTAGTACGTAGATGATGGACAGAAGATGATTGGCTCATCAATCAAGCAGAAGGATTCCCGGGACGGGGTATATTATATACCATGCTGCTGAGCAACGCAACTCGACCAGCTTGCTGATGTTGTCATTGGCGCCGATACTGTCCATCAGCTGCTCGTTGGACGGGAGACTTAATAGCTACCTACCTACATAGGTATTTACGAGCTCAAGACATGTACGGTAGCCGTGCAACCCCACCACACCAAATCCTGTTGTGCCTGAATAGTATATCTCAAGTACTACCTTACTAGTTTGTCAAAGGAACCCATACTGGACTTTTTGTGAAAGACATGTTCTTCTTACTGTTATACTATTATGCCATAAGAACTCAGAAGTTGCCGGTGTGATCTGCTCAGCCGTTCGCTATGTAATGCCATGCCTCGGTCTGCGCGGAACTGGTCACAAAGTCCGGGAAACAGACTGTTCTGTTCTCGTGCGCCTGACCCCATCTACTGTCCTTGGTACATAATTCTGTTGGCTTATGACACTTCCTCCTGTCTGCAACTGTCTCTTCGTGGGATAAATGACCTGCCTACCTTGTAGGCAGGGCTTTGCTCAACTCGCACGTTCGCGCTTACGCCGAGCCTATCACGACTGTGTCATGGCACTCGTGCTCTGCTGTGGAAAGATATACGACAGAGACCAGATAGTTCCTAGAGACATACATCATATACTCCCTGAAATGAAGGAAAGGAAAGCTCCTCGTCTCTATGGCCAAAGAAGACCTCGCTACCATCAGCTACAGTCCCCATTGGCCCAGAAATCTGGCCATGAATAGCATACTTCACGAAGACTGGTAAATGCTCTGGTCTATAGACGAAGTTGCTACGGATGAAAACGCAGTGTCTGCCATTAGTTCATGAGTAGGCTGGCAATTCCAATAACGCCCCGAGTTACTCCCACAAAGCAATCCTGTATTGCTTTCGTCCCAGCCAGAATTTTGAAGCTATTAATAATACTCTAAAAGAAAACACTGCTGGCTACCGAGTTGGCGGTTGTCTCCCCGAGGACCCTCAGCGATGTTGCCGGCATGAATGGAATGATATTAATCGGTCCTCTATATTGGTTCATCATAATCTGGGATGACAGCCCTTACAGCCGCAATCTCTTTCTTGCCCAGAGCGATTTTGTCAAAATTGATGGGGAGGGGTGTTCCTGACCTGCTATGGTTTAGCGGAATGATTCAAGATGTAACGACAGGCACAATTACTTACTTTAAGAAACTAACTTTCATGTTTCGAGCCTTGTCTTTCAAGCTGACTTGGTTCCTTTCATGCTGAAAATCAGCGATTTTCGCAAGGTGCGCCCAGCTGCACCCATACTCTTCTATAAGATCTATAAAGTGTTGCTCGTCTTCTGCAGACCAGAATACCCGCCTTTGGGTTGCACGAGAGGGTTGTGTGGTTTTGGCAGCAGCATATCTCGCGTGTGCTCTTATTTCCGCAAAGTTCGGTTCAGCTGTGGGCACCAATCTCCTATCTCCCCCTTGTCCCTCTTCCTCTTCCTCCTCCTCGTCCTGTTCTTCGTCTTCTTCTTCCTCCTCCCCTTCACTGCCACTTGCTGCTCTTCTGGCACTGTCCTGTAGAGCTGCTTCAATCGCTTGCCGATTCCGACGCCGAGCCTCAGTTATCTCATCATCAGGAGACTGGAGCCGTGCTCTCTTGGGCGACGTCCGAGCTACCGGGATTGGATATCGATGCCGAGCTGTAGGTACAGCAGTTCTGCGTCCCGGGTTTGGAAGCCGCTGGTCATCCTGAAAGCCTTCTTCACTGTCCTCGTCCGCTTCACGATGTTGACGGGAGCGCTTTAGTTTCGATGGAACAGAATCCCAATCGTCCCATTCCTCCCTGCGGGCGTTTTCCTGGCGATCGAATATGCTTCTTTTTGCAGCTCTGGTTTCCTCGCGGTCAGAGACAGGTCGGTTCTCCTTGTTTTTATCATGAATGTGTGTGTCCCAGGTAGAGAGATACTCCTGTGTACTACGAACCGGACCTGATTCATCATCGAGCATAACAGGCTGGACATGATCTAGACCTTGCTGATGCGCCCCTTTAACATTTTCAGATGGTTTCATGGTCTGGATCTTGAAGGGCCCAGCCTGATTGGCATGTGATGAGGCCAAATTAGCAGCGCCAATCCTCTGTTGAACTGGATTTGATGGAGCACCTCCGGAAGACCTTTCTCGCTTTAACTTTTCGAGTGTAAATACATTTTTCGTAACGTATAAGCTAAAACCTATCAGCAAGTATTCGGGAGAAACATTGCACATCGTATCCTAGGTAGGTTATAGAAAGTAGTAGCCAAGATTGAAATACCACAGGGACATACTTTCGACCAGCATTACTTGGTTTGATGGCCGCGGGGCCCATAGTCGCTGGGGGTGGATCATATTCAAGCTCGATTTGGCTGTTGTTCTCCCTGACAGCCTCGATAAGTGATATCACAATGTGGTCAAGACCTCCTTGGTGGTTGATATTCGAAATGATTTCGTCTAATCGCAATCGACTCCACTGAACCAGCCGTGTGAGGAAAGCAGCCCACGGAAACATCTCATCTAACCGTTCAAAGTCGACCAAGTCGCCAGCTTCTACTGCATCGTTATTAAGTTGAAACGCCTTCCGAATCTCTCTGATTCGAGATTTTATCCTGTCGTTTTGCTCCTCCGAGTTCTCAGGCCCTTTTCGCATGATACTTAGCACACGTCCATCATTCAAGACTTGCTCAAAGTCGGGCATCGGCAGAGAGTTCTGGAGAGCAGAAGGCAGGTCAAGGAAGCTCGAAAGTAATATTTGCTCTGGATTCCAGTTCTCAGCTTCCTTAAGAACTAATAAGGCAATGATCGCACATTGGGTCCGGATTTCAAGACTCATCTCGAAGCTCTCATTGAGCAGGAGACTACTTCCAGCCTGGCCATTGTCGCCAAATTCCGTGAGAAACACTTCCGGAAACCAAATATCAACCATTTGGAGTAATGGTAGTGTGGCCCGACTTTGTTTTTGCGTCACTAAAAGACTCTTAACCAACGTTGCAAGATTGGCGGCGTGAAGAATATCGTCAGGTCTCGCGCTTTCGTTTTTAATGTCTTGGGTACCAAACAATCTTCTTCGGATGAAGACGGGGTTGATGTAGTCATCGGATCCGTAATTTTCCCTGTCGGCTTGGAACTTTTCTTCATCATGTTTCAACCGTTTAGCTCTTCTTGACCCCACTACTCTTAGATCCCTCACAATCAATTCAACCGTTTCTGAAGTTGCGCCAGACGGTGCTAGTAGGTCCAAGATTTTACACGAAGAAGCCAGGAGCTCTGGGAGGTATTCAACCACCATGGGGTCCAACGCCTCGATTTCTTCCACGGAATGCGATGTCTTAGCAGAAGCAGATGTAAGTACGGTAGTTCCAGACATTTGTGACATGCCACCGGGGGACTGTGGAGATTGGGCTGTGCCAGCCGGGTCTTCGATGTTGGCCGCTTCTTCCTCGTCCTGTCCAGGTTCTTGATCTTCAGCAAGGATTGATAATTCTGTACACAAATTTTAGTAAACGGGCTTCGAAGATTAATGAGAGCCATGATTGACTGACCTGGGCTTGTCCTTGCTGTGCGGGTCTTCCTGCTGGGTCTGATCTTGGTGCTTGAAGCAGCGCTCGCGTTGCTATCGACGCTTTCAACACTGCCTTGACGCATAGTCCTCCTGGCTCCCTTTCTTGTAGTTACCCCAGAATCGGATTCACCAAGGTCTACACTTTGACTTCGTGTCGATCTAGTCCGTCGTGCTACTGGGCTGTGCGATTGACGGTCGCTGGCTAGTTTTGGTGGTGAAGATGCCTGATCGCGCGACACAGACGATCGCGCAGATGTTCGCCCGGTTGTCCTCGAAGCCATTTTGCGTGCGTGTGGCGCTGAACTCGATGTCAGGAAGTGTATGATGGAACCGCAGGACCCTGGGGCGGAGGCGAGAGGCGACACGCGATGCGCGATGTTGATAAGGGGTCGAGTCTGGATGGATGGGACAAGCGCGAATCTCACTCCACAGCACGTGATGCAGCGATCGTACCTACAGTGCGACGTAGGGAGCTTAGGTAAGCAGAATCTATTTTTGGCTGGACGGTTCTTGGCGAGGGCGCCTAACCGTATCTGGAATTTGGCGTGACCAGCACAAAGAAGCTCAAACCTCAAAACAGCAAGGAAGGCCAAACTGAGGGCCGTTTATCGATGTATTTATTTATTTAAGTGTTAATATCTGGCTATCTAAGATGTGTATTGACTCAGGTTCAATAAATGCTTACCTGGAAGTCTTCCTTGGCTGAGAACTCCCTTCCTGGCACATCAAGGGGTAAAGCGTAAACGACGCTAAAAAGTTAACCCGTACGTAGCAAATAGCCTTCCTTGTTGTGAGGAGTACACCTGTGCAAGTCTCCAGGTGGCAGGAGGCTTCTTCCAGACTTTCAGACTCCCAGACTCCCAGACTCCCAGACTCCAAGCTTCATGCTCCATCGACTTCTTCTCGACCAGATTCATTCGATTCCATAATACAACAGTCGTCAATCTATTTCTCTACATTCGTTACTTGACCATTGGAGAGCTAGCCATCGCGCGCCCACCAGCCACGTCGTCGCGAAAGGAATCCAGCGATCGACCCCCAAAGTTTTACCTCGAATACATATCACCATGAAGTTTCGGAAGCGTAATGGACCACTTCTCCTCCTCCTCGTGTCGTTTGCAGCGGCATTGTCCCCCGCTGCCCAAGACAATACACAGTCAAGCGTGTCGAAGCAGACACAACCTGGAGATTCTGAGAAATTAGATCACAATTCCTCACCTGTCATCGATTTGACCAAGGGGAAGTATGATGTCGGTACGAAGGATGCGCCAGTAGACGGCAAAGATGGGAAGCCGCATGCGGGCCCATTCGTGGGTTCAGAAAAAGATCCAAAAGCGAAGGCAGGCTCCGATGCAGCTGAGCTAGCGTCAAGACCTGGGAAGGACGACTCCTCAGAGCTTGTTTCGCCGGATGGCAGTAAGATCCCGCTAGTTAATGATGGAGTGATGGATGATCCCAATCGACAAATACCGAAGCAAGGCACAACTGGTACAGAAGGGGGTGTGAGCGAGAAGGATAAAGCACGAAAAGCGCACGAAGGGCAAACCGGGGAAAAGCTCGAGAAGAAACCAGACTCGCCCAAAGAGGCACCCCCGTTACCCCCGAGCGAGCAAGTTAAGATCGAAAGTGAGAAGAGCAAACTTGAAGGCGAGAAGAGCAAATCGAAGGATGATGGGCGCGATGGCGACGATAGCGTTGAGAGTCTTGCTGGGATCGAGGTATGATGCTGTATCCTTTGGTTTTGGAATCTATCTGACATTCTACGCAGAAACCCAACGACCTCCCCCAGAAGCCCAACAATCAACCACATCCTGTGCCTAATTCGGCTCAGAAAGACCATCTAGACGTTTCGAAGCCAGATTCGAAACCAAGTCCCAAGGTCGACCCACTGGAAGAAGATGAAACTGAGGGTCTCATTCAACCGCTACACTCCTACGTCCTGTCTCTCACTATGATTCTCTTTTCCGAGGTCGGCGACAAGACCTTTTTGATTGCAGCACTTATGGCTATGAAGCATGATAGATTGCTTGTCTTCTCCGCGGCATTCTCTGCATTAATCGCCATGACAATACTCTCCGCCGTGTTAGGCCATGCAGTTCCGACATTGATCCCAAAACGATTTACCAACTTCCTGGCCGCAGCATTATTCCTCGTCTTTGGGGGCCGCATGCTGAAAGAGGGGTTGGCTATGAGCCCCGAGGAAGGCGTAGCCGCAGAAATGCAAGAAGTTGAGATGGAACTCGCGGAAAAAGATACCATGGCACGTCAACACGGACGACGACGTTCGTCAATTTCACCCTATACTCTTGAGATGGGGCTCGGACGTGGGGGTACAAGGAAATCCAGATCAGGATCCCGGTTACCATCACCACCTCGCAGCCCTTCATCATCACCTGATCGATCCCTATCGCCTCCTAGATCGGCTCTCAAAGGCATTCTGGCGGGTCTCGACAACCTTTTCTCGTTCCTGCTCAGCCCAGCGTGGGTGCAGACCTTCGTGATGACGTTTCTGGGGGAGTGGGGTGATCGAAGTCAAATCGCTACCATTGCCATGGCTGCGGGACAAGATTACTGGTGGGTAACTGGTGGAGCTGTCAGCGGCCACGCTGTTTGTACCGGGGTAGCTGTAATCGGCGGACGAGCTATTGCAGGCAGAGTGAGCATGAGAGTTGGTATGTATGGTCCAATGTTCTCCAGACGATTTAGCTAACCCTTCTGGCAGTTACATTAGGAGGAGCGATTGCGTTCCTAGTCTTTGGAGTGATCTACTTAGCAGAGGCGCTGTATTACGGGTAATGGATCCTGCCTCCAATAGCCATTTCAATGGTACATGCAAAGATATTCGTCCTTGGCTCTCACCGCCGCTATTTTCATTGGTGCTTGTTCATGCCACAGATGCCCTAAAAGATGGGCCACCGATTGGGTATTTGTAGGGGCGCAAATAACCTGGGTTATTGACTGGTTACGGGCTCAGGCTTGGTCGACGGAGTGTAAGGTCTGGACGTACGGAGTAGAGAGAGCATTATTTGCGGGAGTATAAAAAGGCCAGAGCAGGGTGTGGTGTTTCCAGAGTTCATGCAGTACATCATCGGTTGTGTAGCCCATACGCAGGAGACAGCTTTCGCAGCAGGCGTTTTTATGTCGTTTTGTATAATACAATAATAAACATGCTAATAATAGCTTTCGGTCTGGACCCATTTTGTCGTTTTGTCATTTTGACATTCTGACCTTTTGACTTTTTCCCCGGGCCCAATATTCCTCGGGTCGTGAGAGGGACTACTTGGGGGCCGCGGCAAGGTAGCTACCGTGCTATAGCTTACTGTAAGCGTCCCCCCCCCCCCAAGCTTCGGAGATACTGTACAGAACAGACAGAAACACGGTTGCGGACGTCCGCACGGAGAAAATTTTGGAGAGAGAAATTCCAATTATTTCACACATTATTAAGCTCCCACCATGACAGGGGTGCGGAAAGGGCGGGCGTTGTAGAGTCACAAAGTACGGTCTAGATAGGTGTACGTATGTATGGTCAGGACTCTTGTTCTTGAGCTCTCTCTCTGCATACCTAGGTAGAGCTCCAATAATACTGCTCCGCACTATTCCCATCCCCATTTCAAGACCTTTTTTTTTTTTTTCTTCAACACGTCGCAAGAGCTCTCTTTTTCCTGTGTACACCGTGTGTGGATGCAGTATTTGTGAAGTTCTTGATTTCGAGTTGAGCGTTTGGCTAGGTCGCAATTCAACAGTCTTCCTCCTACCTTACCTTACCTTACCTCTAGATAATAATTTACTGTCGACGTGCCACGACCCCGCACCCTCGCAGCTTGCCTGCTTCTGGCTTTCATTCTTCCGGCCGTCACACGTACGCGGTGCCAATACCACACGAAGTTATCTGGAGCTTCTCCTGACATCTTCTTCAGCTATCTAAAGTTTCTCTCCTATCCGCTCGCATTTATTTCCGCAGATTCTCGCTCCTGTTTTCCAGCACAGTCATACATCACCATGTGGCAGAACACATCGTCCTCGAGCCCGAGCTCGCCAGCCAACGCCCAGAACCGGCCAGTGTCATCAGCACCAAGCTACAGGTTGAAGAACCAGGGCCGCCGCGTGGCGCAGATTGTCAAGCTGAAGCCCGAGTGCGTGGAGCAGTACAAGGAGTGTCACAGGCGAGTCTGGCCAGAGGTGCTGAAGCAGATCAAGCACTGCAACATCGAGGACTGTGAGTCACCCTTTTCTTTTTCCCAGATATAGCTTCATCCGAGACAGAACCAGCTCGTGCGTGTTGAGCTCAGCTCAGCTCCATGATTGCTGTCTTGCGACTCAATGGGGATTATTTGGCGCTGATTTTCCACCCGCCCCCCTTCCAGATTCCATCTTCCATGACCCGGAAACCAACATCCTCTTCGGTTCCTTCAAATACGTTGGCTACGACCTGGCCGGAGATATGGAGAGGATGCGAGAGAACCCCAGAGTTCAGGAGTGGTGGCGGATGACGGATAGCTACCAGGAGTCGTTCGTAGAGGGGGCGAAGAGCAGTTCGGACGGGGAGCCAGCCTGGTGGAAAGGATTGCAGGAGGTGTTCTACACTCCGTGACTTGGGCTATGCTTGAGATGAGATGCGCCAGTCTTTTTTTTTTTTTCCCTTTTCCTTATAGCGGGACGTGTTCGAGATCGTAGAAGAGAGGAGGGGGCCGCAAACACCACAATGTTCATGAAGAGACGAGCCATGATCAAATGCCATGAATTGTATCCCACGCTTCTCGTGTTTATCTCGTCTTCCCAAAAAGCCCTCCAAACAAGCCTGAATCGCCTCCCCCTCCTCCCCCGCCCTGCCTCCTCGCCTCAGTCCTGATCCATTCCCGCAGCCACTCCCTATCAGCCATCTTCCTAGGATCCGTGACCTTGGTCTGGAGTTGCGCCTCTCCCCTATCAAAGCTCAATAACGTCGGCATGCTAGTGATCAGATACGTCATTGCCAACCCGCTGCCCATGATATCCGGCGCATCGAACTCTACCTCGCAGAAGGAGACACCGCCCTCTTCCTCGCCGACGCCTTGAGAGATCAGTTCGTGCACGAGGGGAGACACCTGCTTACAGGTGCGGCAGTAGGAGGCGGTCCAGAGGGTTAGTAGGGGTGCGCGCGACGACGTCGAGAGGAGGAGGTAGGAAGAGAAATCATCGGGACGGCGGACCCTAAAATCACACACACGGGGAGGGATCAGCAGTTGCAAGTGTGAAAACAATCAGTCCACCTTTATTTAAGAATGGGGAAAGCCTAGGTAAATAAGAGAACTCCGGGGAACTCACGGGGTGTAGATGCGATTATTAGCTTTCCGCTCCCTGGTGCTAGAGAACTGCCGCTGGCGTATCGAAGAGCTGACAATTGCAGAATTCCTAGAGCTCCTAGAGGCTCGCAAGACGCTTGTAATTGGTTTCATGCCCATGATTGGGTTTTGTAGATGGGTTGAGAACTTGAGAGAGAGTGGTCTGAGTATGGGACGGATATCAGCGCGGGTTTTTGCACCCTTGGCGTGTCTCCCCTCGTAACTATCTACCTACCTACCTAGTCATGTGGATTAAAACGCGGATTGCCTACATATATATCTTCACAACTCCGAATTGGCAGTCCTAACTCTTGTGTAAGAGAGAGCAAGGCTACAAATCAGACACCACGTGTATTATTCGGATTCTCTTCAATATATGTCTTGTTCCTAAACGAAGATCCCGCGTCCCTCGTCTGTCTCCGTACATGTTTCCACTGCCACGTTGAGTTGAAGCTTTGCCACTGCAGTGTTCCAGTTATCATCTCACGAGTACCCCCAATCCCAAGGAGCCATGGCCGCAAAAGTTTGTCGCGCCTTGAAATACCGCAAACGCCCAGCGGACTAACGGCAGCCGAAGACCGCGATGCGGTATGAATGAATGACTGAGTTGAAGGCGAAGAAAGACTGGAGAATGAACTCCATCGATAGTTTATCTTGTGCAGGATATTGCGGCGACTGAACTCTCCAATTATATACTACTGGCTTTCCTCTGGATTTTTCTAAATGACATTATCTGCACTCGGAGTGCCATAGCATCGATGCGGATTAGCATTACCTCTTTTCCTCGTTCATTCTTTGTATATCTTTGAAGTCATACAATAACATGGTCATATTCAAGGATCAGTTATTGGTCTGGAAAGCTTTTTTCCAAGTCGAAGGAGGCTAAGAGGAAGTTTATACATAGGTAGGCGGATGAGCAGGCGATATCTCCGCTATGCAAGTCTACAGAGCCGTGACAGCAAAGCTGCACCAACGAAGATGTCTCTAATAAGGGATTTCGGTATGGGGCTCAGGGCATCCAAACATCCGTATCGAAGGAAGGACTGCTGGGATGGAGACGTTGGTTCCGAACCCTTGTGAATGCCGGGAAATGGATTGGAACATGCTGACTCTGCAGACGACTTGAACGGACCGTACAAGAAGCGTTGAGTCAATCAATGCAGGATATTAGCAATATATCACTCGCTATCCCGCTAAGCTCTTCAAATCCTTTACCTCCAAGCGCAAGTAGCAATCATTACTGCTGACTCCTGAGTTTTGAGAGGCTGAGATAGCTGCTTCTAGACCCTCAAGCCTCAGGCAGAAGGGCGTTAGGTTTTGCTTTGCACTTGAGGTCGTGATTCAAGACATACAAAACAATATCCTGCACTAACGATTGTACGTGGTTCGTTGCGTTACCTTCTATGTCAGTATATGGATGTAGTCTGGGCATAGGTAAGGTAGGTAGCTTTCGTCATCCTTTACCCTTCACACCCTTCGCACCCTTTACTCTTCATTCAACACACCGCACATAACGCAGATGTTGTATTACATCATCGAACTGCAGGAATCGTAGCCTCGCAGCCTTGGCCGTTATCGCTAGTCCATAAGCAGCCATAGCCCCTAGACCTAATAGGGTCAACGTCCGAAAGCAGTTGACATGTGCAAAAGGTAGCCTCGCAGGTGCACGAGCCACATCCCAAGCGAAGCCAATCACGGGATTCTCAGTTGCATGTGCTTGTATCACGTGGTATCCCTGGTAATGAGCTTCACGATGTACTGATGCAGACAGCGTATCTGATAGGGACACAACGGTACAGGGCCTGCGTTGGAAGACGGTGAATGTCGTCATTCCATACAGTGTCCTGCACCGTATCAGCGCGGTGGGCTCGTATCAGCCAGCACAACTGCTGGATCATCAACACCACGCGACACACGAACGGTCTGCTCGATCTGCAGACTTCTTGTTTTATGTTTCTTTCGGTCCCAGGAGAGGGAGGCCTCGAGGTCCTGGTTGGGAGAAGGGGTCCAGCAGCGATGCATCATGTGCTGACGAGACAGAACCCCGGTTCCGCCCCGCCCCGCGGCGAGGACCAACGAACGAACGCTCCTTCCCTCCACCGATCATTGTTGGTCTGCACACCGCGCCTTCCCCATACTGCAAGTCTCTGGAACGGTGAGAGGGTGCTGACTAATCACCGAGGCTGACTCCCCAGATCTGCCCATCTGGGGGTTTCCTGCATTGTGTTATTGTCCGTTTGTTGTTGTTTTATGTATCTATCTACCACCCATCCTATGTAATAGACTACATTCCTCTCTTCTCCTCCTTCTCCTCCTCCTCCTCCTCCCTCTCTCCCTTGATTCCCCTTTCTTCCCTCCCCTCTCTCCCGGAACCTGTGAATAGCCTCAATTCAACAGTTGACCCCCTCCCTCCCTACTCTCCACCACCCTACAGATTGGCTTGAGGAGCGTCTTGACGGGCCAGGATGGCCACTACACCCACTGATGGCGCCCAAGACCACGCCCCCCAGAGCCCCGAGTCCCTTCGCCCTCCCTCTGCCCGTCACGCAGCAGCGGATGAGCCGGACCCTGAGGATGTTGAAGGAGGCGAAGGAGGCAAGGGTAGGCCGACGAAATGGAGTATGGGCGTGTTGAATGACCCTAAAACCCATGAGGTACCCGGTATGCCAGCATACCTACATGTTGAAGTCATCCAGAGATCGTATATGCTCATGCAATGACAGGCTCCGTTCTCCTCCTGACCGGCAAACGCAACGAACCTCTTGGACTTCGAAATGCGCCTGCAAGGACCTCTGCATCCTCCATCCCCTCCTATATCGCCTCCACCCCCAGGAATACCGCAGCGGGCAAGAAGTTGACAAAGGATGGAGCCATCATCCTGGAGCCACAGCCCGACGATTCGCACAATGATCCGCTCAATTGGCCGTCGTGGCGGAGAGATTCTGCTCTGATATCCCTGGGCCTTTACTGTATGATAGGCGGCGGGATGACCCCCATTCTGGCTGCCGGCTTTACCAATGTTGCGGCTACATACCACGTCACAACGTCCAAGGTTGCGCTCACCACCGGTTTGTACATGATGGGTCTGGGCGTCGGCTCCGTATTTGCTTCTCCAACCGCCATTCTCTATGGAAAGCGCCCGGTCTATCTCTTTGGCGCCATTATGTTTATGTGCACCTCGATCTGGTGTGCTGCTTCCCCTAGCTACGTCTCTCTTCTGGTCGCGAGAATATTTCAGGGCATCTCCCTGAGTCCAGTGGAGTGTCTGCCATCAGCTACCATCGCCGAGATCTTCTTTCTCCACGAGCGTGCATACCGCATTGGTATCTACACTCTCCTGCTCCTAGGCGGCAAGAATTTGGTCCCTCTGGTCAGCGCTGCGATCATTCAATCACTAGACTGGAGATGGGTATTCTGGTGCGCAACGCTCACATGCTCATGTAATCTCCAAAGAAGATAGTGATTCTAACAAAGAGTAGGATTGTCACCATGGTCGGTGGCTTTTGCTGGTGCCTCCTATTCCTTTTCGTTCCCGAGACTTTCTGGGACCGCACCCCCAGACCGAAAAGTCGGGCCTCCTCACGATCACGAAACCCGTCGATGGTATCCTATTTTCGACAGAAAATGGAGACCCACGCAGCTCATGCATTATCAAAGGATGCAGTTAACCAGGTCGGCGAGAATGATGATTCGATCCAGCAGAAGCTTGTATCTCCTGCTGGAGACTCGATTCAAAGGCCTCCCCTGGCCCATCGCGCTACTTCAGGTTTACATGTCGGATTTGCATCGGATGAACCCCGCCTCGATAAGATCATCTCAGACAATCACGAGAATGATAATTCTCACCTATCTCCTGAGGCCAAAAGCCCAGCGAGCAGATCTGCTACGACTCCTGTCGTCTCAAGTCCGATGAGTGAAATACAACCATCATGTAAGATCCGTGCTCGATTCACAAAGGTTGTTACCTAACGTGATATTAGGGCCTACTTCACCAGATCCTCCCACAGAATTTCCAGCGGTCCATGAAGATCAGGACCGGGTTAACGCGACTGGTGGAGTTCCTGCCACACCGGCACTCCACGATTTCAGCTCACCATCGGACAACGATCTCGAAGAGAAGGAATCAGACTATCTGGAGAGGGGGCGATCTAAGGATCCGGCCCCGGCCCCGGAACGGCCTCAACTCAGACGCTATACTACCCAACTCAGGACGGCTCCGAAACTAACATTCGTTCAACAGCTCAAGCCTTGGAATGGAAGGTTGCACCGCGACAATTGGTTCCGCGTTGCCATTCGACCTTTCATCCTATTTGCATACCCGGCTGTTCTCTGGTCAAGCGTTGTCTACTCCTGCTCCGTAGGGTGGCTCATTGTCCTATCCGAATCTGTCGCAATCATTTACCGCTCTAAAGACACGTATAATTTCTCGGCCCTTTCTGCCGGCCTGATTTATCTCTCTCCCTTCATCGGCGGTGTCCTTGGTACAGCCGTTGCCGGGAAGGTCAGTGATATTATAGTCCGCGCAATGTCAAGGCGGAATGGCGGTCTATATGAACCGGAATTCCGGCTTGTCATGGCAATACCTATTGCTATCACGACGGTTATTGGGCTGATGGGTTTTGGCTGGTCGGCCCAAGTTCACGATGCTTGGATAGTTCCCACGATCTTCTTTGGGGTCATATCCTTCGGTTGCTCCTTGGGTTCAACCACGTCTATCACTTTCTGCGTTGACAGCTACCGACAGTATGCAGGCGAGGCTCTTGTGACACTAAATTTTAGCAAGAATATCTTCCACGGACTGGTATTCAGCTTATTTTTCACCTCCTGGTTAGAGAGTGATGGCTCCAGGACGGTGTTCATTTGGGTAGGAGTTATTCAGTTAATTCTCATGGCGTTTTCCATTCCAATGTACATCTTTGGAAAGAGGGCGAGAATGTTCACCGTCAGGCAGAACTTGATGGAGAGGTTCTAGACTTTGCATTGGGCAATTGGCGTTTGGGCATTGTGTTCAGATCGAGACGCAGGAGATGGGTGGAGTTTGTTTGGGTAGACGTTACGATAGCATGTCTTCTGCAGGATACCAGGTCTGAATTTATATCGAGAGTCTTTCCTACACAATACATGAAAAAGGACAAATCGTGGATGCATAGCGTTTCCTCTAGCATGGTAATGTCCTTCGAAAACCAGCCTCATCCCCCCCCCCCTTTTTTCCGCAAATATCGACACAAAAAAAGAAAGAAAATGAAAGAACAAAACTAGATTTCTCTATAATTTCTCTATTCCCTTTTCAACTTACAGCTATTTTTCCCCAACCCTGAAAACCCAGCGTCTTGAAATCCAAATAGCCTCCCGCTTGAAGTGGAGGGGGGTTATTATAACACAGCCGCAGATAACCCATACATATATATAATCGAACCCCTAATTGCAGAGCTGGAGCTCGAATCGACATCATGATTCTTCGACACTCTAATTTAAGTAGATAGGTGTTGTATATATAAAGTGTCTTGGGAAATGATGATATAAGGTAGGGGCCCTTTCGTTAGTTTGATAACTATATATATCATCTATAACCCCCAGCATCGATGATCTGATATGCCCCTCTTAGCTACTGCCTCTTCTCTTTTTCCTTTCCTCTCCTTTTCCTCTTCAATAGATAACTCCCACCCAAACGCATGCCCTCGCCATTCAACTACCACACTCTCCAAACCCACTCCTTTCCCCTTCCTCCTTCATTCAGATTAAGCAACCAAATCAATAATCCCTACCCCATCATACACGGAAGGGCGGATGCGTAGCATGATATCCCTCTCTCACTCAGCGCATCAAATTCGGGCGTTGCGTTTTATGGATCTGGTTGGATTCGGACGTGCGCGTATAGCCAATTGTGACCCGTTTGCTGACCAGAATCGCTTCTCGAATTGGCGGTTCTGGCGGGTTTGATAAGGGGGGGTTCTTAGTGGCGCGGTCATTCCTCATCATGGGTGATTTCATGGTTCATGCGATGCGATCGAGCACGAAGTACTTGTACGCATACCTCGCGACACAGAAGCCGCCGCGGTCATAGCGGAAGAAGAGAAAATCACGGGGGGCATGGCCGTCTGTGGTCGGCGCCCGCTGCTGCTGCTGTTTCTCCGGGAGTCTCTCTCGACGTACATGTAGAACCAGGGATTGCGATGCCCGGAAGGATCTCGTTCGTTAGGTAGGTAGACGGCCCGCACATATCACGCCCCGGTCATGGGCGTACGTTATCTCATCGAGGTAGTTATTGGAGAGGTCGATGGTAGCTTCTTAGATCTTCTGCTAGGCCTCGGATATACTTGAGACTGGGTGGTAGGTCAACTCGACGAACCTCTTTTGCATCGATCAACTAATTGAAATTTCCAAAAGAATAGTAACCCCAAGAGTTCCTTCGCCAGCTCGGACGTGTCCACCATGAGGCTGCGCTCGTACTGGGATTTCCGTGTGCTGTTGGTTGAGCTGTGATAGATCCGGAACGGCAACTTGCTGGCGGCTATGCTTGCGACTGCGCTGTCGTAGGCGTTCATATTGGCTGATGGTATGTAACTTGAGGGCAGGGGGTTTGGGCTGAAGAATAGGGATAAGGAGAATAGGTAAGCCAAAAAAAACATATCAGAGGGAGTCTCTGAGTGAGGCTGCTATTGGGTACTCCCACGTCTTTTCAGTCCTGAAGGGTATGGTTGTAGCCCAGGCGTCTTGAGCTCTGAAGTAATGAAATAGCAAGAAGCAAGATTAATCAATCATGAACTTAAGGGAAAACGAGATCTTAGGTAGTAGAACTGAACGTCAAGCATCTCTTCAACTACATTATAGCTATTGACGCCGAGACCCGACGCAAAATCTGGGCTGCAGCAAGGAAGAGCATGAGTGCTCTTATTTATTGTTATACTTATAACCCATCATCGATGCGAATGTAATGTACGATGGAGATTCTTCTGCTGGCTTCACTCGAAACAGAACAATCAGTTATAAGAAAGGGAGGGGTTTACTGCACGAGTGATGTCGATACAAACCGTACCGGATTTCGAAAGGTGGACCTCGCGCCGTCGAGCACCCCTCTAAAAATCCATTTTTATTTATTTTTATCTTCCATTCCGCGACGCCGTCTTGCCATTATTTCATCGCCCCGACCAGAGTTCAAGGAATAGCAATTAAATCCGCCAGAAAAAGAAAACAAACATGTCGTCGGCGTCGGTATCGTCGCGCATCCCTCCTCTCCTGGATCCATACCTTGCCCTCCCCCCCGAAGCCTCCCTGGTCCTGCTCACCAGCGTGCTGGGCGCGAGTTCCAACTGGCTCGTCCTGCGCTTCCTGCACCGCGCGCTGCTGGGCCCGGATGCATCCTCGAACGCGTCCGCGGATGGGGATACCAAGGTCCTGCTCGTGAGCTTCATGCGGGATCTGGCGTTCTGGAAGGAGAATGCTAGGCGCTTGGTAGGTGGCTTTCCTATTCTCCTTTGCTCTCTCTCTCTCTCTCACTTTACTCTTCTCAAATCTATTTCTTTGTGCTGGCATTTTCTGGGGAGAGGGCTTCGATGGGGAGACAAGGCTGAAATGTTCCCTGGTCATGTATAGGGTCTCGATCTTGATAAGCTGGCTGCGAAGAAGAGGTTTGCGTTCGTGGACGGGCTGAGTGGACTGTTCTTGCCGAAGCAGAGAGCATTGTCTGGCAGAGGCGGGGAGAAGATTCTCAACAGTTCAGACTTGACCGCTCTGTATGGAGAGCTACAACAGGCAATCCAGTCGTTGGGGGATGCAGGCAGGGTTTTACTGGTTGTGGATCAACTGGATCTGGTGTTGGCAACGGGCGGTGATCGGGTTGACGCTGTGGGGTTGGGGGAGATGCTTTTGGGATTGCGTGAGGTAGGTGGTCTCTTTCAATATCCCTCTTTTCTGCTGGAAGTAGCTGATGATCGTGGTAGCATGTCCACGCAACAGTCTTGACTCTCTCGGCAGACTCCCCTCTGGTATCAGTCCAGCAGACACCTCTGGAAACAGATCATGCAGCATTCTTGTTGGGGATGGCCCATCAGGCAGATCTCATCATGAGTTTAAGGCTATTGGATTCAGGGACGGCAAGGGATGTCAGTGGCGTCGTGAGAATTACAGCCGGAAACCAAACAGGGGAAATGGACCAAGGTACCCAGCAAAGGGTAGAGGAGAAGGAATTGCTGTATTTTGTAGGCGGGGATGGTGGGGTGAAAGTCTTCGAGAGAGGACAATAGACGCAAGACATTCCCTGCTCACTCTCGCCAACACTTGAGTCGATTCACGCCAATCTAGAGTGTGAACATTCTTTGGAAATGTCCTCTGAATTGCTCTGTATCCATTGGAAAGCGTACCCTGCCCTGGCTTTGTATCATATTGTTTTGCGTCCTTGAATAAAAGACGCAAAAACACCTTCACAAGACTTGCACCTAAGAACGCTGCCATTGCAATTAAGTGCCATTGCAATTGAGTGCCATTGATCGCATTTGCTAGTATGACCGACCATATGCCCTTAGCATCATAAGCAATCCGCTGCCATTCCCAAATCACGCAACATTCCACAGATGCATCCTTTATTCGGCCTTGACGGCTGGTCCCCTCGATCCCTTTGGTACACCGGTCTGGAAGCCATTCTTGAACTTTCTTGGGACACCCTTCATGTGGCGCATACGTCCGGTACCAGTGGTCTTTCTCCGCTTGGCCTTCTCGCTCCAGTTGTCTATGATATCGTGTTAGCCCAAATGCCCCATCCTCCTGTGCCATTGATATTCCAAGCTGGCATTTTCGTGGGTTTAAAAGAACGTACATTGTCGGATCTTAGCAGCAGGGTAACCGCATGATGCGCAGGTGTGCTTTTGGATGTGGAGGGATCGGCGTCCTGGATGGTGAATGTCAGTCCCCTTGATTCTTCCTGGTTCCCCAACTGCGCCGCCACCGCCCATCTACTCCCCGGGGAATCGATTTAACTGACCGCAACGTCTGCACAGGGTGTGCGACTTGTTGTGGCGCTTTCCGAAGCTGGAAGTTCCCTTGGCTGTGATATTGTCAGTTTCGTCGATTCGAAGTCGAGGTTTTCGCCAGGAACGTACTCATTTTGATTCAGGAACTGCAGGTGAGAGTGTTAGTAGAAGATCTCGAGAAGAATATTATCGGAACATTACAAACCTCGTCGGCCGTGGGTTGTCGAGTTTGTCGTTGATGGTCTCTAGTCGCGGAGGCTGGAATTCGCGATTAGCATTTCCTTAGCGCCGTGAATTTTGCGTGAAGGGTTAGGGCTTTGGTCAACCACGTGATTTAGATTAGCGAGGCTGAGACGGGATGCCCAGACCTCCTCTCCAGGCTCAGGCTCAGGACGGTCGAATACAAGTAATTAATTCATTGAAATATATTGCCAATTCTTAAGAATGTACTCTTACTAATGCAAAGTTTGGGAGTCCAGGCTACCACGAGATTTGCAGGTTGTATTGGAAGACGTCAACATAACATTAAAATTCCCATGAGATCTCATCTCATCGAACTCCAGGTAACGCCTAGACCCCGCCCGACCCCTTTGGTATAACCATATAATCGTCAATCATTACTCCATACACATCAATTCTCGACACCCAGCATTCCTTTCAGGCCGCTCTCGATACCCCTCCACCATCTTCCCCTCTCTTCCAAGTCATCTCCCACGCCTCCTAGCGCTTCCTCTTTCCTCCTCTTCGCTTCTCGCGCTGTAGCCATGGTCCCAAGCCTCTTCACCTCCAAAGGCTGTAATTCAGCGTTCAGCCTCTCCAGTTCCTTGGTTTTTCTAGGAACCAGCACTTGCAACTGTTTTAGTTGCCTGTCTAGCTCATCTCTTTCCCTCTCCCGCTCTTCCACCAACGACAATGTCTTCTCAAGCGGTAAATTCAGTGTGGGATTCGATCCTGGTTGTTGAGTTGCTTTCAACTCGGCTATGCTGGACTGGAGCCCTTCAATCCTCTCTGGCAATTCTTGAAGTTGCGTGGTTTGTAACTGGACAGACTCGTACTTGCGCGACAACTCCCGACCTTTCTTCTCTAGCTCTGCGACCAGCTCCGCTACTTCTGTTTTCTGGGCTTTGAGCGCGGCTTTAGAGGTAGCAAGGGTTTCCTCAAGCTCGACATTCTCCTGATGTTCAACTACAAGGGGCGGGTCGCCGACAATAGCGCGTATGAATTTCTCCTTTGTGACTTGTTCGAGGTAAGAGAAGCGGAGCTTGGAGAACAGTTCCTATCGACGTCCATCAGTAAATGAGCCCAGCGATATGTAGAATATAACAGACCTTGTAGTGAGCCAGGTCGGCTTCAAGGCTCGCTGGAGTTGGGTTCTCAAAAGCGTCTGCTGAAACATCTGATGTTCGCTCGCCCTGATTCTGCTTGAGAGATCCAGAGACTGGTTCACTGAGCTTCAGGATGGATAATTCGTTGGAGCTTTGAGATTTCAGAAGTTCCTCCAAGACGTCTTTGTGCGATCGTGCCATTTTCCTATCGGCGACGTCTAATATACGCGCCCGCGGCCTTTCTTCGTAAATGTTTGAGAAGTCGCGTCCAGAAGTCTTGACAATAAGATGTTTTTGTTTACTTCCGATTTTGCCATGTTACACCGCCTCGCGACTGCCTAAATAGGTATGCGAGTGCGGTAAGCAGCGGCGAAATTGAACTCGCATCGAATGCGACAACCGTCGTTGTTTCTTCCTACAATCCTGGCAGGTTATCCCTTGAAAATATGCAAATTTTTGCTCGGAACTGATTTATGTTCTTGATTCTGCATTTGCCAGCTCTTCAACAAGCAGTTGAACCCAGCCATGGCGAATGATGACATTCTGACGGATGACTACGTCGCAGGCCTGTTGGCCAAAGATGCGAAAGAGACCTCGATCAGATATTCTTCGATGGGCTTAGAAGCTTTTAAGCAGTCCAAGTGTGTTGCCCCCTCAAACATACAGCAATTAGCGGCTAATTTGAAGTAGACCTCCAGCTAATAAGCCTAAACCAAATACACGATTCTTGCGAAATATCGTGAAGGATGCAGATAGCCACAACGCAGCTCTATTGGCAAAAGAAGCTGCAGAGTCCCGTGCTCGACTTCAAGGACTTACTAGCAGCGGGGGTCGTGAAGCGCGGGCAAGTCGAATAGGCGGAGGCGATATCAGGAGACGGCAGTTGGGAGACATCGCAGCTATTCTAGGAGGCAGGTCGAATAAGCGGAGGAAGACTGATGATCCGAAGAAGAATGATAAGGAATCAAGGCATGCGAATAGTTCTGGTGAAGAGCCGGAAAGAGGAATCGAAGCCCACAAGAGCAGTGAACGCAAGATCAGGGACGAGGACAGGGAAGATAGGGGAAGATCCAGGAGTCACAGGAAGCGTGGGGAGAGCAGTGAAGAGACGGAGGAACACCAAGACTATAGCAGTCGTCGGAGGTCTCAAAGGAGCATCTCATACGACCGAGAAGGTGATAGGGAGCACAGAAAACGACATAGAAGCACCTCAAGGGATCGAAGAAGGCACAGGGATGGCCATAGAGAGAGGGCATCACGTTCACGTTCACGTTCGCCAAGAGAGCATCGACATAGGGAATCGAAACATCATCACAGATCTTCCAAGCGGAGGCGGTCGAGATCACCAGAACCGGACAGAGAAAAGTCTTATCGATCCCACAGACACCGACGACGTTCTCCCTCGGTTGAAGATGGAGATTCAGAGATGAACGAGAAGATACCAAAGAAGCCAGACTACGATTCAGACCCACTGGACGAGATAATTGGTCCACAACCACCACCAGCCCCTCAAGTACGGTCTCGTGGCCGAGGCACCTTATCCCTGGGTTCTGGCATCGACGCACGGTTTTCTGCAACATATGATCCAAGCGTTGACGTACAGCTTGATCCAGACGAGGAGAATGACTGGGATCAAGCGCTGGAGGCATTGCGGGATCGTCAGAAATGGAAGCAGCAAGGCGCGGATCGATTGAGAGCTGCAGGCTTCACGGAAGATGAAATAAGAAAATGGGAGAAGGGCGGAGAGAAGACGGAAGAGGACGTAAAGTGGGCGAGGCGTGGAGAAGGCAGGGAATGGGACAGAGGAAAGGTTGTTGATGATGATGGAATCGTGACTGTCGATCCAGGTTGGGGAAGGTTAAAGGGTACTTGAATAATGGAAGGGAATATGGTTACTGTGATTGTAGTTTTACTGGTTCTCCAAACCCTGTAATTACAGACCCCCAAGTAAAGAGCTTTTCGGGGGCCTCTGTATCCATAAGTGGATTACATGCACGCCAGATTTTCCTGTACTATCATTGAGCAGCTGCCAACCCAACTGGTGAGAAACGTAGCCGTGAGGACTATCATCGTCCAGATGCTTGGTGCTCCTATAATCATTGGACGTGCTACAAAGGGCAGAGGAATGATCAGGAGAGGGAGTCGGCTGGAAAACGTTATAGGTGAGTCCTGAACGCGGACTTTTTGCCTGATACAAAATATTGATGATGAGATACATCATAAAAGATCACATATGAATAACAGGTGAATGAGTAAAGTGAACGTTCTCTTTAATGCTGCTACTTCTTTTGGTATCTTAAAATCCCACGTGTGTGCGCACCGCAGCACAATACAACGCAATGCACCCAACCAGCACCTCCGCCGCTAAATGCAAAATCATACAATCGTAACAGAGCGAACTTTTCATCCTAAGCATTCCTCTTCTCTTAGCTATTCGCCTCACAGGTTGATCAAATCAACCTCTGAGAAATCGGGCGGATTCCTGCCATAAACAACTCGGAACTTTGCATCCAGTGCAGCGCCAACGTTAGAAATCCAAATATTTGTATCAGCAAACTCTCGTGTTCTCCTTATCTCGTCATCGCTGACCCCAATGTCATCTCGGGGAATCCATACAGTCGGTCGTCTTGCTCTCAGCGCATAATGTTGGAAAGCATGCCTAACGAGAACATCTCTTTCATCAGGCGTCAAGTCCTCAATTTCGTCGTGATAGCCTCCATAAAGTGCATCCGCAATCTTTCTCTGAGTATCAATGTCTTTATGCTTGTGTTTTCGCAAGAGCTGAGCCGCGGTCGCCTCGTCTTCATTCGCGCCATTGCTGTCATTTCGACCCAGAGCCTTGGAACGGAAGGCTCGTTCTGAGTGTGCTGCCCATGAATCATCGCCCTGAACCATAGCGGCAGGATTGAACTGCCCAGCGTTATCCGCCCTAGAGGGCGGTTTGCTGAGTTTTGACATTTCAATATCAGGTCCACTAGGCGGGGCTGCGGGTTCCTCTTCATCATCAAGACCAAGACGACGAGCTTGCGCCCTTTCAAAAGCTTCGTCGCGGAGGACAGCTTCATCTTCGAAAGTGACGGGGAGATGATTAAAGAGAGGGGCAAATGCTATATTAAGAAGAATCTGGTAGAGCGCCGTAAGAAACATAGCGACAATCATGATGATCGCCTGCGGCACGCAAGCCGCATCTCCTGCCGCATCTTGAACAAGGAAGAAGAGACCAATCAAGCAAAGTTCCATGACGTAGAGACCGGTAAAAGTTTGATTGATAGCAGTAGGGTATAGCAGTCCACCCGTGTCCAACTGGAATCGAAAAACGTAGAGCATATTGTAACGGTTCGCAAGCCAGAAAAGGGCGAAGGTGATGATAGCGAAGACTATGATCAAGGGCGCCACTATAGAGTAGATGAGTGCAATGCATGCAAAATTAGTATAGACGGGAAAGAATGTGCCCCAGGTCACGTTCGGAAGATCCGTATTACGTTTCCATTTTTCTCGAGCAGTGCTGTCGAAGAATTTCGGCAGGACAAACCAAAATATGAGGGTTGCCAGCTGCAGAAGGGTCCCTGAACTTGTAGACAATGCTTGAAGAATCATATAGGAGAAAAAGTAGTTGGCAGCCTTCGGCAGTTGAGTGGCTAGAGTATCTGGAATCGCGGTGATATTATTGGCAGAGCTCAGTGCTGCGAATGCACCTCCAGATATGGAGACAACAAGGAAAACTTGGACGAATAAAAAAGCAAAGTAAAAGTTCTGCACGTATCTCTGCTGCTGCATCCCTGTCTGTGCTCCTGAAAGGAATGCCACACCGCTTAAGATCGGAGGGACAATCGCAAGCAATATGGTCAGGACGAGAGCAGGTAGTACACCAGCAATAGCCTGAAGAACCCTTTTTGGAATCATGTTGAGCCAGTGAAGCCAACTGTATTTGTCGGCCAGCGAGGAAATTTGGGCCAAGGAGGCAGTCCATGCAACAGGAAAGGCCCACATGATAACCATGCAGGAAACAAAGACAACGGCAGCGCCAAGTCTAAGCCAAGCCTCCCACCACTTGATGGACATGTTGTCCCAAAGGACATCGTTGGGTGATATTTCTACCGTGCGTGGCGCCATGTGCCTGGGCACATGATGCGTAACAGATTGGGAGGCCATATGAGCAGCAAGTTGATGATTGAATTGGATGAAGGCCGAATTCATTAGTGGGAACCGCTCGGGATGCTGTTGGTCGATCTCGATCTCCAAATTAAGGCGTGCCAGTTCCCCACGACACCAATATATAGTGTCGACCTTCTTGTTTAATAACGGAAGCCCGGGTAACCAACCAGGAGTCCAGCTGAACCTGGCAAGTCTATGAGTCGGTCGATCCTTTTCCTTCAGGTACTTCTCCCAAGCTGCACCGACTGCATGCTCATCGTAGTTCGGATTGTAAGCCAAGGGGTATTCTTGTGGCGGGGTATCTTCATTGCGAAGAAAGGGAAAGATGGCGGCTTTGATCTTCGCCCATACGCTCCGATTCGCTTGTGTTTTTCGGCCTTCTCTTGAGACCGGTCTCTTCTGATCAACCTCAGTCAATTGAAATTGAGATTCGCCATCATTCATATAGCCAATTGGAACTGGCGACGCAAATCCACCAGAAGGAGGTTTCCAGAATTTCCACCAGCTTTTAGCTTCATTACTATCGCAGGCGCCATCTCCACCAAACTCGTCATAAGTAGCTCTTCGGACCGTGTTTCCAGGCAACTTCATATCGCGACGACTATCCTGCGTCGATGCAAGTGAGTTCGCTCGATGCTGGCGTTGCTTGTCTCCAGTGTCTTTGTCATCTGTTCTAGTACCGTTAAAACCAACGGGAGTGGGACTGCGGTCATGTCCGTCTTCAGAGTAATACTCATCGTCTCCGATTGCCGGCGAATCAATATTCACGAATCCGTTCGTTGTTTGGATTTGATTATTGATATCACCGACGACGTTGCGAGCACCACCTATAAACGTACCTCCGGTCCTGCCTACCGCCCCCAAGCCTTTGCCGATGCCTTGACCTACAGCTGCTAGACCCCCGCCGATGGCATTTATCTTGATTTTGCCGCTAATTTGCCGTTTTTCATGTTGCCTCTCCATCTCGGATTCCTCTTCCCTCACGTCGTCAACAGTATGTGGGACGTGATGAGGATCCCCAGTAGTCACCCCGCCACTCTGTGCTAGTCTCTCGGCAACTTCGTTCTCCTCCCTGGTCTTCTGTTCCCTTTCTTCCTTCGTGAGGGATGCTGCAGCTTTTTCGTCCTTGGCTTGCTGTTTCCTATGAGCCTTCTTTGCCTTCCTGATAAGTTCAGTTTCCGCAGCTTCTAGCTTCCTAAAGATATCATCACGCTGATGAATTTTGTCAAGTAATGCATCGAAACGTCGATTGATCCATATATTCCGAATTCCTCCAGGGAAAACGTCGTACAATCCTCTCAGAGCTTCTTCTGTGAGCCACTTCTGAGGAATTGCACTCACTAATACAGTGGTTGCTGATGCTCTCAAGCGATGCTCGGCCGACGTTAAGTAGTCCTGTCGAATCTTGATGTACACCCGCAGCTCGGTGAAGAATACACCACAGACCCAGATGATGACTAAAAGCGCAAGTATCAAATGTGCCCAGTACCGGTGGGTGTGTGTTGGCCTGACGTTTCCCCAAGCATACTTGTCCATTCCAGTGACGTTCGCCGTAGCAGAGCTGCTTGTGCTATTGGGAAACTCTCGCGCGTAATCACTTCCTCTACCTCCAATATAGTTTATAGGCAGGAGAATCGGCAGTATGACAATGGCGAGGGGTACGAAGATAATGAGGAGGGTCTGTAGGTAGCGAAGAAAGAAGTACGCGTCAAGACCGCATTTCTTGATTATCTCTCTGTCTTTGAATCGAAAGATCGCAGAGAGCCAGCCCCATGGGGTTCTCGGAGGTGGTTCTGTTCGTTCACGCGGAGGTACTAAGTAGGTTTTGGGTTTGCTGAAAGGTGTCAGTGGAGAGGACCCTTATGCTGAATGAACCACGGAGAGCACTTACAAGATACGCGCCAGCTTATCCTTGAGTGCAATGAAAGCTAGCAGCTGTATGCCAAAGATCACCAAGGAGGAGATCAGAGCAGTAATGAACGCAACGAAGCTGATTCCCTGTGATCCTTGGCCCGAACCAAGAATATTGGTCGAGGTTGGCGAAAGGCTCGCGGCGGTAGGCGTAGCGGAGGACATGATGCAGCCTTCCCAAGGAGAGGTAAAGGCTATCGTGACATGGAATCGTGTGGGATGAGTTCGACTGTAGGACTAGTAGCACGAGGGACCAGAGATCTGTCCGCGCAAGAGGATAGAAAGTAGGGCAGAATAAACTAAAATAAAGTAAAGTATGGAGTGAATTATCAACGACAAGAAAGGAATGCTGGTATGACGCGGGGAGGGCGTGAATCATAGGAAGCAAAGCCTCGTGGGGGGTACTTCAAGACATTTCTTGCTGAAGGTATAGAGAGGCGGTTGACGGGTGGCGCCTGCAACGTGGAACAAAGGCCATTTGACTGGTTACCAGGCCATGGAAAAAGAAACAAGGAAACACAAAAAGAAACAAGGAAACGGAAAAAGAACAAGAAACGCAGATCCGCCATGCTACGCTCAGACTTCAGATTCCAGCGCCCTCGAGATGCGATTGAAACATGGCAAGGTCTGACTTCACGACGCGAACGCATCTGGTATTGGCTGGGGATCATCCCCCGGGACCGTGGCGCCTACCAGGGTGTACTTGGCGCAGGGAAAAGTTTGATGAAGTTTGATCTCTTTAATATGACAGTCGACTTGGCCATGATCGGGGCGCATATGCTGTTATGTAACTTACTTAGTATTGCACCCACAACAGTCGCTGGTGAGCTATAGCTTCGTCGAATCGAAGTGCAACACCCGGTACGTTGAAACGCACTCGCTCCTCTGGTAAGATAGCCGACTAGGAACAGAATGGGTATTAGGCACTCCGAGAACGGGATGTAGTAGTCAGCCAGACCAGTAAGGATGGTTTCTATTGAAGGTTTGGATAGATAATAGAGATAATGGAGATGAAGTGTCCTGCAGTGTCTACTTCTCAAGAGACGTCGACGGAGTTGGAGGTTGTCATTCCGGGATGGTAGCATCACGTGACCCAACACCTGCTTTCCCTCGGTTTCAGTAAAGAGGGAGAGCACTGGAGATTGATGTGGTCGATTCTACGTGATAACCTCCTTACAGATAAAGAAGATGTACCTTTGTGGGGAGTCAGACCTTGTGCGGTAAGCCTTAAAGTATCCAGCGCCAACTAGTTGACACCAAAGGGGAACTTTAACAAAGAACCTTGAAATAACTAGGTAATTCCTTTCATATGGGTAGCTCTATTTAGACATCCTCCTTCCCGCAGCCCTAGATACCTCTTTTCGGCCTAGACTGTTGGTTGCAGAGACCTGTGATCCATTGTTGGCTATTCAATATTCAATATTCAATATCCAACCTTCAATCCTCACCCATGGTTGTATCACATACGGTCCTCAATCACAGTTTACATACTCTTACTCAACTCCAGAGCAATCAATTTCATTACCATCCGTGTCAGGTCGGCCTTCAACTTGGGCATTACTCTCTTGGTCTAATCGACAATCACTACTACCAGGCGGACTAGCTGGCAGGATCCTACGAAATCTGAAATATCGTATCCTTCAAGCAACAATGGCTACTCTCCTCGACCTCCCAAGAGAGCTCCGAGACCACATTTGGTCGTACTGCCTCGTATCACCGACACGATGCATTGAGCCCATCAGTCGAAGTGTCGCCTTCTACAGCCAATTCCCCAGAAGCGCTTCGCCTTCAGGTCCTCAATTCTACCTTGCCATCAAAGATCCCGAGACTCACGATTCTTGTCTTCTCACGGGAACCCGGCCAGAATTCATTTCACTCTCGCTCCCGAGAACATGTCGAACAATCTACCTCGAAACCACTGAGCTCTTTTGGAAATCAAACACCTTCTTCTTCCCTTCAGCAGTTGACCTCCTACACTCCTTCAGAGACATGGGTCGGATACCCAGTCGATGTATCACCTCGCTCTCTATCTCTATTTGCACAATTGAAGGCAACGCCGTGGAAGTTATTGAAAAGGCACTTCGGCGCCTCGTCCAAAGCGCTCCGCGTAGCTCGCTCGAGCGACTGGATCTAGTGCTCTCCCGGAAGTCTTTAGAAGCCATCGCGCGGGCTAGGTTGTCTATGTTGGGGGGAAGAGGTAGTGTGAGGTCAAGGAATGCTCTACGATACGGTGAGTTTTTGTTCGCATTGGAGGAAACATCCAGAGCAAACGCGTTCAAGAGGAGACTCATATTACACAACGATGCCACCATTCCTATAGAAGCCGTGTGTATGGACGCAAGAGACACCATTCAGGAATTGCACCAAAAATGGAGAGGACAGGTCTATTGGGGCGGGAACTTGATCTTGGATGAGATGCAGACAATTGGACTCTTGGAGAGTGATGAAGCTACAGGTGATGGCAATGCATAGGGAAGGGGTGAGATAGCTAGACCGAGATTCAAATATGCACCCATCTGGATATACTCCGTATTGAACAAAGATATCATCTCCACACGTGCAACAATCTCTTGCTTTGAAGTTCTGCGAGGAGAAGATTGTGGAGTTCTTTAGGAGCCCTTGTCTCAATGATTGCGCTAGTAAGGTAGACCAGGAACGGGCCGTGCTCGTGCTCCATATTTCGCGCGCGCTTCACCGAGGACCTCATGGAGGAGATCAGGGAGAGATCAACAGCTTCAAGACCACCAATGCCCACCTCGTTCTTCGACCTGCCACGCGAACTCCGGGACATAATCTACTGGGAAGTCCTCATCTCACCAACAGGATACATCGAGCCCGTCCCGATCCCCATCGTCCATCACAAGAAGCCGCCGGCCAACCAGATCCGCCGCCAACGGTTCAAGCTGCGCATCTTCCCCTCGAGCGCGTCCTCCTCCTCCTCCTCCTCCTCCTCTCCGTCCAGCTCAGAGAAGAATGGCGTCGTCTCCCTCTCCCTCGCGCGAGTCTGCCGCCAGATCAATTTGGAAACGCGCGCCCTCTTCTGGAAGCATAACACGTTCCACTTCGACACGCCCTACAGCTTAATCAAGACGCTCAAAGAGATGGGACAGATCCCCAGCCGGCTCATCACATCCATCTCGCTATCTCTCTCCATCTCGCTGTGCAAACTGCTGCCGAAAGCGCTCCGGCTGCTAGCGTCGCGGACGCGCCATGGTGCGTTTCGTCGTCTGAGCTTGGATATCGCGAGGTCGGATCTGATAGGTATCGCGCGGTGCAAGACGAGCGGGGATGAGAAGCGCATCGATGATTATGATGAGCTGCTGGGCATGCTGAGGGAGGGTAGTGCGGGGTGTAAGTTTGAGAGGCGCATGCAGGTCGAGACGATGTTGAGGAATTGGAGGGTTCAAAAGTGTCTGGATCATGATACGATTAGAGAGTTACATTTGGCGTGGGGTGGGAGGACGTTTTGTAATGGTGAGCTGGAGTGGGATAATTATGAACATGTTGGGAACTGTGCTGGGATGCCTTAGGGATGGTGTATATTCGGCCGTGTGTTACGGAAAACGGAGTCAAGGAGTGAACAGGATGGAATTGTAGGTGCTCAAATTCTAATTGTCTATGAGAATTATCAAAGTATGATCATGTCTAATCTAGCTCCCTCAGCCCCCAGCGACAGAAAGGTCTATTTTAACAGAGAGTTGCATATAAAATCCATTCAATTCGCCCAAAATACGCCCTAAAGCTTCCGCTCGTGGACCAGCCTTCCTTTCACCCAGACAGCAAGCGTATTCCTATCATCTCCGTTGAATACCCACTTTGCGATCGTCTCTGGCCAACTCTCCCACCCGAAGATATCAACGGGTCCGAGATCAGCTTCATCACTTTCCACCTGCCCTAAACCAATCAACTGCGCATCCCATTCCATCCCTACTTCAAAACCTCCAATCTTCTTCTCCAACCCAACAACCTGCGCGCCTCCCCTGGTGCTCAAATACAAGACCTCTTCGATACTCAACTTGGAATTATCATCTCCCTCCATCGCCACATGGCGACTGACCAGGAGAGCCTGCCTAGCGGCCTCAAGAATCGAGGGACTGTACCCACCACTCACATCCGTCCCTAACCCGATCTCAATCCCTTTCTCCAACAACTTCCTTACCTTGGCCGTGCCAGACGTAATGGCAGAGTTACTCGCCGGACAATGACTGATCTTCGACTCTCTCTTCTTGATCAACTCTACCTCTTCTTCAGAGAGATGCACCGCATGTGCCAGGATCGTCTTAGGCCCAAGCAAGCCATGGTCGTCATAGACATGCGCATATGATGCATGTTCCGGGAACATGGACTTGACGAGCGCGATCTCGTTCTTGTTCTCCGAGATGTGCGTCTGCACGGGGAGGCCAGTCTCCTTTTGCAGCGCGCCGAGGCCGTGCATGAGCTCGCTTGTGCAGCTGGGTGCAAAACGCGGGGTCAGAATGGGTGTGACGAGAGCATTGGTAGGGTCGATGGCGGCGATATGCGCGATGGTTGCTCGCGTATCTGCTAGAGCGGTAGTAGCTGAGACATCGCGGTAGAAATCTGGGGACATATTGTCCATGCAGCAGCGGCCGATGAAGGCTCTTTGGCCAAAAGAGAGGCAGAGGTCTGCCAAGAGATTGGTTGATGGCACGGAGATGGTGGCATAATATGAGGCCGTGGTAGTTCCATGGGAAAGGGTTCGTTGGATGCAGCGAGTATATACTTTTCTGGCTTTGGGGAGAGAGGCAAGACTACTTTCCATGGGGAAGGTGTACGTGTTAAGCCAGTCGAGCAGGGTGGATTTGCCGAAAATGCCAGCATTCGGATACTGAGAGGCATGGATATGGGTATCTGGGAGGAATCAGCAAAACTCGGGGAAAGGAGAGGACAACACAAACCTATGAATCCTGGAAAGAAGAACTGTCCGTGTTTGGCGGTTCGTACGGTGACATCTCCACGTGACCAGCCCAGCTGAGGATAGAGAGTCTCTTCAGCTTTGGTCTGGTCACAATCGGTCTCTAGCGCAACAATGACCCCTTTCTCGTCAACGCAGACTGCTGTCTTGTGCAGATAGCTCAACTCATCCAAGCTGTTACTATGAATGAAAGTCCCTAAGAAGAGTGACCGGCCTGCAGTGTGGGCTGCCATGATCCTACGGCTGTGTCTGGGCTTTTGAGGATCTCAAAAGGGATGTTAATTCTAACTATGCAAAGGGGCAAAGAGGACCCTTATATGCCATTACCCCAACCTGATATCAATTGTTTGTTTCCTGGAGCGATAACTTCGAAGCTACTGTATCACAGGGCGGTTGGCTTCACTGGCACTTGTCCGCTTTAGGAAAGGCCAGCCATCGGATATGGCCGACGCAGAGCATCAGCGCCGGATTCCAGTTTGTAAGATGTAGGTATCAATGTATCATCATAGATAGGTATGTATCATGTATCGTGTGTATATCCAGAACTGTATATACATATATTATCACAGATGCCGTGATGGACAGACAGAATGGCTACAGGTTCGGATTGAGTGGTCAATCTTTGCCACAGAACGTACCTATCAAGGACGTAAAGTGCCTTTAAAGAAATCTAAGTGGGTAATCGTGTGTCGTATGTACATCGTTGGGCCTGACCAGATATACAAAGATGCCCAGGGGACTCCAAGCGCCGGTCTGCTGTGCCCACCCTCCTAAAACTCCAGATCTTGTACGCCGCACACCTATATACTCGCCCTACGAGGAGCCATAGTCCTCCGCAAAGCCCTCTTCTCCTCCGTCTCATCGACTAGCGGAAGGACGCCCTTGTCTCGCATTTCCGCCAAATACGCCTGTCCAAACTTATAACCGACCTGGTAAATCTCGTCAAACTTCCCAAACTCCAACGTGCCGTATTCATCAACCGGAGGTCGCATGTAGAGACATCCGGGAGTTGTCTTTGCTCTTTCCAAGGCATCAACACTGGATACATATGCTAGTCTTGCTTGGATTTCGGCCAGTGTTGGCGGGTTTGGAAATGAGGAGAAAGGATTCCATCGATTTGCAAACGCCCAGAAGCCAGACAAGGAGTCCCCGAAGTTCTGAGGGGTATCGTCGTCAAGACTTCCAACATCAATAGCAAATATAACATCTGCGCCTAAGGATTTCATATGCGAAACAGTCAGATTGTCGACATATCCACCATCAAGGAGCATGCTCCCTTCATCGCAAAGTGGTGGAAGTAATCCTGCAAGAGACATGGACGCCCTCACATATCTCCATGCATAGCCACTGGTGTGAATTTCAGACCGGCTCTTGCTTATATTTGTGGTGTTGCAGTAGAATTCGAGCCAGAAATCCTCTATCTGAGTGTTCCCAAAAGTTTTGAAAATGCCACGGTTGAATTCATGGCCAGTGGTGTATGACGCTGATGGATATGTCAAATCGAGAGCGAACCGCCACATGCTTGCCATTCGACCAGCAAACTTTTTTGCGCGGCCATACATGGGAACCACGTCTGCATCTCGGGCATATAATGCACCAATAAAAGCTCCGATCGAAGTACCTCCGATAATATCTATCGGGATCCCAGCATCTTCTAAGGCTCTAATGATACCGATCTGCGCTATTCCTCGGGCGCCTCCACCACCCAGAACAAGTCCAACAGACTTGCCACAAAGACGTCTTGCGATTCGGTGAAAATCACCTTTAAATGGCGTATCAGCCGAATAGAGCGGAGTTTGTCGAACTCTACGCGATGTATACTTTTGGATTTCGGCCTGCAAGACTTGAACTCGTTGCTTCAACGCAGAGCCAAATTTTCGGGTCTGCGGATGCACTGGCACTGAGTTGTATGCCATCTGTACGTGATGATGACCTCCATTTATCCAAACTCGATTTCGTAACCACGCTCGTGTTAAACCGGGAGGAGAGAATCGGTCTGCGTGTAATAATACAAGCTCTTTCCTTGCTGTAGTTTTCATACCAAGTAAAAATCGCTCGTATTCTCCGATTTCAGGCGAGCCATCAGCCAGTCCAACAAGTAGAATGCAATCGGCCTGACTGATACAAGTTTGCGTCCAGGGGGAATTGACGTTCGTATCTACAATTCGATCAGTCATTAACAGATCCAAACCAGTTTCCAAAAGAAAAAGTAAAACACAGAGTTATAGTCGTGGCAGTCAGGAAAAAATTAGAGTTGCAAAGTTTTAGTCTTCATGGAAGAAGTCTGGGTTAAAAAAATCTCATCATTTGCCAACACATATGATTTAAGAAAACCGACTTACCAGCAACATATAGTACTAGCCCATATTTCTCCTCGAGATCAGCAAGATACTGGGATAGCTTCAGTTTTCCCATGCGACTAAAAGCATGCCGGCCAAGATGATTGAGGATAGCTGCCTGGTTGAGTGATGCAACTCCGTTTGTTGCCCCGATCTGGGTCAATGCATTCATTAATCGATGGCCAAACTCGACAACAGGCACTCCAGCAGTCACTGGCAATATGGCGACAGTCCGGAGATTGACCGTTGATGATACTTTGGGGTTGGTGGCGCCATTGGCCTCTCCTTGGATGAAAACCGGATCTTCTACCAGGGCCCTCATGCGAGATGCAATGATCTTCGAGATCTTAATGGTGATCCCAGGATGCTCTTGAGCGAGACTGTTGAACAAGGTTTTGGGAAACTTTGCAATCTCTGTGTCCCGAATTGCATGAAGAGTGGCGGGACGGGCAGATTCGGTCATGACTTCTAGCTCGCCAACACTTTCCCCTTGGCCATATTCACCTACAACTCTCATGCCAGCTTCCTCCTTATTCAAGACTAGTCGAAGTCTGCCATTGAGGACAATGTAGATCGCATCGCTCTCGTCTCCTTGATGATAGATCACCTGCCCAGCATCGACCTGCACCCACTCTAGTGCAAAATCAATATGGAGGATAAGTCTGGGCAAGAGACTCGTGAGACGTTTCGCCATAGTCAGTAGAACTACCGGGTACTTTTCCACTATTCTCTCCAGAGACGATCGGGGTAGAAATCCAACATAGACGTCCGTCTTCGCAACAACATCTATGAGGGAACGGTAGGAAGAAATAGTCCCTATATAGCCAGCAATGCCTCCAGGTTTGATCAACGCCAAGCTCTGCCGACCCTTGGCCTTTCGCTTCCTCCCGTCTGTGCCACTTGAGCCAGAAGCACGGGATGGCCCAGGCCGTGTTTGAGAGAACGGTCCTCGTGTCTCTTCCACGTGTTTGTTGGAAGTCGATGGTCGATATGAGTGTCCCAAAACGGTTGTATCAGGCCTTTCGTCGACTGGAACACTAACGTCCAGAAATCCATCTACAACGTAGTATAACCCAGGATTTCGCTCGCCCTGTTCGACAAGAACAGAACCCTTTGGAAAGTACACTATCTCTACTTCATCTTTCATTTCATTTGCAAGACCTTGCGTACTCGGAAAACCACCGGCACTAGTGCCTCCAGAAGTCATTGATTCAGTATCTCCATCCCCAGAGGCCTCGTAAGGATCGATAAAGCCAAAAGCATTGTTGCTGAAAACTGCCTTTTGTCGTTTTTGATCATAGGAAACGAACCTTGGCGAAGCTTCTGCGGAATCTGACATTTTTAGTGCAATCTTTGTATTGGTTAGGCCGATAGCCTTGAAAATACACTCCAAGATTGAGACTCGAAAAAGGCTATCTTCATCAATCGACTCCTGATGGTGAAGCATCAAACGCGGACGCACCGGGGTACCAAAAGGACTTGATGTTCGTTGCCCAAGTGGGCTTTGGGTGTCGTGATGCCACACCTCTGGACTCTGTGAGCCTTGGTTGGGATTAGTGCCAACCTTCCGACCACCTGCACGAGATGTTTGAATATTCGTGAGAAGATCCCCAGGACTGGGACTAGCGCCAGATTCGCGTAGAGTCGATACATCAAACGTAGCAGCTGATACTGCGGGAGATATCTTGGCTGACAAGGCGTGTATGGTAGCCTCCTTGCGAAGACTTGTGCTTGATCTTCGGCGTCGACGTGCTCCAGGATTGTGTAGAGCAATGCCTTTGCTACTGTCCTCAGACCCAATTCTTTCTTTCTCCCGGATGAATTTCACTTTCAATCTTTCCAAGGCATCGCCACGGAGGAAGTTTGGTAATTCATAAGTTGTGTATTTATTCATATGTTTTTCTGTACGTAGGACCTCACTTGTCAAGCCAAGGTAAGAGTGACCCGTAGCAAGCGTAACCCTTTGTAACCGGGTCAGGATAACCTGTACAATATGCGCAGTGGCCTTTGGGTACACTCTAGTAAGACGACGAAACGCGCTGGCGGGAATTATTGCAATTGTCGTATCAACAGTGGCCCTGGCAACGATATCTGGATGTGCAGAGTTTGTCTTAGTTCTTCGTGGTTCTGGTCGCTTGTTCGATTCGCCGGGCGACGGGTCAAGAGATAAGGGAGGGACTCGCGGTAATGTTCCACCTGCTGTCGAGCTTGCCATTGTTGAGGAGCGACGATCTCGGGTTGTCGGGTAGCGACTCTGAGTCGGGGCCCCATAGATTGGGCTTGTTGGTAGTGACGGTGGCGTATCATGACTGTTGGTGAAACCAAATCCAGCATTTTGCGGAAAACGTGGATTGCTATAACCTCCAGCACTCGCAGCACCAGATTCGAAGACCTCCTCATCTTCGGTATGCCTTAACTTGACATCTTCAGTGAACAAAGATAAGATGGAAAATAAGGATGACATCGGAGCTCCATTCTTGACCTCGGTCAATAACTGGTACCCCTGATGTCCACTCCCATAGTCTTGATTATCGTCACTGTCAGAGGAATTGTCAGGGAAGGGTGACGCTTTAGAGTCAGACTCGCTCGCCTCCCTAGAAGACTTGACGAAAATTTCCACCAGACCATCTACAACTAAGCAGAAGCCCTTTTCTTCCTCTAAATTAAGGGTTTCCCCGGCTATGAGTTTCCTCGTCTGCATGGTCCTAGTCAGCTCATGGAAGACCGGCCTTTCCAAATACCCAAACACTTTAATGGCGCTCAGAAATTCGTCCAAGTAATTAGAAAAGCCTGACTTAGAACCACCCTCCTGAGTATCCGGATATAGGTCTATTTGGGGTTCCTTGCGCTGCGGCTCCGGCGGCAGACGAGCATACATGTTGAGAAATCGATATCGGACGAACCAGCTCACAGTCGAAACAAGAGCTACCACAATTAACATCCTTAAATCGCCGTTAGTCGGGTAGCTAAAAAGTCACACATTTGTGTACTTACAATGTGGTAGCATTCATGGTAAAGGTAAGACTCGTCGAGAACAAACCAAACAGGAACGACGGCATTGTGATTGTGGTGAATGTAACCAGCCAATAAAGTATTCCAGGAACGACATTTATGAGGAAGAGAACCAGGCGGCCCACCATGCCAAACCAAGAGCCAGAATACTGCTCATCCATCTTTCCTGCTAATGTGGCCACAGCCAACACGGAAGCATTTGTGGTGCTCATGTTGGCAGTAGAGCTCTGAGTGAATGAAGAGACCGTGTTAGAGAGTGACAAGCTTGAATAGTGTGGGCTGCTAGCAAGGCTAACCACCATAGCGACAGTTCACTATCTAGAGCGCATAGATGCCATTTTCTGACTGAGAAGTGGCGGCCTTTCAGACAAAGCTTGAAATTCTCAAAGGTAGAAGAAGCACGAGGCCACAACGGAGCACAAAAACCAACCAGCTATCCGGCAGCTCGACACTAGCGCGGCAACTTTCTGCCACCGCCTTTCAACCCACCAAACCCACCAAACCCACCGAAATCCATCAAAAGATTGTGACTGTCACGGTAAAATACAACAACACCACACAACGTTCCTCAACAGCGCTGTTGAACTCCCCGAAGGGTGTCCCATACATTACAACATCCAATCTACGACTATCAGCGACGAAGCGCCATTAAAGCTTACGATACTAGCACGCGCCACGTCGCGCAGAAACCGCAAACATGTCTCTGACGAACTGCCGCTTCTATGAAGAGAAGTACCCTGAGATCGACAGTTTTGTGATGGTGAATGTGAAGCAGGTGAGGCATTTCTCTGCGCATAGATAGTGGTGGCAATCTGTGCTAATTCCACGCTGTTAGATCGCCGAGATGGGTGCCTATGTCAAACTTCTCGAATACGACAACATCGATGGCATGATTCTCCTTTCCGAGTTATCCAGACGTCGTATTCGAAGTATTCAAAAGCTCATCCGAGTTGGCCGAAATGAAGTGGTAGTCGTTCTCAGAGTCGACAAGGAGAAAGGTGCGGCTGAAGATCTGTACCTCGAAATTACCTTCCTGCTAATAGAACGAATTAACAGGCTACATCGATCTCTCAAAGCGAAGAGTGTCACCTGAAGATATTGTGAAGTGTGAGGAGAGATATAACAAGAGCAAAATGGTTCATTCCATCATGCGACATGTTGCGGAGAAGACCCAACATCCAATCGAGGACTTATACGAGCGCATTGGTTGGCCACTCAACAAGAAGTACGGACATGCGGTAGATGCCTTCAAGCTTTCAATAACGTAGGTTCTGACCCGTTTACTTGTCCGAACACTTGGCTAACTCTTATGTGAAGAAACCCCGACGTGTGGCAAGAGGTGTCATTCCCAAACGACGTAGTGGCGGAGGAGCTGAAGTCCTACATCGGAAAACGTCTCACACCCCAACCCACGAAGATCCGTGCAGATGTTGAGGTTACGTGCTTTGGCTACGAGGGGATCGATGCCGTTAAGGCTGCATTACGAACCGCCGAAGCCAGAAACACCCCCGATAACCAAGTCAAGGTCAAACTCGTTTCGCCACCTCTGTATGTCCTCACAAGTACATGCTTGGAGAAATCAGTGGGTATTGAAACCTTAGAGGCGGCCATTGTCGACATTCAAAAGAATATCGCCGCAGCTGGCGGCAACTGTATTGTGAAGATGGAGCCTAAAGCAGTCACTGAGAATGATGATGCCGAATTGCAAGCACTAATGGAGAAGAGAGAGAGGGAAAACGCAGAGGTATCAGGAGACGAGAGTATGAGTGAGAGCGACGAGAATAACGTCGAGGTCATGTAGGAGCGCCTGGGGGTGATTTAAAAGCTTTCTGGTGTATGTTTGCATTGCAGGCGTATAGAGATGGCAGATGACGCTTTCGTGGAATGTATGAAGCACGAACCTTTAAATGCTATTCATGGCTTTCAGCAATAACCTGCTACAAAGCCTATCCTCATATGTGTTATGGACGTTTGTGAAGAATCTAGTAACCCCCGTCCCCTGCGAGGCTAGAGTCTGATCCACCGATGGCACGCAAGGCTATCTATCGTAGGCGAAGTTTTGACGTTTTGAGAGCGATCGAACCAAAACAACCTTTCCTGGCCAAAATGTCCTCCGGCCGCATTTTCAACAAATTCAAGAATGGCATATCGCCGCCTTCGTTCATTCGTGGGTTTGCATGGTACTCGTTCGTGATTGTGAGCTGGGTACCGGCCGCAATCTTCTTTAAAAACAATATCGGAGCGGTAGGAGAAGTCGGCGGAGAGTCGATGTACCCGTACTTGAACCCGACTTTCAACGAAGGATTCTCCAAAGACCTGTGCTGGATTAGTAAAAGGAATCCTGCCAAGAACCTGCAGAGGGGGATGATTGTGACATTTTGGTAGGTTCTCATTCACGGTTGACGAACAAGGAGCTCATAGACATGGAATTGTAGGAGCCCATCCCACCCAGAGGTCCTCAGCATAAAACGGGTTATCGCGTTACCAGGCGACAAAGTCATCACTAAAGCGCCATATCCATATCCAACCGCTGTTATTCCTGTTAATCATGTTTGGGTCGAGGGTGACAACAAAGATGGAAGGAAGACCCTGGACAGCAATCATTACGGACCCATATCGATGAATCTCATTACGGGGAGGGTTACACATGTCCTTCGTCCTTGGAGAGGCCCAGTACGTTGGTGGGAGTTCGAAGACAGTAGGAGGGTCATTAAAGGTCGTATACAGGATGCACCGCACTTCGATTGAAGGGTTTATGGGTAATTGGGTACCGGGTCACCCGAATCGTAACGTGCTTCAGGACATACAGGGTCCATAGGGTCAAAGGTCAAAATCCGCCCCCAATACATCGATGGTCAGAAGGAGTGTGGAAAAGTCAGCAGAGGTCGCGGGGGCGGTCCATACACGGCTGAGGAGGGTGGTAATATCATAATGCTTCTGGAGCGTTGGAAGAAGCGCTTTTTGGGGGTGGGGGGGGGGGGCGCGGGCAGGAAAATCCGGAAAGACAGAAGGGTTGCTGGTGCATGGTTGGTTGGCCTGTAGTGGTTTGTCCTGAACAGAGATCTTGTTAAGATATGAAATATCACCACTTTGCAGATACAAGGAAAGCAAGATATCAGTTCTGGAATACATCCAGTTAGTGGTTCTACTCTTCCCGAAGGCCGAAGGTGATTGAGATGGCTTGTTCCTGAACTCTTAGAGACACCATCCTGTCCATTACCTAGATACAGGGGAGAGCTCAGTGACTTGTGTTTTATATTCTAATTTCTGCTCATACTTTGGAAAAGCACCGGGGAGTAAGTATGGAGTATATACCCACGAGGCAAGGTACCCGGGTACCTTACATACGGCGTCACGTGCCTCCAGCTTCTTCAGCCTTGCCTGCCTTACCGAGCTTTGACGAGAAAAGATTGAAGTCCGATGAGTGCTTTATCCGATATACAACCGCTCTCTGTCACCACCTCGGTATCTTTCCTCGACGTCTCCAAGAGGAAGTCCTGAAGGTGACTCCATTGGAGGTTGAGGTAGGGCCATGTCCTGGGCCTCCCGAGTCGCCAATTCGTTCTTTTCAGGTTCAACAAGCACTGCTCGCGAAGAGCGCAACGAGATTGGGTTTGCAGATGATGGACTGTCAGGAGGGAAAGGGAGCTTCGCGGATGGTATATTGGGAACAGAGACTATCAAGTCAGAAACAATGGCACCGCAGGCGGATGAAGAAATGGAGCGACCACCCTACCTACACGTGAGCTGATGATTTCTATCCGGAAGTACAATGCTGATTTGCGTAGTCGATGATCGCTGGAGGACTTGGTGGTACGACTGGTGATCTCTTGATGCATTCTTTGGACACCGTGAAGACTCGCCAACAAGGAGACCCCCATATCCCGCCGAAGTACACGACAATGTCTGCGTCATATTCAACCATTCTACGACAAGAGGGTATCCGGCGAGGCTTATACGGAGGGTGGGTTCCCGCCATGCTTGGATCTTTCCCCGGCACCATCATATTTTTTGGGACCTATGAGTATAGTAAGAGGCATATGATAGACTTTGGTATCAGACCAGAACTTGCTTATCTCACAAGTGGTACGGTTCCAAATCCCTTTGGCAATAGCGAAGCAATACTTACATGTTCATAGGATTTCTTGCGGATTTTGCTGCCTCATTTATATATGTCCCATCCGAGGTCCTCAAAACTCGCCTGCAGCTCCAGGGTCGCTACAATAACCCTTTTTTCAAGTCTGGTTATAACTACAAAGGACCAGCTCATGCCGCCAGAACAATAATACAGCAAGAAGGCTTCATGGCTCTTTTCTACGGATATAAAGCAACCATTTTCCGCGACCTGCCATTTTCTGCCTTGCAATTTACATTCTATGAGCAAGGCCAGCTCTGGGCTAGACGATGGAAGGGGAGTAAGGACATCGGAACGCCCTTGGAGCTTCTGACCGGTGCCGCTGCAGGGGGACTTGCCGGTGTGATAACATGCCCCCTCGATGTGGTAAAGACGAGGATCCAGACCCAGGTCAACCCTTCTACAATACCGCCTGTGACGCAAACTCCCGCGCACAGAGCGGTGCCGCAAGAGCAAAATATGCCTCGCTCAAATACAAATCCGAAGCAGCAAACTCGGTCGATATCTACATCATCGCCCTCGACACACACTCCTCGCCCTGGTTCAATCAATCTACATACATCCTCTGTGGTAATTGGGCTCAAGCTCATTTATAAAACGGAGGGCATTGCTGGTTGGTTCCGGGGTGTTGGCCCGAGATTTGTGTGGACCAGCATACAGAGCGGGAGCATGCTATTCTTGTATCAATCAATTTTGCGCCAATTGAAAGTCATCTCCCCTCCTGGCGACTTGGTGTCTGTAGTGTAATAATAGGGTAACAATGTTTTTGGCGCGGAGCCATGTTACGGGGGGTACAAGTGTATATCAGATCAGCATTGGGCGGCGTTAAGATGCATGGATACATAGCATGCGGTACATAGACAAGAGATTTTCATTTTTCAGAGGTTCATTGTTGACCGAGTCTCGTCGGCAAAGAGTAGGATTCGGTAGATAGATTTCGAAGTCGAATTGGGAATTTTTTTCCAGCACATGATTATACCATCAGCACCTATGAACATAAAGTTCTCAGGGCATCTATTAGTACGATGCACCTCTTCCCCTCTTCCCCTTTCCTCCTTTTCCCCTACCCTCTACCTTCCTTTGCTCCATGGCCCTCTTCCCCTCTCCCAGCCTAAGCCGTCCTGCTCAGGATGCAGGTAGAACCACAGCCTTGTCCTTCTCTTTGAGGCCCGTCTTCGTCTCCACATGATGCGTACTCAGAACGGCCTTTCTGATAAACGCACTTGCCACAATCGCAACCGCAGCAATACAAGTGGTGAATATCCACATATTTCTCATACTCCATGCAAAGGCCTCTTTCACCGCAAGTTTCTGAGCCGCATCATGAATATCCTTGATGATCATGACATTTGCAGCTGCATGCCCCCCGGTCAACGCGTCTGTGATATTAGGGGACAGATTGATCGGAGGCAATGATAGCTTCGCAACTCGGGTGTCCATGGAGTTTTGAAATATTACACCACAACAGACGACGGCGAGAGCAGTTGAAATATTGCGAATGAACCCGAAGGTAGAAGTTGCTGTCGCCGTGTCATCTTGAGAGACAAGCGCTTGAATAGCGATGAGCGGGGCCTCAAAAAGCATTCCCTGACCTAGTCCAGTAACGATTTGAAACCCGACGATTTGACTGACCGGTGTATGGGCCGAGAAGAGGATATAGAGGCCATTTCCAAGTGTCATGATAACAACTCCAATGTATAGGAACTCCAGGTATCGACCTGTGCGATGAATGACAACTCCCAAAGCCATCCCGGTTAATGCTTCTGCGACAGTAATTGGGAGGACTAAAATACCAGACCGAAGAGGCGATGCTTCAAGGGCAGACTGAAAGTACAGAGGGAGGTAGTACTCGCCTGCCATATAGTCCTATTCGTGATGAGTAAAGGGCATGAAAGTGGCACATTTGACTTACTATCCCATGCATAAAGCACAACACAAGGCAAGCCACATTGGATTTATTTTTAAACAGGTCGAGGGGCATAAGGGGGTATCGAGCAAGTCGCTTTTCACTAAAGATGAATAGCCCGGATATCAAACCGCCAATGATTATAAGGCAGAGAACTTGTGGAGATTTCCATGGGAATGTAGCTCCTCCAAACTCCAGTCCCAGGAGCACCATGAGGGTCATTGCGAGGATAGAGAGACTTCCAGCCCAGTCAATGGCTTTGAAACCTTCGACTACGGCAGTTTTCGGATTATGAACATCCATAAAGAAGAGCAATAGGAGAAATGTCGTTCCAGAGATAGGGAGATTTATCCAAAAAGCCCATCGCCAGGACAACTTCTGTGTAAGTATACCTCCCAGAACAGGCCCCACGCCTCCAGCGACGGCCCAAGCCACCTCGAAAAGGCCAAAGTAGAGGGGTCGTTTCCTGTTATCTGGATGAGAGGGTTTCATTCACTCTGAGTTCTTGGGCCGAAACGTACCTCACGCTGAACAAGTCTGAGATCGTGATCATGACAAGTTGAGATATACCACCCCCCGCAGTTCCCTGAAGAGAACGCCCGATAATGAGCATCTTCATATCGACGGCCTCGGCACAAATAATAGAGGAAGCAAAGAATAGCGCTACAGCTGCCAAAATAATGGGTTTACGGCCCCATATATCTGATACCTTTGCCCATATTGGACCTGCCGCAGCGTTTGCAAGCTGATACCCCCCGCCAATCCATACATAGCCTGCAGCTGAGTTCAATTCAGCTGTTATCGTGGGGATTGCAGTGGCTACAATAGTCTGATCCAGTGCCGACGTAAAGGCAGAGAGCTGAAATACATATCAGGGGTTAGTGGACATAAGAGGTTGGAACTATGGAGGTAGGCGTGTTTTGATATAGAGGTTTGCCAGGTTGGAGAGTCAAAACGACAGTAACCGACTTACGTAGACGCCTGCAAGAACAGCTATCAATCCAATTCGACTCCGAAGCTTCTCGGGTTCAGGTTCTGCTTCAGGGTCTATGGTGTTCGCATTGAATTGCCCCAGTTCGTAACTCGCGGCCTCGATCTCGACCCCAGCACTGGCTGTGGTCTTATCACTCTCCCCGGATGGGTCTGCGGCCATAACTTGGTCTTCTGTGCAGCAGAAAGAAGCCAAGAAAAAAAAGATTTATACGTGTACCTGAAAGGAATCAAGCAAGAACATACATTCTTCAAGACGGAGAAGACTTCAACGCCCCATTTATGATGGACAACTCACGGTCCGCACCTCGCGCAGCCGTCCACACCGGGCCGCATGTTGATTATTCAGCACAGCCATTCTGGACAAATTCCGGCCGCCGTACAAGGGTAGCTAGGGGCGCCGGAAGTTTTCTACATCACTCGGCGCAGCTTTGTTGCTACATCAAAAGCATCATACGATGGAATCTTCGAATTGAACGCCCACCACGGCACCCCTCCGCTCAATTCCCTTTGTCATAACGGCCTCGATGTCTGTCTTTACCATGCTGGTATAGACAAGACGGCACGCCTGCCTGCAAAATGCCCAATACGCCTGTTCCTTCCAAGGGAGCACTACGAACGTTACGCAATCTTGCACTCGGAACCTCATGCACAGTTGCCTTCAGCGCTGGCTTGATAACAGAGGACCGTCGTCGTCGTATACATGCTGCACGAGAAATCCACAACAATGCCAAACGGCTCAAGTCGTCGAGGCAGTACCACAGTTCTGGCACTGCGGCGGCCTTCGATGAGCAAATCATGAAGTCCAGAGATGAGGGCTTCTGGGAAACGACCGGCAGATCACCGTCAAGAGCAAGATCTGAATCCTCAAATACTGGGTCATCGAAAGCCCAGAAGCCTATAATCCCAGCTGGTCAAGAGCACGCCACTTCCCAACCAAGCTCGAGATCTGAGCTGCACTCCCCAGAGCAACCCCCGGCTCAATGGAAGCCTCGGCCGATCACAACTCACTCTCGGGGTCGATTACTCAAACGCGAGCTGTTTACTCCGAAGCCCTCAAGGGCTTCATTTGAGCTTGCGTCCATGACTACTCGCAAGGAATCAGATGAAATGCCCCGAGCAGAAAATCGCCAAGAGAAGCTTGCTTCTGATATAATGACGCTATTGGAAAGCGAACCAGACCTGGCGAATGTTGATGCGGCAGCTTCACGATTCTTTGAGGCTTTTGAGGAAGGGATACTTGTCGATAATTCTGGCATCGATGCGCAGCTCATGGATGCTGCGGTTCAACTCTCGAAAGCTTGTATGGCACAGAAGAAGTTAGAGGCCGTGGAAAAGATCCTTGATATAGTGCTTAGCTATGGCAAGATCGAGCAAGAAGTCTTTCTCGCTTTCAACCCTGCAGCTATCATAAAAAAACTGATAGAGGGACCATTTGATAAAGCTTCAGGTCACACAAGGATCGATGAAGGGAGACTGAAGAAAGCGTGCGCCCTATATCTAACGAAATTTGTGGAAAACCCCAAAGTCATAAAGAGCAACATGGGACCCATTGGTGAAAGATTATGCGCCGAGACATGCCGATATGGGATGTTTGATCTGACTGAAGCCTTGTACTGGTGGACGACGAAATGTAACGGCGAGATGTCGGTACGCAGCGTCGACCGCCTTATAACTGCCGCTCACGGACGAGGAGATCATAAGAGGGTTTTGAAATATTTCCGAAGATTCTACATCCAAAAATCTCCTAATCAGGTAGATTTTTACAAGCTTGTTGGCCTTGTCATCGAGTCCTCCTTTGTTTCCGACACGGACTCTGTCTCCGAAGAAATTTTGTTTGCTGCGGCTCGTATGGCTGAGCGGGAAGGCCTTGCAACTTCCACTACCTGGTTTCTGAAGATCCTTGGGCACGACTGGAGAAGTCACCAGGAGATAGACAGGACCCGGGCACTTTTCGAACGCCTTGAACCCTTCCTTGATCGTACCAGGCATCCTCAAGCAGTGTATGGGGCTATCATACAGTTTTGTGTCGAGGCCAACAATGAGCCAGCCGCTCTCTCCTACTATGAGAAACTACAGGAATTTCACGACCCGACCCCTGCAGATGTGCGAATATATGGTCACTTTGCTTTGGCAAAAGCCATGCGGAACGATTGGAGTGGTGTCAAGGAGGATTTTCACATGATGAAGCAAATGGGTTCCGACCGAAACGATTATGGTGCTGCATTCACACCTATTTTCAACCTGTTCGCGAAGTCACATCCGGTCAAAGAAACAGAGGAATTTCTGCGTGATTTTGTTGAACAATATGGTGTAGTCTTAACACCTAGTTTGTCGAATATCGTGATTCACGAGTATATCAAAGCCCGGGAGCTCGATTCCGTTTCCCGCTGGTTGGACTATATGGCTTGTGTCAACTGCAAGGTGGATCCTATGTTTTTCAACATGATTCTCAAGGAATGCTATAAGCAATGGAAATTATCCTTTGAAGAATTACACCAACTCTATCGATCGGTAGCAAGCCTAGGCCCCCGGACCCGGCGGTTCATTAACAACGACACTCTATCAACACTTCGTCATATTGCCATTACCGATTCCGGCAACAAAGTTGCAGAAACAGTCAAAAGGCTAGAATATCTGAAGCTGCATGTACCTATAAAGCGTACAAATTGCGGTCGTGATATTCTGGACTCCATGACCGTGGCGCTGGCCAAAGGTCAGGCGGCCAAAGTGTTGAAGATATACCGGCAAGCTCTTAACGAGCAGATTCCACTTTCCGCATCGACTGTCACTGTTGCTGTAAATGCTTCTCTAGAGCTTCACCCCAGAAACATTGATGCTACAGCTTGTCTACTACGAGATTCGCAGCAAAACGGTCAAGATTTGAGACACGCGTTGTCCTCGATGTTTATCCGCCAATTATCAGAGTTGGGTAACAATGTCACCACCACAAGTAATCTCATCAAGGACACGGCTGAAAGCACCATTTCTGCCATGGAATCTCGCGGTGTTATTGTTCCACCACATGTTATAACGCATACCATGAGTGCTCTTGTAAGACAACAACAGCAGCGTCAGGCCATAGACTTCTGGGAGTCGATGTCTCATCGCGCCGGTCACCCGCCAATACCGATCGATCTGGCTACCCTTACTACCCTTCTTCAAGCCTACATTGGACTTAAGGATCCCACTGGTATCGAGTGGGCCATTCAAATGCTCAGTGTAAATGACCTGATTCCGGATAGGCGGTTTCGGAAAGCTCTCATCAACGCTCGAAAGGAGGCGAAGAAGCAAAACACCCCGAAATTTTTCGATTCTCTCCATCGTGCCCTCGAAGTTGTCACAGAGATGCGGGCCAAGGTGGGCCGAGAAAAAGAGAATGCCAAGATCAAGGCTGTACAGATCATGGAGAAAGCTATCGATGTAGAAACATCTAGAGGACGTAGGATGGAGATCAAGCGAGTTGAGTCGTCGGATCTGAATCCGAGTGCATTCTCAACAGAAGCTTGGGCGGTTTCTGACCCCAAGTCAGTACATAGTTTAGATGTACCACCACCAAGTATAGCTCGTGTGACTGTTCGGTAATCTTGTTCATAATAAATATCACATGTTACGTACCTACCTATGTACTGTTGTAAAATTATAGGGCATTGTCAGCTCCAATTCTGACTCCTATCTACTTAATTGCAGCACGATTTCTTGTAGGAGAGCCGACTATGAAGTCAATAGGTGTCTCATAGGTATAAGATTTATTATAGAGGTTCACTTGTAAGGAATTACAAAGCCTCCTGGGATTATAGCACAAAGAAGATCCATGCGTTGACATTTTGTGACGTTACCTAGCCACGTTAGGTACTATGTAGGTACCTATAAATATATTTTTTTTGCTCGCCTCTTAGACGTCATTTTGTAAACAGACGGTTTTCCAGCTACGGGCCACTTGAAGCTAATTTCCCGCTCCGACAAGTGAGTCAATGGTTTCCAGGACGTGATGTCTATTGTTGTAGAGTGAGCTTATGACCTTTCTTGTCCTATCTTGGCTAATACATTCTGCTACAGTCGAATACGACGCATAGACGGCCAGCTCGACCGGGTGCCGCTGGTACATCCCTCGATCCAAGATGGCATACTCACCGGCCAGGACGCGAGGGCTGTGGCTTCTCCCCGAATCACACAGCTACAGAATATAATCAAAACTCTCTCGACAACGTCCTCATCCACACCTCTGTTATCCGCATGGCGAATTTCGGCACTCCTTGACAAAGTTGCTCTCTCAGAGAGGACAAATGAAGTTGTGGAGGGCGAGGAAGTTGCTCATGTGCAATCATATGAAGAAGAATTAGAATGGCTTCTTGTCAGCAAAGCCACGGTGCAAACCTACGGCCTCCTCCTGAATACTCTTTTGGAACAAACGATACCTCTCAGTGACGATATCTGGTACTGGGACGAGGTTTTGGGATCATACACATATACGGGCCTCTACACAATACAGACCTCTCCGTTGAGAGTTTGGTCTTGGATGAAAGATATTTATTACGATGCGCAGACTCGGTTTGCACAACTTCGAGAGGCACCGGCCGACGCGATATCCGCTCGTGAGATAGGGACAAGCCTGACGGATAAATGGAAGCAGTTCTACGACCTCGTTGGAGAGAGTATAAGGGAAAGATCGGTTGCGGACCTTCAGCGTCGTGTTTTATCGCCAGTTGCTCTCTCTCGTACTCAAGCCAGACACAATCAAGCAAGGTTGAAGAGGTTACGAGAGATGAGTGCGAGTGGACTAGGTGTGCTCATGGACGAAGGACTCAGTTTGGATATTAATGATGGGAGTAGTGACTCGGCCAAGATAGAGGAGGCCGATAATCAGGAATGGAAAGTAGTGGTGGAACGAAGCGTTGCTCTGATGGATACAGTGCTCCGCAATGTGACGGCGCTTGAGACAGGAGTATCTGACTTCGAAGACACAGTCTTTGCTAGTGTTGAGGATGACCCGGAGCTCTCATCAAGCGAAACTGAGGGGGCTGATAGGAACCAGCCAGCAAAGCTATCGAGGCGTCTTCAGCATATTCTTCAGACCCACATACCGAACCACATTGCAACATCAAGGAAGCTGACTTCTGAGTATGGTCGACCATCGAGGCTTGTTCGATATTGGCTACCCGCCGGAGTTCTACTACTGTCATCAACAACGATCTTAAGGATACTCGTTAATAGGAAGGCTGAGATTATCACCTGGTTCAGAGACCTTAATTCTACGATCCGAGCCTTTTTGGTCAACTGGGTTGTTGAGCCTGCGAAGAAGGTGATTGGCACAATTCGCCACGATCCAGATAGCGAGGTTGCCATCATGAGCAAGGAAAGCTTAAAAGGGGATAGAGACAGTCTCGAGCGGATGGTAGTTGATTTTGCTATTGATAACCCGGCAGCTGCAGAAGGTGGGGATGGTGCCTTGACTGAAGCACAGATTGCCGAGATTAGAGCCAAGGTGAAAGAGGGCGATCTCACACCGGTCTTGCGTGCATATGAAAAGGATCTCCGGAAACCTTTTAAGGGTGCTGTTCGAGGTGACCTTATACGAACTCTTCTGATCCAGGTTCAAAAGACCAAGGTCGACGTGGAAGTTGCTATCAGTGGCATAGACGCGCTGCTGAAAAGCCAGGAGCTTCTATTCGGATTCTTCGGTCTGACACCAGGTGTGTTGGTCTGCTTTGCAGCCTTTCGATATCTCGGAGGAACATTTGGCAACAAGAGAGGCTTGAGCAGGGACAAAAGGGTCGACCAAACAGTGCGAGCGCTACGAAACATCGATCGAATTCTCACTCTGGCTACCCCCACCCAGAACAACTTACTGTCATATAAAGATCACGGTTTGCTCCTGTGCGAAGTCCACGTCCTTCGAACACGTGCTCGTAGATTATTCCCCGGCGAGATCGAGAGGGAGTTCCGGGAAGACGTCAGCGACCTCTGTAACATAAACAGCGGCATCCAGACGCAGCTCAAGGTCCTTGAGCGGATAAGATGGGGATATTCGAAGTGGCTGAAATAAACCAATATATAAACACTATATGAACCCTAATAGAAAATGTTTATATCCCACGATGCACATGGTTAATTACAAGTGTACTTTGTACGATTGATACCCGTACCAAGCAATTGCCCATTTGTAGACGCCTTGGATTTTTGGCGCAGATGCGGTGAAGATACCTTATATTACGGTAAACCATCCCGCTAAAGGGAAAGGCAACATCAATCAGGAACCTTACCTTAGGTATCTCCAGCTAGACGACGGGTCAAGCCTCTTACTGATACGGAACGTCCAAATCTCTTCGTCTACGAATTGGGGATCTCTCCTGTCTTGTGTCTTGTGTCTTCCGTCTTTCGTCGCCCTTCGCTCTTACACGGTCACCCCTCGAGCGCAAATCGATCGAGCGACCAACCACCCGACAATCGCCCCTGACCCACTTCCCACCCCACACAATCATCCAAGTAGACATTCAGGTCTCCCAAGCACCTCTCCGCCGCATCGTCTCCTTCGCACGACCTTCGCGACCAAATCCGAGATGGCCGGGACGCGCAATTATGACTTCTTGGTAATGCCGAGCCCGGCGGATCTGGGGCAGACGTGGAAGAGCTAACTGGGCACTCACAGATCAAGCTGTTGCTGATCGGCGACTCTGGAGTGGGAAAGTCGTGCTGTCTCCTCCGATTCAGCGAGGACTCCTTTACGCCGTCGTTCATAACCACCATCGGCATCGACTTCAAGATCAGGACGATCGAGCTGGATGGAAAGCGCGTGAAGTTGCAGATATGGGACACGGCGGGCCAAGAGAGATTCAGGACTATCACGACCGCTTACTACAGAGGTGCTATGGGAATATTACTGGTTTACGATGTCACCGATGAGCGCTCGTTCAACAGTAGGCAGACGCTTTCCGGCCCGGCCTTGCTACAGCTAGCTAACCTCCGCTCCAGACATTCGAACCTGGTTCTCGAACGTGGAACAGCACGCTACAGAAGGCGTGAACAAGATCCTCATTGGCAACAAGTGCGATTGGGAAGACAAGCGTGTGGTGTCGACTGAACGGGGTCAGCAGTTGGCAGACGAGCTCGGCATACCGTTCCTCGAGGTCTCGGCAAAAAGCAACATCAACGTCGAGAAGGCCTTCTACAGCCTGGCGTCAGATATCAAGAAGAGGATAATCGACACCTCGAAAATAGATCAGGCAACTTCTCAGGGTGTGGATGTTGGTGGTGCGCAAGGTAGTGGAAGCGGGGGGAAGTGCTGCTAATGGGTGGGTAACGTGCGTTCTGTCAGTTTGTCTTTTAAGAGCAGATTATGGGCGGAGTTTGGTCATATCACACGGTATTATAAATTGAGGGCATATTTTTGTCAATCGCGTTCAATTTGAAACTACATAGGTATATCTTGGTGAAGTGTTCCCCAGAATAGCGCATAACTCCATCCCTCAAGTATCCATCCAGCTACCATAGCATCTCTACATTTACTATGGGAGGCGGTTCGTCTCCCAGACCATGTTCCCGTTCTACCGGGTAAGGACGGCGATGCCATTCTCTGATGAACCTCCGAGCCTCGTCACGGTCTTTGAATGAGATCATATACTTCGCTGCCCCCCGAAATGGAGTTCTGCTCTGGAGTCCTTCAAGTCTTGACTTCTCCTCCTGGGCAGCATCTTTCGGCTGTTGTTCAACCCGGACAACGGGATTAGTTTCGGATAAGGCCCAGTGTAGGTTGCGACGTTTGCCATCGGTACCCAACGCATTTTTCAGCTCGTAAGCTGTGAGGGCCAAATCAACCGAAAGCTTTACCAAGCCCTCCTTGTTGCTTAGCCTGCTTGCAATGCCTTGGGGGCCACCTTCACTAAGCACCCCTACCATTCCCCGTTTGTAAGGTTTGTTCATCAAGCGCAGAGAAAGCCTGCTCTGCCCTGGTACGAGTGTAAACGACCTGACCATCTCTTTCACATCCTCTCCCTCCCTTAGGAGTCCTGGGGGAGGAGGCAGAGTCGCAGCCGTTAATGACCCAGTATGTGCTTTGGACAGGGCGTGCAGTCGGATCGTTTGGTCGAGGTAGGCCCGGGCAGCATCGTCGCTGGAAAAGAGAATGAAGTAATGATCGAACGGTTCAAGGGTATAACTGTCCCGGGCTGGGAGGACTACATGACATTAGCACCTCGAAAACTTATCGTATCTAGCATCCATACCTCTGATAATGCCGCTTGTCCAGCCCTCGATATGTTGGCCTTTAGCACCTATCCGATAGAAATCACTCTCTTCCAGCCTTTTGCTGGCAGCATTCAACACCAGCACAGCTGCATCCAGTCTGCGCTTCTCATCTTCCCGCTCGATCTGTGCTCTAAGCTCCGGTGTGCGTTCACGCGGCGAAACACCACCGATGAGGTGGTAATTCTCAACTGGCAATGGAGACCTCTTCTCTGAAGCAATCTCTGGCTTTTGTCCGAAGTCAGCGTCCCATCGAAAGGGCGGCAGCTTATCCACCTGCTCCTCCTCGGCCCGCTTTGTAGGCTCCTTTTCTTCTGGGAACAGCTCATCAAACAACGACTTTTTTGGTGGTCTTCGAGACTTTTTTGGTGATCTTGGAAACTTCTTCTGTCCCTTCGTAGAGCTCGAGCTACCGTTCGTACTGTCGGACATATGGGCCCGTTGTACCACCTGAGCTAACTGCCGCAGTCCCCATGCTGGCACTAGGAACTGCGGAGGCAGTGAGCGCGTCAACAGCATGAAAGTTGTCTAATTGGCACTCTTACAAAGAATGTTATCGAGGCATGGTCAACAATAGCTCAGGATTTGATAGCGGGTGTGAAGATAGCTCGGGAACCTAGCGGGATAGCGCGACCCCAAGGCTTGGCGAGGCTACCAAAAACTTTCTCGAAGAAGTTTCAGCACGGCGATGAAAACTCAGCGGAGACGCCCAACCACACTATGTCAATTTCCCAGGATACCAAGATCCTGGAGGTCAAGATAAGGCCTTGGCAGAATCCGAAGGAACGAACGGATCAGAAAGGCGTGGCACGTGTTCACCTCTCCAGCCATGCTCTCCAGGATCTGGGACTCAAGCCCGAACAGACATGCTATCTATGGAAGGCTGAAGATGGCCCGGAGAAGCGGAGGCAGGCTGTCGTATGGTATTCTCATGAGAATTCTATGAGGAAGAATGTCGCCCAGATATCAAAGACGTTCCAGGATGTATGTGACTTCAACCTTGGGGATGACCTGAAGATTAGTGCTGCCGGAAATCTGGCTATAGCAGAGTCTGTTGTTTTGAAAGATATTACCCCTCCTGAAGAGAATAATCAAGCGATTCCTGAACTTGATCGGCCTTTTTGGGAATCGCATATTGCAGAAAGTCTTTGTAGGTAACATCTTCGCTTCGTCCTTGCAGTTTTTCTTTCCCTTTCAGGGTCCTATAGACGATGTAATACGCGCGGGACTTTAATCCAAGTTCTCTCCATCTTATCAGATGTTGGACCTCGAGCCACTCAAATTTGGGGGCGAATTGAGGAGACGAATTCAGGATCTAAGATTTCTATATCGATATGTTCAGGGCATGGCTAACAATTTTCAGGGCTTGCCCAGGAATTGTTTCCTGGTATGACATTCAGCATCTCTCGTAGGGGCAGTAAACGGACTTTCAAGGTCGTATCTATCAATGGCAGCCCAACCAATATGGGCAAGTTCAATGAGAGCTCGACCGTGAAGATAGGCAGCGAAAGCAACGAAACGAGCACGCAACAGAACGGGCTCACACATCGTCTCGAGGTCGTTGACATCGCAGGTATTGACCAAGCTTTGAAGAAGCTGAATAGATTCCTGAGCAGATTTGATCGGAATTTCATACACACTGCTCCCAAATCATGTGCTGCCCTTTTGCATGGTGGGCCAGGGACGGGCAAGACCTTCATTATGGAGAAAATTGCAAGCACCGGTTGGGGAAGGGTGTTTGAAGTCGGAAGCACTGTCACACCAGCGAACATAAAATCCATCTTTGAGGAGGCCAAGCTTAGCCAGCCGAGCGTCATACTCATCGACGAGTTAGAGTCAATCGTTTCGAGGGAGGAGCCAGTATCATTAGCGATTGCTAAGGCTTTGGGTAAGGAGCTGGATAACCTCCTTAAGGGTCATTCATCAAATTCTTTGCCTCGCGTTTTGGTCATTGCAGCTACACAAGACGCTGGAAGGATACCAATTTTCTTGAAGAAGAGAGGCCGATTCACGACAGAGATAGTGCTACCACTACCAGATGCTACAGCGCGAAAGATGATTTTGAGGTCTTTGGACTTTCCACTCCATCCATCAGCACGAGACGAGATATTGGACAAACTTGGAGATCGGACACATGCTTATAGTGCCCAGGATCTGGTGCTACTACAGGATGCAGCCAACGAATTCTTTGAGGACAGGGCAGAAGAGAAGGGTTGGGATGGGAGTGAAGAAGACTGCCATTTAACGCAGGAAGATATTGAACAAGCGCTGCTCTTGGTACGACCAACAGCTATGCACGACATAACATTACAACCGCCGAAAGTCAAATGGGAGGAAATTGGAGGTCAGAAGAGCGTCAAGGATGAACTTCGCGAAGCCGTTGAGACTCCGTTACTTGTAAGTCCCCTGAAATGCAATATTTCCATCTTACTCACTCGTCTGCTCCTAGTACCCCGACTTGATGAAGCGAGTGGGCGCTACAGCCAAGAAAGGTATCCTGATGTACGGACCTCCAGGGTGCTCGAAGACCCTGAGTGCCCAAGCCATGGCGACAGAGATCGGCTTCAACTTCTTTGCTGTCAAAGGCGCCGAGCTTCTCAACATGTACGTTGGCGAATCTGAGCGGCAGGTGCGCGAGGTCTTCGCCCGCGCCCGCGCTGCAAGCCCCAGTATTATCTTCTTCGACGAGATCGAATCCATCGGCAGCAAGCGCGAAGGCCGCAATAACGGCGTCAATGTCCTCACGACCCTGCTGAACGAGATGGACGGTATCGAGACCCTGAAAGGCGTCATGGTACTCGCTGCGACGAACAAACCCCAGGCCCTCGATCTGGCTCTGCTCCGTCCTGGACGCTTCGACAAGCTGCTCTACGTCGCCCCGCCGGATCTCGTCGGCCGCGAGGAGATCCTCAAAATCAGAACACGCCGGATGGACATCGCGCCAGATGTCGACATTGCGGAGCTGGCGCGCCTGACGGAAGGCTATTCCGGGGCGGAGCTGGTCAGCATTTGCTCGCAGGCCTGCGATGCCGTGATCCGAAAGTGCAGGGAGACGAAGTTGGATCTGCAGGTTTGTATGGAGGATCTCTTGAACGCTATTCGGGTCGTGAAGAAACAGATCACGCCGGAGTTGGTTAGGGGCTATGAGAAGTGGGCAGCGGGCATCAGGGGAGATACCGATTAGTTGATAGATATTGATAGGGCTTGGTAATGGAAGTACTGTAGCCCTCGTATCCGGAACTGAAATGTGTGTGTGTTGCGCCCTGGTGTTTGGAACTGACAGTATCTAATGCCTGAACTATAGAGCACGGGAGGAAATATAAGCCTTCTGCATTACTTAGATTTCTGGGAGCAATTTAGAGTATTCTGTTGGATATATTTTAAAGAATGCTTTGCTTATATCTGGCTGATTTGAAGATGGTGAAGGACCAGACAGGATGATATTCTCCTTGACTCGTCCCACCCCACTGTGGGGCTAGCCGGGGACATGGGCCGCTAAGCGGGTTAGGAATAGTCCTCCCGAAGAACCCTGATCTTGGTAACTTTTTTACATTCCAGTAGGGCTCCGCGCAAAGGACGTCAACAACCCGGTTTGTATGTCTAAGAAGGTGATCTACCATGGCAGACCAGAACTCCTATCTTAGGTACAAACGAGACACCAGGCACTTGCTGTACTGGATGATTCACGCCTCGAACAGCATCATCAAGTCTTCATCTTCTCTACCAATCTCGGATGCTGCACCAATAACTGTGAATACGACGGGCCAAATTACAGCGTCCGCTCTCGTGCCTCTCTCAAAGCTCATTGCGAAGCACATAAGTCCAATTCCATCGACAATTTATCGCCTGTTTCAGTCGGTGATAGAGGCAAGAACAGCTACTCATACACTCTTTCAGCAGATTGTCGCCAAAAAGCCGGATCCGGAGATCGAAAGGAGTAATGTTTCTCACAAACGCTTCATTGATACTCTAACTGAGGCCTTTGAAGTCTTGGGAGGCAAAGCATGGGCTTCAAAACAGAAGTCTGAGACCGTAATCTCTGATGAAGAGGACGTAGACGAGGTGATATTCACGAATAAGTTTTCTGTTCTCGGCCTCGACGAGCCCAACGACGGGGAGGAGGTAGATGATGCAGTTGAGGGAGGATCCGATGAGGGCTCCTTGGGCGCTTCAGCAAAACAGCCGAGAAAGAAGACTTCAGGCAAAGGTAAGAAGGGCAAACGAGGAAAGAGAGCGAGAGGAAAGCCGAAGTCAGCAGTCAAGGAAGCCAGCCTGGACGAAGTTCCATTAGAGAGCTACCGCATCATCGAAGACGAAAGTGGACTTGTTACCGACTATCTGATGGCTGTTTACTCGCTTGTCGCGCAATGGATCGAGCTTCGACATTACGTGCAAGGGCTTTGGCGCGAGGTATCATACGGCGGCCTCAACAGCGCTGTTGCCGGAGCCATGTCTAATATAGCTATTTCGATGATTAAGCAAACACAATCAGCGATTTTTGTCGACTTTCCTGGGCATGAGTCCTATGAGACCGTCATGAAGACCATCACACGTGGGGACCCAGAGAAGGCCCAAGGCATGTTTCACTTGGGCCTACACCTAATGAAACCCGGTTCTGGGGTGGTTGAACAGGTTCAGGAAATGGATCTTGACGTCAAAGAGCAATTTTTAATACACGCTTATTGGGATCTTCTCGACTTCATAACGGATTTTCAGAAGACTCGCAGTGGCAAGCCAACCAAGCCTATGTTGTCCGAGATTCGCGATTGGGATCCTAATTTCGATCTCCAACGAGCTAGCAAGGCACAACGCATCAAGTGGCGTCGGTCGTACACAATCAACTGGTTGTACGACTTGGTCAACGTCTTCTCGTCCATCGTTGTCCAACGCAACACGATGAAAGGCCAGAATATTGTTCTCGAAACGACGGACTGGTCTACAAACGGACCATGGAATAGACACCGAAGACTATTCGGCTTGAATGAGTTTGCTGGTGATATCACTTCTCTTGCAATGCAGAAGCCTGGTACCGATGTTCGACAAAAGATCCTTCCTCATCATGTTTTCCAGATCCAGTGCATCGTTGATTCTCTGACAGTCTCCCGGGGTTGGTCACTTAATAGTCTTAAAGGTCATGTTCTCAATCAGCCTGCGCGAGGTTTTCGTCCAAGGCGAGATGTTGACCTCTTCTTGGACCGCCAAAATGAGAGACTTGGTCATGGATATTGCAACGCGGTTGACATCTTGATCCAGCTTTTCGAGAAAGATGCTATGCTACACGGTGACCCAAATCGCCACAAACTGCAGTCCGACCTGCTGCGGGAGTTTCGCGATGACCTCGTGGATTGGCTTGGGGAAACTAAGTATATGTACGGCTTGACGACTATACCTCCATCTCGCTTCTCCAACACCAACACGAACGGTCTCTGGGAGTATTCTCCATTCCTTTGCGGTGTTGGGTTGATGGAAGCACTGGAGCTTGCGTACGGTATGAACTTATTGATATGGGACAGAATGCCAGAGCCGATATGTCTCATACATCTGCATAATATGCTGGTACAGAAGGGCTATATTAAGCAGGAAATCGGACTATACGCGGCCATGCAAGGTCTCTTCCCGACTGCATTCTTCGCTGATGGAAAAGCCCCCACCTCCGACTTTGGCGGAGCCTTTCTTGCAGTGTGCAGCGAGACTGGTTCTCGTCGCGCGACTTTCCAAAGGCGGATCATCACACGGACCGTCACTCGTACTGCAACAGAGCTCCATGGACTCTTGAATATGAACATGAATCGTTTCTTCAAGCAAAAGTCGTTTCTCAGGCTCTATCGCGAGGCAGACTGGGTCCCTGAGCGCATTCCTGATGAGGAAGTTCCTGTATATTCCTCGTTGGGTATGTTCCGCATCGGCCAGACGAAACTTGCAGTGGATCCAGAGACAGGCAAGAAAGTATTAGAGAATACAGCACTTGTCAATCGTGCAAGATCTGCTGGAATAGATGATCAGACGATGATTAAGATGTCATCACTGCTACAGGATAGCAGCATCGATCAACCGCTTCCGGAAGCAGTATTGGCTTCACTCCCCGAAGGCTACAAGATGACGTCCTTTTCTGAATATAAACGTGGTAAGGGAATTTCTGACGGCCCCCAGCTGTTGGACATTCTCAAACTCGACCTTATCAGCGATATTTCTGGCGAACACCGGCCGCTTCTTAGTCTGAACTACGTCTTTTTGACTGTACGGTTCATGGTGCTATTCCACCAGATCGAGGATGAGTTAAAGCGCCTCCGCAACCCGTTGTGGATCCGCGCATATGAGCAGGAGCCATTGATGATGCGAGAGAAGAGGGCGTCACTTACCACGTTAGTGCTTGCTGAAGAGGACGACGAGTGCATGAGGGTCATGGCTCGAGAGTTTCAGAACCCGAGAGCTGGATGCATGCAGCATATCTATTGGGAAGACCTGGACAGCTCTGACAAGGTGATGAGCAGTATGCGTGCGACGAACAACGATGAGGTCGGGCCTTCGTGTACAGTGATGTGAGAAAGAAGTCTCGAGATGGAGGAACTACAGCAATGAGTTGCATCTATCTACCTCACTCCATCCCAACCATACAAGATCCATGTACGAAGGCCAGTCCAGCACCTCAACCCCTTGCACATATGTCGCATTATACCATTACACTGCAATTGCAGATTCGATACGCCGGACAAGTACTGTCTGTAATAGCTAAATAAATCATATTTTTTCCCTTTTTTCTTAGAAGTATATCAAGGTAAGCACATACATAACATAACCCGTCAAGCTAACGCAAGCAAGCAAGCAAATACAATATAGTCTCTCGAAATCACTCTATATCTATCAGAACTTCTTCATCATCTCATCCCCCATGCCTCACATTTCCCGTTATTGAGATAAAGGAGGCTGTATAAATACCAATCCACTAATCTAATTCAATCCACTGCAATGTAGGTAAGTACTTACCTAGAACATGAAAGTAAAAGAGGATAGTATGTTCGGATATCGGGAGATATGATGGTTGTTAACCCCCCCCCCCAACACAAAAAGAAAAAGCACCACGAAAAACTCCCTCCTATATCAAGAAGATTCTTGATATTGCATTGCGTTACCTAGAGATTCACGGTGGAATGGACGTTATACGATGATGACGGGGTTATGGGTGGGATGTTGATACGGGTGGAATTGATTAGGAGGAAGGATGTTGGGGTGTGAAGAAGAAGAAGGGTATTTTATTGTTGTTAGGTACCTAAGGTAAGTAGGTATGGAAAATTGGTAGGCTAGGTAAGGTAAGATAAGATATATAGGATTATGATTTATATGTATGTATATATATACACATATCTGTGTGTGTGTATGTGTGCGCACGCGTGTCTCCAAAGACTGTTCCTGAAAAGAAAGGAAACGATGATGCATCCAGAATTGTATCGTGAAGTTCTATAGTCCTGTAGCCCCGCCCAGCCAAGCCATCTAGAAGAACTCCATCGCTAATCTCTCCTCTCACATGGGGAAGAAGTATCCAACGCTCTTCGTCCCTTTCCCTAAACCCGGTGGTGGGATGTGGTGGAACCAAAAGCGGAGAGAATGATTGAAAACTAAAGAGCTTCGTGACACATAGGAAATTCGTGGCAGTAAGAGACGCTAAACAGAAAGAAAGACTCCATGATGAGGGGAGCAGAAAAGGGAGCTGTGGTTGAGCTGACGAATAATCGGGGGGTTCCCTGATAAATATCGTGGAAACGACGTGGCGGTGTAGTGCAAGTGATATATAAGGTATGCACATGTGGCGCAAATACCACCTAGGGTAGATGCTATGCAACGTTGCGGTACGTGCTGCGCGCTGCGTTCGGTATACGAGTGTCCTCCCGACTTCCCCAATATTCAGTCATGCGATCTCCCGTCCGCTGCGTTCGTGGCGGATATCTGTCCCACGACGGATCGCTCCACGTCCTCGGGCTCAGACGGCAATGGTGGTCGCGTTCTTCTTCCCCGTAAGGCTCCATCTTGGCTTCTTTTGCTTTGGCTCTGGTGCCACGACGTTCACGACCGGCTTTTCCACTACTGGTGGGCTGTCGTGGAGAGGGGCCTCGCCAAGCTTCCGCGTGGTACTCGTATGCAGCCGTTGGAAGATATCCCTTTCCTCATAGACGGTGGGTTGCGGTCGCTGTGACGTGCGTTCAGGGTTGGGATTAGATGGGCCGGGGATTTCAAGGTTTTCAGACGAGTTCGAAGTAGTCGAGTTGCCGGAGCTGACGACGGGGGAAGGTTCTATGGAGGAAGTTAGTGGGGCTGGCTTGAGACTGGGATCCAGAAGATATATGTACCATTGCTGGGCAGTGCTGTAGCCAGAGGGCTCGGGCCAATGCCAGAGTCATGGTATGAATGGCCTCGTGGTGGTCTCGGTCTCTTCTGTGTAGGTTCGTTGAGGTAGTACACATCGCCATCCCTATTATTCCAAGTCGAGTTGTGACTGTGGTAGCTGCTGGCTCGCGGAAAGGGAGGAGCCTGCAAGCTTGGGCCGGCGGTCGCGTTCATATATGACATGTTCGAGACCGAGCTCCCCGTGCGGCTGATGCCCATCTGACTCCTGCGCTTGTGGTGTTCCTTGATCTTGGACAGGTCCTGATACTTCCAGCTCGAGGGAGCTCCACTGAGGGCATCCACAGCAGCGTGGGTTGGGACATGCTTGTATGGCGCGGCGGTCTCCTGTTCCGCCTCCTTCTCAACTGCCTTGACCTTATGTTCCTTCGCAGCCTTGCGGGAGAGCTTGATCTTCGAGAAGACCGACATTATGGTTGTTGGGACAGGCCGGCCTCACTCGCTTGGTCGAGGCGCAGGCAGACAAAAGGTAGACGGGGAGAGGGCGCGAAGACGATTGACGATCAAGAAAACAGGTCGCGGTAGTAGAAGAGCCTTGCTCTGTCCTGCTTCAAGGGATCTCCTGGGGAGGAGACTCGGGGGAGAGGGGATGTATATATACTATTGAGAAAAGATATGGAGAAGGACGGGACGGGGGAAGATGGGGGGAGATTTCAAGTGGGGGAGAAGCGAAGGAGCCTAGATTTATAATAAGTACAAGTACTGTACAGTCTGAACTTACAGCATAAAGTGTCAGCCAGAAAAAGGTCGTAGCACTGTGTGGGCGTAAGAGAAAAGAGGGCAAACGTCCAAGGGGGAGGATGAGCCGCGTGGGCCTCAGCTGAACGGTGCGTGAGCCGTGCATGGCCTGGGCCGCTGGCCTCTTGATAAATTGATAAAGCCAGGCATTTTGCGGCGTGCCACATATCGTTGGTTCTATTCTTATCGACAATTGACAAGGCTCGCACGCCTCAACGTCTGTTTTGGGGCCTGAAGAGAGAGAGTGGGCGTCTGGACAGCAGTGGACACAGATAAGAGGGTCGAGTCTCCAACACAACTTGGCGAGGTGTATACGAACTGGAGCAAGGACTTGACGGTGCGGATGCTATAGGCCAGATTGTTGACCGAGAGAACATTGCTGTTGGGTCTGTTGTTGTGCATGTAGATTGTCAGTACAGTACATCCTGCACACAACGCAGAGCTCGCATCCTCTCGCCAACCCATGTTGCATGCACCTCGTATGGGCCTTACAGGGCCACGGTCCGGAAGGCTGGATGATTGATCTACGGAAGAATGTTCTCTATAAGTACTGATTTCCGACACGTTTCCGGGCTGTCAATTTATACTTTATACTTTTGCTCTAATTCCCCGCGATCTAGGTAGTGCAGTCTCCCGTGAAGAGTGAGACCGCCAGATGGTTTTCCGCCGGTTGGCAAACTAACACCACCGGACTCGCGGACCTCGTTTGCACCGCGCGTTTAGGGTAAAGAAAGACGGGAAGACTTACATAAATAATACAAGACGAGCAGAAGAAGATGAATGCATAAATACATCAAGGGCGAGACTGCGGCATACGGATGGATGGATGCATGGCTCTATTGAAAGTAGGAAAAAGGAGAAGAGGCGATGGCGGTATATTCCCCCTCCTATCTGAAGGTTCTTCTCCCATTTATTTCATGCTTGATAGGAGGGGAGCCCTTTATCTGACTTTAATTTCTAAACTTTCACTGCTTTGTTTACTGCTCTTTTAGACTTTGATATTCCTGCGCCGCTCTTCTCCCGCAGATCAGGCTGATCAGGACTGATCAGCTCCGGGGTCTTCGATCCAGCGCGCCGAGTAGCTGCCCCAGCAGAGCGCCAATGAACAGTCTCCGGAGTCATTCAACTTCTCGACCTCTTCTCGGTATTCTCGGATGTGTGTAGGAACATGTAGATATACCGAGTCCCCCTTGTTCTTGTCGCTTAGAGTGTAGTCTGGGGTCCTATTGATTCTTGCCGACGGAGTGTCTCAACTATCTGATCCCAACTCTCTTTGACGTCTCCAGAATTCCCACGGGCCGGGGAATATCTCCGTAGTCTGTACACTTGTTCCGTTTAACGGTTGATGCCTCCCATGTCTTATGTCTGTCTGATGTCTCTCTCGCGCCAAGCCCTTCCAGACGCCTTCAGCCTTCAGCCTTTAAGCCACGCTGATGGCCCGAGACCCTGCATCAACGACGCAATACAATTGGGACACGGCATTTTGTACAACATGAGATAACCCGCTCTAGAGGTTGCAACGTGGAAGCAAATATTGGAGGAGAGCGGATACGATAACGGGCATGTTCGCTTTCCATTACCACATCACGATGGTTTGCTGTGCATCTCCAGAATCCAGACGGATTGGATGCAGGACTCGGGCGGTATCCGGGGATTATTTTCAACAGCCACCTCGTTGGACGGACGCGTCAGTTGTATGTCTACCTATTACCGAATTGTATTCCACGACGGGATATAGACATAGGTAAGCATGGTGGTCATTGACAGGCCGTCCACTCCAAGTCAATAATGATCTTCCCGCTGGGCTTGGGAAAGCGTTAGCCAGGATACACGTACGTCGAGAGATTGATTCTCTACCTTAAGCTACCTAGCTAGTTGGGTTCTCTCAGTTCTCCGTCAAGGCCTTGCAAGGCCTCGAGAGATAAAATACGGAGACGCTCCAAAGGCTCGGGCAGTCAAGAAAAAGAAAAGAGAAGAAACTAAAAATAAAAAAGAGCAGGAGAGTGCAGAGGCCCTCAGATCTGCGGGGTTTTTTTGTTTTTGATAGAAGATCTATCAATCTAGGGGTTTGATAGGATACGGAGCAACACAGACAACCGTATGAGAAAGATCCAGAAGAGTTGGCCCGCATGAATCAAAGCGTTTGTAAGAACCTCGTTGAGAAAGCACGCAAAGCGTCGCGTGTGGAATTTCTCTGGTGCGAACAGAGTGGGGTTGGAGCAGATGAGGGCATTCCCAGTTGCCCCCGCGCCCTGCCGTCGGGTTCCTGGATGCTGGAACGGCGACATGGTAATTATAGAATCAAGTTCACGAGACGCTTTCCTCTTGCCTGACACGATGACGCACCGCGGGACCCTTTCACGCGTAATGATTGGCTGCGTCGGGCGAACCGCGAGACATTGCGGTGGATCACGTGAGATGCGGCTGAAAGGGGGCATGGCCGCAAACGCGAAAGCCTGTCGGGAAAGGGGCGAGTATCCCAGAGGGAAAAGATATGATCGACCTGAACCGCAGCAGATCTCATCTTCTCTGATCTCTTCCAGCCGGTGGTTGTCCCTCCCACGGTGCTGGCTACTTAAACCCCCCGTGGCATTTGATATCAGTTTACCGGCGCTAACGATCTCTCTTCGGAGCACGACACTCCCCCCGTCCTGTCTTCGCGACCCTGTCATCAACAACGCCCCAACGATCCCCTCGAGCAGCACAACCTCGTGGACCCATGTCGCCAGAATCTTACTGATCGCTCGTCGCATAGAGCATCTCCATCGACCCGCCTCAACCTCCGTGACGCGTGCGGCCTCGGGCGCAGATCTCAAAAGTGGCGGCGCTCACGCTTCTCTCGCAAAGTCAGGCGCCGCTCTCCCTTCAACAGCATCTCGACCTCGCGCCCGACATCCTGAATTGCTCGGCGGAGGACCTAGAGGGGGAGCTACAACCTCTGATGATGGCACAAGCGGTGCCTACTCCCCAGCCGCCGAACGACAGGAGGAGGGTGAAAGTCTACGAGTTGCGCAACAATGACTGGTTCGACCGCGGCACTGGTTTCTGCACGGCGGCGTTCCTATTTGTACGTTGCTCCATATGCCTCTCTTTATTGCTTCGGAGTTTCTCGAAAGTATCCGGCGTTCTGTCATCCGCAGGATCGCCTTTTCTAGTTGGATTGCCGCTGACACGTCGCGTTTACAGAATGAAGTCAGCCGCCAGGAAGAACCTCGCGTGCTCGTGCAGTCAGAAGATCATCCGGATCGCATGCTTCTAGAGACCAGAATATGCAAAGAAGATGGCTTCCAGAAACAACAAGGTATATAATATACAAGGACGCAACGATGTTAGTGGAATATGGCCGCTGACTGCTGTCGCCAGATACCCTGATAGTGTGGACAGAACCAAGTAATGGCATTGATATGGCTCTTAGTTTTCAAGAGCCTGAAGGCTGCACTATGATATGGTCAGTATTGCTGTTGCCGGCATCCATGACATATGGGCGGTCTGGGGACTAACAGATCTTCTACAGGAAATTTGTTCACAGCATCCAACAGAGCCTAGTTGCACTCAGTAGACAAGGTATATAAGACTATGCGCGCCCTATAAAAGCCAACAAGAGACCTTTCTAACCATTTTGACTAGATGACGCCTTATCAGACGACATCGATCCCTTTCAGAACCCTATCACGTTGCCGCCTCCAAGTCTGGGTAACCTACAAGAGGTAGAAGCGCAGCTGCGCGGCCTTACCAACACACAAAATGGGCGAGACGCCGTAACGAAGTTTGTCCTTACCGATGGCTACATTCAGAAGTTAATACCTCTTGTGGAAATGGCGGAGGATATGGAGGATCTGCCGAGCTTGCATCGACTTTGCAATATCATGAAAAACCTGATCTTGTTAAATGATACCGCGATCATTGAATACGCCGTTACGGATGAAATTGTTCTCGGAGTTGTGGGCGCTTTAGAATACGACCCGGATTTTCCTAGCCACAAGGCGAATCACCGGCATTGGTTAGGCAAGGAAGGCCGGTACAAGGAAGTGGTGCGTATCGACGATGAGCAGGTCCGGAAGAAGATACATCACACCTACCGATTACAATACCTGAAGGACGTTGTGCTCGCTCGGATCCTGGACGATCCTACATTCTCTGTGCTCAATTCCTTGATATTCTTCAATCAGGTTGATATTGTTCAGCACCTTCAGATGAATTCAGCCTTCCTCAAAGATTTATTTGGGATCTTTTCGCCCCAGGAGAAAGATGAGGAGCGCAAAAAGGAAGCCGTTCTGTTCATTCAGCAGTGCTGCGCTGTTGCTAAAAACCTACAACAACCTGCGAGGCAGCAGTTGTACAACAACTTTTTGGGGCATGGATTATTATCCGTAATCAACTATGCCCTGCGCCATAATGACGTTGCTGTTCGAGTGGGAGCCACGGATGTGCTCGTGTCTATGATCGATCACGATCCCCAGATGGTCCGCCAAACCATATTCCGACAAATCGGCGAAAAACAGGCGCCTCTGACGGATTCTCTCATCGATCTTCTCCTGGTCGAAGCAGACCTCGGTGTCAAAGCACAAATTGCCGATGCTATCAAAGTTCTTCTGGATCCCGGCATGAACAATGCGCCACTGGAAAGTCTTTCCAAGACGGGTGGTGATTTTGCGTCAAGGTTGCGGCCCCAGATGGACCCCCAGCAAGCGGAATTCCTGAAGAAGTTCTATGATGATTCGGCGAAGAAGCTGTTCAAGCCACTGGTTGACTTAAAGGACCGGGAGGACATGGAATTCACAGTTCACCAGGTCTCTCTATTCATCTATCTGATTGAGATCCTTTGCTTTTTCATCCGACAGCACCCGTACCCCAGCAAGTATTTCGTCCTTTCTGAAAAGTTGGCCCAACGTATTTCTCAGCTCCTTGGAAGCCCAGAAAAATACCTGAAACTCAGTAAGTCCTTTTATCTTCACGTGAAGAAGCGTTGCTGACATCCTTGCAGCGGCACTGAAATTCTTCCGCAATATTGTCGGATTGCAAGATGAATTTTACAACCAGACGATGATGCAAGATCATCTCTTCGAGCCGATTCTGAACATCGTCATTGAGACCATGCCGCGGGATAACCTTCTGAACTCGGCATGCCTTGAATTTTTCGACTTCATCAAGCAGCAGAATATCAAAGTTTTAATCAAGCACCTGGTCGATAACTATCGTGACAAGATGAAGGAAATCACTTACGTGAACACCTTCAGTAGTTTTATCTCCAAATACGATCAAACTAACGGATTCACGTCGAGCGCGGAGTCCTTCCAAGACACCGAAGAGGATACGCCGAAGCGTCCAGGGACTGCTAAGGGTGGCAGGTGGGCGAGTGGAATCAAGGATCTCGATCCTACGGAGGAAGAGTATTACAACACATCAGATGATGACGATGAGGCTTCCAGCAAAACGACATCAAGGAATGGCGCATCCCCTGCATCGAAACCACTTGTCGACTACTCTTCAGATGAAGAAAACGAAGATGGGGATAATGATAGTCCACCAAATGGCAACACATCAGAATCGTCGCCTGTGGTAGATACTGAAAATGAAAGAGCTCTAACCCCGACTTTGTCGACATTGCCCAGCCCGCCAGAGAGACTGTCCGAAAAGCGTCGCCGCGAAGAGGATGAGGAAGACGAACTCGGGAAGCTCTCGCATCATAAACGCCGAAACTCAACTGGCGGCCCAAGTCCGAACAACGTGTTGCGAAGGAAAAAGAGCTTCAACAACGGTGCAAATGGCGGTCCTGGTAATAACGGCAAACACAATAAGATCGCCATTAGTCTTTCATCAGCTATCAAGACTAGCGCGGACAACAAGGGTGGAGATGGCGGGAGTTGAAAAGGAAAGAAAAAGAAAAAACTACTTCACATCCAAGGCTTGAAAGAAGAATAAAGCCCCCATACATTGACGAGTCGCACTTGCGAGGGGGTACGGAGTTGCAGGTCCACACTGAATTGTTGATTACGATACACCCCACTGGCTTTCGCTTGCTGGCACGCCAAGCAATTTCGAGCATCTATCTGATGAAGGGATGAAAAACTTGCTTGTGATTGTACTATAGATATGGTTGGGTGGACATGGAGATGAAGGGAGATGATACCGTCTACGTCTGTGTCGGACGTAGAATAAACGATGATATCAAGCAATTGTCTGTGGAACCAGTTGTACATGGTGGTTGGTTTCGATTGTAGGTATGATGTTCTTGTCTCTATTTGTTTCCTAGGGAAGTTTTCTGGGGAACATATTTTCCTGAGTATAGAACTCTCTCATCGTCTTCAGCAGGCCTATCTCTCCCCCTCTGTGTCAATGTCTGCTTCCCATCTCCATCAATGAATAAACCAATCCTCGCTCACTCTTCCACCTCCCCTTATCTCTCGAGCGCGCCTATTCCAGTGCCGACGCCAACAGCTAAGCTAAAAGCACATATATATATCCCATGCGCCAGTCTCCTTCTCCATAGGTAGCGACTCGTTATCCCAGCAGAAACTGTATAGATACGTCACTGCAAGAGTACCTAATATTCAAGATCCGATGATTACAACTGATGTGAGATGTTTGTTGTGAGTATATCTGGTGAGGAGGTTAGTACAGTATACCAGGTAGAGGGATATGGTAAGGTCGGTAGCTTGGGGGGAGAGAGGTTGGGAGGAGCCTCGGATTTCAAGCTTCAAGCATGCATTATTTACTTACACTTCCTAGCCTTGACCTATTTAGCTTGACAAGATAGTAATGTTAAGTACCTTAACTTAGCGAAAAGAATATCTCTAAAAGAAAGTCCTTTGTTACGCGCCCGCGGGTACGTTGTGAACGTGTGGGCATATATACGGGGTTAGGTAGGCAACTCAGCAGAGCAATAATTCCCTGTCGGGAGTTTATCCCATCAGGTACCTTAGCAATCTACCTTATCCAGGAGCTTAGAACTCAGGGGTAATAAGCTACGCCTTAGCTTATAGTTTAAATTTCAATCTACCTATCATGGGAAAAATGAAAATACGATTTGCTCATAGGTACCTACCTTATACATGACAACACGTGATATTATCCATCCATCTGACAGCTTTGATATCAACCGAGTAGTCCTAACATGCGCATCCATACATCCATACATACCTAGCCTTACATCAAGAACCCCACCCATCCAGCCCTTATCGAAAAAGCTTCATCAGTATACTATACTATCCCCGCACATAGCTAGCAATGAAAGCACTCCACACACCCCCAACAATAACAATAAGACACATCATCACAATCCAGCCCCGGAGAAGCAGCTACATCCCTCTCAGTCTACGGCAGGCCTTCCAAGCGCGAAGCAGAAGCAGCATGAGCATGAGCAGCAGCACCGCGGTGCATTTCTCAGCCGGTTATGATCCGGAGCAAGGAGCGCGGGAGCTGGAGCCGCTGTTGAGGCAGAATGGGGGAAAGTGGGAAGTGATCGAGAGTGGGAGGGGTGTGCAGAGAGGGTTTAGGTTTAAGAGTTTTAAGAAGACGTGGGTTTGTAATTCCCTTTCCCTTTTCTTTTTTTGCGTGCAAAGTATACACTTTACACTTCTTTCATGCTGCTGCTCAGGGTGTTGTAGATTTATTTATGTAGGCCGAATGATATATTAATCAAGGAATTGTTCTATAGGAATTCATGAATATAATAGCTGCCGAATGCGCAGTCAAGAAACATCACCCGGAATGGTCGAATGTGAGCCACCTTCCCCTTGCTGATGTTGTAGAGATGAGAGATGACTGACGATGATGGGAAAAGGTGTATAATACGACGTTCATAAGATGGACGACGCATTCGCCACCAGGGTTGTCGGAGAAGGACGTCGCTATGGCGAGGTACTGTGATGAGCAAGCCAGGGCTTGTGGGGAGGTGGAGGGTGACAGTGCGGGCAGTGCGGTGGGTAAGGAGTTGGCGGATCGCGTTGCGAGTGAAGGCGGAGATTGCTGTGTGCCCAAGAAGAAACCTGCTGCGTAGGAAAAGGGGGACAGTTGGAACTTGGCACGAGTGTAAGATCAAAGTGGTTTAAAATTGTATTCAACTGTAATCTGTAATTCTAAGATTACCTTACGGCAACCCATGTATGATGGTCTATGAATGCTGCCTCCTTGACGCCAAAGATTCTCAATCCCTGAACCGGACCTAGTCCCCTTATTATTATGGTCCCACTACTATGCTTGCGCTTAATTTATCATCTCAACGTTACTGCTTCTATCTCATGCCCACTCTCACAGCTAGACACCATGATCCGCCTTCGCGCGCGTGTATGTACAATTATCCAGCTCGCTATCCAGCTTACCCTTTACTGGGCCTTCTTCGCCTTCTTGGCCTCCTTGGCCTCCCGGCGTTCACGTCTTCTCTTGGCAGCCTCTGGTCCAGACTCGGTGTCCATGAGGTAGTCCCACCATCTGAAGCTGCTTGCGTAGTTGCCAATGAAGCGTTCGTGGTGAACGTCGTGGTGTTCGGCACCAGCCCAGAATGGGAGGAAGTGATGCAAGCTCCAGGGGAATTCGTAACCACTGTGAGCGTCGATGGCTTGGAAAAGACGGAAGGCGATCCAGATGTACATAGTCAGGACGTGGAAGTCCTTTGTGAACAGAGCCCAGATGATCGGGACCACGACGGTTCCAGCGCCGAGGACCATAGTTTCAATCGGCGAAGCGTATTCAGCGGCGAGACCGAAGGGGGCGGAGTATTGATGATGGATCTTGTGGACGCTTCTGTAGAGAGGACCCCAGTGCATTGCGCGGTGCATCCAGTAGTGCCATGTGTCCTCCAACACGAAGAAGATTGCGATCTGGTAGGCCATGGTAGTCCAGTGCGGAAAGGGGACACCGGTGTCCATGCCGCAAGCCTTCGCCATGGGGTGGAAGAGCCAGATCTGGGGGAGCTCGACAGTAAAATGGCTGAGGAGGACGAGCTTGGTGCATTTCCATTGTTCTGCGGCGGTTGGGATCTTCTGAGACTGGATCTTGTACTTGTTGAAGTATGGGATGCTATCGATGATGATCCAGGGGAGACTGCGACCGAAGTAGATGATTTCGTGCATGAGGAAGCTCATGATACCGGTGGCGATCACATCGTTTTGCATGTATGCGTACCAGCTCTGCGGCGGTGGTTAGCAGGGTGGACCGTTGCGAATTGAGCGATAAAGGGGTAACATACGGCCCAGAGGCGCTCAAACATGTTCAAGTGGACATTGTACTTGGAGAGCTCGTTGTAGATACCAAAGTAGGTATCCGGCGCAGCGAGCACGGTGGAATTGGCCAAGTCAGAGACAGACATCGTGGGCCAGCGACGGAGGAGAGGGGGGAGAGGTGAAGAGGTGGTAAAGGTGCAACGAGGAAAGGAGGTTTGTTGAGGGAGAACTGGCGAGTGTTTATCGTTTATCCTTAGCGATTATTATTAAGACCATCTCACACCACAATGCCAGGCACGGAAACGCGAAAAGCCGTCCCCGTGCGCGGTTGATTCCGGTCAAATCGAACGTGGGCTGATTGATGACTCAGCAGACCTCGCCAGGCATGAATGTCAGGCAACAAGGCACAAAATCACGAGCAAAATGAAGCCACTGTCAGTCGAGGCCCGAGGGGTTCGAGATGCTATTCAAGAAAAAGGGGGGAGAACCCAAGTCTTTGCCTTTTCCCTTTCCTCTCGCTCAATCCTCCCTCACTTCCTCTTCATTCTTTTCTTCTCCAACTCCTCTTCTTTCTCTCCCGTCAAGCACTCTCCTCCACCTGTGCCTTGGGCTTGCATACGCCCCCCTCCCCCCGTCTACTCATACGGTAAAGCTTGTCAGCTGCGAATTCCTCTCACCAATCGACCCTCAAAACCTACCTCGCAAGGCTAACCATGTCCTCAAGCGCTCTTCAGGTCGCTAACGAGCAGCGACGACGGTTGTATCATGAGGCCGATGTCGTCGTGGTGGGCGCCGGTGTCTTTGGCTGTGCCGTCGCCTTTGCTCTTGCGAAACAGGGCCGGAGCGTGCTCCTCCTCGAACGATGGTTGAAGGAACCAGATCGTATAGTCGGCGAGTTATTACAACCGGGTGGCGTCTCTGCGCTCGAGAAACTCGGTCTCTCCCACTGTCTGGAAGACATTGATTCAATTGTGGTCAAGGGATACGGTGTTGTATACCACGGGACAGAGGTTAGGATTCCGTACCCAGAGAATGCTGGAGGTACGTTGGAAGGCGGCATCTACGAATCAGCAAACGAGAAAAGCTCAAAGCCGGAGGGGAGGAGCTTTCATCATGGCCGATTCATCGGTCAATTGCGCAAGGCTTGCGCCAGCCAACCGAATATCACCCTCGTTGAGACCGAAGCCACAGATACGATTATGAGTACACACAACCCCCAGGTTCTTGGAGTCGAATCAAGAACTGTGAACCCTACAACGGGAGAAAAAGAGCAGGACTATTATTTCGGGAAACTTACAATAATCGCGGATGGTTATGCGTCGAAGTTCCGGAAACAATATATACACAGGGCACCTGTCGTCAAGAGCAAATTCTATGCTTTAGAGCTGATAGATTGTCCAATGCCAATCCCAAACTATGGCATCGTCGTAATAGGCGACGCAGAGCCTGTCCTTCTATATCAGATCGGAACCCACGAGACTCGGGCTCTGATCGATATTCCAGAAGGCCTCCCCACTGCATCCCCCGCTGTGGGAGGGGTTCGCGCCCATATCAGGAACGTCGTCCTCCCTTCTCTGCCCAAGCAAGTCCAGCCTTGCTTCGAAAAGGCTCTGGAGGATGGAAAGATTCCAAGAAGTATGCCAAATAGCTGGCTACCACCTACCACACAAGCACAGAAAGGGATTGTGTTACTCGGCGACGCCATGAACATGCGGCATCCCCTAACCGGTGGCGGAATGACCGTGGCATTCAACGACGTCGTCCTACTCTCCACCCTCTTATCACCCGAACGAATCCCTGACCTGGGAGATACGGCGGCAATCCGAAGAGCCATGAGAGAATTCCACTGGAAACGCAAGGGCCTTTCCTCCATAATCAACATCCTCGCACAAGCCCTATATAGTCTCTTCGCAGCCAACGATGATCAGCTCAAAGCCCTGCAGAAAGGCTGTTTCGCGTACTTCCAAAAGGGAGGCAACTGTATTGACGGCCCAGTCGGCCTCCTCGCCGGCATTACCAGACAGCCGCTCGTGCTCTTCTACCACTTCTTCTCGGTTGCCATACTTTCGATATGGATCGTGATTCAGGAGACCGTGGGTGGACTCTTCGGACTATGGAAGTTACCGATAGCGATCTGGGAGAGCTTTATGATTTTCTACAAGGCATGCGTGGTCATCTTCCCCTATATCTTCAGCGAGGTATGGGCTTAAGAAGACCAAGGATTTAATGATGTAAAATATAGAAGCTTTTGGCGTTGGACGTAATTGTCTCTTTAGGGACCGGGACGGTTGTTGTTTCTTGTTGTACGCTATACCACCAGAGCGAGCATGGGATGGGCGTTGAGCGATGGATTGAAAAAATATACTCTACCTAGTCAGTCAAGTCGACCTGACACTAAAATTTAATTATCTTCTTCAGTATTCCCATCTCCATATGTCCTTGTGAATATCTCCTTCATTTGAACTGCCCCCCCTGCTATTGTTGTCTTCACTATCTACATGAGCAACTCAAAAATCCAGATGAGCAAGATATGTATGGCCTCAAGGAGAAATGTATTTATAGGGGGAAACCCAAAACCCAACTCAACTTATATAATTATTCATTGATTGAATGAAAGAAACATTCAGAACACCTTTTAAACGATTGAACTTTCGGAATCTTCACTACACTAAACAGCTTCGGGCTTTTGATTGGCACTTGGTTGGTTCTGATGGAAGTTTTAGGAGAAGAGACATCGAATAGAGTACATCATCGATGTATAGAGACGGGTCATCATCTTCTTTCTAACTCTTCTGCCTCGCTGGGACTCTCCATCTTCTGATGAAGAGTAATTCTCGCAGCCATTGTACGCAAACGCATCTGTTACAGCCTAGCCCATGTTCTTTAATCTATTAATATCCCATCGCTACCTATGAGCACCATCCACCTAATCCATCTCTGAACCACGCCAGTTCATTCAAGACTTATTTATACATAACCACCATCCTTAGTATCCTCCGCCCACGCGCCCAGCTTCGGGCCTTCAAAATCCGTACTAGCGATCACATCCTCCCACTCATCGCACGTCTTCAGCAGAGCATGACATTGCTCCCTCACAATAGCGAGTGCATCCGGGCCGATGGGCATACGGAACGGGAGAGGGCGGCCCTGCGCAGCGCCCTCCTGCTTCAACACGTCGATCATGCGGTCGACGCCCTTCTTAGGATCGCCGGGCTGGAAGCCGTCCACGCCGGCGGCGGCTTGGACTAGGGCGTTGAACATGGGCTCGTAGTCGGCGAGCTGCGTGATGTGCATGTGCAAGTTCTCTGGGGAGGACACTTTGGTGCGGAAATGCCCGATGTCGAAGACGATGGGGTGGATGTTGAATTGGGAGACTTCGTCGCGGAGTGTGCTGGCGTAGCCTGGTTGGTTGATGTCGGGGTTAGCGATTGAGAGGGGGAGGGGAGGGGAATGGGAGGAGTGTGCTGACCAACGATGGCATGCTTGCTGATGCTGTATGGCCCTAGTGCTGGGTCGCTCTTCCATGAATAGAGCGAGCTCATGAATGCAATCTTGCCAGACCTCCGCCCACGGAAATGGGGAAGAATCGCCCGAGTGACATTCGTGACGCCGAAGAAGTTGGTGTTGAACTGATCAAGCCACTGCTTCTGGCTACAGCGAATGTTAGGACCGACTCTCGAAACATGCGCCGGCAATCGAGACAGGCGTAATATTCCTACTTACTCCATTTCCTCGAGAAAGGCCAATTCCCCGTACGCAGCGTTGTTGATAAGCACGTCGATCTTGCCGTATATTGCAATTGCTTCTTGGATCTTGGAGTTCAGAATCTCTTGGGGAGACGTGACATCTAGGTCCAGGATGGCAGCACCTGTCCCTTTGAGGTGGGCGAGTCGCGATTCAGCATTCCGGCCTGTTGCAATAACTTTATCGCCCCGGGCGAGGATGGAATGAACGAATGCCTCTCCAAAACTATTGCCCGAGAGAGTCAGCGGGATAACCCTGATTGACGAAAGCTCATCTTGGACTGTTACTCGCTGAAGAGACCCAGCGATTGATGTTGCATCGAACTCACGATGGAATGGGAAGACATACCCTGAAGAGCATCCTGTCACCAGCCAGACGAGTTCCGTCATTTTCAGGAGATTGTGGGTAGAGGGGATGTTCAAAGATAGAATTCAGGAGGAAATAAAGTACAAGTTGGAGATTGCAAGAGGTGGGAGAAGTGACCCGTCCATGGTTTATGAATGAGGAGTCCATCAGCTACAACATCGCATGCATATGGCACAGCACCTGGTAAGCTTACGCTGACATGAAGCATACATAACTGCAGCCAATGAGACATCTCTAGAGAGGTTTTGAATCAAATCCAACATGGAGCGAGCCTTGCGCCGTATACTGACGGCGACTTCTGGCTAATATGCGCACGACTAGCACTGATATCTGGCCTGAAGCTCAAGGACGTTCTTATCTGCAAGTACCGAGCGAGGACCGTGTGCAAGGAGGGTCCTGGTCTCCGCGGTGGGGTGCCCAGGGTTGAATCCTGTACAAAGTATTGGGCATTAGCTCTGGGGTAAGCGGAGCACTCTTTCAGGTATTAAGGCGTCGATCTTGGAGCAGGTTCTTATCGAGATGCAGATACTATGATCCGTACCCGGAACTATTCGCCCGACTTTTGATAGGAAACCCCTCATTGCCAGAAGATATCTCAGAATGTATCAACGGCCTAATACATCTCTACAGAGATTTATTTATAGGAAGCCGTGCGGGAAAAATGAATCTCTCCAGCTATAGAATTTCTGTCCAGAAGAAGGTTATAACCCAACCATATTCTACTTTCCACTGAATCCTAGCCCGTCAAATGATATATCAACTTGTGGATGACTAGGCGTATGTGTTAAAATAATAAAAGACATAGGTCAAGACATCGCAGGTGTCACGTATGACCACGAGCAGTCGGGGAAGAACAGGAGGTTGAGGATCTAGGGCGCCCATCGCAGTTATCACACGGAAGTTGGCTTCTGTCTGGTAGAAGCGATGTGAGCCAAAGGCCCCTTTGTACGAGAATACAGGATAAAGATATTGCCTGACTACAACGTGGTGAGACACATCGCTACAACGTAGAAAGCTAGCCAAAAGGGAGAGCAAGAAAAAGAAAAGGGGGAAGAAAGGGAAAGGGAAGGAAAGCAAGAGTCTAGGAATAAGTACACCAGCGATCTGTACACTCGAGCACCTTAAAGCCGCTCAATAAATAGTATGGCCCCGAGTTCATTCCGAAGAATGTCTCTCGAGTAACATGTCTTTACTTTCTGCTCCGTTTGAAGGAGATTCGGTACCCGACTACCCGGCATTGCCCATGGAGAGACAATGGTCACTCACAATTGATTGCCTTCCAATGAATTTCACTCGCAGAAGGCAGGGCATTCAGCACATGCTGTAAAATAGAGACATCAACAAGTACGATGCATCAGTGCTCCTCTCCCGCACAAAAGGATAGATAACATTCTCTCTTGAACAGCGCCTTGGCCATAGAAACGGAATCAGAGACACAAACGCCGCCCAGTTGACTACTGAGTAATGATTAGTCAGGCGCCAATGCTGGAAGTGGGCACTGCGTTGCCACCAAGGACAAGATATGTAAGCAGACCAGACTTGGGCGCGGGCGGAGATGATTAAGAGCCCAATGAAGTCCTTGTATATAGTCATCAACAAGAGAAGACACAAGAGACCTGATCCAATCCCGTGTGTTCCGGATCACGTGGCTGGCGGCCTTACCCATTCTTCAGGTATGCGCTGCTGATTCCTGAGGCACCCACGGATATCCTTTAGCGCGTACGGAATATCCTTGCCTTACCTTAGGCGCCAACGCCGGATCGGTGAAATCATCACGCCCCCGGCCTCTTCGCGATTCTCGACTCGAAGTATCAAATAGGAACAGAACCTTCGTGTGGCATCGATCTCGAAGCCAGTCCTCAGTATATCCTCATGATCCCCAGAACCATGCAGTCAATTGCTCCCGCACCCGTCGCCCACCACAACCAGGTACAGTGCCTACCCCTCTTCCCCTCCCCCCAGCTTGGCTCGTCTCTTCATCCAGCCGGGACAGCCAGTCTGTAAACCACCCCCCGTGGCTCGTACCAAAGGCTGACTCAACTCGCGCAGCAGGATATGAGTGCGGATAATGGTATAGTAGAATCCCTTTCCCATCCGCCGGCCATAAGAGCGCTCCCTGGCACATCCTTCCCCCCCCCACCACACGGCGTTGTTGCTGACCTCGTACCCGGGCGCGCTGCAGACTTAAGAGCGCAACTTGCCGCTGTCATCAGTCCGTCGCATAACGCGCCTCATGGCTATAACGACGTGCAGGCATCGAATAGCGCAAGTCCTCACGACCAGAATATTGACCCGGCGATCGGTGGCCCAGGGCGCATGATGAGTGCTGGCGGCGAGTCGGGCGGCGACGAGATGGGCGATGGCCGGAAGGGCGGGAAACGCGAGCTTTCGCAGTCGAAACGCGCTGCGCAAAACCGGGCTGCACAAGTATGTTATTGCGACTTCATTTTTGGATGGACGATAGATTGAAGCGGAGGAAGTTGAGCTGGCTCGTTAAAAGTTCTTGATGGTCTCTTTGCTTTGTCAATTCTCATGTCATCCGTCCAGAGACTCAAGCTTACGTAACCTCCATCACAGCGTGCCTTTCGCCAGCGCAAGGAAGGATACATCAAGAAGCTCGAGGAGCAGGTGAGGGAGCTGCACGCCCTCGAGGACAACTACAAGGCCATCCAGGCCGAGAACTACTCGTTGCGCGAGTACATCATCCACCTGCAGTCGCGCCTCATCGAGTCCCAGGGCGACTACCCTCAACCCCCTCCGAATATCAACCTCACCCTCCCGCACGTTCGACAGGACCACATGGAGCATCTCCATCGGCATGATGGCGCCCCAGTCGCGCCTATGGCTCCCATGAGCCAGCTCCAGGCGTCAGCCGCCCGTACGTTGGCGGCGGCGGGTCTGAGTTCAGGTAAGCATGGACAGGACGACCACGGCTACGAGCAGCACAAGCGGTTCAAAGAGAGCGAGGAGTCCGCGGCTGCCGACGAGCTCATCCGCTCGCAACTGACGACTTCTCTCTAAATGTGTTCATGGGAACTGGCGTTAAACGGAGGCCAAGGATGCTGTCAAGGATTTCTCGGCGTCACATGTTATGAATCTGATGCGGCTTTCACTTTGGAAGCATGGATAGGCGCTGGTACATGTATTTGCTTTGAAAATGGGCTAGACAAATAGTTTCCTTGCTTGTTCTCAATTGAAATTACAGATTCTCCCTCCCATGACGCCTTGACATACCATCGTCCGTTGATTGTGACCCTATCTGGTGAACGAACCACTTTTATGTATACGCATTACCCAGATTATGCTCCTATTGCCTCATTAGCTGCCTGTCTAGAGCATTCACAGAGTTGCAGGACTGTTTAACGTACCTTGAAATACTCCGCACCCTTCTCGAGATACTCCTCCCTCGTAATGGCCGCCGACTTCCACGAGTCTCCCCCAGCCCACTTCGCTGCGCCCTTCCAAGCATCAAGGATAGGATCCCTAGCCTTCCGGATCACCAACGGAGCATCCGCTGGTAACGAAGCCCTCAGGCCCTCGCGCAGGCGCTCATCGAAGTTCTGAAAGAGCGTATTTCCACCAGTCAAGAAGATGTCCTTGAGGAAGTCTTCCTGATTCGGAGAACCATTCAATCGGTGCGTCAGGATGTCCGCGGCGATCTCGACGATACCAGCTTGGTCGACACCGGCTATTGATGGCTGGAAGATCACTTCTGGAACGCGGATCCGTTCGACGTTGAGATGGATCTGGTGGGCTTCTCGTTGGCTTCCTGGATCGAATGGTCTTGGGCCGCGGAGGAAGGCGTGGATAAGGCTTTTCGTCCAGTCTGTCTGCGCATCGAGAGTGTGTTCATCGGTGAATTCGGGGTCGTATTTCAGCAGATCTGCTTCCAATGTCTTCAAAGTTGCCCCTAAGTCTTCTTCTTCCTCGTCATCGCTGCCTTCCCCTACAGCAATCTGTCGATAGACACCCCAGTCGTCATCATTTGCACCGAAATTATCATCGTCTCCTCCACGCCGACGCTTCTTTGTCGGGGTATCTGAAGCTAGATTGGCAATACTCTTCATTCGGATCTGGCTTGCCAGCGACTTTCGATTTCCAAGATCCGCTTTCAAGCGTTCCCGATCCTTCATCTTTTGTACCAGCTCAGCCCTAGCATTTCTTCTCTCCTGAAGCCAGCCCTCGAGGTCAGTCTCTCTTTTAAGTTCGTCTAGGCGTTTCTCCTCTGCAACTCTTGCTTTCTCTTTTTCCTTCTCCGCCTTTGCACGCGCCCGAGCCTCATGATTCGATTTCATGAGTCTTTGGTGACGTTTCTGCTTTAGGCCCGCCTCATCCAGTTGGTCATCTGGAACCTCAAGCAATGAGAAATCGGGCTCTTCTACCTCCTCTTCAATTTCTGGCCCTCCCACATCTTTCGTTCGTGCCTTACGGATCGACTTGTCGAGCTCCTTAATAGTTTTCTCAAGAGCTGCTTCATCCTTGAAATCTTCCGCATCTAAAATCCTCTTGATCTCCTTTTTGGTCTCATTTGCCAGTCTGCTTTGTAGGTCTCGATAGTAATCAAGTTCCTGCTCTTTGCGCATGAGCTTCTCCAGGCGCATCTTTGCTGCCTGTTCCTGTAAGCGTCTGCCACTCTCCTTCCTTTTTTCGGCTATCCTGGCAAGCTCTTCCTCGCTTTTCTGGACCACTACCTCTTCGGTGAATGGATACTGGATGACATGATCCCGATCCTCAAGGCCCGTCCAATCGAGGTACTTGCTTAGTTCTTGATCGAAATCGCGAGAGACATAGCAATGATCTCTGACCATATATTCTGTTTGTGAGGAATTGAGTTTGCCGGGAAATGTGGGATATTTGAGACGGAGGAGCTTCAGGAGATATTCAGCGCTCTGTGACCCACCCCAATTCAATCGAGTTGCTTGGCTTAGCAGCGCTTTCGAATTGAGGACCGGTATTAAATGGGTTGAGCTGTGCGAGGATGACACCACCAGTCCAGTCTTGCCATTATTGTAGTCGTACGAGAAGAGTGAGTCAATACCGTATGCTAGAGATGGTGCCGAATAGCACTCAAAGATGATCTCGGTCATAGCTACCCCAGTTATGTCAGATATACACTAAACACAACACAATCACTGAGATCTTACATTTTCGTGAGTATGGCAGGTTGGCGACCGCTTCAGTCATGACAATCGGCACGTCCACGCGTCCATCTGCACCATCTATGCCCAGCTTGATAAACACATAGTCCAGTATCGACTCCATAACGTCCCAGTTGCTGACAATCCCACTACCAGCCTCGAAAGCGTGTCGCATGTGGCCCTTGGCATTTGTGTCCGCGTAAACATCGGCTCCAACGAAGGAATATGTTTTGCCTATCTTCCGGTCTCTATACTTAGAGAAAATCGGTATGACATTGAGGCGGGGCGCGTCTTCGAAGGACCAGCCAGCCCTGGTAGCTGATGACCCTGTTCAAGGTATGTTAGCATCGGAATATGTACAGATAGGCTGGTGAAGGGGCAGAATTACCATTGTCAATCACGATGGCAGCGCTCCCAGGCGATCGCGACACTGCCTTTCGATAGCCATCTGGCTGTGGCTTAAGGAAGCCCTCGAAGTGCGCCTCTCTGGGTGTGTATAGATGGGGAGGCGGGATCGCATTCTTTGGGTCTGAAGCTTGCATTATCGCGGTGGGAAGGGAGTTGTTGTAAGAAGGTTAGTTCATCGCGGTTGGCTGGAGATGTTGGATGACAAGGAATGCAATTGATAGAAGAAATGGAGTTACTAATGATATAACTGTCAGCTTCGAGATAGGTTAATTTTCATTTGGCGGACCATTCGTCCTCATGAATTTGGCGAGGCTACGTTTGGTGATGTCTAGCGTCGCGAGGCTGTTAGAGTTCGTTTCATGGGCGAATATTCACTCATTTCACCACAGTTCACAGGACTCCATGATTCTACGGCAAATGATTCATGCGCCCAGATCAGAAGGAAACTTCAATGCCTATAGAGAGGCTATCTGAACAGAAAACCGGCTGTTTACTCACTGCAATGGCTTTATAGTTAGAGAGTATAATAGCTAACTAATAATCGCCCGTGCAACAACTTACTCTAGTACCTCGATGTGTTGTACATAGTCTGCATACTGACTCCTATTACTGATCCAAACCCATAGCCTTCCAGTCTAACTATTTCAGTGCTAAGGCGCAATACTCAAGCAGAACCAGTTAGTTGCTCTGCTGTAACCCAAAGCGTGAAGGTGATCCTTGAGTCCCACTACAGAGAAAGCGAGAAAAGATTTGAACGAAGATGCATCTATAATAATAGACGAGGGAAAGTACATCAGTTGCCTGTACCTAAGCTGCTGATGAAGAAGGTGGAACAGGATGGCCGCAGGAAATAGTCATAAGCTCGATTGAAATAAGCTTACACACAGCAGTAATTGTGATCCTTCACTCTTTGGATCCAGACATAAAAAGTTTCTTCTCTCATTAATCATCTCTAGGTAGTATAAGATGCATTATCATGACGAGGCCTAGTCCCTGTCAGGCCCTCCCAGAACTCCAAACTCTCGAATTCATCCGCTGCTTTCATGGATCCATCAGGACGGATCTTGGAGACCACCAGTTTCTTCAAGGATGTCAGTAACAGTAGTTGTACAATGGCAGAAAGAGGCTAGTACCGGTAAGATGAAACAGGACGCTTGATTGGTAGTTCTTGAACATCTGGGCAACCAACTCGACGTTCATGTTCTGGATGTTGATCTCCTAGAAAGTAGCATCAGCAGCTAGACCAGAACATCAGGTCCATCAAAAAATCTAACTTGAAGACTCTTGTTTAACAGCATGACAGCCTCGTTAAGCTTCTCCTAAGATATCATCAATGGTTGTTTATATTCAAGGCTAGAATGTTCATACCACGTTGGTGATGATTCGTGAAAGCAGCAGATTCTGCTGATGCTCATGAGGACTCTCCTAAAATATCATCAGTACGATATCCTATTAACAAATAAAGGATCACTCACCATGCTGTCAATCCTTGATTTTTGAACGTGAGGACGTGATATTTACGCGTCGAAGACAAATTGAGCGGGGAAAGGCGGTCTCAAGAGGCAGTATGTCACATGGCCCCGAGTCGAACAGCTCTCTGCATGAGACATCAGCTTTTCTTCAGATAGTCCCACGACCTCTCATATACTTCTGACTCTCATTTCTCATCCACAAAGATCAAACCGCCATGCCTCTCCCAAACCCCGATGCCGAAGCTCACCAGGAGCTCATTGATCAGCTCGATACCTACTCCATTCCAAAGCCATTCCGCAACCCGCACTGGAAGCCGAATCAGCGCCGGAACAAGAACATCAAGGCCATCCTTGGTGATGCCGTTCGAAAAGAAGCTTCCTCAGCCGCTACACAAGATAATAGCGGCAGCGCAACACCCTTCCAAGACGAATCCATCATCTCTACCGACGGCGACAACACACCTGCAATTTCTACAGCCAGCAGCTCTGCGTTACAACCCAATCTTGCACAGGCGTCGAGGAATCTGTCAAAGCTAGTGTTGGAAAAGAATATGAGATCAAATGGCTTCTCGTCTGCGCCGTCTGCCACATATACCAATATCGAATCCGCGCCTTCATTGGCACATACCAAGCATTATTGCGATATTACGGGGTTGCCGGCTCCATACACCGACCCCAAGACGAGGTTGAGATATCATGATAAGGAGGTATTTGGGTTGATTAGGACACTAGGCCAAGGGGTTGCAGAGCAGTATCTGGAAACTCGGGGGGCGCATACGGTTTTAAAGTGAGGAAGGGCACAGGAGTTATTGCTGTCTGCTTAAGAGGATTTCTTTGGTCTTGGATTTCGATGGAGCACAGCTATTTAGAGGGTGCTTGAGCTAATTACAATCAGGCGCTCGTGCAGGATACTGAGGAGTGGGACAAAAGCTTGCTTTGCTGGCTTGCTGGGAATGGCGTTTATGGAGCGTTTATGGAGACAGAATATGGGTTGCCACAATGGCAGGCTGAAGATAATAAAGCAATTTAAGATCCAGTATGTCTGATCGACAAAGTCAAGCCCATTCTACCCACCGGCCGTCTTTCAACGACCGGTTCAAGAAGGTGCTCCGGCTTAATCGCGATCATGAGAAGGGTTATTATCTGCCTAAGATGACGGGGTACCGAGAACATATTAAAAATGAGACTCAGTTATCAGAACAAAGTGTTCTGATCGTCGCGGCATTAGAAGTATTCGTAGTGCATCGTGCTGCATGATGCAAATGATGCTTTGTGAAAAAACCATTCAGAAAACCAACCTGAACAAAATCTCAAAGCCCTCTTTGTATAGTAAGTAGAGAAAGAGCCCTTATCAAGGATCCTGAAAGAGCAGAGAAGCATACGTTATTGACATATATCGCTTTGGACGGACCAAAGTCAACTTTTTGGAAAGGATACTCTGTGTGTGGATGAAGAATTCATCAAGCTAGCAGCGAGCCGTTAAATTCCAAACCCCCCAAGGAAAAGGGGAAAAGGCGCTAAGGAATCTCCTACCTTACGCGGGAGCCGTGCGCGTCCCAAATCCCCCATACTCCAACTCTCCTTATCGCCATTTGTCCAGATCACTCCCCAAAAGCACACGACCTTTTGATTGTTACATAACGGACTCTCCTTTCCATTTGCGCACTTTCGCCTTGTTTGCAAATCCCTCCTTTACAAAATGCCTACCATGTGGATGTCAGATTCGCAAAGTAAGTTCGTCCCCGCGTCAAGGTGGGAGGAGTGACAGACTTGCGCCGGGCAGGATTAGGACTGCCACGGTTGGCTTGAGAACTTCTGCTAACATTGGTGGCTTTTGTAGAGCTCGGTTTCATATTCTGCTCTGGTGGTGGGTATGGATCAGTCTTTTGTGCTGCGGCGCACTGCTCGGTGCTGATACTTGCTTGCTAGGTGGATTTTTCCTGGTCGGCGGAGTTCTCATGTTTTGCGATAGAGCTATGTATGTCCCTCTGCATGAACCGCATGTCTACGTGTATCTTTTAGGGGAGGTTAAGCTAATCTCTCCGTCAATAGGCTTGCAATGGGCAATGTACGGCTGTCACCTTTCCCCAATCCTCCCCTTGTGGGAGACTCCCTTCTCAACACGCGCTCACAGCCCCTAGATCCTCTTCTTAATCGGTCTCACAATAATAATCGGACCTCAAAAAACCCTGCTCTTCTTCGCGCGGCGTCAAAAGATCAAAGGCTCAGCAGCCTTCTTTGGCGGTGTCTTGCTCATCCTCATGCGTTGGGCGTTCTTGGGCTTCATGGTCGAGTTATACGGTATAAGCATCTTGTTTGGGGACTTTTTGGGCACCGCCCTCAACTTCGCAAGGAATATACCAGGTATTGGTCCCTACATTGGGCTTGCGGTTGATCGAAGTGGCATTGCGACTAGGGGTGCAGAGCTGCCTGTTTGAAGAACGAGGCGAACCGTGTACAGGTGGCCCTTGTGCGTTAATGGCTATGTGCGAGTACGAAGAAATGTCAGAGAAAGTAATGTGAGGAGTTGGTTGTATAATATGCGGAGTTTCAAAAGCCCACACAGTGGCTGGCGTTTTGGGTTATAGACGGACCGCACGCTTCTCTTCCAAGTCGAGCTGATGCTCCTTGCAGAGCTTTTGGCCATTCGAAGAGACTTCGTCCTCGATGACGATCCTAATTACCTTACCTTCAAGGCGCTATCCACACCTTAAACAGAATCTCGTGACGCATGATTTCATACTCTGTACGTTGGGATTCCTACTTGCCTTGCCCAACTTTGAACTCCCTTGGGTAGCTCAGTGACTTTATCGCCGTCAACGTAGGGATTTTTCCCATACGATGTATTGCGTACTTTGAATCAGTTGCTCAGTCACGAAATTTCGAATCCACATCCGCAGGAGCCCCCTTCTGATCCCGACCCCGCCATTCTCGCTTAGCCAAGGGTTGCTCAAGTCTCTTATTAGGCACGAGCAGTCATGATACCAAACGAACTCTCCCCCACCTACTACTCTCAGAACAATCTTCCGAGGCCAAACCGCAGTTTTCTAGTACCAGTTTCGCATCTCAGATACTGCTAAGATTTGTCTGTCAACCCTCTCGCACACCCGTCAAGATGTCGTGGCAAGGTATGGAAACCATCGTGCTCATTACCCCTCCTCGGCTGCGCTGACGCGAGCATTATAGCATACGTTGATACCAGGTACGTTTTCGACGAGCCGGCATGTTAGGAAACATCAAAGGCATTGGTTGACAATAATACCTAGCCTTGTTGGTACCGGTCACATCGACAAAGCAGCCATCTACAGCGCCAAGGGCGACAGTGTTTGGGCTACCAGCGCGGGCTTCAATGTATGTTCCACTGCGATTTCGTCCATTTGCCCCGAACTCGGATATTTGTCTAAACGTGTGCAACAACATTATGGATATACATAAGAGTTTGGCAGGTGCTGAGGCTGATATGCAAATTAGGTCTCCCCCGCTGAGATGCAGGAGGTTGTGACAGGATTGAGTGGAAAGCCCGAGAAGCTATACTCCGACGGACTGCACATTGCAGGCGAGAGATACGTTCTTACAAAGGCGGAGGATAGAAGTCTTTATGCCAGAAAGGTCGGTCACCTTGCTTACGCCTCTGCAACCGTCTACAGGCTGCCTTTTCTTTGGGACCGTGTCTTCCGGTGGCCGGTGGTCTATGCTGTTGGGGGAGCTTTAGGTAAACTGGGACTAACCGGCTGCACACAATAGGGTAGAGAAGGCGTTGTCATTGTCAAGACTACACAGGCTATTCTCATCGCTCACTACGCCGACGGAATGATTGCTGGAAACGCGGCAACAACGGTCGAGCAATTGGCGGATTACCTGATTAGCACGGGCTATTAAGAGGGGCGTGGCATTCTAACTGGGGTGATGGAAGGAAAGAATATGAGGATGTAGAGAGATGTGCATACCGGGATGGGAGGACTTCTTTTGCTACTCGTAGGGCAGATACTAGAATAGTGTCTTATGATCATGGACCCTGGTTTATTTCAAATATGTGGATAGCCCTGTACGAAGGCATAGCGGAGGAGAAGATGGGAGCTTGCATAGGTAAATGAATAGACGAACTTTCATACAACGTCTTGCGTTTATCGTGCTTTGCTGTAGGTAGGTATACAGCATAGGAGATCGACTTGGACATATCAAGAACGCCGAAAGCTCGTACGTGGCGGATCGTCGATAGGCTTTCCTAATTTACAACAAGCCCTCAATGTAAAGACCAAATTCCAACAAAGAAGGCAAAGAAACCTCAAAATAGAATGGTATTGGTACGCTTTGCGTACTCTCTGGAGTTCAGATGACCAGGAGTTTGAAGAAGATGAAAGTTTTTTGAGCCGTCGAGGGGAAAGCAAGGGTGTAGCCTTGTTGCTGTCCTTTACGCAGCATCTCGAGATCTGCTCGTCCTTACATCACTCGTTTTGTTCGAGAATTGTTCCAGACCGTAGTTGAAGGCTTGAGTCTTGGGGGCTTGAGATAGGCGATATTCGATAGACGACCGTACGGGAGACAAGGATATAGGTAGGATATATGTCTCGATTCAGTATTTACTCCGTGCTGTCTCTTGTCGGAGGGTATTAATCTGAAACTCGCTCCCAGCGAGTCGTAGACGCACTCGTGCCCAACGCAGAAATCATCTGAGACTCCGGGAACCGACTGAGGACTCGTGATTGACTCGGTTTGCACTGCACAGAAGCTGATGCGGGTCTTTCGAGAGCATGGAGGACGTGCAACAGATCGTTGTCATCGTGTCATGTTCCATCTCTTGTTGATGGTTCGTCACCTGACGAGGAGAATCTCACCAGTCAGGCTGCACAGACGACTTCACCAACAACCCTCTTCAAACAGCATCCTCCCCTTCATATTCTCCCTCACCTATTAATACTCACAACCAAAACAATCTTACGGTTAAAATGTGCTACCCCATTATTGACGCCCTCGCTGCTGTTGTAATTTGCGACAATATCTTCAAGCCAGACGTCGTCACGTCGATGACCCTTGTACTTGGGTACTGGGTAAGATTAATGCAGAACCCCCTGGTCCCATCACAACAATACCTCTTCTACTATGATTCTCTCCCGTTGTAGGAGTCCAATGGCAGATAGTATATCTCCACAAAATTGCGACACTTCCCCTTGTCGTAGATCAGTCCTTGGTCCCTGAAATTACCCGTCATCTCATCAACCTCAAATAATATCCATCCGCCGCTGTATAGTGCAGGGCTGAGGACAACGCAGTTAAGTCATTCCTCCCTCTGGGGATCTTGTTCTTATTCTTGTTCGCTTCTCCAGTTTACCTTACAGCACTCTCCTTTTCAATTCTGAACTTTTAAGGGTTTCCTGGTGATTCCTGTACACTCCTTTATTTACACCAATACTTGTAACAGGCATCAATAGCTTGGGCTGGAAGTTTCACCCGTTTCTTTTCTATCGTACACAGGAAGAGTCTGGCCCCCTTCATTATTTCTTCACATAAGATATTCCCTAGCGGAACATGGCAACGATGATGGCTCCAACGAGGTCGGTAAAGACTCAGTGGGCATCGGGTGTGGGAGGTCGAGACACAGAGTTCCCTGCTGCGCCAATTCATGTATCAGGTCATGCACAGGCCAAGAACATCAACATGAACGATGCACGAATGTTCGATTTTGGTGTACTGGACCGGGAGACACCACAGATACCTAGCCCCTCCGGCGGATCCACGGCAAAGTTCTCAATGCGAAAATCTACCGAAAAGAGGGGAATCATGGGCGACCTGCACGTCAATCCACTGCCCGCCCATGGTGAAGTAATGACTCTCCACGACTTTTCCCTCCCAGAAGCATTGCCTACTCCGGAAAATACACCACACTCTTCCCCACAGTTATCTCAAAGGTTGTCCCCGCAGCTGCCGGACTCACCAGAATCAATGGATCCGGGATCAGTAATCATGAATGTAGTGCAAGAAGAGATTGGCATGGCTCTGGGGAGTCCAACCCATGAGCCAACGGCATGGCGATCACAGACTCCCGCCGAATCAATAACGAGAACTTTGTCACCACCCCCGACTCTATCGAGGCAGAAGTCCAGAAGATGGAAGCTCTTAGGGGGCTTCTTTGGCGGAGGCAAGAAAAATAATGTGGCATCAGCAGAACCTTTCTATCAGTTGCAACCCCAGGCCACCTTTCAGACAACAGTTGAAGGGAATTATATCAACTTCAGAGAACCATCTACCTCGACTGAGAAGAAACCGCCGAGGACTCGAGGCCGCGGCAAAACAACCTCCGAAAGGAAGAACGAGACAAGCAAGCCAGACATGAAAAGAGCTAATACTGTGCCTTCGAACTTTGATTTTCAGGATTGGGAGAGAAGACAGATGGACTCTTCCAAGGTTTCACGCGAAGGGGGATTAATGCTTGATGTTGAGATTCCGTCGACACAACTGGAGCGGTATAGCATCATGTTCGGAAGTGTACTTCAAAAAGCTGGAGATACATCATCCTCATTACTGGCGAGGCGACAAGCGACTCTTGACAGGCTCAGAACTGTCAACAAAGCCCTTGCTTCTTCTCAGGTTGGCCTTCATATATACTGGCCTCCTTCTATTGACTTTCTAATGGTTAATGTAGGAACTATTACTAGACGAACACTCGAGGGAAGCGGGATTCCAAAGAGCCTCTTCACCTCAGCCGATGAAGAGCCCGACGTTCTCCCTTATTCCAAGCACACCGTCGCAACCGCAAGCTAGGGACGCCCCACCGTTCCCTTCTACAAGACAGCATCCCTCTCTTCATCGTTCGAACACCTCCCCAGCGGGACTTTCACCATATTACCCATCTTTCGCTTCCGGATCAACTAAAGAGACGTATGCTACCCTTTTGGAACCTGGTCCGCATATCCCTGTAAACCCCAATCTAGAAGAACATATATCGAGTCAAAGGAGACAAAAGTTAAAAAATTCTATAAAGCCACAACAAATAGAGGATAATTGGTCACCTGAGCGATTCCCCCTGACTCGCGAGTCACTTGTTAACGATGTGGAAGGATGTGAGGTAGAAGACAGCTACGACCTAACACCATCTCCAATGAAGGTCGGACATGGAGAACAAACATGGCAGATGACACCGCCATCTAATCGTTCAGTTGCTCCTGTGTCGGTTTCAGGATCTTCCACATCTCGATCAGTCAGCCATTCCATTACCACCTCTGCCTCGAGCGTCTCAACAGTATCATCGCCTCGTAGCGCATCCTCAAACCCCAAAGAGACACAAATACAAGCTTCACCACCGACCACCCGTTCTCGCAGCGCTACTACCTCATCAACAATCCGCCCTCGCCCATCAGAGAATTTTCATGTATCTTCCTGCTCACCTTCCACGTCTATTCCGAGATCCGGGAGAAGTGACGCCGGCGACAAAGAATATGACGAGCGTGAGGAAAATCTTAAGATGGCGGCCGATATTTCTATTGCAAGACAAATTTCTGTCTCCCGTCAGCAGAGGCAACTCCTAATCCCCATCACAAGGTCAGGCTCCACAAGAGTCAACTACAATTCTCCAAGTTCGGTAGATATCGGACAAGTGGCTAGTCCTCTGTGTATCGTAGCTGCGGGAATAGATTCCCCGGTTGCCGGAAAATCTGGGAGTCCATTGGCGCAGAAGAACGAGACGAAGGGAGTTTTGAATGAAAGGTTAATGGCGGCGGCCGCGAAACCAAGTACGCCCCAACTGGTAGTCGTCGAGGGAGATGCAAGCGAGCAGACTTGGGGTGGTAATACTGCTGCAGCTAGGCCTTCATTCTCCGAGAGGGGTTCAGGAGAGATTAAAGTAGGCTTGGTTGTCGGAAGCTCACAGATGATAGAGCATCGTCATAAGAAGAGTGAGTGGGCTATCGTTGAGCAAATTAGCACAGAGTCAGATTAGTTAACTCCTGTTGTACATGGAACTACGCAAACGGCTGGTTACCGCTGGAATCTAGACGCTATTTTGATGGGTTTTGGTAGCATGGCGCTGGATTCGGGGGTTTACAGCGGGTCTTGATTTCTGAATATACACGTATAGTCTCCATGTTTTGAAGATATAGACGATTTATCAAGCTCCACATCTTGAATCTGTCTTTCTCAAATTGATATAGCAGAGGTTGTTAATGGTATATCCGTATCTTGTCAACAATTCGGGCTTCCCCAACACTCGTCAAAGTTTATCCCGCGCTAGTGCCCCCCTATTCCTTACTCGCTTATCAATCGACCTCCGACCAGTCAACACCTCCGCAATTTCGATGAAGATACGACATTCAGATCAAGTGTCCATTGATGAAACTCCCAGATTTCAAGTACTACATATGGTTGCGATCACTTTTTTTCTTTCTCATTGGTGATGTCGTGGGAACTAGTTGATTTCTCAGTTCTGTCAAGCTCCCCGTTCTTTTATCTCTTGAAGATGTAAAATCTACAGCAGTAGAGCGCGGTATATTAATATCCTTGCTCTTTTATGTTGTCTGAGTAAAAAGCGCAGCTCCACTTTCTAACTTGTTGCTCGTCTACTTGAAAAGTTTTCTTGCTCTTATTCTTCGATTCTATGACATATGTGAGATCTACGGGAAGGGTATCACACAATGCGACATCTTCTCTCTGTTTGCCGCATTCTTTGTATCCTTGACCTTTTTTGGCATCCATTCATTGATCTGTGCACAATATTAGTATGACATTACTACAACTACTGTCGAATATCCCTCGTTCAAGACGGTAAATCTACTATAAACATCAACGATTCAAATGAATATAGCTACACTGATTTGGGAGTAAAAGGTAATACGACAGCCATTAGCAGATATGTCAAATTAGATTGCGGACTCTATGTACCAATCGACTCCAAATACAAACTAGTCTACGTCACCACAGAGAGCAAGTACCATCATGCTACGATTCTCCAATAACGGTATAACATAAAGTTGCCAATATAGAATTGTTAAACTTTCAAAGATTTGAGTAGGTAGCTAAGATAGCTCTGTTGCCAAATTCTGGGAGTGGTGGTAGAAAGTCAAAACAAGTCAACACCAGCGGATATGCTTGACGATGTCGATAAGATGGCTCGGTTCTAAGATTGTTGAAGAGGAACTAAAGTCCCAGGGACAGGAGATATAATAACTAGAGTTTAACAGAACCTAAAGTTATGTTCCTAATAGCAAGTCTCCTGTGTTGTGCCTGCGCCAGGGGGTATGAGTGCCCAATGCCCTATCCCTATTCAAGAACTTCAAAAGTTCTCAGCCAAAGCAAGGGGAAAGGCAAATAGAACCTCATTATTCTCATACATGTAACTGTATAGTAGATATGACTGTCTAATTGACGCGTGCTACCATTCAAATCAACCCTCACATAGAAAAAATCCTCGCTAAGCCCCCTACGCGCCTCCTCGCGCGTACCTCTTCATATATTTAATTAAGAACAAACATATAACAAACACCCACCAAGCGGTCCAAGTCCACTTAGTGCAACCCCCAGAGCCAAAACTGGGTGACCAAAGATATGGCGATGACAGTAGCGAGCTGTCTTGAAGTAGCGGAGGATTAACCTAGCTCGGCCGAGGACGACAACCCCGAATGGGAATTACTGTACAGCGCGGCTTCAAAAATCCTTCGCATAGGATTTTCTATAGGGGTCCCCCTCGAGGGTGACTCCTTGAGTTTTTGCTATTTTGTTCTAGGTACTGGTATTTATCTTTGGTGTTTTGCTTTGTTGACACTTTTTTTCGTGATCGAGGGGAGCTTTGGACGAAGTAGACGAGTGAATGCTGAAGAGTACCTTTTTAGATCTAACTACCGTTGAGCTAATCCGACATGTAAGGTAGGTTATTCACTCTTTCGAGAAGTGCTATGGTGGTAGAGTTTGGATGAGGCACGGCAAAGGGAGATCGAGCATTGCTCGAAACAGTTCCCAGCGGTTGGTGAAGAGGTAACCTATTCCGAGAGATAGTATTATCAGACTCTTGCCCTTTTCTTTTTCTCTCCCCTCCACTTGATCCTTTGTTACATTGTTTTGCTTCTTTTTAGGACTCGAGTTGATGAGCGCTGGGTGCAGCCCCTTTTTGAAGCGAAAATATTCGATGGTACGGGGCGGGTGTAGTTTTCTCGCGGGGCAACTCAGTTATATTTGTATCCTATATATACTACCAGTGGATTATGTAGAGGACCATAAGGATACCCTCGAATTGGAGCCATCTCCTTTGAAGAAAGATATAGAGATTTGAAAGCAAGTAGCGAGAGACGAAAAGTTAAGTCGTTGATTAAAGGTGCTGTGTGGATATATTCGGCGGCGGTTAGAGATACATCTCTGGCCATCCTTTTATATATGTTCCAACTTCCAACTATGTGGAATGAGATAATGATTGAGTATCGGTAGCTTCCCGAAATTCCAAACCGGATGCGGTCTTGGATTTGCGGCATAAGAGGGAGTCTTGAGGAAGTACAACCCTTACAACTCAGACTTTGAAGTTCAGAGGTAGGGATATCTAAGGAAAATAGACAGACCCTGTAAGTCCGGACTCTGATACGCGTAGATAAGTCGAGCCTTCGAGGACGCCAATTCCAGGGAGTTGAAGTACACATGTGCGCACTGCGCCCTTTGATTCATCATGTTGAAGTTGCTAGAATGAAAACTCATCTCAACTGCAAACAATTTAGTAGCCTACTCATCAATATGTAAAGATGACCGTATCGTCTACAAGACATTTGTATACAAGGCCAACAATAAAGGGGGATAGCAGTGCTGAAAGGGGTAGGTCGGGGATGGATTAACTTCTATTCCGGCTCGCTAAGTTCACGCCTCTCGACAATGAATCCGACAACCCCTGCTATCACTGGATTACTAAGTCGAGATTTCAACATCAACCTTGACTCAGCATCAACATCTGCTTTGCCAGAAGAAAGGCCAGTAGAACGATTCTTACGCCAGAATCTGCGTACCGGCAATATTGGTATTCTTTCTTCCTGGATTCTATTTGAGAGTGCTAGCAGTCATGTCTCCCTCTCTGGATTCTGCCGAGGCGCAATGGCAAACGCAGCTGGCAGCCATGAGAGCGGCTTTAGTAGAGCTAAAATTGCCTCCGAAAGCTACAAACGGAGAGACAACCTCTTATGTATCAGATATCGATTTTGACGAAGATGATGACTTCACGTCGGGAAATAGTGGCGACGATGTGTGGGATTTCATCAGTGACAGCGAAGACGATCTGTACAGCAGTGATGCAGACGAGCACTTGATCCCACAGACGGATGCTGGAGGCTATGGCCCGCAATGGCTGAAAAGCAAATGCCTAGGCTTTGCCTCAAGGAAACAGGGGCTTTCTGGAGAGGACCTGCAAGAGCAAATCATGGCACTTCTCGCATCGGACAGCGTGGAAGAGGAACTTCAGTCGACCCTGACTGATATCATTGGTTATGATGATTTAGATTTTGTCATTGAGCTCATTTCTCATCGAAAGGAAATCGCCGCGCCTTCTCCATTTTCGACCAACCAGGGCGAAGGAATCATCGGAAGGCTTCAGACAAAGCGCCAACGTGAAGAAGCTTTGAGACAGCGTGATTATGAGCATAAACATGCTACACTTGGCCCCAGTTTGGATCGAGACGGTCCCAAGTATCCTCACGTGTACAAAGCTTATTCTGCTGGCAATACTCTTGATTCCCGGGGACGAAAATATGGTCTTCCTGTAGGAAGCGAGAGAACGGAACATGAGGTATGTATTCGCAATGCCATGTGCTCTATGTTCCACTTTACTCGTCCAATCTAACAAAAAGCAGAAATACGAAGAGTACTCAATTCCCGCCGGCAAAGTTGGGACTCTCGGACAAGGGCGCAAGCTAGTCCAAATCTCTGAAATGGATAGCCTTTGCCAAAGAACTTTCAAAGGTTACAAAACGCTGAACCGTATGCAAAGCTTGGTGTACCCTGTGGCCTACAAGACCAGCGAGAACATGCTAATTTGTGCTCCTACCGGTGCTGTAAGTCGATCGGCCGTCCCAGCTTGATAATTCAAGAGTCTGATATTTTACAGGGTAAAACCGATGCCGCAATGCTCACAATTCTACATGCGATCGGTCAGAACATTTCACCCAACCCAGCAGAACAACCCGAAGCAACTGATTTCGTTGTGAACCTCGAAGACTTCAAGATCGTCTATGTAGCTCCTATGAAGGCACTTGCCGCTGAAATTACAGAGAAATTGGGTCGCCGACTCGCTTGGCTTGGTATCCAAGCACGAGAATTCACTGGGGATATGCATCTCACCAAGAAGGAAATCCTCCAGACTCAGATTATTGTCACCACGCCTGAGAAATGGGATGTTGTAACCCGAAAGGGTACGGGCGATACTGAGCTGGTTCAGAAAGTCCGTCTTTTAATCATTGATGAGGTCCATATGTTACACGATGATAGAGGATCTGTGCTTGAATCCCTTGTGGCCCGCACAGAACGCCAGGTCGAGAGCACTCAATCGCTCATTCGAATTGTTGGGTTATCTGCTACCCTCCCTAATTATGTCGACGTCGCCGATTTCCTTAAGGTAAACCGCTATGCGGGCTTATTTTATTTCGATGCCAGTTTCAGACCTGTTCCTCTGGAGCAGCATTTTATCGGTGTCAAGGGCAAACCTGGAACTAAGACCTCCCGAGACAATCTAGATAATGTTGCATTCGAAAAGGTTCGGGATATGCTACAACAGGACCATCAGGTCATGGTCTTTGTGCATTCAAGGAAGGATACATTTAACACTGCGAAAATGCTTTATGAGAAGGCGGTCGATGATATATGCGTGGATCTTTTCGATCCTTCGGGACATCCACAGTACGAAGCCGCTGTAAAAGAGATGAAAAGCTCCAGAGGTATGTATAAATTGAACGGACCAGTTCGCAGACGATCCTCTCACTCGTCAATCAAATTAAGCAATCACTAATCAAGAGATCTATTAGGTCGTGAGCTCAGGGAATTGCTGCCAAAAGGCATTGGAATCCATCATGCTGGCATGGCTAGAGCTGATCGGAATCTCACGGAGAAGTTATTTGCTAGCGGAGTCTTGAAGGTTCTCTGCTGTACCGCTACCTTGGCATGGGGTGTCAATTTGCCGGCCGCTGCAGTCATCATTAAAGGGACCCAGGTAAATTAAGAGTCATTATAGAATACTGAAATCCTCTAATTTTGACTCCTAGGTATACAGTGCACAAGACGGTAAATTCATTGACCTCGGGATACTGGATGTCCTTCAGATATTCGGTCGAGCCGGTAGACCCCAATTTCAAGACACAGGTATCGGCATGATCTGCACGACCCAGGATAAGCTTGCCCACTATCTTCAGGCAGTTACTTCGCAAGTGCCAATTGAATCTCGCTTTTCGAAGCACCTGGTAGACAATTTGAATGCTGAAATCGGACTGGGAACTGTCACCTCCATACCCGAGGCAGTTCAATGGCTTGGATACTCATACCTCTACGTTCGTATGCTACGGAACCCTTTAACCTACGGTATCGACTGGGCGGAGATTCGGGATGATCCAACTCTAGTTCAAAGACGGCGGCAGCTTGCTATACAGGCTGCTAGAACTCTCCAGCAAAGCCAAATGATCATCTTTAACGAGACTACGGAAGAACTTCGAAGTAAGGACGTTGGCCGGATTGCGAGTCAGTATTACATTCTTCATACCAGCATCCAAATCTTCAACACTATGATGCGTCCGCAATCATCGGAGGCCGACGTCTTGCAAATGATCGCTATGAGTGGGGAATTCGACAACATCCAGTCAAGGGATAATGAGTCTAATGAGCTCTCAAGATTGAGGGAAGAAGCAACTTTTTGTGATATCTCAGATAAAGGCAATGATTCGCCTCAAGCAAAGACAAACATCCTTTTGCAATCCTATATTTCTAGGGCAAATCTAGAGGATTTTGCATTGACGAACGACTCGAACTACATTGCGCAGCAATCTGCTAGGATATGCAGGGCCCTCTTTATGATTGCTTTGAATCGCCGATGGGGCCACCAATGTTTGGTGCTGAGTTCCTTATGCAAATCCATTGAGAAGAGGATCTGGCCTTTCCAACATCCTCTGCATCAGTTTGAGCTGCCCAGTCCAGTTTTGAAGCAGTTAGATTCCAAAGAGGGTGTTTCTATTGAAACCCTAAGAGACATGGACGCGGCCGAGATTGGATCATTGGTTCATAACTTTTCAGCCGGAAAGACGATATCCAAGATTCTTGACATTTTCCCAACAATCAGCATTGATTCCGAAATCGCCCCGCTCAACAGGGACGTTTTACGGATCCATCTGTATTTGAAACCCGATTTCCGTTGGAATGATCGCCACCATGGGACATCTGAGAGTTACTGGATATGGGTGGAAAATTCAGAAACATCCGAGATTTATCATCACGAACTCTTCATCTTGAATCGTAAGAAGCTGTACGATGATCATGAACTCAATTTCACGATACCTTTATCAGACCCGTTACCACCTCAGATTTATGTGAGGGCCGTATCGGATAGATGGCTAGGAGCCGAGACCGTGCATGCCATCTCTTTCCAACACTTAATTAGGCCAGACACGGAGAGCGTGTACACTGATCTTCTAAATCTTCAGCCACTGCCTATCAGTGCTTTGAAGAATCCGGCGTTGGAGGAGATATATGGCCAGAGATTTCAATTCTTCAACCCCATGCAGACACAGATTTTCCACTGCCTCTATCACACCTCCGCAAATGTCTTACTAGGTTCTCCTACTGGCTCTGGCAAGACCATCGCGTCGGAGCTGGCTATGTGGTGGGCCTTCCGCGAGAAGCCTGGATCCAAGGTCGTCTACATTGCACCAATGAAGGCACTTGTCCGCGAGCGGGTCAAGGATTGGGGTACCAGGCTCACTCGTCAGCTAGGTCTTAAACTCGTAGAGTTGACCGGTGACAATACACCTGACACGGGGACCATCAGAGACGCAGACATCATCATTACGACTCCTGAAAAATGGGATGGTATCTCTCGTTCATGGCAAACCAGAGGTTACGTGAGGAAAGTAAGCCTGGTTATCATTGACGAAATTCATCTTCTTGGTGGAGATCGAGGCCCGATTCTGGAAATTATCGTCTCTCGTATGAACTACATCGCTTCACAATCCAAGAACTCGGTTCGACTTATGGGCATGTCGACCGCGTGCGCCAATGCTATGGATTTGGCCAATTGGTTGGGAGTCAAGGAAGGATTGTTCAATTTCCGCCATAGCGTTCGCCCTGTTCCTCTTGAGATCTTCATTGATGGATTTCCCGAGGTTCGTGGTTTCTGCCCCCTAATGCAGTCGATGAATCGCCCAACATTCCTGGCGATCAAGACACATAGCCCTGACAAGCCTGTGATCGTCTTCGTTGCTTCTCGAAGGCAGACACGTTTGACAGCTAAAGACCTGATCAATTTCTGCGGTATGGAAGATAATCCTCGACGATTTGTCAGGATGTCCGAGGAAGATCTGCAACTTAATCTCGCTCGGGTCAAGGACGATGCCTTGAAGGAGGCACTTAGTTTTGGCATAGGTCTTCACCATGCTGGTCTCATTGAATCCGATCGTTCACTGGCAGAGGAGCTATTTGCCAACAACAAGATCCAGATCTTGGTCGCCACGAGTACTCTGGCATGGGGTGTCAATCTTCCTGCCCATCTTGTTGTGGTCAAGGGAACACAGTTTTTCGATGCCAAGATTGAAGGATATAAAGACATGGATCTTACAGATGTTCTGCAGATGCTCGGTCGAGCTGGTCGTCCTCAATTCGACACATCTGGAATCGCTCGTATTTTTACCCAGGATTCAAAGAAGGCATTCTACAAGCACTTTCTTCACACTGGCTTCCCGGTTGAGTCGACTCTCCATAAGGTTCTTGATAACCATCTGGGTGCCGAAGTATCAGCTGAAACCATTACTACTAAGCAAGATGCACTTGACTATTTGACCTGGACGTTCTTCTTCCGACGCCTGCACAAGAATCCTTCTTATTATGGTCTCGAAATATCCGCAGAAGAACACAACACTATAGCAGCCCAGCAAATGGCAAACGACTATATGATATCCATGGTAGATACGTCTCTGGGCGAGTTGGAGAAGTCGAAATGTCTTGTGCTCTATCCGAACGGCGATGTTGAATCGACCCCGCTAGGAAAGATCATGAGCTACTACTACCTTTCTCACAAAACAATCCGACACCTTGTCGAGAACGCCAAACGTAATGCGACATTTTCCGACGTTCTCTCATGGATGTCTAGTGCGACAGAATACGACGAGCTTCCTGTCCGGCATAATGAAGAACTCATCAACGCAGAGCTCTCCAAGAACCTACCACTTCCAGCCACCGCTTTCGATAATCTACCAATGTGGGATCCGCATGTGAAAGCTTTTCTTTTACTGCAAGCCCATATGTCTCGTATCGATTTGCCTATCACGGATTATGTAGGTGATCAGACTAGTGTTCTTGATCAAGCCATACGTATTATCCAAGCAAGTATCGATGTCCTGACGGAGCTTGGGTACCTTTCTAGCTGTTTGCAAATGATCACACTCCTGCAGTGCATCAAATCTGCGAGATGGCCAGCTGATCACCCATTATCTATTCTACCTGGTGTGCCGATTGATTTGCCCTCAAACAAAGATCTTCCTGGTCGACCTCAAGATCTATCAGCACAATCAGAAAAAGACTACAAACGCACAGTCTCAACTCTCCGCATACCATCATCTCAACTACCCCAGTTCCACAAAGCAGCGAACATGATCCCAAATCTGAAAATCGACCTTCAGAATATCAACGCGTTATCCCTAACTGTTGTCTTGAATCGTCAAAACTCCTTGACCGATAAGGATGGCAAGATGTATGCCCCTCGCTTCCCTAAACCACAAACCGAGGGCTGGTTTGTGATTCTGTGCAATGCAAACAAGGACGAGATTATTGCGATCAAGAGAGTTGGTTGGAGTGCTGGTGGCAAAGACAAGAAAAACAGCAACACAAACATGATAGGGAAAAGACCGAATGCCAGGGCAGTGATTAAGTTACCCGAGGAAGAAACTGGTGGTTTCCTAGACGGAAGGAAGGTTGACGTTTTGGTCGTGAGTGATGGGTATCTTGGCATGATGTACAAGATTGAGGGCGTTGAGATTCCGGACGTGCCGAAGGTAGTAGATGATGGGAAGAAGGAAAAGGGGAAGACGAGCGTAGGATCGGATGGAGTTGATGCCTCCGGAGCATAGTGTCGAAACCTTCTATGCCATGAAGGGAGGCGTTATTGTGCGAACATATTTTCCCAACCGAGCATCTCTGGTGGTCGTTCCCATAAGTTTAGGTGCATGCGAAAGAGAGCCCCGGAAAGTATATCTCTGTCATGATTTCTTAAGCTCTTCCTCTTATCGCACCCCATTTGTGGACTGTTTGATATATCCGCGAAGTTGCGAACGTGCCAATGAGTTGGGTCCTGATGTGATTAATCTTTAACCTACAATCTTTTAGTAGCCCCTCCTAAACATGATTCAGAACGGCTACGCATCCTATTACATGAGCTTGAAGGAAATAGGAGTGATGCGAGGGGTCCGAATGGATGGGATACAGGAGCAATGAGGAACACATTGTTAGGCGACCATCAAAAGCCAAAGTGGTGTTGAGTTGGACGAGTAAGGAGTTTGATGTTGCTAATGAATATTGGCAGAGGATATCTTATCGGACAGAGTCGAGCACAGTTCGGAGTTCGGGATGTAGGGCACATGTTTTAGATACCGGCTACAGGACTTCATCCATCTCGTTTCCACTCTTTAGTTCATGGATGGTGACCAGAGAAATGTACTCCGAATAGCGGAAGCAGTCGGTATCTCTCTTTGATCTACCCCGGGTATTGCCCATAGGTATGTATACTAGAAGTAGTAATGACACGATAGTATTATAGAGAAACTCGTCATCAGACACGCAACATGCAGCCAGCAAAGATTTCTTTGGCTTTGGGCTTGGTTGACATGAGCCACGGCTCCCATAGTCAATAGCAACTGGCAGTTTGGCAATTGAACAGTCTGACTCAAAGGCAGAAAATTTGTGTATATGGTGACAAACAGAGTTCTTCACTTGCGTGATCGATATTCCATCATATCACTCTGCTCTGATAGTTCTGGCCCATCAGAGCCGAAAAAGGACGTAAAAAGGCGGCGAAATCTTTTCAAGGGTTTAACTCGTTTTCCGCCTTTTCTAAGGCCCGCCGCCGCTACTTCCAGCCAATCATATTCCACGGAAATCCAGACCTAAGCTCGTAGTTCATTTTTCACCGCCGAACAGCAAAAAAGCAAACGCCGCATCCATCTCCCTTTCATCCATCCAACAACTCCACCACTTCTTTTACTTCCAAACCTCGAACACTGCATTCGAACAAACCTTCCACCTCCCTTCTCATCCCTCCAAGCAGGAAAGAATAGGAACAGTCGCGCGTATGACTGCACGCCCGTCAGTCTTCACATCCCAGGTATGTAGCAGCAACAGCAACAGCAGCAGCAATTGCTTCTCTCCTTGACTCATCCGCCCCTCTTATCTTTTGCCCTCGACGATCTCCGGCCGCTCAACGTCACAATGAGGGCTTGCCCTTTTCCCATTGCATGCTTCTCAGCTCAATGAGGCCTATTGCTAACATACTATAGGATTATATCTCAGGTCCGCAGCTCCATCCCTCGCTCGAAACCGCACACCGCCAAAGCTAACCCTACCGGCTGGCAGATCATATCTGGAAAGCTTCAGTAAACTGAAACTTCCAAATAATCCATAACCTACCTCTATCTCCCAAACTCGAATACCACACAGTATGTTTGCACGCCTCGTAAAGCCCGCGGCTTTCAAGCCGGCAGGTCTTGGCATCAAGAACCGGATCGCCCAACAAGCTCGGTTCCTGGCCACGGTTGAGGGAAGTGCTGGACGTGTTTTGCCCGAGACTCGTCCTAAAGCTACTCCTATCTCTCACGACCGAGCCACATTCACAATTCGAGTATGTTAATTGCAACTGCAGGGGGAGGAAAAATTTTGGCTGACCTTGGACAGAATGGCCCGATTTTCCACGGCAAATCCTTTGGTGCCAAAACAAACATCTCCGGTGAAGCCGTCTTCACCACCTCCCTCGTTGGATACCCCGAATCTATGACGGATCCCTCATACCGTGGGCAAATCCTCGTCTTCACCCAGCCCCTCATTGGAAACTATGGCGTGCCATCATCAGCTCGAGACGAGCACGGTCTCCTTAAATATTTCGAGTCACCAAACATTCAGTGTGTTGGTGTGGTCGTTGCAGATTATGCTGAGAAGTATAGTCACTGGACTGCCGTGGAGAGCTTGAGTGACTGGTGTGCTCGTGAGGGAGTTCCTGCTATCTCCGGGGTCGATACTCGTGCCATTGTCACATATCTCCGAGAGGTGGGTTCGTCATTGGCTCGAATCACTATCGGGGAGGAATACGATGCCGATCAGGACGAAGCCTTCGTGGACCCTGAACAGATAAACCTGGTCAAGAAGGTCAGCACGAAGGCCCCATTCCACGTGAGTTCCCATAACGGGGATTTGCACGTGGCGGTCATCGATTGTGGAGTCAAGGAGAACATCTTGCGAAGCTTGGTTGGACGCGGTGCAAGCGTCACCGTCTTCCCATATGACTTCCCCATCCACAAGGTTGCCCACCACTTCGATGGTGTGTTCATCTCCAACGGCCCTGGTGACCCAACCCACTGCCAGGAAACCGTCTACCACTTGAGCCGGTTGATGGAATCCTCCCAAGTCCCAATCATGGGTATTTGCCTTGGCCACCAACTGCTCGCTCTTGCGGCTGGTGCTCGTACGATCAAGCTCAAGTACGGAAACCGCGCCCACAACATCCCGGCTCTGGATTTGACAACCGGTCAATGCCACATCACCAGTCAGAACCACGGATATGCTGTTGACACTACCACCCTTCCCCAAGAATTCAAGGAGTACTTCGTCAACCTGAACGATGGCAGCAACGAAGGTACGTCGCTGAGATACATCTCCAGCCCTCTTCTAATTTCGCTTACTAATTATTCTCAGGCATGATCCACAAGACCCGCCCAATTTTCTCTACCCAATTCCACCCTGAAGCCAAGGGAGGCCCAATGGACTCATCGTATCTCTTCGATATGTACATCGAGAACGTTCAGCGTTTCAAGAAGAACCAGGCTGTATTCGCAGCTGGCAAGGACAACAGACCTAACCCATTGCTTGTGGACATCTTGGCAAAGGAAAGGGTTGGCGTTCAACCGACTCCGGCTGTTGCTCCCGCCGCTGCTGCTGCTGCTTAGATGCTTCTTGTTTAAACTTCTTGGGTTTTGGAAGGGCGTTGGGTATGCACGTGATTATGAACGGTGGTCGAGCAGAGCTGTTTTATGATTTCTAGCGAGTAACATGACTTCATTTATTAGAGCAGTTCCACACTCGTGATTCTTTATACCTCCCTCGTGATGGTAGTAAAATCCTGCTATGTTAGCAGATTTGCTCAAGTCAAAAAGCCAGTTCCTTGACCAGTCGTAAAAGGTAGGACTCTAAGGCATCTCTCATTGATTCAGTACAATAAGTATTAGAAGCTTGCACATTGTACAAGATCCCAAGCTGTTCTCAACTGTGTTGTATTGAATCGAAGTCTGCCAGTTGTGCAAATATATTGATTACCAACTTCTCCTAACCAGTGAAGGCTCCCCTTATTTTCCAGCGCCCCTTTATCTCCAGATCGGGAGCTGTTTGAGAACACCACACATATTATACATACATTCATTCTACTATATCTTTTTCAAAGATGTCCATCACCAAATATATTTTTCTTCAACAGTCACTCGGCTATGAAAGAATATCCTCATGCATAGGTAGCAAGTAGAATATTATATATATACAAAAACCTTCAATCCTACCATTCCGAATCATTCTCAACCTCAAAATCCATCCAGGAGACCCTAATTCCAACCAATATCCAAAGAAAAGAGAAACTTTCTGATAACGAGGGTCTCAGTATGAGGCTGGATATAGTGGATCCCTTCTATTTTAATTAGTGCAGTTGATTAATAACCACTTCATACATTTTTTGGCACTATAGCAGTAGTTCCAAAGAAAAGAAAAAAAAGACAGTCTAAGTAAGTATCAAAATGACAAGAAACAGTCATACAAGAACAAGCAAACATATCAAAGCCCGCGTAGCTCAATCGGTAGAGCGTCAGACTCTTACTTAAGAATCTCTTCGGGTATATCTGAAGGCTGCGGGTTCGACCCCCGCCGTGGGCTCAATTCCCACTGGCTTGCTTTGATGTTTCCTTTTTTTTTTTCCTTCCTTTTTCTTTTGTTGGGTTTCAGGATTATGGAGTCGTAGGTTTGAGATATAGAGAGAGGGATTCGTTTTCCCTTTTATTTTATTTTATTATTTTATTTTTGTGCAGAGGGAGTGTAACCCTCCCCTCCTCTTGATCAACAATATGGAGACTTCCAAGAGGGCATTTTCGATTGCCGCAAAATCAGAGACTGGTCGCACAGAACCAGTTCAACTGTCCAAGAGCAGACCCCAGCGGGAATCATGAGAGTGTATGCACCAAGTGAGGCGAAGAGAGACGCCAGAGCGCCCAGCGTGATGTGATGCTTCCAGCGCACCATCATAGGCTGCCAGAATGCCTATCAGAGCAGCGAAAAAGAAAGCCAAGGCCGTCAACCAAGTCAAGAGCTCAAACCATCCAGCTCTTCGCAACTCTGTGCCCGAACTTCTTTTTGTCCTTGCGGTTCGGGATGTAACTTTTGTAAAACATCTCCAGAAGTGGTAGACTTGGGATCGAGCGAGGATGCTGAGGCATGGATGGGCCTCTTGCGGCCGGGCTATATGAGAGCTGGACTTGGACAGTGCTCCCAGCATCTTTTGAAAACGACGGTGTGGTACTGATCGGTTGAAGCAGAACCGGAGTGACATGACCATCTTGAATGGTATCATGGCCGTCACTGTGCCTTAGCGATGTTTCCGCGGTCATTGGTTCAAAACGGGTGAGAAAAGGTAATGCTCGAACAGGAAATCAGTTAATCCCTAGGGAGAAGAGCGAAGAGAGAGAAGAGAGAGAGAAAAAAGAGGGAGAACAGAGAGAGGGAGAACAGAGAGAGGGAGAACAGAGAGAGGGAGAACAGAGAGAGGGAGAACAGAGAGAGGGAGAACAGAGAGAGGAGAACAGAGAGAGGGAGAACAGAGAGAGGGAGAACAGAGAGAGGGAGAACAGTGAGAGGGAGAACAGAGAGAGAACTTTCAGCTCTCGAGATTTTTACGCACCGCCTCAGCCATCAACAGTCGAGGCTATTTCTTACTTTGCCATGTTTATGAGCTGCTTTCCAGGACAGCCTTCCCAGCGAAGTCTGAGAACCCACGATCAATAGTTGATCTCTCCTCATCCCATCCCAGTCGGAAAATCATCTCCAGGTGGCCGAATCACAAGTTTGAGGTACCTAGGTAACTTTACCCGTTTGGATTCTCCCATAAAGCTGTTCAATACCCTCCATTCGGCAGTTGAATGTTAACTTACGAAGTAATTTAATGCATTAAACAGATCATTTACCACTGAATGACTTGTTTTGATCTCTCTGTTGGTCCCTCCGTTCGGCCCTATCCAGCGACAGTCTGCCGGAATCACCCTCTTCCTTCAAGCGTCTCCCGAAGTTGGTTTTCCAAAGGTTGGTCCAAGGGTGGGATGAACCAAGAATTTCGGGTCGAACATGTTGAACGCGCGCTGCCCGGACCAGGCATCTATCTTATCCCAATTGACGCATTGGTGCTCTGTCTCGAAGTCGGGCCATGGGCCTCGAATGTTGGGCAACCATTTATAGGTCAGGATGGAGAGGTCAGGGTTGCACATGATACTTTGACGAAGACTTTCGATACAGTGATCTGATGTTCGTTAGTAGATGTTTGATCATGGTGATGAGAAAGTTCTACCAGCATGATCGATGAGTGATACGTCAGCTGCGTGAAAGGTGTAGTGATCTTTGTGAATGACCTGCCTGATATATTGCTGGAGAGAGTCATTTAGCTGCGAGGTCTACGAAGATGACGAAAGAAAACCTACCAAACAGTGAAGTTGGTGATAGGCATCTAGAGATTTCAGCAAATGATCTTGACATATTCAAGAAGAGTGCCTGATAAGCTTACCTATGGTGGCCATGTAATCTCCAGAGCCATCTGCAAGCATGACGGATGTCTTGTTCAGGTCTTTCAATTCATTACTTGACAGTCGTATGTTCATATCTGTAGAGGATATCTGTCAGTCATAATGTTGAGAAAAAGATGAGTCTCTTTCACACTCTGTAGAAGCACGTGCCAAGCATCATCAAGCTCTTGACTTGGGGGGCCATTGAAAGCGTTGGTATCATTGAGGGTAATGTGAAATACCCTCTTCTCAAATTCAACGGCAGATCTCACTGGAGCTATTTCAGGCGCGAATCAGCATACGTGGTTCTCCGAAGAAAGATTGAAATGGAAATATAGATGTGGCCGGTCTCATACTCACTGTAGATAAGGTCTTGGATTTTCTTCGTTCCTTTCACCAGCTGGATTTGCATGTATAAATATATTGTTGTGTAAGTCAACAATATAACCAAGTGAAGAAGCCATGGATTTTTCTTCGACGAAATCAAGTACTTGATGGGTGCTTTCCAAGCCATACGCTCATCCGAGCGATTCTCATTGTCTGCTACCTTCTCCAGGGTTGGGAGGAGAGGATCCTCAGTAAGACCATTCTCCTCGAGTGATACACGGGAATACGGTTCCAATGAAAAGCCCATCATTGCTTGCGGAAGCAGTGCGATACTTCTGATTGAATTTGTTCATGGAGTATAGGTAAGAGCGATATCGAGGGGTCGTGAACTCAGAGTCCGCAACAACGTCCTCTTGATTCAAGAACCCAATCCGTTCCTACGTAACCTGATATGTGTGAGCAGCCCTTCAAGTCGGTTCTCACGGCATCAAGAGGCGTAGAACTGTCAAACGATATAATCGATCCTCCTATCGACCATGCGTTATCTTTATCGTGTAGACTGGTCAGCACTCCGCCTATCAGCCTTAGCCCTCTTTGATGATCCGAGTATACTCCATACTATCAACTATCAACTATCAACTTCCCTAAATTTCCTATCAAGAGAGTCAGTAGGCAGGGCACACTAGATACAGAAAAGGTAGGTTGATTACTTACCCGTACGTAAATCCTCCGTCGATTCCGGTAGTGCTTACGGGCTGTAGAAAGCTGGAACGCGTAGCGAAACTTTAACACAACTGTTTTCCTGTTTTGACCCTTTTCTCTTTACGAGATATGTGCTGTGCCTCTTCAAAACAGTGAGCTATAAGAGATATGCAATGACATTCTTGCAGTAGTACTGTGATCGCCTTGATCGCAAGTGCGGGGTGGGCATCTAGTGTACGTACATCTAGCCCATCTTTCGCGGCAGGCTGTAACTTTGTGCGTTGTCTCAACTGTCGTCTCCGCACGAGCCGACGAGTTATGGGAGAGGGAACTCAGAAATCTAAGTGAGGCTCGGTGGATGGGATCTGTACAGACAAGCATCAAATCATGAAAACTTTCATTATCATCATCTGTCATTCCTAATCTGCCCCATGTACCCCGCATGGATCTCCCGCCACATCCTTGCGCGCCTTTCAAAACCGTCATCTTCTCGTAATGCGAGGCTTCCTTCATCCTGAATCCGTTCTATCCGGTGCATTACGCTTTAGCATCAGGTATCCAGCCTCCGACGGCAGTGGCCTCTTCATAGACCATCCGTTTATTCTCCTCAGCGGTACGCTTATCAGGGATCCAACCACCGGCAGCGGTGGCTTCCTCATAGACCATCCGTTTCTGTTCAGCCGAACGTTTGTCGGGAATCCAACTCCCAGCAGCAGTGGCCTCTTCGTACACCATACGTTTCTCTTCAGCCGAACGTTTGTCGGGGATCCAGCCACCGGCAGCAGTGGCCTCTTCGTAGACCATACGTTTCTCCTCAGCCGATCGTTTGTCGGGGATCCAGCCACCGGCAGCAGTGGCCTCTTCGTACACCATAGGATTCCTCTTCTCTGCAGCATTGTTGGTGATCGGGGCCGCAAAGACGGTTTGGGCAGTCCCAATGGCAAGGAGGACGGAGATGGAGAGCTTCATTGTGATGAAAGCTTTATTTTTGATGATGATATGATGGGATTGTCAGGTTGGAAATATCCTGATGTTCACTGCGGGGTCGATATATGTATTTAAGCTTGAGAATCTGGAACAAGCTTGTGCTGTGCCACTAATATATCTGCTTGGATTGGGGTTCTGGTTTGATAGAGACGATATACGTACATGGCTAGAGGCAACCTTTCCCTGTGATCCCGTCTTTCAACCTAAACTCGTAATCCATCTGGTCAGAGACATCTGTACCTGCCGTAACGGACCTAGAAGCCTTACGTATCAGCAGTATTTGTCGCCATTTTAGGAAGTTGACAGCATCTGAACTTGATTCGTGGGCTTGCTACCTCTGCTATCTGCTTCCTCGTATATGCTGATGTCAGAATATTTCTGGAAACGAATGCTTTGCATCTTTTCATGATCATTCCAGCCTCTTCACACCAACTCTCACGACAATGAGGGAGAGCACAGAGAGCGAGTCCTTTCTCAAGGCTGATGATGTGGAGCGTACAGCCTTCTTAGAGCAGCCTGGAAACAGCAAGAAAAGGCTTTTCAAACCCATCTTCCTAGTATGGGTAATAAACGCAACTCTTATGGTCGCCGTCCTGGCTTTACTCTGGGAACGAAAAAGTGCAATGCCAACCCCTCACTTCCGCGACCAGGGAATCTACTGTGCGTCCGAGTCCCGTTCAATAAATAACGATACGATGTCAACTAACACGTATTTTTCAAAGCACCGGCCCAGGATGAGATTGAGTACAAGACAGTAATCTTCTCATCTGCTTTTGGCAAACATAAGTCAAAATACCAAGGTCCGCCCACAGACGAAGTTGATGCCTTGTGGGATGAACTATATAATGGTACGTATCAACATACACCATGACTGTCGATGAAACTGTGGGCCTTTCCACTCTAGCCAGAGCACTATAAATTGACCTCGAATAGCCGTTGGGATCAGTAGAATAGACAAGAAGTCTGCGATGCAGCTTCCTAACCGTACGGCACCAATCCCCGGAGACGAGGACCATTACATTGTCGGACTTGACGTGTTCCATCAACTGCATTGTTTGGTAAGACGCCATTTGATAGAGTATGCACATCTGCTGAACGTGCATACCTAGAACAATCTACGAAAGCTCGTTTGGCCCGAGAGATATCAGAGCTTGGAACAACATGCCGGAAAACCAGAAGACTATGCAGAACACATAAACCACCTAGGTAAGAGACCAAGCCCATGTTTGAGGCTATCCAGACTATAATTACTGATCTTTGCCATACGCAGACCATTGTGTGGATACTCTTCGACAATCACTGATGTGTCATTCTGATATCAGCAGTAAGTCATGGAATGCTCTCTATCCAAGCAAGATGTATCTTTTAGATACAGAAGATCTTGAACGAGACTTTTTATCTGCTCCTAATAGCACTTGCTGATTATGTTGCAGCACTGTGGTGGGAGTGGATTCCCTCGAGTCAGAGGACACTGGCACATCCGGACACAACCCACACGTGTCGCAATTTTGAGAAGATATGGCAGTGGGCTGCTGACCATGAGATGAAAGGCGATTTCAATAGCTATGTACATGTTCTTGAAGAGGATTAGTAGACGTATAAATGAGAATGTTTCTGAATGCTTTGCAAGATGGAACGGAGAGTACTTGTGGAGCCAACTTGCGGGGTATCACGTGCTCAACTTCCTCATCCGGAAAAGAAAACCGACGGCCTGAAATGCAACGTGACCCCCCAGTCTCACCTCGGCTGTATCGTTATCTACTGGCTGGAACCCCGCGATGTTCTGGTATCTGGATCACACAGCGTCTCAACGGATGCTCTGAACAGTTGTGTGCCGTACGTAAGTCTTCATTTCTCATCCTTATTCCTACTGTGCGGCTGTGCCATCCTTACGTTCTTGCTCGTATATCCATGCCGTCATCATGAGCAGCGCGGACTCCTTGCCATGGCGGAAACCTGAGACCCTCTCTCAGGCGTCGGATATGCTACGGATGACCGTTTGCTTAAAGCCTGTCATCTGGTGTCTGCGTCTGTACGACGACCATGTAGCTTGCAAGCTCCGCAGACCTCCCGAGATGCGTGAGCTCGCGGGGCGTGCTTGTGAGGAGCCGGCGATGGATCCTCTCCCAAAGCGGCGGAAACGCGCGCTCACGGATCCACTCCCGGCTCTGGAGCCGTCTCAAGGCATGGCGTATAGCATACGAAGGTCTCGACAAAGGACAGACTGCCAGAAAATGTCGTCCTTCTTGACGAAGCTCCCTTTCGAAATCCGAGAAATGATATATGAGCAGGTGCTCGCGGGGGGAGATGGGAGTGTGGTTCATATATTGCGGAAGCAGGGACGACTAGGACATTGGCGGTGCAGAATGCAGGATGGGTTGGAGCTTTGCGATTCCAAGGGACGTCGTTGTGTCGAGGGTTGGCTTTCATATAAAACGAAGGTGTGGCATTTGGATAGAAGTGGAAGGCTTGATCTGATCACAGACGACGGGTTGGTGCCGTTGCTACGAACGTGCCGGCTCATGTAAGGAACTAGCCATGGTGGTTAGCCTGAGAGAAGAAACATTGACTGACGTTTGCAGATACTCGGAGGCAGTTCGAGTACTTTATGCGAAGAACATTTTCCACTTTTATGACCCAGGAGATATCCGCCATTTCAGTCGCGCCATCCTACCTCAACGTTTGAACGCAATCCAATCTATTATCATGGACTGGGAAAGGACATTCAGTATCTTCAATCCGTACAATACGATACCGAAGCAAGCTAACGAGGAATGGAAAGCCTGGAGAGAGACCTGGGCTATCGTTGCGAGAATGGAAGGCTTAAAGGAGATGAGGGTCTTCTTGAAGAGTCATAAGTTCATAGTGTCAAAGATCAGGCGAATCAAAATGTGCCAGCCGATGATGGAGGTCAAAGGATTGAGGATCTTCGAGGTCGTAGTCCCATGGGATGATGACGGAGACTGGGATTTTGCTTCCAATGCCCCGTTTAAAATCCTGAGGGGTCCTGACAGGTCTGTCTTGTGAACAACAGGAAAAAACAGTAGGAGATTGACAGTGGAGTGCTTCTACTACTTTTAAGCAATACGAAGGTTTGGTGGAAGCAAACCCCACCCCAGTCATGTGGGCAACTCTAGAGAATGGTGTTATAGGCCTTTTAAGTCTCTGGAGACTTGAATTTTATATTGGTACAAGGCCATCCGTTGACCCCTACACTTACTCCATGAAGACGTACCTTGGAGTTCTCATGGGTTTTGGGGGAGGGAGGGGGTCCTTCGTAAGTTCAAATGAGGGGAATTTTTACCTTCACTTGATTGCAGCTTTTCTTATCGGACGGATACGCATCAAAAGGTGGAAGCCCTGGGCTGGTACTAGCGAATGCCAAGGTAAGGGATGAGACATGTCTTTTTCGAGAGACTGATCTTCCGTTTGTATAGCGGAGAGTGGAGGAGGGGGGGAGACTTATTATGTCGGTTGTCGGAGGGGCTGCCGGAGGGGCTGTGGGAGGGGCTGGATACTTATGTTTGTCGGAGGGGCTGGTGACTGCCATCAGTGGCATGTCTCTTCCTAAGTTCCTTTCTACCCAGGTATATCCCTTACTAATTTTTAATTTTATATTTTGACAGACACATATGGCGCAAGTGGGGCCGAACGCCTCTTTGAACCCTTCTCCGTTATTACGGAGTATATGATATGATATGATTGCGGGTGGACCGGATCTGAACGCAAGTGAAGAAGTGCAATACCGCACCCCAAGGAGTAGCACATCGAACTCACGGGAATCGAACATAACGCCTCAAGCTTTTCGATTATATGCGTATGTCAGGGGCTCAGGGGAAGGAACTCGGTTTCAGAGCGGGAATAAATGCCAAGTGTTGACGCGGCAAGTGATCAGAAGACAACTGCGGCGAACTTGCGTGGGGGGTTGGGGGTTCCCCCAATTACAGCGTGGTTGGGCGTGTGGTTTACCAGGATTTGGTAACATATGGTAGTATGGTACGTTTGAGACGGTTACTAGGTAAGTGCCTAAGGTAAGGTAGGTAGGCAGTGGCAATTCAGTGGGAGAAAGATGAATTTCTGTCACATTATGATAGTACTGTTCCGGTATATAACGAGTATCACCTGTCTGCCACGCCCCTCGGCGCAGTGCTTTATGTAAGAGGGAATCGTCCAGGACCCAGTATGACCGCACCTCCTTGTAATCTTTCAATCTGATAAAGCGGATCAGAGGCCGCTAGTCCCAAGTCGGCAGGACTCGCTGAATGCCACCACGGGCCGGTTCTCGCGACAGCAAATAGACTTTGCGACTGCGACGCCCGACGTCCTTATCCACCCTCGTTGTGACTTGTCGCACTCCCATTCAAGCCCCCCACTGGAGCTCCAATCGGTGATCCTGCCCCCTCCTGGCTATCTGATATCCGTTCTTGAGCAGGGTCACGCATCTCGCGCCGTATTGCTACGGGTGTTGCCGCCTGCTGTGAGCAGTTCCCGCTTGGCGGCACAGTAATGATCTAGCTGCATATGCATTCCGCGCAGCTTTCAGATGGCGGTCTACCACATCCCAACGATCCCAGCTCCGTCTACAGTAGTACAAGTATAGGACGCGCCGATATCCCACTCTCTTCGCTCCGCCCATCGTTGACGAACAGCCGCGCATTGTTGCATCGACTCTCCGACGAGGAACCCGACCCCGAGTCCACGTCCGCCCTCCTTCGACAACACCTCCGTGACTCCGCCTCGAGCGACGACGATGATGCTCCAACCGATGACAACAATCCACAGCATTTAGGCACCTGGCAGAGATTCTTCGGGCTAATGTCCAAGGCTCCTCTTCTTCTGCGGTCGTCGCCAGGGTTTGGCACAGGCTCATATGGAGCGGCTCCCGTGGGAGCTTCTTCGGAGAACAGCGACGAGGAAGATAATGATGTTGTGAGGCGCAGAGGGAAAAAGAAGGCAAAGCAATCGGGATTAAGAAATGCTGTTGGCTCGAGCATTCGCAGTACCTCCAATCATGTCGTCTCCAATCCGGATATACCCTCACATATGGGCAGCCGAAGGCCATCGAGCTCTGGAAGACCATGGAGCTCTTCTGGGAGACCATCGAGTTCCGGAAGGCCATGGAGCTCCTCCGGGAGACCATCAAGTTCCGGAAGACCATGGGGCTCTAGGAGGCCATCAACACGAACTGGCTCCGAGGAAGGCGAGGAAATAGTAGATGATATTGGACTTGAGGACAGGTTCAATGCTGTCGGGTTGCCGATATCTGATGCTACTGGATATGGGGAATCTAGCAGAAGCAAAGGCGATGCGTCCACGCCATCAGACAACCTAGAAGAAGCAGTGACTGAAGACGACACCGAGGACGAATACGAAGATGAAGATCCCCCGGATAACTCCCCATATGCCCAAGTTCGAGCATCAGTATCTGCCATCGACAATACAACATTGTCCATTAATACTCCTCGGATGTGGACGCTTTCCATGTTGTTTGCAATCCTCGGATCGTCCACAAATCTTTTCTTTTCCTTACGATACCCAAGTGTTTCTATTACACCAGTTATAGCGCTTCTGCTTGTCCATCCTCTTGGGCTCCTCTGGGATCGATTACTCAAACGACAAGACGACCCTGACGAGGAATTTATAGATGGTGTAAGGCAAACTTCGAACCTCAACACGAATCAAAATAATGCATCGGGGAACTCTGCATCTCTACACTTAAAATCTCCCAGCCTCTCTCGCCGTTTCCGATTGTGGCTTGCTCAAGGGCGATGGAACGAGAAGGAGCACAGCTGTGTCTACATCAGCAGCAACGTGTCTTTCGGATTTGCCTTCGCTACAGATGTCATCGTCGAGCAGACACACTTTTACAAACAGGAAGTCAGCATCATATACCAGCTGCTTCTCATCCTTTCCACCCAAATCCTTGGATATACCTTTGCTGGCTTGGCTAGAAGATTTCTGGTCCGACCGGGAGGGATGATCTGGCCGGGCACGCTCATGTCTGCTGCTATGTTTACAACGTTGCACAAAGAAGAGAACAAGGTCGCCAACGGCTGGAAAATGACTCGCTGGAAATTTTTCTTCGTCGTTTGGATATCAGCCTTTCTGTTCTACTTCCTACCTGGTCTTCTCATGCCCGCATTGAGCTATTTCAATGTCATCACCTGGTTTGCTCCGGATAATGTGATAGTCGCCAATCTATTCGGTGTCTCTTCCGGCCTTGGTATCTTTCCTGTAACTTTTGATTGGGCACAGATTGCTTATATTGGGTCACCGCTGCTGACTCCTTTTTGGGCCGCCATGAACGTCGTGGGAGGTCTTGTTATCGTCATGTGGATCATCGCCCCTATCGCATATTATAGCAACGCATTCTTCTCGTCCTATATGCCGATCCTCTCATCTTCCGTCTTCGACAATAGGGGCAAAATATATGATGTCAGCAAGATATTGACACCGGATTTCCTATTCGATAGAGAAGCATACCGTAATTATAGTCGGGTATACTTGCCAATTACATACGTCCTGAGCTATGGGCTGCAATTTGCTGCTCTCGCATCTCTCTTGACGCATACCACTTGCTGGCATGGTAAGGATATTTGGAGGCAATGGAAGAGATCTCTGAAGGAGGTTGGGGGTGAATCCAAAACTTCATATGAGGCGATCCCCGAACCTAATGGAGGAGTGACCAGTAGTTCATCGTCTTCGAGTAGAAGCCGCGGACTGAGATTGGAGAGGAGCGACTCGCATATGGAAAACATCATCAGTCAAGAGGATGTTCACAATCGTCTGATGAAGAGGTATAAGGATGCGCCACTTAGTTGGTATCTCATCACATTCGTGAGCATGACTGCAGTTGGAATATTCGTTGTCGAATAGTAAGGTTCTACCACTGTTAGTCTGGATTTTTACTGACTCCTTTGTAGTTACCCGGTGCATCTTCCATGGTACGGGCTCCTCCTTGCCCTCGCGATATGCACGATTTTATTCATCCCAATCGGTATTGTCATGGCGATCACCAATCAACACAGCAGCATCTACCTAATCTGCCAACTTGTCTGCGGTGCAGTCTTCCCAGGCCGTCCTGTTGCAAACATGGTTTTCGTGACTTATGGCTACATATCTTCGGCCCAGGGCATCAAGTTCTCCGCCGATCTAAAACTCGGTCACTACATGAAGATTCCTCCCCGGATCCTTTTCGCTGTTCAAATGGTTGCGACTGTTGTGTCCTCATTCACTCAAATCGGAGTCCTGAACTGGATGTTCGCTCACGTACCAAAAATGTGTACGCCGGAAGCCATCAACGGCTTCACATGCCCCATAGCTCGCGTCCACTTCAATGGCAGCATACTCTGGGGAGTTGTCGGCCCGAAGGAGTTCTTCGGATCAAAAGCAACGTACCATGCTCTCGTATGGTGTTTCCCACTAGGTGCGATTGCGCCAATCCTGCTGTGGTTGTACGCGCGGAATAAGAAGAAGAGCTTTGTCCGGAAGATCAATCTCCCGGTTCTATTTGGAAGTCTCAGCTGGATTCCGCCAGCTACGGGGCTCAATTTTTCCGTTTGGGCCTTGGTATGCTACATCTTCAACTACTCGATTAAACGCAGAGCAACGGCATGGTGGGCTAAATACACCATGACATTGAGTGCTGCTCTGGATTCTGGCTTAGCTTTCGGGCTGGTGGTTGTGTTTTTTGGATTCGTCTTCCCAGGCTGGATGAAGAATTTCAAATGGTGGGGCACAGAGATTTATAAACAAGGTTGCGATTGGCAGGCGTGTCCGTACAAGAATGTGCCGGAGGGAGGCCACTTTGGTCCCGATACCTGGTGAGCGTTGATCGCGCACTTGAATAGTTTACGTACGCGTTCCCATTCTGTGGGATTTATGAGTGACATGTATAGCAATATATGGCGGCAATAGAATAGAAATGACCTCTTTTTTTTTAACAGTGATGGGGCAGCTTCAAAGTAACGACGTGGAAGCCAGGAGGGCAGATAGGAGAGCGAGATGTGGGAGAGGTGTCTAGCCTCAGTGTATTCCACGAATAAGCCAAAAGTGCCATCGTATTAAAGGGATAAAGGATGGTCAAATTAACGAAGTCGAGATACAGGACAGACAATCCGTTGCCCTTGAACCATCCAGGATGTTGAAGCCATCAGGGGATTTACTCCGTAGCGCATCCGCGGCCGGCTCTAGCCAAGCGGCCGGCCTTACTACATATGATGACCGGAAGAGACGTCCCAGCCGAACGTGTCCTCCCGCAACAACGGCTCTACACTTGCATCATCCTTCAATGAAGGACTTGTCATTTATGATTTATTAATCAGGGTATAGGCCCACGAGCGCAAGTGGCTGAGTGATTGGCTGATGAATTGACGGGGCCCTCGTTTCCAGCCCAAATCTCGCAGAACAGCTACATGCAGTAAATATCTTCACTGCCATATCCTCCTTCCCCCATTCTGCTTGCAAGTTTGTATCTATCCGTCACCCGCGGCATCATTTTTGCTTGTAAACCTGGCCGAGCGGCTCTCCCATCACTTCCCATCCGTGGTCGTTTGTCAGCCGGATCTTTGTGCTTCGTGAATCTACTCTTGGTTGTACGAGTGTACAGTAATGAGGTTTAATAGCTGTGTGTAACTGGACTCATCATGGCGGACACGAGGTCCGTGATAAGACGGGAAACTTTAATGCAGCTGAGCTAAAGGAGGCCAGAGATGGAGTCTTGGGCTTTGGCGTTTGAAGCTTTTGTGCTGTGTTTATGGCAGTTTCCGGAATAGTGCTCCGAGAACGGGGGCAGTGTCTGTGTCTTGCTGGGTGTTGTTGCCGGATCGTACCTGATTGTTTTCTCCTTCAAGGAAGGCATCGGATCATATCAATTTTGCTCCGCACTCAGTTCGAAGATCCGAGATATAAGAGCAATGCTGCCAGATGCCCGCTGGCTCACGTGTCTATTCTATGCCACACAGGTGTACAGTGGCCAAGCCACTTAGGCCAGCTCAGGCCCGTCATTTCGAAAAAAGGAGGACGTCTTCTTGTTCCTTAAAAATTCCAATCCTTCTAGAAACTTAGGTTTATCTTTATTTATGTTGTTCTGTCTTCAAAACCCATGATTTTTCTAACTTTAAAGCTTTTCAGTGGCCATATCGGATCGATTATTCGATAAAATGACTCTGGGGGATATAGTTAAGGCGATAAAAGTGACGATGAGGAGTCCGTTGGATGGATTTATGCAGCTGAGCTCCCTACAGATCCCAACGCCGAGATGGGCTATATATACATCTACCCACGCTCAACTACTGTCGGCTCCCCGTACGCCTGTGCGGCTATGTTTACCATTGCTGTCGGATTCCTTGCCGACAGTACAGGCCAACGTGGAGTCTGCAATATAATTTTCTCCCTAATTCGTGTCGTTGGGTTTGCCATGCTTCTTGGTTCGCAGCGGTCACACGTCAAATATGCGGGTACGTTTCTTGGTGCTCTCGGCATTTACCCCTGCAATCCCAATACAATTGTGTGGACAACAATACAGAAGGCGTCTACAAGCACGAAATCGTTCTGGAATCGTCATCGGCTGGGGTAATCTCAATGGCATTGTTAGTAGCAACATATACTTCCACGCTCCCAAATTCACGGACGGGCATGCGACAATCCTGGCTTATACGATTGCCTGCCTGTTTGCAGGAATACGATTGCCTGCCTGTTTGCAGGAAGCATCCTAATGACTCTCCTTCTACACAGAGAGAATACAGCTATGCTAGCTGGAAAGTGAGACCACTTGGTAGCAAGCAAGAGGCAGAAAGGCTGAGCGATAACAGGCCTGATTTCCTGTACGCCATTTAATCGTGCATGACTTTTCCCATGAATCTGGGGAGATAATCTAGGGGGTATTTCAGTATGTTTTTGTTGGTTTGTTTGTTTTTTTCTTCTTCAATGGTTATTCCGTCACTTCTCATATATACCGATCATGAAATTTTTGTTTGTAGTTGCATACAAAATTTCAGCCTCAGAAGTTAGACCCAAGGGATCTATCAGAAAACGCAGAGCACCAGAACTCCGTTACTCTGCCGAACTGCAGCCGTGTAGCTGGTTTATACCTTCCATCTGACTCTTCTGCCAAGCCCCCTGCAGGTAGCCATGTGGGAGTGCCTGCTTTCCATAATTACTGCCGAGATGGTACAACGATGCCCGGCACGAGTGGCCACAGACACCCGCCGTTGACAGTCACCCAGGCGAACTCCTGTATCTCGAATCGAAGTACAAGGACCACAACCAGGATCAAGGCGAAGGAATGATTGGTGAGGACCTGTTTGAAGAATTTCTCTTTGAGCGACACGCATCTGAGTTCCCAAGCCAGCGCAGCGGCACCCATTACGAAACAGAGGCCATGTGCATCGGTATCCTCCCCGGAGATGGTGAGGGGTCCCCGCCATCTGAAGGAATACCAAGGCCCTGCCGCAATCAGAGTTGAGGCTTATAATTATAGAAGGGACGGCACAAATCAATCCCTCAGTGCCTTTTTCGCTCTGCTTTGCTTTACTTTGCTTTTCGCCACCTGATTTCCAATAAGAGACATGGTGTGGAGGACTTTCTCTTTCAAAGTACGTATTCTCAGTCCGAGCAGACTTGGGTACCGAGTTGGTGGTAGGTGACGGTCAAAGTTATCCTTTGCTGTTTGCCGGCACGGTTAGGAAGGAGTAACCAAGGTATCAACGTAAATTGCTAATATACCATCTTCTTCCTCCAGGACTTTCATATAACCATGCGCCAGTTTGGTGATGATAGTTTAAACGGCAACCAAAGTCCATCATGGGTGGTTTGACAGGCCAGCAAGTTGATGCACTGATCGTGATTGAACGTGTTACTGCCTGCATATCGGTCATTGGAACGCTTTTCCTTATCACAACTTTCATCCTCTTCAAGGGGTTCAGGACATTGTCGAATACGCTGATTTTCTATGCTTCTTTTGCAAACCTCTTTGCAAATATCGCAGCACTTATTGGGGGTTCAGCGCTCACGAAGCTCTCCAGCCCACTATGCCAATTTCAAGGATTCTTGCTAGAAATGCAGGTTCCACCTCTTGTTGCTCTTGCTCAGTGGCTAACGACAATATAGGTTCATGCAATCAGACCCTATGTGGTCTCTGGCCATGGCTGTGAATGTATATCTAGTTTTCTTCCAACGGTTTGATGCTATCCGTCTCAAAAAGCTTTATCCAGTGTATGGACTCCTTTGTTACGGAATCCCATTTATTCCAGCCATGGTCTGTCTCTTGTACAAGAATGGGAAGGGAGATATTTATGGAAATGCGACTGTAACTCTACTCCTTCCTTTTTCATCTATCACTGACTCACGTATCTCAGCTCTGGTGCTGGATCGATAACACTTGGGCACCTATACGAATTTACTCCTATTACGCCCCAATCTGGTTCTGCATCCTATTAGCCATCATAATATATATCCGTGTCGGCATCGAAATTTTCCAAAAACGCTCTCAACTACGCGCCATAGGAGATAACGTCAGCGGGACACTCGACTCCAGCAACAGCCCCCCAGAGCCATTTTCTGGCCTCCGTACCACGGAAGTCGAAGTTACCCATGATTTTTGGAACGGAGGCAGGACCACCAGACCTATGCCGACTTATAATCAAAACGAGAAAGGGTCCAGAGATCCTCACCATTACTCTATCACAATATCAGCGCATGATCGCCCATCTGCCCCTTCAAGGTTTGCCATTGCGTCTAGGAGACCAAGCAGCATGGACAAAGTAAAATGGTCATACACCAAAGTAGCGATGCTCTTTGCCATCTCTATCCTCGTAACTTGGGTGCCCGCAAGTGTGAACAGGATATACGGGCTCCGCTACCCCTCGGACCCCAGCTTCGTGTTAAACATTGGCTCTGCACTGGTGCTTCCTCTGCAGGGCTTCTGGAATACCGTCATCTACTTCACGACTAGTCTGTCGGTTTGCAAAGGTATCTGGGCTCGCTTTAGAGGCCGGATGGAGATTGATGCTGGGAAGTCTGGGATGCTGGGGATTGTACATTTGGGAAGAAGGGATAAGGAAACAGATAGCATGGTGGAGTTATCAACCCATAGGGATGATGGATCGGGTAGGGATTCATTCTGGGCGAATAAACAGGAGTTTGCAGATACTCGTTAACCTTGAAAGCTTGTGCACTGCAATACAGATGACGAGATATTTGGCGGAGTTATTCAGGGACGGCTTTTTTTGGGGGAGCTTGTTGCTATAGAATTCAGGAAACATCTTAACTTGGGTTGCGATCATCTTCCTAATTTATATGGGATGAAAAGAATGAACAATTTGCCAATTCTGCAGCTGTCGCAACGAATCTCCTACACGTATCCAAGGTTCCGCGCTACTGAGCATCCATGCTCTCATCGCCAAAAGCTTCTGGAGACACAAAAGGCTACAGATCGGTCCTCGTACCGTGTCGTACTGACTGGGACCGGCATCCTGGAGAGATTCAATTCCCCGCAGCACCCTGGAGGGGTTAACCGCGGGATACGATCTCAGGATTGTGCGAGGTGGATTGATCTACCTTGCTGGTTCTTGTCGGAGAGATACCCGAGTTTTGAAGGTTAGATTAGAAGATGATCAGGACATGGGGATTCGGAAGGTTGGTTATCCCTCGTCCTCTGTTTGAGAAGGAGCGTGGAACAGAAACAAAGCATAGAAGACCGCAAGTCTGGGACTGGGACTGAGCTGGGCTTTGCTGTATTTCTTTATGAGAATTGCCTCAGACGTTGTGTTCGAGGAACTTTTTCCTAGCTCAACGTTTGTTCTACCGGGGACTGGAACGATCGTCTTCTGCATACCTACTCTCTATGCCGTACGGCTCACCAGCACCATATAAAGCTGGGACTACCAGCAAGGGCCTTCCATGGATGTTTGTATGAACAGAAGGGGTAACTATTCCTCCCGTGAGGCTGGGACAAGGGATTCCTATACACATAATAAGAAAAGGCTCCGGAATGACGAGGCCACGCAGGGAGGATCCTCGAGGAGTATGCTGTGCAACTCATTGGTAAACTTTGATGCGTGTGTTCTAGTATCCCTTTGCAAGGGAGGTAGCTCGCTACTTTGAGAGCTACGTTTGACGACGCGGAGAATTATTGGATATCAAGGATAAAGAAGAGTGATGTTGTATGACCTACAATCTGGCTGAATGTTTAGCACTCGACGAGGGTGACTTCGAAGTCCTGCCTTTGCTTCTATTTCTGCTTTTACTCTTCTCTTATTTCAATCTTTCGAGCTTCGTGACTTCTTTGACTTCTTCTACCACCTTCGGTCCCGTTTTTGTTTTTGTCTTATCACTGAATGAAAAGATGGTATTTCCAAGTGACTGGCTCGCCGTGCCTGTCTCTCAAGGGTAGACGGAGGCTTATTGACGATTAGCAGGTGACAGCAGAAATAGTGAACTGATGATATTTCCTGAACAAAACTATTTTAGTGAGTAGTTATGCTCTTGCCTACCTAGGCCTTCAAAACTCGGGGTTAGAGGGATCATGAACATTCCTGGGCTTCTTCTCTAGGAATTGTCCTACCTGGTGGAAAGCTCAGCTCCTGCCCAAAAGTCCATGGTTCTATTTGAATTAATCGAAATCAGCCAAACCTTCCAATATTCATCAGTAGAGTAGAATTTCATAACGATTTCTAGAAATTTTCCAGTTCCACAGGTTTGAGACCTACCAACGTCATCATGTAAACAATTTTACTTTTATTTCTAACTCCTGAAGTTTCTGGGGATATTCTGTTTCTAAATTCAAGATTCTCGAATGTTGACTCTTGCTTCGATTCAGGGGCATTGGTTGGTATCACAAACATCAAACAACCCAAAGTGAGGGCGTTGTGGCGGAGTGGTTATCGCGACAGCCTAGAAAGCTGTTTCCTTCGGGAGCACAAGTTCGAATCTTGTCAACGTCGTCTGAAATTTACTTTTTAGTTCTTTTTTTACATACCTAAAACCTTTCTTCATTTTTGTTCTTTTTTTTGGGGGTAAATAACGACGTCGTTTAGCCATCCATAATGAGTGTGCCCTCCCCCCTTTTTCATGCATAAGCGAGTTGGCACGGGCCAGATCCTCGACGGATGAACATGACTTTTGACAACGCCTTCCATATTGTGCGCTTTTTCAAATTCATGTCAGGTACGTTCTTCACCGCGAAGTAACGGTGGTTGTGCTCAATATACAGTCAACTTGCCAAGGACTTGACCAGACTGGCAGATTAATCAATATTACGTTGCAGGAAAAAGCAACCTGTCTCTGATAAAACACCTTCCGGGCGCAAATGATTTTGTCAAGAATCATTTGGCCACCGTGGATGTTGGAATCTCCGTCAAAAATGAAGGATACAATTGGCTTTTCATAGCACTTCGATCTAGGGATCGCGAGGGGCTGAATTGTTTTTTATTATCCTGGCTGTAGCATACGGCGGAGACTCTTTATATAAATACAGAGCTATGGGAAGTTACATAGTATCAGAGGGGTCTAATGGGTAGAGGAGGATGGACAGTGTTTATCGGCCAGCTCTCTCATACCTTCCCGGCGGTCAACCCCAACTACCAGCCATGAAGTTTGGCCAAACAAAGAGTCAAAGAGAGAGATATATACCACACTGGCCGGCTGGCTATTCCTCGATAACGCTCTTCTTTCCGTTTGAGTAAACGCCCCCCATTCGAGTCCCGATCAACAATCACAACTGGAATTCGGGTTCTCGAGAATGGTTTGGCGACGACGACGTATGCAATATCTCCTCCCCCTTTTCTCCTCCTCTTCTCTCTTTGAAACCCCCCCCCATACCCAGCCATCCATCCAACCCCCCGCTTCTACCTCTTAAGTCAAGACTTGGGGAAAAAAAAGTCAAAATACTGAAATCTCGCTATCTAGTGAAGGACTAAGAACGAGCTCAATCACAATATAACCGTCGACGACCAGAAAGAACGTCGACTTTCCAATACCGAAAAAGGAGCCCGTCAGGAGCACCAAGGCCATGCATGCAGTATGAACTAACTAACTACCTGTGAAATGCATAGGCACTCTGCTCACCTCCTAACTTCTAGTATTTGGATTCATTAATAAAGAAAAATGCATCTTACTTTAACTTTTACTTTAATTTTCTTTGCGTGTAAGGAATTGAGAGGAAAGATAGATGGTTTGGATGAATGATGAATGATGAAATCGAGATCCGCTGTTCCCCGGATCGTGAAGCTGCGGGGCTTCTATTTTTTGGAGGAAGGATTTCCGGTTGGCTTGGCTGTGTGAGAGACTAATGAATTTAATGCTTGTGCGTTTTCCTGGTTCGATATGTCATTATTCCTGGATTGTCCTGATGGATAGATAGATACCCGGGGGTTTTGGGTATGGGAGGGGCAGGTTTTCCTTGGTTTGGTTATGATAGGTATTTATTTAGGTGTTCTCATCAAATGCATTTCTAAGACTCTCATCTACAAGGAAAGAAGATAGCCCTTTTCTACTCAAGGCATAGGACTGAGTAAGGGAGGGGCTGCTAGTGTTGGCGACTGAATGAATCACAATAGTTAATGACTTGGGATATGAGTTATTCTTGATAGCTGCCCAAAGTCTCAGCTAAGCATATCCCAAAGTCCAGAACATATCGAGATTTTTCTCCGTGCTCTCATCAATATACTCGGGCTGTTCTCTGTACGTGAACTTCTCCCCACTGATCTCAGCAATGGCGCCCGTGACCTTGGGATTCGTCACGAATTCCTCGACTGCACTAACAGCCGTCGACATCGGGGTCAGGATCATGTTGTCGAAGAGCGCGCGATCTTTGGCGATGTTCGTTGCTATTCAGATAGAATCAGTTAGTCAGCCATTGCTTCGGAAACAGTCTCGTGGGGAGAATAATGAGGGAGGCAATACCGATCACGGCAGGAGCCAGAGCGTTGATCTGGATCCCTTCCAGCTCTAGAGATTTCGCCAGAGACCGCACGGCTCCTACAACCCCGTGCTTGGAGGTAGCGTAGATAGGCGCTATCGGGAAATAGTAAATTCCAGCATTCGAGGCTGTGCAGATGATTGATCCTTTGTACGCAGCTTCATTCTTGCGCAGGTAATGGATCCCTAATTTCACGGCTGCAAAGGAACAGGTTAGATAAATGCCGGGATATAAATACTACATAGAGGAGAACATAAATAACCACTCACTATACAAGTTCCCAATCAGGTTAATCTCCAGCGTCCTTAGATTCGGCTTCGTGGGTTCGCCCTCATCTTTCTGTACGAAGGAGCCCAGCTCCGTAACGCCCGCATTCGCAAACACAATATCGATACCGCCGAGCTCCTGATATACTTCGGCGAAGACCCTCTTCTGCTCATCCCAATCGGCAACGTCGCATTTCTTGGAGAGGAAGGTGACGCCGGGGTATTCGGAGCGCAGGCTCGACACGACGGACTCGGCGCTGGCGGCGGAGATGTCGAGGATGGAGATCTGGGACTTTTGAGAGGCGAAGAATCGCACGACGCCTAGGCCGATTCCTGATGCGCCGCCTGTGTGGATTTGTTAGGTTCGGGAGCTGAAGGAGGTGGGTTTTGTATGAATGCATGGATGGTATGTGTGTACCTGTGATAATCACTCTCTTTCCTGCGAGGCTTGAATGAGCCATGATCGTTGCCGGGAGGATCGAATCAAATGAAGCTGTAAATCAAGTGAGATATCAAAGCTGGAGACGATGGCCTTGAAGTGAAAATGCGGGGGAGGGAGGGCATCGTGGAGCTGTGCTCAAGAACGGGGACGACGCCCTCCCCGCGGAGCTCCCCTGCTGACATTCCTTGAAACAGCTCTTGGTGGAGTTGCAGGAACGAAAGGAGGGAGGATTCCCGAGCAGATGCAATGCAAACGTGGTTCTTCGATTCTCTCCGCGCTTTCTGGGAGGTTAAGGAACTCCCACGGCGGAGCGGCGGAAGCTTCCGGACCGGGCATCCCCCGCCCATCCCCCGCCAACCCCGCATTCTGCTGACCACGGACTGGGACTTCGGGACTTCAACAGAGCAAACGGGCCAATTCTTAAGAGATGGACACTCGGCGACCCGTCTGCTTTTATAGGCAGACAAGTAAAAGACCAGTTGAGGAGGTTGAGAGTCCCTGGTCTCGAAACTGCAACGAGGCAAGATGGCAGCAATCGTCCTGAAAGAAGAGACTCTGAAGTCGTTGTGCGGGAAAGTGGTCGTGATATCTGGTTTGGAAACCCTCATCTATCCCCCCCTCCCAAGAAAAGGGCTCGTTCTAATTCAATCCCCAGGAAGCGCAAAAGGAATTGGCGCATCGACAGTATCGCAATTGCACGCCGCAGGTGCGAAAGTCATCCACGGAGACTGGGATGAAGAAGCCTCCAAGCACGACACCCAACTGTCCACCTCTTCCACCAGCGGCGGAGAGACGCAGTTCGTGAAGACGGACGTCACCAACTATGACTCCGTTATGAATCTCTTCGATACCGCGTGGAAGAAGTACGCTCGCGTTGATATCGCCATCTGCAATGCGGGTATTCAGGAATCCGGGAATTGGTTCGATCCCTCACTGGATCTCGAGAGTATCAAGACCGTTCGTCCTCCCCCTCCCTCCCCACCCCCACGAAATTCTCTGAGACGACGTGCTGAGGGGATAGGAAATTGTAGAAACCATCCACCAAAACACTTGACGTGAACCTCGTCGGCACCCTGTACTTCTCGCGCATCGCCGCCGTCTACCTCCACCAGAATGCTAAACCGCATGAGGACAAATCCCTCGTTCTTCTATCCTCGGTTGCAGGTTTCATCGAGACGCCAGGTCTGTTCTGCTATACGTCTTCTAAGCATGGTGTTCTTGGCCTCCTCCGCTCTCTTCGTCCCTATATCCCTAAAACCCATGGTATCCGCGTGAACGCGATATGTCCCTGGATGACGGATACGGGCATGGTAGATGGAATCAGGGAGGGCTGGCTGCAAGAAGGACTGCCGGTTAATACACCAGGTGATGTGGGTAGGATCATTCTGGAAGTTGGGGGCGATGGCAAGACCAATGGGAAGGCGGTTTTTGTGGAGGGCGGACGGGGGTGGGATATTGAGGAGGGCATTCAGAGGACGGAGCCGCAGTGGCTCGGGGAGGAGGTGAGTAAGACTTTGGCAAAGGGACAGGCGGTCTTGGGAGATGGAACGGACTGGAAGAAAGTATGAATTTCAAGCATTTAGATTCTGCAGAATCGTGGAACTTTTCAGTTTCTCTTTTATTATTAGATGGTGTCTAAGATCTAATCGTCCGGCCCACTATCCTTCAGTAGCGCTTTCAATTGCTTTAACGTATCATCGCAGTTAACCTCCATTCCCCCCATCACATCAACACTTCCTTTGTTATTTACCAATAACTGGGTCACGAGCCAGTAGTTATACCCGTTTCGAAAGAATCCCAAATTGGCCCAGACATTACTAGGAATACTGGCTCGAATAGCAGTCCAGAGGACACGCCAGCGTGAGAGAGCGATTTTGATGAGCGCAATATTAGTGTCGACTGAGCGGCCTGGGGTAGCGCCAGAAGGGGTGGATGTTCCTGATGCGTTGGGAGACCGGGGAAGGGAAGGTGAGAAGAGCGAGATTTGTGTATGAGTATATACATAAATAACTGGGGCTCACATTAGTAAGGTATACTTCATAAACGTCTTGAATACTTACGATGTATTAATATGAACATATCGTAAGGATTCAACCCTAATGGGTTTGGCTCCTCTACCGCATTTTCCGGAATTTGCAATTTGTCTGGTCTAAAAAGACTTTTGAATGCTTCTTGAGTGGTGAGATGTCGACTTGCTGTGAATGTGGGCTCCGAAAAGGGGTGCTCAGACGCAAAGAGTGCATCTTCGCAGGGGAGATCGAACTTCATTTCTGTGACACTGAGTCGACAGGGGAAGTTCGAGAAGAATGCGAAGGCACAATCGAGAAGAGTCATGGTGCTCATCAGTCTATTGTAACAGAATGTCAGTAAAGGAGCGGATCGTGAAATAACGAGAGCCAACAATAATTACCTTATTTGGCATTCTTTTTGGATCCACAGACATTCTTCAAGGCTATCTTCAAGGTCATGTCTCGCTTTCGTCAGGCCGAGTCTTCTTGCCACCTATAGCTTCTCCGTCAGATACAGCTCTAGCTTGAAGATGCGTAGTGGATTCATTACCTTTACCACCACCGCAAATCTCTCAATAGCTCTCCTCCGAGCAACTGGATTCCCAGCCCAAAACTGGAGACACACCATCACGTATGCAGCCTGCAGATTCTGAAGTGCCATCGAGCTCAGCATGCCAGACTGATCTGGAGACGAACCCAACGAGGCCCGCAGCATTCTTTGAATCTCAGATTCTTCTGTGAGATCACTCGCAGAAAAAACAAACATCTCAGCCAGATCGAGCAAGATCTTCCCCGATTTTACTTCATGGTCAACTTGCGAGTACATAACTCCCATGAGAGTCATGGATATGAGTAGGGGCGTTGGTGTCGTCTCTATGCTAAATGTAGGTCGGTAGATGATAGGGCAGTGTGGATGCCAGAACTCAAAATAAAGGCTGACCATTCTTTCTATTCGAGAAGGTGTGAAGATATAATCCAGATGTTGCGAGAGATCTGTCTGCTCCTGAGGGTTCAAATTTAACAGGCTAGCTTTGCCCCGTAAGCCTTGTATAATAGCGGCTGATTGTACGCTCGCCGGCTCCCATTCCGGTGGACAGGGCATACCGGTGACTAGTCCAGCATGCGAGAAATTTGGATCCATGAACATCGGAGCAAATATATCATCAGCCTGCATTTGTACTTCCGTGAAGGGGCTGTTCAAGAATTTCAGGAGATTCTCGTCTTGGAATGATGACCAGTCAATAGGTTCATCTTCAAAAGGATCAGAAAAGGTACTGCCATTTTCACTGCCATTCCCAAAGAAGTGTAAAGCATTCGAATCACTCGATCCACTCGCGAAATTGAAGAGTTCTCGCCTCTCATTCTGAGATGGGTTAGAGGGGAAACAAAAGCATTCCATAAAGCTGGCAGTCCCCGAATTCAGGAGGAACTTTATAGACTCTCGGTCAGATGACGGGGTAGTGGTCTCTTGTGCAGGCTTAATAGAAGCTGTGGGGGGAAATAAAACGGTCAGTTTCAAATGGCGGGTTTTTCAACAGTGGCAAATGACTTACCAGACACGTCTGGTTTTACCCCAACACGCTTCGATTGCAGCCGGGAGTACTTGCACTCAATTCCCTTGTGACGACAAGTTTTACAAGGGTTGGACCCATCACAACCAAGTTTCATGGTGGTACACTACCCAGCAATTAGAATCCTGAGTTTTCAACGACAGTGGACCTAAAGGCTTGCCGTGTCACACGCATGAGATCTCCGGCCACCTCTTGCCGCCTCGGGGATTGGCCGGTTCATCCTCTGGGAGCAGCTTGGATAATGATCCCTCAGATTATCGCTGGTTCCGCAGTTAGCACGTCGAATCAATGCAGCAGCGAATCAGAGATCTTGCCTCCGGGTAAACGAATCGTTGCAGAAGATACAAGAGTAAGGCTTCACCCCCGAATCTAGACTTGTTGTTAGCCTTCTCCTCCCCGACACAGGGCTGGTTGCATAGCCTTACGCCGCAGATGATGCCGCTTGAGATGATCCGTCCGCGAGAAGCGCCGCTGGCATATGGAGCACGTGACGCTCTTCGGCGTGGAGATGTCTAGATTGGTCGGCATACTGCTGGGAAGATGAAGGGTCGTGACGCTTCATTGTCCAGTCTGTGGTCATGGGCGGGTGGAGGTTGACTACGGCAAAAACATTGAAGGTTGAACGGAAGGGTATTGCGGAGACGTAGGGCCTAAATAAGTGGTTCTCCAGTTCCCCGCAATTCTGGTGAGGAGGGCCTGAGGCAGCGAGAGAGCACGGCCCTGCTTACATATCCGCCTCCCACCGTCTCCCACCGACTGCTCCGAGAGCGGACTTTGATATAGGGACGGGTTAATAGGTCTGATGTGTTTTGTATGTGTTTTGTATGTGCTTTATATGTGTTTTATAGTTTTTTTATATGTGCTCTAGATGTCTTTCAGAATTGATTATTCTGTTGCGACTGTTGCCTCTAGCTCTCTCAATCCCCCTTTGCAATGTTCACAATTCATGTTGAATGTGTTGAACGCAGTCAACCATGACCCCCACCCCATCCCACGCTCCCCCTTCCCTTCTCCTGACTGGAGAGTTCCGGTGTTGAAGCCCCGCGCGGACTTAGTACGGCCCCCGAATCCCGCCCCGACCTCCAGATCACGTGATTGTCTCGCTGAGCCTCAAGTTCACTGCTACCTTACCTGTACCTTAGGTAAGGTACCTTATTGTCCGTCCACGTCAGTCGTTATATATTTAAGCTGTCTTCTTTATATCTCTATATTAAACTAGTCTCTCTTCTTTCTCTCCCCTTGCTTCAACTTTTTGTCTTCTCGGCACTTCGGCTTCTTATGCCGATAGCTTAACACTGTAGTTCCAGCCCTCCCCTGACTCTGGTTAAATGGGTAATTGGCGATGCTGCTAAGCTCTTGGACAACCTAACGGCTAAAGAGTTGATATATGAACATTTCTCTACCCCAGACCAATGGAGAATGAAATGCATGATGGGAAGCCAGAATTCAAGGGCAAATATGTGCAGTTAATAAAGAATATCAACTATAAAACCCACAAACCAGCCTCCTTGCAAGTAATGAGATCTGCTCATCCCTGAATTACCTAAAAGTGCCATCCTCTTAACGGTTGCCGATATCAGTTCTCCCCACTTGAAATCATGAGGTGTTGACCCAAGAACCCGCTGAAATACTTTCCTGGCTCTGGGTGGTGGATGGAAAGGGGAAAAGGGGAAGCTTTAGATTAAGCTCACCCCGCTCTGTGGATACAGACACATAGATGTACGAAAACCCCTCACGAGCGACAGTAACACGGACTAATTAGACACCCCGCTGATCCTCGCACCCCCGAGACAACTTCACCTCTTCCATACCTTACCTACCGCAAACCCATTGAAAGCTCAACCGTTCAATAGAACATATCTCAAAATTAGCAGACGGTCTGTTTTCTCCCCCAAGAAATTCATATCCCCTCCAAGTTTATAAAGCCGCGGGAGACGGTATACGGGGACCGGATTATGCCTTGCCGGCAAGATTAATCTCGACAAGGCTGACACTTTTGGTTGAAGGTCCCCAAATTCCACGCGAATAACCTCACATGACGACACCGAGCCCAGCATGGTGCCCAGTCAGGCGCCCCGAGCCTCTGCGACCATGCCAGGCCCTATGCCGCCGTTAACCAGAAGCACGACGCTGCCCGCCAACGTGCGAAGCCTCGCGCCCGACCGCACGCTGCTCGCGCCCGAAGATGCGATCTATCAGGGGTCGCCGCCGCAGAAGCACTCAGTCGCTGCGAGCCGGCTGCAGAAGGACATGTGTATGACCAGCGTGGACAATTCAGCGTCGCCGAGTCGAGGGAGACGGAAGAATAGGGAGCAGAGTGGTAGTCGGACTCGGCGGAGGAAGGGGGCGTGGAAGAAACTATTGTGGGTGAAGCAGTCTTGTGAGTACCCCCTTTTTGACTCGGGATTGTGCCAATTGCTGATGAGATGTAGATCCTGATAACTATACGGATCAGAATACCTTCCTCGAACACCTGCAGCGCAATCCACGGCTTAAACCGTATGCGTTCTGGCCTCTGGTGGCAGACTCCACGGTTATCGTTCAACACGTCTGCTCCGTCATCATCTTCGTCGTTTGTTTCGTTGGGATATTCCAAGAGCGGGTGTCCCCCGTTGCGGTGGTTGGCTGGGGTAGCATCGCGACATTTATGGGCTGGTTACTATGGGATTGGTGGGTTGGACAAGAAGAGGCTGCAAGCTTGGCCTCGAATAACCCCACGAGCATCTCCGCCGCGAGCTCTACCTCGAATCTAGGAAGCACGAATACAGGGACGGCTCCCAACCCAGGCCTCTCATCGCGACAACACTCGAACTCTGCATCAGCCTCGGCCTCCTCCATCCCCTCCACGCTGCCCAACAGCGCCTTACACTCCCAAACGCCCACGCCACGCTCAACGCCCAACTACCCACCCCCGCACTCCCTCTCCAAGCCCTTCAGCCACCGCACCTCCCTCCGAATCTCCACTGCCAAATCCGCACTACTCATCTACTTCACCCTCCTCGGCCTGTCCCCGATCCTGAAATCGCTCACACGGTCCACATCCAGCGACAGCATCTGGGCCATGTCCTTCCTCCTCTTCACCATCAACATCTTCTTCTTCGACTACAGCTCGCCGGCCCCGCAATCCATCACGTCAGCCGGGAAGAACATCCCCGCCAGTCTCAGCACCAACGCCGCTCTGATGGCGTCGACCGTGCTCGCGAGCCGTCTGCCGAGCACGGGCCAGGTCTTCTCGCTCACGCTCTTCTCCATCGAGGTCTTCGGCCTGTTCCCGGTGTTTCGGCGCTACGCGCGCCTGCGCTCGTGGCGCGGCCATGTCGCGCTCACGACACTGCTCGTCGTCGGGGCCGGGGGCGGCGTGGGACTCATCCTGGGACATGGAGGCGATGGCGACGGGCTCTGGGATTTCCCCTGGAAGAGTGGGCTGATGGGCATGGTGATCGGGGTGCTGGTCACGGGGCTCGCGATGGGTGGGTGTAGTTGGTGGTTGATCGGCTTGCAGAAGTATAAGAATGAGATTCATGGACCGTGGGATCCTGCGAGGCCGGTTATTCGGAGGTGGGATGATTATTAGGGGGTTGGCGTTGGCGGGGAAGAGGGAGATAGATAGATAGATAGATAGATGGAATATGAAATAAATTAATATTTGGATACAAAGTAATTCCTTCGAAATTTCCTCTCTCTATGATATATCCTCAACCTCCTCCCTTCCCTTCCCTTCCCTCACTTCTCCAACATACATCCAATTCTCATACCAGAAAAGCAAGCCCGCAATTCTTCAACACTTCAAAACACAGACTGTCTAACAAAGTTCATCACCAAGAATCATAAGACATCAATGTATATCGTAAGATCATCGATCATTTCTTCTTCTTCTTCTTCTTCTTCTTCTTCTTCTTCTTCTTCTTCTTCTTCTTCTTCTTCTTCTACACTCAACCCGATTCTCGAGTTTGTTCGAGTCTAGAGTCAAGTCTAGTTAGTTAGTTACATACATACATACGTGCATGCGTGCGAATCCAGTCTACCAACCGCACCGAAAACAGAGAAGAGAAAAAGAAAAACGCCAGCCAGCCAGCCAGTCAATTCTCTATCAAGGACCACGCTCATCTCAACATCCCGATTAGTAATGATGTCAAAGAAGTCGTGTGCCTCTCATCAGATAGAGGAGTTTACCAAACGTACGCTCCCAAAAACGCCTGTCCTGGACCCCCCTACCCCCCCCACCCCCCCGGTGCATGCATGCATGTGTTCCATTGATACGAACAAAGAAGGGGATGAGCCCTTTGCTTTTCTTTCATATCGGTATCAACACGCTTCCATCATAAAATCATACTGTTACAGTCCCCGTTAAAATGCATTAGCGTAATGAATTACCTCTCTCACATCACGTTTCCGCCTTGCCGCGCCGGCCGCCCGTCGTTGAGGAAGAGCTCTGTGCCTTGGGCTCTCGGGGGTGTTACGGGTCGACTCGAGTTCATCCATTGCTCGCTTGGGTTTTGCCGCGCGGCTCGCCGCTGCTCGAGATAGGTTTGGGAGGACGGGACGTGGCTTTGGTAGGGTTCTGGTTCATCGATGGCCATCCCGATACCTGCCCCTCGGCCGATCGGGTAGGGTGGATCGGGGTGATCAGGAAGCCTTCCGTAGGGTGACTCGCCCATGCTTTGGCCGGGGGTTGGATTCCTCCCCAGGAGGCGCTCTGGACTTCCCCCGTATGGCAAGTCGTATCTTGTACCTTCTGTACTTATATCCTGCCCGTTCAAATCATAGCGCTGATGTGTGGGGACGTAATTCGAACTGCCTGGATCCAAGGGGTTGGGTTGTGCATGAGCGATCAGACCAACGCCCTCCTCATCCTGGGCTGTTGTGTTCGGCATTCCGAAGGTATTCTTGCGGAATTCATTCGCGATAGGTAGACCTGCTCCCCTATATCCACCATCCGTTGCTCCAGTCTCGCCTAGAGTCATATCGTGGTCGTTGTCAGGGGCAAGGGCACCGAAGCTGAATGGCTGGTTCTTGTATGAAGGATCATTCTCACGGTGTTTCCGGCCGACAAATAACCATTTCATTCCACGTCCGAAGCCTTTCACCAGATCCCACGGGTTCAATGCATCTACGAAGGCCTTGAGACCGAGGAAACCGCCCTGCTTAGGCCCAATGGCATCTGAGCCTGAAATGACAGATAAGCCCGACGAGAGAGGGTACTTGGAGGGCTGTATTCCCTTCGAATAAGGCTTGTACGGGAATGCGAAGAGGTGGAGGAAGGAGAAGATGGCCATCTCGATGCAGAGAAGCAGGGATGGGATGCCGACTTTCAGATCGGGGTAAGCGATTTTGCTCGAAGGCTTGACTACATCCAGTGTTGTAGAGGTGAGGATACTGATCAAGAAGGATTGCCAGAAGGAGAGGAAGATCACCAGCTTGATGGAGACAACTTTCAGGAACGGATGGTGGGAGGCGAGATCCACTCGAAGTTGGACGTAGAACTGGATTAGGCAGTACATGGCCACAGTGACCGAAGCACCCTCAATGACGAGGATCTGACATGGTTAGCTGAGAAGTAACGGGGGAACAGCCAAACATACCCAGATATGTCCAAATACAGGGGAGTTGGAAGACTCGCAGTATTTACCAAAGTACTGCGTGACCACCGCAGTGATGGTCATGGAGACCCTGATGAAGCAGTATTGGTAAACGCCCGTCCAGATGATGTTGAACCAGGTCAATCCGCTCCTTGGCGTTCGCCATGGCCCCCTCTCTCCCCCGCAGCATTTCTTCATCCATGAGATCGGAAGGACCCAGTCCTTTGGTTGAATGCCGCGGAAATAAGCCTTCTGGTCGTGGAGAGTCGGTGCGATGTAGTGGCAGAGGAGAGCGAAGAATGAGGCGATCGCAAAGGCCTCGTAACATTCGGATATGACCTGAAAGTAGATGGCATGCCAGTAGTACCAGAAGGCGAGCAGCGAGGCGGCTGAATAGGTTGGTACCATGAACAGAATACGGATTATGCTGTAACGTGTTAGCTGGTGCAGAGAGAGAGGAGCGCAGCGGTTCGGGCACGTACTGTCTTTGCTGGTCAGGATTTGTGTAGTGGAGAGCGTGCATCCACATCAAGTAGAAGGAGAACAGAATGGATATTAATGTAGATGCTGCTGCGATTATGATTCCCAGATCGTGGAAAGTCAGGGACCCAGCGACTGGGACTTCAGAGGCTCCAACTGTGAGTTCCCATCAGCATCGTATCCAGGGACGGATCTGGAGAGGGAGCGCATACTCCGCATATCATCCAGTGTCGCATTACATGTTGTATTGATCGAGAGCATCTTGGCGGTGGACACCAGGCACCGCCAGTGAAAGTTGCTCCCTTTCCTTTATATCGCTGGAAGAGCCCTCGCCAATGCTGTCGCGCCCTCCAATATTCTATTCCTCTCTCGCGCTCGATTCTCGAAGGCGTAGCGGCGGTGTGTTCTTTGGAGGGGAGACCCGTTTAGATCTGTGTCTCAGATGTTTTACTCGGGGCTCGTATGGGACGCGGGGGTGGTTATCGCTCGTGCAAGAGGGCGTCGGATGACGTCGAATGGCGTTGGATGGGAGATTGGAAGAAATTGGACAGGATCGCAGGGCATTTGGTCGAGGAAGACCATAAAGAGAGTTGTTGGCAAAAGAGGCGCCTTTGACAGGTCTCGACAAGAGGCGTTTCGCAACGATTGGGGTTTTGGGGCTAAGAATAATAAATCCGCAAATTACGGCGAACGAAGGTTTCTTTGTAAGTTTGGTTTTCCCCTGCACAGCCTCGTAGACCTCGTATGTCCCTTTTGATTAAGGAATTCTTTTGATTATTAGGTATTCATTTACATTATTTTACATTATTCTACTCCGTACCCGCGCACCCATCCAACGCGTTGCGCAAGACCACGAATCATGCTGCCGTCCACGCGGACGTCTCACACACGAAAGCCAAAGAGAGGCACACCCACGCTGGCACACTGAAACTCGAGCACGCGCTGCTGATTCAGCGCCGTGGATTATCCAATAAGTTCCGGTCTGACTACGGACATTATAACTACAAGTATTAAGCCTCGCTTCTTCGGCATCGTGCGAATCGAATTAATTATGGGAATGTCACTCGTGTTTCTTGATGGGACGACGTGGGCCCTGGAATTTTTGAAACAGCGCGGCAAAGGTAGCATCTCACGCCTAGGTACTTTTCAGCTGGTTCTTTTTCATAATGTACAGAAATGTCTATACTGTCGATTCCTTTGCTTCTTCCTTTTCTTTTTTTTTCCTCTTTTTTTCTCTTCAGACTGTTGGCGGCGGGGCGGGCCGTAGACCAGGAACGCTTCGTTTTGTCCCTGATACCCGACGCGAGAAACGAGAGACCATCACTTACTTCAGCAGGGTCATATTCATAACTTCGAATCCTATGTTCAAATCATTAGGATCTTTTCAGTGATCGAGGGCTATCCTCCAGCGAGACTGCCCTGCAGGTTCCAGGTTCCAAGTTGCGCCCCATTCCATTTCCAGATGACATCCATATCCGTAAACCGTATTCTTACAAGTAACCATCCTCTCTCCCCCTTTCCTGCCTGCAGCAACACTCCAAAGCCCATGCCCTCTACGCATTCTCCACCCACTGCTCAATCCTCTCCACCAAATCCGCCTTCTTGCCACTAGAACTCAGCCCCCTGGAATTCAACCACTCCTTCAGGTCCGCAACCACGAACTTCTGCAGATTCCCCGCTGCGATCGCGGCCCTGAGATCAGTGATGCTCATCCCATCCAGGCTCTGCGCGGAATGCGCTGGGCGGGCTTTCTTCTTGGGGCCTCCGTCGTCTTCATCATTCCTCTCCCGTTTGATGCCTGCACCTTTCCGCTCTGTCTCGAAGGCCCGCGCTTTCTCGTCAAGTATCACGCCCCATCTATGTACATACTCGCCGGCTCTCTTACTAGAAGTTGCCACAGGGTTAGCATCACGCATCAAGGCGGGTATGAACATTGATTCCCAAGTTGCATCGCAAAGCACATTCGACAAGCAAAGCCCTCCGGTTCACGAACACCGACCTGGAAAGATAAGAGCACGGTCAACATACTTAATTTGTCTATATCTCGGGATAGTTTTATCCTCTGGTGTTTCGGGCAGCTCTTCCTCAAGGGCAATGGCCTGGAGGATCTTGTAATGCCATTGTAGAGATGGATTGGGATATTTGCGTGGGTCGTAAGTAGCTTTTGGGAGTTGTAGTTGCTGGACGACTTTCCGCATTGCATCGACTAGGTTATCCGGAGCGACAACCGGAGTCGGACAATCGGGTGCTTGTCGAATATCGTCTGCAAACGGGAGAGGGTAGAGCCACAGGCCCTGTGGAATAACTTGGCCACCTGTCTGTTCATCAATTGTTTCAGTAGAGGGGAGAATAGCGACAAGGCTCGGACTGGCATTTCTGCGTGGGATATGCCAGGCAACTCCCATTTTCTTGTCCTTAAGAAGCTTTTGCCACAGAGCGGCAAAGACGCGGGTCGACCCAACATAGTCCTCCTCACTGGGGTATATGAATGTGGACTTCTTCACGGAAGCCCAATCTGGAAGCATTGACTGCGGTTTAAAGCCAATGATACGAAGGATTGGCGGACCGAAGTTCTTCAACTCCTTCTGCTCTTCTGGTGTAAAGAAGACCGTATCACCAGCAAACTTGTATGCCTTTTTAACCTCTGCTTTCTCTACTGTTTGAGCTGTGTCGTCTGCGATCTTGGTGGTTTCGCCTGCAACGATCTGAGCCCTCTCGCCGTCGAGGTATATGTACGAACTTCGAGCGGGTTCCTGCTTCTGAATGATATTATAACCTTTGACAGAGATTCTGAATCCCGGGCCAATCTCAAAAGGCAAATTAGAGAATAAAGCTCGCTTTAGAACTTGTTTTGAGTTTATATCTGAGATAAGGCTGTTCAAGAGTGGTATCCCATCCCCTCCTGAGGATGTGAGAGTTGTCGGAACCAAAGCAGGTTCTTCCCCTTCGTTTGGGTCACGATAGATAATATCCTAGTATCATTAGCAAAACGACGGCAAAGAAAAAGAGGGATCATACATCATAGAACTTCGCGCGATCGAATTTCTGATCCGGACGCGAAACCGGAAACAGTTCAATAACAACGCCAAGATCATACAGATCCTTCGCTCTAACAGCAGCCTGCGACTTCGCGTTCTTATCACCCGCATGCGGATCATCATTATCTGTTATAATAAACAGTCTTCGCGATCCGAAATTCGGCGCCTTCGTAGTGAAGATCTGATTTGCACAGAACAAAAGATTAGACATAGCGACGGGCTCCTGCGAGGGGACCAACAGCTTTTTCGCTTCATCCCCATCTTCAATAACCTCCCTCAAGATCTTGACATCCTCGACGGCCGGGATATCGAGGTCGTTGAGAAGATAGCAGTGGGGATATGCCAGACCTCCTCGTTGATTTCCATCGTCTCGTTGGGATTTGGATTCTTCTGTGCCAAAGAGCAGAACTCCCATCATATCCCGTGGGTTCGATATAATTCTCTGCTGCATGATATGGTATGCGCATTTGAGGGCTGCTACTGTCGGGCTATCGGTGTCGGCTTTCTTCTCATCGGATGGTGGAGGAGGGGTGAGCATGCTCTTGCTGACATCGATGGCGAAGAGGACGGCATCTTTTTGAGCAATGTAGTCCTGCTGAGATTAGATTTGGCTTTATTATGCGCAATACAAGCTCACCAGCTCATCATACTCCTCCTCTTCCTGATCATCCTCGGTCTTGATATGTTCGTCCGACATTGTAGATTAACCAGTGGCGGTTTGTATGAGAACCTCGAGAGAAGATGTATTCAAGGGCAAGACTGAACCGTTTGGTAGAAAGCCTAGAAACAGTGTTGATGCCCAGCGTAGATTGGCTACCTCGTTGCGCAGTAGGACATAATCGATGCGCTCATCGTGTGCTGAGGCAGACGCGACCCTGAAATCCGGAGAAGCGTCGTTGAGACGCCAAAGCACGTGACCGCGATAAGCCCGCTCTGTACCCGCAAATCTCATGAAAAGCGCAGTTTACCTTACCTTAGCAAAGCATCGGGAAAGCAAGGCAAGTGACGGTCTTTGAAGGCGGGGTACAAGGTGGGGGTACGGTTCTTGATTGTTCAAGTGTTCAAGTATACATACAATAAATACAAGTATCTCGCTGCATCTCTTTGCATCTCTTTGCATTTCCTCTCGTTCTGCTATTCTGTTTGTCCTTCATCCATTTACTGCGCTTCACTTCCTCAACATTTCACTACCCATTGACGAACTCTCCTTTCCCTCCCTCACACACAGATATGGCAGACACCCGGTTCAAGCTCAACACCGGCGCCGAGATCCCAGCTCTAGGTCTGGGCACCTGGCAATCTCCACCTGGGGAAGTTAAAAAAGCAGTGTCCTATGCCTTGTCCATCGGGTACAAACACATCGATTGCGGTACGTTCCTCCTCTCTCCCACCTGAGCCCTCCTGATTTCCATAGCCTATTGTTACGGCAACGAAGACGAGGTGGGAGAAGCGCTGAAGGAAGCCTTCGCAAGCGGCATCAAGAGAGAGGATATCTTCATCACCACCAAGTTATGGTGCACCTACCACTCGCGCGTCGAGCAGAACCTAGATATGAGCTTGAAGAGTCTGGGCCTGGATTACGTGGATCTCTATCTCATGCATTGGCCCACGGCCATGAACCCCAACGGTACGTTCACATTCAGCATCGCAGTGGCCAGCGGGAATCCCAATCAGCTAAGACCTCGCTCGCCTAAGGAAACCACGAGAAGTTCCCCAAGCTCCCCGATGGCTCCCGCGATATCGTCAGCGACTGGTCCCATGTCCAGACATGGAAGGAGATGGAGAAGCTGCTCGCGACAGGCAAGGTAAAGGCCATCGGCGTTGCGAACTACAGTCTGCGATACCTGGAACAGCTGCTTCCGCACGCGACCGTGATCCCCGCCGTGAACCAGATCGAGAACCATCCATCCTTGCCGCAGCAGGAGATCGTGGATTTCTGTAAGGCGAAGGGCATCCATATCACGGCTTACAGCCCGCTCGGTAGTACGGGAAGCCCGATGTTCACAGCGGAACCGGTGGTGGAGGTTGCTAAGAGACGGAATATCACACCTGCCTCCGTCCTCCTGAGTTATCACAGTAAGCCTCAATTTAACTCCCAGCTCGGTGACGGATTCTAACTATAGCAGTTGCACGCGGAAGTTCCGTGCTGGCGAAATCCGTCAATGCAGGGCGGATAAAGGCGAATATGGACCTGGTGAAGCTGGATGATGAAGATATGAAGATCCTGAATGATTACTCGCGGGGATTAGAGAAGTCTGGGAAGCTGGTGAGATACGTTTACCCTGCGTTTGGGGTTGACTTTGGCTTCCCTGATAAATCTTAAGTTTTCCGGTTGTGTTTTGAGACCGTTTTATGGGCGCGCCTAGAGTGTGGAAATGGCTGATGGGCTCTCTGAGGCTGAGTATCTCAAGTGCCATGAATTTCTGGTCATGCGCGGATATAGAGTGCTTTGGGTACCGTTTCGCATCAATTAATGCCTCTATTTTTAAACCGTTATGCCATTATACATCAAGAAGTCGTTGTATTTCTAATGACATTTGTCAAACACGTTCAATAAATACCTTCAAACTTCCCCTCCAAGAGTAGGAAGTATACATCTTACTCTCTCCCACTCCCTCCCACACCCAGCATTCGATTTATTTCAACCCTCCCCACCTCCCTCCCCCCAACCCAAAATACCATCACACCACCCCCCAAGCACCCCACGCTCCCAAAAGCAACCCCCATCCAAACCCAGCATTCCTCACAGCACCACTTCCACTTCCCAACCCCAAAGTTCCCCCCTCCGCTCTCGTCGTCGTCGTACTCGTCATCGACCTACTACTAGACGAAACCTGCGAGCTTAAAACCGTGACGGTCGAGAATTCCCAAACTAGGATCTCGGTGAGTGTCTCTGTTGTTGTGCAATAAGAGAGGGCGTTTTTTGCTGTCGGTGAGTCTTCGAGGGTTTGTGCTGCTGGAGGGGTTTCGAAAGTGAAGGGGGGAATAGGGGTTGAGGTTGGATGTTGGGCTAGGGAGGGGTGGGATAAGAGGAGAAGCAGGGTTGGGAGGAGGAGGGTTGGTGGATGCATGGTGTTTGTTTGTTGTGCTTTGGTGGGGAGTTTGAGTAGGGGGAAGGGAGCGGGAGAAAGGGGATAGATATAAAACTGTCAGCTTTTGTTCATAGGAGTACATCGAAACATGCATCACGATATCTCTTTGAATGGGAGACGGTTACCTCAGCCAGCTGGCGATACCAACAGAATCGAAATGCCTTTTCCCGTAGTATTGCGAAACATAGCTCCCTTTTAAATGCATGTATGTCCCCGAGACATATTTCGAGAAACCAATCTAAAACCCACGAATTGTTTCTCTCGCACAACCATCAGCAAACGAATATTACGAGGTTATGCAATGTAAATATTTCCAAGTAGATCGTTAAAGAACTTCTTTATCGTGCTTCGCTTTCAATTCAAGGATAAGGTACCCTTTCTGCCGAGCGGAAGGGGTTCTTCATAACTATTGCCGCTGGTGAGAGAACGACTCTGAGACCCGGTCATCCAATCTCGAATCTCTCGATGGTATGCCTCCAAGTAGTACTAGAGTTGTGAGCAGTAGAAGCAATCATCGGCTGCCTACTCTTTCCCAATACTCCTGGAGTTCTTTGAACTTGAATGATACTAGCCAAGATGCCAACTAAAGCTTCTTACATTTGTGACTCGGCAGTACATGCCAGAGCCAAACACCACTCGATGATGCAAACCATCCAGCCTTTAAAGTAGATCTAAGTAAATGAGGTAGCATGGTCGCTCGACACAGTTCTTTTTTTAGCTGCCAAACGCTTTAATAACGGCGACGGAATTGATATTTGCAGACACGATTGAGCGCTCTGAATTTCTGGAATACCCCAAGCTGGAGTAATATTGGGAATGCTTGCTATGAGGACAACGCCAGCCTTGACCAAATCGCACCGATCAAGTCGGGCTCACCCCCATCTAATGCGACGAAGACTCGATTTCTCTCGAGGGACGAACAATCCCAGGATCCAAGCATTGTCGGCAGCTATCCCGACTTGCTCTTAGCGGTGAAGCGATCAATACTGAAACATTGGCAAACTTTCCTCCTGTGACGAGTAATGGGACAACAGAAACAATCACAGTCTGGGAGGGAGTATCTGGTGTAACTGAGAGCACCAATGAATTTGGAGAATTTCGTCTCTCTAGCACTGGTCCGATTCGCGATTTCCATCGTAAACTCTCAGCCTTGATCCAGAGCTTCTGAAAGCTCCATCCACTGTCCGCTTGGCAGAGGCAGTATGTGGCCTGAAACCCAGATGGCTGAAAGTATCTGCAATGCAGGAGCTGTAATATCATTGCGTGATCTGCCAGTACGAGCAGGCTTTAGACCTCCCCGAGAAAGAGTCGCGTCCCAGAGACTTCTGGTAGGTCTGGCTGCGTGGTTGTGTTGGTTGTGCTCCTGGAGATATTGGAAACCAAGGTCCTTTGTTGTCGATCTGGGGGGTCTGTGAGCTGCAGCCCATCAAAAGTACTTGTATTGACATGGCGGGGAGGGAGCGAAGTGGAGAAGGGGGTTGGGGGTGTTGGTATGTATACTCGGTTGCTTGCGACATCACGGAGCTCCGCTTGTCAGTGCCATACATAAACCTCACCCTCCACTTCACTCCTCTTTATTTTTCTCCACTGGTCAATCCAGGACCGTCAATTCATCGCACGACCACATCGAAAACCAACGACCTCATCCGTGCTATTTCTTAGATATCAACAGCAGATATTGAATCCGTGACGTCATCTTCCTCAACTCCATCATGACCGCCAGGAAACTCCTCATCATCGGCGCGACAGGCAAGCAAGGAGGCGCCGCCATCGACGCTCTCCTCGCGAGCTCTACCCCCTTCCAAATCCTAGCCTTGACCCGCAATGCCTCGTCCGAGAGCGCCAAAGCCCTCGCTGCCAAACCCAACGTCACTGTCGTAGAAGGCGACGCTACAACTCCTGCGCCCATCTTCGCAGCCCATGGGCCCATCTATGGCGTCTTCCTCGTCACGACATTTGCCCCGGGCAAAGAATCCGTGGAGGAGGCACAGGCCGGGCCCGTGATTGAGGAAGCAGTCAAGAACGGCGTCGAGCACTTCGTCTTCACCTCCGTGGATCGCGGGGGAGCGGAGAAGAGCGACGAGAATCCAACTGAAATCCCGCACTTTGCGAGCAAACACCGTATTGAGAAGGTGCTGAAGGAGAAGGCTGCTGCGTCTAATATGCAGTGGACGATCTTGCGCCCAGTGGCTTTCATGGATAACATGTCGCCGGATTTCATGGGCAAGGCCTTTGCGGCCATGTGGGCGGGCGTCGGAGACAAACCCTTACAGTTGATCTCGTGCCATGATATTGGTGTCTTTGCCGCGAGGGCATTCGCCGACCCGGAGGCTTATAAGGGCAAAGCCATTGCGTTGGCTGGAGACGAGTTGACTTTGGAGCAGGCCAAGAAGGTGTTCAAGGAGACTCTTGGGTATGACATGCCTGAGACTTTCTGGTTTGTGGGCTCCGGGATCAAGTTCATGGTTAAGGAGATGGGGACTATGTTCGCATGGTTCAAGGATGAGGGTTATGGTGCTGATATTCCAGCTCTGAGAAAGGAAGAGCCTAGATTGCAAGACTTCGGCACATGGTTGAAGGAGTCGAGCCAATTCAAAAAGGAGTAAGGACGGTCATTGTTATGAGTTATGGAAACGATACCTAATAGCCGGATGGGGATATTTCCTTTTTCCTTTTTCCTTTTCCTTTCTACTTGTTTTGACAGTGCTTCTTGGTAGGGCTTCTTGATTCTTAATGTTGCTTTTTCAGATGTTGCTGTCTCCAGTACTCGTCCTGTATAAGGTATCATCTTTCACGGCCCATTACTACGCAATGACAGTTTCAGAATCCCTGTCTGAGCAAGATGAAGATGCGTGTTTTAATGTTGGAAAGCATGTCGTAATCCGTGCTATTCATCAGACCAGGATGGCTGTAGAACACCGCTCATAATGACAGAAGACAAAAATAGTAAAAGAGGATACGCATGTTCCAGCCCCTTGTGTCCCAGACGCTCTAGTCGACCAGCTGCCCTGTCACCCTTAATTCGACAACAACTACTACGTACCATCTTTTCTCAGTATCTCAGAAAGAATAGATAGTATATCATGGTGAAATGCCAGTAGCTTCACAGGGTTGATAGAGCGATGGCGGCCGAGGTCCAGATTCAAATAGACGTTCTGCAACTTTCCCCACAATGGGAGCTGAGTCAGCAAAACATCTGGGATGACAGATGACGCACGAGAAAAGTCACGGGACTCAGGAGTGATCAGTGCTTCTGCTGAGTAATCAACGGGCTAGCTGCTGATTACATAAGGAGCCGAGGATCTCAAGTCAGCATTACGGAGTCCTTCCTAAGAATCAAACCACCAAACAAGCCTCACCCCATGAAAAGCCTCCAGCCTCAAGTCGAGCAAACAGTAAGTAATTTGTTTCCAAGCATCTTGTAATTCCTTACTGTGCGCGCTCTCTCTTATTCTCACGCTCTCTCCAATCTTCTATTCTAGTCGATTGGTGCCAGCTTTGCATCTATATATGAAGCTCTTTCTTCTCTTGACTTCAATTTTCGTCGCCTCCATATCAATCTACTTCTCTGCCCCACTCCGCGAGCTGTTGAACAACTTCACAAAAACAACCACAACCTCCAGCTCAATCCCAATCGCAACCGCAACACCTAAGCAAGCAATCGAAACACTCTCAGTCTCAGAGTCTATGCGCGTCGACTCCGCCATTCGAAACACCATGTCCAAAGCTCTCAGTCACGCCAAGATCGTACCCCGCCGCTCCAGCGAGCGCGGTCATTCCGACCATGGCTGGCTGAACACCTACCATACCTTCAGCTTCGCCAACTACTACGATCCGCGCTTCGAGAACTTCGGGAGCCTGCGCGTGCTCAACGAGGACCGCGTCGCGGCGGGCACCGGCTTCCCTACACATCCCCACCGCGATGCGGAAATCTTCAGCTATATCCTGAGCGGCGAGTTGACGCACCGCGATAGCATGGTCAAGAAGGGCGCCGAGGGTTCTCAGGGCGATGATTTCTACAGGATGAAGAGGGGAGATGTGCAGTTTACTACTGGCGGAAGAGGTATGTTCTGATCCGCCCTGATTCATGGTATACGAATCTATGCTAACGCGTGATGATGCTGGACAGGAATCGCACATTCCGAAGGCAACGAGTCCAACGAAACCGTCCACTTCCTCCAAATCTGGGCCCTTCCATGGGCCCGCGGCCTCACCCCCCGCTACCATACCCGCACTTTCGACGAGGCCGCAAAACGCACCGCATTCCTCCCCATCCTCTCGCCCCTCAAGGCCGGGCCCGGCGCCTCCGCCGCCGAAGAAGAAGCCGCCGAGCCCACGCTCAAGGACACGATCCCCATCCACGCGGATTTCGTCATGGCGGCCGGCATCATCGGCGTCGACAAGCGCTTCAAATGGACGGTGGGCGGCGACGCCGTGAGGAAGATGACGAACCGCAACGTCTACGTGCACCTCCCGATGTGCAAGAATGGGAGCGCGAAGATCAGGATTGCGGGCAGGGAGGATGCGGTGCTGGCCGAGGGCGATGGAGCCTTCGTGTCGGGCGTGAATGCCGGGGATGTATTGAGTATTGAGAGTATTGGGGAGGCGGAGGCGGAAGTCGTGGTTCTGGATAGTGATTAGATTTATATATAACTTTCCTAGCATGATACCATCTTGGCCGCCCTTCCAAATTATCCCCATTCACAAAATGTAATAAAGATAGAATTTACGATATACCTACGATTTTCACACCTGATTTCGCACCCTTCTAACATAAGCGAGACCCCCTTATCCAGGATGGTGATTGAAAGAGGAAAAGAACATGGCAGAGCAGAGACAAAAGAGATTCTTTCATGATCAAGATATTGATTCGTAGTCCCATATCCCGCAGATGAAGAATCAGGAGGTACGTGTAAATACAGAGGCAAAAACACCAAAAGCAAAATTAATAGAATTAAAAAGAAGACAGCGAAAAAGAAAAAACATACAACAGCAGGTATTCGCTGGTGGTCACCCACCCAACTACTAATCTGCCGATCTGAAGCTTGAGTATGGCAGAGCGGACGGGATGCCCTATTTTCTTCAGTCTGTGGTCGTATGTGACAGGAAAAGAGTTATTTGGGAATTTATAGAGGATAGGGTAGGTGGAGACAGAATGTAGGCGGAAAAAATACATACAACAAACAGCATGAAAACATATTGAGCGTGTTCCCAGATCCCGCAGGTGAAGAATCGGGAGGGTTTGCATAAGTCAAGAGGCAAAAACACCAAAAATGAAAAGGAAAAATAAAAAACATACAACAGTAGGTATTCGCTGGTGGTCACCCACCCAACTACTAATCTACCGATCTGAGGCTTATGTATGGCAGAGCGGACGGGATGCCCAGTTCTCCTCAGTCTGTGGTCGTATGTGGTAGGTTTTTCACTATTTGAATTGATCAGAATCGAATTGTGATTAGGGAATAGATAGGTAGTAATGGGCGACAGAGAACCCTGATAGACTACATCATCAGGGTTGAGCCACAGTATTAGTAGACTCCGCCGTGTATGACAGAGTCATCATTGCCTAGCAACGGTGTAGGTTACTCTGTGAGACAGAAGTATACTCTTATGACGGATGATATGAATCTCATCGGTGCCTTCATATACGGGCCCAAGACTGTTAGGTGTTCTTCAAACGGAGGGCTTCCGGAGGATTAGGTAGGGAGCGTCATGTTGCCCAATCTAGATCCCGCCTCTAGATACACACATCTGGAAACATAATCGTGACGATGGGAGACTCTCTTGCGTGTAGATCAAATATCTGCCTTGCGACTTTACAGGGCTGGGAAGGCTTGGATGCTTTATATTGGATGTTTGAAATGAAAAGAAACTTCGATGTAGTAGTTTCAAGAGAGATAAAGATCTGAGTTTTACCAGAAAGAAATCGTGCCCCATGTCTGAGGAATGGCGAACCCGCGAAGAAAGGATAGCAAGAGTGTAACCCTTTTACTCTAGCAACGAGGCTATTACCAACACTTGTTCCATGAAAAAGACATAAAAGTGGCAGTAATAGAACGAAAGGGGGGAAAGGGAGAATTCAGCTTGGGAGATTGAAGATGGAAACAAAGGAGGAGAAAGCAAGAAAGCTGCAATTGCAAGTGGTGTTGATTCAGATAAATCTCGCACTCGGCCTGAACTATTGAGGCTCAAGAGCAGCAGAATCGATGGTGAGGTGGCGCCAGGAATAGGGTGCGAACTGGTGACGGGTCCTGTTTAAAAACCGCGCGGGTTGGAGCTTACTATATCCTACCTACTCTGCCTATTGGTACCAGGCGGAGAAAAGGACTCTCCCCTAGATCTGAGATCTGACTCTAGCCGGCAAGCAGCTCAATAGTTGGAGATCCGGCGGATGACTAGGAATAGTCTATGGGGCATGGAGCCGCTAATGCTCTGGCTGCCGCGGGTGCTGGGCCGATCTGATTGGATCCCGCCATGCTGGTTTGAGTGATTTAAGGTCTGAAAACGAGGTATAGAGCACTGCTCTCAGCTGCGTGTACGGCGTGGGCAGCGCTGTAATGATAATAAAGTTTAGAATAGTTTCAAGTCGGTGGATGGCCCAGGATGGGGCTTCGGTCACGACTCACGCGAGACTCACGCGAGATTCGCGAGGGAGAAGCGGAACTCGCCGTCCCATGCCGCTATGCCGGAAAGGGAACTGCCGGGCGGCTACACGAAGAAGAACAAAGAGAAGGCCTCGCATGTGATGGAGAAGGGGAATAATCTGGTTATGGATTCTTGCATTGGAAGCACAGAAAGCACAAAGAAAATGCGGGGTATTGCATGAAGGACGCACAAAGATGGCGCTACTCCATACCTTAATTATGTCCTCTATGCATAAGATATTAATATCTTATCCTAAGGTAGATATCCTATCCCCCCTATCCCCCCTATCCCTCCCTCCGCACCCGCATCCCGCATCCCGCATCCCCCCCCCCATTCACACCGCATTATTATGCAGAAGGCGTGGTGGCATTTGCACAATTCTATGTCTATGCATATGCAGGTTTATGTAGACTTATGTAGATTTATGTAGATTTATGTACGCCATGCAGCTTATGAAGGCCGGAGCCGAACGCCCATTCATGCACGGCCGAGGCACATGCAGCCTTCCGTGGTCCAGGACGTTCGAATAATCGCGACGACGGTTACGACGGTACTCTGTATGGTCACTATCGTGCGGTCCTGATACATCATTCAACGGTACAGTAATAATCCAACGTTCAACGCCTCATCGCGGCGGAACCCACTGTCCGGTGCGCGGGGTCAAGCTGATGATGATGGGGATAGACTCTTGGAAGTCATTTCGAGGCGACCAGTCTGGAGAGTACGATATTGCATGTATGTACGTATACCTCTGTTATTTGCACGGGTCCAGTATATGAGGCATATATTCTTACCGCTCTTTGGTCCCCAGGTCGCGGAGCAATTCTCCTCCCGTGCCGTCCATCCTGGACTGGGAACAGGACAGCTGATACCTTCGCCCCTTCGCCCTCGTACGCCTCCCTGTGCCTCGCGCGGTCGACATCCCAGCCAAGTTGCCAACGCGTGGACACTTACGAAGTCTCATTTATGCCTTCTGCGAGACTGCGGCCAACGGGCGCATGGCAAGGGGTGCTCTGCGCGAAAGGGGAACATCCTCTGAGAGGCGCACATCATCTGCTACAGTAGCATTCTCTATACATGTATGTACATGTATACATACATATACATGTATGGAAGGTCAAGCTCTGTACGTGACCTGGAGCGACCAGATGCGGGGATGCTAGAGTATTCATAGGCACTGAATGACTGCTGAATAGTCGACTGCATTTCGCTCCAACAACTTCATCCTCCTAGGTCTGGGAAGATCTTATCGCCCCCAGCCCATCCCACTATCCCATACGGGAGTCGATGCCGTTAGCTGTCCTAGAGGGAGAGGGAGTTGAGGAACCAACAAGGCTCCAGCATCCAGCAACCAGCAACCGTGGCTAGTTGACATGCAGATAGCGGATTCCCATCATGCTGGGATCGCCCGTCTAGCAGAGTACTCCGTAGTGCCCTGCCCGTTGCAAAAAGTCGCAACACCACCCACAACCAGCTTGCCTTGGATCTTGCTTTTCCTCTGTCTTCATTATTGTGGACCGACGCTATATAACAAGACGTTGAAGAGGGCCCGCAGGGTCCAGAGGGTCGATGATGACATGGGGATTCTGGCCGTGCAGCTACTCCGTACGGCGGCACTACGCACTACGACGGAGCAGGAGTGTGGCCGTGGGAGGAATGGGGGAGGTGTAGTAGTTGACTAGAGAGCTTCAGCAATAAAAAACAGCAAACGGCGCGGCGCATAAAATCCCTTAATTAGCGTAACAGCGGCGTAGCCACTACTACCTAATTTATAGTAGTCGTTACTAGGGTAGGTTTCCTAGGCTTAATGTAGTAATATCAGAATCTGTTTTTTAAGAGTAGTACCTGTATAGCTAACTTACTACTAAATTAAAGATATACTCTTACGCTAATATAGATCGAACTGCCCTTAACAAGTAGATTCGGTACGGTATTACTATAGCTAGTATATACTACTATAGGCGTATTTAGTGCCGCCGCCGCCGTTACCGCTACTAGAGCTTTAGGGAGCGTAACCCTCGAACAAAGCCTACCTACCTATACTGCCGTAGGTTTCTGTATGATCTCGACAGTAAGGATAAGGCTAGAGCTATCCTTTAGTATCGTTTTACTATACCTTAACTCTAACGGATCGCGCCCCTTCTTAAGCTCTATAAAGTCAAATATAAAAACAGAGTCAAGTACTCCCCTAAGCTTACTCTTACTATAGTATGTACCTAACTATCGTATCTAAACCAGTAGAACGTAATCGTAGATTACTTTAGCAAATCCCTAGCCTAGCTGTCTACTGTATTTAACGATACCTATAAGTTCTTAGCTCTTTAGTAGAGGGATATACTCTAGTAGTACCCTTAATTAACGTCGTATAGCCGGCTACAAGAGTTCGTAGAGTTAGTAAAGGCTATTAACGGTATTAGCGGTATATAGGGCATAATAGATAGTACCTTTAACCCTAATTATAGGCCTAAGGGAGAGGAGAAACAGATAGCCTAGTATAACAGTAATAAACACGCTTATAAGATAGAATACTAAGCTATCGTTACTCTAGATAGCCTTATTTCTTCCTTATTCGGCCTATACTATAGTACTCTACCTAATTAGTACATGTATATAAGATCCGGCGCTTAGGATCTTATTCGGTATGTAATAGTAGGTCGAACAAGGGATTAGGTTCTAAAGATCTATAGGGATAAGGCATACAAGTCAGTATATAGGACAGCGTGTCCCTTTAAGGACGTAAGAGGACGACAATACCTTCCTTATAAGGAGCAACGCTTTAATAAGGCTCTATCCTTAGTTCGGATCGCTATAGAGTAGTTGTTTAGTAAAACCTACTCCTTATAAACGTATATAGCGTTTAGAAAGGGACTAAAATCAGGACTATAGCCTATAGCGCTATATTACTATATAGCCTATTTGTTAACAAACCTGTATACCTGTTTATAGTATAAGGATAAGCCTAGGCGATTCGGGGTATATCTACTAATAGTAAAGGCGTATTTATGTGATTCGGTACTAGCTCCCTAGACAGTATAGAATCTATAGTATTGTTGCCCCTTATAAGCGACTAGGTGTTATATTCTGTTAGGTACTCCTTAGTTTTTAAGTTTGTTTACCTTATAAGACACTTATATACCTAATTTAAGTAGGTATTTGTCCTTATACACAATAACTATATAGATCTAGTAGAACAAAGAAGCTAAAAAAACCGAGCCTACTACCTACTACGTAGCTCTGTTAGGATAAGATTTATTACATCCTTAACACTACCTAACTCCTCTTTTATACCCCTTAGCTTATCTATTACTCGATCTATCTTAGTATTATTCGCTATAACGCTAGCCTCTACGCCGTCTAATCGCTCTCTAACCTCCTTAAATCGCTTATCCTTAACATGCTAAACAGGCTTAACAGGCTCCTTGTTACTAGTATTAACGTCCCTCTTAATACCTACCTTAAACAAGTCAACTAGCCTCTTGAAATTAGAGGCCTTATCTGCCTTAGCTCTCTATTCCTTTATCCTTTACTATCTATAGCTAGGACAGTAGCTACCTTTAAGAGACTTAGTGTCGTTATACTAAGATCGATCTAAGGAACACTAATTACGCTAAAAAGCGGGAATAGCTTTATTAATAGTACGCTTAGTACTTATCTGCCTTATCTAAGAGATCTTTTACGCCTCTAACTTAATAGTCTTACGCTCCTTATTGCCCTTTATAGCCTGCCTTTACTTATCTAGGGCTTTAGTAGCCTCTATTATATTAATCTACTCCTTAATCGTAAAGCCCTTTAACGTTATAGGTTTGTACTCTCCTAATTTAGTAATATAGTTCTTATAATACTACTTAACAGCACCCTTTACTACCTTGTCTAACGTCTTATAATCCTCGCTAGTTTTCTCCTTAAAGTCCTTTAAAACACTCTTCTAAAAGGTCTTTACAACAAACCTAGGCTTTCCCTACTAATCTACTCCTAGCTAAACAGCTATCTAAACACATATTAGAAGATCCTCTTTACTAAGGCCCCTGTTGCCCTTACTAGAGGGTTCGTCGACTTCTTTAGGATCGCTATTATTAACGCTAATAATATCGACATTATCGTTATCTTTAAAAGGATCGTTAGAGCCTATATTAAGGGAGGTAGAGGCCTCTACTTTAGCTTTAGCTACTACCGCTTTAGCTAGTCTACGCCTCTACTAGCGAATAGTCTTACGCTTTTTACGAGGTTTTAGCGTTGTTAACTTCTAAACCCTCTTTCTAGCCCTTTTAGATACCTTCTCTACTAACTTCTTAGTACGAGTAGTCGAATCTACTATATTTATAGCTGTATAGGGCTACGGCGTTATAAGGGCCGGAGGAATCAAGAGAGAAGGGTCTAAAGGAGTAGTCGAATAAGGGATTAAAGGAGTAGTTAAAGAAGGAGTCGAATAAGGGCTTAGAGAAGGGATTAAAGAAATCAGTAGTAATACAGGCGGTAGGGAGAACGATTACAGATAGTTCGACCGAATAACTAGTGTTACAAGAGGAGGGAATACTAAGGGAGGTAACTCGAACATCGACTAAGCTTACGGTACCTGTAAAATAAAGGGGAACAGTAAGGGATCGCTATGTTAAGGGTACTAAGGGTACTATAGCTAGGACTAGGTAGGTAGTACATTTGGTTAGAGAAGCTACTAATTAGCTAGTGTAGCTACGGATCTAGGGCTATATTAGAACCTATATTAATCGAACCTATATTAATCGATCGATCGATCGTTACTATATCTCTCTATATCGTCGCCGTGTTACTGTTAATATCGATATAAGCTCTATAGAGCTACTCTATAGAGCAAAAAAAGACTCTATAGGTAACGTTTAGGGATAATATCCCCTATCCCCTTTATAGGTCTAGCTAACAGTTAACAGTAGGGCGCTAAGCCTAATTAGGAGGTGTTGTTTACTGTTACAGGATAACAACAAGCTGTTCTCCTATAACAGCTTTCGGCCTAAAGGGGTTTAGCGCAAAAGAGGCCTCCCGGCTAGTCTAAACAGGGCTCCCTATCTAGCTATAGCGCCGTTACAGCGCTAAAAGTGGCGCTATACTAAGTTCGGACTGTTTTGCGCTGTTTTTCTCTGCTGTTTTTCGTTGCTGAAGCTCTCTACTGCTGTTAACGACGGGGGGGAGGCCAGCCTTTTACGACACACGGAGCCGCGAAGCCACGCGCTGTTTGAAGGGCCCTACGGTTGTTCCCGGAACCACTGAAGAAAAAAATTCCCACGATTGACTACCCAAGGGAGATCTAGCTTCGATCGGGGTCCTTGGGAGGCCGAGCAGGGGTATGGGGGCTCTACTTTTTAATTTTTTGATTTTTCTTTTTTTTCTGCGGGTGCCGAATGCCGACCTGAGGCCTTTTTTGGCTCCCTTTCTCAGCCTTGTACGCCGGTCACAAGAACCCCCGATCAGACGGAGTAATTATCATCCATCAGGATTCAGATTCAGGGGTGCGGGCTGCAGATGACCGAGCAGATGACCACGGGCACGGGGGAATTGATAAGCTGAATAATCATTCAGATGTCGGTACTCCTTGTACTGTATACCTTAGGTACCTTATACAGCACAATGCTCAATGTACAGAGAGAGCCCTTCGCACCTCGATATCGAATCACTAATCACCGAGTCACCGAAGGACCGAAGGACCGATTTACTTTGTTTACTACTCGTTTAGGAAAAGAGGCCTTTCGTGCCGCTGTCGAGTGCCAAGGGACGTGCTGATCAAGGCACTATCCAACCTTGTCAATCGGTCAATCGGCGACGGGGCTTCGAAGGTACCGAAGCTTCGATGATTCGATTCAGATCGCTTGATCCCTCAGCGCATGTCTTTGCCTCAAGCGGCGCTTGAAGAGAAGGGGGCAGCAATGAGATTATAACAAAATATAATAGTCGCCACGTTGCCGCGCCAAGTGGTGGTGGCCAAACCCTTCCGGGGCAAGGGAGAGAGCTAGACACATAGTGATGTAAACGGTAAACTCAAAATCTCAGGCTCACGACTCAAGCGCCCGCTGACTTCATTGATTACATTACCAACCTTACGTCCATCACAATGATTACATATCGCGGACGCGCCCAGCAGACGCCGCGCTGGACCAATGGTCGGCCGGCATTTGTAAAATTTCGACAGATTCAAAGCCCTTAGGTACCGCGTGCGGTCTCTGCGCCCCGTATTTACTACTTACTACATACTACGGTACATTGTATTTAGCCACCGACGGAGGGGACATGGGAGGATCTTATCGATTTTTAAGGCGCCATCTGGATTCTCGATCGCAGGTCCAATGGAAGGGCGCAGGCGGGTTCAGGAGAAGGGGCCTGCTCCACCGGGGGGGTGGAAGGGCCGAGGCTCTGCGCGGTAAGAGTCCGTACTGGGCTGTTATTACGGATGGTAGAGAGATGAAGAGAGAGATAATCAGAGGCCGTGATCTACAGTACCAGAGCCAAGGCCAAGGGCCACACGGCATCAACAACTAACTGGCTCTCAAAAGGCTCGCCGAGTAATAAATGCTGTCAGTGTCAAGTGATACGGTCTAATTGATAATCCATACTGCCACATGCAGTAAGCGGCGGGTTTCGAAAGGGAATAATGCTTAAATGCCTTAGCCACAGTCTGACGGTGTGGCACATCTTTGAGTGAGGCGCTCACCCTTGAATCCCTGACCCATGGCGCATCGGCGTTAAGATGAAGGCGTGTCTGGCCTTGCTTGGCCTTGCACATTCACAATTAAGTTATGCTGCGGCCGTCACTGTTCTTATGCTCTGGACCGGTGCAAGCGGCGCTGCGCATCCGAGAAGCCTGGTGCACCATGCCGCCTCCTTGGATCCTGCTTAATGGGCCCTACGTCCTCTCTCCCGCACGCGTGATAATACTGGGAGCTGGGAGCTGGGAGCTGGGAGCTGGGAGCTGGGCCTGAGACCACCTACCTGCCATGCCGCTTCTCCACTTGCCTTTCTCCATGATGCATTATGATTATTGTTATTATTTATGATTATGATTATGATTATTGTCATTATTATCATTATTGCTGTTGCTGTTGCTACTGCTACCTACCTATGTGAGGTAGTATTATGATCTATTCTTTCGTTAATAGAACCATACCTACCTTATTCTTTGTTGATGCCCAGGGGAAAATAGCAACACAATATCCCGCCCGTGATATTTATAGGGACACAACGTAGTAAGTACAAATATCATTAATACTTGTAAATAATGCCCGCTAGTAGTAGCAGTAGTAGTAGTAGTCTTGACGGTTGCAGCGGCATCGAAAAGCTCTCTCACTACTTCTCTCCTGTCCAGGCCGGCCCCCTCCACCCCCCCTACCCTCGACCCGGCTACTGCTCGACCCTCCACGCCGGGTGTTGTCATCATCATCCCTAAATCATTCCCGCGCCTCCATTGATGCTCCATCGCTCCCCCATCCGGACTTAACTAATATCCCGAGACCTGTCCTCGCCTCTCCTGTCCGTCCTATGGCCTAGCCGTCCTATGCCTCTCCTGTCCTATCCTCTCCCCCCCCATCCCATCCTGGAATCGCCCTGCCTCACATAAGCTTCCTAAGCCCACCCCTAAGCTTCCTAAGCTCTCCTACCCCAATTATTCTGTCCCGTTCAAGCTCTAGGCTTGGGGCCACTCGAGCATCCCATTTTATCGATATATATCCAACGCCCGCCAACACCCTGGGCTCCCGCTCTGCTGCCACTTGATCCCGTTTGCCAAATTCTCACAATGTCCGGCCTCCCTACCCCGCCCGTCGAGGACCGGCATAGGTCCCTCCAGGTCAGGAAGACATCGAAGCAGACGAAACCTCTGAACCGGACATCCAAGCGGTCCGCCTCGTCCCAGGAGCATGGCGCCGTCGTGGTCGACGGGAGGCATAAGCGAGTCTGGAAAGCGTGCGAACGATGTCGCATGAAGAAGACGAAGGTATGGCCACGCTCACGCAGCCTGTGATATGGCATCCGCGCAATGAAAAGTGTCCCAATATCTGACCGGTTTTTTTTTTAAGTGTGACGGAGAGTCCCCGTGCAAGCGGTGCAAGGATGACGGTTTGGTATGTACCGCGGGGAGCAGGAAGAAGACCGAGTTCAAGCAATTGCCAAGAGGGTGAGCGGGCACCCCCCCTTTTATTTGGCCGTCCCTCTCCAGGCCCCTCGGTTCTAATGTGCTGGCCAGGTACGCCGAGGTGCTCGAGAACACGCAGTATGCCCTGATAGCTACAGTGCAGAAGCTGTATAGCATGATCCGGAACAACGAGACGTGGGATCTTGGGGAGCCCGAGATGAATGATCGCGGCCAGCCCGTCATCCACGACATCGCGTCCAAGCTGGGCTGTATTCGACACTCGCCCGACCTCCCCTACGCCTTCCCTGAGGGCGCCGAGGACTTTGCTGAGCTCCAGGCCAAGCTCCAGGCGGCCCGGTCAGATCTGGGCGCGGAGGATGCAGCAAACAGGAAACAGTCCGAGTCGTCCCATTCCTCGCCGTCGCTCACGCGCACCGAGCGCGCCAGCAGCACCGAGAGCAACCACTCGCTCCCGTCCGAGGACAGCAACCAGATGCTGTGGGCGCAGCAAGACCGGCAAACTGCCACCAAGAAGCCCACGCCGCTGAAGATCGTGCAGCGCAACTCCCTGGACGACGAGAGCGCGTACTCGGCGCGCGCCTCCTTCGACACCACCGGCTCGATGCCGTCGCCCGTCTACACCGACTTCCCCTCGGCCCAGTCGCCCATGTTCCGCAAAGCGTCGCCGTTCCCGCCCTGGGCCGCGGGCGACGGCTTCCTGGGCCAGCCGCACGCGCTCGACCTGACGGCGCAGTACATGCGCGGGCAGCAGCAGCCGGCGCTGGCGGGCGTGCCCGGGTCGTCGCCGCTGGACGGGTCGGCTTCCATGGGGCTCGGGCTCGAGCCGGACGTCCTCAAGGCGATGCAGATCAGCGATGGCATGAACTTCGCCGACGGGACGATCCGCCCCAATATGCTGGATTGCAGCACCGGCGGCTACGACCTGAACGATCAGCTGGACAATATCATATTCGGCAACGAGTATGAGAGCCAGATGGGCCGGGCGTAACGTTTTTGCGCCTTGGGCTCTGTATCAACAGAATGGGGAAAAAATGAGAGAATGAAAAAGAAAAATAGTTGGAACGTATATCGATCACCCTGGGATTCTCTCCTCTTTTCGGAGTCACACACGGCGCTCAGGGGGGAAAGGGGGGGGCACTTTGTTGGAACATCTATTATTATTTTTTTGGGCTTCGGATTAGCTTGCTGAGTAGTCTAGAGTTTTGATTGATTGAAGTCTGAAGATCGATCGGGATATCGGTAAGGTAAGGTAAGGTAAGGTACGGTACGGTACGGTGTGTACGGATGGATAAGGGCTGATTGATTGATTGATTGATTGATGGTGAGTGACTGAGTGAGTGATGTCATAATGGATCGATGGATGAATGATAAGAATTTCCCTTACAGAGGTAGAGGTACCTTACCTTACTTACCTTGTCAGACTTCGCGATCGCGCATCTGCATCTATTCATCTTCTAGAAGCCTCCTCCTCCTCCTTACACAAAACATGAACATCCAACTTATTTAGGATTCATTCACATATACATCTCCCAACCCTGCAGGGGAGGGGTCTCAGATGTTCATATAGAAGTATAAACAAAGCAACAAAACGTAAAGAATAAAATAAATAAAGCTCAACAGCCAGCCGTGATTATTACATCATAATTTGATATATATACAGATAATAATCTCGTACAGTCTTTTTCTTTTCCTTTTTCATTTTCAGCTGACATGACATAACCCCGATTTTTTATTATGGTAAGGTAGGTAAGGTTCAGATATGGTATGTTGGGTAAACTTTAAAACTTAGAGATTATGTGGGTGCCATGTGATGATAATATGTAAGTAAGAGTTTGTATGCCCAACGAACGAGATGGTTCGCCTCCTCAATTTCAATCAATCAGCCACCCCGCCCCCAATTTGAACCGCCCGTGAATTTGATCCTGAACTCCTTCCCGCCCGCCGTGCATAGTATGACATGATTGATTGATGATGACTGATGATGATGCGTGTGTGTGTTGTGTGTGGTGGTATATAGTTGGACCCGTTCTAGAGAGAGAAAACCCATCCCCCCCGGTTCCCCCCCTCCTTCCCCTCCCCTGGAATTCCCATCATTTCATCAGAGATCACCCGGTACAGGAAATAAAAAAAAGGGGCGTATGTTTTTTTGGTTGAACGAGAATGGGAATCATGGTAAAAAGACGACCGGGGGAAAAAAAAATAAAAAATAAAAAAAGGGATAATAAAGAGAAGAAGTAGAGAAGAAAACAATGAGACTCGTAGCAGCGAAAGAAAACAAATAGAATTAGACAACCAAAGTTACCCACCATCAATAGCTACCTACCTATCTTACCTACTTACCTTAGTACCTATAAAACCTGCCCCCCTATCCCAACAACAAAAAACCTCTCAATTCATATTCTTGGCACTTATGTACCTAAGATAGTACGTACCTGCTTGCTGTAGGTACCGTCGGCAAATACCTTCCTTCCTTCTATCGAATCCCCCTTTAAAACCAAAATAAAATCTAAATCAATTTATTTATTCGATCGATAGGGTATAAGAATAAAATAATACTCATTGATTAATGGAAGACACTATTACCTACCTAGGATACCTTACCTTAGGTAGGGGAGAAGGATTAAAGTTTTCAAAAACTAGGTACAAAGAGCGCGTCGGCCTTCGCACCCCTCTAAGCCCCTAGCGTCGCATGCCGATTTATCCTCAGGAGTTTGAAGGAGGTGTCTCGTTGCCCCCTTTTTCTTTTTGGGATTTCGAACGAATCGAGTCAATTCTCGCGCGTACCTATCTAGATCTAGATCCAATCAAATCTCAATCCTCTTCCCCTCTCTCTCTTTCTCTCTATAAACCAACCAACAATATTCATACCTAGTGGATGAAAAATAAAATAAATTGATGCATGCCTGAGGAAGCAAGCAAAGCTCTCTCGGATGGTTCAGAGCACCTGTGTTCCGTTCCGTGGCCCGCGCGGATGTGAAGGCGCTTCCGAGGCCGAACCCGAAGAAGTGGGCGGGGGGGTGGCTGGATTGGGTAAGGTATTCATTGAATTCATCTCATGCAGGGGAGCGCGCTGCCAAGAGAAGAAGCGTGGAAGAGGGCTGGAATGACTTGGAAGCGCAGGGATTATTTGTATGGGTGGGACGGGGCTGAGGATTTGCCGGGGGATGCGATGGATACTTACCGTTAGGGGGGGAGATGGGATGGGCAAGGGGAGACGAGAGCCTGGTGGGACGGGCGACGGGGGACGGCGACGGGGAAAGGGGGGAGGTTGGAGGTTGGAGGTTGGATGTTGGACGTTGGACTTCTTTTTTTTGTTTTGTTTTGTTTTATTTTTATTTTCATGTTGCTTTTATCTTCAGGTTGGTTTTTTTGTTTCTTTGCAAAACTGATATAGGTTCTTTTGCCCGCGTATTATCTTTTAAAAGGGGATTAGGTGGGACAGAAACTGCTTGGGTTTTGGATTGGTGGTTGGTGAAGAGAGGCAGGAAATTGTGGATGGACCCCATTTGATGCATCGTTCATGTAAGGGACAGAAATAAGTCCCCATCCACCTACCTATAGTGGTATATCAATCCCCCTCCTCCCTCACCAGCTAGAAGTCATCCATTCTCTTGGATTCATCTACACAGCTCTGGGTACATCGATGTTTGAGATGTGAAGCCGTGGGTTTTTGGTGAGTACTTCCCCCGGCGTCTTGAGATCTATGTATGTATAGGATCTCCATATGTCAAAACAGTAGGATTTTGTGTTGTTGGAGATGATGATAATGCCTGAGTATCATCACGTGATGCTAATCCCACCGCCATCAAACCCTCCCATGACAAGCGCCAATGCGATGTGCAACAGATTGAAACTTCCCTCCCTCTAGTGTCATGTGATGCTAATCAGATGCTAATCAGATCGCCATGAAAACCAGCGTCGCTAATGCGATGTGCAACAAACCTGGAACTTCCACATCACGGGCCCTGTATCACGTGATGCTAATCCTATCGACGTCGAAATCAATCTTCACTCATGCGATGTGCAACAAAATATACCGTGTCACGTGATGCTAATCTCACCTCAATCAAACCTGAACCGACCTTCAGCGCCGAGACAAGCGCTGATGCGATGTGCAACAAAACCCCCTATGTCATGTGATGATCATCTCACTGCTATCAAGAGGAAATGGGAAGTTGAGAGAGGAAACGTAGCGTTTCATCTTAAGAGATCCAAAGGTTCACTGTATAGGTACGGCCAAATGGTGGATAGCCATCAAGCTGGAGGCAGCAAAACAAAACACTCACTGTCGAGAAACAAAATATCGGACTTCCTAGAGTAAATGATAAGTGAACGGATCTTGGAACCGGTCTATACATTCTCTGTAAATGCCTTCCTTGACATGCTCAACGCCGGGAAATGAATTGGCTATAATAATATACACCTTTAGGCACTGGAACGGCTGTCTTAACAACCGTATAACCTCGTGCTCACGGCTCTATAACCATAGCCCTATAAAACATCGATTACAATGTTTATCCGTACGAGACCATCCCTTCTAATGTTTATGTTGTTTTCAAAGAAGGGGTCGTCTGTGGAGAGTTAGCACACGGGCCACTCACTAACCACCCTAACTGCGGACCGCTAAACTCTAACTTTAAATCCAGTGGATACTCCCACAATCCTCAGTCCTATCTTCTAGACTACATACCCTGCGGAAAACATCCAGTAACATCCATATGCGCCACACCGTCTCTTCTAGAAACTCGTCGGATTGGGTTTCGCTGTCCCTTGTGGCCAAGCATCGTTCTTACAGGTCTCCTCCCCCCAATTCGGCAACCTGTTCCAATAACTATAAAGCGCGTACCACGCATAGTTATCGGCATTTCCCTTCGCATTCGCCCAGTCCGGCGACCTACGCTTTCCCGAACCCTTCCCCGCAGTCTGTGCAGCTTTTAGGAACCCGATGTTGTCTGGCTGGTAGATGTTCAGCGTCCACTTTAGGTGGCATAGCTCGTGCAACATGATCTCCTCCCGGCAATCCATCAGGTCCAGGGTTTTATGGTGGTCGAAATCGGAAAGAATGTCTGGCAGGTTGGGGAACTTTGTGTCGTCGAAGAAACTGGGGCACAAAACTATGCTGGCACTGTGCGCGAAGACGTATTTTGGCTCGATAGGCTGGTCATTGCCGGCATTGTTGGCAATGGCATGAGCAGCTGTGGGACCCGTTCTGCGAGAATGTCAGTCGATCTGAATACGCCTACTTGGTGCAGCAAGTGAGCTTACCCGCAGTACGATGTCTTTTCATCCTGAGCTTTGACATTTCCACCTTTGTCACAGATGAGTCTCAAGGCGCCCTTGCCCTTCGCCCGATCATCAGGCTTCTTTGTAACCTGACTGTATATGGTATCGAACGACTTCTTGACCTGAGCAAGGCGGTTGTCCTGCGCGAACCACATCTGCGTATACGCCGGATCCTCGGCTGCAATATAATTCTGGTTGACCCTGATAGCATTACTACCAGTACCAGCAGGGCTGGGAAGACCCTTGATCAGCGCATCCAAGGCCCCAGAGGCCTGTTTAGCGAGCGCGTACGCGTTTGTGAAGGCCGTCATGATCTTCTGCCTGTCGTCGGTGTCGGTGCATGTCATGTCCCAATCAAACCACCGGTCTCGAGCTTCTGGGGGCTGGTCGACTCCGTTCTGGCCGAACGGTAGGATGCGCGAGCGGGGAACATTGGCTTTGGTAACAGGGTCTTGGTAGTCATCTTCCCCATCTGGGTTGTCAGGCGTTTTGTCAGCACGAGTGGACAGGGTACTGGAGATGTGTGGCTTGTCGATGACAACATAGCCCGCAACAGCAGCATAGAGAGAGGGTAAAACAAGTAGGAAAGGTAAAGACCTCATTGCAAAGGAGACAACTGACGAAGCTTTTATGGTATATTCGTGAAGGATTGATAGAGAATGGAGATCCACCAAAACCTCGCACAGGAAGAAAGGACAGAAAGATGGTTATATAAGGAGCACTCATACGCCTTGTAAGTCTTCTCGACAGATCAGAATTGCAAGTCCATGAATAGCATTATAGCACATTCCTAAGGACCAGCTGCATGACATGTTGCACAAGAAATCCGCATCATTCCTACCTACTCATGTCAATTGGTAAAATTCATATATTCTCAAGTTGAGAATCTCACAGGATTTATAGATGTTCTGATTTCAAGGCTAAGCCCTGCGGCTGAGAAGTTATTTGAGGATTCTCGCCCAGCGTAGGGCTGAGCTATCTTATCTTTGAGGTTACACGTACCTCCCGCCCGCCGCCAACTTCCTGACATTAGCCTTTCAGGCTGAGAAATTAATCAATCAATCAATCAACCGCCATTTCTGTCGCAATCTCCTCTTCTGCCGGTGCGCAACTCTCAGCCACTTTTCCTCTTCCAGGAGGAATATCATTGCACAAACAGGTGGGCAATGTTCAGCAGGCACGAATTCTTGAAATAGGTTTTGAAGGATGTGGGCAACACACAGTTTAGTAGGATGGTTCGACAATAGACCACTACCACTACGTTGTCCTTTACCTCGAGGAATATCGTCGTACATACAAGTGGGCGATGCTCAAGACGAAGAGATTATTGACATAGTATCAAAGGATGAAGGCAACACACAGTTTAGAAGGATGGTTCAAAAATAGCACCGTCGTCTGCAGGAATCAAGAGCAAAAGATGGCGGCCCCTTTATGGTAAGTATATATCTTCAGGAGGATCTTGAGCTGGTCAACGGTCTACCTTATTATTTCGTCTTTGTATCGTTCTCATTTCAAAGAATGATCTCTTCAATATGCGTACAAAACTCGAGTCTTATATCCTTTTCCGGCAGCTTGCTGTATACCTCTTCCTTTCAAGCAGCGGAAGGGCTGCTGCGAGACCTACTTCCGATGATACAAGTACACCAGTTGGTCCGACACCAGTTACGGAAATTGTTACTACCAACGGAAAAGCCATCACAGGTAAGTAGACTAGTCTTCGCAAGTCCGCAGGACACAAGCAGATATTCTTGTACATTGGGCGAGATGTGTCCGCCTTATAGCTATATAAAAGCTTTAGAAATTGGGTGCTCGATGCTAATGACTCTTAGAGGTCTATACACCAACAACAATAAGCATTAGCGGCTTAACACCACCAATTACCAAAGCCACTACAATCACACAAGTCATAACAAGCAATGGGGACACGGAAACAGTGGCTATCGCCATAGCAGCAGGCGCTGGTGTAGTGGGCGCTGGAGCACTTGTAGCATGGCTATACAAGCCCGTGCCAGGCGGTCTACCTGCGCCCACAACGCCGCCTTCATACCCAACCTCTAGTCAAGACAAGCCGCCAGATACCACATCGGTACCGCCAAAGACGACAAAAGAGGCAGCATGTCCCTTTACTCAAGTAAACCCTACAAAAGACTTCAAGCAGTACTCTAAGGATCCAACCTGGACGGGCGCAATTCCAAGCCTTACCGCCTCGTCCATAAAGGCTGCTTGCACGTCCATAGGTGCTAATAAGCAGCTCTATCGCGGCACTGATCCGAGCTACATCAATGCGCTTTCGGGCGTATTCTGCAAAAGCGATCTCTCCAAGGACCAGGAGAAAGATCTTGGGCCCGACGATCTTCCTGATGGAAATAGCTACAAGTCGTCGTCTGGACTCCAAGGAATTAGGATTAAATTTGACTTCAAATTTAGTAAAAAGAATGATGCTTGTTCAAAGAATTGCGTGGATGCTTATAACACCATGATAAAGACTTGTGAGTATATATCTCTGCAATCAGATATGCTTGCATTGTTGAAGACTAATGTTGAGCAGGCCAGTACGACTCTCATAGCTTATACGGCGGCGGCTCGCTCGTTCAAGGCTGCGGTACGTATAGCTTCAAGATTGACGCAGAGCCAAACACTAAGAAAGAATGCAACCCCCTTGACCCCCGAGGGCAGGAGTACAACTACGACTACCGGGAGTCGGCGATGCAGCAGATCCAAGATTTCTGCAACTCCGTTGATGGCAAAGAGGTCAAACAAAATGACAAGACGACGTGGATCGAGCCCAAGAACAAAAACACAGATTTCTTCTCCGTCGAGTACGCTGGCAACTGCCAGGGCTCCGGCACGTATAAAATCACCAAGGACAACTGCAACAAGTACCTTATGCAAACAGTCGACGATTGCGACACCGATACCACGATGTTCAAGCATGGCGGCACACTCACCGATACCGATAATTGCGGGCAATTCAAGTACACGCCCAAGAACTACGACGTGCCGGACTGCTACCCATCCAATAAAAACCACGGGTACATCACGGATGGCACGCACGTGCCGCTCAAGCACGACGTCGCCATGGACGCCATAACCCAATTCTGCGACCGCTCTGGCGGCGGACAGCAATACACGCTCGATCCCTCCAAGATCCCGTCGGGAGACTCCTGGGAGCAAGACTCGTGCACGGCCGCGGGGTACGCCGAGTGCGGGTACTTCTACAAGAACGACGGCAGCCGGGTGACGGCGTCGGGGGATCTGGGCGATGTGAGTATCCGGATGCGCGCGAGCTATTACGAGCCGCAAGGCTTTGTCTGCCAGCCGAAGCAGAAGTATGACATTCATGGACAGAGGTGTGAGGATGAACTGACAAAGCTCGTCGATGGATGGTGTAATACGAATTCGAGAGATTCAAAGGATCTAGGAAGCTTCCTCGAGAGTGGAGATTATGGATGCGTGAGGTGGGATATGTGGGCTGTGGCGACTCATTAAACGTGTCGTTACCTTGAAAAGTTTCGGATATCAAGCGATAAATCGATGTTGGAGTTCTAGTAGGAGTATTCTTTTTTTGGGCGAAGTGGAGTTTTGATAGGCATAAATGCTCTCAGGAGATAACGACTTTTTGGGCCGAGATTATGAAATTTACACAAAATTCACGGACTCGAGTTATTCATTCCTAGTTATTATAGTGGCTAGCATCTTGTGTTGTGAAGTACTCTGTACTGATCTTAACATTTGCATTGAACTATTCGAAGCGCACGAAGTCCTTTTGCTCTTTATTGTCCTGTGACTCCTGTCTATGTCTTGTCATGCTTTCAGCAGCATCTCGTGGTCCATTGCAGATGGTCTCTCTCAGCGAGCATTCGTAAGTAAGTCAATCCTAATATTCAACATACTTTTCGGTTTAGGACTAATCGCTTTGCGCAGACAATATCGACTTGACAAAGTTTGTAGAGAGCTCATGATTGTTGAAGAAGATATTAGATGCTTGCAGAGAGTACAGACCATCGAAGCAAAAGGCACCAGAAATGCCGAGAGGGTTTTATGAAAATGACGCTCTATGAGAAACCAGTGAGCTATGAGACTTTGAAGGATTGTAGATTATTAAAAGCCAGGTATACGTTCAAGTATATAGGCAAGACAGGAGTGTTTGGAAAGTATGACACGAAAGGAACCATCCCATTTAACTAGATGTTAGAACGATAGATTGTACTGGGCCATTGTGTCTTCGAATATAGTAGTCAAGTTCATGTAAGGGCAAGCTGTGGTTGCTGGGATAGTCGAACGAACTGGCTCATTGCCTCTTCGGATATCGTAAAATCATACCCCATAAACAAGACTGCTGGGCGCGGGGAGTCATTCGACCATTCGAGGGCAACTCCTCTACTACTCAAGGAATCTTCGATCTTCATTTGTAATGCCTTGATGGCTGTCGTGTGCTCGAATGCCGCTGCCGTCTCGTTCCCTTGAAGGAAGCCTCTAAGAGAGACGCTCTGCAATGATTCCCACTTCCATTCTCTCTCCGTCGAAAAACATGGCCAAAAAGCATTCAGTATCATCAGCGATAGACGTGAGCGATATAGATGAAGGGCAAGTTCGTAATTCCGACCAGTACCACACGTGCTGGGAGTCCTTTGGATATCCCGCGCATAGTCAATGGCCAGCGATTTCAGACTTGATACGACTGACGCGACCAAACCCGCTAGAACAAAGATGTAGTGCAGGTGCTCTGTACAATCCGTGTCCATTCCGCTTGTTTCGAGCGGCGGTATCCGTATCTCGAGATGCTGAAGCGACTCCAATTTTCCAACGAGCGGCGCAATCGTTGACCACATAGGTCCTGGGAAGATAATACCGACCTTTATGCGGGTTGTATCTATTGTGCCATGATCAATCGATGTAAGGCGCCATGCAGAGTTCCAACAATCTTTGTTGATTTCCTCCGGCATAGGGGAGCCATCAGGGACTTGTCCTTCTTCCTGGAGCGCATCGAGACTCAGACTTTGAAGCTTTGCCACGTCTATAGAATTGAGGATGTTTGCGACGAGACTGTGGTGCATCCATCCCGTGAGCCTCAGCTCTGTCACGTGAGGAAATAGGAGGGGTGGAATCTGGCGGATATAGGGATCGAGGATCTCATCTCGTCGGAGTGATGCTAGATCTAGCCTCGTCACATTCGTGAGACGGCTGAAGGTGGCCCAAAGCTGGTAGTCCATCTCCGCCAATGCATCCTCGTTGACTTCACGCCAGATCAGGGTCCAAGAGAAGACGCGGACAGCAGTTGCATACTCGGGGCATTCTGTCATTGTTCGCAAGAACGAGCGCTGCCGAGACACCAAGTTGTGAGGGCGCCAGAAGTCGTCCGTATTTGCATAGATCTCTGGTCGCAGTTCGTCTTCGAACTCGGGCAATCGTCCAAGATTATGCGAGCTGAGATCGACCTCTCTATACAGCTGCGGAATGCATCGTGGACGTAGAGATCTGCTGGTTAAGCTAAGATTGTGAAGCGAAGTCTGCTCGCAACGTTCGAGGATGAGAAGAAAGATGTCATCGGGACATGTCAGAAGACGAAATTGCTTGGACATAATGCAGGGGCAAGGGAAAGGATACCAAAAGAGTCAGGAAGCTGTCTCCTGGCTTACAATGTGGTTGATAGAGACACGAGATGTCTTTCGAGAATGATAAGAGTGAGACTCAGTCGCCAAGTGGCAGCTGAACAAAGGGCGAACGGGTTGGTTGATTAATTGATACAGTAAGGTAGGGATAGGTAGATACTGAGCGCAATAATGCTTAGTAACTCGCTACATCCCACCAATCTCTGTCCCTGCTTAAAACTTCAAGGTAAACTCTTCTGCTCTGTAAAACGAGTTGTACTTCTATAATACTGCTAGGGGTATAGTGATTCAGAAAAGGGGTCTTGAAGAATTGATTTTTATCAGGTTAATATTATTCCTTCCTTTGTCTATTTGTAGCTGCTTCTACATCAATAAACCTTTATCCCTATTGTTTAACAAATAAGGCAAGTGAGATATATTTTGAATAGCCGGATATTTGATTTCTGATGCTTAAAGATTATCAATGTAAAACAGTACCTAGTGGCAGGTGGGGCTTTGTGACGGTTCGTGTGGAGGGTGGAGAGTTGGAGGTTCGTGGTTTGGAGGGAGTGGAATATAGGTGTGGAAAGCGGGGAGAGGAGGGGGGCGATACTGTTTTCAGTACATGATCATGGAAGCCAACTTCTACTTCTATCGAATTCTAGTCAATCTCACATCTGTTTAGCAAAGAGGAAATGAATCATGTTGTTCAATAGTCTTTATTTCAGTCATATCCAAACAGGAAGGATATCTTCCCTACTAGGGATTTTTGGAAGCCACGCTACGGTCCCCCAAACACCATTGATTCATGCCACCTCAAGGAAGTTCATGATCATATGCATCCTAACCATACCAATATACCGCCAGCCCAAGCATTCCCAAAACTCCTGCTTTTCTCTCCAGAGTACAAGAATCAAATTAGGCCGTACTACGATTCCGGCGTCGGGTCTTAGACTTTCCCAGATGCATTGTTACCAGCAAAGTCCTCTACAGCCGGCTGTGTGGCCGGAGTTTCTTGACTTGTAGGGGGTTTCGATTCTGGGAGTGGCGGGGATTGTAGCGTAATTGGTTTCTCAACAATATAGAGAGCCTCGTCGTCATCCTCCAGATAGATTTCCCCCCGTTGAAATTTTGGAGTAGAGGATGTCGCTCTTCTATTCACAGTCAGCATTGCCTTTCCTAAAGGAAAATGGAAAAGAATTAGGGCAGCACTCACAAAGAATTAAACTTCTCCCAAGCCTCCATCGCCACCACTGCCACGAGGAACAAGACCACGATGCCCACGACTATAAAATCGCTATATTCCTTTGCCACCAGAGTCGGCTGTCGTAGTCTCGCGTGCACAGTCATAATTTCCCCCATACCCCCAGAGCATTTCGTACCGGGCTGAAGGAGTCGCCCGCGCGTGATGCTTTCCTTTTCTCCATTTACCTTGCTTAATCGCAAGGGCAGCGCCCAATACCGGATGGCATCTATCTTGCGAAGGTGGGGTAATGCACTGGTTGGTTTGGCGGCCTGCGCAGCGGGAGCACTCGATGGAGAGGAAGGGTGAGGTTCTGATGGATTCTTCAGCGCGGGGTTTGCGAGTGATTGTAGGTAGGAAGACACAAGGGGGTGGTCGGCGCTGAGAGATTGGGATGGTTCGGAGGACAGAGGGGGTGTCATTGGTGTGTTATTGAATTCTTCTTTGTCCAGGTGGCGATCTGTTGCTTCTGATGCGGCAGAGAGTTGATGCGAGGGGAAATGGGGATTCGAGAATTGGGTTGGTCGATTCGCTAGTTGAGGACGCGAGGAGAGGATGGATTGGCACCAGAGGCTCTGGCAGTCTGGGGGGAAAGTGATGGGAATTGGCACCGCGCATGTGAGGTGGAGGAATATGAAGAGTGAGAGAGGTGACGAGGGCTTCATGGCGGCGACTGACGACCAGTAATTATGATACAGCCTAAAGGGGGAATATCCTAGACAATCGAGGATAGATGTAGGGATGGGGCTTCAAGGCGTAGTAAAGACAAAACGACCACCTTATAAGCCCAGAGTCCTCGGCTTCTCACTGACTGTTGGGAAGCGTATGTCACAGTTTCATGTATTCTCTTCTTATTCAGTAAGGAAGAGCGTGAATGATTGAAAGAGAAACGATCCAAACAAGTATTTAGAAGGAATGTATGCAAAGCGAGGCGGTGACCAACAGGTGTAAAATGGACGGAAGAGAGCAGCAGTCTAGATGTATACTTATACAACTAAGGGGACCGTCTCGAACTCTATTTAAATACGGAGCAGCCTTTCCCCGTAGGGCGATGGGCGATGGCCCTGCAGAGCTTAAAGTGCCGCCACTACCAAGAGACCCTGTGCCGTACGGCTATATGGGAGGGAGCCCCTGTCTGTCCCCACAGTGACATTTATGGTGACATTCCTCTGGCTTGTCGATGGAGCAGCAATGATCGGCCCAGACTACTACTGAGCACACAGTGACACCACTCCTGAGGAGGCAGAGTTACGGACTCCGTAGAATCCGCATTCTGGAGGCAGCAAATCGCGGGGCTTGGAGCCGTCACTCCAGTCTTTGTCCCTCTCGCTCAAGTCTCGAGAGTCGAGAGCTATCGTTGGGAATGCCTTCTCGAAGGTTGTGGCTTGAAGAATCGCTCTGTGCACGCCTTGACGGCGACCACTCTACAGTAGCCGGCTTTGCACCGCCCTTGACTCTACGGCGTAAATCCATGATCGGGTCAAGAACGCTTTACAGCCTTAGAGTTCTCCTTCTCTTTGACTGTCCAGGTCCCCTCATTACCGTACCATGGACCTCATCACTGGGTCCGTCGTCGCATGCGCAAAGGTGCATTGCCATTGCCAAGATCGCTGCGATCGCACGTGCTGGCTTGGTAAGTTGGGGGCTCTGGTACGGGGCTTAGGGCTGCTTGGCAGGACTTGTCTTTTACCTTGTACGGAGTAGTTTCGTGTGAAAGAAACGTGAAGGTCAAGGGCTCTATTCTGCGCACGGTAGGTTTTAACGCCCCGTACCTTGCGGGCGCAGGTCTACGCGGGCATCATTCCTTCGTGTTATCTTTGGCTCATGCTCAAACTGCCAAGCCAAACTGTACGGAGGATCTATCAGCGACGACATTCCCGGCTTTCTTTATTGCACCGCCGGCATACACCCCGAAACACCTGCGGCTTACGGCCCGTCGATGTTTGGTGTCGAACCGATCCGTGACATGCCCGTTGAAACTTGAAGCCTTAAGGATCCATATTCCTTCTTCGTCCTGCCCTCGTGCTTCGTACAGTCGCACTGAACTTGTAGCAAGGATAGACCGAACGAAATGTTACTCCGTGCGCACTACGGGGTAATAACATACCCACGCCGCAAGCAAAACAGAACACTGCCACTGTGACAACCACGAGAGCCGATAAATGCCGCACTGGTGCCAGAACCAATTGTCAGCAACAACGTTGATCCCTCGTTGGTGGTTTGATATCTTTGATATTTACGTATAAGACTAAAGTCTTCTAAGTAGGGCTCTACGGGGAAAAACTTACCTCCGTAAGCACTAATAAAATATTCATCTACCCTGTATCCGACAACGGCTATGCTCAGTTCCTGCGCCTCTTCCTTCAGCGCTGTGTAAGACTCGTTTTCTTGGCTTCGGCATAGTGGCAGCTCTTTGTGATCTCAAAACGTTGTTCATACTGCCAAGGAAGGCGGAGGTCGTCGACCGAAGGTTTTCAGGGGCTCTCGATCATGTGCCGCAGCCGAAGATAGATTGAGATGATCTGGAGCCCGGCTTCTGGAGAACGGGGGGTGTGGGTTTCAAGTCAGGGACCCTTGCAATAAGCATCCAGACGGCTTTTTTGAGAGCTCGATCTTTTGTTGTTGCTTGAGGAATCCAGTCTTTTGTCGTCCCCAATTCCTACAACCCCAATTCTTTTTCTCCAATCGTCGCCCAAAGCTCTCCATCCATCCCGCAAAATCACTCAATGCTCCCTCACCCTTCAACTTCTTCACTTCATTCTCAATCTCCGTCCTCATAAGTTTTGAAATCTCCATTCCTTTTTCTGCACTCAACTATTATCTTGGCCCTCCCCGAGCGCTATACTCTTCCTCTCTGCATCCGTCATCTCGCTCCCCTTTTCTTCTCCCGGCCTCTGAATGATATGGAAATGCACATGCGGGACTGTCTGTCCAGCTCCCTTTCCTACCCTCACCATTGCCCATTAGCACTTACTATGTCATCTCCCCCATACCCCACTCAACTCGTCTATAAAGACACAAGAGTAGGGAAATTGCTTTACCATTTGCCTGAATGACATTCCAATCGCCCTCCTAACCACCCCATAAAGCACGCATGACAGCTCTACTAAGTACGGGAAGCCAGAACCTAACGGTAGCCGCCTTAGTAGGCGTCAGATCCATGATCTTAGAGCAGTGGGTACGGGGAGCGAGGACACAAGGTGACCGCGGGAGAGCGGCGCGATGTCGAGGAAGCCGACGAGACGGGTGGAGAGGAGGATGTAAGCGGACCCACCGGGGGAGGTGATATTGTGGGGTGTGAGGAAGGGTTTGCTGCGGAGACGATGAGGCAGAATGGACACGACATTTTGGAAGGAGATCCTTGAAAGGAAATTTTGAGGCTTGGTAAGATATCGGCAAGATGCATCTTGATGCTGATGTTCCAAATGCCGTTAGCGGCTTTATCCCCCACTCCCCAGGTACTTCATATAAGGTAGACCGCAAGGTTAAATTCTGACCTTCTTAATCCGCTACTGTCTTTTTATTAGACCCGCAAGATGCGAGATAAAATCCGACTCAGGATTGAGGATGAGAGCATGCTTAAAAAAGGGAGTTGGGGGCGCATCGCACAATCAGACGGCGTACAGCTTTACAGCCCCATGCTCCAGCTTTGCAGCTGAGGGCATTGAACGTACACAGCGGAGGCACTCATACAAAATCCTTCCGGTCAAACCTCGAAGCTCTTCTCTGGGTAATCCACAAGGAGAACCATTGCAGGCCTTCTGTGGTGTGAGCATCGCAGTGCGACCTTCCATCTCACAAGGGGTTAGAGATTCAATCAAGCATCGTGCCATCTCAGCCCGACTTTTGAGAAAAGCATGGTCACCATGCTGCATGTCGGAATCGAAGAAAGGGATCAGCCAATAATCTCATAAGCCTTGCATTGATTCATATGACTCTTGCTTCGGAGGATGGACGACAGGAGAACAACCACAGAAGATTTCTCGGAGGTAACGCAAGCGTGTTCACCACAGATTCCATTCATAATAGGATCCAGTGTCAGGTCGTATGTCACATTTGATGCAAGTTGCATGATGCAGACCTATTCTAGCTTCGTGTCCACCTATCTTCAGCTCTCGACTGTGTGTTCTGGAGACTTACATCCACCTTTCTCCCTTTCTCATTTACGCTCGTTTATTTATGTGTCGCTCCCTCTTCTCTTTAGTAAATCTCAATGTCTTGGTCTTTATTTCGCCTATTTTGTTGACGCGGAAACAACTTTTGTTGACGAGGGAACAACATCAGACTATCTTTTGAGCATCTGGTCAGTGTTTTCCGTATTTCTACTCCTTGATCTGGAGGAAGTCAAAGCTTTTCATCCACTATTGCGGGGACGTTACAGATTATTATCACAATGCGTATCTAAACCAGGCAGCGCGTTGTCAAAACACTCCTTGCATTGATATGTTTTGAAGGAGAATAGCGCACACTTCATTATCTATGACTTGGAAAGATTCAAATTTGATGCTTCTCTTCACTTCTTTTTTGGCAAGTTGTACTTCTCACCTTGATCCAGAGGGTCAGTTCTCAAAAGTACAGATTCTTAGGTTTTGTTTTAAGCTCCTGGCATTCTTTGCTGAGTCTTGCTTACAAGAAATAGTCCTCCCAAATCCCTCTCCCGTCATGCAAGGTCTCTGAAGTGAATCTACTGAGACTATGTACCCTGGCACCATTACGAATGAAGGTGAACTTGGATAGACTCTTACTCAATCATGGAGCACCATACCTTTTTTCTCCTGTGTGCAGTTATGCTTACTTTACCTTGGCTTGCCACGGCCTGTGGGTTGTACAATGCTCCGCATTCTATCATTTACTGATTTCAAACAGTTCCCTCTCTCCTCAACGACTCACCAGCATCCGACCTTCGAGTTAGTCACCTTGATAGCCACAAAAGGCTTCGAATTCTTCCCCTTGGGGACTCCATAACCTGGGGCTATCTCAGCAGTGACGGTAATGGCTACCGTTTGGACCTCTTGAACCTATTGTCACCAATCCCAGTACAATACATCGGCTCTCAGCGATCCGGTAACATGACAGACAATCACAACGAAGGCCATCCCGGCGCTCTGATCAACCAGATTGCGGGATACGCCTACGCCAGCCTTTCCGAACAGCCAAATGTCGTGCTCTTGATGGCAGGAACAAACGATATCAATGATCCAGTAAATGCAAGCACCGCTCCACAAAGACTTGGAAGTCTCATCGATGAAGTCGTAGCAGCCTGCCCCAGAGCCGCGGTTCTAGTTGCCGAGCTCACTCCTATCGCGAATACTACTTCGGAAGCACGAGCCAAAGTTTTCAACGCCGCGATTCCTGGGATTATAGCTCCCAAGGTGGAGGAGGGGAAGCATGTTCTTACTGTGAATATGAGCGCATATGTTACGGCACAGAGATTGAAGGACGGGCTACATCCTACCGATGTGGGATATGCGTTGATGGCTCAGGCATGGTACTTGGGGATTCAGGAAGCAGCAGCGAATGGGTGGATTGAACCGCCTATCAACACGTCTAATGGTACTCCTCTTTCGGCCCCTATCCCAAGTACTACACCTGTCTTGGCTTCAACCACAATTGGCTATCCCGTCTCAGCCCTTGCGCAAAGTACCACACTTGTTTCGGCATCAACAGCAAATAACTATTCCGTGAGCTCAAGAGCCACGCAAATCCCAACTACAGCCCCAATCGGTTATCCCATCTCGACCTCAACGCCAGAGGGCAATCCCGTCTCAGCACCTAGCCCCAATACCACAATCGTTTCAACATCAGCATCAAACGGCTATGCCATCTCGCCCTCCTTCAACAGCAGCACACCCATCTCAACCCCAAGCCCAACTATCCCTCCCACCTCCCACTCCCTTCTAAACACAACACTCATCTCAACACCCCCGCCAACAATCTCTCCAACCTCCTCCACCCCAGCTCCTCCACCCACTGCTCCCAGTTCCGGTTCCCCTCCTTCAAGAAACCAATCATGGATAACAGTGTTTCTCACAGCCCTCTTCCTATCCGCCATGACCACATTCTAAACCACTCACTCATCACATAACACGCAAGCCCGAATCTAAACACCCCTCGTTATCAATCCTTACCAAGCAATATTCGCAGCTCTCTCATAAAAGTGACAGGGGGAATCATCCAGATTCTATTTATTCATCGAATTCCACTCTGGAATCTGTGATGTTTCCGCAGATTCTAGATCTTGGCATCTAACCTCGTATGGAAATTCAACTCTCAATAAAATTCCTGTCTTATAGGTAGCTTATCTCAAGAGCTTTCTATCAATATAAAGCTGCTTGCTTGCTATTCACCACGCCTGTCAATATCTAGCTTCCTGTTATATCCATCCATCATCAAAAGAGTGATCGATGTCCATTCATCCAAGCCATACCAACCCACCAACCCTCCCTCACTCCACAAACCCATGCCCATCTCCAAACACCATCCTCCCAACTTTACCCCCTCAGAACTTCATCCATCCATCCACCTAGTCAAGAGTGATCCCTCTCTTTTCTCCCATCTTCTCTCCATCTTCTCCATCCCACACACAAGCCAACAAAAAAAGCCAAGGAAGGAAATTCACCAACTAACCAACCAGACGACCAATCAATCAAGATTCAAAAAGTGAGATAAAACTCCAAATTGTAATATTTAACAAAAACCCTAGCTATGAAATATTCACTTCACCACACTTCACCAGTCAATTTATCAATCAAGACACAAAAAAGTGAGATAAACTCCCAACTGCGATATGCAACAAAACCCCTAGCTATGAAATATTTACTCACTTCACCAATCAATCAATCAACCAATCAAACACAAAAAGGTGAGATAAAACTCCAAACTGCGATATGCAACAAAACAAAACCATACTTATAGAAGCAAATCAACCATCTCATCCCCCAAACCGGGTCCTCAAGCACCTTTCAGAAGCTACCTATTCGAGTATGTCTTATGAAAAGGTAGGGATATTCAGGGGTGGGGGTCGGGATAGGGGTTGGGGCGTTTTTGAGTGGGAGAGAGAAAGAAAGAAAGACATGAGGATTTGAGAATTCTTGAGGATTTTGAAAAAGAGTAGTTGGTCTTGCTGTGTACCTATCTAAGGTATGGGGGGATGAGTAAATGGTAGGTAAGGTAGGTAGTGAACGGCTTTTAAACACCCCCCAACCCGCTGCTTCGCTCTTCTAGCTGTTCTAGAAACACTACGCGCACAGCACACACACACATATAAAGCGGATAAAACCATAGCAGAATTGGAAGAAAATGATTTCATACATTTATACATGACATACTACCTTACTCATTGCATTATTACCTAACATACGTGATGCCCCTGAACACCCGAGGAAGATAGGTAGAAAGATGGCTAGCATGCCGCCGGAACGCCGTCCCATCCATAGCGCACAAGTTGAATTGAGTATCGTGAGAGATGTCTACATCTCCCTGTGACGAAATGCGTGATCAGGAGAAAAAGAAAGAACGCGGGGCAAAAATGGCTAAGGGATCCATAGAAGCACGATAACACTATCGTACTTTGGATGTTCCTCGCCTTCCGCCAGCCATCGCGCGTCGTCTTTTCTCTTGACGTAGATTTGCTTCACTCGGCCGTATCCCTCTCTCGTTGAATCTAGGAGCTCCCAGGAACGCTTCCTTCCGGTTCCGCTGAGACTCTTTCGTAGACTGCCAAAGGTGTATGCGACGTTCGTGGCCATCTCCTCCTCGCCGCCCATATCGAAGGTCCCCTCCATCAGTCCGGTATCGAAATCGATTCCTTTCGGATATTGCGCGACACTGTATCCATTGGAAAGGATAAAGTTGTCTTTGAACTGCCATCGTTGCAGGAGACAGTCTTCACCACACGCATCTACCACAATATGTGCCTTCCCTGGGATGAAAGCGTGCCATGATTTGTAATGGTGGAGGGACAAAGGCATGGTCCCGGACTCGTAGAATCCGCTCGGGTCTCCAAACTGATCTTCTTGGTGTAGGAGCGGGAGGTAGGTGAGTCGGGTTTCGGTATGTTGGTGGATGCAGTTGTACAGGAGTCGATCTCCCTGGTCGCTGTCAAGGACATACCTGCCATCCTCGGTCTTTTCTAGGCAGGGTAGTCCTGCGATCTGTTTTGCGAGCGGTGCTGTGAGGATGATGCCTCCGCCACCAAAAGCAAAGGGGGCCTGGTGTTCGAGGAGCCACTGGGCGCGCTCGGTAAAGGTCCCGATGTAGTATGGTTTTGCGGGGTCGTAATGAGTGAGTGTGTTCAAGAGCTCTGACATGGCAGGGAAGAAGGTGTCATCATCCATGAGGATAAAGAATTTGCGGTTGTCTCGTGAATTGTGGTTGTATAGCATGTTGACGAGAGCTACGTAGCGTCCTGGCATGTCAAGTGTAGGATCGGATGCGACGACCGTTGCATTGATCCCCACTGAATTCAGTCTCTCAGCTGCATGGTCGATCTCCTCTTGAGTCGTGTCGAACAAGGCCAAGACCAATCCTGCTCCGTTGGAGTGTCCATTGCCATCTGTAAGCCATCTCGCCCACTCACTTATCGGGCTCGTCTTTGGGTCGGTGAAACGTTGGAATGTGGTGGAGCAGCCAAAGATCAAGGCAGACGCATCGATCTGATCTGGTCGCTGGGACTGCTTGACATGCACTTCGAGTGGGACATCTGCTTCCAGGGTCGAGACCTTAGTGATTTTGATATCTTCAAATGGCTTGTTAAATAGGTTCTGATCGAGCTCGGTGATTGATGGTCGATCAGGGGCATCAAAGATGTATCGAATGGTTCGTGAAGCGTAGGACACTGTAGGACCGATATTGTGTTTGCTCAAGACCTCCCTCACATATGTCAGGTCGTCAGAGCCGGATTTGGAGATCTGGGGCGGGGAGGTCGAGTCTAAGAGGATAGAGGTGCCGGTGAAGCTGGGATGGAAGTAGAAGACGAGGGCGACGAAGAAAACGACTGCCAGCCATCGAAATAAGGGCGTCCGAGGCAACATTGGGGAGGTAGTGTTCACGAAAGACATGGAAAAGGCATTGGATAACGAGGGTATAGGTGAGGAGAGCCGAGGTATGGCGGTAAGTAACGCGCGCAGCGAGAAGAGAAGAGGAGTGAGGAGGGGTTGGTAGAGCAGGAAGTCAGCAGTCAAGAGACTTAAAGAGACAAGAGACAAGAGACGATAGACGAGAGACAAGAGACAAGTGAAGACGTAGTTGTCTTGTTCCTTGCCCGTAGCTCCGCGCAAAGTCAATAACACATGACGGACGGCGCATCTCTAGAAAATTCGGATACGCGTCGAGGTCCCACTGTCCCACACGCGGATCTTGCCGCAATCGGGGTGGAGGGATGCGATGTTATACTGTCGTGCTGTGAAGTACGCAGGGCAGGTACCCGCTAGGACAAAGGTGGATTAGTGATGCCGAGAATAGCATGGCGCCAGGTCCAAACCAGTTTACCGCGGGAGAGCGGGACGGGTGGGACCATCCATCCCCTTATCCATACATCTTTGTATCATCTAGATGATCTACCATTATCTACCTCACCTTACATTACATTACCTTACTCTTCTTCTTACTGATCGCCCTGAGCAACAACCATGCAAAAGATGTCGATGGCCTTTGTTTGTTTACATCCATTGATACGTTACATGTTTTCGATTTAGGTATTGTACATATCCTACTCATATCCCCCCTCAGAATTTGTTCGGGTTCCTTAAGAATCCAACAACGCCGCTGCAGAACCCCACCAACTCGCCCACGCGGACACCTTCGCTCTCTTGGCATTGTCTCCAGTACTTCAGTGTTTCCATCAACTTTGCACTACGCGCCACCTCCTCGCCATGTATCTTGAGGAAGACCGCCATCCAGGCTTGTACTAATTCGTAGTCCCGTTTTTCGCGGAGCCGGCTTGTCAGAGCTTCTACGAAATTGACCAGCTCATCCGAATCGTCATCCTCTGTACCAGGGTTGAGGGACCGGATCTCGAGATCTGCCGCAGATGGCGAGAGGGTTTTGAGGTAGTCAATGAATGGTGCATCTGTCTTGTGTTAGTGGAGTCATAAAAAGGAATAGGGGTAGACATACAATTGCCCGTTTCACTTCCAGATCGAAGAGCGATGGTGAAAGCTCCTTCGGAAGCAAGACGATCCATCTTCATGATTCTCGACCTCTCTGCCACACTTTCCTCGGTTTTCTTCTCTTCCACAGCAGCAGGAACCACCGGCTTCTCGAGCGATGGGAGGAAGAACGGAGCCTTCTCCGGAACCTTGGGCGCTTCTTTTGGCTTGTTGCGTTGTTTAATTAGATCCAGATGGAGGAGGGTCTGCCATCTACTCTTGGGGACCAAACTCAAGGTCAACATATCTGCACTCAATTGGTCCAGCGATAGAGCAGGGGCCACGTCCTCAGCCTCTTCCGTCTCGTCCTCGAAAGCACCATCAATGAGTCCGTGTCCACCTTCTCCAGACACAGTGGGCCCAGATATTTCAGCAATCTCATTTTCAGAGATATGCCGAGTGGGAACATGTGTGAACAAGGTCTTGTTATTCCAGATGTTAACTCCGACTTGACCTTCGCAAGTCGTGGCCAGGAATTCTCCAGTAGCCGAAAATGCAAGCGCAGTGCATTGAGTCTCCATTCTGATGGCATCAATCAGGTGACCCGTGGGAAGATCCCAGACTCGTACTACTCGATCCTTCGAAGCGGCGATAATCCAGCGGCCGTCGTTGGAGAAGCAGAAATCATTGATCCCCCCTTTGCACCCGAATAGTTCTCTGATTGTTCTTTTTGTCTCGATGTCGACTACTCGGATTGACAAATCGTCACAAGCGAGGGCTATCAGGTCGTTCGAGCTATGGTATCGCATTGCTGTGATGGCTGCCATAGGATGCCAATCGATTTCATCCACAAGGTGGCCAGTTCCGAATTCCCAGAATTTAACCTTGCCATCCAGAGAACAACTTATGATATTTCTGTTCAGAGAATCCACAACCACGCCAGTGACTGCTTTTCTATGCTTTCCCATGCCAAGAGGAAACGTTCTCTTGGATTTGGAATGAAGTTGAACACCGCTTTCCAGCGCTTGTGCCTGCTGGATCTTCAATTTGTTTGCTTGTGCTGGAGTCAGCTTTGCAGGATATCGTTGTCGGTGTCGTCCAGACTGCAAATTAAACATGTCGATGCCACCGGTTTCTGACCCAACCACAGCGAAAGTACCGCAAGGGCTGATTGCCACACTGCTAACATAGCCGCCATCTCCAGTTTCAAAGGCCCATCGACCTGCCTTTTTCCTACCCCAAAACCAAGTTCGAGCATACTTGTCATCGCGGTGGCCCGTGATCACACTTTCCCATCCAGTTACACCACTGGCCGTAGCATCTGTGGGCTGTTTGTGAACCTTCGAACCCTTCTGCCAGATGGCGCCGTTGCCTGGATCTGCACCCATTCCACCATCACGGTTCAAAGACATAGCCATGCAGGTGATCTCGGGTGCTTTGAGATCCTCAATAGTTGCACTAGGCTCGTTTGCTAGAGAGACATTTGCCAGAATTCCCAGCTTCTTGGCCTTCTTCCTGATGTTCCCCTGGCTAAGCTCTGTGCTTTGGCCATCTCTTCGAAGACTCCATCCCCACAAGCTTCGGTCTTTTCCAGCGCTGAGCAACCATTTGCCTCCCCGATCTGCACCATCCGCATCAGTGGGAAGAAACTGTAGCTGTGTAACAGGTGCGGCATGCCCGCTCCTTGAATGTAGGATTCGAGGAATCGGCGAATAGGGTGTCTCGTCGAATATCCACGATTTCAAGGAGTTGTCCAGACCGCTGGTCACAATCACTGGTTGTCCGGGAAGAAATTCGACTTTACTCACACCGCCACCAACGATTGTGTCTGCATCCGAAGGGGGGTTGTGAGCTGATCGGAGTATTCCCATGACTCTTCCTCCCCCGTTGAGATCCCAGAATGTCACATCGCCTGTTCCGGGGCCGGCAGTAGCCATCACGCCTGGTTTCCTGCCATCATGACCAGCCCCAAGGTCGTCCGTTCGGAATGATATAGACGTGATCGTAGAACTCGAGTACCCTCCATTCAACTGGATTAATGTCTTGTCGGTTCGAACATCGTGTATTATCAAAGGTCCTTCAGAGTATGCGATAGCTAGAAGTGACAGGACGGGGGTGGGTTGTAGTGCGGTGACCTCCCCGCAATTCGCAGCAGGAGGTAAAATTGTGTAGATCAACTTCCCAGAGCTCACGTTCCAGATTTCAACGCCACCATCTTTCCTTCCAGCAAAGATTTTGTTCAGGTATGTAGGCATATTTGAAATAGCGCCGGTAAGCTCATTCCCGCCTTGTAGAGACGCCGTCGTGAACAGGGTCGTATAATGCTCGTAAGTCGGAGACCTCTCCAAGTTCGATTTCCATACTTCGATTCTTGTTGTGCAACATCCCACAAGCCATGTACCGAATATAACAAGTTTCTTGATAGGTTGCTGGAGGTCGGTAGGAAGGTCGAGTTCCGAAATTTTCTTCCCTCTCTTGAATATCCAAAGACCCTGCTGTCCATCCTGACTCGCTCCACCCCACGCCGCAAACACCAGCTCCTTCCATGCCACTGTTGCGGTTACATCCTCAGGCGTTTGTGGTCTCGTGAGAAATACCAGGTTGAGTCCGCGCTTTAGATCGTAGGTTTGCAGAGATCTTCCCACCGAGGTGGTGATTTGGAAGGTTGTTTTGCCAAGGGGGACGGACGTGAAGGGGATAGGAGTCGATGATACTAAGCCAATGGTCTCCAGAGAATAAGCCTACGCGTCAATAAAGGAGGAGGACATTCTGAACATACCCGGAAAGGTGTGAAGATCCTCGATTCTCGCGCTGCGCCTCTCGGTGCGGTGTTCGCATTGAGCTTTTGTCTCTTCACAACCGGCCCATCACTGTCGGGACGAATTAAAGTAGAAGGCATTTTATATGCCAGATGAAGAGATGGAGAGAATGAGGAAAGGGAAGAAAGACAGGTTGTCTATTGTTCAGAGTTCTCCCGTCCTCATAGAAGAGGTATTGTTGTGAGCGGCTGGTGAGCTGCAACACTTTTTTTTTCCCTTTCGCTTTTTGGGACCCGCCGAGACCCCTGCAAACTCTGGTTGTGCTTCCACAAGAGGACAAGCAGAGCGTGGGGGAAAATGACTACCAAGAATCAACGTCGTGTCGCGTGTCAGCACGTTAGTTTGTATGTATATCGAAGATCATCTGCATTGTTGTCTAGATGCCCTCATATTGATCGGATTTGCGCCCCCCCTATCCTATCCGACCGCAAAAGCACTTCTCTGTCGGCCGCCATTGTCCACCGCCTGTTGCCGCACGGGACGTCATTATTGATAAGGTTTGGGAACCAAAAACTAAGTGGATTTTCTCTTTCAGCCTCGTGCGAATGTCTCTTGTCTTAAACCCTAGATTACCGTCGCTTCAATAATTATGATTACCTAGGTACGTCTTGCCCCCGCTACTGACGTCTCTTGGACAATTAAACATCGTGCTGTGGTTGTCGAACAAGGAATCCAATTCCGCCATGGAGCAAGCTGCTGAGAGTACTAGTGGGATACTTGAGGCTACTAATGAGCCTAGCACACCGTCCGTCGAGACTCCTCATCCAACTTCACGGCAAGAAAACACGGCCCTGCCAGTTCCTCCAAGACCAAAGACTCGTTTTCCTGCATCACATAACCTGTCGTCAGCCTCGACCTCTTCAGCGTCAAGCAGGAAGGGCCGTTATGCTGAGCCAGGTACCGCAGACATCCATTCTGAACGAGCCAGTATCTCAATGCCTCCTCCATCAGTAGCACGCTCACGAACCTCTTCAACCTACAGCCTGCGCAATCCAGGAACCGCCGAAGTTGGCAAGCCGGGGGCCAGTCCAACCAGGGCCACAAACAAAGACGATTGTGCTGTAGAGGATTGCGATACTCCAAAATTGCCTCCCGCCACCATGGCAGATGAAACGAGGCACTCTTCGCTGCCCGATGCGCTTCGACCTACACCGTCATTGTCCGAGATGAGCTCGAAGCGGATGTCGGTGTCGTCGATGTATTCCCTCAGCTCTGCAAGAGCTGGCGGCGTTCCAAGCTCTGCCGCCTCTACGAGTGGATCCGACGTTGGAGCTGGGACGAGTTCAAGGACATCGACAGGGGCCTTATCTCCTAACAACGGTTTACAGTCGTCTCTTCCTGAGACTTCTACCTCGTCTGTTTCTGTTCTGACATCCTCAATGAATCAATTCGGAAGCCAAGGCTCGACAAATGGCCCTCAACTCATTCCACGCGAGACTCCTGGACATGCCGCGGATATTGCGAAACGAAATTCGATCTCAAGAGGAGAAGCAGTTCTTCGGGTACAACCACCCGCAAGGTCCAGAAGTCGCGCGAAGAGAAGATTCAGTGGGAGTACGGCCGCAAGCAGCCACAGCCCAAGTAGCGAGCGAGGTGCCTATTCAAAGAAGGACGAGGAACCCAAGCCACCCTCTTGGGGCATCATTGGCGTCTGCGCTCTTGACGTGAAAGCCCGCAGCAAGCCGAGTCGTAATATTTTGAACCGCCTGATTTCCAAGGGAGAGTTTGAGGTTGTCGTCTTCGGTGATAAGGTGATATTAGACGAAGAGGTTGAAAACTGGCCTCTTTGTGATTTTTTGATCTCTTTCTACTCTGATGGCTTCCCTTTGGACAAGGCTATTGCATACGTCAAGGCTCGCAAGCCCTTTTGCGTCAATGACGTTCCCATGCAGAAAATTCTATGGGATCGCAGGATATGCTTGCGGATTTTGGATAAGATTAATGTTCCCACCCCGAAGAGACTAGAAGTTAACAGAGATGGAGGACCAAGTGTTTTGACTCGAGAGCTGGCAAAGCATTTGAGAGAAACGACAGGAGTTGTTCTGGAAGGTCCAGAAGATGGCACTGGCGGCCAAGAACCTGGGCCTCGGAAAGTGGAACTCCTTGACGATGGCGATACCTTGAGTGTTGACGGAGTCATGTTGGCAAAACCGTTTGTTGAAAAGCCAGTCAGTGGAGAGGACCACAATATTTGCATCTACTACCCAAAGAGCCAAGGTGGAGGAGCTCGGAAGCTATTCCGTAAAATCGGAAATAAGAGCTCCGAATGGGTAGATGGAATGACAGTCCCTCGTGCCATCCTAGAGCCAAATAGCAGTTACATATATGAAAAGTTCATGAGGGTTGATAATGCAGAGGATGTCAAGGCGTACACAGTTGGGCCCAACTATTGTCATGCCGAGACTCGCAAATCTCCCGTGGTAGATGGTTTGGTCAGACGCAACACCCATGGCAAGGAAGTCCGTTACATCACAAGTCTTTCAAAGGAAGAAGCATCCATGGCAAGTCGAATCGCTGTGAGCTTTGGTCAGCGAGTGTGTGGATTTGACCTCCTGCGAGCCGAGGGGAAAAGCTATGTCATAGATGTCAATGGCTGGAGTTTTGTCAAGGACAATGAGGAATATTACGATCAATGCGCCAGGATTTTGAGAGAAATGTTCATTCGAGAAAGACACAGGCGGCTTGGAACCCCCCTCCTAAGTACAACCACCACACCAGGAGGTTCGGATGGCACAAATACTCCTCTTGGTAGAAAGGATACGATCGGCAAAGAGTCAACTCATCGCTCAACATTGCAGACTATTCTTGCTCACTCCCCGAGCATGTCGAAACTGCATGGGCTCCAACACAACAAGAGCGCAGCAGGACACGGATCGCCAGATGTTTCGAGTGCTCCCACCCCGAGAACCTCTCCTCCCAGTGCAAATAGGGGCTTGGGCCTCGATCTTAGCATACCTCCGGCTCCTCTCCCGCCGCCTATGATGCCACCGCCAACAGGAAATGCGCCATCCAGAGCCCCCTCGATAGCCCCTTCAAGTCCTGGACCACAAACAGCAGACATGGGAGAGATGTTACCGCCGCCGCCACCCGCCCCCAAGCATAGCTGGAAATTTAAGGGTATGGTTTCAGCGATTCGCCACGCAGATCGGACACCTAAACAAAAGTACAAGTTCACCTTCCACACCAGGCCGTTTATTGAACTTTTGAAGGGGCACGATCAGGAAGTGTTATTAACTGGAGAGGCGGCACTCGAAAGCGTGATGATTGCTGCTGAGGTGGCATTGCAAGAAGGGGTGGAAGATCGCGAGAAACTCAAAGCCTTGAGGAACGTTCTAGCAAAGAAGGGTGGTTGGGCCGGTACAAAGGTTCAGATCAAACCTATGTTTAGGAAGAGAAGGCCGGAGGAATTGTACCCAGGCCTTACTATGCTACCCGAAACAGAGACGACTTCTCAGCAAGGCGAGAGCATGATGAAGGAAGTGAAGCCCGACGAGAATCTCGATGTTTCGGAGCTTAGCAGATCGCCTACCAGGCATGATTCTACATCTGGTGTAACCTTGTCTCGGATTACAGCGGCGGAGAATAGTCTAATTCTTGACAAGCTGCAGCTCATCGTAAAATGGGGTGGTGAACCAACCCACTCAGCTAGATACCAAGCGCAAGAACTTGGAGAAAACATGCGAAATGATCTTCTCTTGATGAATAGGGAAGTTCTTGATGAAGTCCATGTCTTCAGTAGCTCGGAGCGACGTGTCACCACCAGCGCACAAATTTTCGCCGCTTCGTTCACAGGACAGAAAGAACTTCCACCTGACTTCATCACGATTCGAAAGGATTTGTTGGATGATTCGAACGCTGCCAAGGACGAAATGGACAAGGTCAAGAAGAAGCTCAAAACTCTCCTGCGCCAAGGGAATGAAGCACCTCCTCAATTTGCATGGCCCGCAAACATGCCAGAGCCATCTATTGTACAGAGACATGTGGTTCAATTGATGAAATTTCATCGGAGGGTCATGCGTCACAACTACAGCAAGCTCTACGGCGGTGCTTCCTCGTCGCTCAATGCAATTGCAAATCCGGGCGACAAGGAGAGGGGCGAATCGTCTGGTTCGGGTGGTGCTTCACTGTCGCAAGCCACTGCGACGAGCAGCATTCAAGCTCGATGGTGTTGCGGCGAGGATGCAGAACTGTTCAGAGAACGGTGGGAGAAGCTGTTCAGCGAATTCTGTGACACAGAGAAGGTAGATCCAAGCAAGATCTCGGAGTTATACGACACGATGAAGTTTGATGCTCTTCACAATCGCCAATTCCTCGAATGGGTCTTCACACCAAGCAAAAGTATTCTCGAGGAAGAAGAGCTGGCAGACTTGAAAAGTCTTGACAAAGACGAACCAAGAGACAGGTCCAAGGATTTCGACGATAGAGATGCAGAAAAGCAGACTGTACCAATAGAGAGGGCTGATTCCAATAAGAGCTATCGGCGTATGTTCAGACGAAGGTCCATTATAGGAAGGGGCGAGGAGGCGCCCGAACAGGTAAGTTATTGTCTGAGAAGGTTGTGCGCTCCTATCTAATATTCGCAGTATTTCCGCCTGTTTACAGGGAATAGTCAGACGAAGGCAAAAACCGACGCTCGACTTGAGAAATTGAGGGAACTGTACAAGCTGGCGAAGGTCCTCTTTGATTTCATCTGCCCACAAGAATATGGAATTTCAGAAAGTGAGAAACTCGAGATCGGGCTCTTGACATCTCTACCTCTACTTAAGGTATGTCGGCCTCCTGGCGTAAGTTGTTGCATCTTACTAATAACTGGAAAGGAAATCGTTCAGGACCTCGAAGAAATGCAAGCGTCTGATGAAGCCAAGTCTTTCATCTACTTCACCAAAGAGTCCCATATTTACACGCTTCTCAACTGCATCCTTGAAGGCGGCATCGAAGCCAAAATCAAGCGTTCTGCCATTCCGGAACTCGACTATCTGTCCCAGATCTGCTTCGAACTATACGAATCCGAGAATAAGACGCCTGCAGACGCTCCTCCTGGAGATGTCCCGAAATACGCCTATTCGATCCGGATCACCATAAGTCCTGGTTGCCATACTTTTGATCCACTGGATGTCCAGCTGGATAGCAAGCACTGTATATCTTGTGCCCCGAGGCGCAGTTTGACAGCACACAAAGATTGGAAGGAGGTCATTGAGACGCTGAGGGCAAAGTTCCATCAGTACGTTTATCTATCCACCCTGCTATTTCGTCGTGATGAAGAAGACGTCTAACAATGATTAGGGTCAAATTACCAAAGAGCTTCCTCGCAGTCAATCTCTCGGAGACGCACACTTTCCACAAGAAAGAGGAGCTGGACGACAGCCAACAGACCCACTCAACTATCGCCGAAATGAACGCCAAAATCGACGATGCCAGCGCAGAAAAGAATAGTACCTCGAGTGAGGGTGCTCTCAAGAGCGTATGAACAGACCTCGCAAGCGACACGCTGGATCACAGACATAGCGAGGGACGAGGAGTGGACAGAGACTATCTATCGCACATCCCCCCCTTCGGGATGCATCACAGACAGTACAGTCCGCTCCCAAGCCTACATTCTTGGACCACCGGAAAGAGCGGGTAAGATCGCAGTTCGCAGATAGGTGCAGTCGCGCCGGCGAGCAAGCCGGTTGCTGATTGGCGAGAATCCTGAATGAAGACCTACTACCTATATGTAGATAGAATAGAATAGATTCGAAGACAGACTTCGATTAGAAAGACTGATACCATACTAATGAAAATGTTTTATTTCCGAGATAATTGGAAGACATGAGATCGTGAAGGAAGAAGCAGGCCATGTAGTGTTCTAAGTTTCCGTAGGATACTATAAGTATGGTATTTGTATCAGAGGGTCTTGACGGACTATTTGATACGATATACCACTCTGCGCTCTGAAACCTGAGCGCTTTCATCTTACGACATATGTTGATCGGTTTGATCTGAGGATATACACTACGAACAAGACCATGTACTACATACAACAACAGGTAGAGGTATTCTACAAGTCAACATCCATCTTCCCAGAATCAAGAATACATAATAAACCCTATATGCCGAGTGCAAACTCGTCGACTGCCGCCATCCTCTCGCACAGGGGGGACCGGGATCTCCTCATCTCCTTCCCCTTCGCGCTCCCTTTGCATAGCCGTCTCTCAGCGGACGAGCTCACCGCCCGTTCGGTTGCCGTGTGAGCGAGAGATCGATCCAGTTGGCGATCGATAGAGAGAGAGGGAGAGAGAGAGGAGAGAGGAGCTGTGCATGTTCCGCGCACGCAATATATATGTATATATATATATGTTTCTGGGCGGCGCATGGCATGCAGCGTTTCTTGATTTTCTTGGACGGAGGATGAGGTGGATGTGATGTGATGTGTAGGATATCCCGTGACTCGCGAGCGATGCGGGCGACTGTGCCCGGGGCGCCGGACTAGAAAGTCTAGAAGTCAATATCCAGGGTTGGAGAGGGGTGAGATATGAGAGGTTTTGTGTTTTGTTTATTTTTTGTGGATTTTGTTTCTTATTCTGGACCCGGCTGCATAGATTTGATTGATTGATTGATGATTGATCAATCAATCAGCGTCCTAAAGCATTAACCTCCGGATTGAGCTGCGGGCTAATGCTCGACGTTCCCAGGTCGTTGGCGGTGTGTCGTCCTCCCAGCCCGGTCTGCGAGCCTATTGGCTGATCACAGACGCATTTAGGGAGCGATCAGATTATCAGAAACAATCATGGCGTCTCTCTTCGGTTCCTCTGGTCTCTCGTCTCCCGGCTTCTGGTCCTGGTGCTGCCGGGTCAGCCATGTGGTTGCGGTGGATGCGGGTGAGGGGCCCAGCCCAGATTATAATCCCGGGAATGGCGCGAATCGACCTTCTTCCTTGGATACGCGGATGATAGGGACATGGCATGCTGTATGTAGCACTCAGGAAGGACCCTTCACAGCACAGCGGCGTGATCAGAATATACAGTACCACCCGTACCTTACCATGTACAAGCAAGCAATAACAGTGGCGGTGAGAGAGGAATCATTTCTGCTCCTCTTTCGGGGATCTCTCTTTGGGAACATTCTTGAGTCTCTTCAGCCCCCTCGTATTATTGCCAGGTCTGACTCCTGAATGGCAATGCTCCTGTCGGGTTCATTCCACGATGCCCGCCCAGCTTCAGCGCACATGGCGGATCCAAGGAGTAGTGGTTCTCACTACTGTGAGTAAGGCAGTGCGCACCTGGGACCTGGCGCCGGTGCATTAGTATTGAGAGGCGCAACAGGGGCGGAAAACGCCAATATACAGATGCTTTTCTTCAGCTCTTGGGTAGCTTGGCGATGCCTTGCAGTTATAGGCGGTGTGGTGGTGGGCACGGTACATGACATGACATGACGATACTCCTTGAAAAAAAAAAAGAGAGAGATACCTGGTTATACTTTACGGACAGAGTATGGATCTTGAAGTTACAGAGATAGTCGGTTAGGAACTTAGGAGGGATCCCTCGTCGTGAGGCGTTTCTGCTCTGCAGTTCTTGGGTCAAGGACTCAAGGGCAACCCTGGGCCTGGTTGGATCGTCACCAATGATATCAATGTCCTGCGAGTCCGAGAGACGCCCGTCAACCCGGAACCCAGGGAGCTGCGCGTTCCAAGCTTTTCAGCCAGGTCCCACGATTCACGACCCTTGCCCTGCTCGCTGGCCCTGGTCTCTCTCCAGATGCCACGAGGCTTCGTTTGCCGACGTTTGTGTGCAACCTGCAATCTGCTACTGTACTGTCAGTCCAGTACCTTGAGGCAGGTCACTCAAAGTTCCTGCACTGTGTACTACATCCTGCATACTCCATACGGTTGTTTTACCTATCTATCCAGTATGGGATTTCTACTCGACAAAACTCCCTCCCCCTGGATTATATAAGAGCCCAACTATATACTTAGTACCAAGACATGTATGTACCTAGGTAGGTCCGGTAAACCTTCCGCCGGGACAGACTACTGTTAGTATATTACCCAGTTTTCCACTGATACAGGTGGGCCCTCCTGAAGCCAAATACTCCCCCCATCCCAGGCCCATGATCCATCCATCCAGCTTATCCAGGTTTCCACATTGACGATTTACCTCTCCCCATCAACGATCAACCCGGCAGACCATCCGGCACCCATCCCGTCGAGTCCCAACCGGCAGAGATCCCAGACAAACCAGCTCTTCCCCGAAAAAGCTTCATTGCTATTCACGTCCAACAGGATCTCAGCCAGAAGAAGTATCGAGTCCAGCAAGACAACAGCCTCGACCAGGATATTTTCCCCAAGGATCGGGAGAGTCCCCAAATCCTCATCCTGGGAGGCGATAGATGATAGATAGACGCAGGACTCAGGAGACATTCGATGCTCGGCGCTAGAAGCATAGCACGAATCTTCCGGACTCCGCGCGATTCAGGGGCCAGTGGGCTAGTCGAGGCCTGCTCTACCCTTTCTGAGTATCTTTCCAAGCATCTTTTCCCTTTTCATCGTCCTTTATATTTATATATTCAAACTCAATTTGTTTTTTATTGATGGTTCAATAACTATTCCTCCGTAGCGAGACCCTTTGCTGCTGTTGTGTATGTATGTACTAACCCGATATCATTCCTCCGTTGCATTCCCCCAGCTGTCGCCGCCTCATAATTATCCGCGTCTATGCTTAGGTAGGGTTCCCCTGGTTCCTCTACCCCATGACTATGACTCCAGCTGTTGTGCCCGGTCCATGGTAACGGGCATTTTTTGGCCCAGCCCTTTAAGCACAAACACCATCTCGATTGACGGAGGCCCTACCGCTACCGTGCCCCTCCAGCACGCACTCGATAATCAATGGCCCGTAGATTAAATCAATCAGCCACCCATAAGCAAAACCCATCATCATCTATCCCCCTTCCCCCACGCCCATGCAGTCTCCCTCCCCCAGGCAATCTCGCCCCTCTCTCCGTCATTCCGGTCCCGCCGGGAGGATAGCCGCCCCGCCCCTTGGTACCGTGCTCGCCTCCTGCGTATGTATCTACATGTAGAAAGAGAGAGAAGCTTCTTTTTTTGGATCCAGCCCATCTGCTTGCTGGACGTCGTTTCGTCTGTCCTGTGCTTTGGGCTTTCGTCCTTTCCGTCGTCGAGGCTTCTTGCTCTCGGACTCGTGCTTCTCTTCCCGGTACAGAACAACTAACGTACGTACACCTTTTGGTCTGAGAGATTGGCGCATGGAGCCCCTTGCCGGCATATAAACTGCCGCGGTACCCACCATTGCGACCTCTGAACTTCGTTGTCCTCAAGGTCAATCGCTTTGTTGTTGCGTCTCACTTTCACGAGTGGTCATTCATTCACTCTTGGTCGCTTAGACGAGAAGGAAAACAACCGGTCTCCTATTCCTCCACCACAACAACAAATTCGTATCCGTACAAATACATCCACCACCGATCTTCCTGACCGTCTTACTTTCCTTCGAATCCCATTCCACTGTCCCAAGTCGCCATCAGTGCCTCGTCTACAAAGACAAATACGCGTCACCCGCCGATCTAAACAAGCCCAGCTCTGCTCTCCACAGCACTTGCTCCCTCACCATGGCGGTCCCCAGATATTGCCATCATTCGTTCAACCTCCTCAAGTCCGAGTCGACACTCATCCAATGGGTTTGCAGCATGTGTCACAGCGGTCCTCACTGGCACATTTTCGAGTGCAAGTACTGCAAGCTCAAGACTTGCCGACCTTGCACCAACAAAGTCTGACTTGCCTACCTTTGTCTCGGGTTACCTCAGAGGTATGTGATTGAGCTCCCAGGATCCTTGATTCCCATCCAACTGGTTCAGAGATCCGCTGACACCAAGACAGCCCTATTGCAAGGAGGGAAGAGGGCAAATGGAAAAGCAAAGGAGAGAAAGAGGGAATGGATCTTCTTCTTGACAGCTCATCTTGTCCCACCTTGCCTTGTCTGCTGTGTCATGCAGGCGTGTCGATGGGCGTTGTCATTCATGCAAGGGCGATCACGAATTAGGCGACCTTCCCCTTCCAACGGTGCATGAACCTCGTCCTACTGTTCGACGAAACATCCCCTTTCGATAACTCACGCGAACCCTTTCACGAACCTTCACGATCAGCTTTGTCTTCCGGCGTTTCCGCGTTATGTCTTGCGCCGTTTCCGTGTTATGTTTTGCTGCGTTTCCGTGTTATGTCATTCGCCGATGATAGACGAGTCCAGTCTCGATCGTATGACTGGATTGTTTATTGCTCGTTTGCTTTTCCGCGTATCCCCTGGGCGGCTGCTGTCAGGTTTAGTACGTGTCAATTTGTCTGTGGCCTCATTCCAGGGCAGGAGAGCAATCGTCTGTTTGATTCTGATCTCCTGATCCTGTTTGGGTCGCAAGACTAACTAATTCTGTTTGTCGAGGCGCAAGAGGAAAGACAAAAGGTACCTCAGGGCTTTCTGTATGACCATCTGGGTTGGACTAAACGGTGCTGCTTTGCTCACGCAAACAAAAGGAGTCTGTTGGTTTTTTTTTTTCTTTTCTTTCCTTTTCATGCCCTTGATTTTTGTCTGGAGAAAAATGGTTCATGAATAAAGAGGCTTTGCATGTACACAAGTACAAGGACTGGCGTATGTGGCTGCTTAGCATAGAGAAAATAATAAGGTAGCAATACCGCCCTGTCAAGAACTTTCTCGTCACCTACCTATTTCCGGAAAACCAAGGCTTATCGCTGCGGTCTACTTACATCACACTGTGTACGACCAAGGCAATTGCGCTAGGTATCCGGTGCAACCACAGAAGAACAATGTTTAGTTGGCAAACTCTCAGAAAGATGTCGTGCAACACTAGGCACGGCTCTGCCAGGGCCCATCTGTTAAGGCTATCTTGTACAACCTCGTGAAAGAATAACAGTGCTTCCTATTCTTCCAGAAGCCTGGATCAAAGGCCGTGTGACGTTCATTCCTACGCGTTGTTGCAGCCGGATGTATGTTGCCACGATGACTGACAGCTCATCCACGTAAGCCTTGTGTCCATCAGCCTTGCATGAGGCCAGTAGTTTGGCGCTCTAAACCCGGGGAGGTAGGCTCCCCATCCGGCATGGATAACCCGGGTTACTCAAAATCGGGCCCTTTAATTCATTGTCGTTGTGCAGTTCTTTTCTGGAAACTCGTCAGCCGGGGAAGAATGCACTCCTTCTCAAACTGTCAGCCCTATGTCTATCAAATCTAACACTTGAAGGCCCGACTTACTTTTGTATGCCCTTGTTATGTCAAAGCCTTATTACTAACCATTATCTCATCTTCTTTTGTCAGGAAACCACAGCGTCTTGTATTAGAGACTCACTTCTTCCCCTCGTCAAATCTTTGATCTCTCATCAGCTTTTCGGCAATTTGTATCTCTGTGTTTCCTTTCTCGGTAATATCGATCCGTTCTACCTGGAAACCAACGTCCCAATTCTTGCCCACGCCATCAACTGCAATCTTCGGGCAGAATTTCTCGAGTACCACATGCCTCTATCAGGTGATTTTAGGCGAGGATCCTCGAGATTAGGATTTGTACTTGAGATCCGCTTTTCTCGTTTTTCCTCATTCCTAATGCACAACCCTTGCATGCTATGATTCTATCTTAGCCGAGACATTGTATTGGGCTCATCTGTCTATCGGCAGGCGAGGTAGGCGCTGATGGTATGCGTGATGGTTGTTTATCATTTGTAGTTGTACCTTCTTGCAGCCAGCTTTGAGATGAGAAGTACCACGTAGAGCTGGACATTCATTAGCAGGGATGGTAGTTTTCAGGATAAGAGTACCTGGAAACCCTCATTGCAACTCGCTGTAGACATGGTCAACAAGATGTAGTATATATCCCTCAGCCTCTCGGACTTAATGGCTCCTTATGACCATCGTCAGAGTACTGGCTAACGAGGGTCGATTGGTTTATCATGATGCCTGAACATACTAGACCAAGACTGCCGGCTGCTTCACTGCTCAACCAAAAGAGGCATGGGACGGGAACAGCGACACTATTGACCATGGAATGGTTGTGATGAGGCTGGGGTTTCGTACTGTTTCGCGGTTGCTTTGACGCGTGCAAGTAACCGAGGTTTACGATCACGTGCAGTCGAGCCCCGTGCTCAAATTGGATGCGATGCCCTGGATGCAAGAGCTCTATATTTGCCGGCCAGGCTACCTACCTTGCTCAGCAAACTAGGAATATATTGTATATTAGAAGAAGAGTTGTCACATACGACCACAGACTGAGGAGAATTGGGCATCCCGTCCGCTCTGCCATACACAAGCCTCAGATCGGTAGATTAGTAGTTGGGTGGGTGACCACCAGCGAATACCTACTGTTGTATGTCTTTTTTTCTTTTTGCTCTCCGTGACCAATAAATCTAGGTGTAGGTAGACTCGGATCTGATTATTTTCCTACTTTTAATAACTAGGTAGAGAGCAAGGTGATGATGTTATGGTCTTGGTCCAGGATTCTCTTTTCAATATTTTTTGAAAGACAATAAGTTATAAGCTACCTACATTAAGGAGCTAATGTACAAAGGCCTAACAAAGGCAGTGGACTGATGCGCTCGACTATTCGGTATAACCCAAAAGGAGCTCTAAGTGAAGACTCACTTGGGAATACTGCGGAGAATTAAGAGCACCCGCAATTGCTGTCTACAACTCCAACGAAATGTATTGGTCCTAATTTGCAGAAGATCAGGACATTTATTTTGCGGACAGAGGTACTGTTCTTGAGACCACGCATATGATATATGCAATAGATGTGAAGAGACCAGGCAACTGACCTCTGACGATTTCCGAGACCTTTACCCGGACGGCTCAAATTGCACCCAAGAGCTACTTGTCGTCTGGGAGGCAGTAAGATACGTCGAAGTAGGTTTTCTTTTCTGGATCTCGACGTTGAATCTCAGCAGTGGTATATCCAGCACCTAGGGAAAGGTGTGAAACCTCGGAGACTGCGAAGGTGCATCGATTTGTACCTTCATCGAGGAGGGTCTTGATAAGGCTTATGTCAACTGCGTCCGAGGGGAGTCCTTGGCGCCAAATGGAGTTGCAACTTATAGAGTCAATGTTCGTCTAGTGACTCCGCAATATCTGAGAAGACTGTGAATCAAGGTTTCGATGAAAATCTGTAACACTTTAAGAACAAGGCCCGAGTCGAAAGGGATAAGGTGTGGGAATGAAGCCAGGAGGAGCAACACGTAAATTCACGAGCCCACTTTGGCTGCATCATGTTAAGCATATATACTGTTCCTGGTAGCAAGTCAGACATACTCATTGCATGCACTTGAACTAGGCACAGCTTTGGACCACGTAGAGGGAGCAGCCTTAGAAGTGACAATGATAGACAAAAGAGGATGAAGTAGTTTCTAGGAAAGTATCAATACATCTCTGATTCGATGTTGTTCTTGTCATCGTTCCGGTGAAAATATAAAAATCTGGTCCAGAAACGAGGATTCGGCTGTTTCCTTGACAGCGGAATCACATTCCTGAGAAAAGAAGTAATAGGGCTGAGCAAAAGTAAAAGTTTAGAGCTGCACCATTAGTCGAAGCTCCTCCCATAACAAGATATCAGCCACCGCTTCTATCGGATATCACTAGAGCCTTGCGCCTACACAAACCCAGCCTGGAACTGTAAGCAGACAGGCAAACACACAGTCTTTATCTTCCCATGCATGGATCTACCATCACAGGTCAACAAGAACCTCCACCGGCTCCTCGCTTTGGTCAACTGTCCGCACCTCCATCCAGCCATTCTTTTCAACGCTAACGATGGAGCCATCAATACAGCAGCGCCTCCATTTCGAGTCCTCATCCTCCTCTTTGAAATCAATTCTCAAGCCCTCAATGCTGTCATACCCTACCACATCCAGGCTTATATGGTTCCCATTATTATATGCCTCTTTCATAACCCCCATTGCCTGTTCCCCGCTAACCGCTCCAAAATGCACGACACGGAGCTGGCCATCCAGTGGTTTGCTTAAGGGTGAAATCGTGAACGTCTTTTCCAGATTTGACACAAGACTAGCCAGTATATAGCCATGCTCCTTCCTATCAACCACTTCCCCCTTTCCGGACTTGAAAAGTGTAATATCGGCTTTATAAGCATGAGGACCAGCCCCGCCTTGAGGGAAGAGAAGGTCGGTTGCAACAAGGCCAAAACGCTTATCTCCGTGTGCTCGATATTCTGTAGTATCAGAGTCTGCAACCAGTGTCGCATGTAAGCCATACGAGGCTACCACGGCGCCGTAGAGTCTATCATTTTGGAGGGGTGTAGCTGTTCGGCCTTCGTTGGACAGGGCACGTGCACCTGGAGAGAAGGATGCACGGAAGAGGGGAAGCGGTCGAGGTTTGCCATGGAACAGGGTTCGCAGCCCTTGAATATAGATAGAAGGAAGTGGAGAGGGCCGGTGCAAAGAGTGAAAAAGAGCGTTTCCGGTACCAAGAGGAAGCTGGGTAACAATGGGTTTGACATAGGTACTATAAAGGAGCATAGGAGCATCAGCACAGAGCAACTTTGTCACGACCAGATGTAAAGGTACCTCGAGAAATTTCCGTTTTCCAGCAGCCCGTTAATGGTATCCACAATTCCACCATCACCACTGAGCATTAACACCGTCTGCTTCTTTCCCTTGTTCGCATTAACCAGCAGGGTTGACTGTGCAAACTCCTTCACGGATGCGGCACTCTTCGTCCTCAGAACATTGTATTTCGAGTCCGCCAATCCGATCGCCCTTAAAAGAGGTTGCAGCACCTTTTCGAAGAAACCAAGCGCCAGACCTGTACCTGACAGCGTCGAGACAAGTACGTGTATATCACTTCCCTCGGGATTCAACGGGTCTGGCAGGGCTCGAAGGAGGTATCGTTCAAGAAAATTCGCAGGAAGGTTCGTCGCAGATGTAGCGCGTAACTCGAAAGGAGATTGCGTCGGGCTTGTCGTAGTGTCGGTCGGTGCAAGACTCCATACCGCGTGTCTGATGTCACTCCCGTCAGTGCTCGTCACTGCGATTATGTCTTCATCTCTGAGCTTTCCATCACTCCAAGTCAATTGTCCGTCTTGATACACGGCATTTGAAGCCTCGGAGGTCGACAGAAGGGCCGCCATGTGGAGAGCACGATGAAGACAAAGACGGAGCAGAGGAAGAGAGAGGAGTCGGAGCTGACATGGTGGTGAGGGGCTTCTGAGAGTGAGATACGAATGGCGCGATCAGTGCCCCTGCGAGCGCGATAAGAATTGGAGAACTGCCTTCAACGGGTCCGACAGCAGCTGCGATAGCGACCGGAATGAAATGCAGGAAGACAATTGATTGAGATCGGTCCTTGATATTAGACTTGCAACGGGCGTTACTACAGAACAGAAATTCTAGGAGCGGAATAGCGTATTAAGTTTGGGGTTGTTCTCTGATACCCCTCCTTCACCCCTCCCTCCTCCCCCTTTATCTGAACCGAGTGAGGTCGCGTCGGAGAGTCGGAATGATATTAGTGCTCAGTGATACCCCCATGCTTTCCTTCGGTTCATTGAACTTGAATATTGCCTACCTAGGCAGCTGTTCTGTCTAGAACTACACTCTACAACAGGCCGAAGATACTCCCTCATCATGTAATAAAAGTATATGATCCGTACACATGCCCTCAGCAAACTGTCGTCCAGTCCCTTGAGATCGACAAAGCTGGACTACCACAATGGTCTAACGCAAAATATCTATTCAAAGCTATGCTCTGTCTATATCCATTTTCTCCAATGGGACTCAGCTAGAGCACCCAAGTCTTGGGCTCCATGTGGTATATATATCTTGAAAGACTCCGCGACTCATCGGGTGCTTCTCAAGCGTTGCTCTTAACTCTCATACTCCAATCTCCCATCCCCAATCACTCCCCAAAACTCCTCAACAATCTCCTTCTGCCCGGTCGGCGCTGCACGGACCGCGAGATACTTCCTCCCATCAATCTCCGGTTTCCAGTCCCCAGGATTGCCACTAACCATGATTCCACCGGCCTCGTTGAGAATACACCATCCAGCAGCCACATCCCAAGCCCAACATCCTCCCTCCCAAAACACGTCTTGCTGTCCCGTCGCCACAGCTGCCAGGTTCAATGCTGCAGAACCCATGCATCGCAGACTGTGAACCATTGCCCCTCCATTTTCCTTCGATGCTGCCAGTTTGGCGAAGACCTTGGTCTTCAGCTCGAAATTCACCCCAGTGCGATCAGAACCCCATTCTGCGCCTATGAGACATGTGCTCAAATCCTTAAGTGGCTCTGGCTCGCTCTTCAATGGCAGCTTAACCTTTTCCCCTCCATTCCTTGTAAGAAATGCGCCCTTTCCCTTTATCGCCGTGTACAGTTCATCCAGAAATGGGTTATAGATCACACCTATGGTAGGGATTTTATCAACCGCAAAGCCCAGAGAGACGCAGAAAGCCGGAAACGCATGCACAAAGTTCGTGGTTCCATCTATAGGATCGACAATAAATGTGGGTGCGGAGGTGAGCTTCGTAGAGCCGGGAACGTATGTCTCTTCGCCGATGAAGGAGAAGTTTGGGTAGCTAGACATAAGGCGGGTTGAGACCATTTTTTCGACAGCTTGGTCGGTTTCCGTTACAAGGTCAGCAGCTGGCATGGGAGACAAGGCGTTAGCTCAGGCAAATCGGTAGGAGGGTAGATAGGGGGTGGGGGAAAGTGTACAGTTCTTCTTTGTGCCGGAGGACAGTTGCGACGGGGTTGCGCGCATTATCATGCGGCCTGCCTCATGGGCCACGCTGACCAAGAGATCATGAATCTCTTGAAGATTGAGGTCTGCCATCTTTGGAGTCGATTGATGTGGTTGTGTGTTTACACTGTTGATTGAGCGAGAAGAGCGGGGTTGTGACGAGTTCATATAGCCAGGTAAAACTATCTTATCAGCACGTGCTTGGTCAACAGGCTGTACTTCAAGGTAAAATGTGCAGAGTTACTGCTGATATGATACAATTCCAGGGTAGAGATCAAGACATAGCAGACGTATCACAGTTGTCAATCAGATAGTGTCGTCGAGGTTAATCAGAGATCAATACTTTACACAAAGCGGAAGTGTTTTAAAGCCGGCGCATACCCCGTACAATATCCTCTGAACCAGCGATAATATCATTCTCCATGCAAGTCAACCCAGCCTTGCATTGAAAAGCTTTTGAATTTGGTCATACACGTGCGAAAGGATCTCGTAAAGTCGTTGCCCATATGCCAGCCAGAACCCATGTCGTAACCACATTTCTTACATATTCTCCCTAAACAGTGACTTCCTCTCTGTCGGACTGTCAACGCTAGGCTGTCCCTGCAGATGCCCTTGGGTTCTTGATGTTTCAACAACCGGTCTTGGGCTGACCCCCCTCAGGCTGGTGTTACCTGGCTCTGCTGGATCATCGAAGGGGTTATCCGCAGGCCTCCTCCCCATCTCCTCATCATATCTCCTATCCAGTCCAGCTTGTGATGCACCAATATATGGTCCCGGGTCTCGACTCAAAGCCCTCCCGCGCTCCTCATCATATCCAGGCGGGGGGTTGATAGGCGTCGGCGCAATACCACTCGAATGCAGACCTAATTCCTGCTCCTCATAGTAACTACCCGGCCCATACACATCAGCCTCTGTGCCTACTCGCGCATCCCACGCATCGTCCGGATCCAGTGGTCCAAAGCCACGATTTGACGCCCGCCCCCGAACGTTGCTCAAAGGCTCCTCATAAGCACCCCCCGCCGACCGATTATTCCGATTCTTGAACGCGCGAAACTTGTCGTTGACCCATCCCACAATACCACCAGGCGCCGGGCTCGGCCCTCCGTATCCATGCGACGAGGAACGGAAAGGATTGTAGGATGAGAGTGTAGGTTGTGGTAAGCCTAGTCGGCGAGCGCGAAGATTTGTGTAGACAATCCACGCTATTGCTCCACCGACGACGACGACGGCGACGATTATGAAGAAGGCACCGACGCCTGAGATATGTCCCATCGTTGGCGACTGTGAATTGTTTGTTGTGCTGGCGCTAAAGTCGCCAGACTGTGGGCGTTGTTGGGGGTTGGCGCCTTGAGTTTTGTATCTTGATTACGATGATCTCCGGCACCTCGTTCCCAGCTCTCCCGGGCAAGGCCAGGCAAGCCTAGACGATCAATGCAGGGCAGGTGACTCCGACTTTTGAATTGGATCAATAATTCCCAGAGAAGTGACGAGTTCTGTCTGCTAGGCTTGAATTGTTAAATAATCGGAAAGGCTACCGGGAGGGATTACTACAGTGGCATTGGGATACGGCGTGTATCAACATCACGTGTTCCGTTATCAGAATCTTCAGCTTCAACATCAATCAAGGATCTTGTCTATTTTTCATACTGGTCCGGTCTGTAAAAATGTGCCCCAAGCCATTATGAAAAAGTAAAATAGCTTTAGTGCAATGCAAAAGGAAAGAATCTCTTTATATTAAATAGAGAAAGTATAATCTTAATTAAAGAGGAACAGAAGATGTTAACTTTTCAAGTGAAAGCGGCTAAGTGTTGAAAGCTTTTGTCGCCTAATGTACCTATATTAGAATAGGAGAGTTTGAAAACAAACAGTTGAGACAACTCGACAGCAAACAATCATCCCTCGTGGCGCAATTGGCTAGCGCGTTCGACTGTTAATCGAGAGGTTGGTGGTTCGAGCCCACCCGAGGGAGTAATCCCCTTTTTTTTTTTCTTTTTTCTATATTTTTGAAAAAGTTGCCTATCCGCACGGCGAAACTCAAAGCGGAATCCAATTCTTCTTTACTTTTTCTTTTTTTTTGCTTTTTGGCTTTGTATGCTCAAAGACATGATCTATTCTTTTTCGATACGTACTAGACCTCGCTAAGCGGTGGCCTGGGGCGTTGGCATTTGATCCTGCCGGCCTGTGCTAATGTGCTCTGAATATAAACATCAACATTACCAACTCACAGCGTGCTTTGGTTTCTACATTTTTCTCTGTCTCTGTTTCAATCTTCTTCTAAAATGCCTCCAATTCCCGAGGTGCTAAACTTCGCATGTGACGAGGAATTCATTGCCATAATGCGTAAGACACTGGCGATTTCATAAACCAAACTTGACCTGCGTTTGATATATCTATTCCCTTTGGCCTGTAAGATGCCCTTTTAACGGAGAACATGGGTGCTTGGCTACGATGAAAGGTTTAAAGTGGGCATGGCTATATTATCACTTGAAGAGAGAAGTGAAGTTCTTCGCACATCAGGCTGGAGGTCAAGGCTGGGCCTGCAGTTGACTGAGAATGAATTCTCGGCTCATGATTGGCCAGTGATGAAAAATCTCTGTATGTCTTATATTTAAGGCATCAAAAATCGATCGCGGTCTCAAAAGCATCGCGTTAAGAATCCCAAGTCACAACAGCCTTACCAGAGGACCACATCTGGGATTAAAGAACGCACCCTTCGCCTCGCTTCACCCACCAGTCGTCAAGATGCCTCCTTTCAAGGACGAACATATCCTCATAATTGCTCCAGGCTCGCAGACCACCCTTGCGCAGCTCGGGCTACCAGAGTCGTTTACTCCTCCAACCCACCGGTTCCCTACCCGCATGTTCCCCGCCCCAGATGGAAAGACCTTCGAGCCGTACAAGATTAGATCTAGGAAGAAGCTTGTAACTGCTGATGGGGATGTTGAGATGGCTGGCGCGGATGGGAAACCGGAAGAAGAGGAGGAGGAGTTCATTGAGCTGCCAGACGATGATGAGGGGGCAATATACCCACTCAAGGGTAGGCTGGTTTTTGAAGGGCTCATTGAATTTAGCTAACATTTTATAGAGGGCCGAATTGTCAATATGCCCGCGTTTTTCGCATTGCTTAACCATATTTTCGTAACATTATCACCAACTCTCCACACTCCCGTCATGTTGATCGCGCAACCAGCTTGGACCGCCAAAAACCACGAGGATATCACTCAATTCATATTCGAGAAATTCAAGACACCGGCACTTTGTATCATGGATAGCGCGCTTGCAACATCGTATGCATATGGGATCGCGAACGCCACAGTTATTGATGTTGGTTTTGAGAAGGTCGATGTTACAGCCATTACAGATTTCCAGATTTCGGGTAGAGGCTGTGTCCCGCACTCTGGTGGAGAAGGGATGACGCGAAATCTGGTGGAGCTTCTCAAATCGAAGGACCTTACTAGGGATATGGCGGAGCAATTGAAGAAGAGCCCTATATGTGAGATCTTACCTGCGGGGACTCCATTGCCCGGCACTGGTGAGGCAGCTGAAGAGGTCGTGAGCAATCCTGCCGCTGCTGCATCTACCGGCGCGACCGCCTCAGGGCCAAATGTCAAGATTACAGACGCTCATGGTGAAAGTGGACAACATCATGGAGCTGGGGAAGAGGATGGTGATGGAGAGGGCGAAGAGAAGATTGTAGATGAAGATGGCAACCTAGATATCGCGAGCATTGTGACAAGTGGGAAGACGCAGGAGTTCCTGGCGAAGCTGGAGAAGGAAAAGAAGGCAGCTCAGCGCAAGGCCAACAAGGATGCAAAAGAAGCCGCGGAGGCTGCGGCTGCGGCTGCGAAACCTATCAGACTCCCGAACTCGAAGAGACCCCGCGTCGTCTTCCATTATGAAGAGATAATACAGGATGAACCGAATCCAAAGAGACAGAAGACTCCAGAGTCCGCCCCTACGACGACTGCTGAGGAAACTGCAGCTCCTGCTGTTGAAAATCCTGAAGACGATTCGAATCAACAGAAAACAACGCAAAAGGAAGAGAGGCGTATTAAGCGGGACATTGAAATTGGAGTCGAGCGCTTCCAAGCTGCAGAGAACGGGTACATGGATGCTATCGCAGACGCAGTTTACAGAACCGTCCTTTCTGTCGACGACATTGCGAAGCGACAAGACGCGTGGGAATCCCTGATTCTGTGTGGATCAGGATCAAAGGTCCGAGGTTTCAAGGATGCTCTCGTGAATATCCTCAACAACCGTTATCTTGTCTCGCCCAGCTCTGCAACGATGTTTATGAGCGAGCTTCCCTCGAATCTAGCCACGCCCAGCGGCACTGGATCCATGACTCCAAATGCCTCCGTCTCTTCAACACCCAACCAACCACCCACTGCCAACGCAGTCAATCCTCTACTTCTCGCAGCAACAACAGCCACGAATCCCACTCTCAACCCAAGCGCATCAATGACGTCCTATACCGGCAACCAAGCCCATTCGTCGCATTCTCAATCGCCAACAAGCATCAAGTTCGCAAGCCCTCCATCCTATTTCCCCGAGTGGAAATCCTACGAAGAAGCCATGTTCTTGGGCTCGCAGGTAGCAGCCAAGGTTATCTTTGTCGTTGACCAGGGATTATCAAAGGGCTTCCTCTCACGGGTCGAGTTCAACGAGGAAGGCCCTGCGGCTATTCATCAAGTGTAAGTCTTTGTTTGGCCCCAGTAACCTACCTAATATCATCATCATCATCATCTCCTACTTACTGACGTTTGAAAAATTAGTGGCCTTGTGTATTAATGGGGTTTTGTTTTCTTGGAGAAGGGGGGGGCGTTTAGGCGCATGGCACCTGTAGATCAGTTATTTATTTATTTAGTGTCTGAAGATGGAAGAAAAAAAAAGTGTAATACCCTCTTCATTACCTACGGTCTCCAGCTCTATCCAAGCTAACGAGAATATGTAAAACTACTCTTTCAAAAACCATGTTGATGTTATATTATTTCATAGAGTGAGGTTCAGATGAATGAGTCTTGTATCAGTATATATAAAATGACGGAACACCACATACGCCTAGAGATTATACATTGCTTGCTTGCTTGTCATTCCCCCCTTTCCAAACCCAGTATCATTCTTACCTACCTACCTACTACCTATCTACTTACCGGGAATTAATTAATATCGCACAAAATCGCCCAAAATCGCCCCGCTGTGCCGTAATTTTTTCAACCCTGCCTACCCCCCCCCCCCCCTTAACAGTATCCAAACCCAACCCCTCCCCCCCCAAAAAAAACCCTCATCCCTCCAAACCCCCTCCCCACCTCCAAACCAAACCAAACCAAACCAAACCAAACCAAGCGACCGACCAAGCTCAAAACTCGAAATTCAAAACATCCCGATTCCATATCTCCCACCCCCCCCCCCCCCCGGCCCTCGCCCTGAGTATATACTTTATTCTTTATATCATAAATAACTGGTATGTATATCTCTTTCAGACGTCCCCAAGAACCTTGACACGGGATTATTAATCAAGGAAAGGATTTGGATTCTTTGGTTCTTGGAGGATGTTGGGGGGAGGGGGAGGATATGGCTTTTGAGATTGGGTAGGGAGAGATGTTATGTATGTATGTATGTATGTGTACTTGAACAATCAGAATTCTGATATTTTGTTTTAGGAAAAGCTAATTGAGTGAGCTACGCCTGTGAAATACAATTACTTCATTCCCCGTATCCAGATTCCGTTCCCATATTTCCCATCCCCGAAAAAAGAAAAAAAGAGCCAAGTCGTATCATCATCATCGAGGGTATCTATCTACCATTCACCATGCTCTCTTGCGTATGTCATTAGATCTCTTCTCCAGACTCCGCTCCTAGGCTGTAGAGCGTGCAGGATTCCGTTCCGCGGGCGCACCGCTTGACGAACTGCTACTTCCTTCATGCTGTTCGCGGGTTGTGTCTCTTCCGCTTGATTCACGGCCTTGGTCATGCCTTGCAGCAGCTTCACTGATCATAGGATCGTCATCGAGCTCGATGACCCGGCCGTCGCTATCCACGGCCCTCTCCTTCTCTAACCTCGTCTCGCGACCTCGTTTGTGGCAGTACCAGAATACGAAGAGGAGGACTGTTGATAAGGAGTCAGTAGATATATCTCGATGGAAAGACACGAGGCGGTCTACTTACCGAATAAAGCAAGACTTAGCAAAACATTGGTGCCCATAAAGGCTGGCCATCGGAGTTTGAGCGCATTCATGATAGCTTTCAGTAAGCTCACCACCGCCCCCGGCTTCGTAACCAAGTCCTTCAGACTAGTGATCTTGAACAGACCCTTAGCCGCGCCTCCCAATCCTCCACCAGAAGAAGAACCAGACGCAGCATGGACCGCCTGCGCCTCCGTTGCCACGGCCAACAGTTCCGGGGCCAGATTACTGGTCATTTTATTCGGCAGCTGCTTGATCAACTTCTTCAGGAAGCTGGGCAAATGGTCATAGGATTTGGCCAAGGTCCCTTGCGCGTCGTCGAGCAGGTGCACGAGGTCATCGTAGGCGGTTGGCACCCCGTTCACGAGGTCTTTGAGAATGACGGTGAATTTCCTGACTAGCTCTTGGGATTCTTTGGAGATGGAAAAAGCGCGGTTGTTTACCGCTGCGAGGTTGAGGTCGTCGAGCACGCGGTTGATGTCATCTTCTTCTTTGGTGGCTTCAGCTGGGTCGACATCGGGGCTGGGTTTGAGGTTGTCCTGCTGGTATATTAGATAATAGGATTGAGAAATTGGGGAATCAGAGCATGCCTTGTTAGTGCCGTGTCTGTGGAGGAAGGAGAAGCGATTAGCTTTCTTTGTATCCGTGGGCTTCTCGTTCTCCTTCCCCTTGGCATTGCCATTGTCATCATGTTCGTAATCTTCCCCGCCGGGAATTACCTGAGACGCGTTGCCCGTCGAGTCTCCAGCTTCGATTCGCCATCCCTGAGGGCGCTCTGGCAGAGGAGGTGGCGTTCCCTCTGCAGATACTATGCGTGTAAGGAAGTGCTCATCTTCTTCGTTGATGAGGGGCTCTTGGACTTGCGCCCGGGCTCTCTTCTCAGCCTGATGCTTCTTGATTTTCTTGTAGGTGAAGTATTCCAACATTTTGGGCTATTGCTGAATCAACCAAATATTAATTATCAATTACAGTATCAGAAGTTGAAGATGTCGGTATGTAAAGTATGAAGCCAGGGAGGCGGGGGTTTTGTCTTGTCATGAACGCGTCTATCGAGTCGCGCCTTTGCACAGCCACACAGCCACAACACGACGTCATTCCTCGTGGGAGGCTGTGCTAGAAGGTTAAGGTACCAGGCACAAAGCTTATCCTCACGTTTGTGAACTCGCTGATATGTAAGGAAGAATGTTTTTAGAGAAGAAGCTTTGTCGCACATTCTAAAGACATCTCTATACAGCTTCAGGTCTTGATTTACCTACCTTAGGTAAGGTATGAGAGGGGTGAGTAGGTAAAGGGGCCGCGTATTAAATCAGAATGCACGAGTGGCAGAGCGCAGAAGTTGTTAACAGAGTATGGATTCTAAACATGAAAATATCTAATTCGTCTCTTAAAATGTACAGCTACTGCAAGCAGTCTTCCGATTACAACTATAAACTTCCCAATGTGGATCAAATGCAAGCTCTTGAGCCCAAACGCCGCCCGAAATGATCGACTACTATCTATGCATGTGTACCATTCACACCATTGACCCCGTTCGCACCATTCGCTCCATTGACACCGTTAGTATGCGGCTCCTCATATTTGTCCCAATTGGCCAAGATGTTGCCAATCTTGGGTGAGTTTGTCAACCGATACACATCCTCGAAATACTCCTTTGTAATTTCGAAAGGTCGGGCAGTGACGTTGGGGATGTACTTTCCGATCAGCTTGCTTGGGTCGATGGTGGTCTTGTTGATCTTCCTGAGGAGGAAGCTTCGGAAAGGCTTGACTCCTGAGCGCAAGAAAGTGGAGTGGAAAGGCACATCGATGCCCTTGAGAGGAATAGTAGCAAAGCCTCGCTGGAGCTCCAAAGGCTTAGGCTTGGCTTCTGTTTGCTTGGCGCATTCGCGAATGATCTCAACGAGGTGCGCTTTGACGTCTTCGAGTGACAAGGTCTGCATCAGTTGCTGGATGTCGATCTTTTGCGCCTTCAGGTAGTTGGTGACGCCGGTGAGGGTATCAAGGGCACGGAGGTCACCAGCGCAGACGTACTGCATGTTGGCGATGTTGTAGTTGACAATTTCGAGCAACCAAGTGGTCTCCTCGGCAATGTTTTCGACAACATATTGAAGAGCTTGCTCATTGAATGTCTTGGAGATTCTGCTGGGGTTGACGGCACACATAGAGTAGTTAGATCGTCCGGCGGCATCGCGCTCGACAGCGACTTGCATGGTAAGACCTCTGTAGAAGACGACAGACACCAAACTCTCAATAGGCATGACATCTGCGAGAGCGGCGAGAGCTGAGTATTCTCCGAGCGAGTGACCAGCAAAACTGCTGTCTCGTTGAACAAGACCCTTGGATCGCATATCCTCAAAGCTGGCCTTCTCCATGAGCGTCAAGGCAGGTTGAGTGAACTGCGTGGCAGAGAGGAGACCGGTTGGTGATCTGTAGGTGTACGAGGTCGTCTTCTCGTCAATCTCCTTGAAAATCTTCTCTGATTTGATAGATCCATCGGCCCCAACCGTCTCGAAGGTCATGGACATGTAGTTTTGGCGAATAGCCTTACCACGAGGGCCACCGAAATAAATCGTAAGTTCCTTGGGGTTGTTTCTCACGATGTTGGTGATGGCGAAACCTATTTTTGATTAGCCAGGATATTGAGGATCAAGATCAGGAAGTGCTTACCATAGTTGTCGAGGAAATGCTTGTCGGCTCGGTCCCATACCTCTTTCGCGACGGGGCTGCTTGCATAAAGCTCCATTCCCATACCCTGTTCCTGAGAACCTTGTCCAGTGAAAACATATGCTGAGACAGGCTGTTCAACCTCAGCTTCACCAAGCAAAACCTTATCTTCAGTTTCCTTGTTGCTAGCCTCGACCTTGATGATCTTTCGGCCAGCGACCATCCCGACATGTTGTAATTTGACCTCAATGTCATCGTTGGGAAGGACCATACCGGTGAGCGAAGCGTGGAAACTTCGAACACGGCCAACATTGTTGTCTGCAGCCCAGGTCTCCACCAAGCTTCGAACGGCTGCACTTGAGTACATGCCATGGGTGATAGTACCAGGGAGGCTGGCGTAACTGGCAAAAACGCGGGACACGTGAATTGGGTTGTAGTCACCAGAGACACGGGCGTAAGTCTCGTTGGATGCAGGCGCTTTGAGAAGAAGAGGCGTCTTGCCACTCAAAGGAATTGGGTTCTCGAAGTTGATAGGCTGTTCGATAGAAGATCCATGTCTCTCAAGGTAGTCAATGACGGGGTTGCCGTGCGAGACGCCAGCATCATATTCGACACTAGCGACTTGAATGATCTCCTTGGTAGGCAATTCCATCAAGACTTGACCCCTAGTTTCAACGCTACTGAAGACGGTCTTGTTCTTGAAACGAACCAAGCTTTGGAGACGGAAGGTCAGGGTCTGTCCAAGAAGCTCGTGTTCGGGCTCATCCAAGCTGAACCACTCCTTGGATTTCAGGACAGCAACATCCTTACTTGTAGCCAGATGAATTTGCATGGGGGTTTCTTGCTTTCGTTGGAACGTGTTCTCGAAATCGGTGTATGCTCCACGGTACAAGAATTGTGAGGTAACTTCCATCACAGGGCGGCCTTGTCGGGTAATAGTTCCGCAGACTTCCACCATCTTGCCGGAATCTTGGTTGATGACAGCATTGACTTGGGCAGTTGTTTCGACCTCATCACCTTTCTTCAATGGTTCGGCACCGGGTAGCATGCGGAAGCCGTTTGAAAGATGGACAAGCTTGAGAAGGTCCCCATCAATGGTCCTAGGGAAGATTGGCTTTGTGATGGCTTTCCAACCAACAACAATAGCAAAGTCCATAGGAGCGAAGACTTCCTTTCCTGGTCGGTCGACAAATGCTTCCCCAGTATTGCCGACAGCATGGACGAAGTCATTGATAGCCTCACTTGTGATGCGAGCTTTACCACCGTTGAATGTCCCAGTCACTGGCGCATCGAGGTCTAGAGTCTCATTACCGAACCATGCACGCCAGTAAAATTCCTTGATGCGATCGTTCCGTCCCTCCATGACTTCACGAATGGGTGCATATCCAGCCTCTGGATGATACGTGAACCTGAGGGGCAATGCTACTGGCTTTCCGACAGCGGTTGTCTCTTTAATCATATTGACCAAGATCTCATTCTTGCCAACAACCTTGACGTCAATAACTGTGGTGTAGTGATTAGGTCTTGTCTGTTCCTGCACAGTAATGACGGTCTTAGATGGCTCGTCAGGGTGAGCAATTTCAACCAAGAGCCCTCGGACGGGAGCGAAGATGCGCTTCATCGGGTTAGTCTGGAACTTCTGGCCTTGCACGAAGACCTCAGAGGTGAAAAGAGCGTGTCTCCATGAACGTTTGGCTCCGGCAAGAAGAGACAGCCACGACTCGAGAGATGGAAGTGCAGCACTGGCAGATGCTGACAGACGGTACGTTGTCTTGTCAGTCTCCTGCGAGATAGTGAGACCTTCAATATCGACCTCCGGCTCAGCGTCGATGAGCTTGCCGCCAAAGTACTCGATGACTGGAATGGATGATTCGTCACCGCCATAAATGTCCTTAGTCAAGCCCTTGATGTGAGCATTATGAATACCATCGAGGATCTCTTTGATGGGTTCGTCGACGACCTTTGAATACTTGACGGCAGTAGGACCTTGCAAGATACAGGTTCGGCCAACGTCTTGATCAATGACAGCCTCTAGATCCTCTGATTGCCAAAGAGAATCCTTCTTGAAGTAGAACTCAAAGTTTTCATCCAAGGCTGGAATGAATGTTGTGGGCTTCTGGCCACGACGCTGGCAAAGGATAAGGAAGTGTTGCACATCCTGAGCGTTAATGAGCTGAGTTTCTGCTTCTGGATAGGCAGCCAGGATTCTCTCAACAGCTGGATATGGGTCATCGAGCTCGGAATAGCTCTGAAGCAGGGATGGCTTGCCTTGACTCGCGGTGAAACGCTCCTCAACACGTCGGATGAAATCACCGGTCAAGACCTCGTAGGACTTATCGATCCAGCGAGATTCGTGCTTGACGTACATCAAGTCAACCATGCGTCGGACAACCTCTCCATAAGTCATATCCTCGAGATCAACAGTCTCGCCAGCTTTGTTGCGTCCGAACCAGACTTTTTGGAAATCATCGTTGAGCTTCTTGATGATGTAGTCACGGTTCTTCTTCAGCTCTGCTACGCGTTTCTGCTTCGGCAAGCTGAAGATCTTTTGATCCATTTCGGCCCAGAACTTGACACCCCGAGTTGCGAGCTTGTGAATGGGCTCGCCCATCTCGGATCTCACAGTGATGACCCCACCAGCGGGTCCTTTGTAGGTCTTCTCCCACTGGCTGTCATCAAGACCCTCTGCTTCTGTGATGGCCTTCTTGGCGTTCTTGCTAGTGTGGGCCTCCTTCGCAGTCATCATACGACTGCCAAACAGGCATCCATCAAAGGGCATGGGGGGATATCCATATTTTGCAGACCAAGTACCGGTAAGGTAGGGGTATGTATCCTCGGCGCCACCGAAACCGCTGCCTGCTACCAGAATGAGATTCTCGCATCTCCGGATACGACCATACATTTGTAGGATCGGTTGATGGAAATCTTCAAAAGAATGGTGTCCACCACCACGTCCTCCAGTCCACTGCATCATGACCGGGAAATTTGGGCTTGCTTTGGCAATGTTGATGACGGATTGAATGGCTTCTACGGAACCCGGCTTGAACGAGATATGCTTCAACCCGAGGGTGTCGATATACTCTTGGGCGACCTCAATAGATGGCACACCGGCCCCAATAGTCAAACCTTCAATCGGGATTCCCTCAGCCCGTAATTGACCAAGGAGAGGGATTTGCCATTGCATCGCACGAGGATTGACGTAGATCAGATTCACCGTAATACCTCGTCCAGGAGGAATGGCCTTCTCAATCTTCGTCAAGGCTTCTGTCATGTCTTTCGCGTTGTAGTATCCACCTCCGGCTAACTCGATTTGATAACCTGCGTTCATGGTCGCGGCAACGAAATCCCAAGGCACGGTGCAGGGGGTCATACCGGCGACCATGACGGGTGGAACGCCCAAAAGTCGACTCATCTTTGTATCAACATAGGTCTGGCCAGCCGAGGTCTTGATCAACCGTGGGCCGTGTTCTTTGACCCAGTCGACGGCATATTTGACCGCGTGCTCCTCATCCCGATCAAACATCTCGGGTTTGTACCCAACTTCTGGAACGGTGCCAGCGATGGAACCAGCCAAAATGACACGAACACCAGTCCCATCCTTGTTGCGACTTGTCAAGACACCAAGGCCGGAAATTCCTCCAGGGCCGAAGTCCAAGATATGAGTAGCTTCAGGGAATGCGGTGGCCTTTTCCCAGTTGACTGGATCGTGAGTAATAAGACGCACAAGAGTTGGCACAATGTTCCCATTAACCTCCCGAAGATCTTTGCCAGTGTTGGTATCATATACAGGTATTCCCAGGGACTTGCTGTCAATCTTTACGTCCTTCAGATCCTCATCAATATGTGTAGTGGCATCTGCGAGATACTTGCTATGGAAAGGAGAGGTGATCGGCAAGAATCTGTTGACGAATCTGACCTTTCGCTCCGTAAACGGAATACGAGTCTGGTCGAGACCGGTTGGTGCCTTAACTTTGCGGAGCTGGAGATTGAGACCGTAAAGCGAAATAGGAGGTCCTGTCACTACCATGTTGCGCGCACTGTTCACAAGGGAGATGGCAATATGTCTATCTTCTGGGAGATACTGGTTGGTGGCGTCGATGTGTTCCTGGACCTGTGCTCGTGACAAATCTCGAATGCTCAACATCGGCGTTGGTCTACCCTCACCGTTGTCGATCGAGTCTTGGGGAATAGATGGAGCCAAGGACGTTGTTGGGTAGGTTTGCTGGCTGCGCGATCCAATCCAGAAAAGAATCGTGATGGATGAAATAGCAATTCTGTTAAAATCATCCCAAGAGTCTGCAGCGGCGGTAGCAGCGGCTAAAACAACACCCTGAGAGTGACCTGTCGTGCCACTCAATCTGTCTCTGAATTGCCCCGGTGTGAGACCAAGAACTTTGCAGGTCACACTGTAGTGTGAAAGCTGGACAAGACCGATCAAAGGGAAGCTAACGGGCGCAGAGACCAAATAATCGATATCTGGTGTTGCCTCCGGGTCGTGTAACCAGGCCAAAATATCAAGGCCTTTTGCGTATAGCTTTTCCGCTCTTGGGTCTCTGGTTAGGTTTTGCAAGAGTTCTGCAGCAGAATTGATTAAGTCCTCGACAAACGATGGGTATGTATTGTATAGCTCCCTCAGTTCCTCGAAATACTCTTCAATATTTCCTTGTCCTCCGAAAACGCTGTACACCTTTGCTGCACCATCGTCAGCAGCCCGGAACAGGGCAGATTGATGAGGGCGAATTGGTCTGTTCGCGGCCGCTCGAGCGGCATAGTAGCTTCGTACCACCTCGAGCTTCTTCGCATCAATACCGGGCAGGGAAGCAGCCACAGCATGGACCTCATTGCCTCCCAAGAAAGCCCGTTCAAACTCGTTAAGCACGAATCTGAGCACCTCTTCGTAGGAGCCCTGGGCATCATCCTCGCCCGCTTCAACGTCGTGTGCGATAAATCCAAGATACCGCGCAACCAGCTCTGGGACGGAAGACGGCTCGTCATCTTGCGCGAGTTCGTCTGTAGGTTCGGGTAGCGAGGCAAGGAAGCGGTCCTTGATCTGGGAGGCGTGGAAATGGAGATTTGTGGGTATTAAAAAGGAATGCTCGAGCGAGCCATGCGAAAGGACAAGAGGTCGCAAAGACGAGGATGACCGTGGAGTAGAGACTCCCGTCTGCGGACCGGTAGATGATCCGTACATCGTGAGGAATTACGTCGTGAGGGTATGTATTTCGAGAGCTGTCTGTCTGAACGCAAATTTAGTAGGGATGTCGGACAGAGACAGGAAGCAGTTCCGGGCCAGCTGAAGACGATGAACAGAGATCTTGCCACTGACCTATCTTTAAAAGACTCCAGGAACTCAATGAAGAGCAGGAGAGCAGAGGAGGCTTGTTTTGCCGCGGAGGAGCAGGCAGATCAGTCTGTGTCAACAAAACCTTCTCCCGGCTCTTGAACTGTAAGGAGAGCGAGCGGCGACAAGGCGGCAGAAATATGAACACAGAGAGTGGGGGGAGCAGAGGAGGAGGAGTCTGCCTTGCGGAAGGTTGGAGGAGGAGGTCAATTGAGGAGGATTATGGATTGTGGGCAAAAGAAAGATGTCCTCGACGCTGACAGAACAAGAATGCTCTGCTACACGCTCGAGCTCCCAACGTCCGCCAAAAGTTCTTGACACACTAATGTGTTGTTGGGCTGCATCTCGGATCCAGGGGCTGTGATTGGCCATCCGCGGCAGCGGGTTGCGGAGAGCCTCGGGTCCCGTACTAGGGGTCGGCGAAGGGTGGCCAAATACGCTCCGTAAAACGGGATTATGCGTATTTTACAGATATTTTACCCGGGGATCATTATTACGGTCCCTGCTATATACACGATAATCCACATCCCGCCCGCTGCCAACCAGTCCCGCGCGCTCCCTCCAACCGAATGTATGGGCCGTCTGGAAGTTATCGTGTGCTATTTTCCTTAGGCAGGTTGCTGTCCTCAAAATGGCTTGATTCTGGCCCCTTCAGTGTCGAACGATTGCAGTTATGCACGCCCATGCCCCTTTTCTCTCCCCCTTTATTCACAGCGTTATACAATCAGCCCATCAACCTTGTTGCCTGACGATTGATTTTATGAGAATTATAGGCCAGTAAGAACGGTCATGATTACTCCATTATATAATCACCTCTTTACTCGACGGGTACGCGTGTAGTAGGATGATGCCTCCATCAAAAAGGGGGTTGACTCTTGAGTCTTGACTCTGTATCAACCATCATCGTTCAAGTGTTTCACGCCCTACCCGGAGCCTTAGAGGACAAGCTTTCACTAGATGGCAAGGGTAAGGGAGACAAGCCTACATGACCGTCTGTCTCATCAGGACTGAGAGATACCTACAGTGCTTTATCAACTACCTACAATTAAAGAGAGGAATACGCGGATCAAAGGCAAAAATATTCCAAAGCAAGGCCCTCAAACTGCGGCATGATCAGTAAACATCAATCATTAGCCCAGGCACAGCTGCCTCATAGCAACCTGTGAAGACAACGCCTTCTGTAGCATCGTGACAGCAGGACGACAGGAGTAACCAGAAACTGAGAAAGACAGGCTCTGGCACACACCTCCAAATATATTGTCCACAGAGAAGGTGAAGGCTTTCTGATGCTATGCTGGCGAGAGGATAATGGTTGTTCATTCTTGATCCAGCAACCTTCATCAGACATGAGATGTGCTCTTCTTGTCACTCTACGACTCCGTAAGGTACCGCCAATAATGACGGCCATGATTATAAGTGATTACGCCGTATATAACCAGACATTTACGCGGATGTGCATAATGCAGCCAATCGTGACAAGGGTCCCTGGTCCCGACTGGGGTCCTGACACGCTAGTCCACAGACAGACTAGGCCCGCAGCAGCGTTGAGGTGAAGAGACAACTTTTTGGCTCAACAACGCCAGACAACACCGCAAGGGAGTGAAAGATCAGTTCCAGCTTCCTTTCCTCCGTAACTCTCTCCTCGTCACGCCGCTACCCCATCTCTCGATCATTGTCCCGCCTCATTGTCTGCATCATCCTCTTTAATACGCCTTCGTCTTCGTTGTAATACCTACGCTGCTTTTTTCCCTTTTCCAGGGCGGCCTTCTTTCGCTACTCAGGAACCTGCGCCATTACAACCTATAAGAGTACAATCGAGGCAGACATTGACCTTATAATCGACCTATCCGACCTTTCCCTCCGTCGATCCTCCCTCCTCCCAGTCGCACTCTCGTCTCCGGACGTAAAATTACCGCCAAAATGCGTCCCGAAGTCGAGCAGGAGCTCGCCCATACCCTTCTCGTCGAGCTGCTAGCATATCAATTCGCCTCACCTGTGAGATGGATTGAAACCCAGGATGTGATCCTTGCAGAGAAGACGACTGAGAGGATCGTTGAAATTGGTCCAGCAGATACTCTTGGTGTTATGGCAAAGCGGACAATCGCGTCCAAGTACGAAGCTTACGATGCCGCGAAATCCGTGCAAAGACAAATTCTTTGCTACAACAAGGACGCAAAGCAGATCTACTACGATGTAGATCCCGCGGAGGATGAGCCTGAGCCGGCAGCTGCGACAAGTGCACCCGCCGCATCTCCCTCAGCTCCAGCCCCAAGTTCAGCGCCGGCGGCAGCAGCCCCTCCGCGACCGCCACCAAGCGCTGGGCCAGCAGCACAAGTTCCAGATGCACCTGTTACGGCCGTGGACATTGTGCGAACCTTGATTGCACAGAAGCTCAAGAAGTCCTTGTCAGACATCCCATTGAGCAAAGCAGTTAAGGATTTAGTTGGTGGTAAGTATTGAAATCTCTTACATATGGTATCATGCAAGGCAAATCTGATTTCCTACTTAGGTAAATCTACCCTTCAAAATGAAATTCTGGGAGATTTAGGCAAAGAATTTGGCTCGACGCCCGAGAAACCTGAAGATACCCCTCTAGATGAATTGGGAGCCTCGATGCAAGCGACTTTCAACGGACAGCTCGGAAAGCAGTCCTCATCACTTGTTGCGAGGTTAATCTCCTCAAAGATGCCGGGTGGTTTCAATATCACCGCAGCCCGAAAGTATTTGGAGACGAGATGGGGCCTTGGTCCCGGCAGACAGGATGGTGTTTTGCTCTTGGCCCTCACAATGGAGCCAGCTGCACGTCTTCCCGCGGAGAACGACGCCAAAACATTCTTAGACGACGTTGCACATAAATATGCTGCTAATGCTGGGATCAGTCTCGCAGCACCAGTGGCAAGCAATGATGGTGCTGGAGCTGGCGGCGGAATGATGATGGACCCCGCTGCCATTGACGCGTTGACAAAGGACCAGAGAGCCCTTTTCAAACAACAACTCGAGCTCTTCGCGCGATACTTGAAAATGGATCTCCGAGCAGGGGACAAGGCGTACATTGGTTCTCAAGAATCGCAAAAGACCCTGCAGGCTCAATTGGATCTCTGGAACGCGGAGCATGGCGAATTTTACGCTACAGGTATTGAGCCCGTCTTCAGTGCTCTCAAGGCCCGAGTCTACGATTCCTCCTGGAACTGGGCACGTCAAGACGCCCTGACTATGTATTACGACATTATCTTTGGCCGGCTGAAGGTTGTCGACCGTGAGATTGTCAGCCAGTGCATTCGCGTCATGAACCGATCCAACCCCACACTTCTGGAGTTCATGCAATATCACATTGATAACTGTCCGACTGAGCGAGGCGAGACATACCAGCTCGCCAAAGAGCTCGGCCAGCAGCTTATAGAGAACTGCCGTGAAGTTTTGGAGAGCCCACCTGCCTACAAAGACGTTGCAATCCCCACTGGACCCCATACAACCATCGATGCCCGGGGCAATCTGGATTATACAGAAGTCCCAAGAGCTAGCGCTCGGAAGCTCGAGCATTATGTGCGCGAAATGGCTGATGGAGGAAAGATTTCAGAGTACGGCAATCGAACAAAGGTTCAAAATGACCTCGGCCGCATTTACAAGCTTATCAAGCAACAACACAAGCTCTCCAAGGCATCTCAGCTTCAGATCAAGTCTCTTTACGCCGATGTCATCAGATCACTTGCCATGAGTGAAGGGCAGATCATTCCCAAAGAGACCAACGGTAAGCTCAATGGTCATGCCAAGAAGAACGGCGTTGCTCGTCCTGGCAATGGAGCAACAAAGGCTGGAAAGGTTGAGACTATTCCCTTCCTTCACCTCAAGAGAAAGGATGAGCATGGCTGGGAGTACAGCAAGAAACTCACCGGACTTTACTTGGATGTTCTAGAGCAAGCCGCCAAATCTGGCGTCACGTTCCAGGGCAAGAATGCCTTGATGACTGGTGCTGGAGCTGGTTCGATTGGCGCTGAGGTTTTGCAAGGTCTGATCAGTGGCGGTGCTAAGGTGGTCGTCACCACCAGCCGTTTCTCCCGGGAGGTGACAGAGTACTACCAGTCGATGTATGCCCGGTACGGCGCGCGAGGCTCTCAGCTTATTGTTGTACCATTCAATCAGGGCAGCAAGCAAGATGTCGAAGCCTTGGTCGACTATATCTATGATCCAAAGAAAGGCCTGGGATGGGATCTCGACTATGTCATACCTTTTGCCGCCATTCCTGAAAATGGTCGCGAAATCGACTCCATCGATTCCAAATCCGAGCTTGCTCACCGTATCATGTTAACAAACCTACTACGTCTGCTTGGTTGTGTCAAGACTCAGAAAGCCGAACGAGGCTTCGAAACTCGTCCAGCCCAAGTTGTTCTCCCTCTTTCACCCAACCATGGCACCTTCGGAAATGATGGTCTCTATTCCGAGTCCAAATTGGCGTTGGAAACCCTGTTCAACAGGTGGCACTCAGAGAGCTGGGGCAACTTCCTCACCATCTGCGGTGCCGTTATTGGGTGGACTCGTGGAACTGGCCTTATGTCTGGTAACAACATTGTTGCTGAAGGCGTCGAGGCGTATGGCGTTCGCACATTCTCCCAGCAAGAGATGGCTTTCAACTTGCTGGGTCTTATGGCACCTACGATTGTGGACCTCTGTCAGTCAGAGCCTGTCTTCGCTGATCTCAACGGTGGCCTTCAATTCATCCCTGATCTCAAAACTCTGATGACCAAGCTCCGTAAGGACATTATGGAGACCAGCGAAGTCCGCCAAGCGGTTACCAAGGAGACTGCCATTGAGAACAAAATCATCAACGGAGCAGACAGTGAAGCGCTTTACAAGAAGGTCACCATCGAGCCTCGTGCGAATATCAAATTCGACTTCCCTCCCCTTCCAGACTGGGAGAAGGACGTCAAACCACTCAACGAAGACCTCAAGGGCATGGTTGACCTTGAGAAGGTTGTTGTTGTCACTGGCTTTGCTGAAGTTGGACCATGGGGTAACTCGCGTACCCGATGGGAAATGGAGGCGTACGGTGAATTCTCTCTTGAAGGCTGCGTGGAGATGGCCTGGATCATGGGTCTGATTAAGAATCACAACGGACCAATCAAGGGCAAGCAGTACGCTGGATGGGTGGATGCTAAGACTGGAGAACCAGTTGACGACAAAGACGTCAAGGCCAAGTACGAGAAGTACATTCTCGAGCACTCTGGTATCCGCCTGATCGAGCCAGAACTCTTCAAAGGCTATGACCCTAACAAGAAGCAGCTTCTTCAAGAGGTTGTTATTGAAGAAGACCTTGAGCCATTCGAGACTTCGAAGGAGACTGCCGAAGAGTTCAAGCGCGAGCATGGCGACAAGGCTGAAATCTTCGAGATTCCAGAATCTGGTGAATACATTGTCCGTATGAAGAAGGGCGCTAGTCTCATGATCCCCAAGGCACTCAAGTTCGACCGTCTTGTCGCTGGTCAAATCCCTACAGGTTGGGACGCCAAGAAATATGGTATCCCGGACGACATCATCTCACAAGTCGATCCCGTCACCTTGTTTGTTCTCGTCTGTACCGTAGAGTCACTGCTGGCCTCCGGTATCACGGATCCATATGAGTTCTACAAGTATGTCCACATCTCAGAAGTTGGTAACTGCATCGGTTCCGGTATTGGTGGTACTTCCGCATTGCGAGGCATGTACAAAGATCGCTACTTGGACAAGCCACTTCAGAAGGACATCCTTCAAGAATCCTTCATCAACACTATGAGTGCCTGGGTCAACATGCTGCTTATTTCATCTACTGGTCCCATCAAGACCCCCGTCGGTGCTTGCGCAACATCTGTGGAGTCAGTCGATATCGGTTACGAGACCATTGTGGAAGGCAAAGCTCGTGTTTGCTTCGTCGGTGGTTTTGACGACTTCCAAGAAGAAGGGTCTTACGAGTTCGCCAACATGAAGGCTACCAGCAATGCCGTCGATGAGTTTGAACATGGCCGCACACCCAAGGAAATGTCAAGACCCACTACCACCACTCGAAATGGCTTTATGGAGTCTCAAGGTTGCGGTATCCAGGTCATCATGACTGCCAAACTTGCTCTCGATATGGGTGTCCCCATTTACGGTATCATTGGTCTGACCACCACTGCCACCGATAAGATTGGACGATCAGTACCAGCACCTGGTCAAGGTGTTCTCACTACTGCTCGTGAGAACCCTGGCAGGTTCCCGTCGCCTCTCCTCGATATCAAGTATCGTCGCCGGCAAATCGAGCTCCGGAAGAAGAACATCAAGCAATGGCAAGAGGCGGAGCTTGAGTACTTGCATGAGGAAATTGCTGCTATGAAGGCACAGGGTGCCGCATTCAACGAGGCAGAATACGCTGAACACCGCGCCCTGCACATCGAACGCGAGGCAGCTCGCCAGGAGCGGGAAGTTCTAAACAGCCTTGGAAACAACTTCTGGAAGCAAGATCCAACCATCGCACCTCTCCGTGGTGCTCTTGCTACCTGGGGTCTTACCATCGACGATCTTGGCGTCGCCTCCTTCCACGGTACTTCGACTGTTGCCAACGACAAGAACGAATCTTCTGTCATTTGCCAGCAGCTGAAGCACCTTGGCAGAAAGAAGGGTAATGCTGTCATGGGTATCTTCCAGAAGTATCTGACTGGTCACCCGAAGGGTGCTGCCGGTGCCTGGATGCTCAACGGATGTTTGCAAGTCCTCAACAGCGGTTTGGTGCCTGGAAACAGGAATGCCGACAACGTCGATGAAGTCATGGAGAAATTCGATTATATCTTGTACCCCAGCCGAAGCATCCAAACAGATGGTGTGAAGGCATTCTCTGTCACCTCATTCGGTTTCGGTCAGAAGGGAGCTCAAGCTATCGGTATCCACCCCAAGTATCTTTTTGCGACGCTTGACGAAGCCACATATTCCGCATATTGTTCCAAGGTTCAGTCTCGACAAAAGAAGGCGTACCGATACTTCCATAACGGCTTGATCAACAACTCCTTGTTCGTTGCCAAGACCACCTCGCCATACACTGATGAGCAGCAAGGATCTGTTTTCCTCAACCCAGACGCCCGCGTATCAGTCGACAAGAAGACTTCCACTCTTACGTATCCTCCCAACTTTGCGCAGAAGGCTGCGCACAAAGACAGGACCGAGAGCACAAGGCAGATGGTCGAGTCGCTGGCTAAAGGTGCCGCCACTGCTAACAACAAGGTTGGTGTCGATGTGGAGGATATTTCAGCCATCAACATTGAGAACGCCACCTTCATAGAGCGCAATTTCACCGCCAAGGAGCAAAGCTATTGCACACAGGCACCTAACCCGCAAGCTTCATTTGCCGGGAAGTGGAGTGCCAAGGAGGCAGTCTTCAAGTCACTTGGCGTGGTGAGCAAGGGGGCTGGTGCACCTTTGAAGGACATTGAAATCACCAATAATGAAAAGGGGGCACCGATTGTCAGCGTAAGTCTTTCCCGTACCACAATAACATAACCGTCGACTAACAAGTATCAGCTCCACGGTGATGCCGCACAAGCTGCGAAGCAGGCCGGCGTGAAGGAGATCAGTGTCTCGATCTCCCACTCCGATACCCAGGCAATCGCTATCGCAGTTGCTACATTTTAAACACACATTTCTTCTTGTACATTGGGTTCGTTCTTATAAACATTGCACTATCTGAGGGGGTTCTACTGGCGCTTTGCATAACTTTTTTACCTGTTCCTGTCTGAATGCTGGCGACTGATAATGTGAAAGGGCTTAGCTTAGAATAGCCAACCACTACCTTACATATGGTAGATGGAGAATGATGTAAAATTACCGAGAACAATGGAGAGAGCGTTAGACTTTTTTTACTTAGCTTATAATCTCGTTCGTGCTATGTGAGGTAACTTGGTGTCTGAAATATAGATAGATATTCATATCATATATGTATATCTAACCCCTCGTAATCATACCTCCATCCTAGCTAAGGTATGCAACATGCATCCATCCATGCACCACCATGCACGATGCAATGCAAACCCCCTCCCTTGTCCGCCCATCATCCATCCATACCATACATACATACATACATACCCAACCCCAACGACCACAAAATACACTCTCTCAACACACCCCCACCCTCACCTCAACCCCCTCCCTTCCTTGTCAAAAACGATGTATGTAGGTAGCGTAGTGAATTCAACAGTTACTTACGTATCTCACCAGGTTGTTGGTGGTTCGTGGATGGACGGATGGAATGGGATATGTAGGGGGGAATGGGGGATGGGAGGATGGGAGGATGGGGGGCGGGGTATAGTATCGTTATTAGAAGTGTGTTTTATATTTTTCATTTCATTCAGCGTACAACGCTTCTCTACAATAATGTAATAATAATAATACTAATACAACAGCCAGACCTCCCATGAAAAAGCCAACCCATGAACGGTTCTATTTGGCTATTAGGACCCAAAGTCTGGATGTTTTTTGTTTGGTTAGCGGAAGGCTTGATTGAGAAGGAGGGAGGGGATGGGGGGGATACGCACAAGAAAAAGATCATGAGTACGCCGAACATCTTGGCAATCAGCCAGCGATTGCCAGAGACCCTCGACCAATACTTTAATAACTCGCGCTGGGCGCCCTGCACGTTGTCCACGACGTCCTCGGTATTCGCGTCGATCCGTTGGATCATCTCGCTCTGTTCTGAAACCATCGTTGCTAACTGTCCAAAGATGCCACCGAGTTCGGCAATGGTCCTCTCGATGGCCTCGATGGCTTCTCCTCTCTGGTGGATATATGTGTTTTGTGGTTGTGCCTCCTCCATCATCAATAGCTGCTGATCGCCCACCGGATTCAAGCTCAGGAGATCCTGACCCGGTCCCGGACTCCCGTTTGTCGGCGTGCTATATAACGGACTCGAGCTTTGGGCCATGGACGGGGCGGCGTGGGCTGATACTGAAGAGACGAAGTTCTCGGTGCGTGACCGCGAGGCTTGGATGTTCTTGGTGCGCACCTCGAGGACATCCTTGAAGTTTGCGGAGACGTCGGTAAGCTTGCCTTGTAGCATGAAGACGACATTCTTATTGTGCTCGCCTTCTTGGTCTGCTTTGGGATGTTGGGCCCGGGTAAGGGCTTGTAGGGCGGAGATTTGCTGATTGAGAGATGAGAGATCTTGCTTGATTACGAAGGTCAACTCGTTGATCTCGACCGGCCGGTCGTCGAAGAGCGTTTTCCGTTTGGCCACTGCAGCTAGTCAGTAAGGTGTCAATCATAAAGACGTCTCCTGTCGCAGGGGAATCGTACGCTGTGCCAGCGTTTCTAATTTGCCCATCGTTGCTCCTATCCCTCTTCCAATCTCAGCCGCCTTCCTCGCAAATTCAGACCTCCTAGGCTTCCCATCTCCACTGGTGTTCCCGCTCGCCGCCTTCTGTGCATCGGTCAGGAGGGATTGTCTCTGTGCTCCGACTTTCGACGAGGCCTGGCGTTTCTGGACTTGGCTGAGGACCGACCTGAACTCGTTGGTCCGGTCCTGGATCGAAGATACGGCCATGATGCCGACAAGGAGGGGCGCCGAGGTTCGATGATGCGCACAGTCGGGCGTCAGGTAAGGTGCTCTCGGGGGGCGTCTTGTGTTCGGCACGCGTGGCGCAAAGGCAGTAGAGGCGGGATTCGCAGGTTACAAAGGAGGGAGTGAGATGTAGGTCTAATTATTAACTGTTGTAATAAAGGGGTATCATGTTCTATGAAGTCGTAAAAGCGAAGGGCTGTGCACGCAGAGTTGCGACGACTTGAAGGAGGACAGTTGGTGTCTCTGGGCCACTCAACAAAGGGGATGGCGGGCGCGGGCAGGGCAGATATGAGGCAGCGAGGCAGTAAGGCAGCAAGACAGTAAGGCAATAATAACATGATACCTCAGGCACCAATGTACTATCCACGTGATCGGGATATATGAATTGAAACGATAGAAACGTCCGTAGGGTCCTGTTTAGTGTGGCTCAGCAGCGATGCGACTTACTAGTGGGGGAGAAGCACAACAGGGATTCTGCTACGGAATGATGATTCCCTCGTCGGCGATCGATCCCAGATCCAGGAGGCAAGGCGAGCAAAGACACGGCCCACGGGAAAAGAGCTGGAACCTTTACACTTCCCTTCGTTCTTCGTGAATCGCGACATCCGTCTCTCACTTCTGAAGGATCCTCTCTCTCTTTGTGTGCGCTCTCTTCACTTCTCTTCTCTTCTCTCTTCTCACCTCTTCCCTCCTCTCCAGCCCCCCTCTTCATCCTTCAATCTCTCAGATCCAGTGACGATCCACAGCGGGATCCGGCGCAGTCATTGGTGTTGCGACTACTTGTTGTCACTCGTTAGCTTCCATTGTCAACTTAGCCAACCGTCCCCCGAACCACTCTCTCTGCCTTATATCCATTCTCGCTCTCAGCAACCCAGACAATCGATGCGCCCACCCATGATTACCGCGATAGATGCCTGGTGAGCGAAGACGCTGAGCATTGCCGGAAAACATGGCTCGGCCTTACCCGACTATCAATACCTTCGACACCGCATCGTCGCAAATGTGAGCCGTTGCCTGTAGATCCGTGTGCGCCTTACTGATACTGTTCAGGTCTCCAGCATCATCTTCCAGCACTCCTATATCCTATCGGGCGAATGTAAATAGACAGAAGACCAAGAAATGGGCCGAGGCGAAGCCCGCTGACTATGGTGGTGATGATTGGGGTGACGACGATGACTTCGACCTACCGCCGCTCCCAGTATCGAAACCAACCGGGCTGCGACAGCAAGGACAAGCCATTTATGGTGGCTCAAAACCAGAGTCTCCGATAGACAATAAGAAGAGTTATGGCGAACTTCCACCCATTCCAGCCGGCTCATCTCGACCTCGCGCAAATTCCTTCGAAGCGGATGATGAGAAACGCAACTTCTCCAGTGGACCATTGCGCCAGCAATCGCCAGCGCCGTCCACTTCGAACCCTCCCGCAACACGATTCTCACAAATAACGGGTGTACCAAGCGTCCGAGATCCAAGCACCGCAGAGCCAAGTACCCGAGATCCAAGCAGCGAACCTCCAGTGTTGTCAATCTCGACCCAGCTACCAACTCGGCCGACTGTTACAACTGGCCTTCGAAAGGCGGTCCCGCCTCCTTCAGGAACCCCACATCCAGAAATGTTGCTACCTGGGCGGACCAACTCTGGCGATGAGAGCTCCATTGCTTCTCCCACCTCCGATACGAGATCTACCTCTAGTGATTTCCAAACGCGACGAGACTTTTCACCATCAGCAGTACCCCCTCCATTGCAACCTCGATCCTCTCCTGCCCCACAGAATCCTACGGAGCCGCCAGCCCCGATATTCCCAACGCGGAAAAGCAGCCTGAGTCAATCGGCAGCTCCAAAACTATCGGAGATCACCGGGGCGCCTCAACCATGGGTTAGGAGTCGATCGTCTTCACCGGGTGCTGCAGCTCCCTCGCCGGCAACACAGGGCAAGCCTCTACCATTCGTTCGACCTGCAGATATATATCGGCGAATGGAGGAACAACGCGAGAAAGAGCGGCAATCGATTGACTCTAGTAGACCAAGTATGGATTCAATTCTTGGTGCGAAGCCTAGAGACGCATCTCCTCCCCTGGAAGAGAATCAAAACTCCGATAGTTTTGGTGGAACTAGCAGATGGAGGACAGGTCTCGAGGCAGATGATGCATCTGACACTGGTCGACTCAAAACAACACTTGAGCCCGTTAAGGAGCGGAAGAGCGAATACGGGTTTGAAGGATTCAATATGAGCGACCAAGCCCCATCGCAGACCTCTAAAACCTCGGATGTTACTGATGACCACGATAGACTCGAAGTTGAAGCACAGCGACGACAGTCAACAAGTCCAAAATTACCGGATCTGAATCGTATATCTGGTTTTGGAATGGATTTTTTCTCTCGAGCAATACTCGAAGACTCACAAGAGCCCATATCACATTCGTCAGAAACGCCTCTGAAAGATCCTCCAAAAGAAGATCCCGTTCCTGCGGAAGAACCCACTCTGCGAAGTCAGCCTTCACTCGGGTTTAGATCTGTTGTCAACCAGGCCTTTGATAGGACGAGTGAGTCGTCAGGTCCTGCTGCATCAGCTTCTCGAACTAGTAGCGGTGTCAGAAGGACAGACAGTGAAAGTACTGGTACTACGGGCATAAGCCCAATCATGAGCAGAGTCTCAAGTACTGCTATACCTGAGTCCCGAGTTAGAGACACGCAAAACACTCCAATTATGGAGGCTGTCAATGAAAGCTCCGAGGCCCCTGGATCTTCTCAACATGTTGAACCTATTCCTGACTTTAAGCCCGGCCATCGCCGCGACATCACTGCCCCTAGTCCAGGAAACAGCCCAGCTCGGTCACCAGACCTTGCCAAGTCCGAGATCGTTCCTCAGGGTCAGCAGGCTGTCTTGTCAGAGTCTTCTACATCAGAAAGTCAAGCGGACAATGAGGAACCTCTACAGCCTCCTATTCAAGGGCAACAAAGTGAAGATGATTACGACGTCACTCCAACTACTACCACTCATCCTTCGCCACAGTCTTCGTCTGAGGCAGCTGTAGTTGGTGCTTCTCATAACGATCTGACTGGAGCTACTGTCGAAGAACGTGAAAAGGACACTCACCTTGGATCTCGAGATCTCCAAGAATCCAGGCCCGCTCCTGCCAGTAATTCCCTTCCTACACCTGATCATGCCATGGAACCCAGTGGAACCTTTGACCCTCAATCTCTACCCAAGCTCGAAGAGGTATCAACGGAGGCCCAGTTGGAGCCTGACACTAGCGACAGAGGTGTTTTCGCAGATTCAAGTGAAGCGCCACATCTCGCAACTAAGAATACACCTATAATACAAGAAACCGATGGTAGCTCTGGGCATGTTGAGTCTCCCGATCTCTCAGAACAGGAGAGCCTGCATCAAGGAGCGGTGGATGAGCGTCCAGTGCCTTCCGTCATACCTCAAGTGATACCCTCTCCTGGCACAGATACCGAACCGGATGATGAGGAAAGTGATAAACTTCGCAACGAAATTGTAGAAAGGCTCACTCCTAAGCGTTCAAATGCTTCGACGCGTGATGATTCCATGTTGTTCGATCATTCATATGACCAGGTAGCCTCCAATCAAAGGGAAAGCTCCTCATATCTACCAAGCGAATATGATAATTATTGGGCTGATTCGGGCGAAGAGGAGACGCCGGCGCCACTTGTGACAGCTCCTCCACAGGAAGCTGATGAGGAACCTATTCCTTCTCAGGCTCCACTGTCTATTGCAAAGGATTCTTCAGCCTACAGCGAACCTGGACCTGAACCTGAACCCATACAACCTCTCAGTACTCGCAGATCTGAACCGACATCTCATGACATAAGGCCCTCTTTGACTCAACGCTTCTCATGGGAAGCAAGTGCTGAAGGTGTATCTGCCTTACCTGATACGAACAATGAGCCTGATACGAAACATGAGTCGCGTTCATCGTTGGGTGTGTCGCATGAGGATCGAGACATTGGAGAACTAGAGGATTCTAAACCGGTGGTTGAACAGATCGAATCCGCAGAAAAGAAAGATCAACCCCATGCTGAACCTTTGAAGAGTCAGCCAATTGATGGCAATATTGGAAAAGATGCAGCGTTAGAAGTAGGCGGTGTCGTCGCGGCTGAATATGCACATCACGCTGGTTCAGAAGGACAGCCTGGGAAACAGGTCCCATTGGCAGAAGAAAAGGACCCTCAGGTTTCCTCTTATGCTGTCACGCAAACTCCGCCGCCGTATGAGCACCCTGCTAAATTCCCACAGTCGTACTCGTCTCCTACGACAGAGCAACATTCGAATCCTTCAGCGCCTTCAGCACATCGCAATTCCCTTTCTGCGATGACTTCGTCACAAGTCGCACCAACATCTAGAATTCTGTCATTCGAAGAAATCGTAGCAATGAAGTCGCCTCATCAGCGAATTCAGGCATTTGAGGAAACAAGACACCGATTCGCGGCAATGGATTCTGGCCTGAATAATTGGATGGAGGCACTAAGGGCGCAGTTCCCAGAGCATGCAAATGTCACTGCATCTCTCGCAGGGTCGGGGTTGGGCGTTCCCAGCGGTTCAAGATCTAAGTTTTCGAAGGCAACCGGGGCTAGCGCCCCATCATTACAACAACCATACTATCAGCAATACCTTAATGCGAGTAATCCGACAGTATCAGGGCCTCCACCGTCGAGATCCGGTCCAAGTATACCATCTGGCACCCAACATGGCCTCTCCTCCGTCGGTGGTAGCAAATTATCCACTCAGCAAGTACAGGCGAAGGGGAAGGAATTCCTTCACACAGCCGGCATTTTTGGTGGCAAGGCGGGCAAAGCAGGGAAGGGATTGCTGGCGAAAGGCAAGAATAAGCTTCGTGGAGCCGGTGGCGGAGACAAGGTAGATTGACCATCTCCTTAAGAGCCGGAACGCATTTGGGCGACGTGGCGACTTCCTCGTGATCTTTGAGTTTCTCCAAGGCCAATCAATACGGCCCTTAATGTTTTTCCTTCCTCTGCCTGCTCGGCATCTTCATCCTGCATAGCAGGTTGTGTACGACTAGGGAGAATTCAGCCTTCTCAATTGTTATCTCTTTATAATACGCCATGATTGTACCAATACTAAGCTTTGATCCCCATCGCAGACCCAGACTACCACAAACACAACGGCCACGGTTGATGGCCGTTCCTCTTTTGGTTCTCCCATGACCATTTCGCGTTCTACTGGCCAACCTGATCCGTCTTCTCAACTCTCGAGAGAATTCACGCCAAATCGACCGCCACCGCGTCCACAGCGTCCCCGGACAACTTCATTGATTCTGGACACAGATCAACCACCACTGATTTACATGCAACGCGGCGATTTTATGATCGCTTCGGAGACTATGAGCGGGGCGCTTCCCGTAGATGAATCACCCATTTACCCGCGCAGCCAACCGCCTGCACTACGACGGGAACCAAATGGAGTCCCAGCCGTCAACGGATCCGACATCCGAGATAACCTGGGCGTCTTGCCCCCGATTAGCAAGAATCAGCCATCTTTGGATCCAAACAGTGCTACTCCTATTACCGAACAGGGGTTTCAGTATGAGGAATATCCAAGCCTAGGCTTACAATCACGTGACATGCAACCTCCCCTTCCGCCAGACTCACTCCCACCTAGTGAAGCAGCCTCAAGGAGTGAGGACTCCAAGTTTGGAGATGGTTTGGCTCCTGGTGAATACGAGAATCCTTCAGACAATGATTGGATTATGGTTTCAACTGGGCCAGAGTCACAAAATGATTCGCAGCCACCACCACATCCGCCGACGAAAAATCCCCCATCCAAGCCAAAACCAGAAGCTATAAGTCCTGGGGAGGCGCGTCCAATAAGCTCTGAATCGAACACCCAAAATCGAGATCGTGCTGATTCCTACACGAGCGTACTGGATCGGCCACGTGGTAGCTACGACTTTCCCAGACCAGCACCAGCACCGCCTCCCATTACTCGACCGAAATCCCCTCCGGCTGTATATTTTCCTTCTCTTATAGATTCCTCAGATCAGGAAGATAGCGTGCAGCAGACCGAGTCGGAAGACGACAACAGCACTTCTTCTTTCAAAGGCCTACCACCCATTCGCCGCGTCTCGAAACTTGGGTTCGACTACAGCCCAGGTCGTTCGAAAACACGATTCCCGGTTAATAACGATGAGGAGGTGGAGGAGGAGGATGATGATGAATTCCATACTCCAACACAAGAACACGATTATGGAGAACGAGAGGATGAAATAGATGCAGTCTCTGCCGCTTCCGCAACTGCTGGTCTAGCACATCCTGAGGCCGATAGGGATACACCACAGTCCAATCCCGCACACTCCCGACAGCAGTCTCAGACTTCACAAGCCAGCATACAGGATTCAACTGGGCCAAATATAGCTTTCACGGGTTCCTCTCGACACAGCCAGGAGACTATTCAGCAACGACTTCCTAATGAGGATGCCTTTTCGAGATCACCAGATCCCTGGCGGGCGAGCTTAATTACACCGCCTTCACACGCATCTCCGGGTAAATTGAGCGATATAACGATCTCGCCTCAACGTTTCTCCTATGAAGAGCCCGGTGCTCGTACACCTCTGTATAACAAACCCATGTCCAGACCTGTTTGGGGTCAGTCACAACCTCCATCATCTGCTCAAAAGTATCCTGGACTCTTTCGACCTGAGCAACCTGCATTCGAGGTGCCTCGGGGAGGCGGTGATATTCCTTCCCCTTATTACCAAACTAATACTCCTCGTGAACCCAATCTCCCGCCAAGCCAGCAAACTGATGAATATCAACTGCCAAGCCTTAATCCCTCAATGGAGATGGGCAATTCGATATCTCACGAGGGGGCCTCTTTCGAGAGAGCAACCGACTCTCCCCACGGTTATGATGATGCAGACTCCTTGGCTACATCTGAGGAAACAAAGGGCCAGAGGAAACAACGAAACAGCTTCTTCGGTGGATTCAATCGTGCTTCGACTGGTGTATATGGCTATTCACGAAACCGGGACAGCATGGTAGCTCACCCCGCTGGATCACAGATGGATCTCGCGCTTTCACCACACTCGCCACCAGGGACCCCTCTTGAACGAAGACGATCGCTCTTCGGACATCCATCTCCGATTGAGCAGAGGTCGAAAGCATTCCAGATCCCCACAGTCTCGACACCTGTAATCCCCGAAGAGCCTAGCAAGAAAAAGCGATTCTCCGGGTTGGGGAGCATGTTCGGGAGGTCTGGCAACCAGACCTCGAAAGGTTCCGCTTCTGGGCGTCCACAGGCAAAGGGGGAGGTGTTCCATCATGCGAGACAGCTAAGTGAACCGCCTATTCAGAGCGCAGCGGCCATAGATCAGCCGCGGAAATTCCTTTCGAGACTGACAACGGGTGGAGATTCTTCGCATTCGCGCCAAGACAGCAAAAACTGGAAGAAAAAACTTAATAATAGCAGTGATCCTCCGCAGCCCGTTCGGGGAAACAAAACACGGAAACCCTCCGGAGCGGGTTTGTTGACTGGAATCATTGGACGGCGAACAACTCAACCAGAACAGCATGATGAGTCGTCTTCACAAGGAACACGTTCGTTGCGAAGCCAGCCGCAGTCTCTTCCTAAGCTGCTGCCACCTCCAAGAACATACACTGATATCGAGGAACACCCAACACCAGTCTTTAAACAAGCTCCGCCATCCCCTTGGCTACCGCATAAGAACCAGTCCTTGGAGCAAGACCGTGAGCGCGGACGTCGGACTAGCAGAGAACGTCAATATCCCAGCGTTCCTATTCCAGGCGGTTATAAACTTGTTCGTGGAGAGGGCGCTATTCCGGTACCTACAGAGTATGATCCCAGAGGTCTAAATCACCCCCAACAAGTTGATCCGATGTACGCTCATCAGGATCAAGGGGTCTATCAGAACCCAGTTTCATTACTTGGCGGCGCTCAACCTTATGGCAAGGGGCAGCCGCCAGGACCTCATCCTTCAACCTTCATCCCCTCTCAAATCAGTGGACAAGGCAATCTGACGCCTAATTTTGGGACAACCGAATTGATTGAAAGCCAGCTGAGTCACTTACCACGTCGTTTGAGCCGTGACGATATCCTCGCTCGCTCTCCTGCCCGCTCGCCCGAAGGCCAGCAACGACCCTACGAACTCCGTCTCCCAGGCGAGGAAGAAGATCGAGATATCCGCTCCACACGCAAGAACAAAGAGATGCCCATCATCTCACCCCCTAGCGATACTCGCCCCAGCGTTCCCATCTCCGACCCCGAGAAGCCCCCCAACCGGACCATTCGACGCCTAGCCCAGCCCGTCATCCGTCACCCGCAGTCTCCCGCCGGCTACCCGCTCCCCGACGACTCGGTCTACTCCCCCGTTGACCCCTCCGCTAAGGATCTCCCGCCGCCACCGGCCCCAAAATGGCCCCCGCTCCGCGACGGTACCACTACGCCTTCCGACCTAGCTCGCTCTGACACCCACCAAACGTCGGTGAGCGGCGTCAGCCAGGGATCCGGCGCCAGCGGTCAGCGCAGTCTGCTCGCCGTCCAAGACGCCCTCGATCGAGCCAGCCAACGTCCATCCGCGAGTCCCACCCCTCCTAGTCCGGGCATCACGCCCCCTCCCGCACGTCCATCATCCATCCAAGCTTCCTCATCCTCCTCCTCCAACCCCGTTCTTCCCACAACAACCACCACAAGCCCGACCATCGCGCCCCCTCACCCAAGCCCCGATCTCTACACGGCCTCGCCCCGTCTCCCCAGATCCAAACCTCTCTCCCCACCACCAGAGATCCCAAATACCGAGAACGGCGCAGCCGAACTCGAAGATCCAGAAAGCGCAGCACTGCGCGCTCGCACGTGGCAGGAAGAGAAAATCCCTGCGCATGCGGATGGGGACGAGGATGGCGAGGAGGAGGAACAGGAAGAGGTTAGGATGAGCGCTACTAGCTATCCTGGACAGGAATGGAATCCTTATGCTGAGGGCGTTTATGTGGAGGATTATATTGATTGATTAAGTCAGGGGTGTGGGCTTTGAAATGAAGAATGAAGGGAGGGAGGGAGAGTTGAGTTTGTTGATTGTTGTGTGTTGTATTGTGTTGTATTGTGATAATTAGTTTGTTTGTTTGTCTGTTTGGTTCGTATGTTTTGTTTGTTTTGTTCTACCTACCTAAGATACCTTCTTCATCATCCATTCTATCTATCTATCTATCTACATATATACATGTATTCTAGCAGCGTTTTTCTAATACCCCAATACCCCAATACAATACCCCTATTTTGCTTCCCTCCCTCTCTCCCTGCTCCTCTCCCCTATCCCCCCCTTTTCCAACCCATCATCTAACCGCACTATCCCAGCCTATAAATCCCTCAATAAAATCAATAAAAAAAAGGCGATTCTACTCCCCTCATATTACTAGAATAGATAGCATATGTATGATAGATAGATAGATAGATAGATAGATAGATAGATAAGATAAGATGTGGATTCAGGGCTTGAATGGGGGATGAGGCGTGATTTAGGGGGAGGAGGAGAAGGGGCGGGGAATGGATAGAGGGGTATATACCTAGGTAGGTAGGTAGGTAGGTTATGTTGTATACATCACATCACATCGCTCACTCAACTTAACTCAAAAAAATAATCATTAAAAAGAACCCAACCCCCCCCCACCAAGAAAACGCAACCCTATCTATCTATCTATATACGTATATATCCAACCATCCATGATTCCAAGCCTTGCAGCAGAACAACAACAATAACGCCTTGGACCAAAGATGATGAATTTGCATGCAGTTACACTTGTTTTCTGCGGATTCTTTATCTTGTCTATGTATTTGTTTGTTTGTCTTGTCTGTCTTTGTCTCTATACCTGAGGTGAGGTGAGGTGCTATAGAGAGAGAGAAGTGTGTGTTCTTCTTGTAATCTTGAAAGAGTAAGAGTCAACCTACCCACCCAACCATCCATCACTCTTCGTGCTCCTCCGGACTCCTCTCGCTATCTAGTATTGGAGAGATAGGGTAGGTGTGGAGAAGAGCGAGCGAGGGAGGGAGACAAGAGAGAGTGGGGAGATAGATGGATGGGATAGGGGAGAGCCATTCCTGATATCCTCCTCCTCCTCCTCCTTTCTCTGATTACATAACGCCAACGCATAGTTTCTGGAATTTGATTTACCATTTATCCCAGTTATCCTCGTCCTTGCCGACGACGGTCGCGCTGGACGGCGCACCGCCCGTCTTCTTGACGGCCGATGTGCCGATGGCGCTGGGCCGCTGGCTGCCCGCCTCGGCGAACCGATCCCAGAAGTCCTTCTTGCTCTCGTCGAGGGGCGCGGACCGGCCGCCGTGCGAGGACCCGCCGCTGCCTTCCACGAAGCGGTTGAAGTTGTCCGCTGCGCTGCGCGCGCCTGTCTGTGCTCCTCGCGCCACCTGCGCCGCGGCGATCCGCGCGTGCGCTGCGAGGTCCGTCTCTGCTAACTGTGCTGGCGTCAGAGCTGCGTTTGGAGGGGGAGGGAAGGGACGCACCTTGTGAGCGGTGGGTTGGATGTAGCCTTCGCTGACGGTCTTGGCCGTCTTTCCTACTGTAGACGCGAACCAGCCAAAGCCCTTCGTCAACGCGGCCACGGGATCCTTCTGTAGGTCGTCGAAACCCGGCAGTCGGTGATTATCCTGCGCCGGCTCGATGGGAGTGCTTCCAAAGCCAGAATACTTTCCTCCTTGGTTGGGAGGCAGATCATCCGGCCGGCTGGCATTTGCGGCGCCTAGCCCGGCAAAGTACTTATCGTCTACCTTCACTTTCCCTCCTGGCCCGGTCCTACTTGGGCTATCGGTTCGCGCGCGTGCGCTTAAGGGGGTTCCGACCCTGTTGGGGCCGGCAGCGGTTGCTGCGCTGCCGACGTTGACCGAGATGGCTGCTGGTTTTTCAGAGGGGACGTATTCTTTGCCTTCGACCTTTGCGGTCAGCCTATCTTTCCATTCCTCTCCTATCTCTCCCGAGTAGCGCTCTGCGATCGTAGCATCGTCCCAGCTGTGAATCCACACTTTCAATCAGCACACATCGAATTATAAAACGGCCTTGTAGGACTCAATCCCACTATCTTCCCCCGCACATTCATTCCCCCCAGGAGAAAGAACTGACCTGATACCCGCCATCGCATTCGCCTCCGCCGCATCAAAGAAGTCCCGCCAGGGCTTGTTCCCACCCAGCCGCATCCGCTCGATCTCCTGGGCCTTGAACGCATCCATAGTGATACTCCGCACGAAACTGATATGCACCCCGAGCCCCCGGTGGACGCCCGCGCAGTTCAGACAGATGAAGATGCCAAACTTGGGCGACGCCCATTGTGGAGACGGCGCTCCGCAGTCGCAGCACCGATCGTTCCCGTTTGTCTGTTGGATCTCCAGAAGCTGGGTGGGCAAACCTGTCAGCAATGGGACATCCTCATCCGCAGATAGCTGGGGGGGCGATGACAATACCTTTGATCGCGTCTCGGGGTCGACCTCCCACATGGCTTTGGTGGCCATCCTGCAGTTGTCCGTGGAGGACTGGCGAGGCAGACAATGTCCGGGTGTCTGGGATGCGGAATGAGGATGTCGATGCGCAAGGGGAGGGCTGGGAGAGTGACAAGAACAAGAAGTCAGAAGTTAGAAGAGGATCATCTGTATTTATCCAGACGTCGCGCGCTGGTGGGGAAATTGGCGGGCAGAAAGGGGGTTTGAAGTTGGCGGTCTCAGGCGACGATCGCGCGGACCAATGAGCGGGAGCCGCGGCTGTAAGGCTATCGATTTTCTATTTTGAGCCTTTTCACGGGGCAACAGAAGAGAAAGTCACACGAGCAGATCAAAAACACTTCGTTGAGAGAGATTATTATAGTTGCCATTTACTATCAATGAATGGTATCACCGATGAATAACTTTTCCATTTCCTTCCCTTCCCAGAGAGAGCACATCAAGAGAGAAATCTAGTGTACAGTCCTGAGAATGCTAAAGAAATGGTAATAGAGACACTGTCAAAAAGAGTCATCGAGAACTATATGAGCCCTGCGCGTGGGCAGGAGAGTTCAGTTGTCGAGAGAAGAAATGAGCCATTTTCAGAGCACACTTTTTCCGCTAGACGCCAGCACAATTCCACCACACGTGGTCACCCTTTTGTTCCACCTAAAAAGAAAATCATCAGAAGTTGGCCAGTCCATTGAAAGATCAAAGGAGCAAAATCCGCCTTCCATCCCAAATATCCGAAGTGCGCCGCAAAGCGCCGACACAATGTTCCAAAGCAAAAATTGCATCAGTCATTGCCAGCTCATTGCAACACCTCCATCATGCAATAATACAACAACTACTGCTTAAGCAGCAGCAGTAGTCTCGGTAGTGCCGTTGGTAGGCTCAGGAGCAGCCTCGGCAGAAGCATTGGCATTAGCATTAGCATTGGCATCGGCATCATCAGTCTTGTCTGGGCTGTCGATGGCGACCTTGACGGCGATCTCACGACCCTCGATTTCCTTCCCGTTCATCTCAGCAACAGCCTTCTGTTGCAGCTCCTCAGAGGCGAGGGTGACGAAGCCGAAGCCACGACCCTTGCGGGGCTCGTTGCGGGCTTGGAGCTTCTTCACCATGAAGCGGGGAATGGGGCGAAGGGCGATCTTGGCAGAGGATGGCTCGTAGGCAGCGAAGAGTTCCTTGAGCTACAAGAGGGGGTGATTAGCAAGAGCCCATGGGTACGGAAACTAGATAACATACCTTCTCCTCGGAGAGATCGTAAGGAAGGTTGGCAACCATGACCTTGGTCTTGGAGGGAATGCCGTCGGCTGGTGGGCCACGCTCACGACGGGGCTCGCGAGCGGGCTTGCCTTCCTTGGTCTCGGTAGCGGCGGGTTGGTTGGTGGTGTCGGTCAAAGGAAGGACCTCGCCGGTGGCGGTAGTACCTTCAGCACCTTCCTCTCCCTTGGCCTGAAGGGGGCAAAGTTAGCATTCGCACAAGACAGGATCGACCAGGGAATCTCCAAGACTTACAGGACGTCCTGGGCGAGGGCCACGACCTCCGCGGCCACGTCCACGGCCACGGCCTCGTCCAGATTGTCTGCGGCGACCACCCTCACCTCCAGATTGTCCCTCTCCTCCACTCGCAGCACCTTCACCCTTCTCTGCGCTCGCCTCCGGCTTGCGAGCAAGCTGGACGGAGACCTTGCGATCGAGGATCTCCTTTCCAGAGAGCTCAGCGATGGCACGCTCAGCCTCGCTTGGGGTTGAGAGATCGACGAACGCGTAGCCGACAGGGCGGTCGGTGCGTGGGTTCTTGGGGATGGAGGTGGATTCGCTAGGAGCAGAAATGTCAGCAACGATGCCAATAGATGTGTATTGATAGGTTCACCGATGATGTTGGATGGATACAGGATGCTATAAAGGGAATGGGCCGACTCCTTCTCAGGAGTTGCCACAGGGCATCCGGCGACTGGGATCGTCGAGAAGCCCTCGAGCAGGTGCTGGCACATAGATCGAACAGGCGAGGGGTTCTTCTTACATGAGGTATCCCTTGAAGAAAGTTTGCAACTCCCCCTCGGTCGTCGCGTACGCGAGGTTTCCGATGTAGAGTCTCCGTCCCTCGGCAGCGCTGGCCAGGACTGCGTCATTCTGCGCAGCCTTTTCGGTGTCGGCCGGCTTGTCGGAGATGGTTGTGTTGCCAAGAGCGGCAGTAACGTCGTTGACGGCGTCAGAAACTTTCTCCACGGTGGTAGACATGATGATTTTCGCTGTTGGGGTGTGGGTGGTTTGACTGAAGGTGGAACTTGAGTGAGGCTGGAGGTTGTCGACGTTCGCTGAGAGTTGATGAACTCTTGAACAAGTGGGGGAGTTGGTGAAGGGTAGCTAAGGGCCCTAGAAGACTGGAGGGGGGAGGTAATGGGGGTTGTGGGATGCGGGGTGCTGGATGAACTTGAGCGGATCTTGTGTTGATGTGAAGTCGAAGAGAGGAAGGGGAAGAAGGGGCGGAGTCGCGAAATTTGATCTCTATCAAATTCCCACGGGAGCCGCACCTTGGTGGCGCTAGGGCTGGAAGAGGAAGGGTAAGCGAGGGGGAAACGCTTGGCCTGATTGGGGATATTCGGGGGGGGGAAAGAATGATAATGATAATGATAATGTGTTCCTGCCAATGGAAGTCATTTATTGATATATGTGTCTATATGAGTAATGTAAGGTAAGGTATATATAATATATGTGTGTTTTATATGTATGTTTAGGACTCTCTTGCCTCGCGATGTTTCTGATAGCAGATTATGTAAGGTACCTACATCAGAGAGAGAAAACAGACACATGTCTACCACTACCAGGTACGTGGGGAAGTTCGTGTTTGCCCTGTCCCGCTCTGCGCAACTCTGCACACCTCCTGCAACAGTCTGTGAAGAGCCTTGCATGGCATGATGGCACGAGTGTTTGCCCATCTGACAATTCCACAAAGTACCTTACTTGCGTCTTGCGTCGGGTTCTCTTGACAGCTACATACGGTACATACATATATCCCATCCCCCCCTTTTGCCCTTTGCCTCTCTCTGCCTGTGCCCTACAGAGCCGCATCCACCAGCCCAACACGCCAAAGCCACTCCTCGTTCTCCCATTGGCCAACCGTCCCGCGCGTTGTCCTGGGCACGGGACCCACCGTAAATGCCGATGAAAGGCCGCCACTCGCCACTTCCCACTACTGCCTCTCTCGGACTGGCGCCCCTTCTGATTCTGGCGCCTTCTGCTGCTGCCCGGGAAAGGGGGGGAAAGAATCATGTAAACATTGCTGAGTCATGCTGCGACTGCACACAAGGCTGGGCTAATAACGTGATCTGAGTCCCGTGCGGATCCCGTCCCCGTGCTGCATCCCGTGATCTGCACAAGAATATTCGCGAATTCGACTTGAGCCTCACACCTCAGTCTGTTGACGGTTCTATATATATACTTTTATATTTACATATTTCTATATTATATATATATACCTACCTATATATGTATATGTATATGTATATATGTACATCCCATAACCCATCATGACAGAGAGCATCGAGAATGTCGCCGGCCAACGCCATGACAGAACGGCTCTCATCCTCTATGGCTCTGAGACGGGCAACAGTCAGGATGTTGCTGAGGAACTGGGCCGCGTCGCCGAGAGAATCCATTTCCAGACGGTTGTCTGTGAGATGGACCAAGTAAATATTGTATGGCCCTGCTCTCCGTCTGCTCTTCTCCTGGTCCCATGTTCATGTCTCTATCCATGTCACAAACTCAGCTGCTTATTCTTGCCCCTGACAGAACGCCTTATTGGACTACACCATTGTTCTCTTTGCCGTCTCAACCACGGGCCAAGGCGAGTTTCCGAAAAATGCAAGACTCTTTTGGAGGAGCCTCCTGCGAAAGCGTTTGCCTCCCGGATGTCTGGATCACGTGAGCTTCACCACCTTCGGCCTGGGGGACAGTTCGTATCCAAAGTATGTCCGCCGTGGTAGGGGAGAAGCTTGACCTGGATACTCACTGACATCGAATTCAGATTCAACTGGGCGGCACGTAAACTCCATAAGCGCCTCGAGCAATTAGGCGCCAAGGAAGTCTACCCTCGCGGCGAGGCTGACGAACAGCATTCAGAGGGGTTAGTCCTACAACAACAATTCCCTTCTATCAGAAGAAAAGGAAACCTTCAAAAGCACCGAGTTTGTGTGAACTGACAACGTCTAGTATTGATGGGACCTTCTTGTCCTGGTCTGCCGATCTCCGAACACACCTTCTCTCTTCTTACCCGCTGCCTGAAGGCCTAACTCCAATTCCACCAGATGTCCTGCTCCCCCCCAAATACACTCTCGAGCTCTTGAGAGACCCGTCAGATATTCCTACAGCAGCATCTATCCAGCAAGCTCCTGTGACATCACTCACCAGCCTCTCCTCGACAGCGTCTAATGCCACGGAGCGTCCAACGTCTACACAACCACAGGATCCTCCGCGCAACCTCAACGGAACCTCGACTTCGGACATCTCCCCACAGCCAGAGACAGAGCCCAACATGAAGACCAAATGGCCTTTTCCCTTTGAGCATGAGACGGCTATCGGCCCGCAGTTGAAGGAGAGCGCAGAGGGTTACGAGTCCATTCGTGATTCGAGATTACCACCTTCCGATATGCTCCCTCTCGAGAACGGCATAGAAACGCTGCTCATTAAAAACGAGCGGGTTACTCCAGACACTCACTGGCAAGATGTTCGACTCCTCACGTTCCTGACGAACGATCAGAATTTGTACAATCCAGGCGACACGGTGACCATCTTCCCCAAGAACTTCCCCGAGGATGTTCAAACCCTGATCGATCTCCAAGGGTGGAACGACATCGCCGATGTCCCACTGTCATTCAAAGCGCGACCACCGGATTTCTATAATGCCGAGAACTTCGTGTCGCTGCCGCGGGGCCTCGTCCCCCTGAAGAACTCCACCCTACGCCAGCTCTTAATTCATAACCTCGACTTCACCGCAATCCCAAAGCGGAGTTTCTTCCAGATGATTGCTCACCACACGGATGATCCCATGCACAAGGAGCGCCTGCTTGAGTTCGCCAACCCCGTCTTCACCGACGAGTTCTACGACTATGCCACACGACCACGTCGTTCCATCCTCGAAGTCCTCCAGGATTTCCCCAGCGTCAAGCTACCGTGGAGCTGGGCCCTCGCGCTCTTCCCCGTCATCCGCGGTCGAGAATTCAGTATCTGCAGCGGCGGAACCCAGCGGCTCTATCACGATGGGAATGAACTTATCAAGTTCCAACTCCTGATCGCCATTGTCAAATACAAAACCGTCCTCAAGAAGATCCGCCAAGGGCTCTGCTCTCGCTACATCGCCAGTCTGCACGGAGAAACCCTTCTGAAAGTAAAGATGTCCTCAAACGCCGCCTTCGACCGAGCTCTCAAACTGAACTCCAACTACCCCGTAATCATGGTCGGGCCAGGGACCGGCGTCGCGCCCTGCCGCTCCCTAATCTGGCAACGCGCCGCCGACGCCTTCGAGGAGAACCACACGGTGCACGACGCCATCCTCTTCTTCGGCAACCGCAACGCCAACGCCGACTACTTCTTCCGGGACGAATGGGCGATCCCGTCTCTGCGGCTCCAGGTCTTCACGGCCTTCTCGCGGGACCAGCGCCAGAAGATCTACGTGCAGGACCTAATCCGGCGCGAGGGCCCCCGCGTGCACGCCCTGCTCGCCCAGAACGCCCTGATCATCGTCTGCGGTAGCTCGGGCAAGATGCCGCAGCAGGTCCGCGAGGCTTTCTTGGATGTCATGGAGGAGCATGGCGGACCTTGGGAGAGTAGACAGAAAGTCGAGGAGACGTTCAACTTGATGGAGAAGAGGGGTCAGTATCTGCAGGAGACGTGGTAGAGTATCTGCAGGAGACGTGGTAAGAGAGGTTCATGATGTGATTGATATGATGATGGGAGGAGCGTGGATTCTGCATCTGCATTGCATCGTGGATGGCGTTTTGGGGTGGGGGGGGAGGAGAGGGGGAAGGGGGGAAGGGGGCTGCATTCTATTCTATTCTATTCTATCCATGGATTACCGTGCTTCCTTTATGCAGCAGCGACGGCAAGCATAGCGAGGGAAATAGAATAGGGAAAATAGGAATGAAAATGAAAAATTGCATTATATCACATCACATCATAAACAGGACCCCTTTCTTGCCTTTCCTTTTACCAACCCAACCCCTCCTAAGTCCCTTACCTTACCTTATCCTCATCCACATCCATCCTCATCCTCATCCGTCCTCATACACTAGAATGCTTAACCAATGAACCAACACATAGCGGGATTTATAGATTATCAGGTCAGGAACAAGTTGGAGAGATGGATTAAGGTAAGGTAAGGTATGAATATTTTTACCCATCCTATCCTAGTAGTCTGATCTCAATGGTAACGTTATCATCACTCCCTTCATCATGCATTCCTCATCCATCCATCCATTACAAAAGAAAAAGACCAAGAGCTCAGAAATCCAACCCCCTAACCCCCACTCCCAAAACACACTCCCGCTCGCTCACGCTACGCTCATGTATACCAAGAAGGTTCCGGGATCTTGTTCAATAGTAAATACTCGCCGAGCTCCTTGTTCTTGTACGCCACAGGGTCGTGTAGAGTGTGCGTGCGCACATCCCGCCAGAACCGATCCAGGCCGACCTTCCGCGACGTGGCCCGGCTGCCGGTGACTTCGAACACGCCCGCCGTGACGCGCAGCGCCGTGTCCGTGGTCACCACCTTGACGCTGGCGACCCACTCGGCGAGGTCGCCGCGCTCGCGCGCCGTCACGCTGCGCGTCTCGCTGTGCTTGGCGTACACGTTGGCGAGCTCCTGGCCGACGCGGTCGGCCAGCGCCTCGGCGGCGCGGAGGTGCGCGAAGAAGTTGCCGTAGCGTTCGAGGATGTAGAATTCTTCCGTGGCGGCGTTCTTGTTGTCGCCGCCGAAGGGCCAGGCGCGCGTCGTCGTCGTCGTGTATTTGGAGGCGAAGGCGAGCGCGCCGAGGGCGATGCCGAGGTAGAAGTTGGAGAAGACGAGTTGGATCGTGGGGAGGATGAGGCTGCCGTAGGGGATGCTGAGGATGGCGGGGTCGGGGGAGCGCGTCTTGGGATCCCAGCCCAGAGCGTCGGCCCAGGGGACCTTCACCTCGCTGATCTTGACACTGCCGGATTCTGTAAGGCGGAGTCCGACGTTGTTCCAGTTGTGCTTGGATGGGTTAGTTTTTGATACATGGATCCTGCTCGGGTGGATGACTTACCGCGAATTGGATCCCTTCTTGGACAGTGGGAACGAGGGCGAAGATGTGGTTCTCGGTTCCCGAATATACTCCTTCCAGGACGGTCAAGTCGGACACCACACCCCCAGTGTTGAAGTTCTTGAAGCCGTCAAAGGTTAGATAGTCTCCGTGGTCCGTGATCTTGGTGTCATTATCACGGACATTGACAGCGCCTAGCCTTGATCAGTCCCTACCCTCCAAGTGGGCCGACAGCACGTACCTCCAACAAAGTAGTTATTCTCGATAATCAGCTTCTGGAACCTGTCCTTCTGCTCATTGTTGCCCACCAGATTGGCGGTTGTAGACCAAAGCAGATGATATCCCAGCAGCATACCAATACTACCATCCCCCTTAGCCACCTCCCTGATGACCTTGTACGCGACGTCCCACGTCTGACCACCTCCTCCATAGGCCTTGGGGCCCAGTACCTTGAGCAGCCCCGCACTCTTCAGCAGGGCGACCTCGGCTCTGGGAGACTTGTTCTCGATATCGCGGGCTGTAGCATCGGCAGCGAGGATCTCGGAAACCTGACGAGCTCGCTCGAGCCAGCCCTCAGTTGAGGTAGGGAGGCCCTCGCTGGTGAACTTCTGGTGATGGCTGTCGTAGATTGCCGGGTCTGTGGCGGCATTTGGCACCACATTGGTAAGGGCTGGAGTTGAAGCCATGGTTTCGGGGGAGGGAGAGGGGGGTATAGAACTTGAAAGAAAGGAGAAATAGAGATGAAGTGGGAATGGCGACAACGACGAGGGAAACAATATATACTCACTCTGATATCCGTATACGCGAGAGAGCAGAATCTAGATGCCCCTCACGCGCATATGGTGCAACGAGATACTGGTTGCTATAGAAGATTGCGTGATACGTACATGGCGACGCGGAAGCCGCACTTGCGGGACGACGATCCTTGATCACGTCAACGGAGAATGTGAGAACATGTGGGGGGGCGCTGGGCGTCCAACATCGTGATAATGCAGTGGACTGCGGGTCTTCATCCGATCAGTCGTTGCAGGTACAAAGTTACGAGAGAGTAGAGAGGATGTTGAGAGGAGGTGAGAAGAGAAGAGAGAAGGGGAGTTGAAGGGAAGGTTGGAGGATGACTAAGCCATCCAGTGCAAGGCTGGATGAAGTCAAGACAGACAGCCTCGTTCAACTCAACTTCCATGTCTTCAGACTGTTTTGACACTTGATTGTGTGATGTAATCCTCGGCAGAAAGAGCTCAATAACACTGATTGACGTTGCTTCCTCGAGACAGTAGTAAACCCACGCAGTTCATGCACATGCTGATGGATAGGGGTTCCTGTGCTATGAGACAACGCGGGGTCCATGGCCGGCATTAAGCTCAATTGAACAATTCCCGGACAAAAGTAGTGGCTCGTTGCATTGCCAGTACTTCCGTACTAAAGGAGCCAATGGATCGATGGTTTGGCATGTAAGAGCAATAGAGCAATATATCCAAGGTACCTGACTCTATCTAACCCCCCCCTGACGCCCCTCATCCGATTCCCACAGGGGACGAGAGGAGAGGGGTCATGAGGGGCGGGGGTCGGAGGGGCGACGATAACTCATTGTCTTGGATTAAATCGGGTCAAGAGCCTTTGATAATTACACGGTCGATTATATACGGGATATTTATGCGGTTGCCGAACACTCTGGCTGTAGGATTGACATGCGAAGCTTGCCAACACCCTCGTTAGTCGCCATCACGCAATTCTTCGTGCCGTTTTTTCAAATCCATCCATCCACGAGGAAGAGTGGGATGCATATAGACATGAGACTCGAATCTGGGAAATGTGAGGGGTTGCACGAAACTTCAGAAAATACACTTTTGTTGCATTTTGGAACCCCCAGCATAGTAATGCGGATTATGACCGAAGCAGTACAAGCCTAATACCAGATACCAGACCATTTGCAAACCAGGAACACATCTCACAAATTCCGATCTTGTCTTATCTGGGTACTCGTACCCTCAAAAGTCAAAAAAATGGTTGAACTCCATCATATCTACAAATCTCAATCCATCGAGGAATCATTGACACCACCGAAGACCCCTCCAGATGTCGAGCTGCGCTCTAAATTCATCCACCCTTGGCCAGAGCCAGAAACCCAAGCTGAAGAAATTCCGGTTCCAAAGCGACAAAAGATAGACATTTTCGAGGAGAGGGAGACTGCAGAGGTTGAGGACTTCAACGTCTCGCATCAAGATGTCCTCCTCTTGCACGCCCCAAAACAGAGATATACACATACGAGGCAGCAGCCAGTACCAGAATTGCGAACCGATAGGGAAATGTTGGTTGCAGTTCAGGTGGTTGGGTTGAACCCAATTGATTGGAAAGCACCGTAAGCAAAGACGCAGAAGGCCATGGACACTCTAGCTGATATCGGATCTTCAGAGACTTTGGATTCGGGCTGCCAGCATTGCCATGCATCAGCGGGCGGGATCTCGCTGGGAAGGTAGTGAAGGCCCCCAAGGCAAAGTCGCGTTTCCGGGTCGGTGACACTGTGAGTATTCCAGAACTTGGGGATGTATCGAGGCTAACCATACCAAGGTCATCGCCATCTCAACTGATTATCGAGATTCAAGGAAGGCTGCATATCAACAGTACTCTGTTGTATCAGACTTCAACGCTTGTAGACTCCCGCCCAGCATCACAGCCACAGAGGCGGCTCCCTTGGGCGTGGCATTTGTAGCAGCTGCACTGGGACTTGGAATCTGCGCGGGAATGGACTTCGTGAGCCCAAGTGGCCACCCCCGTGGCCCGAATCTGCTTCATGCATTGTGGTCAAAGCCGAGGGAGGCTTTACCCCAGGACATCAGAGCAGAATGCTTTGACGGAATCAGAGAAGACGAGAGGCCGCGGCCGGGGGATTGGATAGCCATATGGGGAGGTAAGAAGATTCCCAGTCTTTTGGGGGCCTTACTGATTGAGCAGGATCTTCGGCAACTGGTTGTTGTGCGGTGCAGCTGGCAAAATACGCTGGACTCAAAGTCATTGCTATCATTGACGTCGCGAGAAGTGGTGCGCGCATGTTAAAGCACGGCGCAGATCTGCTTGTCGATCGAATAGACACTGAACGCGCTGTATCTATCGTCAAGGGTATCACGAAGGGAAAACTGCGGTTTGCACTTGATACACACGGGAGGGACAGCGCGAAGCTTTTAGCTCGTGCAATGGAGAACAGTGATGGAGAAGCTGGGAGGAGGGCGCATCTCATCGGACTGACTGGCTTGCCAAAGGAACCTACCAACGGCGTTGTCTATCACTCGGTCCCCATCAAGGCCTTCCATGAAGCACCCCAAGTAGGAGAGGGTTTGATGATCTGGCTCGAGAAGCTGCTAGAGCACAGATTGCTTACCACGCCTGAGATTGAGGTTGCGGCTGGTGGGTTGGAGGGGATCAACGCTGCGCTTGACCGACTGAGAGATGGATCTGTCAATGGGCCTAGGATCGTGGTCCCCTTGACGAATTAGATGTAGATTGCCTGGCCAGCGGGCATGAGGAGGACAGAATGCTGAAAGCATGAAGAGAGGAGACCTACCGGAGAGGGCTCTCCTCGGGGTGGAAATTGTAACGTCGATTCGAGACCTCTAGACCATAGACCAGATATCCAAAGCGGCACATAGAGTTTGCCTTTTCATAGCTATCGAGTCTTTGCTGTGCCGGGTGTAGACACTCGGCATTGAAGGTTGAAGGTTTGCCCGTTGTCTCGCGAGATCAGGGGGCTAGACGTGATACGGTTAGAGATGTCACGGGAGCTAGTGTGCATATAGTATAGTGAGGGGTGCAACTAACCCCGGGGCATTAATCCTTAAGGCAATGTCTCGCACCCCTTGCCATTGCTCATCCCGAGTTGATATTGCACCATCGTCGAGCAACGCTCACGTTGGAGGGGTCGGCAACTAATGTACGTATATACGTTTAATGGGACATGATTATCGTAATGTTATTGCATGTGAATTGTAAAATACAGCAATTTTAGACTGAGAAGCAATGTAATTATTCTTTTCACGTGACAATTCGTGACCTCTGGCTAATCAGAAGGCTGTATTTTCGCTTAATACCGAGTTACCCCTGAATCCGGTTCCTGTTGACCTTAACACGACTACTAAAGCAAAGTCGCTTTTATCCACAGGGAGATATACTGGTAAGTGGACTCCGTGCACGATGGTGTATTCCGTCCTGTAGTAAGGTAGTCGGAGGCTAAGGTAACCAGGACAGAGATTAAAGGCCGCACGGTTATTGGATGTACAACCAGGTCGGTGTCCACTCAGGTGGTTCGATACAGATATATACAAGGCAGATAGTGCTTAAAGGTTTGGCGCCATACAATCTACACAACCCGCACAACCGCGGAAGGCCGATCTAGTCAGATGCCGTCACGGTAGCGGGGCAGTCCCCGCGCAGCCTCGTCGCTGCTTGGCGCTGGAGGGGAGGCGTCTGGCGGTGATGTGCTTTTCAGTACAGGGACTACATTTCCGCTATCCCTCGCCGGCCTGACGATCGTCTTGCTGTATGCCACATTGTACTCAGTCCATGAGTATTCGACGTACTGTGGCTGCAGCTACCTCTTCTTTTTCTGTGTCCTGACTGCTCTTCTTCTTCTTCAACTCCCTACTTCCTCTTTCCCAGCTTCTCTGAACTTCAATCCTCAATCTTCAATCTTCATTGAAGCTTGCTGGGCTTCCTCGTTCACTATGGCGCCTGCAGCTGTTGCTTCGAATGGCAACCACGCAGCTACCAATGGTCACCACTTCGTTGCAGCTCCAGATATCAATGATGACCCAGACCGCGTCAAGTTCGCATACTGGGTGCCCAATGTCTCGGGAGGGCTGGTGATTTCCAAGATCCCTCAGAGAACCCAGTACAATACCTAGTCCCTCCCCTTCAATCCTTTCCTGACATGCCAATAGCTGGGATTACGAGTCCAACGTGAGATATGCGCAGACGGCCGAGAATGTTGGCTTTGAGTTTGCCTTGACGCAGATTCGGTTCATGGCGGGGTATGGCGCGGTGAGTGCCTCCCATGTCAGCTCTACAGGATGCGCCCTAATCCATAGATACGCAGGAAAACCAACACGAGTCGGTATCCTTCTCACAAGCTCTCCTCCACAACACCAAGAAACTCAATGTCATCGCCGCGATCCTACCTGGGCCGTGGAACCCCGCAGTTGCAGCTAAGCAGGTCGCCAGTATCGACCACTACACAAATGGTCGTATCTCAATCAACGTAGTATCAGGATGGTTCAAAGCAGAGTTCACAAGCATTGGTCAATGGTGGCTCGAACACGCCGAGCGTTACCGGTTCGCATCTCCCCCCTCCCCACAACCCCGCAGACCAAGCACTGACGCGCCCCCAGACGAAGCCGCGAATTCATCGAATGCATCAAAGGCATCTGGACTAGCGACAAGTTCACCTACCGCGGCGACTTCTACCAATTCCACGACTACCCGCTATCTCCCAAGCCGCTCAACCTCCCCGGCCGCCCGCACCCGCTGATCTTCCAGGGCGGCAACTCCATCGACGCCCGCGAGAACGGCGCCCACGTCTCGGACTACTACTTCATGAACGGCAACACGCTCGAGGGGTTCCAGGAGCAGATCGCCGACGTGCGCGAGCGCGCGCGCAAGCTCGGCCGCGAGCACGAGATCCGCTTCGCTGTCAACGGGTTCGCCATCGTGCGGGAGACCGAAGCCGAAGCGATCCAAGTACTACAGGAAATCCAAGGCAAAGCGGACGCGGACGCGGTAGCAGCATTCAGCAACGCCGTCAAGCAAGCGGGCTCCTCGACGGGCAACAAGACCGGCATGTGGGCGGACAGCAAGTTCGAAGATCTCGTGCAGTACAACGACGGCTTCAAGACGAAGCTGATCGGCACGAAAGAGCAGGTCGCGGACCGCATCCTGCTGCTCAAGTCCCTGGGTATCGATATTGTCCTCCTGGCCTTCCTGCACTACGAGGAAGAAGTCGAGGAGTTCGGGAAGCAGGTGTTGCCGCTGGTGAGGAAGCTGGAGAAGGAAGGTAGGGGCAAGAATGCAGAGGAGGAGATCAAGAGGACGGGTGATGTGTACAGATCTAGGAAACGGAAAGCGGAGGATTAGAAGCCCCGTTTCTGGGACGCATCCTCTCTATCTATCTTACCTTATCTACCTAGGTATCTTGGGTTAAAATTAGGTTCAAAAGCCTGACACCTCGCGTTTCTATTTACCTTACTCCCACGTCGTAATCTCTAGATCAACTCACCAAGTTTGTGACAAGCCAAGCTCCAAGCTCCAAGCTCTACATATGTCTGTCTATTCATTCATTCAAGGCAAACATTCATTACACCATATCTAAGCACCTTAGCTTAGCTAGTACCTCATCTAGTACCTCATGCTATTCATTCATTCCCTCTTCCCCCAAAACCTCTTTCTTTTCAAATCTCTCTATTAAACAACCTTCTCAACCTTCTCAACCAATCAAAACCAAGCCATGAATCATGATGAAGCGGCACCGCTACCATGCTGAGTTTGACCACCAGCACTGGCATCTTTAATCCCTTTCGGACTCTGAGATAATCCCCTTCCAGCGATGACTTCGGTCCAATTCCAACCACCACCAGTACTAGTAGTAGTTTTCTTATTATTATCCGGCTCGCCGCGCCGCCTCCCGTCCTCGTCGTCGACGGCTTGTTCTTCGTAGTATTCTTCATCGCTGTCGCCCGCGCTATCCTCCCAGTAGCGCTCGTGCCAGGCATCGAGGTCTCCCGTGGCTGATTGCTGGGCCGCGCGGATGCTGCTGCTGCCTTTTCTAGGGGAGACGTTGCTGTTGCTGCTATTGCTGAGATGTCCGGGTTTGGACACGGGGTTTAGTGCCGGGACGGAGTCGAGAGCTTCGTGCGCTTCGGAGGCGGTTCGGCTGAGAGGTTTAGGGTGGCTGGGTTCGGTATCTTTGATTTCGTTACCGCCCGAGTCGGGGGCCTCGTTGTAATCTTTAGCGCGCTCCTCGTTCGTCTCGTCCGAGTCGGGCGTCGTGGCCGCGACGCTGTCGCTGAAGTGCGTGTCGCAGAGGTGCTTGACGACCGGCCATCCATAGGCGTTTGCGAACATGCGCCGGACGATCATGTTGTTGTGCGCGTCCGGCTCCAGCCGAACTAGCACTTTGCGCCATGAGAGCTCCCGGTGGTAAGCGCGAGCGATCTTCTCTTCTACTTTCATTGCTGAGCCATCGACGACTTCTCGAGGGTCTTTGTTGGGGTTCGTGTGCTTCGTATCGTCGTAGTCACGCGTGGAGAGGGAACTGCTGTGACGCGAGATACCGCTTTTAGGCGAAGAATCACCGGCTGTGTTAGGTGACGAGCGTTGCTTATGTGTGAGAGCGCTGGTGGATCGCTTCTTGAGAGGTGGCGGAGGGATATCTTCGGGGTGGTAGACACGATCATGGAATATCGTCCTGGGACGAGAAGCAGGATTGGTTAAAAACTCAACAGACGGCAAGGGGGGTTTAAGAATGTCGCCAGCAGATTCGAAGAAAGTCGTTTTAGGGGGCGCAGAGAGTCGATCGAAGTCTTCGTGGTCCGAGTCACCGCTGGTCGCTTTGGATCTCTCATTTGGGGGGTCTGAAGTGGATGCTGTTGATCCAGAGGGATCGCTACCACCCTTGATTGTCTGGCTGCGTTTGTAGATTTTCGTATGCTTCGGATGATCATTGTGTGGTTTGGGAGAAGGGCTAGGACGGAATAATCCAAAGAGACTCGCCAGAGGACTACTGGTACGAGTCGTTGGAGATGTCTTGGATGGACTATGGAGATCGCTGCCCTCGTCATCAGCAGACGAGGCAGCAGAATCTGGACGCCCATTTTTGAGAGCTCTCAAGCTTTTAGCATCATCATCACGGGTAGCAGTAGGAGGAGGCTGAGGCACATCACCTCCGTGTCCTTGCCGAGTTGGGGTATTGTCGTCTGTCTCTTCATCAGTGGACGCCAAGTCCGAGTAAGTGTACCTCATCGGCGAGGCCGAATTCTGGCCAGTGAGCTCAGCCCAACCCCATTCAGCCATCGTGCCCACCAAGCCATTCTCTCTTCTTGCTTTCTCCACACGGCCCAGTCCCCGCCAATCCAAAAACAGCAGACAACTCGTTCGCAGAGGTACGATTCCATCATTAACGACGTTGGAGTAGACTGTCCGGTTCCGAAATTTTTTCAGTACAGTATGAGCTGGCCCAGTAGGTAGAACTCGTAGAAGAGGTTTTGACTCTGGCTTTTCCTCATCCTCCGTCTTCTTGTGTGTGCCTTCACTAATACTACTGACAATAGCACCCCATCCACTTCGGGCGATCGTAGGTGCTCTCCAGGTCAGACCAAGGTCCTGGCCGGTACGACCAACCAACCCGAAATCAAGTGCAAACTTGACATACAGGGGATTTTCGTTACTCAAGCCTAAGAATGGTGAGGCGAGGGCGATAAAGTTTATCGGCTTGATGATATCGAAGAATTCAGGAGAATGTTTCTGGATGTATGCTATGGCGTAGGTTTGGATTAGACCACCGAGAGAGTGGCCAATGAAGCTGATGCTGGTAATCTTGTATGGCAATTCCTTGTCGTGATATGGCTCTTTCTCTATGGTGCTACGGTGATGGCTTGGAATACCCTCGTCAACTTCCTTCGGGTGGTCTGGCCTCATGGCATGAGAGAGGACCTGAGCGGCAGACTTCTTCGTAACCGGCAGATAAGGCTGGTCTGGGTATGTCATTCTCAAGATGTACTTTGCCATCCGCTTGCCGAGGTATTTGATGCCTCTTTCTGTTCGTACAGCATTCCCGGAGAAGCCCCTCACGATGACTTCCTCCTCATCTTCATCTATATCGGTATTGTCCTCCAGTTGCTCGGCCGGCGGTTTTGTATTCCCATCGTCTCCTTTTCGCTCGGCTCCGTCCTGATCATTGTGGCTGGTGGCATCGCCAGATGCCTTCTGGCGCTCCTCTTGCCTTCTCTTTGCTCTCCGCGCCCTCGCATCTATCTTCGCCTGTTTTGCTGCGGCGTCTATGTGCTCTTTCAAGTACAGCATGTCTGCTCCAAGATTACTATGTAATCCATGAGTCAATAACACCAGATGAACCTTTTTCTGCCTCCTCTGTCTCTTATTCTCTACCCCGTGTGTTTCTCCCGTGACACTTTCCACCGGCGCATCCTTATTGCCCTCTTCCACCCTCTCCTTCCCCTCATCATCCCACTGCGGCATCCTGGGGGTATTCCATAAACTGGCTGTATCATCCACCCTTAACCTGATCGCTTTAGAATATATCCCCTTCGGCAGCGCATTGTGATGTTTATCCTTCGCTCCCTGACTCTGCTGATGATCGCTGACCTGGCCCGGTGTTGGAGCCGCTCCGCCCACAGCCGCCAGGCCCAACGAGAGGCTCTTCTGATCCCTCGCCAGCAGGATCTCATAGTGCACCGCCGCCGACGTCGAGAAGATGACCTGCGACGTGACCTCAATGATCCAGCTCACGCTCTTCACGTTCCCGTCCTCCTCTGCTGCGCCCGCCGCTCGATGCGCCGGCGACGTGCCCGCCGTCTTCTGCACATCCTCGGGAACCAGCAGCTCGGTGGTGAAGGTCCCTCCGGCTTTGAGGTTGGGCTCGAATTCGGGAACCCCGTACCGCCGCGGGTGCTCGAATTTCTCGTCCGGGTTGAAGGTCGCTGGGTACGCGGCCGTGTACAGCGTGTACGGCCCATGCACAAAAGCAGCGCGCAGCGCGATCGCGGATGTGTTCTTGATCTTCAGATGCAGTCGCGCGGGAGATGGGAGGATGCGGTCGTGGGCCGGTGTGTAGGTCACGGTGTAGCGGACTACCTCTCCGATTTTGACGCTCCCGGCCTGGTACAGGAGCAGCATCTTGCTTTAGTCGGAGGGTTGGGCACCTGCGTATGCAAGCATGGGACAGAGGTGATTGTTTCGGGGTTCTTGTGTTTAGGCCATGGCGCACAAGTCTTATTTTCAAGATCTCTTATCAATCATAAGAGGTTGGCATTTGTCGTTGACGGTTGGCGGACAGATTCGGTATGTCGATCTGCAAGGCTGCACTCGAGCCGCTAGTAGTCAAAAATGACGACGTGTGGCTGTGCACTGTCAAAGCACTTTGTTTAAGATATGGGATATCTATGGACAATAGGTAGGTTCAGATCAGTATTCGTTATTCATAAGATACATATTCATTCATGACAGGGAATGGCACGGCACATTCAACCAGAGGTAAATATATGCAAAGGTTGCGAACCCGGGCCGCTCTGGCATGCACGTGACCACTGATAAGTTCCAGACGCCCCTATCCGGGAGCCTCACCGATCCGTATTTTCCCCTGACCCCCAGAATCCGTCCCAAGAAAAGTCATCAAAGCAAATATCTCTAGATTGCAAAATCACATCGACAAAACACCCTCTGCAGGTTCAACCCCAGGCTCAACGTGGGATCTCCAAGCAGAGACCCTATTGCTTCCCCTCCCCGCACCTCCAAGCCCAGCAAGAATCGATGGCCTGGGCTCCCCTGTCGTAGAAGCCGATCTTTGATGTACCCTTCCAAGAGGAGCATGCACAGCAGCCTCACTCTCGTAATCGTTTCTCGCCCTCCGTGGCACGACTCGTTCCGATGGTCGCGTCGATGCTGCAGAGTTGTACGCATGTTCCCTCATCGTATGCCTCCTCAACACCGGAGGTACGATTGGAAATCTATCGGCCATTCTTCGATGGTCTATCGGTGCGGGACCGCCTCGAGCTTGAGCAACGCCCATAACGTAGTTGGCAGCAGCCGTAGCTTGATCAATATGTCCAGTCAGGATATTATGAGCGGCCCGGACATAGTTCTGATTCATAAAGTGATCGGCACCGTTCCCGATGCCGTGGATATCGCCTATTCCCCCCTGATAGTCATCATTGGCATCCTCCTCCACCGTGATCATCTGCAGTCTGCGCGCTAGCTCTTCATCCGCGCGTTCTTGACGTCGACGTTGGATAACCTCGTCATTATAGTTGTTTGGCCGAGCCCGGCGTATGCGATATAGACGTTGTCCTTGCGCTTCTTGATTTGCAATTCGCATGTGGTTAAGGCGGTCTTGCTCGACGGTCTCATAATTGAACCATGGACAATTACAGGACTTCCATTTGAGACCGCAGATCATACAAAACTCAGCCGTACAGCGACTTTGCGATGTTAGCCAGATCTATGCTCAATATAAGTTTTGGAGAAACGTACCAGGTCATGTGGTTGCAGCCTTCCTTCAACTCAACCATTGCCCGGCAATTATAGCAACGTTGCCAGCCAGCCTGTTTTGCTGTTTCCAGAAGTCGATTTGTCTCCTCGTCCTTCGGGCAATCTTTGTTACCATGCCATTTACCGTTACAAATACAGCAGACCTTTGTCTTACAACGACTGCATTTACCATACTTTTTCCCATCTTCCTTATGAATATTTCCCGGCTTGATCCACTCGCCACAGCGTCGAGCCGGACAATAGATACGGTTTTTGGTGGAATACTCCTGAAATTTTCGGTTCCACGTTTTCTTGAAATTGACATCAAATAGCTTGTCCACGTGTTTAAGGGGTATATGGTCAGCGGTGCAACATTTAGGTGGCATATGCTGCGGGTCATTGATTGAAAGCTTGAAGATACGTCTTAAGCAAGAGTGGCACATTCGATGGCCACATTTCAGCTTCGCTGATTTAGATCTCGGTATATCATCTGATAAACATGTCAAGCATTCGACTCTAGAGACTTATTAGAACAGAGCAGATTTTCATGTTTTAGCCACTCACAGTCTTTCAGGTTCACGATGCTGTTGAGGCACAGGTCCAAAAAAGGTCCCGAGAAAACTAGCTCGTTTGTTGGTTGTATTTGCGCTAGCTGACGACGGGGCAGAGGCTTGTTTGGATGTCGATACATGTGTAGATGTCGTATTGTGCCTCTTAAGGCTGGATCTCTCCTCTGCAGGCAAGTCTTTTGTTGAGACGCTTCTGCAAAAGAGATCAGATTAGCTTGATATAGGAATCCAGCATTGAAGAGCATACCTTCTTGGTGGTGATACAGGCGTCGGTCCGACCACAGATTCTCGGTGAGACGGGCGGGCTCTACTCTTACGAACAGATTCCCCAGTGCGCCTCGGGCGAACTACTTCTGTATCGTCTCTACTCCGCCGCTCTTTGACTAAAGCTGGCCTGCCGTCTCCCTTGGTGACATATACGACCCTAGTCTTGCTCTTCCTCGGCTTGGCACTAGCATGATCGGACTGATTATCCTCATCATCCGACTCACTAGACTCGCCATCACGGCCTAGTTCTCTCGTTTCAGACACCGTGACGCGGGACGGCTGCGACGTGCCTTCTCTCGAGGTGCCATAAACGTATGTGACATCGTCCCTCGCCGTAGATTTCCTGCGTCTCCTCCGCCTCTCCTCCTCCTCCGGACTCCGATGCTGCTCCTTCCTCCTGCTATGCCTCGAAGACGATTTCGCACTCGAGAGCGTCGCCTGCGATTCCGAAGGCATTTTCGCGCTCGCGTCGGACGATGTGCGTGGCGGCGCGGCGTGCTCGAGTCTTTCTATTCGGATTCTGCGCAGCTCAGAAACATCGGGTTCGAGGCTGTGCTCTTCCTTGTCACGCGCTCGGCGATCGTGCTCCTGATCTAATTCGCTGTGCGACGTGGGATGCGGCGGCCTCATCCCTCCCGTTGGAAACCCGACAGCCTCAGATGGTTGGGCACGGAGCCAGAGGCGTGCAATCCAGACACGGGTAGAGGAGTCACCTATTCAGCGACGGACATCTGGTCGTGCGGGATAGGATGTTCCTTCCTGAGGCTGACTGAGGCTATTGGCGGTTCAGCGACAGCCCTGCATCATGCATCCCGCGCAGATAGGGCGAGCTCGACGATTTCAGAGGAGTTGCCAATTGGATATTCCAGAAGATGAGGCCCAACGTCGTAGGGCTCTCTTGGGCGCGGGATTACTGAGTTTAGGAATTGCTATAACCCAAGAAGTCTGGGGGAGCACGAGGGGAGATAAAACAGGGGGGCTGGTGAGCTAGGCGCTAAGGCCCGGCCCGGAGTATAGTTTCTCCACCTTATCGATTTGGCCATTGTCTGAAGCTTAGGTACCTACTCTGTCTGAGTCGATTCATAGGTGCCACCTTATTAGCCAATCAGTCAATAAAGGTGAAGCTCTCCAAGTGGGTGTAGACTAATTCAGTCAGTAAGTATGGTCAGTCCAGGAGCGGTTCCGGACTATAATACCAAAATTTTGAAATATTCCACATAGTAGATGCATGTGACAGCCATGAGATATTCTCATTGAGCAGCAACCTTTTCATCCATCAGCCTTGCCATCTCGGCCTCCTCATCCTCCACCTCAGCCGCACCACCGCTGCCCAAAGCCGTCCCCATCTTCTCCATTTCCCCCCTGATATCCGCCCTGGTAATCATAGCCTTCCCCTCCCCCCACCTCTCCATCTCCCTCCTCACCACCCCCTCCAAACTCCCCATCGCCACCGCCAGGAACCCCAGCTCCTCCCTCTCGCAATCAAACACCTCCCACCATTCCACATCCGGCAGCTTGACCCCCTTATCTCGAGCCGCGAGGTACACCGCCGTCGTCGCCAGCGCACATGGTTGGTGCGTCAGGTACAGCATCTGGGGACTCAGCAGCGCCGTGTTGAGATACTCGATTGCGCGCTTGCCGACCTCCGTGCCTGCACTCTTGCCCTTCTGGCTCCGCGACGCGGCGAACACGTCTAGGGCTTGCAGATAGGTTATTGCGAGAGGGTGAGGCAGTGCGACATGCGTGTTGAAGCCGAGGGCATTGAGCAACTGTCCTTCAATGTGTAGCAGGCGGTTGCGATTGGTGATGTAGGTGGATTCGGAGAGGTAGTAGGATTCTGGATCAGGGGGAGGGTTGCTGTTGGGGGTGGAGAGAGAGGAATTTGGCGAAGTCAGGTAGGCGTAGACATTGGTTATGCTGCGGAGAGAACGGGGGGAGGCGGAGATCTTGGCAGTCATGTATATCGTAGCTGCGGACAGCTCCTAGAAAAATGTTAGCTTGATTACAGCCATTGCCATAACTGTCAAGGAACAGGCTATGAGGAGTTGTGTGCATACGCTGAATTCATGTTGCATCAAGCCATCCACCAGCCAATACCTGAAGAGTAAGACATTTGCTTGAGCTGTTACATCTTGAGGAAGCCTCAAGAGGACGCCCGCAGCTTGCGTAAGTCGAGCAGTGAAAAATAGGATGCTATCCTGAAGCTCAGCCGGCAGATCATTGACTGATGCTTTTTTGTACAGCTGTTCTGCTGTTGCGAGAGGGTTGGAAAGGTGTGACATGGCTTTTGTTTGGAAAGAGTCTGTGTTCAGGCTGATGTCAACCGATCTGGAGATAGTTTTACTGGTAGCCTCGTGCGCAAGGCAACAATTTCTCGACGGCTCCCTTTCTCAGCTAACATCTTGTTTGGGCTATGCGCCACACCTTATAATGACCACAAGCCTTGAAATCACATCTTACTCATCATGGCTCCTCAGAAAATAGCAAGTTGTCTTATGGTCACATTCTTGGACTGAAAATGATTTTAAGACCCCATATTTCGCTACGCAGTATGTAGAGCGGTTAGGATCTTCGAGGGTATATCAGCAGCATATAGATCCCTGTAGTAGTAGTACAATTGTTTTACAGTTGCAATCAAGCCCTTTCTGTGTCCTTGAATGAATCCAGTGCAAATAGACGTCGTCCTAAACGCCCCGAGATGGAGAAGGCCGACCTCCCTAGTACCGGATCTTGATCCATCTTAATAACGCCAGTCATCCCGTGAGCCTCTCCTATCACCTCTGTCGCCCCTGAAATTGGGATCACCTCTGTAACTATCATAAGCTCCGCCCCATCCTCCCCTGCTATGAAAGCCCCCACGACTACCACCTCCACGACCAGGGCCTCGGTAGCCTCGTGGAGGTCGAATCCCTGGAAAGATCTCTGGGCCCCGGTCCACTAGCACATCCCCATCCTCAAACGTGTATCGATTGATTTCTCCAGTAACTCTGTCAGCTGCATCCTTTGCAGTCGCATAGTCAATTGCGTCAAGGCGCTTGTCCGCCAGAGAATTTGGTACCGGTTGCCAATATAAGAGTGGTTTTGCAGTAGTAGACCTGAACAGCTGATCCAGAGTCGAGAGACTAGTGGAGGGGTTTGTATCACGGAATGTAGGTTCACGAGACATAGAACGAGGGCGTCTTGGTGGCCCATCAAGCTCACGGGACAGTGGTTCTGACGGTCTAGGTGGACCCGGATTGGAGGGCTGCCTAATAATTGGCTGATTATTGGCTTCTTCAAGGGTGGCTTCGATAGGTCGGTCCTCATCCACATTATGGTAGACAACCTCCCATTTCTTTGCCATCGAACGACCGCCAACGCTGGTGGATTGTTCTTGGTAGATCCAATCATCAATCTTGTCTGGCGGAATGAAATCTACCCAAAGAGGCTTGCGGTTTCGTTCCTCGGGCCAGATGCTACCATGAAGTGCTGATCGAACACGAGCTGCTGCGGACACATTCTTGAATAGAACGAACGCATGGGTTCGGATTGGATCAATATAAAAGCTGACCACCAAATCCGGATCCACATCATGGCCACTAGGTGTAGCTAGAGCAGCAAGGTGTAATTTGAGTTGTGGAGTGTTGAGGGGGCGCATAAAATCGCGAATATAAAGAGCTGAGGTTGCAGGATGAATTGCTGGTTCAACAACACGATCTGGCTGATCCCCAGCCTCGTAACCCGAATCGCGGGGGATAGACTCTTCCAAGGATGATACCACTTGTGAGGCTGCAAATAATCCCTTGAATCTGGAGTCGCGTTGGCGAACAGGTGATCCTTCACTCTCATCCTGTGTTGACAATCTTTTGCCCGCTTCTGCAACATTCTCTCTCACAACGTCTTCTTCCCTGACATCGATAGTTGCAGGGCCCGGCTCAACACCTCCATTTTCTTGAGCAACCCCTGTAGATGCAGCATTATCATCCGCTTCATCTACCGCATTGTGTTTCTCAGTCCAAGCAGAGTCGCTCTGTGTAGTCACTAACTTGTCCTCTGATTCCTCTGTTTCCTCGTTCGCCCGAAGCCGTTTTCGTGCAGTATCTGCTGCGGAAACTGGGGGCGTCTCCGATCTTCTCTTTCGCTTCTGTCTATCTTCAAGAGCCTCTTGTGGTTCAACAGAAGACAGCGTGGATTCGTGGTCACCAGGTTGCGCAGGAGGCTGTGAGGATTCGGTCGCGTTCGTAGGTTCAGTAGGCAAGGTTTTAGTCTGTGTTTCGACAGCTAAGGATTCGGTAGAGCCATCTTGAGGTGCGACATCTTCGTCGACGGACTCGGGTGGTGGGTCTGAGGTTGTATGAGGAGCGTCGGCATGGGGTTCAGTGGTCAAGTCGGTCGATAGTTGAGTTGGCGATATAGTGTCTGGGGACGTCGTCGATCCAGCGACGTCAAGCTTGAGCGCATCTCCCTGGACGGTCGCCTCGCTCTCCGATGACCCATCATCCACAGCAGCGGCAAGGCGAGCGACAAGCTGCGGCTTGAGACCAGTATAAGCAAGGCCTCGTTTCTTGAGCTCAGCTCGCAGGTCTACGACCTTTAATTTATTCCAGTCAGTCATGTTGCGTTGTTGAGGAGCAGATCACTCGATTGCACATCATCGGAAGGAATGTTGCGACGACGCTGGCGTGAGTTGGCGGGGGGGTGAGATGTAGGAGCAATTGACTTTTGAGGAATGTTTGCTTCACTTTCGGGTCTCATCACAACGCGTCACGTCAGAGAGCACAGATGCGGCCTGAGATGTGAGGCTTGCATATCAAATCCAGGCAGTTACGGGGGAGCATGGTCACGTGATGCACTACATGGCGTACCTTGCCTTACCTCACGCCGTACCTTACTTTGATCTACTTTACCTTCAGTTCTCGGTACAGTACAAGAAGGTAGGTAGGTAGCAAAGTACTCCATGGACCTACTCCACTGTCACTAAGCCTTCAAACAAATGGTTGTCTGATCGTCAGTGACTCTGTCGGTCGTATTGTCCCCTAACCCATCCTGTGATTTCATGCCAACTGACATCTAGATCTTGCTATGGCCTGTCACCTCTCTTTTTGAACTCTACCGCCGCTCCCATCTTGCGGGGCACTTACTTGTATAGGGCTATCGGGTAATGCATTGTTTTGCCTATATTAAAGTTGAAGAAAAGGAGTTATACTCACGCGTGTTATATATGTATAAGAGAAGCTATTATTGATCTCAGTCAAACTCTCTTGATAACTTTACCCTTGAGCGCGCTCGTATCGGCTGATTAAAGGGAGGAAGGTTTATGCACTCCTACATACCACTACTTTAGTTGCGACTTTAGAATTCTTCTTGAAGAAGAATACGATTGCCGTCTCATCCGAGTCTTCAAAATGCATAACCTTGGCTCGAGCCTTCAAGAAGCATACGATGATCATTTGCTATGTAAAGTACCTTAGGCAGGTAGTCTATCTCCATTAGCCTTTTGGGAATCGACATTATTTTAGCTTCCTGTCCTTCGGGACCTTTGAAGACAGGCTTGGCTTTCTGCCGCCCATGGCTGGTTTACTTACCTTGGATTTCTCTGTTTGCTCCCTGGTGAAGTCAATATATGGGTTTCCAAATTTGTACGCTGTTAATGTGGGAAGTTCATCGAGCAGAATTTGATGCCCCTCTGGAGCTCATACAGAGCCTCCGGCAGCTTTGAGCCTTTGACGGATATGCGGTATCGACGCACCCGATTCCATGAAGTAAGACATGACTTATGGTTAGACCCCCCCCTAAATGCTCTCCGTACAGCTTCTTTCTCGTCTAGGACCGAAGAGTGAAGAGTGAAGAGTAGGCGGCTGTATCAACTACCTTACGCCCGTAAGGTTTCCGGCCCAATTCAGCGCGGGGTTATGTTTAGAAACCAATCCCCTCCGAAAGCGAACAGGAGGTAGTTCAGATAATCAAATAAAGGACCGAACTAAGCAGAGGGGGTTCTAGAGAGGATAACGTTTCAAGGATCGTAGATTCATAGGATCTTTCGGGTCAGCGCCTCGTGGATGATCATGATCGTCAGCGAAGGATCAAGCCGCATGTTCGTCAGGGACGGGACGAAGCCTCGAAGGCTAAGAAGCAATCAGATAAGGTAATCAGTTTGTGATGAGCCGGACTCTTGCGCAGTCCAGGTATATTCTCCTCGCCTACAAGTACAAGCCACGGCGTCTCAACCGGGACAACCCCGGCTGCATGCGAAACGCGCGGGCCAGGCACAACACGGGCCAGGCACGGACGGGCCCATTGGATTCTGGGATCATGGGGTCATGCCTCAGGCGTCTACAGCCTACAACGTACATTTACTCCGTCCTGGACTTCGCACCCATCCCCGTCTCCCTTGCTTCGACAACGTCTCCCAATTGCTCGTATGGATTTCCTCTCCGGAGCCTGGAGGGCAAGCCCCTCCGAGATTAGATCTTCTGCCCGCCCCTTGCTGCTCCAGTCTGCAGTGACAGCCAGGGGAACTACCGAGCCAGGGTAGCAAAAGGGCCGTCCATGGCCCACGTCCCCGTCTACGCTGTACGGTCCGGTATCATACGTTACTAACCCATCCTACGTTACTTCCAGGATCTCTCTGCGCTCTGAGCCAACTTTCACGCCATGCACTTCTCCGTTTCTTCTACGCGGCAGCAGTCCTCGAGCCATTCACAAACACAGCGCTTCCCCCAGTTGGGCTCAATACCCTGGGCGGTAGTCAGGGGAGCACCCATGCCATGATGCCGCCGTGAAAGCTCCGTAGGTACACTTCAGTCCTGGATACAGTAGTTCTGTATTGGGCTCGCTGCGCGGAAGAACTCCATCCGTATTCCATTCGTTCTGGACTTCCGAGTTCCCGTTCTCTCTACTCTCGTTATCTCTTCTTCCAAGTACTTAAGCCCCGCGGGTCCCCTCTATTTCTCTCTGTCTTGCTTCTGCACTGGGAGATGCATTTCAGGTAGCCACGCGCCTGTAAAATCTTCTCACCATGCGTCATTCACTTTTGGCAGGCCTTGTGGCCATTGCCGCTCCTGCTAGCGCCTGGCTTCCAGGTGTGCACAAGGATATCTACGCCCGCGATGGTTCGAACCTGTTCAACACCTCGGCCGTTCCCTCCGGCGACAGCTCGAAGCGCTGGCTCCCAGCGTCCGGCAAGATTCGAGGTGTGAATATGGGCTCCTTGTTCGTCTTCGAACCTTGGCTGGCGGAAACAGAATGGCAGAATATGGGATGTGGGGCTTATCAGTCCGAATTTGACTGTGTCTCTGGGCTCGGCCAATCCGCAGCAAACGCTGCCTTCCAGAAGCACTGGGGCAGCTGGATCACCAAGGACGACATTACACAAATGCAGAGCTATGGCCTGAACGCCATCCGTATCCCAGTTGGGTACTGGATGGACGAGAGTATCGTGTACTCCGACAGCGAACACTTTCCCCAGGGCGGTCTCAGCTACCTCTCCCAGCTTTGCGGTTGGGCAAGTGATGCCGGGTTCTACATCATCATCGATATGCATGGAGCGCCGGGAGCCCAAGTTGCCAGTAACCCAGACACCGGACAGGTCAGTCCCAATTCCCTCATCTCAAATGCTAGCATTTCTGACAGTTATCTCGCAATAGTATGCTCCCAGCGCTGGATTCTACGTCGACTACCAGTACGATCGTGGAACCACATTCCTCGGCTGGCTTGCAAATCAAATCCACACTGACAACAACATGAGAAATGTTGGTATGATTGGCATAGTTAATGAGCCCGTACAGGGTTCATCAGATGATAGTACTCTGCTGTCATACTTCTATCCCAATGCCTACAACGTACGTATTCTCCAACCTCGAGATATGAAACCTGCTAACCGCAGAACAGGCCATCCGCAATGCGGAATCAGCCCTTGGCATTACCTCAAACAACTACCTACATGTCGAGCCTATGAACGAGTTGTGGGGTGCTGGAAACCCCAACCAGAACTTGAACAACCCTGTATTCATGGCATACGACGATCACCGATACCTGAAGTACGACAGCTCCGTAACCGTCTCCCAATCGGCATATCTTGAAAACTCCTGCACTGCCAACCGCAACAGCGACAATGAGACCCCTACCATTGTCGGAGAGTTCAGTCTCAGCCCTCCGACTGACGTGCAGGACGACTCGGACTGGGACACCAGCACCCAGCAGGCCTTCTACAAGCAGTGGTTTGCGGCCCAGGTTACGAACTACGAGTCCAACACTGCGGGCTGGGCCTTCTGGGCCTGGAAGGGTCAGCTCGGCGACTATCGCTGGTCTTACCAAGGTATGTCACCCTTTAAAATCTTGGGTCTGACAAAGAGCTAACGGGCATGCAGATGCCGTTTCTGCAGGTGTCATCCCCCAGAACATCAACGATGTCTATAATGAGAACGCTTGCAGTGGATACTAGAGCGCGCAGCACGCTAAGCCGATGCGCGATCTGATCAAGTGGAGGACGGTTATCTCTCAATCCCTCCGCCCATTATCTCTGTCTTGCAGTATAATTCCTCTCTCCGCGCAGGGATCACGCGGACAAGCTTTTTCCATGTATATAGTTCCGACGTAAATATTGCACAAACTCGAATCCAAATAATCAATCTATCCGATCATTTCCATCCTCCTCTTTTTCCAGCCACGTGCCTCCCCTGGCGCCAAGCCAAAAATTACCCGTTCCTGATCTCCCCTCCATGCGTACGTTCCTTTGACGTTATATATACGCCACATATCAAAAAATATGGGGACGGTAAGAAGGAATCCAGTACAGATGAAATAAGTCCCTGTAGAAAAGGCTCTGTTCTGTCAGAGCCATATTCTCTCCGCATCTGCGATTGCCGCCCATGGGAGCTGCACGACTTTCGACATTACCCTGTAATTGAACCTCGATAGAGCCTTGCTCAAGCCTCTCTAAAGCCATTTGAGGTCACGTTTGTGGGGTAGAAGTAAGGCCAGATCCAAAATTAACAGCGAAAACCCCCACCCCACGGGGAAGCTGGTCTCCATTGCGGGCTCACTTGACGTTATTAGCTAGCCTCGGACATTCCCCCTTTCACGATACTTTCTTCACTATCGTCTGGCGACAAGTGGGATGAGAGAGCGCCGATCGAGACGAGGATGTTGTGTGGTGCAATTAGGGGTTTTGGCCTCAGGACTCAAGCCTTTGCAGGGAAGAAGTGGGGTACGGATATTTCCGAGGTGGGGTCTTTCTATAAAGAAATTTGTCATTTTTTATCACAGATAGAGGTACCCGCTGCTGAATCATGACTTAGTCATTCCACCGACATGCCCTGCTTGAGCGGCGCGGCCGTCTCTCTTGCGAGCACGCCCTGCTACGAGCATGTCGCCTGTGTACGATGTACAATGAGTATGGCTTCCCCCACGCAGCCCAAGAGAAAAGAACGGCCATGTGATGCATGTGTAAGTCATTCCCCCGCAAAAGAGTCAGCCTTGACCTAGGGTTAACCCGGATCGTCCGAACAGAGGAAGCGGAAGAGTCGATGCGTCCTCGAGGATGATTCCCCCATCTGTGTCTTGTGCAAGTTCCATGGGCAAGAATGTACATTCCTACAGAACCCCCAATCGCGGAAAAGAAAACCTCCTCAAGATGGCAATGATACTTTGACTTCAAAAAGACGGTACATATCTAATCTGACAATATGTCCCATCACGTGCCATTTACTGATAAGTGCCACAGGCACTCGAACTCGTCCTCACGCCCTAATAGGAAGCCCACAGGGACTCAGGCACGCGTCATTAAAACCAGTAATGGTGTTGATGTGGAAGAGTATGATGATCTAGATGGTCCAAGCCTCTTGAAACGGACACTGGGTCTGCAGAACGCAAATCACAGCCAATACGTCGGGGCCACACGAGGTCTCGAGCCTGCATTATCTGGCCATATCTCACTCAATGGGAAGAACGAAGTCCAGCTTACTCACGGTGTACTCCGGCGGGTGAGCTCATCTGACGCCTTTCTCCTGCTACCTGATCCCGAAACCCAAGGGTACTTGGAAGAGCTGGATGATTTGGACGCTATTGAGGCCATTGTCAGCCCCCACGGCAAGGCTCTGACAGACCTGTACTTTCGGATTGTGTTTCCAAGTTTTCCAGTTGTCTACAAAGAGGCATATCTGGAGAAGTACAACCGCTCATACAGGGAATTTTCTCCGCCACTCTTAGCTGCCGTCTATCTTCTTGCTCTACAATATTGGACGTACGACGAGAACCTCAGTAAAGCGACTAAGCCAAATGTGCAAGAACTGGAGAAGTTGGCCCGAAAGTCCCTTGGTGACACCATTCACCGTCCCAAACTCTCGACCGTCCAGGCAGGGCTTCTGTTGTTGCAACACACGGATACCGACTCTGCTGAGTTAACCGCTCAACTAGTTAGCGTTGGCTACGGGCTTGGTTTACATCTCGATGCGTCGGATTGGGATATCCCTGACTGGGAGAAAAGCCTGCGGAAAAGACTCGGCTGGAGTCTATACATGCAAGACAAGTGGACCTCACTTGGAAGCGGCCGCCCTGCGTTGATTAATTCGTCGAATTGGGCACTTCAGCCTGTGATGAGTTACGACTTTCCAGAAACGCATGAAGACGATCAGGAAGGAAGCTCAGAGGTGGTAAAAGGGAGAATCCTGTTCAGTCAGATGATCTCATTATCTGAGATAGTGGCAGATATACTAGAGACCCTCTTTACGGTCAAGACTACGAAAGCGATTGCGAATGCCGGAGAGAATGGCCTGGCCATGATTTTGGAGAAAGCAAAGCCGGTTCAACTTAGGTTGAAGGAGTGGTTCGCTAACCTACCGGAGTGCTTATCGATGGAGGACACTCACATCATGAAGTTATCCTCTGTAGGATACCTCCGGCTTGCCTACATTGCGGCAGAAATCACTCTCCATCGTCGCATATTCCTTGCGTTGACTCCGTCTACGAATCCGCAGCTTCTGAAAATCTGCCGATCCGTAGCCCACGAACGCTTTATGTTTGCAATCGACTTCGTTCAATCTCTGAAACCACAACATCTATCAAGTTTCTGGTACTTTGCGTCGCCTCAAAACTTTGCCTTAATCGGTGTTTTCGGTGCTTTACTACTCTCGAAAGCATCCACTGTTGAGGAAGCCAATTTCTACAAGAACAAGCTTAGAGAGTACCGCTGGATTCTGAAAATAAATAGCGAGAACGGTGCTAGGTACATGAAACCAGCATTGGCTCTAGTTGACGCCAATATGGCACTTTTGGAGTCGACCCCTCGTCTAGCGATGCCAAGTCCGAACAATCCTTCGACGTATCAAAGCAATGACAACGAAAGTGCCGTAGCTGCTCAAGGGAATTCAGATGACTACGCCTTCTCAAGCAGTCATTTGTCAGTCAGTAGCGACTTTGCATTGCCAGGTCAATACTCGTTCGATGCACCATATTACTCAGATCAACACTCAATAGCAACTTCGCCGACGAGTTACCCACAGCCTTCCCAAGCACAGGTACAAGACTTCAATTTTGGAATTGGAGGGGAAGCCGGATCGTGGAACTTTTGACATTCATATCTCAATGGATGGCTCGATACCGGTTATTATTTGATGCGACAGACGAAGAACTTGCATCCACAATGATTCATAGCAAAGCATCATGGTATTTGCAGTTGTGTGACTGGAGAACTATGTGGAAATGGTATCTGTTGACTTGTATATCATTCATCGATGGATCAAAGCGGAGGTCCCCAGATATGCGTGGGAGGGTGGAGAGTTGATGTAACCGACGCCAGACCATTCGATGTCCTAGCTCCCGATACACCCCTCGACCTCACTCTAGACTGCGTTTCCAGCCAACTCGATTCACGCAGGCTGACTCAAGCGGTCATATTCTGAGTAGTGTTCATCACGCACAGTCTCTGTTACTGCCATTCCCCTGCTAAGTACAGCCAAGGGGGAGGGGTCGTCTAGTCATAAGCGGTCTTAAACAATACTGCTAGTGGTAGCGGTAACCATCTCTGACCAGAAGACTGTACACACGAGTATTCGAAAGGAAGCGGAAATGCGAGAGGGCTACTTGGAACCTCTTCCATAGTCCCATCAAGAAGCAAATTTTGATTATATGAAAGCGACGAGAACACAACTACGATGAAACTACGGGGTTTGGAAAGAAGCTTTCTTGATACATGTTGCGTTCCTCCAGCGAATGCTCGATATAGACTTCATCCAGGTATCAGAAGTCATCTCCGCGGCGGCAGTGAAGACCATCAACATTACATTCAAGTTTGACAGTTTTTCACTAATTCGAGCAAAGATACTCTATCGGGTACGTTTCAGATACAATTCGATGCTTTGAGACTCCCTTACTCACATTGATCTTCAATACAGGTGCAAGCCCAAGTTGGTCATGCAAAACGAGTCCTGGAAGAACAAATGGACATACCGTTAAGGTGTCAGCAACTATGCTACAAATGAGCCTTTAGGCCCTGCCATGGCGAATAACGATGATGTGGCGGTAATGATTGGGGCAGGCAAAGTAGGATATGTGCTTTGGAAAGTGGGAATCAAATGCTCTGACAATTGTCGCTATCAATATTGATGTTTTTGGATGAGACGAGATGATTTACAGCCAGCGATTGGTTTTGTCTCAAGAAAATCTTAATACATCACATGAAGGGTCCGCCAAAAGACGACAAGCCAACTCCGTACGGAGTAGGTGTATCAATCTGAATGTGGTCCTAAAAGGTCTGGAGTCTGGACCGATGTCTACCTATTAGGCAATGATTTCCGAGTCTAATTCAACTTCACCAGGGCTATAATCCAGATTTAGCATCAGAACACATATTTACTCCCTGCTTCTAACACAAGTTTCAGCACGTTATTTAGCATAGGCATCTATCTATCTGGTAGACCTTAGCCACATCAACTAATTCACAAGTGTCAGCCTCGTGGCGAGGCCAACGTTCACTTCCGCTGATGGGTTCAAACACCCCTGCAGGCCTTATCTGGCGACACTAACAAAAGAAAATCCTTCATACCTTTCCCACCTTTGGGCTTTACCTTTGCCTTCGGCGCGTCGGCGCCCGTCATTGCCATTATCGTGCCGCGCACGTGAGTGAGAGCCTCATTGCAGCAAAGAGTGGGTAGACATTGCTGGGCGGCCATGATCTGTCCTGTCATTCTTTCAATTGGTTCGTTGCCAAGAAGCCAGTGCTTCCTTTCTCCATAAAGCATCTCATTGAACTTTAAAGTTAAGACCTTCATTTGCGTTCCAAATTCCATCTATCATCTATCATTGTCTTCTTTCAAAGAATTGTCCATGGTACACGTTTACATTCGAGAAATCGCCGTCTAAATAGTGGCATTTCATCTGCCCGCCCACCTTTGAGGATTTCCGTCTCCTCCTTCAGTCAGGCCATTGAGAGCCATTGATAACTAGATCTCTTTTACTTCATCGGAGCTTCATATTTTCTTCGTTTTGCAACCTCCAGGTTTCTCAGCAATCATGGCGCCCTCACCCAAACTGTCCCTCTCGAACGCCCGGCCATATGCCTTCACGTTCCCGCCTGAAACAACGGCACTCATCATAATTGACATGCAGCGGGATTTTGTGCTCCCCAATGGCTTCGGGTACATCCAATGTGGAAACGACGAGATCCACTCCGCGGTCCGCACCATCGTACCTACGGTCCAAAAAGTGCTCGAAGTGTCTCGAGCTATGGGGTTACAGATCATCCATACTAGAGAAGGCCACAAGCCAGACTTGTCTGATCTATCCGCTGCGAAGAAATTGCGTCAGATTAGCCATCCGAATGGGCATCATACGATGGGTATTGGGGATCAGGGACCGATGGGCAGGCTGTTGGTGAGAGGTGAGTGGGGTCATGATATTATTGATGAGTTGAGGCCAGTGCCGGGTGAGGTTGTTATTGATAAGCCGGGGAAGGGAAGTTTCTGGGGAACGGGATTACATAGAGTGTTGCTTGCGAGGGGGATCACACATCTCTTGTTCACTGGTGTCACTACTGAGTAAGGATCCTTATATGCCCCTGGACATCTTCTCTGATTCTCGAACAGATGTTGTGTCACCACGACACTTCGAGAGTGCAATGATCGAGGCTTTGAATGCTGTATCCTGTCCGATTGCACAGGTGGCTTCGACCAACAGCAGGTGACTACGGCCATGGATACTATCTGTGGCCAAGACGGCCTTTTTGGTTACGTTGGCCACAGCTCCGACTTCCTTGAGCAAGCGTCAAAGTTCCAAGAACGTACACCACCGATAGCCCCTCCGGCATCATTCGACGATGCTTTGCCCTCTATCACCGAGCTTCAACAATTATACAAGAACAAACTTGCCGATCCACAAGTGGTGATCAATTCCGTTTTTGATCGCATCGAGAAGTATCAGAAGATCGATCCTGCAGTCTGGATATCGATTGAGTCTCGAGAAAAGGTACTCGAAGCCGCCAAAGCCCTCTCTGAAAAATACGCAGGGAAACCTTTACCTCCTCTCTTCGGGATCCCTTTCGCTTTGAAGGATAATATCGACATTAAAGGGGTCCGAACGACAGCAGCTTGTGAAGCCTACGCATACGTGGCCGAATCGACCGCACCAGCCGTCCAGCTCCTATTAGATGCCGGCGCACTCTATATTGGGAAGCTTAACATGGATCAACTCGCAACAGGCCTTTCAGGCTGCCGATCGCCGTATGGCACTCCGCACAGCGTCTACAGCGCTGAGCACATATCCGGCGGCTCCTCCTCAGGGACCGGCGTCTCCGTGGCCGCGGGGCTCGTCTCCTTCGCTCTGGGCACCGACACAGCAGGAAGTGGACGCGTCCCCGCAGCCTTCAACGGCATCGTCGGGTACAAGCCTACCAAAGGCACAATATCCGCGCGCGGCGTCGTCCCGGCTTGCAAAAGTCTCGACACGCTCTCCATCATGACCCCAACTCTCGCCGACGCCCGACAGGTCTGGTACATAATCGACCAACACGACGCACTCGACCCCTACGCCAAGCCACCCCAATCACTATCCCTCTGGACCATTGACTACCGCGGTCCCCTCACCAGCGGATTCCGCTTCGCGATCCCTCCTCCCTCCGCGCTCTCCATCTGCAGCCCCGCCTACCTCTCACTCTTCTCCGCCGCAGTCCAAAAACTGCGCTCCCTCGGCGGCGTCCTCGTCGAGGACATCGACTACGCGCCTTTCGAGCAAGCCGCCAACCTGCTCTACGACGCCTCCCTCGTCCACGAACGCATCGCTTGCATCGGCGCCTCCTTCCTATCCTCGCACCTCCCCTCCTTGCACCCCACCACGCGCGCCCTCTTCTCCGCCACGCTCTCCGCTCACGTACCCGCCTGGCAAGTATTCCACGACCAAGCCATCCAAGCGTCGTGCACACGGCTCGCCCAAAACACCTTCCTCCCTGGTAGCGCGGGGATCGACGTACTCGTCCTCCCCACCACACCCTGCCATCCCACGATCTCCGAGATGCAAGCAGAGCCCCTGAAATTAAACGCGCATATAGGCACTTTCACACACGCCGCGAACGTCGTAGATTTGTGCGCCGTCTCGGTGAATGCGGGATGGATCCAGGAGGAGCAGGACAGGGGAAAATTACCGTTTGGTGTTTCGTTTTTGGGGGGCAGTGGTATGGATGCGAAGATTTTGAGTATTGCGGGGGTGTTTGAGGATATGGTTAGGGAGGAGTTGGGGGGGAGATGATTGATTGATTTTTGGGGGGGGAAGGGGGGGGATGGGCAAATTGACATGACATGTCATGGCGTTTTTTGTGGGAGGATGGTTTGATCAGGTTATTCAACATACAACATACGCAATTCTCGCTTCCACATCTCACATCTATCTCCCTTTGTTTGTTTGTTTGTTTGTTAATCCTTGCATACCTATGTTTGCTGACCTAGCTAGCTATTCTTAAGATAATAATATCTGATAAGAAATGAGATGATGAAAGAAAGCAAACATTCTATTATATTCTATTTCCGGGATCTCAAGGGTCCGCAGCAAGGAAAACAAACATCATCATCATTGTTGCTTTAACCCAATTAATCTATCAATCTGTCAAGCAAGCAAGCATCATCAGATATACCTAGGTAAATCACGAGCTTGAGAACATAAGGTACCTAGGTACACAATATAGGCAAGGCCCTTCTAAATTTCATCATCATTACTTTCCCCATGCCAGTTATTTCACTTCTTCTTAATTTAATTAATTTAATTAATTTCTCTCAAGCATCCCTTCAAATATCTCTCTACCCGTTCCGTATCATTCAAATCCGCAATCGTGCCAATATACCCATCCGGTCTAACGACCGCAATCGCGCCCTTCTCTCGACTCACCCCATAAACCCTATACGCATCTTCCAATTCCGTGCCATTGTGAAAGCGCATCTCAGCTTCTGTTTTCACGACGCGAGGGAGTTCGGACCAGACGAATGTGTTTTGCGGAAGGGGGTGCAGGATGACGAGCTCGATCATTCCCGGGGGGAAAAGGGGGATGATGCTGGAGATTGCGTTTAGTGAGGTGGAGGAGCTGCCGGATGGTGAGAGGAGATCGGTGGTTGTGAAGTGGAGAATGCGGAAACGCCCGGTTGAGGGGAAGTCTGGATGGTTTGGGTTAGTAAAGGAGGCCTGAAGAGGAGAGGAGAGAACGACGTACCATCTTGGAGATCTCTTCTGTTACCATCGGCGTGTCGTTTGACCTTCACATTCAGCAATCGCCGTCCTGGCCGTAAAACACCTTGTAGATAATCGTTTCCCTCGATAATACCATCCCGGGTCGTCTGTTCAACCAAAACGTTGTCAGGGTATTCGATACCGCATCCACTTGTGAATCCATTGCCGGTGCTGAATACCTCGAGGAACTGTTCGTGAGTGAGGCCTTCTTTGCCGTCTTCGGTGCCGATTTTGCCTGAGAACATGTAAGAGAACTCCTTGTCGAAGGCGATGAGTTGTTGGGCTATAGTAGACCGTTCAGTCTGATATGTATCCAGGATATGGTCAACAGCTCCTGCAGGATGTGGTGTGAGTCCGTTGATGGAATGTATCAATTTCCAAGATAGGTTGTAGGAGTCCATCATTGATACGTTCATGCCCTGACCAGCTTTGGGGCTGTGGGTATGGCATGCTTCAAGGTGGTTAGCAACGTTGCATAGAAGTACGCGGCATCAATGGACCACTCACCATCTCCAACAATGAATACGCGGTTGATGCCTTTGGAATCCTTCTTGACGAACTGCTTAGATGCTCGTTGCCCAATCTGGTATGCAGCCCACCAGTCGACCGCATCATCTCTCCTAGGCCGGATTTTGTATGGTTTGAAGACCTCCTGAGCCTGTGCAAATATGCTCTCCATAGTGATTTTCTCCCTTCTAGCCTTGGCACGAGTCTTGTTCTCCCCTTCGATACCTTCCTCGGCCGCTATATCACTGTCTGGCTTGACTTCATCTTGAACATGAACATACAGCCTCGTCAAATATTCGCCCGTAGCAATCCTCTCCCTAGGTATGACCATCACGCTCCCGTTATCTGAATGAATTGCACACCGCCTTCTGATATCTGGGAAGTCGGTTTCGGCAACGAAATCCACGACTCCCCAGATGAAATCAGACGTCTCTCCCTCTAGCTTCAGGTCCATTGATCTCCGCACCAAGGAATGTGCTCCATCAGCTCCGACGAGATGTTTGGTTCGAACCGTTCGCACACCTGAGGGCCCTTCGATTTCGGCGACAACGGGAAATTCTGCATCCCCCTCTTCGTCGATATGGACCTTCGTAACGCGAGTCGAGCGTTGAACGCCGCGAGTCGAGTATCGCTTGAGATCATCTTCGAGAATGCGCTCAATGCGCCCCTGGTGGATGGTAACTTCATGGGGATATCTAGCCGGTACAGCCACGTCCCGGACTATGGAGGTTCGCTCGATGCCTCCACTGGCACCGTCTGCCTTGCTACTACTAGGATTCCAGAAAGCAACCTCCCACATCTGACAGCCTTCTGTGAGGATCTCTTCTAGAAGGCCCATGCTCTTCAAGATTTCCAGTGTGCGCGGCTGCAGCCCATCTGCTTGGCCGGATTTCAACGAGGTAGGTTTCGCATCGACGCATAGGAGGGAGGAATCGCTCAGGCCGTATCGAGCCAGGAGAACCTCGAGAAAGAGGCCTGCGGGCCCAGCCTAGAAAGGAGTCAGCAAAGCAATGATTTGAAAAGAACTGGCACACCTACACCTGCGATAACAACTTCATACTTCTCTTGCGAACCTTCTGGCTTGAACTTTGGACTCAGACGCGGTACAGGAGGCGCGAAAGACGGGAGGACGCGCAAATCGCGAGAAGAGGTCGAGTATTCAGTGAAAACAGGCATTTTTGAAGCCCTTGGACAAGACTCCTAAGAATTGAGCAAAAGAAAACACTGGTCTTTGCTCTGTCTTTGAGGAACGAGGAAAGGGAATGTCCCTCCAGCAAATACTCGACGCCCTCCAGGTCCAGCCATCTCCACACTCCACTCGCCGTCGCGCCAAAAACCGAAGATCGTGAAGTCTGGTGGGGTGGAGGGCATCAGTCATGATTACAGGTTGATGAATGATCAGTTAGAAATCTGCCGGTGTTACACCCGTAGATACGGTATTATTCGGTTCTAGCGCAGGTATACCGCCTTTATCCAGGCACAGGGCCACAGTACGGGGTCATAATCAGGGTAAATATTTCCGTATACCCCGTATAACATGATTTAACATTTTACCCCTTCCTCCTCCGTATTATCTACCCGAGAGAACCCCGCGTTTGCCCTGCCCCACCGCACTACTGGAACACAATAATCGAGACCGACTGACTTCTTATCCCCCCATCTTCATCTTTCATGCCATTATTCCATTCCAATCCTTCTTTCAATATGATGGTAACAATGTAACAATACTTCCGAATGCCAAGTGGCTATTCTGTAACAAAGCCACTTTCATCTCGTGCGGATTTGATTTCCTTTCCTCCAAGGGGAATCTGGCACGCTGATTCCCCGCTTCCGCCAGTCGCTTGAATATCCCGTCCTAGAAATCTGGACATCATGATATCAGCCTACCTCGTTGCGTTTGTAGAGCTCCTCTGTTATTTCCACTGGAAGATGGGGTTCTATTTCTCCTCTCTGCTGGTCTATTTACATGTGTCCTGGAGTGCCTGCCTTACTCCATCTATCATGTGTCGTAGCCGTAACAGCTGCCCCTCCTTCAAGAAAAGACCAGCGCCCTCGCTAGTATAAAAACAAAGCAAAATATGACGCGATAGAGCAAAAGTGTAGTAAAGCAAATGTAAAGGTGTCAGGCCGAACATAGAGAGGTCGTTAGAAGCGAAATTGATTAAAAGGTAGAGTAGAAAGTAGGCAGTAGTGCTGAACGAAATGAAACGTCCTGTAGACGTAGGTAAGGCTGTAGACGTAGGTAAGGCCTGACCACAACCTAGCCTTAGACTATTCGGACAAGTCCATTTCTAACGTGTGTTGCGAATATAGGGATCCGAAGTCATCGTTGTCCTTATCTGCGTAAGTCTATCGGCTCCCTCTGATAACCTTGCCGTTGTCGGCTTAGTGATTGTTTTGCTAACTTGTAGCTGCTCCCTTCCTGTGTGTCATTGACTAAAAGACAGGCTTGACTTTCCCTAGGAGATTCATTCGTAGTGAAGTAAACGTAGTCGCGTCTACAAACTAGCTTAGTGTAGAGAATTCCTCTTCTATTTCGTTCTGTTTGTATCGCTTTAAGAGGTCCGGCAGCTTGAATCTTGACTATACTTCGCTACGGTTAAGCTCCCGTAACACATTGTCGCCCACGGCTCTTCCTTTATAGTCCTCAATTTCTTGGCACATCGCCCGTATCTTTGCCTTTAACACCTCCTTTGAGTCGCTATGAATGCACGTTATATATCAGTCTGTGGCCCTCGCGGATCCCATCTGTACCGGGACAATATGGAGAATCACCAGCCCGTCGTTGCAACCCCGATAGGCACCGCGCTCCACTTCCATGCAATGTGATGATAAAAGCAATAGCAATGACAGCTGTAGACACTCGGAAGAGAATTATGAAGCGGGAACGTAGCCCTCATACCTCATATACTCGTCGGCAATTTGACGAAGGTCATCCAAATTGAGATGGACGGCTGCAGCTGGGTTTTGACCAGCTGGGAGGGCAGAACCAAACAACTGCCCTTTTGTAATATAGATGTTCTGCGAGGCAGCAATTGGTGCAGGCGGAAAGGGGAAAATTGTCTATAATAGTGATGTTAGTTGTCAGAAATTGATATTAGCAGCTTAGCAACTTACCTGCTGTTGTAGACGCCGTACATTCCCAAAGTGATCTAGGTCAAAGACTTCGATATCTCCCTTCACTTGCCCTGCTGAGCTCTTGCTCCATTTCAATATCATGACAACTTGTACGGATCCGGCACCACCAGTAAGCCATAAGTCCCGATCATGGTACAGTTCTGGAAGGCTCTCGCTCCAACCACTTTCGACAACTAATGTTGGAAGAAGCATCCCTGCTGGTCTAATACATTGGTCAGGCTCTTTGCGCGATGAGGCATATGGCGGCCGAAAAGATTCGAATCCTAGTATTTAATTAGCATCATAGTGGGCGACTCACTCAAACAGAAGCACCACAGGAACACTTACTGGTACTACTTAGAATGCGAAGACTCTTTCGCTCTTGTCGCGTTAAATGTCCACTGTCTAAGATAGAGTTGATCAGCCAAGGCTGATGGCTATCATGGATCTGAGATGGCATCAGAACCAGTTTAAGGGTTTTCAGTAGCGAATTGTATCCGAGCCTACTCATTTTGACAATTAACATCAGTCAGGACTTTACGGTTTAGATCAAACTGCATACCTCAGTGCTGTATCCTCCTTCCGACGATCGAGCTCGTCGATAACTGCGTGAGCTGTCTTGATGTCTACATCTTTGTAGACTAGAACACGCTCCTCTGTAACAGTGGAAAATTCATGCCATATCTGATCGATCAGCGAGGATGGAGAGCCATCCTTGTTGCCCTCGTAGAGCGCAGACTTTAACTCTTGTTGAGCTGAGTCGCGGTCAAAGGACTTAGGACCAACAGCCTCTTCGGTAGACATGGTTAAGGATGAGATCTTGAGGAAGGAGAGCTTCAGAGAATGATAAAGAGGAAAGGCATAATAACTAGATACCTGCCATGTGTCCCTCGCTTATATCATGTATATAGTGACGTCTGGTAGCTTGATCAATCCACAGAATTAACATAACGGTCAAGGCTTACCTTAGGTACCTCCTTACCTTGTCGGCGTGGTGGCAGCCTCGTCACCTGATCCTGTCACTCATCAAGCAATTCTCCGACTGACCAATCAGTGAACGCCTCGGATCTTATATGATCCGGACAAAAGTGCGCTTGTCCCCGACTCCCCGTGTGCAAACATAGCAGGGCTTACCTAAGGTAAGTGGACACACGATCAAGACAGAACGCGTGAGAGAACGCGTGAAAACGCGTCTCCCCCCTTTCACCATTCTTCCCACCACCTCCAAGATGCCAGCCTCCCAGACACCGAGAGCCAGCAAAGTGTGCAAAAGTGCAACTCCAATAGCATGGCGGGTACAGTAGTGGCATTGGCGATCCGAGGGTCGGTGTGGAATTGCGCGCAGGCAAACACGCCAATGAGCAGGGAGCAATCGGCGGCTGATAAGTTTTCCTACCATGGCAACAAACGAACGAACGGACTACCGCCCCGGCACTGGGAAAGATACTACAACGGGTTTAGACACAATGCTCTCCTTGCCACGAGGGGGCTGGCCGCTGGTATCAGAGTCTGGGTTTTGGTTCTTTTGTTCTTTTGTCCCTTTTCATTGGCTGCCGTGTCAAAATCCTACGGAGTCTTCATCGCGGTAAGGTGGTGTAGGCTAGGGCTCCAGAGTGACGCGACCCTGGATGGTGTCTCTCTCCACCCCTCCAGCCGCCTACTCCGTATCAGAGGAACACCGAAATATCATTGTTCTCTCCCTTCCTCTTCCTCGTCTCGGAGGGGGAAATATCATCTTTCTTTTGGCGTGTTTATCTATCTACATAGCAGCATCAGCATCATCACCGTCAAATCTCCTAAGTATCTGTGCCTGCAGCAGTTTCTCTTACAGTGTCACATCCAATATCAACCCGCGTTTGGAATACTTACTCCGTGTTTCCGTGTGAACGAACTACTCCGTCCAGCTTCTAATACAAATACACAATACACTCTTCGATTTCTTCGACGGCAGTTCTTCACAACGCTCTAGAGAGCCAATTGCGATTCCCACGCGAGAGAGAGGAGGATTGTGCACCTCCCCTTCTCCATACCGTCAGATCAACTCCTAAAGCTTCCAATACCACACAAGATGGAATTGTCAGCAAACGCCCAGCGGGCGCTGGACCAGGTGAAGATGGTAGGCCGCAGCCCCCCGCCTTCTCCAAGACCTCTGCTTCGTGTGCCATATACTTATGTGACTTGGATCGCAGGGTCTATATATGCTCTACGGAGCCGACTACTTCACCGAGGAAGAATGGATCAAGATTGACGGCTTGATTCATAAGGGGAAATATGTATTCACAAACGGACCACCGAGCAATATCCTCGAAGAGCCATTGATGACATTCGAAGAGAGCAAGGAGGAGACGGAATCCCAGGGGCAGGTTCAACCGGTCGAACCTTTAAAAGAGACCAAGGTGAACAACATAGTGGTGACCGAGGAGCAGGTCTCATCGCCCTCCTCAGAACAAGCCGATTCCATCGAGTCTCGTACGAGAAGTCCCAATGAGACGTCTGCGGAGACTTCAGATGAAGATTCCGGCTTGCCACCACCCCAAAAGGAAGAAACTCCTATGTTTGACTTTTCCGAGACAGCTACACCAGCTGCAGGCATACCAGCTGCAGACACATCAGCCGCAGATATACCAGCCGCGGATACACCAGCCGCGGATACACCAGCCAAAGTCGAAGCCCAACCAGAACCACGGCCAAGGACCGAGAATGGTCTTCCACCCGGCTGTACGCAAGAACAGCTTGATGAGATCAGGGCTTTCAATGCGACTCTGACCAAGGCCGGAAAGAAATCCCGACCCAAATACAAACCAGAGCCAGTTGAGGAGGAAGAGTATCCTCCCGCGTGGGGTGAAGATTTCACAGAACCACCTCCCGCGTGGCCTCAGGATTTCGCAGAACCAACCGTGGATGAGCAATCCTATGCATCACCCGCTCCAAACGAACGCGAGGCCCGCATCAGCTCATGGGCAAAAGAAGTGTCTGTAGGGCCTCAAAGCCCTCCGCTCCAGGCCCCCACTCCCAGCCGTGCCCCTCCACCGGCTCCGATTGTCGAAGTCCTCGCCGAGCAGTTCATCAAAGCCCATGGCCGGCCGCCCAAGGTTCTCAATGACTTTTACCAACCCAACAACCCCGAACACAACCCCAAACGCCCGGATTCCCGAGCATCTCTCAGGACCAGTAAGACCAGCAAATCCGCCAAATCCGTCGCCAAGTCTATCGTCGAACAGGCCTCTTCAACCAGTAATGGCAATCCCCCACCTTCCAAGCAGAGCATCGAACCCGGCAAAATCTACACTGCCCAAAGCAGCGTTGCTAAGAAGGGAATCCGTTTCGAAGTTCGTGCCGGTGATCATATCAAAGTGATCAAGTACGTATCTGGAATCATGTACATTGGCGAGAATCTGCGGTCGAAGGAGCGTGGACAGTTCCCCGAGACGATCTTCAAGAGAACTGCAGGTGCAACGAAGGGGGACTCGTTGATTGAGCGGCAGAGGTCGTTGGCTCAGGCCAGAGCAAATGCCCAGGCGGCTGCCGCTCCCACCAAGCATGGATTGGATGAGGTAGAGAACGTCAATGCTGCGGAGTGGGACGAGGAATCCATCATCCGCCCAAGGACGACTGCCCCGGTGGCTCCTTCCACCTCAAGTAAGGCGGCATTGGGCGGTGGGTTGGCTGCATCAAAATTCTCTGTCCTTGCGGACTCAGAGACTCAAAGTCAGAACTCAGATGCGCAACAGCGGGAGTTCACCCCCGAGATGGCCAGGGAATTCGGCAAGATCATTAATGACAAGGTTTGACTCACCTTATAACTTTCTAACAAAGCCCTACTCACGCATCACAGGTCGATGAGATCCTCAAAGCTCGCGGAGTGGCGCCCACTCCAATCCCCACCGGTCCACGTTCCCGCTCCCGTGCTCCTATCAAGGAACCATTGAAGCCAGTGCCACCCAAGACAGAAACCTGCTGGTATTTAACCCCCACCCCGACATCCCCGCCCATCCCCTCAATTAACTCTCCCCAGGTTCTGGTCCGTCAAGAATGACTGCCGCTTCACCGCCGAAGAATGCCGTGACCTGCACGCCCACGTGCCAAGTAAACCTGGCGAACCTAGCAACCTTCACATGGGCAAGCCCACCTGGGGCGCGCTCGCCGACTCCGTCCCCTCGCAGACCCCCTCGCAGACCCCCTCGCAGACCCCCTCGCGCACCTCCTTACTCAACCAGGTCAATTCCAAAGGCAAGACGTGTTACTACTGGGCCATCGACGGGAAGTGCACGTATAGCGCCGAGAACTGCAAATACCTGCACGAACACCACCCGAGCGGGATCGCGCCTAAGCCGGGCCGATCCTGGCGACGCGGCGCCTGGCGCAGAGCCAGCGTCAGCGCGAGCAAGCACGCCGATGCCAACGAGGCCGAGAGCCAGCTCGACGACAGCGATGCTGATGTCGACGGCGAGTTGGTGTTGGAAGAGGTGCAGGAGCAGGACACGGTGCTCGATGCGTGGGGTCAGCCGGTCGCGCAGAGCACGTGGGCAGGCAGTGCATGGGGAGATGACAAGTATAAACCTCCGCATGTCAAGGCGCTGGAGGAGAAGATGCTCAAGGAGGCTGTGGGATGGTAAAAGGGGCAGGGTCGAGCGAAGCGAAGGACGACGAACGAGCAGCACATCGCAAAGTGAGGAAATCCACACTTTCTTGCAAATCTGTCTCGAATCATCGAAAAGCGGAAAAAAAAGAAATTCTTCTCACGAAACATCAAACTCGGACAAACTCACAGTCCCATAACTCCAAACAAATACAAGAAAGAAATATGCACGAAACATAGCACGACGACGAAACCAGGAGATCGAGTCAAAAGTCTCCCTAAGACAGGATTCTAATATGATATGAATATAGTATTGCGTTGGGCTTTTAATTGGGGTCATTAGCTACCTAGCTTACTTACCGTACTGTATGGCGTGTGTGGTGGTGTGTGGTGGTGGTATTCTGTTCTGGTACTTAACCTACTCATGCTAGGCATAAAGTGGTGCGTGCGTGTATGTGCGTGTGTCTTGTCTTTCTTTCTCTCTTGGTACCCAGTTAGGGTGGGTATTCAATAGAGAAAGAATTTACTACTACCACCACTACCACCACCCACCACCACCATTACCACTATTACCACGATTACTATTACTCTTACTATCAACGGCGTCTTTTTGATGTATGAAAGGTAGTCGGGGCGCTACTTTTCATATTTTATATTTTTATAGGTATATAAGTACCTTAGGTAGTCGGGGGGCTTACCTATAGGTACCTATTTAGATAAGTTAGGTAGGCAGGCAGGCAGCGTCAGGGTACTCTACCTATTCAGGAGGCTAGAGGGGGGCCTCCTTTAGGGAGGGGGCTAAATGAAAATAAAAATAAAAATTATAAAAAAACGATAAATGACTAGATACCTATCTGGGTGTGATACATATGGCTACCTCCTAACTGTTTAACTACCAAATTCGCACTACAACTCCACCTCCTAATCCCTCCAATGCCAATGCCAAACGCCACGATACCGATACTGATACTTGATACTATACTATATGATACTATACTATACTATCCAACAGGCCGGGGTGTCCTGACTGGTTTATAGATACTTGCTGCGTAGCGCCTGGCTGATGGAGCTCATCCTGCTCGCCATGCCGCCTGCGGCTTGCATGTTACTAGCCAGTGCTTCTTCTAGGGCGCTTTGGGTGACTGATGCATCTGCGGACTTGCGTTAGCCCTTTGGATTTTCTTTTTGTTGATTCATAAATAGATAGATAGGTGTATGAGGAAAAGGATGAGGAAGGGGGGAGAGGAAGAGGAAGGGGGGAGAGGGAAGAGGGACATACCATCTAAATCACTAAAGCTACTCCCCATACTCGGACTGCTCTCGCTGCCCTCGCGACCCTTGCCCCTCATACCTGGACTACGCCCCGCCAAGGCCGCGCTCCGCGTCGGACTCAGTGGACTCGGGCCTCCTCGTCGCTGGCTGAAGGGAGGAGGCCCCGTCTTCTCGTCGGCTCTGGGGATCGCGGGGCTGGCGGAACTGGCGCTCGAGTCGCTGGTCTGGCTCACCTCTGCTGGTTTGCCGCGGGCTGGGATGCGCTCGCGGCGGGCGAGGTTGCGCGGGTCGCCGCGCAGCGTCGCTGAGGGATCGTGGGTCGATGTGGATGTGACGGGGAGGAAGGCGGGCTCTTCGTCTTCGTCGTCGTCGTCATCATCATCCTCTGCGTCGGGTGAGAGCCCGAGTTTTCCTTTGTGGGAGGAGGAGAACTTTTGCGGGCGGCGGAAGAGGCGCGATTGTGCGAGCGAGGAGGAGGAAGAAGAGTCGGAGTCGGAGCTTGAGGATGAAGAGGGCTCGGGTTGTGGGGAGCGCCGGGGTTGGGGTTGGGTTTCTATCTGGGAGGAGGGTTTGGATGGTTGGTGGAGCTGGGCTGCGGCTGCTGCGGCGGTGCGGGCTGTGACTGTGGTGGTTGCGGAGGAGTTGCGGGATATAGGTGGTGCTGGGGGTCGGCCGGAGGTGTTAGGGACAGGTGTCTCGTTTTTAGGTATGGGTGAGTCTCTGCGTGCTGAGAGAGAGGAGTACACTTGTGGACCTATTTGGCTGGTTAGACAGATCTTCAGGGTTTATGTTGACTGTGTCTTTGCTCACGGCCACCTCCTGATCCTGTCCTCCTCATCATTTCCCCTCCGGCGGACTCGGATGTACTGCCCGGGACTGGTGACGCCGCAGATGATTTTGACACGCCGACTTTCCTCATCTGCGCCCGGACTTGTAGGAGTTGTCGTTCGTAGAGCCATGCTGCTTGTTGAAGGAGGAATGCTAGGGAGACTTCGAATTTCGATGCTCTGCTTGCGTCAGCGCGGATGGGTACCTTATACTCGGGTTACTGACAGTTCGTTCCCTAGTTCCTTGTTAGCCAGAAACAACCCGAGGGATCGGTATACATACAATCTATATCACTGTTTTTGGAAGCTTTCGAGAGTATCTTCCACAGGGCCTTGTCCTTTGCAGCATCCCATTCCACCTAGCCAAGTTAGCCTGGTTCAAGAGCAGTAAAGGTAAGGCGCTTACTGAAGGGGGATCCACAAAGTCCCCTCGAGGAAATGGAAGTCTGACAATGACAGTATATGATGGATCCACCGACATCGTAGGTTTTGCGGACAGAAGTAGTTCAGTTTCGAGTGACGACGATGGTCTTCATCAGAGCTTCGGCGCTAAGATAAGATAAAGGTACCCCAGCTTGAAGCCTTGAACAGGGATAGGGAGACCCGGAATCACGTCTAAATCCCCATACTTTTGGCAATAAGTGTGAGACATCTTAGACAAAACCTGTAAATATAAGAGCTTTCCTGACTAGCAGTGAAATCTACGAAGAAAACAAATGCGGAGTCGAAAATCAGGGACTCATTAATGACTATATTGTAGCAAGCCATCTATCTGATTTCTGCAAATACAATTCGTTATTACAAAATGCCCATTCAGGGCTATATTACCATGATTCTAGGTCATTCTTAAATTCCGAGACTGTGCATTGGAATAAGTAATGCCAAATCCAACTTACTATTACCTCTTTGAAATTGGTTTGTCTCTGTACTCGTCACCACTATTTCAAGATGTCCATCGGCGAATTACGAAACAGGCAAACTTCTGTCTTACCTTAGGAATGATTTTGGTTTGCCCAAAGAGCAATCCAGCGACAACACAAGAGATTGATCAAGGGGAGGCAAAGGACGGTTTCAGAGGACCAGATTGTGATCAGAAAGAACTCTGGAGACTGGCGCCCCAAGCTAAGAGAAAGATATAGTGCAGAGCAAATCATGTGAAAAGGGAGGGGCGCCAACCACATGCTTCTTCCCCCGAATCATACGGGAGAGCCATGTCATACTCGCTGGAATTTTGGAATTAATGACCCGAATCTTGGAGGCTGGAGAGAAGCATTCATCGCTAAGGGAATTGGCCGAGCAATGAGACGGCTAGATTTGACCCGCAGGAAACTTTTCCATCAGGCTGTCTAAGAAGATATACAGTTTCGTTGGTTCAGTTGATTTTGAGAGGATGTATGGAAGAGATGTCAAAAACATGCCCTTCCACCTTACAGTACAACATCTAGCACGTGACTCAAACATCCGCGAAATCCCGCAAAGCTGATTGGTCGCTGGCGACGCCCTCAGAGCTCAGCCCGAATCCCCGAGGATCTCCGCTCTCTCCTGGCCCCATACCCACTTTTAGCTAGTCATTTTGGGACGCCCTTCTAGACTTGTGAAGCTTACAATACGCTGATGATAACTCTTGATGGACAATATTCTCCTCGCGGGAGATATGTTCTTCACCCTTGAAATTGCAACTTCTCTGTATTAACGCGCCATCGTCACAATGGCTTTCCGGAATCCCGTCCGTCAGCTCACGAGCAGGACCTCAACCATCTCCAAGCTCGCAGAGAGACCAACGACCTCGTGGTGGCAACGAAGCAGCGCTGAGCAACTGCGATCCTTTGCCACTCCAGTGCCTCCTGTAACTCAAGATGCTACGAGCTCGAAAGGGCCTACGGCCATGGTGTTTATGAACATGGGTGGGCCGTCAACTACCGATGAAGTTGAGGATTTCTTGAGCAGACTCTTCGTATGTCATTCGACCCCGCGTCTCTTACAAGGCTAATTGACCTTTTCCCACAGGCAGATGGTGATTTAATCCCTCTCGGAAGACTGCAGAACTATCTCGGGCCTCTCATCTCCAAGCGTCGAACTCCCAAGATCGTCAAGCAATATGCAGCGATTGGTGGTGGATCACCAATTCGAAAATGGTCAGAGTACCAAGCCGCAGAGATGTGCAAGCTCCTGGACAAAATGTCCCCAGAAACAGCACCACATAAGCCATACGTGGCTTTTAGATATGCGAATCCATTGACCGAAGAGATGTACCACAAATTGCTTGCGGACGGGTTTGGGAATGGGAAGGGAGGGAGAGCGGTTGCGTTTACACAGTATCCACAGTATTCCTGCTCAACGACTGGTAGTAGCTTGAACGAATTGTGGAAGTGGAGACAAAGGTTGGAGGGCAAGGCTGCAGGCGCTGGCAATATTGCTGGTGGTGGAAACGATGGGACTATCAGCTGGAGTGTGATCGATCGATGGCCTGTCCATCCAGGATTAGTCGATGCGATTGCCCTGAATATTGAGGATAAACTAGCTACATATCCAGAGGAGGCCAGGAAGGACGTTGTGTTGCTCTTTTCGGCACACAGCTTGCCCATGTCTGTGGTCAACAGAGGTAAGTCTTCTCCCTCGGAAAACCGACGCATAATAATAATTCGAATCAGGCGATCCATATCCCTCGGAGGTGGCAGCTACAGTCTATGCAGTTATGCAACGATTGAACTTCTCTAATCCATATCGATTGGTCTGGCAATCACAGGTCGGACCTAGCGCGTGGCTCGGTGCGCAAACCAGCGATACGGTTCAGAATTACATTCAGAAAGGCCAGAAGAACCTGATTCTTATCCCCGTGGCCTTCACATCAGATCACATCGAGACACTATACGAACTGGATGAAGAAGTCATTGGCGAGTCGGGTCACAAGGATACAGTCAAAAGAACCGAAAGTTTGAACGGTTCACCTGTTTTCATTCAGGCATTGGCGGATATTGCAAAGGCACATCTGGAAAGTGGAGAAGCTTGTAGCAAGCAGATGGGATTGAGATGTCCCGGCTGCAAAAGCGAGAGGTGCGCAGAGAGCAAGAAGTTCTTTGCTGGTCAGAAAACAGGGCAGACCTTTGCTGTCTAGTCTCAACGCAGATGGACGGGCATCTTGTATACCAGGCGGACTTTGCTACCATATGAATTAGTTCGGACTCAAGGTACGCTGCGGCGGACGCCGAGGAGGCGGAAAAAGGGTTTATGGCGGGGTGTATAATATTGTTTGGGAACGAGATTAAAATCAAAAGAAAAGAGAGTCAAAGCTGCGCGCACCTCTCATAATCAACCTTCTTAGAAATCCATACATACCGTACGAGGGCCCAAATACCATGGGCTACCTTATGTACAATAATCGTTCAATTTTGACCAAGCCAACGGTGCTTACTACCTTCCTTATGACGATAGCCAAGTAGACCAACCGCGATTATCATATCAAAAACGTCAATGACGCTACACGTTTTGACATGACTTATGTACCTGGCGTACAGTACCCCTGGCCTTGATACGCGACTCAATCAACAAGCCCAGCTGCACGCAGTTCCACGTTCCGTTCCTCACGCCAGCACACCATGGGCACTACGTATTGCAGCAGACTAGGTACTACGTATGTGTTCCGCCTACCTGTTTCGCACAGTCAGTTCCTGATAAGAAGTCGTCAACAAGTCAACAGGTCTTCCTCCTGAGGCCTCCTACCCCCACCCTCTCCCTTTCCTCTTACATTTTACATTTTACGATTGTCCTAATCTTATAATAAAACAATCTGCGTTAATACTGTTATATTTTGAGCTTGAGCTTGCATATTGATTTTGGACTTGGGGCAGTGCGACGACCAACAACCCCGATGCCACGGAGATAAGGACCTGACGACGTCAACATGGATACCGAGGCGGACGCTTTGCGCCAGCCCAACGACACACAAACGGGAGGGAAGAGTTGGGGGGCTCAGGACTCCCTACGGAGGAATGCGAGACTTGATATGGCCGCCGACGACAGCGAAGCCACTCCATTGCTGGGCAATGGGGGCAGTTCTGCCGGGAGCAGCGTGCATGAAACGGGAGGACAGGAGTGGGAGGGCGCTGCTGATTTCGAGGGATTGACTTGGTGGCATACCCCCTCTGTGAGTGATCCTCTGTCCTGGGCCGCGATCTCGATACTAATGCTTGTAGATGTGGTGGTTACTCCCCCCTTTCTTCATGTTCTCCCTCGCGGTCGGCGGTCTCATGGTCCCGAAACTTAATCTCATCCTCGCACTCGTATGCCGGAGATATCTGCAGGAGAGGGGTGTTACGGATCCCAATTTCATCTTTGCGCCGGTGCTGCTCGACTCCGATAATCCACAATGCCGAATCCCTGAGGTACAAGCGTTGGTCACCAAGTTCAATCTCTACCTGATGGTCATAGCTGGGATGTTGAGTGCAGTCATGGCCCCAAAGCTAGGCGCCTTGTCTGATCGGTATGGCCGCAAGAAGCTCCTCGCCGTGACCGGTGTTGGTCTTTTTGTCACAGAGGTGGCTACGATTTTGGCATACAAATTCCCAGACACCGTCCATTATAACTGGCTTCTCGCAGGCGCAGTCGTCGACGGTTTATGCGGCTCATTTACAGCTGGCATGGCAATCACACATGCCTATGCCTCCGATTGTACCCCTCCGCCAAAGAGAGCAGTCGCATTTGGATACTTCCATGCCTGTCTCTTCTCCGGTATAGCATTGGGACCTTTGATGGCGGCTTTCCTGGTCAAAGTAACCGGATCACTGATAACCATCTTCTACGTTGCACTTGCAATCTCCTCATCCTATTTCGTATTCGTCTTGTTCTTTATCCCGGAATCACTTGCCATGAAACGCCAACTAGCGGCTCGCGAGAAATTCGCAGCTGATGGCGACAACGTTATTTGGGATGGTTATACATGGTTATGGGCTCTCAGAAAGAGTAACTTTCTCGGACCCCTCAAGATCCTTTGGCCAACGGGATCCGGTTCATCTGGCCACCTCCGTGTCAACCTCGTCCTCCTAGCCGCCGTCGACACGACGGTATTCGGCGTGGCGATGGGCGCCGCGACAGTAGTCGTCTACTATACTGGTTACCGGTTCGGATGGGAGACTTCGGGGACCAGCGCATTCATATCGATAGTAAACGCCTGTCGGGTTTCCGGCCTCGTAATTATCCTCCCATTGCTAAACTACATCTTTCGCACCCGACGTGCTAACAGACAGCGTCGAGAATCGGGTTTTGCGGTGCCAGAGAGTAATTCTGGCTCGGATATCATCGATCTAAACATCATACGTGCGTCCATTCTCTTGGAGATGATTGGATACGCCGGTTACGCTCTTGCTGGGACTGGCCCGCTGTTCGTGGTATCTGGTATCATCGCTGCGTTTGGAGGCATCGCGAGTCCGACTCTGCAGAGCGCGTTGACGAAGCATGTGCCCCAGGATAGAGTGGGCCAGTTATTGGGTGCCACGGGTCTTTTACATGCCCTGGCGAGGATCATCTGTCCTACGATCTTCAACCTGATCTATGCGAGCACGGTGGGGACATTGCCGCAGACTGTCTTCGTGGCGTTGGCTTCATCGTTTCTTATTGCGTTTCTGGCGAGTTGGTTCATCAGACCGAACAGTAAGTCCTTGCCCCCTTGATCTGGAAGGAAACGACATACTAAGAATGTGATAGTCTACCTCGAGGAAACCAAGGGGACAGCAATCGACCCCAACCTCCCCTCAGCGGACCCTGCGAGAGACGTTCTAGTCGATGAAGAAATCGGTGGATATTGATCGTTTCCCTGTCCTGTCGCTTCCGACTCTCCTATTTCTCCTATTATATATAACCCCTTTCTTGAGGAAATGAATTGACATGTCAGCGTATACCGTATCGACACGTACGACTTTACCTTCGACGCTGTTAGGCATGATATTGTATGGAGAGACCTTGTACGATGATTACCTACCTATACACGAATGCTTAGATATAGACACCTTCATTAGATAATTATACCTTTAGAAGACATGCCTAAGGAATGGCTACTGCGTCTCTTCAGAGCCAATGAGTCTAGAACCATTGATAATTCACGATCCTTGATCCGCAGACCACGAACAAGAATAAAATCGATCAAAGTCCTGTTCCATTATCTCAAATCAGCACAGCCTCGTCGGCAGAAGGATCCCCGATTCCCCGAACGCGCAATCTATCGTGGCTGATGGCGCACTCTTATTGGCTGCTGATCCGCGGCTCTGCTCTGTAGGATGAGGCTGCCGCTTCGCTTCCTGAAAGGCCATTCCATTGTCCTGCACATCATAGGTAGATGAGACAGCGAACGAACGAATCCAACACAATCACCATTCCTCTTCATCTTCAGCCTCCCTGTTGCATCTTCCTTCTTAGCCGTTGCTTGTGCTGTCGGCTCCCCGGATCTTGGCGCCTTCAAGGAAGGATGGCCAGAACGCGTGTCCGGGAGGCACTCTTTGGCATGCTGTTTTCTTGGGCTGTGAAACGTGTGGGATGGGGAAGGAAGATGGGAAGATTGGTGAGGGCGCGTGAGGATTCGGAAATTGGTTTTAGGGAGAGGAGAGGAGAGGTAGGTGGGTGATTGAGCTGGGATGGGTTTTGGGTGTATATATACTTCCTCATTTCTACTGGAAGTTGGTTCTCATCATCAGCATCTTCATCAGCATCTTCACCATCGTCTTCATCTTTTATCAGCGTATCTATCTCACAGTTCTCCGCTTTCATTGCCTTTTCTTTTGAGCTTCTCTCTACAACCAGAACTCCCATTTTCATATACCGCATTCTAGAAATTTCATTCATCATGCGTTACTCAATCCTCTTCCCAATTGCCATCTTTGCTGGCTCCCAGCTTGCAAGTGTACCCAACCCCCTCCTTTCATCACACGAGACTAACAAAATCAGGCCGCCGCTCAAGCCGACGGAGACTTCACTACGCCAGGATCTAACGTTATGCAACTCACAGCTACTACTCTTGAGACACAGACTAGCACAGGAGCTTACTCACCTGCCGGCACTCCCTATAAGCATGCTGAGGAAGAAGAGCACCACCACCACAAACACCACGGCCATCATAATGGCACTGAGACGGGTCCGGAACGCTACAAGATTGGAATCCCGATTCAGGCGAGACAGGTTGACTCTGAATATGCGACTGGGGATGCGGCAGCTGGGACTGCAGCGGTTGAGACTGCAGCGGCTGGGACTGCGGCGGCGGGGACTGCGGCGGCTGGGGCTGCGGCGACTGGGACTCCAGCAGCTTGGAATGCAGCGGCTGGGACTGCAGCGGCTGGAATTGAACCAACAGAAACCGCTCCAGGAGCAGCAGCAGAGACTGGGCTAGGAACACCAGCAGAGACCGCAACGGGATCGTGGACTGTTCCAGGGGAAACTATGTCAACAGGAACCGTCTCATCAGCAGGAACTTTCCCAACAGACCCTACCGCGCCTCCCACAACGCCAGGAGAAATGCCCGAGGAGCACCACCACCACCACCACAACGGCACTCGCCACCCCGGAAACGAGTACGACAACGAGAACAAGCACTGGCATGACGGCCACTTCAACGGCACCGAGCACCGACACCACCCAGAACACCACAGGGGCCACTTTAACGGCACTGAGCATCGTCACAAGGAACACGAAGGCCACCGCAACGGCACCGAACACCACCACTTCAAGCCTACCTACACTACCCCGATCCCCTTCGAGAGCGGCGAGACCCCCGTGCCTGATGCTGCTGCTGCTGCATACTCCTCTCCCGCCGCCGCATACTCTTCCCCCGCCGCCGCATACTCCTCTCCCGCTGCCTACGCTACCGGTGCATACGCCACCGCCGCCGCCGCCGCCTCCTCCTCGCTCCCCACCGATCCCGCCTCCGTAGCTCAGCGCCGCAACGCCGAGATGCTCGAGGATCTCTACTCTAACGACGCCTAGATCAATCAAACTTTGGGATACATAAGGTACCTATTTACGTGAGTTGGGCTCTCTCCCTCCCTTCCTCTCCGTCTTTCCCTCTCTCTGTGTCTATAGATGTTTGTGTGCATGGGGGAAGGGAGGGGGGCGTTATATGAAGATATCACAGCCGATGAGCATAGCTTGTCAAGGCGTCTTCCGGATTCCGGGTTTGGGATTTGTGATAAGCAAGCCAAGTGGGAATTGGAATTGGAATTTACACTTTGATTTTTTGGGGTTTTTGGGATTCTTCCTGGGTTTGAAAAAGGGGGGAGTCAGGAGTCTATAATCAATTAGAGATAGGCAAGTTTGGAATGCGAATTGAACAGATCCTCTTCAACCCCCCTTTTTCCTCCTTTTTCTCTCCTCCTCGCTTCGACGAAAGCGAATTATCTATCCCCCCTCTCCCCCTAAAATACAAACACAAACAAAAAAGAAACTCCTATTTCAGAAGAAAATGCCAACTTCAGACCTAACTTTAAGCTCAACTATACGCCAATCCCAAATCACAAATCCCAATATACTAAAAAGCTGCACACCGCCACCACCTGAACTCCTGCTGTCTCCAAATCCGGATTCTCTCAAACACGAAAACGAAAAACTTACAAGACAAACCTTACCTTACCTTCCAAGCGAAAAGCAGCATTACGCAGGACATACATCATGCGTTGACAAAGGAGCCGCATCGAGACCCCTGAAGAGCGCAGCTTGCGCCTGCATATGCGACAAGACAACATTCGCAATCAATCTCTGACCATTAGACCTCGGATGAAAGACTCTCAACTCGGAATCCGAGAGCCACCAGATACGGATCCTCTTCGTCAGGGACGCCAGGAAGTTTCGCTTTCCCATCATCGCGGGGGGATCAAGAGGTACGTCGTTCCCTTTGCGTTCGAAGATGAGCAGATTGGGCCGGTTGGGATCGGGTTCGAAGACGTCTGCTTCGCAGAGTCGGCCGTCGCAGGCGCCGAAATACCAATCGTAGTCTACGAAGATGACTTGCGGCCCGGCTCGCCCTGCTGCGTGTGCGATTTCCGCGTTCACGTACCTGATGAGTTCGTTATAGCGCGCGCGGTGCGATTGATCGAGGAGTTTCTTGCGGCCGAAGAGCGCGATGCTGACCGAGTCGCACTGCGTGGTGGCCTCGTTGAAGAACTGCGCATAGCCGGTGATGTAGATACGTCCGGTTCCTGGGGTGAGCTTGGCGCTTGCGATCTTGAGGAGTCGGTCCAGCGTCACTGGAAGTGCAGTCCTTATATACGTCCGCGCCGTTTGCATCGTCTGCTCACATGGAGTTCTTCCAAATCCGAAGATGCAAGAATCTACAATGGCGCCAAAACCGACATCATTCCCGCCCGTCGTGATCGTCATCTGTTGTTCCCCCCATTAATTAGCAAAACATGCACCGTCTCCTGGACAATTCATTCAGAAAAGAAGAAGACAAGTCCTCACAGCGTCTACCCCGTCATCAAGCCACGAGATCTGCTTCTCCAAAACATCTCGAATCGTAGCACCTGCGCAAGCCAGGTTATCGAACCTCCTCCCCACCTCATCCTGATCTCCTAATCTCGGATCCCCATTGATGAGATTGGCGTATGACTGGTTGTAGCGCTTACAATTCCTATCCATGACGTGGCCTGCTCCTAGACCTGCAGCGTACGAGTCTCCTATCGCGGCGAAGTAGTTGTAGGAGAGCTCGGGTCCGTCTAGAGAGGAGTTGAATTGTCTTTTCGTAGGCGGAGACTTGGACGTGTCCAATTCACGTGGGATGTTCTGGGTTGGAAATGCTAAGGTACCCGATACGAGGAGCATAATGAATGTGCGGCGGGCAAGGAGTCCCAAGCTCCTCGGGATCCTCATGTTGAAGCCAGTGACGATGTGATATAATGATGCTGTGAGATCGATCTGCAACGAGGAAGCGGGTGACGAAGCTTGAAAGGGGATAGATGTGGTAGTGTAGACTATACCTCTAGGGCAGGGGAAGTATAATGAGAGAGTTGTCGAGAGAAGTGTAGTGAAGTTCGACATATCCCTCAGGGTTGCGGCTGGCATACGTAGGTAACTTACTAGCCTGCCCTACCCTTCCCATCCCCAGTTCTGCTAAACACACAGCAGGAGCACTTGAGCAAGCCTGCGGTTTGGTTCGAGTTCTTTTATGTTGTGTATATAAGAAGGGTATCTATCGTGACTATGCTACAGTATCGAAAGGATTCTGTGTCTAATTAACTCCACTCTATGCGGAAAGCGGCGACTTGCTTACTGTCTCTGTTCGTGGTGCTCCCAAAGATCCTATGTCATAGTCCCATAAGTTCGTGTACCAGCCAGCGATTAATTATATCCTTCCCGTCCCCATCCTATCCTCCAGTAATGTATTCCTCTTCCTTGTTCGCACGATGCAACTGAGAAAGCTTAACGACTCCAACTGCTCCAGCCACTCTTATACTGGGGCACAGCCTCCAACCCCGGCTGGCTCATCACCGACACACTATCCCCTGCGTTTTCCAGACCCCTCATTATCGCCTGTTTCGAGCTTTTCCTTCTCCCAAATGCACCGAACCCACTCCTCAACCCCCCCGGTGAACTTGCCGGAAGCGGTATGCTACTTGCTTCTCTCAAACCCTCCACAAACGCCGCAGGGAAAATGCCCCATCGAGACTTCCCCTTACTATCCAGGATCTGCCCCGACCAGCACCAGTGATCCGGATACGAGTAGCCAATAGCCGAGATGCATTCCCCTTTCTTGAATGATAACCATTCTCCCTCCTTCGCTTGTTTGGGCTTGAAATCCCATTTTGCGAACGCGATTAAGCTGCTTTGGGCATTCATGCGTAAGTCTTCATGGACTGGTCGTTCAAGTGTAATCGCAGAGGCGGGAAAGCTGCCCCGTTTGCCATCATGGTATCCCGTGCACCAGGTCCCGTTGAAGGCTTTGGGAAAGGTGATCCCTACAATTCGGGCACCGGCTGCAAAATGCAGGGTGGGGTTTCCGTCGGGATCATGAAATGTGCTGCTTGTGAGTTTGGGATGGTGGGTGATACTCGCAAGGGCCGCGGGTCGGGTTGCTACTTTTGAGGCTATTTCTGTGATATTGTATTGCGAAGGAATCACGTCAGGTCTGGTGAAATGGAGGTCAAAATCCAGGAGTTCAAGAGTCTGGGGTCCATAGAGCGCATTAATGCCTTCGATGGTCGGCAGAGGCTGGGAATGTCTGGCAAGATGCCGGAAAAGCTGGGGTACAGAGAAAAAGACGGTGGCGTCGTGTTCTTCGACGGTCTTGTGTTCTTTGACGCAGAAGACGCAGGCATAAAGTGGTTGGTCAAGTGATTCTGTTCGAAGGTGGGATTTCGTGACGAAGCGTTGACGAAATCTGATAGAGGAATTACCGTATATGCCGTCTCCTGAGGAACATGTTAGAAAAAATCCGAGAGTGGAACTGGAGGCCATACGATCAAGATTTCTATCCTTCTCGAACTCCTTCCACCCAATTTCATATGAGCAACTCTTGCATCTTGCTGATTTAGTTGAGCTAAATTGTCCCTGCCCAAACGTTAGAAGCTTACTCTCAATGGCCTATAGGGAAAAGAATCCTACGTACGGCCGGTTTCTTAACGATCGTAAACCCAGGTTCACCTCTCATTACTGCCTTAGCACCCTCACAGAATCCACCGAACTTGTAAAAAGAGCTGTCATGCCGCATCGGGTATTCCACCGATGCCACCGATGCCGTGGGTGTCGGTTGGGTATTCCCATTCTCTTTTACCGGAATCAGTCCGTTACCATGATCAATACCGTTAACAGCTTCGAGTCCCTGTTCAATTCCTTTACCAAAGTCTGGGGTTCGGAGTGTTGTTGCTAATGTTTCCGGGAAATTGTCGGTATCAGTCAAGCCATGCTCACTCAACGGAGGGCTCAATGGCGCAGCAGCAGCACGGAGCCCAAAGATCGAGTCCTGGCTCGCCTGACTGTCTGGCCTATGAAATTGGGACTGGGTTATGGAGCTCGAATCTGAGTTCCTCGCTCCATGATTTCGCTGCCTGGACATTGTGCTTTCTTGTCCATTGCCGGTCACCTTTGATACGAGTTCTGGACTTGTTGACAGTGTAAAGTGTTCTAATGTTGGGGAACCGACGAAACCAATATTCACATCTCCTCCTAAGGTCGGAGAACTAGCACGCGCAAGCAAAGTCCGAGAAGGGGGTGAGTTTGGTGAAGGGGACAACCTCTCTCTATCACTAGATGCCTCTCTAGTCCGGTACTCCTCGATCGAGGCTCCTGATCGCCGGAGCTCTTCCTGGAACATCATACGCGATCGTCTTCTCCTTTCAAGGAATTCTTCGTTTGCAGAAAGACGATGACTGACATGCTCCGCCGGGATGAACTGAGGTGTCTGCTCGTCCAGACTCAAAGATGGTGAAACTCTGTGAGAAAGATGCCCTGGAGAGGTGCCGAGCGATGAACTCATTACACTAACGGGCGAACCAATATCGAATTGGGCAGGGCTGTTGATATGCCATGGGCTCATGGGCTTCGCAGGCAGAGAAGGCAGAGAAGGCGAGTTCTGTGGAAACCTTGGCGTGTGTTTTTGTAGAGGTGAGACTGGACTAGGTGGTGGTGGGCGGTTTGGCGGTGGTGGAGGTGGTTTCCAGCTGAAGTTTGTCTGCCTCATAATGCGCAATTGCGCACCGTCGCCCCTCGACTTCTCCTTGATCCTGAAATCCTGCAGAGTGCTGTGTAGAAGTTGATCTTGGATTTCATTGAATATAGCTGTGCACTCAGCCTCACACCTCTGAGACTCTCTTTGCAGGCTGGTGAAGGCTGTCTGGTCAAAGGAATCGGGCCTGTCCTCGAAATCTAGACATTCGTTGATTTGGTCATTAAGACCAATGCTGAGCTCTTTGAGCCGACTCTGGATCTGTTCTGCGGGGAATCCATCAGCTGACCACCCCAATCAAATCGTATTTGCTTACCATTCTCAACTAAAGTTCTGGTGAAGGGCTCCCCATATGATCCAACACACTGTTTGTATGCATTGCTGATAAGCTGTAGGTCCCGCTCCAACGACCTTTGTAGATCCCGCGCCGACAGGGATATCTGCAGTGCATTGGCTGCGGAAGCCGAAATGGCCGATTTAGAAACCCTTTTTCCTAACTTGATGCCCGTATCCAGAGTTTTCGTGATCCGCTTGACTGGAGGAGCGAAATCGCCCGTCATACTGAGGGTTGAGGGGGCCGGCGATGCGGCAGGCTGTCGCAGAGGCTCTCGCATACGGAGCAGGTCGGTAACCCCTGTTTACTTATCGAGAACCTGGGGAGTTGTTCGTGCAAGAGACCTATACTCGGGAAGGTGGTGAATGAAGGTTGGATCAAGAGAGTCAGAAGAAGAGCGGGCGTAGGTAGCAATGACATCTGTCGGGAGGACATGGTCGGCAGCACCTCGAGCAGCGCAACTGCAGGGACCAGTGGTTAACTGCGAGGCTCTCACGGTCTCAGGGCTGTTCGAAGGTCGCCCGGGCTGTGCAGGCATTGCAGGGCCATGGTTGATCGGATAACGGGGGAGCGAATAGGAGTGCTCTCCAGAAGCGAATTGTAGCACGCGTATACTAGAAGTGGCAGCTGTGTATTCGTTGCTCTGTAGACCGTGGCTGGTAAAGACCAGGTTCTTGAAAGCAGCTCCCAAAGTTGAGGGATTTGCATTCGATAAGTAGCAGGTGATTCTGTAGCCCCGTCGGTGATCGCAGGTGCTTCTTTGAGTCGCCGCTTATCAGTACGTCACCTCCAAGTATCTGAGGCTTTGAAGGCGTTTCAACCTTAGAGATAGATCCTCACGATGGCTTCCTCCCGTGCCTCCATAGGATGTACCGGTACTTGGTAAGGTAGCATCTTGCCCCGCCATTGTCATCCTTCCGGCCAGCCAGGCCCACAGTACCCCTCGACCCTGGAAAGCGGTAATCCTAGTGCCTATCACTCATCAAAGCGGCGCGATTGATCAATTGAGCGGCTGAGGACAACCTCTCGGGTATTTGCAGATGTTGTAGCTGGAGAATAGTCGTTGTAACTGGAGAGTAGTGAGTCGCGATCATCTCCATGATACACCACAGACCCGTGGGTCAACAGGTGGATGGGGATGAAGACTTGATAGACTTGCAGACATCGATAATTCATCCGCAAAGTAGTCTACCCAATTGCTTGCATATCGACTGCTAGAGCACTTGTCCGGGGTTATCGCGATCGAGTGAAGAAGCATTGGAGGATGTTGAGGTAGAGTCGAGCTCGGGGTTCAACACGATGGATCTCGGACATTTAAACTCTGGCTCAAGGGACCACAAACCTTATTGCTAGGCACAATCCAATAAACAAGCTAACCTCTACAAAACAAACCACCAATATCCCTATAGTAGTCCTATATGGTGTTGTATAAGGTACCTAAGATACAGAAAGTCAAGAACCGCGCGCTTATTTGACGCGTGCAGCCCGACCACGATCGGAGAGATACAGAGATACAAAATGCGGCGACAGCACAAACAGCCTCAAGGAGTGCGGCGTGCAACAAAAGAGAAACTTGTAAGGCAAATCTAATCTGGATCAGCAAGGCCCGGCGGGGTTAGGGGTTGGGGGCCGGAAACGTGCGGGACACGTGATGAAGTGTATCGCTCTTTTCATATCTTAGAATACTTTATCGTACAGAGAGAAAGATGTATCTCTATTCGATTTACCAATAATCAAGTTAGTTCATCTCTTGGTTATGGAGCTTTTCCGGGACCGCCGACGGGAGTAGTCACGTGAGAAGGAGCTTAACAGAGTCGGACCTATGAGGATCCTAAAGAACTCTGCGGAGGATACTGGGGTTCCACATTCAAGGTACATGATATGATGTAAGACATCGAGACGGTCGAATTTCTATTGAGCGCGGGAGTTCCCAAGACAAAGGCGATTGGGAAACTGATAAAGGGGTTAAGTGGACGGACTAACAGCGCGGCTAAACCTCGGCCCCAGGGTCTCCCCCCGACTCTGCCTTGACGGAGTAGCCAGCCATGTGACGATGGGCAGTTCCATCAAAGCATCACAGAAACATCCCCTCTTGATACCCTCCAGCCCACGCCATTCTCCCTCCCTCCCTCCCCAACTCGCACACAATACTTCTACATCTACAACCCCCGGGAACCGCCACCATGAAGTTGCATTACATCGGCGTACGTTCCTGCCCATTCGTTTCCAGCGCCCTCACCGCGCCCGTCACTGACCAGCCTGGCCAATCCAGATAATCAAGAACGAGTCGAAGCCCGCGCACGAGCTGTGCTCAGAGAAGGAGCTCAGCGCTTACTCGCGCTTCACACGCACCAAGTATGTGAATCCCCCTCCACGGGAGAGTCACTTCTTTCGCCCAGGGAAAAGGAAGGGGATAGATAGGCGGGTTGAATACGTTAAGATAGATAGATAGCTAACGCGGCGGGGGAGAACAGCTATGGGGAATTCATGACGCTATTCAGCAAGACGGTGGCCGAGCAGACACGACCTGGACAACGGCAAGATGTCGAAGAGCAAGGCATGCACATGCGCGCTTCCTTGATTTTCTCTCCCTGCTTCTTCGCCGGGCTCAATTGCTGACGCGCAGAGTGTGGCAGATTACACCTTCCACGCATACGGACGCACCGAGGGCATCGCGGGGATCATCATCTCAGACCACGACTACCCATCTCTAGTAGCGCACCAGCTGCTCTCGAAAGTAGTCGATGAGTTCCTGACGCAGCATCCGCGGTCGTCGTGGGCCGATTCCAACCCCACACTAGCATTCCCCGAATTGAAGGACTATTTAGTCAAGTATCAGGATCCGCAGCAGGCGGATAGCATCATGAAGATCCAGAAGGAGCTGGATGAAACCAAGATCGTGCTGCACAAGACTATCGAGAGCGTTTTGCAGCGGGGCGTCAAGATCGATGAGTTGGTTGCTAAGAGTGATGGCTTGAGTGCGCAGAGCAAGATGTTTTATAGTGAGTACACCCTGCACACCCACCTTATCTCACGAGCTTTGCTTTGGAGACGTGGCTGATGAGGTGATAAGACCAGGCGAAGAAGCAGAATTCCTGCTGTGTGTTGATGTAGTTGGTTTTGAGGGCTTTGGTTTTGGCGTTTCTATACTTCTAATGAGATTCCGGCATAGCAATTCCACGGTCGAGATTGTAAATGAGCACGTTAAGCAATACCAAGAGAGGTTATCCCGCTTCGAGGAAACTTTGGATTCAGAAGATGAAACTAGCATTTCTCTCCCTCTTTCTCCCAAAGAACAATGCCCCATACCCATTACGTCGAAATCAGACCCAAGACTCCAAATGCTATGCTCAAAAAGCCGCCCAAATTCAAAAATGCAAACCATATCCGCAGACTTAGACCCCAAGAATCCAGAAATCCAACTTAAACAACAAGGGTATCCATCCAAACTCTCTAACAGCACCTCCTCCTCGCCTTTGTCTGCTGACTAGCAGAATTCCCATTCTCGCCCTCGGCCTCATCAATCACCACCTCGACAGGGACCCCAAACCAACTCCTCCGATCCCTGCCCACGCGAAAACTGCCGCCCGCTCTGATGCCGTCAAAATAGCCACCCCCCATCTCCTGTTCCGGGGACCCGATACCCGGCGACTGTATGGCCGACGAGAGCTGTTCCTGAATCTTCCTATTCTGCTCGACCAGCTTCCTGGTGATGACGCGGAACACCTCCTCGACGCCCTCGCCGCTCTCAGCACTGACCTCATGGCAGCAATCCCAGCCGACCTCCTGGCCCCAGAAGCCGGAGCTGCGTTTCGAGCTCGGGCTCTTGGCGCCGACGTCGACGGCGGCGTGGGAGCGCTGCCACTGTGGCGCGCTCTCGAGCCCCGTCGTCGCTGTCGCGGGAGGCGTCGACGAGAGCCCCGGCGCGAGGTTGTCCGCGACGTAGGCGATGCACCGCTCGAAGGGCACTTCGCGCCGCGAGGGCTCGCGCGCTACGAGGTCCGTCTTGGTCCCGACGACGTGCAGGATGATGTCGGAGGGCAGGTTGCGGCGCAGCTCGGTCAGCCAGACGCCCATTTCTTCGAAGGAGGGAAGGTCGGTGATGCTATAGCAGAGGATGCAAGCGTTCGCGCCGCGGTAGTAAAGGCGGGATATCGAGCTGTTAGAGAATAATCCCATATATTAATCAACCGTGTGCGGAGGAGGAAAGACATGGAATGGAGCCCAAGCAGCGAGGCTGAATGAAAGGGGGCAAACAGAAAGGAAGGATAGGTAGGGAGAGAGAGAGAGAAAGAATAGATATATATGTACCGGAATCGTTCCTGTCCAGCGGTATCCCAGATCTGTAACCTTACTACCGTGTCCGACTCGTCGTCTACTACTCGTTTGGTCTGGAAGCTCGCGCCTACAGTACTCGTTGTATTCGCTGGGTTGAACTGATTCCTCACGTATCTCTGCACCTATTACACCTCCCATATCAGCACCAAGATCCCCTCACACATAGCTTGCAGAGAAGGAAAAAAACACTCACAAGACTCGTCTTCCCCACCCCTTGGCTCCCCAAAACCACAATCTTAGCTTCGAGCGACTGGGCCATCTCCTGATGCCTAAGATCCGAATTTCCTTCCCGATGTAATCTCTCGACAGCCTTGCACCGCTCAAAAGAATTCCCCAAGGAACCCAAATATGAAGACGAAAAAAATAAAATGCAAGCGCGTATGGGGAAAGGAACCGTCTCGTCTCTATCGTCGTCGTCGTCGTGGATATCGTCTCAATGTCATGCCTTGACCTGTCGCGGCCTCATCATCTGCGCCAGGATCCCGGGAAATATGCAAGGTCAGTCAGTCAGTCAGTCAGTCAGTTCGTCCGTCGTCTTTGTCGCACGAGCCAGAAACACCGAGAGAGAGAGAGAGGGATTCTCTTATGCATGAGTAGTAGAAAACCCGGCCATGACCATCATTCGGAGAACAGGGGAAAAAAAAAAAGAAATGTTCGAGGATAAGATGAACTCTGCGGACGAACGCGTAAAGTGAGGGAGAGGGGATTTTGTTTCGAACTGGCTGGGCTGGGCTGGGCGGCCTGGGCTGGCGTGTGCTTGTGGGGGGGTGTTTACGGGGCGGCTTTATCGAAATTGGCAGATCTCTCTGATGCTTAAAACATGACGCAGCTGGCGAGGCTGCGGGTTCTTATTGGAAATACGGATATTTCATTCGCTCCTTTTGTTTTTGCGGGATACTGATCTGGGGCAGACTGTATTCGAGTTCACGACATCTTCATCGTTATCTTCTTTTCTACTCTATATTGGAAGTGGTATTAAGGTAGGAGTTGTAAGGTAAGATTTCAATTTTACAGCCTCGTGGCGGTCTTCCGAGCCTGGGTCAGGGAAGGGGGATAGGCCCTGGTTATAAGATAGGCCCTGGTTATAAATAACGCGTCTACGCAGTAAGATCCGGTTTACGAGGGTAACATATTGGCATGAGAGCAAGCTGCATAAATGTGGTCATCTATGGTAGGTCATGAATATATACACCATTAAGACTCGTTGTCCAGACTATCAAAGCCTCGGGATATAACTTATAACTTGGCCTTCTCCTTCGGGTTCACCAATGGCTCGTAAGCGGTTTGTCCCTGTGATACTATTAGCGATATGTTCAACCACAAGACGAGACAACTTACCAAAGTATCAACGGGCACAGTCGCAGTGTGCATGCTCAGTCCTCTTGTATCCACCAGGGTAGGGTTCAACTGATCAACACTTGAGCACCCAATCAACCTCATGTTCATCTCCATCTCATCCTTCAACAACTGCATGGCTCGATCCACACCCGGCTGTCCATATGCACTCATAGCAAACAGGAAGGGTCTTCCAATACCAACTCCCTTGGCACCAAGACACAATGCCTTGATGATATCCGTAGCTCTTCTCACACCACCATCGATATAGATCTCGATGCGCTTATCCCAGCCTCGCTCCCGGAGAACAGGCATGACTTCCGCAAGAACCTCGATTCCCGAACGTGCGAAATCCAGCTGCCGACCTCCGTGGTTGGAGAGAACAACTCCATGAACCCCGGCCTCGACGGCAAGGAGAACATCTTCAACACGTTGCACACCCTTCAGAATGATGGGCATTTTAGTGATGGACTTGAACCAGGGAATATCCTTCCAGCTCAGTGCAGGGTCAATAAAGCTGGAAATAGCTCTCGCAGCACCTTGCGATTTGTCTACTTCAGAACCTGCCTGGACGTTGGACCCAACATCCGTGAACTTGGATCGCATATCCTTTTCTCGACGGCCCAGTTGGGGAGCATCGACCGTGATGAAGAGACCCTTGCAACCTCGTCGCTCGGCATGCTGCACGATCTTCTTGGTGATTTCTCGGTCCTTGTTGACGTATAATTGCAACCATTGGACCTGGTCTCCCTCCGCTGCATCTACGATCTCGTCGAAAGAGCAGGAGGCGAGGGTGGGGATCATCTGAATAACATTGTGCTTCTTCGCAGCGCGGGTAAGAACAACTTCTCCCTCTGGGTTTCCAAGCTTTCCCAGAGCGGTGGCGGTTACGTAGAATGGGATGTCGACCTTGGTTCCCAGCATCGTGGTGCTGAAATCGACTTTCTCGACGTCGACAAGAATGCGGGGTCGGAACCAGATCTTGTGGAAGGCGGAGTGGTTTTCTCTCATAGTCTTTCATGATCAGCGTAATTGTTCTCACCAGGGACCGTATAACTTACAATTTCATCGTCGGCTCCACTAGAGTAGTATGCCCAAGCTGTTTTCTTCATAACCTTTCGGGCCACGGCCTCGAAATCCATCAGGTTGTAGCATTGTTCCAGGATTGGCATGCGTGCAATATGCTCCTGTCGTTCCCTTTCTTCTGGTGACTCTACCCTCTCCTCCTTCTCAACAGTGCTCATATCAACCGGTCCCAGGTGCTTCGACTTGTCGAGGTACTTGTCGAGGGTGTCGGGAGGGTGGATCGGGTCAAATTCTTCTGTCGCATCTTTACCCTGAAAAGGACGTCAATATCCGCCCATTGGAAGCTGGAAGAAATGCAAACTTACAGCATACTTGAGGATGATTTTGGGACCGCCAGGGTGCTCTGTTGTTACTGCGTCAGAACTCCAATTTCTATTGCGGGGTATGAGAGGCCTTACCAGGTAAGAATTCCGTGACATCGTATGCTTTTCCCTGCGCAGATGTAAGCTAATTGCCAGTCCGGGGAAGCTCAGCAGAACATACATGCACTATAACCCAGCACGACTCTCTCGAGTTATGCTTCCCGACGTCTTGTCCAGTCAGAGGCATTTTTGTGGTGTTGTGGTCGTTTCGGTATGGTAATCAAAGCCGAGGTTAACGTGGAAATTCGGATGACAAGACAAGAGGATATGCAATGACAACTGGAACAGCAAAGATCTAGAAACAAGGAATCTTCAAAAACCAAAAAGTATCTGATCAAGATCGATCTGGAGCAGGACGACGGCACTTTATTAGTCTGGAAGACAGCTGCCGAACTGGCTAAGAACTTGCTTATGTACTGTCTCTCTCTTATCGGCGCTGATTTGCGTAGAAGGGGCGTACAAATTCTCGGTTGAATGTTAGGCGAGCTATGTGATGCTGGGTTCTCCTCACGCAGAAGCTGGGCAGAGAGAATGCGACCCTATAAGAATACAGGCGGGAGATTTATATAGATATAGATTTAGATTAGGAGATTTCAGAACCAATTGCCCAAGAACATGACATCTCTGGGCTGAGGACATCCTGATTCCAGCGTGATGATAATAATAATACCGTAATGTGTTATACCTAAGTTACTGTAGCGATAACATTGTCCCGCATTCCGTATACCCGTTCGCGGCCCTGTTCGTGTGGAGAAGATTCACGTGCAGGAAGGTCGTCCGGGCCAATCAGGATGAAGGCATTGCAATTTGTAGTCATCATCCAGAAAAGGGAAAGGGGGGCCGGTAACATGTTTGTGGAGAACTGGAGAGACGGATCTTGGAAGAGGTAGATTCTAGTCGATCTTGGTTTCCCTCCTCAACATCCGCTCGCCCATTTGGAGATAAACGGCGGATATAAGAAACCAACAACTGAAATTCTGTCTGTAATTTACACTACTTTGAGATGCTTGCTTAGAGATATATACTGTACTCTCAATCACTCCCAATGGTCCAGGTATTGACTTGATTCTCCGGGGTGGCGACAAGGTTGAAGCTCTGTAGACTGTCGCCCCCTCAATCACTACCAGAAGTATTATTCTAATAACTAGTAACTGATCGATACCTCTACAACTCCACAATCTCGGGACGGTTGCCCACATCCGTCGTGGACTGCCAGACGATCGCTGGGTTCACTAATAGGCACCCCTTCGACCCTCCCGGCCCTACCATCAACCGATCCCACAAGATGCCCCTGATACCGTAGAATACAACCTTCATAGCGTCCAGCCACGCTCCACTGGGGATCAAGTCCCTTGCGAAGCCTCCGCCAGTCCGGCTCATTAAGCGTTCATACGAAGCTTGCCCCTCGTCCCAAAACACTGCTTCTTGCCCATGCCCTGAATGCACATGTCCAAAAACGTGTAATCGAGGTCTCACTCGCCATATCTCATCGAGAAGTGCAGGGCAGCCCCGATCGAGGTCGAGATGGTATCGTGGCGGAGTATGCGTGATCAACACATCAGTCTCCCGGGGAATTCGATTCTTCCACGGGGCAGCATCAGCTTTATATTGAAACCTATCCCCATTAATAGTTGTTTGCCTACGACACAAGGGACTCACGCATGTTCTGAGCCACCGATATATGGAATATCCGGGGCGCCATAGAAGGTCCATTTCCTGCCGCCCTTGAACTTCAACGTCACGGATTTGTTCTCGAGATAATGTATAGATCTAAAATTCAACTTCTTCCCCCTATCCTCTGCCTTCCGAGATTTGGGATCGAAATAACTGTCATGGTTACCCGCAATGATGATCTTCTCGCGATGGGGCAACGAAGCCATCCAGTCGATCTGTGCCTGGATCTCCTGCACAGTCCCAGCATTGGTCATATCCCCAGCATGTATGAGCAGGTCTCCATTCGGTACGGAGGTTGTATTCGTGTGCGTGTCGGAGATACAGACAACCCGCACGGGGGGCTTGTTCCGGGGAGGTTTGAAGGGTGCTCCACGGAGGGAGAGGAGGATGGCGTAGATGAAAGATATTAGAGCTCGGAGAGGGGAATCGAGAATCCTGTCGAGAGGAGTTGGGGGGTCCCAATCGTTCACTCGGCGCGACCATGGCCATTGCTGTTTCCGCCGAGGTTTGGCTTTCGAATCGTCTGCCATGTTGTCGTCGGGGCTCTTGGAGGTCAATAGTCGTTGTATATAAAGTAGATGTGAGAGAGATTCGCGACCGTGGTTATCGTTGGTGTCCGCCAAGATCGGTATCCATCGATAGAGGGGTCATCATTTGTGGCTGTCGAGCTGGTACATGGTAGGGAAGGAAGCTCACGAATTGGCCGCAACACTGCGAGATGTTGTTTAATAATCTCAGAGTCCATGTTAAGCTTTCGGCGGGGATAGTGATCGACGGCAGGGATGTGTATTACCTACCTGGCACTATAGACTTCAGAGTAGTAAAATAAATCGATAAATAACAGCGGTGGGTACATTTTGGAGATGCCTCCTTAACCTCCAAGCGACGTCATATCTTTGCGACACTCTCAGGTTGGGGACGAAAGAGGCATTGGAAAACCCTCTCTCGTTGCTCTCCCCCACCTCTGCTCTTTTTTTTAACTTTGCTCTGTCTTCATATTTGAGGGGTTTCTGGTGATTGAGCGACAACAGCCTACGACATGGCGCCTGAGTACAAGAGCGGTCCTCCGGACATCAACTTCGAGTCGGTGTGCCGCCAAAACCTCATGGTGATAATTGCTCACACTTTGTAGCGTCGACTATGTGATTGATTATCGCTTTGCAAATACAGGCATGGAATGCCTTCCCGAGTCTTCTGAAACCACTAACTGATCCCATACAGAGCAAGCTGAAGCCGAAGCCCAATTCGTGAAACTCATCAAAGCCCTTAACGACGTCGGATTAGCTACTGAGGTTCGAAATGGAGACAATTGCTCCCTCCTTATCTTTGTCAAGAGCGCCTCCGACACGCATCTCAAGTCTCAGGTCTATCAATCACGAGTACAAGACTGGCTGTATGGAATTCGCACAACCGCCCTGCACAAAGACATGCAGACACAATTGGATGATGAGCCAGTGACCGAGGCGGAACGCTTGCGACTGGTATATTTATTGATCACAAAGCCCAGGAATGAAGGCGGTGCTGGGATCACACCCAAGACTGGAGAATGGAAGGACGTTCAATCTGTCTTTGCTCTCCACGACCATAAATTCAACAAAGCATGGGTCGTGCAATTGACGTCCAAGTACTTTCTGAGTGCGAAGGACGTAACGGAGATCAAAGACAGATTTGGAGAGAAGATCGCGTTTTACTTCTCCTTCCTGCAGTTTTATTTCTTAGCACTAACGTTTCCTGCTTTCTTCGGGTTTTGCTCTTGGGTACTCTTCCGTCAATATTCCCCTATATATGCTCTCGTTAACTGCCTGTGGTGTATTATTTTTATCGAGTATTGGAAGAAACAAGAAGCAGACTTGGCAGTTCAATGGGGAGTCCGGGGAGTGTCGAAGATTCAGCGCAAACGGGCTGCGTTCCAGCATGAGAGCGTGATCAATGATCCCATCACAGGCGAGGAGATCAAGACCTACTCGCCTTGGAAAAGACTGGCACGCCAATTGCTTCAAATTCCATTTGCTATAGGAGCAACTCTGGCTCTGGGAAGCTTAATTGCCGGATGTTTCGCTATTGAGATATTCATATCTGAAGTCTATTCTGGCCCATTCAAATCTTATCTGGTTAGTAGAATTAAGTCGCGGTGAGAAAATCATCTAACTCTTGCAGGCTTTCCTACCAACTGTTATCTTGACTATTTTCATGCCGACGTTAACAGCTATTTTGACCGAATTCGCGTCTGAATTGACAGATCTAGAGAATTATGAGACCGCTGATGGTGAGTGCAAGTTATCCACGTTCAAAAACTGGACTTCTCTAAATTATGACTAGCACATGAGGCAGCTATGGTCCAGAAGATTTTCGTGCTCAATTTTATCACCTCATATCTTCCTATCTTTCTTACGGCATTTGTCTACGTGCCATTCGCTCAAGCAATCGTTCCTTATTTGGATATATTCCAAATGGTTGTAAAGCCATTCGCGGAAAACGAGAAGCAAATGAGCACGCCAAAGGTTGGATTCCATATCGATCCTAGCCGACTCAAGAAGCAAGTCATATATTTCACCGTTACTGCGCAGATTGTCAACTTCGGGTTGGAAGTTGTTCTGCCGTACGTCAAACGTAATGTGTTCAAGAAAGTGAAGGAAGTCCAGGCGGACAGAGCAGCAAAGCGAGCAGGAAACTCAAGCCCCACGGCCGATGATCACCCTGAGGAGACGCTTTTCTTGGCCCGAGTTAGGAATGAAGCCGACCTTGAGGCTTATGATGTTACAACCGATTTCAGGGAGATGGTTATCCAATTTGGTAGGCCTCTTTGAGGACACATCTGACGCACCTTGTTAACAATCGCTAGGCTACTTGTCTCTTTTCTCAGTTATCTGGCCCTTAACTGCTGTATCGTTCTTAATCAACAACTGGATTGAACTCCGTGGCGATGCCTTGAAAATTGCCATGGAAACCCAACGCCCTGTTCCTTGGAGATCAGATTCCATTGGTCCTTGGCTTGATTCCCTGGGATTCCTCTCATGGCTCGGTAGCTTGAGTAGCAGTGCTCTGGTTTACCTCTTCTGCCGAGATGATGGTCCAGATGGAGCGCCAGGGGCCGTGAAGGGATGGGCGCTTCTCTTGACCATGTTCTTCTCAGAACATATCTACCTTGCTGTCCAACTCGCTGTCCGGACAGCTTTGAGCAAGATCGATAGCCCTGGACTACGGAAGGAGAGAGCTGAGAGATATGCCGCGAGAAAGTAAGGACTGTCAATTGTCTTTTCTCAGGTAAAGCTGACATGTATAGACAATATCTCCGAGATATCCAAGCACAAGAGGAGGCAGCCCACAAAGCGGCCAGCGGGGGAATCTCCGAGGGGCAGAAGATTAGTAGAAGTATGCTGGAACAGGCAGCTAGAGAGTCGACATTGCATGGTCATGGAACCCCCGAAGAGCGGTTCTGGCAAAGACAGCAGGGTCAGTCTGAGACTATTATCATAGGAAAAGGCTATATTGCAAAGGTATGTATCGACATTCGTTCTCAAATCATTCGCTGATACTGATCATAATTAGGCTATGTCAAAGGACAAGAAGGAGTCGAAGAAGGAATTATAATGACGGATGATCGTGAGGATCGATCTGGCAGAGAGTGTTGTGGGGCCGAGGCTACCTTATCTTGGCGGGAGAAGGCTGTGATCACGTGCGGCGCAGCGGGGTAAATTCCGGGTCCATAGGTCGACTACTTTTAAACTTCAATTCGTCAATCGACCTCAGAGATCATATTGCATCTCCAACACCGTTCCGCAGCTGACAGCGACAGTAAGTCGGCGTAAATAAATAGCGCGCTTGCTATATTTTGTTTCTCCTATTTCTCTCCTGTCTGGCATTGCAGAAGCGCTTTCGACTTTTTTGTCATTTCAACTCAGCAACCCCACTTGAAGATGGACTCGAAACAGTTCAAAGAGGCTGCTACGTCGGCAATTGATGAAAGTATGTGCTCCTCTGGCCCTCACATTAGAGGTTCTAATGACTCCAGTCGTGAATTACTACGATACCATAGAGAATCGTCGCGTTGTCTCAAACGTCGAGCCTGGATATCTCCGGAAGATCCTCCCCAGTGGGCCACCAGAGGAAGGAGAAGCATGGGCAGACATCCAGGCAGATATTGAGACGAAAATCATGCCGGGCCTGACACATTGGTATGTAGGCGCAAATATCGAGCTGCCTGTGACTAAAGTTCTGTAGGCAGTCGCCCAACTTCATGGCTTTCTTCCCAGCCTCGTCCTCTTTCCCAGGCATGCTCGGCGAACTATACTCTGCTGCATTTACCGCACCAGCGTTCAATTGGATATGCTCGCCTGCCGTCACCGAGCTCGAAACCATTGTCCTCGACTGGCTCGCCAAACTCCTCAACCTTCCCGAGTGCTACCTCTCGACCACCCATGGCGGTGGTGTCATCCAGGGCTCGGCCTCAGAGGCCATTGTGACAGTTATGGTTGCAGCACGCGATAAATATCTTCGCGAAACGACGTCGCACTTATCCGGCCTTGAACTTGAAGATTCAATCGCACATAAACGAAGCAAGCTGGTGGCATTAGGGAGCGAGGCGGCCCACAGTGCGACACAGAAAGCCGCGCAGATTGCTGGAGTACGATTCCGCTCCATCCCAGTATCGAAGGAGAGTAACTTTGCCCTGACAGGCGAAGCGCTAGAGGAAACATTGAAACAATGCAAAGCTGAAGGACTGGAACCATTTTTCCTCACGACGACGTTAGGAACGACAGCCACCTGCGCAGTGGACGACTTTGCAGCTGTTGCATCTGTTCTAGCAAAGCATGCACCCCCAAATGTTCCTGGTGAGATCTGGGTACATGTAGATGCTGCGTACGCCGGGGCAGCTTTAGTCTGCCCGGAATACCAACACCTGACAGCATCCTTCGAACATTTCCATTCGTTCGATATGAACATGCACAAATGGCTCCTCACGAACTTCGACGCCTCGTGCCTATTTGTAAGGAGACGAAAGGATCTCATCGACGCCCTCTCCGTCATGCCCAGCTACCTCCGCAACGAGTTCTCCGACAGCGGTCTCGTGACCGATTACCGCGACTGGCAGATCCCTCTGGGACGCCGCTTCCGCAGCCTCAAGATCTGGTTCGTGCTCCGCACCTACGGTGTCAAGGGCCTCCAAGCGCACATCCGCAAGCACATCAAACTAGGCGAGGTCTTCGCCGACCTGATCAAGACGCGACCCGATCTCTTCACCATCCTCAGCGGTCCGGCCTTCGCCCTCACCGTCTTCACCATCGTGCCGAAGACGGCGGGCAAGGAAGCCCAGGACCAGATCTCGAAAGAGGTCTACGAGCTGGTGAACAAGAGGGGCGAGATCTTCATCACGTCGAGCGTCATCGCGGGCATCTATGCGCTGAGGGTAGTGAGCTCGAACCCGTTGGCCGAGGAACAGTTCCTGAGGAAAGCTTTCCGGATCTTGGTCGAGACGACGGAGGAAGTTAGAGATGGGAAAGTAATAACGAAGGAGAATTCAATCTAAATAAATAAATAAATTTCTTGCCAATGGATCGATCAATCTCCGCTTGTTGGATAGATAGAGTGAGTGGAGAGAGAAAGAGAGAGGAACCAAATCAAATAATTCCCCTTTTATCTATTATTTGATTAGATGGATAGATGGATGGATGACGATCAGAGATTCGAATATCTAGGTAAATTCAGATATCACAATCAGATAAAACAAGAGAGTGTGGATAAGTAATTAATTAACAGTTTACCTATCACCCAACCAACACGACTCCCGTCAACAGAAGCCCGTCGTTCTATCTATACGTATACGTATTGTATATATGTATATCGAAACCAAAAAAAATAATATCTCATCGTTATATCATACTTAAAAAACACACTATACGCACGCAAGCACGCGAGAATAAAATTGGCACACACAAGAGCTTCTTTCAATAGTCCAAAAAACAGAAAAACATCCCAAATCTTTTCCTCTGCTCTACATCATATTGAACACGAAGACTCCAACGAGACCGAGGACCGAAGCGAGCGCTCCTTGGCTGCGAGCTGCGCCCGCGGTGTAGGCGACCACGGAGCTGGGCGCCGACGGCGTCGCGATCGTGTTGTTGGCGCCGTAAGGGCCGAGGCTGGGAACCCCTGAGGGACGGCCGGCGGCTGGGGCTGGGGCTGCGGGGGCGTATTGGGGTGCCGGGGTGTTGGGGCTGGGAGCGGCGACGGCGGGTGCCTCGGGAGTGACGACGGCTGGGGAGCCAGCAGGAGCCTCTGGGGCGACAACGGCGGGAGCTGAGCCAGCCGGGGTCTCAGGAGCGACGACGGCAGGGGATGGGGAGCCAGCGGGCGCCTCGGGAGCAATGACGGCGGGAGCTGAGACAGCAGGAGCCTCGGGAGCGATGACAGCTGGGGAGGAAGCAGCGGGGGCCGCAGGGGCGAGGACGGCTGGGGAGGAGACGGCGGGAGCCTCGGGAGCGACGAAAGCAGGAGATGAGGCAGCAGGAGCAACGGGAGCGGCGCTGTTGAAGGTGGGGTTTAGGACGGAGAAGCTGGTGCCAGTTGGCTTGGTGTAGGTGGGTTTGGCGACGGTGGGAACGCAGATAGTAGATACGACGGGGGTGGCGTAGGAGGTGAGGGTCTGGCCGGAGATCACGGGCACGGGGGTGTTGGTTGGGGTAGGGGTGGTGATGGCGGGGACGACGGCGGTTTGGAAGGTGGATTGGGATTGTTGAGCTTCAGCGACGGGGCAGACGGTGGTGTAGAGGACGCGGGTGTTGGTCACGACGACTGGCTTGGCGGAGCTGGCGGGGCAGTGGAGGACGGTTGCGGCGCAGGAGGTGATGGTGGTGATGTCGGTGGTGTAGACGGTTGAGGTTGTCAGAGGGGCGGTGCCGTTGAGGTGGACAGGCTTGGGGGTTGGGGCGACGACGGTGCTGTTCACCACAGGAGTGCTCTTGGGTGCCGACGAGGGGAGCGCTGGCTTAGAGCACGAGTCCGGTTGAGGTTGGCAGAGAAGTGGCAGGTTGATACCCAAGGCAGTGCTGATATCGACGGGGATGGCGAGGAAGTTTTGGTAGTCAATTTCGACAACGGCCAAGGCAAAGACACCAACATCGACGTTGACACCCGCGTCGATAGACAGTGGGCACGCATCGGTGGATCCAATGACAGCGGTGTAAGCAGCAAGGTCAACGTAGACACCAAGTTCAAAGTCGAATCCGGTTCCGAAGACTTCGACAGTGGTACCGGCCTCAACACGGACTCGGATAGCAACGCTGAGCGATGCTTCACCGAATGCGCATTTAATCGGCAGTTGCTTCATGACAGCACCGGCGCTATATCTCGTTAGCTATTAGTGATAGAAGGAGAGGAGGATACCGACAAGTTCTGTTCAACGATATGACCAGTAATAGGATCAACGACCATGTAGGCACCCTCAGGGAAGGCGAATTCAAATCCAGTCTCAACGTCAATCTCGGCGCTCAGAGTGAAGACCAAGTCGATGAAAAGTCCGACACCAATGCTAACATCCTCGCTGCAGGGAGTACCCACGGCTGCTGCTGCCGATGCGAAGATGGGCAAAGAGTAGGTAACACTGTCGGCGGCGTGGATGTCGAATTCCATGTGACCTCCCACATTCTCAAAGTCTATCCTGACATTCATACCAAACGCTGCGGGAATGACATCTAACGGGTCCTCAAAGAAGGTAGTAATGTCGCCGAGCAGGCTTTCATCCTTGTCGATTCCAGTGTTTGATACAACAGCAGTTCCCCAGGTTCGGCAGTCCACACATTCCACCGTCAGTTCATGTGTAGCTCCAAGGGTACCTTCTTGGACCGTTTTCTCGCTACTCTCAAGTCAGCCTGATGCGTCCTCACGTGAGGGTGAAGGCTTACGTGTTTAAGATCGTATCGTGCTGGTGAGTGGTTGACAAGCTATACGTCCCCAATGGGATGGGCCCTCGTTGTTGTATGGATGACATGACTTCAACATCACGGGCAGCAATAGGGCCAGCAGCGGCCGTGGCGGCGAGTAACGCCCCAACTAGGCCGCATTTTCGAAATGCAGAAATCATGTTTTAAGATGAAAAGAGTGTATTTCAGAAATCAAGGAGAGAACGACTGTGAGTTGAAACAAAATAATGAGTGTGATGGGGTTTAAAGAGAGTGTGTAGCCAAAGGCTAAAGAGAGCGTGAAGATGAAGATGAAGAGGAAGAGAGAAGAGTGAGGAGCAAATGTGAAGCAGACATGAGGGTAATAAATAGAGGGGTGGTGATAAGGGGTATATCAGATATCTCAAAGAGGTTGACAGGACGATATGGGCCGTGAAGCGTAGCGGCTTGGCCTAGGGTCGACCCGCTCCCGAATAGGGGATGCTCAGAACCCTACACCGACCGCAAGTGAAGATCACTACTCGTAACAGACACCAACAGGAAATCGCAGCTCGTGTCCCTGCCGCGGACGGAAACCAATCTTCTTCCAAGATTGGTTTTCTGAAGAGGTTCGGGCCTTGCGAGGAAGACTTGCAGGCCCATCAGAGACACCAGAAGAGCCTGGACCGGCGAAGAAGCGGAGAGAGAGCCTGGACAGGGTCACTACTGCACATGCAAAGAAGTCGTTGAATACATGTGAGAAGCATCCTGCCGAGTCATGCTCAGGGGTTGGCCCAGAGATGTGATGGAGATGCGTCTAGAGGTGCTCGGGTCGAATACGAGTGCAAAACGTAAAAAATGCCTGTCCGATGCAATTTCCAAACACTTGTTGGGGTTGGTTCATGAGATGAAAAGAAATGAATATCTTGCTGCGAGATGCAAATATGCAGACAAAGTATTCAATGCATACGCAATACATACAAATATATTTATATTTATATTTACATGTGTATGTATATGTATATGTATAGGTATGTATGCGTATCACTGTGCATCTCGCATCTTGCAGCGCTGGGGTTCAAGGGTCATCCCCGGCTAAATTTAGTCGGCACATGACTCGGCTCACTTCCCATTATCGAGCGCCCCATTTTTAAGGTTTGCCGCTAGAGCTGGAAACGTTCTAGTCCCCGCATCACGTGCTCTCCCACTAGCCTGTTTATCGACATCTTGAAGTCCACAGCTTCACCCCGTCGACGATAGGGTGAAAACCATCCCTGATTCCCTGGGCCCTCAACCACAATCCCGGTTCTTTTTTCTTACTGTACCTACATTGTGCAACCTCCGAGGCCGCGCGCACATATTGACCGCGTCATCGCACCGGCGTCGCCACTACTAGAATTGGGAATCTCGACGCCACTGTTTTGAGGGCGGCTGAGAATTCCAGTTGCCCGTGCCCAACGCTACTGTACGAGCTGTGCTTCCCAGATTCCGATTCACACCCCCCCCGCCTCCCTCCGCTTTTCACACCCTACCACCATGTCTCTCTCCTCCTACCTAGCCTCCAAATACCTCACTGCCGAGCCCGCGCCCTCCTCTTCCACCAAGAAGCGCAAACGCAAGACTCCCTCTTCAACCCCCGGCCTCATAATCGCAGACGACGACGAGCTTGGATGGTCCAACACCGCAACCGCCCAAGACGACGACGACGACACTCCACAAACGGTCGCGTCCGGCTCCGCTGAGTTTCGCAAGGCGAAAAAGAGCTCCTGGAAGACCGTCGGCGTTCCTGCGCTGCAGCCCAAGGACAGCGAGCAGGATGAAGCCGATCGGATTCTCAAAGAAGCCGCGGAGGAGGGTCGCGGTCGCGATGACGACGAAGCGCCTGCTATCGAGGACGCAGGAATAGTGAAGATGGGCGACGGCACACACGCGGGTCTCCAAAGCGCCGCCGCGGTCGCGGCGCAATTCGCCAAACGCAAGAAGGAAGAGATGGACGCATGGCAGCGAGAATCCAAAAGCAAGCACGGCAAAGGGGTCGCCGAAGAGACGGTATACCGCGATGCTACGGGCCGACGCATCGATATCAGTCTACGGAGGGCAGAAGCAAGACGCGAGCTAGATGAGAAGGCGCGCAAGGAACTCGAGGAGAAAGAAGCCATGAAGGGCGACGTGCAGCGCTTGCAGCGCCAGAAGAGAAGGGAGGAATTGGATGAGGCGCGATTCATACCTGTGGCGCGCACCATCGACGATGAGGAACTGAATGCGGAGCTCAAGGAGAGAGAGAGGTGGAATGATCCAGCAGCCCAGTTCTTAGCCTCCAAGAAGGCGGGGAAGTCTAGATCGGGGAAGCCCATGTATAAGGGCAGTTGGGCGCCGAATAGATATGGCATCCCTCCAGGACATAGATGGGATGGCGTGGATAGGGGGAATGGCTGGGAGGCCGAGAGGTTCAAGGCGGCGAATCGGATGAAGAGAAATAAGGAGCTTGATTTTGCTTGGCAGATGGATGAATAGGTAGAGTCAGTCATGTCGTGTCAGTCCTGCCACATTGATATACACCCAATAATTTTTATTGTTCTATGGCGAAACTGTCGTGACACAGAAAGTCCGTGCAGCAAGGCTTCCAGACCTCAATATCCCTTCCTCCTCAGTGATTGTCCCTGAATAGCATCGCTATCGAAGGGTCTGGACCGTAGGTGAGGTAGGTAGGTATGTCTCGTTCTCCCGCGCTAGTGTCCCAACCCCCTTCATATACCGCTTGTAACGACAGGTAAGGCTGACCCCGCCCCCCGTGTAATTCGCCCATCCATCATTCAAAACCAACTCGCTCCGTTCATTCCCAATAAGCCACACTGAGCTCACGATTTTGGCCTCAGAAGCTTATCGGGGCCATATGAAGAATTTTCCTTCACAAGCCTTATAAACTCCTTCTTACTCGTCTGCTGTCCCGCTAAATCGCCCACTCTGCTAGCGAACAGCTTCATCAAATTCCCGATACTGATACCTTCCTTTGGCAGCGCGGCTGCGATCTCGTGAGGCTGGATTACGCCCGTGCCCGGTGACGGTGGTTTGGCACCCGAAGGAGCGGCTGGGAAGAATGTTAGCCTATGCATCTCACCATAATAGAAGGTGAAAAATAGCAGAAATGCGTTATGTAGAATGAACATAGTGAGCGAAACGGATGGACATAGTTTTCAGTGATCTGCTCTCGGGCCAGTCTAATAAGCTGACCCCACAGACAGATCACGGTCTCATAGAAATGAAGATGTATGCGCAGAGTAGGGGTAATTGGCTTACCTTGTCCTTGAGCAACTGGACTCCCAGAACGGCTTCCTCCAGGTCCAGCGGATCCAGCTCTCCCTGGTGCTGGGCTCGCCGCTCTTGAACCAGTAGGTGACCCTCCGAGACGAAGCTTGATCTTTTTCTTCCCACCATCTTCGCCACCAGTTGCTTCTCCATCGCTCGTAGCACCGCCTTGGCCTGCGCTTGGGTTCGGTGGTACAGACTGGATCTCGGATAGCCTTGAGGGATTCACATTGAGCTTGATGACGGATGATTTGCGTGGGCTTGAGGTCGACGCAGGTTGTGATGCAGGTGCAGGAGACATAGGGCGAGATCCAGGCATAGGCGTGCTGCTGCCTGTTGGTTGAGAAGAATGTTTCTTCTTGTGCTTCTTTCGAGACGATTCATTTCCACTTGCTTCTGAAGCTGAAAGGTTAGGAGATCCCGGTCTCTTGAGAGATTTGTTCTTTAATGGATCCGAGTGCTTAGGTCGCCCAGAAGGTGTGCTTGTCCCCTTCGACGAAGTGCCAGATGGAAGCTTTGATTCCAATTTGGCTTTGTTCTTTGCTTCTTCCTCCTTGCGTTTATCAATCTCCCTTTGCTTCTCCTCGTCCGATGTATCGTCCTCGCTCTATTCATCATTAGTAAACGGACCAAGATTTCAAAGCGAGCATGCATACCGAAGAGGCATATGGATTGCTAGAATCGCTCTCATAAACCGTCATCTTCTCTCGTTTTGTGAGCGCCTTTTTGACACTCTTGCCCAGTTTCTTTCTTCGTTCCGCCTCCCGTCTTTCTTCGGCAAGTTCCTCATCAACCTCAGCCTCATTTAGTTTATCGAATACATTAGCTCCCAACTGCTCCCGCTTAATCCTTTCTTTGGATTCCTTGGTATCTTCATCCTTTTCGGGTTCAATAAACGCCGTTTCGTCGTCATCCTGAAACAGGTCATTGTCATCGAAGTCTAGATCATCAGCATCTTGGACCTCGCTCTTGCTAGCGTTCTTGAAGGTCGTGCTTTCTGATTTGACGGTATAGAGGTTACCCAATTGTTTTCGCGTTTCAGCCGCTGCTTTGTCTGCATCTGCTTTCTCTTGAGTTTTCATAACCCAGCGCGATTCTCTAGTAGCTTTATTAAACCGAGCCTCAGCTTCCTCTATCGTAAACCCCTTGAACTGGTTCTTTTGGGTGAACTTGTACCACTTCTCGATTGGGATCATCTTGAAGCTGGTCCCTTCAATGACGAAGATGACGTTCGTATCCGAGAGGGCTGCCTCGTAATTCCCGACCCAGGTGTTCTTATTATCGGCGTCCTCTAAATGCCATGGGAGTGCCTCCTCGTATCTCAGATCGGATTCCTTTTTCTGAGCCTCAGTCTTGTCCAACCGGTGCACCTGAGTTGTCTTCTCGTTTCTGAAAGCCTGCGTCTTCTTGGCTGCCATTGCAGAAGCATTGTTACCAGTCGGCGCAATCTGGGCGAGATCCGCCGCTCTTCTAGCTTCCTTCTCAGCCTTCAAAATTTCCTGCTTCTCTTTTTCCTTTGAGTCGATGGGTTCCTCAGCAAGGAGTTCATCTTCCTTTACGCCTTTTCCTGCAACAGGTTGTCGAGGATCTCTCCTATGTAGCGAAACTGGTCGTGTAAACTCATCCTGGTTTGTAGGATCAACATCCTTCTTCGAAGCAAATCTTGCAATGTGATATCTCAGGCCTTCACGTAAAGCTCTCTTGGTTGTGAAGAGGGGAAAATCCTGGTATGGACCCGCTGGAGGGTGTGTCCAGCCACCATTTGCCCTTGGGTCACCAACGGCTTGGGGAGATGGTGCATGGGGAGGGGCCAGAGGTGCGGGAGAAGGCCTTGACCCTGGCTGAGACGCGGGCGCATCCCTTCCTCTATGGCCTGGAGGCCTTGGAGGAAGGTTTTGTCGTCGAGGGAGAGGTTTCTTGCGCGGTACCAACGGATCCACGGGTTTAGGCTTGCGAATCAATCGAGGAGCTCCATTTGGCGTTGGAGTCGGGCCATTCGAGACGCCGGACGGAGAGGCGCTCATCGTGCGCAACGAGATCTGAGAGGTTCGCAGTTCGCGTGCCTTCAAGGATGAGCAGATTAGCTCAGTGGCAGTTCACCACGAAGATTGTGCTCTCTAGGCTGTCTTCATGAAGTGTGTAGGAGAAAGTCGAGAAAGCTTTAGTTGAGCGAGTTGGGACGCGAAACCGGCTGTCGCATTTATTTGATGGGGATATAGTAAGACGCCTGAATATGCGCTGTCGCGGTGTGAGATACGTGGGAGATCGTTGGTATCGTATCGTGGTATGCTGAGGAGTTGGAGTTGGAGTTAGAGTTGGATGTTGTGTGCTCTCTTTGTCCTGGGATTCCTGAGAGGTCGAGATAGCCGCGATTGAATGAGGCAACGCTCCAACCTGGCGCGCTGAGTAAGACCTGACTAAGCGGGCTCAGCAAACCAGCGTTTTGCGGAACAGGGCGTCCTTCGAAGAGCGAACTCCTAATAATAAAGAGATCCTGGATTCCACCTCATCTTCCTCTCTTTGATACAGCCAAACTACGACCGTTAGACTTCTCGCCCTCCGTTTAGATCGGCTGCCACTTATCGCGTGCGGGCCTTGGTCAGTTGTCGAGACTGAGGACAATGGACGGGATCGGTCGTTCTCGCAAGCATACCATCAAGTCCCTTCACTCACGAGTGGGTTGGTCTCACGAGACACAGTGAAAGGAAGAACCTTTCCTCTACTGGGAACTCTCAGATTCTTGTTCGCGCTGAACAAATTTGTCTCTCGTTGTTCCTTTTCCAATCCCATCGATCGAATCTCACCTTCAAGTCACGTGGCATGAGCCGTCGGACGCGAACATACTGTTTCCCGTGATAATCTTCACTTCTTGAGTCTAGTGGCACACGTTGATTGTCTTATTCTCAAGCCTGGACTGAGTCCAGTTGAATCCACACATCTATTGGTTCTCAAATCTGGATTGCGCGAAAGTTGGACGAAGCTTCTGCGAAGATGTTTCCCAGCTCGCAAGATCTCGCTGCCCCGGGTCGTGGTAGTAGTGACCTTGAAGACCGGCTTCGAGGTCTCATTCTCAGCCATGTCAACGAAGTTCCTGGTGGTGGCAATCAGCTGCCGTTCTCTTCAACTGTGCGGCCATATATGTCTACGGTAGCACCAGCAAATCAGCAAGAATATTTGGCCCCGGTGTTGCCTCCATCCCCGACTCCTCCTTCACGTATGGCTGGAAGAAACCAAACAATGCGGCAAGACTATGTCCATATGAATCTCCATCCGGAATTTGAAGCTCCGACAGATATATTAGATCGATCACCTCAGCGAGGTCGGAACAGATTCAACCAAGAACGTCGACAGATGCATTCACAGCCATCCGTCCCCACAAACGCAACACTGAACCAAGGCACACAACCAGGTCGAGGGTTTGCCTCTCCAGCTGGGAAAGCGCAACCAGGATGGGGCGCTCCTCATTTCAACAGTCATTCCCAGTCGAATCATGATCAGAGACATCCACAGCAGCAGCAGCAGCAGCAATATTCGCAGCGGTTCCCAAACCAAGGCGCAGCTACACCATACTCTCCTCATAGTCCTTATTCGCGAGGAAACCCACAGCCATCAATGAACCAACATCAAGCTGACTCTAGTTCTGGCTATGTACCTCAGAATATTCAAGCTCCAAACCAGTTTCAACAGTACCAGCCTGGAAACCGGGCTGTTCCAGGAACCCCTTACGGAAGAACCCCACCTCAGAATCGACAGCTTTTCCAACCGGGCCCCTATGGTGGACAAGGTCGTGGAAGGCAATCTGGTGCGACTCCAGAGGAGATTGCCAATCAAAGCTCCTACCTTGTGAAGTTGTTGCAAGACCATGTTTCAGCCGTGGGTATGGATGCTGAAGAAGAGGCCGAAAAGGAAACCTTCAGAGCGGTAGTTGAAAATGCATGCCGAGATGCTATAATTCGATATGAACGAGAGGAGCTAGGCAATTCGAACTTTGACGCATCATCTGTGGAACTAAAGTGTTTTGGTAGTATGAGCTCAGGCTTTGCTACAAAAGCATCGGATATGGACCTTGCACTTCTGACACCATTGTCGAAGCCTGCGGCTGATTCTCCAGAATCTCCCATACCGCGTTTACTTGAAAGAACGCTACTAGACTTGGGATATGGGGCTCGATTACTTACGAGAACACGAGTCCCTATTATCAAGCTATGTCAGAAACCCACTGAGAAGCTATTATCGGACCTGCTTGAAGCGCGTGCGAAATGGGAGAATGGCTTCAATGCAGAGCCAGAGGATGAAGATGAAGAAGCTGCTGATGACGAGCCCAAAACCTCCGATGATCATGAAGGGTTACAGAAGGAGAAGGTGAAAGTCATGGAAAGCCCAGCGCCCTCTCCTGCAGAGACTACATGCTGCAAGCCAGGATCCCGTGAGGATGAAATTTCCAAGTTGAAGCAGAAAGACAATCAGTCCCTCGGAGATTACTTCAACGCGGCGAAGCGTCTGCTGCGAAGGCTTGGTGGTCGAGATGTATCCGTGGGCTCGCCGAACTTTACTGAAGAGGAGTCCAGCCTGCTTAACGATGTCTGTAGAGCCTTCATATCTGGTCTTTTATACGAACCATTGATAGCGCGGCTGCGCACATATCAAACGATATCTCCGCTATTTGACCCATCACTGCCTCCTATTCAACGATCGCTCAACGGAGTCTGGACTCAAATCGAAGGAGAGCGATTTGCTATGGCCTTTGAAAACCGTTCTCTTACAGAAGCAAATGAACGCCATGAGGATGTATGTCTGAAACTGGTCGAAGCGTGGCGATCAATACAAGACAATGCCGGAGTCATTACGGAGCCAGTGTTATACAACAGGCAACTATACGTTGCGGCCGAGAAGCTGAAGGCTATGAGCTCCTTACAGCTGATGTTTCTCGAGCAGATTCAATATGAAGACCCCGTGTTCTACCATAGGCGAGCACAGAGGATATTGGATGACCTTAAGGGTGAAGATTTGCAGAAGTCAGAAACTGTCACTGCCATCGTGATCTCCCACTACATCTCTGGAATTAACAACCCCCAAATCCGAGAAACAATGCAGAATGCAATGCAGACTTCGTCATACAATACGCGCACCCTTAAGGATGTAGCCTTCCGGCACCGAATTTTGCAGCTTGCGATTGATTATGAACACGCTTTGAAGAAGGAGGTATACCAGCATACCGACCGGTCGACAGTTGAGCAGTATATCGACTTCCTCCGAAACAAGGTTCACGAAGACAAAATCGAGCCCAATCTGTTGGCCAAGATACGTGCGCTTCCCGATCCAACGGTTATGTCTCCGAATAAACCTCGAGACCGATACAGAGATCAGCTTGAATTCCCGAAGACCGACGTCGGCATCCAATGTGACATCAATTTTTCGGCGCATCTTGCCTTGCACAATACCTTACTTCTCCGCTGCTATTCCAATACCGACCCACGAGTGAAGCCCATGATTCTCTTCATCAAACACTGGGCGAAAGTCCGCGGAATCAATACCCCTTATCGAGGTACATTAAGCAGCTATGGATACGTCCTCATGGTTCTCCATTACCTTGTAAATGTTGCACAGCCCTTTGTATGTCCTAACCTTCAACTTCTGCACCGAGATCCACCATCGTATCTACCACCGGCCGAAATCGAGGCGCGGACAACATGCAATGGCCGGGACGTACGGTTTTGGCGAAACGAATCTGAGATCAGAAATCTATCAAGCCGCGGAATGTTGAATCATAATCATGATTCGATTGGCGTGCTTCTCAGAGGATTCTTCGAATATTTCGCGCAAGGAGGGCAGATGACAACCGTGCGAGGCAGGGGTTTTGATTGGGGAAGAGAGGTTCTCAGTCTAAGGACAGAAGGGGGTATCGTCTCGAAGCAAGAAAAGGGATGGGTTGGTGCGAAGACAGTAGTCGAGACTACTACTATTGCTGCACCATCAGTGCCGCCAACACCCGGGCGTTCAAAGGATCAGAATGATGCGCAATACAATCCTGATCCTGACGAAGAAGGAGTGGCCAAACCTACGAAACACCAAGTAAAGACGATTGAGGAGACTAAAGAAGTCCGTCACCGCTATCTTTTCGCAATCGAAGACCCCTTCGAGCTGGACCACAATGTCGCTAGAACAGTCACGCATAATGGGATTGTGGCTATCAGGGATGAATTTCGGCGTGCATGGCGTCTTATCAAAAGTATTGGGAGGCCAGGTCAGACCGAGGGATTACTGGATCCGGTCAACAGTGGAAAGGAGAACCAAGGTGGTTTACAGGAGTTGCTTGACTTGATTCATGGGAAACAGGGAACTGATGACACGGCATTTAGATAGGGGTATTGGAACTGGCTGGAGCAGGGGGGGAATCTGTCTGAGTATTACATGGAGGAAAGGGTAGCAGCTACTCGCTGAATTTACGCATTATTCAATATTTCTCTTGCTGGCCATGGTGTTGAAAGTTTGCATTGATATATAATCCTACTTCTAGGGGTCTTCCAGGGCTCATAAAATGGGGATATTCATCTTCCTGTATGGGTATACAACCTTGGAGCATTGCCATCCTCTGTATTCCTCAGTACCTTATATACAAACCCAAGGCGGCAAGACGTGGCAGAATCAGCCAAGCTAAACTTCATTTGTTAAGAGATATTCGGCCCCGCCAAAAAATAACAAGAGCCGCCTCTCGAATTCCCCTCTGCATTGCAATACATTCCAAACAAGATGCCTACAGAGCTCGAAGAAGCATGTCTTCCCTAGATCCGGTCTCCAGTTCTCTACTAACACCTCTATAGTTGGTAGAATTCATATCCCACGGCAACACCCAAGTGCGACAACTTGGTTTGTCCAGCTCCCTCTCCCCCACCAACGACGTAACTGACCCTTCGCAGCGGTGGAAAACCTTGTCCCCTACTCGACAGCGCAGCCCTCGATATTTAAAACCAACCAGCTGCTACCCGTTAAAGATTTGAAGCTCTTGGTGCGGGATTATACAGTATGTCTCTTGTCAACAGTTCGCATTTTGGAGCAGCTGTTGACCCATAGAAGAAAATAGCGAAAGATGCGCTCACAATCCTCATCAACCTCTCTACCGACCGAGAGGTACTGGAATTCCTGGCCACGGATAAGGAGTTTTTGAAGACGCTCCTGGGCCGAGTGACTGTATGTGCGTCCCCCGTCGTTCTCTCCTTTCCCCCCTTTTTGGACCATCTCTAATAACTAATTCCTCGTCGCAGAACCCCAAAGAGCCCAATGCGAACGAAATATCTATGCTCCTAGCCAACCTAGCCAAACACGATGACATAACAGAGATCCTCAACCTCGAGAGACCAGCGCCGGCTGAGCTAAAATCGAACAACAAGGGAATAGACCAGCTGCTGGATTTATTCGTGAGAGGCGCGGATGGAACGTACAACAAGGATGCCGATTTCGACTACCTATCCTACCTCTTCGCAGATCTCGCGAAGCACGAGGCAGGCCGTAAATATTTCCTCACCAAACAAGCCTACGACGACGTAGTGCCTCTATCCAAACTGGTCGTTTTCACCGAACACAGCTCAACGATCCGACGCAAAGGCGTCGCGAGCACGATCAAGAACGCCGCGTTTGAAGTGTCCTCGCACCCGCAATTCATCGACGAGGATGCGATCAACATCCTGCCCTATTTACTGCTCCCGATTATGGGAAATGAGGAATATGACGAAGAGGACTCGTTGGCCATGCTTCCAGACCTGCAACTCCTCCCGGCGGATAAGAAGCGCGAGCCGGATAACGCCATCATCCAGACGCATGTCGAGACGTTGATGCTGCTGACCACGACGAGGGAGGCGCGGGATCTCCTGAGAGAGATCAAAGTCTATCCCATTATAAGGGAGACGCATCTGCAGGTTGAAGACGAGGGCGTGAGAGAGGCGTGCGAGAGGTTGGTGCAGGTTTTGATGAGGGATGAGGAGGGAGAGGAAGGGAAGGAGAATGTAAGCGAGGGCATGAAGGCGTTGGAGAGGGCGCCTGCGAATGCTACTCAGAATGGGAGCGTGCCGAAGCCGTTTGGTCGTCAGGCTGGGGGAGGAGCCGGGACTTGGGCGACTACGGAAAAAGAAGAGAAGAAAGAAGAGAGTGAAGATGAAGATGAAGATGATAAGGTGGTTGAGGTATAATGCAATTGAAGGTTACCAAGTAAAAGCAAAAATGTTGATCTTCCTGAGTACTTTTTTGGCTCTACGACCGACTACGGAAAAGGAGCGAATTCATACATTAGAATATCATTTCGACTATTGATCAACAGCGCTCCCCCCACCCCCCCAAAAAAAATAAAAAGAAGGCAAACTCAACACATCATTAAGCAACGGTATAATTCCCACTATACCCCACGAAACTCTCCACAGTCCCCAGAACAGGGACCTTATTATCGCCATGATAAACCGTCCTATAGGTCCCCGGCTGCGTATAGTTCTCCGTCTCCCAGCTAATCACCACGCTCGAATAGCCCAGCACCGTATCCGTCCTTGTCCAAGTATACACCAACGCCCAATCCGCATCGTTCCTGACCTGTATCCAGGTTCCATCGACCAGCATCTCGATAGCCGCGAACGTTTCTTCAAGTCGGAGGTTGTTGCGCGGATTGGCGCCCACGAACGTCGCGTTGATGACGTCGCCTACGCTGTAAGAGGGGAGGGGTTCCGTGGTGCAGTCCCCGAAAGAGGACCCGATAGGCGCGTTGTCGTAGACGACGATGTCTTTGTTGATCAGGCTGAAGGACTCGGATGCGGCTCTGTTGTCGGGTGGTGTGGGGCCGGGGGGAGGGGACGAGGTGGAGCCGGCTGCTAGGTACTCGATGTTGGAGGTTGAGAGGTACATGTAGGCGTATGATTCCCATTGGCCGTAGAGCGTCGAAGCCCCTTCGTACCGCTGGATACCGTATTCCTCTGGCGTGGCGGCGTAATGCGCATATGTATTTGCAGGTCCTCCGAGAACGACTTTTGGAATCGTGGTAGTAATAGATTTGTTCACTGCAGCTGCGGCGACAGCATCCCTCCAACGACGGCCCGTCATAGTTGTTGCTTCACTGGGGGAAATGATCATGATAAATTGGCCGACACGGAAACTTTGCACGTCAACAATGTTAGGCGTCCAGGGGTACGGCTCGTTCATTTGGCCAACATCCAAGAGGATTGGTTTCGGTTTTTGGCAGGCAACCTGCTCTGGGGTTGGAGTGGTAAGGAGGTCTGATACCAGAGCCCAGAATGGGTTCTGAGCTTTGGTATCATTGTCGTTCTGCGTGAAGTCGAATGCCCCTGGTCCATCAGTGGTACCACCAGCGAAACCGTATCCTAGAGCAGCTGGGCATGTTTGCACTATTGTTCCATTCGGGAGTGGAAACTGGTAATAACTCATATTTTGAAATGTATGGTAAGATTTGACACTGCTGTCGCTCAACGGAGTTGAGACAGTATCAAATGAATCCTATTGCAGTATAAGGTCGGTATTCTGTTAGGAGTTTGACGAATTCATAACTCACATAAAGTGCCCGGGCTCCAACAAACACCCTTCTGCCGATTTCGTAGCAGCTGGAGACACCAAGATCGACTTTCTGAAATTCTGGGCCTCGAAAGATGTCAACTCATCTGAACAGCAGCTTTCTCGGTGAACCTACCTCTGCCGTGGCATGTTTCACTAATCCCTTTGCAAGTACTATTCTCAAATGAACACATCTCTCCAGAGCCATCATCACACCAAGCTCCTAGAATATTTGGCGACGTGTCACCAACATTGGCCTGAGAAAACCCCGCCACAAAACCGGGGGCTGCAGTAGGATCACTCAACGCTGCCTGTTCAAAGAGGTACGAAGAAACCCCCTTGTTGTCGCCAGTGACATGGGTGTTGTTCTCCAACATCGAAGTTCCATGGACCTATGAAACCAGTGAGATTTGGAGAAGAAAGCAACAGAGCAAATGACTTACAGCGTGCCACGCAAGTATACCCATGTTCAATCCATCAGATGCACGCTGGAAACGTAACATGGTGAGGGTTTTGTCGACATCGTATTCGTATTGCGCCCTCTCCTCTGCTGGGTTTGCTAGATACGAGTAAGGGCTCCGATTAATATTTGCATCAAGCGAATCAGTAAGATTGGTATCGGCATATGCTAAAGTTCCCAGTGTAAGTGACTCGTGGGCTCTTTGTATTGATAGAACGGCACCATCGACAACAGCTTGATAGGATGTGGTGCTGAAGCCCAGGCTTGTGACCTGGGGCAAAAGATAGTTTAACCCTATGACCTTGCGTCAGTCAAGATTTGAAGAAATCATGGTTCGGGAAAATGCCGTATGTTTGACTCTCGAGTGGCACGATGTGAAGTACTTACATGCACCTGGACCAGAATGCTGATGAGTACCAACCACAGCCACATTACTCTGGCCATACATTGCATAGTCTGGGCCTAAACCTGCCAGCCCTTCGAGAATTCCATTTCTGATCGCGGTATCTCCCATTGCCGTATCCAAGATCATATATACTATGCGGTCATTAACATTGTTTGGGTCTCCGATGATGAAGGACCGTGAGTAAACCCTTTGGCGGAGTCCAGTGCCGATCTGACTGAGGCTTGCATAGCCCTTGAAAGAGTATTAGTGTTATTAAATTGTAGGATCTGTTCAGGAACTTCAGGAACCGGAAAATGTTTTCAACACGGAACAAAATGGTTCGGCCACTTAGAACTGGAGTTCAGACTTCACCCCAGGACCATTTTGTTTCGAAAGGCAACGGGAATTCAATCATCTTGGCAATCCCCGTATTTCGGCTTTTATGCAAATAATGTGAAGACAAAGACACGTTCTGAAATGAGCGATCAAATCCGTACGTAGGAATTAACATCATTGAAGACTACTTTGACGCCTGTCTGCCTTGGGTTCGGCTGGTTTAGAAGTCTCATACCAAGCCCCTGTAGAATTCAAAGGAAGCTAGCTCACCATAAAATTGACTTCAACGACAGGTCTATTAATCCGAATCAGTCAGAAGATCAAAATCCGGAGCATCGCTTTCTTAAATACCCAGTAATATCCGCCTTTCCTACACCAAGCAAGTATTGACCATCGGCAGCTCTTGTTGTGTGTACAAGCCATTCCAAGTCACCAAGCTGTGAAGGAGGAATTGGCCGTGATAACAGCTTTGCGACTCCCACCACGAGAACTAACGAAACCAAGAACGACAGAAGAAAGATACAAGCCCAAGATAATTTACTCCATCTTGAACTTTTCGGACGAGGGTCTAAATGTTCGACTTCGAGCTTTTCCCCCACTCGAAGCTCTGAATATTCATGAGACGGATCCATATTGACAGAGAAAGGCGCATAAACACAGAGACAGGAGGTTGAAGAGAAAGCTTGGAAGATATAAGATTCCAGGGGTAAGTAGTACCGTATACGACCGGGTGTCACCGACTCACCAGTCTCTTGACCTTGTCGATGCTCATTATGCTGAAGCTCTCCTTTCTAGTCGACGGGGAGAGATCATTTCCCTAGCCAGAGGTTATGGCCCAGTCAATGCTATCAGCCGACCCGAGCCCTGGACAAGAGCAATGCCACCTGCCCAGAAGATCCAAGCATAGCTCGGCATATCCAACATATGATTGTAGCTTGCGGGGGTGATAAAGCGAAGCTGGGGATTGATGCAGGCTGCTTATCGGTGGCGACCCAATGGGGACTCTGCATGTCGAGGGACAGGCAGGAGAAGCTGGGCTTGGTTTGGTTGTTGCATGTTTAGAAGAAGAAAAGGACAAGGGGTTGTGCGGGGGATTGGAATGGAATACATGTACCAGTAGCAAGGCCAGGATGAGCGGGCCGAAAGTGGTGTAGCGCTTGAGGCACGTGATTTCGTCTATCATGTTGCCTTTCACTTTGTACGATGCGACTTCACATCACTCTTGTGGAGAGAAAAGCACCTTCATTCCCCATTTGATAGCAAGGTTATCAGGCGTAGATTTAATGTTTTGGACTTGAATCTTACAGTACCATGGAATCCCACCTCTCTCAAAAGCAGCCGTGTCAGGATCTGAGATCTGCGTCGGGTTCACAGTGTGCAGAGCCGTGGAGCTGCGCTGTACGATATTTTCTGGAAAAAGCAAGTTCTTTTGCTTGCTCTCTACTCCCCAGGTACAAGGTTTCAGAATATCTGTCTCAAGATGGTCACGCTCAAGGGAGTTCGGACCCATCATTCAAGTTGAATAGTTGGTGATCTTGCCCTCGCAGGTATTCTATTCTCTTCCAAGTATGATGTCGATTTCATTTCTGTCGTACATCGTCGCATTATTCTTCTATTTCCCGGTAACTTTTGATCACTAAGGGTCTAGTACCACCTCATGCTCCTTGTCAAAAATTATATCATCGAGATCACGATGCCAAGTCTACAGTTCCCACACTTCGAACCTATCTCAACCACCCCTGGATTCCTCGAAGTCTATCCTAATAGCAACTGATATGCAATTGCTACATCCAGGGACAAGTTAGTTGTACTAGGACCACCGGGTGCAAAATTTGCTGCCCCAAACTTCAAATGTCTCTTCGCACTCTCCCTCCTTGCAGCTCGTGCCCTTTCACGATTCTCCGCAAGAACAACAATACCCACAAGTCTCAACAACCCATTATCATTCCGAACGAGCACAGCCCGTTCGATACCATGGATCTGAAGAACGAGGTCTCCAATGCGAGCTTCTGGTGGTGCCAGTCCTATTCGTCCTGGTGAGTCGTGACCACCACCCCACAATTCGAGCAAGAATAAATGTTGCTCTGTGGGAAGAGATTTCAAAATGTAGGAGCTAGAGCGCAAGCCGTTGCCTGAAACTCCTTGTTTCTTTCCTGATATCAGACCTTCACCTGTGTTGTGCACTGTGCGCGGGATATGAATGCTCGGCTTCCAAGTGATATCACGATGAAATGAGGTTATCATCTTTAGAGCTTCATTCCCCCTTTCTTTCATCGTCTCAAGGAAAAGTTCACTTTCCTCCATGGCTCCAGCGACGTGGACTCTGGGGATGTATTGATTGATGCTGGCTCTCCACCGAGCCACCTCCTTGGGATCCGACAAGATACTATGATGCGTTGGGCCGAAGGAACGAATGCACCCGACTAGCCGCGAAGCAATTAGGAGCTCATAAGGATTATGGCTGTCCATTCCATGCCGGATAGATCCTTGGCCAGGATGGGCCTTCCGCAGTGTGAGATCTTGATAGATCTCGTCTGCTGTGGCAATGCTCGGCCCTCCAAGCACTTTTTGAACGAGTCTGCCAAATTTCATGGTATCATGACGAGAACCTCCACGTTCAGAATTCTTGAACATGATTGTGTCTTTCCATACTTCGAAAAGTGACTTTCTATAGTCAATCGGAAAGCCGTCGACACAATCAGAGGCCAGTCCAACAAATCCGTATACATGATCTCGCGGCTCTTTACAAAGGGCCTGTTGGTGGTTTTCTATGAGGTTTTGCAATTTATGCCCCTCAGCATACTTATCCTCCATCTCCCTTTTCAATCTCATTGGTATATTATTCTCCACATTGGACCACCTCACTGCACTGACTGCTTGGATGAAGTTCTTCCAATCTACAGCATGCCTTTCATAACAAATCTGGATATTGCGTGCAACACTAACTAATCACAAAGTCAGCAGGCATAATTTCTAACTATGGTCAAGAAGATACGATATTCGGGTATCCCCTTCAATAGCAAAGGTGTTTCTGGAGGACCAACAGGGCATTACTCACTTTCCTGAATAATCCACAATCGGTTCCAATACGGCGCGCTGCACAGCAACTGCAAGACAGCTCCACGCTCTTGATCCGAAAATCGGCCACCGGGGTAGAAGAAAATCTGCCAATCCTCTACTGGTCTCAAATTTGACCGCCGATCCAGCGGCGGTCGAAAGAGGCCAAGCCATGCTAGGACCACCTTAGCCCTCATGTAGATATATGGCATGATCCGAATCTGTCTGCTCTTCTCCCGGTCGTCGTGTTGATTTATACAAATGGCATCGACCCAAAGTACACGCTCGTTTTCCTTGTGCCTCAAACATCGCAACGCATCCAGCAGGTTTAGCGTCGTGTCAAACGGATGCCCGTCGATCGAGATGCTCTTCCTCACCATTGCATCCCCCCACATATACGACAGCGCTTCGTACTTCGGCCGCTCTCCAAAAGTCACGTGCCTCAGTCGACATCGGACGGGATCCTGGAAACCCTTTGCGGGCTCCAGAATTACTAACCGGGTGCCATCGACGGTGGGATCCAGTGGTCTGTACGGAAATGGTTGAGTGGGTTGAGCGGGCTGGGAGGATGGAGTAGGAGCAGGGTTGGCAGCGCGCGAGCGAGAGAAGAAATGGACCATATTTTGAATATGAAATCAGATTTGAAGCATAGCGATGGAAGTGAAGTGTGCGGATTTTCTTCTTATTATCACAATAGGCGCAAGGCCAGTTGGTGCAAGGCGAGGCTGTGTCGTTTCAACTGCCGCCTGTATAATGGACATCCCAGCAAGGCGCATCGCGAGCAAATCCCATTTTTGTAAACTCGCGCATAGCCGCCATCTCCAGCGCTTCTTTAAAACCCTGGGGCTATCCCGATAACGCCTCGTAGATCCTGACCCAGTCATTACCCCAGAATCCCCAGAATTCCCAGACGTCCTTTTCATGTTTTCATGTTTTCATGTTTCCATGTCCATCATTGGCATTCCAATCATTCATCGTCCTCGGCCTCTTCCTCGTCCACCGCCACCACCTCCTCATCCTCAGCTTGTTGTCTACTCGTCCTAACTCCACCACTCCTTCTCTTCCCCTTCAAATAATCCTCCGTCGTCGTTATCACCCTCTGTCCCACAAACGCCTTCCCCTCCCACGCCGTCTCACACCTCGGACATTTCTTCTCCGGTCTCGAGTTCCAAAACGCCGCTTGACAGATATCATGCAACCTGACATTACACTCCAAATTCATGCATCTCTGGCCCACGGTAACGATCTCCTTGCACGCCTCACAGAACTTAATCCTCTGCCAGCCGCCCTCCTCCTCCTCCTCATCATTATACATCTCGACCAACCAGGCCCTCAACTCCATCAACGCTCTCGGGGTCAACGAATACCAGCCCTCCTTACTCCTCTCCAACCAGCCCTCACTCTCTAGAACGCCCAACAATCTCTCCGCTTGTTCATGCGTTAGCCCTCCTCCGCCAGCCTCCCCCTTAATGACCCTTTTCTCTAAAGCTTGCATACTCGTAACCGCCATCACCTCCCTCCTTCTCGTATTATACACATCGAACATAGCATCCAGCAGTCGGCGGATATACGCCATCTCATCCGGCGTCCGCGCAGTAGCGAGCTGCGTCACCCCATCACTGATACTATTGACCACCGCCCAGATCCGCTCCTTCGTCACCTGATGCTGCGAGCTCCGGATCTCATAATCATATACAGAAAGCACAGATGCCGCGGCCGCGACGTACGATTCGAAATCGGCGCGGGTGGCGTGTGCTGGAGCTCCGTCTGCGCAGCTGAAGATCGAGGAGAGGATCTTTTGCCCCTCGGATAATGTCACGGAGCCCCGCGCGAGCAGCGCTTGTAGAAATGCTCGGTTCGTGTCGTCGTAGTGCCCGAGTGATGGGTCGGAGGTGGAGGACATGCTGGCTGCTGGGTAGGTTGGTGATGCTTTGCGTTGGTGGGATGGGGAGACGCGACGGCTTGGAGGGGCGCGATTTAGCGTGTTGATTAGTCATCGGGTGGGAGGGGCAGAGACGAGATGATCAAGGGGAACTTGAGGCAAGTAAGGTAAGGTAGGTATATTACTGCGATTTACGATATATAAGGACTGAAACTGATAGATGTTCCAAGACCTAAACCCTTCTCACACCCACACTCCATCCTCGATCCATCCCCCTTTCCCCAATCCGCATCTACGTATTCCCTCTGTCCAAGTAACCACTTCTCACACTGTGTATTGCGGATCCTTTGCCTTCCCATCATAGTGCTGTAGAATCAAAGTCGATAAATCGATCCCATTCATGGTGCGTACATTGATTGGCATCTTCTCTCCCCCCTGGACTTTCACCAGCATCGAAACTCCGCACTTGCTGCAGAAGCAATGGGGGGACTGTTTGGAGAGAAAGGTATATTCTGTTAGATTCTCTGCGCCTCTAACTTGCACATTTGTGGTTGCGGGATAGATCCACAGATCGCCGTTCTGGGGTTGTGGTTAGAAGGGGCTGTGTCGTTGGTGGAGATATCGATGAGAGGGTGCTGGAATGTGGTAGGAGATTGGTACGTACGCGAGAGCATAAACTGCAGTTACAGCTCATGACTTTCAACTCCCCAAGCGGTTTACTTTTCACCGTGTACGTGACGGAGCCACAATGACAGTTGCCATTATAGACTCTCATACCCTCCTCTATCTCACCACCATGTTCCGGGACAGGTGGAGGTATGTATTTAGAACCCAGACTAGCACCGTCAAACTTACTATCTTCAAGAGAATCAAAGTCGATGCCATTAAACATCCGAATCTGGAAATTTGTTAGCGCTTCATAGAGATAGGAGATGTGAGGAAGAACATTTATGGCTATTTGTCGCCCAGGTGGGAGATTGGCTTTCTTGGCCAAAATGGAAGATCCGCATGTTGGGCAGAACTGTTACAAAAGAATTAGGCCTCTCACTCCTGTAGATACTGATGGTATACTCACCAAGTGTGTCGTGTTCTTACTTCCAAATTCATAGGATCTCAAAGTTCCTTCTCCTTTTTCCACAACCAGGTTCTCTTCCGGGACTGGCCAATGCCACATGGAACCCTTCTACTCCAACATCAGTAAGTCGCAAGGTCTGGGAGGAGGAGATTACCCTAAGGCAAAGACTGCAATTGCAGGTTCTCGCACTCTTCAGTTCTGGAATTTTGGCGCTGAATTTGAAGGCTCCGCAATGACAGTTACCATGATATATCTTCAGCTCTTCCTCATCCGTGGTGACTACTTGGGAGGAAGGAAGCTGAGGAGATTGGTGATTTTGACCTACGTCTGCCCCGCTGAAACTTTTCACTTCTAGTGTTGTCAAGTCGGCGCCTTCTAGCATTTGGACCTGGAAGTTGTCAAGGAGATTCAACCTCAAAATACGGTGGAGATCGCACATTGATTCTTAGAGATTGGTTGGGAGCAGCTTCACGTCTGCGTGCCATGACCGACGACCCACATTCGGGGCAGAACTTTGCCAAGTTAATATATCGGTTGAGACGTTCAATTTCATGACTTACCAGATGCGTCGTTCCTCTCATAGCAAATTCGTAGGCATGCAATTGCTTTTCAGTGCCAGTCTCGATGACGAGACCCTTCTCCGGAACAGGAAATACCCAGAGATAGCCATTCTGGAGACGAACATTCTCAGCTCTATGAGAGTAGAGTGGATTAAAAAAGACATACCCGAGCGCACATATGACAGCTACAAGTCCACACGGTTGTAAGCTTGGGGATGTGGAGCCTGAGCTGGAGAAGGCCACAATGGCAACTGCCATGATACTCTTTCAACTGAGGGTCACTTTCCATGGTTGCGAGACTCTTCAGGTGGATTCTGTATGAATCCTCGTCCGAATATCTCAAGGGCAGTAATGTAAGTTATACGCGGAGAAAGTGTTGGGGAAAGGCGGCTGATGCAGCGTACTCGCTACGGACTCCGCAGTCAAGAAAGATGACTCCGATCAGAGATGTATCTGGCCAGATCTATCTGAAATGTTGAGTAACATGTCCGCCAAAGATGCAAGATGCATCGTGAAACCACTTGGCATCTCGAGAGAGAATCAGAGACTAGAATAAGGAAATTATCACGTGATGTAAGCGTCCAGGTACCTCAACCTACTTCTCGCAGGAGGCAATGGGCTAATGTGGTCACTTCACACCTTTTCATTTGAAAGGTCAAAGAAGGCACGTTTCTATATGAGCGAAGCAGTATGGAGGACCTTTGACGTTGCTTGAATTTGAGACTTCTCTCAAGGCGTGACCCGGCGGTGTGCGTATATGGAGAAGCGAGTGTCTCTTTACTCGGCGGACACCAAATGCGGATTAGACAATACCTCGCCATCTCACTCGATACGCCTCTATGAAAGCATGAGAGCATGAGGGAGAGTTAGTGTGGAGGGAAGAGAAGCGAAGAGAGAAGGGATAAGCAGTGACGAAGGAAGGATGATGGTCAATCTGGCACATCTGACTGGCGCATCTACATAGGCAACCGGCGCATGCGTGTCTGCTGACCCTGATCATCTCCCCCAGGTCTGTCTTATAAGCTTGATCATCGCATGCATCTCTTATCGCAGCGATAAGTAAGGTTCCAATGAGAGATGACCCGGACACAGAGGGGAGAGGGAGAGGAGAAAGGGCCAACATGACATCATGCTTGTTGTTGCTGTCGTTGTTGATGTTGATGTTGATTTTGAGGTTTTGATGTTGATGTTGTTGATGCGGTTATTGGAGTAATGGATTGGATTACCTGATGATTACATACGGCGTCATTGTTGGGTTGAGAGGAAGACGACGAGGAGGGCAAGGCGTCAAGGCAGAGAGGGCGGGGCGGGGCGGAGAGGTCCGGCAAGCGCTTATCGACGTTGCATAAGGTAATAATACATGCACTCCGTAAATAAGGTATGCACAAATAGCAGTATATGTTCTATATATTTACCTCGGTAAATAAGATCTGGCTTATGTCTATAAATATCCCCGCTGTACCGCACGACAGAAAGCGCACACGTGGGGCAACCCCTTTGTTATCTCGTTATCTGCGGTATCTCGGTCCCTTGATGTCATCACAGTCATCTGCTGGCGCCTCTGGGGGAGACTGGTAATTATACACACTAATTACCATCCGCCATAGCCACATTTACCCGTCTGACTACCTTATTTACACTCTCCCGTATTTCCCTATTCATCCCGGGCGTATTAAAGAGACGCGCCCCGCCACCCACTCTTCCTCCCTCCCTCAACAACATCTGAATCAAGAACAACAACACCAAGGTCCGCTTCCCATTTGCCCACCTCTTTCTGTCCATCAACAGCTCCAGCTTCAGTGCTTCAATCCCTCCCTGTCCGCCTCGTCTACGTTCATTTGCCAAGCCCATCCCGCCCTCTTTGTCAGCCTCCTCTTCAGGCTTTCAGCCTTGCATTGACTGCCTCGCGTCGCCCTCGCCGTTTCCCCTGTATCATTCTAAAGCATTCTTTGTCTTTGTTCGCCTTTCTCTTCTCAAGACGCTCCCGCCTCATCGGTCTTCACCCCGAGAAGCCTTCGTTGCCGTGTGATCAGTACCACTGGTTGGTACTATACGAGAGACACCGTCATCATCCGGTTGGCGACTCTTCAACCTTTCCTTGAACCAGTCGACCTCTTAATACCTCAGACCTGTACCCGACTACTCCCTCCCATACCAGATTGAAAGACGGAACCCTTCGACCGCTTTTGTTTGTCTCGGACGATTCCTTAATCGAGATCAAAGGATCCCTCCCTTGAAAGACTCATCGATTCAGTCCCCAAGCTAGCTCGAACCCCCCACCATCCACTCCCAACATCATCATACCATCGCCCTCAAAACTTCCAAGCAAGCCCTCCTCCAGAAATGTCGTCAGCCTCCGTCACGTCTCCTACCTCCCCTGTTCCGCAGCGCGATATCCGGTCTGCATCGCGGCCATTCAAGCGCGATAAGGACCACGGCTCCAAATGGAGCATGGGCATGCGTCCCTCTGCTGGTGTTCGGATCTCCTACAACAATCTGACAGTTGAGGACTCTGATGGGCTTGTTGGAGGTAGTTCTTCTCAACGCGAGAAGGTGCGCCCTCATAAGCAGTGGAGTCAGATGTAAGCGCGACCTCAATCTGCCCCAGATAAATATGACTAACAGAACAAACCAGGACGTCCGATTACAAGTCTCACGCCAACAAAACTCCAAAACCAACCGCCCATGCCTCCTGGACCGCTGGCAATGCTTCCGGCCGTGTCGTGCGTAAAGTCGACGCCCAGCTCGAGGCCCAGTCCAACTCCCGCTCCGATCTATCTCGTTCCCTCCTCGACCTCCTCCCTCAGCACAATCAAAAGTCGTCTTCCAGCATCCAGACTGCGATCCGTGCATCGGGTGATGAGGGAATCCTCTATTCCTTTGACAGCAAGGGAAAAAGCCCGGGTCAGAAGGGTCGAGAAGTCGATCTCGGGGGCTTGGTGGAGATGGCGGAGCAGAAGTTTTTGAATGAGCAGACGGAACGCATGATTAAGGAGGACTACGAGGTTCTTGATGCGGATGGGGAGAGTGTTGTGCTTGCGAGTGGAAAGGGAAAGCGTAAGGGGAGTCCGAAAAACAATGCTGTCAAAACCGAGGTGAAGGTCGAAGATGACGATGATGGGTTCGAACTCATCTAAGCCCTTGTCAAGTGAACGGGGTGTTCATTATGATTGACGCGGACGAGTTTAATAGTGCCGTCGGTGCACGATCCTCCTGATCCTACGCTTTTCTTTTATTCTCTTTTATCTTCGACGGAGTCATTGCATAGCCTACCCAGGATCCGGGAAGGATGGCTATACTCGGGTTGGCGGTTTCGGTGTTCGGATCGGATTGCATAGCATAGCTTACCCTGCGGGGGAGGATAGCTTGGTGCATTGGCTTGGTGCATTGGGTGTTCATTAATTTGTTTCATTCGGTGTCTGGAGAGTATGACGAGATACCTATTATTACACGTATATGTGTCTCCTGCCTGCCGTATACGGGCTTGATCGTAAAGTCCAGGCGAACAATGCACTTCTATTCTTGTGTAAACAAATATGCCTGAAATTCATTGACCAAGTGACAAAAGACGTAAAAGATCACTTTCAGAATAACACGCCCATCAAAACTCCCTATTCCTAAAACCATCTATCCATCTACAACAAAAAGATCAAAGATGCAAGATCACAATTTAAAGATCCAAGATCCAAAGGTACCGACCTATACGATTCCCCACAAACTCTCTCCCCCCTCTATCCCCCCCCCCCCCCCCTTTTACTATCACAAAACAAGACAAATTCCCAGTACATACGGCCATAGACTGAAGAGAACTGGGCATCCCGTCCGCTCTGCCATACATAAGCTTCAGATCGGTAGATTAGTAGTTGGGTGGGTGACCACCAGCGAATACCTACTGCTGTATGTCTCTGTTTTGCCAAATTTTTTCTTTTTTTTTTTTTTTTTTTTTTTTTTTACAACTCCTTTTCATTTGTGTATGGATTATAGCTATAGGGAGAGCTGCAAGGTAAGGTATTGTAATATAATTTTCCAGTACCTACCTACCTACCTTATGGTATCTTAAATAACAAGCGTCGCTTGCCTTACTTACCTAGGTATTCCCCCCCTCATCCTCTCCCATATCAAAAGAACATAAGGTAGGGAATATAAGGTAGATAAATACCTACTACATACATACCTTGCTGGCTCAAGACTAGATGCGGAAGCTTATATCACCTTGTGGGTGACGGATTGGGGTTCGGACTGCTGCTGGATGGATTTTGGTTTGATCTGGGAAGGGTTCTGGGAGGGGTTTTAAAAGGAAAGGGTAAGGAAGGGGTTTGGGGATTCTTTCGTATTATGATAATTAATGATCATTCCCCCCTTTGAACTCTTTCGTCAAATGATCTTGAATCTATTACACTGAAAAGCAAAAAGCGAAGAGGAAAAAAAAGAAGCAAGATGATAGAAACAGACCCAGAAACAGCAGAAGAAACGGAAACCACTTACAACACTCCGCCCGCTCCATCCCTCCTTTCCTCATTCTTTCCCGATGGATTCCAAGACAAAGAAAAAGAAGAAGAAGAGGAAAAGAGGTCTCTGAGTCTTAATCTTAATCTTGTGAGTGATGAGCATATACGTCAGCTATGTCGAGATAAAGAGCTCTCGAGCACAGGGGATCGAGAGAGGGATATTGAAAGATTGAGGGAATGCGAGAAAATCGAGAAAGAACAACAGCTTCAAAATCATATGGGGGAAGTGATGTGTATTAAGGAGGCGACGACGAGGATGTTATCAGTTGGGAGCAGCACGATGGGATCGGATTCTGGGGATCGGGGACAAGAAGAAGAAGAGGAGATGGAAGAGATAGATTGGATGGCGCCTGAAGTGTCGGCGGCGGAGATTAGGAAGGAATGTTTGGCCAGAACCCCGAAAATTCATATCCCGAGGAGAGTTCTGGCGGCGGAGGTGAAGGCTACGTTTGGTGCGATGTTGATGGATCTGGATAGGTTGGAGAGGGAGAGAAGGCAGAGCATTCGCAGGGCGGGGTTGGACATGTCTGACACGTTGAGGGAATATTTGACGTATTTGGATGGGATTGACGGGCGTGAGGCTCCTGCTTCGCTGGGAATGGGAGAAGTGGAGGACGAAGGGGGAGATGTGGAAAGTTTGGTGGAATCGCGGGAGCTTGGAGCGATAGGAGGAAGAAGTGAGGAGGAAAACGAGACGTTTGTTGTTAAAGAACCGTCGGAGGAAGGACAGGAAACTATGGATAAAGAGGGTCAGCAGGAACAAGGAGAGACAACCAACGATGAAGTCTCGAAGAATGTAAACCCTGCGGAGGACATCACGGCCGCATTCATAAAATATATGCGCAGATAGGGCTCATGCGAGACCACTAAATTGTTCACTTGCTCGTCCACATCCCTTGGATTCAGGAAGTGAAGAACACTGATTCTGATCTGTCTGTGATGCTTTTTGCCCGTCGATAAGGAAAGATGTTGTAGTGGATTTCTTTCGGCACCGCTGTCAACCACCCATTGCCTAAAGAAGCAGAATTATAGTTATATGCTAGAGAAACAGCCATTGCTTAGTGGCCAGAAGTAGATTTAGTAACAAAACTGCATAAAAGAAGAGAAATAAGAGCCATCTAAGTACAGCAATACTGAATGAGCGACAATGTACGTGGTACGCTCATCCAGTATTGCTGTATTTAGATAATGATTGGCTCCTTATGGCCAGGCGATTGTTCACAAGTGCGTATAAAGAATGTGGAATTATCAGCAACGAAAGTAGATGCGATGCTGCCCCCAAACTCGGGCCCAAAAGATCCCTTGATACCAGGTGTATGAGGATTGTTGAGATGAGGTCCGTTCTTCCCCAGTATCAAAGCGCCGGCTATATAACGATCAATAACATCAAGCATGAAATTTCGAATCCCGGTTTTTACCATGACAACAGTTGAGAGATATGGGGTAGGATTTGTGGCCACCACGTATTGACGACGACAAGCAAACACGAGAGGAAGGTAGAAACCAACGCAGGAGATATTGCTTGATGTTGGAGGCCTCGCCCCCAGATCCTCTGCTCCCTAAACCTACCTCTCTCAGGTTGATTGGAAGGCCATGCCTATGTTAGTAATGAGGCCAGCATCTTACGTGGAGTATGTGCTGCTGGCACGGGTCTCCCCAAGCTCAACATCAACGATTCAGATTGAAAGGACCTACCTATACCCTCTCAAGAGCCCAGGAATGGAGGAAGCTCCACTCACTGATACGGTAAAGCAAGGAAGAAGTTGGGCTTTGTGTACCGGGAGGTATGCCAACGACGGTTGTCTGGATGGCAGGGTTCTCTGTTCTTGATTCCACGATATGACAAGCAAGGTGATGATCCATATAAGCAATAGGACGGTATCAGTAAAAATCAACCACAATCGGGCGATTCCGCAACTCGTGCTTCGAGCCCCCCACAGCAGAAGCGTTCACAAACGTCGTGCACTTCTCCTTCCCCATCCCCTTTCTGCAGCGCAAGCATCGAGCAATCCTGGCGCCGAGAACCCTCATCGCCATCCAAACCAGCGCTTCCCAGCGCGACCAATCGTTAAGGATAGCCTCGTACGTACGCTGTATGCCGTCAAGCACGACGTCCTCCCTTCCGTACGAGATGTGGATATGCCCAAACACCACGAGGCGCGGGCGGACGCGGATCAACTCCCGCCCAAGGGATGGGCATCCTTGGTGGTGGGAATTGCGCCCGTCGAGGTGATAACGCGGTGGGCCGTGTGTGATAACAATATCTGCGTTGGAGGGAATGCGATGCGCCCAGCGGTCCTCGGTGCGCCCGCGCCGGTACTGGAAGGCGGCGGTGCCATGCTGGGGCGTCCAGGGGCTACCAAAGACAGTCAATCTTCTTGTTTCGTGCTGACTCGGGTCACGAGAGCCATTTTGTGGCACTTCCAAGTCTAGGGTAACAGAAGATTCACAGAGATAGTGTACACTGCCCCATTCAAGATCTTCCATGCGCTTGATCTCGCCGTATAGCCGCTCAGGGTGCATCCTCAGAAATGCTTCATCGAGCAAAAGCTCATGGTTGCCGGCAACCATCAGCTTGTAGCGGTGGGGTTGGGACGAGAGCCATGTGAGCTGTGTCTGGATCTCGTCAAAGGAGCCATATTCAGTGAGATCACCGGCGTGGATTAAGATATCGCCTTCTGGGAGATCGGGCTGCGTGTTATGTGTATCAGATACACAAACAATTCTTATAGGAGAGGCTGAAGGCGGTAAAGGTGCCAATGGGGAAGAATGCAGGGGATGCAGCTCAAGAAGAGCGGTTGCAACGTTGCGCAGGCGCTGATGTGGAAGCTTGTCAACCCTGGGTTTATTTTCAGGATCCATTTAAGCTTTGGAGATGCTGCAAGAAGCAGATAAAATGACAAGAAGACATTCTATGATGACCCATGAATGGAATGCAAAAGTAACTATGCAGAAGCGATCGTTCACTGATTTGAATCCTTGATGAAGGAATTGATGTTGAAGGAAGAATGAATCAATGATATCAACGATGCGGCGGCGACGTCTAAACCTCGCTTACTGCATCATGGACGCTAGGCTTGGAGAAGGCTAGTACCTTGATCCCTATTGGCCAGGGAGCCCTGTCCCAAGATAAAGGGGGCGTGATGTCTTGTGGGTTGAACCCGCTTGACCATCTGGTAAGAAAACTCACGATTGAAGCTGTCCAGACTCATTGACTGTGTTCTAATAATTGATTCTGAAGGAGAAACTAAGTCTCTGCTTAAGATTTTCTACAACATCTAACTACGCAGATTTAGGTGTGGCCCGCATAAACTGTTCTAGGCCTATGACCTCTGTACGGTGTACCTATGTACCTGAATGAGTAGTTAAGTACCTTGGCTTATTTGACTTAGATATAGTCAACATTAAGTCCTTTCCTTCAAGAGTTATAAACTCCCATGTACCCGGCTTTAGATCTTGCTAAAAATCCAAAACCCAACTCATGTATCCAAAATCACTAGACCCGGTCTACCTACAGAGAGTATAACGCTCTACCTTATAAGTATTCATAATTGATTATGCTTTGGTAAATGAGAGTGTTCTCAAGAATGAATCGTGCCTCGACAGATGAGTGTGTTTCTAAAACTGATTTGCTTTGACAACTGACCGTGCTTTCATACATCGTTGATTGTAGCAATTACCCTCCTATGACGATGGATCCTTGCAGCTTTGTTAACCAAAGAGGTAGTTTGTTTGATAGGGATAGCTCTATATCCAAAATTCGGGGTCAGTTAACTTGATCCCACGCCGCAGGTTGACCCTTCTTCGGCTGCATCAAAAACTCCAGCCGATCCTCGACAGTGACCCAACCTCTTCTCCTGCCAAGTATCGAATGTTTGATACTGTCCTTCCAGTCCCTGAACCACGCCTCTTCCTCTTGAACCACACATCTTCTCCCCTCTTCTCCTCGTGGCAAATCGGCATATGGCCACACGCTCTTGACTATTTCGTATTTCCGTGTCCCTGTGAAGACCTTGGTGATGTTGGAGAAGAAGCGGTTCACTTTATCGGGGCCCTTGACTACGACGCACGAGTGGGTGAGGGGGAAGCTGATTTTGACGTGGCCGCGGTAGCCGGTGCTGTTTTTGAGGGAGAGGAGCCAGCCTTCCAGATAGGAGGTATCCCAGTTCGTGACAGTGCGTTCTAACGCAAAGCTGTCGCGTATTAGCATCAACCCTCCTAACCTGTCATAAATCATAGTAAGAAGATGGCACCGACTGTTTAATGGCCGCCCCATCCTCACAAAACCTCCTAGCCCACTCCTCCAGGGACCCACCCACGGTTGGGGCCGTCGTCTCCTTTGTCTCTCCCCTGAACCCCAACTCCCCTGGCCCAATAACCTTCACATAATTCAGACGGCTCTTCGCATCATCCGGCACAATTAGATTCATGATATTGACTTTAACATCAAAAACAACGTTATCAGTTGAGCTCCTCCCTAGTACTCGGATATGCGGTTTGGGAGGCACGGTTGCGAGGGATTGGAGCAGAGAGACAAGCGCGCCGGGGTATGTGGAGAGCCGAGGCTCATACGAGGTTATGGTCGTATGGTCCGATGAGAGGGTGAAGGTGTCGGGCGAGTAGAGCTGGTATTCGAGGCGTGGGAGCCTAGGGTAATGGACTTGGGCTCGCGGCGCGAGGAGGGCAGATATGGAGGAGGAGGTCGGCCAAGAATAGGGAGGGGGGGTGCTGGGCCGCTCATCGTCTTCGACTTCTGGTGATGGTGCCTCTGACGGTTCTTCTTCAGAGGTTCGGTGCACTGCGTAACTGGGTCCGAAGACGCTTTTGCGGGGACTCATTGTCGTTTGCGACGAGGCTGAGGAGACTGAAGTAGGTGGGGTATGGATTTGCAATTGTGATGGAGGATGCTACCCGGACGCAACTGCGGTCTGGGGGCTTCCACGATGATTGGTGTTCACCGTGAAGGGAGATTATCCAAGACAAGTTTGAGAAGCAGACTTTGAGAGACCAGCAAGGCTGCCGTGCAGGTGTCACGATCTCGGTAAGTACTGCCATCTAATTCGGAACAAGCAAGGGAACCAAGAGAACCATAAGAAAGGGGCATCGTTGTTTAACACTTCTGCATTATTTAGACTTTTTAACAAATGTAAGCATTCAAGTCATCATGGTATCATCGCCGTCATCCACTGGCTTTGCCTCTGGTTCTACGGGCATCCCTCTACCCTTGCCCCGTCCCTCGAGCAATTCCCTGCGAACCTCTGGGCCTATTGTATGGTGACCCTTGGCCAAGAGCAGATCTAGTAATGCCTCCCTTTGATCTTCCGTGATCTCATTTCGGTACCTCTGCGCAAACGCCAATAAGGTCTGGTGCCAGATCACCGGCAATTTCATGTCATTGGACCCTGTAACCCCAGACATGGCATTCCCCAAGTCATCTGGTGTCGCGTTCGCTGGGTCGACAGTTCGGAACCGCAAGAAGTGGAAGACGAGAGCATCGAGGACTTGGTAGGGGAGCGCGTATTTCTTCTCTAACAATGCTTTTATGAAGATGTTCGTGGCCCCGCCTCCCTCTGACCCCGCAGATGATTCTTCCGCCGCAATATCGCACAGTCCCTTGAGCGCAACTGCAGAATGAAGCACCGGGATCGAAACTCGCACAAGGACGGCAGAAATTATGTGAGCTTCCCGCAATGTACATGTACCGCTTCTGACCAGAGGGAAGAGGATGCCCTTAAACCAGGCAGCAGGCTTGTACAAGCCTTTCTTCAAAGCATTGAAAAGATGCACATTCAACTTCTTCGTCTCGTGTATGTCATCCCGTACTCGTTCAAGGAGCACCATCTCCATAAATCGCTGAGCCGTCGCAGGTGTAGCCGAAACAAAGATCCTGGTCGCTTCAAAGCAGGCATTCGCGGTCCATTTGTCGGGCCGAGTAATCTCCAAGATATCCTCCCAATGAGGAACTGTCGGAAGGATCTTGAATGGCTTGGGTAATTTTCCTGACTTGTATCGTGACAATATGAGACCAATCCTATCAAGGCCAATTAGAAACCAACAGTAGGACTTAACTGCAAGCAAGAGGAACGTACTGTGTATAAACCCCTACTACCTTCGGAGGTATCTGAAACTCATCATCTACAGGACCTGGATCCTGTCCTCCAGCAGCTCGCGCTTGTGCCGCTTCGAAAGCATCAATTTTCTCCAGAATCAGCGCTGCTAGATTGGTAGTTTGCCCTTCCTGAGGTTCATCGTCTCTTCCTCCCCAGCCCGTCCGCAATAATGGATCCTCTTTTGTAGGAAAGAATTTGTTGAAAGTTTCTTGGTCGTTAGGATCAAGTTCCACCTCCTCTATGATCTCGTCCTCATCTCCCCATACTTCGCCATCATCCTCGTATGTTTCTTCCTCTGGGTGATCGAATCTTGATGAGAAATCAAAGGCCGAATTTACCTTCTGGCCCTGTTTATTATTCTCCTCATTCTCGTCGTCCTCAGCAAGCTCTTGTGCAATTCTTAGAATCTTGCGGGAGGCTTTCGAATCGACAAATTTCTCTTCCTCGTCTTCATGTCTTGATTTCCGTTTTCCAGGTTTGTTTTTCAATAGACCAGTAGCTGTGAGGTCATCCTCTAGGGGATTATGTCGACGCACCTGGCGCGCTGCAGCCACGGGAGTTGTAGCCTTTGGCATTGTGATAATTTGGACGACGTGGGGAATTCGTCCGGCTGGATTGGCGATAAATTTCGAAAAAATTGAGTTGCGATAATGTGGATGGAGCTTGCCGACGCTAAGATAAATACCAAAATAAATCCACCCCGCCAAACCTATCTGTGCCTGATTTCATGCCTTGCGCTCTCCTCGACGGGACGAGAAACCATTATCATTCATCTTCTAGTAGCCATCACAAACTGTATTTGATTTCCTGAACATATCAAGTGATTGTCAGTCACTGAAATATTCTTGTTGATTGTCTTATCTCGTTGGCTCTGCAATCATTGGTTAGAATACGTCTCGCCTATCTATACGGAATAGAGTGGCATCCGTTGCTGGACAGCGACGCTCTCTTCATTAGATATCAACTGCTCCTGTTTTGAACGCTCTCTATGGCTAAATCTTCATTTATTATAGTTGGAGGTGGGGTGTTTGGTGCGAGTACCGCATATTATCTTTCCAAAGAACACCCAGAAGCTGCAATCACCCTCATTGACCGATCTCCATCTTATCCCTGCCCTTTAGGTGCATCTCATGATTTCAATAAGATAGTTCGAGCCGATTACGGGTCTCTTTTTTATTGCGAGTTGGCTCTCAAGGCGCAAGAAGCGTGGAAGAATGATCCATTTTACAAGCCTTTCTACCACCAATCTGGTTTGGTGAACATAGATGAAAGCGATCTTGGACGAAGAATCATCAAGAATTACGAGACTTTGAAAGCGTATTCTGAGTCTGTAATTATTGACTCGGATGAGATGAAGACTCGCTATGACGGGTTGTTTGCAGATACGGATTATAGAGGAGTGAAAGATATATTTCTCAATCCACTGAGCGGATGGGCAGAGGCGACGCCAGCAGTAAGGAAAATGATTGAAAGAGCCACCGCAAATGGCGTCACGTACGTCGAAGGCGATGTTGAAACTTTGGTGTTTAAGGACAATGGAGATTGTACTGGCGTAAGGAGCCGGGATGGAAAGATTCTATTCGCGGACAAGGTCATCCTCTCCACCGGTGCAGGAACCGCGAGACTACTGGCAGACAGTGCCCCAGAGCGTCAAGATCTCCAAGTCGAGGATCGAATGGTTGCTGCTGCAGTTGTTACAGGTATTGTCCGCCTCAATGGGGAACAGATGCGGCGGTTTCAGCAATCTCCCGTCATGATCCATTCGGTTGGGGATGTTCAAGGTATGCGCTTGGATTCCAGTGAGCCTTTGATAATACCGATTCTGAATGGCTGTTTGCAGGAGAAGTCCTTCCCCCAACCTCAGACGGCATGCTAAAGTTCTGCGTTGACGTGAGCTTCAAGAACACATCACTTCATCCTAAATCCGGGCAAATGATATCTGCTCCCCCCAGCCAGCCCGACCAAGCGCAGCACACAGTATCACAGAGTCTTCAGGCTGAATGTACCCGCGTCATGAAAGGGATTTATGGAAACGAGCTCAAGGATGCTCAGTTCGAATCTTTCCGAATCTGCTGGTATGCACTTCCCCAATTTCCATGCATATTTACGTAGCCTTGACCTCTGAAATAGGGATTCTATCTCTCCAAACCAGGATTTCATCATCTCCTCACATCCTCACTGTAAGAATCTCTACATTGCCACGGCAGGATCCTTCCACGGATGGAAATTCCTCCCGATTATCGGAGACTACGTAGTCCAGTTGTTAGACGGCAAGCTGCCCGAAGACCTCGTTAAACGCTGGGCTTGGGATCGAGAACAGGCTGGTTCTGCTCATGGAAAAATGCTCCCCAGGCGAGAGTTGAAGGATCTATTGTAATTTCATTCCTTACCTTTCCCCACTGCCCAGGCCCGCAATCAAAGAGTCTCGTGTGTATGTATCTAAACATCCTGAAGAGGACGGCGTCTACCTCAGTTCCATACCACAGATTTATTATCATTATTCTACTCTCGAAGAAATAAAATACATTACCTAGCTTTCATCCCATCCTCTACAGCGAGAATATCAATCAATAACTCTACCCATTCATTCCATCGTCCCTCACCGCCGTCTCATCATCAACCATGATCCTTCCTTACTTACCCCACCTCATCAAATCAATCAACCAAGCGAAACGCGCGCGGAACTCTACCTACAATATCTCTTCTCTTCCAGTGCATCCATCATACCTTATCCATATATATGAAATCCCTTCATGATTAAACAATTACCACCCTATAATAATAATAATAATAATCATGATTATCTTACCTTACCTTATTAAAGAGTGAAAAGAAAAGAAAGAGGGGTATTCAATTGCCGACAGGGGCGGGGTTAAATCCTTTTCCGAAGAGAGGGGTTTGCATTGCAAAGATCTTGTTGGACTTGGACTTTTGATGGGGGGTTCGGCAGTCGAGAAAAGAAGAGAAGCGGCCAATAATAGACGGGGGATTGAAAAGTTGAGATTCATAGGATGAACATCTTTGTTTTGTAGGATTGAGTTTCTCTCGGCACTTCATGTATATTATTACTACTGCGGAGAGCGGGTTGCAAATTTGATAACTTTAATAATTCGTTTTCGTTGCTTGGTTTGTAGATAATGACGATATGGGCAATAATAAATAAGATACGAGATACAAAGATTTTAAAACGTCTCCTCCACCATCACCAGTCTTTTTTCTAACCATTGCCACCCCCGGAACTCCTCGACGTCTCCGCCTCACTCAGCGCCTGTAGAATCTGACCAGCTGCGATCCCTTCATTCTCATGAACGAACCCCATCCCGCCGAATCCACCCATTCTCATCCTACCAGACACAGACCCGTCTAGGGGGTTCGTGGTCTCGGTATTAGAGTTCGCCACGAGCTGCTGGAAGATATTATTCGGGAAGAGAGGGTCGGGTTCTCGGCTCATAGTGTAGAAATCTTTGTTCATGTTGCTCTGATCCGTGAAGCCCAGATTTACGAGACTTTGGTCCCAATTACCGGACCTGGGATATTGTTAGTAACGGGCTATTTTGGATGGCGAGCGATGGCATTACCATTCCATGGCATCAAGCGTGGCGAACTCTTGGAACATGGGATCGACTTCCATTTCTGAAGTCATAGATACTGGGTGCCGAGCGTTGGCTGGCTGCGTTTGGGCTAGGTTTGTTGAATTTTTGATCCTTGACGCTTGAGTGTCTATAGGCCGTGTCTCCGCGGCCATGGGGTTGCCGGTATTGAAGGGTGACCGGGGGCTTGGGTGTTTTTTCATTGTAAAAGGAGGTGCGGATGATTGTCCAAAAGACTGAGCTCGTCGCGCAGCTGGTGATGCTATTACCCTTGGTTGTTGTGGTGCAATATTCATTGGTGCTCCTGGCTGGGGTCTGAATACCCGTGGACTTGGACTGGTCCCCAGGCTATTAGGGGTAGGGGCTGTAACAGGCGTCTCTGCTGAGTGATTCATGCCACTTATAAGTTCAAAGGCTACCTGACTCTCACGTCGGCCACCTGATGGGGCTTGATATGATGCTGAGTTTTTGAATGCCTCGAAGATTGGCCAGGCCGGCTGTATCGTATCGAGGCAGCTATCGAGATTTCGCTTCCAGTCGTTGAGTGTGATATGAGTGTTTTCAATACTGCTGTGAACTTCGCGGACAACGTCGTACGCTGTCTTGATAAAGGTTTCAAAGGTGGGTGGTACGATAAGAAGGCCAAAATAAATCGAATGTTGCACCAGGAGTTCCACGATCTGGCGGGCCGATTCAGTACTTGGTTCCAGGTTCGCATTGCCTCTTCCTTGGCCATGGGAGAGCAATTGCAGTGTCGCCAAAGTATTGAAGTATGCAATATGCAAGTTGTAGTCGTGAGGAAGTAATGACATAGCCTTCTCGCTCTTCAGTGAAGCTGAACCGAGGTGCAGTGATGATGAATGGGATTGCCCCCAAGTGAGGAGCTTTGTTAGCAGTCCTGTGCTGGATTGTGCCCTCCTAGGGCAGTCAGATATACATGCAACATCATTCAGGATTTGCATGACTTCGACAAATCGATTAAAGGTGCTCAGAATTGACGCAGGACCCCGAGAGGCTGAGCTCCCCCGACGTACTCCGAGACAGTCCGTCCATGGGTCCCACTGTTCTAAGCCATCTTCTTCGACCAATCCAACACGCTCAATATCCTCACTTAGAAGATGGGGCCGATGTCCTAGACGAGAAGCAATGATTGTATCTAGGACGAAACAGCCCAAAAAGACATGTTTTGCCCTGGACGTTGGTCTTAATGCCACTAAAATATCATCTGAAGGACGATCAAGCCCGAGGTCGATAGCAACTCGAACGGCTTGCCCGACTAATAACCATGCGCGGCGGAGATGGCCGGCGCCCATATTTGCAAGAGTCAAGATCAGGAGGGCTTGAACATGGCCAAGCTCAAAGAATCCTTCCTCATCAGGAATGAGGTTTCTTGCGTGGGAATACATCCTCTCTGCTGTCCATACCATTTCGGCCACTGGGCCTTGAGCACGGGGGATATTGTTGATGGCTCTATGCTGATACTTTGCATATGCGATTGCAGCCCATAGTGCTGCATGGTTACCTGATCCAGCACCAGATAATGAAATAGCGTTGCGATTCTGCGCGTACTGATAAGATGTTCGTAAAAGATCATGTTTCTCGATAATTGGAAACCAAGAGTGCGTATATGAGAAGTAGACGTCGAGAAGATGCCAAGCCTCAGAAGGAAGGTCCGGAATATCGATTGTTGGGGTTGGGAGTTTGTTCAATGAGGGATGTTGGTAGTTGGGGCTCAGAATAGAGTCATCTCTACCCAGAAAGTGGTTATTGTTATCGTAGATTCCTGATGGATTGGGGGAAGCCGGGGAGTCCTCTTGCGGCCGAACATCTGGCTTTCTGTCCAGCCACATACCACCTGAAAGCTCCGCTCCATTGTCTGTGCCATCTGCATGTGTAGAGGGAAATCTAGGCCTCTTTCCAGCACGAGGATCAGAATACGTCCGCCGCCTCTTTCCCCCCTCTGCGGTTGGCCCGGGATTGGAGAGCAGTCTTTCCAGCTCCCTTGAGATTTGAGATTTTCGCCACGCCTCCACCAAGTTTTCCGAGTTGCTTTCGTCACTCCAGGCATTGAGGAAGCTTTCATTATCGTTCCCATCTTCGCCTGCTATGACGAACAAGATGCTGTCCTCAACTCCTCGCACTTCGCGTATGGCCAACCCCCATAGCTTCTCCAGGCCGCGAACATAGCCTTCGGGCAGCCCGCGCTTCTTGACATTGGTGTCATACGAGCACGTACGGCCGTGTGTGGTACATGTCGAGCAGGCCGGCTTCTTGCCGTCGCATTTATCTTTGCGACTGCGACATCGATCGCAGGCCTGCGAGACCCTGATTCTCGGGCCCTGTTTTGATTTTTTCGTGTCCTGATCCCCACCCTTGGATGTAGTGGACCCCTTTCCTGGATGTGTCTTGTTCGGCGGGTCCTGGTGTTCCATTACAACCACTCCTTATATCACAATGGGATCTCGAAGTCGGGGGGCCATGTGCGCAGAGCCGGGAGTCGCACATGCGGTTCGCGCTGGTCAGCCTGTTCGCGGCGCAGAAGTGGAAGCCAAGCGTGGATGAGCTGCCATGCAGTCCCGAGGCCCTCGTTGCAGCAGTTCGCGATCGTCGTGCGCGTGTCCGCGAACAGCTGCGCAGTAATTCATCAGCTCTACTGGGTCGAGCAGAAGGGATCAAGTGGTTCACCTACAGTACGTCGCAAGTATCCACGGACTGCAATAATGTCGAGCATCCATGGTTGGCCGGCCCCAGACTGTACCCCACAGAAGCCCAGCCCGCCGGTTCACCCAGTAGACGCGGGTGAACTCTTAGCCGCGCGGTTAGTCAGCGTCCTCATCGACGCAGGAAGACCGACTGCCCTCGCTCTTCGATTTCCCGGACCCATTGAAACACATTCAAGAGATTCCCAAGTATATCTTCACGAGCTGGCCTTCTCGCTGTTCTCTTCTTCTGCTTCTTCTTCTTCTTCTTCTCTTCCTCTGCGTGGTGTCTTTTGCTCTTGCTCTTCCCCAGGGTTCGCTGTGACTGGACTGCTGGACTGACTCGACCCGCCCGGACTGACGCTGCGGCGTTTGCGGTTGCCCGTCTTCTGGAAGCTATCTCATCACGTGTGCCGGGGTCGAATCGATGTCGGTCGTCACTCAACTCCAGCAGCAAGCTTCACGGGCGTCATTGAACCTGGACTCGAAGCCGCCATCGCCAGGCACGCGCCAGTTCTCTCCCAATGCTTCCATTGTCCTCGTTGGGTCTCGCGGCTCCGGGAAGCGAACTCTGGGATTCATCGGAGCAACGCATCTTGGCCGGCGTCTAATTACGGAAGACCACTATTTCCAAGAGGCGACGGGCATCTCCCGCGGTGACTTTCTTCGTCAATATGGAAATCAGGAGTTCTACCGACGAAATGTAGAGGTTCTGAAGCAGATGCTGGATAGGAATAGGACGGGTTGCGTAATCGAGTGTGGAATGGGAAGCCTTGCAAAAGAGGCTCAAAAAGCTATATACGAATACTCCAAAACCAATCCCGTCATTTACATCACCCGAGAAAGCGAAAGGATAAGGCAGTTGTTAAATCTTGATGAGAAGGACGCCTCTCGTCTGGAGAGCGGGGACTTATCCCACAGGAATTGCTCGAATCTGGAGTATTACAACCTATACGATCCAAGCTGCGATGGCTTGAATTATAGTGACAATGGCTTGCCAAGCGTTGCTTCCAGGCTCAAACATGCTAAAGAAGATTTTTCTGCCTTTCTTGATTTTGTGACCGGTCAAGGAGCTGCTCGAAGTGGCTACGAGAGCCCATTCTCGATTGCTGCGCTTCCCCCAGAGGAGCGATCATTTACATATGCTCTATCTATCCGGTTATCATCCATTCCCGAAATTGATCTGGAAGAGCTGGAGGCAGGTGCCGACGCTGTGCAGCTGAAAATCGATACCTTTTTGCCCGATCTGCAAAAAACGATTGCAAGACAGGTAGCAACAATCAGGAGGAAGCTGGCTGTCCCCATTATCTACTATATTGAAGAGAATGTCTTTGAGGGTACTGACTACTCAATGTCTGAAAAGGAAGACATTTACTTCATGATCCTGGATTACGGTCTCCGTCTTGGCGTGGAATACATCGTTGTCGACCTCAAGTACTCATCCAATCACACTAGTCGTCTCGTTGAGTGCTCTGGGCGGACGAAAGTCATTGGGCATCATCTGGCAAAGGAAGAGAATCCATGGGGCTGGGACGATGAAGCCCGAATGATACAGTACAGGAGGGCTAAATTGCTGGGCTGCAATCTTGTACGATTCGTGAAATTAACATCGAAGGAACAAGACAACGAGACTGTTCGAGGTTTCTTGAAGAAAATCGAGTCAATTCCTGATCATCTGCCAGTTATCGCATACAATATAGGAGAGTTCGGTCTACCGTCATTAATCGAAAATCGAATTTTCACACCGGTAACCCATCCCATCATGCAATCCACGAGCAGTTTAAGTCGGATTAGGCAGTTCCTCCCAACAGGAGCAGAGGCCATGAAAGCGCTCTACAGGAACCGAGTTCTTGATCCTCTTCACTTCTACCATCTCGGTGCCAGCGTATTCTACAGTTTATCGCCGACTATGCATAGCGCTGCATACCAAGTATGTGGGATGAGCAATGACTTCCAATCCCTCAAAGTCTCGTCTCTAGAGGATATTCATCGTCTTTGTCAAGACCCCAACTTCGGTGGTGCAGCCATCACCCAACCATTTAAGGTGCAGGTTCTCAGCCAGATAGCAGCTCAGAGCTACCACGCCAAAGCCATTGGTGCTGCAAACACATTATTGCCACTGCGAATGTTGACAGATAATAGCCCTCTGGATAGCAGATCACTCCTTGATCAAGCGAACAGGAGAGGCAAGGCTGGGCCGGTGCATGCATACTACGGCGACAATACCGATTTTATTGGCATCTTGACTTGCCTCAGAAGAAACATGTCACCACGGAACGTTGTGCAGCCTTCTAAGACTACGGGACTGGTGATCGGAGCCGGGGGGATGGCACGAGCTGCAATCTACGCCATGATTCAACTTGGATGTCGGAAGATATTCATGTTCAACCGCACGGTTGAAAATGCGGAGCAAGTCGCTCGTCATTTCAATTCGTGGGCAGCTGGATTGAGCAGTGATGGCCAGATTGTCCGTGTATTGAATTCTAAACACGTCGAGTGGCCTTCTAATTTTAATTTCCCTACAATGATTGTCTCCTGTGTCCCTGGGACAAGCGTAGGGGGCGATGCTCCTGCAAATTTCGAGATGCCGCTTCAATGGCTAAAAAGCCCTACTGGCGGTGTCGTTGTTGAGGTAAGTTCTGAGTTGCTTCATCAAGGAAACTACTAACATCAGCTAAGCTATCATATCTTCCATTGGACACACCGTTACTTCAGCAAATAAGACGAGTACGCGAAGAAACCAAGCAAGCTTGGGTCATCGTTGACGGCTTGGAGGTTTTACCCGAGCAAGCTATAGCTCAATTTGAGTTGATGACGGGGAGGAAAGCACCCAAGAGGCGCATGAGACTTGAAGTGCGTCAAAACTATCACAAGTACGAGCAGCAGGGCCGAAATTAAGAACGAGAACATGAACGCCGCATTCTATTCCCTTCTTACATTGAGAAGAGGCAGGTTTTACCGGCATTCTCTCCCCCCTTCCCCCCTCCTCTGTCTCATGCCTTACTTAGAATTCGGAGAGGTAGTGAAGAAGAGGGCTGCTTTGGGTGGGAGAAATCACATCTTTCCTGGGCTCTCTCGCTCCGAAAAGCCGGCTGCGAGGTATGTATGTATATATGGGCTAACACTCCCCCAAAAAAGCCAACGGCGCCTTGACGCAGAAGCTGGCACCGTAGCATTCACAAGTAGATATGCATCTCATTTGCATATCTTCTTAGGATTACGATGGTTTTGATGCCGGGCCGGGGTACCCGTGGTGGTTGTATATGTCTTGCGATTTCCTGACACATAAGATTAAATTTTGGAGATGGATGATTCTTCGGTTGCGAGAGCGCATAGGGATAGGCTTGCTTGATAACGGGATTGGCGAAAGGTAGAATGGGCGAATAGAGCAGGTGGGCAGAGCAGAGGGGGACATTGATGGCTTGGTGAGAAGGAGGCGAAGAAGAGGTGAGAATGGGAGCAGCAAGCAAGCAAGCAAGCCATAGATAGATAATATTAGAGTCACCACCATTAGAAAGAAGCAGGATCATGGGACTGGAAAAATATGAATCACCAGCACGAGATAGGAATGAAATCAAGATTGGAAAATTTTATATTTCGGCGAACTGTCCTATGTTTGATTTTGACTGGAGATTTCATTCATTCTTTCATTCACGGTTTTTGGGACATTTCAACAAAGCCTGCATGCATACCCAAGATCCAATACTAAGATCAGTAAGTAGCAAACGGTCGGTCAACTTGTAATGTTTAGGAGGTTCTCTTGCCCCTTATCCGCCACCCTAATGAAAGGCTGTAGCATACGCAAGGATAAGGTGCCTTCTATTCCCAAGGAGAGTCCCAAAGGGACTCGAATCAATCTGCCAACGCTCCGTTAAGAACATCTTTCTAGAGGAAAAATGCTCCTGCGATCTCTACAGACCGCATCGCTGGGTAAGGTAAGGGGACAACAAATAAATAGCCCGTACGGGATAGATCACCAATCGTATCGTCACTATGTTGAAAATTGGAGAATAAAGAGCGAAAGTGTGTCGTTCATGTCTTTATGTCGTAACTTTTCCCGCTATCCGTAACGACGGAGCCTCCCTGTATCGCCTTTCCCGACGCCGCGCTACCGTGTTAAAGCAGATATGAAAAAAAGTGAAAGCTTACTATCATCTATCATACAGCCGTTTTCCACGGTGATCCTAGTCACTCGAATGTGAAAAGAGGGCAGATATTGACTCCCCATAATGGTTCCTGCGAATAGCTTCCGCTAGCAGATTGGACAAGTCCAGAACAACCAGCTTACTAGCGTTTCGAACTTTCTCTGCCGAGATTGGGAAGGAGTTCGTGACCAGGATTGTATCGATGCAATCGCACTGTTGCATCTCATCGAGGGCGTCTCCACCAAAGAGGCCGTGAGTAGCAATGCAATATACTTTCTTTGCACCGCCACGCTTCTTGACGGTTTCAGCTGCTGCAATCCAGCTTCCGGCCTTGTCAATCATGTCGTCGACAATGAAAACTGTCCGATTTCGCACGTCGCCTACCAATGTGATCATTTGCTCTACACCCGGATTGGTGAAGTTTTCTTCCTCTTCATCCGACGATGCTGCAGCATCTCCAGTACCGCCAAGTGCGTGGGCTTCCGGGTTGAAGAATGAGGATGCTCGAGACATTTCCATTGGGTCTTCATCTGGACGGTCGAGTATGACTGAGTTTGACATGGCGGATGGGGTGGGTGACGGATAGTCATCAGGAACAATATGACCTTGGACCAGCCGTCCATGTATTATATCTCGAGCTCGTTCATCAGTGTATTCTAAGTCATCGTGGAGGTCATGGAGGGGTGCTGGGGTTGCGGGCGAGGTTTGTGAGCGAACTAAAGGCGACCGAGAGGTATGGCTCGACCTAAGAGCAGTCACTATATGCGGATTCCGTATTGGAGATTGTTGGATATCCGGGCGAGCGTTTGTCGGTCTTGGTGGGGTTGGTGGAGTTGTTCCATTTGGTTTTTGTTCTGGCTTACGCTCCCCAGGGCCGGTATCCGAGTTGTTGAGCTCAGGGTTTTTCGACTTCTCCTCTGTGGGCGTGTCCTCCAGAGGGGTATCCTCCCTGCCAATATGCAGGTTAGTTACATCTGCATCTACTTCTGCGTCCTGCTCGAACCCATCTAGCCGTCTCATGATCATGCTAGCAGTCATGTTGCCACCTCCCCGCTTCCTATCAGTTGTGACAATGCCAAAGTTCAGCTTCAAGGCGTCCGCCAACGATGTAACGCGCTTGGTGCCTCCGGCATTTTTGGATACACAGACGGCCTCTCTCCAAGTAGGTACATTGTGTCTGATCCATCGTGCTATCAGAGGTTCTGCGTGTAGGTTGTCGACTGGACACTTGAAGAAGCCCTGCATCTGCGAGGCATGTAGATCCACGGTGATGACATGGTTGATTCCAGCTACGTGGAGGAGATTGGCAAGCATGCGTGCCGTGATTGCTCCTCGATGTGACTTCTTCTTAGATTGTCTGCTATATGGGAAATACGGCAAAACCGCTGGAGAAGTCAGCTTTTTCGTAGCTAGACCCGGGCACTGTTCGGGGTGGGATGGTCCTGACCAGTCAGTTTATTTGCTGAGCCTCCTTTGCACGCAGATATCATGATGAGAAGCTCCATGATACTGTCATTGATCCTGGGGCTCCCCGATTGGACCACAAAGACATCCTTCTCTCGAACACTGGTCAGAATCTTCACGCTGGTCTCGCCCTACCTCTAGTCAGTGTGTCCCACCAGGGGAGGACTCGCGGGAGGGTTATGGCGAGCGTACATTTGCAAACTGTGAAAGCTCGACGGCAGCGGTTGTCATGCCCAGGTTGGAGCATATTTGGCTCGTGAGGTTGGGGCATGAGCTGCCGGCGAAGATCAATGTGTTGCGCATTTTGATGATGTTCGTGAAAGAAGGAATGGGGGCCGGCGAGGAAAATATTTCTTAGAAAATAATCTAAAAACTTTTGGCGACTTTTCCGGGAACGTCACCTCACCCCTCCACCTCTCCACCACTCGACCCCTCGGCGCCCTCGTTGCACCGCAAGACAGCTCATCGGGTAACAATGTGAGCAGAACAACAAGCAGTTCGTGATACAATCGTGGCCAATGGGGATTCCTCACTTGACCACCTTCTTGCGACCGTATGCGAGCTTGGAGTCGCTGGTCGGACAAGCTGCCGTGATCGACGGCCCTGCTTTATGGTAGGTCCTAGATGATGAGGCGATCCTTGCCATTGATGTACCAGGGCTAATCCGGGGTCTTCCAGTTATCACATCTACTACCTCTGCTTGAGCCAGAGACCCTCTGCGCGGAATGCTTTCGAGGCGGCGCCTTCATATGAAGAACTCGGGAACGCAGCTATCCAGCGGCTTAATGGACTACGGGAGAGTGGTGTGTCTATGTGAGATTGTGGTATACGGCGTTAGGGATTACAACGAGGCTGACTGCCAATTATAGCCAGAAGATTTATTTCGATGGCTACCTGCCGCCTTCGAAGCTTGAGGTCAGGTTGGAAAGACTGAGAGGACTGACGAAACGGTTGAATGATTACTATCAAGCAAATCCAGTACCTTGCCGGCTTGCCATTGTCGCTGGAGAAACTGACCCTGGATATCTATTTGCTCGTGAATCTATCCGCTCGAGCCTAACGACACTTCCTCCAAACCCGTTCTTGGTCCCAGCAATTATTGATGCCTTGGGAAGGTCGGAACGATATAAATCTCTGGCCGAAGTCGTTCCTGGCGAGGCAGATCTATACTGTGCCAGATACTCGAAGCTTAGCGGCACAATCATTTTCACCGGAGATTCCGACCTTCTCATCCATGATCTAGGTGCAGATGGAGCCGTCAGTTTTTTCAAAGACATCGAAGCTTCGCTTGACAGTGAACCTCTCACTCTGCGTAGCCTTGTTTATCATCCGGCAACTATTGCTGGACGGCTAACCCTGCCAAAGCCTCATGGATTACATGCTCTGGCTTTCGAGCTTATCAAGGATAGCCATGGCACTTTCAAGAAGTTACTAGCACAGGCAACTACACTAAAAGCCATCAATGCTGACGAATGTGAGTATGTGGAATTCAGCAAGGAGTACAAATCTCTCCCGCTGGACCTCACACCTGACCGCAGTGAATTCTCGCCGAGATTCTTGGAAGTCCTGCAAAAGTTGGATCCTAGAATTTCTGAGTATGTCATGCAGTTCCCCAGTCTTGCCAAATGCGCTGGTAGAACACCAACGGCAGCCAAATCCGAGATGGACTCCCGTCACGTTTTCCTTCCATTCCTTCTTGATTGTCCTGCTCGCACTAACGCCTGGGTGGTGTCGACCTCTTTACGACAATTGGCATATGGGCTCATCAAAAACATTGTTCCAAAAGCCGAACAACAGTTCGACGTCTTCGAGCACAGAAGGCAGAGTAATATAAATGGGAAGGGGGTTCAGCTTCCAAATCTCGAGAATATTCCTGAAGCTTGCGTAGCTCTTGTAAACCTCATTGATAAAATTCATTTGAAACTTCCCGCACTTTCTCTTCTTGACCGATGGATAGCTTTCATCGTGTGTCAGGATGTTGAGTGGTCATCCTCCGTTGGAAGAGCTGTACTCAGCAATTGCGTTTCTCAGGGATCACTCAATGTTGATCTCGGACCGAGTGATTCTAGACATTGCAATTGGGATATTATCCAATTCCTAGCTCAAGTACAGAGCACATTTTACTCTCTCAGAATGCTTCAACAAATTATTAGACTTTCGGTTTTTCATCATGACAGCACTTCATGTCCAGAAGTAATGACCATGCTGCACCATCGTCTAGAAACTCTTCCACAGTTGGGTGAGATCCCGGACCTTAGATCTGTGGCTTCGCTCGTCGGCAAAATTAGGGACATGAGTATGGTGAAAGCGGCTTATGAGATACTAGGAATTGAGGATGAGAAGTCTCCTGAACTTCAAGAATCCTCCAAGAGGGCAAAGAAAAAGCGAAGAATGGGTGAAGGCCAAACTCAGCCTTCGAATAGCAAGAAAAAGTTGAACAATCCTTTTGCATTACTAGATGCTGAGTGAACTTGAAGGCACTACCGGGAGTAGTTGGTCTGGTACTCATCATTTCTCAAGTTGAGTTATTGCCTTTTGACAAAGCAGAAGGAAACCTGCTCTTTGAGAAAATGATGTAATGCTCAAGAGAAAACAAAATATGAACCTTGTTTACTGTTTACACGGTGGGCAGTCAGCGTAGCCGCGTCGGTTAAGGATAGATCTGAGAAAGGCGCGTCGTCTCGCCTAGTCAATGAATATTTCCTCCAAAACATTCCACTTTCTACCACGCAAGTCAACAACACGCCTTCTGAACCACCGCGAGGTCCTAGGACAATCTTCGCTCTCCTACTCATAGGTCCAGAGAGTGTTAGATATCGTGCAGCACAACTGATTTTGAGCACAGTCTCAGCAATGGATCATAACGGCAACAAAGAACATGGTTTGGCAACGAACAGTGTGGAGACGAGCCTGATTGACGAACCTACACAGAGTATGGAGAGAATAGAGGCGCCTGAAGTAAAGCTATTGGGAACAGACTTGGACGATGAGCTTATGAAAGAAGGGCCACGAGCAACTGTTGTCAATAGTTCTCGACCCTCTGCCAGGGGGCAATCAAACACCTCATCTTTCGACGAATTCAAGGTTTCTGCTGGAGGAGCCTCTAACTCGGGCACACCGCTTCCTACCAATGACAATCAAGGGCTAGTATCCATGCCTAGCGCAGACTACGATATGAGCAGTGAGTTCACCCGTACATCCCTGCTGCAAGCAAAACTGACCGAGGGCACCCTAGCAGGTACAGTTACAAGAGACAGCCAGCCATATCCCGCTATACAAGATGACGACCCAAATCAGACCTCCTTGGCCTCGTATAGTCAGGATTCTGATCTCCAAATCTCTAACGTTCTAGATCGCTCTGTCAGGCACTTGCTTCTCCACCCGTCACCACAGAGACAACCAAGTGGATTCTGGGACCCTTCTGTAGCATTGTCAGGACTTTCTTTGCTGCCGTCGTCTTTATCGCCAACCGCGGCAAACCCTACCAATGCGTACGACAGGTTCAGTCCCTTTAACCGTCTCCCTTACGAGATTCGACTAGCTATTGTAAGTAACCAGAGCCTAACATTCTTATTTTCCCCAGAACAATTAATGGGATATATTGTACCTGGTATATCACTTTTGCAACACCAATGTTTTGTAAATTGTTCTTATGCCCTACAACCCTCTCTCTCTTGTTTTAGCAACTACTGACTTCTTGATGATCTAGTGGAAACTCAGTCTCGACATGAGCCCGCGAAACGTCAAAGTTCACTACGATCAGGTAGTTGGAAAGTTCAACAACTTGACTCGAGCGCCGGCCAACCTCCACGTCTGCCAAGAATCTCGGAATCTTGCTCTGAACATCTGGAAGCCTGAATTCGAGACCCCGGGTCATCCTGCTGGTGTTCCCCTCAACATGGAAACTGATACCGTACGATTAAACTGGGAACCTTTCCATCTTGGTATTCTCACCTCACTTACTCTTCCAAAAATTCGATTTTTGGAGCTACGAGCAAGCGATTTATCGCGAAGAGATGTAGCCAGGACAGCCACTGTATTAATTGGCCTCACGTCTGTTGAAACCATTACCATTCTCTCGCATCCTCTTCAGCCAATGATACCCTTTCCCACGGTAACTTTCGCATATCTCGGACGACTCCATCTTCTGGGGTCCCGCGACCCCACCGCGAGATATCAGGAGTCCTATATCCTGTATTATATGCTCAATGCGTATTTCTTTGCCCATCGATTCGCTAACCCTGGGCTGCCAATACCGGCTCTGATGTTCGCCGTGGCAAGGTAGATGGGTCACAGGCAGACTAAACCGTGGTATTGAAGGACACTAAACACGGGAAATTAACTTCGTCGCAAGTTCAGAAGTTATGGATACAAATCAAGGCGGGTTCATGATAACAGACACAATGGAGGACATGTTGCTTTGGGGGCTGGATGAGAGCATGGATAAGAAATGGGGAAGCCTATGCCTTTGCATCGGTAGCTGTAGGATGTATCGTGGTGGTGGTCTCAAGCGTTTTTCTTTGGCAATCAAAACATAAAAAAAAATTGAAAATCTGTACGAGTACTTGATGGTCCAAACTTCATGCCGTGCATCAACCTCCACCATTATCCACCGCACTATTTGACGCGAAGCATCATCTCAAGCTGTAGGTATGGCAAAACAACAACTCCATCGAGAATTGAGGTCACATGACGGACCCGAATTCCCAGAACAGAACCCCAAGCGAATCGCGCTAATGCCCCCCTTTTTAAGATCAGCGCCTGTAAGTTGTTGATCTTGAACCTTCTAGGAAGTGTAAGAAGTTCCAATAATGCGTGTTATAAAATCTTGAGATTGTGATAAAGTAATGGCCAAATAGAGGTGGAAATCGGGGGTCTTGAAATTGAGGTCGAAGGTGGGAAGGTATAGCTCCAGCCTCCAAGTTCAGGAATCGCATTTGGCTCGACTTTTTGATAGCTTCCCAACCCGCTTCAGGAATATGAAATCTGACATCAAGTTTGCGAGTTTTGCTGCGGCCGTCATGGGATTTGGCATGCGTCTGCACGTTTGCGGTAGACATTGAAAACAAATGTGCCAGGTTGACGACGACTGTGAGCGACGGTCATGGACTCATAGTTTTGACAAGGAGCTGCGCGCATGGAAAGCAGAAGGCAAAGAAGCGGGCTATCTGGTGAATCTGGTAGACATGCTGGCAAGGACTACCGGAGTGTCATAAATTCCGCTTCCAAGCGGATCAACCTCAGAATTCAGTACCAGAAAGCTACTATGATATTGGAAACACAACATCTTATGTTTCATGGAGGCAGTTGCAAAAGGTACATTGATTTGAAAATCAGATCCATGATCGCAGCATCTAACATCTTCACATTCAGGTTCTTCTCACAACCACCAAATCCTTGACTTAGCCGCTTATAAATTCAGAGTACTCGAGTCCTAGGCTTCTCCAAGAAGTTGTTCGTCTACGGTGAGTGCATTGCGTACCGTCCTGAATAAGGAACCTGTCTCTGAGTGGCGTGTCTCAGTAGGTAAGGTAGCTATACACCGCCATTATCCGGCCAGTCCAAGAACCGCCCATTCTTTTCATCGGAATACAGCCTAGATATCATTGTCAATTCGGAATCGGAGTATCTACTCCACCACTCGCCACCCACATTCCGCAGTTTCATACCTCAATAGTTGGGTTCGGGACTGTAGCTGCGGTGTTGGATGAAACCGAAACCGATCGATACCTACAGACACGAGTTCAACTGGGCGGACTCAGCCAATAGTCATCCTATTACGTTGTCCCGGCAACAGGATAGACCAAAACGCAGCAGGCCATTTGAGCATAACCAAGGGGCGCCTGCGGCCTGTCTGTCCATTCTCCTGTTGTTGCCATGACTTGTTCATATGTCTCTTTCTTTCTTTCTTTCTTCTATTTGAGTTCGGGACATTCCACGTCGCAAGATGTCTGACTCTGACCTCTCATTGAACGGCTCACACTTTGTCGAGTCCATGGGACTATGCAGGAAAGAAAGATGCGAGCTATAATCGCAGCCCCGTTTCTCACCGTGTATATATAGCATTCATTCATCAAGTCGCGACGACATGGAACGGCAGGCAAAAGATATCAATTTATCTCCGTCTTCGAGGTCCTCATGGATGGTGCCCGCCCCTAGCAGCGCGTCAGGGTTATGAGACATATTCTCATTTAGCTTCTACCGTTGACGACCGTTGACAAGGCCGGCTAACCTCCCGAATTAGAATGATGGCTGCAGCCTGCAGATAATGTTACTCCGGCATTTGAAAAGGGCTCGAGGGTCTTGATCGTCGCCTCGCTTATACCTGGTCTCCGACTCTCAACGTCGTTCCGGTTTATACATACGTTGTACAAAAGACCAGCCATTTCGACCCCTTGCGGAGTGGAAAAAGCCTTGATAATACGGTTAAGTTGGTCAAGTGCCGAAGAGTGGCGTTGGCGGTGTGGATTGCGGGGATACTATGGGGCGATCCGCCTTTTTCCCACCTACCACGTTGTTTCAGGGTCACCAACCAGTTGACCTCATAATGAACCAAATGACTGAGCACAGAATCAATTTATTCGATGATACTCTGTGCGTAGGACAGTTGGCTTCGTACAACTCTCCAGGAGTTGGCTCGGCCCGCGAAGGGAAATGGATTAAGGCCAATGAGAAGCATGGTCCGAATCGTGTAGGGTCGACTAGTTTCACGGGATCAACCCCTATGGCCCCTAAAGACTTCCAGTATACGTTTTTGATTCACTTCTCGGCCTATTTTCTTATCTGTTCTATCTTCGCCGGTCTTTCCTTCTTCTTCCAACCCCTCCAAACTCTGTTCTTTCTCACCAATTTATACCATCCTCGATCTCTCTTCTTCGGAGTCCAACGATTCTCATTTTACTCTTCTACTCTAATCTTACTCTTCTACTCTCCTCTTTCAGTTCACTTGAAGTTCCCGAATCTCACAGTGGTGTGACTATGGAAGGCAATACAATGTTGGCTACACCCCCGAACAGTACAATAGACGTTCCAAAGAAGGATAAGTCCTATCCTCTTCCTAGAGATGCTGCCGAGACCAAAAGGTAGTTCAGGAATTGATAACATGCAGAAAGGAAGCCTATCTAACATATGGCAGGCTCAACGATCAGCACAGTCTTTTCAAGATATACTGTGGTCAAAACCTGATCCATCCTTCGATCCCCAAAGAAAAGATCCAGAATATCGCAGATATAGGTACCGGCACTGGGTAAGTGAGATCCCCTGAAAGCTTGAATTGTTGCTAAACCTTGTAGTATTTGGCTTAAAGATGCGGCAGAGCTTTTGACAACGATCCCAACTGAAAGTGGGAATGGGCGATCGTATAGCGGCTTCGATATATCCCCTCTTCAGTTTCCCAAAGTTCACCAGAAGGGGATGCAATTCTCTGTTCACGACCTGCTTGAACCCTTTCCAGTGGAATATCACGGAAAGTATGATTTAGTTCACCTCCGCTTCCTGCTTGCTGCGCTGAAGGAAGATGATGTCAAAATTGCCGTCAAGAATATCGTCGCCCTACTAAGTATGATTCTCGACCCTGCCGGGTATAGATTGACTAACTAGACCAGGACCTAATGGTTATGTGCAATGGGATGACCTGCGCTACGGCTTTGCATACAATCGCAAAGCGCCCGACGAGCTCAGGGCTTCTGACCAGGTTGCTGAGGATTTCAGCGCCAAATTCGGCGTCATTCGAAACCTGCCTGGTCTGATCACGGAGAATTTCAAAAAAGAGGGACTCCAAGGCGTGATCAAGTACGAGCATCCGCCTCCTGATACGGAGGAGAAGATTGCTGCCGCGAAGGCGCTCCGCCTGGAAATGGCGGCGGTTATGCCACGAGTGTTTCTGGAAGTAGGCCTGGCTAAAACTGAGGAAGAGGCAAAGGAGATGACTGGGAGAAACGTGATGACGCTCCAGAAACACTTTGATCAGGGCTTGTATCCTATTCTACCTTTGGAACGGGTCATTGGACAGAAGGTCTAACAGAATGCTGAATGTGAATGGTGTAAGGCTTCTTTTACTCAACAACATGGATTACTTTTGCTGTGCACCGGGCTCTTAGATCTCGTCACTGTCATTGGGAATAGTGTTTCTACAGTAATAATCCCCTGGAGTACTTTTCTGAAGGCACAGATGTCCCAAGGGACAAGGGACAGAATCACGTGTTTCCACTTATGTCTTAGTCATCTCCCTCGTAATCGCGTTCTCTCGTCCCATTATTCCAACTCCTTTCTTTCTTCTTCTTCTTCTTCTTCTTCTTCTTCTCTACCATCTCAGACCAGCTCCACTTGATCAAGTCTTGGCTATTGTTCGGTCGTTTATTTTCTCTTCTTTAAGTTGTTCAACATTCGGGCTGGGCGACTTCTTCAAGATGCCGGTTGGTACCGTTGTGAGTCAGGCCGAGCCAAGTCTGCCGATAATCCTGGTCTGGTTCTCTGCTTCTTGAGTTGCGCCATTTCATGCCTTGTTGCCCGACAGCTCTTAAAGGCTGTGAATAGAACCTCCTTTTCCCTTTTCCTCCTCTCTCTCCACACTATTTCCTTTTCTCTCATCGAGCTCCTCAGTGATAGTTTCACTTCAACATCTATCGCATCTCTCCTTTCGTTAAGTCAAGAAACATGAGTTCTAGCACCGAAGATGCAGCGCGGACAATCCTGGTCTCGTGCAAACAGACGCGATTCCACATCGACAATCCGGCCTATCAGGAGGCGAGTTTCACACCCCTATCTATTTTGGGAAATGCCTTGTGTTGATGATATAACAGCTGGATATCGAAGGGCTCAATATCACCGTTACATCAGGGACGGGAAAGTCGGGCGCAAAATTGAAAGGAAAAGCACGAGCTGAGGGTCTCGAGATATTAGTTAATGGCCACCTGAAGCTCAAGGCTGGCGTTCACTACGCGCTGGTCGGACGGAATGGCACGGGTAAATCTAGTAAGTGTCACTTCTTATCTGCCTGCTACCTGGGTTGTGTGACACTGCCCTTTGAAAAACAGGTGAAACGCAGGATTGGATAATCTATAAGACTGACATTCGCAATCAGCGATTCTGAAAGCTATAGCTGAGAAGCTCATCCCCGGCATCCCGATCCAGACAAGGATTTCAATTCTCCAGCAAACTTCCACAGATGGCCAGAATGCAGTAAACGTGAGCGAGTCTGGTGAAGCAAGTCTAGCTACCTCTTCTAGCAGGCCGCTTTCTGTCCTGGAAAATGTCATTGACAAAGTAACGTCACGAAATGATATACAGCACGAGATTGATGGCAAGTTTCACCAATCACTAAATTCCAACGCCTGGCTTACCTCATAACTTGCAGTTCTCTCCAGGGGACTTGATGATCAGGTCAACAATGCTTTTGCTCCCCTTCGAGCTTTCCGTCAAGTTCAGCATGAACGGTTAAAGAGAGAGCTTTTTGAGCATGACAAGGATGCTAGACTCAGAAGCGGGGCCAGAGGTATGGCAGCCCGGAAAGCGCTGATTGCGTTCGAAAAGAAGGTTGCAGAATCGGCAGAACGGTGAGAACAGTACTCCATGTATTCGAGTCCAACCACTAATATCTAGTTAGCCTTGAGCAAGGAGATGATAAGATCGACGAAGGAACTCTGGAGGAAGAAACTCTTGCTGCAGGTGATCTACTGGCAGAACTTCAATCGCAGCTTGAGCCGGCACGGATTTCTGAGATCGAGGTTAGAGCCCGAAACATTCTATCCGGTCTTGGGTTTCCGAACGCATTTCTTGAGAAGCCGGTCTCCACCTTATCAGGAGGTTGGCGGATGAGAACTCATCTCGCCAGCTGCCTTCTTCAACCCACTGATATTCTCATTCTTGACGAGCCCACAAATTTCCTCGACCTTCTGGGTATTATCTGGCTCCAGAGATTCCTTCTTCAACTTCGCGATGCCGGACCAAATCCACCCACGGTTGTTCTAGTTTCCCACGACCGCGATTTTGTTAATACTGTTTGCCAGGAACTCATAATCCTCCGAGATCACGAGCTTACCTATTTCAGAGGCGACCTCAACCTCTACGATGCGTCCATTCGGGAGAAGAAGCTGTACCTTGGCCGCATGAAAGAGGCCCAAGAAAAGCAAAAGGCTCACATTCAGCAGACCATCCAACAAAATATCAAGCAAGGGAAAGCAACCGGAGACGAAAACAAGCTTCGCCAAGCAAAGTCTCGACAAAAGAAACTGGACAACCGAATGGGAATGGAGAAAAGTGCATCTGGAGGTCGATTCAAACTAAACCGGGATCTGACCGGATACCATCTGACTGCCAGGGCCGAGATCGATGTCCCCGTGGACGAGAAAGGGGTATCAATTGTCCTCCCAGACGCTCCAGATCTTCGTTTCCCCGGTCCCCTCGTTTCCATCGAAGGGGTAACATTCAAATACCCCACGGTCAAGAAGGCACAACAAGCAGTGCCAACCGTTCTTCAAGATATTGACCTTACGATCCATATGGGCGACCGCATCGGAATCGTCGGCTTGAACGGCTGCGGAAAATCAACTCTGATAAAGCTCATCACCGACGTAACCAAACCCACCAAGGGTTCCGTGACCCACCATCCCCGTCTACGGATGGGATATTATTCCCAACACGCCGTCGAAGACCTCCAAGCTCTGGGGACCAACGAATCAGACCTCACCGCTCTCTCCCTCCTCACACGCGACGTAGAGGGGGAATTGGATGAAGGCGAGCTCCGCGGGCTCCTCGGCTCCCTCGGTCTCCCCGGCCGCGTCGCCTCCGACGTGCCCCTAACCAAGCTCTCGGGAGGCCAGCTAGTGCGTCTCGCACTCGCACGGCTCCTGTGGAAATGTCCGCAGCTCCTAGTCCTCGACGAGATCACCACGCATCTAGATTTCCACACTGTGACGGCGTTGGCGGATGCGTTGCACGCGTGGAACGGAGCGATTCTGGTGGTGAGCCACGATCGGTTCCTGGTGAGGCGGGTGGTGCAGGGAGAGAAAGAAAGCGTTGATGAAGAAGGAGACGAGGAGGAGGAGGAGAGTAGTGGGGAGGAAGATGCGGGCTTAAAAAGACGAACAGTGTATTTGTTGAAGAGTGGACGCATGACGGTTCTTGAAAAGGGCGTAAGAGCCTTCGAGGACAGTTTGGAGAAGAGGGTCGAGAAGCTGTTGGCTTCATGAAAGGGGAATTTCTAGCTAGTAATTCTAAAACTTGAGCTGGTTGGCCTGCCGCATAGTATATATACCATGCGTGATGTGCATGCATACGAGCTTGTTGGACCTCCCTCCCCTAGTTCATATCCAGTAATCCAAGTACAAATATCAATCAATCAATCAGCTCAATACCATTACCTAATGATCCATTATTCTATAATACCAACAAGAACAATAAACAATACTTCACTTCAAAAATCCCTTTATGAAACAAGGAAGGTCATCACCAAGACTAGTTAGTAGGCTAGAATGTTGTACAATCATTGTATTGGAGATTCCACCCCAATGTTTGATATATGATGAGAAGAACTCTGTCGAAAACGAAATGAAAAACAAGACACAAGAGAGGAATTTTGCTTGTGTGCGAACGCTCTGCACATGTATGTAATGTTTAGACCCCAGACACAACTCTACCAAAAGCAAAAACAAAAGGAAAAGAGGAAAATGTCCCTAAACACCAACCCGGCCTTCCAGAAAACCCTTCAAGAGACGTGGAAAATACGCGCTAAGCTTACAACAACAACAACTCAATCAATCAATCAATCAATCAATCATCTCCCTCTCTACCTTTCAGTTCTTTTCCCTGTGCTTCTCTTCTTTCTGCGTTCGTTCTTTCTCCACCACTCCTTTGAGGACTCGGAGTTTCTCCTCTGTCACTCGTATCGCATCTTCTACTTCTCGGTTCTGCATCTTCTCTTCCTTCAGCCGATCCTGAATCACCGTTGCCTCGGCCTGCATCCTCGCGGCGTTATGCATGCTCTCCATACCCACGCGGTCTTCAAGCCACGCCCATAGCTCGCTCTCTTCTCTCCGCCAAAGCTCCTCATACGCGGCTATGCGCTCGGGAGTTCCTACCGAGCCTACATCTACTCCCCTGGAGACTCCCTTAAGGCCAAATCGGAACCAGCTCGCGACTAGCAAGCCAACTAGGAGACCATACATCATATTCCCGCTTATCAGCGGTTTGAGAATATCAGCTAGCGGGCTCAATATAGGTCGTACTGCTTCCAGAGGACCCCATTGTGCAGCGGCTGGTTTGGACTCTGATGTTCCATCAGTGGTCCGGGAGACAGCTTTCGCTTCCCTGGTTTTGCGGGTCTTCTTGGTCTTCTTGACCACGGCGCCGCTGACCGTTGGGCGGCGAGAAGAAAGGCTTGCTTTCAAGGAAGCCACGATATCCTTAGCATATTGCACTTGGCCGTCGTTGGCACCTTTTTCGATAGGCCCTGTATACAGTTAGAGGGTGAAAAGTTTGACAAAAGGGGGGAACGTACCTTTTAGCCAACTCTTTCCTGTCCATTCGATGGCACAGTTCATTTGGAGACGAGTTGCGTTACCTTCTGCCCACGAGAGGCAGTACCTCGTCTTCGTGCTGAAGACGTTCCCGCTCGGAACGTCGGGAGTTTGGGTCGAGATTGTTACCGAGACGGACCTCTCAAAGTCGAGTGCATCAAGAGTTTCCGTACATACGCATTTCGTCTGTTTAGGCCCAATGGAACCATTGAGAGGCTTGATATATGAGTAAGTCCTTACTTTGTTGTCAAGACCCAAGGGCTTCTTGTCTTCGGGCATTGTAAGTTCCAGACACTTTTGGTCCACAGTGAGCCAGTTTTTCATCCAAGTTATTGATGCCGGTCCAAACATGAGACTGTAAACCTTTCCAAGAGGAGCCGGAATGACTTCGTCTGCAATGATCTTGCTGTAATGGGTGTCCATGTCCGAGCAGTCCGTCGCCGCATGTGTCGCAGGACCAGGGAAGTCATCATCAGGGGGAGATGGAGCATCATCCTTCTTGTCCGTCGGGGCACCATTAGGGAGTGATGCGACAGCCAAAGGTTTGCGGCCGAAAGTCTTTTCCCCGCTATCGCTTCCTGCGACACTACCCTCGGCCTGAGTAAAGCTCATACTATCTCTCTCATCTTCATCTTCATCGTAGATCTCATCGTCCTCGTCCTCCTCACTGTCAGACTCTGATCCGCTTTGGCTTGCGGCTGCATTCCCATCAATTTTCTCGGTCTTGTCGCCCCCGCCAGTCTCATCAATACGGACTCCATTGATAGAACTTCGCAAGCTTGGATGTCCCAGTTTCCAAATGCCAACAATTAAATCATAAGTAGAATCTCGACTGGTAAAGCTTGCAAAGACGTTCTTAGCATGGAGAGTCGAGATGACCAATCCATTCTTGAAGACCAAGGCTGTACTTCTTTTTTCAACAGACACAATCTCGTCAAAACTCATTACCAAGGTCGTGACCCAACCAAAGATATTACTGCTGAAGCAAAGGTGCCCTTCCGAGACATAGAGTCGACCATGGGCAAGAATTTCTCTCTGTAAAGCACAGCTATAGTCTTCGATCAAATAATCATCATCCGGCACGCTTCTGAATAGTTGATGGAAGTCGCGGTTCCGCTTCTTGCTAGCGACAGCAAATCCAGTAATCTTAGGCGCACTTACTTGGGCGATGGGGTGTGCAACAGACGAATTTGCTGCAGCAATCGCAGCAGCAATGGTGGTTCCGGTAGCTGTAGAGCTTTCTCGCTTTCTCCGGAGGCCCCTAGAACTTCGTATGCTTCCACTGCGACGAATGCCACTCCTCCCTTCGAAAACACTACCGTTGGGCGGTGTCTCTGCTCCAGCAGGTGATGGCTCATAAATCGATCGAGGTCGCACAGTCGACTGGTTGTCTTCGGCCTGTGGTGTCGTTGAGATATCTGCGCTTTCTCCTAATCCATAATTCCCTGATCCAGAGACGGCGCTACTGGCTGATACGTCCCCTTCCCTCGTCTCCGACCTTCCTGTCGCTTCCTCTGAATCTTTTGAAGACATAGGATCAGTATTCTCAGAGATACCCAGATGGCTCAGACTAAGATCGCCCATGCCCAGTGTCTTGACTGCGGGCTCCTTCTCTTCTGTTTGATCCTCGGTATCCAATTCCTCTCCTATTGTCTCTACCTCGGGACTTTCTACCTCCTTGACTTCTTGGGGTCCACTCTTGTTTTTTCCACCTACAACGAGTGATGTATTTGCAATGCTGGAAGTCAATGTGTTCGCGGCGTTTTGTGCCGCAGATAAGACGCTGTTGAAGAAACCACTTTGAGTGGGAGTTGGAGTTATTGAGCCGTTTTCAGGGGTTGGTGCTAATGGCGCAGAGGTGATACTCGAGAGCTTACTAGGCCCTAATGCTGCTGATCCTGATCTCACCCTTCGGTGTGATATCATATTCCCCGAAGGGGACGTTACGACATTGGGGTTTGAAGTGATCGGGTCAGACGTTCCACGATCTCGCCCGGACGGAAAACGGGGTACGCTATGATCAGTAGGAGTTGGGGGCGTATTAACAATTATCGGGGCCAAATCGGTAGCGGGGGGTGTCCGCGGGCGATCATATGTATCAATCGGGTGAACTTTGGCGGGTTTGGGTCGTTCTGGAGAAGATCTCGTAGTGGACGGTTGCGACTGTTTATCAGGCAATATCGAGCCAATTTTCGAGACTACACTCCCTCGCCGCCCATCCGATGTGCTCTTTTCCTTCTCCTGCTGTAGGCGGTCAACTGCACTCGCTCCAGCCTTGCGCTCGGGACTTGAATGTTGACTTGAGGCCTTTCGACCCGGACGGAGAGCGTCCTTTAACCTGCCAACGGGCGATGGCGAGCGATTCTGAGATCCGTTGGTCGGGGCTCGAAGGTGGTTGGAAGGGAGGGAGAGCTCTGACTCGGAGGTCGCCAGCTTGCCGGGGCCTGGAGAGAAGGTCGCTGATCGCGGTGTAAGCGCGCCGTCGGGACGCACTGGAGAGAGGTTTTCACGGGGAGATGTCGTAGAGCGAAGGAGAGGAGACGATGTAGTTAAAAAGCCAAGTTGCGAAGGATTTGCTGACAATGAAGGAGAAGTCGAGAAGGGCCTGCGGCACAGGGACAAATTTAGCTATGTATCTGGATGGAGCTGCCAAGCTGCAAGGAACGAACACGTAATTAACGGGAACAGGAACAATCCGCCGCCGACGAGAGTGCCCGACTCTTGCGACCGGCGATTGAGGAACGGAGATCTCAAGCTTCAACAGTTGCAAAAAGAGAGGCAAGCAGGCAGTTGGTCGGGGGGTTGCGAGTGATTTCTGGGGGAGACGGTTACTGGGAGGGAGTGAAGCTGGAGATGCGAGGTGGAACGTTCCGACAGACGTCTTCGCTTCAGCAGCAGCGGTCTAGAAGACATGGGAATGAACCCCAGCAAATCCATCATCGAGGAGCAAGAAGAAGCGGTAAAAAAGGATCTACTCACGATTCAGTCTCCGAGTCATAGGTGAGCAGACTACTTCCATCGCCCGACCAGCTGCGGGTGACAGAGATCTTGCTGCCGTTGTCCTCCAGTGTCCCTCTCTCTGCGATGCTCCTCCCGCGAGCTGCCTCTGCACTTGCGCGCGCCTCTTCTTCCTTCTCGTGCTTCCTGCGCCGTCGCCTGCCTCTGAGCCCTCTGTGTCCATGTTGTTTGCCTCCATTTCCGGCCTCATCGTCGTCGAGATTGGTGTGGCTGTGGCTCTTCAACCTCTCAATTGCGCCCTCGATGGAATCTCGAACGCCGTGGCGACCATCGCTCTCCGTCCCAGTGCTAAGCAAGGAATCCGAGGCAGAGATTCGGTTCTTCCTGTGCCGGCGGCTTCTGGAGAGCATATGGCTCAACCCGTTGCGCGAAGACGGCTCTGATGTTTCCTCCATTGCGACGACGATGGGCCGAGTGTCTCAGGGCCAGTTGGCCAGTTGGATTAACCTATCGCATGCGAATGATCTTAGCACGCAATGGAGAGCAGTTCAATTCAATTGCGAGTGTAAAGTGTCTCGTGCTATCGTCAATGGTCGTTTGTAGAGCTCCTCGGGGCGTTCGGGATCGCTCAAGCCTGCGGGGCAGCCTCGATGCAACAATGGCTGCTGCGAGAACGGCTATTTGATAAGCTGCAATGCTATAGAGATGTAAATTGATGCGCGTGCCAATTGTCGCTGCGAAAGAAGATCGTCTTCTCTGTCATGGGTAGATTAATAGATGAGAGAGTTGAATATCCCACCTGCTTTTCCGCCTTCCCGCCGGCCTCGCGCGATTGGAGCCCCGCCGTCAAGATGATGCCTCGGTTCCAAGGCTGCCAGGTCTTGAGCCGTTCAGCCTCGTGATCTGCAACCACCATTGTCATCACCATAAGGTACCTAGGTAGCCAGGGACATGGGATACTTGCACATCCACGCGACGACAATCATGATATAACACCCCTCTTCGATCTCCCTTAGATCTCCTACCTCTCCGGCTTCAACATGGAGTCCGCCCCGTTAACTTTGGTACGTCCAACTCCACAGCTACACCTACACCTACAGCTTCTCTTCCCCTGCTGACGGTAGGTATAGGCTCATGACCATGCTCGAGCAGCCTCTCTGGCCACTCAAAGCAGCGATACCACTGTCGCAATCAATGAGCATGCTCTGGCAGCCGGGGAATTTGCCAAAGCGGCCTCGGGGACAGCAAGTGCAGAAGCTCTTAGAACCTTGCGACTCCTGGAACAACACCACCAGAGGCTCTCCGAACTCCTTCGTTACCCGTCTGAGAATCCAGTCGTCAACCCTCCCAGCGAAGCAGAAGTTCAAGTAACCACCGAGAAGCCCCTTTCAACATCTGTCCCCGTCGCCGAACTACGGGCCTCAAAATCCGACCTTGGGCCTCGCGCCTCGTCCCCGCCTCGAAATCCTACCGGGTTAGCACCACGCCGTCTGCCACCCCGCGACCTCAGCTCCTCGATTGCAAGCAACCTCGCATCTGCTCGTGGAATCAGAGGGAAGAACACAAGACCACCACCTCTCTCGCCCAGTCTATCGACACATCAAGCGCCAGGGAGCCTCGAGACACATCGCCGCCGCAACCTGCCTAATAGCATTCCCGAGCATGCGGCGCCAAGCTGGGTCCCTCCCCCCTCAAGTCGAAAAGCCGAACCCAAGACCGGGACATCTCGAACATCCGTTGCTGCCGAACCAGCAGCCCCCGCTCCTGCGGCAAGCGACGAAGGTTTTTCAAAATTCTACAGCGCCTTCGAAAATATTCTCCACAGACTCTCCGCACCTCTGGCATTTGCAGGCCTACCATTAGCCGCTGAAGAAGACCCCAAGTCATCTGAATCCCAACCAACCTCACCTAAGAAGGCGCATATAAAGACTGAGAGACACGGCTCGGATCCTGATCTCACGAAATACATCTCTCGGGCTGCGCTCAGGGCCTCGGCTCGCGATGGTCATGCGGGGAATGACTCCTTCTACGTAGTCCCAACAGCTGGGGGTACACTTTCGTACGCCCACATTCTGTCTTTCGCTGAGAAGGAGAAACGGCGTATGGCGGCCTCGATGCACGGAGAGAATCCAGACCTCTTCACCAATCCCGACGACGAGGATGATTTTGTTGACGCGAGGGAAACCCTCGTCCCAGCTTCTCCCAAATATGCCAGGGGTGGCAGTTCGCGGGGGAAGAAGATGAGCGAGAGGCAGCTAGAAAATAAAATTGAGGAACTGGGGATAGAGAACAAGAGCCTCAAGGATTGCGTTGACAAACTTGCAAGACGTCTCCAAGCTTTTGAACTATCGGCGCAGCAGAGTAGCATGGCGCTTAATGAAAGCATGCGCTTAATGAGGGAGAAGAGCCCTGCGAGAGACAGAGAGCGACTGAGTCCCGTTCGTGATCGTCCTAGCCGTATGAGGGAGGACAGCGGCGGCACGGGTGTGGAGGCCGTCTCAGGAGACGAGGCCTTGCGAAGACGAGTGCAGGAGTTAGAGGATCATGTACGACTGGGCGGGAAGGAGATTGAGAGGTTAGGAAGAGAGAACGAGAAGTTGAAGAGCGTGGTAGCGAGGTATAGAGAGAGATGGGAGAAGTTAAAGGAGGGTGCCAAAACGAGAAGGGAGGCTACGGGTACGGGTACGACGAGCACAGGAATGAAAGATGCTAAGGAGGCACAGGCAAGCAGCAATGGCCTTGTGAGGAAGGATTCTGATCCAGGAGCTGGCAGGTTCGTAGCTGGATGAACTTTGCTGGGGAGTAGACAGACCATAGACTACATGACATTGTGCTGAGTTTGTAGGCACACCGTAATACAATCCATAATCTCAATTACTTGGGCGTGTGCGACGTGCGATCTCCCCCTCCTGTCTATTTCTCCTCCTCCTCCTCCAGCATCCCGACGCCCGCCCCTTTTTAAGCGAGCCCAATACACTCCCCCCCACTTTCTATCTACCTATGTATCTATTCTTCTCCTCATTCATGTCATTCAAGTTCCAATTAATATCTGTATTTTGCTCATTTAATGGATCTGATAATTATAAAATCCGCAACGCACTCCTGCGTACATCCATCCATCTCCAGCTTTGTCGTCGTTCGTCGTGGTTCGCTAGTTCTATTATTGCTGTATTTAAGTAAGGTAAGGTAAGGTAAGATAGGGTAAGGTAAGGTTATAGAACAGTGTATTACTATATAAGGTATACGGTTCTCTGCTGTACTAAGGTAGTAGGGCTGCATAGGTAGGTAAGGTAGTCGAATACGGGGTTGGACCCCGCGCGGGGAAAGCTATATAAGGTAGTATAGCGTTATACTTATAGTTCTTCATCTTACTCGTACCTAGGTATCTCAACACGACTCCTATCTAAATAACATAAAAGTAATTACGATGAAAGCAAACAAACAGACTCAATCAATATCCAACTACCTAATCAACAAAAAAAAAAATCCAAGAAATTCCCCAGGGTCAAATAAAAAGGTTCGGAGATATTCGGCAAGCGCCAAAGCAAGATCGGGCGAAATTCGGTCAATGACGTCGAACCATGCAAAATCCAATAGGGATTGCCATCTTTCTTTGGATCGGCTCCAAATTCCAATACTTTGGTCTGTACCATATTTTAGGTAGGTATATAATCTAGCTCTTCGCTCTAATCTTGACTTCCCTTCTTCTCTCTTTCTCAATTTCCTTGCTCTCACTCGCTCTCTCTCTTTCTATACCATTTTTTATTCTGAACCAACCAAACCCGCTCGACCGAGCGTACCTCGGGACCAGACTCAAACTCAAACTCGAACGAACCTGACGACTGGCTTCTCATTCTCATTCATCAAAACGAGCCCGGGACAGAGACAAAAAATGTTAAGCTGTCTAAAAAAGTTCTGGAAATCCATCTCCACAGGGTGGGTCGTCGAGTACCCGTCCTCGCGGGACGGGCCGAGTGATTTCTTTGATCGGAGGGATAGGAGACCTTATGGTGCGCGGCCGGAAGATATGGAAGAAGCGGAAGAAGAGCGGGAGAGGAGTGGGAGTAGGAGTAGAAGTAGGAGTCGAAGTCGAAGTCGGGATTAGGGAGTAGGAGAGGAGATAATAGGATAGGATGGGATGGGATGGGGAAAGCGGTTGGTTTGTGAGGAGGGAAGGGATGGGAGGAGGGGATTGGTGATTTGGTTTGAATGGTTTGGTTGGTTTGTTTGATTAATGAATGAAAGGGAATACTGCTTGAGGTATGGAATACGATGTAGTTCTGGTGTATACCTACTTGGGATGATACAAAAATTGACTGACTGGTCCAGTAGACAATTCTCAGCTTCGATCCACCTCCTTCTCCTCTCCTCTCCTCACTACGGCTTGCTCGCAGGACGCGCACCACTCATAAAGATGAATGAGGACTAATATCTATATTATACAACCCGGCAAGTCATTATTAGCATCTTTGCAAGTAAAAGCTATCTAGCTTGTTATTATTCATTCAAAATTCTGCATTCACAACAAGACCTGACTGCAAGTATCAAGAGATCTATCTAATAAGTAAATAAATCGATTATCGATCGAACCGCACAAAATAAATACACAGAAAAGATTGGGTATCGTGTATTAAGAGTCTACATACATACATACATACAGTAAAGTGGGTATAGATAGCTATGTACTTAATTTAAAATTGTTCCAAAAAAAGAATAAAAAAATGCGGTTCAAGATATCTGTCTTGCCTCCTATCTCATCCCGACTCAACTCACTGACACACGGGGGTATATATGTATAGATATGCAGACGCTCAAAAAACCGGCAGCTATGCTGCTCTAATATGCTCGCTCGCTCGCTCGATAGGAGGGATGATGATGATGTGTGTGATATAATAGATAGATGCAGAGTAGGAAGGAAGGGTTCTTCATGAGAGCGTTCCGGATATGCATGCATCCATCTCTTAGGTTTGATTTGAGATGGAAACAGGAGATGGTGCGTGCTATGATGGCCGAGCTCTGGCAGATACATAGATGCAGGGATAGCAAGAAAGAGACGAAGAGAAAAGAAAAGAAAAGGGGAAAGATGTCCGTCCGTCCGGTCGGTATGTAAGGTATGTATCCTAACGTCGTGAGACCATCCTATATTAAATAATAATAATGTTGCGGTTGGGTATATTCCATTCCATGCCATGCGATGCGCGTGTGGGCACCCCATGCCTGATGCGTATGCCAAATACAGTGCGCTGCAATGCCGTTCTCTCGTGATATTCGTAATTTCGTGCTTGGTGTCTGTCTTCATCCATCCAGGAGACCTGGATATCTGCTTCTCCACTTTACTTCTCTCCCTTGAAGATTCGAAGACGCATTTCGAAGACGCATTAATCGTCCTCGGAAACGACGTGTAGCTGCTCCTCCATCTCAGGCGCGGGAGGCGGCCACTCGATGGCGGCCATGGGCGCAAAGCGGAGCTTCGTCCTGATTTCGAGCTTCTTCCTCTCGATTTCCTCAGCCAGGTACCATCGACTAGTCAGCCTTCTCCTTCGTTCAGAGAAGAGCTTCACGAAGTCTTCGTCTTCCGTCGCGAAGCTGAGTTCGAGGATTCTTAATTCTTCCGCGTGTTTCGCTGTTAGTCTCTTCAGTTCCTCCTCTTGCCGTGAGAGCAGATGCTCCATCTGTTTCGCTTGCTTGTCGCGCATCACGTTGATCTTGCTCTGGTGGAGACGTTCCATGTCATCCCGCAGGTTATACTGCTGGCCCAGCTCCCTCAGATCCCGTTCAGTGACGACGCGGGCCGGGTTGGAGCCGTTTGCACTCCTTCCCAGCCCATCGCAGTAGGCTTCCATATGGCGGAGGCGGATGTGGACGCTGCGCTCGCTCTGCTTGAGCGTGGCGCGGAGTTCCATCTCGGCGCCCACCTGGCGGTCTTCCAGATGCGCCGCCGTTCCCAGGTGCCTCTCTTTCATCTTCGTCTGGAGCTCACTGTGTCGACCCAGGGTGTCGAGCCGCACTTGCGCCTGGCGGGTCCACATGTCCCGCTTCACCTTTCTCTCAAAAGCACAGAAGCGATCTCGTTCGTTGATATGCCTCGTCCTCAAGGTATTCAGTTGCTCCGACTCGAGCGTCCGTTTCTCAGCCGCGAGCTTCTCTGCTGCCTCCTGCTGTTCCTCCTCCTCCTTGGCTAACCTTTCTGCTTCGAGTTCCGCTATCCGCGCTTCTTCCTCGAGACGTCGTCGCTCGAGCTCTTCCTCGCCGTTACAGAAGTTCGGGCAGCCAATAACAGAATCCCATACTGCGCCGCAGACATAGCAGAACTGCGCTTTGCACCGACAGGTTATGTAGCTACTTCCCTGGGTCAGTTCAACCAAGTCCCGGCACTTGTAGCAGCGCCTCCAACCGGTATTCCCGCCCATCTGGAGAACAGCATCTAGCTCCCAGTCGGCAGGACAGGCCTGGCCCAACGCATGCGCGGCGCTCTTGCATGTGGAGCAGACTCGCGTCCGACATTTCCGACACACGACTTCGAAGGGGTGCTTAGGGTCGATTTTGTCGCGCTTGGGGATGAATTCCCCGCAGGCGGGGTTCGTGCAGAAGATTCGCTGGGACCAGGGGGTGCTGAACTGCAGGACGGATTTCATGAAATTGTGCTGATCTTCGCGGGAGAGGAGGCTCTTGATGACGGAGGCGGGGATGGCGCGGCTACAGCATCTTGGTGGCATCTTGGATTCGTCTGTGCTGGCTTGCGAGATCAGGGCCCGTAGACAGGCGTCGCAGTAGCTGTGTTGGCAAGGGAGGGTATGGACGGGTCTTGTCTTCTCGGAGTCTTCTCGACAGCATATACAGGACCTATCTCGTTAGTTATTTCCAATTCTTCAGCAGGATCGCAGAGAGATACTCACGGCGTAGCTTCCTCGGAAGTCTTGGTCCTCCTCAGCCGCAGACGACTCTTGATGCCTTTCCGAATACTGGCGTACGATCGTCTCGTCGACACGGAAAACAGTGAGGGGGCGGGTTCTGCAGGGACGGGCGGAGGGGAGAAGTCCAAGTTCGCAGCATCTCGCGCCTCCGTTTGCATCACGAACTTCTCATATTCCGAGAAAGACAGACTGCGGCGGGGGTTGGACCGCTTCCTCATCTGCGGCGGCGCGGCATGATCCAGAGACGACCTCGACGTCATGCCCGTCGAATCGCTCCCTCGCGACGCAGACGACGTCGTCCTCGCATGGTGACTCGCGACCGTGATGGCGCTCTCGCAGAGGGAATCGTGTGCCGTGTTGCGCGGACTTGGTGGTCGCGGGATGGCGATACCCAGCGCCTCGGCCTCCTTGGTGAGGTCCGCGTCGCAGAGCTCTTCGGTGCGCCCATCTTCCAACAGCAGCACCTCGCGGAGGTAATCGGCGTCGCTGTGTGTGGTGGGAGCTGGGCCCTCGCTGCGTCGCATCTCCACCAGAGAGCTTTGGCGCGGGGGCACGACGGGCGTCATGTTGAGGCTCAACAGTCAGAGAAATTCAACAGTCGCGCAAGAGCTCGAAAGCTCGACATCCGAACGGGCGAGCCACGGGAGGAAAAGACTCTCTAGAGATATTGTGGGAGGGAGCGGTCGGGAGTGGGGTCCGTCGACATAGATATCTGGTGATACTGTAACAGCAAAGGGCGAAGCGAAGGACGAAGGCGAGGGCGTAGGACAGCCAGTGGTATTGGAATGAGTGTGGTGAGGTACAGAATACCGAGGGCAGAATCGAGTGAAGTGAAGTGAAATGAGGTGAAGTCAAAAGTCAAAAGTCAAAGTCAAGAAATCATCGTCGTCGGCGGCAGCGGCAGCAGGTGGGGAAGAGTTTGGATTGGCTCACTCGGCGCGCGCAATGAGGGACGGATGGAGCTATCCAACGTAATAACACAGCACAAATCTCCCATGAAAAGATGGATCAGAAGGGGATTATCCTTGGACCTTGGTCTATCTTTAATACTCTCTTTCTCTGCCAAAGTCTCAAGAGAACAGATCAACCAGCTCAAAGGCAAACGGGCTACACCAGTTCTTTTGACACAAGCTTTTCCGGCTCATCGATCAAGACTTCAAAGAACAACTTCCAAAAGCTGAGATAACTCCGCAAGTAATACTGTAATAATAATAATCATAATCATAATAATCAGAAGCAAAGCAAAAAGCAAATCTTGACAAATCGCATTACAGGGCTAGGAGACTTTTCCCTAGGATTTCACTCCGTCCGTCGTGCGTCTCCCGCTGATCGCCCTCGAGGATCGCTCGGGACCAATGGTGCCCACTCTCGCGCAGGGTTGTCACGGCGTGGTTAATTGACAATTTGACCGTGTGTTTATTACTGTTTGCAGAGTTAGTTAAGGTACTCGGGAACTTGATTATTCCTTGGTAACTTTTAGTTAGAACTTAGTACTGGCGGCAACACGGATGCAAAAGAGATCGATGCGGGTACCTTGCTGCGGGCGACCATGGACCTGGGTGTTCGATCTCATAAGAATAATGTGATGGATGAACGAGAGTGATTCCGTAGTGATGAGGTGCTGCATCTCTAATCCACGAAGCAAGGTTTCTTTCCGCGTGATGGAAGTATATCCCTGAATTCATCCAACCAACCAACTCTTCTCTTCTCTTCTCTCTCGGTCATCATTTTCCTGCCCACATGCCGATTATCATTTCAACTTAGCCGAACGTGCCCCAATTCTCCCCTCATTTATGACTTCACTGCTTGCTGTCCTTCAGTGAAGCCTTTTATGCGCATGACGTCTCGGCCCGCACGCTCCGTTTGTCGTATTTTGAGGATATATATTTTATATATAATACCAATATATATATGTGTATCACTACGCATATATGCATGACCTGATCCATCAATCTATCTCAAATTCCCCTTCTGCGCCTGTCACTCACATTTACACATCCCTTCTTTATTTCAAACAAAGGAATGGTGTGACCCCGCGTTTGCTTGGATCGGATATCTAGATCATGAGCTGAAGTATGGCGCAGAGACGTGCGAATAGATCTTGTTATTTTATATTACGATGGTATTCAATTAATTCATTTAGATGGATCTCTCTTTGTGATTGATGTTTGCGTCGGTTTTAGAAGGTTGGTTGGTGTTTTCAGTTATTTCATATCGCAACCTAACATCCTTCTACCCCCCCCCCCCTCTCTTCCAAAAAAAAAACAGAAAACCCCAAACGAAGCAAAACTCCTCTTCTCCTTGCTCAACCATGAACACCAAATCTCCAATCAATATCTTGAAGTTATGGTGCAATTTTCATAAAATGTCGCTGTGGATTTCACTCTGATTACCTATACAAGGTAGTAGGGCGGTCAAGCGACCAGTTTCGAATATGCATTTAAGAGGCAATTCAGACGTATAATCAGATGGAGACATATGCAGATAAACGGCCGAAAAGGTATACACTTGAGACGGATGCATTGGCAATGGCATTTCAAGTAAACATCTGCAGTAAGGTAACGATAATATTGATATATATATCTATCTTAAACTTTTCAGACTACTATACAACAATGCCCCCCACCAGGACGCCTTCCACCACCTCACCCTCTCTCAAGACTAGCTCCTCTCACTAGCAGATATCCGCCACGCCTTGAGAGGCAGCGTCTGCAATTTTATCGCGGCCGGCTGGATGAACTTCCAAAAGGTGAGCACGCCTATGATCACACAGATGATGTTCGTAACATAGTATCCATCTCTATCTATGTGGCAGATGCCGCCTCCCTGGATACAGCGATCCTTTTCGGCCGAGAGAGCGCAGGAAAAGGAGTCTGCGATGAGAGGTCCGCGGAGGTCGGGGGAAAGGGTGGTTCCTGGGGCAGGAGGGATGCACGTTGCGACGGTAAAGAAATCGACGAGCTTGAGAATGAAGAAGCGAGGGAAGGTGCCGCCAAGATTAGAGACACTATATCATTTCGTTAGCAGCGGATCACACTGAGAAGAGAAGGGGAAGGGAGGACTCACGTAGCGAGCAAAGTCATATATGTCCCCCCAATGACGGGATCTGCAATCCTAGCATGGAAAGCCGAGATGGCAACGAACATAACCGTACTTGTGAAAGTAGAGAAGATATGCTCGGCGATTACGACGAGGAGGTACCAAGTATCGACACCCTTGGCGGGGAAGATAATCACAGTTATCTGTGCAATGACTGCGGCAATCAAACGGCCGACGAAACCCCAGCACCAGAGCCGCATGGGTGTATATGTTGTTGACCATTTGCCCGCATAATACCCTAATCCAATCTCAAAAGGAAAATCTATCAAAACGGTGAGGGCCAGGTCCTCCTGACTGAACCCCTTGTCAATGAGCTTGAGGTTCGTGACTGCATCGTTGGCTTGAAAACCAATCTTGGCAATTAAATGAATGATGATAATCGTTTGTATGTTCTTGAGTTTCAGGACGCCCCACATCACTTTGTAAACATCCCAGATCCCGTCTTCGTTTTTCGTCTTCTCTTCGCGCTTCAGGAGTGCAAGACCGACGGTCACGATGATGTAGGTCCAACCCCAGAAAGTGAGGTATCCTCCTAACGTCATGACGCCCTCGTCCAGGGGCGTTTTGCGGAACCATTTGTTGGCGAAGTCAGGGGAGTTGAAGGCTAGGAATACGGTGTAGGACATGAATTGGCCAGCTGTCAAGCCCACGGTTTGCGCTGTGGAGGCGTATGAGATATTGCCAGGGGTTAAAAGCGTGAGAGCCCAACCATCCACAGCAATATCTTGCGTAGCGCACATAAACACCAGGAAGAACCACCATCCAGTGAAGCCCCATATGCCACTCCCTCCGTCTTCACCTGCCGTGGTCATCATTTCTTTCGCGTGTGCTCCAAGCCATATCATTCCAATCCCAGACAGCATCTGGATCGGCATAATCCAACTCTTTCTCCTCCCCACCTTGGGACTCCACACGGCATCCACAATCGGACTCCATAACAGCTTCAGCGAATATGGGTATGAAGCCAGACTGAACACTCCCAACGCACTGTAGCTCATCTTCGGCTTCAGCAAGAACGGCACACTCCCCGTTGCCAATCCCATTGGCACACCCTGCAAGAAGTATAATAGAACCAGCAGTCCAAAATTCCTCCGATCCTGCATAGGTAGCTGGAAGAAGCCATGGTTGTTCATCACTGGTGTTCGCGGGACGTGATCGTCCAATGTGAAGGATTCGCGGGAGATCATGTTCTCGGTCACGGAGGGGACTTCGAGCGAGACATTCTTCCGCCTGTACTCCACGCCTGAATTCATGTTGCCGTTGGCCTGTCCGCTTCCCCCTGTCGTCGAGGAGCCAGACGGCTCCTTGGATCGAGCACGGCGGGCCTTAGCACCCATAGAAGTGTCCTGGTCGTCGTCGTCTTCGTCTGCGCCGCCGAGGAGGGGTTGTGCGCCTTCGAAGTCCTGTTTCGAGGAGGTTCTGTTGTGACGTTGGCCGGAAGGGGACAGTTCGTCGAGCTCTTGCGCGTCAAGCGAGGGTGGGAACTGGGCGTCGTGATGTAATGGCAGGCTATGACGGAGATCTGAGGGAGACTGGACGATGGACAACGAGGGCAGAGTGTCGGCCAGAGGGGTCGGCATCCATATGGTGGTGTTCTCAGAGACTCGCTGGCCTCTAAATAGTCGCAAGGCGAGTCGCTTTTCTTAGATTCACCGGGGCTGCAGGTGGATCGCCAGGCACGAAACAACTCTAGCGACGTGTCTTTTTGGAGCGCGCGGAGAGCCAGAAACACGGGGGGAGATAGGAGAATCGAGATGATACGTGGAAAAAGGTCACGGAAAAGGCCAGGCGGACATTGAGGAATCTGAGGATATATTCGGGGGAGAGAGTCAAGCACAAAGGACAGATACCAAGGGGAATGGGTGAGGGAGGCCCTTTGCGGATCATTGCTTATCACACGTGATCATACTTTCTTATCTCGAGGATCTCTTCGGCCCCGGTCAAGGTCTCAAGGAAACTCTTATAGATGAGTATGCTAAGCCATAGGTTGTCTTTAACGTGTATCTATTCTCGAATCTTGATGTGAAATCCCATAATATCACTATAGTTCGAATTTATGCACTCTTTATGTAAGGTAAGCGTCCATTCGTAACTCTTCAACTGTGTCACGTGATGAGCGCGTTTCGCGACGAAATCCCGGAATCGACAACGCGACAACCTCAACTGATTACTCCTCACCCCTCCTCTCCAGGTCGTCAATTAGAGTATCTACTATCCGCAATATCCTCATGATCATGACATCCTCATCCGCCTCATCCGTCTCTGAAGTTGAGGACCCTATCGGCGCCGAACTCGACGCCGAAATCTCGTCCCTGAAATCCCAAAGTAAACAAAGCGCCCCTCTCCTCGCTCTCTTCTCAAAACCCCTAACGAATTCTAGTATCAACCCTCAAATCCCAGCGCGCGCTCCAGGCGCGCCATATCCTCTCCTCTCACACCACCCACGCCATCCTCTCACGACTCCGCGCCTCCAAACCCGCGCCTCCCTCCTCATCATCCAACCCCACCTCCTCCGGGCCTCCAGACGTCTCCCCTCTCCTCCAGACCTCCTCCCAGCAGCTTGCGCACAACCAAGAGAACCTCTACCGAGCATGCGCCAGCATCACGACATTTCCGATCCAGGACCCTGACCCGAACGCCGTGGACCACGGCAAGGTGCTCGGGATCCGGATCGACGTGTCGAGCTTGGGACGCTTCGCGCGGCCGTATTACGTTATGTTGAATAAACCTTGTGTCGGGGAGGACGTGCTGAGGGTCCATCGCCATACGATCCCGCCTTGTATCCCGGTGGCGGCGCTGGCGGCGAGGTATCTTCCTATTGCGAAGGGGGCGGGTGAGGAAGGGGGAGCGAAGGGGGCGAGGAAACAGAATCTGGGAAAGTTCATACGTGCGCTGAGGAGGGAGATCGTGGCGTATCATAACCGGACGACGGTGATCAAGAGTCTGCGTAGGGATTTCAAACTCGATGAGGATAGAGAGAAGAGGGGGAAGGGGAAGGGGAAAGAGAAGGAGAAGATCATCGCTGATATTAGCGCTGCCGATGCGGAAGCAAAACAGGTCCGTATTGAGTGGGTCGATGGTAAGATTGGACGCTGTGTTGTTGGGGAGAGCGGGATGGTGGAGAAGTGCGTGGTGATCGGTGAGCAGGGCCGCGATTGGGAGGTCGAGAGGCGCATTCTAGGCGGCGACAAGGGAGATGCGAGCATGCGGGGTATTGGGGAGAGACTGCGGGAGGGCATTTATTGATTGGGCATTGGGTGGCGTTTTGCTAAGGCCAGGCGTTGGAGGGAGATTTGTCTGATACCCTGAATGGTTACTGTTCCACTTTCAGTTCCCATCTCACTTCCCATCCCTATTAGATCATACGTGGATCGTAGGCCTATGGACGGAACTTGATAAATCAAAGTACAGATCAAGAACGATATGAAGCAGCACTCTATCAGGAACGGTGAGAATGATACTGATGAATTCGCTGTGGATCTATGCAAGATCCAGTAAAGAAAACTAACGCTACAGGTAGAATATTCACACTTTACACACGAATGAATGACATCGCACGAAAACAACATCAATCCCAATCGAGGAATTCCGAGTCCCGAAATCTCCGTCGCTTCCACGGTTTGGTCGCCTTCGGTGGATTGACAAGTGTCAGGCCTTTTCTTGCCTTCTTGGCCTGTTGTACAGAGGATGCCATGGTCCTTCTGCGGTCCATTTTGTCATGGAAGATAGATCCTTGAAAGTCAGGCTCTCTCCATACCTCTAATATCTCCTCAAGCTGAACCTCATCCGTGGCCTGCTGGCCCTGTCCCTCTCTTGTCACGATGGCCCCTTCCTGTTCAATACACTCGTGCCCAACTAACTTCTTGTAACGCCTTTTCGTAGTCCTCTGCTTCTTTTTGCGATACAGAACACGCCAATTCCTTCCAAACCTCTGCTCCCACCTATTGCCTAACAGAAATAGGCCGAAGGCCCACTGGAAGCACAAACGAGGATCAAGAAGAGGAGAATTGTCGATACTGTAAACGGCAGGGAGATGATCAACAGGAGACCAAGAATAATTATCAGATTGGCGGAAGCAGTGGGGTTGGGTGGCTTGTTCGTTAGGTTGTGGTATATCGAATATCAAAGTTCGACGCCCATACACGATGAGACTTTGGCGATGGACAGTGCTAGGTTCGTGAAGATATGAGCCGTATACTGAAAACCGCCATCTTGTCAGAAGGTGTAGAATATTCTGGCGCACTGGTATTCCAATATTTTGGCCGCCAGCGAGCAGCAAGAATATCGCAATGGCGAAGACTGTGATGGCTTTGAGGACGGCTGAAGCATGAATTTTGATGGACGCGTGGAAAACAGTATGGCAAATTTGAAACGGTACGGATAGGATAGGCTTAATCCAATCTTTAATGCGTTCAATAGTTCTTGCATGCCATTCTATTTCCCAGGCGGGTCTCTCCGGCATCTGCAATGGACCTCGTTCACTTCGAAGCGCGCGTCCGCTATTAACCGGAAGAATGTTGCAATTTTGATCAACATGATGATGATTATTACGACAATCATTGCGGCGATGCACCAATGAAACCATGGTCTGCTGTATCTCTGTCGGACTTCAGATGGCGCTGGATTTGCACTGGAGTGACTGATAGGGCTCAAGTGTGGGCTCTGTTCCGGGGAGATATGCCACAATCAGGGTAGTTTTTCGGCTCTATCAACAATCAGTAACCTCTCTTTAGATAGCCACCTGAGCCACTTACACGGTATTAACGATTGATATGACCCTATGGGGATGGAAGAATAATCAAGTGATGGTACTCCAGAGCGATTGTGGCAGAAGCAAAAGCGTGTGAAAGCAGTGGATATCAATATAAGTGACGGTTATTGATGTTGCTGATGTTGCTGTGTTAAAGAACAAAATTGCTATTTACATGGCTTGACCATAGGAGGAGCGAGATGAGTGGTCCTTCCGCAGGTGTGCAAGCGACTAGAAAGTAGAAAGAAAGGGGAGGCGCGAGTAGAAGAGAAGACGATACAACTTGCAACGGGCCCTCCATGGGCCCTTCATCTTCAAGATCAAAACAAAAGCATCAATCAACACGAACATCCATACTGTCTTGCAACCCGGCCGCATCAATTATAGTATTGATACCGTCAGAGAAACTTCATTTCTACTGAGCCGAGGAGGTGTAGAGAGGGGAGCAAGAGTGCCTGTCATTCCGCAATGGGATTCTGGCATGGAGAGCGGGGACAGCGAGGGGAGAGGCGGAAACGCAAGATTGAAGTGGATGAAACTGACCACCCGGAGCCAGCTGAGAAACTTGGCAAGTTCGTAGCGGCTCGAGGGGAGACAATCACACATATGGAAAGATGGAAGGCCGACTCTCGTCAGAGTGAAGGAAGGATGAGAAATGACAACTACCTGCAACTTACCAGGGAACAAGGAAACCAGATTGGCGATGACCTTGCATTCGGAAACAACTCGTACGTCGCGTCCGGATCTGCATTTCTCCAGGAAGCCGATCTTGTAGCTTTTGTCGCCGGCACGGTGGAAGTGGACCAGGGTAAGGTTGATGCCAAAATCAAGCAGATTGGGGCAAATGTGACGCCTCGTCGGGACCACTTGGAAGTCGGCGTAGATGGGTTTCCCAAGACCATGGCAGATGTCGAGAAGGATTGCTTGCGACCCATGAAGAAGAAGAAGGGCCATGATTCCCATCCCTGTGGTAGGGACGACAAGGCAGCCGGCGATGTCCCCCAAAAAGCCCAGCATCTGCATCAACTATCCCACCACACAATATCCGACGGCGCAGAGAAATCCGTATGCTTCCACCGCCCACCAGGTGTTGCCCAGGGAGGGAGGACTGGTAACAACGTCGAAGGCGCTCTTCTTCATCAGCGGGACGTCCAGGTGTCAGTCGAGAAAGAGGATCGATATGGCTATCAGCATCCTCACTGGCAGCATAATTGGGCGGTCGAGACTGGGAACAACAGTTGCCCCGAGTACCTGGATGCCGTGGAAAGGAATGTTGCAGGCCATCAAGTCTGGCGGGATGCTTGGGAAAGAATGAAGGAGGACGACGTGCAGAGAACCAAGACTCGACGACAGAGGAGCGGGTGCCCGTCGCCGGAACTCCCCGAGGAGCCGCCTCGATGCTCCCCCAACGCTTCTTCGACGTCGTCGGACACTGTTGTCGTTGAACATGTCGAAGTCGTCGATGGCCCAGTGGTCTCAGTCACGGCGTCTTCCAAGAACTCAGACAGCAATGGTTCTTCAGTAGCATCAGACGCTGTCTACCGCTCAACAGAATGCTCCTCGTCGTCGGACACGACCGCGATAGACGACGCGCCTTCGAAGACGGCAGGCCGTCCTCGACGAAAGCCCAAGCATCGCCGCACATTCAGCTCTGATTCAGGCGACAATAATGACGAGCTCGATTGGTCTGTCTTGACGCCCAAGAAGAAACAGAGAAGAGCGCCACCTTCTCGGCGAGCACGGGCGGAGTGATGGTCGAATTGGCCTAGAATCTCTTCAGGAATACTGAGTCCCGGATACAGTCTTCCACCACGAGCCACGAAAGGGCTGCCTCTACCTGCTCGTCAGCATACCTCTGTATCCTTTTCGAGTCTCGACCTCATTCCCCCTTTTCCATTCCTTCTATTTGTCGAGCGCGCGATGGATTGGATTACCTATGATGCACGTTTCCCCATACATACCAGTGATACCATTCTATCAGATCTCGCTGATTGCACTCGTTCCAGTTTGCGTGAGACCATGACTAGCAGGGGAGATTACGGTGTTCGGCCGCGTTGTTGCGATTTCACGCGTCTCGTATTGTGAGAGGCTCTCTCATTCGCCATTGCGCCAGAATAAGCTTCGCCGAGCTTCAGGCAATCTCGATTCACGAGTCGTCAGCGAAACACGCCCGCCCTATTGCTTGAGACTTGCGATGCCCGGGCTGCCAGATGCAGCCAACGTGCCTAGTTGCAACGGGCGCGTCGGCAATAGCGTGGTCGCGGTGGCTATTACCAAGTATCTAAGCAGAGTCAGTGGCGTCGTTGGCAGCTCGAACCGTCGGAACTGGACCGACGCTACTTCAGGGGAGAAGGCTGGAGAGCCCACATCCCCCGCAAACTATGAGGCCGTCGTCTGCTTGCCATCTGCTTATCGAGCCCCATCATTGGCCGTTGTGCTGCCGCTAGAGCGTGGATCAGGGCCTATCGATGGATTATTGGTGACCGGCTCTCAGCACTCTCTTGTGTTCCTGCTTTGCCCTTTTCCTTTTCTGCCAACGTCAACTTCCATAGGAGAATGTTTACTCTAATTTCCTTTGCTTCAACCATGACTCAAAGAGGTAATTGACTATCGTGCATACTATTTCGCCGCTGCGAGTGTCTCGGTGTTGCATACTCCTGAACCGTGATGCGTCGAGGTATATAGCTTCCACTCCTTCTCCCCCCAGTTTTCTTTTCCATCACCAAGACTCACATCGTCCAACGCCCGTCGCCAACTCGCCGTCCATCGTTTAGAATCTTCGATTCATTTACATTCTTTACACTATCTAATTCTAGATAACTCCTTTCTCCAACTCTTACAAGATGAAGGCCTCAATCATCTCCGTCCTCGGCGTTGCCGCCGCTGTCAGTGCTCAGGCACCATGGCCTGCCGTCCCCTCTGGCCCATGGCCTCAACCTCCTGCCGCCCCCGCCCCGCCCGGAGCTGCGCCCGGAGGAGCATGGCCCGCTCCAGGGGGAGCCGCCCCCTCCGCCGCCCCCTCCGGAGAGTGGCCCGCCCCCTCCGGAGCACCGCCCGCCGCCCCCTCGGAGGCATGGCCCACCCCATCGGCAGCGCCGCCAGCCCCTCCCGCCGAACCCTCCGGCCCATGGACCGTGTCGACTGTGTACACCACCTCTGTCCACACGATCACCGACTGCCCTCCCACCGTCACCGACTGCCCCGCCAGGAAGGGCAAGGTCACCACGGAGGTCGTCCCTTGGTACACGACGTATTGCCCCATCAAGCCCTCCGAGCCGAGTGCCCCGTACCCGACCAAGCCTGTCGAGCCCACTACCATCTGGCCCGAGACTACCACCTACCCCCCTGAGACCACCACCGAGCCTGCCCCTGAGACCACCGAGCCCTCTACCATCTGGCCCGAGACTACCACATACCCCCCTGAGACCACCACCGAGCCTGCCCCTGAGACCACCACCGAGCCCCCCGCTGCTCCTCCAGCCTGGACTCCTGTTCCCAGCCCAAGCCCCAGCCGCAGCATCGGTACCATCATCCCGCCTGCTATTCCCACTGGTGGTCTCCCCCCATCTCCCCCCAAGCCCAGTGATATCCCCCCATTCACCGGTGGTGCGGCCGCTCAGCAGGTCGGTGGTCTGTTGATGGCTGCTGGTATTGCCGCCGCTCTTTTGTAAGAGCATAATCGAATATGAAGATTAGGAAGGAGAGAAGAGGATGATGTTTAGGATGTATTGATGATGTATGGATTGGAGGGTGTGGATATTGTTTGAGTTATGGTAGGGAATGGGGGATTTAATGGGAGTAGGGTTGAAAATTCCGGGAGTGTTGTATGTTATTTTGTAGATTCGTGCAAATTAACATGTATTACCTCCTCCATTGTGGCAATCACCAGCTATGCATGTTGCTATCACATCGTTCGCCTTACGCTTGGCCAGAAGATATGGTATTTGATCGATGGCTCACCCCGTGCTTAATTTACCGCTCAACAGATAACCAAGTCTCCCTATAATCGTGAGCTAGTGGTCACAAGGACCTCTTGTAGTATGTTCTTCGATTGCGCCTAGTTTCATTAGCAGAAGTCGAATCTGATTGGACTTAAGCAGAACCTTGGATTATTGGGCCAATACACCAGTCTATCTGGCGATTTCAAACATTATGGATGTTAGGTAGTGAGTGAGGAGTCGGGAAGATGAGCCTAATGCTGGATTCTCTCAGAGACGTTGATGCCTACCTTATGTATTATAAGCTTTCTACTCCGCAAGCGAAAGAACATGTCAGGTGTTGGAATTATCCTCGTCCTACGGGATAGTGCAACTCCTCCTCGCTCAGAATCCTGTCTGTTTCTTTCAGCGTCTTATCAATCGTTATCTTAGACGCCAGCTTGGAACTGGAGATCGGTCTGATCAGATCAGACAGACGATTTAATAAGGGAACTATTCTTCTACATTCAGTTGCCTGACCTGATTGAGGAGGCTAGTTAGTTCGCTGGTACTCGGCGTACAGTAACTAAGTACTTGATAGCTATGATAAAGCTGTGCTGAGTTATTAAAAAAGCGTATCAGCTTGTTTGAAGTAGATGTATACGCGGCGTGTAGTCGTAACTAAGGCTTTACTGGCAGGAAATACTCTTTCTTACAGGGGTAGCTTTGTAGAAGAGCAAGTACAGCGTTGACTTGGACGCTTTTTTGTTTTTTTTGTGGGGGGGGGGGGGGGGTGGTATATTACCACAGTTAATGGTAGGATAGCGACGGCGGGGTAGTAGATCAGGTTAAATAACTAGACACAGGAAAATAGAAACTGAATTTAGTAAATTCCAATATATATAGGTACCTTGTGAATATATATGTTTTCCTCCAACGACTTATACTGTAGGTATTGACAGGGCTGAGAACCCCCTGCAAGAGAAACCCCACGCCTCATACAATCTCAACTACTCGGTCACCCAGCAGTACTGCATGCAGTTATGATGGAAAACAATTGTCAAATCCATGATCTCTGTCCAAGACAACCTATCAGCATTTCTTATGCGCTGTGGCACGAGCTCTGCACCCATGTAAGAGGAGCCGCCCAAGGAGACCAGGGCCCAACCTTCCTTGTCATACTCTTCAGCTGAAGAATTGAAACACGAAAACCCTCTCTTCTCTCCCCTCTCTCCCCTTCAAGCTCTTCTTCCACCCATATCCAGACCCAGCACCATAACTACCTACATTGCGTCGCCGATAACCAAGCTGCAGTGATGTCTCTCGACCCTCGGGACTCCCAGCGACGCACACGATCGCGCTCCCCAGGCGGTCGCGAACCATCTCGCACACGCGCCGAGCCAGAACGCGAGCGGTCGAGGGTTCGCGCGCCGTCGCCGCCCAGCTCACGATATGACGAGAACCTAGCTTACGGCTACGATGAAACGATGGAGCTGCGGACGCGGGAGCGGCGGGGCGGCGCGCGAGAGCCGGACGTCGTCACGGCGGAGCCCAGGGACAGAGGACATGGCGGCGGCGGGAGCCAGTATCGATCGAGTTCGCCTGCGCCGGGGTCCCGAGCGGACCCGTATGCGGTTCCGGGGGCGTTTGTGGAGAGGGAGGAGGTGAAGGTTGGATATGGTGGGAGGAATAATGGGAGAGAAGTCAGAGAGACCAGAGAGGATTACTATGCGGGGGCGGGGTCTGGCTCGCGCAGGGAGGATTATGGATGGCCTGAGACGGAGCGTTCACGATATCGCGAGACAGAGACATACAAATACGCAGATCCAAGGGATAGGGAGACGGATGCCCGACGCTATGAGGAGGATAGGCATGGGCGAGAACGATCAGCCAGTTTCAATGCCCGCGTTGGCCATTCTAGCATCTCGGGGGGCATTGCCGTTGGCCGTGATGACCATAGGCCATCCTACGCACAACCGCCATCTCCTGTGTCGAAATATGCTGCACCATCTTCTCCGACGAGACGCCCTATTTCATATGCGGAACCGAAGCAGTGGGAATACGCCCAGCCAGATGAGAATATCACCTACACTCGACGTCAAATAACAGAGCGCGCAGCGCGTCCTCGGAGTCCGCAACACCAGACATATGGCCGTCGGCGACGCGGCAGCACATCAGACCACGGCGGTGATTCTGCCCGATCCTCGAGATCCAACGTTGTGACGGTGGACCCAGGATCTCGCGGCCGGAGGGACGCTTCACCTGCCCCGGGTCTTGCTCCGCGAGTACATTCTCTCTCCTTGTCCACCGGCCACCACGGCAGCGCCTCCCTGTCTCTGGCTAATGCCCCAGGATCTCCTCTTCTCGAGTCGTATCATGGAACTTACCAGAGTATCTCCCCCATGCCGTCTCCGCTCATGATTGCTTCTACGCCACACTCAGATTTCGTTGAACCCCTCTCTCCCCTCTCGTCTGATAATGAAAGAGGGAAGTCCCGCCGCACAGCACGCTTTCATGACCCCGAAGAAGAAGCCATTATTCTCGCCAAAGCCCTGAAGGGTGAGAAGCGGGCTCCCAATACCGCGCCGTTAGTCGAGATCCTCCCCGGACTCACGCACGAGCAGGTCCTAGAATTGAGAGTCCAGTATAAAAAGATAGTAAAGACGGGGAGTGACAGAAAAGGCGTGAATGTAGCCAAACACATCAAGATGCGTCTCAAAGAAGAAGATCCCAGCCTTATGAAAGCCTGCTACGCCTGCGCCCTTGGAAGATGGGAATCCGAAGCCTACTGGGCGAATTTCTGGTACCAGGGGGAGAAATCGCGACGGGAGCTACTCATCGAATCCTTGATGGGCCGCACGAACCGCGAGATCCGGGAGATCAAAGACGGCTTCTCGGACAAGAAGTACGGCGATAGCTTGACGAAATGCATGAAAATGGAGCTCAAAGAGGACAAGTTCAAGAAGGCGGTTCTGCTGGTGCTGGAGGAGAGGAAGATGGATGAGCGTCCGGGGGACAGGATCGATCGGCACCTGGTGGAGGAGGACGTTCGAAACCTTCACAAGGCAGTTAGGTCCGAGAAGGGGGGCGAGACGGCCATGATCTCTATCGTGGTCGTGCGAGGTGATAATCATCTCAGGGAGGTGCTACGTGTTTACGAGGCGACCTACCGATCGAATTTTGCGAGGGAGATGTTGAAGAAGAGTGGCAATCTCGTCGTACGTTTGTTTTATTTTACTTTCACCTTTATCCTCTCTCCCCCGTATCCCCCAACTCTCCTTTCCCAACCCCTACCTAACCCTCACAACACAGGGCGAATTGCTCGCACACATCCTGAACGGGGTAATCAACAAGCCCGTCCGCGACGCCCTCCTCATCCACCACGCGCTCTCGCTCTCCAAGTCCGACTCGCTACGCACCGAGCTCCTCATCAGCCGGCTCGTGCGCTACCACTGGGACCGGCCGCACCTGGAACTCATCAAGAAGGAATACCGCGCTCGCTATGGTATCGAGATGCAGGCAGCGGTTCGGGAGGGCACGCGCGGCGAGTGGGGCCGCTTCTGCGAGATGTTGTGCGTGCGGCGCATGGGCGACGAGATCCGGAGGGTCGAGAGGGTCGAGGAGGTTACTACTTATGTGCGGAGATAAGATGAGAGATAGATGCAAGGATTCCGTAGGGGGTTTGGCATGATGACTTCGTATATGACGAGCATTGATGAGAAGATGCAGAAGAAGCGTTGTTCTTTTTTTTCCGTTTTCCTGATTTGAGATGATCATGCTGCTGCATGAATCCATACCCTCTCGCATTAACATCGTCATGCATGGATAACAAGCGCTGGTTCGCTAGCTATCTCTATGGAACTAGCCACGGGATGCTCGGGAATCTGAAAAATTCAAAGCCGGAAGTTATGGAGTTTGAAGTCTTTAAATTCTGGGTGAATGAATCAGTTTTAAACTTGAGGAGATTTGAAGGTCAGTAAGGGTATGTATGTATCTCTTTCTTTCATACCTTATCTCACTGGGATGGATGGTTACTTTAGGTATCAGATCGACACCTCTCCTGAAAGTCGTAGCAGGGGTCTTGGGAGTCAGTGCCTACCTAGGAGTATCTAATGGAGTAAGCATACAGACAAGATGTCGGTACTTCTTCACGTGCAAGCCTAGTGGCACAATCTGATAACTCCTCATGTTCGAATTCTGCTCTGCTGCTCATTGGTCACTTCTGTTCTAGAGGGTAAGGTAAGGTACGTAGGATTGGCAAGTGCCACATATACCTACCTGTTCAGCTTGCTTATGATATTGGAGACTATCAATCAAAGCAGTAGAGTTTGGTAAAGTGATTTGATATTTCCTGTATACCTATATGCACATTCCCTCCCTTTCCTCTTTTCTGGTGCAAACGACCTTAGCCATCTAGCTAGGTTTTCCAATTCCAAACCTCCGTAGATGATACAATATATCACAGTAGATGTTTCAGGTTTGTTACTTATCTGCCTTTATTTTGGAATCATGTTCTCACTTGGAACCTTCCGTACCGCCCTTACAGGAGCGAAAGATGTCGAAGACTGTTTGAAGAAACCGTGCGGAGCATCAATGATTGATCATTGATTGATTGACGTGGTTTCCTTGGTGCCTCGGAAGGGAAAAAACGGACTTCTTCCTCACATATTTGCGTACTGTGTCGAGATAATACCATCCGGGAGCGTCATGAGCATTTCCTTGGCGTTCGACCAAGCTTTCTGAGCCATGGCCGCCCTCTGCGGATCTCTTGGCTCAATGAGACACTTGAAGGGTGCAGGTCTGCATACGATGCCTTGAGTCACGGCGTTGATGTCGACGGGGATATCATTTCCTCGCTCATCTTTGGCGTGCTTGAAATTGAGCGCCCAGAGCATCTGCGCAATGCCAAGATACAGCGAGCGCTCTGCGACGTTGAGGCCGGGACAGACACGTCGGCCAGCGCCGAATGTGAAGTGGTCTCGCTCGTCGACGTTGTTCTGAGCAGCGGATTCTCCAGCGCGGGAGAAGTCGTTCTCGAATCTAGATTGCTTCTTGTTAGCTAGCAACTCATATCGAAGTATTTTAAATAGTGGGAAGAGCTACGGACCTTTCAGGTCTGAATACGCGAGGTTCGGGATATCTCTCAGGGTCGTTGTTCAGTGTCCATACGTTGCAGACAACACCTGCGTTCTTGGGAATGAAGTATCCTTTATAGTAATCGTCGGTAGACGTGGCGTGAGGTACGATACCCATGATACTAGAGGGCAGGTATCTCAGAGATTCCTTGACCACCATCCGGATATATGGCAAGTCATCATCCATCCTAGGCAGACGGTTTGGCCCAACGATCCTGTCAAGCTCCTCCTGGGCCTTCTTCTGCGCTTCGGGGAAGTTCACCATAGCCACGATGAATCCGAGGAAGATGGATGCGGTGGTGTCGGAGCCAGCTTCTAACAGCGTGCCAGATACGTACGAAGCCCAGTCATCGGTGAATCCGTTCTTCTCTTGCGACTTGAACATGTCGTCACAGAAACAGGGCGGGGAGGTCCCATCTGCAATCCGCTTCCGTACTCGGGTGAGGTAACTCTTGTAAAGGGTGAGTTCTTCCTGGTGGAGTGCCTTGGCCCGTTTGCTCATGGGGTTCACGAAATCGGGTAATCGGCGGAGGATGGGGAAGTAATCCAAGAGACTCGACGATACCTGCGACGCAACCGCGAATTCCTCAAATCCCTGTGAAAAGATATTAGAGAGTTCCCCACCAAGACGGACGTTTCAAGATAATGTACTAACATCATAGATCTGCTTTACAGCCGGGTCGTGGAAACTTGGTGATCTCCATCCAAAGACAAAACTCGTGACGAGAGAAGTGGAGTAGCGACGGACGTGGTCATGGAATCCCGTAGGCTCGTCAATCATATCGGACAGCATCTGCTTCAATTCCAATTCCTGGTAGGGGACATAATCCACAGCTTTCTTGACGTTCAAGAGGTTGTGGATCATCTTTCTCGCCAGACGCCATTCGTCGTTGTATTTCATGAACACGAGACGGTAGCCTCCACTGATGAGATCTTGACCAATGTACATATCAGGCCGCGAGGAATACTGGGTGCTCTTATGATCGAGGAGGTCCTTGACTGCCTGGCGGTGGTTCAAGACAATCATAGTCTTCGTTCCTAGGATCAAGCTGTAGATGGGACCGTACTCTTCGGCCCATTTTTGGAACTTGAGGTGGACATCGTTAGTGGAGAGAAGCAGATGCAAGTTACCTGCAGAACATATCAGTAAAGATTCTGGATTCAGGGAGATGTGCGGGAGTTCGAGCAACAACGAACGTACCGAGGATTGGAATCGTAGGTGGTCCTGGAGGATAATTCTTGGGCCGTTGTCCAAGGTTCCTAAACCTGATCACAAGTGCAACAATTGCAATGCCCGCAACAATCAGAGGCCAAGTCGTTGGCGTGATGAACTTTGAGACTCGCACAGGGTCCATGATAGCACAATCCTAGAGCTTATCCAGGGTGATCAAGGTTGAAGAACTGGAAGACGAGGAGGAGTGCAGCAGCTCTCAAAGCAGCAGCAAATCGACATGTTAATATTTCCACAGGGTCTATATGAATTGTCATCGTTATCGCAAAGCCGATAACTCATCCACCACGCAACAATCACCAGCCACGCCGGAGGAGCGAATGAGACAACGCTCTCGCATTAGGAACGGAGCCCTGCGGTACCCCGGCAGTTACAAGAGTGGAAGCGCAAGAGTGGAAACTCGGAATGGACGGAGGAGAGGCCAGAAGCAGCGGCCAGAAGTGGATTTCCCATAACTCAATCCCTGTGTCTTGCCCGGTTGTCTTACTGGGCCATGTTCATGATATCCCTCCCCGAGAAGGCGGGCCAATCGTGGGGTGAGTTGCCCCTGGCGGCTGAGAGCTTATCAAAACGACAATCAGCTCCCCCCGGACGGCGCCTTGCCCTGGATGAGAGATCTTGAGATACTCCCCACCTTTGAAAGGGCAACAAAAGTGGCGGTTTGACTGACTGTTGTTAGTCGAGCTTATCGTCGTCGTCAGGTCTCCTAGTTTCCGGGTCTAGTCGAAGCTTGGTTTGCTGTTGACTTACCTAGGTAGAGCCTCTGCCATCTGGTCTCTGTCGCTCTGCTGCATTTATAAAAATATCGGTGCCTTTATATCCATTTCGAAGAGCTCTACCAGCCCAAGCTCTACGGAGTACGTACAAAGGTACAGTAGGCTTCACATGGCGGTCAATGGCAGAATCACTGTATCAGTGAAATAAATACAGCCAATCAGAATCGATATAAAGCAGCTCTCGCCTGATAAACAACCCTGGGGTTTCGGAGGACCGTCGACACACAACATCCGGCAGTACTGTACATCTTTGTATCAGACCAGATTCCCCAGGCCCCTATGGCACAACAGGGAGCGCGTCCTGTGGCAAGGCTGTTATCCCCCACTATAGATCTCTGGATATGTCATATTGCTACCATGTGCCACTATCTGAGCCTTCAATCAAGATAATCCGCAACCTTACCTTATCTTGTGTTTCCATGAGCGGTCTCAGACATAAATTTGATTCATAACTAGAAGCTAGAAGCCGGGGACATGTGCATCGGGAGCCCTGGGCATATCTAAAATCATACGTCAAATAGGCCTTGTAGAAGTCTCGAGCTTTCTTCCGAGCACCAGGTAGCTTTTAGAACTTCCCTTCAGCTCTCGCGCCAGAGCTCTCTCCCGTCCCCCCCTCGCTCTCCCAAAGCAACAATTCAATTCCTCTCCAAGAAAAAGAAAAACACCAGAGGAAAAAGTCGAAAAAAACATGGGCACCCCCTCGGAATCAGACACTGAGAAAGGGCAGGCCAAGATCGCAAGCAGCAGTCCCGAGCCCTCAACCAGCCCCATTGTGGAGGAAGGCGAATGGCGACCCGTCAGCTGGCTGCGGTCTTCCTTCCCCAAGTTCCTGACCGGTGCGTTTGTGGAGACGCGAGGTATCGAGCGCGTTCCCGCAGAAGAGAGGATTAAGCCAAGCGCCGCCAACTATCTGCAGATGGTGCTGATCTGGTTCTCTGCAAATTTGTCCGCGAACAACATTGCCGTGGGCCTGCTGGGCCCTAGTGTTTACCAGCTCTCCTATTTGGATTCGGCGTTGTGTGCGACCTTTGGCTCGATCGTGGGATGTGCAGCTACGGCGTTTACTTCGACTTGGGGCCCCAAGTCGGGGAACAGGACGATGGTTAGTACTGGGATTGGTGGCTGGTTGGGGACTGCGCTGACTACTTGGGAAGATTGTGGCGAGGTATACCATGGGCTGGTGGCCAAGCAGAATCTGCGTTCTCCTGAACATGGTCATCATGTTAGGTTATGGGATGATTGGTGAGCTTGCCTTTCTGCGCCGAAGACTCTCATGCGATAGACAGACAGATCTTGCTCACTTTCCCTTCCTGCTAGATTGTGTTATTGGTGGCCAGATGCTCTCCGCCGTGGCTGACAACAACATGTCTATCATTGTCGGGATCATCATTGTTGCTATCATCACCTGGGTTGTAACGGTTATTGGACTTCCGATCTTCCATATCTATGAAAGGTGAGCAATTTCATGGCCACAAGGATCGCGAGAAGCTATGGAGACTAATCACCAAACTCTAGATATGCCTGGGCTCCACAAGTGGCCGTGTGCTTTATCCTGGTCGGCTGCGCAGGACCGTACTTCAATACCTCAACTCCATCCATCGGCGATGGGCCGACTATTGCTGGTAACAGGTAAGGTCTCCCAAGACCTCTCCAGAAAACAAAGAGATATTGACTTCGCTCAGATTAACATTTTTCTCTCTCTGCCTGAGCAGTTGCATTGCCTGGGCGCCAGCTGGAGCGGATTTCTTCGTATATTACCCAGAAGAGATGAAGAGCTGGCATGCCTTCTCCCTCACTCTCATCGGCGAGGGACTTTCCCAGATCTTCGCGTACCTCTTGGGGATTGGTATCGCGTCAGGAATAGCGACCAGGCCGAGCTGGTCAGCAGCTGACGAGATCAGCCCTGGCGCTGTCATGGTTGCTGCGTTCGACACTCTGGGCCGGTTTGGAAAGTTCTGCGGCGTGGTCGTTGCGCTGGGTGTCATTGCAAACAATGTACCTGGCACGTATTCAGCGAGTCTTGGATTCCAATGTCTGGGGAGCTGGCCGTTGAAAGTGCCGCGGTTTTTCTGGAACACGGTTGGGGTTATTATCTACACCATCTGCGGCGCGGTGGGCCGGAACCACCTTTACAGCATTTTTGAGGATCTGCTTCCACTTATGGGCTACTGGGTCACCATCTGGTTTACCATTAGCTTGGAGGAGCAGTTTATTTTCCGCCGCCACATCGGCTATGACTGGTCGGCGTGGAACGACAAGTCCAAACTGCCTCATGGCTTTGCAGCCCTGACAGCCTTCTTGGTCGGGTGGGCTGGCTCTATCATCAGCATGGACCAGGTGTGGTATGCGGGGCCCGTTGCGAAGCTGGTTGGCGCCGATGGATCAGATGTATGTCCAGCCAATATCAGACCTTCGAGAACCTTTGCTAACTGCTTTATAGCTGGGGATTTATCTGGGCGTTGGCTTCGCGGGTATCGTGTATCCCCCACTGCGGTACCTCGAGAAGAGGATCGTGGGCCGTTGAAGCAGGCAAAAGAGAGTGTATTGTATCGGATGCTCATTTACTCGTATGAACTTCGTTTTTTTATATCGACATGGACTGTAAATAGTGCCCTGTGCACAAAGGTTAAGGGTATTATTATACTGTAGACTAATTCCATAGCTTTGTCCTCATGGTAGGTGTTGTCTCTGGGCCAACCGGAATTGGACTCGTAAAGCCTTGCTCAGTCAACGTTAAGCCTTTCTTATATATAGTGGAGCTGCCTTACCGTTAACTGCTGAATCCTGATACAGGAGCACCCTCGTACTTTTAGTAAAGATAGTCAATCATTCGTCCATCCAAATCGAAAGCGGTCAGCAAAAGACCAAAAGGGATAACAAATGCTCCCCTTGCAAGTTGCAGCCCATCTATCTCTCCTCCGCCCCACTTGTGAAATGGTGCTCCCGCCGCCCTCGTCCGGCCTTCCCTGCACTCCCCGCATCGTTCTCTCGTTGGGCCATGTCAACCGTCAACGTCAAGATAAAGATCCCTGGCTGATCTCTGACTTCTCCTCTCCTCTCCGGAGTACGATTCAGACAGCCCGGCTATCTCCGACGTCTTGACTCTCGAGTGTTCTCATCCGCCGCTAGTCGAAAGCCGTTTTGCCTGAAGGTCTAGAAGGTTCAAGACATCTGTTGACATTGACGAAGGATTCGATCCCAGCCTCGGTTTGACATGGAGGAGTCGGAAAATATATCCCTCCGTGCGGGTTTAGTCCGGTAATACGATCTACGTATGCCTCGGCTCGCTTATCCCTCGTGTTCGACTTCCAAGTGTGGAAAGGTGCCCCTGGCACGTGCTGTAGCCCATCTTGGCAAAATGTCGGGATAGTGTCGGTATAATAATCCTCCGATGGTCCCCCCTTTTTTGCGGCTCCTTTATCAACCAAGTCAAATTCCTCATACAGGTTCAGATATAGAGAACACAATTCCAAGTTGGGCTATTGTACGTATTGTATAAGCGCATCGAAGTCGAGTGTGTCCAAAGCCCCCTTTGGCAATTACAGCTTCCTAGCCAGGTACAATGTTGATATCTGAATGATCGAAAGACTGTTGACGATGAAAATATGTTGGTCCAACTTCGGTCAGATATTCAAGATACTTTCTTTACCTTCATAAGTGCTGGTATTTAGGAGCAAACCAGTGACGAGCAATCAGCAAGGCTATCCTAAATACAGGCTAGGCATTTCAAGTGAAGTTATTTTACTTAGAAGCACAGTATCTTTTGGAGATTCTCAAGTTAGAATGCAGGGAAAGATATGAGAGATTATTATAAAGGGCTTGCTGCCAGCGTGCAATAAAGCATTCACAAGATACGGTAGTTATACCTTGATCAAAGATTAAGTCCCTCGACATAAGTGGTCTCCCCAGATGTCAAAAACTTGATAATTTTCTTGGGGGAAACTTGCCCCCGACGCAAGAGAAGTTCAGATTTGGGATGTGACATTCAAATATTCATTCCTAGTTGCATATTCTTCTGGCACAGCTAGAACACCTGAAATGATATTCTGCTAGAGGTGTCATTCTGACATTCTGTTGGAGAAATTTATAACAGACTTGGTGTTAACATAGGATACACAGAAGATAGGACCAAACTTCTATTAATGACCTATTCTCCAAGAGACGTCCTTCTGTCTCTAGTAATTCACAACAAACTTGATCTTGACATGAGACAAAAATAATATAAGACAAACCTTCAAAACCCTATATAGAACTTAAGCTATAAACTTTTCTTGCGTTACTAAAGAAAAGTGAGGTATTCACTTCATTGTTTTTTGGTAGACTCGCTAAGTCTGCTTGATATATTCTTCACTTTAGATCTCAGGATATTTCAAAACAAATCGCGAGCCTCGCACGCTACCTAGGATCACGCTTTATACCTACCATCCTAACGTTGTCTTACGCGTCCCAACAAGTCCTCCCTCTCATAAGATACTTCTTCTCCTTGCCTCAACTATCATCCAATCAATAAACACTTCTGACGTCTGACACTTTACCTCTACAATGTCCCTCCAAGACCATCTCGTCATCGCAAAGGCGGTTGTGTGTGCCACGGCCGCGAAGTTGTCGGCTTGGGCCCGTGAAGTAACTCGACTTAGGACGAGTTCGGAGCCACTGGCTACGAACGAGACCTCTGAGCCAAAGGGAGCCTTTGAGCTGTTTTCAAATCTTCCACCAGAGCTACAGCTCAAGATCTGGGCTCTCGCACTTCCCGGTGCTCGTGTGGTCGAAGTGAAAGCAAAGCGCGTTAAGAAAACCTTGGGCAGATTTCGTACGCCCCCTGCTGCAGAGACCATCGATCCAAAATACTGGTATCTTACTGTTCTTTTTGAGCCAATTGCCCTTATGTCCGTCTGTCGCGACTCCCGGGCTGTGGCATTGAAGTACTATCAGCTGAGCTTTGGCCGCTGCCTCAAACACCCGATCTACTTTGACAACAGCAGGGACATCATCCTGGGCGCCAGCCTGGATATCTTGATAGCATTCTGCAACTGGAGCAATGATGGTTCATCGATCTCTGAGGATGGAGTTCGATATCTCGCAGTCGACCCGCTACACGTCTACAATCTAAGCACCAAAACATTTCATAAGCTTCCCCGATCCTGGTCGGTACCTAGATTGGCTGAGCTGGTCACGATTGTGGGTTCACTCAAAGAAGTGTACATCCTCGACCTTGAACAAAACCCAGCCGACATGTTCAGAGTCCTATTCGTGGTCAAATTGGCACTTGCCATTGGAAGGCATTATGTCCAGATCGCTGCCAGCCGAGTCCCTGCGGACGGAGATAGTGCCCCTGTTGAGGAAGCCATCCCGCTGCTCACGACATTACAGTACCAATACAACTGGCCCGTTCACGATATGCAGGAGATGCTCTTGGCCAATTTGGTCTATCAAGAAAAGTGTCGGGTAAGTAAACTACAACTATCCTCTCCTATACCGTGATGAGGACAAGGATAATAACGTGCATTACTCAATAGCATCACCCGGAGATTTACCTTTCCAACTTGTTAGAGACACCACCAGATGGCTTTAGGGTTACATACCGTTTTACGGGATGGCCACGGGCATAAACAGTCTTTCAGTCCTGCTATGGCTTTCAGAGGATATACCCCGTTCTACTTTGAGCTTATTGAGCACACAACTGCACGGACATAAAGAATCTTTCAGTACTGGCTGGGCTCTCGGAGAAGGGAAACACATAAATGGAATGCACTCTACATCCTCCATGTATTTGCAAAGGTCGAGCCGGACGTCGTCACTTTTTTTTCTCGTTTTTCTCCCCTTGTTCTTCCCTTTCTTTTCCCTTTCCCCCCCCTTGTACTTAAACCCTGTCGTCTTGTTTCTGCTTTTAACTCATTAAGCGCACGTCTGGAGAATAATAAAGGGTCTTTCAATTCGGAGTTTCTGAGAAGCAAAATGCATATCCGGGGTACATCCTGTCATGCATTTGCAAGAGAAGATATCCCCTGGATTTGATCGCTTTCTCAATTTCTCAATTTCTTTTGCTGCTTCTTTCTTTTCTTATTGTCTTATTTCTGCTTTCAACTCATCAGGCGCACATCTGGAAGAGGATAAAAGGTCTTTTAGACTTTCAGTACTCACGGCGTTTCAGAGGAACAGAATGCACATCTGGGAAGATGGATATCTGGGATGCACCCTGTTCTATTTGCGCAAGATCCCCTGGACTTCGTGACTTTCTTTTCTCTCTGTACTTTAATACTGGTGTCTTTAGCAAGCTGACTCCACTATTCACAAAATATGATCTGTGGGATCATTCACACCATAATAGTCCTTGTTTGGTAGTAGTGCTCGTTATTCTCGTTGGTGCCGCGCCCCGTTAACGTGGGGAACGCTGCGTGATTCCCCCCTTTTGCCGAGGCTCATAACTATGAAATGGGAGAAATGGGCTTGATTGGGTTCTAGAGAGACTATATATACAAGGAGGCGAGAGTATGATGTGACCTGATTTTCCACGTGACAAAATATCAGGATAATCATATGATTGTCAGAGGCCGTCTAAATGCCTTATAGGCCATCTTTAAGGTAATACCACAAGTTCACAACACCATGTATTATTTGGAGCCTACAACGCTAATAGAAACAAACGATTCGTTGTCAATCTCAAAGGTGGATCCAAGTCTTTGGTATCAGGGATTGCTAGGTTCTAACTCTGTCACAGTTCTCAACTTCTCATACTCTGCGAGTAGCTCTTATCTCGCTACCACCAAACTAAACAGCCGTTTGCCTTGAACCAAACGAAGCATAAAGCTACTCAGAGCAATGAGACATATAGGCAGCAACAGTACTTTGTAGGCCTGCTTTTTCAACAACAGTCTACGCAGTCTGCCACCAGACTCGTGGGAATGGCTTCGAGCTTCACCGCAAACGACCCTGCATCTGACATGGTCATGGGGGTAACAATCAATAGCCATGGTGACCGCAGATTGTTGAACAAAGAAAAGTTCGTCGAGACAGAAGTCCCCAAAGATCATCCAATTTTCACGAGCCGACCAACGCACATTGGGGAGAATATTGGAATCCCAGTGCTAGTTCAAAAGCTCGTCCCCTTTTACGATTTACCTGAGGGAGCACCAGATAGAAACATGAATCGGACCGCCATGTATCTCAAGCTACTTGTCAATGTCCAGGAGCGAGGTTGGGGATTTACCAATCTCTTTAATCCGGAAGATGAACAGGCTGGGCCAATTCTCATTGTTCGTAAGGATGGCAAACCTATTACTCCGAGGCAGGTCGAGGCTCTTGCGGCGTTCTGTCGTTTCCAAGTTGCTCCCGAACACAGGCAATTACAAGATGATTGCTTACCAGAATTAGAGTCTGATGAGTCTTTTGAGGCAAGGAAGGAATTTGTAAGGACTCGTGTTACGAGATCGGTGTTCGAGAAGTACTTTGAGGACTTCAAGAAGGAGAGAGCTATGGAGGATCCATCATGGGCTGATGTTGCCTCCCTGTATGATGTTTGATACAGGAAGTTTGTGTTTATGTTTTACCTTCCCGGCGCAAAGGACTATATTTGCATGGCTACGGTGTATTGGGTGTGATGACTCTTGCTTTGTTCACTGTTTTCTTGGCTTGCTTGCTTTGCTGCTGTGGAAACAATACTGCTCTTTTCCCAGTGCCACATGTGACATGTCACTGTTGGAAGCATACACAGGAATATGACACTGTTATTTTTAACTTCATTAGTAGAAATGAAAGCATTGCTAGATCGGTCTTATACACTCGAGACAAATAGAATTAATAGATGCACCTTAGAGAGGTCAACAGCGTTAGAGATAGAGAGGAGAAACCGAAAGTGGCAAGGGGAAAAGTGAATAGATATTTGACCTGATTTTGTCAACAAAGACAGAAAACGCGACAACAGACATATCAAAAATCCCTACAATCTTCCAAAAAATCACCTTGGGATTCAGAATACCTTTTAAAAATAAAAAATCATCAATGCGCCGTGCGGGATTCGAACCCGCGTTTTCTGCTTCTTCTTTGAACCCCTTTTTACAGGGGGGTGTGTGGGGAGCAGACCAGTTAAACCACCTAAAAGCGATGTTAGTTTACTATTTTCGACCTGAATTAGGAAGTATAATCTTACTACTGCAACGGCGCGTTCCAGTGCACTATACGTTCATATCAGTTTTGTTTTCCATTCTCTTTATCTTCCTACAGGAGCACGAACGCGTTGAACCAAGCGAGGAGCATATAGGGGGGGTTCATCACGTGATTATAAGTAGTTCGCTTGTGATAAGATAACGAGGAGAGCGCAAATTCCACGGGTGGGGCAACGATCGCAGACAGAACGACGAGCAGCACAGCTGGGTATCTGAGGGATGCAGGCATAATGCTGCACGATTATCCTAGCGTCTCCATTGGTATGCAAATACCTACGGTTGCATCCATCGATACAGAAGCTGCAGCAGAGCCGCAACACAACGTCAACGACGACTTCGACGACGTCTTTGGCTCCGAGCCTTCCTCCCCCGTCCTAGTACCATCTGCGGAAAACACTGGGCTTGATGATGCATCGCATGCCAGAGGAGGAGGCAACACCGAGTGGTCTGATATCCCGCGCCTAAGAGAGAAGCATGAGACGGAAGGATACAGAGATGGTGTCACGAGAGGCAAGGCGCAAACTGTGCAGCAGGGCTTCGATGAGGGGTATGGACTGGGTGCGGTGCTCGGGCTACGCATTGGGAAGATCCTTGGGTTGTTGGAAGGGATATACGCGGCTGTGAGAAGCTCGGCGGGTGTTGAGGCAGCGGAGGAGTGGAGGGGGGAATCGGAGAGGTTACAGGCCTTGGTGGAGTCGGCGACGGGGGAGCTGAAGACGGCGGGTGTTTTTGGGAGGGAATATTTCGCTGAGGATGGGATCTGGAAGTATGAGGTTGAGGGTGAGAGGGATGGAAGAGATGTCACATTTCCGGATGTCGCGGGCAGTCATCCATTGGTTAGGAAGTGGGAAGAGCTTGTGGCCGGGGAGGTCAGGAGGTGGCAATTGGACTTGGAGATTATGGAGCATGAAAAGGAGGAGATTGAGGGTGAGAAAGTGGCAACTGCCAAGGAAGAAGTCCCGGAAAGAACAGCGCCTGGTGCAAGGAAGGGGTTAAATTGGTGACATTGGTTTCGGAAGAGATCCCAATATGTCTGACCATGGCACATCCAGTCGGCCATCACGGATGACTCTGCCTAACTTGGTATGAAGATTTGGGGCCTGGAGAACCACACTGAGGAACATGAGTACCAGCAATGAGAAAGGCTTCCGAGTCTGATGGCGGGTTCTCTATAGACATCTATTCTTGGAGATAACAGTTCCGTGGAAGGAAAACGGAAAATGAAAAATACAGGACATTCAAATGTCTAATTCTTGAGCTATTTTGGTTATTATAGCCAGTATCAGCTACCACCTTTCCCCCTTCCCCCTGTCGCATTGTTGCTTCTTACAGCAATTGCGAACCTACCATGGTAATTGCAACGGAGTGGGGAGACCTTTGCCTAGAGTCTCTTCAGCAGTACCAATATCCCCTATCACATATCAGCATCCATCTATCACCTCACTGGCAAACTTACCTGGTCCCCTCGGCGCCCAGTACTGTCCGGTCTTGCTCATATCCAGCTTCTCGGCCCACTCAGCCAGACTCTTCGCCGCTTCATCTGGTGTGACAGCACCACCGGCATCCCAGAATTTATCGAACCCGACACCCTTGGTCATATCCGTCCTCATAAACCCCGGATGCACCACACTGACCACTACTCCCTTCTCTTCCAAATCTAAACTGAGGAGCTTACCCACCATGTTCAGGGCAGCTTTACTGGCATGGTGCCCGTAATTACCGCCTCCTTCTTTTTTGTGTCGCAGGGTTATGGAGCCCGATTCGGAGGATACGAGGACGACCTTGGAGCCTCTCTGGAGGTAATTGGAGCGGGACAGGGAATGGACTATGAATGGGGGTGAGATCGCGGAGGTTGCTATAAGTGTGTGAGCTAAGTCTCAGATAAGAGCAACTTGAGTAGTAAGAGTGTATACATACAATACATCTTGACCTCCTCCGCCCACTTCGGGCCATTGACGAAATCCTCCGTTGCAAAATACCCAGCCGTAATAATCTACCAAGTCATCAGACCTCAATTGTCCCTTCTGTTGTTATCCAAACAAGATTAGAGACCTACCACAGTATCCAGGGCCTTCACGCCACCCTCAACCATACCTCCACCACCCCCCGACATGCCCAATTGATTCACGAGCCGCCGCCCTACGTCCTCCTGCGCAACATCGATATTTGGCAGCCACACAATCTTGCTATTCAATTTCTCGTTTTTTGGAGCTGCAGAGGAGCGCGTCGTCCCAAATACGGTGTTCTTGAGACCGGAAGCGTAGAGGTTGGCGAGTGCTGCGCCTAGACCGCGGGTTGCGCCTATGATTAGGATATTCGGCATATTTTCGCTTTGATAGTCTCGGATTCTTGGTTTTGATTATTGAGGAGTTTAACAAGGAGAGAAAAAAAGGAATGGAGGAGTGAAGGAGTGGAAGAAATAAGGGAATTTGTGTGATGTGCTTTGTGAGGTGAGGTCGGCGCTGACGTCATGCGGGTCAGTGATAAGCACATCATGGAGAGAATGAATGAGATTATGAGATCACTGGGGAAATGGAAAGCTTGTCATTGAATGATATATAAAGAATGATATTTGGAGCTATTCCCCTCATATTCCCCAACCCCCCTTTCCCCAAATCATATCCAGCACAGAAGATATTAACCCCTAATCGTACCCGAAGTGTGGGGAAGCGCGGGGAAGTGTGGGGAGAACCATCAGCAACACGATCCGTTGCGTTGGAGGGTTCAGCTAGCTGAGGAGCTAGAGATAGAAAGATACTTTAATATGATATAGAGATTATCCATTGGCTACTGCTTCTATTCTACAGATTTCAGTTACCGGGTTCCTATAGATTACCTACCTAGGTACAGCAGTGCGCCGCTGGACCAGCATCCAAGATACCGAGGCTCAATCAGAGCGTGCCTCATATGTCCAGCGAAAGGTCAGAATCCAGATATACATTCAACAAATAAACTAAGATCAGTTTTCCTACGTTCTATTTTCATCCAGTATGAATCAGCGAAAAAAGCTCGTCAATCTCACAATGTCCAGCCCCTCAACCAAAGCCAGTACCACTTATCCATTGTTCGGCTGTCCCATTCCCTACACTGAGCCCCTCTGGTACTCCCGCAACATCTCACCGCATTACACAGAGTCACATCGCAGACTTCGAGCCGCCGTCCGAAAATACGTCGACGATGAGATCCTCCCATTCGCATTTGACTGGGAGTCCTCCGGCAAAGTGCCAGACTCGGCACGTGTATCCCGCGTTCCCTCTCATCATTGCCCAAATTACTAATTCCTCCCCAGGCATTCAAGAGACATGCAGAGCTTGGATATCTTGCTTTGAGCACGGATCTTCCCAATGTTCCACTCCCTGGAGGTATCCCTTTTGAAGAGTGGGATTCGTGGCATACGTTGATTGTTACGGACGAGTTGTGTCGTGTGGTATGGCCGTATGATACCTCTTTTCTAGAAATGTCCCGCTGATGTAGACAGGGTTATACTGGTGTGCTCTGGGGTCTCGGTGGTGGAAATGGAATCGGCGTGCCTCCCATCACTGACTTCGGTACTGCAGCCCAGAAAGCAAGATTCCTTCCTGGTGTTGCTGATGGTAGCATCCGGTTCTGCCTTGGGGTTACTGAGCCTGATGGTTTGTCCCTCCCTTTTATTTCCTACGTTCAGTGATATTCTTTATCCCGTGGTCTTTATTTCTGACGATGAACAGCCGGTTCGGATGTAGCGAATATAAAAACCACAGCCGTGCGGAAAGGAGACCATTACATAGTCAACGGCGCCAAAAAATGGATCACCAACGGCATCTGGGCCGACTACATGACCGCCGCCGTACGAACCGGCGGTCCAGGCGCCACCGGAATCTCCGTGCTGATCATCCCCCTCAACATCCCCGGCGTAACCAGGCGGCCGATGCACAATTCTGGCGTCGGCGCCTCCGGGAGTACATTCATCTCTCTCGAAGACGTACGCGTACCCGTCGAGAACCTGCTCCTTGAAGAAGGGCGCGGTTTCGAAGTCCTCATGTCGAATTTCAACCCAGAGCGCAAGAGCATCGCGACTTCGGCCATTCGCCTTAGTCGTGTATGCGTAGAGGATGCGTGGAGACATGCGTGTACCCGCGAAACGTTCGGGAGGAAGTTAATCGAGAATCCAGTTATCAGAGGGAAATTTGTGAGGATGGGGAGGATGATCGAGCCTGCCCAGGCGCTCTTGGAACAGTTGACTTGGTTGATTGAACAGGCTCGGCGAGATGGAGATGCGAAGAACGGCGCGAGACTTGGTGGCATGACGGCGATGTTGAAGATTGTCAGTACGAGATGTCTGGAGAAGTGCGTGAGGGAGGCTCAGCAAATTATGGGAGGCCTGGGATATGCGAGGGGTGGAAAGGGGGGAAGGTTCGTTTTCGTGCATCTCTCTGGTCATGGATACTAACTGACCTTCCTAGGATTGAAGCAATCTCGAGAGATGTCAGAGTTCTGGCCGTTGGTATGTGTACCCCTAGGCGAATATGGTTATGATCGATGCTTGAGGGAAATATGACTAACTTTGCACAGGTGGTGGAAGTGAAGAGATCATGAGCGAGCTCGCATTCCGGGAAGAGGTCAAGGATCTAAAAATATATGCAAACTCAATGAGCAAGTTATAGATCCCGTGTGTATTTCAATAATCAATTTCTTTTGTTTAGGTTGTTTCTTTTATAGGTTATATTGCTTTTTCTTTTCAATGTTCGAACTCTGCTCAGAGTTGCCTTCAACGAAGATGGCTATCAAGCGTTTGGTAGTCATCCCTATTTTATAGTAAAAGGTTTGTGCCCTGATATAAGAAAATTACTAATTTTCCTTTATATTATAATTACCTTCCATCCGTAGAATACCTAGGCGTTAGTTAGACTACGAGTAAATACCAACAATTATCACGGGACCTGCGTACTTCCATTGTTACCTACCCCGCCTGCCTCATTGACCAGGTGCAACTCCCAACACATCGCATATCCAGAGGTATCTCACCTGCGATGTCGACAACAGACCAAAAACCAGTCAAGATCTCCATCATGGACAACCTAGAACCACTACATGTTAAGTACTTCCATCAGCTTCTGCAAAACATCCTGTCCACGGATCTTGCAGAGCGTACATTCGCACAGATTATCGACGGGCTGCCGACACGAGACGATGTCGGATATTTCCCAACATATAGCCATGAAATCAAGAACAATTCACGTTCCTCTTCAGAGGCTATGAAAGCAGCAAAGGTATTCCGAGAAAACATCAACGTCGATACCGTTGAAGTGGACGGGAAGGTCAGCGGGCCCTGATTCCATAGCATAGCAGCGCTGGCATTCTGACCAGACATATATAGGTAATCCGGGCATATCAGAACACTGTATTCGAATCTCGAGAATTTTACATGCGATTGCTAGAGTTGTTGGCCATTGCTTGCCACGACATAGCAGCCCTTCTCTACTTCAACACCGAACCAGGTCTCCGGCGAAAAGATCAAGATGCCGAGACACGCCGCGCTGCACTTCAAGGTCGACCTACAGATTTTATGCACGAGGACTACTTTGCGTGGGAGCAATATCCTAATGGTATCGCTGACGTTGTGGGATATTGGGCGGAATATCATCTCTTTGGTGGCGTGGTACTCTTCGACAGGGGAGAATCCGGCGTTGATGTAAGTGTTTCTCTCTCTTCAAAGTCCATCTATATATCTTCACAATTCTCTAACGAGTATATCAGTGCAAGAGTGCTTTTCTTCATCCGGTTGGAGGCTTCAGAATCTTCCAGCTCTCAGACACACAGATATACCAGTTTTCCGAATACACAAAACAGCTTGTTGAGGCGGCAGATGGTGTGCAGCCACCATTTCCATTTCGTGCAGAGAAATATGCCTATCGCGTCGATCCTTTTGATGCTATGGCTCTCAACATCTACCGCAACAGATATGAGCGGAAGATACCCAGGAATAGACCTGCTCGATGCGTCCAGCGCCTCGCTGACTTTCCCGAACTGGCAGATGCAGTCGCGCAGGTGACTAGTAGGGGGCATGGCCAGTAATAGGCAATCGCCCTATTGTATAACGTAAGCCTTTTCTTTACTGGAGGTGTTACTGGAGGCGTTCCATGGCGAGCTGAGGAGAAGAGTGATGAACTTACGGATGGTCGAGGTTTTCTGTTTGGACTGTATCATTCTTCTCATGGCGGGCGTTACGGTAACTTAGTCTACCAAATCGTAAAAGACCTACCTTAGGTTTTGACAGTTTCGAATATCAATAGGATTCAGTGAAATACATAGCAGTTGATAAAACAGGAACCGGATAGGTAAACCACTGGTTTGAATTCACGTGATTCCATGGTTCTTCGCTCAAGGTAGTTTTGGTGCCTTACCTACCTATCTGTAGCTTTTTCATGTCTATTACCTACCTACTTAAAGCAGCACAGCTGGAGTCGGAACATCATCCCCAAGTGCGAATTGTGAGGCTTCTGTCTTGATGGATCTGCGTACTTTACAACGAACGCAACTGGATCAAGTACGGCGAAGGAATCACCGAAGCCGAGGTGACCGCCCATGAATCCACGTACACACGGGATCGCTGTGACTACGACCGGCGGCGGCGAAGAGCGGGTTTAATATCCGGGGCGGGGATTCTGGAGATGGAGATGACGAGTGCGGAGGAGGGGCTTTTGGCGTGTAACACTACCAATGGGTGGTTGGGATATTCATCATAACCCTAGAGTATCATCTTCTCTTTCTCTAATCAGAGAGCCATTGATCGATCAATCAACCTTAAAGCCCAATCAATCCAACGATTCAATTCAATTCAATTCAATTCATCGCCTAGCTCAGTTCAACCTACTCATAACCCAATAATAACAAACCATCTTATCATATACCATCCATCATACTATTCTAACCCCCAGTACACGCTACAGACGCTACATACGCTACATACATACATACATCAAGATAGTTCAAGATCCAAGATCAACTCGACCCAGATCCAATCTCAGAAAGCCAGAACACGATACGATACGATGCGATGATATCCAACACCCCCCCATTTCAGAAAAGATAAAAAAGCGAGTGTGCCCCTCCAGAAATGCCATATATACATATATACCTACCATACATAACATAATATAGTCCTTCACCAACCAAAGCCACGCACGGAACCGAACCGAATTGAAGCAAGAAAACGCCACCCAGAAAAGCTGCGGGCCGCACGGAAGGATATATATATCAAGGATCAATAATGTTCGGGGGTGAGGCGCTCCTCGAGCTTCTCGACCATCTCAGCCACTTTGCCTTTCGGTTTGCTGCTGCTGCTCTTGCTCTTGACGCTACTGGTATCGCTCTCCTTGCCTTTCCCCTTATCGAGCGGATCCGGGTCTGCGTCTGTGTCTGCGTCTGCATCTGTGCCTGCGTCTTCGAGGAGCGGTGTCTGCGCGCTGCTGTCTGCGGTTGCTTCTTTTGTCGAGCGGATGCTGCGGCTGATGCTTTTCTTGCTCCGGATGGTGCTGGTCTCGCTGCCTTCGTCGCGGATGTCGTGGTTCACGACTCGAAGCCGCTCCTTCGGCACCGTGAACATGACTTGCACGACGCGATTCTGGACCGCGCGCTCAATGTCCCACTCGTCTTCGTCGTCGCCGCTAATGCTACTACTTATGTGGCTGGCTCTGTTGCCGACGATGGCGCTGCTGCGGCGTGCGCCTCGAGGGAGCTCGTCGGGATCGGCGCTATCTTCCCAGTCTCCTCGGCCTTGTCTGCGGCGCCAGAGGGCGGCGCCAGCAGCGCCGTCGCTAGCTGTGCGTCGGGGTGCGATGCCCCTATGCTGTTTGATGAGCATAGGGCTGGGTGTTCTGGTGCCGAAACTGAAGTCGTCATGATTTGCGTTCCGGGTGGAGTCACCTGTAAAAGCTCTCTTCAACCCCTCCAACCAGCTATTTCTCCCCTTGTTAACTGCCGGCGGTTTGGTCTTCGATGGGCTTCCGGGCACATAGTCGTGTACAGAGCGGGTCGGTGAGTTCTCCCCGCTATATGTTTGTATCTCTTCCCCTCGTCGAGGAGGTATATCCTCATCAGGTGGATGCATGATGGGGAGAGTGGTCCGCGCTGTGGTAAAACTACTCGATCCACTTCCTGAGCTGTTGGGTGGTTTTCTTGTATCAGAGGTGGGACTCGGCCCTGCGCTACCAACTGTCGGTGACAACAGGTTGGAGGTGAACGGGTTTATGGCACTAGTTACCAGGCGGCGGAGGGAGTTGCTGCGTGGACGGCTTTGTGAGGAGGAGCCGGAGCGAGACACGGTCATGGCTGAGATGGCAACACTACGTCCGGAGGAGTTGCTGGCATTGCGATTGATGTCTCCTTCGCTAGAGACGGAGGAGACAGTGGCAGCGGCGAGTTGGGCCCGACGGGTTGGCGATACATGCCCCGCTGAGGAATGGCTGCGAGCCTGTGAATGTAGGAGGGCATCCGCTGCAGCCCAATCGGAGACCCATTCTTCAATCTCTCGTTCACGGGAGCGAGCAATGGTTTCGGGATCAGGAGCCACATTATTAAAGTCCTCTTGCCGGAGAGTCGCGGAGTTGGCTGCTGGTGGATCTCGGAAGATGTCTGGGTGTTGATTTCTGTTTGCTGGTGAAGATGGATCGCCAAACGCGACGCCGACACCGTTATCTGATACCACAGGCACGTGGTCATCTTCATCAGCCTCATAGATTGGGTGGATCGGACCAGCTGTACCGAGACTGTTGGACCTGCCATCAGTTGCGGTGTAGTCGAAAGTCGAAGTAGGTTGATAAAGTCCCCGTGCACTCTGTGAATGAAGTGGTTTGCGAACGGTGTGCTTGGGCGGAGGAGGAATTCCATGGTCTCCCAAACCGTGGATTCCGGAGTTCAAGTTCTCATATCCCATGACTGCAGAATCCTGACCTCCATTTGGACCCCATCCTGTGGGCCATGGAAATCCACTTCTCTGTCCCAACGGCGGAGAGTAGTTTGCGGTTCCAGCACTCAGAGCTCGGATATGCTTCTCCCGTTCTTCCACGCCTTCATCTCTGGCGCGCTTCCTCAACCAACAGTACACCACAATTGCGACTACAACTGCTGCAAGGCCAAGACCTAGTCCAACCCCAAGCCCAACTTTCTTACTGTGTGATTTGGAGGATGAAGATGATTTAGCTGCATCCATCTCAAGGGCAGCTACGTACGACGGGTTCGTGTAGTTCGATATCCAGGTCATACTCGTCGCATTCAGAAACATGACTTGGGCGCCTGAAGTCGGATCTCTTTTTAGTTTCGTTGAACTCGTGATATTATACCCACCGAGCACCATCATGACATTTCCAGGAAGCATGACAGCACCATGGCCGTAGATACCGCTTCCCGGTGGCTGTTCGGTAGGAATAGACCATTTCCAATCCTTAGATGCCCCAGATCCCCCATATCCGGCCCCAACCTCGAGAACGACGAGTTGTGGATCCGCGGCTTGAGTGATATCGCCCACCCAACCTCCGAGTACTATGATCTTCGACCCATCTTCCGTCAAGACTGCCGTGTGTCCAGATCTACTATCCACACTGGTCACGGTGCTCTTGACTGCCAATTCGGTGTTAGGGCTCGCGGAAGATGACTGCACGGGGATGAAGCCCCAGTTGGCCTCGGGTAAGTTCCAGATGGCGAGTTGGCTCATGTTGATAAACGCCGTTTGCGTATGACCCCCTATAAGCACAAAATCTTGTTGCTGGGTCACTACCCCAGAGCCATTCGAATATGTGGGTATCAGACCAGTTATCGTGAAGCCAGCTTCGGCAATTGGAGGACCCCTACTGGTGGCAACCTCAATTGTATAGTCGGAGGAGCCAGGGGTGAGTCTAAGCATCCGGTTGGAGTATGAGGCATCAGATTGCCAAGTTGAAACCGTAGCTCCGGATTTAGGACACATTCCACCAAAGATATAAGTAACGGTCTGAGAAGCATTGGCATCCACGAGAGGGGAGAAGCTGAAGCCTCTGGAAAGGAAGTCAGCTCCTAGCAGGTCGGTGGATGAGACATTGCCAGCTGTTATTGTCTCTTTGATCCACGTCCCATTGCCTACTGAACTCGTGTTTGTTGGCGTGAATGTCCATAACGAAGCACCATCGGAGGTAGAGCAGGTCCCTGCATATACTAGTATTTCCCCATTTGTAGATATAGATGGTATAAAGGTGTCAAAACCGGTGGTGCTAAATGGCAGAGTTGTGGACAGCGTCTCAAGGGATAGGTTTCCGGGTGATAAAGTGGAGGAGATATTGATGGATGCGAGGTAAAAGTCCCCTCGAGAAGGCTGTTGCAGGAAGACATATGCAATGTCCTTGTTCCAGGATGAGCTCGAGGGGAGGAGTATGTTGGTAGGGTGATATGGTAAGGACTGTGCAAGGGCGACAGCGAGGATGGAGCAGAATGTCCAGAAGACGGACTTGGATTGGACCCTCATGGTATGCGTTGACAATTGAGGCCAAATCGTCTCGATCGCTCATCACATTCTTGTCTATACGGTTCAGTCCTGTTGTCCGATGGCCTGAGATCTGTCCCCGTCTCCGAGCTGGAGGCAGAGCACAGCTCTATCGTTGAAAGGCGTAGCAGTCGTCGGTCGGTCGTCTCTCAGCACCGCTCGAATGGGACAACTCGACGCAAAGTGCAACATGCAAGAGGCTCGAGGTTGAGCATCGAGAAGGGGCCTGAAGAGCGGCCGTCCTAGGGTTCTTAGTCGAAGATTAGAATCAACAGCTTTCGAGCTGCGAATCGACCCTATGCCCGATGTTGCTCGCAGGGTCCAATGGCGGGGTGCCGATGGGGCAATATTGATAGTCGCGGAGCCGCGTCTTGTTGCCACGGTGACAGCTGGGGGCGGTGATCCCGCGCCGCAGCGCATGTGAAAGACTAGAAGCCATGCGTCTGGATTCTAGCTGGGCGCCAATTGCAACCTCTCGATGCGTGAGATGTGTGAGATGCGTGAGCTGACCGCAGGGCCATGCGACTGAGGTGGTGATGGGCATGGCGATGTGTATGGCTTGTTGCGCAGTGTTTGGTTTTGGTTTCCGCCCCGTCAACTGTGAAGATCCTATGGGGCGCACGGGCGATCAGGGGGGGGGTCCTCTGGCAGATTTTTGATTTTTCCACATTATTATCGATTTTCCTTGGCATTTCTAAAAATTGATATCCCCTGTCTTGATACAGGGGTTTACAGAGTATACACCGCAGGATCTGCTGGCAGAGGGGTGGGATAGGAAGAGAAAAGGAAGACGGAAACCCATGAAACTGCTGTAACAATCTCCAAATTACTAATAATAAGCTGTCTGGTTACCAGCTTAGAGCATATCACTTCAAAATCTATCCATAGCGTGAACCATCAGCTCGCCTGGATCCCTGGCTGATTCTAGACTCAGAGGCGATTGACTATGAAAAGAAGACTACATAAAAGCTATTATTCTCTTGGTACTAAAGGTCCAGTCCAATGCAATAATTGAATGTGAATTCGAATAACACACGAGCAAAGACCAAGGAGTATATATAAATGTTACACTCCTAGTAGTCTGAGAGGAGGTTTTGATCTACAACAATCAAGCAAGGATAGACGAGGAACTTGCTAAGTAGAATAACCGTCGTCAATGTGCAGGACCGTCTCTGAAGAACCGACTAGTTTCCTCCTCGCATTCAAAGCCCTTGACGTGGTAAATGGTTTCGTCAGACTTCGGTTGGGGGGGGGGGGGGGGCGATACTCGGAGTCAAGTCAGGAGTCTGATTAGGCATCGACGGTCGAGATCCCTTTGTATGTGGCGGTAACAAGCAAAGTAAAGCGGTGAATAATTCGCGTGAATCGCAGCAGAAATAGGAATCGCAACGAAAGTTCATACGAATGACAAGAAGATGATTCGAAGAGTAACGGACGAAAGGAGCATTTCTTTGAGCATCTTTATGTTGCCATAAGCGCTGGTCAGCCATACCTTACGGTAGGCGGTTGTCATTACCGGTATATTCGTTCCAGGGGTAGAATGATATTGCCGAATTGTGGATGGTTCCATGAATGTTGTTCAGTTCGTCAAGTCCGTGGGGGGGTTATATATGTGTCCTGACCTGATATGACATCAACGGAGTCTGAGAATAATATCAGACGGTCGCGCTTGTCTTCCTGTGATGACTGTACTTTTTTCAGACCTTAGAAAGCTCACAATAAAGTGGGAGAATAGATAGAACCACCTGTGGCATCTTTTAATGATGGATATTCTGGAGACGAGGCCTGTAGTCTTCAAGCTCTGTCAAACAACAGCAGAGGTTACGTCGTATGCCCATCTGTCTTTGGCAATAGCCTGGGGCGGGCGTTGGCCTGAGATTCTATGCTCTCTACCCCTTGCGATAGGAATGAATCGCGATATGTCCAGGACCGCGTTCGAGTAATCGTCGAACCTCCTATACAGCTACTCCGCGGTGTCGCACATACTCTTCACCCAGACCACCCACCTAGGTTCAGCACCCCGAGGCCGTAACGTGTATCGCCGTGAAATCATTGCTCCTAGGTAAAAGATCTGTTGACAGCTAGCCAGTCCTTGCTCACGGCTCGATCGTCGTAGATTACCATCCAGAAACACATTGTCCAGAACCAGAACCCCCAGAGGAAAACCACGGAGCTGAGCACTGAGCACTCGGTGAAGGGTTTAATATTCACAAGGCTCGGCGCGGGCGGATCAAAAAAGGGATATGCAATATCTCCTAGGCAGGGAGATTGGTGTAGAGGGACGTGTGGTCGTGGTTCCAGCCATTGTCGCTAGGAAAGCGTCTCGTCCTTTCAACGATGAGCATAAATGTACTGAAAAAGAAGACAGTGTCCGTGAAATCGAGCAAGTATCACATACTATCCCATTTAGGGTATGCTTGCTAGAGTCTACAAGAATCCTCCGACCGTAAAATTCAATGAATATAGTGACACTCACGATGCAGGAAGTGGAAAAGGTACATAGGTACGAGACCGCGTACGACATGGTACACGTGATTAACCCCTGAACCGGTCAGGACTACCTTAAGGCACCGGAAGTAACCGGCAGCGCTAAGGTGCTCTTCGGACTTTTTCAAGTATTCAAACTTTTGAAGATATACAGAGTACATGTATACAATAATGCTTACCGTACTGTAGATATATGTTCGTGAGATGGAAATAAGAGAGGAAAAGCGTCGGGTAAAACAGGATACGGCTGCAAAGCGGACAGCGGAGAGTGGAGAGTGGCGCTCGCGATGTGAGGCTGGGCCAGTATGATGCAGCGCGTTCCAATACTCCGTAAGTCGTGCTCTGACTCTCTGAGCCTCTGACGCTTCCGTGAAATTCCAATGTTGATCGTTTAGCAATAATTGCCTATGCAATATGAATACCGTACGATGTACTCATTAATATATGCCGAGTAACATCAAGGATACATCATCCAGGGCTTCCGGCAGAACCTTGGACCTTCGTATCCAAGAGTCGACTTGACTGCCCTCTTGATTCCTCCGCAATGATGAGTCGAGTTACCGTTCCCTCCTCCTGCGTAGATCGTGATCCCGAGGCAAATTTAGCAGGAGATAAGGGGCGATCTGGATTCGGGACCGGCAGGCAATTGTTCGCCACTAGTAATGGGGATGGGATTTTGGATGAGAAATACTATTTGATCGCCAGCCAGGTCTACCGCCACATACGCAGCGTCAAGTGCTTAGAGCTCGCGCTATGCAAAGAATCAGACCTTCGTAATGCGGATTGTGGACTTGGAGACGGGATTCTTCCAATCTCCGAAGAACCGGCACGGCGGAACTGTGGAACAGCAATCAAAAAAAATCATTAAAGATGATGATTATGACGAGGGATCGCCGCTACGTTGTTAGCCACGTTATTTTCCCTTGGAGGTGTGCGTTTCGAAGGCTGGAGAGAGGGAGGCCTTCGTGCGAGTATCTCGAGGCTTCACTTTGAGTCTGTCTAGAGAGCAATACGATTTGGAAGTAGAAGTTGAAAATAGAAGTTGAGAAGGTGGTCTCGTATCTGCGGGGAAGAGCTTTTGCCTCCCCGCCCTTCACGAGGTCTCGAACTGGCAGAGCCGGCATGAACTCAAGAGAGACGAGCAAGGGATTTCGAGATTCTCTTTACTGATGAGGAATGACCCCACATTTTCACGAGTGATGTGCAAATCTGCTGAGGTCTTCAGGCTGGAGACTCAGTCGGTATACGAGGTATGTACTCCTATGTACCCCTATGTAGAGGAAAGGACTAAAAACGAAATCAGCGTTTTGATATAAGCAAGAGCAGATTTCGCAAGAAGCCAGAGCGCGTTGAACATGTCAAACATGTAGGGACGGTGTCAGCAAGTCGAACCAGGAGTAAATTAAAGGACCCGATTAGACTTGATAAGGTTCCGACGGTCTGACAACGGACGCAGAGTTGGGGGGGAACGGCGGCGTCTCGAAAGGATTCGAAAGGGAGAAGCAGGAGGCGGGCACAGCCAATCCGCAGCGCAGAGGCCCAAGGCTCGAGCGGTCTGGGAACAGCAGTCGGGGACACTATTGGGGGTTTCGCGGCGCGGGCGATGGGCGGGCTAGGAGCGGATCGTTACTAGTAAGGTAGTGTGAGCAGTAAACTTGGAAGAGTAGTAAAGTGGGTAACGGCACGGTGTCAAGAGAGCGGGCCCAGCTGAGGGCGACGGAGTCTAACTCTGTTTACATTCTGATGTCGATGTCGATAGTCGATAGTCGACACGAACGCGTCTGGCGATGGAGGCTCAATAGGTAATGATGATGATATGATGATGGTTTTGCCCTGTGCACAAAACGGCTGCACATCTGCACATCTCGTGGGATAAGGTAAGTACGAATTCATAATTATGAAATATTCACGCGGTGCGTAATAATCTCGAAGATATACATGATTTAGGGTAAGGTGTGACCGGGCAGCAGGGCAGGAGGTGCATAATACGCGCATATATACACATATACACACATACATACGCACAATATATGCATATATGATACATGCGATGCACACCTGCACCCTCCACATCCAGTCCGTTGCAGCTCTCGCACAGAACACGAAATCCTCTTTTCGTCCTTGACCGTCCTCCAACTCCCAATCATCACGCTCGTTCGGCCTCTGGTCTTTGTTTTTCTCTCCGTCTCCTTTGTCTCCTGCGTGCAGCCACCGAAAGAGAGAGAGAGACTACCTTACGAGACCCTCGCGATCCCTTCCTGCCGCCGCGCTTCCAGGATTCCTTCCAAGGCACAGACAGCCTCCTGCACCAACCAACCAACACACTCCAACAACCACCTCATCCACCCCCCTCCAGACCGCCCGCCATCGTGATTCTTCCCAACGTCCTCCCACTCTCTACTCGACTCGACTCGACTCGACCTATCTACCTCTCTCTCCCCTCCCCTCTCTCTTCCTGTCGACTCCCCCCCCCGGCCTTCTCTTCTCCTTCATTCATGGCCCGTATGACTTCGACACGCTGCTGATTCAATGGGAGGACGCTTCCGTTGATACCCCATCCGTTGTTTGCATTCCACACCTCCTCCATCCGCCACATAAAGAACGCCACGCCTCTCGCCCTCCTCGCAGACGTGTCGGTGCTTCTTCACTCCTCCAAGAAGCATGGCTTCCTCACAGCGTTGGTCTTATCGGCTGGCACGCCTGGTCATCCTCTTCGTTGGATTTCAACATCTAGCCTCCTCCATCAATCTTGAGTACTGCTCCAGCCTGAATACCGCGAATACCCCCGCAAGTAAGCGATCGCAAGGCCTTCAGGATCAACCCCATACTGACCCCTTCCAGATTCCAGCATCTTCCAATCCAATGGACTCTGCTACCAGTTCTGCATACAGGATTACGCCTTCGCCGTCTTGCAAGACAGCGAGTGCTGGTGTTCCGACTACGCCCCAGCAGATACGAGCGATACCAGCGACTGCAACACACCATGTCCCGGATACCCCGACGATCTGTGTGGTGGAAGCCACTTGTTTGGATATATCGCGTTGACAATGGCTCCCTCGGGAACCGTGGGTGGAAGCCGCCCCTCGTCGACAATATCGCGTCAGGTCAGTACCGCCTAATCAACGCGCATCTCCTTCTCTTTCCTTCCTATTTTTCTTTTAAACATATATGCAGCGATGTCTTGGTTTCCTCTCCGGCAACCATTTTGACCACTGTGCGACGATAGGTCCCATCGGTGCCCCAGCCCGTAACCATTACTGCTACCCTGACCGCTAGTGCCTCGAGTCCATCAACTCTCTCCTCTGTATGACATTAACTTCCTGGTTTGGGGCTGATTTGTGGATGGGATCTTCTGAGGGATGTATGGGGCTCCTTGCTGACTGACTTTACTAGACTACTTCTACGACATCTACCACATCATCCACCACATCATCCTCCACATCTACCACATCGTCCTCGTCTTCAACATGGACTGCCACACCCGTCATATCGCTCGAGACAGTAACAGGCCAACTAAAAACCGTGACAGTTACGCCTACAGTGCCACCGAGCGCATCGAGCCTCACGGATGTTAAGAAGAGTAGCGGGGGTGGCGGAGGGCTTAGCACTGGGGGAGCGGTGGGTCTGACGGTTGGCCTGGTGGCTCTAGTTGCCATCGTGGCCGCCTTGGTATACTTCTGGCTTCGAAAACGGCGGCAAGATGAGATCGATGAGAAGGAACTGACTGGAAGAGGGGGAAGCTCCGGGATGGCAGGTCCAATACCATCCAGAACCATGAGCGAGAACTCCCGATACGTCCTCGGTACGGATGGCCGACAAGTCGTTGAGACCTGGGAACCAACCGACGCACCCGGATCTCGGAGAAGCCGTCTCATGCCTGTCGACCCGAGACTAGATCCCTTCGCACCCGTCTACCAACGAGGGGATGGCAACAGGAGTCGAGAGAGCGTTAATACGATCCGAGACGATCACGATTATTCGCGGCGCGTGCATCAACAGGGTCCTATCCTTCGAGCGACCAACCCCGATTAATAATATCGACTTCTTTTTCTTCTCTTTTCCTTAACTACGAATACGACGCACACGAAACGTTTCCTTGAGGCTATCGATCACATACAGGATCTGCACATCATCCCCGGTTTATGGGATGATGGTTCGGCGTTAATGGGCGGGGTTCATACTAATGAAAGGTAGATTCCCAGGGCAAAAATACAACGGGGTATTCATCTAGCGCACTTGCACGGGAGCTTTTCACACAAGCATGCGTGCATGGTGCCTTCTCCTTGAGCGCAAAGGGAAGGAGAGTGCCAGGGTCTTCTGAGACCTGGCAGGGAAATAATTCGATTCCGGCTGTATTTGTAGAGTTATTGCACACTTTGGAGGGGAGTTTTCGAAAGAGTGGTTGGATTTGGATTTGCTAGCAGACAGACGGGAGAAGAGGGATAGATCAACTTTGCTATGAAGGCGTTGAGAAGGCACAGGCGCGGGTACACAGAGGCAGAGATTCCGACGTTGCTTGCAAGCGGGATGTGGTACGGTGCTTGTACATACCGAGAAGGAGAGAAAGAATGAACAAATAAATGAGACGAGGCCTTGGGGTCTATCTTTTAATACATTGAGACATTACCTCAGGGATAATCCACGCACACGAATGATACGGTAATTGACTGGGTTGTCTGAATACCTGGGGTCTGATGAAGGAGAATGGCCTCTGGCCTCTTCTCAATATTTTCTCTTCTTCCATTTCCAAATTCCCCCAAAACATTCTCCTTTCTGACCTACAATATAAGCCAAGTCTCCTCCCTCTTCCACCCTCTCAGCAATTCCAGATTCCATAACCTGCGAGAGAATTCGACTCGCTCTCCCGCATCTAGAGGCCAGAACGTGAGGTATCGGGGGTGAAGTTGACAGCTGACAGCGTTAGAGCGAGGCACAGGTGTATATATATGTTTGGGCTTTTAGGGATGAACATGTGAACTTATATAAATGCAGACATACACAGATATAACTGAATAAGCAAAGAAGACATAGGAGTATAGAGATGGAGGAGGATACTTAGGATAGGACATTGGACGTGTTTAGTACCTTAAGTGCAGGTAGTGTAGGGCTACAAGTGCCAGACCCCCTATTCTATATATAGACATTCGCTTATCCGGTAACCCCCTTTCTTAACCGAAGCCATGCTGATTGGTGGGCAAAATGTGAATCTCACGTGTTGATATCGGATATCAGGTACGCAGGATTCTATACTGGACGGAGTAAAGGATGGACAGGTCGGGATACCTTGGGTCCTATGAAGACGCGATGATAAATAGTATCCTCTGAGGTACAGGGCGACCAGAGTGCCGTTTAGAGTGATCGCCGCTAAGAGAGGCTCGCTCCAGCCCATGACAAGCCGCGGCGGGCGCACGTGGGGAAGGCTCTCGCTTCACATCCTTGTTCTTCCGACGACCTCGACCAAAGCAGAGACAGAGCGCGGTGGATCAATGCTGGGCATCGTCGAATGTGGGCTGGGGAATGTCATTGGGACTTGGGACCGGAGGGGATGATCGATGGGGTGGTGGTGATGGATAGAATGGTGATCGTCTCGAGAACTTGGGACGATCATGTCGGATGGCACACCGTGGACCGTCAATGAGAGAAGACTCAGAAGAGCAGAGCAGAAGTTTCTGCCCAGAATCAACCAGATATTGCGGCAGCAAGACCAAGCTCGGGTGCAAGACTCCCCACATCTCGGGCCTTCGATTCGGCGTTGCGGAAAAGAGCCAAACCAACAAACCGTCATCTGCTTCGAAGCTTCAAGCTTCAAGCTGCAAGCAAGAGGCCGCAAAATAGCCAACTTCGAAGCCTCAGAAGGCGGCCTATCACATACCTTCTTCACCCATGCAGCAGGACCCCCAACGGCGCTTCGAACCGTCTGCAGATTCTCTCTCCCTTCCAGAAGAAACTCGCGCTCTTCGGCGGAGGTATTCCCTGCTCAGAACAGCACTTCGCCGCGGGTATCCAGTCGGAGACGTAGGATCAGGCACAAGCTTCTGCTGCTGCCCAGCCTGCCCTGCGCCATACTGGCAGCATAGTCTGATACACCGCTGCACGTTGAAGAGGCGGGGGTCTGCTCCAGTCACTAGTGTTGGTGGAGAGGGGGTCGAACATCTGCTACGCTTTCCAACCTGGACGTCTACCAACTATCAGACATGGTGTTTTGAGGTTTCGACGCTTCGAAGCCCTGATCTGTCAGCCACGGAGATCTCTTGACGGGCTTGAACCTTGAAAGAGGTGCTTCTGTCCATCCGCCTGTTCGCTCATGCGTATGTTCGGCGTAGGCGCATGGATACACGCTTTGAGATTTATCAGTACGACTCCCTCACTGCTCGGAATCACCGTCCCTCGGGAGTCGACACACGTTCCTTAGCAGAGCTCGCAGCGTAACATCTGCTCGAAACCTCAGCAGCACCCACTCTGGACCTTCTTGATCCTTCGACCCATACCTGATCCTTCGACTTCCGCTTCTCATCCTCGAATACTGGCTGAGATCTCGACATGGAGCCGCTCCCCGAGCCGGCCCTACCTCTCCGCAATGAGAGGACGTATGGCGGAAATGCCGCCTTCCACAACTTCCACAATGACTACACACATATCCGCGATCCTAACCTGCGGCGGCGGCTTGCTCTTTCAGAGGTGGACAAGATCCCATTTGGATGGTACGCAGAATCCCCTCCCGTGCTTCTCATACGGCTGTCTAGACTGGCTATGATACAAGGCTGACGATGGCGTGCACTTAGGTACCATGTCCGCGCAGTGATTGTAGCCGGCATAGGATTCTTTACTGATTCGTACGATATCTTTGCAATCAACCTTATAACATCAATGCTGGGGATGGTATTCTGGCAGGGTTCATCCATCCCGGGTGAGAGTCCAGCCGGCAATGATGGGATCTTACCAACTAATGTCAACACGGCCATCAAAGCGGCGACGTCCGGGGGAGCGGTGGTAGGACAGCTTTTGTTTGGCTGGTTGGCGGACAAGCTGGGGAGGAGGAAGATGTACGGGATAGAGTTGGGCATCATAGTGTTTTCAACATTGGCTCAGTCATTATCAGGGCCAAGCTGGGCCGTTACGATGACGGGCTTGTTGATATTCTGGCGGGTGATGATGGGGATAGGCATTGGCGGAGATTATCCATTGTCCGCAGTCATTACATCAGAGTATGCAATTTCTCTTCTCCTTCGTGTGGGAGTTGCGGGGGGCTTCTGTTTTCCGCCCCCTCTCTCACCGTTTCACTCGAGTCCCTGAGATATACGGCTAACAGGATTCAAGATTTGCCCCAACACGCTGGCGTGGGGCAATGATGGCCGCCGTCTTTTCGATGCAAGGTGCGGGACAATTCGCCGCCGCCCTCGTCGCCCTGATAACCACCGTCTGCTTCAAAAGCTCCCTTACAAGCACCACAGATGAGTTCTCCAGCTGCCACGAAGCCTGCCAGTTAGCCGGCGATCGTGCCTGGCGCATCATCGTCGCATTTGGCGCCGTTCCGGCCTGCTTCGCACTCTACTACCGCATCACGATCCCGGAAACGCCGAGGTACACCTTCGATATCGCGCACGATATCGAAAAGGCGGACGCGGATATCAAGGCGTATGTTAGTAACCTGCCGGAAGGCATCGTGGACCCCGTGTCCCAGCAGAAGACAAAGCAGAGGCTTGGGGAGAAACTTGCGGAACCGCAGGCTTCGTGGCGGGATGCCGCATCGTACTTTTCCAAATGGAAGAACTTCAAGGTCATTTTTGGGACGGCCTCCAGCTGGTATGTCTATCTTTTTCTTGCCAATTCTTACGAAATTTGGGACAAGGCATGTTGGTGTCTTATCACATGTCTTCCGACTTGTGAGATGTGGTCTATACCTCTCCTATGTTGGCCACAAATCCGTCGTTGTCATACTAAGTTGTCCCTTTTTAGGTTCTTCCTAGATCTAGCTTTCTACGGGCTCGGATTAAACAATAGTACGGTCCTCAGTGCCATCGGTTTCGCGGGCGGAGCCACAATCTACGAAGTCTTACTGCACAACGCAATCGGGAACCTCATACTGGTCTGCGCCGGCAGCATCCCTGGCTACTGGATTTCTGTGGCCTTAGTCGACACTATCGGCCGCAAACCGATCCAGATCGGCGGCTTCTTTATCCTTACCGTCCTCTTCTGTATCATCGGCTTTGCCTACAATTCTCTCTCCTCTGGCGGACTCCTCGCGCTCTACATCCTCGCGCAACTCTTCTTTAACTTCGGCCCTAACACCACAACATTCATCACCCCAGGCGAGTGCTTCCCGACGCGCTACCGCAGCACCGGCCATGGCATCTCCGCCGCCAGTGGAAAAATCGGCGCCATCGTTGCGCAAGTCATCGCCCAGCCCCTACTCGCCAAAGGAGCGCGTCGAGATTGCACCGGTGACTCCTGCTCTCCCTGGCTCAATCACCTAATGCAGATCCTCGCCCTCTTCATGCTCTGCGGCACTCTCGTCTCCTTCCTCATTCCCGAGACTAAAGGCCGCACCCTCGAAGAGCTCGCCGGCGAGAAGCCTCAAAGTCCCGACGGCTCCCTCTCCCCGCGCAAGCACGGCTGGCGCGCAACACTTAACCCTCTCCGTAGCAGCCACCCCGCTGGCTTCGCCCATTCCTACTCCACCCCGACACTCATGGCGCGCTCACCGGGCCTCTGGGGCAAGCGCGAGCGCATCGGCATCATGACAAGTCCGGACCTGTTGCCAAAGCCGCGTGGGGGAGAAAAGGACCACACGCGTGCGCTCAGCGGCGAGGGCACCGCCACCACGTACAGCGTGTCGGTTAGCAGTGCGGGCCGGCTGAGCAGCGTGGGGAAGCCCGGGCCGGTAGATGCGGACGACGATCTGTACATCAACGGGGTGGGCAGCGGGAAGCTGCCCGGATGGGGCGCGGGGTGGGGGGTGCAGAGGAATCCTGTGAGGGAGGATGGGAACGGAAATGGGAGAGTGGAGAGTATACAGTTGTTTGATGTGGGGCGGTTGCTGAAATGAAATCGCAGCCAGAAGCCAAATGATGAAAATCAAAAGATTAAAAAAAGCTTAGAAAAAAATAGTAATGTAAATAGAACAAAAGCAAGAGATACCAGATCGATACCCCCTTTCACAACAAGCTCATGAGTTATCTATCCATCGTTCTCGTCGTTATGGTTCTGCATTATGAAACTACCTTGAGGTATGGATATAGAAATCACGTGAATATATTATTCCCCTTCCCCTATCCCAAGCGAGGGAGGACACTGGCTCCCGCGACTTCACGACTTCACATCCCCAGCGCCGACCTCGTGCGTAGCCGGCGACACATTCTCCAACCTAACGCTTGTCGGGCCCTTAGCCTCCTGGACATCCAGCTCATCTCCACCCATAACGACCTGCTTATGCAGGACCTGCTCCACGTCCGCACGACGCTGAGCCTCCTCGACGGCACCGAACAAGATATCCATGTCCTCAAGCTTGAGGCCCTTGGTCTCCTTGACGAAGAAGAAGACGAAGGTGCCCATGCCGAAGCAGAAGACGCCGAACATGATGAAGGTGCGGTAGCCGATGTGGTTCACGGCGCTGGGCGTGATCTCGGTGATGCAGAAGTTGAAGAGCCACTGGGTGGCGGCGCCCATGCCGACGCCGTAGGCGCGCAGCCGCGTGGGGAAGATCTCGGAGAGGTAGACCCAGGGGATGGGGCCCCAGGAGGCCGAGTACCCGATCACGTACAGGTAGATCATGACGACCATGGCGATGGAGGCGGGCGACACGACGTTGACGTCGGTGGGCGGGTGCGTGTTCAGCACGGCGGCGAGGATGAACATCATGGTCATCATCCAGGCGGCGCCGGCGATGAGGGACTTGCGCCGGCCCAGCTTGTCGATGCCGATGAGGAGGAAGATGGCCGTGGTGGCGACCTTGACGGTGCCGTAGACGCCCGTGGCGAACAGCGACGCGTTGGTCTTGGACACGCCGATGGTCTGGAAGATCTCGGGCGCGTAGTAGCCAATGCTGTTGGTGCCCGAGAACTGCTGCCAGAACATGATGCAGAAGCCGTTGACGAAGCGCCAGCGGTTGCCCGGCGTGAGGCACTCGCGCCAGCGCACGCCCTCCGTCTCCGCCAGCTCCTCCTCGATGGCCGCCTGGATCTCCGCGATCTCCTTCACGATCTCGGGGTCCGTGGGGGACTCGCAGCGCATGTAGGCCAGCGAGGCGGTGGCCTCTTCGACGCGGCCGCGGGAGACGAGCCAGCGCGGGGACTCCTTCAGGAACCACAGGCCGATGAACAGGAAGCCGCCGGGGATGAGCTGGATGGCGACCGGGATGCGCCACTGCTTGGTGGACTCGGGGATGTGCAGCGCGACGCCGTAGTTCAGCCAGTACGCAAAGGTCGAGCCGATGACCAGGAACTCTTGGAAGAGGCCGGTGATGCGCCCGCGCACGCCCGGCGGGCAGTTCTCCGCCACGAAGATGGGCGTGATGCTGCTCATGCCGCCGATGCCCAGGCCCGCGATGACCCGCCCGCCATAGATCTGCCCGATGGAGTGCTGGGCGCCGACCTGGATGGCCGCGCCCACGAGGAACACCAGCGAGAAGCCCATCAGCGAGAACCGTCGCCCGAAGCGTTCGTTCAGGAAGGCCGCCCCGATGGCCCCGAAGAAGCAGCCCGCCGTCAGGAGCGACACCACGTTCGACGACACCTGCGCGTTGTGCGAGTTGGCGAAGCCTGAGCTGTCCATCGGCAGACCGAAGTCCCTCTTGAAGCTCTTGAGCGCCAGCACGCTCCCCATCACGCCCGTGTCATATCCTGGAGAGAGAGAAGAGCGTCAGTATCAGTCTTCCTTGTGCTGATATCAGATCGGGGGTGGTGATGGACCTCGTACCAAAGAGCAAGGAGCCCATGTATGCCACCGTCGCGAGCAAGTACACGCGGCGATTCTTGAAGAAGCCCGGCGCCATGATGAAAGAGCGCGATCTGTCTCTCGTCGACGTTTTTCGAGGGGATCGTTATCTCGAAGGGAAAACACGTCAAGCTCTACTCTTTACCAGAGGGAGGTCTCCCCCAGCTCGAGCAGCTCCTCCATATATTAAGTACATGCTGCAACATCAGCAACATATCATCAATCAGCACGAGATAACTCATTGAAGATTGTGTGGGGATGCACACGGGGTCTGTCATGGCCCCATTCGTGGATTTCCATTGATTGCAACACCCTCCCGCATGTCTCGATAACCATTCCACCAATGATTGTGTCCGTCTCGAATTCTCGACGAACCTTCCCCGGGCCCATGGCGGCTGACAGGCGAGCGCAGGGATCATTGCGGGGTGCGATGTGGTGGAGTTCGGCTTGTTATTCGACGAGGTGCGGAGGAGGGGCAGAGAATGGCAGATTCGGAGAATAGAGAAAAGTTGTTTCGTGGGGAAGTAAATTGACGAAGTATGGAGTAACCAGCCCGTCGTCGTCTTCTAGTCCTTGTTTGCTTCTCCTGTTTATCGAGACGGATAAATGTTTCCGGGAAAATCCATCCCCTAGCTTCCTTTCACATGATTGGAATATGAATATTTTTCTATTTGTTTCCAGCTACTTACTACCTCTTCTTTTCCAGATAATAATTGTGTCTTCTGGTCGGTCTCCTTTTCTTTTTCCCGATTCCGGATTCTGGGGAAGGTAGGTTTCCGGATCTTTGATTTCTTCTCCCCCTGACAACATATACCTGATTCTTCCACAAGACAAGAGCTATCTATCCTCCCTCTATAGAGAACGTGGAAAATTCCATATCTATAGAAGCATTTAAATAACCCCTATATCTCACTCCCATCACTAAATTAAATCATAAGCTCTCAAACATGCCTCTTTCTTTCTTATGGGCTACCTATCTCTTCATTCTACAAAGCCACCCCCCCCCCCCCCCCCAAAAAAAAACCGATCCTCTCCAAATTTAAAAAGAAATAGAGAAAGAGAATAAAACAGAAAAACAATCCCATCCATCTCCTTCCCTACACGATTTTAATTCATCCACACCCCCCCCTCTCTCTTTTTAAACCACACATTCTCAAACTCCAACTCCAGATCCCCGAGCAAAAGCAAGAAGCGCTCACTCATTCACTCACCTACCTATACCCTCCTCTACTCCACAGTCCACATCCCACAGTCCACCAAACCCTCCCCAAACCAAACCCTTCTTATTCCCGAGAACCGCCCCACGCATTCTTGGCCTCTCTCTAACTATGGGGTAGAGTAGAGTGGGGAAATGCATGTAGGGATACCCCAGGGCTGAGTGGCTGGGTAGCTTACTTGTCGGGCCTTTGAATTTTTACAATTTTTTCTTTTTTTAAGAAAGGTGAGGAAAGGAAGTGAGTGTGCTTGGTGGTTCTTGGTTAAGGTAAGGTAGGAAATATGCACTCAAATACCCTCAAATACCAGCGCGTAACTTCTTCCCCACCCCCCGCTAAACTTCAATCTAAACCTCAATTGAAAAGTTAAAAAAGAAAAAAAAGCACACGACCCCATCCATCCCTCCCTCCTCCCTCCCTACCTATCTATCTAAACCCTTCTATCCCCCAACAACAACAGCCAAAAAAATAAAAATCTCCAACCCAGCCTCCTCTTCTTCCTTTTTTATTGATCATCATTACCCTGAAAAGAGAAGAAAAAGAAAAAGGCGGTCACTCAACTGTGACTTAGGATTATTGAAAAAAAAAAGCAAAAAAAAGAAAGGGGAGATCTTCCCGCTACGCCGCTGTGCTGTGCCGTGGATACTAGGTAGGTAGGTACCGGGATATGGTCGATCATTGTCTTGGCTTTGGATTTGGACTTTTTTGGAATAGGAAAAAGGAAGTAAGCAGTGTGTGAACGGGTGGAGGTGAATGCATTTACGTAGGTATGTACGTATGTATGTATGTTTGGGATTTTGGAGAGGGAGGGCATCCGGTAGGGATGTGATAATTAGAAAGGCGGGGATTTAGACGCTGAGGCGGGAAACGGAGATCGAAGAAGAGACAACACGATTTCAACTCGAAGCAGATAGAAGTTAGATTATAAATCTTTTTCTTTTGTTTTTTTGACCTGGGTCATTACACTCTAGGAATATTTGGTACGTAGAGGTATGTACACGCTACTTATATATGTACATATATCAATCAATCATAATAGTATCTACGTCCGCCCCGCGCCGTAGAACACACCTACTCCTAGACCCCGTGCTGTTGACGATATACATAACATGAGTTTTTGCCCACACTTTTTCCCTTTTTTAAAAAATAAACGCCATGAACCAAGCCCCCCCGGGGCGTGGTGTGTTCATGACACGCTCACGTCGACTGTTTTCGTGATGCCTACGCCGTGCTGCATGATGAATAACTCGTCGCTATCGCGGTCGCGGTCGCGCTCGCTTCGAGTGATGCCGCTTTCGCCTCCATCCTTGATATCGTCGGAGCTGTCGCCCGGCCTGCTCGTGTTGTGGGTCGTCACCGTGACATCGTACTTCTGCCCGGTCACCGAGTGCAGTCTGATACTGTCCTGCATGTAGTAGTGGTGGTGTCTGGAGCGCGGGGTGTCGCCTGAGCTCAGCCCTGTGCGACGCGCGATGGCTTGTACGGGCCTGGAGTCGAGGATCACGGAGAGGAGTGGTCGGAGGACGGGGAGGGAGGACGCGATAAGACCGATGTTCAGCTCGATCATGTTCCAGACAGCGTATGAGTCGTTGCGACTGCTGTCGGGGTCCGTGAGGACTCTGGATTGTAGCACCGTCTTGACGATACCGGCTGTGCAGGCACTTTGGTGATGTTAGTGAGCGAGGTCCATGAAAGGATAGACAAATTCAGGGCACGTACAAGAAACCAAGACTGAGAACTCCAATCAGGGAGATTCGGACTCGGCTATTGACCTGCAGGTTCCAGATAATGGGCACGGGAAGACAGGCAAAGATAACGTCCGTGACGATGTTAATACCTAAGAGAGGGTAGTTAGTAGTGGCCGAGCACCAAAGTAACGGGGGTACTCACAACTGTTATACAGACCGATTGCAGTAAAGGTTGATTTTGAGAAACACTTTGATGACCCGGTATACGTCAGGTCCCAGACTGCCTTGACCGGAATGCACTATAAACCTAGTCAGGAACCTTCTTCTAAACCATACCCCATATCAGGAGATTGTTAAATCAATCCCCCTAATTCAAAATTCATATGTCGTTGTCCGTCAAGAAGGTACCACAACAAAATTATCTGCCCTGAAAGAGAGGATGGACTCACTGCAAAGATGAGAGTTCCGGCACATGAAATCGTAAAGAGAATCAGGAATACTAAGAATAGTCTCGTTAGCCTTCACTTCTTTGCCCATATCAAAGTCCACCTCATGCCCCCCCCATCCGCACAACCTCCTCGTCATGTTTGACCTTCCCGAGAAGCCATGTGGGCCTAAGAACCAGATATGATAAGAGGCCGGGCAAACTCACCAATCATGGAAATCAAGAAGATCTTGTAGGGTCTCGAAATGACCAGCCGGAGTAAAAAGAAAGCAATGGAGATTTTAACGAGTGAAATGCCAATCATGACAAGAAGATTGTGGAAGAACTGCCAGTGCAGCTGCTTGATTCTCTCGGACATCACAATGCCTGCCTCGTGCATTCCAATACCATGATGCGTTTCACCGATGAAGCATACCAGAACCCCAACACTGCAAAGCTGGGATGATATGAGCTGGGCGTCTCGGCACGATAAGGGGTTCTCGACTTACCATCGCCCAGATTATGATATAGTCATCGGTCCCAACTGTTTTCAGCATGAACGTCCGCACGTATAACCGCAGCAGGATGATGAGCGCAGCGAAGCCCGTGAAGGTGCCCGTGATGGCGAGAATCGAGGGAGCATTGGTCGAAGTGTCGATAGGCCCCGCGGGCGTAGACCCTGGGTTCAGTCCAGACGTCGGGGAACTCATCTTTGCTCTCGAGTTCTGGAGGGGTTTGCAAGGCTGGACCGCAGATATATCATTGACGATCCCCTCCGCAAACCCTATGGTGATCGATCGCGCTGATCCTGCTGATCCTGCTGATCGCCACCAAGAGAGTAGTAGTAGTAGTGGGTGACGAGACACTACTACACCTACGGCCGATCCTATGATGTCTTAGACGGTTGGTTAGGGAGAGGAGGGCCATGCTTTGTGGGTCGCCTCGTCTCTTGTACTTTGGACTAGAAGAGGGGATACCATCATGCCATCATCCTCTGCGGTATTATTACTCTACCCATTATTACCTCCTGATTTACCGGCCCGGCTAGGACTCTAGAGGGCAGGACGGGAAGGGTGGCGGACGCAGCCCGTGTCTACGCCGACGGTCCTGAGACGGTCCTGGGGATTTTGGGATGGAGGACCAGAGGACCAAAGGGCTGGGCCTAGATGGTTGGGCCCGGCCGTCAAGGTGTGTGCCTCACAAAAGCTTCTATTGTAGGTAACTCCCTCACTCCCAGGGGTATACCTAGAAAATATTCCACACGGGACAGTACTCTGTATACTCATACAAACAAACTGTATACTCGCCACCTATAGGGATATAGCACGTTGTACCTACTGTAGGCATGGTTGCCAATCTCCTCAGTCTCACGCTGCCGACAAAGAGCACAGTACACAGGACCCCGCAGATACTTCCACGTACGAAGCTGCAGACTTGCAGTGCAGTAACAGTTGGAAGGGTCCTGCCGAACCATCGGACTGTTCTCGCCCCAGGAACAGGGACCGAACCAGCGGGCGAGACGGCTCGAAGACGACGTGAAATAATACGAGCAGCGGTGGCAACAAGCCAGCGTATCCCGTTGCGCGGAGTGGACCGACTAGAAGAGTGGAGAGTCTCTGGAAACCTGTGAATCTGTGACTCTGAGGGATTTCAAAGCTCAGAGTCCAAGCCGCCTAGGAGGACTAATCGACGGCTCGCTTGTGCTGGGCTTCAACGTCCTTTTCGGGACTCAGCAGCCAGCTGAACTCTATTTGCCCCTCTGGTGCGACAAGCCCCGTCACCAGAAAGGAAATGCCCCGCGGCCAAAGCAGGACTAGCCGGGGGTCTCGAAGACTATGCCTTGTGCCTCCAAGCGTGAGCCTTGTAGGTGGTGTCACTGGTGTGCCCTGTGCCTTGTGCCTTGCAGACTGCAGCTTAAGAAGTTTGCAGTCTGGAGGCTTGAGTGGCTTGCGCAACAACGGAGGTTTTCCTAGTACTGTCCTCTGTACGGAGTGCAGCGTGCATGAATAACTGGAGCATTTGCGCCATCCATCTTCCTTCGTCTTCGGATCCACGGAAATCGATGGAATGGCACGTTCGCCAAGAGGACCGGCTCCCCCCACCCTTGGCCCCAAGCCGGCTTGTGCTCGCCTTGTGGAAGAATCCCTCCGTACGGGGTACTCCGTAGATGTAAGACCTGTACTTGAAGGCTTTGGAAAAACGTGTAAAGAGTCCTTGGGGCAAGTCGTTGAATTGCGGAATCACTTTAGCGGACCCCGACTTGAGACATATGGCGCAACCTGCAAGGGTCTCTTGATACTGTAAGTCTGATAAGGCATATCGACGCAGGGATATCGAACGGGCCGAGATTCGACTCTTGGGCCGTGTGGATGGAGGACAGATCCCCGGAAAAGCCTTGACGAATTGACGCATTGATCAAGGATCCATGTAATGGATACAACCTCCCGGCTAAAGCGCCGTAGCAAGGTTTGTTCCGTTGGATTTCAAATGGATATTTACTACAGTAACGTCCCGTCTGGCAAGCCACTCCAGTACTGTATCAATATCACCATCTTCTAGAACACAATCAGTGTTCCAGATATACGAACACGCCGTGAAGCCACTGGTAACCAGACCTGCTTGTTAATTTAACTAGATATTAGTCAACTCTCGGTACCACTCGCAGCTTCTGCAGTCCAAGCTATATTGGGATCAGACCGATTACTATCTGAAAAGTGAGGGTGATAGGCATATACCAAGCTCTTGGCTGCTCTTGGAGATGTCTCTGTTGCCAGAAGATAGGCTCGCTCTACTGTGGCGGGATCCATGGTTTTCTGTTTACGCCGTACGTTGTGTTGCTCCGAAGATTCAATGCCGGCAAAACCGTCGACGAATTGACCAATCGCCTAGGCGACGAGTGGGTCTAAGCCCATAATGCGTCGAGGACTCAAGGGCTTCGGCTTGAGTCCCATATCTGCAACAACGTAGCGTTGTGGCTGCTCTCATCTGCGTGATGGGGTCCTTGGAGGTTGGGCTGTGGATTCTGAGTCTCTGACCCAGAGGTTCCCCTAATGCACGTGCGCGGGTAACAATGCAAAGAGCGCTGCTGGGGACTTGCAAGTTCTGCAAGGAAGAATGGTAGAATGCCCTTGGTGTAGAAATTCCGCCCAATCGCCAGCCACGGAGCCGTTACCGTGAAAAAAACCAGGTCGCCGCCCCACTCAATCTCCTCCCTTTCCTCCTCTTCCCCTCCTCCTTCAAGCCGTACCTGGCTCCAGCATACGATAGTAACGATACGTACAGTAGCACAGCTCTCTTGCTGCTGCAGGGCCACCCTGACTGTGATCGCTTAAGCCTTGTCGCAAGGAAACTCCATGATCTGTAAAGCCTCTTGGACAAGTTGGAAGCATTGCTATGTCCCTTCCGGCAGGTCTCGAGGAAACTGCAGCCACAGGACGCGTAAGGGCCAGTTACACAGCAGCCGTGGCGTACAGTGGTTCGACGTTGCTGCGTGAGCCTCATTTCCTATACACAGGCCGGCGTGCAATTTTGCATACGAGGATTCCTCCGATGCATTACTACCCTGCAGCGTCTGCACCGTTCACCGTTGACGGCAGAGCAAGAGAAGGGGGCGCTATGTTGTATAGTATGTCGCTCGACCCAGAGAGATAGATATATGGCCTCTCAACCCCGCCCCCTCTGATCTTGCACTCTCAGAAGTAGGGGACGTGTACCTTCCGGGACCCTTCGGGGAGACCGCTGACCAGAGATCTTGGGGCCTTGATCTACCCCGTAGCGTACCGTATGCCCGTATCTTAGCAGATCTGTGCGGGTCTAGAGCAATCAACGACCAACGACAGAGCATTCCGTATATCGGCAGCTGAGACACGTGCTGAGATCAGGCCAGGAATCCTTGCTGTGTATTTGCTTTTATCTTGATGATTAAGGACTTGCAACCAGTCTGCGGCCGTCAGCCACGTTTCCCCGGAAGTCGGCTTATCAAGGCCGCGAGCTGCGAGGGAGCGAGGGAAAGTGAGTGGGAACTTGTATTGTAGTTTGTAGAAGACACGAAGGAGACGCAATGAAAATTGGGCTGCTACCTCTGTACTGTACCTTGCAGAGCGAGATCTACCTTTTGGTCGATCTTGAAGCTCTGCACATCTCTGTAGCTCTGCAGGCCACAACGCCGCCCCTGATTGGATGCCGACCTTGCTGCTGCCGGAAAAGCTATACTGTAGGATGCAAGTCCTCCGTGTGTATATCTCCGGAAGCTGTATGGCCCTGCTGCCGGTGGTCAACACCCCGTAGACTATCAGTGACTATCGGTTTCCGCATGGACTATGGCCCAGAACAGAGTCGCTTCGAGCGTTCGATCTCTTCGTTCCCCTCTTGGTTGCCCTTCTGTCCTTCCATACTACTCCACAAGGGACGTAGCCTCCGTGCAGCGTTCTCTCCTGCTCCACCTCGCCTGGCTGTATGTGTGCTTCGCACGTGGCTCCAAGCTGTCAACCAGGTGCTACCTCGTCCGCCGCCTCCAGCCCGCAAATCAAATGATACGTCGAGCGCCTCCCTTCCCAACTAAAATCTTCCGGCCTTCTGGAATTGCCCGTTTTCCTGCCCGCGCAGCTTCTTAGGCCATAAGTAATATCTACCCGACGCCACCTCCCTCGTGGCTCCTCCACTTCCTCGTGTCTTGCGTGTCCGCGTCAATCCGTCAACAACAACGAGGAGTCTCCGCCAGACAATAAAAGCGTCTCTGAGCCTCACCAAGAGCTCGAAAACGCAAAGATTGTCCGCTCCTCTTCTCCGGACTTGGATTCGCTTCTGAAGTCTTGCCAATATGCGTTTCCAAACCCCCGCACTCGGTGCGCTCGCCCTGGCAACCGCTGCCAAGGGATTCACTCCCGCCTTGACTATCGGTACTGATATCTTGGCGGCCAATGGTCTCCTGAACCTTGGCATCTATGAGTTCGAAGAAGCTCTTGCTGGCAACACCACCAACTGCACTCTGGCAAATGTCAAGATCCGGAGAGAATGGTATGTCCATCCAACACTATGTCCCTAGCCATCGACGTCCCTTCTAATGCGCCGCTAGGGGTACTCTTTCTCAAAAGGAGAGGGTTGCTTACACCGATGCCGTGCTCTGTCTGATGTCCAAGCCCGCAAGGACAAGCCCTGAGGACGCTCCAGGTGCCAAGACACGTTATGGTATGTCTTGTTGAATCAGTACCCCACTGACCTCATCTGGGAGGACAACACTGACCGTGTCTAGATGACTTTGTTTTCACGCACATCAACCAGACATTGAGCATCCATGGCACTGTGAGTCCCTAACTCATCTGATCCACAGAGCACCACTAATCCCGACAGACCAACTTCCTGTCATGGCACCGCTACTTCGTTCACACGTTCGAGCAAGCCCTCAAGGATGAGTGTGGTTACACCGGCACGCAGCCCGTACGTATTCATCTCCTCACCTGTGACAATAGGTCATGCTAACCACCTCCTCAGTACTGGAACTGGGGTAAGACTGCCTTTGACCCGGTCAACTCCTACATCTTCGATGGTAGCCCATACAGCGTGGGTGGCAACGGTGTCTATGAGCCTCATAACTGCACCAACGCTCTTCCCACCGGCCTGAACTGCATTCCTCCCGGAGAAGGTGGTGGATGTGTCGAGACCGGCCCCTTCAAGAAGTAAGCCTCCCCTCGGAAGCCCAGGACCTTATGGCGTCCTTTAGACCAGAACAGAAGACTGACAAGCCAACCAGCATGACCGTCAACCTCGGACCTATTACGCCCACCCTCGCCGAGCCTGAGGTCAAGGCCATGTCATCCTTGGGGGCCTACAACCCTCGCTGCCTGAAGCGTGACGTCTCCCAATGGGTATCCTCCCGCTTCAACACCGACCAGAACTCCACGGACCTGATCACCCAGAACACCGACATCTACTGGTTCCAGACCGTGATGCAGGGCACTTTCAACCTCGGCGAGTTCGGCGTGCACACAGGCGGCCACTTCACCATCGGCGGCGACCCTGGCGGAGATCTCTTCACCTCCCCCGGCGACCCAGCCTTCTGGCTACACCACGGTCAAATCGACCGCACCTGGTGGATCTGGCAGAACCAGGACCTGCGCAACCGCCTCTACGCCATCTCCGGCACTATCACCATCAATAACTCCCCGCCCAGCCGCAACGGCACCCTGGACGATATTCTGAGTCTTGGTGTCAACGCGGAGGATATCACGATCCGGGATGCCATGAGCACCATGCGTGGTCCCTTCTGCTATATTTACTTATAGACTTGATGTTGCATGAGCGTGTAGTATGACTGTATGAACGTGTGGAGAGATCAGATCGGGGAGGGGACGTGATCATATAGACCTGTAAATAACTGTAAACCTTGTATATTTTTAATACAAACCAACAAACACATTCAATTCGCATGCATTCGAGACGAACATGTGAACATGTGAAATGTGAAATGTGATTATCTTGAAAGTTGGGACACGAAAGTATGTTGTTGTCTGAAGGTTTTGTGTAGCTAGATAAATTCCCAATCGGGTGTTACTTCGCTCGGCACGTGCCCAATGCTCAGATAGGGGGAAGCGACGTGGGAAACAACAAAACTCCTATTAGAGATCTTATCGCGGCTCTCTATTTTGTACTACAGAACTACTACAGAGGATCGGGTTGGGGCGGGTAGATTATAGTTTAGTCTCAGGATCAAGAACAGGAACATCATGATTATGACGGTTCTTTTATGCTATGTACCAAACAAAGGCCATACATAGAAGCCTCCAAAGGAAAATATAGGAGGGGCGAGAAATCTCTATCCATCCCGCTCTGTATGCATCAGCTCATCGCAAACTCCACCCATGCTGAAAGGTAGCGCCGTGCCCTTTATCCATTGTACAATCTAGATGTGAACCCATCCAGAGATTTTCTTTCTGTTCTTCATCTCCTAATCTTCTTCTCATGGCCTCGATCCCCCATACCCCCTTCCTCACTTCTTCTCTTCCGGCTTCCCCCGTCTTCCCTCATTCCCCTGCTATCCCGCCTATCGTCGCCTCCTCGAGGATCTCTCATCTCTCTACTTCGTCCACCCCTTTCGGCTCCTCTCTCGCCGCGCTCGTTGCCTGCCCACGGGGCATCGTGGCCTTCCCTCTCCCTCCCATCGCCGCGACGACCCGTAACATCTCTCTCCCTGTCTCTCTCACGCTCCCTATCTCTCCCACCGCTAGCCATCAAATCTCGACCCGGTTCACGACCTGGATGTCTCTCATCACTCCTGCCACCATCTCTGCGTTCTCTATGCTCCCTGGATCCAGGCACGCGTTCCTCGTCCCCCGCTCCACGCTTCGCATCTCGACTTCGATCAGCGCCCGGACTGCGAGAGCTTCTCCGACTATGACGACCCGGACGATCGCGTCTTGCGCCTCTGTCACGACCCTCGTTGGGCGTACCAGTAATCAAATCCGCGCGCGCGGGATTAATGAGATCCAGGTTAGGGTCCGATCGCATAGGTGTCGGAGGGCCTGGAGGGGGAGGAGGAGCAGTGATAGGGGTGGCAGGACCACCGGAAAGAGGAGTATCTGCCGACGAGCTCAGGCGGGCTCCACGGCCGCGGACATTCATGCGATCGGGGGTATTCGCTTGTTGCAGCATAGTGTTGATGCCGGCGAGTTGACGTCTGCCGCCTCGGATTGTGCGTTCGGTGGCTGAAGCGGGCCCGGTTGGCGCTGTAAGACCATTTGTACCGGACGAGATAGGACTTGGTTGCGAGCCTCTGGGACCAGACGGTGGCATTTGTGTTGCCACTGATGGTACAGGTGGTCTGGAACGATTATTGGGATGAGCTGGTGGTGGAGCGGCATTTTCGTCTCCAAAAGCCCTTAGCCTATCTGGGTGGATGCCGGCGGGAGGTGCAGCTTGCGGTGACGATTCAGGAGGTTGGATTGCCTGTCCAAGGTGCCTTAATCTGTCTGGATGGATTCCGGCCGGGGATGCAGCCAACGGGGTACCTGGGGTGTTTGGCGCTGGATCAACCTGGCCGGAAGCAGCTCGACGAGTTTGACGAGTCGATGATGGTCCAGTAGGAACCGATTTCTCCGGTGGCGTTGGAGGACGAGGAGCTTCGGCCAGCCTACCTTCACGACGTGGCTGTGGAGCACTGACCATTCTATTACCGCGCGAATTCCTATCTCGAGGACCGGATGGGATGTCTGATACTGGGGCAGGATTCAGCCGGCCAAAATTAGGATCCGGTTGTTGCCTGCTGCTCGAATTCAGTCGTCCATGGTCAGGATCGTGGAATCTCGGAAGTTGTCCTGATTGGAATGCAGACGAATCTCGCAATCTGTCAGAAGGACCTCTTTCACCACTTCGGTCTGCAGGTCTATCACTACGTGGCCCGACAGGAGGTTGTTGACTTTCGTCAGGTCGAGCACGTGAGCTGTACGGATCCGGTAGCCCATTACGGCTCGATCGCTCGTCGTATCTCGATTCTTGATGATCTCTATCAGAAGGATATCTTCTCGGCGACTGTGGTCTAGGTCGGTCGCTCGGCTCATCGCGGATGCGTCGAGGTGAACTAGAACGCGGGGGTGTGTTCGTGATGAGCGCAGCGCGTTCTGGATTGATGAGTTCCTGTCGCTCCGGGTTTATGGGTGGTAACCTCTCTGAACTCGCAGGAGGCCCACGATCTGCCGCCGACATTCTTGGAGGAGGCATACCACTATCACGAGATAAACGACCGCTATTATCAGATGGTCGTAGGCCATTTGCGGCTCGTTCTTGATTCTCACGTGCAGACTCTGCTGTCCATCGTGGGGGAGGGTCTGGCCTAACACGGTCCCGGTCCCGATCCGAAGGTCTTCCAAAGTCTCTGGAGTTTGGTTCCATACCTCGTCGGTCGATTCCTGGACCTTCACGTGGCGGTCTATCTCCGGGTCGATCCAGTCGGCCAGAGTCTTGTAGCCGCGAGTCTCTGCCATCTCTACGATCTCCATGTCGTAATGATGGGTGTCTTTCCAGCTGACTCCGACTTGGAAATGGAGCCTCTGGTCTGTTGGGGAGGGTATGGCTTCGTTCTGGGAAGAAATTCTTCGGTACATCAGGGCGAGCTGGTATGGGTGGAGATGCTGCGGCTTTCGCTGCTTCCTTTTCCCGCAGTATTTGATCTCTCCTGGCCAAAATATCTGACTTGCGTGGTTCAACCGTAGCTGGCGCAGCCGATTCTGAAGAACTGGCTTCGGCCGGTGTGCCCGTAGGAGCAGTTGGCTTGGCCGTACTTGTATTGGCAGCTGCAGAAGTCTTGGCATCGTCGACTTCACCATCTTCAATTTCAGCCGTTGTTGGCGGTTTTGGAGCAGATGCACCGAGAGGGCTGTCGGACAATTAGTTCCGAATCAATGTGAGAGTAGTCTTTTGACTGACCTAACGCTGGACTGTGGCTTGAACTCTGGAGCTGTGGGTTTCAAGGTGGATCTCGAACTCGTGGAACTTGGTGGAGGTGTCGCCTTTGCACTCCCATTCACTTGCCCTGGTGGAGCCTAAGACATGTCAGTGAACTTGATTGTTGGTAGTATATCATAGAGAAGACATACCACATTAGAGCCAAAAGCTTGTACCATCACCCAATTCTTCGACTTCTTTTTCAGTTGTACCAATACCGCGTTTCCAGTCAGAGAAAGATCCTCGCGAACATCCTTCTCGCGTTTGGCGATGGCTTCGAGCTGCTTCATGAAACCGTTACCCATGAAGTCAATGGCAGGGAAAACGTCCGCTAGCGTTTTCAGAATTGTGATGGCATTCCGAATGTGCATCCACTCCTTCCCATCTAGACAATCGCGAAGAGCGGTATTTAGGGCTCTGTGCCATGTAAGAAGAAGGCTCTTGAAACCGATACCCTGTTTGGCATCATGTTCAAACAACCCCTTTGGTTTGCCATCAGGGTCAAGAGCTTTCGCAAAACCCGGCAAGTTTTTATTTACTCCCCAAGCTTCTTTCTCGTAAACAGCAGCATCCGCATGCCATCTAGCAAGGTCTGCAAGCACAAAACGCAGGAAGCGGCCCAAGTTCTCAGCTTCACGGATAGTGCATGAGAATATTATTGAACGAAGGCGATTGGCTCTGAAAAGGCGCCCATATAGTGAGAGGGTGCGGAAGTTAGGCGTGCTATTGTCGTGCAATAATTTGATCATCTTGAAGCAGAAGTCGGCATCGCTTGGAGACAGAATGAGACGTGGAATTAAACATCGCTCCAGGATTGCATCGCTCACGATGTCCGGTTTGATGGAAGGCTCAAACCATTGAGCTTTGCGTTTGAGCAAACGGCCCCTTCTTTGCCGGAAAGCACCGACCTGCTTCCCAAACTCGGCAGTCAGAGCAGTTCTAGTCTGATCTAGAGACTTCTTCATCTCCTCTTTTCGAGCCATACCAGCCCGGGTCATATCCGAGCGATCTTTCATTACGACTTTCTGTTCCTCCGCAATGCGTAGGATCTCTTTCTCGTAGCTGTCTTTCGGGATAGACAAATCGGGAAGAGATGCTGTCCAAAAAGTGACATAAAAGTCAGGGCTTATGGCCTTCCAAGCATCCTCAGGTTGCAAGGTGCGGATGGTGTCGATAATTGGCGCAATGACTTCGTGGAAAGCATCCGACGGCGAGCTCGTTGAGTCAGCTGCAGCAGTGACTGGCGGTGGAATAGTCTCCTTCAATTCTGCCTGCACATCGTCCTCCTTAGCAGCAGGGGTGCCGTTCTCAGGAAGAGGAGAAGCTTTGCCCTGGTCATTATTTGCCTGGACTTCAGTTCCGCCTTCCATAGCAACATCGTCATCGGTATCTATCTTGGCTGGCGACGGTTCAGGCAAGGCTGCAACAGCTTCGGTAGCACCGTTTAAAGCCGGGGACGCAACGCTTGATATACGACTGGCAAGACTTGCACGACCTATCATAAATGCGAGAGGCGGCTCCAAGCCAAACTCTGTGAGAAGCTCTGGAACTCCGGGAACATATCTGTCGAACTCTTCCACTTCAAGGTTACTCCGGAGTAGATCAAGATACTGGAACAAGATCAACTGTGTGTCATCAATCATTGTCGAAAGTAGCTTGATGTGCGCCTCCTCGTCGGCTATGGAATAGATCGCCGACTGCCTGTGTTGCGCAATTGCAAGGAGTAGTTGGCCCACGAGTTTCGTATCAATGAGAGCCCTCATCAATCTCTTGGCCGTCTTTGTCGACTCGTAACGCTTGTCTTGTAGATGGATGAGTGTCTGCTTCCTAAGGAGTTCGCCGCCAGTCATAGCAGTAAGTTGGGCCTCGGTGAAGTCTGTATCTGGGACCACACCCGCCATTTGCGCAATCAGCTCTTTCAATATGACAAGATCCGTGGAATTCCCTCGGAATAGCTGATCATTCACATATCGAATTATCGGAGTTGGGTTCATGATCGAGTAACGTCGGAAGACTTTCCCAGCGAACCGTGAGAGAGCTAACAACCATCGGCTTGGAAGCAACGAAAACTCCGAGTTGTTTCTGTTTCTCTGTTTTCCTCCCAGCGAGCTCATGAGCGACCACACAAGAACGTCATAACCCAGATCGGAAAAGTACTTTGCGCATTCCACAACTACCTCGGTAAGATTCGTGTATGCTTCAATCTGGCCCAAGGCAACACTGAACACCACACCTGGAGAAGCGTAGGCGGACTTTGCAAGGCTCCGAGCCATAGCTGGAATATTATTCATGCTGATCCGCTTCATCGTACTCAATGTCTCAAGCCTTGTCCTATTGAATGCGACTCTGATGGCTGGCAATCGTGACGTTTGGCCCTCGAACCATTCGGCGTAGATATTGTACCTCACAGAAAGAGGGTAGTACCGGAGCATGTCGTAGATTTCATTGACAACGCTCGTATTGGACTTCGTAAGGCTGAGGGCGGGGACGAGGAGTCGCTTGAGCAAGTCCTGCCATCTGTCGAGGTTGTGCTGGGAAGAGTCGGTCGCAAGGCTTCGCGCACCAATTCTAGCAAATTTGGAGAGCAAAGCTGCATCTCTTCCAATGTTGACACCAGAATAGTTCAGGAGTGTACCGCAGAGGGTGAATACATCATCGACATTCTGACAGACCGGCACATTATCTGCCCATTCATCCCAATAAAACCGGTAAGAATTACCCTCGTTCGTGTCGAATTTGTCTGGAAACGGCCAGCGTAGTTGTTTTCGAATAGGCGTTTGAACCAAGCGAACTTGACCTTTTGGTACCCCGCTTTGGTCAAGATCTGCCACACGCTTCGTTGGGCATTCAGGATCTTGGTTTGAAGAAGGGCGGGACATATCATATACGTCCTTAATCGAATGGTGCAAAATACGATGGATCAAATCGAGAAGTTCGGGATATGCCTCGGGGAGCCATGGGAAACGGCCAAGGATGAACAAAGACTCTGGTATGGCGCCAATAGTTAAGAGACAGGTAAGTAACTGGACCTTCTGATCCATAGGCTCAGGCGGCTTGTCTTCATCCACGACCTCTACTTTTGCAGCAGGGTCGGCCTTTGCTGTAGCTGGTTCACGAGTTCGACCTCCGTTTGGCAATGTGTCGTCCACGAGCGCTCCTGCGGTCATTAATGCGTTCATCGCTCCTCCGGGTCGATTCATTCTCTCCTTCTCCTCCAATTCTTTCATCCTTGTCTCTCTAACCTTTTCCATATCTTCATCGAGAGGCCATAGATGCGGATACAGATCTCTGAGAGATATGAATCCAATCTTTATCAACAGAGCAGTAAGATAGATCAGGTTCGCCGGTAGAACATCGTCTTTGTCACGAGCGTCGGAGGCATAGAAACGTAACTTGAATCCGAGTAACTGAGCAGCAATTCGATTCCCTGGGGGCGGGTAAGTCCCCGTTCCTTCAATCCATTTACGGTCTGCATTAGGTTCTGCATCCTCAGATTTCTCACTGAGAATGCGTTCTTTCGTCTCCGGATCGATGACCTGCCTTCCTCCAAGTTCAAAAAAGGCGTCTAATCCAACCTCGCGAGCTCTAGCCCAAAATTCCGTGTCCCTACTAAGTCTTTGCTGTTTTGAAAGCTCCTCGTCTTCTTCGGTTGTTGTCCAGCCAGGAGAGCTAGGTAAAGCCCATGTAGGAAGCCCGGAACATTTCGCTGTAGCAACACCATCTGCCTCTCCGGTTCTTGGCCACCATGAGCTAACCCTCAGAAGCTTGATGAAGAATCGATAATGCTTTATGAGAACAGCGGCAAAGACGTCGAGTGTAATATCCAGAACCCTACCGACATCCAGGTCGAATGTGCCTATAAGCCCTTTGACCTTTTCAAAGGCATCCTCGACGGCTTCAGCGGATGGCGGCTCACTTCCACTCGTAGTGAAAAGCTCGGTGACTAGTTTGGAATAGCCCTCAGTCTCTTCTCGCAGAAGATTGTAGTTCGCCTGTCTGTAAAGAAGGTGCGTAGCTTGTCGAATGCCCACGCGGATGAAGGTATCTCGAGTCAGACCAAGGTTCTGAACAAGAAGAGCATCAAGCTTCAGGCGCATAGCCATTGGGGATACTCCAGTCGCCACGCAGAAGGTACGTAAAACCGGAGGGAACTTTCCAGGCTCGTTCAGGCCAGGTTCCGCATCGCAGACCATCGACAGGGTATCAATGAAAAGCGTCTGTGGATCAAAAGCGTTTGCAGAATCATCTGCGGGTGCGGTCTCTGGTCCCAATATCTCACCAACACAACTGCCGGCATCTGTTGCATCTAATCGGACGTCGAGAGTCGCTCGTATCAATTCTTGAAAGATCGTAGTAAGACCGACCGTGTCTTCGTCGACACGCGCTTGAATACCCGCAGTTACCACCTCCTGTCTGCCACTTATTTCCCAGGAAGACATTCGGTCGGTTGTAAGGTATTCATAATCGAAAGGAGCTGGGTCCGGTCTGAGGACAGGACTGACTGTCTCGACGACTGGAGTCGGGGTCGGGGTCTGCGGGGTCTGCGTTGCGCTGGGTGGTCTTGGAGGAGGGGACATTGGACCAGGCGTCGGCGCGGATCTCGCTGGCACGGCGGGCTTGTTTGGATTGCTGTCTCGACCATCCCGACCGTCATTTCGGCGTCCTCTTCCTCCTCCCGGGCCATTTTGCCCTCCGCGACTCGGTCGTCTTCCACCTCCCTCCCGAATGTCACCTCTATCATGCTGACCTAAACTGGTATTCCCAGGCCGATGCGGCGAGGGTCGATTCTCCCCGGCGTCGACGGATGACCTGTCGGTTCTCTTACGCTTTCCTGGAGCCATGTCCACCGCGATTTGTGATTCTTCTCAATTCTTGCACATGTGTGGGGAATTGGAGCTTCAAAGATGTAGCTTCGAAGCTTGACGGCGAGAAGGATCGTGCGGCAAGCACAGGCGCAGAATGGTTTTGTTAGATGGGTATCATCAGGGTCGCCTCTTGCTGCAGATGACGGCGTCGAGCAGCAGTAACGAGGAATGTGGAGAGAATGAGATCGAGGTGAAGAGACACCTTTTGGGAGACAATGAACAATTCATTCACTTCCTTTCTCTAGCTCGCGTTTACGACCAACGCGGGATTTTACGCTAATCCGCTTGCGCCTTAGCGCGCACCGGCGAAAGTTCAGAGTTCAAACGGTGATGATTCGGGCGGCGGGAAGGCTGAAAAATTGTCGCGAGGGACGTTTTTGCCTTTCGAGCCTTTGCTTGACTTTGCTTGACTTTACGGAGGAGATATATATCGGGATCAGAAGAGCCTCTCACCTCGAACATCCTACTTGTTATCCTTCGCTCGTTCCAATGCCATCCAGTTCGGAGCCAGATGGCTCAAGTGCGCAGCCTCTAAAATATGGTCAGTCACCCCCGCCAAAGGTGCCCCTCCATGAGAACAAGATAACTGAATACGTCCAAGAAAGAACCCACCAGCAGCCCGAAAACCCATTCGCAGCGCTCATCCCTGACCAGACGATCGCGATCATTCCTTCGTTCACCCTCGAGTCCGGCGTAACCTTGCACAACGTCCCATTAGCTTACACCACGAGAGGGGAGCTCTCCCCCAACCGCGACAATGCTATGGTTATCTGCCATGCCTTGACAGGCAGCGCAGATGTCAGTGACTGGTGGGGTCCGCTTCTGGGCGGCCCAGGTCGGGCGTTTGATATCTCGAGGTTCTTTGTTATATGCATGAACAGCTTGGGTAGTCCGTATGGCAGCGCGAGTCCTGTCACATACAAGGATGGAAACCCCGAAAATGGAAGATATGGACCCGAGTTTCCCTTGACTACCATAAGAGACGATGTCAAGTGAGTTGACACAGCTCTGGTCTCCTGCAATATGCTTATCCTGTTGCAGTCTTCACAAGTTACTCCTAGACGAGCTGGGCGTAAAGCAGGTTGCGGCGGTCATAGGAGGGTCTATGGGAGGGATGTTGGTATTGGAATGGGCATACTTCGGAAAGGACTACGTACGATCAATCGTTCCCATCGCTACATCCAGCAGACATAGCGCATGGGGTATCAGCTGGGGAGAAGCCCAGAGGCAGAGCATCTACGCGGACCCCAAGTACGACGATGGATACTACCCCTTCTCCGACCCTCCCACGACAGGTCTCGGAGCAGCTCGCATGTCGGCCCTCCTCACATACCGAAGCCGCAACTCCTTCGAAGCAAGATTCGGCAGGAATATCCCCGACGCCTCGAAGCAGCAAACCATCAGCGGGGACCAGAACCCCTCTACGCCCTCCGAGATGCACTTCGCCATCCACAACGACGGGCACACGCCGACCCGCTCCCCCCTCTCCCGACCCGGCAGCTCAACCGCGCTCTCCACCTTCACCGATCCCCAATTCCACGGCGCCACGCCCTCGCCCTCCTCGCCCCCAGCCTCTCAGCGTCCCACATCCACCTATTTCTCCGCGCAGTCCTATTTGCGGTACCAAGGATCCAAATTCGTCAAGCGCTTCGACAGCAACTGCTACATCGCCATAACTCGAAAACTCGACACCCACGACATCTCACGGTACCGCGTGTCCCCCACCGACCCAACCCCGATCCGCAGCGCGCTCTCGCAAATCAGCCAGCCCGCGCTGGTCCTCGGCATCGAGAGCGACGGCCTCTTCACCTTCGACGAGCAGCAAGAACTAGCCGCTGGGATCCCAGATGCAAGGTTACGCAAGATCGATTCGCCTGAGGGTCATGATGCTTTCCTGCTTCAGTTCGAGCAGGTCAATAGACATATTCTGGAGTTTCTAAATGATGTCTTGCCCGATATTATGATGGGACCTGGGAGGGTGGAAGTGGGTGCTGAGGAGGGCGTGGGTAAAGTTACGAAGAGTAGTACGTTTGGTGAGGCGGAGGTTGATGATATTACGGCTTGGTAGCATATCTAGATATACATAAGGAACCTAGCATACCCATCATGATAGCTTAATACACGAGATGAAGACGAGACGAGACGAGACATCTATCCCCTCTTGTGTGCAGCAAGAAGAATATACATCTACAGTGTACCTCCTTAGTAAAGTGAGTAAGTAAGTAGGTACCTAGTTAATGCATATATGCCCGTCTCATAAGGAGACCTATTCTTGTCCTTCTGCTTCTTGTTTGTTTGTTTCTATCCATAAATAAAACATATATTCATCAATCACCCCCCCCCC